GCGTTTCGAAGCGCTACTTAACCCGAATACTTAGGTTAGCTTATACCGCCCTATACTAAGAATTTAGGTTCTAAGGCTCTAAGGAAAACCGCCCTAAGTTTAAAAGCTAGTTTTTCAACCTAAACCGCCCTAAACCGCCCTATAGAGGGGCCTACTATTCTCTTTTAGTTTTATCTTCTAGTAAAAAGAATAGCGTAATAGTATTTCGTAACCCTCGGTTTTAATAAGAAGAGCTTATAGTTTATAGCGCTCTTTTTATATTAGTAGCTCGCTACTTATATTAGAATAAGAAAGAGAAAAACTTATATTAAGAGCTTAGGACGACTTAGGTTAAGAAGAAGATAGTATTATAGATATATAATATATAATATAGGAATAAGAGAACGAGGACTAGTCGTTTTAGCCTTAAGAAGAAAGTACGTAGAAGTACGCGCTTTAAGAATATATAACTAACTAGAGGCGCTAGACTTTAGTTATATATATAACTAGCTAATATACTAACTAACTAGTCGGCTAGTTAAATAGATAGTTAGGTATACGAGTCTTCTATATATATAGAAGAGCGCTTTCCTATATAGGTAGTTTGTATTTAACCTAAGTTACTAACCTACTAAAAGGTTAAATCTTAGAGTAGTTACTTACCCGACCTATCGCTTAGAACTTACTTATTACGGATATTAGGTCTATAATAAGAAGACTAACTAATTAAGCTTAGGGAGCTAATAACCTAGGCCTATAGGGGCGGCTATAAGAGGGTTACGTAACGCCGCTTACCTAGACCCTTAAGTAAGTAGCCTACTTACTCTTACTCTCGAGTAACTATAAGGAAGAGTACTTACGATTACCGCTAGGTAATCGTAACTATATACAAATCTTCTATATATATAGAATAGACGTTTCCTATATAGGTAGTTTGTATTTAACCTAAGTTACTAACCCGCCGAAAGGTTAAACCTTAGAGTAGTTACTTACCCGACCTATTACTTAGAACTTACTCGTCTAACGAGCTCTAACCCCTTATACCGTAGGTATCTAATATTACTCGTCTAACGAGCTCTAACTCTCTTATACTATAGGTATATAATAGCTACCTAGATACTAAGATTATTATTTAGACTATAGAGAAGTACTAGATTAAAGTTAGATAGATTATCTAACGATAGGCGTTATATAATTATATATAATTATATATAGGAAAAAGGTTATAATATAGAAATATAGGTTCTATAGGCTTCTAGACTAAGAAAGTATAGTAACTTAAACTTATAAGAATAGTATATCTATATACAACTATATAACGACGAGAATTTAACTATAAGAGTACGTTTTAAGCTGCTCGTAGATAGTTCTATTATATATAACGATCTTAATTATCTCTAAGTTAACGACGAGAGTAAGTACACGTATCCTCCTTGCGCGTAGCAGATATATCCGGCGGTTGTATAATTCCTACTTACGATGCCCAATACAATAACTAATACATTTGATACATTTTATCTTTTTATCTATGCCTGCTAGCTGTCGAGCCGCTGAGCTTCTTCGTCCAGCACTTGTAGCGCCTCGCAGGCACTCACCTTCCTCAAAACCTCTATCTCGGGCTTCAACGCCTGACTTTCATTTTCCGGGGGGTCTGCATCTTCGTCAATGACCGACGTATCTCCGTCCCACTTCAGGCGCACGACTACCATAGCATCGGCTTGGTCTGCAGTCTCTTGCTGTGCCACCAGAATGAGAGTTCGATGAGCCTTTGGTCGTGCGACGCAGTTGAGAGGATGTGCCTCACGTATCTCGGACCAGGGATCACTCGACTTGTTGTAATTTCCTAGTAATTGGAAGCGGGATGCTGAAGGTTTCATCTTGAGCCAGTCAGGCTCGAGCATTTCACTAATGGGTACGGCTGCAGCATCGTCAGTGATTGAGGCGCAAGGTAGTCCATGATAGATTAGAGCCTCTCACCTTTAAACACCAAGCTGTACCATCCGTACGTCATCTTTCCAGCTCCAGCTGCGGATGACGTTCCTGATCGTGCTGTTGATGGAGCTTGCTTGGTGGCTTTTGCCTCATCATCGTCGCCAGCATCACCGCCCTCACCGTCATCATCGTAAGGATCTTCCCCATCCCATAAGTCAACCTCTTCCTCCTTCAAGTCCATCCAGTCCTGATTGCCAATATCAATATTTCCACCCCAGCAATCCGCCATATTTACTCCACAGCGTCCAACACCCACCACATTCTCCTCGTCCATACTGGAGCTGAGATGTACGACGAGAACTCCCTCGTCAGCTGGTTTGGCCTTATCGGCTACGATGAAGTAGAGAGGATGAATCCATGTATCCTTCTCATCCCTTGCACTGATAAAATGATCGTATACATCCTGTAGCGAGCGGTTGCTAAAATCTGGCTGCGGCGCTAGTCTGGAGGATTGAGTGCTTAGCTCACTAGAATTGATGGAGCTTTCGAGGCTTTGGAGACCTGCAGTGTCCAGGGAGACAAGGCTAAAGATAGCGAATTTGTACCTGTCGAGACCATCCAGGGTCCTATGGTGGCGTTCCGTGTTTGTGGCTGTATGTGGAAGCGTTCTGGCCAGATCTCTCGTTGAAGCCATCGTCTCGTATTTTGGTTGCTGTGATTGTAACAGTAGTGTAGGCCAGGAACAGAAAATTCGTAGGGCTGTGCTATCATCCTGGAATGCTGTGCCAAACGCAGATTGTCGCAGAGACTATGGTAGTAATCACGGGATCCTCTATTCTCTGCGACCTATGGTCATATGTGCTACCCATTGCGCGATACGTTCTATATATTGTTTGTTCCAAAAACGCTAATCGTCTCAAATTCGCTCGCCCGCTCCGCATTTATGAAGCGATGGATTGCCGACGCATCACCAAATTCAGTCAATTCTCTCATCTTTCGCACACCGTTATTTGAATTCTGCAATGAGACAAACTCCGAAATATCCAGCCTATCCTCCAAACAACAACGGATGTATCGCGATCAATGTTCAGACTGTCGCCACACCGAGGTGGTTGTGGTACGGCATAGGTGGCTCGCACATGCAGGCAATATATACAAACGCTCATGGCGATATAGCCTGATATGGCCTACCGCCGCCATTCGAACGCCCTGCATGAAAGAGAATTTGAAAACGAGTCTTGTGGTGCTTCCCTTCGTCCTTCGAGTGCTTCCTACGTGACACGCTGTGGCATACATGCTAAGTAGGTCATATTAGGTGGAACCCGTCTCTGGGCAGCTCAACTTCAAGCAATCGCTGAGCTTTCTCAAGGTTCGATATTTGAGCTTTATATCAAGAAGTGCAACCTCAAGCCTCGTTGAGGTCTGCTACTGCCCAATGAAGCTGGTGCGGTGCGCTCGACGTATGCGAGCAAATGGCGACCTGGTCTCGCGACCGTTCTGGGGTACGCGACTTATTGCTCGTGGTCGACACAATCCGAATATTCGGCACGGCTAATTGCATAGTTCATGCACACGGGACATAATGAGCAGAAGACTCACGACCCTATGTAAAGTACTCCGCCATCCCGCATATCCAAACTCTCGAGATCTCCAATGGGTTCTCAGCGTTGCAGATCATCGAGCTACGGGTATTTACCTAGCAGCAGCGTGGCCGCACCGGCCTCCGTCTAGATCTGTCTTTTCTTCTACCTAAGGCTTATGAGGAGGCCATTTTCTTGCCTACAGCGGCGTGCCGAATGGTGGACGATGGTCTCGACTTCTGAACCACGGATGTGTGCCCTGTGCAAGTTGTTCGTGTCACTTTAGCCTGGGACAGTCTGTGGTCCATGCTAGGGGAGTAAGTGGCGAGCAAGACATATCCTGCGCGCAGTATAAATCTGTCATTATCTGTCAAGATCCTTCCTCATTCTCTGTACCATCACCCTCGCTCGTCTTACCCAGTCAGAAGACTCTGCCACAGCCATGCCTTCTATTTGCTCGATCCTTGCTTTCAGCGTGCTGGCTATTCCCGCGGTCCTTGCATCGCCAGTCCCGAACAACGAGAATGTCAAGAGCACCAGTACATCTACAAGCCACTCGACTTCGCATTCTACGAGCCACTCTACGTCTCACTCCACGAGTCATTCAACCTCGCACTCTACCAGTCACTCGACCTCGACGTCTCACTCCACAAGCCATTCCACAAGCAAGCCAACTAGCAAGTCGTCTAGCAAAGCTACGAGCACAAGCAGCACCACCACCAAGGCCACGAGCCCCTCTATGACTACGTCCACGAAATCTACTGAGATTTCGAGCTCCACTTCTTCTCCGGTCACAACCACTTCTAGCACTACTTCTTCTACCCCTGTAAGTAGCAGCACCTCGTCCACCACCTCGGCTGTCAGCAGTACCTCGACCACCACCCCCGTTGTCAGCAGCACAACGACCAGCACCAGCAGTGGCTTTAAGCTAGAAACACCTACTAAGACTGGAACTACTGGTGCACTGGCTTCTGCCACTGGTATGGCGCAGGCGGCAGAGGCCATTGGGCGATACTTTGGCACTGCTGCTGATATCCCTGGTACTGGAGAGACTTCCGACCCCTACTATTTGGCTGTGTTCAACGATACCCGTAACTTCGACCAGGTCACGCCTGCCAACGTGATGAAGTGGGACTCCCTTGAGCCGCAACAAAACGTCTTCGACTATTCTGGAGCCGACGAGTTCGTAGCCCTTGCTAAGGCGACCGGCAAGAAGATTCGCTGCCATAACTTGAACTGGTATAACCAGCTTCCAACATGTAAGTGTCACGATAACCCTCATGACTCGCGGTTCTTTCACTTGCGGCATTCATGCACGGACGTACGGGCGCTTCCCGTTTCGGTTAACGCGCTTTCCCACTACTTCCTTTCTTGAGCGGCCCCACACTTCCTTACATGTACCGTGTACAACTAACGCCTAGCTGTCTCATATCATATACAGCTCATCGGGAGTCTTGCTAATGTATTCAACTCAGGGATCACCAGCCCAGCCGTCCCATGGACCAATGCCACTCTCATGGCAGCACTCGTGAACCATATCGACAACGTCATGGGCCACTTTGGTGACTCTTGCTATCACTGGGACGTCGTCAACGAAGCCTTCAACGACGACGGAACCTTCCGAAGTGACATCTGGTACCAGACCAGTGGGCCGTCTTATATCGCCGTCGCATTCGAGGCCGCCAACGCCGCTAAGGCCAAGTACGGCCTGTCGACCAAGCTATATTACAATGATTACAACATAGAGTACCTTTACCCCAAGTCCTACGCTGCACAGGCATTGGTTGCCAATTTAACAGCAATGGGAATTAATGTCGATGGTGTTGGACTCCAATCCCATTTTTCAAGCGATTTTACCCCAGGTCTGGCCTCTCAGCAGTCGAACATGGCAGCTTTCACCGCACTCAAGAATGCAAACGGCGTTAACGTCGAGGTGGCTGTAACCGAGCTTGATATCAGAGTACAAGATACGGGCTCCGTATCTGCTCCGTCCGCTAGTGTGACTGCGTCTGTCCAGAGCCAGCAGGTCATGTTCTACTGGGATACTGTCAATGCTTGTGCCACAACCACGGGCTGTGTTGGCGTGACAGTGTGGGACTTCGATGGTGAGCGCTGATCTAGCATTGTCTGGTCTAACCTGAAACATTTGCTGATGATGTCGTCTTCACAGACACTTACTCCTGGGTGCCGGGTACCTTCCCAGGCTATGGCTGGGCTGATCTCTACTACCAGCCGTAAGTAAATCATTATTTGGAGACAATTGTTGAGACAGAGGTGTATGCTAACAACTACTTACAGTGGTGGTGCGAACACCCCTTTGGTAGGCAAGGCTGCTATTGATGGTATTATTGACGGGTTCCAGAACGTCATGCCCGGCACATACACATAGAATCGGAGAGATAAGGCTTGACTCTGCTCTAATATACAATGCATTGGACAGTTCCATTCACGCATGATGATGAAAATGTACACATTCAGATCGATCTCAGGCTAGAGGAGAAGCGAATGAGCATGATTTCTGCAGTCTATTACCACATGTACTTGGATGAGCATGCACACAGGTTTGTATGGCATCGAAACAAGTTTCTCGACACTTGTTCCATGGTGTCATAAGGGGTTTACTAGCGCATGCGTATTGCACAGTCTCAAAAGATCCGATGGGAGCAGAGAAAGCGACTCATTACTTGCGGTCTTGTCGTACTTACGCCGGCCAACGACATGTTCCAAACGAAAGCTACGATTGCCACCTTGGCTGCTCGTCTTACAGCTGGTGCGCTAGATTAGGATCTGCCAGAGATCGACCTATTTATCCGCGCCGTCACTTCACCAAAGCTCTGCGGTGTAGCATACTACGGCGAGGGGCTACATGGCATTACGATAGCGATGCCGGTCATGACATTTGCAGGACAGCGGTTTATGATCGCTCAACTCTGCTCACATCAACCCGCTCATACCACACTCGCCGCCATAGTGCGAGATCTCCTTCAGATCATCCTCGGTCATTATTCTGCAACAGAATGTGATGGTCTGCCGTTCCCGATTATCGCCGAAGTGCGAATTCGTTTCAGCAGTACACCGGCGCATCTTCGTTCCTCTTCAGGCGAGCTGGACAAGCCTCATTTGGACACCACAATTCATGAAATTCCTGGCAGCAACGAGCGCGGAGGAGGAAGCTAGTGTGCGGTACTCAGGTACATGTACCGAGCGCCAGGTTAGTATCTTGATTCTCCACGTGCTTAACTGATCATAAAATGTCTTTGCGTTCTACGGATTGAATACTAGTCATGGGGGTAGCCTCTTCGGGAACCTTAGTGGAAATATGCTGTGCTAACGACGGCGATGAGACGCAAGCAACACAAGGCACCGTCGACTGTCTGCACCGTTAAATTCGTAAGGTGCCACATGCAAAGAGGAGGGAGAGGAGAAAAATTTGTGTTCTGAGAGGCGTACTCCGTACACTAACTACTCGACCTCTTCATCGTCCCAAAATACAAAAGCACGCACCTCCACGCTCGTCCTTGCTTCTCCATGGTCTGGCTGATCCTTGTACGGAAAGGACGAGTGCACAGCACACCTCGCACGACCGTCCTTCTTGGAGTCGAAGATCTTGAAGATCCAGGCTTCTTCCGTGGTCATCTCGCTAGCGAAGTACCATTTCTGTTCGGGATTATACGCCAGATTAGTAACTTCGTATCGAGGCGCCGTCTCGCCGTTCGCGGAGTATTCCCACTTGCCCTTGTGAGCCTTATTTCGTGAGACGTTGGCGTACTCTCCAGCCCCTGGTGGCGGGAGGTTGGCAACCACAGTGCGGAAGTCGTTCTCGTCGACGGTACGAAAATCGCAGAAGGCCATAGGGTCGCGCTTCACTGGTTTGCCAAAAGGCTGCCAGATGTTCATGATCGCCCAGCGCTTCTTTATTCGGCGATCAGCTTCTTCTTCATCGAGATTCAGATACAGAATCTGCTCTGCGCCACGATACGATTGATCAACGTGCATTTGGTTACTGTGAGCTGTACGTACTCTATCGTGATCGTCCAGTGGAATTGTATAATTGTGGTCACTCGCCCAACTCACCCTATTAGTTTAGGAAAGGCTGCCTTAGGCACATGTTTCCTATATGTTCCTTTTCGATATGGATTTCTCTTATCTAGCTAGTTTCCTCTTCTCGACATCTACGACTCCTATATACCAAATCTCGTCTAGTCTCTGCTTGCATAAAGATTAGGGAGCATATCGTAGTACGGACGGGATCCTCTGTTCTCTGCGGCCTATGGTCGTATGTGATTAAATGCATTCGGCTTTAACAATATATAGCGCTTTCGGAATCACAGCCGTTGTGTGGTGCCCAGCAATTGAGAACGGAGACGTGAAGACGGCAGATGGGGAAGCTATATGGCATTCGCAAATGGACAGCATCCGTAGTGCAAACATCGATGTATATGCATATGCTGTATAGTGTACAATGGAAATCGTGCTAAGCACATATGCGGCCGTACTCCATGATCACATAGCCATAGCCTGATCGGAAAATCAAGAGCGAAAAAATTCGTCGCTGTGACCTAAAACAAATCGCGAAGCAGAAACGATTCAAGATAGCCTGCCGAGCCCGAAACAGGGCCATGAAAGGCGTGGTATCTGTTGGTGCCATCGTCCAAAGTGGATGGACGATGATTCGAGCGCTAACCTCCCATGCTGCGATAAAACAAAACATTGTGTCAATGTGTGCCGCCCTGCAAATTGTGTACATGTGCCGCCTGTAGGCTGAAGAGGCGAGCCTGCCCCCGGAACAATATATGCGCCATGTGCTTATGCTGAATACATAATAAGAAGTGTCTTCTGAGACCGAGGCGCCCGGCAGCTGTGACTAGCCCATCGGATGGGAGCCGGTGACGATGTGCTTGTCGGTCTCAGGGGGAAGTGTTTGCTCTTCTGTACCCGAGAAGACTTGTTTGCCGTAAGCAAGTCAAGAGCGGTGCACCCGAGATAGTGATCTGTATAGTGAGGCGTGCGGAGACCGGGCCGTGCTGAGCTGGGACCACCCGGGCCGAATCTGACTTTGTCTCGGCTCGATTGCCCTCGAATCTGCTGGGATTCAGATCTGCTGGGCTTCATGCAAGCTGCCCGATGGATCAAGCCAATCTGCAAGTCAGACGCCACATAAGAGCCGGGCTCGATGACCCCAGATCCCGACCATCCCACGCTTTACTCCAGCATTAATGCCTTCTTACGTGCTTGCGCTGAACGAGTTGGTGGCGCTACTGCTCATGTGCTCGCTCACGACACCTTCGTTCGCATAGTGGTGCTTCTCGTCCGGTGGTGGGCCAAACAAGGTCTGCTGAATCCTCTCGAGAATGCCACAGTCGATTTGACTGGTTGGTGAGATTGGCCCAAGACGTCTCAAAAAAGTGATGGTTCGCTGCAGAAGCTCACGAAAACGATTTTCGTCAACGAGCTTCCGCATATGGCGACTGTAGAATGTCGCTGCTAGTACAAGCATGTTGCCGAATTGACTGTGTTGTGTCAGTAATGTGCGTGGCTAAGAGGGCGATGACAAACTTACGCGTGAGCTGTGCCGTGTATGTTGGTCACGACCAGGCGATTTGGCACCTTATCTAACGCGACTGTGCTTTGCATAGCTGCATCGATGCACCGTTTGCAGGCTTGCCATATCTCCTCGTCAGGCATACTCGCGATGGCTTCGAAGAGGTGTATCTCAGCCAGGTGTCGCGGGTTGTTGTTGACGTCTTTGGCAATCTTGCGAACCTCCATTCCGTCCTTGACATATGGCATGATGTGCAAGGCGTAATCCAAGAAAGGTCGATTGACCACATACAGGGCGCCCCAGTATTTGGCTCGTAGCCGTGCAGCCAGAATGTTCTCTGCAGGCTTATCTTCGTCGTTCCAGCGCAACGCTGGCGGTAAAGAGCCACGCCATAATCCCAAGAGGCTGTCATGGCCGCGCAAAGTGTCACACACTTGTGCTCCTGACTTGTCCAAGCAGTCTGAACCATATATTTGTCGGTGGACTTCGTTCAGCTTTCGCCGGAGGTACATCTGGGCGGTGTAGAAGATGATGATGCCGTCATAATCACCATCGTCTGCTTCTGGGTCGAGGCCACCGTACGTCTCGTCTTCGGGCACTTTGTGTGGCAACAGTAACATGTCTTCGACGCTCTGTATGCTGCTAGAAGGCAGCGGGAGCTCGGCGAGAATGTCACTCTCAAGTTGTAGACAAGTCCAGGACGCAAGCACGATCATGTTGGCCCGCTTGTCCTTAATAAGCTTCTGGCCCTGCTCGAGCTTCTTCGACACATCACCCGTTCCATTCCAGTAGTTGTCGTTATACAGCTTGTACCGGTCAAGCAGGCTCAATACAGCTCGGCCAGCCATGGTAAGCCAGCTCATACTTTCTTTGACTCGGGCAAGTTGACCTTTGTACAGACCAGCGAGCAAAAACATCTGTGCGTGCACCAAGTCATTGCCATCGGCCTGGTCGCCAAGGATCTCTGCTGCCTTGGCGTAGTAAGCCAACCCAGGGATGACATCCAGATTCCTGCCACTCATGCCGTGCGCGCTGCCGTCTAACGACGCCCTTCTGCTTCGTGAGTGATGGTTAGCTTGGAAATCAGCGGGCGGTGTAGGCTGCGCGGTCGCTGGGGTAGAGCCTGGTGATATCGGCGAAGGCTTGATGGCAATGTTTGCTGCAGGTGGGGAGCTGGAGCCCAATCCGTGGCCACCACTAAGCTGATGCGCAATGGCAGCGTTCGCGTTCAGCTTGCTGTCATGCTGGACACCAGGGAGCGGGTTCTTGTATAAGCAAATTTTACCGAGCGCGAGGACCAAGTAGACGACAGCATTGCCAGACGATCGTTCTGGCGAGCTGCGCTGAGTACCATTCTCGTAGCCAAACGTCGGACCAATGGTCGAGCCATTAGACCTCTGACGTTTGGGTGCCCTAGCATCGTCGTCCATTTGCGCCACAAATTGCGGACGTGATTTACTATTGGCGTGATTCAGGCGTTTCTGGAACGTGTCAAACATCGCCTTGAGTCGCTGTTTGTCCAAGAAAGGGTGCATCACATGTATGTTTTTAAGATAGCTCTCATACAGCTCTGAGATCGTCTTTTGATCCAGGTCTAGTGTGTTATCCGGTTTCAGTCCACCCCATGATGGTTCTGATCGTTTGATGTCGCTGGAGGGCGTTTGTGGAAAGCCAGTACCCCAAAGACCATCCGGTGGGCTAGGCGCACTTCGCGTAGTATTGTCGTTCATGTTCTCGTCACTGTGCGCGGGGCTACCAGGACCGCCAGGTTGTGTGCCGTCATGCTCATCGATGCCTTCGCCTCTCGAATACAAGCGTAAGATTCCACGATCTTCAGCTTCCATGACGTAGGAGTCTTTCATGATCACATTGGACGCACGAAGAAGGGGCTGTACACTCGGCCATAAGAGGAGCAACTTGTGAGGTGCTGTACGATGATCGCCAGGCTTGTTGCGATTGCTCGGTTGTGACTTTTCGTGAACGTCTTCAATCTGCCCGTCGACGCCATTCTCTGCAGCATGAGAATTGTAGCCTTCAACGCGACGGATTCTGTTGTCCAGAGTGTCGACTTTGTCAGTAAGCTCCCGAAGCGCAGCAGTGTGGTCATCCATGTAGCTCAGCAGCTTCTCCATGTTCTTGTCGGTTCTGCGAATATCAGTGTGCAATTCAAGGCGAGTACTTGGAGGTCAAGGCAGAACTCACTTCGCAGGAGGTGTATCACGATACTGGCAGCCGAGATTGTTCTCCTTGCAGAACGAGCAGGGATTGCCTTCGTCGCATTTTTGTTTGCGTGCACGGCATTGTTCACATGCCTGCGTCCTTGTTAGCGACTGACTTTGAAGGTCACATAGTTTGACCGACCTGAGTGGCACGCATCTGCTTTTTGCGCTGTACTCCCGAAAATTGCCCACTCGAGATGGGGCCGTAGTTGGGCGCATATACCGGCTGTTGCTGCTGGGGTGGTGGATACTGCCCATAATGAGACTCCATCACAGGCTGCATATGTTGTGGATGTTGCTCATGGTGGGGTGGCGGTGGTCCGTGTTGCTGGCCGTGTGGTGGCGGTAGGCCGTGTACGACGCCATTGGTAGGCGGGTATCCTTGATGTGCATGAGGGTCCATAGAGTGATGCTGAGCTTGCGGTGGTGGCGGGTGTTGGAGTCCGTCTGGACCGGAGTGAGGTGGGTATGGGCCTGGCTGAGCCGGTGTGGTCGGCGTGCGCTGGTGCGTCGAGTCGTGGGAGTAGGTCCGGTTCACAGGTGCCGGAGTGGCATGGCCAGATCGGTTGTGCTGGTTGTATGGATAATGCTCTTGAGGAGGATGGGCCTCATGCGCACCGTGAGGGTGGTGAAACGGTGGCAGTGTGCGTTGCTCAGGCGCAGTGCCTGGCGGGCCATACGGTTGCTGGATGGGAGGCAGGGCTACTTGTGCCGGCGGCGGGTACCCCTGCTGCTGCGGATGCGCTTGATGTGGATGCGACTGAGGTGGAGGGTGAGGCGGAGGAGGAGGGGCGTATTGGTAGTGGCCTGCTGGCGGTGGTGCGCGATTGTCTAGGGTCGTTGGAGGGGGTGGAGGAGCAGCAAGATGGTAAGAAGCAGCTGCGTCTCTCCGGGGATCCATTGTAACGATCGCGCCATGCGTATGAAGAGTAGAATAAGGCAATGTCAGGGCAGACTAAGGTGCTCCCGGTTTGGCGGAAACACTCGAGCTTGGGCAAGCATTCGTCAGGCCTTGAAGCGCATTCCGCACCAAGCTGCAAAAGGCAGCTTTCGAAGGTCAGTGGGATAGAGCCGAAGGTGCCAGGATCATTCCGTGGAGCCTATGATTGCCAGTAACCCAGTGGGAGGACTGGTCACGACCGTCGAAGAACGCTACGCCGGAGCTATGACAAGGCCCGTGCATGCGACGCTATCAAGGTGGGTCGAGGGCACGGCAACGGCAACCTTCAGGAAGAACTGACTTTGGCGGGTGTGATGTGTAATGGACAGAAAGGGGGTATGGGTGATCTGCTGGGGATAACAATAATCATGGAGTGTTTTTACAAATGTGCTAGAGATCTTAATCGAGGTTGGAAGATCTCGAAAACTGCTCCTACCATGCCCATATCCTCCGAGCGATAACCAAATGCTGTCGACGAGTCCCCTCACCGTTGCAACCCTACCAGTCACAATGCGCTGGCAGAGCCGTTCCACACACCAGTCTTCGTGAACCTGCTGTGTGACCGCCTCACCTGACGAGAGCCCAACGTGCATGAAGACGCAGCAATGAACTCCGCGGCAGTGATCTGCACTCCGCAGGCTTCCTGAGCATATTTCGCCCTGGAAATGTAACAGGTTATTGTCCATATCGCAGAAACGTCTATATTCGATAGACGAGACGATCTCGGCGCTTGTCGGCACCTGTCATGCCATCGTGTAACGCAGGGAGGTCCGGCGCACCTGTCCCATGCTTTGCTGGTATGATTATTATTATTATGTTATCGAGATCGATTGCACGTTGCATCTGTGGCTGTCGCGGCTTTGCTGAAATTGCCGCCACCACGCTATGCAGCCTTGATGCACTAGGCAAATGTTCTATCGCCCTATCTTCGTTCTAGCGCTCGTTTTGCCATGTGGTTTGGGATTATTCCAAAACCACGACAGTGACGACACGCATCATGGAACGGCTTTCATTTCGTAACGGCAAGCTCGGCCAAGTAGTCAATCTGCTATCCCTCGGCATTGTGCAATCGTGTTCTGCCGCGTTAGCTTCATCACAGCGCAATCGCTTCGACCTTGACTCGCAATGGCGGCAAGACTTTGCGAGCGCAACAGGATAAATCCAGGCGCAACGTACGGGCGCCCTGCGTGCTCGCTTGATTCACATATTTCGACCAGTGCCATGACTTGTGTCCACGACTTGGTCAGTCCATCCCTACCTTCATCGTTCGTGGCGTTAGCATGAATCCAATATGCAGGATGGAGCATGCCACAGACGTGATGCTCGGCATTGCCAACTCGATCCTCATCTGCTAACGCACCTTCATACCAGATTTTGATGAAGACAAATGCCACACCGTTCGGTTCAGCAGGCTAAAAAGCTCGGTATGTATCCACGTGCTAAGCACGTGGAACTTTAGATTAAACCCAGGGCGCTAAAACCCCTGCTTGGCCATGAGCAGAATCCTTCTAGGCACGCCTCGTGAGTGTGGTACGAGATAAGATACCAGACGTTCCAGCTTCCAGGGTATGTGGTCCGCGAGTCCGCATTCTGACACTTCTAGCGAAGTAGCGATCGTCAGTGGCAAGCATCTTGTCGTGCATACAGATGTACAGTACATGCGGGAAGATTACAAACACGCCACACAGTTCCGAGGTATTGAGTCGCACCGAGAGGTGGGGAAAAGGGAACTTGGACCTCCTTTTCGCTGCCGTTTTCCAGAAACCTTCCTCCTCTGGTAGCTGCTATTCAAAAGCCACCGGCACATTGCTGCAGCTATTTGCGGCGGTGTGGGCATGGCTTGTGACCACTTGCTATGCACTCATGTCTTTGTACTACGACGATCTTGCCTATTGTCATCGCGGCGTCGGAGTTGCGGTGAGCAGTGTAAACAACGGCAGTTCTGCTCGGATACAAGAAATAGCAACGCGGGCGATCATCAACGAGTGAGTATTTCCGTTCGGCTATCATTCTCCCGTCTGCTTCTATCTCATCCAACCCGTCGGAGAGGCGTCGTAGATTGATCTGCGTGGTTCACATGATCAGGAACCAAACCTTCTAACCCCCAGCTGAGCAAAACTATGGTCGATTGTGCTTTGCCGCGGACTGTGCTCACCGCTTCAGGGTCCCCCTTCCTCTGCTTTGCAACAACTCCTGTTCGCCTCCAGAAAGTCTGTTCCTCTAGAACTGCCCTATTTGATCCCGTGTGTGTGGTAGGTTGGCAGTTTCAGGCCAGCCGCCGGCATCATGACTTACAACTTACACCCGCCTCGCAGCAGCGCAGAAGCGGCCGTACAGCTGCGCCTCGTTCCTGAATCATGAGTTCGAGCTCAAAGTTCAAGGCATGACAGCCGGATTTTAGAAAGCCAGATATGCGCTGCTCCGTCTTCAGTATTTGGTAACAAAGGAGGTGGACTTGGCGATTCGTTCATCACTAAGAGTGCACCGAATCCAAAGTCACCGACATGGCCGATGACCAATCTTGGCCGTAAGAAGGCGAAGTCTTGCACTGGTCCTGAAGCGGTACGGAAACTATGTACAGCAGATGCAGGCTACTGACCTGCCAAAATTGCACACGTTAAATTCACAACCCTGCTCACCTTGGCCGTGCAGCATGTCAATACTTTTCGCTCGACGACAACAACCTCGACAGGCTGTAAAGACATCAGCAACCTCAAAGCCAAAGTATTGTGCCTCCTGTCGATCATGGCTTGTGCTTGTCAAAGCCCGTATCTCAACGGTCATTCGAAGCGACGCCGCGAGAAGGAAGCCTGCAGTGGAGGCTGTACCCATGTGAAGACCTGCGGACTGCCTCTTCATGCCCTGCGCGTGTCATGCGATCTGTCAAGGCCATGAAGTCAAGCGTTTGTGAAGAGTCAAAATGCTTGAACAGTAATCAAGGCCAATTACCTGTCATTGCTCTAGTTGACTTTATGGTCAATGCCGCCGTGTTGCGAACGAACATCGGATGACTGCGGAAGCAACAGCTATGATCGCGCTGCATCCCTCCAACACCTTACACTTGATAGGGTTCAAGGCCTGAAACAATGTACGTAAGAAGCATACTCCATCTATGCAAACATTTTTCGTCATCTGGCCACGATCCGGCCTGATAAAGTGTAGGCCTCGTCGGGCATCAAGACGTTCCATGTCAAACCTTTTTTAGGCACAGGAGTATGCTTTCAGAAGCCCTCACTTACCGACACGATAGTTTTGACTTGATCAAATGGCCCGCAGATCATCCTACTTAGGTTGTAGTATGTTATGTTGGATCTATGGGGTGGAAGCGGCGTGTGGAGTGAATGATACCAGCTGTAGCGACCAATGTAAATCACAAGACCCAATGCCATTGAGTACTATATGGAACCTACGCATTGCATTGGACCCTAGCTACCTGGCTTTCCAGGTTCTCACTCTTCCTCATCATCGAGATGCTCACGACTACGTAGCATTTGCAACATGGCGTCGAACCCGTGCTTGCGAATGTTCTGTACCTGCTCGCTACTCAATACGACCGGGTTGTCCTCGAGTCGGTCCCGATGAACATGCTTGACTTGCTTCTTTGGCTTTGTGTCTAGCTGGGATGGCAAGACCACCATTGCTATTCTTTTTTTGAGTGGCGCCTCAGACTCATGCGGCATGGTGCATGTCTCTAGTGGAATCGAAGACTCCGAGGCGAAAGAGGCTGCGAGCGGATTACTGGTCATAGTCTTACTCCATGCCTCTCGCAAAGACATGCCCAAGGCAAGCGCGACGTATCGATTAACGCTGTTGCCAATAATCTTCATTTGTTGGAATGGAGAGCCTACTAGAACTTCATCGTCTGGAAATCCTTGAGCACGTCGGCATTCCATTAAAGTAAGAATCCTGTGCTCACACCAGTGGAGCACTCGGCCTGTCTTTGCGCACCGTGGACAGAGTACTGTGATGACGGTAGGCATTAGCCGGTCGGCATAGACACGAGAGAATGACTTGCTGCGAATCTTCTTTGCTAGAGGACCCAAGCGCTGGAAGTAGGCTTGGGGCTCACCACCAGAGATGCGACCTTCTGCTACCGCAAGTGCTAGCGATTGACCAGCAGGGCGTGTAGGGATTAGAGCGATACGGCTGCGACTAGCTCCACTCTCATTTAGTGGGGTACGGTGGTCTGGGAAGGCAGGACATAGCTGGACCTGGGCGTCCCCGATGCTCGGAAGATCCGCACAAGAGTCTGCGATGGTCGTACATTGGAAAGGTGTCCAGTCGTTACGCCTTGTGCCGAATGAAAGGCCGTTCGCGCATCGTCCCAAGGACCTGAGACGAAATTCCGTCGAAGCTGGATGGTCATGAGTGTGAGGTGGCGTGGGTAATGGTTGTACGCCTGGAGCTGAGGCGACGATGAAAAGCCTACTTCTCTGCTCGGAGCTGCCCACAGTCCAAGCATCCATCAGAAATTGCTGAACCTGATAGCCCATCGCCACTAGCGTAGCCAGCATTTGGGAGAACACGTTCTGCTTCTTGTCTACGCCCATACTCCTCGTCATGCTAACAACGTTTTCGAGTATCAAGTACGTGGGCACGTAGAAATCGACGTATGCGAGTACACTCGCGACCATAGATGCGTTCTTCAACGACTGCTCGGAGTATTTGTTAGTCTGGAGGTCCGAAAATCCAGGACATGGGCTTCCCGCACTGATCACGTCGAGGTCGCCGACTCCAGCAACGTCGTCGCAAGCTGCGCCCTGTATGGCAGATGCTAGATAGTCGTCCACAGATCCGAGGTAGTACTTCGCGTCCGCATGGCGTGCATTCGCACGATAACTATGCAGAGCATGTTCCGCCCAATCCACAGCATACTTGAAATCGACCGCTCCGCCATCTTCGAGCCCGCGGTCGAAGTTGCCACCACCACAGAAGATACCCAGGCCCCTGAGCTTAGGTCGCGGTCTTCTAGGATCCCAGCCTTGGTTCAATGGTGGTGAGACGAGTTTTATGGACTCTGGCCTTCGCTCGCCATCTGAGTCAATGGGCTTCGAGCGGAGATAGTAGCAATCGCCTGCCCCATTACGATCATACGGAGCAGGAACATGCTCATCGAGGCCAAGTACCAGCATATAACACTTGCGTGCGATACTGGAAGGTGTGATTCTGCGGTACTTGTCGGAAAAGGAGAGTTCATTCTTCCTAGCCGCAGGCTCCTCGATGTCCCTGCTCACGAATAGTCGGATGAGAATCCGGTGTGTAGCATGGTCAAAATTGACGATCTGTGCAGGCTCAAGGAAGTCCGCACGGCCTATCGAAGCCTCTGACTCGGTCTCATTATTGCTATCATTGGACGGTACACCATCGACAGGCGAAGCGGTTCCACCAGCCAGCAACACCAGCACCGTGTCGCCTAGCCGGTACTGGGCAAGACAGTCATCCCATGCGCAGATTGGCTTGCTGCATAGACAAGTATAATCAGCATCGTCAATAGTCTCGAAACTATAGTGGTCGTCCTCATGCACCGTGCGGAACTTGCGACGCACGAACAGAGTCGTCGCGCTAGATGGATCGATTACATTCCACGCCAGCTTGACTTTAGCCAAGACAGAGTGAAGTGGTATAGCTTCTTTTCGGCAGCTGCAATTGTCGGATAAGAACAGCTCATTAGGAAATGGGTAATTAGAGGCCGCTCCAAGAGTCGTGTCGGATGGTCTGTATAGCCAGAGCACGTCGAGAACAGCCTCGCCGCTCTTTTCGTTCTGGCGCACCCGCTGGACGTAGGCATACCAGACGTCATCAGAAGATTTCCAGTGTCCATCAACGTCGGGCTCGATTGCCACCACATCCCCGGCTCGCACGTCTAGCGGGTCCGGACTATTCGATCGTCCAGGCGAAAGACTTTGCGGTGTAGGAAGTGCAGCGATTCCGACTCCGTTCTCATGGCTCCACGGAGTCAATTGGTGCCTGGCTTTCAGTTGCTGAACTTTGGCGCGGATCTCGGAATTGGTGACTTCAATTTCGACGAGCTTCCTGGCAAAGTACATGTCCTGGAAGCATCTGCGTACGAATGGTGTAACAACCGTTTTTGTGTGTATGCTGTCTCGTGCTGGGATCGCGTCTAGCCGCAGAGGATCGACCTCACTCCAGATCGGATGCTTGCCTAGCTCGACCGAAGCGATGCTATAGCATTCCTTGTGTAGGAAGCCAATATTGGCGGCTACAGAGGTCCTGAAGTTTTCGAGGTTGCCGCAATCGGCGTGCCACTTCGCGAAGCGGCTGTCTCTCCCATGCACTGACCTCAGCCAGGTTGCAAATTGGCCATCTCGTTTGAAGTGATCAAGCGTCACACACTCGGTCTCCAGCAAATAATCCGCAAAGAACCTCGTGAACTGCACAAGCCAAATGAATGGTTGGTAGAAGCGAGTGTACTCCGTGGACGGCACACCCAATCGATACCATACATTTATATGGCTCGCAAGCTTGCTCTGAATTGTGATACTCTGTTCAACTGCCGGATCCATGGAATCTTCTCCATAACCAGCAATGGCCATGACATTGAAGTGGACTCCTTGCACCCATCGCTGCTCCTGTCCACAGGAAAGAATGCCATCGAATACATACGTTTCGCAGCCGTCTCCATAGCGCAGGAGTCGGTCCAGCGTAACAAGCTCGCCACGATACCTAGCATTGCCCCTCACGTCGTCCGGCTTGTATATGCTGAAATGGCCAAGTTCGCAGTAGACATACTCCGGTGGCTCCAGGGCTTCTGCATGAAGTTCACCATGCGCTTTTAGAAGATCCTTGAGTGCGTCTCGTTCCGAGCTGATGGGTGGATGCGAGTCACCACCTTCGTAGGCCGAGAGAGGGTATGCGGGTCCTGGGCAAACTATATGGCTCAATTTTCGTCGCTTGGTCGACTCCGAAGACTTGTAGTGGAGTGCGGAATTGCTTGGTCCAGATTTTGGGATCGTTTGTGTTGGTGTCTCCGGTATATCGCTATCTGTTCGCACCCGCTTGTACATAGTGTTTGCTACGCTGACGCCTACCTGCGAGGCAGGTACGTAGTCATCTGCATTATAGCCATCACGATATCGAGGTGGCTTGCGGGTAGTCCTTCTCTGGACACCCGCTGCTTGAGATGCGGGTATGTACCTGTTCGGGTCATAGCCAGACCGATCTCGTGGTCGCTTGCGCATACTTGGACGCCGTCAAAGTTGTTAGTGGACCTTGCAAGGGCAATTCCGTACAGAAAACGACAAAGATGTGCGGTGGCTGGAGGTGAGTTGAGGTTGGAGGGAGGGAAGCGGGGGCAGTGCACCGACAAGAAGCAAGGCGATTGTCATCCTCACAGCATTACCTTTCATAGAGCCGCTTCGTAGGTCTCGAACTGTAAGTGCTCGCAGGTTGTGTTGAAGATACATGTTTGATGAAGATTGGTGGAGCAAAGTGAAGAGGAAAGAAGAGTATTGAAGGTAGAATGATGAAGCGAGCTAGCTCGAGCCAAGCTCCATGTGACGTCCATGACACGACGCGACTATAGTTCTGCTAGCTTGTCTAAACAATATAAAGCAGAGACATGGGCCATAAAAAGTTTCTAGTGCAGACAGCAAGTGCTGTAACGCCAAACACCACGCTTACAAGATAAATCCAAGCATCCAGAATAACATCACCACTCACTCAATCCACATCCCATCCCTTACGCGACATCACTTGCACGCTTTCAGCTTCACTTGCGAGCGCCACAAGCCTCACTGGACTCCGCAGTGGCACACCGAAGTCGTCCTCTTCCCATTCATCCAGCTCGTTGTATTCGCCATATGCAAGATCATCGGCGTCGAGACTTTCCAGGTTGAAGCTTCCAGGTACTCTTTTCGTCCCAGCAGGACTTTCGTAGACGAGGTAACTGCTAAACCCCATCGCACCACTAGTGAAACGTGCTGCAATGCGAAGCATGATGGCGACTAGTTGGGCGGGAGGTCCGAGAAAGACTGCGCATGCTTTCTTTACTAGTGCTGATGCGATGTTCTGCTGTTGTTGTACTGAGGCGCGAGAGGCTAGTGTGGCGATGGAGGAGTTAGATGATGTTGATGATCGAGGCGGTGATGTCTGACGTGGGTAGAACGATGTCGTGCCACCGATTGATCGACGAGCCAGGATGCGGGCTTGTATCGCAGCGTACGGGTCCTCGGCACTCCTTTGTCGAATCAAGGGCATTATCTCGTGGCTTTCGTCGGATGGCTTTACTTTCAAAGGCTCAGAAATGCTCTCATGTGACTGAGCTACCGCTGCAATCTCTCCGGACGCTACGGTTTGTTCAGATGAGATTTCGAGCTCCGTGTTCCGTGCAGGGCGATTATTGGCGGGCGCTGAATCTTGCCCTCTATCGGCCGTTTTTGGCTGCTCCGCGTCAATTCGCTTTCCCTGCATCAATGCTACAGGTGAAGCATTATTGGCAAGATCAACGGTGTGAGTATATTCATCGGCGACCGCACTGGCTTCTTCGAACACGTTCGCTCCATGTTCAGCAGGCTCAGAGGTATCGTTTAACCCTGCGCTCGAATCAGGTGGCGAAGGTGGCATGTCCGTGGGCACCTGCTGGACAGAGCGTAGCCTTTCTGGGTTCAAGCGAGTCGTATGGGCTATGTTGATCTGGTCAAGCTCGTCTAGGAACACGCTCGTCCGCAGCTTCGAGGGAGTGATTGTTGATGCGGCTTGCAACGGTGCAGTAACAGATCTCATACCAGCGAGGCCACTCGGCCGCGAAGGCGTGGAAGGTACAGTACGTTTCGCCTCCTCAGCAGATCTCTCATGATCTTCAGCTGTGTCTGTATCATCATCCGAACTTGCATCGCTTGTTCTCCTCGAGCCATCGCTGTCCATCTGCAGAGGCTCTTCACCATCCTCAGGCCGCCAACTGAATCCGCGCTCTAGCCTCCACTTCTTGGCCGGTCCATGGCTTCGTCTGCGCGTTTTCTTCCTAACATCAAGCTCTTCTGCGGTGGGTAAAGCCTCTTCTTCCCCTCGATTGAACGGACAAGCGGTGCGCTCATAGAACAAGACCTTCGCCAGGACAACCTTGAGCTCTTCCACTTTCTCCAGATCCTCTGGTGTCTCACCTGGCAGGTCGACACGGTAGTAGGTATCTGGTAAGACTCGCAGAGCGAATCTGCTAACCTTGTCTACACACCAGCACTGTGAGCGCGGCAAGATCGCGTGCAGCAGGCTACCGGAGTGCAAGAATGCCACCGAGCCTGGCACGCGGTATATTTCCAGACCACCAGATGCGAGGGTTCGTTCTGTCGGCGAGGTCCATGACAGCGAGCCTGAGCCGGACGAAAGCGCTGCTCGCGGTGAGGAAGAGCTGCTGGGGCGCGACGAGCAGCTGAACTTGACGATGGTAGCCCTTGGGTGTACATACAGTGTCTCAATATCGCCCGTTGCACCAATCTCCGCCGTTGCTCCCGTCCGAGATGTTGTCGCAATTTTCGACGGCACGGTGAACGATCGATTCAGAGCTACACGGCGTGGAGTCTCAGGTGTGACCGGGGCTGTGTTTGCCATATTGATAGTGTTGCAGCCAACATAATACGAGCCGATCTATTGGGTGGGTAGATCTCGCTCAGAAGGCAGTGTAGCGATATCTGACCAGAGGCCGCCTAGACCTCTGTAGCCATACCGCAAGCTGACTCCTGGCGCGTCTCGTTACGATGGGATGATCGCCATCGGAATGTGATGTGGCTGCTCGGGTGAGAGTGTGATCGGCACGCGTGGTCTGTGACTGCCGGCGTGCCGATGCCGTCCGCTGCAGGGCTGAATGCGGGGTACATACTGTACAGTATCATGGCAATAACAATTGGCGTATATAAATGCACCTGAACATTCAACTCGAAGCCTGCCCTACACACCATGGCGCACGAGCCTGCTGTACTGCATAGTCAACGTAGATGGCCGAGATAGGCAGGCACGCATCATCTTGTAGCTTTTCCAAATGCTTCGCGGACCGATCTAGCTTCCGCCCCGCAATCTATGCCGCGCTACGTCAGCGCTGTCCGAACATTTCAAGCTGGGAGGAAGGCTGGATGACTTCTCGCATAGTAGAACATCAAGCATATCCGCTTTGCTGAAATCCTGGACGCCATGGCTTCAAAAAGTGGCTTCGATGTGCAGCAGCTGCTGGAACAGCTACACACGTCCTTCGAGCCCAATGCGATGCTTCGAGGCGCACAGCTCACCTTCGTTGGTGCAAACCGGGCACTACAGAACCCAGGCCTCTTCACGTCCTCCCATTACCGACAAGCTGCCCTTGCCGTGGTCGCCGGTCTTGCTATCCGTCTAATCGTCACCCTCCCTACCTTTGGCATACGCATGCTCATTCGCTTCATCGGCCTTTTCACGGATTTGGAGCACTCAGCCTGGGACGAAGATGTGGTCGAAGGCATTGAGTTCATAGAGCACTCTGTTCTGCAGGTGCCGTTCTTCTTGATGAGCTTCATACGGTATCTGAGCCCTGCCATGGACGAAATGTTCATGAACAGCTTGGCTTGGGTAGACCAGACGTACGTCCAGAAGCACAAACAGGACGATCCGAATCAGCTACGTGCTATGTACTACCCAAGTCTGCACATGTACAACCAGCAAGGAGCACAGCATCAAGGCAAAGACCCGCATCAGAAGAAAGATCCGTACCAAGCAGTTGCAGCATTTTTGCAACGATTTGGAAGGAAGGCAGCATTGTCTTTGGGCATCTACCTGTTGTCTTTCCTGCCATATGTTGGACGATTTGTCTTGCCTGCAGCGAGTTTCTATACGTTCAACAAGGCCGTTGGCTTCACGCCGGCCATTATCGTCTTCAGCACTGGCCTCTTCTTGCCCAAGAGGTACCTGGTCCACTTCTTGCAAAGCTACTTCTCGAGTCGGAGCCTGATGCGTGAGCTGGTGAGTTCGGTACGATGGTTGCGATATTAGAGATAGAGATGCTAATAATGATAGCTCGACCCTTACTTCTCCCGCATACGATACAACCCTCAGCAAAGACGGGCCTGGTTCCAAGATCGTGAGGGCGTCCTATATGGCTTCGCTCTTACATTCTACATGTTCTTACGGATACCGCTCTGTGGTGTCTTGATCTACGGCATTGCAGAAGCCAGCACGGCATACCTCATCACGAAGATCACTGAGCCACCTCCAAATCCGCAGGACGCGAAGGCAGTCGAACAATTCAAGAGCGAGGACGTGAGGTGGGAGAACAAGCAGAAGTTCTTGAGCTTGCCTATGGACGCACTTGACCGCATGAATGTTAGGGCGAAGAGTCGAGAGGAGGAGCGACCAGACAACGTTGGAGACATGAAGGGACGAAAATTCACATAGCGAGACTGTGACTATCGCTATGAGGACAGTCTTCGACACCCTCGTAACACCATCGAGGTAGGCAGGTACAGGAAAATATATACGTTTAAAATCATCTTCTGTCGAGGATTGCCCCGCAACGCGAGGGAGCTTCAGGACGCCAACGACATTTATGCTCCGCCATGACAGCTCGAGCTCCATCACCTCGAGGCAAACGACCTGCCGCGTTCTATCAGCCAACGCGTCTCTTATCGCGTTGCTCTTACTCAATGGCAGATCACGGCTTCAAGCAACAGACCTCTTATCACCCGTAGCTTCATGTTGTACCCCGCTCACGCCCAAGGTAAGGCGAAGATGCTCGTGAATACTCTCCTTCTTTCCGACAGTACCCTCCATCATCGCACCCTCCTCTCCTTCTTCGTCGTGATCCGAGCAACCTCATCAATATCTACCAACAAGCACAGCAACTGACGCAACTATGCCAAAGGAAGGTCTTCGATATGCTGCGAAGGTCGACCTAACCAAGGATGCTGGGAAAGAGCCGTTCCTACATGTAAATTACCCATCAAGGTACGGCGTAGAGACAACATGAACTGACAATCACAACCTAGAATCGATGGCACCCAGACAGTAAGCTCGAAATTGCAACCACTACCTTGATGATAGCTTTGACAAACCCAACCAGTCCCCTTTTGCGGCACGATCAAGAACAACGAGACGGTCAAGATTGAATGCGTAGACTGGACCGGAGGACAGATCGGCAACAACGACAGTGCAGACGACGTTCGTGATGTCGACCTCACTCGTGTGCACTATTTGACAGGCCCGTTCGAGATCGAGACGGCAGAACCTGGCGATGTCTTGGTCGTCGACATTCAGGATGTCCAGCCTCTTCAGGACTCGCCATGGGGCTTTACTGGCGTCTTCGCGAAGGAGAATGGTGGTGGCTTCTTGGATGAGATTTATCCTAAGCCGTAAGAACTATGCTTCAGCTGCGTGTGGCGAAAGGTACAAGCATCAACTAATTCGTGATATGCAGAGCAAAAGCAATCTGGGACTTCGAAGGCATCAACTGCTCCTCCCGCCATATCCCAGGCGTCCGCTTCGCCGGTCTGATTCACCCTGGTATCCTCGGCTGCGCACCCTCTCCCGAAGTACTCAAGACGTGGAACGATCGTGAAGGCCAGCTTATCAAAGAGTGCAGCCACATGGGCCGCGACGTTGCCCTCCCGCCAAACCCACAAAGCGTCCACGTCGGTAGCGGTGGAGACGATATCAAGGAGAAGGTCGGCAAGGAGGGTGCTCGAACCATCCCAGGTCGACCTGAGCACGGTGGCAACTGCGATATCAAGAATCTGTCTCGAGGCTCGAAAGTCTACCTACCCGTACACGTCAAGGGTGCGAAGTTCTCAGTCGGTGATCTGCACTTCTCCCAGGGCGACGGCGAGATCTCTTTCTGCGGTGCTATAGAGATGGCAGGATGCATTACCATCAAGTTCAGTGTCATGAAAGATGGAATGAAGCATCTTGCCATGAAGTCGCCAATCTATATTCCTGGACCGGTCGAGCCGCAGTTTGGACCTGGGCGGTACATCTACTTCGAGGGATTCAGTGTGGATGAGCACGGCAAGCAGCATTACCTCGATACTACTGTGGCGTACAGACAGACGAGTCTGCGGGTCATTGAGTACCTGAGGAGATATGGTAAGTTTAAAGTATTGCAAATCAATGTGGTTCGATCGATCGCTAATTCGACTGCAGGGTACGATGACTACCAGATATACCTTCTCTTGTCGTGCGCTCCGGTCCAAGGGCATGTGGCGGGCATTGTGGACATTCCCAATTCCTGCACGACGATGGGTCTGCCAATCGATATCTTCGACTTTGATATTAGGCCAGAGGCACCGACGGGAAAGCGAGACCTAGGTAGCTGTGCGTTTGCCAGTTCGTAGAGGAAGTCTACAAATCTGTATTGAGCACCTCATATCGATATCCGACATTTCAATGGAGCACGGGAAATTTCCGAGCATCATGCAATTGCCGAAGATATGTACATCGCTACCAGTGCTGTCCACCCAAATCCATTGCCGTCGCTTCATCATGCTCTTGCATATCCATTCACGTGCAGTCATAATCGACCATCTATTTAGCGTAATTGAATCGCTCGTGACCACGCTTGACGAACCTCATGGGCACCTTATCCTTCCTCATCTGGATCGTGATAATGGTCATCATGCCATGCATCAGCAAATCCCTCGCTCGTGCATCAGCCTTATCCCACGCCTCGCGCTTCTTCTCGGCGGTGGCGGTTGCAAACTCACTCTCCGGCAAGTACATGCTGGTGTCCAGCTCTACCGACCACGTCTTGAAGATCACGGCGATGACAGCCAGGATCTCGACTTGTGCGAAACGTCGTCCGAGACAAGACCTGTAGCCGTCACTGAAAGGCACGTACGCACCCTTCGCAGGCCGGAACAGGGATGCTGCAGTGTCGGGACGCTTGTCAGGCCCATCGAAATCCAGACCTTCTTCTGCAGCATAAGCCTGCTCTTCATGTTTCTCATGGTTCCCGTCCATCTCTACGAGCCAGCGCTCTGGTCTGAAATCAAGCAGATCCTCTTCAGAGGTATGTGGCCAGTACTTTGGATTGCGATGCAGAGCAGCGGTGTTAATCGTTATGTAGCAGCTACCGGGCACTGTCACATGGCGTCCTCCGACCTGTAAGCCCTGCGGTTGACCCTTAGGTGTGCTCTTGGGAATGCCAATGACTGGTGGTATAAGTCGCAGCTGCTCGTTCATGACAGCTCCGCACATGCTACCGAACAATTTCGGCACATCTTCATCATAGTCCCACTTGGTCGCCGGACGATCGCCAAGAATATCATCGAGATCTTTCTGAAGTCGACGTTGAGACTCAGGATGCATTGCCAAGTACAGTAGAGAGAAGTGGATGGTGTTGGCAGCAGTCTCATGCCCAGCAAGAGTAAAGACGAAGGCATTACCGAAGATCTCTTCGTCCGTGAAGAGTTGCTTTCCAGGCTTCCCAGAATCAGATTTCCCATTCGATGTAATACCTGCACCCTTCACTAGTGCTCCCATCAGATCTAGACCTTCGCGCGAGTCGGCGCCTGTCGAGACCTCGTTGCGCTTCTCATCGTAGAGATCTCGCATATACTGGCCCCACTCTTTGAACGCCTCGTTGGCAGTCTTGTGAATCTGCAGTGGCGAATTGGACAATAGCCATCGAGGAGTGAGCATGACAACGATAATGTTCTCGAGCAGCAAGCTCAACGCATCCTTGAATGATAGAGTGTGACCCTTTGGTATCTCGGCCTCAGCTTCCTCATGGGGCCATGGAAGTCGCACGCCAAACCCGGCTTTACTGATAACGTGGAGACTAAGACGCATTGCCTGTCCAGCAATGTCCCAGATTGGGCCGCTGGAAGTAATTTGCGGTGAAACCCAGCCAGCCATCATGCTCTTGGCTTGATGAAGAGACTCCACCCAGACCAGATGGTTGTTCTTCTCCGTGAACGGCGGGCTTGTGATCTTTCTGTGGTGGCGCCAGTTCGCGCCTTCCGTAGATACTACGTTTTTGCCATAGAGGTCGACGGATGAGTACATCCATATGGGCTTCGGAAAGTCGTTGCGGCGGGTGGTGATTTGACTAATTGCCTCGGGGTCGGCAACATAGAGTGTGTTGGCGCCGGGTGCAACGATGAGGAAAACATCGCTGTTGAGATCACGGAACGTATCATACAGCTTATCCCAGATGAAGTCCGGAGTCAAGTAACTGATCGCAAGTTTAGCATGTCGATTCAAGAGTAAATTTACATGTTCACGACTCACTCGATCCATGTGGTTGTATATGCTGCAGGCAGCGCCTTGATGAACGGCAGCCACAGTCGATGTGTGACCAGCCACGCTCGATTGAACGTGTACACAGGCGTACCTATTCGCCACGAGTCAGTACATAAGTGGAGCATCGCACATCCATGGTCGACCTAAGATGGCAATCGTGCTCGTACTCACAGAAGTATGGTATGCCGGATTGCTTTGCAGCTGCGAGGTTGATTCTGAAGCAGCGGTACGTATTGACTCCGTATGCAATGATCAGGCCAATGAACGCCAGCAACGCGTAGGACAGCATCGTCGCGAAGTATGCGGTTTGGAGAGTCAGCGATGTGGCGTATTGCAGACCGGTAGGTGGCGGGTGCCAAACTCAGTACGACACTGCAATAATGTAAGCAGCAGGACGCACAGCATTAACGAGGCCCGCCTTGACTTTTGATCGGCTCTTGGTCTTCCACAAAGGGTGAACGCAAAAGATTGTATAGTGCTGTCTAATGTATCTCGCTTACAGTACCGAATGACACCTTGCCTACCGAGCGTCTTTCGATGATGACGAACCTCGTTTACTGGCGAAATATGAGGGGTGGATCACCCATCAATTGTGCATAACACGCCGGGATCCGGACTGCTGCAAGCAATATTCACGATAACCGAGCTCGTATCGCAGGGCTAGTACGGGAGGTCGGTTGTAGGGTTTGACGGGTGCTGCGTGATTTCGGTCTGCTCAATACCGTTGTCCCTTCTCATCTGAGGAATGGAAGAGATCTCAATAACGCAAACATGACGTTAGAACGCCGAGGCCTTCGGCAAGGTTTGGTGCCGAGTGGTAGACGACGGGGGTCCTGCTAACCAGAGTTTGGTCTCTTTTGCTTGTTCTTATTGAACTCTGGTTATCGAAGAGGTGGCTGTGACAAGCAGATCTCGTAAGACGATCAGCAGCCTTCGCTAGCGAAGCGACCGTGAGCCTTCTAGCTGTCGATCATGCAGCCGCGTTGACCTGCAAACTGAAACGCCAGGCCTTCACGAGCACCTCGCTACCGATAATGCGAGACGACCTCGTGCCTTACACATTACTGGAACAGCAGGGATATACGCAATATATGGCTCATCTTGAGTCCAGCAAATGATCTGACTCCCACTGCGTCCGTCCACTATACCGCTTCGCAGCTCCCTCTCCAAGCGAGCCTTCCTCCAAGGGCTTTCCCAGGCGATGTCGTAGCGAGGGCTGCCGTTGTAGCGGTGCAACCATGCCCAAAGTCAATCAGCATCCGAGAGCCGACTATGGTCCTGGCAAGACCGCCTTGCACACAATTTCCTGAAGCACATAGACGAGGCCACTGACTGCTTATCAGACACACTGCCATCCCGCCCACTCAATATAGCGCACCGTGCGGGCTGATGCGTGTTGCAGAACAGTCTGAGGTTTGCACGTGAACTCACTGGGCCTTCGGCACAGACGTGCACTTCACACTTCAACCCTTGGCAACTTCAGCAAGATATGATCGACCCTCTCCCTTGTATCCGAACCCTACTTCTTCCTCCTTTCCGTTAACATACTCATCGACCTTTATCGACCTCATAGCCACACTTACCGCATCATCACTAGCAATGGACATAGCAGCCTGCTATTGTGTCCATGATCCCACAGTGGCAAAGACAATAATAGCACCCAAGCAGCTTTTCTACGATGCCTTCCTACAGTCGCTTTCGGACGACATCTCTCGATACTTGGCGACCCAGGACCTGTCCAAGTGTTGTGCATTATGTGCCCTCCGAAAGGCAAACCTACATACCGTTCAAGCAATACAGCAATATCAGCTAGCTAGAGGTTCGGTTCAGGACATCAGCTCATCGCCGTCAGTTCAAATGGGTAAGAAGGCCGCAGAGTTCGGATATCGAACGATCACTAATGTCGAGCAGACTTCAAAAAGCGGTCCTCGGAAGCCAGCAACTCGTATGGAACGAAGTCGTCGAAACGATCGTCACGACCATGAGAGGCAAGCAATGGACGAAATGGCCGGACTGTTCGCGAGCGTGTTCCGTCGCCCCATTCCAGCCGGCATCTGGCACCACCTACAGCCTAGTGAACAGCGAGTGCTGCACGACTTCTGCTCCGTCGTGTCTTACGAAGTCGGAGTGTCTGATTCAGTGCGGCCACGCTGGACTCAACAAGATGCCTTGAACTCGTTGCAGCTGCGCCGATGCAAACCATCTCTTCACCGGCAGCCCGGGCCTGGATCAACCAACTGTTTGCCGTCAGCCGATCATGTGGGACTTGCGCAATGCAAGCTCTAATTGGCCCTCTTGAGCCATACCCATCTCGCGAAACAGCACTCGCGAGAACGAAGGGTGGGTAACGTCAGCCCTGCATCTGAAACTCAACCTGAGACTCGTAGCCACATCCCTTCGACGTAGTTGGTAACATAATGACCAGGGATAGTGAACCCCGTCCCTATCCGTCCCATGGGAACGTCAACTATACCGACGCCGAGCGCAGCGTATGATAGAACACAGAATCAGATCTGGAGAAGCGCAAAGTTTAATGAAATGCACTAGCGTATGTAGATTGTCACGAGAGAACTCGTTCACGTGCACAATTGCACCTAGTAGCCTAAACAACAACCAGCCCCCAAAATGCGCAAGGGGATATCATCGCGCTACAAGCAACAAATCAACCAGAATGCCGTCATAGCTCCTCGCCACCGTATGCACCAAGCCCTATCATCCTGTCCGATGGTCCTGATCGTGGACCAGGAGAAGCCTCATATCAGGGTAGGTACAAGCACATCTCCATCCACATCTCTGATACCATCCACCCAGCCACCACGCCCACACACTCAAGCGAGCACCCACTCAGTCCCCCTCTTCACAAACTTATCCAACAACGTGCCCATATCCGCCAACACAAACCGACAAACATAAAACGCAAAGAACTCGGCTGCGTGCCGAATGCTCAGCTCGAGCCCGACGTGTGTAGGCGAGGAGTGCTTGAGGCCGGGATCTTCCACTTGTCGCGCGATTTGATCTAAACAACCTCTCGTGTCAGCAAGCGGTGTATATTATTATCATGTCCTTGTACATCGCCAAGCGTAACGTTGGTGCCCGACTTTCGATATGCTGATCGACAAATGCACGCCAGACAAGGATGAACGAGCAAGCGATATCCGATGCGGACAGGACGCCGCATCCCTGCCTCGCGTGCATTGCATCGCATGGCATCCTCGCGTGGTCCGCCATACATATCGCTCGGATCTCACAGAAGCAAAATTTGCCGAGCAAGCTGACACAAAAGCGAAAAGCAGGTAAGAGACTTACCGAGTACCTGCACCCCCTCGAACAACCGCGCAAGCGACTCCATATACTCCTTCTGCGGACCCTGAAACGTCAGATCCCTCGCGTCCCTCTTCTGCCCTCTTCGCTCCACCGGTACGAAGGTGGTCATTGGAACCGAGGGCATTATTGGCTGGTCTTTGCTGTCCATGCCGCTGTTCTTGCCGGGCTGATGGTGGGTATTGGAGTTGCTGTTGCTGCTTGTGAGGGGCGTGGTGGAGTTTTTGCTGCGGAGTTTGCGGCCCCAGGAGGTGAGGTAGGATTTGCCTTCTTTGGTCTTTGCGTTCTTGTCGTGCGATCCGGAAGTTGTGTCGGTTGCTTGGCCCGGATTACTTGAGTTGGACGGATTGCTCATGTTGTTGTTGGTGGCGGCGTCCTTGAACATGCCTGTGACGCCGTGCACGCCAACGTCACTGCCTAGCTTTTTAGAGAGTGCAGCTTGTACACGCTCCATTACTTCCTCGAAGCTTTGGAGTTCCACCATGACTGCGTCTGCATCGTAGGTATCGACTCCTGCTAATCGGCCGAGTGCAGCGGTGAGAAGATCGCAATTGGCCACCTTTTCTTCCACAGACTTCAATTTCACACCTCGAGTCTGCCATACTTCTCGCGGCACGAAGAGTCGCGTCGTCACGAACCCACCACGAGGATGCGTGAGCGTCGACGCCATGGCACGCATGAGCCAGAATGGCCGAAGCAGGAACGACTCGGGACACGGCTCAAGTCCGAGTGGCGCGCCAGCGGATGGCGACTTCGGTGAGCGCGGCGAGGTCGGGCTCTGCAGATTGGACAGCGTAGTGTCGAACAGATACGCGCCGCCAGCCTGCTGAAAGCCAATAGCACCAGCGTCGAAGGAAGAGAACTTGGCGCGCTGCGAGGTAAAAGGATGCTCATCACCTCGTCTTCCAGTCAAAGGCATGAAAGTCGAGCTCATAGGCGTTGCAAGCGATGGGATCGACTCATCAGGCGATGAGAGCAGAGTGCTATGCTGATCGCGCAAGCTGACCGACGACTTATTCTTACGGAAAGGATTGAGTCGGGCAGAAGGCAGCTCTCCAGGCATCTCGTCCACACTTCTTCTCTGCTCGTTTACTGTTGCCGTCGTGGGCCGAATCGTCGAGTCGACTGCCGCCGAGCGCATGTCTAGCGATGGAGGTGAAGTGAGGATGTGCTCATGCTGGAGGTCTGATTGAGAAGGTGACAGTACGGCGCCGAACTTGAAATCTCTGTTGAGGGGATCCTCGCCCTCATCATCTCGTGGCTGTGGGCTCGGCGAGTGGTGAAAGGTTGAAGCACGTTTGCGCGCTTCCGACTTGGACGAGGTCTCGATCTTCAATTGCTTCAGATTATTCTGACCGGAAAGTCTGCGCGCCCTGACCGAAGAAAGTCTGCTGCCACTTGTGCTCGGCGGGCGTGGCAGAGCAGTATTCGGTGGTGGTGCTTGGAGTGGTGGGAAGTCACCTTTCGCTTGGGGCACCACAGGCTCGATCACTTCCTCCGGCTCTTCCATCAGGGCCCCTCCGAGAGCGTCCTCAGCGACGGTCGACAAGGATGTCGCAGCTGTGGTTCGATCGACCGACGCTTGTGAGCTTTGCCAAGTGCTACGTGAGTAGCCACTCGAATCCGACTGTCGCGGCAGAGCAGATTTCGTCGACAGATCAAAGTTGAAGCCATGCGCATAATCGTTCGTGATTTCATCCAGCAGCCTCTCTTCTTCCTCATCGTCCAAATCCTGATGGAGCGAGTTCGGCGGATGGAACTCATTTGTGGGTGACAACACTTCTTGTATCGCAGAGCTAGGCACAATGATGGATTCTTTTGCCGCATGTCGGTAAGCGGTATTCCGCTTCCCGTGAGCCTCTAAGTCAGGTTCCAGGCCTTCGCCATATGCCGCTTCGACAGCATCATCGAATGCTGCATCGAAATCCGGATCGGTGTCACCACTTTTCGTGCGCAAGTGCTTCCGTCGAGGACCGTCCTGCGAGAAAGAATGAACCGACGATGCGCACGACGAGCCGCTTTCGTCAATAGTATCGAGCCATGAACCAGCGGTCTCATTCGCATCTGGCTGATCATGCGCGACATCTCGTGGTGCTTCTTCGGAAGTCTGCTGCTCTGGATCCTGTGGCCAAGCCGCTTCCACTTCTGGCTTCAGTTGAGGCGAGGGCTTGCGTGGCGATAGTGGCGCAGGCATATATTTGCTCTGCTCGGCTTCGGGCAAGAAGAGCGTCTGCTGCACGACTCTAGACGAGCTTGCGGGCTCATCAGGCGAAATATGCGCATGCAATTGCTCGCGATCGCTGCTTCCTCGCCCGTATGCGCCCTCAGTGTTCTGCACAGCCTCCATGGTCCGCGAGAAGAAGTTATCCCCATCCTGCTCCGGATACGATAGTCGTGGGACATCCACAACGCGAGTCGTAGTGGTGGTCCCTATCACCGCTGAATCCGCAATGCTCTCAGCAATAGGACTGACTGGACCTGGGTAGAAATTGCCAGCATGCACGGCACTATCGTCACTCATAGGCCGCTCCGGAAGTTCCTTCTCATGATCGGAACTCGATGGCCGGCTGTTCTCCAGCTGCTCCAGCTCCTCAATTCGCGTACTATATGTAGTCCTGATATCCTCCAGCTTCCGCTTATCGTCTGCGCCTGAACTTCGCTCCATGACCTGTTGTAGCAGTCTACACGCATCCGTGTACGCTTCTAGTGCGCCCACGAAGTTCTGCGCATTGTCCAGCAGCACAGCCGTGTTCGCCTTCTGCAGAGCTTTGGATAGCATGGCTTTTTTCTCCTTCTCTCGGATCTCTCGTGTCCTTGATCTTCTGCGACTGCTTCCATCGGATGGCCTGTCGTTTTGCTCTCGTCTCTCATGTCTCTCATGTCTTTCTGCTCGACTTTCATATCTGTCATGTCCTTCGTCCTCATTCGTCCGTGGCCGTACAAGTGGTTCGTCTTGTTGTGCTGGTGTAGGCGCAGGTGCGCGCAATTGCGCCGCAGCCGATAAGGGTGCTGTGTGGTTGCGAATCATGACCGGTCTCTTGTCCTTCATCTTATTCCTGGGTGAAATACCGTCGCCAACGAAGTAGTCTTGCATATATGAAGACTGTGTAGATGGTGTTGTCTGAACCGTGGAGATCGTGGACGGTGATGCGGTGTCATTGCTGTGGTCGACGAGTGCTGGTATAGCATGTAGTGGTGGTAGAGCAGTCAAGGACTTTGGCAGATCTGGCCGTGAAGTTCGTCGGCGCAACGCCTCTGGGCTGCCATCGGGCGACAGCTGTCGTTGGCGTGAGCTGAGTTGTCGTCGATTCGGGCTCGCTCGTGGTGAGTGATCTATCGTCGTGCGATTACTTCTTGGTGAGAATTGTGCACCAGCAATACTTTGCAAAGCAGCACCACTGCTCGCTCTATTCCGTCTTTGACCACCTGACGCTGCGCTCGAGTTGGTGGACTGCGACCAGCGGTTAAGGTTGTTCATGCCCTCGCTTTCGGCATGGCTACCAGGATCCACTGCCAAGCTTTGCCTCCGTTTGGGATCCTGCTGTGATATCTGTTCACGGCCGACCCGCAGCGCGATCAGAGACGGTTCGCCTGTTGTCTGAGGCAGCATGGGCGCCGTCGAATTTCGTGCTCCGGTGCTGGACGAGCTGAGGGAGCCAGTCCGCTTAATGGTCACCACGGAGGATGAGGACAGAGAGTTCGATCGCGAAGAGTATCGTTGCTTGTGCAATGCCGCCAGTGGCGCAGTGGCCATCCCGGGAGAGGTGGCCGAGGCTGAGACAGAGGTCGTATTGCTTCCATGCATCATCTTGTCTTTTCTTCCTTCCAACTCGACGCAGCCCTATGCACTTCGCCCACGCGCGTCGTGCGCTTCGAGCACGTTGGCTTCCCGTCTCATGCGCCAGCAACTATCCGGCCAACCGCTGTGTCGATAGCAGCCGGTATGGCGCACAATCTCGTCTTCCTCTCTCCTTCGCCGGCGTATGACAATCCAGGGACCAAGTGTTCCTGGGAAGATCGCCGCCGTCGTGCAACGTCGGGTGCTTCACGCGGCTATCCGCTGTCTCCACAGCCGTCACAGTCGTGAAACGAAGGCCAGGTCCTCTTCTGGTCGTTTGTGCCACCTTGATGCGATACAAAACCTCACTTCATCCCACCCATGGCGATCGCGCGCATACAAGCAAGCTTTTCTTCCTCTTCTCTTCTCCCTTTGCCCTTCACTTTCCACACTTCCCCGAATGCCTCCCGCCTGTATCTGTTATGTCTAGGGCCCAGGCCTAGCGTTCGTCCGAAACACACACGGTCAAAGAGGTCCCCACGTCCAATCAGCTTCCCAATGCCACAGCCCAGTGCGACCCTGCTATATGTCTGCGTCCGTGGTGAAGCACGCACGCACACACGCACAAGATAGGGAACAAATGTCCGTGCCTGGTTCAAAACAAGCCCACCGTGCTGGGAATCCTGGTGGTCGCGGCACGTGGAAGCCACCTCGACGCAATGGCGGAATCCTTCACACCTCACTCTCTCTATATTATTTCCTTCGCGGCGTTGTTTGCCCGCCCTCACACTGAACGCTGTGTATATATCTCACGACAGTCGAGAGCGCAAGTGGTTGCGCAATGCAAGACCGGCGGCCAAGATCAGGGCCAGGACAGGGGTGCAGAACCAAGGGGCGTTCGAGTCGTTCGCGCTGCCGGCCACTTGCCGACCAACGTTCGTCGAAACCTAGTTGAACTATTATGCAAAAGGCATTCGATTGATCAACGCTATCTATCACGTCGTCCTCCCCAATAAAACAAAAGCCCTTGACCGCTTTCTGCCTTCGACGAGCGTCCAGATGGACGAGATAGATGCGCCTTCGACTGCCCGATATGGTTCACGAAAATGCCCGCTCGTGCAGCGCGTGTGCATATCATGCTAGTGGATGGCGTATGGAAGGCAAGGACCGCCTCCTGCGTCTCGCCCAATCAATGCCATACAAAGTACATGGAATTCACGCTCTTGGCATAATTCTGCATAGATAGCCGGATGTAACATCGGTAGATTCAAACCGAACCTCAACGTATCTTTGGTTCTGGTGGCACCTGGACAGCGAAGTTGTCTCGCCGTCGCCTTCACTGACTATCATCGACCAACGGTGAGCTAGAGACAAATAAATTCTCCGTCGCGGGCCAATAGCGCGAAGCCCTTGCACATGCATCTCCAATCACACCGCAGCTTCGTAGAATGATATGCAGGTTGACCAAGCACTTATGCAAGAGCTTCGCTCGTGCAGGCAGGGCTAGGCAGTTACCTACGTATACCGCGTCAAGCTCGTACGATTCTATCTCGAGTCGAGAAGCGATATATCAGTGTGGACGTGGTCGTCCCAGAGCTACATTTCGTCCCAGAGCTACATTATGTCCCAGAGCTACATTCGCGTACTGAGCCCTTGCTACGGTCTCATATGCCTACAGACCTCCATACCACAGGTCATAGCGACGAAGGGTGGATCGTAGTAGTCGAGGACAAGTTGATATGAATACCTACCGAGTACGCCCAGGACCGGACAATCTAGCCACACTACTTGTGCTCTTAAGCAGCGCCTTTGAAATTCCCGACGAAGTGTAGAAGGACCTCCATCCTCTTGTGCGCCTTGAAATGTCTCTGGACCGCTCTCCAGTAAGCTCGCCTCGTCGACATGCTTGGCCACTGAGTGCTTCGACTTCCTCCTCTGACCACCTCCTTCGGACCCACGACTTCAGCAGCAGATTGGCGCTTCTGCAGTACATTAATCCATCCTCGATGTTGGCCTTGGACGATTAGCAAGATCAAAGACAGACTCGTAGTCCTCGGCACCTCTAGTATCTCCAGCCGCCTACGGATCACGGTCCCTAAAGACGGTAGGTTACAATCGGACCGGAATGGCGCCACTATATTTTTGCGCGAGTCGTTGAAGATGAATCCCATCTGCGACCTGGCCTCGGCTGGCTTGTTCCCGGCCTCGCTCAGGACCCTCTGTAGACAAAATCTGCTGTTATCCGCCCCTCTGCTGCCCGACTACCACCTCCCTCGCCCCGCAATGCCCACCAACAAAAGTGAACATGATTCCTGACAAGCCCTGAGCACTCGACGCCCTTCATACCAACGCATCTCGCCACATGCCGGCGTCCCTCCCATCGAACTCGCTGCTGCGCTCAGGTCTAGAGTCCACTGCACAGTGCGCACCAGCCACCATCCAGAGGCACCGCGATCACAAGCACAGCATCATCTGACCCTGCGACGTCCCGCACCTATCGGACGCAAGTAAAAGCTGAAAAGTGAAAAAAGTGAGACGGTAGATAGAAGGGAGGAAAGATTCACTCCGGCTAGATACATATGTACCGATATCCGCTGCCGCCGAGATTCAAGTATAGCAGGTAGTGTTAGTCAAAAAAAAGCAACGAGTCAATCTCTTCCGTTCGTCCTGCACCTACCATTCCTACCTTGGAGTACGCACGTACGCGCGGACTCAGACACACAATGGAGAAAGCGAGGACATTCGCATCGCATTGCATCGCAGAGCTTTTCGCGTACCACCAGTCCAAAGTGAGAACATACTGATATAGAAATGCGGTTCAGAGAAAGAATGAAAACTCGTCGTTCTTGCATATTTCTACAGCTAAAGCTACACATACAAAGCCCACCCTCTTCCTCTCTCTCTTTCTCCCTTCCAGCGTCCTCGTTTTCCTCGACCACAGCAGCAGCGATCGCGAACGATCTTGATATAGATGATCATACGAACTCATGCGTACGTGCGTGCGTACCCAGGGCATTCCTTAAAGCAGCAGCTGCCCATGCAACCTGGTCGTCACGCTACATGAGAACAAACCGTTCCCCGCCAGCCGAGCTAGAGGCAGCTATGACTCCCTCTAGCGACTGCCTAGCAAGGAACAATCCTCCCCTCTTTCGGATCGAGAGAATCGGTGCGTTGGGCGGCGGAAGTGGAGGTGGAGGCGGACACGACAACTAGCTCCGGCGTGAAAGCAGCGCTGTGAGCTCCCTACGCCACGACATCCTGCTGCACCTCTACCGCGGCAGAAGCCTCGCCATTCTGCCCCTGCTGCACCTGCCCTTGCTGCTGCTGCTGCTGCTGCTGCCCAGGAAGAATCAACTCCTCCCCCAGCCCCGCACCCCCCTCCATCAGACCCGCAAACCTCCCACTCTTCCCCTCTCCACTCCCGCCCATCGCCTCCTCCCTAACCCCCGCACTCCCATCCTCTTCTCCCACCCCAGAAGTCCAAACCTTATCACTAAAAACCCCCCTCTTCTGGCCCTCCCCATGCTTATACGGACAATCCGCCCTCGTACAGGGGTTATACCTACACGCTATGCTCGAATGCGCGAATGTACACCCTTCGACAGCACAATCCGCTCCGTTGCGACAGGGGCGGGAATCCGGGTGTTTGAACGGGCAGGTGGGGCCCGCGGTGCAGTTGGGGTAGAAGCGGCAGATTGTTTCGCTTTTGCTGCCCGCGAAGCCACTACCACCTGGTGCGCCGTTTCCGCCGGACGCGGCGAAGTTCCCTCGCATGGCTGGGGAAGGGTGGCGGCTGAGGCATTTGTTGTTGGTGCAGGCCGGGCCGTAGGAGCAGGTATCTGTCATGTCGAGGGAGATGTTTGGACGGGTGTTGGCGGGGCTTTGGTGCGCGAAGTGGCAGGTTGGGTTGAGGCATTTGAGGTTGAATTTGCACATTGTGTCGAAGGGGGAGCCGCGGTCGGGTTCCAGTGGTCGGTCGATGTCCATGCCGCCGTTGTTACTTGTGTTGTCGCCGGTTTCTGTGGCGGGTGTGGACTGGCGGTTTAGTTTGTTCTGCCCGCGCTTGTCGATGCGGTCGAACATGCTTTTGCCGCCGCGGCCGTTTTTTTGTTGGAAGCCGTTGTTTTGCGGCATGTTGGGCATTTGGCCGCCTTGCAGCATTTGCGCCATCATGTTCGCTTGCATCTCCATCATTTGCATGAACATCATTTGTTGGTCTTGTGGCCCTTGGGTGTTGATCATGGGGTTGTTAGAGTTCATTTGGGCTGCGTGGCCGCCTCTTCCGTTGCCGTTCATCGTGCGCTGCAGTCCGTTTGCAAGGTTTCCACCGCGTGGTCCCCGTGGTGCTCGGCCGGCATGTCCATCTATTCGGCCGGCTCCAGAAGCGGCACCCTTGATCCGTCGTAAGGGGTCGTCTTGTGCTCGGTCCATAGATCTGTTCATCTGGCCGAGCATGCGCCCACCGCGTCCTCCTCGACCACCTCGTCCGCCTTCACTGCCGTTCCGCATCGCTTTCGGCCCACTTGGCACACCCTCCGCAGCACCCGCCTCGTCCATCTGCTCATCCATACCAGAGTCGGTCTGCTCACCACCCGCCTTCTCCACTCCACCCATCTCGCCACTACTCTCCACCGCCGCGCCCTGTCCACTCAACGATCGCGCCTGATCGAACAGCCACCGCGTGAAATCCGCGACTTGCGGGTCGTCTTCGCCCACGCCTAATAATTCACCCCCAAGCTCGGCCTGCACGCCTTGCATATCCTTGCCGTTGACCAGCATCATCGTCACGTACTCTGATAGTGTGGTATCTGTCTCCTCAGGCGCCCAGCTGTTCTCCATCAACTTGGTCTGGGCGACGCGCTGGATCTCGTGAGCCAGAGGCGAGCCTGCTTCCACCGTGACACCGGCCATGATGGCGGGAGTGAAGTGAAGAGGTGTGTGTGTAAGGGTTGTGCTGTCGCGTGTTTGATCTGATACTATTATCAGTAGTGATGGGAGGGATGTGCGACAGTATGTGGCGATTAATAACGAAGTTGGTCCAAGGTCGCGTGTAATTGTGGTAGAGCTTGACTACTGTAGCAGAATGAGGCTGATGCGCTCGAACGAACGCGAGTCGTGCAATGCTGTGTCAGCAAACGCGGCTCAAAATCATAGCCCAAACTATAAATATTATGTAGAAATCTCCATGCGCATGTGATAGTGTCAGGAATATCGCCAGCGAGGCAATCATGTTGAAAGTAAAGGAGCGGAAACAGGCGAAACAACAGCTACGACAACAAGACGAGAGCGATGACTCAGACGTGGAATTCGTGCTCGATGGAGAGCCAGAGAGGGACGAAAGCGAGCAAGAGCTGGAGAGAGTGGTCTTTGGCGACAGTGCTGGTTTCAGGCAGGGCTTGAAGGACGTCGTATTGGTGGATGTAGACGAGGATGAGGAGTCCAAGATCCCTACGACTGGTCTAGAGGAGTTGGACGATGCAGATGTAGGTTAGGCCTCTCACGTGTGTCCTTCTCTGATATAGTGGCTGAATTATTGCATAGCTTTTCTTCACCGACACAGGAGACAGTGTACCACAAGCAACCGTTGAGCCGGACTCGGACGAGGAAGACAAAACGTTACACTCCAAGCATGCGCCAGCCTGGGAAGACAGCGATGACGAGCGAACACTCGTCTCACTAGCAGCTGCACCACGATTGCGGAAGCTACGACGGACTGAAGCCGAGGATGTAGTGGACGGGCGAGAGTACTCCAAGCGGCTACGACGACAATTCGAGTTGCTCAACCCACAACCCGAGTGGGCGCAATATGCTGTCCAACAACCAGCGAGGAAGAAGAGACGATTGTCCGACGACGAAGGATCCTCCAACGACGACATGGACATCGATTCAGACGACATCCCCTCCGTCACCCCCCTCTCCAAGCTCCTCCAATCCTCCTCCGACCTCCTCCGCCCCTCAAACCCAAGCAAAAAGCGCAAACTCCGACCCGAAGTCATCTCTATACAACGAACAAAGGATATCATGGCCACCTCCCCCTCAGCCATCACCTCCCTCTCCTTCCACCCAACTCTCCCCCTCGTCCTCTCCTCCGGTCCCTCAGCAACACTCTACCTGCACCAACTAGCCGCCTCGCCACCAGCACTAGCCCCAAACCCCTTGCTAACAAGCCTCCACATCCGTAAAACGGCCCTCACGACCACTGCTTTCCATCCGACGGACTCGAGAATCTTTCTATCAGCACGAAGACGATATTTCCACGTCTGGAACCTACAGACCGGCCACGTGGAGAAAATCGCCCGGGTATACGGACAGCAGTACGAGCAAAGAAGCATGGAGCGCTTCAAACTCAGTCCCGACGGCAAACTCATGGCTCTCCTTGGCTCGGCGCGCAAAGGCGGCGGCGTCATCAACGTCTTGTCCGCCTCGACTCTGCAATGGGTCGCGCAAGTCCGGGTCGAGAGTCGAGGCGGCGTCGCGGAGTTCTGCTGGTGGCGGGATGGGAAAGGGTTGTGTATTGTGGGTAAGAGCGGGGAGGTCACGGAGTGGAACGCGCAGACTCGGACTGTGGTGGCGAGATGGCAGGATGAAGGTGCTGTGGGGACTACCACTCTAACGCTAGGAGGCCTGCACGAGTTCGCGAAAAGTCCCATCGGAACCGATCGTTGGGTTGTTATTGGGTCTTCGTCCGGGATAGTGAATATCTATGATCGACGGGCTTGGCTCGCTGATCCCATTATTTCTGGCACCGTCCCGATAACGCCGAAACCGACCCGTGTTCTTGACCATCTAACCACACCCATCTCACACCTCCACATCGACCCGAGCGGACAGATTTTGGCCATGGCGTCAAGGTGGAAGCGGGATGCATTGAGGTTAGTGCATTTGCCTAGTTGTACTGTCTTTCGGAACTGGCCGACAGGGGAGACGCCTTTGGGCCGCATCTCGGCCGTGAGTTGGTGCGATGGGGGGGCTGTTGACGGGAGGAGGGGTGGTGAGGGCGGTGGCGTTGAGGGGGGAGGGGATGTGGTTGCGTTGTTGGCGGTGGGGAATGAGAAGGGGGCTGTCAGGGTTTGGGAGGTGAGATGAGATGGGATGAAATGAGATGAGACGTGATCGGTAGGGGACGGTTGGAGGGGGTGAGGCAGAGGGAGGATTGGCAGATAGATGTGGCTGTTTCGTGTGCACAACTCAAGCCCTTCTTATCTTTCCTGGAATTCCCTCCTACCACTACCCATCTGCCTCGAAAAGGACTGTACATGAGTCTTGCCTCTCTCTCTCTCTCCCACATAGATATCATCAATGTTGTATGTACACGTGAGATTGGTATTATATCGATCAACGATTCAGCTGTGTAACGATGACGTCGGTCGATCTCTACCCTCCTCTATTGCCACGAGATATATGTCCACGGCACAACGACATCGAGTTAGCCCTAGTCCTACCGGCTGGTATATTTCAAGGCACACCGTAGACCGATCGCCAAAGTACTGTAGCAAGCAAGATGGCTTCGCAAGAATCCAAGATTATACTGTAAATCTTCCACCTCTTCTGCGTGCTTGCCGCATCCAGCTCAACGGTCTGGTCCAAGCTCAGCACACGCATCTCCATCCGCGCCCCACAGCTAACGGATGAGCCTGACAGGTACACGGCGGGCACGCCCAATGGTCAGAAGATCTCCTGCACGCTTGAGGAATTGGGAGTCGACTATGAGGTGCGGAAGATCGATATAGCGAAGAATGAGCAGAAGGAGGAGTGGTTTCTGAAGATAAACCGTACGTCTCCCACCAATGATCTCTAGACAGTATAGGGAGTTGGGCGTCCTAGGAACCGTAAGAAGGACGACGTCTCGAGGAAGAAGAACTCAAATTTTGAATACCGAGCTGAAGACAGTATAGGAAAAAGAAATGTCATATGCTAACCCTAACCCTCCACAACAGCCAACGGTCGCATCCCAGCCCTCACGGACAATAGCTCTGGTCAAGCACTGCATCTCTTCGAAGGCTCCACAATCCAGAATTATCTCTGCGAGACATACGACTCCGATCACCGCATTTACTTCCCTTACAACAGCGCGGAATACTGGGAGGCTCAATCTTGGCTCACGTGGATGCAATCGGGTCTTGGTCCGATGCAAGGGCAAGCGAATCACTTCTACCGGTATGCGCCGGAGAAAATTCAGTATGCGGTTGCTCGGTACCAGACGGAGACGAGACGGTTGTATGGGGTTCTTGATGCTCGGTTGCGGGAGCAGGAGGGAAAGGGGGAGGGGTTGTGGGTCGTGGGTGGCAAGTATAGCATAGTGGATCTATGTTGCTTCAGCTGGGTCGTACGTTCCTTCCTAAACCCTCCCTTGCAACATCCTCTCACACGGAGCGAAACGCCTGCTGATATGACTTATTCGTGACGATAGAACTGGGCCGAATGGGCCGGCATAGACACCAAACCCTTCCCCGCTCTGCAACGCTGGCTTGGAATCATCCAGCAGCGGCCTGCGGTGCAGAGGGGTGTGGATGTGCCGGATAAGTTCGAGATGAAGGAGGCGATGAGGACGAAGGAGGGGGAGGAGGAGTATGCACGCCATCATAGTAATTGGGTGATGCAGGGGATGAAGGAGGATAGGGAGAAGCATCAGTAAACTATGAGATAGAGAGGGTGGGTGAGCCTTGGTTTGACTTTCTGGTTCCTTACCACCATTCTGTTCGAGCATGTCGTGTCATGCCATGTCGAGTCACGCTCCCTCCTGTAAAGCCAGGAAATATTGGCCGACTTGCATACTCGCTTCGGAACAGTCTTAGCAAGGACCCTTCCAAGTCGTGCAAGATCGACATCTCACATCATCTTTTCCAAAAGCACTCGCTTTCGTCCTCTCCTCCTCCACGACACAAGCCCTGAACAGTAGCACTGCGTACGACTCCACCAATAGCACCGCAAGCCAAACTATCCACCCTCCTCCGACGTCCGCTCGCAAACCACGGAGGTTCAGATCGTCTGGCCCTTCGACTTTGTCCGTCTCGCACTGCACTACCCACCGACCTCTGCCAAGACCTGCCTTAGCAGCCCGGTTCCCCCGATTTTGATGGTAGTCCGCTGCTCTTCTGTCTGGATCAGCCAGAAGCGACTGTCTATCCGTCATCGCCCGTCGACGATCCACTCGAGATCGAAAGTACTGGTGGCCGTGGCGGTCACACACTGCCACGAATTCGTTGGAACCGGGAAGTAGAACAGCGGGAGTAGTGCAAGAGGAGCCTGATGGATTCTACCATTGGTGTTGATCCGGGCGAGAGATTCGCCTTTGCTACGGCAAATCGGTGGATGCTGTGATTACTCGTCTCCACGCTGGTGGCTATTCTGGTGAACGGTGCTTGTTTGCTGTGGTGGAAGAAGAAGCTCGGAGCGTTGTTTGCGGACGACCCTTTCCATCTATGCTCTTCGTGGCATTGAGCTGTCATGTGCAATATCGATTCCCGATCATCTGCTTCAGCCTGTGCTTCTCTGTCGAGTGGCGAGTGCTGATGCTCTCTCCGTCTCAATCACACAACTCGCACGATCAAACACTCTTTTCGTCACAAACTCGTGATGGGCACGTGGCGATATGCCCGAGATTGCAGAAGCAGCTCGCAGCGAACGATCATGGTGGCTGCGGCTGAAATCCATGCCGACTCAATGGTCCGTGGGTACACGGGATACAGCGCCTGATGTCACGCTTTCCCGCTTTCCATGTCTGGCTCCATATTCTGTAGCATAGTCCTCCAGGGTTAACAAAGTCAAAGCGCTGAGTCACCCCATGATCTAGCATTGACGAAGATCGTGTGTTTGGAGTGACTGGGCCCCGAGCACCCGCACAGATTTTCGTTCTGGCGTATCATCGTCCCAAACACTTCAGACATTGATAAGAGTCTCTCACCCACCCGCAGATTTGGCCTCACCCTCCACCCCGTCACCCTTCTCCCCCTTCTCCACCTTCCGCTCCCCCTCCCCATCAAACCCCAACCCCTCCAACTGCCTAATGAGTTCCTGAATCTTAATAACCTTGGCAAACTGCTCCGGCAACAAATCCCCACCTTGCTCCTTCTTCTCCTTCAGCTCCCTCGCCTGGCGTAACTTCTTGGCTAGTTTTCTCGCTTCCTTCGCTGCTTCGACTTCGGGATCGAGATCGTCTTGCTGTGCTAGCCCCTCGGACTCCTCCTTGGATTTAATGTACCCGTTTCCATTTGTCTTCACACCCTCATCCTCCCCAGCACCGTCCTCCTTCCCATCCGAAGCAGCAGCTTTCCTCCTCGCCTCCCTCCTCTTAGCATTCTTGCCTGCAGCCGCAGCTGCCTTATGCGGCGCCAACTTCTCCTCCGCACCTACCACATCGTTCGCGCCCGGCACCCCGGCACCTTTCCCTCTATTCCGAAACCCCTCCGCTGTGCGATTCTTGTAGACTTCCACGTCTTCGGCCGGTTTGTAGCCGGGTCGGACTTTGATTTCTTTGCGGAGAGAGCCGTCCGGGCGCAGAGAGGAGGGGATGATGGAGGAGCCGTTGCTTAGTTGGTGGATGCCGGAGTTGTTGGTTGGGGTGATGGGTTTGGGCTTGGGGGGCATGTTTGGGATCGAGTTCTTAGTGGACGGTGAAGCACTTGTGTGTGGCGAGGGGGAGCATCTCCAATTGTGTATGTAGGTTTGAGAGCGATGATTGTGGTTGTGTGCAAGAGCGAGAGAAGTGACTGTATCGCGAAAGTGCTTGGGGTGGTATGAGTTCGTGTCAGCCAATCAGCTTCTCCGCAACCCGATCTTTTGAGCTTCACCACTTCCACCACTACCGCATTATTCGCCCCGACCAGAACTCGTCCTAACACCTACTCCCCTGCTGCACGACAAAAAGGGCAAATATCACACAATGGCCGGTATCCTGGACGCACTTTACGGGTACGAAGGATAGCAGATCAAGCGAGGAAGCAAAGCAGGAAGAACTAACAGGAGAGCACAAACAGCTCCTTCATCCGCCGAAATGCCACCTTCCTCGCCGTAATCTTCACCGGGGCTTTCGCGACTGAGATGTATGCATACGATACACCACACACACCACGGCTATAACCATGCCAGGAAGGACTATCAGGACTGACAGCTTGAGAATAGAGTCTTCGAGACGACAGCCAATGGCATCTGGGACCGGGTAAACAAGGGTGTACGTCTTGATACAGCTGAAGGATATACTGGATGGTGAGGGTACTGACATGTGATATGTAGCGACAATGGAAGGATATTAAGCAGCGATATATGGAGCCGGCGGACGACGAGTAGATTATGGGAGGATCAGGCTAGGGTGGTGGTGGGTGCTGATGTGCTTATGTGGGCAAGCAAAAGCTGGCCACTCCATACAGACGGCGGCTCTTGTCTGCCATCATATTCGGGCAGATGTTAAGATAGCTGGGGGTGGAAGGTGTGTATATAGTCAAAGGTCAAGCCAAACCACAACCATATGTTCTAGCACCATATCCGTACGCTACACCTTCCTTGGTCCACGGGATGACAATATGTATAAACCTATTCTCATCGCCTACGGACTCGATGAAGTAGTGTGTACTCGTGAATCCGTGTCAATATATGTGAGCCTGATTTCGTCATCAGCGCGCATGTCAGTCGCGTTGCAGTTGCACTTCCGCTTTGTAGAACCACTGCAACGGCTATAGCACTATAAGGTGTCAAGCACAACCACCAACACTTCTCTTCTGGCCTCAACAAATCATATCACCGGCTACACACGACTGCACGAATATATGTGGATGACTCAACACAGCCATCTTCACATGACAGCCTCCCACCACCACCGATGAAGTAACGAAACAAGGCCCCAGGCGCATACCATAATACACCATCATCATGCTCTCCCCAACCACCACCACTTCCTCCGACCAACTCTGCCACGACCTCGTCACCCACCCCTCCCACTTCGAATACCGCTACACAGGCGAATCCGACCGCCGCCTCCGAGAAACACTCTTCCGCAGCCTCGCCGCCAACAAAGACGCCTACCTCCCCCTCTTCTTTCCTTCGGGGCTACCCCACGACCGCTCCCAACCCTGGTCGCTCAAACAAGCTCAGGGAGCGGAAGAAGGGGCGGAATACACCCCTGCTGCTCGAGGTACAGCCTGCGGTCATATCTTCAGAAGCGGGGAGAGTACATATCACTGCAAGACGTGTGCTGCGGATGCGACGTGCGTGTTGTGTGTGCGCTGTTTCGAGGGCAGCGAGCACGACGGGCATAATGTCTTTGTCAGTGTGAGTCCGGGGAATAGTGGATGTTGTGATTGCGGCGACAAGGAGGCGTGGAAGAGGGAGGTGAGGTGTGAGATTCATTCTCATCTCAGTGCTGAGGCGGAGGGGGAGAGGATGGGCAAGGAGAAGAAGAAAGCTGCTCAGGGGGTGGAGGGAGGGTCGAGGTTACCGCCTGAGTTGCTGGAGGCGATGCATGTGACTCTTGGACGAGTGGTGGACTATCTATGTGACGTGTTTGCTTGCTCGCCTGAACAGTTGCGACTTCCCAAGACGGAAGACTCGATCCAACTCGATGAGCGATTATCTCGACTAGGGCCCGCCTACGGCTCGGAGCCTCAAGAAGCAGAACCCGAATACGCTCTCGTCCTCTGGAACGACGAAAAGCACACCGTAGACGATGTGACTAGCCTTGTCGCACGGGCCTGCAGCAAGTCCCGTAAGTTCGGCCGAGCGATTGCGATGGAGGTCGACGAGGTGGGAAGGTCGACTGTACACTACTCGAAGGATATTAAGGAGCTTCTTCGCATGGCTGGGATACTGGAACAGATCAAACTCACCACCACCATTCGCAGTGCAAGGGATACGTATAGAGAGCAGATGTGCTCGACCATCGTTGACTGGATTTCGGACATCTCCGGTTGTGCGGTAGGCGATGATGCATATGTGCTCCGAAATATCGTCTGCGAAGAGATGCTCCAACCATGGCAGACTGGTAGTGCGGCGCCGAATGTGGATGTGGGAAATGCGGGCTTGGACGATCATGAACTGGAGGAGAATGAGAAGACGCGGGCCCAGTATCGACAATATATGCGTCCGCTTGTCATGCAGGGCCAGGACGGAGGGGTGAGGATCGTGGTCCCGACTGCTGAAGTGGAGATTGAGGAGGATGATGATGAGGATGACGGTGGGGGCGAAGAAATCGAGGATGAAGAGGATGAGAATGACGGGTATGATGAGATGGATGGGGTGGAGGTGGATGTCAGTGATATTCGAGAAGCGGCTAATGCTGCCATGGCTTTGGCGCAGGCCGAGGCGGCGGATATGGATATTGATTTCATGGACGATAACGAGGATGTCACGGAGCATTTGGAGGCGACGATTGCGGGATATCCTCCTCCACCTCCTCCGCCGCGGGAGGGTACAAGACAGCGGCGTGTCTTCACGCCAGCCGATAGTGACGATGGCGAGGTAGCTATTACAGAAAACAGCACTAGACCTGATCCCGGCGCGCCTTATGCCATCCTCCCCAAGACACCCAAAACGAAAGGTATGCCCAACAAACGCGCCCTCACCCGCCCCTCACGCCACTGGCTCGAGAAGCCCTCGGGCTTCCGCTCCCGCCCAAGCGAACCGTGCGAAGACCTCTGGCAGCGCGTCCGCCTCGACTACCTCATCCTCTACGACCTGCGCCTCTGGAAAATCCTCCGCATCCACCTCCGCCACCTCTACATCACCACCGTCGTCACCCTCCCACACTTCAAACGGATCTTGGGCTTGCGATTCGCGGGTTTATACACGACGCTCTCCCAACTCTACCTCATCGCCGACCGCGAACCAGACCACAGTATCATTAACCTCTCCGTGCAAATGTTGACGACCCCGTCGATTACGGAGGAGGTGGTGGAACGAGGAAATTTCTTCACAAACCTCATGGCTATCCTCTATACCTTCCTCACAACCCGCCAAGTAGGCTTTCCCGAGGACGTGCAAACCCGCGCCACGCTCGCCTTCGAAGCCGGCGCCGTAACGAATCGCCGGATCTTCCATTTCTTCATGGATCTGAGATGGCTATGCCAGAGCGAACTGATCCATAGAAAATTAAGGACGGAGCAGCGGTATCTTCTGCAGTTTTTGGATCTGGCTAAGTTGCATCAGGGCGTTTGTCCGAACGTGCGGTATACGGGCGAGCACGTCGAGTACGAGAGCGATGCGTGGATCTCGGCCAGCATGATTGTGAAGGAGGTCAATAGACTCTGCAAACAGGTCGCGGGGTCCTTTGGGCGGAAAGCCGGGGATGATGAGGATGGGCATTTGCAGCGTGCGCTCAGGACGGTGGCGCAGGTGACGATGATTAATTCTTTTGGCTACGAACGTAGGCGTTTCATCGCGGCGGAGTTGAAGGATGATTTGGCGTGGCATCTTGTCGGACCGTTTGAGAAGAGTGGGAGGTTGTACTCGGTGCCCCGGTGTCGCATCCAGGCCGAGTCGATGAGTTTCCATCATCCGTTGCATTATCTTCTGTCCTGGCTATTGGAGGAGGGGAAGGAGATGAGTCGGGAGGAGGTCAGGGCTCTGCTTACTTTTGCGCCGGCGGATCTCAAGGACCCGTGGAATGTGACGCGTACCAGTCCAGCGCCGAGTACGCTCACGAGCGATGAGTTACTCAGTGGGATTCTCGACGCACCGTTGAGGACGTACGTCTGGCTCGCGCAGATGAAGAGCGGGATGTGGGTGCGCAATGGTATCACGCTCCGGCATCAGGCACATACATATCGCAGCGTCAATCATCGCGATGTCGGGTATCAGCGGGATTTACTGCTGATTCAAACCGGACTGGTGCTTTGTGGGGCTGAGACCGAGAAGCCGGGGGAGAGGTATCTTGCGCAGATGATCGATCGGTTTGAGATGACGAGGTGGTTTCAGGGGGATTATGGGGTTCGGGCCGGATTTGAGGAAGGGCAGCAGTTGGATGTGTTGGAGGACTTCTTCCATTTGCTCGTTGTTTGTCTGAGCGAACGGGGTAATCTGGTACCCAACAGCAGCAGCAGCAGCAGCAGCACCATCTCGGCATCATCGGGAAGCCAGCAGCATGCGCGGCAACAGCACCTCCAACACGATATCGCGCACGCTCTCTGCTTCAAACCGCTTTCTTACTCCGACCTTAAGAACCGCGTCACGGATAAGGTGGGCGATAGCGAGGATTTCTCCGCCATCTTATCCGAAATGGCGCATTATCGCGCGCCGGAGGGAATGTCGGATACCGGGACCTTCGAACTCAAACCCGAGTTCATTGAGCTCGTGGATCCGTATTATGCGCATTATAGTCGGAATCATCGCGAGGAGGCCGAGGGGATCTACAAGAAATACATCGCTTCGAAATCTTCTCGGGTATCTGGTGCGGTGGGCCTAAAGGCAGAGGACGTGGTGTTTGAGCCTCGACTGCAGGTCATCGATCGGGGTTTGTTTGTCGATCTGGCGGCTTTCACGCGGACGGAGTTGTTCGCGCAGGTGGTGAGTGCGGCGCTGGGGTTTGTGGTGGGCCGGAAGGTTTTCGCGCCCAAGGTGCAGGCGCCGCGGGCGGAGACGTTTGCGCATATGGTGTTGCATTTGGTGGTTTTGGCCGTGAATGAGGAGAGGGATGGGGTGGCGGGGTTTGTGGAGTTGGCGGGTACGCCGTTGAGTGTACTTGCTCCCTCTGGGAAGGATGGGGCAGCAGCCGGGGAGACGGTGGTGGGGTTGCTTGTTACGCTCGTCGGGATGGAGGAGTATTCGGCTTGTCATCCTACTATCCGACATATTCTACGCAAGATGCAGGCGAGGCAGCCGGAGAAGATGAGTTGGGTGGGGGTGGCGGCGCTGGATGATCGGTCCGGGACGGCGAGTCCGGCGTCGATGGTCTCGGCGGAGGATAAGGGGAAGAAGAAGGCGGAGGCGTTGGCGAGGCAGGCGAGGGTCATGGCGAAGATGAAGGAGCAGCAGAATAGCTTTATGCTTAACCAGGGGCTTACTGCATTTGGCGGGGATGACGATGATGGGGAGGAGGATTTCGAGGATCTGGATGATATGAGCGTTACGGCCGACGACACTGGGACGGTATCTGCAGTGGAACATCGCAAGACCTGGGCGTTTCCGTCAGGGACGTGTATTCTATGCCAAGAAGACACGACGGATGGCGAGCGACTCTACGGCACCTTCGCTTTTTTGGGTGAGAGCAGTCTCGTCCGCACAACACCCACCAACGATCCGGATTTCGTCGCCGAAGTCCTCACCACGCCGGCAAGTCTAGACAGATCAGCCTCCGACCTCCGTCCCTTCGGCGTCTCGGGAAACAACAAACAAATTTTCCACAAAACGGCCGTCGACGGCACAGTCACCACTTCCGAACGCCAGGGCTTGTCGAAGGGTTTCCCGCGCCAGCCGAGGAAGAGTAAGGATCCCGTCGCTACGAGTTGCGGCCATATGATGCATTTCAGCTGTTTCGAGGAGTATCTGAAAGCGACCCTCCGTCGCCATACGACGCAGATCGCGCGGTCGCATCCTGAACGGGTGGAGCTGAAGGAGTTCATTTGTCCGTTGTGTAAAGCGCTAGGGAATACTTTCTTGCCTATTATTTGGAAACCTAAGATGTGTGCTAGGGAATGGGAGTTGCATACTGCGAAGTCTCTGGGTGACTGGCTGTTGGAGGCGGATCTGCAGGGCGATTTGTCGTTTTTGGAGACGATGCATGCGGATATTGGCAGTGTGAGGGAGAGACAACGGCAGATTTCGGAACAGTATTCGGCTAGGAGCTCAAGGTATGTCGCTGCGAACTTCGCTCCGGGGTTGGTGGAGAGCTTGAGGGAGTTGTCGCTTGAGGGCTCCTCTTCCGCGGCTAGTACGCCGCGGTACTCGTTACGGAGGGGGTATAGTCTCTCGTCGCTCTTCCGGATGGGGAGGCGCGATAGCAGTCCTTCGGATACATTTGGTTCGCATGCCAGCTTGTTGCCGCATGGGGGTGAGCCGCCGCGCATGGCGGAGTTGATGAAAGCGTACCTTCGCGTCGCGGAAACAATTCGTGAGAATAATCTCTGTGATCCGGCGAGGATTTTGGACGGGAGTGTCAACCCTGTTTCGCCGCTTTCCCGCGCGCTGGGCCAGTCGGTGGCGAGTTTCGAGATCGCGCATCGGGGGTCCGCTGGTGATGTGGTGGGGACTTCCTTGCTGCAGGATCTTTCGGAGCAGAATCTTACGCATTTGCGTGTGCTGGCCGAGACGGTGGAGTCTTTCCTTGCGGTCAGCGTCCTGAGGACTTCTTCTGCTGGTGTGAACATCATTGCCCAGGATACTGTTAAGAGGAGGGAGATTCTCACCGCGCAGCTTTTTGGTACGGAGACGGAGATTGCTATGATTAAGCTTAGGGAGACGGGGGAGAATCTTCTGTTTCAGGATGATATCTTCTTGTTCTTCGCGGACTGGTTGGCTTTCATGGCGCCGTCGGTGGCTGAGGCGAATAGTGTCTTGCAACTCTGCTACTGGGCGGAGATTGTGAAGACAGTGTTCGTGTTCAAGGGGGTGGTAAAAGGTCTCGGCGACAATTCGCACACCCAGGAGCCTGTCAGCGAGCCATTCAAGCTCGCGGTCTCAGGCATCGCAATGGAATGGGATCGCTTCGCCATGCCATTGACGGAAGCTCAGCTACAGAATATGCGCGTGATCGTGGACAAGTACGCGCTGGCATTCCTCCGCAAAGCCATTGTGCTCATGCACGTCCGGTACGGCCTGGACTACGAGTGTCCCAAGGACATCAAGCTCGAAGCGCCAGAACTGTCCCGTTTGACGGCTCTCCTCCACATACCCACCATCGACGATCTCAGCACCCTGTACACCACCTCTACCCCACCAAGCGCCAAACTCCGCCTCCTAACCAAACGCTGGGTTAGTCAAGCCACGACGATGTCCGAACACGAACCCACCTCCATCACTCTCTCCCACCCGGCAATCTACGAACTGATCGGCCTCCCCAAAAACTACGATACCCTCACCTCGGTCGCCTTGAAAAGCAGCTGCCCGACAACAGGAAAAGAACTCACCGACCCAGCCATCTGTCTCCTCTGCGGCGCCATCTTCTGCTCCCAAGCAGTCTGCTGCATGAAGGACAAAGACAAAGGTGGCTGCTACCAGCACATGGCCACGTGCGGAGGCAAGATCGGCCTCTTCATCAATATCAGAAAGTGTATGGTTCTCTTCATGCATGGGCCCGCGAATGGGAGCTGGAGCCATGCGCCGTACTTGGATCGGCATGGGGAGCCTGATCCGACGTTGCGGAAACATCATCAGTTGTTTTTGCATCAGAGGCGGTATGATCGGTTGTTGAGAGAGGCGTGGCTGGGGCATGGCGTGCCGAGTTTGATTTCGCGGAAGTTGGAGGCGGATATCAACCCTGGAGGATGGGAGACGCTGTAAAGCGTAGTTTGATTGTACCGATTCAGTCTGAGGTGTCAATTGAAGTGGGTTGTACGTTATATAAGGGGATGGTTTTTGGACTGGGCGTAGGCGTTGTGGTGTATGCTCGGACTTGTCCGGGTTTGCTTATAGATTTGTTATGAAGACACGAATGCATGAACATGTGAAATTAGCTCTCTCGAAAGCCTTCATATCACTCTATTCGTCTTTAAATTGCCACGTACCTACCAAAGAGAATCAGATCCTTCCATGGAGGCGATACACGAGAAGCCGAAGTAATGCGTAGGAGCACATGTTTCCTTGGACATCGTAACATCGTTACATTTGAATCGCTATGTTGGTATGAATCCTTCCGAATCCTTCTGCTGCTGCGCCCATGTCTCTGGGAATGCAGCGATACCTGCGATGATGCCAACAGCCATGAAGCAGATTGATATGATGGACCAGATGACACCCCAGCATTGTGACGACCCTCCGTAGCGCTTGGCGAACTGGCTGGCATCTGAGCTGTTGACTTTGCGGAAGATGAGGTCGTCGCAGATATCCCAGACACTGTAGAGTGAGGACATGACGCCGATGAAGAGGACATAGAATCGTAGAGCCTCTGCATGAGCGATGAACCAGAATGCTACTAGACATCCGACCGCAAGTAGGATGGTCAAGATCGTCAACCTGATATCAAACATCAGCATCTATCGATGATGCGCAACAAGAGTAACTCTTACCAATCCTTCTTGCCATACCACAGAACGAACAGGAAGCAGACCCCGAGGACGATACTGGCAACCTTACTGGCCACGATGTCGAAGCCGCAGAATGTGAGCAGCATGCCAATGATTGATGATCCCAGATAGCCGGCAGGTAGCGTAATGGCGCTTATGCCACCACGCATATGTGTCACACCACCTTCGTGAGGATCCAGTGATATCGACTCGACTCTCCCACCTGTGCAGCATGCCGTTATGGCATGACCGAACTCATGGAAGGCTATGACGAGCATCTGAGCATGTATTAGCCTTGACTTCTGCCGTAGCCTTGGGAAATATCGGGTATACTGTACCTTGAACGGCCAGAGCACGTAACGGACGTAGGGGATATTCCATAGTAATGCAATGATCACGACGTATGCTGCGATGACCCCCAAAGTGACTCCTTGGGCGCCTCGTACTTTGAGGTCGTCGTTCCGAGGCCTTATTAGACGATCTCGGACCAGTACCGGGCCGACTGTTACGATGGCCCTTCGCGCTAGGTAGCCGAGTCCCGTATCGGAAGGCACGATAGGCGCCATGATTGCTCGCTTGGGATGGAGCGGGTGATGATCAGAAGATGGACAGATAGACGGGATGAAGTGAAGTATATGCCATCGACAAGGCGCGTGTACAAGCTGACGCGGCGAGATCTGAGACGCAAGGCTTGCATAGTTGCACAGCCATTCCATTCTGTGGCTATATTTAGACGAGGCCGGCAGAAGTTCGGACGACATAGCAGTTGGAAGTGCCCACAAGACATCGTGAACACAACATCAATCCTTTCGCACAACACAATCAAACCGAATTTGGTGTTCTGTCCCTGACCTACCGTACGACCATGTCGACCGACGAGAGTAGCGAGGAGGTAAATCTTAGTACGCATGCGAGCAAGACCTTCATGATGCCATAAACCTCTGAAGCTGCAGGTTGGCTGGAAGAGATCGTGTCAGAAGGTCTGTACACCACGATCGAATACCACCACTATTCTCGTATATGTGTTCCAAAGGAATCCAATGAAGTCGAGCCCCTACATGCTGGACGTTGATAAGACACGGAATGACGTAAAGTCCGGCACGGAGACGCGAAGCTAGACGGCCCCGACTTTTGCCGTCCTGGGCAAGTACAAAATCCGTACGGCAGCGATACAAACTCACAACTTGATTCCATGTCAAATGGCCTCGGGACCGTGTGAAGACACAGTTGGCATTCGAACTGTCCTAACGTGAAAAAGCCTACTACCGCTCCAACCACGATGTCGTCGAACCGGGCACCGATCGCGGCGGCCAGAACACCCACCGAGAAGCCTAACCTTCGCAGGCCGATCGCCTGCGTCGAATGTCAGCGCCGCAAAACCAAATGCGACCACCAGAATCCTTGTACAAATTGTATTCGCCTGAAAGTGCATTGCACGCCAGCCGTCCCGCAAGCGCGACGCAGGCACAGAAGATTCCCTGAGAGAGTGCTTCTAGAGAGGTTAAGGCATTACGAGGGTTTGTTGGCGAAAGGTAAGATCGCTTTCAAGCCTCTCGCGGATGAGGGAGCGATGGACGTGGAGGGACAATCCGTCTATGGCGAGGGTGAGGGCCTTGAGGACAGCGAGTCCCATGCCGAGGGCAATTGGGATATCAAACACACGCCCGAGTCGCTTGACGCTGTGTGAGTCTTTGTCCCGTCTCGTTATTTGGCCCACTGTCGTCTAGTACGTTTGCAGTAAGGTTCGCTGACGAACGTCGTAGTAATTTGTGGACTGCTATGAATCAAAAAGTAAATTTCGTGAACTAAGACCCGCTTGACAGACGTCTATCAGTGTAGCCGCTAACGACTTCATGTAGACTGGTGATACTGACAGCGAAAGTGGAGGTGGAGACCTAGATCGCGATCGTGAAAGTGCTAGTCGACATGCCGACGATATTACGCATGTACCAACACTCCAAAAGGCGCTCGATCAAGTATATGATGGCCAGACCAGGAAGCTTCTCTTCTGCGAGCCCGCCCCGACCTCACTTTTAAACATAACTGCGCTTCACCCAGCTCCTGGGCAAATCTTCCAGCTATGGCAGATGTATCTCGACAATGTCGACCCGCTCCTCAAGGTGACACATACCCCTACGATGCAGAGCCGGATCATCAACGTCATGACGAACTTGACCGCCGCTGAACCAGTCATGCATGCGATATTGTTTGCAATATACTGCGTTGCTGTGACCAGCCTCAGCAACGAGGACTGTGTCCTCCGGTGCGGTTCGCCGAAGAAGGAACTCTTGGCTACCTATCAACAGGCTTATCAGCAAGCGATTTGGCGGTGCCATTTTATGCGGACGAACGATCGTGATACCTTGACAGCTGTGCTTTTATACCTGGTGAGTCGCAATTCCGCGATTAGAACTGCAACGCTTTCTCCTCTCAGTATCTTATATCAGTGCCTAGATCTCGATCAAGAGTGATGTCGATCGTCGTCCACTTTCCACGTTCCTTGGTAGTGTTGTTCGTATTGCTCAGCGCATTGGAATCGACAGCGAAACCCAAAATGCCAAGTGCAATGCCTTCGAAGCTGAGATGCGAAGACGATTATGGTGGGCGATTGTGCTCTTTGATAGAAGGTTATGCGAAGCCTCGCACGACCTCAGGATGTCAGCACTGACACCGACCTGGACTTGTCAGCTTCCTGCCAACCTTAGTGATTTTGATCTCCGCCCGGGGATGAAGACGCTACCACAAGCTCACGAGCGACCTACCGAAGCTCTGCATATTCTGGTCCGGAGCACTATTGGCCAGTGGCTACGTTACAACGCTTCTCAGATTGACTTCGTGAATCCCCTTCTGCAGCCACTCGCGAGCAGCGTGGCCACGGAGCCGGCAGAAGCCCGTGATGAGTTTGCGGTGCTCGAGAAGCTCATCGCCGCCAAGTTTGGCAGTGAATCTAATCTGGACGATCCGCTCCACTATGCCACCATGTGGTCAGCACGGAGTGCGGTGGCAAGCGCCAAGCTTCGAAAGCATTGCTGGATCATTTTGAGATCAGATGGGCGCCGAATGGAGGTCCAGCGGGACGCCGCGATGTCGCATGCGCTGACTATCGTCGAGTGCGAAGCAAAGCTTGTCAACTCGTCGATGGCCGAGAGATTCCACTGGTACGTTGGACAATTCCCCTTTGCGGCATATATACATGTCGTCCAGGACCTGAAGATCCGACCAAAGCAGCGACAAGCGGAGCATGCCTGGAGTGTACTGAACGACGACTTCATGAGCCGATTTGGAGGAGTTAAAATAAGCGGCCATCCTGTATTCACCTTGCTTGCCAAAACAATCGTGCAGGCATGGGAGGCATGGAGACTTAGCACGTCTTCTAGTGATGAAAGGCTCGCTGTCCTGCCCATGATTGAGGAGATGCGTAAGATTGCTGAGTCGGGCGTGCCACCGGCAGCTTTGAACCCTCTGATGGAGTCTCCAGGCGGCGGAAGTGACAATCCTTTGTATGACGTTGGCTTGGAGGAATTTCTGCCGTTGCCCGCTGACTACTATGGGGGAGACGCTAGTGGAGTTCATGATATGAGCTGGCCTGATGCCGTTGGGACCACCGCAAACGACATGGATTGGCTCGGATTCGGTGGGCCAGACCAGAGATATGGCTTTGCTGGTGTCGGTTCGTCTTAGCCCTGAACGCAGTCATCTCCTTGCTCGTGACAACAAAAGGCTGAGGGGCTACGGGTAGAAGATACGTCAGGGTGGCTATTAGCAGACCGCGTATGAGTCAAGAGCACGGTGATGAACTCATCGTCCGATTGCACGGAGGTGAGATGAACTGGTCTGGTGAGTTGATAGACAGGGGACAAAACTTGCGTTGAGTACATTAGCAGTCATCGTAACCATATCGACCGTAGCTGTAAGAGACGAGTGTATCATAGTCGCCATAAACGAAAGATTGGCAGTGTTACTGATGGATATGAGCGCTTCTTTCTACCGCTGTGGCTTTGTATTTCTCGCTGTGGCGTACGATGTTCTTGTGGAGATTCCACTATTGAGTCAGGCTGGATTCCCACTGAGAAGGGTGGTCTTCGTACAGTGGTGTATCCTGTAATCACGCCGTCATGAACGTCAAGAGGAGACGACTAACGAAGCCAGTAATCGTCGCAGTAAGGAGTGGCGACAGGATCAAATGAACTGGGGAGGGGTAAAGGGCGACATTCACACATCCAGTAGCGCCCGTCATCTCGTGTCGAATGAGACGACATTCGAGTCACACGATCAAGATCTCGAATCAGCCACCAACAGCACGAGCGGCGGTAAGCAAAGCCCGCACCAGCGTCACCGACCACGCACCCCACTCTCCACCACTCACGCCACCACTCTATTAGCACCAAGTTTCACGACCCCTTGACATTTTTCTGTACCCCCCTCCCACAAATGGTAACCCCCCCACCACACCTCTCACAAGACGGCGGTGGTGATGGACTCGACTTCCGTGCCATTGCCGTCCAAAGACAATGAGTTCCTCGGTTTCTGCCCTTCGGCCGTGAAACTCCAGAATGGCGACAAGAAAAGCTCGCTGAAGAAACGGACGGAGTACCAGGATTCTTATTCCAATGCGGGCGTCAGTACGTTTTGTTGCAGCGATAAGAAGTGTGCGTTTCAGGGTCATGTGAGTGTGGATTTCGTGTGGAAGGTGGTGATGAAGGATCAGGATTTGGGGTTGCAGTGTCGGTGGGCTTTTTTGGGTAGGTTTTGAATGTTTCGTTCGAGGTGGCGGATGTTTTGCATCAGTGGGTTTGTGCTAATAAAAATGACAGCTAAAAGCCATGTCTCACAAAGCATGGTGACGGGACGACAATACGCTTATCAATGCCCCATATGCATTTTCTCACATGGACATGCCGAAGGTCGAACATGGAAGGGCACGAATATCTTCCTTGATCACGTCTCGACTCATCGTGGCAAGGAGATCCCGTCGGAAGTTCTACATAAGCTTAACATCATCAATGAATATGTCGCCGATGACAAGGAGAACTTCGACCTAAATCTGTACCCTCCGGGCTTCGATAGCAAAAGTAGCTATGGCAGTAGTGAGAGCAGCTTGACGCTCTCGCGAGCTCCGACACATACTAGTGTTCTGGAGAAGGTCTGGGGTAGGAAAGATAGTACTGCACCTCCGGCGATAGACACGAACCAGGCAGCGCATCGAGGTCAGATGTTCTCGAATGTAAGAGAACGGTCGGACTCTGTTGTACCTGGTGCTGAGAAGGACGGCGTGGCTAGGATCGAGCATGGTAGGTTTTGACCTCGCAGTAGCTTTCGTCGCCACAGCTAACGATTCGTAGTGGTGATTGTTGAACCATGGAGCGCTGGTCTGAGTGAATTCCACAAGGAACGCGATATCGACTATCTTAGTGAGGAGTTTTAGGCATAATGCATATCGTGGTTCCACATTCATACAACTGGGCCTCTCACCAGCCCTTCTCGGGACTTGCACCATGCGAACCACTAGTCTGCAAGTTGATCCTGTGAATGATCTCGCACACCATCAATCATACTGGTAAGTGACTACAAACGCTAACGTGAGGAGCCTTCTTGTAAATCATACCCATACCTGATAGCTGTGGTTCCCTTCTCCTGCTTCTGTCGGTGCTAATTCAAGGGTCAGCCCAACAAAGCAGATCTTGAGCAAACAAATAGAGCGTGGGAAGAGAAGCAGGGTGCTATCGCTGCTCAGCAGCTGAAGAGTCCTGAGTAGGATACTGTGTTGTATTATAGGTTTCACGAGCAGTTTGCTCTATCAATGTCGTGGGTTCACAACACTGACGTGAATAATTTTGAGACCCTGGCCAGGATCTGTGGTAGACTGCGTGCTAGATGGTAGATTTTGATTATACTTGACGACACTATAGACAAGGGTATCATATCGCACCGCTTCTTGTCGACTAGTGGTTATCGCCTTGTTAGCAGCCTGAGCACATCTCCACATGTGTTGCTCCTCTCGGCTTGCCATACCACAGCCACTTCATGCCATTGTCCTGTGGCGATTTCTCAACCACCTTTCCGCGGTCCAGTAGGTGTCCCAGTCCTTCTCTCCTTCTCCTCCTTCTCCTTAATCTTCCGCCTCTCGCCTTCAAGCACCTTCTTGATGCGTATGAGCGCTTCTTGTTTGTCCTTTGAACCTTTACAGTCTTCGACGCGGTAGGGTGGAGTGATGATGACGGCTTCGGAGACGATCATCTGTTGGTCGTGCCAGCGGACTTGGGTGTTTCTATCACATCATATCAGTATGCCGGCACTGCGAGTAGGTATTCAGGAGTGTTAGACTTACATCCTCTTGAAGGCGTCAAAGATCGCCTGACCTTCTTTGCTGACACCTTTTCCTCTGTTTTTCTCCTGTTCTTTCAGGGCACGCACTCGGTCTTCGCACCTCTTCTCTAGTCTTCTGATGTCCACCGCGGCTATGCTGGGCTTGGCAGAAGCGATGCCGCTTTCGCTTTCGCGTACACGTTCGCCGCTCGCTAGTGAGACGATCTGGAAGCTCTGGATGCGTGGAATGGGTATGATGCGGTAGTCGCTTGGCTGGCTTGCAAGGTCTGTGGATGGATTGGTCGCAGCTACGCGGGTATTGAGCACCACGACGTTCGTGGTCGGGTCCGCAGTGTAGAGTGTCCCATCGTATGTGTGTGACTCTGGTGCTGCTGTCGTGAGCTTGACGCGTGCTCCAATGGCTTTCGCGATCGCTTCGTGTGTCTCTGGCAGTGCAGACTGGGTTGCTGGTGCACCGGAGCCTGTCGTCTTCGGGGTCGCGACCTTCCCAGCGACACTATTGCGCTTATTGTCTGCCATGCCTGATCATTCACATAGATCTTGCTGCTACTCTTCGTTCTACCCCTGACCGACAGCAACGCGCTGTCCTTCTTGCGCAGTGCTCAGCGCATGTCAATCTATACCACCACCACTTCCGCTGCTCTCACTTCAATCTTGGTGTAACAAGACAACAAAGAGTGACAAGAAGAGAAGAGTAGCACGAACTACAATACAGTACAAGTGACACGAAACCCGCACAAGACAAGACCGTTTGTGTGTGACGCGGTATGCAAGCTAGAGTAGTGTTCACGAAATGTCCAGGAAAGCATAGGTGCACGGACCAATGAGAGAGGAGAGCTCCAGAGGGCACTCAGACAAGCCTCCCGACCTTACACAGATAGTAGCTCGTTCAAAGTCTAGCAAGATGTCATCTCTACATTCCGAGTGCTTACCAGAATATATCATACAGAGCCTGAGACTCCGGCAGCTGATCATCACTCGGGGCTCCAAGCAACAACACCTTCGTCTGTCTGCGCAATACTGACTCTTGGTTGGTCTTTGTGACTGACCAGTGACCCATCGTTGGCAAATCTATGGCACATCTCTCCTCAGTCATCATCTTCAATAGCCTGCAGCTCTCGTGGTGTCCGCGGCAACATTGTCTTGGAAGCTGACCGGTTGTATTTATGGTGGTCTGCCAACGTATACAGGTGGCTGTGCTGGCAGGCCGCGCTCGCAGGACCAGTACATGATCAGGCTACGGATGCTGGACTCGCCTGATCTATTGACCTCATATTGAGATTCAACAGGTAACACCATTTGAGTCTCACCACGACATGGCGGATCCGGTGTCCATAGCACTCAAAGGTGTCAGCACGGCCTATAACCTGTGCAACAGTATCTATACCTCCGCGAATGGCATGAAGAACGCGCCGGCGGACACTACGAGAGTCTTGGCTGACATTGAGGGCTTCTACTCCGTCCTGAGTTCGCTGGAGCACCTGATCATAGGACATTCGTACTTTCGTGATGCCGACATATCACCTTGTCGCAATGAGCGATCCCGTGAAGGGGCCAAGTGTGTAGAGAATGATTTGGAACGTCCGTTTTACCTGTAAGCTAGCTGAGCAGACGATGCACGCGCACGTTGCTGCCAATGATTAAGATTATCCTATGGCACTCTCAGTGGCTTTCAGCGCCCCGACGACCGCTATGGAGACCAACGGCGTAATTGCGTATGAGATGGTCAGGAACTTTGCAATAGCCATCTTCTCGCTCTCTTCACTGCCATTGACATCGGACAATGCCACCAAGATCATGGCTGTGGGCCCTATCGGTATCAGCATCATGCAGAACCAAAGCACTGGGTCGTTTGCAAGAGAGTTCGTCTTGATTGCTAGAACCCAAATGATTGGGATGGAGATGCTGTGGCGTCGTCAGTGTGGCAACAAGAACCCGAAAGAGGGATAAATCACTTACGCAGGCCAGATCAGGAATCTGATTACCGAAACAAAGCTGACAATACTCCACGGCACTCTTCCACTATCCTCGCCCTGTTTCATCTTCCGCATACTCTGGCTCAACTTCACGCCTACGACTAGCACTTGCAACGTGGCGAACAGACTCCCGATGTTCTGGACCGGCGTTGTCAGCCAGGCGTTGAAGTAGCCGCCTTCGTTCGTCTCGCTGAAGAAGAGCTTGTGTAGTGCCGGGACCAGACCGATGATCGCCCCGATGACTGCGCCAATCAATGGTGCGTTAACGAAAGAATACAGGATATCAAGTGGTGTCTGTATCCACTTTGGCTGATTATCCCACCAGTGTTTGGTGCGGAAGTAAAGTCGGTCTCCGGCTTTGTAGCTGACTTGGATAAGGGGCTTAGGTAGTAACGAGGTCTCCTCGTCGACTCGACGTTGCTCATCCTCGTTATCGCGCTCGTCATCGTGAGCATGCTCCTGGTCGTCCTCGCGTTGGATATATGGATATCCATTCGTTGCACCAGGATGAGTCTCCTCGACCTTCATCTCACCCTGCTTCCAGCTTTGAGGCTCGTCCTCGTCATGAGGTTTGAGCAGTCTTGGTCCCAGCGCGAAGGTCAGGGAGTTGCTGATCATACTGTTGACTAAGAAATAGCTCTCCGCTCGATCGATCGCTGCCGCAGCTGTATCACTCCCAACCAGGATTGAGTCCAAGATCCCAGTAGATTCAACGACTGAATAAGTAGCAGTGGTAGACTAGTAGTATTATTAAACGTCAACGCCGGCGTGACCCAAGCCGGTAATTTGAAGGCTCTCGTGCACATCGTCCCTAGTCCCATCGAGAGGAGATTGTAAATAATCGACCAAACCAGAATGGGGACATAACGTCCGACGGTATCAGCGTGAAGTTGACTTCCCACTTTCGTAATCAGAAGAGCGGGCAGGAATATCCGAACACATGTTCGTGAGACTTGTTTAGCGGCATCGCTGTCGAGGAGGCCGAATTGTGCTATTAGGACTCCGGCGAAGATTGTCAAGAGGACGGAGACGGAGGCTTGAAGAGCGCCTAGGAAAGGGGGGATGATTTCGGCTGGTGAGAGGCCCATGGCTCGTGTCAATGTGGGGTGTAGATAGGTAGTAGAAGGCTCGATTGATGGGGTCGCGTGACCTCGAGTTGATGCAATGTAGGACCAAGAAAAGGCGAAGCTTGAATTACGATCACGAACGGTACTGTACCTGAGAAGCGGCTCGGCGAGATCACGCATGAAGACGACGTCACGCGATTCCATCAGACGGGAAAGCGACAAGGGTCGGAGAGCGTGCTATTGACCTGCCGGGAAAGCGCGGAAGGGCGTGAGACGTGTGTCTGCTTCTGATGAGATAAGGTGAGGTAAGAATTGCGGGAGCAGGTGGGGTCGTTATATATATGGCTAACGCTATGCTCTGCCTGTTGGCGTCCTCCTCTATTCACTCCGTGACAACCATAACGAGGTGCAACATGGCCGAGCACTCTACCATCAATCCGCTGGAAGGCTGCCTCGCGGTGGACTCTGTCGCCCCAATTTGCCATGGCTGTCGTGGCATTGCGCCACAATCCTCTTAGCCAATTCAACGGCCATGCTCCCCAAAAGCTGGCTGCTCCAGCCATAATTCGTCGTTCTGCGGCAGCCTGGATATTGCACTCGAAATGGTGTTGTCGGTCACTCACTAATCTGGGCGGCACGCCACAAGAGTGTTCGCGCGGAAGAATGGCGATGGGAATCATGTTTTTGCGGATTTCTCCTCTGATCATGGTTGTGGAATCCATCGTCCCTCAGCCAAGCATCTTCATGCCAGGCTTTATAACCGGCTTCTTCTCAATATGCGCACCAGTTTGAGCTCGCAGCGGATCACCCTCCTTACCACCCGACTTGTCACGATTCCGGTTGTTCTTGCCCTTGTGCTTATCATTCTGCTTCTGCTTGGTCGGCGTGAGATCTGTCTTACTGCGCTGGATCGTGACTGGATGACTGCCGATGTACTTGCCCACCATCTCCCTCGCAGCCTTGAACCCCTGCTCGCCATCCGTGAACGACACGAATCCAAAGCCTTTCGATTTTGTTGTGCGCTTGTCGCGGACTACTCGCGCTTTCGAGACGCCGTAGTTTGCAAACGCTTTGGCGAGCGACTCGTCTGTGACTTCGCCTGCTAGGTTGCCGACCATGAGTCGAAATTGCGTTGGGTCCCACTCGAGTAGTGACTGATCTTCCCACTGCTGGCCTCCACCTTTCCGTACCACGGTCAACTTCTTCTCTTCTAGCGACTTAGGCTTGGCATCATTCACGGCTTCCACGACACCTGCTTGTGGCCTCGTGCCTATGGGTGCTAAGTTGGGATTACCAGCTTTGTCGGGCTTCATGCCTCTCCTGTTTCGATCTTGCTCGTCCGCGGGCGCATATGCTGATTGCCATGATGCTACAGCTGCTTCGTATTCGGGGTCGTAGTTTGGATTTGCGGCGCCAGCGGCTGCTGTTCGCGGTGGTGGCGGCGCACCGAACGGATTCGTTATCTGTGGTGGTGTGTTTTGATACTGTGCTTGTTGAGCGTATTGACCTGTGTAGCCTGGAGGATAGCCATACTGGTACTTTGAGTAGTCCATCATGGAAATTGACACTATATGCCTCCTATGAATCTGTGTGCGTGGTATATGAGTTGTTGTTGCTGAAGGTTCACAAATGGCAAGCACATGTACACGATGTCTTCGAGATCCGAAACCCTGACTCGCGTGACCCGTGCCTCAGGCGTCAAGTGACGTCAGTCGACAGTTGAACTTCCATCACTAAATTAATACACACATTAGGTCTTGTAAGTGAACCTGCTATGTTCGAGTATCTTTGTTCCCACAGGACACATGCAACACCAGTACTTCATGACGCGTTCTGCGTGCTTGGACGCGACAAGAAACGCCTACGTCGAGCCCACAGATGCCGGACAGATGTTGCCCCACCAAGTTGGCACGAGCACTGCCAAAATTAATAGTCGTCTGGTCTTCTCGTCGAGTAGTGTTTGCAATCGATCGGTAGTGCTCTGCCGATAATAATGCACCGCTCTCGAAAGTATCCGGTCAGTCTTGATAAGCCGAATTGCTTCTTACTGCTGTATCGTTGAGCAGCTAGTATGGCATGGCCGTCGCGGTTAATAGCGAAAATCATAGAAGTTCACTTTAGCCAGTCAAAGGTCATCAATGCCAACCTGAGGCTCGGTTTTCGCGCTTGATAGCTGGGCCGATGTGACGAAAATCAGCCGCGGTGCCGGCCTTCGGCAACTGAGATGTGGGATGTTTCGCATGCCAGGACGCCACGAGGGGGGTTCCAAGCGGTGTTGCAAGAATCTCGAGCACATCATTGTCAGTGTCGCCAATACGAAGTTCTCCGTCAGAGCTCGGAAGCAGCACAGAGTGACCGGGACAGATAGCTCTGATTAGCAGATTGTTTCATCAGCAGGATCGGAGGTGTCGGCGAAGAAGGAAAGGGAAGCGGGCCCCTCCTTCCTAAATCTTCTGGCTATGAGTTCACTTGCTGCTTCCGCCTCAACGAAACCTCTCTCTCGACGTATTTCATCCGCTGCATCAGCTGCCTTCAGTACTCCTCAGCGACGTCTAACAAACTTCGCGCAACACTTGAACCACAATCCGAAGAACACCGTCAACATGTCCAACCAAGAAGCTGTGTAAGTCTCACTCGCTGCCCCACCTTGACATTTGTTGGCGGGAGAAATTTGTTGGTCAACCAAGGATATGGGACCAAAGGCAGGCACATGGCATGATGAGGATAGAGGAACGACTATAGCCTCCGACTCATGTGCCTGGCATCTCTGACAGGCAACAACTGCTATCTCACCCATCTCTCACAGCTCAGGTATACCTGACATTCGTCACCCAATGCTGATGCTTCACCTCTTACAGCGGAGACTTCGGTCTCATCGGCCTTGCTGTCATGGGTCAGAACTTGATCCTCAACGCCGCTGACCACGGCTACACCGTCGTTGCCTTCAACCGAACTGTCGCCAAGGTCGACCGTTTCCTGAACGACGAGGCCAAGGGCAAGAGCATTGTCGGAGCACACAGCATCGAGGAGTTCGTCTCCAAGCTCAAGAAGCCCAGGCGTATGATGTTGCTCGTCATGGCTGGCAAGCCAGTCGATGACTTCATCGAGACTCTGCTCGGTGCTGGTGTGGAGAAGGGCGACATCATCATTGATGGTGGCAACTCTCACTTCCCGGACACCAACCGCCGAACCAAGTACTTGGCGGAGAAGGGCATCCGATTCGTCGGGTCTGGTGTGTCTGGTGGCGAGGAGGGTGCCCGCTACGGGCCATCCATCATGCCAGGTGGTAACGAGGAGGCATGGCCATATATTAAGGACGTTCTCCAGGACATTTCCGCCAAGTCAGATGGTGAGGCCTGCTGCCAGTGGGTTGGTGACGAGGGTGCTGGTCACTACGTCAAGATGGTGCACAACGGCATTGAGTACGGTGACATGCAGCTTATCTGCGAGGTGAGACCGTTGATCATGATTCGCTCGAGTTGTGGGAGGTGCTAATACTTTGGCAGGCATACGACATCATGAAGCGTGGCTTGAAGCTGAGCGACAAGGAGATCGGCGATGTCTTCTCGCAATGGAACAAGGGCGTGCTCGACTCCTTCCTTATCGACATCACCAAGGACATCCTCTACTTCAATGATGACGATGGGACCGCGCTTGTGGAGAAGATCATGGATTCTGCTGGACAGAAGGGTACCGGAAAGTGGACTGCGATCAACGCACTCGACATGGGCCAGCCCGTGACACTCATCGGCGAGGCTGTGTTCGCACGATGCTTGTCTTCGCTCAAGGCCGAGCGAACACGCGCCAGCAAGACCCTCACTGGCCCCAAGATCCCAGAGTTCAAGGGCGACAAGAAGGAGTTTGTTGACAACTTGGAGCAGGCTCTGTATGCCTCCAAGATCATCTCATACACCCAGGGCTTCATCCTGATGCAGAACGTGAGTCGCTCACAAATATCGAGTGATTGCTAGCTCGTACTGACAACACCCTCAGGCCGCCAAGGACTACGGCTGGAAGCTCCAGAAGCCCGAGATCGCCCTCATGTGGCGCGGTGGCTGCATCATCCGCTCCGTCTTCTTGAAGGAGATCACCCGCGCTTACCGCAAGGACCCCGACCTCGAGAACCTCCTCTTCGACGAATTCTTCCACAAGGCCATTGACAACGCTCAGCCCGGCTGGCGTGAAACCGTCTCCATTGCCGCCAAATGGGGTATCCCAACACCTGCCTTCTCCACTGCTCTGGCCTTCTACGATGGTCTGAGGACGGAGGATCTGCCTGCCAACCTTCTCCAGGCCCAGCGTGATTACTTCGGTGCCCACACCTTCCGCATCAAGCCCAAGTTCGCCAGCGAGAAGTACCCTGAGGGCAAGGACATCCACGTCAACTGGACTGGCCGTGGTGGTAACATCTCTGCTTCTACCTACACTGCTTAAGCGTGTTGTAGTTCGAGGAGATATCTGATGTTGATGGTACATGTCGATGTGAAACATGAGCACAGAGCTTTTGGCTAGGTTGAAGTCGCGCCTAAAGCCTTCATAGACAGACGCAGGTGGTGTATCTAGCGCAAAGAAATACGAAATCGATATCAAGCATATTGTGCGGCTGCGTTGTTGGCTTGATGCCGCTTTGGATGCCCTTCCTTTCGCCACTCTTCTATGGAGTACACCTTGTCAAGTAGTTCCGTCCTACGACAGATATCGAGATCGAGACCCAGCGCATGCACTGTGGCGAGGTCAAGACACTTTACTGTTGCAGTCGCACACTACTACGTTGAACTATTTGGTCGGTAGCTCGTCAGGACCGAAACATCCCGCCGTTCTTCGAGACCACCTCGTACCCCTCGTACATTGACAGGGATGACGTGCACTACCAGCAAGACTTCAATTTACTCACATACACGTGTTGCTCGACCGGCAGCGAGTGGTTTGGCCCCATCAAACGACTGCAGGACATCTTTCTACCATGCATCTAGCCATTGCAACAGTATGTTAGTCCGGCCGACCTAGAGAAGCATTTATTGCTCTGATTATCCCTTCCCTCACATCATCTCATGAGCAGTTCGTTGACCTTCACATATCACACATATAACATACCTAGAACCTACCCTCCAAACCTAACAATGAGGACCTCCATGCTCTCGTTGGTATTGTTGCCACTCGCTACCCAGGCAGTCAACGTTGTGCTCTCTAACGATGATGGCTGGGCTGAGATCAACATCCGAGAGTTTTATAGCAGTCTCACCAAGGCCGGCTTCAACGTTGTGCTCTCTGCTCCAGCCGAGAACGAGTCCGGGACCGGTTCTTCTGATGCTACGCCGACGACTGTGGGCGGTGGCGGGTGCGAGTTTCGCTCCTGCCCGGCTGGTAGCCCACCTTATGGCAAGAATGCTTCTATGCCACGTTTCAACGTGAGCCGGCCTCCGATGAAACATATGGACCAAGCTGACCAGTCACAGTACGTGAACTCCTACCCTGTCACCTCTATGCGTTACGGAATTCAGAATCTCTCCCAGACCTACTTCGGCGGCCCACCAGATATCGCCGTAGCTGGACCAAACGTAGGGGCCAATCTAGGCCTGACCACGCAAGTCTCCGGTACCGTCGGAGCTGCCACTGAAGCAGTCAAGGAGGGTATCCCTGGCCTTGCTTTCTCCGGTACAACCGGTACTCAAACTGCTTGGAACACAGCCCCGCAAATATATGAAGAAGTCTACGCCGATCTCTCGACCACTGTTACGCAGGCTTTGGTCAACTCTGGCAAGCCATATCTGCCTTCTAATATCTGGCTGAATGTCAATTACCCAGCTGTAAGCAGCACGAGCTGCTCCTCGACTTCCAGCTTCGAGTTCGTGCTGTCCCGCATCAACAGTGCTGTTCCTTTGCTCACACCGAAGGACGTTGTGACTTGCAATAATGGTGGAAGATTGCCGACAGAGACCACGGTGGTTGGGACTGCTGGGTGTTATGCTTCGATTAGTGTGGGTATAGCGACGACGAAGCTGGATGCTAGTGCTGCTAATCAGCAAATTGTGCTCACGAAGCTGAAGAGCATCTTGTCGTGTTTGCCTTCTTAGATTGCAATATCTGTATAGAAGGACTCGGATATGCGGGACCATCTATAGATCCACTTGGCTTGAGCCTGTCCTCGTCTCAAGAGATGCCATCAAATCACGGTCCCATCTTTGTTCATTCCTTTCTGATCTCAATCATAGACAACGATCCACCTCTCGGCTTCGTAATTCCCACGATATGTAGACTCGGGTCGGCCCTCTTGATCACATCCTCCCAATCACTCTTCTCACGCTCTAGACCATTGAACATGGACATCATGACCATATCAGCATTGCGAACATACTTCTCCTGCAAAGGATGCATAGCCCCATGCTCAGGCACAACAGCATCATTAATCAGTAGTCTTGTCTCTGGTCCCATTTTCGCGGCTAGCTCTCGCAGTATCAGTGCCGCGTCCTCGTCTGGCCAGTCGTGTAGGATGAGTCGGAGGTAGAAAGCTGCTGGTTCGTTATAAGGTTGTGTGGTGAAGAAGTCGTGGGGTCGGAATGTGAAACGCTCTTTCAGTTCTGGTTCGAGCTCGGCTTGGCCTTTGCCTACCATCGCTGGTTGGTCCTGGACGATGAAGTGAAGGTCTGGTGCTGCTGCTGCGATGGCTTTGCTTACATGACCTGCTGAGCCGCCGACCTGTACGGTTGAGTAAGAAGGGTTACACTATCACGTCAAATTTTCTCATAGCTTGGAAAGCACTCACATCGACAACGACGCCATTACCTAGGCTTTGCCAGTCGAACGCCTCAACACTATATCTTGTGCTAGAGGGCCCGGCAGCAGCGCCTCCTTTCATGCTCTCCGTAAACCATACTGACCTCACAGGATCATTCGCTATATACTCAAGAGCCCTCTTCTCAGTATCATAAGCAACATTGAAAGGAGCGTGCACGCCCTTCTCATCATTGGTGCCGTACTTCTCGTGAGCATCGACCATACGAGAGACAGCAGGATAGACGGTCTGCGTCAAGTTTCCCACAGGTCCACGGATGAGATTTCCTGGCTCGGCGAGTTGCTTGGACAGACTACTATGTGCGATGTGACCCGGTATAGGTTCTAGAAAGATATTATTGGTCATGGCGTGGCGGAGGATTCGAGTCATCTTGTGTTGGTTCAGGTTGAGTTTCTTAGCGAGGTCGGCATAGCTGATTGAGTCTTGGTTCGGCACCGCGGAGGGAATATCATAGTGGTAAAGCCATTGCAGCGTCGTTGTATCTGGGGCCTAGAAATGTCAACGATATTACATCAAGACCAGTGGCTCGAAACGACGAACACCAGATAGAGCAAACCACTGCAGCGACTCTGTAGGCCCCAAGGCAAGAAATTGTAGTTGTCTTGCAGCGTATATCAACTGCATACGTGCAGCGGTCACATCCTCGGAGGCAGTCTTAGGGAAGCTGGGAGGGGAATCCGTGTCGAAAGTGAAGTGGTTGTTTGTCTTGTCAAGGAAGTCCGAGACGATTGCAGCGTTCTTGGTGATGTCGGCGGCGAGACCTTTGAGGGTCGGCTGCTTTGTGTCGGACATACTGAAACACTATTCATAGATATTTCCGTCCATGTCTAAGATGACATGAAGTCGTTGGTCTGTCGATCGTTATATTGCGGAAGCTGCTGTGGAGTGCAGCGATGACGGCAGATCGACCAGAAGCGAACATCAAGATCGAAGACAACGATGCTAGCCGTTTACGAAAGCATTCTCGTAGGTATAATAAGGTGTCCCTCAGGTATAGTCCATTCATGCATGACATCACGCTAAAGAAGAAGCAGAAGCACTACACTATCACATGCCGAACGGCAATCTACACGAACGCTCCTCTTTTGCCTCCTCCACCTCTGCCACTAGGATCATCCCGTGTGATAGGACTACGCAGTGGCTCATCATACAGCTCCTCGCCTTCGTCACTGACATCAGCATAGGGATCCCTCGTCCTTCGTTGCCGTCCCAGATCCCCAGTCGCCCCTAACACTTCTGGAGAACTCGAGTTCCCGCTTGTGATTTGCCAATCATCACTGCTGTTCCGCCTTCCATGCTGTCCGTGAGGCATCCCCATGCCTTCTTCCGGCTCCTCGGTGTAGCGTGGTAAGGTAGGATTCGAGCTATCGCCCTGCACAAGGCCCAACCGCTCTTCTTCGGTGGTTGCTGAACCGGTAGGGTACTCGCGAGCGGAGCCACGACTGCTGTAGGAGAAGGCACCACGGCTTGTTGGTCGGTCGTCTTCGGCTGTCTCGACATGCGATTTGCGGTGGAAAGGATTCTGGAAACTGAATTGTCTCTTCCCACCTCCGGTGGCACCCTGTGCCGGCCGAACATGTGGAGGAGGTTGTGGTGGCGCGAGACTGCTTCCGCGTGATGAGGCACGCTCACGAGCTTCTTGCTCGGAGCCTGCGAAGCGAATATGTGGTGTGTCGCCGCCTGCTGCACCTTTATAGGCGGTATCTTCTGCTCCATCATGAGAGTTGACTTTCCGCAGCCCAGATGGCAGACCGTAGATATGCTCTGGTTGGTCTGCGTGATCACCTTCGGCACTCGTGAGCTCCATCTTTACTGGTGCTACGGTCGACAACGGCACGGGAGAGCGTCCACTTCTGCTACCTCTGTGACTCTGCGAGTCGCGATGTCCCATGCGCCCAATGCGGCCGAAAAAACCGGGGTGGACCTCGCTATCAGGCTCACTAACAGCGTCGTCGTGATCCGGGAAGCGTGACATACCGAGTGGCGGGTGCACTGTTTTCCGACGAGACAGACTACCAGTCCCACTACGACCAGCAGATGAGACGGTTTTGCGTCTTCGCAACCCGTCCCACTCAAATTCCTCATTCTCGTTGACCGGATTGAGCTCTTCGTGTATCCGCTTCACTTCGTCTGCTTGTCGTTTCGTGCGGATTTTGCTCATGGCTCGGACAATACCAGCACCGCCGCGAATCGTGTCAGCTCTTGGCTCATATTCGGGTTCCTCGACTTCGGCGACTGTGCGTATCTGATCCAGATCGCCTTTGAATACTGCTGTGTCTGGCACGTCCTTGGCTGATTTGGCTAATTGCAGGAGTACAACACCACTACAAATGACCATGAATCCAAGGACGACATCCACGATCTGGATGACTGTGCCGTGCAGACCCTGGAAGAGCACGGCGCTGGCCACGATCGTTGATGAGGTAAAGTAGACGTAATATGTTGGCGTCACCAGAGATGCGTTGAAGAGATTCAATGCTTTCTGTCAAATCTGTCAGCCCTTACTCCACATATCGCACGATGCCTGTACACTGACGTTGAGATAGATGATTTCCGTCACCAACGTGCATATGACGAACACGAACAGCACATATAAGAACCACTTGTTGAACTGTGCCTCGCCATTGATCTGCGCCACAATCGCGGAACCTAAGCCTTGGGTACTGACCACGCTCAGGCCGCCGATCAGACTGCAGATGGTGAGGTATACCAGCATACTCTTCTTGCCGTATCTAGGTCCAGCCCAGAAGGCAGTGAAGACGCATCCCAGTATGATGACGCCAGCATACGAGAGAAAGCCAGGGGTGATCACGTAATGTTGCATCTCCTGTATGTTCGCCACAGCGCTTTGCTCGGGCGCGTTGAGCGGGATGATGATTGATCCGAGAATGCAAATGGCACACCCGATCTTGCCCACGAAACTCAGCCGTTCTTTGAGAAAAACAGCGCTCAAAATCGTCGTGATGACCACGGATAGTGCACCTAGAGGTGTGACCAAGATAGCATCGGTAAAGGCATAGGCGACAAAGTTGCAGATCTCGCCCACAATCATGAGAGTCATGCCGCCCCACCAGTAAGCGTTCTTGAGATACCCATAGCCCTCTCCAGCCTCCTCTTGGTATTTGACGTTTGCTTTCAGTAGTCCGACCTTCTTCATGACAAAGGAGACGCCAATGAAGAGTCCTGAGGCTACAGCTAGACATATTCCAACGATCTTGTATGAGGCTGGCCGTTGTGCCTTGGCGGCTGCTGTGGCTGTCGCAGATGCGCTGTGAGTGCCTGTCGCACTTGAAGCCGTTGCGGAGGTGGCATCGGCGCGGGCGAGCAGGGTCACGGTCTCGGTGATAGTCTGGTAGAAGATCTCCCGAGCGACGTCCATCGGGGCGAGGCTAGGCGCAAGTATTGTGTGGGATGCTTATCGTGACGCTGTACGTCGCTGCATAGGCGTAGAATGCCGTCCAGGGAGTCGCAGATGCTATGCGCCAGCCCTGTATCCAGTATGTATATGTCTAGTCGTTGAGTGCAGTTCGACCGCGAGACTGAGTCCTTCTTCTCCAACCCAATGCCTTATCCAGCAAGCGCTTACTGCAATCCTTCTACCTTCTGCGAGTCGTGGTCTTCGTGTGCAGTCGTTAAAGCTGTGCAGCGCCCAGAGACTGTCATAGGTATTCCAAGTAAAGCTGTGTTGAGAAAGAAGCGTAGAAGTGTTTATCGTCCCATAAGGCTTTCCCATATGCACTTACGGCGTCGCGAAATACACCAGCACATGCATGCGACTCTGGGGTCCAGGTCGAGAACACCAAGCGATCGTGGCGCAGACGAGTGGCGTTCTGTAAGCGAAGAAGATAGGGACAAATTATGCGTGGAGTTGGCAGCTGCGATTGAATGCCTGACAAAGGAAGGTGGTATGATTGTTGTTTTGACCAACGGAAGCTATTCAAGCCGACTTGTCACCAGCGTCGTCGCGTTCATACGGCCATCCCGGTCAATATCAGGGGTCTAAAAATAATGGCCATAGCGTCTGCCTGCGAACGTATCTTGATGAAGTGATCAAGACGACTGCAACATATATGCCTACAACTGCATGATGGCGCATCCGCAGACTCTGCCCACCAAGACCAACGGAACCTCCTCCACAATCTACTCCGTCACGTCCATTGAAGAGATCAAGGCCGCATTATCAGAACTCAATCAAAGGGATGCTGCAGTAACAGCACGCCTAGACGAACTTCTCGCCACCCAAAAAGACGTTACTCGTCAGCTTGGACGCCTGGATCTTGCACGCGCGCACCTCGGAAGTCAAGTCACCGCAACCAGGACCATCAGCAATGACATCCTTGCGCCGGCGGCATCGACAGCCCACCGGATCAGCTCTGCAGTCAAGAAATTAGATCGCGAGCAGGCAGCCGTCAAAGCAACGCTAGAGGTCGTTGAACAAGTCGCCGAGCTCAAGGCATGTGTCCTGGGTGTCCATGGGTCTATGGGTGCGCCGCAGGACTGGGAGACAGCTGCTTCTTACCTGCATCGTGCTTCCAAGCTTCCTGCCGGCGTAATCGATGGTGCTTTCGCAGACGAAATAGTGCCGACTGCTGAAGTGCCTGATCCGCCCAGACAGACACTCAGCGCTGCTAGCGAGAGTCTGTGCGGTCTCTTCTTGAGAGAATTCGACAAGGCTGCGAGAGATGGTGATGGTGCAGCTGTTACGAGATTCTTCAAGCTATTTCCGCTCATCGACCGACGTGAAGTAGGCCTTGATGCATACGGACGATATGTGTGTTCCGGCATTGCGGCCAGAGCACGCACGAACATGGGCGCTTCACAACGACGTGAAGGTCTGTTCTACGCCAACGCGCTTACGAAACTGTTCGAGCACATTGCACAAATCATCGATGGTCATGAGCCGCTTGTCGAGAGACACTATGGGGTCGGCAGCATGACCAAAGTCATAGAGCGTATCCAAGTCGAAGCAGATGCGCAAGGTGGCATCATCCTCGATACTTGGGCGGAGGAGCGACGAGTAAGCCGTAAGCTCACAGATGTCAAGAGCTATCCCTTCAATTTCTTGGTCCAGTCTTTCTTGCCTAGTCAGAGGCCTACACTCGGCACTTCGCCCAGGACTGGATCCCCAGCACCAGGTTCGGGACGCACAAGCGAGGATGAGGGAGTGGATATGAAAGAAGTCGATGCGTTGTTGAATGAAACTGCCGTTATGCTCGGCCGCTGGAGCCTGTATACACGGTTCTTGGCAAGCAAGTCAGCACCTGGTGTTGATGACGAGCATGCGAAGCTGAGCGTGCCATCGTTCGTTTTGCATAGTAGGCTCCACAAACGGGTGAACGAGCTGTTGGTCGAGCCATTCAACACCATGGCAACCTTCTTCTTCCGCCGATCTGTTGAGAAGTCCTTCCAGCTAGACGACTGGCCTCACGATCTAACACTCAATCCTAACAAACCGCTGGGATCAAGCCCACCATTTGTAACGACTGCTGTAGATGATGTAATGTACATCGTCAACCAGGTCCTCCAGCGCACACTGTCCACTGGGCAGCGCTCGATCATTGGCAGTGTCGTACCAAGCGTTGGTCGAGTGCTTGGATCCGACCTTTTCGGCATGGTCCAACGGAGAATGCGAGACGAATCGTACCCCAAAGCCGCAATACAAGGAGCCCTACCACCCGAGAATGTCATCGTCCAGTTCCTTGTCTTGATCAACAACCTCGATATCGCCACAGAATATGTCAAACGAATCATCCGAACATGCTTGAATCTGCAACAAGACGGCACAAACGGACTCACAGACACCTTCCCTTTCGGCAACGAGGCGACCGCCGTCGAGCGTACACTCCGAAACATGGAAGCCGGCTTCGAGATCAAGACCTCCGAGCTCATCAATGAAGCCATTGAAGTCATGCTCAAACAGGTCATGCGACCTCGTTTGCGACCAGTGATGATTGAGACCTTCCGCGACGTAGACTACAGCTCGGACCCAGACCATCAATCCGAGGACACCGACGAACCAGTGATAGCCGAAGGCGCAGTACCTCAGCGCTTCGAGCGTGGCTGGCAAGCGTTTACACTACCCGTGAAACGGATCCTGACATCGTCTACGTACGACAAACTACTCACAGCCACCATCGCCTACCTCTCCCGCACACTGGAGAAGCGCATCTGGTCCTACTATGGCCGTGTCAACGATCTAGGCGCCGTGCGGCTCGAGCGAGATATCGCTGGTGTAGTCAGCGCTGCTGTCAAAGGCGGACGATACGAGCTTAGAGATCTGTTTTCGCGTTGTGTGCAGATGACTTTGATCATGAATATGGAAGAGGATGAATGGCAGGAGGTGGCGAAGCTGGACGGGAGTAAGTTGGAAGCTGAGACGGGCGTGGCGTGGAAGCTGGAGAAGGAAGAGAGGAAGAGGGTGCGTGGTATAGTCGCTGATCGAGCTTGAGTGATTGCGCTACACGCTCTATCACATCACTTCATCTTCGACTTCTTCATGGTCACCGCCTTCGTGGCTATCGGCTTCGTCGTCAACGTGATCGTCTTCAGCTCGACCATCATCGCTTCCAGCTTCATCGTCATCCGATCCAACCACCGCATCCTCATTATCCTGACACAGGCTCCGCCACACGCGCAGCAACCTCTCCTTCGTGACCACAGGCACCCCCTCACGCCATGTCAATTGCTCAACAGCCTCTATCTCAGCTGCACAATTCAGCTCCACACAAGGGAGAGCCTGACTGGAGCAAAACGGATTCAGCTCCTCATCCGAGTAATCACAAAGATCCATGGGGTGCAGGTCACGGATGTCTAGTATATCCGCGGCGTCCGGCGTGGTCAGATCGAGATGGAGTTCGCGATAGCAATAAATCGCACTATTTGTGCAACATCAGTATAGACACGAGATAGAGAGCGGTGAGGCAGCTTGTGAAGATAGACATACTCTGCTTCTACCTCTACTTCTGCATCTGCTTCTTCATCCTCTGTCCTCCCAGGCTGTGAACACTTGCCCACGCAGTCGAAGTTCAACCTGCGCAGATTCGTTACTGCCTTGTCACCGAGATTATCGAGCCATGCCGAAAAGTTGCATTCGGTGTGGAGGTCGCGGAGCTCGAAAGTTATGGTTTGTAAGAATGGTATGTGGATCTCTCTACGAATGGTTCGGCAGACTTCGAGGATAGTGTGATGGTAGCTCAAGTCGTCGGGCCCTTTATGAGATGTATTCTGGCGATGTACTATGACGAGTAGATCTCGAAGATAAAAGCTGTAGATGCGCAGACGCAGCTCTGCCGGCAGACCTAGAAGGCTGGCTCGTCGTATTCGGGTGGTGATACGCGCAGGTTGCGCTGTCATCTTGTTAGATGTTATGAAGTACACCATGAAAGACCATGCAGTCGATTCTTGGCTTACAGTATGCACCTTGTGCAGACTGGGACTTTATACACTCGACGTCAAGGCGAGCGTGCGGCGGTTTGAGCGTGGTATTGACAGCTGCGCCACTGAATCCTGCTGAGGTCGCGCATCAAATCAGAGTAAATCCTGAGAGGCCGGCCGTTGGCTGAAAGTCACAGATAGGCATTTGCGGCTTCGAAGTGATTGTAATGCAGGCTCAGCAAAAGGCACATCAAGATCTCGACAAATCGTTCATATCGACTATCGTACGCAGAGGCTATCTACAATCGAGACTGCATAGCACATCTAGTAAACATATCTGAACCTCGGGTTCTGCTTATCAGTCAATCCAGCAAAAGCCTGGCTGTCCGCGATATCCTCACCAGCCGCACTGCTCTTCTGATCGCGCTTCTTGTTCACAATCCTATAGTAAATGTACATACTGATGCTCAACGCGATGATGACACACTGGAAGCTCATCATCGAGGCTTTGGCCGGCGTGTACGCAGGAGCGTCCTTGGCTCGGAATGTCTGTGGACCGATGATGTTACCGATCGCAAAGGCTGCGTTCAGTATCGTAGTTGCTACACGCTTCTTGGTGTGGCCGGCGACATTTGCCGTGATCCAGGAGAATTGGATTGGGACAGCCGCGAAGATCGCTGTGACGAGGTAGATACCAGCCAGCAAGCCAGTCTTATCGGATTTCGGAAGATATGCCATGAGTGCAGCACCGATGATTCCAGGGCAAGTGATGAAGATCAGGAAAGCCCACCGGTTTCCAAAGAACCTCACGCCGTAAGATGTGAGCAGACACGTGGTAATGGCGACTGCTCCACCGCCCATGTTAAGCAAGGCACTCTCTTTTGGAGTGTAGCCAAAGCCTTTGATGAGTGTGGCAGAGTAGGTAGTGATGACACCACCTCCACCACCTTCCAATAGCATGATGAGCCATTGACACCAGAGCTGGAAATCAGTGAAAGCCTCCCTGACCTCCGCCCATGAGAAATTGCGGCGATTCTCCACACCCGTCTGGTTAATCTTGACGTGCTCGAGCAAGGAGACTTTCTCCTGATCATTGAGAAAACGTGCACTCATTGGTGAGTCCGGTACCAGGAACCAGATCAGTGTGGCTAGGACAAGAGTGAGCAAACCAAGAACAATGTACCTGTCAACAGATCAGCCATGCGTCATTGCCGGACTCGATTCTCTGACAGCTTACATGATCCGCCAGCCCTCGATCGGCGCTCTTGCACTGACATGCTGGAAGCACCAAGAAGTGAAGCCTCCGATGATCATGCCGCACGCTGTTCCAAGGTACCACCAGACGAAGCGGATGATTTGCTCCTGCCTGGTGTACCACTGACCGCTTATGAGCATAAGGCATGGCGGTACAGCCGCCTCAAAGATTCCGGAAAAGACGCGAGCAGTAACTAAGCCGCTAAAGGTAGTCGCAGATGCAGTGCATGCTGTAGCTACAGCCCAACCAAAGAGGGTGAAAGCCAGGTATTTACCAACAGGCAGTCTCTGCAAGAGGTAGACTGGTGAAATGTCAGAAGTGGCCCGCTAGAAAGCTGCGCTGCCCTATTGTGCTTACTGCTTGGAAACTCGAAGATCAAAACGGCTATCCAGAAAGCAGACGAGGCATTTGTGAAGTCGTTGCCTACGAGGTGAAGTTGCTTACTTAAACCCATAACATTGGCATACTACCATGGACCGCCAGTCAGTCTTGATATCGATGCCAATCTTCAATAACGTGACTTACGTTCAGCGTGATCTTGTCGAGGTAGTTCATAAGATAGGCCAAGGCAAGGAACGGGATGACCCTCACGTCAATCTTGCGGCGCAGTGCGGCCATTCGAGCCGCATCGTGGGCGAAGTTGCCCTCAACACCGTGCTGTTTGAGGAATTCGAGCGCCTCGTCACCGACGGCATTAGAAGGCAGAGAATCATCTGACAAGTGCTTGGTCATATTCAACACCTCCGGTGCCTCGACGTGCTTTTCATCCACTATCGGGTGTGCCATGTTGTCCGGACAAGCAAACGAAGATTGACTTTCCGCTCGAGTAGGCACTTTTGCGTAAAACTCGGTTTGAGTGGTGGCTTGATGTCAGAGGGAAGAGGAGGAGAGAGTGCTGGCCGGTTAGAGATTTCCTTTCAAACCTGGCGCATCGTCTGCACCATGCAATCGCGGCGCAAGTGCCGTATCGTAAGCTCCCTAGTCGCTTGGACAGAAACATACTGCTAGCTTCATCTGCGGGAAGAGAAGCCATGGGGAGCTGTTGGAGGAAGCTGCGGCTTTTGCACAACCGAAGCATGGGATATTGATTGCTTCCAGGGTCCAGCAAAACAGCCACGCTGTCGTTGGACAAGGTTCAGAGCGTAAATCTTATCTTAATAGGGACATGCAGACTTTATCGGTATGTGGAGCGGCAGGTCTGCTTCCATCATCCGATTGGTATGGAGACCAATCAGCTACCATACCACTCACCGGACCGAGACGCCACGTCAGGCCGTGCGCCTGCGGGACTTATTTGACTCCCGATAACAGCGTCATTTAGCATTCGCGAAGCCATAGTCAGAAATAAGGATGAATGCGGCAATCAAAGCCATACGCGCGAGAGTGTGATAGGCTACGTACCACGCGAATGGCGTAAGAGAGAAGGAGCATCTTCCTGAGCGCGGGTCAGCTTTGGCTTTCCGGCTGATTGCGCAGAGACACAAAGGAGCTCGTTCCCGGACCAGCATGTCGATCCCTCGGAGCTGCAACCTGCTCTCGCAACCTGCATACCACTCGGCGACTTCCATTGCACATCTTGCTCTTCCTGCTGCTGTGCCTCCCGCTGCTCACCGTGTCGCTGTGTGAGACTGGCACAGGATCTCTTGAACGCAAGAACACTTTTCGCTCTTCACTTTACCACCATCCGGCCTTTGGTTCGTCCCAATTTTCTTGACCAACCCAAGAATGCGACATTCCATAGCGACGACCAGTAAACATGACTTGGGTTCATAACGCAACTCCCGAAGTGGATGGCATCTCCCACTACCCGGCCATCATAGCAGTCAGCGTCAGCTTGTGCTGGACGATGCTCATCGTAGTGGCAGCACGTGGAGTCTACAGAAGGCGAAGTCTTGGCTCCGATGATTTCGTCATCTTCGTAACAGCTGTGAGCATTGCTGCATATGTCGAATAGTCACAAAACTTGCTGACTATCAAAAAAAGCTTTTCAGCGTGCTATACACTATATTCTGCGTTTTGCAGACGCGGTGGGGCTTGGGTCTGCCTACCGTACTCCGGCCAGCACAGAATCTGCTAACGTTCAAGCGAGTAAGTTGATAGCAGACATGACTCGGGTCCACATATGTTGACACACACCTAGTTATCATACTCTGGAAAGCCATGGTATATATTTGCATCGGAAACACTGGATGTCGCTCATCTTACTAATATTAGCTTTCCAGGTACCAACTCGCTCTTGGCGGCTACAAGGTCGCCCTGTGCATAGGATATACCCGCTTCCTGGCTGACACCGACATGAAGTCGTACAGACGAGTCATCATCGCCACGGGTGTCTTCTGCGGAGCTTTTCAGCTCGTATGCGTCCTTCTCAACCTTTTCTCTTGCCTACCAGTAAGCTTTTGTGGCGACAGATGGTAGGGAATGCCGACTGATACTCGGTGTGCAGATCAGGAAGAACTTCGATCAGAGCGTCCCTGGCACCTGTCTACCCTTTCTGACAACACAATATCCGATGGCGAGTATCGGCATCCTGTGTGACGTGATAGTCTTCCTGCTCCCGATTCCGCTCTTTACTCGGCTGTCGTTCAGTCGCGGGACGATAATTGGCCTTTGCATTTTGTTTGCATGCGGGCTGATAACGACGATATGCTCGATCGTCCGCGCCACCTATCTCAGTCAAGTCGGACCACGTGGCAGTGGTGATAATACGAACGTCGTCCTTTGGGGCACCATTGAGATCAACGTTGGTGTACGTATTCATCATTGTTCCCCATTTGCCGAGGTCATACTGACGACGTGCAACAGATCATTATGAGCTGTCTACCGTTCTTACACGCGCTGCTGGCAGGCGTGTTCCGAAAAAGCGGCCAGACAATCCGGGAGCTACGACATAAGAAGATCGCCTGCCGTGTAGATGACAGCACCATCAGCGACCCGGCTAGCGTGATGGCTGAGAGTGAGAATGGCGATCTTGAAAAGGACGACGCCTTGCATCATGGAGACATGCAACGCACGAGAAGCCACAGCAGTGATGAGCCGATCATGGCAGAAGCGGCTCAGGAGGCTCCAGCACCGGAGGGAATTATCAAGACTACGCAGGTCGAGGTCTTTGAGGAGCGAATACGATAACGAAGGCATGATCTTGATTTGCGCGAATATCCATGTACTTTATAGCACTGTATCACCATCACTCTACAAGCTGCTATCCAGTGCGAAGGACAAGTCGTCCTCATTTTCCTTCTAGACCCTTGGGCATCTTCCTGTCCACGCCCAAAGCTTCGACATCCTTCGCCTTGTAATAGTGCGGCGCTACTTCCATCAACCACTCCGGTTTCAACGGCATGACAGATCTCATGAACTCCTTACTCGTCAGCACGAGCTCGTAGAAAAGCACCCACTTCGGCTTGACATCCATCAGCACCGAGCTAGGATGGATATGCACCGTCAGATTATTCTTCACAGTCCTATAACTATCGCCCCCCTTCTGCAATCGAGCAGCATTTGGGAAGAACCCGGCTGCGATCGAGCGCTGGATAGGTGGGAGATCTGAGCTGCCGCAGGACGAAGGAGTGACTTCCACGCGATCACAAAGCTTCAGCAACTGATCGCGGACATCTCGTGCGCGTGTGAGTGAACGCTGCTGGAGGAAGTTCTCTCGAGCCCAGACGTATGAGAAGTCGGAGTCGACCCATTGGTTCCAGATGTTGAGGTAAGTGGCATGATCGCCGCCTTCTTTCACTGTGAATCGAGCTCGTGCAGCGTCGGCTTGGAGCTTCTTCTCTTTCGGACGATAGAACATGGCGCTTGCCTCGGCGAGCATCGCTATGATGGACAGGACTTCCTCAACACATCCTTCTTTGTCTGCTGCTAGGACTGCTTTGGCGAGCATGGGATCTGTCGGAAACTCGGCCATTTGACGACCAACTTTCGTCAGCTCGCCTTTGTCGTTCAGTGCTCCGAGAGCGTAGAGCTGCTCTAAGCTGCGAATCAGCATGTCTGGGGCAGGCGGGTCCATGAAATCGAAGTTGATCAGGTCGTTGATGCCGAGAGACTTGAGTAGTAGAACAATGCTGTTGAGATTGGTTCGTTGGATTTCTGGCGTGGTCGATTCTGGTAAGTCGTTGTAGTATGCCCACTTCGTGTATAGTCGAAAGCATTTGCCGGGCTGTGTTCGACCGGCACGACCCGCACGCTGGTTGGCGGAGGCTCGAGAAATGGGTACCGCAACCAGGCTTTCCATGTTTGTCGCAGGCGTGTATCGGTTCTCCTTAACATATCCAGGGTCGATGACATACACAATGTTATCGATTGTCAAACTGGTTTCGGCAATGTTGGTGGCCAGCACCACCTTACGACATTTAGGCGGCGTCGGCTCGAAGATACGCTGTTGTAGGTCTGTAGGCAGATTGGCATAGATGGGACAGATCATCAACTCTGGTGCAGCGCTGCCGAGTTTCCGCGCAGTCTCTGTCAAAGACTGCTCCGCCTGCTCGATTTCGTCTTGACCAGTAAGGAATACTAAGATATCGCCTGGCATGGGCTGACTGAGGTGGATCTGGAAGACCGTCGTGATGGCCGCCGATAGATAATTCGCTTCCGGCTGCAAAGAGTAGTTCATCTCGACATCGTAAGTTCGTCCCGGGATGTTGAGGATTGGCGCATCGTCGAAAAACTCGGAGAACTTTTGTGCGTCCAGCGTAGCAGACGATATCAACAATTTCAGGTCACTGCGGCCACGTGCAATGTCCTTGACCAAGCCAAAAAGAATGTCGGTATGTAATGTGCGCTCGTGAGCCTCGTCGATCATCAAACAGCTGTAGCCGCCTAGATCGGGCTCCGTCAAAAACTCCCGCAGCAGCATACCGTCCGTCATATATTTCAGTGCCGTCTTGTCGCTAGTCGCATCCTCGAAACGAATCGCATAGCCGACTTCATTACCGACCTTGACGCCGATTTCTTCTGCCACACGAGCTGCGACACTCATGGCAGCGACTCGACGTGGCTGCGTGCAGCCCACTTTCATGCCATCCTTACAATACCCAGCCTCGTACAGATATTGTGGGAGCTGAGTAGTCTTACCGCTACCAGTCTCACCCACGACTATAAGGATCTGGAAGTCGTTGACGGCTTGCAGAAAAGTATCGCGATAGGCGTAGACTGGCAGAGTTTTACGCTTCTCCTGGATCGTCTTCGCTTTCCGTTCCGCAGCCAACATTTGCTGCGCCACCAGACGTTCTTCTTGCGACTTCATCTCACTCATACCGCCTTTCATGGTCGCGTCAGTCACCCACCGGATTTGCTGCTCCTCGTCGAACACATATTCATACTCCTGCTCGTTCTTCCTATCCGCGACCACGATCTGTGCCTTTGTTTTGTCCAGCTGCTCTCGCTCCCACTCTTCGTGTTCCGTGACAAACCGTTCACGACCGCTGTTGTCTCGATCGACATATCGTTGGTAGAGTGCGTCCTGCTTCCGCTTCATGTCCATCTTTCCCTTCTCTGTGATATAGTCCTCTGGCATCGCATACCCGTCCACATAGTCATCAATGCCTTCTCGCTCCTCCGCGAGTCGCAAGGCCTCTCTGTTGCGAGCGAACTCATCCTTCTCTGCTTGCGACAGGGTCGGGTTATTTCGCTCCTCTTCCTCCTCGTCCGCAACCTGTTTTCGCAGGAGTACAAGCTCTTGCGCAGATCGTTTTTTGAGATAGTCCTGTCGCGATCGTAGCCTCAAGTCCTTCATCTCCCGCGTTGACAGCTTGCCAGCTTGTGCTCTCCGCTCGGCATCAGCTGCTTCGTTCTTGGACGATCGATCGTCTGCGACTTTCTTCGTCGAGTCCTTGTCGCGGCTGTGTAGTCGCTTCTCAAATTCTTGCCTCTCTCGACGATCCCTCTCCTCCTCATTCTCATCCAGCTCCGAAGCAGGTTTCCCATCACGTTTGGCACTATCTTCCTCGAAACGCGCACGCTTAGCCGGAGGCGAAGCGAACTCCTCCTCTTCAGCCTCCTCGATCTCCTCGTCTCCCCATCGATCTTCAAAGTCCTCTCCATCTCGCCGTCTGGGCTTCTTGCTTGACCTTTCTCTGTCCCTACTTTTCGATCTTCTCCTCTCGTGGTCGGATCTATGCTTGTGCTTTCGCTCTCGCTCCCCGGTATCATCTTTGACAACAGCTGGTGCCTCATCCTCTACCTCCATCTCGACCATAGCATACTTCTTCTTCGGCGCCTTCTTGACCCCGCCATCCTTCCTCTGCGCTCCATTGCTACTGTTGCTGCCATTCGAGGTTCCAGAGATGCGGCCGTACAATTCACCACTGAAACGAGACAGGTCAGCATCCTCACCAAGAATGCTGCCAAGCTTTTGCTGTAGCGCAGATGGGCTTTTCACGGTTTTGGCTGTCTGAAGCACAAAGTCCACGGTGATGTCATCGCTAACGCCCACCAGCTGGATGAGATTGTCGGATACGTATGTGCGGACGTCCATGGCGATTTGAAGATGTGCACTGCTTGCACTCACTTCTTCCAGGTACAGCTTAGAATGGGTTCACGAGTCATGCTTGATCGTAGCGCGGATAGCATGACTCCGAGCTGTCATTCGGTGTTACCTTTAATCACGCTCCTTCATTGACCCCACCACAGCACATACACATGTTCCACATCACGAGAATGCTATGCATAAATCCTGTTCTGGCAAAGCATTTTATTGTATCCTGGCCCGCAACGGCCCCCACACGCTGCTCATGATGTAGCATCTCAAAGCTCAGCCACACGGATACGCTAACCGCCACCACTGAGGCTGCACTGCCATTGCACGAGAGGCATGGTGATATAGCTCGTCCATAAAACACTCTACAGCTCCTGTGACCACTAAATGTATGCCTATGCTGTTGGACCTTGGTGATGGCCGACCCGATCACTGCTTTGGCGACTGTGGGCACTATCTCAAGCTTCATCCAGATCATCGACTTCTCTGTGAAAGTGCTCTTCAATGCTGGGAAACTGATGCGTGCAAAAGCTGGTGAAGATGACCCAGAGACCTTGCTTCGCTTGACCAAGCAGTATACTGGACTGGCGGACCAAGTACAAAACGCCCAGCAGAGACCGCTGACGGCTGACGAAGCCAGCGTAGGCCAGCTCGCGGAGCAATGTCAGGACGTTTCAAGTGAACTAATACACCTGCTCGAAGGCTTGACGGTGAAAGACACGCCAAGCAAGGCTAGAAAAGCAGCGAAGGCCATCAAAAGTGCTGGAAAGATGGTTTGGAAGAGGAAGGAGATCGAGCAGAAGCAACAGCGACTACAGGAGCTTAATGGTCTACTTGGTACTGCTATGTTAGACGTCTTAAAGACGACTCAGATGGCCTTTCAAGAAGATCTCTTCGACCAGATGGACCAGGACACTCAAGCCGTTCTTGCCGCTGTGCGAGCTGCTACAGGTGCTGTGACGACAGAGGCCAACCGACAGGTGGCGAAAGGAGCGCGTATTGCGAATAGTCTTAAGTTCCCCGATATGCTCCGCCGCCGTGGTGATGTCGTGAACTGCTATGCCTCTACAGCTGAGTGGGTGTTCGACAAAGATCGACATCTTCGATCGTGGCTGCAAGAAGGCAAAGGCATCTTTTGGATTGCTGGTAAAGCAGGATCTGGCAAGTCCACGCTAATGAAACGTTTGTGCAGTCATGCCACAACACAGAAGCTATGTCAGCAGTGGGCTGGCGACGACTGCCATCTGGTCCGCGCAGAGTTCTTCTTCTGGTACCTGGGATCCGCTATGCAACGTAGTGTGGCTGGCCTACTGCAGAGTATATTGTACCAGATCTTGGCCGGCTGTCCAGACCTCGTCAGACGAGTTTGTCCTGCTAGGTGGTCTTGTGCCGACAATGATATCGGTGAAACATATCCATGGTCAGAAGACGAACTCGAAGAAGCTCTCAAAAAGGTCTCCCAGGAGGAGTGTCGCGCATTTGTCGGAACGGGTCAGGATCGGCAGGAGGTACCTGTGCGGTTCGTGTTCTTCATCGACGGGCTGGACGAGTACGCAGGTAACCATCGTGAGCTGACGGAGCTATTATTGGCTCTTGCCAGTAGTGATCACGTGAAGCTCTGCGTCTCCAGTCGGCCATGGAACCCATTCAGCAATGCTTTTGAGCTCGATAAGCAGTACCTACGACTCGAAGATCACACATCAAACGACATTGCGCTTTATGTGACTGGTCAGTTATCACAAGCAGAGAAGAAGCATCGACACCATCGCATAGCTACCGCTGGCTCAACGAAAGAGAGCGGACTCCTTGCTAGCACCATCATCGAGAAGGCCAATGGCGTCTTCTTCTGGGTGTTCCTTGTTGTCAGGTCGCTACAAGATGGCTTTACGAATGGCGACAGCATCCAGCTGATGCGCAAACGGGTAGAAGAGCTACCTAGCGAGCTCGAGGAGTATTTCGCCTTGATACTGCAACGTCTAGACCCGACATACAAACGTCTGGCTGCTCAGACCTTACATCTTGCAATGCTAGCTGCGAGCTCGCATCCGCCGGGTACCCTCACAGCGGCGCCCGAAACCGCATGGATCTCTTTCCTTGATCTATGGCCACTGCATGAGCGTCCCGATTATTTTGAGCACGCGGGTTTCCATGTTCGAGCGGAAATACGAGAATACACAAGTCCCCAGGTATCCGATATCTTGCTGCAAGTCACACGCATGGTCCGAGCCTGGTGCCGTGACTTCATACACATACCAGCGAGCTTTGCGATACAAGAAGCAAAACGAGATGGTGACCTCCTGGACTTGGCAAAAATACAGTTCTTACATCGCACGGTCTATGATTTCCTCGTCACGGACAGTGTGCAGGAGATGATGCATAGACATGTCCCACAACACATGTATCATGATGTCTTTGTCACGGAACTGGCAATCGCGAACTTGAAACTTGTGCTCGCGTCGGAGAAGAGTAAAGTCTCGCACCGATTCTGGGTGCTTTTCAATAAGGCTTGTGCGCCAGCCGGCTGTGTCCAGGACCATTCGGAGAGGCGACTGGAAGCACTTGCTGAATTCGATCGCCTGGGAGCACAATTCTATCATGGTTACGGCTCGAGCGAGGACGTCCCACGTTATTGCAAGATCGTCTACGGCGTGTCTGGTGTTCGCGATTTGATGCAACTTCCTCTTTCCCATCTCGACTTGAATGGCCCACTGGTCAGGTTCCGGTGCTACTCGCTCGCGACGGCATTGTTGGTCGAGAAGTTGAAAGACTTCCGATCACCCTGGTCGGTTGCGAAGAACTCATGGCCCGGGACGTCGAATGGAACTGGTCGCACTCCACCAACCTATCCTCCTCCGCCGTCTACATCTGATACAATCTTCTTTGCACCGACGAAATGGCAGTTGGCGACCATGTTGATCGCAGCCATAGTCAAGACCGACTGGTTACCGGAGAATCCTGCCAGATCTACCTACCCAAGGTCGAACATGGCAGTCATAAGAAAAGCGCTAGCAGCTGGTGCAAACGTGGATATCGTCGTAGCACTCGAGTGCTTCGCTAACGCAAGGAAGATGACATGCTGGCAAGCTTTTCTCGAGCATTGCGTGCTCCGTTCATCGGCTGAGCCACATGTGGACGAGAACGCCTGGCCCGTGGCGAAGATGCTTCTGGTGAGTGGTGCGGATCCAGAGGTTCGTGTGGGTGTTGGAAAATATGGTCAACAGAGGATCATCTATCTGTTCGAGGCACTAAGGGTCATTGCGCCTGTGGAGGTTGAGGATAGTGAGATACGGGGATTGATTCGGAAGCATTCTTCCATTCATGCTCGTGCGCTGATTATGCAGAGACGTGAGGAGTTGGAGAGTAAGGGCATGCATGCCGGGATGAACGACGCATCTGTGGTATGATAGGATAGCAGATGTTTGTCACGACAATACAAGGGTCGGTGTTCTTTGGATCCTGCACCATGGTACGCCTGAGTCACTAGCGAGGGCTCCCACGCTACGGCTGCTATAACGCGCGGACGCTGTGGCCTCTGATCTTGGAAAATGGAGGGCACGACGATAGGTTGGATGATTTGGCTTGAATCGAGTACAGTTGCAAGACATGAAGATTGGAGATGGTGGAGTAGCCTGCGCTTGCTGTGCGTATGGAGCCTGCCGTGTTCCGCTAGCCATCTACCGAGACCCTGGCTCGTTCTGCAGAGGATGTGCCGATGCAGTGGTTGTTGTAACGATATGATGCCTTAGGCCTCATACTCATGTAGTCATTATAGATGTAGAGGCAATGGTGACGTGTACCGCCATTTATAATAGACCTTCGATTACAATGTCTGCTACATACTGTAATAACATGCAAGCTACGGAGAATAGATGAGGTGATTTGGCTGTGTGTCACATGCGAAACGTGGTAGCCCTGCGCCGGCGACCAGCCCGGATCGGTCGCCTGGGGTAGGGATAAGAATGCCGAGTCCAATCTCCAAACTGCGACGGGGATGAAACGGGTTAATAATGAGGGCATGGTAATTGTTCGTCTCGTCTCGTATCTCGCCCATGATAGTTGTATCCTATGCTATGCTGGATAGATGCTGATTTTGACAATACACCAAACTTTCCAGAGATCATCAACCTCGTATCGCCATCGTCTTGCACCGCCTCCTAAGCCACTCTATTCTTGGCTCTTATCGATGAGGTGAACAGGGTCAAATCAGAGGCTCTTAGGCGTACGATCGTGTGGTCAGAAGCATGGCAATGACACCCAAAGCAGCGAAGACATCCGTCACTGGCACCAGCAACAATACCAGACCGTCAACCAACCGCACACCAACCGCTTCCAGCAACACGAGCGCACCAAGTCACAGCCCTTCACGAATGTCGGCAGCAGCAGCAGCAGCAGCAGCACCCCAGCAACCAGCAGCAGCAAGCAACGGCACCGCAGCAGCCTCTACATCAGCATCAGCAGTGGACAGAACACGCTCCGTCCGCAATGGCGCCCCTGTCTCCGCCCGCGCAGCAGCCGCCGCCCGAAAATCACAAGCAGACCTAGATCCCACCGCCTCCGACCTTAAAGCCGAAACGCAACTGAAAATGGACGAGCTAGCCGAACGTCTCCAAGCCGCCGACCAAGCCCTCACGGACTCGCAGAAGCAGGCCTCGGTCTTACGAATGAAATTGGACGACGCGTTGCGAGAGCAAGGGATGCTGGAGGAGCATGTTCATGAGCATACGGAGCGGATTGAGGAGCTGGAGGTGGAGAGGAAGGAGTCTTTACGGGCGAAGAGGGAGTTTGAGCAGATTTATGAGGATGAGAGGGTGGCGGCTATGAGGGAGAAGGAGGAGGCGGGGAGGCGGGCGGACGAGATGCAGAGTTCGATCCAGCGGATGAAGGAGAATATGGCGCAGCGGGAGATGAGGGCTGGGTTGGTGGATGAGGAGAGGAGGCCGGGTGTTTCACGGTCGAGTAGTTTCAGGAGTAATACCGCCTCGCCTAATCCTGATTCAGGAGGTCCCGTGGCGCACTTCGCTCCGCCTACTTCCTCGTCGTCGTTGCAGAGGAGCGATTCGCAGTCCCGATCCCGACTGGTGAATCAGAAGGATAAGATTATCGAGGGTTTGAGGCTGGAGTTGGCCGAGGTGCAGATTAAACTCGTGGAGGTGGAGAATATGGGTGGAGGGAGGATGCAGCAGTTGCAGAAGGAAATGTATGAGATCAAGATGCAGAATGCACGGCTCATGGAGGAGAATGAGAGTTTTCAGTTGCTGTTGACGGAGAAGACGATGAGTGGCGATTTCTTGCATCGGAGCGCTGAGACCTCGTCGAGGCCGCCGAGTAGGAATCCGGCGGATAGGAATGGTGGGGCTGCTGCAAGGCCGAGTACTTTGGCCGATGAATTGGCGAGTGAGGCTGATAGTATGGAGGGTGGTGATGGGGTGAACACCACGGATCAAAGCAGGAGGTTACAAGTGGAGGTCAATAGTCTGAAGGATCAGAATAAGGCGCTGACGCTGTATATTAACAATATCATCTCGCGACTGCTGATGAGCGACCAGTTTGAGCAGATCCTCGATAAGACGCCGGATATGCTTTCTGGAGCTCCGGGGATCGGTGCATCCTCCGCCGTTACATCAACATCTGGGCCGACTACGAGAGGGATGGGATTGACCGCAGACCCGAGACAGAAGGAACTACCGCCTCCACCTCCCCCAGCGCATGTCGCGGCCGCCAGCGAGGGCGAGGACACGATCGAAGACCAACCGCAGGGGTTCCTCCAACGCGCTAGGAGCGTGATGGGAGGCCGGCGCGGAAGGCCCATGAGCCAGGCTGTTTCTGCTTCGGATCAGGAGAAATTGGCACAGCAGCTACAGGTTGCTGAAGCCCGACCGACGGAGAACCCGGAGACGGCGCCGCGGGTTCCTCTCAATCGAGCTAATTCCACCCGCGGCGGAGGCGGAGGTGGTGCTGGTGCTGGTGGTGGTGGCCATAGACGCACGAACTCAGATTGGCCGGCTGCGGCTGCGGCGGGCGTGGTGACGAATATGTATCGTGGACCTTCTCCGGGCTCTTTGCCGCCGCAGGGGCCGGTGAGTCCGGGTTTGGGGTCGCCTACGCATGCGAGGAATTCGTTCTTTGCGAATGCGACGCCGTTGGGCGTCCGGGTTGGTAGTGGGTCTGGTGGGGGGCCTGTTCCTACGATCTCTGAGACTGGGGTGCAGGCAGGGAAGGAGAACCAGGTTCCACCTCCCACCGCAGCACGCAATCGCAGTTCGGTGATATCGAATCATGGCGGTAACGGGAATCTGGATCCGAATGATATCCCTACGGACTTGGACGCACCGACCTCCAACCCTTCCTCGCCTCCGAGGTCTACGACGAGTTCAGGCGGCGAGAAAGATTCTCGGACGGGGGGGTCGGTGATGATGGGGTCGAAGCCGCGACCGCTGAGGCTGGTGCAGAATGCTTCGGCTGAGGATGAGGCGAAGAAGGCGGGGAATAGGAATTCGTGGTTTGGGTGGATGGGGAAGGGGGTCGGGGTTGGGAGTCCGCCTGTTGCATCACAGCAGCAGCAGCAGCCGATGGGACTGGGTTCCGTGGGCAGGAGTGTTAGTGGGAGTGGGCAGCAGGGTGAGGGTGGAGGGCAGTAGGTTTGTCCTTGTTCTGCTGGAAGGGAGGTTAGTTGGGGGTGGGGGTATTGATGGGGTTGTTGGGGAAGTGGTGATCGATGGGGTCTCGATGATCATCTGTCGTCGGGCAATTGTGTGGTCTTCTGCTATGTTTCTCGAGATGGGTATACCCAAGTTTTGTCAGGCGCTGCGGGAGGGGGTGTGCTGGGCACTTGATCTAGTGATTATGATAGAAGTATCTTGATATGCAATCTTGACGCTGTGACCTATCTTGGAACTGCTCGTGTTCACGCGTCAATGGCTGTAAGGTGGACCGTGCGCGAGTTGACGAAAGCGGAAGTATGTGTTGTTTGACGAGGAATAACCAACGATAATGATGATTATACGAAGATGAATCGCAACCAGCCGACCTACGATTTCCTGGCTGGCGGTGGCGTCGAGGCATCACCAGCACGACAACCATTACGCGGAACGCTCAAGCAATCGACCGTCTCTCGCGCCGACATCAACAATGAGAATATTCGCGCTCAATTGAACACTTTACAATACGAACTCGACTCCCTCAAGCAAGAACGCGAACTCACGAATCTCCACCACCAACAAGAAGTCCGTGACGCGCTCAGTCGCAGCGAGAACGACTTCAAGCGTGCTCAAGCAGCCGAGGCGGCGAGTAATGCCGCGAAAGCGAAATCCGACGCGTTGGCCAGAGAACTGCAGGAGACGCGAGACCGCGCGACGAATGAGCGTTTAGGGCTGGAGAAGAAGGTGCGGGGTTTACAGGATGATTGTCGTGTGCTGCGGGAGGAGGTGGAGGAGGTGCGATCCGAGGTGCAAGGGAAGGAGCGAGCGAGTCGGAGGGCGTGTGAGGAGACGGAGCAGAAGTATGACGTCTTGAAGGCTTCTGTGGATGGGATTCAGGAGGATTTGGGGGCGAAGGTGAAGGCGTTGCAGGGGACGCAGCAGAGGCTCGTGCAGCGGGAGGCGGAGGTGGGGAGATTGGAGGAGGAGGTGTTGCTGTTGAAGCAGAGGAGTGGGGATAGTGAGACCTTGGCGGTTGTGCAGAGGGAGGTTGGGGAGCAGAGGGCTTATATCTTAAAGTTGGAGGCTAGGGGACGGGGGCAAGAGGGTGAGCTGAAGGGTTTGAGGGAGATGAGGAAAGGGGTCGAGGTTGTGGAGGAGGAGAAGAGAGGGTTGGAGGCCAAGGTGGCGATGTTGGAGGGTTTGAGGCGGGAGTTGGCCGAGGTGCAGTTGCAGAGGAGGATTTTGGAGGATGAGCGGAAGGGGTGGACGAGCTATTTGGAGGCGCAGGGCGAGGAGGGGGTGAGGTTTGAGACGGCGGAGGAGATGGCGAGGGCATTTTTGCGGGAGCGGGTGGAGAGGTTGGGGTTGGTGGACAGGTTGGGTACGATACAGCCGGAGCTGGCGGTCAAGGAGGAGAATATCCGTAGTTTGGAGGATGAAAAGGCTGGACTGCAGGCTGAGATGGAAAAGCTGCGAACGGCGCCACCGGCTGTAGCTGCCACTGGCCCTGCTGATGGTAAAGTGCGATTGCGACTCGAGCGACAGCGAAATCTCATGAACAAAGAAGTTGAATATCTACGAGCACAAATGAAGACGTTCGAAGCTGAAGAAGCCGAGTTCAACCCGGAGCAGATCGACGAGGAGCGCATGAAACGCATACATGAGCTAGAAGACATGGTGGAGAAGTTCAGAAGTGAAGTCCAAGCTCTCCACGTCGAGCTATCAAAAGCAGAAGCAGAACCACCAGCACAACCACCCACACCACTCAACAAAATCCCCCTCAAACGATCACGAGAAGAAGATTGCGAAACCTCAGACGAACGACTAGGAGAGTTACGCCGTAAGACCCGCACCCTCCAAACCTCGCTCGAAACCCGGCAGACACGAATCCAACTCCTTGAAGCCGAGTTGAAGGCGACCAACACCCAAATCGCCTCCCTAAAAGAAACCTCCCGAACCCGCATCCTCTCCCTCCGCGACAACCCGACCGCCGAAGCCGAAGCGATCAAACTAACCACCCTCACCACCCTCCGCGCGGAAAACACCGCTCTCCTCTCCCAACTCGAGGGTCGACCGAATGGAGGCACGAAAGTGGTTCCGATTAGTACTCTGGACTCCACACGTTTACTATTGAAAGACTCCCGAACCGCAATCGCCGCGCACGAGAAGAAGACGTTAAGGTTAAAACAGATCTGGTCCGCGAAATCGCTCGAGTTTCGGGAGGCGGTGTGTTCGATTTTGGGATGGAAATTAGATTTCTTGCCCAATGGCCGGGTCAAAGCGACTTCTATCCTTTACCCTAGCACTGTCGATAGGGATAGTGAAAGCGGGGAGGCTGTGGAAGAGGAGAATTCGATCATTTTCGATGGCGAGAATGGGACTATGAAGGTGAGTGGCGGGCCGCGGAGTGCGTTTGCGGGGGAGATTAGGGGGTTGATTGAGTTTTGGGTCGAGGGGAGGGGCGAGGTGCCGTGTTTTCTTGCGGCGTGTACGTTGGAGTTTTGGGAGAGGGGGAAGGGTGCTGCTGCGGGCTGAACGCGCGGGACAGGGTGGAACAATCTGCGGGGAGCGGTAGTGGTAGTAGGAGTTGTAATAGTAGTCTTAGGCGAAACTATTTCGCTAGGTGGCCACGGTCGCCACGCGTCTAGTTTCGCCCGAGCATATTAATACAGGTATTTCCTCGTGAAGTCGTGATCCGAGTTGACATTTTCCTCCCATGGGGTATAGTTGTACGCATCTGCCTACGCCGCCGGCGCCGTTTTCGAAAGACAGAGCCCAGCAAGAAGCCCCTCTGCTGTCTGTCCTTTCTTCAGGAGGCCATTACAAACAAACAGAAACGGCTCTACGGCCTCATTTCTCCTCCGCCACCTCGACAGCCATCTTCGCCTTCTCCAATCGCGCAACCGTACTCCCCATCCCCGTCTTCAACACCCCCAACCTCTCCTCCCCATCCCTCCAACTCCGCTCCACTTCCTCTTGCCTCTTAACCTCACTGACACCAACATCCACGCCCCTCGCCAACTCCATCCTCCCCCTTCCTTCCACCGCAAACCGTTCCTCCCACTCCCTCCCTCTTCCCACAAACCCTTCCTCCCACTTCCTCGCCGTCTCACCCGGCGCCGTTCGTCTCAGATTCGCCAACTGTAGAGTCTGAGCTTCGATCTGCGCGGCTAAAGCCTGTAACCTCTGCGCCAGCTTCGAGTCGAACGGCGCTAATTCCTCTTCCTCCCCTCCCTCCCCTCCAGCGCGCGCGAGTTCCGTCTCCATTTCCGTGGAACTCAGGCCGTTGATGCTGAGGTTCGGTTTCGCGAGGGCGAAGGTGTTGGTTATGTAGTTGCTTACTAGATCCTCGACGCGTTTGCGCATCGCGTCCTCGCCTGAGACCCCTTGCTGTGAGGCGGAGGGAGGGAAATGCTTGTCTAGCTTTTCGCGGGCAGAGCGTGAGAGGTTCGCGATCAGGTAGGTTAGGTCGGCGGGTTGTTGGAGTTCGATTTTGCGGTGGGCGGAGTCGGTGGCGCGGTGGCTGTCGGGGAGGCCGGCGGTGTCGGTGTCGAAGATGCTCATGTTTTGTTCGTTGTTCTGGACTATCTTGTAAATGTCTTTGGTATGGGGGTTAGTTTTGGTACGTGTAAACATGGGCTTGTGATGATCGCCGCTAGCTCCAACCCTGCATGCAAGAAGCTCGTGGCACGAGCGTGGAAGTGTGGGGGCTGACATAAGAGTGTTCGAGGGGTTGGAAGGCTGAAAGACCAGATGGGAAGAACAAACACAATAACGAGCATCAGCTTGACAATATGAGTACTCCAGAAATGCTCCGCGACGAGCCGTCGCCTAGAATCGCATAGCTTCCCTACTCCGACGGCTGCATAACCGACCCATCCCCCTCCCGCCACATCAACTTAAACTCCCACTCCCGAATCTTCCACAACCCCTCCCCTTCATCCCACACAACCAAACAATCATACAGCGCCCCACTAACCAACGTCTTCGCATCCGGCAGCGATCCCGTCCCAGGCCGATAATGATACGCAACCGCGTTACACGTCACTTCCGCCTCCTTCTCGCCCTCCTTGATCTGAACTCGAATGTTGGAGAGGAAGTGCGTTGTATCCAGCGTCTTGACGAAGTCGTAGTTGTGTTTGCGGATCTCGTCCCGGCCGTGCATGGTTTGGCCGAGCATGGTGATGGTTAGGTTGGGGGTGAGGCTGGATTCGAAGAGGGTGTCGTCCGCGTAGTCGTAGGCGTTGACGCAGCGGTAGAAGGCGTCGATTATGGCATCGCGGGTCGTCATGCCGGGGAGGTGGGCTGGGAGTGCCATTGTTGTGGTTTCTTTTCTGGCTAGCTTGTGTTGAAATGTTGTGGTATCGTTGTGATTGGGGAGAGATGTTGGGCTTGATGTCGAGGCCGGAGATTTATGTACAGATTTGCCTACCTGTATATCACTCTCGTCGGCTTGTCGACAGTCCGTTACCTCCGGTAAAACACCAATGGTCACCTCAGCTGTTGCTCAATGTCAAAAGAGCTTCGGTATAGCAATCTATCCGGTTATGTCCGCTGCGTCCGGCCTTCCTTTGAGTGACAAAGTTCCGTGTCGTCCTTTGATGAGTCGCGACACGACGATTGCGAAGAGCGAGGCCGACGGGCCGAAGACATCGGCGTAGTGAGAAGGGCTTTGTTGATCGTTTGGCTTATAACAAACACACACTCCGTACGTGCTGCCAATGCAGTGCCGAACCCTTGCGCCCCTGTCCTCCTCTTAGCGCCGTCCATAACGCCTACTATATCCTTCGCCTTTACAATGCTATCCTACTCCATTCCCGGACACTGATAATAACCGTTCGCCTTATATCCAGATTCCTCTGCTCCCAAGCTCCATGCATAAACGCTAGCAAGCCAAACCCATCTCACTGCGGTAACATAGCAGCAGCCTCCTCATCAGTCAACACGATGTCCTCGACAGGATCTTGTCGTGTCTCGAGTTCTTGGGAATCGTAGTCGGCGTAGGAGGGGAGGAAGAGCTCTATCGTCAAAGCACGACGGTTAGCTGAGTACCTTGTCTGCTTGCCAGCCAGATGCAGTGGACCTACCTTGGTTCCAATCGAAACCTTGGGAGGACTTGACGTATGTTACCTGTTGTCGACCTAGTCAGTCGTGCCTATAATGGGGTGGTAAGCTATAGCATACCAGTCGTGGTGGACCATCGTCATGACCTAGGTCCATGACGGTGTACTCGGACTTCGACAACGATGAACCTAGACTGGGTGTAAGAACGACCTCCACGACCACTCTCTCTGCTAATCCCCAAACTGACATACCAAGCAGCGACGGCCGTCTAGGCGAGATACTGTCGACGTGCCTCGGCGGGGTGGCCGGGAACTTGCCCTTTGCCAACGAGGGCGTCACGGGCATGGTATTCGGATTTGAATAAGATGAAGCTGTCGAGGACGAGCTCCAGCTCGCAGCTGCAGCGTTCCGTACTGGTTGCTTTCGCTGGGGGATGGGCATAGATTGGGACATTGTGAAGGTCGAGTCCGTGGTGGGTGTGGAAGCTTGGATAGGTAATCTAGGTTAACGACTCTCTATAAGAACGATGTGAGTAGGACTATGACAGATGGGATAAGACACTAGGTACTGCAATAGGATGTAGGTACCAGAAGCAAGAGTCACGGTCATACGTGATCGGGTTCCCAGTCATGCAACGGGACAGGGCTGGTGAGCCTCGCCCGAGATGCCTGATGCCTGCCCTGCTTGCTGCTGTGACACAGAGAGCTCCCATGCGCATGACTGCGGCTAGAGGATCCGAACATGCACTCCGCATGCATGTTTCCCATCGCGGTATAGCGCGTATGACGCAGTCACGATAACAGGAAACCTTGTTGTGCTCGTGCATTGCGATAAGCCCGACAAGTCACGAGGTGAGGCGTGGTGAGGAGAAACAACCAAGACCACAGATATGAGGTGAGGTGCGTTCCGAGATCAACCGTCTGACTAACTATTCGTACAACAAATAAGGCTAATAGTACACTACATGCGCGAAAAAGCAAAAAGACAGAAATCGCAAAATTGCCAATCCATTGAACGCGTCAGTTCCTCCTCTTCCTCTTCCCTCTCAAAAGTCCCTCAGCAATGAGAGCCAGCGCAAGCGGCCCCGCAAGCAAAAGCAAAGACGCAAAGGCAAGCAGAGCCTTGGATCGTCTCCGGATCTTTGCTAGTCAGTCCTTCGTCAACGAAGCAGATCTCCAAACATCTACAGGTCTCCCTCCCAATAATCGTACAGTACACAGCCCGGGTATCAATTCATCGCAAACACCTCCCAGCCCATCCTGTACGCCAGCTGTGGTTCAAACGTAGTCTCGGCGAAAATTCGTACAATGTCATCTCTTCTCTCTTCACTTCCACATACTCACCACCCTCTCTTCCGAGCAAATCGCTTGTTAAGCAGCTGCAGCACCTTCGTCACGTTGAACTGCACATACTCCAGATCCAGATCCTCCTGCTGCTCCTTCTGCATCTCCAAAAGATCGTCGAGCTTGAGATCGAGCTCCAGTAATCCTCGATTGCGACCTTTGTAGTGCAGGCTGATGACGAAGGTACCAGGACTCGGGCTGGTGATGTTGAAGTAGATGTTCGCTCGTCGGTTCTCCGGGACGTTGGACTTCTGAATCACGCCCTGCTTCTCCAGCTCCTGATGGGTGAACTTGTAAGGTCCGAGGACTTTGCTGCTCTGCCCGCGCTTGCTCGTGCCTTCACTCTGGCCACGGACGTTGTGGAGATAGCTCTTATACGTCTCCAGTTGCCCAACGAGATAAGTGTTGTGGTCGCGGATCGTGCGGAACACTTCCTCCAGTTTCTGTGTCTCGACCACGACTTTCTCTTTCAGTGAGCCCAGATGTACGAGTTCCTGCTCGATCTCATTGCGGAGTAAGGCGTAGCCGTCCTCTTTATCGATGATGCCGAGTTCCTGCAGCTGGTTAAGTAGTTCCATGGCACGAATGCCTTTCCGGACCATGACGGAGTCGTTCTTTGTGGTTGCTGCAGCTTCGGCCAGTCTGTCTAACCGCAGCGGCCTACGCGTGACAGCAGAGTTCGACGGCAACGAGCGCATGATCACCACGAATGTTGCCTTGGCTTCCATGAAGTAGACCTCTTCTTGGGTAATGTCCAGTGCAGCAGTCAAATCATCCAGTGGCGTCTCCCATTTGCTGTATAATGGTAGATTGATAGCTCTGTTCTCTTTGCGAGGCATTTGTGCTGGTGCCGGTCCGAGCTCAGCAAGCAGTTGGCTGAGATGTGAGCTCTCGTCCTTTGTGAGCTCAGCGGAGTGTTTCTCAAGTAGTGAGTGAGTTGCGTAGACTTCGTTGAGTGTGATCTGCAGCTCGAGATCACGTTTGGATAGTGCCACGTAGTTGTCCATCTCCAATGTTTCGTAAAAGTCTTGCACTTCGCACAGGTCAAGCATGAACTTGTTGATGCGCTCCTTGTTCTTCTGAATGAAAGGTTGCAGCTTCTGCATGTATGGCTCCTTGGCATAGCTAGGCTTGTTGGCTAGATTCTGCAGCATCTTGGCCACGTATGTCAGTGTCCGCTTTGGATTCTCCGCTGGAACCTGCTCGATGAGCATGTACGATCTTGGTGTGACGATCGCAGGATTGATGAAGCGCAGGAAGAAGAAGCCTCCAATCAAGGTGCACACAGTCTGCTCGGAAGCGTCTGGATATTTTCGTCTCGTGAGACTGCGAATCTGCTTGCATATCCAGCGAATGCCGTATGGCGTCTCCTCAATGCCGTCGATGATCGTGTCGAGAAATGAGTCGGCAATCTCAATAAGCATTTCTATTCGCGGCGCGATGATTCTTTGCACATTCTCGTTTGCGGCGGCTTGTTCGCCAGTGATGCCCTTTTGCAGTCCTGATGGTAGCGGTTCGCCGCCTGCCTCGATCTTCTCAATCATGGCCTCGTACACTTTCAGAGGGTTGATCTCAAGATCGAGATCCTTAATCTCAATCAATGAATTGATGCGATCTGCCAGAACACTTTTGAGATAGCTTTGGCCCGGTCCTCGTCGGGTATAGGTAGTCATCATGCGTGAGACTGGTGTGTTGGCTCGTAATAGTGATGAGTAGTCGGGTGTATTGTCGAATTGAAATGTGAGCACTGACTGAAACATGGTAAGTAGCAAATGTTCCTCTCGACTCTCGTACTGGTTGCCGTAGATGGTGAACATGACTGTTTGCAGTAGCTGGTCGATTTCTGCCATGTTGACGAGTCTGCAAAGATGTGCGATGTGTCGTGGCTCGCTTTGTAGTAGGAAGAGGAGGTTGCCATATTTCTGTGTCTTTTCATCGTTCGGAAACGTCCCTTCAGTCAAGTCTGCCGCATCGTCCAGATGGCTTGCGACTTCATTTTGCTACAAAATGTGTGAGTGTCTGGAGTTTTGCATGTGGCACAGACCGCATCCTTACCTCTTCTAATGCCATGCGATTCTGCACTAGCAATGCGATTCGAGAATCGAGATATCGTACATCCTTCTCCAGCACAAAGTTCTTCTTCGATTGTGACGAGATCTTGCCTTTGAGCTCTCGTAAGGCTTTCTGGGCTACACAATGTCAGCCCTGCCCGATGCACTTGCCTTCAGAAATCCACACCGACATACCTCTTGCTAAGTCGTCCTCAATCTCCAGATCTCGCTGGTTGGCATTCATGGACAGATACAGAGCTGTCACTGAGTATCTCTTCGACGCCCGCATGGACCGCGAGCCGTCCTGCGAGCTCATGGTGTTCTGCCTCGTCATGGGCACGTATGACCCGCCAGACGAGTTGGAGGCGCGCGATGGCGTCTGCAGCATCGACACGGCCATGCTGAGTGGTTTGGCGTGGCGTGCGGTGCAGTACTGCAGTGCCGATGGCGGGCGGGGCTAAATATGCTGTGTCGTCCTTCTCGGCACTCGCGTGTGCAATCTCGCGCTCGGCCGATGTGAGCTGGCAGACAAAGCCAGCAGTCGTAGATATTATGGCGCTTTGTCTCAGGTGTCCGCCTTGCTCGCGCGACCTCTCTCCGCCCCGCACTTGCCGCAATCGTAATCGCTCTGTGGTTGTGGTATTGGGGACGGTGGGTCTTGTGCTCGAGCAGCTGCTGCCGTCTCTGGTGTACTCGGTCGGAAGATCGGAGGCCTGCAGGCAGCGGCTACATGCAAGTTTGCGTGTACAGCATTCCAGACGGGTAACAGCACTGGCAGGTGTCGCAAGTCGCCCAAGTGGGGTTTCAGGTCGTCTGGCAAAGGAGCGCTGTTGATACCGTCTGCTTCGCTCGTCGCCTTTTCTTCTTCTTACGCGATCACCGTCCCATGCCAACGGTCAGCCTACTCAACACCTGCGCAAGACACAAAGGGTCCTGTACAGCGACTTCAAATTGGCTCGAAGCAAAGGGCGGGCGCATCGCCGCCATGGCTGCAACGCCCAAGCTCGGACCTTCCTGCGACTCCGCCATACAGGGGGTTTAACGAGTCAGACTAATAACAGTGGAAACGGTTTTAGGTCTTGTGGCTATCTTTACGAAACTGTCGTCACCATCGATGCTCTGACAACAATCATCCAGAGTGCCCTGGACAATCGGGACGTCGCCGCGTTGCAAAGGCACTACCGCCGGAACCTCACATTGACCAGGATCGGTACATGTAGTCTCTCCTATACATGGCTGCTGTAGGCGCTACCGCAATAATAATCAGTCTGGAACAAGCACTGGAGCAACTCGTGGTTGGCTCCAAAAAGACTCAGGGTTCACGGTCCGGCCAACATCTGAGCAGTGCCACTGGTATGCTTCCGAGAACTATCGAATGGTTGCGCATAACTACCCTGCAGTCTTATCTGTGCTTCGTTCTATGTCATGCTTCGCCATCCACAATCAATACTTCCCTTCCGCTGAGATTCTCACATTGTGCCCATCTTCGCGAAACTCTTCCTGATCGCGTGCAGCGGAGCAACGAAATAGCGTTCCATGGCTTGATGTGAAGGCATGTACCGAAAGTAAGCCATCTATCTAACCGCCGAGTTTCGTTGATCTTCACCGGGGACTGCGCGCCTCACCTCGAAGTCCGTGGTACAAGTTGGCATCTCTGAAAGACATGCAGAGCAGCTGTGTAAACGGGATGAACCATAACAGATCGTGACTGCATCGTCGTCAACAGAATCTTGGCAACCTTGCCAGTAGTATTGCTAGTAAGCTGGTGTCGAGTGGAACGAAATATTGACAGCTACATGTATTGGCTCAATGGCTCAGCCACGAGTGCCATTCATGTAGCATCATTTGTGCTACCATTGCACAGATTCCACAGAGGACTCATCGCCGACCGCATTCAATATCTAGCACAATAGTAGGTAGTAGACCTCATGAATATGTCACTCGTGCTGATGAATCTACAACTTATCTCGTGATCAACGTAGGGCCTGTAGCAACATTAACAAACAAGCCGCTTGATACTGACAATCCGATATCAACAATACAAGTGTCGACACAATGTCCAGCGGCAACCCAACTCTCGATGCCGCCGAGGCAAGTACTGGCATGGAACCATTGAACGCTGGACCATCATCGCAACAACCACCTCAGCACAGCGCCTTCGTCAAAGACTCAACCCTCGACAATCTACCCAAAGCTTTACAGGATGTCCCGTCTCCATTCGAGGCTTTTGCCTTACCATTGGACACAAATCAGCGTGCTGGTGTTCAGACCAGCCAGACAACATCACCTAACACTGTCTCAGATGTCAAACAATTCGAGGATCTGGTGAAGGCTTCAATGTTTCAGGAGGGCCCAGTGCGGGCAGAGGAGAGTCAGCGAGAAGACGTTCGGTGGCCGAGTGGTTACGAGGATGTTCTCAAGAGAATAACGCTCCTTGGTGACAAGAATGGCGTGAGGATTTTCAAGGTCATCCGGGGCCAGAAGAGAGCGGATGTCTTTGTTGTGGCGACGGATATCGACGAGGAGAGGCTGGTTGGTATGAGGTTTGCTGAGCATGAGTAAAAGTAAAGAGTGTCGTTTCCTCGAAATTGAGATTCGAGACATACATATTGTCTTCGACTCTACGAAGGCAAGCGAACTCCGGCCTTTCATATGTATGTGATCTAGACCTGCGCATGGCTAACAGTGCTTTAGCACAGCTCCCAGGGAGTCTGAACCCACTCCAAAACGCCCTGCATAAATACTGTGCTATTCAGGTTCTTGACATCGCTCCTAGAACCTCGAGATATCTCTCCCAAACGTCGCATTGATCATCCTACAGCATGTCAGCTATTTTGCGTCAACAAATCACTACCGTGGCTCCCACTCACCAGTAGACAGGGATCAAGATCCTGTTCCGCCACGAAATCGACTTGGTCAAGTAAGCGCCACGCCACATGATCCACGCCGCTCGGCCAGAAAGACTGCCCTGGTTCATCTGCACGATGGCGTTCCAGCGACCAATATACGCCATCACGCCTTGACTGGCAAAACTGAAGGGCCTGATGTCCGTCGTGCCTTTGTTCAGCTTCTTGGCCAACCACTTGGCTTTCTGCGAAGCTACTTGCGCCGTAGCTGGGTACTGTGTACCGTCCACGATCGCACAGTCGCCGAGTGCGAAGACATCCCGGAGGACGGCAGCAGGTTTGTCATCGTGGTGGTCTCCTGGATCGAGCTGGACTCGCAAGAAGTCGTCCGTAATGACACTACCCGTTCGTGCGTGCTTCTGTATCCGCCAATCTGCCGAAGATGTAGGACTGGCGTTGATGTTCTCCAGCAGTCGGACGGAGCTTGCTGGTGCAGTAAAGCTTGGGCTCAAGGCTTTCTCGACAAATGGGTTGCTCATCAGTCCTGTGCTCCAGACCACGAATCCACAGCCTACTTCTGACGTCTCGCCATTCTGCAGGCTGAGCGTAAATCCACTGGCCTTGACGTCATGGTTGAGATCACCTTGTCCATCGACTTGTGGGAAGCCACGTCTGAGCTCTTTGATGTGGTGCTTGGTCTTGATCTGGACACCCTCGTGTCCTATATGCTGCATCGCATACTCGCCGAGCTTCGCCTCAAACATTGGCAAGATTTTATCGGCAACATCGTAGACCGTGATCTGGACATGCTCTATCAGATGCGGGTATAACCTGGCCAGATCCTCTCGTACGATATCTCGCAGCTCACCCGAGAACTCGATCCCGGTCGGACCACCACCAACGATAGCGAAGTTGAGGAGCTGTTTCTTGAGTGCCACAGGTGTTGTTGGTAGTGCGGCGGTCTCGAATGATGATAGAAGCTTGTTCCGGATCTTCCTCGCATCCTGAACGTCCTTCAAGAAAAAGGCATTCTCCTTTACGCCGGGTATGCCAAAAGTCTGTGAGTAACTCCCGACACCTATAACCAGCTTGTCGTAAGATAAAGGGAACAGCTCGCCACGAGAAGCTTCGATTCGCATCTCCAAAGGCCTCTCATCTCGAACTTCACCTGCCCTCGTGTTCAAAAGCCCTTGGTTCGGATCTCTGACCGTCTCTCGAACCATGATCTCCTTCTTGCCAAAGTCGACGGCATCTGCTCGACCTTGTATGTACTCATACTTGCTTCGGTGCGAGCGCACTGGCTCCAGTGCTGTTCGAAACTCTAGCGTGCCTACCGACGTCGAGGCTAGGAGTGGTGTGAAAACAAAGTATGAGCGTGGCGAGACAACGACGGTCTGGAACTTTTTGGGATTGAGACTGCGGGCGAGGTTATAGCCTGCCCAGCCGGAGCCAAGGACGACGACACGTTCGCGATCTGCGATGCGTCAGTAGAGTATCTCCTCGTTCATCGTGGCCCGCCTGTATATACCATTCTTGGCGGCTTCGAGCTGTTTGATCGTGATGTTGCGGCGCTGGCCTGCATAGATCCGGCTAGGCAGTGCATAGAGCGATGGGCCAGTGCGGAGAGCTGCCATACTTGAGACATGAGAGAAGAATGAGAGAAAAGTCTGCGTTCGTACTTGGCAGGCTTATGTAGCAAGGAAGGCGAGGACAAGTGATGCGACTGTACTTCTACCTAATCCCCGAGATGAGGACAGTTTCGACCTACATTACATGCTACCTCTGCGTTGAGGGTGGAGTAACGGAAAGTTGAGCAATAACGGAAGTAGGTAGGAGGACAGACGAGCTATAGATAGCACGTGCAAAGGAAGTGCTGAGAGCTCAAGTTGAAAGCGTGGCGTCTCGGATATCGGGAGTAAGCTGAAGCCTACCGTATCATGTTCTCGCGGATGTCAGCGTGCGACATGGCGGTAAGGAAGCACGATCTTTTTCGGGCTTCGGATCTCTGTTATCTAAGGTGTCAGATGCAAGGACGTGTTGGAGGTCTGGGATCGGCGCAGCGGCATGCGGATGAGATGCCGGCCGTTGGACCGCACTCCGGGAACCAAGACATTGGGATGAGAGATGCCGTGTGTTGTTCTTGGGTCTCTATCCAGATATTCGTCTCGCATCATCTATCAGTTCTGCGTGTGCAGTCTAGCTTCTCAAATCTGTGTAGTAAAGTAACGTCGCCGTGGAAGCGCAGCGCCATCCAGCCTCAAAGCAGCGTATCGCCAAGCGCGCAACGCACGATGGACACTCCAGCGCGCACCGTATCGGCAGCGCCCTTCTCCTCCAGGCTTGGATTCACCTCAACCAGATCGAGCGCAACAAGGCTGCCAGTCTCGTGCACGCACTCCGCGATGAAGTCGCCCTCGCGCAGCGTCAGGCCGCCACGAACAGCCGTGCCGGTCGAAGGTGCCCACATAGGATCCAGCGCATCAATGTCGAAGGAGAGATGGATAGGCGTATCACTACCGATCCATCCCAAAGCCATATCCATCACCTTGCCAATGCCGTGACGATCGACGTCGTGCATACTGAATGCCTTGATGCCATGCTCGCGGAGAATCTGCTTCTCGCCTCGATCAACGTCACGCAGACCTATGTAGACCAACTTCTTGAGACTGATGCGCTGATTGTCCTGGATCCAGCCGAAAGGTGCGTCGGCCTTCTCTGAGGCAAGACCCGTGAGGAACGCAACCGGCATGCCGTGAATGTTGCCGCTGTCACTTGTCTCTGGTGTGTTGATGTCCGCGTGCGCATCCACCCAGATCACCGCCATCTCCCGGCCCAACCTCTCGCGCATTGCCTTCGCGGTACCTGAGATGGTGCCGATGGCGATAGAGTGATCACCACCAAGTGTGAGCACGAACCGCCCCTCCTTCGCGTGCTCGTAGACCTGACTGCTAAGCTGCTTCGTCACCGTACTGACGGCCTTTGGCTTCTTCATGTTGCGGTGGTCTGGGTCGTCGTGTGGGATCAGGTCGCCATACGCGTGGACTTTGTTGTCGTAGTGGACGTTGTATGCGAGGTCATCCTTGAGCTGGTCGACCAGGCCTGATTCTATCAGAGCCATGGGCGCAGCGTCGACGCCTGGCTTGCACTATACTTCATGTTAGTAAGGCCTGAAAGTCTGGTTGCTGAGCTTGATATCACGTACCTGCCCTCCCGAAAATCCCACAGCTACCAGACCGAGCTCATTGCCTGCCTTCAGAAAATTTGGCTGGATCGTAGGAGCGTCCATCTTGACAAAGCCTCGTTTTAGGAGCCTCTTGCTGGCAAATCTGTAGGATTGAGACTCTTGGTGTCTGTGTTAGATGATCTGCTATCCAAGTAATGACTGAAATCTGGGGGATGCAAGGGAACAGTGAATTATGAGGCCGTTGAAAACAAGAATGAGAGTCTGCTGGCCGTGGGTCAGCACGGTTCCAGGCCATCTCTTACGAGACATGAATTGTCGGCCGCTTCTACCTGTACTTAGAGGACTAGTCTGTGTAGAGACCACAACAAATTCTACCAAGTCTCCACGCCATGATTGGGATGCGGCTCAAAGTGGTGGCGGCCCTCGGACCCGTCGATAAGCGAGTACAATAAGGCGCTGGGGCCACATGATTCCAGAGCTGGTACTGTAGAACTATGTCATTCATCCCTTCCCACTCAACTTACCATGTGAGCGATTTCTATCGGCCCAAGTCGTCTGCCCGACCCCAGCGCTTCTGACTGTGCTATCACTGCCTTGGTCTGGGTGACCAGGGTTGCACCCCTTGCCACGCATGTTAGGTTGACGAGCCGCAATGCCACTCCATGCCAAACAGTGTCTCCTGAAGCAGGCGGTACAGTCGGATAGATGTCTATTCAACAACATCTGACGATGTAAACATGGCAGAAGCAATCAAGGCTCCGAATCATGAGACATCACCCTGGATAGCAAATACTCTGATTATGCATGTTCTGGACGCCCGACTCCAGTCCATGCGGCACATCGCTACTGTAGCTTCAAAGGACCCTCCGAGATTGATTCAGCGGTAGTATAAGCAAGCCGTGGACCGCAAAGTCCCCTTACATGAGCAAGGTGGGCGGAGATGATCAGCCTCACTACCTAAATGCCTCAGTGTACGGCGCGATGAGACCGAGACTTTCCTGGCAAACTTGACCCAACGATGATAATGATTGGTTCTCCACACTGGATAAGATTTGGTGTGAGTGATCTTATGCCCTCTAGATTTCTACTGTACAGTCATCATGCTGTTATACCCAACTTCGAGTCCGACCGACTCTTGGATGTCATCGTCTAGCTAGAATCCTAGGCGGTGGTATATTGCCATGCGTCCGGTTCAGTCTGGTTGCTAGTCAAAGCGTCGAAGGTAAGGCATGTGTCTGGGACTGGAGAGTCGGTCTGGACACCGTACACGAACCAGGTATTGTCCTCATTACAAGCCATGAGGCCGCCCTTCCAGTTCAGAGTGCCGAAGCTGGCACCTTGCGTCACTGACCAGCCGGTCTGCGTAGCACCCTCTGGAATAGTGCCGGAGTGAGCCACCGTGTACTTGACGGCTCCACAGGTGTCGATGTACACCTGTGTTCTGTTAGTCCACAAATGCTGGTCGTAACCGGACTGGAAGCACTTACATATTGACCACCAGGAACCTCAGCACCCATGACAAGGGTGCCTGTTGCAGCGTTTCCAACCAAGAAGTTGGTCTCGCCGGTGGTGGGTGGGCAGCCGCCCGCCGAAGCAACACTGTCCGGGCAAAACGTATCTGCGGTGCCACCAAGATAGATTCGTCCTCTGCCGGCATTCATTGGCAGAAGATGGATTGGGGAGGCAGAGCGAGCCGAGATGACGCCGAAGTAATCACCAGCGGCGACAAGGGAGCCACTGAGGGCTGCAAGGGTGAATGCTGCCTTCATATTGATGCTATTGGTCTGGGTTTGGGATTGTGGATGATCGAAGAAAGGAATTGATCGTTGATGTTTGGAATTGGAAGTTGTGGTCGATGTCGGGAGTCTTGAGATTGTTGATATTATGATGAGGAGAACAATGCCCGCACCTGCTTACCTATATATTTTCGTCCAGTGGTAGGAGGGACCTTACCATCATGCAGCATATCCGAGCATCATGAATAGCAGACTCGACTGCGCCCTCACGCCAATGCAGCATCTAAACCACGATCCGACCTTCGGTCACATTGCTAGTATTTCAAAACCCCGCCAGTATCCGCATAGGTTGAGTGTATAAGCTTGCTCGTTCGTGTTTGTGGTTCTATTTCTTCCATGAACTCTAAACGTGACGTTGCCGAGACTTGATCGGCGCTCAGGAATAGATTGCATATACTGTGCTGTCACCCAGCCGATGTCACGTCGAGCACACCGTCACCTATACGTCCATGCACACGAGATGGGGAAGCTGTATTTACGGTGGGGCCAATGCCCAGGGTATGTAGATGCGGACCTGTTCGCCCCGTCAATGTCAAGAACTCCACCGAGGCGGTAATGTAAGACACGAGCACTGTAGTCTGACCTGCGCTGCCAGAGTGACCATTTTGTATATCTCATGACGCTCTCAATCGTGGTCACGAGTGGCTCACGGACGTATGATAGTAGTACAACACTTCTAAGTCTATAGCTCATCATGCTTCTTGTTCTTCTTCAGCTCTCGTTCGGCGTCCTCACGCTGCAGCCTCTCCTGGATACTCTCTTCTTCGCCCTGCACTCCAGCATCCGATGCATCGCCTGCGACGGGCCTCCCAGTGGCTTCTGTCTCTCTGTGCTTCTTCGCTATCACAGCGATCTCATCATCATACTTGGTCCACTCCGGAACCTGCCTCCTTGCACGATCAAGCTTCGGCTCTTTCGTTTGCGGATTGTTGCACAAGTCTATCGTCTTAGCTTCCTTGAGGGCCTCGTCGGAGCACCAGGTCTCGCACCACAGCCATTCCTGCGGCAAGGAATGAATGGGTAACACCATCTGCATATGGTTCGGCAAGTCCTGGTCGAGATTGCTTAGACTGCCTGGGTCGGCAGACAGTTGATGATACTGCTGTCGCAGCCGATCACCAGCCGCGATCTGCCTGAACTTCTTCAGATCCACAACATATAGAGCCGAAATATGGTAAGGCAGGCCTTTGAGGAAGTTCTTCCAGTAGCCCTGCTTCCAGAACCTGAAGCCTTCCATCTCTGTCCTGGAGTCACACATGGGCGTGAAACCATAGGGTGCGCCCTTCAGGTCGTGTTGCACTAGCTCGTACATATCCGTGCGCACGATCTGATCGGCATCTACGAAGATGACCTTGTCGAGGTCGAGTGGGAAAAGGACGTCCAAGAATAAGATCTTGTAACCCCAGATCTCGCGCTGTTTCTCCTTCTGCCCTCGCAACCAGTGTGGCCACTTGTAAGTCACCATTTCATACTTGAATCCAAGTTCTTCCGCCAACGTAGGCAGGAAGGTTTTGAATGAGGGTGACAAGAACTGCTCGATGAACCAGAACTTGACGCTGTGTTTCGTGTTCTTCATTACAGAAAGCATCATGATGTTCAACATGCGCTCATAGAGATGGCCAGAAGCGACCGAGAAGATGTTAATATCGGCGTGGGCCTCTGTCGACACGTCAGTCGACATGCGCTTGCCAGAGATCAAAGATGTGCCTAGTCTAGCAGCCTTGGAGAGGTACTTGCCAGCGCTGTTGCTCTTGAGACCGACCTGAGCCAAGACCTTCTCCGTGCCTTCAGCCAGGTTCTCCAGAGCAGATTTGGTTGCTTCCAGTACGTCCTCATCCTCCATATTGGGCTTGCGAGACAAGCGAGGGAAGAGTGTAGCCCCTCGGAAGCTCATCAAAGCGATTTCAGTTGTGTTGTCGCCAGCCTGCGCAGCATACCCGAGTGTACCAGCACTGTCGATGTGGAAAATCTCCTCGCTGCGTCCTTTTTGCAACGCCAAACTATACACACCAGGGTTGGCCTTGAATTGGAAATAGCCGAGATTGGCCATAATGATAGTATCTGCAGCATGAGCATCTGACTCTGTGCCAAGCACGAGCTGTGCACCTCTAGGTGGTGGCCCCAAAGTGACATCCCGAGAGTGACCTTCGATGAGAATGTGCTCGAGCTCATAAGTAGCCTCAATATCAGCACCGGATTTGACAACGCTAAGCTTGATGTTGTCAAGGTCGTGCATGCTGTCCTTCGGCGCCACGAGCCACGACGGAGGCAGGTCCATGCCGATGTTGAGTAGAGCTTCGGCGGGTAAGCCACTGAAGCGTGCGCTCAGCTGTCGTAACGAGCCATCTTTCTCGAAGGAAGGTTTCGAATCAAGTACGTAGCGGTAGAAGCGTTTAACAGGTAGTTCTTGCAAAATGTTTTGCGGGTTCAGGAATAAGGTCATGGCAACACCTTCCAATTCTGATAGTGCCTTGATGACTGGAAGCCATCTCTGTGCCATCTCCGAAGCAGGATCAAGAGCCGAATAAATCTGGATATTGGCAGTTTCCAGATCTCCAATCTTGATAGCCGTGTGCGTCGAGTTCCACTGCTTGTAGACACCAGTACGAACAGTGGGTGCCGCTTCGAATATGCCTTCTGGCATGTCTGAAACCTGCGAAAGCGCTATGAGATTCGAGATGAGTGCGAATGCCAGGGGCGAAGAAGCTTTATCCTGGAGTTGTAGAGACTCGATAGCCAGGGCTGCAGGCAACAAGCGCTTTTTGCGCTCGTATGACAGTAATGCGTCAAGGTCATCAATCTCAAGGACGACTTGTTCTGCGACAGGTCCAACGACTCGGCCATTGATGACAAGCGCCTTTTCGCCAGCACTGAGCCCGATAGCATCGACAATTTCAAGGTCGGCTGGCTGTATAGTCTTCCTAGCTTCCGATGATTGGGACACTGCCTCGATCACGTTCTCGTACACGCTCGATCTACGAGCATAGTCCTCTTCGCCATTTGGTACTTCCTGCCCAGTAGGTGTCTTCTCCAGCTCGTCGTCATATACGCTTAGTAGTGACTTCAGAAAGTCTGAGGAGTACTCTCGACTTGACGTTGCAGATGATAGTGCCGCGATCTCAACATTGTCATGCTGTCGTTGAAAAAGGAGAGCTTCCATAAGCTGCGCAAACCCATCTCGCGTTTCGAAGTCGGCAACAACTGTCATTTGGACGAGTTCGCGCTCAATCGTATCAACACTGGCAGGAACACTCGGCAGGCCTGCAAAGCCTGGGAGCTGGCCCATATCGATGTGCTTGAGGTTTTTGTCGTCCTCGGGCACGACTGTAGGATTGCGTCGTAAACTTGCGCTCCCCAAGAACAGCTCGGGTAGGTACGTGTCCTCATTTAGCTCACCTTCGTAGACAGCCGTTTGGACCACACGCAGATCGAGACTGACTCGTTGACTCATTGACTGGAGCCATTCGTCTGTGTGAGCAATGGGCGCGCCGTTGATAAGAACTGGAGGCTTTGTTTGCGCATCGCCGCCCAATCTCTTCACGTAGGCTTGCGCGCCCTTGAGCTGTTCGTCCAACTTCGAATCTGCTAGGACATCCTCAAAGGTTAGTGCTTCATGATCTTTGCGAAGCTTGCGGTCATCGGTGGCCTGCGTGAAGTACTTCTCCTGTGGTGCACCAAATTTGCGTGCGCCCGCCGTGACAGATTTGGTCAGATAGTCCAGAGCCGGTGCCAAGCCATAGCGGTCTAGTAAGTAGTATACTACCCTGGCCTGTTCGACGCCGGCAGCTGAAGTGGTGCGAGGCACCAGGCCGAATCGAATCGGCACCTTTCGCTTGACGAACGTCTGCAGACTGTCGACCACAGTCATGACATCCGCATAATTCGAGAAGTCGATCGTAATGACCAAGTTGTGGATGTCACGTCTCACTGAGGGTAATTGACCAGGGTAAGTGCGCTGCAAAAGTGCAGTGACACTGCCAGACCATTCTGCGTAGCGCTTATCTTTCTCGATATCGTTAAGCCACATGATGACATTGCCGCCTTCGCTGCCGTCTCGCCAATCGTACCGCTGCACTTCCTGGTCGACTGCTGATGCCGTGATGGCTTCGTGGGCAAGCAAGTTGATGGCTTCCGGACCTGTCAAACCGAGATCTCGGACACTGCTGATCATCTTGCGCTCGCGACGGAGATGCTCGAGAAGAGAGTACGCGTCCACATCGCGAGGCATGATTTGTACACCATTGATCCATAGCACATTAAACCCAGGCGGCAGAAGTGCTTCTCGGTTTGCTTGGTGCTCGGTGTAGAACTCTGTAGAAACGTTGGTGGAGGCAATGGCACTGGAGTGTTTCGGAAAGTCTTGAGTCAATCGCAGAAGAGTGTCGAACGGCGACTCGCTAGCCATAACGAAGCTCGAGGCTTTCAGACCAAGTCGGAGAAGCTCAGAGGAAGACAATGGTCGGAGGTCAGAGACTTCATCATCCACAAGTGTAGTTTCGCCGGCAGGCGCCTGCGCCTGTTCCTCTTCTCCTTCCTTTCGGTCATCGATGACAATATAATCGGTACGCTTGAGAGCCAGCTCAACACCGTATCCACTGACAGTTAGAGGCTGAGCTGCTGCATTGGTAGATGGCTGGTAGCGGACGCGATAAGAAGTTTTGCTATCCCGAGCTGTCTTGCTCATAGTCTTGTGGAACTTCTTGAAAGACTCAGAGGTGATGTCGGCGTATAACACAGATGGTCTGCCATTGTGCTCACCACCAAGCACTCGATCGAAGGCTAACTTGTGCAGATCCTCACTCGGCTTGCCAAATACTTGTGCGCTGCTCTCTGCCAGATCCGGCGAGCAGTATCGCTGCCCGCTGAACGGCACATAGGCCCATGTTCCGCAGATATCCTCCTTGTCCTGTCCCAAACTTGGTCGTACAGAAGTATTGTAGTACTGGTAGTGTGCCTCTATCCTTGGTGCTGTAGAGTGTATCGATAGAGCGAAGTCAAAGGAAGACAAATCTTCGGGCTTCGTGAGATGTCCATCCTCTTGTAGTAGACCTCTGAACTTGCTATACAACTCTTGCTCGATCGTGGACCCGTCGAAGTATCCGTCTGCTATCCGATCGAGAAGCGGGAAATAGGATGTGGTATTCTCTTCTGCAGCAGTCTCTCTGTTCCGGTCGGTCAGAAGATACCAATATTTAGGATCCGCCTCGCAGTACGTACAGGAGTTCTACAAGGTAAGGCGGAGCATTAAATGCCGTCTTCACGGCGACATTGACGGACGGCACGGCTTGCACTTGGAGCAACGAGGCACCAGACCATAGCAGCCCGGCAGTAGTCACTCTCATTGTGCCTGTCGTTGTTGGCAGGAAAGCATGAACGTGTCAATGGAGAAGCATCTTTCCTTACTCGATAGTTGAAAGCTGAGGATTGTCACTACGTGGCTTCTTCTTGCATATCAACATGCAGGCCTTGATGGCAAGCGAGCGTCTTAACGATACGGACTATGTTCGAACTGGTGCTTCTCGTATGCTTATTATCTTCATCTTGACCTCTCGTAAGTCAACCGTGCAGCAGCATTCAACAGGAGGTTACCAAGGGCGGAGGTGTTCGGTGCACGTGTGAACGCGGACTAGCGCTCTTTCACATGATACGATGCTCTGTTCTTCTGACTATGCAGAACGACGGCCTTTGTTGAATGTTGCAAGATCTTCGACCACATGCCCGAGATCAGACGTACTGTTGTCTGCGAAGCTCTTCTTGATCCACCCAGGCAGCTTTCCTCTGATCCTCGTCTGATTGTAGCGGCTATCCATCAACAAGATACTTGCCCAGTCACTCTTGTGTCTGATGACACGACCGACAGCCTGATTGACAGCCCTCATACACACATTCTCTGCATGTTCACGGCCAGCCTTGCCAGACGCCTCACCTCGGGCTACTGATACGTTATCGATATACTTAAGTCTAGCTTTCCACTCGGCTGTCTGCAGATTCGGGAACGGAAGACCAACAACCACCACGCACCGTCCCAGGTCGTCCGCGAAGTTGATACCTTCCGAGAGTTTGCCACCAATAACAGAAAGCATGACTGCACCATGGCGATTTGTGTTGATGGCTTGGCTATATTCCTTGAAAGTGGTCTCTGCGGATTCAGTCTGATTGTCCCAAAAGACGGGCTTGATCTTTGCAAGGTCCGCTGTGATCGACTCGCTGCTCCAAGCTGCCGCCACTTGCTTCAGCGTTGCGTAGCTCGGTAAGAAGACGACGAGTCCGCCTTGTACTTGAGGCGCGATTTTCAGCAGCGCCTGGCCGATCCTTCTGGCCGTCTCACTGCTCCTAGCCTTGAAGGTGAACTCAAGCGGACCACTCTCGTCACTGGCAACGGCTCTGACCAATAGGCTACTGGTGGGAATGAGGTGGCCGCATGAGAAAGTTTTCAGCGATGGGAGGTAAGGGAACAGTCTCTGGCGATAGTCGTCCATGGGTGACATAGTCCCGCCTGCTAAGATGACTGCTCTAGCATCCTCCACAATCTCTCGGAAATGCTCAGACGGATCGAGCAGCATGTACCGGAGTGTGCTTGCGCCGTGCTGCTTGTTCCAGAAGAAGTTACCTTCGTTTGAGGGGTTCATGAGCGTCGCAAGGAAGTTCTGTATACTCGTCAGGCTCGGGACATTGACATCGCCGTCGTAGCTCTTCGCTAGTGAGGCCGAATTATTTTCTGACGGGGCGACATGTGCGACGTAACCTTCGACTTTACGTGCCAACTTGCTGTCACCGATATATCGAATCAGCTTTGTCAGGTTAATCTGGTCAACGCCTTTGCCGGCCAGGAGCTGTGACGGCTGAAACGTGCCACCAGTAGTTGCCATCGCATCAACCTCATGCACATATTGCAGCATGGAATCGATGACTCGGACCACCTGAGTGACATAGACTCGATTGCTGCCTTTCAAGCGGTTTCGAAATTTCTGGAGGTACACCAGCAAAGCTTCCCTTGCCCGCTGCAGCTGTGCTGATGATACCTCCACAGAATATATGCCTTCAACGGCGTCCATCAGATTATGAGCTTCATCGATCACCACGATGTGACCTTTGAGCGAGATGCCAAGTGCATCACGGGCCGTCTTCTGCAGTAATAGAGGATAGGGAAGAGTGACAATCTCAGCAGGCGCGATAGCTGATCTGGAAGCGTAATAAGGACATATGCCGAGTCGGCTACCAAGATTCGCAAGGTCCTCAATGTCGCGAATCTGGGCCAGTGTATGATCTCTGAAGTCTAGTACAAGGTCGCTGCTTTCCTTACTAGGCAGGAAAGGACACTTTTGGTCCGCGGGAGTGGAACTTTGCTGTAGCTCAACACATCTCTCGTTGACAGCCGTCTGGCTATGTAGCTTGGCGACCTTGGGATTGATGCACAAATTCTTGCGAGACCCAAGAGATACATGCTTCAATGGCTCCTCTGACTTATCGTCTGATTCGGACGGCATGCCTGGTGGCAAGTGAACACGCTGAAGCTCGCCAACAAATTGAGATAACTGCGAATGCGTGCGAGAGCAGAAGAAGACCTTGAGTTCCTCGACAACTTCACTTGTCTCGCCTTCCTGATTTCCCCGATGCATGATGCCGAGCCGCTCCATTAGTTTCGAGGTCTCTGCGGAATATGTGGATCGTTGCACAGAAGCTGCCTGCCGGTCGTCGTCGCTTTCATAGTCGTCTAGCAAAAAGTCATCCTCATCAGATGTCGTTACATGCTGATCTGTAGCCAGCTTCCTCCGCTTGCTCGTGCTGCTACTACCTGCAGCACGTTCCTTCAATTTCCGTTCCTTCTCACGAGCCACGTTAAGACGAGCCTCGAAGTCTTCCCGCATCTGCCGCATCTCACGCTGTCTGCTAGCTTTTGCATGTTCTGACATCCAGTCTGGTTCGTCGTCGTCAAGTTCAACAGTAGCAGATGCTTCATCGAAGAGGCGGCGCTTATGTTCTCGCAACCATGTCAGTGAGCTGCAAATCAGGCTAAACGACTTTCCAGTGCCTGTTGGAGACTCGAAGATGCCGATTCCTCCCTGCTCAATACAGTCGTATATTGCTGTCATGAATTGTAGCTGGATGTCGTACGGCTCGAACGGGTGGTGAAAGTCTTTGTTAGCCATGGTCGTGAGATTTACTATCGACCTGGCCTGACGGAAGTCCTCCGCGGAAATTTCGCAGCTTGGCCTCTGGAAGCGCACATATGTATCGTGAAGGTCGACCAGACTTTGAGAGATCAAAGAGATGTCGGCTGCCACCCCACGTCGCGCTAGCGCGCGTCAAAACGTGACCTAGAGGCGTACTGTGGATGAGCTATATTCACCCGTGCTTCCCTTTCCTCAAACGAAGAGGGTCTTCATTTTTGGTCACTGATGAAGAAGTCTTCGCTTTGTCGATGACCCACGTCTCGACAACCTCCTTCTTCTCGAGCGCCTTCTTCTCCTTCTGCTTGGCGTCGCCCAGTCGTTTGATGTAGCCCAAGTAGATCGCCACCTCGGCAAAAGCGACAATGCCACTGCCAGACATGGAGAGTCCAAGTCGCTGTGGTACGCTCCAACGTCTCGCTGCTACCCAGATAAAAACACTGCAGCAGATGATGGATATCAGGACGTTGATGATCAATATCATCTGTCGATTCACATCCTGGAAGGTCATGTCGTCGTCTTCGTCGTTACCGGTCTGACCATGGGATGTCGCTGGGTTGAAGCCATATCCTGGGGCATGGGGAAAACGCTGGCTGAATGTTTCCGGCACTGTAGTAGCATGCGTCATACGGTCGTATTGTCGTCGTTCCTCGTCGGCTCGCAGTTTCCGCATCAGTGCTTTGTATTCTGCTGTCTGTCGTGGTTTCGCTACAGGTGGCGTCGACTGCTGAGCGATGGAAGAGCCTCTAAGTAGGCTATCCAGTCGCCATACGGTTGGTGTGTCATAAGACTTTCCGGTGCTCTGTACTCTGCTGGCTCTCAGGGACTTCGCTATCCTCATCAATTCCGCATGGTCTATTGGGCTGCCCACATCAAGTGCTGCAAGGTTATTCAATCGTGCCTGGTCGTCATCATATGCATTTCCAGCTTGCCCCAGCTCGCAGTACTTGATGATAGCCGCTTTTGCTGCAGTAGTCACCGTGATCCTCACCATCATGGACCGTACGTTTTGATATGTGATATGAAGGTGATCGCTATTCCCTGACACCTACTACATGTACTTATGCATATGCAAGTCTCCACACTGGGATAGCGGCTTTGCGGTGACATCTCCGGCCTTTGCCGAATGGGATCTTGTTAGCGTCATTCTGGCTCGAGCTTTAGAAAAGTGTTGTATGGAGGTGAATTGTCCATACCAAAGACTATACCTCTCATGTTGCTGTAAACAAATATCATTGAATCTTAGCGCGGCGTTTGGATTAGCTCTGACAACTTTTCAAACCCTCTTCGCCTGATCACGCGACATCATCTGAATGTCTAGAGCCACAGCGCGATCGTCTGCGCTCGTTGGGAAAGCCATCACTGCACCCATACGATCATGCAGACCACGAATACGATGTCCTGGATGTTTCCGACCGATACCTCAATCAATACCCCTCGAACCACAACGACGGTTATACCATGGATCGCATAGGCGAAGTCAGTCTGCTGTATCGGCGGCGGTCATCAAGGCGAAAGAGCTGTTCAGTGGCCCACCGCCGCCAGGACCGATGGGTATCGATCCTCTGAGGAGTGTTGCGAAGGAGATGAAATTCATGACTGGTAATATACGGCAACTGCTGGGTTCCGGACATCCGATGTTGGATACTGTCTCGAAATACTATACACAATCAGAGGGCAAATACATAAGGCCAATGCTTGTGCTTCTCATGTCGCAAGCCACAGCAACGCTACCGAAGCAGGGAAGATTATGGTCCAGGGGCATGGAAGACGTAGATCACCCGATCACTTCATCCACGGTGCTCGCAGACACCAACCCGAGCTCTCCTCTTACTGCCCAGAATCTCGATAATGGCGACGCTGCTGATCCATCAGTTCTTCCTTCTCAGCGACGACTAGCAGAGATCACAGAGCTGATACACACCGCATCGCTGTTACACGATGATGTGATCGATACGTCAATCTCGAGGAGAGGGAACACTTCGGCAAACATCGAATTTGGCAACAAGATGGCTGTTCTGGCCGGGGATTTTCTCCTTGGTCGAGCTTCTGTAGCGTTGGCACGTTTACGTGATCCTGAGGTCACAGAGCTGCTTGCAACGGTCATTGCGAACCTGGTGGAAGGAGAGTTCATGCAATTGAAGAACACCGTGCTCGACGAGAAGGACCCGGTGTGGAGTGAGGATACTATCACATACTACCTGCAAAAGACATACCTAAAATCAGCCAGTCTGATTAGCAAATCATGTCGAGCAGCGGCTTTGCTAGGTGACCATACCACGGAGACTGTGGAGGCTGCATACCAGTACGGAAAGAACCTAGGTCTAGCGTTCCAGCTTGTGGACGATATGCTGGATTATACTGTGAGCGGTGTTGAGCTCGGTAAGCCCGCTGGTGCTGATCTAGAGCTTGGTCTCGCTACGGCACCTCTACTGTTTGCATGGAAGAACAATAGCGAGCTCGGTACACTTGTCGGTAGGAAGTTCGCAAGCCCTGGTGACGTGCAAATGGTGAGCACATAGACCTCATGACAACTTTGTTGACTTTTGCTAATGTGTTATAGGCCCGTGAGATGGTCGTGCGAAGTGATGGTATCGAACAGACACGTGCCCTTGCCCAGGACTATGTTGACAGAGCCGCCCGAGCAATCTCTGGCTTTCCTGAGTGCGAAGCGAAACATGGGCTGATCGATATGTGCTCGAAGGTCATGAGTAGGCGAAAGTGAGCGAAAGCTTTGCTCCATTGGAATGGCATCGAAATGAAACCCTTCTCTGCTTTTAGCGACGAGCTAGCGCGGCGTTCACGGCGAAGCAGCATATAGATGATCACCAATGTAGAACATCATGTACATACGAGAAAGATCGCATCTGCACATTAAGGACGTGCTGTGCCTGCCTACCATAGTTTGGTCTCATCAGAGCTAGCGCGTCCGTGCCCCACTTCCCCGATGCTGGTCTCTTTCATCTTCGTTTCCTCCCACCACAACATCACACTTACTTCCAATATGACCGAGCAAACTTAGCTACAATGATAAGTACAGTGTCGTGATGTCAGTATACCTACACATACACACACACGTAGCGTGCTGAAGCATCCCAGGATCAATGTCGCCACGCGTCTGCGACGCGCGATCTTGCTCAATGACCTCCTCCTGGTGAAACGCATTGTCCAGAACAGCCCTCGGCTTTTGCAAAATCCAGACTTCGAGGACAAGAGCAATACGAGCTTGCATCTGGCGGCCTCGAATGGTCTCCTCGAGATTTGCAGATTTCTGATCGAAGCAGGCCATGAAAATGTCGAGATCAGCCGCAACACCGACGATGATACACCTCTCATGGTCGCCGCGAAGAGTGGCAAAGTGCAAGTGGGAGAGCTCCTGATAGAAGCCTTCCCGCGATGCATCCAATACGTTAATAAAGCTGGGCTGGATGCACTCACGCTAGCGTCACAGCATCCTGCATCCACCGGTCTGATACCACCACTACTACAGCATCCCGAATACCCAGCCTCGCCTCATGTCAAGGATCAGGATGGGAACACGCCACTGCACCATGCCTCCGCTTCGGGATCACTAAAAGCCCTACGAATCATCTTATCGGCTGGTGCAAACCCACTGGCAAAGAACGACTACGACTGGACGCCGCTGGCCTACAGCCAAACAGTAGCCGCAGAAGTCTACTTTAAGAACCTTGTAGCTGAATTTGAGCGTAGGAAGGTGGAAGGTGCGAAGCTTGGCGAGGAACGAGAAAGGCAACGAGCAGCCGGCGTTCGTATCGTGGACGATGAGGGAGCACTGCAAGAAGACGCGGTGATTGGCGATGCGCTCAAGCGGCACTGGAGCCCTACGGAGAGCAGACGGCCCATGACTCCCGGCTCGGCACCAAGACATGACTGGGGTCCAGGACTGGCGTTGCAGCACTCGAGGACGAGGTCCAGTAGTGGGGACCTGGTGCGGTGAAGGGATGCGGTGGCGAATGAGCGCCGGCGACTGCCTGACATACGGTGTCGAGATAGGCAATGCGCGGAACATCACTAAGCGAATCTCTATCAGGGCCGCGACGAAACAAAACACCCAAATGATGAGCAGTACATTGTTTCATATCATGGCGGCCTCGTGTGCGGTGATGGTCGAACGCGAATTGCATCTACTCTAGCCACAAGCACTACGCGCCAACCGACTGGAAACATACCAATAATACTTCAACAATAGCAGCGTCACAGAGAAGTGTTGTGGCTTTAATTCCGTCCTGGTTGCATTGTGGCGGCCAACGGGGTATTAGCTTGTGCACTGCAGAGAAGGAGATTCCCGTTTCAGCGCGACAGTGATCTGCTTTTACGAGCAGGCTACTAGTATTGATGTCGCGATTGGAGAGCTAGCGCTGCACGAGGTGGCTCGAATAGTACTGTGGTCTGTTGGTCCTACTAGCGTACTACGCCTTGGTATATAATTATCAGCATTTTACCTGCCGCAGGTTGCTTCCAGAAATGCAGAGGCATCGCAGGAACTATTGCATGGTCACTCAACAGCCGTACATGCAGCATGCAGTAGTCGTCTCGTACCGGCGCATCTTGGATTCTTCTTTGTTCATCTAGCAACTCGCACTAGTGACAATTTGATGACCATGTGCATGTGTTCTTTCTCAAAGAGGCTGAGCTCACGGTCAGCGCGGGACGATACGACACACGGCATCAGTTGTTTGTGATCCTGATCCTTCTATCGTAAAACTCATCAGCAAGACCATGATCTTATCAGTGCTGTCGCTAGTGCCGCTCGAGGTCCTACTGCGTGAACGAGGTGATGTTGATAATGCTACCTACAGCGCTAACGGATGGCTGCGTTCAACGTCGCACATAATGGTCGTGGACTCGTGGCTATACACGCCATCAGCAGGGCGCGGCACCTTAAGCGCTTCCTCTGTGAATGCAGGCGCCACCAACATCACCAGAAGGACCATATTTGTGGGGAGGCTCTATGCGTCGCGGCTAATCATGCAGCTCAGCCCCATGGAGTTATTGGGGGCCTGAAGGATGGCATACACCCACGCACGAGCTATACACCAGTACTTAATGGGATTTGACACAAGCAGGTAATCCACCGGGTCAGCGGGCTCTTCGCGACTACTCCATCTGATCTCGAGGTCGCTTGAACTGGGCGTAAGCACAATCAAGCCCGGGCGTTCTGGAGAAGATGGCAGACTAAAAGCCGCTGTATACTACCAACAGCTTGGCAGGACTTCATGCATATCTCACATCCGACAACTATTAGACCTGCACAGTGTTGGTGGAGTCCCATGTCCATGAGATCAAGAGGCTACCTATGGATGTGTTGGTGTCTGGACTAGCCATGCTGGCGATGCTATGCCGAAGTGGACACCTCATTCGGTTCTGGTATGCTAGCTTGGCATGCACAGTATCACCTCAGCCCCCATAATCGATCTCATCTTGGCAATCTCAGCATATTGCCAAGGCGGGTTGGTTAGTATGGAGGGCTAGTCATGATCAGCAGTAAGATATAACCCACCGTTGTCGCCTACGAGCAAATCTTCATCCATCAGCATCGACCGAGACCTCATTCAAGGACATTCATCTTTCCATACAGTCGCTTCCAACATCCCGACCTTCCGATTTATTCAGAATGTTTAGCCAACTCGCCCTCGCAAGCAGCGTTCTGCTGGCCGCTTTCACACAGCAGGCTATTGCTGTTGACAAGACTCGCGACCCTGGCCTTGATGCCAACTTGGTCACCGCTGCCACCCAGCTCGACCGTCTTTCGCTCCTTAGCAAGGACTCCGACTGGTTCTTCGACTTTAACGTCCAGCAACCATACTACAACTTTGCTCCAGGTTGGTTGGACCAGATGTAAAAAAGTGCCGCAAAGCTTGCTGACTACTTGTGTAGGTGGTGTGGTCAACATGAATGCTGCCACCTTCCCTGCTGCCCGCGGCAACGGCATGACGCGTAAGTCTCAGGTTGGCAGTTCCGTTGCTTCAAGCACTAACACATGTCAGTGGCCATGCTTAACCTTGGACCTTGCTCCATGCTCCCGCCACATTATCATCCCAGAGCATCGAACTACGTGGTCGCCGTGCATGGCAATACAACCACCTACGTGAGTAAAGGACCATGAGCCTAGTAGCGCTGTCCGAGACTTTGCTAATCATTGCTTTCTTCGATGGCAGATGTACGAGGAGAACGGAGCACGCCTTGTCACCGAGACTTTGCTCCCAGGCCAGGCTACCATCTTCCCACAAGCCAGCATGCATATGATGGTCAACAACGGCTGTGAGGACGCCCAGCTCGTTTCAGCCCTGAGCTCTGAAGACCCTGGTACTCAGAACATTGGCAATGTCTTCACCAACGGCTTCCCAGCAGAGTTGGTGAATGCGGCGTTCGGCCAGGATCTCGCGGGCGCAGAGGCAGCACAGACGATGACTCCCGTCGGGACCGGCTCGAACTGGGGCCTGGCCAGCTGCCTTGCGAAGTGCAACATAAAGCCAAACAGCACGTATATTCGATTCTGAAGGACCCCGGCAGGAGGAAATCTGTTTTGTTTAGCGCGCATGTTTGGGGGAGAGTCTAAGTCGTCGCCCAGTCTTCTTGCTTGATAGTGTCGTATTCGCTGTGGCATGCTCGGCCTAGCAAACAAAACTATATACTCCAGATAGCAGAGATACTGTACTAGCTGCATTACTGAGAATGCTATGTCAGTGTCCATCTATCACCTTGTTCATACTTGTCAGCTACTGAATTACCCGGCTTAGCTCAGCCGCCCGCGTCAATAGCGCCGAGGCGATTCATGAAGCCCTCCTTGCTCACCGAAGACAATGCCAACCCATGCTTCTCCGTTTCTTCGCACGCCGCGGATCTGCTTGCTTGCCTTCATCTCATGCGCGCGCCAACACGCTGAGGTACGCAGACTACGAATCGAATGGCTGCTCGAGTGGTATCACTCCTCGGTCTTCCCCTCTGCTCCGCAAGCATTGTATCTGCTCCACACAGCCTCGACTTGCCCTCCACCAGCAGGTCGAAATAGAACCCCTCCCTGGCTACGATGCTGAGGAGTTCTATCCGGTCAACATTGGCGACGACCTCCATTTGCGCTATCACGTGATTGGCAAACTCGGCTACGAGTCGAACTCGACAGTGTGGTTATGCAAAGATCTCCAGTATTCAGAGCCCAATGCGACTTTGTCACTTCTGCGACTGACACGGTGTCCCAGTAAATCACGGTGTGTTGCAGCCAAGATGTGCACTCGCGCGCCTCCCAGTGGGACAAATGATGAAAAGGTGCTGTACGAGAGATTGCAACTCATAACTACGATACATCCCGGGTCCGCCAGTATTCGTCCGGTCCTCGATACCTTCGAGCTTGTGCGCAAGAATGGGAACGTGCACGTCTGCCTGATCCACCCACCTCTGCAATGTACCATGTTCGCCTTCCAGAGAGTAGGTGGGAGGCCGGTGCCGCTTTCCGAGGGACTCGTCAAAGCAGCTATGAGAAAGCTGCTTAAAGCTCTTGATTATCTTCACACTGAGGCTGATGTGATCCATTGTGGTATGCCCGATTTTGTAGGTATGAAGATTCGAAGCTGATCTGCTGCTGCCAGACGTAAAGCTGTCGAATCTCATGCTGCAAGTTGAAGATGAAGACGTCTTTCGAGATTTCGAACAAGCGGACGAGAATTCCTCAAGCCCGCGCAAACAAGTAGTGAGGAACGTACGATCTACACATCTCGACCGCTTCGAAGATCGCGAGCGTATGCATATGGCTCTCCCCAGTTGTGCGATTTTGGGGAAGCCCGGACAGGATTGATCCAGCCATGGGCAACATTCAGCCCGAAGTTCACAGAGCCCCAGAAACACTCATGCAATTCGAAAGTTATAGCAGTGCGGTTGATATCTGGAATGTGGGCTGTGTGGTGAGTGTTGCTTTGTCCCTCGATCGGAAGTGACTTGCTGATGCAAACCTAAGTTATGGGATATGCTTGAGGTAGAGCATCTATTCGATGGCCGTGATGAAGATGGTCAGCACAACAATCGAGTCCATATGCATGAGATCGTCAGTCTGCTCGGCAATCCGCCAACAGAACTCTTGCGGCGAAGTCCGCAGACGTGGCGGCTGTTTGACGAGTCGGGTATTTACCAACCGTCTCAATACGTGTCTTGTGCCGTCGCTAATCTCGACGTAACAGGTCAATGGGGCGCAAAGCCAGCCATTGATCATACGTCACTAGAGGACGGGATGAAGAACGTTGCTCTTCAAAAGAAGACGCAAGTCATTCAAATTCTGGCTAATATGCTTCGCTGGCTGCCAGAGAAAAAAGCGACTGCCAGAGAACTGCTGGAGCATCCTTGGATGCAGGATGATCGACCACGCTCTGGATTTGAGAAGATTGAGCATTTTATATCCGCTGAACAATGGGACATCGGTCTGTGTTGATGGTATCAAGGGTTATGACAAGAAAGGTGAGACAAGGGAATTATGGTCACACTTCAACAACTTCAACCATCACACTAAGGTCCGGCGACTGAGGTGGCTCACGAGGTCGTTTTCGTCTTTCATGTACCCCTTGGCCCTTGGGAGACATGAGTGGAGTCTGCGCGGCGTCATGTATACGACTGCTTCTGCATGGTAAATATCCTAAGTATCGATAGCAATCTCCTGTAGTCGGTTATAAGAATCCAGAAGCTATGTTCGCTATTGTAAAACACGGAGGCTTGTCTTGTTGCTCTTTGTGAGTCCGCAGTCAGGATCGTGTCTCCGGTATCAGTTTCCCTAGCCCCAGACTATACATGACGTCCTGGTTTCCGCGACCTCCTCCACCACGGAATGGCTCGGCTGTGAGAGGAATGTGCTGGTAGATCATGTCATGAAGAGCAGACCTATCATTATAAGGTATTATCAGATCACATCTGAGCACATACGGCCATAGGCCGCGGAAAACAGAGGATCCCGTCCGCTCTCCTGAACTCAAGCTGCGGACCGGCAGAGTAGTAGTATAGTGGGTGACCATGTGCGAATGCCTGCTGTTGTATGTTTTACATTTTTGTCCCAGCGGCAAGCCTGCCAGCAGGCGCGAGTATAGGAGAGCGATTGTCTCTCGTACAGTCTGCTGGGGTAGGAAAGCGCGGTCATACTAGAATGGTCAACAGTGGTCCAGCTGAAGTACTACATACCGCTTCCTTGTACGCTCGTGCGAGACGAGGGAGCAAAAGCTCGTAGATCATCCTACCGTCTTCTTAGGAAGCCTTATCGGTGCTTTGCGCTTTCAGCATCAGGTCGATACAATCAGGATTCTTTCTGACGGGGATGTGATCTGTCGTCCAGAAGAAGATGAAAAAGCCCCAGTCCTTCGGGCACGCTTCGTCTGCGTGATACCATATCCATGGCCTTGTCCAGGTTCGGCATTCCCTCCTCGTCAGATATCTGAGTCACTAACATCGGAGAAGTCGTCCCCCATCGAGCCCGTCGTCGTGATTAATCAAGGCCTCATCACCAGCGCGACCTGGATAATGTTCGGTATCAGCATAGACAGCTTCCACACGGAATCAACATTGCTCTGCACGTCACAGGGCGCTGTGGTCTGATTACTGGACCCAGCGTCAGAGGCGTCGTCTTGGCCGCCATTGCGGGCAGGACTGTCTTCAGTGCTCTCCACGAATTGTTTCGCATTTGCCTCAGAGTCTATCGACGGCTGCCCTTCATATCGCAACCACGCAATACGAATATGCACGTCGAAAGCAGATGGTAACCATTTTCTGCTATGGATGCTTCGGCTTTCATTCCTCGTATCGTGGATCTTTGGTCCCTTTCGAGACTGGTGTCAAAGTACATGATGCGTGACAGGGGATATCGCTGTGTTCGCTCGGCGGGAGCGTGACGGCACATGATCGTAGAGCACATCGTTAGGTAGACTTCCAGTTGCTTTAAAACTGGCATCCGGGCCTCAAGACTGATCTTCCGACGTTGAAGCTCAATTGACCCATCCCGCGAAGAAGGCCCGTCGTGTCCACATAGCATACTGATTAGAGATAGAGGTGCAGTAGTGCCAGCGATAGCTTATCGACGTTCGAGGCTCCTTCCATACTTCCCACTAACCCGTCTTCAGCCTGCACCAGCTTGAAGGTGGTACGCCAGTCCGCCCACCGCAATCGTTATTACTGTATCGCAGGAGTGAGTAGTAATCGCTGAGACATAGGGGCTGAGGCGCACATGATCTGCCTCAACGAACTCCTTGCACGACGTGAATGTTTGTAGCTCCTGTTATCGATTCCATGACGCATGTAACACCACACCTCCACGTCTGCTGCAGCCCGGCTTCTACTCCTTCGAAAAGCGCCCAAACAAGCTTCACTTCGGACCTACAGCGGGCTGGTGCTAGTCGTGGTGATCACGAATGAGGTCGGCTGACACATAGTACCATCACTCCTTTGTCTTGTCTTCCACCTGCACTCGCAAACGGACGATATCGGACTCGGACATTCATCTCACAATCCAGATCACATTCCTCACGAACGCACGGGAACTCATTCAGTGAGGGATATATACATATATCGGCGTCGACTTGCGAGACTTCCAACATGATGCATTCATAAAGAACACGGGGTGAGAAAGACAATATTGAGTACTCTACCACAGGCCACACACACCCATAGCGCCATCCACGATGGCATTCCAGCAGCCACAACCACAGCAGCGACCAACAGCCCAACGACAGATCTCCCTCACGAAGCAAGACGCCGCAGCCCAAGCGCCAGCATCACCAACAAGGAAACGCTTGATCGAAGAGTCCCAAGAATGGATCTTGTTCTCTCCTAAGCATGACGAACAGTCGCACACCTCACGAACACCTCGAACAGCGACAGATGTAGGCTCGCTAGAAACTCATGTCCGATCGCAACAGCTTGGCAGCGCAGAAGAAGCCACATGCCAGGGGACGGAAGAAGACGATGATGATGCCGAACTCGACAGCCTCGATGATGGTCTGCACGCCTTTCAACACCATCCCTTCTCCTCATCGTCCCATCAACTGGACCAGAGTGGTGGAGCTGTACTACCAACCCATGATGGCTTGGGGATGTTCCCATCATCTACCGGTTTGCAAGAGCATTTGTGGCAGTTCGAGCGGTACAATCCACACCGCCGACGTCATGCGAGGCGAAGAAGCAGCATTCAGCGACGGCTCGATGAGGTGGAGGAGGAAGAGGAACATGACTTGGTGGATGAGCGGACAGCACGTGTCGAGAAGTGGAGGCTGGAGCAGAGTAAGGCTGTGCTGGAGGAGATTGAGCGGGAAGCAAGAAGAAGACAACGGCGCATGAGTCGGCTGAGCGGAGATGTTCGATCGGAAGTGCGTGAGAGCGTGAAGATGAGGAGCCACTCGGTGGTAGAAGCTCTACGTCAGGCGGCACCACCTGCGGAACAACAGCCGGAGCAGAGTGGAGAGTCTTGGTGGCAGAGACTCACACGAAAGGTCATTCAAGATCTCATCGGTCTGGATGAGACGACTCTGTCTGTTATCTTTGGCGAACAGCTGGCTGAGGATCCATCGCCAACTCCAACACAACCATCACCACTAACTCGAGCAGTTAAGCAAGAATCACGAGTCACATTTCGGGATCAGGAGCATGGATGGGAAGCGAAGCTGATGCAGCGTATCGCGAAAGAGCTAGGCATGCTCGTGGATCAGCTCTCGGATCATGATGCAAAAGCTTTCAGCACTTATGCGCACGGACAGCAGGAGTTGAGTTATGCTGGACTGGAAGAAGAGCAACCTGCAACAACAAGCCGGACTATCCCACAGCGAAAGCATCGTCTGAGTAGAACTGCCGCACAGCCATCGGCATCGAGCGATGCTCTCTTCTCGCCCACTCTCCGACGACAAAGTGGTGATGAGCCAGATTCATCCGTCTGGGGTATCGAAGACGACGAGCCTAGAGCACATGAACGCACAGCCGAAGAGATAGCCGAGGGGGAGTACTGGGAGCGAGACGTCGACGTCAACATGCTCTTCACCTACCTTCGCCGCCGCTTCTCCTCCTCCTCACCTACACCACCACCTGCACAACCACAGGGACCACTACCAGCAAGCTGGATAACCTCCAACGCAACATTCGCACTCGGCACCTCGCTCGCCTCCATGCGCCGCGCAGAAGCCATACGCCGGCAACACCCGCTCGTCTCCCGTGCAGCCGAACGCGCCGCAGCACAATCCCGCCAACGCGATTCGTTGCTACGACGTCACCAGATGCAGTCATTACTGCTCAAGCGCAGTGCCGTGGACGGAGATAAGATGAGTAGTTGTGCCAGCCAGAGCACGAAGCGGAGTCGACATAGTCGCAGTGGGAGCTCGAGACATTATTGGCTGGAGGGGAGCGGGAGTATGGGGAGTGGAGGGCAGGTGATGAGTTCGGGGCTTGGAGGGTGGGGTGAGGTTTAGAAATAGGAGGGGAGGGTGTTGTATGAATATTACGAGGATGAATCTCAACGACTTTTTGATACCAGGTTTTAGGATACCATGAGCACGTGCGGGGATGGGGCCAGCATGGTATTAAGTAGCATGATACACGAATACATCTCTCAGCGCCTGACTTCAAAGGTCATTACGATCTCTACCTGCCGAGCACGTTTGTAACCATGGACGCAAGACCAAACAGGCCACAAGCCATCAACTCCGCCACCCCTACTCCATCCCCTCCAAATAAACCTCATCCCCAACCTCCACCAACCTCCCATCCTTCTCCAACACCCCCCGTTCTGCCTCCCGCATAAACTCCACATAAGCCTCCCTAAACCCCCTATCCCTCAACCCCAGTATCCTCACCGCCGCCAGCGCAGCATTCGTTCCATTATTCAACCCCACCGTCAACGTCGGCACACCCTTGGGCATATTCAAAATACTAAGTACACTATCCATCCCATCGCCCATACTAGCTTTGATCGGGACGCCTATCACGGGAAGCGGTGTGTACGCGGATACCATCCCGGGCAAGTGGGCGGCGCCGCCTGCGGCCGCGATGATGACTTCGATTCCTAGGCTTGCGGCGGAGCGGGCGTAGATGGCCATGGCGTCTGGAGTGCGGTGGGCGGATGTTATGCGGGTTGTGTAGGGAACGTTGAAGAGGCGAAGGGTGGCGAGGCCGGGGGCAAGTTTGGGGAGGTCGGAGTCGGAGCCCATTAGGACGGCTACGAGGGGTGATCGTTTCCGTTTCGTGGCTGCTGTTGTTGTTGTTGTTCCTGTGGTTTGCGTAGTGGTGCTGTTCTGGGCGTCCACGAAGTCGATTAGAGGTTGGATGATTTCTTCCGCTTCGCTCATGGTTGGGGCTGTGATGGTAAGATGGCCCATTTTCCGGCCTTTGCGCGCTTTTCCTTTGCCATAGAGATGGATTTTGGGACGGACGTCGGATTTTAGTGCTTCTTCTACGACCTTGAGATGGCTGTTTTCGGTTTCGCCACCGAGGATGTTGAGCATGATCGCTGGCTGATTTAAACGTAGCGACTTTTGCTTCAGTGGTAGGTCTAGGATCGCGCTCAGATGAGCTTCGTATTGTGATACTCCGCAGGCTTCGATGGTGTAGTGTCCTGAATTATGGGGTCGTGGAGCGATCTCGTTGATCAAGAGCTCGTCGTTCTGGAGCAGGAACATCTCCACGCCAAAGACACCCTTGCCTTCGAAGCAGGCCACGGCTTTCCGTGCCAAGTCCTGTGCTCGCTGGTCGATACTCGACGAGACTCCTCGTGCGGGCGTGTAGGTGAGTTTGCAGATACTGTTCTCATGCACAGTCTCAGTGGTAGGGAAGGAGAGCACATCGTCCCTCGTTTTGACCACCATGACAGCCAGCTCCATCCGGAACTCGGCCCACTTCTCAGCATACAGCGCTCGATTCCCTCCAAGTGCTTCCAGCGCCGCCTCGAAATCGACCTTCGACTTGACGGCGTAATTGCCACGACCATCATATGCCTCCTTCCTCGACTTGAGCATGAGTGGCAAGCCTAGCACATCCGCCGCCTCTGCCAGATCCTTCAAGGTCGCACTCTTCAACGGAATCGATTGCGCCGTGGCCACTCCATTCGAGATTAGATGTTCTTTCTGCGTATACTTGTCCTGGATAGTCCTGAGAGTCCTCCAGTGCGGCTGGACATCAGCTCCAGCATTCGAGATTTCTTCCAAAATTTGAGTATCGACGTGTTCGATCTCGACGGTTACAACATCGGACGAAGCAGCTAGTTTTCTTATAGCGTCCGCGTCCTTGAAAGATCCTTCAACGTGGTCGCCCAGGTTCGATATTTGCTTGGCGGAGGAATGGCCGACATCTAGGACGTTAACGGGTATTCGTAGTAAATTTGCTGCCTCGGCCAGCATGGCACCTAGCTGGCCTCCGCCGAGCACGCCAACACGTTTGTCCATATTGTTGCTGTGTTATAAGACCATGCGAGGCAATGTGTGTATTGTGCTAGAACATGTTGGCAATGTGAAGATGCATCGACAAACGCTGGACAAACTTTTTGAGCCCCATCAAATTTTGTAGGGAGAGCTTGAGAGGCGTGACATTCGACAAGGGCGACTAGCCATCACCCTCACTCGTAGAAGACGTTGTCTGGCAGGGAGATATGGTAATTGCTACCATGTTGGAGCAGGGCAGAAAAGTTCTTACACCATGGCGAAAAAGCACGATAGTAGTACAGCTCATAATGCTTCAATGCAATATACAGTAAACGCCCTACGCCACGCTCGTAACAACATCATTGACGGCACACGGCTGTCCAGTCTAGACGACCCATCTGTAGCTGGCATACCGCCCAGCAGTCTCGGATTTCCGGATGATCTTCACAACCTGCCCTCTCTTCAACCCGAGATATCTCGCCATCGGATCATCCATCCTAATCCGCGGCAGCTGCGTCTCCTTCAACCTGTACCTCTCTAACAAGCGCTTCTTGTCTTCGGGACTGAGCAGGGTGTGCTTCGGCACCAGCTCGTGCCGACTAATATTTACCAGCAGGTCCTCCTCACGGAAAATCTCCATAACAGTAGGTAGAATGGATGGGATAATCTTGAGCGCGGACGATGTAGGTGCAGCTTGTGTGACGTACATGCCGGTGTGGTAATTCTTCTCATGAAGCAGTTGCGCGAAAGCCTTGAGGTGCTTGATGCCTATGCTTGGTTCCGATGCAAATTCGACGTGGATGATGCCGATGTCTGCTGATGGCTCTGGGTTTCCGGGGCGAGGCAAAGGTGTGTATTTCTTCAGCATTTCTGGTGTTGGGCGGGCGGTGAAGGCCATGCGTGTTCGTTGTGGTGCGCCGGACTCGTCGACATATTGGAGCTTGAAGTCGGCGAGGGAAATGTTGCATTCTTCTTCTGTGAGTTCGTAGCCCTGGATAGCATTAGTCGCGCTCCCACGTTCAGATCAATGGCCTGAACCTACCCGATCGTAGCACATCTGCTTAGTTGTTCGTAGAATGCGCCATAATCGCGACTGCTCCTGGCTTGTGCCCTCCGACATGTTCGCGCCTACAACGGTGTTCCTCCCTCCAATATTTCTCAATCGCCAGATCTTCAGTTTCTCTTGCTTGGTGTTGCGGTGTGTCTCAAATATCGCCGGACTGACTTGTAAGGCGATAAAGTGACTGGTCGCCAATAGAAACCTACAACTTCTTCTCGACATTTGAACGTGAAACGCGAAAGTCCGATGACTCAGCAGTGATCGACCGAAACGAGCCAAAGCGCCACAATCTCCACACAGCTCTCACAAACTGAACTATGGCTTCCATACCAACCCTCAATACCTTGAGAACAGGCCGACGTGGACCCCGATTGCGCGGGGGCAGAGGGGGGAGATCATTACCGGATAGTCCCAGTAATGACCTGAACGACAGCATAGAAGCTGGACGCGATCATGTCGTCCAGCAAACCGACAACGATGCCAGCAATAGCAGACAAAGTGCAGTCGCCCTAGGCTACCTGAACGATTCCTTTTCTTCAGCATTCGGTACACCAGAGTTGCAAGCGTCGAGACGTTATCCCATCATCAACCGAGGCACCTACGTCCGGACCAAAGCCATTGACAAGCTGGTCAAGAACTTTTTGGACTCACGGCCCAACGAAAAGAAACAGATCATCTCCTTGGGTGCTGGGTCGGACACGAGGTTCTTCCGCTTAGCCAGCGAGGAGACCATATCGGCCAAGATCGTCTATCATGAACTGGACTTCGAAGCAAATGTCGCACGTAAACGGGCCTGTATTCGCCAGTCGCCACAACTCGAAGCTGTGATCAGTCAAGCCCGAAGCTCGGGATCAGAGTATCATCTCCATGCCCTTGATCTCCGTAACCTGACGAACAAGTCTCCCCCAATAATTCCTGGTCTTGACTCCGACCTCCCGACTCTGCTGCTAAGCGAGTGCTGTCTTTGCTATCTACCACCCGACACAGCGACCAGTGTCCTGCAGTACTTCACCATGAACCTGAAGAGCTCCCTAGCTCTCGCTTTATACGAGCCTATTCGGCCGTACGATGCTTTCGGTAGAACCATGGTGACTAACTTGGCCTCCCGCGGCATCCATCTGCAAACACTAAAGCAGTATTCTTCGCTTGAGGCGCAACGACAGCGTCTGAAACTAGCCGGATTCGACACAGGTCAAGGCGCCAGAGATGTGTATCAACTGTACCGCAACGAGGACTGGGTCAGTGCCAAGGAAAGAGAAAGGGTGGAAGCACTCGAGTGGTTAGATGAGATAGAGGAATGGAAGCTTTTGGCCAGCCATTACTGCATTGCATGGAGCTGGCGTGGCGAAGCCTTCACGGAGGCATGGGCCAAGGTCGAAGGCAGCAGGACGCCCGCTGAAGGAGACGAAGGTGGATGAGTATTGCTCGGGCAAGAGAAATTGGTCTCGTACGCCTACATAATACTGTACGAATAGCACTTTCTGTCGTCTTTCACCGAGAACAAGAACCATACCTACAAGCATACAGATGCACGATCATCCTGTCGAGAATCCTCATTCCAATTTTCTGCCCTCAGAAGTCAAGTCCTCACGTTCAAATCACCAAAACGCCATGCTAAGCGAGCACAGTCATGACAGCACCAAGCCCCAACCATCCCATCAAGCAGGCCTCCTAGGCAAATTCTCCTTCTTCTCCCGCGCCACCATCTCCTCAGGCTTAAGATGGATCTCCGTCTCCCTCTGCCGACTTCTCGGCCTCTCCGGCTTCCCCACCGCAGCCTTCAAACCCTCTCTCCCGCCATCGCGCTCTGGCTGCTCAGCCACGGCCTTCTGCTGGTCTCCGTTAGACACGATCGTACCACTCTTCTCCAGACCATTAACAACCCCCTCAACCAATTTATTGGCCTCCTGCTGCAGATTCGGCATCGTCCGCGCAGGCTGATTGAGATAACTCTCCAGCATCTGCTTCAACATCTCCGCTCTCACAGGCTTGGCAAGATAGTTATTCATGCCCGCCTCCAGGCATTTCTCCCGGTCACCTCTAATCGCCGACGCAGTCATGGCGATGACGAGAACATCCCTTACCTCTGGATCCTCATGTTTCCGTATCTCCCGTGTAGCGTTGTAGCCGTCCAGCACAGGCATCTGCACGTCCATGAGCACGAGATGGAAGGGTTTCTGGTCTTTTGCTGCCCGACCTAGGGCGTCGACAGCTTGTTGGCCATCGCCGAAGGCCTCGCAATTGAAGCCGAGTCGCTTTACGAAGTTTATGGCGATTTTTTGGTTGATGGGGTTGTCTTCTGCTATGCAGACTTTCAACTCATCGCGAGGAATACCCGCTAGGCTGATGTGGCGGGAGCTGGTGCCTTCTTCCTCTTCTACAGCTGGTGGGGTGAAGATGGCCATGGGATTCGCTTCGCGGCCGTGGGCTGAGGTGCTGCCGTTGATGAGGTCGCCGTTTGTCGACGATGCTTTGACTTTCTTGAAGGGCAAGGTGAAGGATACCGTCGTGCCGACGCCGGGTTTGCTTTCAAGCCAGATATGTCCTTTCATTACGTTCTCGATGATGGCTTTGCAGATTGACAGACCGAGGCCTGTGCCGCCGTAGCTCCGGGCAGTACTGCTGTCTGCTTGCGAGAAGGGTAGGAAGAGCTTCTTCTGCTGTTCGTCCGAGACGCCGATGCCTGTGTCCGTAACAGAGACTGTGACTTGTATGAAATCGGCATCTTGGTTGTCCACCTTCGCGCGAACCGTGACATGTCCCTTGGCTGTGAACTTGTACGCATTCGACATGAGGTTCATGAGGATCTGATGTAGGCGCACTGGGTCACCCATAACGATCAAATGTGGATCGAGCTCCAGCTCCTCGATGGTGCGTAGGTTGCGCTCCAGATTAGTGTACGAAAGTGCACGGACGACCTCGCTGATAGTTTCTGTCAACGACAACGGTACACTAAAGACTTGCATCTTGCCAGCCCTGAGAATATGTCAGCATGGTTTCGTGCATCATGAATACCTCCTGGCTCACTTACTCAAGCTTGGAAAAGTCCAGGATGTCATTGATGACGCTCAGGAGTGTATCCGCACAAATCCGGATCGAATCTGCATGCTCTTCTTGCTCTTTGTTGAGTGGTGTAGCCTTGAGCATTTCAGACATACCAATGACACCGTTGAGAGGCGTTCGCAGCTCATGTGATACGTTCGCAAGGAACATAGACTTTGCCTTCGCCGCTTCGTCCTTTAGTCGGACCATCTCCATGGCCTTCGCTTCGGCTGCTTTGGCTTTCTTCTCGGACTCTCGTGCTTGCGCTAGCGCCTGCTTCTGCACGTCGAGCATCGATGAATTGCGGGCAGAGACCTTCTCGACCTGCTTGAAGAGCAGCGCATTGGCAATCGAGATAGCGATCTGGTTGACCAGAAGCTTGAGTAGAGTGACGGTCCGCTCGGTGAAAGTGTTTGGCGCGGCCTGGCAGTATAGACTACCCAAAAGCACATTATCGCCATGTATGATCGGTAATGCAATCATTGACGCGCCCTCCGGGTTCTTTTCCAGCCACGATGGCGGCACATTCGAAAAGCGCTCGTCTTCAATCACGTTCCGTAGAAAGAGCTGCTCTTTGAAACGAAGAGTATACATCGTGATCTGTCGAGCGACAGGGTCGTCCACTTGATCAAGCGGTATTCCATTCGGGGGTGCTTCAGTCCCTTCAGGCGTCCCGATAGCCGCCACACAGAATCCACCGTCTTCGGCTTCGACAACAAGGCCGCACAGATCAGCGCCAGTCGAGTCAACGATGATGGCGGAAAGTTTCGAGAGTAATTTGTCAACATTAAGCTCGGAGGATAGTAATTGGGACGACTCCAGAATGCTGGCCAGGTCGATCATATCCAAACCCACAGCCGACAGACCACCAGACAACGCAGCCGGCGACTCCTTCATCATCTGCGCACCCGTCGGAGCGGAAGGCGGGTCGACCCACTGCTGTGTCCTGTCTGCAGCATCATGCGGCGCGGTATGATCAGCGATTTTATCCAGCTTGAAAGAAGTGTTCACACCCTCAAAGACCATAGTCTGTGTCCCAGCATCTTGCGTATTCAAACTTCTCGTGCCGTACAGCAGGAACTCGTACCGTTCCGACATCTGATCGGCCTTTCCCGTGGCCCCCACGCGGCGGTACGCTGAGATGGAGTCCAACATGATAGCTCTCGCTGGCCTGGAAGCGCCCTTTCGGTCGAGCCAAGACGCATATAATTCCAGGCTCAGACCCTCATCCAGGCCCACGCCGTTGAGAACAGCATGATTGATCGCACGTTCGTAATTAGCGAGACAGTTCTGATATTTCTGTGTAGCATCCGCGATCTCCGCCTCCAGAAGTGCGTTGAAAATCTCAAAATTGAGCGGGTTGATTGTGGATATGTTCGCAATCTTGGCTTGTGAAGCGTAGACCTGCTTCATCAGTTGGTCGCAATCAGAGCGGTCCGGGTCCTCGCGTATGAGCGCAAGGTTAGTCATGGCGACGTAGAAATTGCTAGTGTACAGATATCGTGTACACCACAGATTATCGACTTGTTCCATGATCCATTTCCCAAGCTCGTGTGCTTTTTCATAGTAGCCGAAGCGGTACAGCGTTACCATTTTGTAGTTGTAGTAGATGACCAAAGGTATATTCGGGTTCGAGCACATCGTCTTGATGTGCTTGATGAAGTCTGCGTCAGAATGGTGTTCGTCGCTAAACACGTTTGTCGAGGTTCTTGCATATGTTTTGCCGGCCAGCGCACGGCAATACTGTCGCACACCCGACAAGAAGACACCTCCACGCATGCTTTGTTTCCAATCCGGATATTCTTCCGTGACGGACGCCACGAAGCTCTCCACTTCCGCCAGGTGCTCCGAAGCCCAGACTCGATACGCAGCCACTATGCCAACATTGAGCAAATGCAACACCTTGTCGCCCGCGGCGGAAGCAGCCTCGAGTGCCCTGTTAAGTGCGCCGAAATTGTCCCCCATACTATACTGCAAGTGCCCAAGACAGAAGGCGTGTATTGTCAAGCCTCGACCAACAGTATAAGCTTCGTCCGGATATGCATCAAAGACCTTCAGCGCAGCATTGCCCAGCTCGATACCCCAAGTCAAGACTAGGAAAAGTGTTAGTGTGAACTCATGAAGGTTGCGGGAATGGATCCACCCCGTCGCACTTACGATTGAATCGCGAGATCGCGATGTTGCCCATGTGCACCAGGCCCAGGCCGACATGTGGGAACATGCCGCGCTCGAGGTAGAGCTTGACGATCTGTAGGGTCACGCGGTAGAAAAGCAGATTGTTCTCCCAGAAGGCAGCAGACAGCAGCTCGACGAGGAGAGCTCCGAGAGTAAAGAGCTCCCGATCCCCACTGTTCTCCTGGAAGTCACCCAAGTTGCTACACTTGGCTTGCACGGCCGGAAGTAATTGCTCGAACTCGGCATCGCACTCCTCCATTGTAGGACTTGACAAAGATATACCCAGGTCCAGCAGAGCAGCCTCGAGGATGTCGAAAGCAGTCTTGTTGTCGCCGGCAACGTTATACATCCTACTAGCTATGATGGTAGCGGGCGCCTTGTCAGCCGGCTCACGGGCATTTCTCATTACTTGCTTCAACAGAACGCCAGCATCATTCATCTGGCCACAATACCAGTACGCCTCCGCAGCCTTGGTCATGAGGGTCAAGGTCTCCCCATAACTTGAGTCATCATGATCATCAATCCAGGGGTCTTTGTGTAGCAGGTCAAGGCAATGCTTGAAATACCACAACCCGCTTTTGCGAGCCCCTGATTCGCGAGCAGTCTCTGCGGCTTGATACAATAGATCTCGGAAAGGTGCGTTGTGCTTGGCTCGTAGCTTCACAGCGTCGAAGCCTTCGCAGATATGTCGCGCTTGCTGAAAGAGAGCTTTGGTTGGCATAGTCACGGGATCAAATGTTGTATGCTTCATCATTGCACAAGCAATAACGTAATGCATTTCAGACCGCTGGTATGGCTCGCATAGCGTGTCCGCCGCTGCAAGGTATCGATCATGTGAGAACTTGAAGCGGTCTTCTTCATCGGTTCCCATTATAATAAAAGAATTGATGCACGCTTGCAGACCACCAACAGCATCCTTGGCAGCTGGGGGAAGCAGTTCGGCTGGCGAAGCTTTGCTACAGTCGCACGCCATGATATACTTCATCATGGTGAAGGTAAAGCTGTTTCCAATGATAGAAGCCCAGCATATCAAGGTCTGCGCATCGACAGAAAGTTCTTGTAGCCTTCTTGAGATGAAATCGTTGGAAGAGAAACGTCCAGAATCAGGATTGCTGAACTCCTCGAACAGCTTGTCCACACCATACTCCCACTGTGAGCACTTCCAGCAGAAGTATATGCAGCCTTTACGGTATCCAGAGTCCAGCAGTTCGCGTAGAAAGAAAGGGTTGCCCCCTGTCTTCTCCTGCATGACAGCGACAAGCGGCATGCAATACTCCTTACTACGATGGAGTGTCTCCGTGACATATTGCGCCGTCTCATCGTCAGTGAACGTCCCGAGTTCGACTTTGTGCGCCGAGGTGATCAATTTACGGATGGTGGGTGTGAGGTGTTCTTCACCACGATGTGTCAAGACCAGAACTACCGGTATCCTGGCTGACACAATCATTTGCAACAGGTCCAGACTCTCTGGATCAGCGAACTGCAGGTCATCCAGACAGAAGCTGATGAATTTCTGCACGGCCAGGAGCCTCAAAACATCGAGGAAGATATGCATGAATCGCGAGGTCTTGTTCGAGCCACCGGCTTTCAGCCACTCTTGAGTAGCTGCTATGTTGCATATCCTCCTTACCCCTGGTATGTTCGTCGAGCCGTTCGCCGAAGATATTGTTGACGGGGCAGTCTTGCTCACCATAGGATTGTTACCTGCAGTGAGCAACCAGTCCGGCAATTCCAACGATGAGTGTAATTGACCCCAGAAAGGCTTGACAAATGTGCGAATATTTTCGTGGAAAGGCGTATTGACATCATGCTCAGAGAAGATCTGCCGGAAAAGAGACGACATCACCCTGATAATAGGGTCGAATGGTGATTGACGGACTTGGTCAAACTTGGCGGAGGTGAAGTAGCCATAACGCCTTGCGGTTGGCGCAATGGCTTGGACAAGAGTTGACTTACCATGGCCTGCGAGACCGCCGATGGAAATGACTTCCGTCTTCCCCTTGCGTTTCAGCTTTTGTGCTACTCGAAGCAGAGAGCTCGAGTCGGCATTGAGATTGTAGTTCGATCCAGATGGCCGCAAACTACCATCCGTGCCTTCCAAGCCCGACGTGCGTCCATCATTGGAAGATGTTCGGTCTAGTGTCGGCAGCTCATTCCCGTCGCGGCTAGACGTCACGGTGGGATCCAAACCCTGAACAGTCCTCAATCTGTGCAGCTCTAACGGAACTATCTCTGCGACAGAACTAAGACGCGAGTCACGTTCGCGATCGCCACCGCCGGAGGATGTGCTATCGCTGAGTATCTCGTCAAGCATCGATATCTCGGGACGGTCACCAGACATCAACGACGACCCGGAACTCAAGCTGTATAACCCCTTTCGGGTGATAGGCGCCGCACGAGCAATGTGATGCGCAGCTTGCTCCATCACCGTCAGGATGATGTTACGCTGCTCCTCGCGGCCAATCAGTGCCGATGGCAAAGTCCAGAAGCTTGAGACGTCAGACTTCGCCATCTTGAACTGGCAGAGTGCCTGCTCATCACCATCGGTCAAGATCTTCTTCAGCTCCTCTAGATCGTGCTTCACACCAGTTGATGAGTTGTACCTGTCGTCCATATTCTTATGTGTCATCTTCTGTATGATAGCAGAGACGGCGTCAGGAATGTCCTCGCGCATGCTCGTGACCAGAGGTATGCGACGCGAAAGCACATTCTGCATGATATCCAGTGGTGTCTTGCCATCGAACGCTGGTCGGCCAGTCAACATCACATAGAACAATATACCAAGCGAGTAGAGGTCAGTCCGTGAATCTGGCTCTGCGGGTAGTCGTCCAGTCTGCTCAGGCGCAACAAATTGTAGCTTATGTTCGACCCCAAGCTCCGCCATGAGACTAGACCAGCCGGCAGAGGTTAAGCCATGCTCGAAGCTTCTCACACCGCCACCAAAATTTATCATTTTGACCGAGCCAGTATCCTGGTTGAAATGGAAGGCGTCGCCACGGAGCTCTCCATGAACTGCCCGGTTGCCATGATGGAGTATTTCACAACACTCCGCAGCACCGATGGCAAAGTCCAGGAATGTCAGAAGCTTCACCGGGTCATCGCGCGAGCTCCATGGCGAATCAGGCGTGCCTTGGTAGAAGTTGGGTCCGAACTCCATTAGGTGGCGCATGTAGTTCCGACCAGGCGATTCCACAACCATCGCGCATAACGTGTCCTCGCCGTTGTGTCTCGCCGGGAGGTTGACAACCTGGAGCGGACGAACAAAGTGTCTGTAATCCGGTGCATCCTCGTCATATAGCTTCTGGCACATCTTGTATTCCCGTTCGAGGCGCAAGGAGTGCAAAGACACCCGGCCGACTACCCAGACATCTTTCTCCTTCTCCTCGTCCACGCTGCCATCGTAATCGGAACGCGTGCGCGTACTCTGTCGCCGGGAGACAGCACTCGAGCTCTTCTTCCTCGCCTCCCTCTCATGCTTCGGTCTCCGCTTTCCAAAGAAATGCCAATTGTCGTAGCTGGAGTGGAATGGCGTAAAGTCCTCATCGAACTCGTACTCGGACAGCTCCTCGCGTAGCCGTTCGTGGGTCCGTTTCAGGAAAGCAGTGGTGTCGCCGGATGACTGCGGCGACAACCAGTCTTGCTTCTGCGCATCCACCATGTTGTCTGCCCTCTCCACACACAACCTTCGGCAGCTCAGCTCAGCTCAGTGTAATCATGATGCGGACGCCCGATCCGACGATGGGTCCTGTTGGTCAATAATCCTCAGCATGAAGCTCTTGGATCGTTGGAGGCGAATCCAAAGCAAATGTAGCTCGTACAGTATATGCTGATGCTGATTAAGCTCAGGAAGCTTTGGTATGTGCTTCACAAACCTTGATCAGGCAGGGATCATGTCGATGATCGACGATGAGAAAGACAAGGGTTTAGACTAGACACCGGCTGATGAAGCTGCACACTTGCCCGTGAACGGTATCATAGCATAGCTTGAAATGCTGCGTGCTGTATAGCAGTGACAGCTTAGAATAGTTCCTAACGACTATAATAATGGACCTCAATCAATACAATTGACCACCACTGTTGCGTTTCAGATCTGCGGAGCGCGGCCCGTATGTGTGCTACTGTGGAACGACGCCAAGGTGGAGCAGTTGAAGCACATGGCAGCTTGCTAGATCATAAGGTTGAAAGGCAGGATATGATTAGGCAGTAAATATTGAACACTCATGCCAATGGTGTGACTCGCCACAATATTGCTCTAGACTACCGATGGTGCTTCCGAGACAAATTGAAACGTCAGGCAGCTGCTTCCACAACCAGATGGTAGTAGCACAATGCAAGCTCCACTCCACGACGAGACAGTGAGATAGACAGGTACAGACACCATGGATGCTAAACGTGAGCATGAGCATGAGCGTGCGACGGAGGAGCAGCCAGATGCTGTGCGGGACGAGCAAGAAGAGGATGAAGAAGTAGAGCCGGTGCCCCAACCACGACAGCTACCGGATGACCTGCCAAAGTCCTTGTACGACAAGCGAGCACCAGCGACATTTCCCGAGCAGACGGAGTACTACGATGAATGGTCTGGCCAAGCACAATACCTGACAACACCACGCGCAAAGCAGACTTCCTTCTCACTAGACCTCAACCACAACGATGCGGACGACGCCTTTGATGGAGATCTTGGCAACGACGATGCACGGGTGGCTGCCATGTTAGCAGCACGAGCACGTCAGCCAAACGAGACAGACGCTGGCGAGGTAGAGGAGGACGATATCGTGCGAGATCAGAAGCTGTCGCATGATGAGAAACGCAAGGCGCTGCAAGACTTCCTGTTCATGGCAGCTAGTAATGGCGACGCCAAGCGTGTGCAGCGCCTTGTGCGTGGAGGTGCTTCGGATCTGATCGAAATTAATGGTGTTGATTCAGAGGGTACTCCACCATTGGTATATGCCAGCTGCTTTGGACACAAGGACGTCGTGCTAGCTCTGCTTAACGCAGGAGCAACGGTGGATATTCAGGATCGGAATCAGTGGACGGCACTCATGTGGGCTATGACGAACCGGCATAAGGATATTGCGAAGACACTCCTGGATCATGGTGCTTCGACGGATGTGAAGTCGAGTAGTGGTAGAACTGCCCTCGACTTCATGCCGCTAGATAGTGAGCTGTCTGAATTCTTGCAGCACAGCGGGTACAGTATTGGCAACGCTGGCGTGGCCGACGACTTCTACAATGCTGGATTTTCACAGGAGCGTTTCGAGGAGGAGCTGGCAGAGAGTGAGATGCGGCGAAGGATGATGATGGACAGTTCGATCAATCTCGAGGTTGATCTTGGAAACCTCGGACTCGATGAGGATCCTGAATCGCCGGACGATCTAGAATCTGGACAAGACTTTGTGTGGGATCGATGTCTGAATGATCAGATGTTTGTGTTTATGGAGAACGATATTGAGCGCATACTGGACGTGGTGGTGACGAACATGACGCCGCAACGATCGCCAACTCAGAAGCCGGTGCCTGCAAATGTCGTATTTCTCGGCGCACGTTATGCACTTTACCACGCGAACCGAGAGCTATTGGCAGACTGGCTCGACTCTGCACAGGAGAAGATCTATGCCGTGGTTGATCGGCATCAATGGGACATGACAATACTAGCATTCTGGATATCGAACGCTACATTATTACTGTACTATTTGAAGAAGGACCCTGGCCTAGCAGAGGCGACCATCCAGTTCCAGGTCCAGATGGCGGAGCTGATCCACGAGATCTACATCCTCATCATTAGAGATGCTGAGAGGCGTATGGACAAGGTGCTGGACGCTGCCATGCTGGATCACGAGACCATCCCGGGATTTGAGGATATTGCGTTCCAGAACGAGTGGAAGTTCTTACGTACAAAGTCAAAAGTCAAGCCTGAGCCAGCAGAGAAGCGCTTCCGTCCTCCGTCACCACGACGAAAAGCACAAGTCTCGCCACGCAACATCACGTCACTTCTCTCCTCTACGCTGTTCGTACTGGATCTCTACGACGTACATTCAGTCATCGTCGCGCAGATCCTATCACAACTGTACTACTGGCTTGGAGCCGAGATCTTCAATCGGATAATGTCCAACAAGAGATACTTGGCTCGCACCAAAGCAATGCAGATTCGCATGAACATCTCAACTCTCGAAGACTGGGCGAGAACTAACAATCGCCAGCCTGAGCACTTCGAAAATGGCACCATGACCGCAAGTGGTGAAAGCACCATGGATTCTGCTCGGAAGCATCTGGCTCCCGTCGTACAGCTCTTACAATGGCTGCAGTGCTTCTCATCACTTGGCGAGGACCGAGATGCTATGGAAACGACTTTGCAGCAGTTACCTGGCATGTCTGCCAAGCAGCTCTTACATGCTGTCAAACACTATCGAGCAGAGGTCGGCGAGAAGACTCTGAATAAAGCTGCGTTGAAGCTCGTACAAGAAATCAAGAGTAGACCACGAGCCCTGCATGTTGACACCCATCCCGCCACATCCTCCGGCGCACCACGAACGCCGGCGACGCCACAAGATACGAACGGACATCAGCCGCCAATGACACCACATCCAGACGACGACGAACCACCAGAGCAGAACCTGCTCAACCCAGCTTTACTACTGCCATTCCACCTTCCCACCTCAACGGATATGCTCGTGAGCTACGGCGCCGGCTTCGGCGGTGTCAACCGCGAAAGGGAGAAGAGATACATCCCCTCGGTGCCTCCTGACTTCCTGGTCAAGCTGGATCCAGAAGGACGACAGGACAGTAACCTCAAGATTTATGAGAATGCACGATTTAGTGATACGGACTCCACCTGACCTGATAATGATAGAGCGGGCGCGGCCGAGAGTCTAATAGCGATATCGGCCAGCTCCGACATGCCTATCGATTGAGCTTGTGTGATAGCTCTAGGAAATGTTTTATCTGTTTCCTCGTACGAAGAACGTGCCAGACGAACATTTTAAGCTTGAGGCAGAACATGGAGGCTCCAGTACTGTCGTCGGAGACTGTCGAGGATATCGTCCAGCAAGCGGTAACACCCGTCAAGGCCGAACACATCGATTCGACATTCAAGTCAGATAGCATTGGTACGTCTACAGACATGTTCTTGCGCTTGACCATGCAGTACACTTACTTCCCACTCGTTCAGACCTCATCAATAAAGCCCTCGGCTCCCGCATCCTCGCCTGCTCCGACGAATGGTTCGCCGAAGCAGCCAACCTCACCACATCCACCCCACCGATCCGTCGACCAGGAGTGTTCACGCATGCAGGAGCATGGTATGATGGCTGGGAGACACGGCGACACAACACTAAGCCCTTCGACTGGGTCGTGATAAGACTAGGAGTCGCATCAGGGAAGTTCAAGGGTGTTGAGATCGATACAGCACACTTCAGTGGCAATGAAGCACCTGAAGTGGGCGTAGAAGGATGTTTCTTGAGCGATGGCGGGGAAGAGGATGTGAAAAGGGAGGATTTCAGGGAATGGGAGACTATACTGCCTAAGCAACCTTGTGGTCCGAGCCAAAGACATGGCTGGCTGTTGAATAAGCCAACGAGCAAGGCATACACCCACGTCCGGCTACAGATGTTCCCAGACGGCGGTATAGCACGTTTCAGACTCTACGGCGAGGTCGTGCCAGTGCTGCCACAGGATCTGAATGCTACGTTCGACCTGGCGGCTACAGTGAACGGAGGTGTAGCAGTCTCATGCTCAGATCAACACTTCGGCACAAAAGACAATCTGCTGTTACCTGGTCGTGGCTTAGATATGGGCGATGGGTGGGAGACTAAGCGCTCAAGAGGTCAACATATTGACTGGGTCATCATCAAGCTCGGCATAGTCGGGGTGATCGAGAAGCTGGTCATCGACACTGCGCACTTCCGAGGCAACTTTCCACAGAACGTCGCCGTTTACGCTGCTCCGGGAAATGGCAATGGGAAGGCGCTTGGTGTAGACGATGGATCCTGGGTTGAGATCTTGCCTCCGCAGAAAACAGGCCCTGATAAGGAGCACGAGTATGCCAGTGAGCTGAGGGACGTAGGCAAGGCATATCGCTTTGTGAAGATGGTCATTATACCTGATGGTGGGGTGAAAAGGATAAGAGTGTTTGGTCGACGCGGAGAGAGTTGAGCGATGTTGTCTGAGATTTCGATGCCCAGAGAAAGCTGATGCTTGGCCACCAAGGCACACAAGAGACTCAAGTAAGACTTCCAAGCACTGCAGTCTTGTCTTATGCATCTCAAGATCGTAGCCTTCACGTGCTTGGAAGGAGCTTCGTCTCGAGGTTATCAAATGTTCATCCTTGGCGCATGCGATCGACAATCTCCCCGCTGCATCACTCTGCTCCCACCTTCTCAAACAAGACATCAGCTTGTCTATCTCATGCGCCTCCCACGCGACCTTGATGCTGTTGACGTGCAACAGGATGCAACCTTACATACGCCTCCACACCTTATCTAGCCGTTGTCCGTCCGGTAGTGACCATTGCGTACGTGCATAGTTCGTAGGTATTCGTTTGTGAACCTCACTCTCTTTGCTGCACTCCTCGAACATTATCTCAATCTTTCTCTCCTTGACTATTTACACAGGTGGCCCGTCATGGCGGACGAAGAAAAGCAGACGTACCTTGATCCCAACGTCGAGAAGGAGTTGCCTTCCCCATTGGCCGACGCCATCCGCTCAGGAAGCGTGGATAAGAAGATCTTGGAGCACTCTCACGATGCCGACGAAGCTTTGAAGGCCTTTCAGAGCCATCCTGGACAGGTCATTCATATCGATGAAGCAACGAATAAACGACTTTTGCGAATTATAGACTGGCATTTGATACCGGTGAGCTTAATTCACGTACTTAAAATGAAGTCAGTAGTGTGGTCTGATGCTCTTCGCAGGTCATGTGTATCGTTTACGGCCTGAATTATTTGGACAAGACAACCATATCCTACGCATCCGTCATGGGTATCAAGAAGGACATTGGACTTGTCCGCGACGACTACCAATGGTTGGGCTCCATGTTCTACTTCGGTTATATTGCCTGGGTAAGAGAGCTCACGAGAGAAGCTCATCATACTTTACATCGCCCTGCTGACGGCCAGGTAGGAGTATCCCACGAACCGCCTCTTGCAAAGGCTTCCAATCGGCAAGTATTCTGCGGCCTGCATCATAGCGTGGGGCGTGGTGTTGGCATGCTTCGCTGCCGTAGAGAACTTTGCTGGTGCGGTAGCCATCAGGTTCATGTTGGGGGTCTGTGAGGCGGCGGTGACCCCCGGCTTCGCCTTGATCACTTCACAATGGTACACTAAGAAGGAGCAAGGGACGAGAACAGGCATCTGGTTCTCCTTCAACGGCTGGGCGCAGATCTTTGGTGGACTTGTGGCCTACGGAATCGCCCGGGGCACGGCAAACCATCAGACGTCGTTGGCAGGATGGAAAATCGTGAGCTCCTGATTACCTCAATCCAGACATGATATCGTAGCTAACGAGCATTCCAGGTATTCCTTCTCACCGGCCTCTTAACCGTCTCAATGGGCATTCTCTTCCTCTTTATCATCCCAGATAACCAACTCAACGCCCGCTGGCTAAGCAAGGAAGACCGCGTACTAGCCATCGAGCGTATCCGTGTCAACCAACAAGGAGTCGGCAACAAGCACTTCAAATGGTACCAGGTCCGCGAAGCTCTGACGGACCCCATAACTTGGGCTTTTGTGGCATATGCTCTCATTGCCGACATTCCCAACGGCGGTATCAGCAACTTCTTCTCGCAGCTCATTACTTCCTTTGGATACACGGCCGAACAGTCCTTGCTTTACGGCACACCTGGAGGCGCAGTGGAAGTCATTACCCTGATCGCTTTCGGCTATCTCGGGGATCGGTATAGCAATCGGATAGCTTTTGCTTCTATTGGCCTGGTGCTCAGTATTATTGGGATGGCACTCATCGTCGGTCTGCCGCTGGAGAACAACAGTGGTCGCCTGGGCGGCTACTACCTTACCCAGGCATCTGCATGTCCATTCGTGGCTTTCTTGTCATTGATCAGCAGTAACATTGCCGGCTACACCAAAAAGACCACAGTAGCAGCATTGTATCTGATCGCATATTGTGTCGGTAAGCAGGGTCTTCCTTGCTGTTGTGTTGCGAGACGCTCGCGGTCTAATCTCCATCATAGGCAATATCATCGGTCCACAAACCTTTAGACCAAAAGATGCACCTCGCTATGTGCCGGCCGAGGTGACAATCATTGCTTGCTGGTGTGCATGCTTGGTCGTTATGGCATTCATATATGTCTGGTGCAGAAGGCAGAATGCGCAGAAGGCAAGGTTAAGGGCAGACCCAAGTTACACCAAGTCGGTTTACCAGGCTCCTAGTATGAGAGGCTATTGCTGACATATTTTTGCAGGCTCGAGAACCAAGAGTGGCTTGATCTGACAGATAAGGTATGCTTGTGAAAGGAAGTGGATCGAAGAGGAAGATCATATGCTGACAAACTACTGCAGGAGAACCCTGAGTTTGTTTACACTCTGTAGATGACCATGGAGCCGCTTTCGAAGGCTCTGCCGCATCTTATTGGCCACCTCAGGATAGTTCCGTATCGGCTTGAGCGATTCTGCGTCCTCGAGTAAGTCTATCTGGTCCGCTGGGCCTTGGCAGGTACTAAGTCTTTGTATCACTGCTAGGCCCCGCGTCGCAAGCTTCGTCTGTTCTGCAGGGCCTGTGTCGACTCCCTTGCTGCTTGCGCGATGTTGTCAGTAGCCAATTCATGGCTGATCACATGATCAAATATTTCTTTCGATTCCCGTGCCTCGTAATTTCCTCCTTTATTCACCCATATCTCCGTCACCTAGATCATCGTTCGGTTCCCGTGGTTCTTGCGCCTCATGGAACTGAATCGCATCGTCGATGTAGCTCAAAACCGCTCCTACGCTATCCTCATCCTGCGCATCAAGCTTTAGGAACGACACCAAGCTGAAGTCATCGATCAGCTGACCCACAGCACGATTCAGCTTGGCGAATGAGTCGCCGGACACGACCTTCTGTGCGTCCGTCGGATCACCATTGTCCAGCCCATCCTTGTACTCGTATACCAAACCGCTCGTTGGCGCGTCTTGCAATAAGCTGATATCCGGGTCGATGTACCTCTTCAGCTCTTTCCGTGCCATTTGACCTTTCACCAAATCCATCTTGCTGAGTATGTTCACGTGTGGGAGCTCCATCATCAGCATGGCACTCATTGCACTAAGTGTACCCGAGAAGAACTTTGAACGATCGACGATGAATGTGCTTTCTAGCAGATATGCTGCGCACATGCTGATGTTGAGACTACCTTTCGTGAGTGCCTTGATCAGACTCGGTACGATCGGGACGTGTGTGTATAGCTCAATTTGGCCAGGCATATCGATGATGATTAGATACTCCTCCGTGACATTCTCCAGTGGATCGGTCAGAAAGTCTAGGTTCTCCAGCAGGAATTCGAAGCAGTAGATCAGGCCGCCGTTTGGCCCGAGGTGCAGCTCTTCCATGACATCTTCAAGGGTGATCAGGTCTTTGATATCCAGGTCAGGTTCGTAGACGAAGTCCTCGGCCGCTGGATCAAGGTTGATGTAGTAGCATGATCGCTTGTTATTTCGCAGATGTTGTATGAGAGCGGAGGAAAAAGTGGTCTTCCCTGCACCGGCAGGACCTGGCGGTTCGTGTCAGAGGAGGTTTATGACAGCTGTGAGTATATGCAAGGACAATACCCATGATGATTGTGCCTGGTGCGTGTCAGCATCCTACTATGACACATGCATAGCGCGGGAAGAGACGTACCATACCTTGAACCCATAGTGCTTGCCTAGATCTACTATCAATCAGTCAGACAGCATGAGGTATGGCTACGTTGTCTTCTCTTCCAAGCTCGTTATGTAACGCAAGCAAAAGATTCGTGACGGAGTTCAGATCTGATCGCCACGACTTCTTTCATTCACTCTGACATACACGTGATCGTAAAGAGACGCTATCTATAAGGGGAAGGGCACCGTTTGCCTCTACATGCACCGCCGCACCTCGGCGCTGTGTCTCTGGTTTCCTCATCCCAAACTAAACCCGGGACGATGAGCTAGTCTTTACGGCACACATTCACACATGCTCTCTTCTGAGAGTGTGGCGTGGATGCTGCTGACATGCTTCGAATCCCAATCACCACACATCTGAGCAAGCAATATGAAACCTTCTGATCGGATGGTTCGGATATACCGAGGCATTGTCCCTCCTACATGACGGCGAAAAGGCCAAAAGCCGTCTCGTCCACGAACAATGGAATGGGACTCATATTTGTCTTCAGTCGAGCCTGCTTCTGGCCTGGACGAAGATGGAATTTGTACGAAAGTGCCTTCCCTCTTCAAACTAGCAAAGAGACAACCAGCAAGGACAGACGGGTCAAGCTAGTGTTGTGGTAGGCAATTTCCTCACGCCGGTAGGCTATATAGACCGTAATCCTTGCTACTTCAACTCGTGTCACACATGTATGTTTCCACCAACGGCAATCAGCTACTATCTTCCCACAGATATCATCACATCAGATCAGATCAGGACAGTAGCCGACTCGACAGCAGAGAAACTTATACAAGGATCCAGAAGGTAGGATGGAGCAAGGTTGCATGTCTCAAGCCATCGAAAATGCCAGATCCAAGGAGCTGTGGGCTGTTCTACAAACGGTGCTCAGCCGTCATCGAAATCGCAATTCGCATCCAATGCTTTCGCGTTCGGACTCAAGCCTCTGGCCAGTGATACGCTATCAACCTCAAGTGTGTTTGGACTACCAGAGACGGCCCAGGCTTTAAGCGCATCCCAGGCATCCAATGCTTTCACATTCGGGAGGAAGCCTCAAGCAATTGACACTACATTAACTCCAGGTATTTTCGATTTACCAAGCACCCTCCAGGCTTCGAACGTCTCCCAGGCTTCGGATGCATAGCAAGCATCCATGCCGCCACCCTCCACCACGACACTCAAGAGGTCCCACCATACGAGCGACCCCAGCGATCGACAACCAACCACTACGGCCCCGACCCCCCAACGGCTTGTGAACCTCGTCCTGCAAAGACTAGCCACTGCTCTGGAAGACATGGCTGGCAGAGGGCCGAGTCTGACTGATATCCTCATGAGTACCACGCGTACTGTACAGCAGAGCATGACCTCGCGGAAGCGCCCTCTTTCGCCACCAGAGTTCAAGACCTTGGCTGAGATTCAGCGTGACGCAGACTTGGGTAGGCTTGCAGGTGAGGAGGAGGAGAACACCGCGCGCGATACCCCTGTGGAAGACAGTGGGGCGGGAGAGCCAGACGTAGAGTGGTCAAAGTGGCTCAAGCAGTGACCTGTATTGTTCGGATTCCGTGCGGAGGCTATATCTTATATGCTCGTGCAGTGATCGTCGGGCAGTCACCCCCGCGTTACGTACATTGCAAACTCAATGTCAATTGCTCTATCAAGCCTCTATCTATGTCTACATCGTCAAGATCTTCGTCACGAAATCATATTCAATGTACGATGGTCGAGCTGCCTTCTATGCTTCATGCTTAGAGCTCTTCTGCCAGACGTCGTTGCAGCAAGCTCGTGTACACATATCGCTGATATGTACACAGATGCATGTGTAGCATTAGGCCCACACATGAAGTTGCTTGTTGGGGAAGGCGGGGCCCTTCAATCAGGTGTAGTAGCCGCGCCATTAGCTTCGGAAAATGGCCTTGCCAAACTAGCAGAAGGGCCATCGGGTGGCATACTCGTTGGCGATTGTCTCAGTAGATCAGCCAGCGCATTACCTGACTGCGACCGAGATTCTAGCGATGGCTGAGGCGCAACCGTGCTCGAAGCTTCTTGGGTTGCAGGTGAAGTAGCATGCTCTGGTATGGTAGGGCTGAGTGACTTTTCTGGCGGGAACGAGCTCGGTAATGAATAGGGTACCGGCGAGAAGTGCTGCTGAACTTCAGAGCTTGGCCGTGTAGTTTTACGCTCTTCAAGTGCTGTGGATGGAAATTTCCGAGGGCTCACGTCTTGTCCCGGCAAACGGTACTGCACGGTACTCGACGATGGCAGTGTTGTCTCATGAACGCTATCCGGAGGAAGAATTGGGTGAGGCATTGCGGACACGGCACTCGTTCTTGCAGCAATTTTTGCAGGCCGAGCGTTCGCCGCCAGGTCATCGGTAGCCATCTCTCCATGCGCCCGCTTTCTGCCCCTGCCCTTGGGACGAGCAGTCGCTGTGGGCACGTCTGCAGCGATCTCCTGCTGGCTGGCAGCAGCCAATGCTCGTTGCCTAATCTCATCCTCGTTCGCAGGCGGAGCATAGAACTTCACTGCGCCTACAGGGATAATATCGTTCTCTCCTTTCGCGAGCTTAATAGCCGATAGCCGCTCAAAGAACGATGCCTGTGCCGCCATGACAGGGTTCTTCACAACCTCTGGGGGAACGACCAGCTGTTGACCAGGTTGCAAGGTAGACAAGTCACTTGGAGGAAGTGGCTGAGCTGATGATACGGCCGCCGGATCGTCAGTGCTCGCAACCTCGCCATGTTCTTCACTAGTCAGGTCAATTGCGCCTGGCCGTGCCTTCAAAGTGACAGGTTCTGCTAACAGTCGTGTCTGGGATGTGGCAACCACATCAAGCACATGGCCTTTCCTCACCGGGTCCGCAATGGCTCCCTGTTCTACAACATGGATCTGAGTGCCGAGATCGATATGCCAGTGACAGCTGTAGACGCCATCATTGAATTTGACGAAAGGATTCTTCGTGTGCAGGTCCAGGATCTGAAGCTTGGCAGGCTCCAGCGGTGTCTGCTCTCTGGCAGGAGGCGCTAATCTTGGAGCAGGCTTGCCATTGCGAGCGGATTTTGCGATTGGGACGGCGTCGGGTACGTGTGTTGTCAGGTCCAGTGTGAAATATAGATCCTCCGTTTCGTGCTCGTCGTATTCGTACTCCCATTCCGAATCGTCCTCCATCACGTCCGAGTGTGTCTAGTCGCTAGGAGATACAGCATCCACCAAGTCCAGGAATAGTAATCAATGCGAGCTTCGCCACTCAGGTCGTCGTGTGCTCAGCGTGGACAGCTCGGGAAGGATCATTGGTCATCTCGCTCCATTCTCGCCAAAATTTGTGACATGTGAATGCAGCCGTCAATCGTTGCGCTTTCTGGTCGTGTGGCAATGCGGTATCTGTTGATTGCTTGCATGTCGTCGCCGTCCTCCCAACTCACACTCCACCTATTGGCAGCACGTCGCGCATGTGTCCGGACGATTGGAGGTTGTACTTCGGAAGCTTCGAGTCGTGCAGCCGAACTGCGGCATTGGCAAAAGCTTGACATGGCTGAAACTGCAGGGTTTCACTATCGCAGATGCATACTATACTAAGAACGGCTATTGATAATGATACGATTCTGTCAGTGACGCAGCTAAGAAGGGTACCTAGCCGGTGCTTGCGTGGCCGCGTGACCAAGAGCAGCGAGCATGGGCACGAAGCATGACTGACCTACACGCAGATTGGCTGGCGGAGAAGGGCATTGTCTAGTGTAAAGATTGCCGCCTGCCGGATCATGCCATCGCAGGGTGGTTTTAGACAATAGATGCTATATAAGCTTTGGAGTATCCACTTCGGATTTTACTGTGCTCTCCACGAGACTGATCCTTGGTTCCACTACTGCGCCGAGCGGTGTACGCATTCGCTACTCGACTATACACACATCACTACTGGACGGCTCGTGTATTTACAGTAGTCACAGGCTCGTGTATTTACAGTAGTCACGATAAGTACATACAAGCGTAGCGCCAGCGGTTCGCCCTTGCAGCGTCCTGTTGATCCTAAGAAATCACCAGCGGAGTGATAACCGAATACTTCCGCCCGTCCACAGTAACCTTGACACCACACTTCACCACCGCCTCGCTCCGCTTCCTTCCAAGCATCGTCTTCACTCTCACGCCGACACCGCATCCTCGCCAGCCTTGAACGTCACATCACTGCTACTCCAACCTATCGACCCACGCCTGGCTTGGCATCTGACATTCCTCACTCAACCATCGATCTATTTGCTCCACACGATCATTCGTAACACAACATCACATCGCCTAGTCAGATCGAGGACGGGCGACGCATCAAAGTATGAGTAGAACTCGGTAGCCACAACGTAGCGGGCCTGGGCAGCATATACCTCACATCTCCACACCGCCATCACATACGTGCACTGCATCCTCCACAGATGCAACGACCCGGCCGAAGATGGTTCTTCGGCTTCATCGGTGTCGCCTTGACCTACATAATCCTCACCGGCATCGGAGTACACGTCACACCAGGTGGCACCTTCAATGAGCGGCTAGAGAATGCACAATGGGTCGCTAGCTCAAGATCTTGGATAGACCGGCAGTTATGTCGCTGGTTTGAGTTATGTGGGACGTATCATATGTTAAATCGGAGTGGTTGGACATGGTCGGGTTCGCAGGACGATGTACCTGATGATCTACCCAAGTTTGCCCCGTTCTGGGACTCTGGCGAGGAGGACCCGGATACATGGTCGCATGCCGAAAAGGCTTCTCGTGAGATCCCGGATTATGTTTTCAAGCATGCGCCATATGTTCACTTGTTCTCTGGAGAACAATTCTGGCCTAGCGACCTTGCAGAGCATCTTACACATATGTCGCCACGGCTGAACTATACGCTGATACCGAAAATGGCCAATGACCGCAATCTCACGAACTTGAACGATCTGGATGATATCGAGGCGGGCAGACATGGTAGATATGTGTACCTGCAAAGTGACGACAATGTGGAGGAACATCCGGATTGGCTTACGAGCCAGCACAATATCCCAAGCATGCCTGAGTCGTGGAAACATGGCGATGAGGACGCGTCGTGGCCAGACGATGACCATGAAATGATGGCGGAAAGTGATGTGAAGAAGACCGGCTTCTGGGACAGTGTAGGCTTACCTAGTGATCTCACACCAAGCGACGATGGGAGATGTGGTGGCAACAGCGGCTCGACATGCAAAGGGAGCAGGTTCGGTCAGTGTTGTTCGATCAGCGGCTGGTGTGGCAAAAGCGACCTGTACTGCGATACCTTCTGCGATCCTCTCCATGGCGAGTGTGCCGACCTACTGAATCCGCCACCTCCAAACCCTCGGCCTGACCTTCGAAAGCGCAGCATAATAGACGAACAGACACTACAAACAATTGAACCTGCGAACACGGCCTTCGGCCGCTCGAAAGCTCCAGCAATCCTCCTAGTATCTGACAAAGGCAACGGCACTGTAGACGCCTTCTGGTTCTTCTTCTACTCTTTCAACCTAGGCCAGAAAGTCTTAAATATCCGCTTCGGCAACCACGTAGGTGACTGGGAACACACGGCCATCCGCTTCGTGCACGGCAAACCTACTTCAGTATTCTTCTCCGAACACGACTTCGGCGCCGCCTATTCTTGGGCAGCTGTGGAGAAGTATCTTCCAAACCCTGACGGAAGCGGGACGATGCTTGGAAGTCTAAGTAACGCGACCGTAGCGCGCGCGGCGAACAGACCGGTGGCCTACTCCGCATTGGGTAGCCATGCCATGTATGCCACCCCTGGACTGCATCCTTATGTATTACCCTGGGGTCTCCTCCACGACCAAACAGACCGCGGACCGATCTGGGACCCTACCCTCAACCTGAAATCCTTCGTCTACAACGCCAGCACGCACACCTCGAAAGCATCCACTCTAAACCCCTACGCACCGACCAGCTGGCTAGACTACGCGGGCCACTGGGGCGATAAGTACTATCCCCTCGGCGACCCACGACAGTACAGATTTGCAGGCCAATACCACTACGTCAACGGGCCCACTGGTCCCGCTTTCAAACGTCTAGGCAGGAAGGAGATTTGTCAGAACAGAGGGGTTTGTCATGTTCGGCATTGGCTTGGGAAGGGGAGGAGGAAGTTGAAGGTGCCTGAGTCGCTACCTGCCGATGGAGGGGGAGATGAGGAAGGCGGGTTACCCGGTGGCAACAGCACGGACGATGCGTTTTGATGAGGAGCATTGGGATAGTGGTATATGTTTTGCATGACCGAAATGGATTTTATGATACCCTTCTCCTTTGCTCTTTATGGCTGGTATGCTCGGTAGAAGGAATGGACAATAGACATGATAGATAGATTGATGAACTATATTGCTCCCCTGATGAGCTACCTAGACACAAAATGACATCCCTAATACAAGCATCGCTGTTCAAGATGCGTCTCGGATGCTTCAACACTTAGGCACGCAACCGTAAGGAGAGTGCATCTGCCTTCGCCGACCGGATATCGCTGGGATGCCGCTCCAACGTCGCTTCACGCTGCGCAGGCCACTTCATTGTAGTCACCTCTCACATCCCCCCAGCAGCCGCCATCCTTCCCTGCAGTTGCCTCAGCTCATACAAGCGAAAACACTGCATTGGCTCACCCATCGTCAGCATATGCGCCTCAGTCCCATCTACATTGGAAGTGATGACCCGGCCATTTCTCTTATCAGTCATTACTGCATGTCCGCTGTCGAGTCTACTGGAAGTGAAGCTTTCCAGATCGAGGCCAGTGGCGTCGAATTCGTCTTCGATTTCGGCGCCAGCGCGATCGTGGTCTCTCATGGTGGTGGGATTCTGGGAGTAGGTAGTGAGTAAGCGGCTAGTCCCTGTCCTTGGTGCACCTTCCAGAACGTCCAGTGTTCGAGCTCGTTCGGTTCTCGCATCGAGATCGAAGTCGGACGGCACATTAGTCCTAATCTCAGCATCACGCTCGCGCCGCGCTTGAGCTCGCGCAGCCGCTCGATGCCGTTCCATCTCCCGCGCTCTCTCGAGTCGTGCCTCATCTAATCTCGTTTCCTCCCTCCGTGCCTCGCGAGCACGTACAAGCTCGCCAGCTGTCGGCGCAGGTGTGCGAAAATATAACTAGAGTCTCTACGTTAGTAAGAATACAAATTCAGGACCAAAAGCCACGTGCATTTCCGTGAAGATCGATGATTCTCCAGACAAGCAGCAGCAGCAGCATTAGTGTGGATCCAGCAATGTAGAGTAGTAGGGCCAAGGTAGCAGTGAGGATCCAGTGGTGGCGATACCAGGGTCCGTTCGGGTCGATCGGTCCCACGATCCAGCTTCCTGCAGACGAAGGCAAGATTTTAGTAGTAGGTGAGGCGGAGGTGAGAGTGGCAGAAGTGAGAGGCTTCTCTCCATCGGGAAAACCCCCCGATATGCCGGCATAGGGACAGTCATCACAAACGGCTGTGCGGAAGGCTGACGGCCTTTTGAAGAAGGGATCTTGGGGATCTGCAAAGGGGTCCACAGTCGTGATTGTGGACAGCAGAGAGATTCTTGTATAGAGCGTGGTCATTGAAGGCATCATAGGCGATGCCAGTGACGTTGTCACACGGAACGAGGTCATCGTCGGCGTAACAGTTGATGTCATTGCGAGACTGCTAAAAACGAACATGATCGCAGTGATGCGTAGCAGGGTGATGAAGTTTGTCATATTGGACTGCCGTGGTTGTGAAGACGTTTGCGTGTTGTCCTATCTCCGGAAGAAGATTGCTGGTTGTCCACTTTGCAGAGCTTGATATCGAGCTTTAGACTTTGAGCTTATGGATTCGGCCTTCTGGATAAAGGAAGGTACAATGTACAGGGGAGGGAGGAACAATCCTAACACGTGATGCTGAGGTGCAGTTACAAGCTGCGTAAAAGTCGGCCGCCAAGCCAACAGATGACTGAGGATAGGTGTGAGATATCAACAAAAATGTACTCACAGGTGGGGTTATCCAGGATTAACGTCTCGTATGGCTCAGGAGACGCCATGCTCATACCCACACTCCCATCGACCGACACTCGAGAATCTCTCCTAATGAGCCTTATCCCACGGCAGCGAGAAAGTGCCAACCCAATCCTCGACCTCTCTCTTCAGCTCAAGAATCTCCACCACTTCCTCGCCCTCACGAACATACTCCCTAAACGCATTGACACTCTTTGGATTCTTCCTACCACTCTTCTCAGCCGCATCAATCGCCTTGCCATCCAAAATCTTGGTAATATTGACAGCACGATGCACAACATCCGCCACCCTCTTGAAGTCTGGAGCCTGGAAACCACGAGTCGTCATGGCCGGTGTACCCATGCGGATGCCGCCGGGCTTCATCGCTGATTTGTCGCCAGGCACGGTGTTCTTGTTCGCTGCTACGCCGACGAGTTCTAGTATGCGCTCGACACGGGCACCATCTACATCTTTGTTCTTGAGATCTACAAGGACAAGGTGGTTGTCTGTGCCACCACTAACAATGTTGTAGCCAAGACCGCCACTCTCCTTGCCTTGTCCAAGTCGTGCCGCCAGGGCTTTGGCATTCTCGAGGACCTGTCGTTGGTAGTCCTTGAATTCTGGTTGTTGTGCTTGATGAAGTGCTACTGCCAGAGCCGTAATGGTGTGGTTATGAGGGCCTCCTTGATGGCCTGGAAATACTGAAGCGTTGATGGGGTTCTCAAGGTTATACTTCTCCTCCAAGCCCGTCTTCTTATCTATCCGCCTTGTGCCTTTTCGGAAGAAGATCATAGCTCCTCGTGGTCCCCTCAAGCTCTTGTGCGTAGTCGTAGTCACCACATCTGCGTACTCGAACGGAGAAGGTATCACACCGCCAGCCACTAGACCAGATATATGCGCCATGTCTGCTAGCAGATATGTGTTGCCTACCTTGTCTGCGACATCTCGGAACTTCTTGTAGTCGATCAGTCGGCTGTAAGCGCTTGTTCCAGCAATGATGATGCGAGGTCTGTAAAGGAGAGCCAGCTCTTCCAGCTTCGCATAGTCGATCAAGCCGGTGGTCTCATCCAGTCGATATGGAAGAGTCTCGAAGTACTTGCTGATAGCCGAGATCTTCTTCGTCGGCGTCTGGTAGCCATGCGACAAGTGTCCACCATGCGGCAGGTCCAGTCCCATAATACGGTCATGTGTGTTCAGTAGCGCAGAATAAGCGTACAGATTGGCTGGTGAGCCAGAGAGCGGCTGTACGTTAACACCCCATTCCGACTCTTTCAACCCAAACGTCGCCAACGCCCTCTGCTGACATAACCGTTCCGCCTCATCGATGTGCTCATTACCGCCGTAGTATCGTGCGCCAGGATAGCCTTCGGAGTATTTGTTCTGCATCACACTACCTAAGGCATCGAGGACTGCTTGGCTGGTGAAGTTCTCAGATGGAATGAGATTGACCCAGTGCTTTTGCCGCCGCTCTTCTCGTCGTATTATTTCGTAGACTGAGGGGTCGGCGTGTTCTAGATGAGAGCCTAGAAGCTGTCACTGTTGTTAGATTCATCTTTCGCCGTCTTTGATGTTGTTCGCGTGCCCACCTTCTGCTGTGCGTCTATCGATAAGCTTCGAATGGCAGGCCATTGCAATGGCCGCTTTGTTGGCGCTACAGGTCGCTTACATGCCCGGCATGTCAAGGTACCAAAGGCCTTGACCGTGGGCCGGAAGGTAGACATTTGGGTAGTAGGTGACAGAGCGTGTGGGCGAGGCAATGCTGTGCTGGATAGTGGGCAGTCATATCCTCGAGAACGAATCGACGCTAATGCCACACTGGGCTAGCGCGGCTCTTAGTGACAGGAACTTCAAACTGCTTTTCCATTACTTGTCCAGTCTGTCTCTGCGACCATCACGGTATGAGACAATCCCCGTCATAGCAGGCATGATGAGGGTCTATCTGCATCGCTCACATGCAGAACAAGTGCACGGCTTGTCATCTCATAAAGACCGGGCGCCGCTTGAAGGTCAATCTGTGAAAAGCTTGCGTCTACGAGCGCTACAAACGACAAAGGGAAGAATGCGAGAAGAAAGAGCAATGCTTACATGCTTTTGAGACTTGAGAGGTTTGGGTGCGAATGATGTACTTTAGATTTATGCTATTCGAGCCTTACAACGATCGGCACTGCGTGTGGACTTATGGTACAGTTTAACGCGGCAAAATACCTCCGATCAGCGACAACGCGATATTAGTACACTGCTATCAGCTCGACCTGTCAAAGTATCTTACACTGTGCTTCTAGCGCTTTTTCAACAGTCAGTATCGTACATTACGTGGTGATCGCGTCGGAGATCCATTCCTATCAGGCCTGCCCGTCAGAAATCAGCACCTTACATAGCACCAATCAAGCGATTAGCGACATCAGAAGCGTAGGAAGAAGTCGATCCACCACTGGAAAGCTCACCGTTCGCCGGGATAGACGTAGGACCACTGTTATACTTTCTGGCAGTCTGGAAATAGGCCTGAGCGGTGTTCTTCCCAATGCCCTTGAAGAGAGGACCAAGGGCCTCCTCCGAAGACGCAGCAGTTCCAGTGACACCTTCAGTCACCATCTTGGTAACTGTATCGGACGGACATGGGTTCTGTGCGGTACCAGGAGTGACAAGTGCGCCGCTGGACCAGATGGCAGAGTTGCAGGATGCACTACCAGCGTAACCCTGCATCAGGCCGGGATTGGCGACCGAGTATTTCGTCGTTGGCACGCGGACACAGCCCTTGGATTCCTGCATCATAATGGCAAGGACGAATCTGTTATCGATGTTAGCAGATTGCGCAACACTGGTGATTGCAGACTTGATAGCAGCAATTTCTTCGTCCGAGTTGTTGGCTTCGTTGTATTGCGAGCACGACTTTTGCATGACGGCGGAGTTCTTTGTCCAAAGCTGGTCGAAGCTTAGCCACTTGTCCATTGTGGGCCAGGATGAGCCGTCACCAGTGTAGCTTATTGCCGCACCGGAAGCTGCAGGCGCAGGAGCTGCTGCAGCAGAGCTAGATGGAGCCGGTGCAGCGCTGGAAGAAGACCTTGCGGATTGCGATGATGTCGGGGCAGCCGAGGGGCTGGCTGGTGCCTGAGTTGTTGCGGGAGCATGGCTGCTGCTGGGAGCGGCAGCACTGGGTGCGGCGGTGTGAGGAGCAGATCCGATGGTACCAGCAGCTGCACCACCAACAGGCGCAGCGATCATCTGGTTGTTCGAACAGATCATGCCTGGAGCCACTGGCTGGACGATAGCCAGTCCGGTAGGATTGCAGAGGAACCACTGGTTGGTCCCAACACAGTTAATACCAGGACTGCATGATTCTCGAGCCTTGATCGTAGGCAGAGAGTAGTTCGAGCTGAGGGGAAATGCAGCGGCGGAGGCCGCGAGGAATATTGTGGTGAAGAACATTGTTCTCGTCGTTGTTGCGGGTTGTGGTTTGGTTGCTCTGCTCTGTGAGTTTTGTGCCTGTAGTGCTGATCGGCCAGCGATCCAGTTGGGTCACTTGCGAGAGGTTTTTGGTAGCGTGTTTGTGTGAGGAAGGAGTGTGTCAGAACCACTGCCAGAACTTGGATATATGCTGAGTATGCTTTGTAAATGGCATTGTCACCAGAAGGACAAGGCATTGTCAATAACAAAGGCGTGTCCATACTACATTGTAGATGGTGAGCGACCTAGACAAAGAAATGCTGCAAAACCCAGTGGGGGTGATCGTGCCAGAGCATGCTGTAAGCATTCAGGAGAGCGACAATGCTAAAGAAGCAGATGAATTATGTCAAGGAAAAGAAGAAGCCAATTCTCGCAGACCACGTGTAAGTGACACGATTGCGAGCATGACAGCGCGTAACGGCTGGTATACCCTGACATCGCACGAGAGTGTGTCCATACCTACTGTACGGGACTGCTGCGATCATGACTGGTGGCATCGGTTCCAAGGTCATTGTTACAAGGTTGTCGAGCTTATCGTCGTATAGAGCTCGTGAATCTTGGACAAACCACTTAGCGCAACTTCAAAGTGATAGTTCCGGTCCTGCCAGTAGCATAGATGCTATTGTCATGTCCCATGCCAGTAGCATATCAACGAGCCCATCGTACTGGCATCAATCGCGAGTTCATGCTTCTAGCCATGTTGACTGCAGGCATCCTGACGGAGGCCGTCAGCTCCACTTCGTCGTTCTGTCCCCTGCTCGCATGCTCTCTTTCTCCAACGATGTCGTGGAGCACGTGTGAGCGCAACATAGCCATCGACGTCGATATGAGTATGATTCGGACACTGAATTTCCATCTCTGGTGATGTTCATTTTGGCGTGTCGGCCGAAGCTTCAGCCAATCATAGCTAGTTTCGGACCTTTCCCGAGGGATCATCAAGCCAAGCCACAGGGCTGAGAGCTACAGTATGCAATGCAAGTACCTCCTCTCGCATTTTTTCCACATCCGGTATGGGTTGCGCCCTTGACCATTCATCTGACGGAGATGCCATTGCAATCGCAGACGAAACACATTGGCTGCCAGGTTATGCTTTGGCTCCCCAATGATCGACGAGTACCGCTCTTTCCTCTTTCACGATGTGTGCTTTGCTCAGCCCTTGATTTCGCAACTCAAGCCCAGAACGCGAGATGTGTAAGCTCAGCCTCATATGGCCCGACATGAGAGATCAGTGTGACTATATGTAGTAAGGTAAGTACTGTGCCTCTACTTCCATATCCCTCGCTATAGATCTTACAACCTTGCAAATCACTATTGTACGCCTCATATTTCTGGACGCTCATCAAGCTCACCATCGCGATGGTACATGTCAACAGCACCTGCCCTGTACCAGCAGGATCTTTGGAGTATGGTGTCCGTGGCACCGCTTGGAAGCCTCTGCTATGGGCTGCCGCCGGATGCACAGTTGCGACTATGGCCATTGCGATCTCATTAATCACATTACATCTACGTCGATATCGGGCTCCCAAGGAACAACGACAGATCATCCGTATCGTCTTCAGCGTCGTGGTCTACGCTGTCTTCGCCTTCTTCGAGGTTTACAGCTATGAGGCGGCGCAGTACATCGATCCTCTAGGAGACCTGTATGAGGCTTTTGGGCTTTGGTACGTGGCGAGACGTCTTCTGAAATTGTGACATATGCTGACCATATCTCAGCGCACTATATCTACTCTTCGTACAGTATGCGGCACCATCAGGGACCTTCAATGACGAGCTCTTCGAAGCCGTGCGGGCCGCAGAGGAGAAGACAAGCACCTTCGACTGGCCACGAATCAGCTGGATCTTCGTGTTTCAGTATCCCATCTGCGAGATCGCTTGTGTTGCCATTATTCTCAGCACAGAAGCGACAGATCACTACTGCGTCAACAGCCTCTATCCATGGTTCGCGCATCTCTGGGTCGAAATCCTCCAATCCATAGGCATCGGCGCTTGCGTGCTGTCGATCTTCAAGTTTCGCAACGCAATGAAACAACGCATGAAAGTCCGCCGAGCACTATCCAAGCTCGGATGCTTCAAGATCATTGTCTTTATCCGATTCATGCAGGCGTGGGTCTTCAGCCTGCTACTGCAGTACAATGTCGTGAAGACGAGCTCTTCGTTCTCCTACAACGACATTCTCTGGGGCATCCCAGGCTTGGCGACATGCGCAGAGATGGTTCTCTTCTCACTTGGCTTCTGGTATGCTTTCAGCTCGACGGAGTATGGCTCGTCTGCAAAGCCTCGCGACACGCCTTTGCCCTTTGGAAGAGCAATCCTGGATGTACTCAATCCGCTGGATCTGATCATCGGCATTGCCAAGATCTTTCCATTGTCCCGCGACCTCCATCGTAGCGGCGGATGGAAGGCTTATCGTGAAGCGCAGAAGCAAGCCGGGATTTCAGGAGCAGTACGGAAGGGAGTCAAGAAATACCGGATACGTAAGAGCTCAGGCCCGGGGCGATACAAAGAGCTCAACGAGAGCGTGGAAGAGCTGCAGAAGCCTGCTGGCTCACACCACCAGCGCAGTGTATCGGAAGCCACAGACGCTTCGGAAACATCATATCTCGCGCCTAGTGGTCTGAGTGGCGAGCAAATGTATCAGCCGCCTTCAGGCTCACCACCGAGCGATGCCAGTGGGCATTTGATGGCTGGTCAGTATGATGGCAGGTCGCGATCTCCATCGCAAGGTCAATGGAATGGTCAGCGATACAACCGGTCGACTTCGCCGAACGGAAGATTCGCCGAGGCGATACAAGGTCAGAACATGGTATAATGTGGAGTGTGCTTGGCTGTAATGGTTGGATTAGCGTGGCGTTTGGCATCGGGTCGTTGGCTATCTAGAAAGCATCATATGTCATGCTCTTCGCACATTTCGAAACCATCTCCTCTGCCTGTAGTATACAGCCGTGGACTATGCAGATTGTTTGATCAATTTCTAATCATCACTCATTTCAAGTAAATCTCCACTCCAGCGCCAAGCCGGAACACGTCTTGGGCTTGATCCTTCAAGCTCACCATACATAGCCACAAAGGCTCCATCACGTTTGGCACATGTCATCAGCCGCGGCGTTCAGTGTATGTTATCACCCAGCCAGGTGCAGGGAGGCATAACCAAGGTAACATCACTTTCTATATTCTCAACCGAACTAAATACTTGAGATCGTTGCATCCGATATCATTTTCAATCATGGACAAGAACGGGACAATTGCGGTGCAGGACCACAACTCCTCTTCAACAAAGCAGACAGACCATCATACCAGGATGAACAACTTCAGAGACGGTCTCGCTGAAGCGTCTGAGCAAGATCATACCTCAAATCCACCGCCGTCTTACGAAGAAGCCACAAGAATTATCACCCCGGCAAGTGTAGCAAGAAGACAACCAGCAAGAGCTCAGCCTAGCGCAGTCACTGCAACTCCGAGCTGTGGAGCATCAGCGGCCACGATCGCAGCAGTCCTAAGTACTGGCCCTCCCAGCCAAGGTCCAAGCAACACGCGAAGGACCAGGAGTCAGCAGACAATCTTCGATGACAACAGCCAGAAAGCATGCAGTCTATGGCGCTCCGGAGCAGACAAGAGGGATCTCGGAAGTTCTTCTAGCAGATGGAACATCTGGGGTGTGCCTATGCAGGACCATCGAAGCACCAAACCACGGCGCAAGCCTTGAGATGTCCTATGCTTCCTACTTGGACATGAGAATTGGTCAAGATTCGCGTTAGACAGTTATGATCAGTTGCGAGCGCATCTCGGATATTCCGATGGTCCTGATGCTGCTGGAGCACGATATGGTTGCTGTCCCGGATGAGAAGTATGCCAAGTTCGTCGAATATGCTCAAGCGCTCTGCAAGATAGACACCTCAAGACGTTCTCGGAGAGTGCCTTTCCTGCTTGAGACGGGCAGGCAGACGAGGTGATTGCTCTTCATTGTCGGGCAATGATGATGCATTTGAGCTGTACGTAGGCTGTAATGTCCCTGTCAGATTGAACGTAGATGTGTCGTACGTAGATCTGGTATATGCATCTATAGCAGATGAATCTATCCTATCACTACTTCCAACAGTGATATGCTTTCGACCTCATTCATGGCAGGTCTTCTTGAGTGAAGCATGTGACGTATGTCCTCCGAGGAAAGCTGAGGACCCCTCGGACTTGCCGGCCGCCAGTCCAGTTGTTAGTCATGAGACTCCGCTGGGATATGAGGGTGCTCCCGATCAGCTGCCTCGAGCTCTCGGAGCACACGCCGGCATCTGTGTTGGATGAGGCGTATGTGCCGGAAAAGATTGTGTGCAAAGGTTAGATGTCTGCATTTCCTTGACAACGACCACAGCGGGTCAATCTATGTACTATTTGGGCACATGGCCGACTAGCGGCCAAGCAGAGTCTGCCAACGGCCGCTATACTCTACAGCTTGCTACAGCATGAATGCCTCGGCTATAGCTTGCGTAGCGGTACACGGCAGCATAGTGTCACTCAACTTTCAGTGGCTGTGCTGTTCTTCGCACGTGGCAGAGCCATTTGGGTTATGACATGTCGCCATAGAGCAATCACGCATGGGAGGGTCACAGGACTGAACTCGGTTAAAGTGGGCATATTGGTACATCTATGCTCGATCTCTGTATCACATCTCCACCACCTCCAGCTCCTGATCTACAACCATCTGCACGACAAGCGTGAAGCGTAGAGTCTGCACTGCCATCCCGTCCTGATCCGCTTTCGTCCCAGCAGCAGAACCCACTTTTCAGTTCAAGCACAGTAGCAGCCTCTTGCGAATGCCCAATCTCACGACCAGCCATCCCACGTCACGCCGCCATCTCGTACATCCTCTAGTAAGCGTAGAGGATCAAGAACGCAATCATGAGCGCGAACAGACCAGTGGCCTCAGCGAAGGCGAAACCCAAAATGGCGTACGAGAAGAGTTGACCTTTTTCATCAAAGTCAGCTCCAATTCTATCCCGCATTCCCACGTTCCATCTATAGAAGACGGCACTTACCGCGGAGAGATGGGTTACGAGCCACACCGTTGATCAGGGCAGCGAAAACCGTGCCGATACCCACACCAGCGCCGGTAAGACCGACGGTAGCCAAACCAGCACCCTGCATCTTAGCAGCGACCACGATGGCAGTGGTCATGGTCTCAGCGACGACACCGCGGGTCTGCTGGCCGTTACGCATGAGGTTGCGGGTGATGTTGTTGCGGGCATTGTTCATCAGGAGGCCATTGCGGCTGGCGGCGGCGATGGGCGAGCGGGTGTTCTGGAGAAGGGTGCTGGGGAGACGGGAAGTCGCTGGGGGAGGAGTGCGGGTTAGCGTGGACTCTAGATAGGGGCGTTGTGGTTGGTTTTGGGGTGATTTTCCTTGCCCGTGAAGGACTTTTTCCAATGGTTGAGGGGAGCTCTTTTGGGCTACTTACAGGAGCTCTGGGTGCTCAAAAAGCGACGGCTCGACATGCGCATGGCAGCGCCGGAGGCCATTTTCGTGCTTGCGAACATGCTTGCGAGTCGTGGTTTTGCGTGTGGTTGGTGCGGGAGATGGAGTGTGTGGAGGTGGAGATGGAGAGAGTCGATGGAGAAGAAATGGGGGGATGCACGGCTGTTATAATAAAGCTGGGGGTACTTAGGTACATACTTGCTCCGTGCACTGCACTTGCCTGCTTCGAGCAAGTCGCCATTGCGACACGAGCCGCGTTGCTGCGCGAGAGGTGGAAGTGTGATACGCTGCTTTCTGACAGTGAGGCAGAGATTGCTGTTTATGCATTCACTCTACATCCCCTTGTCATTGATACTCGAGCACTTCTATGACAGTATACGACCTTCTCAGTGAAGAGGGAACCAGCCTCATGCCACTGGCACTTGATACGTGAGCGTGAGGGGAAACTCTAAAGCGTGGAGCCTCACTCAACAGGTAATCAGAGTATCAGAAGCCGCGATATCATCACGCGATCTTAATGGCTTGCGAGGAGTTGAATAGATGAAGGATTGCTCAACGCAAAGCAGCTCAGAGTGTCATGACAAAGGCCAGTTTCGTTGTCTATGCACAAGGACACCATCGACTCGTCCGGGCCGAGGGCACCGCTTCATGATCTTGGCGACCATACTCCGCAATGTGTGAGTCTCCATCTTCACTTGACCTGGACGAAACGTCGATGAAGCCAACATCGTCGACGCCTGAGCCTCGCAATGCACAGCAGAGACCAGCAGCCCATTAATTACAGTCAATACCAAGGGGGCAGTCGTGGTGACGACCAAATGGCACAGGACATGGAATTGGTAGATATGATTTCGAGGTTTGACTTATGTCCGCTATGCTGATCAAAAGATGGCCATACTAGCCAGGACTGGATCTCGAATCCAGTAGGCCAAGACAGCCACACGCAATGCTCACACAGGCAAGTTGAACTTCTTGCCTTGTAGTACCCTGTCATGAAGGTCAGCACTGGACAATCGTTCCTCGCAACTAGCAGCAATATCTCGACATACTTTGTCCAGTAAATATAGAAGAAGTCCGAGTACAGCACCGTCTGCACGATACCAGCCAACACTGCAATCGGTTCAACCCACTGGCCAGCGAAGTATCGATATATCCAATTCGGGATATACAGAGCCCGATAAGCGCCCAGTGCGAAGAGATAATGTGTCGTAATCGTTTCAGCTTCGCCGGTCCGTTGCAGCATAAACAATTGTGGCAGAATGGCGACGGACTCGAGCCAAAGCGAGAAAGCCCAGAGCATCTAAGCACAACAACTGTATCAGCAACCCGTGTCTGCCGTTCACATCTGCACCATTGTCGATACCTCTGTAATCGCATAACTAGGTGGCAGCACAACCCCAAGCACCAATGCACCGCCGAGCAAATATTCCACTTTGAAGGTATCTTGGTTCGGGTCGTGGGTGGGTTTGTAGTCGACGAGCATGAGGTAGATGATGTAAGATTGGGAGAGGATGAAGATGATTTTGAAAAAGGTGTTCCAGAGGTTCTTGGTTGGGTTGGTCCAGAAGAGGTCTGAAGAGCGAATGTTTGGGTTAGTATGTCGTGCCTGTGGAGAGTTGTTGTGGATGGGTGAGGGCGATAGGGACGTACCGAGATATCGCGCAACGTAGACGACTTGGTATAAGAATTGCGATTTGAAGGATATGCCTGATGCGCTCTGTGTGTTGCGCCAGGGTCAGCCATTGGCTTGTCCAAATCATTGTTGCGTAGGGTTGTTGCTTACACTCGAGCTTCGCATCTTATGTATGAGGATTAGGACTGATGCCAAATGACACAGATCCGCTAGGTATGATTAGTCCACGCCCTTCAAGATCTCTTCACAATATTTTGTCTCCTTGCTCACCCGCTATACGGAAGAGATTCATCTTGGCGGTATTGGCCCGCTATCGCAACCAAAACAAAGAGCTCGTAGTCGTTTCAGATGATCAATCAAACTCGTTCCGATGCTAGTCTGTGGTGTGAGAGGCAAGTGAATGTGGTTGTCGTGTTTATGTGATTATTCGCGAACGGAAACAGCCAACTGTTCAACAATTTAGCAGCTCTGCCTCTCCTGCTGCAAGGGTCTCAGATGGGTTGCGGTCGCTCCCGCATCCTTGAAACCTTAGTGGCGGTCGCGCCTGCCGATCCTCACGTCATGGTCACTTAACGCGACAGCTTCGCGTTTTAATCGTGTGCTTCAATTGTCATATCGCAAGGCAAAAACAGCTGGACTGCAAGCTCTCCACGTTGACATCAGGCTCTGGACCTAGCGAGCGTCACAGGCCTGAGTGAGAAACCACAACACCATTCCTTCGAGCACAAGTACACAACTCCAACACTCGCCAAGATGGGTATCAAGAATCTGGCCCAAGTGCTCAAGGAACATTGCCCGGATGCCATCAAGGAAGGCGAGATCAAGAACCAGTTCGGCCGCAAAGTCGCCATCGATGCCTCCATGTCATTGTATTCCTTCCTTGTCGCCGTAAGAAGTGGTGGTGAACAACTCATGTCGGAGAATGGCGAGACCACATCACATATCATGGGCCTCTTCTACCGCACACTCCGCATCATCGACAATGGCATAAAGCCTCTTTATGTCTTCGATGGTCAACCACCCAAGCTCAAATCCGGCGAGCTGGCCAAGAGGTTTCAGCGCAAGTCCGAGGCACAAGAGGCGCAAGAAGAAGCGAAGGAGACAGGCACAGCGGATGACGTTGAGAAGTTCAGTAGAAGGACAGTCCGAGTGACTCGCGAACACAATGCCGAAGCTCAGCGTCTCCTCAAGCTCATGGGCGTACCATACATCATCGCTCCTACCGAAGCCGAAGCACAATGCGCCGTCCTCGCCAGAGCAGGCAAGGTCTTCGCTGCAGCATCAGAAGATATGGACACCCTCACCTTCAACTCACCAGTCCTACTACGCAAACTCACATTCTCTGAACAACGCAAGGAACCTATTCAAGAAATTCACCTAGATGCTGTGCTCGAAGGACTGGACATGGACCTCAATCAATTCATCGACCTATGCATCTTACTTGGCTGCGATTACGTCGACCCAGTAAAAGGCATCGGTCCAAAGGTAGCTCTGAACCTCATCCGCGAACACAAGACTTTGGAAGCGGTGGTCGAGTACAACGAGAAGAACAAGAAATACACCTTCCCCGAAGACTGGCCCTACAAAGACGCCCGTCTCCTCTTCCTCGAGCCCGACGTTCGCTCCGCCGACGAACCAGAATGCGACTTCAAATGGGAGGCTCCTGACGTGGACGGGCTGGTGAAGTTCCTGGTCGAGGAGAAAGGTTTCAACGAGGACCGTGTGCGCAACGCAGCGAGCAGACTGAACAAGAACCTGAAATCTGGCCAGCAGTCAAGGATCGAAGGTTTCTTCAAGATGCAGCCGAAGACGGAGGAGGAGAAGACGAGTCTAAAGAGGAAGAATGAGGAGAAATTCGCTGCTAATAAGAAGGCGAAGAAGGAGGCTGAGAAGGCTAAGAAGGAGGCGAAATCCAAGCCAAAGATGAATTCATGAGGGCCGTGTCATTTATGGGCATGGTTGGTTTGTTTACTGCATTTGTGAAGCGAGGCGTTGGCGGTGTACATCGGAAACACCTGCAGAGTTAATGATCCGAAGCCTGAGGCTTCGAAGTGACGTTTAAAAATTCCGTGACGGGAAAGAGCAAAGTACGAATCAGCTTCGCACTTGTTCAATACAAAGTCTTAACAGATCCCTCTCTCTCTCTCTCTACTTGTGGCCCTGTTTGACGCAACTTTCTTGCACTGCACACGCAACCCTTCGAAGTCACTTCTGCTTAGTGGTTCATCAGATCACAACATGGTATGTTCAGCTACAATATCGCTGACCTGTGGTTGGCGGCAAATCAAAGCACCGCGTGGTGCACACTGGATTTGCTGCCTGGGTTGGTCGAAACTGCAGTCCTCAGTCTCAGTCTGTCTCTGATGCACTTGCTCGTTATCGGACGTGGACAAGACGTGACAGAGCGCCATTCAAGGGTTCGCCACGAGTCCAGTGTGCTCGACATTCTCGGCGAGAAACGCGTCGATTCGCTCTGCCCGATTGTGGAGAAAGCCTGCTCAATACTGCCTTGATCATCGTAGCCGTAGGCTTGCGTTTGAGGAAACTCGTCCTCGCGCGCTCATGTCATTGCCAGATCCGAACCTCGATATCCTCATGAGAACCACTGGGGCAAAATCGTTCCATATTGCATCTCATCGTCTATACCACCTGGGGACACTCAACCGCAGGAACCCGCAATCGCCGATCCATGGTCTATTGGAGGAGGATACCGGCCACGCAGGCTCCATTCCCTGAGATGACATTCACTGCCGAGGATTCCGATAAACTATCTCTCAATTCCATGGGTAGTAAATGGTTCTCGGGAGATAGCAACGAATCCTGCGTCTATCTGGGGTTTTACGGCCCGCGAGATAATATGACCAGCTTCGCAAGCTCTAGCCGCTCATTGCGAGCATCGCGTGGGCATACACCCGCAGAGCTGCCTAGGGCTGTAGGTGATAGCATGGTGGTTGTGGCATTGGCGGCCGGTCCATCGGATCATGTAATCATAGTATAGCAGCCACAATCAACATGGCCACAGCAGCAGTGCCATACCAAGCTGGTTGTCCTCCGACCAAGCTCCAAGCGATGCCAGTCTTCGATTCCGAGGTGAGGTTATACAGGGTCAAGGCCAGCGCTCCACCACATATCTGCGAAGCATTGCCATCACAGGCATATCTGCAGCTTGCTGTTTCGTTAAGCTTTTCAGAGAGCACAGAGAGGTAGGCTCCGCAGTAGCATTCGCGACCCTAGTGGTACAGTCAGCTTATGCGTTTTTGTGATCGATATCCTTCGAGTGTGTGGATGTACGCACATATTCCAGGCCGGCATACTGCATGGTTGCCCCGTTGAAGCCTTGTGAACAGTATGCGAGACAAGAGCTGATTGTCATTGTGTTATTCGCAGACTGTTGAACCAGTCAGCACAGTGTCCACCACCTAATACTGGCTCTTGCATTTATGTACCTCCATCCCGCCAGTCAACGCCCTAGCCCCATCTGAATTGGCTACATTGACCGTCTCGTTCCAGCATCCAACATATTTGTATCCCGATGCACTTGGCAGTGCTGTGGCGCTGGGTGCAGCAGTTGTGGGATTGACGATCGAAGGTTGTTGAGCTAATGCGAGGTTCGTAAGGAGTGGTATAAAGAGAAGAGCTATCGATGATAGGGAAGGACTGGACATCGCTGTTGCGAACATAGTGGTGCAAGTGCTATGGAACACAACCAAGAATTCACAATAATCGAGTCAATCAGGATGGAAACATTATTGTCCAAGAGAGAGCTCCAAAACTCATCAACGCGCATATAAAGAGCACACTCTATCGGGTCTGATATGCACGTTGCGGGACATGATCCCTGGACCCTGTTCCTGACTATATTTGGCACACATAAGGCTGCACTGTCCGATACTTGCCATCTTCATTCTGTTCAAAGATACCTCTCCACCCCTCGTCCTTGTCCTCTTCCTCATCCTCATCGTTCGGAATAAGGCAGACATCTGGTGAATGCCCGTCGGCCGAGGATATGCTTCATCAGACGGCAGTTTGGCCCCCGTGAGCTAGGCTTCTCTGCAGTGTCATGTACACGACGCAGCCAATGGTAGGCTGAGTGGCCTTCAGGCTGCATACTACCATCGATACGCGACACAGAACCCTATAACGCCTTTCGTCACGTACTCGCAAGCACTTGCCATAGCGGCAAGTCCTTTGTAGCCTATGGAATGATGCCTCGTGCGAGGCCGGAGTGCACTTGCTGTATACGGACCAGCATAAGATGGTGATGGTGGTTTACATGTCTCCAAAGTCGCATCGCTGTGAACCTCTGACGTAGAACCCAAGCACTTACGAACCAGTGAGAGCACCATAGGACCAACAGGTCCTCCATTTCTTCGTCAAGACAAGACAACCGCCACCATGTCTATCAACGTAGCATCCATTATCGGCGCTGGCCTCTGCGGTCTGGCTTTGGCTCTGTTCCTTAAAAAGCACAACATCGATTCGACCATCTACGAACTCCGAACATCAGGTCAGATTTCCGCAGGTGCAATCATGCTCTCGCCCAATGCTCTACGCTCTCTAGATGCCATTGGAGTCTACGATCGTATCAAGTCCAAAGGCTACCACTTTCGGGACTTGACCTTTCGTAACGACGAGCACAAGGTCTCGGATGCTTACGAGATGGGCAATGCCGACAAGTACGGATACGATGCACTCCGCATCTATCGTCAGGTTCTACTTGATGAGCTCAAGGCCATGGTCAGGGAGGCCGAAATCGAGGTTCATTACGACAAACGCTTCTCTCACGTGGTCTCCGAGGACGAGAAAAGCATCACTTTTGCTTTCAAGGACGGCGAGACCAAGTCGACTCAAATGCTCGTTGGAGCAGATGGTATCCATAGTGCTGTCCGCGAACATATCCAGCCGAACGTCAAAGCTAGGTTTGACGGCGTCATGGCTTTGACCTGTGCTATCGCCACGAAGGACATCAAATTCCCGTTCGAGCCATATTCGACTCCAGTCTCGATCCACGGCCCAGCAGGCGCCTTTGTGCTTGCCGCACAGAACCCAGAGGGCGCACAAATGCTCGGTGGGATCCAGTACCGCACTCATGACAGAACTCGCGCTGAGTGGGACGCACTTTGGCACGATAAACCACAGCTGCTGTCTATAATGAGGCAGGGAAACGCCAACTGGAATGCAATGGTTCAGTCTGCGCTTGACGCCATTCCATTGGACACCATCTCGATCTGGGCTTTTCATAGTGTGCCGCATTTAGAGTCCTGGAAGTCAAAGGCAGGAAAAGTTGTGATACTGGGAGATGCTGCTCACGCGACTCCCCCTGCTGCGTGAGCCTCATCCTCTAAGAAGCCGACATATGATTCGCGTTGCTGACCGTTGTGTAGTGGCCAAGGCATTAACCAAGGGTTCGAGGATGTGCACTCACTGTCACTGCTCATCGCCGCCAGAAAGAGTCACGATCAGTGGGTAACGTACCTGGACCGGTGGCAATCGTTCAGGAGTGAGCGAGTGGAACGTGTCTCGGACCTTACCAATCAGATGACCAAGCGAAGAGTACCCGGCTGGACTGGTGAGGGTGCCGGGAGTATTGACAGCGCCTGGTTGTTCGAGATCGATATTGAGAGAGAAATGAGCAAGATTACGGTTGAAGCGAAATAAAGCTGGGATTGTAGAAGGTTTCACCGGTTGATTTTTGGACAGGTATCTTCACTCCCCAGCGCATAGAAGTCACATCGGCGCCCATGCTTGAAGGCCAAAAGGATGCTATGCTTCGGAGACTTTGTACTTGTCTTACTCTGTAGACTGCAAACCCACGCCAGCCATCTTTCTGCCCTCCACAAAGTCGACAGGTGCAGTGTAGTGCTTCTTGCCATAAGTGATATACACAATAACGGCGATAATGATGACCGCGAGCCATACCACAGGCGCCCAATTCGCAGAGCTAGCATCGACGGGCAGATATGATGGAAAGCAACAGAAGATGAGCAAGAAGAATGAGTAGAACAGCGCAAAACCATTGATCCAGAGCGCATATCGTCCAAGACTCCATCGTGCATGAGGCAAGGGCTGACCAGTGATGCGTCTATGGAAAACGCAGCCGATAGAAATCATGTAAGTGCTCATCAAGCCCAGTACGGAGAGCGAGACGATAATATTGAAGGCCACGGTACTGCCGAGTTGAATCAGAGCCAGGACAACACAAGCCGCGCTCGTGGCGTAGACTGAGTTGAAAGGGATGCTCGACTTGCGGTCCATCTTGCCGATCCAGCCGCTGAATGGTAGACCTTTGTCACGGGCGAACGCCCACATCTCACGAGCACAGGTGGCTAACGCTGTGATATTGCCTGCGTAGACAAGCAAGAAGACGATAACATTGAGGACCAGTGAGAGGGCTGGACTGCCGGTGTTGTTGAAGAGGAGTAAGTATGGGACGTCCGAGTTGACCTACTTTTCATCAGTATTACTCAAGGGGGGGCTAATAGTTATCTCGTGACTTACGACGTCTTCTAGCGGACCAATGCAGAATAGCATTACAATGAGCATAACAATGCCGATAACAGTGTTGTAAATGAACGACCTGCGAGTCATCAGTACACGTCACCAAGTCGACCACTGCACGACACCAGGCTAAGCTCACCAGAACATACACCTTGGCACAACAAGAGAGGCATCTTCGACTTCCTCCGAGATATGCACTACAGAATCTGACCCGAGATTGCAGTAGATGATCGTGACTTGAGAGACCAAATAAGCAGGACCCGGACTCCAGCCGCCATTGGCTTCGAAGTGGAGAAAGACATCGTAAGGAGAGTTCTTCGGGCAAAGCACTAGCAGTGCAATCATGACCACGAAGAAGCCTGCAATATGTCCTATCAAACTAGCAATCTCGAGAGACGGCAAAATGCTTGCTCCATAAGTGTTGAAGATAATCGTGATTCCAATGACGGCGAACATGATCAAAGTGATCTTCCAGGGCTCCATAACAACGTCCGGCTGCAGGACATTGACCATGGCTTGTATTTGGGTGCCGCAAACATAGACACTACTAGCGACGGACGCAAGCCATCCAAGGGTCGACATCCAGCCTGAAGCATAAGACAGTACACGCTGATACTGTGGTGGAGCAAATTCAGAAACCCAGTGGTATTGGCCACCACTCGTAGGCGCCATAGACTCCATTTCGGCGAGCGAAGCCACGACGAAACCATAGCAGATGACGGTAGTGATGAAGCACCAGAAGAGTCCGGCGAAGCCTCCATTGGCCAGGCCGACAGACAACGATACCAGGACGAACTCCCATGTGGCCATATAGATTGAGACGAATCCGAGGGTCGACCAGAAGGAGAAGTTACGCCTGCGCGACGGTTAGGTGACCATCGAAACCCATCATAGCTGCTTGAATACTAACTTGAATTCTTGCTTCTTGCCCAGTCGCTTCATATCGCGAAGGTCGGCGTCCGTATCGCCCCACCCCTCCTGCTGGGCCAGATACCCAGCATCGAGCTCAACAACATCCTTAAGATCGGAAGAGACGTTGTCATAAGCACCACCCTTGGGCTCGATGTTGTGCGATGTAGGCTCGACAGAGCGCCGACGAATAGAACTGCTTTCAGCCATTGATGCGGCTCAAGAACGCGCGACAGCCACGCGAGAGGTTACACGGCAGTGGGAGAAGCAATTGCGGGAACACAGAAGTGCATATATCAAGGAAACACATGGTGAGCTTTCCTACTAGTACACACTGACCCAGTCGGTACTTGACGGGCAGCGATAAGCTACTGCAACGACATGCGAGACGAGACGGCGCCATGTTGATTGATCGAGGATATTGAGGGAACTTGCAGGGCTAGCGTCAAGGGTAAGAAAGTTTATCTTAGCTAGCACGTTGTTGGCGTGAGCCCCGAACACTCGGTACTAGCTCAGATGAGAACTCGAATCACGATTGGCTGTGTGTAAAAGCAAAAGGTCATCCCCTCTAGGAGAGTGTGCGTGCCTACCTATTTATCATTTTTGTAAATCCTGTCCACAATGATGTTCTAGTTGGCTGTGAAGTATTCGACGGACATCGTGATAGCTTTTTCATAGACGAACTGTCAAGACGTGCCTACAAAATGTCTGGTCATATGCTAGAAGCCTCCAGCTTATACGTGCAGGCAGATAGTCCTCATCCGTAGATATACCATTGGAGAGTAGTCAACATCTCTATATAGTGACCAGAGTCATCGTAGCCAAGAATACGAAGGACACTCGAAATTCATCCTGCTACACCCTGCATTACATAGTACCAAGTCTTCCAGAGAGCAATGAAGTCTTGCTATCCCGAGTAGTCTCAGTCGACTGATCGCCCTCGAGGGTAACACCACGACTTCGGCCTTGAATTGTATCGACAACGCTGCCGGCCGATAATTGAGGGGATTCCACATCCGGATTCTCGATGGCCGCCCTCATCTCGTCGAGCACCAATCTCAGCGCTTTCGTGAGACTATCCATATGCTCAAAACCTTCCCGGTCCGCAAACATGATGCTGGTGATTCCCTCAGCCCACCCAGCCATGACAAAAGCATCAGCATCGATCTGCCTGAGCGCCCAAGCTACATTCCTGCCTTCACGAGTGCGGGATAACAGCTTGACATCTTCGACCATCCTGTAGCCCTCTGCGCGGATCTTGTCGTGATCCCTGATCTTCGTCCAAAGCTTCGAGTCCTTCGAATGCTGGTGCATCCACGCGTGCATTGCTTCGGGTAAACCATTAACGATGACCCTCGGATGAGGTCGGTCCAGCCGTCTGATCAATGCGACGGGGAACAGGATCCGTTTCAGTGCCTCATCTGTGCATTCGGGAGTGGTCCGCGAAATGTCAAACGTCACATCCTCAATGGTATCGCTCCTTCTTATGGCATTCGCCAAGCAAAAGAGCATAAAATTCGCATTGGCCCAGACCCTGGCTGCTGGCGAAGCTCCACTGCCGTACGTCTTGAGTTGGAGATCTACGCTCAGGTGCCGGAGCTTGTGCAGGAAGCCGAATGAAGGCCCCTTTCCCATGAGTGAGTCGTGAAAGTGGCCCAGAGCGGTCCGACAACCCCGACTCCTGGTCTCGTAGGAACAAACAACCAAGCCTTTTACGGCTTCCGAAAAGCATTCGGTCAATTGCTTATGACCAGAGCTGGTGTCGGCAAAGTAGTAGCGCGTTATCATGTGTACTTGGAAAGTCTTCTGCTGGTACCAGTAATGGCGGGCTTCCCGGGAGACCTGCTTACTGACACGAAAGATTGCAGTATTGCGGATAACGGGCAGCTCCCTCGGGCGATGCACCACTTTACCACCTCTTACATAGCTTTGTGATGCGACCTCGGGGTGCAAGATCTGTTCGTAGATCATGAGGCGGATGTCTGAGGGTAGCGCAGGCAAAGGGAAAGTCTGTTCATGGTCGAGCTTGCCTAAGACTTGGCGCAAGGCTTTCTTGCCGTTCCGCATGGGCAGGAGCTTGCCAATGCGGGCATGAATGAAACCTTGAAGCTCATGTATCGTAGCACGAGTGTATAATGGGTTATAATTCGGTTGCGAAGTCGCCATTATAACGAAGCGCGGTTGCGTAGTGGGAGGCGCTGGTGTAATCTAGACTGTCATCATGTGTGATTTGGTATTGGTGGCGCGTCTCGGTGGAGAAGAGATCTCGAGATCCGTCGCAATCCCGGATAGGGTGGCAAAAGTGAGTGTTCGCGCCGGCGGGTCCCTCGAGTTAATGATCGGTGTAGATTTGCTGTTATAGACAGGCTTCAACGTGCTGCGACAGTTACTGTGGCGCTGTAACAGTCCCTGTGGCGCGGTAGCTCACTGCAATTGCTCAGGAGTGAACTCCCACTGAGCCTGTATTTACTGCACGGATCGACGAGCGCCCAATATGAGGCGGGTTCGTTGGCCAAAGTGACAGGCCGTCACCAGCAAATTCTGATGTGAGCGCAATACTCCTGATCGAGTGTCTTCCAGACTTGACCGTGGACAAGCCGGCTTGAAGGGCCGTTGGTCCTCTGGCTCTGTCCAAATGGTTTCCAAGAGGAGATGACGAACAAGAGTGATTTCGCGGTTTTGCGTGTCGTGTAAAGTCTAGAGTGTAACTTAGGAAAGATTTTGAAGTGTGCCTTCCGCTCACTGACCTTTGTCGAGCCGTCAAGGCTCGCGAATGATTCGTGGCTTTAAGTCTAGGCGGCAACAAGCTTTCGACGCAGTGCGAAGCCCTTTTGCAGACGCATGTGCATTTCTGGGGTAGTATGGAGATGCTGAGAAGCTTGAAAACTTCGAGGTACACGTGGTCGTGCGACACTGCTACTCGAACGTCGACTCATGACATGGCGTGCGGTCGAGCCAAAATGATATGTGCAGATCTTGTTCGCCTAGATGTGAGAGAATGAATCGCGGTGGAAGTTTGACAATGTCGACATTCATCCGGAGATCATAGTACGGTCCGCATCGTTCGTGTTCACATCCGACCTTTCCAAACTCCACACCGAGCCCGGCGGGCATGCCATGACCTCGAGAAAGACTTCTTGCAGAACACAAACCACACTCAGACGTTGTAGCACTCAGATCACCCCCATCTCAAATCTTAACCCCCTTACTCCTCATCAAATTCACCACAGCCCCCGCCTGAAATCCCGCCCACTGAATCGTACTCCCCACCACCCCCCCAACAGTCCTAACCTCCTCCAACCTCCGATCCAAAAACAACCCAGTATCCCTGAACTCCGTACTCTGATCCGTCGTCTGATAAACCTCCGTCGCCGCATACACAGCCGCAAGCGAAGCCCGCTTGGTATACCACGACCCATCCACACTCACATCCCCAGCCAGGAACCAGATCTCATCTGACAGGGCAGAAAGTTCGCGGAGCGAGGCGGGGATGTTCTCGGCGAGGGACATGAGCGCGAGGGCTTGTTGCCATTGAGGTAGGACTCCCGTCTCGACATTGGCGCGGAGGCGTTCGAGGACGAGACTTCGGACTCGTTTGCCCACGCCTGTTTTGTCGTCGGGGAACTGGACTCGGTCTTTCAGGCCTAGGCGTTGCGTGACGAGGTGGTACTTCACGATCTCGAAGGGTCCTTTGGGGAAGAGGTTGGTGGAGATATCCAGGTATCCGGCGTCTCTCGCTCCCAGAGTCAGAGCCTCTTGCGTGAAGCCGTGGGTAGGTACTTGGGCTAGAGCTGAAGATAGGATGGCATTCTCGGGATCCCGGTAGGCTGGGGGAGCGTCGTGCTCGTAGGAGTGGTATAGTGCTCGGGAGGATTGCTGGAGGAGTAGTGGTCGGAGGGCCGCAGGGGCGCGCAAGATGGAGCGCAGGGCCAGTGGAGTAGACATCTTGTTATGACCCTTGAGATTGGATGTGATGGCACAGACGAGTGGGCTGGTATGGCATCGCTACCGAGTCCATGAACACCGGACATAAGAAGCATTACGTAAGCAGGCTGCGAAGTGTGGCGTTCTACAATCGACAAGACGATGTATCTCACACCACCCTTCACAATACCTGCATGAGATCAAGGCAAGAATGTATAACAGTGACTACGATACTGGGTGAGAGTCAAGTGCAAGTAAATGGTACCATGACGACCTATGCAGCACCGAGAGGTAGTAGAAAAGCATAACAGGTAGTACTCGTCTCCCATAAAATATGTGCGTACTCCTTGCAAGCAAATGCTTTAGAGCCATCAGCCATGCACGCAGCAGAGGCTGTTGCATCGTCCACCCACAAGACAGTTGTCCCTCGTCCATGCATACTTCTCATGCCCGACCATCCCATCTCAAGGACTCAAGCCTTAAGCCCAGCTCGCAATTGCTTCAGTCGTTGAATCATCCCCTCACCTCGCATTACTTAGATCGCATACTTCCTCGTCCATTCTCTTGCCGTGGCCTCGTACCTAGAGCGGTCGGTCTTGTAGACGTGTGCGATTTCCGGCACCAGCGGATCGTCCGGGTTCGGATCTGTGAGCATCGAGCAGATGGAGAGAAGGACTGCAAGGACAAGTTAGTGCCGGCCCACAGAGCAGTGACTCATTTGTGTAGGATTGGGAGGATGTGCCCACCTTTCGAGATCGTAAGAGCCGGGCTCCACTGATCCCTCAGAATATCTAAGCAAATACTGCCGTTGCTGTTGATGTTGGGGTGGTAGATGCGGGTGGTGAAATTGACCTTTGGGGGCTTGAAGGGGTAGTCTGTGGGGAAGTGGATTGCGAGGAAGAAGACGCCGCCGGAGTAGGGTGAGTCGCCGGGGCCCATGATGGTCGCTTGCCAGTGGAACTGCGCATGTCGTGTCAGTTCACGTCTCTCATCATTCCTGTGTACGGCTGCTGCTTGGTAGCGGACTCGTGTAAGGGAGGATGGGTTCCAGAAAGGGCAAGGACTCACGAGATCATCGCCGATGGGGCCTGCACTACAGGATGACGGTGGGTCGCTCGGAGGCTGTCAGTATCCGCAACCCCTTCTCCTGACCATACTCATATCTGACATACCGCCCAAGATCCGTAAGCTCCTCTGTAGCACTGGTCAGCAAAGCCTGCCCGCCTGAAGCGCCCACGGTGAGTGAGATGTGGGGCACAACTCACTGTTGATCCTCTTCAACGCCATCGTGTCGGTTGTGTGGGTGTGTCGTATGTGTTATGCCTTTTGATATTGTAGTTGAACGTGCGAAGTAGTTGAGAAAAGGGTGGTGGGGTGTTGTCCTGGCTGTTTGACGTGTCTATCTTTGTGCAGAAGGCAAGGGTCGGCAGTGACGTTCAGCGCTCGCTGCGGGCCGCCACTTTGGGTCAGAGAAGCGTGCTTGGCGCTGGCTTTGATGTGAGTCTTTCACTGTCTCACGACTCACTGTCTGGAACGGAGACAGGAAGATTTTTTGTCGCTTACGTGTACGAAGAAGAGGAAGACGTGGATCGAAGGACGCAGGAATAGTGATCGTATGCCCTCCCAACTGAAAGAACAGGTCACGTTGCACAGCATGACTCAGCCGAATACGCGCTGCACCTTTTCGCAGGGCGGCAATGGCGGCGCGTGACACAGCCTCAAAGCATTCACTTGTGCCAGTCTCTGCTTTTGCCACTTGTGCATGGAGGAATGCCAAGCGGTTACGAATCTGTACACTGTTCTACATGGTTCACTTGATGGCTTTTGAAGAGATCCTGGGAGAACCCACACCACCACTGTACATATGTCTGTGGACTGCTTACACAAATGCTTGAATGCCAGTAATTGCACGACCAAGAATCAAAGCTGCCAAAAAGTCAGTATAACACATCTTCGTATAATGATTTGTTAGATCCGGCGACTTACCATGAATATCACTCTGCCCCTCATAAGTCTGCGTGACGAACAAATTCGACACATGCCGACCAATATGATACTCGTCACTCACCGCATTACCACCGAAGACTTCCTGCAGCGTCCTCGAGTTGATGAGAGCACGATCGCAATTCTGCCTCTTGATCATCGAGATCATCTCCGGAGCAGCCTTACCCTCATCCTTCAGCCTGCCAACCTGATACGCGGCTTGAATACCAAACGCCGCATCCGTGACAGCATCCGAGAGCTTCTTCTGCACGAGCTGATACTTCGCAATCGGGTTCCCCTTGAACTGCTTCCTCTTTAACGCGTACTCCCTCGCCCTCGCAATACAATCTTCCAACGCACCGATAGTCCCCCAAGCAATACCATACCTCGCACTATTCAGACACGAAAACGGACCCCTCAAGCCCTCAACATGAGGAAACATCATCTCCTTCGCCACCGGCACTTCATCCATCTGGATCATGCCCGTGACCGACGCCCTCAACCCATTCTTATTATCCAGCTTCGGCGTCTCCAGTGTCCCAGGCGGACACTTCTCCCTCTCCACCAAAAACCCCCTTATCTTCCCCGTCTCCTGCAACTTCGCCCACACAAGAAACAGATCCGCAATCGGCGAATTGGTAATCCACGTCTTGGCCCCACTGAGACTGTAATACCCATCTTTAGTCGGATGCGGCTTCGCCACGCTCTCCATACTACCCGGATCCGAGCCATGGTTCGGTTCCGTCAGGCCGAAACAGCCTAGGATTTTGCCCTTGGCTAGGCCGGGGAGGAACTTCTCTTTCTGTTCTTCCGTGCCGAACTCGTCGATCCCGCCCATTACTAGGGAGGATTGGACGGACATGCCGCTGCGGTAGCCGCTGTCTACTCTTTCTACTGCTCGCGTGATCAGGCCGGATGCTACGGAGGAGACGCCAGCGCAGTCGTAGCCCTTGATTGTAGCGCCTAGGAGGCCGAGCTCGCCCATTTCGGCGAGGATGGTGCGGTCGTAGTCCTCTTTTCTGTAGGCCTCTGCGAGAGCGTTAGTACGAGGTTGCAAGGAGATCGCTTGGTGGTTAGGCATCGCACACCGAGTACCCGTGGTAGTAATCGTTCTTGACAGTATGATTCGGCCGTTTCTGCTATCGCTAGCTCGTCTTCTGTATAGTTTGCCGCGGCATTGAGAGGATCTTTCCAGTCGAAAACGGCGGGTGCGTGTGCATAGCGGCGGCCAATGGAAGATGTGGCTCGAGGTGTCTGTTGTACGAGTTGCCTTGCGGCGCGAGATGATAGTGACGTGAACATATTGTTTGATAACGAGTGGAGAGGCTCGGGCAAGTTCTAAGGAAGAGAACGATCTGATCTGCGTTCTGGAGAAGATCTCGTCCGAGTTCTGTTATATGTCAGATCTATGCCGCTTTCGCTGACGTTATGCCGAAGATGCCTCGGCGGTCAATCGTGGGCCATCGAAACGATGCAGTACGCCGTGACATAAGTACAAAGTCTACCACACTTCACTGCCCAGCATGGCTGCCGGTATCCTTCTCCCGGCAGGACAAGTCCACCCTCTCCCATCATCGAGTCTCTCTGCCGTTTCAACTATCAGCCTCCCTTCCATCCCCGTCATTCATCATCTCCAGATAATCCCTATCTCATGAATCAGTCTAATATATCCAACGCCCAACTACTCAATGCGTACATACCTCAACACCCTACAACACCTCACCAACCCCGACGTAACTGCAAAGACCCCCATGAAGTAGATGAACATACCTGCCCCACCTAAGAAATCCTGCCTCCATCTCTTCAAACGAACTTTCTGCTCCGGGGCCTTTGCACGCAAGTCGTATTTCGGCTGCTTGCGTCGAGGACTCCTTCCCCTGAGCTGATGCGGGGGCTTGTGCTGGGTGACTTGCACCATGCGCGCTCTTATGCGCCAGCTGCAACCAAAAAAGATCGGTTTGAACGTGGCGACAGACTGTGCGATCGTCGCGCAGGGATGAAGTGGCCGAGGCATGATTCTTGTGAACCTCCTCTTGCTAGCATTCCTACCGCTTTCAAGGTCACGGATCTAGGCGAAAAGAGGGAGATATAGAGGCTCGAAGCAGACTCGTGCTTTTCAACCGCTGTGATTGTCTGCACGAAGATCGACGTCACTTCACTCGTTGTGTCTGAAGAGCAACCCGATTCAGGAGGCCCCTTGGTGTAGTGGATGAGGGCCCGCCATTGCACCGAAACTGAGAGTCGTTCACCTTAAGACGCGTAAAAGTATCGAGAGTGCTGCTCATCCTACCCAGGATTTACTTTGTTGCCTATACTACACTATATAGCAGCACTTGGATACTACAGTACACAGAACACTTTTGACGAACCACAATGCCAGCCAGCCGTAATTTCATGACACAATCTCTCTCTCCCGAACGCTGCCCAACCCACGAGCCGACCTTGAACCACCATCCTCCCGTGAAGACCTACCAACCTAAACCCCCATAGCCCTAACATGCGTATCAAAAACCCCATTCCGCCACCCATCCGCCCTAAAATCGTCAACCTGCTCCGCCGCCCTATCCGCCTCCTCATGCCACGTCTTAGCAATACTGCCCGGCGCATAGACACCGGTGAAAACATTCTTCTTCACCCTACCACTGCTCGGCGCATCGACACCAATACGTGAGTACATATCCGGATCATCCGCGGGCGTGAGTCGAGCCGCCACAGCCTTAAAGAAAGTGAGAAGGTCATCTGGGTTGCTGATGCGAGTCGCGCGGAGCCGTTCCCGGGCGTAGAGGAGTTCGCGGTTGGCGGCGTGGAAGAAATCGGATAAGGCGGACGCGAGTTGCTTCTCCATGGTTTTGCGGATGATAGGTCGCAAAAGCGGTTTGAGCAGGAAGCCTAGCCAGGAGAATTTGCTCTTGCGGACGGCGTAGTTGAGTTTGTGGATGTGGACGCGGACAGCTTTGAGCGTGAGGATCTGCTCGAGCTTTTCTTTGCCGATCTCGACGTTGATGTGGATATCTATCCCCTTCTCGTCGAGAGCGAAGCCGGCGATACCTTCGTCTGCGAGGCGGAAGAGGCCTGAATGGGCGCGGAGCCAGAAGCCGATTTCGTCGGCGCGGGCGGAGAGGCCGTCGATTTTGATGGTCATGAGGGAGGTGGTGGAGGTGGTGGTGCGGAATCTGGCTTTGCGGAGCTCAAAGTCGTTGTATGTTTCTACCTTTAGGCGGTAAGGGAGGAAAGAGGTCTGGTTGACGGTCTTGCCGGGTTCGATGATGAGGTTTTCAAGGAGCATGTCGATGTCTGGGGTGCTGATTTCGAGGCGTGGGATAGGGATGTGTTGGACGGCGGAGATGAGGAGAGGGACGAAGACGTTGATGGCGTCTTCAAGCAGTTCTGGGTTTGTGACTGCGTTGGTGGGAGACAGAGTCGTGGCTAGTCGGGTGCTTGTTTCGATGAGGTTGTGGATGTCCTTGTCTTCGAGAACGCTGCGGAGTGTGACCTCGACTTGGCGCAAGAAGCTCTGGATGTCTTCGTTGATGCCACTACCCTCGCTAGCACTCTGGCTCTTCTCGCGGAGCTCCTTCAGCTTGTCTTGCGCATTGTCGAAGAAATCGGGATCCGTGAGAAGCTTTTGCAGCGAGCTGCCAACTTCTTGCATCATGTTCTCGAATTTGGGGTTTCCTTCTTTATGATCCATGACCTTGTGGAAAGCTTGCTCAGTCTTCTTCCACTCGTCCTTATCCCCGAAGCTCGTAACCAATACCCAAGCGTTCTTCATGGCCCGATCAAGCTCAGCATTTGTAAATGTATCCTGCTCAGCAATGTTCTGGACGTCTTCCGCAGCACGAGAGTAGATCACAGCATAACGCTGGATGAGTGTACCCAAGGTGGAAACAGAATCCGAATAGTCGTTACGCTGACGAAGCTTGATCACGGCCTGCTTGAGACGGTTGAGCATTGTCTTGCCCTCGTCGCCTTCCAGCTTCTCCTCCGTACTCTGAGCAGCAGTCTTGGCAACCTCGGCTGTACCATTGGCCACGACTTTGGTGACATCTGTGACCTCACCAGCCAGGTCTTGAGCAGAAGGTGGTGCCTCGTCTGCATCGTTCCCAACGTCGATTAACTTCTGCTTCTGCTTGTCCGAAGGCTCGATCTGCTTGCCAGCCTTTTCGGCTACCTGCGACAAAGTGAAAGCTGAATCTTTGAACACTTCTCTGCCCATGATGGTCAGGTCGTTCAAGAATAGCCGGAAGTCGCTGTTCGTGAGCAGCAGCGACCCGACAGTCTTGATGCTCTGATATGCAGCAGCCGTATCCGCCTTGGCTTTGGTCTTCTTGGCGCGTCGAGCAATATCTTCAGTATCGATCATAATTCTGCTCTTGCTCAAGTACCAGATCAGATCTTGGATCTGATCGCGATCGTTCTTGTGCTGCAGCAGGTCCATGAACTGCTGCAGCCATTGCCGGGTATACTTGACCAGCTTCCTCCCGCTCTCCGACAGCTCCCCATTGTTGGCATTGAGCACATCGCTGGCCAAGATGGTCCTCAGGTTGATGATGGTTTGCTCAGTGCTCGGCATATATCCCATCGACATGGCCCGGAACATTTGATAACTGTGGAGCTTGGCATGAAGCTGCTGCTGCAGAGCTGTGTCGTCATTGTACTGAGGCAGCAATGGCTCACGTTCTCCTGTACCGCCTGTCTTGCGTAGACCGAAGCAGTATGTTATCGTCTCCATGATGGACAATGGCAATGGCAATGGCAATCCCTAGAGAATTGTTGTACAGCGGATGTTCCTGCAAAGAGTCCAACCTTTCTTCACGTGCAAGAACCAAGGCAGCAGCAAGCCATGTTATTATGTCACCATGATTTAGACTTTGCTTGTGCCGCTCTACAGAAAGAGGAGGTGGTCGTGTGCTCTGTGCCTGCTTTGGGCTTGGTAGTGGAGCTGCGGCTAGGCCATGACGGCGGTTGATACTGAGCCGTCTACTCTTCTTCGCAAACAGCAGTCTAGACGTGGTGGTGGGCTTATTAATGAAGCTGGACCGTCTTCTGCACGTCAAAGCCGATCGACCACTAGTCCTAACCGAAACTCACATATAATGCCTCAGGCATTCCACTTTCGAAACTCGGCATAGTCTCGACTCGATGCCGACCGCTCCAACAATAATACCTGGTCTGCATTCTGTTCTTGCAGAGGTTGAAAACCACATATGCAATGCAAATGCAAGCACATCCTTCCCCCCGCTCTCTTTCGCCGCAACCCGGATGCAGAGGTCAAGCTATCAACACCTCCTCTAACCATTGCTGGTTTAGCCAACCCTCGGGGAAGAGTCCATCGGCAGCGAAACAAGCCACGCTGCAGGGCCGAAGCTCCAAAAAAAGTTCATGAAAGCATTGTGTATCAGAATCCAAAAAGTCCGACTGGTGAAGCTACACCGCAACATCGTCCCGTATCTGACCGCTCTCTGTATCACCCGTACTGTATGTATCGTCTGCTTCGAGCACACACCTCTTCGGCGTTCCGATAGGAGGCGGATAGTCAAATGTAAGAAGCATCGACTCCGCCTCCGCAGCGGATCTCCTCAATCGCATGCCGCATTATTGCCCCAGAATCCCTCCTCCCAATGCTGGAGCTGACCGGCTGAGCGTTGACTTGTTCAAGTCAACCAACCGTCGCTCTTGTTCGCATCCCGAGACCGTCTTATCTTGTTGTACTCCTTCGAGCACTGACCCCGTATCACCCTTATTGTTCTCACATCCCACGAAGCTGACAGGCGTGTGAGCAATCCAATTGTTCTCCGAATGGTCTGAGCTGCAGCAGGTGTTGCTATTTGCAAAAGCAGACAAGAGAGACATTCCAACTCAATTGCCGCCCGACTCACCCGATAAGAGTGGCGGTCGATCGACTGTACCCTCCCTGATCCATCTTTCCGCTACTAGCACTGCAGCTACTTAGTCAAGAGTGCTGCTGTCCCCGTATACAAGCAGATCTCTTCCTCCATGCTCCAGTCAGCTCCTCCTCGTTTGTACCGTTACTGTATAGCTACTACCAGACCTACTACCTTCACATCCACCACCACCACCACCACCAACCACATACCATCACCACTATCAGCCTGGTCGGCACCCCTTGCTAGCAACTACTTCAGCATGTCGCACTCTCGCAACACCTCCACCGCTTCCAAGACCGGCACTGGCAAGCATCCTCCCGCCAACCTCAAGATGGCCCACCACCAAGCTCCGATGCGCCATGTGGTGCCCGATGCCTCTGACTACGATACCACCCATTCGATCGAGGCCCGCAAGTACCTCAAGACCTACGGTCTGACCCCTCCCGGAGTCGACACCTACGAGAAGCAGAACCAGCGTGCTCTGGCCATTCTGAACAGCAGGAAGACACCGATTGAGAAGTATCAGTATTTGAGTGTATTGAGGAGCACGAATGTACATCTGTTCTACAGGCTTCTGGCGAAGAATGTCAAGGTAAGCACCTGATGAAACTCCACCAAACGAAAGAGGAAGGAACACTCGGGCTGACAAGATTGGATTTATTGCAGGAGCTCACTCCTCTCATCTACACCCCTACCGTCGGCGAAGCCTGCCAGCGCTGGTCTGAGCTCTACACCCAACCAGAGGGCATGTACCTCTCCTTCGAAGACCGCGGACACCTACACACCGTCATCCAGAACTGGCCGCACCACGATGTCGAGATCACCGTCGTCACAGACGGCTCCCGTATCCTCGGACTGGGAGATCTTGGTGTCGATGGCATGGGCATTCCAGTCGGGAAGTTGAGCTTGTATACTGCTTGTGCTGGTATCCACCCTCTCAAGACTCTGCCGTTGTGCTTGGACTTGGGCACGAGCAACAAGGAGAAGAGGGAGGATCCGTTGTATCTTGGTTCGAGGCGGGATAAGGTCACGGCTGAGGAGGAGAAGGATTTCTTGGATGAACTGATGGCTGCTTTGACTGAGAGGTGGCCTGGGTGAGTACAACCGACGCTGGCGAGGTCGAGATGGAAGCTGACAGTTTATCTAGCATCGTCATCCAATACGAGGACTTCAAGAACCCCTTCCCGTCGCTGGAACGCTACCAGGAGACATACACCATGTTCAACGACGACATTCAAGGAACCGGTGCCGTCATCCTTGGCGGCTTCATCAACGCCGTTAAACAGTCCGGCGTAGCACCAAAGGACCAACGGGCCGTCTTCCTCGGCGCCGGTTCAGCCGGTGTAGGCGTGGCGAAACAGCTCACAGAGTTCTTCATGAAAGAAGGCCTTTCCGAAGAAGAAGCCAAGAAGCGTTTCTGGCTTGTCGACAGCCAAGGCCTCGTAGCTTTAGACAGGGGCAAGCTCGCCGACCACAAGATTTACTTCGCTCGTGACGACAATGGTGGCAAGCAATACAAGACGCTTGAGGAGGTCGTCGAATACGTCAAGCCTACCATCCTCATGGGTCTGTCGACTATCGGCGGTGCTTTCACCCCTAAGATCCTGGAGAGGATGGCGGAGCTCAACGACCGACCGGTCGTCTTTCCGTTGTCCAACCCAAGCAGCAAGTCTGAGTGCACGTTCGAGGAGGCCATCAAATATACCAAGGGCAAATGCCTGTTTGCTTCGGGCTCGCCGTTCCCAACGTTGAACCATGCGGGCAAGGACTTGGTCCCGGGTCAGGGTAACAACATGTAAGCACCACTCAAAACATCACCTGCTTCGACGCCCTGCTAATATACTCCCAGGTACGTCTTCCCCGGCATCGGCCTCGGCGCCATCCTCAGCAAATCCGTCTCCGTCACCCAAAACATGATCTACGCCTCCGCCGAAGCCCTCTCGACCTCCCTCCTCAAACAAGAGATCAAAGATAACTGGCTCTACCCCGATATCCGCCGCATCCGCGACGTCTCCGTCATCGTCACGGCGGGCGTGATCCGTGCCGCTCAGGCCGATCGAGTGGATCGGGAATTGGCGCTCAGGCATTTGAGCGATGAGGATTTGGAGGAGTATATTCGGAATCGGATGTATGATCCTTATATCGAGAGCGAGAAGGTTAATGAGGAGATTCGGGAGTTGGCGGCGCATGTTATTGGATCTCCGACTACGGTTGGGGGTGCGCATGCGCATCAGAACGGGACAAATGGGACGGCGAGGAAGTCGAGTATGGCTAGTCGGCCGGGGACTGCTAATGGTCGTGCTTAAAGGGCATGATGTTGGCTTGTGGATGTGGAGGGTCTTTACGTGACTCTGTGTTTGCTACAGCGCGAGGCGTTTGGGTGTGATAAGCCAGATATACAACGGGGCTTGAAAGTAGAGACTCGTGAAGCGAGGCCATGGCATAGCAAGACGCTGTGGCAGAAAGGACAATGTTCTTGATATATCGTAGCCGCTGCGAAGGAGTGGGCAGGCAACAATATTCAGAGATAGTAAAGAGATAGATGGATATGAAAGCATCTTCTCCATTGAGCGCTACTACTCTGCTAGGCCTGACATGGTCGACTTCGATACGACAGCACATGTGAGGCAGAGGAGATAGGCCCAGGGCGATGAAGATTTGTACATTCTACGTATCGATCGAAAGGGTATCATACACACCGCCGGGCGTAGTATGTACAGACTATACAAGACCCGGCCCATCACAAAACCCACACCATTAGCATCACTTAGCAGTATAAGCCCCACTCGCAAGCTTCTTCACACCCCTAACCCCCCTCCACACTGCCGTCAACCCTCCAGCAGCCGCACCTTCCTCATCAGCAAAAGGATCCGAACCGTCCGCCGCACCGGAAGGCTGGCCCGAAACGCTCACAGCCAGCCCACTACCCAGCATCATCACCTCCTCCCCCCCAATCTCCCACCTCGCCTCCACCGAGCCACCCACAGCTTCCGAATCTGTAGTGAAGCGCGCAAGAAGCTTCTGTGGAGCGGACCCCGCCGAGACCGTGACGTCGCCTAATTGCCAGTAAATGAGGTTTCGTTCCCGAGAGAAAGATCCCATGGGTTTCGATTGGCAGCCGGATGCTTTCGCGCCGTCGAGTGTTAAGGCCAGGACGACGTTGGACAGGGTTAGACTCGTTCGGCCGTGGAGGTGGAAATCGGGGTGGAGATTGTACGCCACGATGATAGAGGCTTGAGTGGGCTCGATCTTGAAGGCTGGCGTTACTAGGAGTGGAGTGTGTGCTGCGGAGGCCTCGGACTGGATTTGGTACTTGAATGCCACTTGTGTCTTGGCCAGGCTCGAGAGGTTCAGGGTGTACTCACCCTCTTTTCCGGTGGCTGTAGGGCTAATGAAGGCAGGATTTGGTGCAACTTTTTCGAGGCTTGCAAAGTTCTCGAGGCGGATGGTTTCGCTGCCGAAAGGCGAATTGAAATTGGCTGGGTTGTAGGCCAATGCGATCTCGCCAATGAGGGATGAGCTTGTTAGCTTGCCGTTCTCGAAGCGAGCGCTGACGGTTTCGACGACGGAGGAGTTGAGACCAGTCTCTGTCAGCTCAGGGTGCTTCATCACTTGGCTGCTGGTGCTTGTGAGAGATCTGCCGGAGCGGATTGAGCCAGTGTCACCTGCTGCTGACTCTGGTCTGAATGGCAGCGGCTGGTTGGTGGTGGACGAGAATGGTGAGAAACCACCCGCAGCTACACCGGCCGCTGCTCCTGCTGCACCCACTGCGCCTACGACACCAATCGCGGCACCGGGAGACTGTGGGATAGACGGGAGGCTAGATTGATGCGCCGCTGGTGCTTGTGGGGGTGATGGGAATGCATCGCGAGCCTGCTCGGCCTGCACAGGAGCAGCGCTCGGTGGTGGAGCACTAGGCGGTGCGAATGTGGTTGGTGGCAAGATAGATGGCGACGGTTGCGCCGCAGGCGACTCGGTCATCGGCGCGCCTCCGGCAATGGTACTAACAGGGCGGTTTCGGCGGCCACGGACTGTGCCTACCTTACTGGCAACGAAAGGCGGAGGTGACTGAGAATTGTTAGCATGTCCCTTTGGGTGAGGAGGCACACAACCTACGAGAGTGCTCGCCATACTCGTCAAAGCAGCATGAGAATCAGTACTTTCATCCTGGATAGGTGCATTGCGGATATTGACATTGAATGCTGGCGAGCTGCCCTCTCCTGCTGCGGCCGCATCTGCTTGAGCCTGTGAGATGGGATCAAGAGTTTGTGGTGGAAGCGAGTAGCCCTCAGCATCGCGCTGCGTTTCCGCCATAGGCACCGGCTCAGGCTGAGTCGGCTTCGGGGGCTCCAGATCTGCCAGATCACCTTGATGTCCACCGTTCGCCATGATTGGCGGAAGCCGAGGTGCACCTTCGAGAGCGGATAATGCAGCAGCTGTGCCCCCATTGACGTGAGATGATTCGAGTCCGCGTGCAGCATTTGGACTCGTTGGCTGAGCAGCCGAGCTAGACTCGAACATCTCGCTGCCCATCCGTAGTGGCGGACGTGGTCTCTCTCGTGACGGCGTGTCGACAGAAGTCTCAATGTCGTCCAAATTCTGATGCTTTTGCTTGCCGAACCTGCCGCCGATGGAGTTAAAAGGTGACTTCGACTTCTTCTCGGGCGATTCTGCCATGGGTGCAAGACCAGGCGGCATCCTACTCTCGCGCTTTCTCCCGCCTACAGTAGTCCCAAGACGTTTCAAGGCACCACCAAACCGGCTCTTCTTCTTGTCCTCTTGTACAGAGCCAGATCGCTGACTAATATTATCAGACTGGGACAGAGTCGGCGCAAGAGTGTTGGAGTTCCCTGTAGGTGCTCGTGAGGCTGAGGGCGTAGTGGGCACGCTCGGTCGTGGCGCACGAGAAGCTGGCCTTGGTTTGCCTTGCACAGATCTCAGCGCAAAAGTCCTGATCTCGTCCTCGGTCTGCAGGCTGAGCAGAACGTTCAAGCAATGCTCTGCGGTCGTCTGATTCTTCTGTACCAGGTCCACCTCGTGAGTCTGAAATTGAGTCAAGACGTCGCGAAGTCGGTTTATTCGAGCCTCGTCCACAGCCTGCAGATTCTCGAAGACATATGGCGCCTGCGACTGCCATTGCGACTCGGCATGGTCAAGCTCGGAAGAAGCATTCGCGATCTTTCCAGACTCCGCGCGCTCTCCTCGACCCTGTAACTTATCTGCCTTGTCCTTTGCTCGCGTGATGTCCTTTGCCATTGATGCCAGATTGCCTTGTATGGTCGACATGGCCTGCATCTCGCGATTCGTGCTTACGAACTCACGTAATGGCTGCTCCACATCTACCTCGATCTTCGCGGCGAGCGAAGAGTGCGCATCCGCCGTCGTCGTGGCTGCTTCGGTGAGAGTGGTCCATGGGATAGAGAATATGCTGCACTCGTCAGCCATTCGTGTCCTGATATAGGTGCCATGATTCAACCTACCCAAGATCCACATCCTCAATCTGCTTCCGCGCGAGTCGCCTCAGTCCCGTCGAGTACTGCTCTTCCAACTTCCTCCTCTCCTGTCATACCCCATCGTCTCAGCCATGTGGACTCCGTGCCACTGCCAAGTGCTTTGCTTACCTGTAACCAGTCTGCAATTGCAGTATTCAAGCGCCCCACCTGCCGTACTCGATCATTAAGAATATCGACGGCCTGACCAGGCTGCAATTGTGGCTATGTCGAGGCAAATGTTAGCTCCAGTAGCCACTAGCTCTACGCGACAGCCGAATCCATGGGTTGAGATAGCTAATGCTTACCAGCATGGCTGGGTAATCCTGCCGTTCCATGTTGCTCATTATTGCGGTCGCCTCGACTACGCGCACAGAAAACAAGGCCTGAAACAATATCGACAAAGGCCTGCTGTTGCGCAAAGATGCTTGGGAAGCGTGAGATTGGGATGCTGTGCAGACGAGACGATACTGGGGATGTCGACAGCAGCTCGGCTGGCGCGGAAACTCTTCCCGAATGAGATTAGATGACGATCATTTGGCTGAAAGCACTTTCGTCTGCCTTTCAAGATCCACCATGAAAATCTAACGAAAAACCGCTTTCACGTCTACAAGAAGCCATGTGGTAGCACATGGCCCTGAAGCATGGCTGTAGCGCACAACGCAAGCTCGAATGTGGAACGCGGTGTTCGCTAGGCTTCGAGACCGATACACAAATCACCAACATAACGGAGAAGAGTACCTTGCACAAGAAATCATTTTGTAATCGTTGTTGTTGATTATTATGGTACACTAATATACAGACACTGCCGTGATATCATCAAAGCTCGTCAAGTTCATCTTCTCGCTCCCCAACCATCGCCATGCGAGATTGGCGACTTCTCCTCTGAGCTCGATCCCTCGTCATCCGGAATCTACTCAACATTGATGCGTTTGTTCTGCGGCGCGGCAGCTTTCGGAACAACAACGCTGAGGATGCCGTTTTTAAGGCTGGCCTTGACGTTCTCTTGGTCGACTCTCGACGGGAATTGAAAGACGCGCGAGAAACTGCCACGGCTCATTTCACGGACCCAGTATCGGCTGCGCGGTGTTGATGTCGAATCTTGTGGTTGAGCGACTTCGGTCGCTGGTGTGGCGGTGCCGACCGTCGAGGAAGCCTCGGTGTCAGTCGCCGTAGCTGGAGCATCTTCGTCTTCGACGCTGGGTTGATGTGACTTCTTGGTCTCAGTTTCGGCCTCGGTGATGGCGGCTTGCTGTGGTTTGTCCTCGATTGTGGCAGTCGGTCGCTGGCCTTCCTCGCGGACTGTCTCGGTCTGGCCTCGGACAGTCAATGTTTGAGCGTCAGTGAATTCGACTGAGATGTTCTCTTGCTCTACTCCGGGTAGCTCGCCATGAAGCTCATAGCTGTCGCTCGTCTCCTTGACATCGAACTTGGGCTGGAACTTGGACAAGCCTTGAGCAAGTGGTGCGAAGCCACCCTCACGACCCGAAGTTGAAGTCATGACGTGGTTGGCGTAGTCGTCCATCAGGCGGAACATCGGTGCGAACTCGTTCGCCACGATGCGTGGGAAGAGAGACATGTTTCGTGTGCAGGTTGGTGTTGCTGAGTTGACTTTGAGTACTCGGTAGACTTGTGGAAGTCGATTGCTGATGCGCGCAGATTGCATAGATGAGTTGGTGAGTCTTATTCTGATGATGATGGAGAAAGGTGTGCTCGACGGTCAGCTTTATACTGTTTGGTGGCCATAGTTGCCTAGTGCATCAGTAGCGACTGGGATATACGCGTATGCTTGGGAAGCATCGAGAAATGTGGTGAGCATTTCTAGAATCTACTGCTTTGTTATTCACTTACGCCTTCTTGTAGATTGTACCACGACTTTCTGGCACCTTCTTTGGTTAGCGCAAAACTCTATCCCGCCTACCACCCAGACCCACATTGGGCGTGGGCGAATCTTACACGGCCGCCGCAAATTTACTGTGCCCGGCTCGGACATATATCTATGACACATGATCGAAGATCCAACATGCAGACCGCCATAAGAAGGTCACTCTTGCCACACTGGTCACGTGACGGCTAGGTATTGAACACGAAACCAGTCACGATTCCACCGGATGTTGTCCGCCAATACATGTTAGCCATCATAGCTGGGGCAGATCTATGAGCCTGTAATCTTATCGCCTTGGTAAGGACGGGGCATGCCGACTGCTTGGCAGCACGTGCAGAAGTAGGCAGTGAAACCGTATCAATGTACCACAAAAACGACTTCAGAGCATCCACTTAAATATCATGATTGGTCAAGTTCGACCTCACCTACCGCTCCAGTTTCGACTACTACTATTGGTCTGCTCAGAAGCAGACTTAGCGTCCATGCCATCGAACGTGCTGGCACGGAACCCTGCCCAAAGGCTGTCGGTAGTTGCGTTTATAGTACCAGCTACTGCAGCCTTTTGGCCGTAAGTGTGAGAAGTCAGTGCTGGTGATGCAAGGTACTGGAGCTTCGGTTGCGAAGGTCAATGAGCTTAATGTAACGTCTGCTTATCGCTTTGTCCGAAGAAAACAGTATACCGGCCGTTCATATCGATGTGGCGAGAAGGAAAAGAGCATGATTATGCCAGTGCCATACGCAAATCTCACAGATCACTCGTAGTCGACCGGCGCTGGGTATCGAGCGTTGGCAGCTCGGTATTGGTCGGGATATTTCCTCGCTGCTCGTGCGTTGAGAGCGCTTTGGCACGTCAGTGGCCGGGTCGCTTCAGCATCGTACATCGCAACTTACTGAACTTTGTTCTGCGTCCACTCCAGATCTCGCTGGACATCCTTCGCTGCTCGCATGTCCTCCGCGAAGTTCGCTCGGGTCTTGGCAAGTCGCGCTCGAGCTTGTGCCTGCAAAGCTAAGATTTCACGGTTCTTCGCGTTGAGCTCGCCAGACCTGCAGATCGTTAGTGATCATTTTGCAGCTTATTGCACTGGTGGCGAACTCACATTTGCGCCTGCTTCACCAGATTTTGGTCCATCGGCAGCGGATTATACGCTTGCGACAGTCGATCGTTCATATAGTCAAGGAGATCGACGCTCGTCGCTCCAGTCGTCGATGTCTCATACTCGCTGCCTGCGTAGCTACTCGATGCTGCAGAGTAGAGCCCAGCCCCAGACGTCGATACGCTCTCCGGCCGCTCCGGCGGCGACGCTGATAGCTGGCTGTATGCTGACGAGTTGCGGGTATGTCGTGGTGTTAAAGCCGGATGTGCACCCTTCGTCGGAACTCGAATGGGCATTGAGCTTGTAGGCTGAGCCTGGTATTGGTAGTATGAGGCAGACATGGTCGACAGGTTGACTTGTCGCAACTTAATTAAGTAATGGGTAGATGAGAGTGTGTGGAGTTTGAAGCAGTGAAATGATAGATAAGGAAGAGGAAGAGGGAGACAGAGGAACTGCTCAACCATTCACCTCCCTATATATATGCTGCTGGCATCCCTGTCATGAGCATTCTTTCCGTCGGCTCGACGACGTCGACGCACACCCTCAGCAGTGCGAGCTCCCTTAGCCTGAACAATGCTGCCGTGTGATAGCTCGTGGTAGCAACACAAGCAGCGATCCCACAGACTCTTGCCGCAGCGGAGGCCATGGGCAAGCATGTACGTACTGATTATCGCCGGTTTCGTCCGGGCGATGGCATGGTCTAGACGAGCGATAGGGTTCACCATTGGCGTATTGGCAAAGCTAACAGGTTAGCTGCATAAGTGAGCTGAGGAGCTGTGGTGCCGTTTTTGCGGCATTGGTGGGTCAATGGGAAATGTGGTCCGGTATGAGCTGCTCTCCCTCCGCGATACTGCAAGGAGGCGAGGGCTTGTATGCACGCCGCAAACGAGTCTGATGACTCTAGCTTGATGGGTACAAGCCGAACCAGCTTCGGTGGGCAAGGTAGACATGGATCCCATGTCTGTCTCTTAGCTGGTATCATGGCATGAAGGAGCTGTCAGCTGCGAGGTGTGGATGGAGAAGTAGTCGAAGAAAAGTCCCGAGATATGGTAAGGTCTCGATATTGAACGCCACACAAGCACAACTCGTGGTCTGAGTTGCACGGCAGCAGACTGACATGCGCCCAGCGTCTGTCAAACATGCGTGTTTGGGCGTATAAATATCCGGACACCATGCATGCGTTTCTGTTGTGGAAGGGTGACGTTGTCTGTCAGGTTCTGAGGTAGGATAGCTCAGCAGGTAAAACGGGTGGGACGGAATGAGCGCGAACGCAACGATATCGAATGGACAGTGTTTTCGTGGGCACAGAACAGCTCGGCGTCAAACTAGGAGTGATACAGTCGTCTCGCAAATCGCCAATCTGCCAAAAGCTTCACACAAGAAGTGTTCGTAGGAGCAGATCAAGGGAGTTTTCGAATTTCTCAGTACATCCTAGCCTCGCTTATCTTTGAACATCAAATGTCCCACAACTTCTCTCGCGTAGTCAATATTGGGCTGCAACGCTTCCTCACTACCTCAATTGAAGAACGTCTACTGCACGCCCCAACGACGTGTCTTCTCGTCATCCACAGAAGCTCAACCAGTTGGTATAACAAAATCACCCAGAAGAGGACAGACGACCATGCGAACCCTAGCCATACTTGGGCACTGCTGCTATCGGCATGACCAGTACTTGGCTCAAGAGTGACCAATCGCTTCTATTGACCACTAGACAAGGGAGATGGTGAGGTTGGAAAGTGGTTCGCATGTTTCTATGCTATTTGGTTTCCATGGCCTTGCTGAGATCACGCACCAGCAGCATTATCAGCAATAGCCTCGCTCATGACCTCAGCAAATCTTCCAGGCCTATCCTGAACCTGCATAGCCGTCTGGATACATAATTGAACCTGCTGAATGCCTACCCCTATACTTCTGCCACCTGTGGTTTGCTCGATGTCACTGATTGCCCTCTCGATATCAGCACCGGCGAAAGCACCGGATTCTTGCATGATGTGCGCCAGCTCTTGTTGAGTCGAGACATTAGGGATGGGGATCTGCATCTTGAAATACAGCTGTAATTGCTGCAAGACGGTGCGCTCGGAGGTCGTCGCCATGACTAGCAGTGGTCGGCCTTTGGGAGGTTTGTTGTCCATAAGACCTTTCAGAGCGGCGAGGACGGCAGAGCTAAATCGAGGTCCAACTGGTACCCAGTCGACCAGCAATTCGATATTGTCCAGGACGAGGACATTGAGAGGTGATTTGTAGGCGTCTGTGAAGATCTTGCTGAGGTGCTGGATCTTCTGAATCTCGTTCATGCCCACCATGTCGACTGGCCGTACGAGTCGAATGAACGGGAACTCAGAATTCATGGCTATTTGTGCAGCGAGCGCTGTCTTGCCTGAACCGTGCGGTCCATGTAACAGGACCGAGAGCAACGGTGTTGTGCCCGTCTTGACCTGGTTCACGAAGTCGCGTCCATTCTCCAAGATCTTATCAATGTGTGGCGAGAAGTGGATGATACCACCCTCCACAGCCCGTTCGAGATCTTCTTCGCTTACACCGAACAAGGGGTGCACTTCTTCCAAGGCACGGAGGAAGTCTTCCATTCGTATCTGCATGTCTCCCACATCGTCTGTCAGGGCAGCCACACTGCCACCCTTGATATGTCGCTGTAATGCAAAGCTAGTCGAAGACTTGACCAGACCCATCAGCTCTGCACCCGAGAAATTGCGTGTCAGGTGTGCAAGCTCGGCGAGATCGACATCAGCCGCCAGCTTGCCGTTCTCACGCATCTTGGCTGTGTGAATGGTGAGGATTTGTTGCCGACCATGCTCGTCTGGTAGACTGATCTCCATGTGCACTTCAAGACGACCGGCACGCAATAGTGCTTCGTCGATCATGTCCTTTCGGTTCGTCATGCCGATGAGTAGGATATTGTTGAGTTGCTCCACACCGTCGAGTTTGGATAGCAGCTGGTTGACCACACTGTCACCAACACCAGTGCCGCCTCCAGCGCCTGAGCCACGCTGCTTGCACACAGCATCAAGTTCGTCGAAGATGATGATATGCAGTTCAGAATCGTCGCCCTTCTCCTTCTGCTCCTTCTCGGCATCGGCGAACAGTTTTCGAATGTTCTCTTCGGACTGACCAACGTACTTGTTCAGCACTTCGGGTCCGTTGATAACCTTTGGTTCTCTCGCATTCAGCATCTTTCCGATTTGTCGTGCAATTAGCGTCTTGCCAGTACCTGGAGGGCCGTAGAGCAGTATACCTCGGACATGCTGGATGCCGATCTTCTCTGCTAGACCAGGCGGCACGATACGTGAGGCGAAAGCTCTTCGGAAGATATCGCTGAATTCTTTGTCCAAACCACCAATACCCAGGTCCTCAAACTTGAAGTCCGGTCGTACCACCGAGTTTGCAGCTGGCCTGCGGTTCGAGCCTTTGAGATTTATAGGTGACTTTGCATCCTTGAAGTAATTGATCACAGTCTCCGGTGTTAGTATACCACGCGATCGTGCATCTGTTGATTGCTGTGCGCCACCGGTCGGTGCTCGAAGAGAGGAAATGTCCACCAGCTCGACAGTCCTTATGGTCATTCGTAGAGGTATACCCTGATAGTCCATAAGCAACTGTTGACTAGGCGCAAAGATCTGGTGCCGGAAGGTGCGCGTGAAAGCTTTGGCTAGCTCGTCCTGATCGTATGGTGCGTCTGTTGCTTTTCTGCCAGCAAAGCCAACCTCTACGTCCATAGCACCTAGATAGCTCTGTGCTCCTTGGCTGAAAGGATCATACGCTTGTACATCCACCGTGTCTGTCAGGGCCACGCCCATCCACGTCCGCTGAGGATCATTCAGACTGATCTGGCCTCGTGGGAACTGTGCAAGCGGTCGTGCCGATAGCACGAATTTGCCGTTGACAAGCAGATGCGTATCCCCATCTTGCCCAGGCGGTATGTCCTGAGAACTGACGGCACATATGTTTGAGAACGTGAAAGTGTTGTCAGGACTCTTTGCTGGCCGTAACTGTAGACTGCGGCCCATTGCGCCGCCAGTATGGCTCTTCTCTTGCTGTGCGTATGGATCTGCGAAGCGTCCGTCTGGTTGCCGTTGTGCTTGTGGCATTTGGGATCCCGGCTGTCGTGATGGTGCTTGTGGTTGAGGTGGTCCGTCTCGACGTGGTGGCTGAGGGAAAGACTGGCCGCGACCGCCGAAGAGATTGTCGCGATTGAACATGATCGCGGCTACTGTCGAGCAGGAAGGAAGGAACAAAGAACGGCGCGCTTTATTATGTGCTCGTGTTCCCCGTGAGAGGCCACTTGGTCGCTGCTGCTGCCTGGGATCTAATAGCCTTCGCGAATGGTTCTTGAGACCCTACAGGTGATGGTAAAAGGATATAATAATTAAATTGTTGCCTTGACAAATAGAAGCCGTGAGCTGTCAACGTAATGATACTCCCTGAAGTACGTGCCTTGGGTACGTCAGCGGGGAGAGCCACTGGGTGAACATGGCGGAGCAATATCGAAGGCAAATCCTGGAGGTGTACAACACAAGATATCAAGTCCTCATTACATACGTCTGACAATGATATTTGTTTATGCTCGTACGTATGCCGCATTTCATGCTCAGCACAATCGCAACGCCCAAGTCACAGCCACCGTATCAGCGCTTGATCCGCCGGCCACCAACCACAATGTGTATGCCAAACAAATCTCCAACAAACACCATCCAATGCTTTCTATGAATGTTATTACAATCTTAAGAGCTCACCAACACTCGCATCCCAATTCTGCGCCTTACCCATAACCTCCACAAATCCAGCAAAGCTATCCATGGCCTTCTGCGCCTCATTATAGCTCATATGCTCAGCATCCCAGCTGAACGACAAGCAAACTGACTTCTTGTCGCCAGCCAAGAACCCGGTGATGGTCAGACCGTTGTCCATACGTGTCAACATCTCAAGTTGTGTCATGCCATTGGGGTTAGGCGTCGTATTCGGCGCTGTAGGCAACCAGTTGAAGCTCTGGCGCCTGATCAGAGGCAAGATGGCTTCAGCGTCCCTTTCTCGCTCTGCCCATGTCCTCGAGTCGTCTGCCGATAGTGGATCTCGCAGGCGGTCGATGATGCGGAAGAATGGGGTGTGCGCGTATGCACTGTTCTGCTCTTCGTCTTTGGTGACTTGCTGCATGAACGCCACCACGCTCTTCGCTTGACTGACAGGGATGCGATCGAAGACGTATTCGGTCGTGCAGCCTGAGACATCGAGTGGGTTGCCGCTGTAGTTCTCACGCTCCAGTGCCGAGTAGTCGGAGCTAAAGGGCCAGGTTCGTGCGGCATTGATGGTTCCGAAGACTGCTTCCTTCCCACCAGTTTGTGCGATGTTGAGGACGGCAATTGCAGCCTTCACCAGCATGAAAACCGGGACATTGTGCTCAGACTTCAGCTTCGCCATATCCTGTACCTTCACCATCCGCCTCACGCCCTTCTGCGCCCTTCGCTTCTCAGCAGCTGTCACGCGACGTTCTCCTCGCCGAGACTTGGCGCCGTTCCAACGAGACCAGCCAGCATCAACGCCCTTAAAGAATTCCGGCGCTCGTTGTGTCGGCCAAAGACTGCTTTCTGGAACAGAAGCAACACCAGCCATCTTGTTCGTCCAGTAAGTGATACCGTTCTCAGCCTCTGTGCCATGGCGATGCTGGTAGAAAGCATTCGCATAGTCCTTGAATGGCGCATGTGGCACAGGTGTGCTCTCACCAGTCAGCAACGCCGAGATATCCTCGAGCCATAGCTTGGTCATGCTCATGTCGTTCGTTGCATGAGAAGCCACAAAGATAAGCCCAGAGCTGCCGTCACTGCGAATCTTGGCGAAGTGGATTCGTGCAAGTGGTCCAGGAACAGTCGCGCAGTCTAGCTCGGGATGATCAAGGAGGAGTGTGTTCAAATCCTCCTTCGTTTCTACTTCCCAGCCAGTTGTGCATGCCACCCGCAGCCATTCTTCCGTGTTTCGTACCGACACAAGGAGCATCAGACCCTCATCATCCTCCACACCCATAGATCGCAAAGTTGGATGATACTTCAAGCTCTCCATGACTGCAGCCTCGAGCTGTCGACTGCTAAACTTTGTGTAGAAGCTGAAACGCAGATTCCAGGAAGTTGGTCTCGAGTTGTGGCAGAAAATCGCATCCCAGTCTGGCAAGGGCATGACATCCTCGACATCTTCCCATCGCAAACCAACGCTGTTCAAGGTCTCTGTGACAGCTACTTTTGTACTTTCGAATGCACTTTGATCTCCCTGAACATGAGGCACATCCTGTAGAGTTGGCGGTCCTTGCCTCGTCGGCTTCATTGCTGCCAATTTCGAGGCTCGCTCGGGTCTGGAATCTATCAAGGTAGCTTGATCTTGAATAGTATCACAGATTTTGAAGTCTTCAACGGTAATATCGCGGCCGAGTTGCTTCTTGACCATGCCCGAAAGCTGCATCATCATCAGAGAGTCCGCGAAGCTGTTGAGGTCGGCTTCTGGAGTCAAACAGTCGGTCCCGCTAATGACTTGCCAGATCTTGATTAGAGAGTCGATGGTTGGTGCGGACTTGTCTACGCCTTGGTGCTGCTGTTTCTTGAGGTACTCGCGGACCATGGCTCGCAGCTCAACTTTTCTGACCTTTCCAGAGGCGGTTGTAGGCCATGCGTCCAGACCGAGATCCTTCTTGAGCTGAAGTACCATCTTCGGCGCGAAGGCAGGTCCAAGATCGTGAGATGTGGCGTTCTTGATCTCGCTGGCGTTGATCACAGACCCAGGCTTGTTGGTGATGATGGCGATTGGCACTTCACCAGCCATCTCGTCTGGCACACCCACCACTTCGGCAGATGCAATACCTTCCATCTTACGTAGGTAGTCTTCGATACTAGCAGGAGAGATGTTCTCGCCACCTCGAATGATCATGTCCTTGTACCGACCAGAAATTCGCACGGCGCCATCATTCTCCATCACAGCCTGATCACCGGAAACGACCCATTGGACGCCGTCCTCGTCGACGTAGAAAACAGAAGAATCGACATTCGGGTCCGCATAGCCGTGTAGTACTTGATGTCCTCCGTTGTGTAGCTCACCGGCCTGACCTCTTGGCACAAGCTTCTTGGTTCCAGGCTCGCAGACCTTGACGGTCGTGCCCCTCGCACACTTGCCAGAAAGAACTTCACCATCCCTCACGACGGTCGTCTGATCTTCTGGCCAGATCAGTGTTCCAGCGGACTCGGTCATACCGTAGCTTGTGTATGAAGGGACCTTGAGGCCATGAACGCAGGCATCAATCACGCTGGGTAGCACACCAGCGCCACTGACATCGACACTGACAAGCGTGCTGAGATCCGCTTGACCAAAGTATGGATGTGCCAAGACAGCTTGTGCTGTCGTCGGCACTAAGCTCATATGTGTGGTCTTGAAGAGGTCGAAGCACTCCAACGACGCCTGGGCTTCGAATGCTTCTGATGGCAGAACGACAGTAGCGCCTGCATACCAGAAACACAGTGACCAAGCAATGCCGTAAGAATGGAAGTTAGGCAGATGCTGAACCAGCTTATGGCCAGAAGTGATCTGCCTCGCCTCCCTGTAAGCAGTGCCTGCGTTGACGCACATGAAGCTCGACATATTACAAGGCTTTGGCAGCGAAGTCGTTCCGGACGTGAAGATGGTCATGCATGTATCTTCAGGGCTGACAACATCTGGAGTGTCTGGTGGTGTTAGGTCGCCAGACATCACATCGACAAGACCAGTCCACGATTCGAGGTTCTCGGCGTCATTGCGATTTGCAAGCAACTTTACAGGAATTGCCTTCTGAGCCTCTGCGGACAGGCTTTGCTCGAGTTGCTTCGCGATCGTCGCATCTGCACAGAGTACGACCGCTGGTTGAGTCATGGCAAGCATGTGTGAGATTTCCTTGCTGCGAGTCGCGACCTTGGGGTTGATTGGAACCAACGGCGAATGAAGGTATGCTGCTGCCCAGAAGAACAACGCCCATTCTGCCTGCGTGTTGACAAGAGTGGCAATCGGTCGTCTCTCAATGTGCGTCAGTCGGTTCAATGCTGTGGCAAGTCTTCGTGCGCCGCGATCCAGATCTGTATAAGTCCATTGTAAAAAATCCCCATCAATGTGCTGGCTGCCGACCCAATGCAAGTCGGCGGGCTTCTGGTGCCGCGATATCAAGGCTGTAGCGTTTGGTCGTGAGTTGACAGAATCCTGCCAAAGTTGCAAATGCGATATGTCCGTCCTTTCGACTGGCGGACCCGCCGCAATGGAAAGTTGTGTTGCAGCCATGTGATCAAAGGCCGGAGAGACACGTAATAAGTGGAGTGGAGGTAAAAGGTCAGCGAGGCATGGACAGTGTATATTATATTACTATGCAAGATAGGAGACCCTTGATGACCACCGACCCTGCGGTTGGACAGACTACTAAAACCGAATAGAGGTTGAGATCTCTGTTACTGATGCACCGTGCCTCCTATTGGCTTTGAACGGGGAGACTTTTACAGTGTCGTATTCCACCCGCCAAGATCTCGAGGGTCGTTTCACGTATCCGGCAGAACCTTTTATTGCCCGGTAGCGCAGTTATAGAGGCGGCACGGACACTCACATCGTATCAACGGCAGGCATTCAGATCCTCTGTATGCACAACTACAATAGGCGGCGTACCTGCTTGGCTAAATGCATTAAAATACTGTTTATGGAAGCATTGCTCCAGGATGTTGGACAAGGGCAGCCATGGTTGGCAACCCAAGAAGACGTTTCTCTGCAGATCGAAGTGGGCCTTCGCGTGGTCTTGTCTCGGTGCTCGTATTTTCCCGGGGTGCTGTGGCTCATCTGGCCATGCATGAGCAGAATCCATCATCTCAGCGCGCTTCTCAGTATTGAGTTGGTGTCTTCGCGCTCGCCCGGCCGCCCTTGCATGGCTAATCTGGATAGATTGTAACCCTGTTGAAGTCTTCATTTCGAGGTCCGCGGCGATCAGCAAGACGTCTACGGCCCGCAGCGGTCTCAGGTACGATGAGATGCTGATTCGCTACTCGGCGCCACTCCTGTCGCTTTGGCGCGCCACCCGTGTCGCACCGGTATCGAAGTTTTAGAGGACAGGAATAAAATTGCACAACGCGGAGAACCCATGCGGCCTGCCGTGGCCGTCTGTCCTACGGGACACATACAGAAGCCAATCATTACACCCTCGTACCTTGTCATCTCCACGAGTCGAAAAGAGATACGAATGGACTTCTCCCACACTTCGCAGAACCAGCGAACAAGCTTGCTGATCCATGGAACGCCTCCTTTAACGGTGCCCCGGGCGCCGCCGTATGTGCGATGACTTACACTTCTCAACGGCCGACTGCCAAGGGTCTAAATGATGCCGGGGTGGAAACTCTCGAGAGCCAGTGCGCGTGAGAGGCCTGCTCCTCAATCGTGCATCATTGCTACTCCTCGGTCTTCTGCTTCTATTTGCGAAGCGCTCGTATCCTGATATGCTGCTGATTTGCCAGCCCAAGCGAGCCTACACTCCATCACTCGGTCTTGTACGGTCTTGGTAGTCGAAGATCTTCTGCGTGCCTTTTACTACTCTCGGAGATTGACACAGGCACCACTTTTGACGTCCGACGTCCACACTCTTTTGACGACCAAGCAGTAATTCGACACCGTCCGCCCAATATGGCGTTCTACAAGATGGACACTCCGAGCCAGTCGGTCTACTCTCTAAATGCTCACAGCGACACAAGCTGGGACTCGCGACCACCAACACGCAATGCATATAATAAGGTCTATAGCGCCGAAGAACCCACACTATCGTATCAAGCACTTACGGCTCTACCACACTCACCAGGCTCTTCGCCACTGCCATCTCCAGGCTTCCCACCAGTATCTTCACCAAAATCACCAAGATTCCCACCTGGCTCTTCTCTACTTTCGACCACATCTTACCCTCCAAAGCCTGCAAAACCTATGGGGCCTGGTCCACCTCCCGATGGTGGACTCACAGCATGGCTCCAAGTGCTCGGCGGCTACTTTCTCTTCTTCAACACCTGGGGTCTGATCAATGCTTTTGGCGTTTTTGAGACATACTACAGCGAGATCCTGCTTCCTGGCAAGACTCCCTCTTCGATCGCTTGGATCGGCACTCTTACGAGTTTTCTGTTATGCGCTAGTCCTATATCATGGGGACCCATCTTCGACGGGCTCGACTCACCCCGGTTGCTGGTGATCTTCGGCTCCTTCTGCGTCGTCTTCGGCATGATGATGACGAGTCTGTGCTCTGAGTACTGGCAATTGATGCTCGCTCAAGGCATTGTGGTTGGAATTGGAGGTGGGTCGCTCTTCATCACGGCTACCTCGATCTTGCCGAGTTACTTCTCCAAAAAGCGAGCTCTGGTTATGGGCCTTTCTGCATCTGGAAGCTCGCTGGGTGGTATCATATACCCGCTGATCTTCAGAAATTTACAACCAAAAGTGGGCTACGGCTGGGCTGTGCGGGTCATGGCTTTCATTGCCTTAGCTACTCTGGTGATCCCGTGCGTCGTCGTCAAACCACGTATGAAGCCTCCAGGTCGGAGAAAGATCTTCGACACCACCATCCTGAAAGAAATCCCGTACGAGGTCTTTAATCTGGCAACCTTCTTCGGCTTCGTGGGACAGTACATTCCTTACTTCTTCATCGAGCAATTTGCGGGCTCCCATGGTATTGACATGGCGTTCTACATGCTCACCTTTTTGAACGTCGGCTCGATACCTGGACGTATCCTGCCAAGTTTGCTCGCCGACAAGTTCTTCCACCCTCTGCACGTTCTGGCCGTTTGCACTGGAGGTGCCACTCTACTTGCATTCTGCTGGATCGCCATCAAGGACAGTACATCAGGCCTGATTGTGTGGTGCCTCCTGTACGGTTTCTGCTCTGGTGCATTCGTGAGTCTGCAAGGAGCGGCTGTGGCGTCTATGGCCACTGACTTGCGCACGATTGGCACACGCTTCGGCATCAACATGTTCGCTGGGGCTATTGGTATCTTGATTGGCTCGCCCGTGGGCGGTGCAATATTCCCTCGGTCGTGGCCCGGCGCACAGACATTCTGCGGCGTAATGCTGGCTTGCTCCACCGTGTGCATTGTCGCCACTCACCTCGTCTACGAACGTTCCAAGCGAGCTGGCGGAACCAAGCTTGAAGGCTGAGAAGACTACTACTGGCGAGATGGCGAGCATCTCCAGATCGCCACATACGAAACAGCACTATCGTGAGCTCCTTGCGAATATGTCTCACGTGGAACGCTGGGTATTTCAAACCAGTCCGGCTATCAAGCGGATTTTGTCAAGCAGTCTTCCAGTCTCACTGAACAGCAACACGCCGGCGGTCTTCAGATTGCACTACGACCGCCTGGCCAGTCACCCGATCTCCCCACTCGCACCCTTCACATTTCTCAGGCCGATGCAGCTGAAGGGCAGCATATTCAGCGTTGTGACTTAGATCCAAGATGACTGCCATATCTGGCTCTGGGTGGTCAACTTACCCATCACAGTCTTCGCAATTGACACACCGAATACATCCGGAGCCTGGAGAGTCTCTTAGCAACACTGCAACAGACTTTACTTGTTAGAGTGGAACTTACAGTTCGTGCAGGAAACACAGTCGATGCAGCCGGAACAGCTGTTCACATGATCCTGGTCAGCTTCAGGTGGCTCCCAGCAATAGGCGAGATGATTTAAACGACAATCATGCGAGAAGAGCGACTTACCCAGTACAATCTCTACATCTGATATTGCCGGATTTGGCCTTCTTTGGGCCTTTGGAGGAAGAAGTAGATGGAGAGCGGCTGATTGAGCCACCTGCTGGTGCGCCTGGAGAGTAATTGACCGAGATCACGCTTTGTACAGCGGAGGAAATGGTTCTCGGGACATTGTCCCAGAGCGAGAGGTTTTCTGGCCTGGTGTCAGACTCCGAGGCTGGAGTCAAAGTATCGCTGTCACTGTCGTTCATAGCATCAGTGTCTAGGGGCAGATAGTGGGCGATAGTGAGACGTACAAGTCTGACTTCGGAATCTCTTTCTCGGCATCCTTCTTATTCTCGATTTGTTGTTCCTCCAAATCCTTGGGAGAAGCAGGAGCAGCTGGTTTATTGCGAGTCATATTCGATCTTGTCGTGGTAGAGTGAGGTTGAAGCCAACGAAATGCGTTGCCTTCGCTCAGTTTATCGACAAGGCGTGAGACCTGTATCGCGATCGTGCTTTTCTGGCTGAGTATCTACCTAACAGCATACCACGGACACAATCCCGCGGCCATGGAAAGGGCGAGTGTGAGGATGCAGAGCTTGAGGTGCATGGTTCTTATAGCTGAATGGTGCAACGGCAGCTTGCACTTCTTTGGGGCCAAGACGTCATGCCTAGGTTACCTTCACTGACCCCGAACACCACGCCTGCTTCACTGAGCATGAATGGCAAGCCGAGATCAGGCGTGAGAAAGTTTTCACGTGCGGCACGAGTGCGAAAACAAGTCTTGCAGTACAGCTGCTATGTATACAGCTTGGTCAACGTCGATACAGGTATGCATGTCCGACGCTGTACAACTATTTCAGGTCTACGGAGCATGCACCTTCCTGCCCTCGACCATAACCACCGGACCCTCGTACGTATGTCTGGCTTTAAATGCAAAGTAGATAAGGGAACCCAGAACGACCGCAATGAAGATCGGAGAGGCCCAGTTGAAGCCGGACGCCGTAACTGGATACTGGCAGCAGGAATCAGCAGTTGCATCAGAGACTATTGTGGAAATGCGCTTACTTGTTGAGGCCAGCAAGCCCAGAAGAGAGACCACACTGAGTATATGACCGCGAAGGCGTTGACTGGTACTCCGAACCGACCCAGCGAGAATGCTGCGGTCGGTAGTGTCTCTGGGTGCGCGATACGACGCCACAAGACACAGCCGATCGAAAAGGTGTAACATTGTAGGAGTGCGACAGTATTGAGAGCTGTGATGGCGTAGAACGCTACTGGACCTAGAGCAGAGATGTCAGTACTAGAATTGTTATGGGTCGTCAAGTACGGAAGAGCTTACTGCCGATGTAGATGAGGGCAAGCAAGAAAGCGATGAGGCAGCTGAATCGAGCTGCGTTGACGGGAATGTGGCGTTTAGGATCCAAGCTGCTCAGCCACCTTGAGAAAGGGAGTCCCTTGTCCCTCGAGAAGGCGAATAGATCACGGGTCACAGCGGCCAGGTACACGATGTTCGATGCAACGTTAATCAAGATGATCAAGACGAGCAGAAGGTTGATCCAGCCGACACTCATGGACTGCTTGAGGACGTAAAGTGCTGGATATGTCGTTGAGTCGTTCAATGCCGCATCGAGATCCGGCACGTGGTATGCCACCGTCAGGATAGCCGGGAACAACAGCACGAAATTGATGATGTAAACGGAGAGCATGGTCCTTGGTATTGTCGTCGAAGCGTTCTTGACTTCTTCACTCATATGCGCTTAAGCCATTGTCAGTCGTGAAGTTCTACGTTAGCAACAGCCGTGCCTAGGATACTACTCACCAGCTCTGTTGGTCCATACGTTAGCTAACACCACAGTGTTATACGCGAAGAACAGCATCACACTTACGTATCGATTCCCACCTGGGCACTAATTCCGGTGAGCTGCCCTACCAAAAGCGTCAAGCCCATACTGGACCAGCCTCCTTCATTCTGAAAGTCCGCCCAGACCTGCTTGTGCGTGGCCGTAGGGGCCTTGACCCAGACAGGGACAATGTAGCCAAAGTACGCAATGATATGGATGGCGAACACGGCGTTTTGCCAGTATGGCAGGACTTTACTTCCGTACACGTTGCCAATATAGGCGATAATCATCGCGGCGAAGGCCAGGAGTGTACCCTGCCAGGATGGGAACGCGTAGTTCTCATCATTGACCAGAATCATTGTTTGGATCAGGCTGCCGACGACTGGGGACTATATATCAGGCATTGCGGCTGAATAGTTTCGGGTGGTATGGGGTGTACTTACGGAAAATGCCAAGCGCGTTTCCAGCTTGCCATGCCATTGTCGAAGTCCATCTGTTCTGGGGTCAGTCGTAGCATAAGTGTGTCCTAACATCGTACGCACCCAGTGATATAGCTCAAGAATCTCTGCATGTTGGCCGGGGCGAATTCGGATACCCCTGCTTGTGTCAACGCAAGCCTTCCTTAGTGTGTTGATAAGCTCCCGTCTTACAGTGGTATTGAGCCCCAGCAATCGGAGCCATGCTCGCCATCTCCGCCATGCCTGTAGTACCTTGTTAGCAAAGTATAGAACGAGCGGTTTCATCCCTGCACATACTCAGATATACAGGTGCAAATCCCACAAAGTTCCAGATAACGCTATAGATGAGACCAGAACGGCCGCCATCGATTAGAGCAGGCGAGATCACGAACAGGCCAATCTCCCAAGCAGCCGTTGCAATGGCCACGAACGAAGTCATCGACATCTGACGAAAGTGTCGTACCAGCTGCTGTTCTTTCCCCATACGCTGCATATTTACAAGATCCTGTCGTGTAGACTTGGTTGCACGCAGCTCTTCGTCATCGTTCTCGTCAAGGTAGTCTCCAGCGGTATTGACATTGGCTACACTCGCGATCATGTCTTTCATATGGCCAGCCTCGTGGGACTCGCGGTCTGTCGTATTGCCCTGTGTCTCCATCTCGATGGCCATGCCATGTTCACCCGAGATCGGCTGTCGAGCCGACATGTTCTTGCTGAACCTATGAGCCTAGCAGTTCGAATTGCTGACAGAAATCTGATAACAAGCTGATGAGAGAAAGGTGAAAAGGCAAGACGAAGCACCAAGAATGTTGCAGCATGTACCTGAGATCTGTCTGCACTTCAGCCATTCTAGATTGCCGGGCATGCTCCTACCTGTTGTGTCAAGCTTCCATTGGGACTTGCTTGGTATCGGCAAATATGCATATGCCACCGATGCACTATGTGTCCACAGCGATAGCAGCCATGCACTGGGATGTTTAGCAGACGTCGATGGTTGGATCAAAGAACGGCAAGCGAGCGTGGGATGAATGCAGGTTTGTGTGGGCAGAGAGCGCTAGGCTTTTGCACGGAGCACTTATCGTCCTGTGCCTCCAGCTCTATCTTCACCCTGCCGCTTCGCGTGGTATGCAATAGCCACCGACAAGGATCGAGTGGCAGACGCTTCGAGCTCATGGCTTCGAAACTGCCGATAGGCCTTCGCTCCGTAGATCGTGGCGAGCAAGCCGCTGCTTCCTTACGGCAAGCTGCATTGAACACCCTGGCCAGCACGATACTCCCACACCGGCCCGGTGAGCTACTGTAGCAAGGATGCCGTGCAAGGCTCGCACAATGCCGGCCATTCAGCCTCGATTGGACGACTAAAGGCACTTCACCTTGGCAAGCACATCTCTTTTGCGATCGAGCTACATCTCCGGAGCGCGAGCTGCAAGTCTGTTGCCACGCATGGCAGGCCATGCAGTAGCACGGTGCTGATCCGGCCTTGCAGATGGTACCATCGAAGAGCAGCCCTGTTCAATAGACGAATGAAGTAGTCGCTGTAACACCGACGATGCCATCCCGTAGCCTGTTAGCCTGTTGTAGCAAGCATGTTTGGCATAGATGCCTTCAGAACAAGCATGGTGAACTTCGACAGTCTCGGCACTTCGACGCCTTGCCCCAATGGCGGGCAGAAGTCCCTCTTCACTGTCTACACAGGGCATATCTCGCTTGCAAGGAGTCTCACAAATTGCACTATCACAATGAAAGATACCGTATCTTGGCGGCTCAGCATCCCACGCCTCACCACACAGGCCCCAGACAAACAGGACTTGAGAAGCAATATGATCCTGATCCATCGTGTTGCATGAACATGTACCCTAGGCTTGACGCTCTCGGAAGTCAGCTCTTCGGCAGTGGTCATAATACGTTGGTAGGCAGCATGAGATGTGAGACGTCTGCATATCACTGTTAGAATGCCACAGTGTCTGATCGTTCACATAATGGCTTGACGCCTTGTGCAACCACACTGTCCATACCACGACAGCCGAAGTGACAGCAGGCATGGATACACCAACTGGAGGTACCGCACCTGGCCTCACAATAGCGACTGTACTCTTTCTCCTCTGGGCTTTGCTCACACTCATCGTCAGGGCATGGGTCAAAGTCAGTAAAAGTGACAGCTGGGGCAGTGATGTGAGTGTCCAGGCTATATGTCGACAAGCAGGAGCTGATCTACTGCCTCCAGGATACGGTAATCGCAGCGTCATTCGTGAGTACAGGAATAGCTGAATCATGCTCGAAGTCTTGACGTTCCAGAACCTGATACTGTGCGTCAACAGCTTGCCGGGCTCGGAAACGCAGTCGCCATTTTACACGCAATCAACCAGGGCTATGGCAAGCCATTCGATGCACTTGGGCCGCAGGAGACCGCGAATATCGACAAGGCGATCTACACGAGCCAGCTCCTCTACGTGGTAGGCGTCGGCCTCACCAAGACATCTACGAGTGTCTTCACTGGCCGCTTCCTGACCAGAGATGCGAGTCATGTGCGGATGGCTCAAGTACTTATCGCGGCTTGCGGGATATGGACAGCCACGGCAGTGATTGCAATTGGTATCAGAGCACAGCCCCTGACACCATGGAATATCCGGGACGGTAGTGGCAGTATGGTAGGTACCTACCGTGGTGGCGACCTTGTCATGTAAGCCATCATAGAACTGACCTTGCACAGTTCGCAAGATGGGTCGGCGTAGAGCTATCAGGCTATGTGGTCGAGATCATCGCTGTTGGCCTCTCCATCCACTTCGTCTGGGGCCTGAATATGCCCCTCAAGAAACGCCTCTCCGTCTCCACCATCTTCGCCTTCCGACTCCTGTAAGCATTCCTCCCCACCCCCAAAATTCCCCCGCCGACAACTAACCACCTCCAGCGTCGCACCAGTAATAGCCATCCGCCTCTGGCTCCTCTCCCCCTCCTCAAACCCCACCCCCAATAACCCCAACATCCCGGCCTCCGTCTTCACTCAAGCCACCCTCCAACTAACCTTCGTCCTGGCCTCGATAACCTGCCTCAAACCCTTCCTCCGCCCCTTCCACTCCGGCTACGCCGTCAGCGCCGCCCCCTCAGGCGGCTTCAATGCTACTTTCAACACAGGAGGCTACAGCACAGGGGGCAAACGCTCGCGCAACGACCCCTACGTCGACCTCAGCACGGCGGGGAAATCCGCCGCCACCACCTCCCAACTATCCAGAGGGAGCAGGGTGGATGGCAAAGACGGCGGCACGATAGTATTAACGGATATCACTACCTCCCCTTCCGACGAAGTGGTGGATGATAGGGATGGCGAGGCGCCTTTGGTCGTGCGAGCGGATTACCAGGGTCACGTGACTAGTGTCATCACGCACGGGGCCGGGAGCGAGCAAGTCCGCCCGCCGTCGAAGAAGATGAGTATCTCCATGACGAAAGAATGGGGGGTTCGATATGATGACAGTGGAAATCATCGGGGACCGGCACGACGGGCGCCGGGAGGGCTGTAGATGCGAAGTGCCTGATGGAATGGATGCCAGAATACAAGGAGCTGCCGTCTCGTTCGTGTCTAGCCGACGTCGATGCTATATACCAGTGCTATACATCCGTAGCAACAACAACGCACCCACGAAGCAGTGCCTTCAAGCTTGTCTAGCCCACCAGCCCAAAGCACGTCCCGTAGCGCGGACGGACGGCGCCAGATGGAAAAAAACGCCATACCATGCAAATGCAAAACGCCCACGCTAGAAGAATAATAACCCCATTTCTCATAACACTCATCAAACACGTCAATCGTCCACAAAACATTGCCCCTGCACACCCCAATCACCCAGCCATAATATCCTCATCCCCGTCCTCCAGCTCCTCCATGAAATCCCCTTCCCCGTCCATCCCCCTCCCTGCTACCATAGGCGCCTCATAGCTCAGATCCATCTGGTCCGCCAGATCCGCCGCATCTGGCCCGGCTCGCTTCTGTCGTTTCTGGAATTCCACGTACTCCTTCGTCAATTGTAGTCTTCGATCCGCGTCGCGGACGGAGGTGATAAGGCTCTCTATCCGCTTGGTCTGCTGTTCGAGCTCGTCGTCTTGGACTGCGGGAGTGATGTCGAAATGGAAGCGGAGGACGGCGTTCGCAGCTGTGTCGTTTGGGGAGGGGGTGATGGAGGCATGGAGTTGTTTCTGTCGGATCATTTCCCCAACCATCTGCAATGTCTGCTCGGAGGAGAAACCAAGGTACAACCCCACCCTCTCAATACTCAACGCTGCATACCTCTTCTGCAAATCCTGCACGCGGAACCTCAACAATGCCTCCCTCACCTCACGCACCGCCCGCAAATTCCCATCATTATGCCACGTCTGCATCCCCGCCTCCATCTCCGCCTGTAATTTCCGCCAGTCCCGTTGCTCGAAACAATCGGCGAGCGCTTCGTAGGGTCTGGCGACCGAACGGATACTCTTCATTACTGCCCCGTCGTGGGTTCGGGGGAGGGGGTATCTTTTCCCTTGGTCAAGGAGGCCGACAAGGATCCATTGGGCGTAGGCTTCCGATTGCATGGCGCTGGCTGCGTGTTGGGAGGAAGGGGTGAGGATGATGTATTCGAGGAAGAGGCGGGCGCGGGGGTAGTTGCGTTGGCCTAGGTAGATTCGGGCGCCTAGGAGGTAGTATTCGAGTATGTATTCCGGTTTTAGCTTATGGCTGAAGCCGGATTTGGTGGTGATGAAGGTGTTGCTTAGGTCGGTGTCTTCGCCGGGATAGTCTTCCGGCACGTTCTTGGTGGGTTCGGAGGGGAAGGCGTAGATGTCTTTGTTGAGGATGGGGAGGGCGTGGGAGGGGACGGCTTGGTCGAGGCAGGTACGCAGGATGAGGAGGTGCATGGAGGTGAAGGTGCCGGCGGTGGGGTCGAGGCGGAGGAGGCCGGTGGTTGCGGCTGTGAGGTAGTCGACCCCTGCTGCGGGGACGCATTCGAGGACCCAGGCGATGAGGACGCGGAATTCCTCACCGACGTAGCGAGCCTGGATGGGGTCGAAGGTGGTGAGGAAGGTCGCTGCGAGTGGGAGGTGTGAGTCGAGGGTGGTGGATGCTTTGGGTGCGAGGTTGACTTGGGCGTTGAGGGCGTAGAGGTAGGGGATTGTGTTTGTGGCGGGGTCGAGCAGTTCGAGGATGTTCTTCTTTTCGATCTGTCTCGTCCATGTGGCGTTCGGTTGCTTCTCGAGACTCTTTAGGAATTTGTTGGCGAGGTCGTCGTACTTCTTCGTTGATAGGGAGGAAGTGTCATCAGGCGGGAAGGACAGCAGGGTGGATACTGCGTCTGCCATGGTTGGTAGCGGTGTTGGTATTTGTACAAGCAGACTATCGAGGTCTTGATATCATGCTTGATGGAACAAAGTTGATGTGTGCAGCAAGTCGGCGTGTTTAAAGCTGTTCGAATGTCTGTTTGTCACAAGGCTACGAAGCTCCATATACACCGTAGCTCCCTCCACATGAACAATGATTCAATCGACGTGTCCGGCCTATAGTTTCTCCGAAGCCGCGATCGTTATCCGTTATCGAGGACTCAGGGTCCAAGCATTCAGCATGGATTAAACAGCATACACAAGACGGTCTGACTGTCTCTCCTCCGCTACGTTCCTCTGCTGGCGGAGGGATAGGAGCGGACAATTATCATGGCTGCTCTACACACAACCAGTCCCTACCGAGAATGCATACTAACGAGAAATGATATCGAAGCTCTCATTGCCGAGGGACGGAAGATAGTAATACTAGACGGCAAAGTGATCAAGCCAGACGCATGGCTTCCCTACCACCCAGGTGGTGACAAGGCTATCCTTCACATGGTTGGTCGAGATGCGACGAACGAGGTCAAGGCTTTCCATTCCCGGGAGACGCAGGACTTCATGCTCAAGTATCAGATTGGCAGGATAGAAGGACCATGGGTCGACTTTCTGCCACCGATACAGGGTGGTGTGTTTAGGACGAAGGATATGCAGGGGGCAGAGGATGGAAGGAGTTCGGCGGAGAGGGACTCATCAGACCGGGATAGTTCGGTGGAACTATCGCCCATCTTCGATGCAACAGAAAGTTCATCCTACCTCAGAAGAAGGAAGAGCAATGGTGCTGCCAATGATGACTCCTCCGCAACCTCACTTTCCGACATGGAGCTCAAGGAGCCGACGCAGACCTCCAAGAAAGCCAACAACGACAACCATCCAGAACTCCTCTACGACCTCGACGCCTACCCGGATCTAAACCCCACCACCCAAGCGAACATCAACCAAAAATACAAACTCCTCGACGCCCGCCTGCGCGCCCAAAACCTCTACGCCTGCAACTACACCGCCTACTTCTACGAACTCCTCCGCTACACTCTCCTCGCCCTACTAGCCTACTCCTGCCTGCAAACCCACCACTACATCCCCTCGGCCCTCTTCCTCGGAATGCTCTGGCACCAACTAACCTTCACCGTGCACGACGCCGGCCACATGGGCATAACCCACTCCTTCCACCTCGACAGCCTCCTCTCCATCCTCGTCGCCGACTTCCTCGGCGGCCTAAGCGCATGCTGGTGGAAACAAAACCACAACGTCCACCACATCGTCACCAACTCCGCCGAGCACGACCCGGATATCCAACATATGCCTTTCTTCGCCATCTCGCCCCGTTTCTTTGGCAGTCTGAGAAGTACTTACTACGACCGCATCATGGCCTTTGATTCCGTGGCGAAGTTCACGTTAAAGTATCAACATTACCTCTACTACCCCATCCTCTGCTTCGGCCGCTTCAACCTCTACGTCCTGAGCTGGCAGTACATCATCCTCGGCCAAGGCCCACGCAAGGGTCCCGCGCGCTACCATCGATACCTCGAGATGCTAGGCCAGGTCTTCTTCTGGTACTGGTTCGGATACCTCGTCGTCTACCGCAGTATCCCCACCGCTTGGGAACGGATACTATATATTGCCATCTCCCACGCCGTGACCATGCCCGTACACGTGCAAATCACACTCTCCCACTTCGCCATGTCGACCGTCGATCTGGGACCCGCGGAGTCCTTCCCACAGAAGATGTTACGCACGACCATGGACGTCGACTGTCCGTGCTGGCTGGACTGGTTCCACGGTGGGTTGCAATTCCAAGCTGTGCATCATTTGTTCCCTCGCATGCCGCGACATAATTTACGCCGGGCGCAGGGGTTTGTGAGGGAGTTTTGCGAGGATGTCGGGATCCCTTATGCGATTTTTGGGTTTGTGGAGGGGAATGGGAAAGTGATTGGGCGGTTGGGGGAGGTGGCCAAGCAAGCGAGGATGTTGGCGGGGTGTCAGAGGAGTATTACTGTCGGGGAGGTGTTGGACGGGCATTAAATAGACAGCCGATATGGAATGCTGGCCAGGTTTTCTTCCAGCAAAAGACAAAGTACGAATTTCCTGCCTCGCTCCTCTCCCAGGACAGGTGCCCCCTGTGCTCGTGACGAAGCCTGTAGATTTTCGTGTTCGTATTGGCGACGATGCATCGATCGTTTTCGTCGTCATCGTCTGCTTCGGTAGCCCGCCTGTGATTGCACACCATGTCTTTTTACCCCTCCATTTCTTCATTCTTTCGGAAAGCCGGGGACAACGAAACGAAGCGGGGCTTGAGTCGAGCAGAATTTGCCTGCTCATTGGTGACCCTCCCTTTCACTTCCCACTTCCATTGCTCGGTGTGGTTCTCGGCCGTTTTTCAAAAGCATTATAGTACATTTGGACACAACCCCTTTACATCGTGTTTACTTTGGAAAGTAACGAACCTGGGCGTAAGTTTCATTCACCTACATCTGGTGCTCAGACCTCTTCTAACGACTGTTCCAGGCATGGTTTAGTGGTATAATACTTCTTTAGCATTCACTTCAAGCGCCTGACAGCTTGAGTGGCGAATAGAAGTGGTCCTGGGTTCGATTCCCAGTGCGTCCAACTCTTTTGCTTTTTGCCATACCTTGATGTGGGTCGACGAAGTCACTTTTTCACGATGCTGTTATACAACGTCATGAGGTGAAGCCATACTGGCTGCCCTGTTTGCCCTCTGAAGAGAAGGCGTCCACCATGATGGAACGCCTGGCTGAGAGGATGAGATTGTACAGGTGTTGGTTGATTTACATAGTGGAGGTCAATCTCTCAAGACTTCTTCCATGTCGTTGGAGGAAGATGTTATTGCGAGCTTATTTCGAGTGGGATAGATTTATGAAAGGTGCTTGTCTGGACCGGATGGTCTTGTGCACTATGCGGAGCTCGGGGGGTATTCTGTTGATGAAAGGAGGGTGGTTGACGACGTGGAAGAAGAATATGAAGTATCACACAACATCCGTCGCCCTGCGGAACGTAGCCAGCACAATGCGCTCGGTTTGTCAAGAGATTCAGCTTGTCGGCTGTCAGCGAAGCGGACAAAACCCTGTCATCGCCACCGCCGGTCCTACTTCATAACCTTGTCGACCTCACACTATCGGGAAAGAACAGCAAGGGAAGCAGTCGATAGTTCTCAGCATACATGTCCGTTTCAGCAGACATATAGTCGACGGGATCGTGCCGAGGGAACGGAGTACTCCGTATCACAGGCGCGTACTGCGATATATCCAGATCGATCAAGGCCAGCAGCGTAGAATCGTCCGAATCTGTGTTTGAAATACGACATTCTCATCTGGTGCCCTGGTTCCAGAGTGCGTGGGAGCAAGATGTTTTTCTGGAGGTAGGAGTCATGCGCTTGCTTTAGTCTACTAGGGCTTCGATTGTCTTATGATGATGGGAGAAGACGTGACTACTGTCTGTGAGCACGAAATTTCGCTATCCAGGTCTGAAGGTGAGATTTGCGTGCTGCGCTACGGGAAATGGTAGAGGTAAGTTAGACGGCTCTCGTGTGTTCCTTGGGGCCTGTTGAAAGCTTGCAGACGTCTCATCGCAAGCGCATGGTCGGGACACTAGGAGACGGTTCTGGGGATGTAGACAGGTGACCGCCTTGGCGTAGCATCCTTGGTATACATCATATTGTGCGGACTGTCCATTGGAGAGACTGATTGATCCTCAGCCACAACGACTGTTCGACCCGTTGTCGTTGGCGCGAACAGTGCTGTCATTTGCGAGTTGTAGCGGTTCCGCATGAGCTATACAATGCGTTCACACTTCAATCATTGATCATCTTGGAGTGTTTCCAGGAGACTCTGCAATCGCATGTCCGCGATGTGATGGACATGCAACACCCTGGAAGGTTGCTCTGGCGATGCTCAACTGACTCGTGCCAACAGCGGTCTAACGTGGGGTGCAAGGCGAGCCCTGCAGATCGACGAACGCAGGAACGGCAACTCTAGCTGCCACTTTCTTCCGTTACTGTTTCTGCTGTCTATGTTGTGGAGGATGTGTCGATTGTGAAAGGTACGTACACGGATACATTCATCTCCTGGCACTGTCGGATCGTTGGATCGTCGGAGGATCAGATTGTTTGGTAAGGAGACAGGGCGTTGGACAACAACACGATGGCGTTCTTGTTTGGGCGGAACAGGCAGAGGACGGCGCAGGATATGGTGCGGACGGTCAAAGAGCTGCTGTTGAGATTACCCAAAGAAGAGGGAGCTTCGTCAAAGGTCAGTCGTAGCGTGGAGGACCTGGAGAAATGCCATTGCGATCTCTCACACTACGAACATTAGACTGAAGAAGAGCTCTCCCGCAACCTCACACAGATGAAAGCGACTCTCCAAGGCACACCCGAAGTCGAAGTCGCGCCCGACGCCGTCACCCAGCTCGTCCACCACATCCTCGCCGAAAGCCTGCTCCCAATCCTAGTCGACAACATCCACCGCCTCCCCTTCGAAGCGCGCAAAGACACCCAAACCATCATCTCCAACGTCTTCCGGTTTAGGAACCCCGGCAGCACCTCCCCCGAACCCGACGCCCTGAAAGAAGTCCTGCGCCAACAACCCGAGATCATCATCGCCCTCTGCAACGGCTACGACCGCCGCGAATCCGCCGGAGCCTGCGGCGGCATCCTGAAAGAAGCCCTGAAATGGGACGCCGTGGCCGCCGTCATCCTCTACGACGAGCCCTCCCCTACGGGAAAAACAATCGACATCTACAACGACGTCGACGTGACCGCCCCGAGCACAGGAAAGGGAATCTTCTGGTCCTTCTTCACCTGGATCGACACCTCGAGCTTCGAAGTCAGCGCCGACGCCTTCGACTGTTTCCGCCTGCTCCTAACAAAGCACAAACAGCTCGTCTCCCAATACATCAGCACCAACTTCCCCCTCTTCTTCGACAAATACAATTCCATCTTGATCAAATCCGACTCGTACGTCACCAAACGCCAATCCCTCAAACTCCTCGGCGAAGTCCTGCTGGATCGCCAGTTCTACGAGGTCATGACGCGCTACGTCGACAGCGGCGAGAACCTCAAACTCATCATGTACCAGCTCAAAGACGACCGGCGCATGGTGCAGTACGAAGCTTTCCATGTGTTTAAGATCTTCGCCGCGAACCCGAATAAGAGTTTCGAGGTGCAGAAGTTTTTGGTGATGAATAAGCAGCGGTTGTTGAAGTTTCTGCCGCGGTTTTTGGAGGAGAGGACGGAGGATGAGCAGTTTTGTGATGAGAAGGCTTGGTTGGTTAAGGCGGTGGGGGGTTTGCCGGATAGTGTGGCGGCGTTGAGGCCGCCGGAGGGGAGGGTTGGCGGAGGTGGGAGTGGAGGGGGTGGGATGCCTGCACAGCAGCAACAGGCTAGTAGTGCGCAGGTGAGGTCGTGAAAACATGGGGATTCTGGATTATGTGGCGGTGGAGGCGCGTGGCAGGTACTGGAGTTTTATGGGGCATGAAGCGTTCGGGGTGGGAGGTTTGATGCGCCATGGCATTATGAGAAGCGCATTGCTCTTTGGCGCGTGATGAATATTGTACAGAGTACTTATGCAATGATGGCTATGACCGCCGATGGCTGTAGCGCTCGAATGAGCGACTTCTACTACGTCTACGACGGTGTCGGGGTTCAGACTTCTCCCCTGACTTCACTTTTGTCGGAGCATCTAGGCTGAAGTTATCTAGCGAGGCTATGTCGTCTTCCCCACGCGCCGTGTGCTTACGGTGATGATGATGTCGACGGTGTTTCCTCTCGCCACGTTGTTCCCGTTTCAGCTTCTCAAGTTCTCGGTACTGTTCCAGCTCCCATTTCTCCTTGTCCCTCGTGCTCTGCTTGAGCTGCTTTTGCGCGTTCTGCATCGCTGCGAAAGGGTCACTAGAGGAGATACGAGAGCGCTCTCGCTCCTTACGTCTGGGGTCGTCGTTGCCCCAGACGTCTTTCTCTTGCACTGCCGTCAGCGTTAGGGCTCCGTCTTCAGCAGAAGCAGAAGCAGGATCGGCATCGGGCTTGGCACGCTTGTTGGAAGCATACCACGGCTTCTGCAATCCCTGCTGGTAACCCGCCGCATTGGAGAATCTCATCGTGACTTGATCCTCCTTACGCTTGCGCTTCTTAGCTTTCTCCGCTTCGACCTCTGCATTCTTTCCCGCCTTCCGTGATGAGGCTTTCTCGTCAGGCACAGGAATCAATTGCAAATGTCCTGCGTGATCGACGAGCGGCGCATCGGCGTCCCGATTCTGACTGTGGTGGACATGACTATGTTCCAGCGCTCGGCGTGCCTGCTGTCCTGCTTCTTCGGCATCTTCACGCGCATACCTGATCTCCCTCGCCGTGTCATCCTCGTCGCGCAATCGTCTTCGCTTACGTTCTCGTGGACGGTCATGCCGGATCCCCGCGGCCTCTTCCGTGGCCGAAGACGGTGGAGGGAGTGCAGCAGCAGCAGGTTTCTCGCCGCGAAGAATCGCGATTCGTCGGCTTGCATCCTCCTCCTGCATGCGCTGTTCCTCCGCCTCCTCCCTGGCCTGAGCGTCGGCTTCATCGCGGCGCACCCGCTCGACATTGGCTGTGTTGTAGACATGCCAACTCTTCTTGCCTAGGAGGTGCAGAGGCATGGTGTGCGGATGCAATGATGATGCAATGCAGATCGGTATCAATATTGATTTTCACCCAGTCATGAACCTAGAGCTTCTTACCAAAGCATTCAACATCGGCTACTGCTGCAACAAGCTATCCTATCGATAATCGATACTCTACCGCTTCCGGACTCCGAGCAAGCAAAAAGTTCCGAGAGATCAACGACAGGGATGTGAGATGCCTTGTTGCGGCAAGACCTCGCGTGTAAAATTGCCCGCGCCAGCGAATAGATGAAGAGAGGCTGTCTATCCATGTCTTTGATAGCCATGCAGAATGCTTGCACATGCTTTCCAATAATTGTGCATACTGAACCGGCACCAAAAGACCAATCATCTCAGACAGCTGATACAAGGTATTCGCCGATTCAGCTCATCCCAGCGCCGCCGCTTACGTTACATGCTTGACGCATATCGCGACTCGGCCAGGCGCATGAGCAGAGGGACGCAAGGCTGAGGAAGCTGAGGAGGCATTTATCTCGTGGTGCATCCTCCTCGTACTACCCTTTGCTCAGCACAATCACCGTAATTATGTTTTACGTTCGAAGGACATAATGTGCATCTGACGACAATCATTATCGCGATCGGACTCGACTACAATTTATACTTCATCTAGCTCATCGGCGTGAATCTGGCTATGTCCGTGAACAGGGCAACGCTAACCTCACAACTGCCACTCTAATAAACGCACGATATACCATCCTACCTACCAGGATCCTGGTATTGATCTTATCATCCGAGCAAGAAAAAGGTCGCTTTCTTGCAATCTAAATTACCCACACCTCAACAAATCATCAATACAGTCCAATATTAGTGCTTGCTGGATTACTTGCCAGCCTGGACGAACATCGATACTACGCGGACTTATCAAAAGCCAAAAGAGCTTCCCAAGGTTATACACGAGTGGGTCGCGGTGGAGGCGATTCATGAGAACGGCATCGCACGTGCGAGTTCAACGACAGGTTCAGCATCTTTGCTAGTGAAACTCCACACGGATCTCGGACAATCAGACTGTTTGGTTGTGCACTGCATGCGTTTTCTGGTTTCGCCATAGGTCCAGCGTGCTGTACCTTGTGCAGAGCGAGATCGTCATTATTTTCTTCGCCGATAATAACAATCATTGCTGCTACTGCTTGCTTTGGAGCTCTGATCGCTGCGTTGTTTCACTTCGAGCTGTTGCTGTGCGACACATCCTAGTCCCTTTATTGCGCGACTCGACATTTCTGGTCATTCTAATCGCTGAGCAAGGAATCGTGTATCACTACTCACGAGATCCGCATCGATACGATAGCTTGGGTCGGACACTTACAACCACTATCCATACGAGCACGCGTCGACGACGATGCCAACATATCTACTGCATGGCTTTCGCTGGCCGAGGCCACTAATCCGCATCCACATCATCCTCCAGAACCTCGACGACGCCGCGGCAGAATGGCTCGTCGCACCCCAAACCACAGACACCATGCTCAAGAACTTCCACGAGCTGTATCCCGAAAGCATGGCCCACCTGAACCGATTACGCTTCATCGAACAATACGACCCGACAGATATTGGCGTGGGTTCCGGCAGTCAGCCTTTCGCCTACGTGGCAGATATTGTGCAAGAGGTGAAGTTGGGCGTTTGCGTGGACGAGGTGACGACCAAGGGGATTAAGAATGAGCAGTGGAGTGCTATACTTGAGTTGAGGGATAAGCTGGCGCCGGAGGAGAAGGTGGGCTGGTTTGTCGTGGTTTGTGGGGATGAGGAGAGGTGGGCGCCGCCGACGATCGCGCAGTTGGAGGCTGGGGCGAGGAACGGGTCGTTGAATAGGTCGGATGAGGGATATAGTGATTCTGATGTAGGTCGTACCAGTGGAAGGCATGTGGAAGATGTGCTGACACTGTACCAGGGCAAACCACAGTCGCCGCCAGAAGAGCCTGAGCCGAGAGGGCTGAGGAAGCTTTTTGGCTCGAGGTCGCGACGGAAGAGCGTGAAGAGGTAGGTCGGTCTACTGCTGGGAGCATGACGAGATGTAGACTGACGTGTAACAGCATAAGCCGACCTCCGCTACCAAATATGCCACGATCAACCTCGTCTGGAGATCTGACCCTGCGAAATACACATTCGAATCCTGGCAAGCCGCCACCGATGCCGGGAGCTGCCGCATGACAATCAAAGCAGCCGGGTGGCGTGACGAATGGGAGCACGAGTGGCGCGGCGAATGGTCATAGTCAAGTGAATGGAAAACGATTGAGCAACGGGTCTCTAAATGCGGGCTCGTATGGGCCGAATGGGATGACGAATGGGAGGTTTCATGGTGGGCCTGTTGGTGCGCCGCCGGGTATCATGAACGGGGTCAGCAATGGCCTAAATGGTGTAAGCAACGGACAGCACCACGGTGCTGGAAGTCCTGGCAATAGCAGTAGCGGCGGCGGAAGCAGTATCTCGCCCGCACCCTCGACAAACATGCACGAGCCGAAGATGTTGGGCAATGCTCAGTTTCAGGATGCGCAGTTTGCGAATGCACATGCCAGACAGCAACGGCGACGAACGACTATTGGTGAGCGGAGCATAAATGGTATGTCTGCGCCAGCGGTGCTAGAGGAGGAGCAGGTGGCGACGCGATGGAATCCGAACGGAGTCGATGCGCCCTTCGAACACAGGTCGTCAAGACGGAATTCGTACGTGCCACAATTCTCCAATTCGCCACGAGCGGGCAGTCCAGACATGTACGGCCGCGGCCTGAGTCCCGTCTCAGCTATGCGGAGTCCGCTCCGAAACGGCCACATGAATGGTGGCGCCATGAGCCCGGTCTCCACCCTCCGCAACGACGGCATCATCCACCGATCACAATCACCGCTGAGTCACGAAGTCATTAGCACGAACGTGTCTCGAAATCAAAGTCCCGCACAAGGTGTGGGTAATATTGCTCGTAACGGCAATGCCTTCCTCCAACAACAACAACAACAACAACAACAGGCCTCTACTCGCGCAAGCCAAGAACACCAAGTCGCTCTCGCCGCACTCCAAGGCACGACCGCCGCCGCCACACCACCGCCCCCAGCCACCTCAACCCCCTCACCAGGCCCTCTCCCACCCCTCGGCCCCGCGCCCCTAACAACAACAACCAAAACCAGCACCGCCCAAAAACTAAAACACCGACTCTCCCTCCAAACCCACCAACCCCCCAGTACCGCCCACCCACCCCCCGCCGTCCCCGAAGAAGACGAAATGGAAGAAATCATCACCATGTCCCCTGCCGTCCGGTCCTTTGAACCCGTGGTCTCGTACCGGAAGTCAAGGTCGAGTTTGGCGTTGTCGGCGATGGGAGGGGTGGGGAAAAATGCGAGTCAGGTTTCGCTGTCGGGCAACTCGCTGAGTGGGAGGAGTTTGACCGCTTCGGCGGGGGAGAGGAAGAGGTATTTTGGGCAGATGGTTGAGGCGGGAGATTTGGTGGCGAGTGGGATTGAGAATGCTTTTGAGCGGTTGTGAGTGCCCGGACTCGTGATGATGGGAAGGAGAGGTGGGGTGGGGTGGGAGGGAACGAGGAAGGAGAGGCTGGTGGGTTGGTCCTGGCAGAGTGGTTACGGCATTGTTGGTCTCTTCTGTTGTTCTTTTGATCTGGCGGGGGTATCACCATTGAGATTCACGATGTAGCGTGGCGCTGGTGGGTGATAGTTGAGTAGTCGTAGGCTCGACGAATTGCGGCGTAATTTGTTTTGCTCATTGGCTCATCGTAGTGCCTCGACGACAACAACAACAATTGACGTGGCTATTCATCTCCAGTGCTTATCATCATCTAAGTCGGTTCGTACATGTTCTTGCTCTCGTACACCACTCCGTAGTTGGGTGCAGCATCCCCGTATGTATGTATTTATGTATGTATGTATGTATGTATGCTCTACCCCACCAAGCCACCGCCCCCACTTCCATTAACTGTATACCACCAGCGTCTCCACTTATATATCTGTGACTAGGCTTCAGCATAACAACAACATCACTCCTCACATCACAACACCAGCGGAACGACTCGCCCACCATGCCGCCCGCCTCCACCCTCGTCAACAAGATCAAAGTCCAGCTCAAACTCTCCGTCTCCCGCCTTCGCATGGTCCAACAAAAGGACACGGCCCTCGCCAAACAACAACGCCGCGCCATGGCCCAGCTGCTCGAGCAAGGCAAAGAGGAGAGCGCGCGGATCCGCGTGGAGAACATCATCCGCTCGGACATGAACACCGAGTTGCTCGAAATCCTGGAGTTGTATTGCGAATTATTGACAGCACGAGCCGGCTTACTAGAGCAGAAGGAATGCGACCCCGGGCTCGAGGAGGCGGTGAAGAGTATCATCTTCGCCGCGCCGAAGGTGGAAGGGGTGAAGGAATTAGGGACGGTCCGGGCCCTGTTGGTGGAGAAGTACGGGAAGGAGTTTGTGTTGGAGGCGGTGGAGAATCGGGATGGCAAGGTCGCGGCGCGCGTGGCGGATCGGTTGAAGGTGGAGCCGCCGAGGAGGGAGTTGGTGGATGCGTATTTGGAGACGATTGCAGAGGCTTATGGGGTGGATTGGCCGGTTGGGACGGCGGCGGCGGCGAGGAAGAGGGCGGAGGAGGAGGCGGAGGCGGAGGGTGAGGAGGATGATGATGATGATGAGCCGAGTGGGGGGCAGAAGGTCAGGGCGTTAGAGGCTCCTCTTGAGGCGGAGGAGTTGAGCAAGGCTACGCCGCCGAGGGATCTGGTGGGGCCGAAGAGTCCGGTCACTGTTGTGCCGCCTTCGCCTTCCACGGATAATGTTAGGCCTAGGGTGAATTTGCCTGGACCGCCGGATCTGAAGCCCGGCAAGAAGATGGTGGATGCTGGGAAGGCTAAGGCTGCTGCTGCTGCCGGTGTGAATGGGGACAAGAAGGCGGATGGCGGTGGTGGTTCTGGAGGTCCCGGAGGCAAGATCCCGGATGTGGATGAGCTTGCTAAGAGGTTTGCGCAACTGAAGAGATGAGCTTACGAACGAGGCCGAGAATGCAGGACTACATAACAAGGGGCTGGGTTGATCAGCTGATTAAGTGGGAGGACGTACATAGTCAGACCGCCGACGTGCTTGGTGCGAAGTCAAGGTCTCGCCCGCATACACGCAGATGATCTGACGGCGGCTTTTGAGGAGCGCTCACGGGTAGCGAGCTAGGACGAGGAGAAGTAGGTCGCGGGAGGGGGAGTGCATGTGAAGATGGTCGTCAAGCCGACCGTTACGACCGAGAGCAGCGGTCAAAGCCTCGCTTCCGATTAAGCCTGTGGTGGTAGGGTGAAGGTTCGATCTTACACAGAAGCATCAGCAGGGACATGGGCTGCTGAGCGACCGTGGCGAAGCTTCCCGAAGCTGGACGGGAGCAAAATGTTTGAGAAGAATAGAACCAGAAGGTCGGTCGATAGGCACGCGAAAGATCGGAGGGGTGCAGAGTCCTGACGAGGATTGTAAGACCTGTTTTGCGACGAACGAGACGAATGCCTGACACGAGCCTACGATGATACGAAAGTGGCCTCTCATGGCCCAAAACCCGCTTGATCCGAACGCCTCCTCACGCTTCCAGGACCGCACCCCTCAATCACCCAGCTATACAACCTTCCCACCCTTCCTCTTTCTCTCCCGAATAACCATCTCCATCCGCCCAATCATCCCCTTCAACCCCACCCCCTTCTCCCCCCCCTCCTCAAGCCACCCCTCCATCCTCTCCCTAACCCCTCTCAACCCCCTCAAAACCGGCATCTTCCCCCCCTCCTCCCCCTCCAAATGCGCCAGCGGATTAAGCAACAGCTCGAACACCTCCGCCCATATCTCCGTCTGCCAATACCTTTTCAGACTCTCCCGGATCCGATACGTCTTCGTCGCGCCCTGGCCCAACGCGGTCCCATCTTTCGTCCCGATGGTTTCCATGTACTTCCCAAACAGCAGCGAATGAATTATCCCCGCCAGGCCATGATAGTCGATTTGATAAGTCCAAGGCCGCAACTCCCGCATCTCAGCACAATCTGCTTCGGTGGTCTTCCAGTCAGCGATGAAAGCCACCCCGGGGACGAACTGCCTCATATCTATCCCCCTCCCGAAATCGATCAGAGAGATCCCTTTACTCGCCCAGCCGTGCGCGCCAGAGGGGAAGTACGTAGGACTCCAGTCCGTCTCCACCCCGGGGTCGTCGAAGCGCACGAGTACATTATCCCCCTTCAGATCGCCATGGATAAGCTGCTTACTATGCAAACCCTCCACCGTCCGGAGTAGCTCAACAGAAATCCACATCGCCATCATCTCGTCCATCCCGCCTCCTCCCGTCGCCGTGGCGCCGGAGGAAATGTTTTCCAATCGCGCGATGTTGAGGAGATCTAAGAGGGTGCCTTGACAGCGATAATCTTCTATCAGGAAACATTCGTCTCGGTAGAGATGCATTTCGTGCGCCCGCACGATCGAGGAGCTGGCGCGCGAGACGCCGAGGCGTCGGTGCGATTGTCGGAGCATGTAGAATTCCCATGTGCTGGGCGGATCTTCCATTTTCAGGGCTTCGAGGTGCGTGCGGTGTGTGCTTTTGCCCATGCGTGAGGGGGGGCGGTTCTCGCCGATGTGCTCTTCTGTTGTTGATGATGGTGGTGGTGGTGGTGCTTCGGCGCTGTTCTCGATGAGATAGACTGGGGCGAAGGTTCCTTCGCCTAGTTGGCGTTTGAGGGTGTAGATCCCCTCTGCGCCGGGTAAGGAGAGCATGGGTGGGAGGGAGAGGGTCTGGGCTGTCTTGTCCAGGTTTACGCTACTCCGCGACGCCTTGGCGAGGGTCTTGACGTATTTTCGCATCTCGGCTGTGCGGCCGGAGGTTTGGTCTAGGTGTTCGTGGTAGCCTTCGTAGGACGTGAGGGAAGGTCTCAGTTGGGAGAGGATGGTCTGGCGTATGGATGGGTCCATGGGGTTGCATTGTTCGTCTTTGACTAAGGGGCCTTTCTGGACTGGTTCGGAGGCTGAGGAGGATGATGGCCGGGATTTGGCGGCGAGTTGGGATTTGGCTGTGCCTTGGCCTAGGGCGATGGTGCCTTTGGTCGTCTTGGTTCGGATGGGCTGGAGGACTTTTCGTTTGTCTTCAGCTAGGCCAGGGATGATTTCTTGGAAGGGACTGCTGTAGATTTCGTCGTCTTCGGGGAGGGGTTCCGGTGCACCTACTTTTCGACTTGGTGTTTTGGCGTGGAAGTAGTCTTTCTCGGTTCTGACTGTTGCTACGCCGAAGGAGGATTCGGTTTGCTCTACTATGGGCGTCATAAACGGTAGTCTGTGGTTCGGTAGCATGGCGGCATCACGGTATTGGGCTGAAGATGCCTCGTAGTCCTCGGGTGGCATGGGCACATATTGCGTTCGTGGATTTTCTTCTTGTGGTGTCACGAGCTCCTCTTCCTGCTGCATCTCATCGGCATGGGCAGAATCGGTATACACCTCCCAGGTTGTGCTCTGCGCAGAGGGAGGAGCACTGTCGTCGATTTCTCCAGGCATGTGCTTGCTGGTTGTGAAGTCGGACCACCCAGTAACATTTGTTTGGCCGTCTGGATCAGAAGCTGGTATTGCCTCTTGCGCTTCAAGAAGCTCATTCCTGGTCTCATCGCCATATTCGCTAGCTGTTCCAGAAAGCTTGCCAGTGGCTGTACTCTCGTCACCAGTCGTATAATCGTCCTCACTGTCCTCTTCTTCGGCATCCGACTGTTCAGTTTGTGAAGGTAGTGGCTGATTGAAGATGCCATATATCTCGTCCAGGGCTTCCTTAGTATTAATCGTCATTGTCGGCTCAGCTTTGTCAGTAGACTTCTTTCGCTTTATTTTCGGGCCTGTCGGTGAGTCGAGGTTAAGCTGAATGGTCTTGGTCTCGTTCTTGATATGCTTGACGTCCATCACCTGGATCTTGCGTGTTCGATTCGCACGCTCCTCCCGACGTATGCGCTTCGCCAGGTCCGCTTCTCTCGACGGCTTAGGCATCGGTGCGTTCTCATCATTCTCATCATTGAGTGCTAGGGTCTTGGAGAACTTCTCGACAAGCGCTCGCTCCTCTCGTATATGGTCGTCAACGGAAGCCTGTACAGGAGCTGTATCTTCGAAGATTTTGAAGCCACGCTGCTTGGGCTTCGTCTGCTCCATGGGCATCTCGAGCTGTACCTCTTCCGCTGGCAGAGGTACACGATCGAACATACTCGTCGTGTCAAGCTGGAGATCTAGCTTCGATTCGACGACAGCTGGCTTCGTCTGCATTGCTGGCGTCTTCTCCCTCCCCCGACTCCACTCCCGATCCAGCCAACCTCGATGCCGGGCCTGCAGCTCCTCGAAGCAGTACTCGCTCCCATCGAAATCCGGGTATACCGCTTCGAGGTTGACGAAAACGCACTCTAATCGCTTCGTCTTCGGGTTCATGGCGCACTGCTGCTGGTGAGTACCACTTGACAAGGACTTTTGCACGTGCTTAGGTAAAGGGTAAGAAGGTGATCGTTTCGAGGACTGTATACAGCGCGTTACTTAGGCCTGCATTCGTAAATATGCTGGTCGGCATCATATCATGATCTCGGGGCTGAACTTACCTCATCCTTGAATACCATCAATTTCTCCATGCCGCCATTCGTCTTGCCGCCCTTCAGAGTCTCGCCGGTCCAAGGCTTGGCCTCTCTCGAGTTCTCCTTCTTGCGCTCTGCGATCGTTCCAATGTTGTCCCAGCCTTTGCTGCGGCTTCCAGAATCGGGTCTCGCTGGCTCCTCGGCATCGGAGAAAATGGCTAGTTTCGAGCTCTTGCTCTTCTTCGCTGCTGTTGATCGAGCTTGTTGCTGTGCAGCTGCCGGGGATGACGTTGCGAACAGATCGGCTTTTGCAGCGAGAGCCGGTCTTGCTGTCGGCACTGCAGGACTTGTGGGCTCTGTTGCATCCTCTGGTCGCGCTTCTTTCCTTCGCTCGAAGTCGCCAAACTTGCGCATTAATCTCTCAGCAGGGCGTGCTTCCCTCTCCAAACCCATCTTGTAGACTTCTTCTGCCTGCTTCCACCGCCCAGCACTCTCCAGCCATGCCGCAAATTCTTCGTAGTATAACGCAAGTCCTTCGCCGATGTTATGACGCGCCAGATACGCGAAGATCTCCCTTGGCGCGTCAGAGAAGAGTCGGATGTAATGCAGCCACAATTTGAGATACCGTGGGTCGTTCTTGTAATGTGCTGACGACTGTAATGACTTTGTCGCGCGTTCGAGCAGAGGCAGGAGCTGTGTTTGTCTGGCCTGTGGGGACGGGTATGTGTCCAGCGTCCACTTCACGTATCGATCGTATACATCCAGCGGGTCGTCTGCATCCTCTATGTTGGCCAGCTCCTTTTCGTATGGTTCGCGCTCTTTCGCGTGAGCATCTTGTACGGTCACAGGCGATGGGTTGGCGCCTAGCGGAGGTGGTGAATAAAGCTGTGCCAGTGCCTTTGCCGATCGTCCACTGGGAAGAGCCTCGATGTTCTCCTTGTGTGATTCGATGACGTTGAAGTCGATAAGATCCCCTGAGGCCATGTCAAGGTTAGTGCTGTCGGGTCTCCAGAGTTGTGCCTGGTCGAAGGTCGCTAGTTCGACGAGGAGGAGAAGATGGATGTTGATTTACAGACACAGCCGTTGTTATGGCAATGGGACCTCGGACCCTGCATCGGACCCCACGATTCCGAGCTGCGTCACCTGCTTCAAGCATGTGCGCGCGTGCTTCGATACCTCTCATCACTGCCTGCAGATGTAGCACTGCCTAAACACCCATTTCCTCGATCATGGACCGAGACTCGTCCTCCCTGTAGCTCTTTCAGCCCTAGAAGTCGTCTACTAGCACTCGACCCGCAGCATGTCCCGTCGATATCATAGACTAGGCTTCTTGGTGAAGCTGCCCTTCCGCTTGCCTGGTCGATAGTGCATCGGATCACTACATACATTTACCACGCCTACAGGGCATATTTACCCTCTCCACATCAGTCACGATGATGTCCTCACGGATGCTGTCACGCCTACTCCCAGTGGCCGAGGGCGATGTCTCAGTATATGAGAGCGTGCGTCGAGATGCAATAAGGCAGCCAGACATCGAGGCGCGCCCACGCACTGCGAATCATGAACGGTTTCACGATGAAGATGATGATGATCCAGAGGCTCTATTGTACGACGATGTGACAGACGACGGACCTTCGCAAAGTGCTACAGTCAGTCCAGAGATAAGAGGTGCCGATCTATGGCTCGGCAAGAAAGGTAGCAGGAAGGCAGACGAGGATGAAGATGTTCCCGAATCGCTGTTGCTCGAGGACCGCACAAGGAGGAATGCACCCCAGCAAGCCCCAGAGAGCTCACAGGGTCGGACGGAGGCACAGTGGAAAGCTGCACAGCAACAACGCTTGCATGCGTCTGTGATGCCTGGAAGACCAAGAACGAGCTCATCCAGACCTCAAACTGCTACAACTTCACCCCCTCAGCCCAATCCTCAGACGGCAGCCACCTGGCAATACACAAATGCGCACAACCTCGACGCATTCGTACTTGAGGTATATCAGTATTATACCGGCCACGGCATCTGGTCTATATGCTTGTCACGAGCCATCAATCTTACGACCGAGCTATTCGTCTTCAGCTTCGCCACTTTCCTCACCACTTGCGTCGACTACACCAAAGTACCAACGAGCAAATCGACAGGCGAAGTCATGATACCAAAATGCATGGCCAAAGCTCCATGGTGGAAGAATGCCCTAATGTTCCTCTTTATCATCTACTGGCTAGGCCAATCTGTCAGATATATCGGAGATGTACGACGACTGCTGCGCATGCACACCTTCTACAGCCACGTCCTCGGTATCGGTGATCAAGACATACAAACTGTGTCCTGGGTCCGAGTAGTGGACGGTATAGTCAAGCTACACAACGCCAATATCGCCACGGCCGACCCAGGACCAGCCGTGCGCAAGTATGCCAAGTACAGCAAACCACAACAGCGCATGAATGCTGAAACGATCGCGAATCGCCTAATGCGTCAGGCAAATTATTACGTGGCAATGTACAACAAGGAGATCTTCGACTTTCACCTCCCCGTCCCATTTCTTGGCCAACGACATTTCTACTCCAAAAGTCTAGAATGGGGCATAGACTTCTGCCTTACCAACTTCATCTTCGACGAACAAGGCAGTATTCGCCCCTTCTGTCTCGAAGTCCGCAACCGGCAAGCCCTAGTACAAGCTCTCCAAACACGTCTCCGCTTCGCGGCTCTAACCAGCATCCTCGTCGCACCTCTCAATATCATGCGCTTCTGCGTCTACTTCTTCTTCAGGTACTACACCGAGTTCTCCCGCAACCCGTCGAAAGCCAGCGCGCGCTCTTTCACGCCTTTCGCCGAGTGGAAGATGCGCGAGTTCAATGAGTTAGATCACCTATTCGAGAGAAGGATACGGCAGGCTTATCAGCCTGCTAATCAATACCTGCGACAGTTTCCGAAGGATAAGGTGGATCAGATCTGCCGCTTTGTTGCTTTTATTACCGGCGCTATTGCCTCTGTGCTTGCCCTGGCCACGCTGTTCGACCCGGAACTCTTCCTCGGCTTCGAGGTGACGCCCGGGCGTACAGCGGTGTTCTGGCTAACAGTCATGATCGGGGTCTTTGGCGTGGCACAAGGCTCCTTGCCTGACGAAGACGAAGTGCATGATCCCGTCCTGCATCTTAGAGCGGTGTTGTTCTACACCCACTACATCCCATTCCACTGGAAAGACCGTCTACATAGCACAGAAGTCCGGTCCGAGTTCTCGGCTATGTACCAGCTGAAAATAACCATCTTCGCAGAGGAGATCTTGAGTCTGATCGTTGCTCCACTCATCCTTCTGCGCAACGCGGGCAAGAGAAGCGAACGCATCATCGATTTCTTCCGCGAGCAGACGGTGCATGTCGATGGTATAGGTCACCAATGCAATTTCGCCGTCTTTGGTTTCAAGAAAGATCTCAATGCTGCCGATCCTGAAACTCTACTGGAAGAGCCCGACGGTCTGCGGGACGAGTACTTTGGGTTGAAGGATGATAAGATGGCTGCTTCGGTGCAGAACTTCATGCAGTATTATAGCCATTACAACCAGCAGCGGCAGCAAGGGACGAAGCGAGGATGGCAGCCACCGCCTGCTTGGCCGCCCATGTTGACTTCTGATGCAATGGGCGAAGAGAGTACGGGGAAATACACGCATTCGGCTGTTCCTGGCCGAGTCACACAGATCAAGCGCTCGACAGTCCTGGATCAGCCATCGAAACGACGGCCGGGTGCCCGTGATTGGCCTGCGCAAGCCGGTGTCGATCGTCGACCAAACAACAGATCTGGTCGCGTCGAGAATAAATTCCTGAATGTAGCGAGTCCGCCTAGTATGCATGCCGTAAGTGAGAGTGTCATGATGCAGAACGATAGCGATTTGCATGAGATGCTCCAGCAGCCTGTTGGGAGGGAGGAGGGGACGGAGAGCGATACTGATGCCGATGAGAATGGGAATGGGAATGGGAAGAAGGATGAGGTGGGGAATCCGGGGGTGTTGGGGATGCTGTATCAGTTTTCTAAGGCACAGGCGGAGAGGGGAGGTGGGGTGGGTATATGATGAGCTATACACCATGTTTTGAATGGCTTTGAACAGGGTGGCCTTGGTAGACATCGCGTGTCGCTCGTGCTGGCTCTTGTGCAGGCCAATACCTAGGCACCTTTCTACCGTGAAGCCATTCTGCGGCTTGAAGAATATGTCCCCCAGCCCGCGGATGCTCCGTTCTATTTCGCGTAGCTAATACGAACAGCGCGTAGTGTCCACACCTACAAGACCAGACCAGCCATCAACAACCCCAGCCCACCAAGTACCTCGCTCACGCCCGTCACCATCGCTCCTGCCGCAGAAGAGCTGGAAGCAGCTGCACTCGCCGCGCCAGAAGGTGCGCTCGAAGCTGTAGCCGATGTCATACCGGGCATACTGGTCATGGTCCCGGAACTCGCAGGCATACTAGCACTAGCAGAAGGATCGGCAGCATCCTGGAAACTCTGCTGGTTGGTGAAGACGGCACTGAAGCCTGTTGCGTTTGAGCAGGTAGGGCCGAGAGTAGTATTGGATCCTATGATGAAGTTGACGGGTGCGCACTACGACACACGATCATGTCAGCTCTCCCATCATGATTCTCATGGTATTGATAGGTCTGTGTCATGTACCTGATACAGAAACCCATCCGCGGAATTATCAATCACCTGTATCACACCCCCCTTCCCAGCAAACCCCGCAGGAGCGCTCATGAAGTTTAGGCAGAAGTCGCCTATACCTGTCGTGTTGACGATAGGTACGATGGTGGTGAAGTTATACGGCTCTTGGGTGTCCGTGGTCGCCCGGATCTGCCATTGGCCCTGGGGATGGGTGTTCTGGACTTGGATGGCGAATTGGTTGATTTGGATTTCTGGGCTGCTGCTGTTTACCGTTACGACTGCTCCACCGCATGGTAAGGTGGGTTCGGAGTCGTCGATGAAGCCGGCGGTCGGTGGCCAGTGGAGGATGAAGTGGGCTGAGGAGAGGGTGAGGAAGCTGAGGAGGAGGAGGGTATTGGCTGCCATGGTTGGTGGATAGGGGAGAGTGGCGCGCTTGGAAGGCCGAAGTTGATGTTGAGGGAGTAGTTGTGTTGGACACCAAGGCGGCCTGGTGGATAATTGAAAACAGAATCTGTAATAAGACGAGAGGCGAGGGTATGATCTCGCATGAGGCCTTTGTCCAGCCACGTGGGCGCGAATACTACTATCGATGAAACTTGCTCACTGTATTGAGGCCCTCACATTCTCCTTGAGAGTGTGGCCAATACGAGTGAAGACCTACATGAGGCTATTATTCTGACTTGCATGACTAGCGCGGGTCTATGAGCATGTTTGAGGTCCTTGGCGTCAGATCGCTCTGATCACAGCTTGTAGTGTGGGAGGCTCCGTCTGAGGCAATCATCACGCCGCAATCGGTCTGCGCCGGATGATCGATATCGATGCTGCATTTCTGTTCTTGTTAATTCACACTTCCTGAGTCGTATCCCGACCCCCTATCGTTGTGCGCTGACCATCATCTTGTCCCGGCGTATGTCGAAAAGTTGTTTCGCGCCCGAGATATACCTTTTGTAGCGGGATCGCAGCACTGATAGCGATCATGGACGGCATGAACATGGACATGGGTGGGATGGATATGACCAGCGAAGGCATGTTTACCAGTACGAATCGTGGGATCGCCCAGAATTACTGGTATGGAATCGTGGTAGCGATCGGCTGCTTCGTTCTGGCAAGAGTGGTCTCGACGTTACAGCGATGTGAGCGGTTGCAGAAGAGATTTTTCGCAGGAAAGAGCGTGCCATCGCGGCCATCCACCCTTCTGGCTCGGACTCATGCGACCGTGATCGCGATTATGCGAGAGATGACTTATCCACAACCGGTTTACTTCGTCGGCACCATCAGTAGATACTTCACTCCTCTTCCATTGGGACGTTGGATCATCATCACAATATACTGGACAGTGCTCCTGATCTTCCTATGGAGCGATACGGTCCTCCGACCAGACGATCCAATGTACGCATACAAATGGGAGAAGGTCGGGTTCCGAGCAGCGTGGGTCACAGTGGCACAGATACCATCTCTCTACCTGCTGTCGATGAAATTCAGCCCCTTGACGTTCCTGACGGGCATCTCATACGAGCGAATCAATTGGCTTCACCGGTGGGCGGCGAGGACGGTCTTCCTGACGGCTATCCTCCACTGGTCATTTTTTCTGCGAGAATGGTGGCTCGCCGACTTTGTTGAGCTCGAGATTCAAATGATGCCCATGGTGAGATGGGGTTTTGGCGCCTTTGGTATCCTGGCCTGGATGATCATCTCAGGCTTCGGCTTCTTTCGAGCTCGAGCGTACGAGATCTTTGTGGCCCAGCATATCGCCTCTGCAGCAGTATTTCTCTGGCTTTTGTATTGTCACGTCCCGGCTTACAATCGCAGCTATGTATGGGCCTCTGTCGCATTCTTCGCCTTCGACTTCACCACGCGTATTGTCTGGAGTTTCTGGCGAAACATTCATCTTCGTGGTCGACTCCCTCGAATCGGGTACTCAGCCCGACTCGAATGTCTGCCTGGCGAGGTAGTACGATTACAGATCAACGATGTTGGCTTTCGGTGGAATGCTGGCCAACATGCCTTCATTTGCATACCACGTCTGCGACCCTTCGAGCTGCACCCTTTCACCATCGCAAACGCTGCTCAGCCACGCGATGCAAGAGCTAAGCAGCAGAAGTTCACAATGCTGATCAAAGCGCGATCCGGCTTCACAAGAAGCCTCTATAGAGCAGCTGCGTGCGCAAACAAAGGCGACTGCGTCTTTACAGTCTTCCTGAGCGGACCTTGGGGAGCGCCACCGAAGCTCCACCACTACGACACAGTCGTGATGATCGCTTGTTCGACGGGCGCGTCGTTTGCAGTGCCTCTTGTCGATGACTTGGTTCACAATCCCGGCTGCGTGCGAAGCATTACTCTCCACTGGATCATTCGTCATGAAGACCACTTTGCACGGTGTGAGCAAGAGTTACATGGACTGATCGCGACGGCTAAAGAATGTGCTCTTCAGTTGCGGGTCTGTGTACATGTGACACAGGGCATGAATCGTGGCCTACAGACTGTTCGTTGTATGGTATCGGAAGACGAGGGCGAGTTCCGATCGGCACTGTTCAGGCACACATTGGCCGAGAGTGTCAGCATGACCAGCTCGACCTCTAGCGCTGACGAGACAAAGCTACTGTCATACAATCAGCAGGCCGCGTCTCTTGATAAGGTGTATGGCTGTAGGCCCACAGTTGACAGTATGATCCGCCCGCCAGTGGAAGCAGCACTAGGCGAGACTGCCGTGGTAGTATGTGGTGGATTGTCAATCACAGCTCAGGCACGGAACTCCGCGGCTGGTCTATCGGATGAGAGAGCAGTGCACAAAGGGACGAATGCTGAAGGCATCTACCTCTTCACCGAGAGCTACGGATGGTAGAGATGTCGGACCCGCAAGGCCGGATGCTCAGCCGATCGGTACAGTAAACCAGTAATTCCGTCAGGTATACAATCCAGTGAAAGTCGACTTTGGCGCCCCATGTTGTCCTTGGAGATGGTTGAGGATCGCTGCAGCCAGCATACGGCAGACGGAAGTGGACCACTTTGAGAAAGACGCTGTGCTGCCCAGAGTCGGCATGCGTGGCTACCAGGTTCAACCTGCGTCGGTCTTGCAGCACAAACGTGGCACTGTCTCGTTGGCAGGCAAACATACTTCAGTTGAGATAGACTAATTCGTTGAAGACTCCAATACCTCGGTGCCTGAGTCTTCACGAGCTAAGGCAGGGACGATCGCCAAGCCATGTACGAAGTATTGGAAGATATAGCAGTGACCTCTTTCGGCCTCGCGATATGCAGGCTGCTTTTTGGCTACTGTGAGTTGATACGCTGTACAAGACAACGTTGTCTAATCGTGCAGATCCGTATAAGAGCCGTGGCAAGCGGAGAGTAGAGTTTTATGGCTTTTCGGTATGACCATAAGAGAACGCTGCGGCGCTTTACCTGCCGCGCCCCCAAAGTAAGATGCCTCTGCAGTCAAAAAGGCGTCCTTGTTGCCAGACACCAGACGGTGGGCCCTGTGGACGCATGCTCGGGCGCATGCGGACAAGCAGGCTTTGCTGTTGCGAGGTCGTCATGTTACTTGTCGCCTGTCGCCTTGGGTAGTTTTCATCGGTGCCCTCCGCGGTTCCAACGCGATTCCGGGTAGAGCGCATGAATAGTGAAAGACACTGCGTATCGTTGTGGAGGAGCGGCTGGAATCACGGTAGCTATTTCAACAGAGCATACGACGGAGGCTGTAGCCACCGACAAAGTGATGGATGTGCAGTAGTGTCAGCCTCAGCCGCTAGGATAATCGAGATTGTGCCCCGTGCTCAGGACGGACATGAAACACTTGGCTTGGCTTGCCGACGAGATCGATCGCGTCACGACTGTATGCAGACTTACTTTCCTTTGACTCACTTCCTGTTTACCGTGTGCCACGTCGTTGATCATCATGCTATCATACATTGGGTATCCTTGTTGCGCTGCGTGCTCGTAAGATAGCGCTCTATACTCGGTCGGCTCCCATAGTATCGAGTATCGACAGAGGGCAAAGGAACAAAGCCGGTTGGGGGCGGGCGATATCACGGCTCTCCTGTGGTTCTCCGAGTTCAAGGTTTGGTACCTGCGTTGCATCAACCTTATGCCCATCTTGAGCCCTTCCCCTTGGCGACGTGTGAAAACAGGATCGTTAAGAGGCGTTCTACATTTGAGAAAACCGAACTCTACCAAAAATACAATGCGCGTATCAGGCGCCGCTGGCACGATGGGTAGTCGACCAGACGAGCATTCGAGCTCTAAGACTCGCCATGATCAACGTCAATGGCTTGCAACCGTTGCCTATTAGCGAATTTCGCTCTCCATCTATGCAGGTAAGGACGGGACGATCTGCAGATAGCGTCTCTGCGCAGTAACCATCCACCACTCGTTCAGATTCGGCTCCACGCGTACAAATCAGCGTTCGTCTCGCACTCTCGCACGAAGACCCGACTCGCTTTAACAAGGTCGCCTGGAGCATAAGGTCGAGACCACGAAGAGCACACTGTGTCACTGTTTCATTCAAAGAGGCTGCGGACCTAGGCTGATATCAAAGACATCACCATTAATTAACCCAGTATCGCGGGGTGAGATTTCATCCCTGCCGACTTAGATTGCACTACCTTTCTAGTCACTGACGCACAACCTGACAGGGAACGTTTTTATGCGACCATACACAGATCGGCGTTCGAGACGCACATCTAACATGGATTGATCTGCTTACTACTCCACGCTTTCAACGTTCTCTCCATCACACAGAGTGGATACAACTCCAGCGCAGCACCTCCGTCACTACTAGTAATCTTGTGACACCTGGATCTGTTCTATTACATCTTATTAAACTCAAGGGTCTGGCATCTTAATCATCGACTTCACAACAAATTTCCTCGTTCTCACAATGGATTCTGGAGACGAAGAGAAAGCGCTGCAGTTGAACTGTGGTCTGCACCGTCGTATGTCCGTTCTATCAACACCTACCTCCAGTCCTCGATCTACTTCACCAAGAGAGCCACAGCTATGGATACCAACAGAAGCACCCTCAACAGCACCTGACACCATCGTCCTTGGACTGTGGCCTTATGCGACCGACGAACAGACGCGATACTACGTACAGGGGTACGAAGCGTTGTATCCTGATGCACAACTGTTGTTGCTGCAGTACTCAACATCTTACGACAAACAGCTTGGCGATGCGTTAGATGCTTTGACAGCATCACAAGAGAAGCGAGCTCTCGATGCGCCTCCGAATGTCCTGTTGCACCTTTTCAGCGGCTGTGGTGCAGCCCAAGGTTGTCGTCTGTTACGAACATACAAGATACGGACCGGCCAACGTTTACCTGTTAAGGCCGTAGTCATGGACTCACTTCCGGCATTGAGGGTCCCAACGATTCACTCGATCATGGCATCGCCATACTTGGTACTATCATTTCTCTACACACTTTTGACCATGATGTTTGTCCGCATGATAGCGACCCTCAACTACTTTCACTTCGAACAACGACGACGACAAAATCGGCACGACCTTAACAACCCTTTCCTCATCCCACCGGATGCACGCAAGTGCTACATCTTCGAAGAAAGGGACTTGATGTTTTCGTGGCATGACAGTACACAAGACCAGGCCGACGAAGAATGCATACGGGACGACATCTCGGTTAAGCGCACTTCGATAGACGAGAAGGGACGATTGACTGGCGATCAAACACGATACTGGACGGGCATCGACAATGTCTGGAATGGCTCGACGTGATCAAACCCTGTACCTACATTCACTTTCTTGTGTTATCAAAGCGTTGCGCCTTCGATGGACGAAGGATCATCACAATTTATTGGTAGGGCTGCATGAATGAACCTTAAGGTCGCCACAGACGAAAGCAGGGTTTGGGATTGGGACTATGGGCAGCACACGGGACTACGACGATTTGACGAATTTTAACGATTATATACTGTAGTAACACGAAGTCCTTTGCTGTACTGACGTCGACCTTACACCGCAGAATCTGTGACGAGTGTAGATCGGTACTTCTGTACTACGTGATCCGCGATGTCTCGGATGCTCAATGCAGGAACGATCGCGCATCATCTCAACGGTCGTCGGCAGAGTCTTGCCACGGGCCGACGTGGAGTCAGCTTTGTGTTTGTCCCGAATTCCGAGCCACACGAGCAAAACATGATTGGAAACTCTTGCGACGGTCTTGCGACGGTCTTGGACTCGCAATGATGCCGTTGCATTCTCACGCCTCTGTCTTAGACACTACCTTATGAATGCATGGTTAATCTTGCCGACAGAAAGGGCTCACACGAGTCAGATTGAGAACCGCAGAAAATGATTCAGGACAGGCTGCAATGCTTAACGCCCTCTGCAATGCAGCAACTAGCATATTTAGACTGCTGAGGTTGCTTTACACCTTACACGTGTCGCAGTACGACTGGACCCACGCCGCTCTTAGCCAGTGGGTGGTGCTGCGTTGTCACGGGCGCTGCTATACTGACCAGGGAGTTGTTGGGAATGCCCACGAAGGCAAACTCATGCAGCAACCATGCCTCGAGACGGGTGCATAAGACGTAGTTATCTGCATTCAGCGAGAAGGCTCAAAGTCTACTGCATGCGTAGTGAGGAGTCTCACGACCCCCTGGTGTTGAAAATGGAAGGTCTTGAGACATTGATCGACAGGGCGAGGGGTTGATATCTGGTCATTTCCATACCCTCCGCGTGGAAATCTGTCCGTCCATGTTATTGCACACTACCAGGACTTACATAGGAGTGCAGCAGAACTCATTTCATCACCGCACTGAAAGCTCGGAGTGCCAACGGCAAGCATTCACGGACGCCAATATCTGGCCGTACAACCGCGCATCGTTCGCTGCTTTGTCACACGCATCTCCGAAGAGGAATAGAATGGCCTATGTGGTGTACAGTGTATGTGTATAATCTGGCCAAGCCAGCGATTCGAGCGCGACTAATACTTAGGCCTGGAAGGTATCGTCTTAAGCTGGTCCGCAGGATTACCTTCCATATCGAAAAGCTTATAGATCCATTTCAGAATGATGTGGAAGCTCTCAGGTTCACCCATGTGCTTTAGGCCCTTGATGAAGCGGACTTCCTTCGGCGGACCCCGGAGTAGACACTCATGATAATCGTCAATGGGAAAAATCTCGTCCTCTGTCCCGTTCACCAGCAGCAACTTGGTGCAGTCAGGACCGTCGAGGGTGCCATCGTTCACTAGGGAGAACTTCATACCCTCCTTCTTGAACGCTTCGAGGTCATCTCCGTATCCCCACTTGAAGGCCAGCGTGTTGGCGAGATCGAAAGGATACTCCAGATGATTGACATGAGAAAGCCGGCGCTCGTCGAACATGTAGTGGCATCCGCCTCCGAGCGCAACGGCCCCTGCAAGACGATCATGGTGGGTATGTGCAAGACGAATGCCGTAGTACCCACCTGTGCTGAATGCCCAACAGGCCACTCTCTTGTGGTCGATCTCGGGCTGCTCATCGATCCAGTCGAAGAGTGTTGACCACTCACGCTCAGGCGATGTGATGTCCTTCGGGTCAGCAGGCGAGTCACCAGTGCCCGGGATCTCCAACACGATAACACCAACACCCTTCTGCGACCATCCCTCAATCCACACAGCCAGCTCCGTTCGATAGCCGTCCAAGCCGGTCAAGACGATGACCAACGGCACAGGGCTGTCGTTTGATGTACCCGGCGGAAGGTGATAGTAGAACGGGATTTCCTTCCCTTCGTTTTTGAGGCCATGCTTGTGTGGAATAGTGATCTCCTTTGTTGGTCGCTCGCGTAATGCAAGGCCTTTAGCTGCAGCCTTCTTGCCTTCTCGCCATGCGTACCTTTGCTTTTCGGAGCGAGGCGCAGGAAAGCGGGAGATACGGTATACAGCAGAAGCGCGACTGGACGCTGGTCAGACAATGTTGGTGTTTCGCCACAAGTTGGACGTACAGGTAGATCTCCGACGCCTTCTCTTTATTGCCTTCCCTTTCAGCCTTTTCGGCTTCCGCTAAAAGCTCTTCAGCTTTCGGGACTATATCGATAGTGTTAGAAATGGGGCCAGGTATGTATCTCGAGCCGTGACAACGTGCAGTATACCTGCGCGTAAGAGTCCCATTCATATGGCTCCTTTTGACCTTGCTGATCACGAGTTACTAACCACAGACACTATTGTGGACATCTATTTGGATTACCTTGATCAATTCAGCAACGATAGGCTCGAAGTCCTCATATTTCGAGAACATGAACGGATAGATCCCTAGACGAGCCTAAGAACTAACATCAGTCACGAACAAAGACTGATATGTGGTCCACGGACAGGTTGCTTCCACTTCATCTCCCATAATCTGCAGAGTGTCAGCTAGGAACGCAGGATGACAGTCGTGCCTTGGACTAACTGCTCGAAACTCTCATGGTGAGCTGCCTTTGTAGTGAGCTTGTCTTGGATGACTTGATCTCTAATCAGTACGCCGTTGAGTAACGATAGCTGCAGATGTGCACACTGAGCAGAATCTCGTATCAGCCCTGAACTCTCACGATACTTCAAGATTCCTACCAAAATTGACTTCCGGGGGCAGCCATTGTGATCACGTAGGTGATGTTTTGTATGTCAAGGTCCGTTTCTCAGTATGATATTCCCTGCAACTTGACGATTGATGTTGAGCATCTTGCACAGCAACATTATCAATGTAGTCAGTTTTTAGCCGGGTTAGGAAGATGCGGGTCATCGATTGCTAACATGCCCGGCACCTACATATCGGGATGGAAGAACATTTCACCGCCACCTCTCCTCCACGTCTTTGCCATAGACCTCACCATCTCTTTCAAAGTGTGTCTTAATCATGTCAGCCAAGAGCCCCACCAAAGCCATTTTCGACAGCCTACAAGGCTCATGGCGACTCAAGCGATCGTTGAACAGTATCCTGCCGGGCTTCCCATCTGGAACTTTCGAAGGCACAGCCCAATTCACGCCACGAACCCCAGGTGCGCATTCCGTGGCGGGTGAACTTCTCTATGCTGAGAGAGGCGAGCTGAAGACTGACAATGGCTATAAACTGAGAGCCAATCGAAGTATCGTCACTTCGACGGCATGAGATTCAAGCATCCGCTGACTTATGCCCAAGAATACATCTACCGCTACAATGCCGACGAAGATAAAATCAGCACCTGGTTCGTCAAAGAAGATACGAAGCAAGTCGACGGCAAGGAGGAGATTGACTACTTATTTCACGACATCGATACCGAACGTGTCGGTCCCGCGGTAGTGTGTCGTGGGGAGCACTTATGTGAGCTCGACATGTATTGGGCGTATGATGATAACCAATGTCTTGTTTGTCAGGCTCTACTGACGTGGATCTCAGCTACTATGAATTCCGCCTGCCCAAATCTGCTGGTGAAGGCCAGAAGATGGATGTCTTTGGCGTGAAGTACAAGGTGAAAGGGCCACAGAAGGACTACACGTAAGTGCTCCTGGAGTATAGTCATGTAGTATCTCGTGACTGTAGGTACTGAGAGTGTTGAAGGACCGACACTGCATATGAGAGGACCTTCTCGGCTGATCTTGTCACACGATGAACGCTGGCTGCGACCATGCGTGACATGTTTGCCACTGGTGATTCACCACTGTATCGACGCCTGACCCAAGCTCTAGCTTCACGGTTGCGAGACAGAGCGATGAATTTGACCCTGCATCGATTCCATCAGGGTTAGTAGAAGCACATTCGACAGCCATGAATAGGGTCAGACGAGCTCCACTCGAGAACGCGCTCCTCCGATCTAGTGGGCGACACAATGACTCGAAGACACAACTTCTAAGCTGGCTGGACGGGAATGCTTTGAGGTGCTTGCGAGCTGTGTGCACAGTCTTACACAACTACGTGGACTCGAAGCCTGGACGCCCTTTCCGCGGGCTCTATGCCAGCGCGACAACGGCAGATGTTCGTCTAGATCTCGCCTGGCGCAGGATCGCTAAGTTCTGCTATATCTTGACAATTACGATCTCAGCACCAAGCACGCAGTCGGCCGAGGACAAGGAGTCCTCGTCGCAGGTATCATCGTCTAGACGCAAGTACTCAACGCTAAGCGACATACCTCTCTATCAAAAGGGCAAGAGTGTTCTCGCAAGATTGCCATGGAATCGACCTCCTCCCAATGAACAGTTATCAAGATATCAGGGCGCACGACTATCCATCGCCTTCGACAGGCGGTCCAACCCAGACCAAGACCTGCAAGATGATGCCACAGCACACTGGCTCTCTCTACTTGCACCCTGCCATCAACTACGCACCATCATCCTCCGCGTCCACGGTGACCCATCATGGCCCGGTCGCACAAAAATCGAGAGAACCCTCATCACGATCCGCAGCGCGCTGGAGCAATCCGAACTCCCACATCTGACCGAGATCCGCTTCGCGCCCATCCACATCATGGGTATCATCCACCTCCGCTGGGCAGGTCTCGGGGTCTTCGGCTTCGCTAGCATACCATCGCCATCGCCATCCCCACTCGAGCAGAGCATGTGGCAACGCCTCCAGACTCTCGACCCTGCAGATCATAACTCCCTTCCACGGCGCCAAAGACTCGCCGAGTCCAGCTCAAAAGCAAATGTCCAAGAAGATCCTTCATGACTTTCTGCGGAGCTTCACGCCCACACTTCGAGTCCTACGGTTCCTGTGGCTGGGAGCCGAGGGCCCGAGTCCATTGCTCTTGCATCTCGACTTCGAGGACGAAGACCCTTCGATCGACAAGGCGGAGTGCATCAGTCATTCCGATCAGACTCCAACTATGACAGCACTCCACTGGACCCAGCTAGAAGAAATCTACCTAGGCTCTATCACTCACCCACAGCGAACAATCGCTCTCGCGCTCGAATCAGCACCGCGTTTACGCAAGTTCTGGATGCTACGGTGGGGCAGCAGTAGCCACCAACGAGCTTTCAAGCCCGACGACGGCAACGAAGCAGATTGGGTGGACGTCGTGCCTATGCCTGTATCACGGGCCATGCCCAGCACGGTCGACAAGAGAGGAAGGAGGACGGCATCCACGATGATGGTGGCGCTGAGGAGGCGAAGCGACGTGAGTAGTATTTACAGCCAGGAGGACGAGTAGCAGGTTTTCTGGCATTCAACAACGTCAACGGGACACTCGCGTTCCTGACGTACCTTAGCGAGCAGCTCTATACCGCTGACGTAAGCAAGATTAGGATATGCGCCAGCAGCAAGCACAAGCACAGTAGATTCACAACCGCGGATTTCGCAAGAGGGACCAGGTGCATTCAGGCGCATTCACGGGGGCTCTTAGGTACACGCCCCGGAGCCACGGTTCTCGGCGAGGATACCTGCTCATTGCTCATCCCAATATCATGTCCCTTTCGGAGACAAGACATTCTCCCCGTCTAAAAAATGTCCTTTGTCCCCGCTCGTGATAGCCTGGATATACCCTGCTCCACCAGCCAGTCTCTGCATCCGTATCCGTGCACCCAACGGCTCATACGCCAACTTCACCGTTAGTCCCTCCTCATTTCTTAGCTTCGGGCGCGACTTGCTTACTACTCGGCTTTGCAGCCGCCTAAACGAAACCACGAAACGTCAGCACGATCCTCCCAGCCCAAGAACAAGCGGCTAAATCTATACTCACCGTCCCAGCAAGCATCCCCTCGGGGTCTCTAATCCCCATAGTCCTCCCCTCCTGCACCCTCTTCAACGTGAGCGCCGCAATCAACGCCGCCCCAACTCCACTCCCATCCTCAGCGGGTAAAATCTCCACCGGGTCGTTCCCGCGCCCTAGCGCCTTGCCATCGCGTCCCTTTTCCCAATCCAGAATCTCCTTGAGGGCTTGCGCGCCCCGGGCCTTGAAGTGCGGGTACTTGTTAAACACCGAGCCGTCGGCGCCGACGTGGCAGGTCTTGTAGGATTTCTTTTTGCAGATCGCTGCGACGCCACACGCACCTGGATATCAATCCTCGTCAGCATATAGGGGTTTTGTTTATATGGTGGAAGGAAGAGAAGCTGGGAAGGAGGTGGGGTGAGATCGTACTAAGTCTGGCGCTCCGCGTCCCAATCAACTCCGCCAACCTCCTGATCAGTTCGAGCTCGGGCTTCAGACATTTAATCCCCAACTTCGTATGAAACATATCCCCCGTCTCCAGCAAATTCTCATACGGATCATTCTCGATATCGGACAAGAACGAGGCATCGAGACTATAAGGCTTCTTCAACGACGCCACGTCCTGACCCTCGAAGATCTTGATATGAGGTTGCTCGTGCAAATCCAGCAGCACGAGACGGAACAGCTCACCCAGATACAAACCTGCGATCATCTTCTCGAATGCCTGTTGACCCGGCCGAGGCGAGTCCTTGTCGATGATGACGTCGTATTGGGTGCGAGGGAGGATCTTGTGCTCGTTGTCAAAGGCGCCCCATTCGCAGTTGATGGCGATTTCCTGCTCGGGATCTATCTTCATATCGGCGAGTTTGGGGATATTGCCGCAGGTCTCCATGTATGCGGCATTACAGCCCGTGCCGAAGATGCAGCCGATCTTCATTTCCTGGTCGGTGTAGCTGCTAGCTATCAGCGTGCCGGTGGTGTCGTTGATCAGGGCGGTGAGTTTGATGGGGACGCCGCGTTCGGTCAGGGCGGCTTCGAAGGGCGGGACGACGTCTTTGCCTTCCACGCCGTCGATGTCGAAGCCTTTGGTCCAGCGTTGGAGCACGCCGTGGTCGATGTAGTCTTGGGTGGCTGGGTAGGAGAAGGTGAAGCCGAGGGGTAGCTTGTCGAGACGTTCGCCTTCGTGGTGGTATTCAATGAATTGTTGGAGGCAGTCGGCGATGTAGGCCCAGAGTTCGTCGGCGTTGCCGGTCTTGAGCTCTTCGGGCATGCGGTATTTGGATTGAATGATGTCGAATTCGCCCTTTTCCTCGGGGAGGTTGATCTCGCAGACGCGGAGGTTGGTGCCGCCCATGTCGAGGGCGAGGAAGGTGCCGGTTTCATTGCCGGTGGGGAAGCCCATGCACCAGGTCGGGTTCATGGGGATGCTGCCGCCTTCCTTTGTCAGACCCTTGGCCAGCTCGTCGACGAAGTGGTCAGAGATGGCCTTGAGCTTGGCCGTGTCGACGGTGAACAAGTCTTCCAGTCTCTTGATCTCTTGCAGGAGGTCTTTGGGCACATCGGCCATGGAACCCTTCCGGCTGGGTTTCCGCCGTGGTCCTAGGCTGGTGGACGACATGCTGGGTGGTGGTGTGAAGGTGTGAAGGTGTGAAGGTGTGCGGGTGTGCGGGTGTTCGGAGGTGTCGAAGATTATTATTATGGAGAGAGATGTGAACGAGTGAAGTGCTTGCTGTAAAGCGTGTCGTCAGTCAGGGAGTGCTTCCGAGTGAAGCTCCAATATTAATGGCAGGAACTACTAAGCGTTGACAAAGCATAACGAGAAGGAGCTGCCAGCGGAAGGTACGACTTACACTGCAGGAAGGAAGTGCTCGGCTTCGTTCAATGGATCAGATGGCGAAGTGTCTCGTCCACTGGCCTCTGCGTGATAGGAAGGATAGAAGGACACAGACAGCACACACACGAATGATGCACAGCGACTCTTAACTTTTTGGCGTAGCTCAGAATGTCCGTCATGTCCCCACCAAGCACCCCCACGTTGCTTCTCAACGCAGGAGCGACAACGCCAGGCACACTCCTCCCTTCCCTTCGAACGTTGCGCACGAGTCAGACTGTTCTACGCAGGTGTTGTATAAGCGATACAATCTTCTACTTTCCTCTACTTTCCTTCCTGCACGCGACAGATGCAGATCTGGTGCTATAGAAGAGGCAATCAATAATAATGCCGCTGGTGAACATCCACATTTCATCAAGCGCTACATCACAGCCGACGGACCGAGCCACGTGAAGCTCGGACGTTTTTGTGCCTACCAGCTCATGAGTCGTCCATACAGCTGCTGTTGTGCTTGGTAGATCACACACGTACCCAACCACCAAAGTACATCCCCATCCCAAATCCCAAGCCATCTCAACTAACTAACCATACACTCCCCTCAGTCACCCACCAACAACAACAACAACAACAACGACCCACCATGTCCCTCCTCCGCCTCACCCGCCAACTCCCCTCCATCACCCGGACCACCACCAGCAGCACCCGCAGCTTCACCGTAGCCGCCCGCCGTATGGCCGAGGGCGACGCAGGCGCCACCCGCTCCGGCGGTGCAGCCCAAGGCGACGCCTTCACCAAGCGCGAGCAAGCAAGCGAGGACTTCAGCATCCGACAGCGTGAGAAGGAAAAGCTCGAGGCGTTGAAGCGCAAGGTCGCGTAAGTAACAGCCCATCTCCATTTCAGCTCCATCCAGGGAGGTAGAAAGGAAGGAAGGGTACAGACACACAAAGGTCAACAGCGGCCGTGACGAAGGGGCGCCATGTACATGCCTGCATACACGGGGAAGCAGAAACGAGATGGTGACTGTGGGCGAGCGGGGATGAATATGCAAAGCAGCGAGATCGAACCAGGCTAACCTCTTCTTTTCCCCCGGACCCACAGCGACAGCGAGGCCCAACTGCAAAAGGACCGCGACGAGATCGAGAACATGAGCAAGAAGTAGAAAGTTGCAAAATGCTTCAAGTCTCCACGACCGTGAAATCATGCTCCTCTGGCAACCCAACAAGAACACCATGCCATCCAATCACGATCGACCGATAAGCCGCCCTCGTCACGATACTGTATTGCCGGAAAGGAGCATCGGGCCAAGCCATGAAAATATGGCAGTCGTCATCTGTATATAAGTCAATGTAACTCCTCTTTCTCCGAACAGTACGCTACCGCACGGCCTGCGAGTACGATGGTGATCTATGACACTTCCACGTAAACATTGCGTATGATTCGCTAGACCTGTCCATAGCCTTGTTGCCGGCCTTCTTACATCACTACAGGCGCGTCGCTGGTAAGCGCACACCTTAATACAATTGCCTGCATGGGCATACTCAACCCGTCAACGCAACCTGGGTATCACTCGGTCTGATTTATGGCGAATACAGTACCCGTTCGAGGCATGGGAGATAACTGAACGTTCTCAGTCATGCATTCCACACGCTATGTGCAGCAACACCCATACGCATCTCAACGCCTATGAGGAGGAAAAGCAAGCACGCCATGTACTGAAATTCCCCTCTCAATCCCATGTACGGCCGCCTCGAGCAGTGGCACAAACCTCTACAGCATGCCACGAACCCATCCTCGGTGCCGCTTGAACCCTTTGCATCAGGTAAGACATTCGCGGTAGTAGCAGCCGCAGACACAACTCCCACCCCATCAACAATCCATTCATGAAGTCCTCTACTGCTCGGCCGCCGGCTCGTCCTCCTCGCCCGCCATCTGGTTCCTCTTCTGCGTGATGCGCTCCTGTCTCCTCTCGCGGGCGGCCTTGGTCTTGGCGCGCTTGGCGTCCATCTCCGACTTGATCTGTTGCTCACGGGCGGCTTCGGCCTTGGCCTTGTGGATCTGTAAAGAAAGCAGTCAGTATTATTCCATATCTTCGAGTGTATGGCGGGACAGAATCATGATGTCATGTCTTATACAGCCGCAGAGGTGGTGTATGACTTACGTGCTCAACAAGGGCACGCTTGTGCTTGAAGGTGTTACCCTTGCTCAAGTGGTAGAGCTCGTGATAGAGGTGTTTGTCGATCTTGCCGGCGGCGCGGTACTTGACCAGTAGACGGCGGAGGACACGCAGACGACGCATCCACACGACCTGGCTGTCAGACACCAGACATATTAGCACGATACCCTCTCCAACAATATCCCAACATCCATAGCGTTCATGGTGCAGTACTAACCTAGGCATCCTAGCATCCGCCGTACCCTTCCTCTTACCCATACCCCTATGCCTTCCAAGCCTCCTCGCAGCCGTCAACTCCCGAGACCGCGAGCGCGAGTGCATGGTGACGGGCTTGCGGATGATGAGGCCATCGGCAATGAGCTTGCGGACGGTGTTGCGGGAGTTGGCGTTGGAGATCTCGTTGACTTCGTTGGGGTCGAGCCAGATCTTGCGTTGGCCGCATCCGGCGACGGCGGCCGCGAGGCGCTTTTGCGTGCGGAGGTTCACCCTGTGAGGAGAGAGGTACGTTAGTTTGGGTATAGACTCTCGTGGTGTTTCGTGCTGTAGGTGGATGTGCGGATTTTGGTGATTGGGGGTCGGTGTAGGGCGCGTGCGCGGGTGGTGAGGGCTGTGATGGCGTGCAATGGGTGCGGAAGGGTGTGTAATGGAGGATATGGTGTCTACTCACATCTTTGCTACGGGTTAGTGATGGTGGGCGATGGTGCTACGTCTGTCGAGAAGAAAGGTCGTCGAAGCCTTCCCCGCTGCTGGCTGTGTGCGATGCAGCGAAAACGAGATGCTTGGCGCCGCTAGCGAGCTGAGGCTTTCACGTGACCAGAAAATCGGAATATCGAACAACCATTCTATGTTACATGTTCTATACGACAATGGCACTCATTTGCACTGAAACTCGGAGAAAGTGGAGGAGCTGAAGCACTGTATGCATACAAAGCCACGCTATGCTTTTAACCACTGCTATCCTCTCTGATCCCCTCTACTCATCCCCAAACGTCCCCTCCCCCAGATCCACCCTTCCAATACTCATAATCTCCCTCAGATCCTCTCCCTCCTCCGTACTCAAGAAACCCCTAACACCACCCTCTGCCTCCCTCCTCTCCTTAGCCTGACTACTCAACCTCAACGCAACCCTCGTAAAATACTCCTTCATGCTCCTCTGGGGTCCCAGTCCCAGCTTCGTTCCAGGCCCAGCCATGTACTTATTGAATACCTCATTCTCCGAGTCCACGACGTTGAAGATAGATAAGAAGGCACTTTCGGCTGACAGCTTGACAGGTATCACCATATCCCTCACGCTAGCGAAAATGGGCGGGACGAGAGTTTCGAGGTGAGGACGTGTGAGATCGTTGTGCTCGCGGCTGATGGTGCGAATGACCACGAGAGTAAGACGACGAGTATCAACTGGATGACCTGGTGGAATGACTTGAGCCAGAGCATCGAAGAGCGGCTTTGTATGATCGAAGCTCTTGTTGCTGCTTTCGGCCAGGAGATACTTGCCGGCTGCTAGGACACAGTTATCCGAGATGTATGGATCCTTATAGCTCAGACCATGCACGATGACTGTTTGCGTAGCATCTGCTAGCTGCTTGGTCAAGGCTTCTGGTGCCTCTACCAGGACTGCATTGAGCGCCAGTACGGATGGGCGGGAAAAGTGGTTGATAAGCACTCGGCTCTTGATCAAGCTTGTCGCAGCATCTTGTGGTAGGACTTTGATGAGTGCACCGAGTAGCTTTGCGAATGTTATGTTCAGAGCATCGTCATCTTCGCCAGATTCTGAGTCGATCAGGCCAAGAATTGAATTCCGAGACACATCACTCATGTTCCCACCAGCCTTGCTGACTACCTCATACAATGCTTTCAGCATAGCGTTCTTGACACCTGAATCGGTCGTCTTGGCTCCAGTGACGAGCTCAGCGATCAATGGATCAATCCTTGGCGTCATCGTGATCAAAGTCCCCAGAGCCTTGGCGGCCCTTGACCGCAGGATCTCGCTCGAAGGGTCTGCCAGCGACTTTGCAAAAGTGCGCTGAAGCTGAGGCAAGAAGGGCTTGAGGAAGGTCGGGATCTTCTCGAGCAAATTATTGAGGGTGAGTAGGATGGCCGACTTCAGCTCCGTAGATCGCTCGGATACAACACGAATCAGTGGCCCAGTGATCTGAGTGACAAAAGGCCTGAGACCCTCTGGGCTTGTGCGGTCGATCAGATCTGAGATAGCGAGAGCGGCTTGTGTTCGTTGCTCAGCAGAGCCATTCATGAGACCTTGCAGGAAGATTGGCAGGATGGCATTGATGCCCTTCGGTAATGAGAAACCTGGCAAGCTATGGCCGGCAACACCAACATGGTTGAGTGTTTGACGGGTAGTCACCACAAGTGACTCCATCTCCTCTTTTCGCAGGCGCTGTGTAAGAGCTGAAAGCGCAGTCCAAGCAGCCTTGACGACATCCTTGTCACCGTCGTCAAAGGCGTTGAGCAGGACACGAATGAGGTCAGGATAGTATCGTGAGAAGTCGACTTGAGCACTTTCGAAGAATTTTGCGAGATGCATGTCTCCCGCCGCACGTCTGCGATGATCGTCATGCTTGACGAGAGCAAGCATTGCGCTCATCATCGTGTTGAGACCGTCGTACTCATCCACTGACACGATGACAGTGTCGAATGCGAGGTCGAGCTCAGCACGGAGAGAATCATTTTTAGTAGCTACGATGTTGTCCATAAGTGAGTTGAGTATGATCGGCAGTCTCCTGGTCATCGCCGAGCTAGCGACTTGCGCCAGTGATGCAAGTGCACGAGCATTGAAGGCTGAGATTGGCGATGTGAGCAATGTTGGTAGCAGGTTCGGGAGGATGACATTGCTGCGACTTGTCTCTGTCAATAGTGTCAAGAGACCAGACAAGGCATTCTCGGCGTCATCTTCAGAGCGCAGTAAGCTGAGAAGGTATGGTAAGACCTGGTCGATGGCACGTTTGCCAATGACCTTCTGCAGTGAATCAAATGCTTCTGCAGCAGCTTCTCTGACGTCTTCGTCCGAATCGACTAGAGCTGTCCGCACCACGGAAATAAGGGTCTTCTCATACTCTTCCAGGGACTCGGGCGAAGCAGAAGCAATGAGCTCGCGTAGTGCGATACAGATACCCTCACGTGCGTCGGTGTCCGTCGAGGTTTGCAGACCCTCTTCGAGTGTTGGTAAGAGGCTGGCCAACACGCCCTCTCCAGCTTTTCGGATGAGCTCGCCCAGAGCATTGCCTGCAATGACCTTCTGCTCCATGTTAGAACTCGCCAATCTGCGGATAAGCAGTTGAGTAAGTGTCGGGATGAGTTCACGTAGCGTGCGTGGCGTTGACACCAATGCCTTCCAGACCGTGATGGCGGCAGTCCGGACGAGACCTGAAGTATCATTGCGACAGATGTATAGCGCAGACAATACACGATCGCGCTTCTCTTGGCCAAGGACTTCTAGCAATGACTGACCTGCTTCCGTAGCATTCTCTTCCATATCTTCTGCCTCAGTCTTTCCACTAATGCCTGTCAGATTGAAGAGCAAGTCGCCAACGAGCTCAACGGAGCTGAGACGGATGCGGTAGCTATCGTCTGCAAGACCGCGCTCGAGCTCAGGAAGCAACAGATCCACAGATTTAGTTGCAAAATTCTTGACGAGTAGCCGTCCAGCACGCAAAGCTGTCTCACGTATGGACTCGATGTCATCGGCGAGACCAGCCAAAATTGGTGGAATGATCTTGGCCAGATAATTTGCGAAGCTTTGTCCGAAGCAGGCGGGCAGGAAGATGAACAAGGACATGAAGCCTTCTCTGACTGAGGCTTTCGAGCTCGCCACGTTCTGAAGGATGGTCGGCAGCGTTTCTTCGAGGCGGCCAGTACCAAGACCGGCGAGAACTTCGCTCAGAGCTTGTGCGGATCCTAAACGATCTCCAGCGCCAGTGTCGGCCTTGAGAGTTTGCATGAGATCTGGTATGAGGTCGGGCAATGCGTCTTCGCCAAGCTTCTCGATGGTTGATCCAAGTGCTTTCGAAGCTGTAGCTCTCGTAGCAGGAACAGGGTCAACAATGGCTACACGAAGACCAGCGATGAGTATAGGCAAGTGCTGTGTCAAGTCCTTGCGCTCTGTCAGATGAGCCAGACTGCCAATGATCTGCGCGGCCTTGCGTTTCGTGCCCGAACGCTCGCCCAGTCCACGCTCCAAGATACGCACGACGAGCGCAAGAGATGGTGCATCGAGATAGTGAATGAAGTTGACGCGGATGAGCGCATCAAGAGCGTCATCAGTATACTTCGTGGGGTCACTGAGTGCTTTAAGCAGTATGTCAACCTGACTCTTGACTTCTGGATTAGTGATGACATCGCCGAAGCGCTGCAGACTTCTCTTAGCAGACGCTCTGACTTCTTTGTGCGAGTCGTTCAGAACTTCTGTTAACGGCGGAATGATTTCTGGCAGGCTTACAGCAAGCTGCTGAGGGTCAAGATAGGCCATGGCGCCCAGCGAGTCACTTGCACCTTTCTTGCTTCGCCACTGTGACTCGTCAAGACCTTCAAGCAGTGTCGGCAGGATCTGTTTTACGCCATATGAACTCAAGGAGGCAAAGCATGTCTTTGCAGCATCGAGGCACGCTTCTCGAACATCCGTGGTTGTGTCGCCGAACCCGACCAGCAATTGTGGCACAATTTGAATGACATACGGTTCGAAAATCTGTCCAAGCAGGAGCGAGAGGAGCTCGTAGACCAAGAAAGCACCTTGTCGCTCGTTTGCATCTTTCTTGTTTTCCGTCGCAGCCCTGAGCATTGATAGCATGCGGCCCTCACGCAAGGCAGAGAGACCTCTCCCCTTGATGATACCGGCTAAGCCATATGCAGCGCCACGACGGCTTGCATACTTTTTGCTGTGAAGGGCTTCCTCCATAGTGATCTTCAAATACTCACTAGCTTTATCCGGTGATGCGCGGACAAGTGGAGGTAAGCATTGTGCCACTGCGTACTGTACTGACTCGGATGGAGTACTGAGTGTCGCAAGTAAGCGGTGTACGACCTTGGGCACCCGTGGGTCGCCATGTGGAAGATGACGAGCCAGGGCACCATATAAGATGACTACAGCCTCGCTGACCAGATCCTGCGATTGGTTGGTGTTTGCGGAGCTCTCGAGAGTGGTCTCGCATAGCTTCATCAGTGCTTCGACTTGTTCTTTGCCACGGCTCGTGACCACCGTGGTCGCAGCCTCCACCATCGCATCGCGTACTAAGTTGTTCTTGTCGGCTAGTGGGCCATGCTCGATCAAGAATTGTAGAAAGGATGTCAGTTGATCTTGCGGGAAGACGTCTGCGAGCTCGCCAAAGGCTAGAGCAATCCCATGGCGAGCCTCCCACGGATCTGCAAGATCTTTCTTGACAGGCATACCGTAGCGATCGAGCTCCGGCTTCCTTGGCTTGGCATACTCTGCATATCTTTCTTCGAGCTCAGCCAGTATTTTGTCGAACCCATTGGGAAAGTGCCGGACTGCGCCTGTCACGGCGCGAGCGGCAGCACGTCGAAGCTGCATATCCTTCGACTCGAGATATTGCAGGCATATCATGTCGGAGTCCTCTCGAACTCTGAGCTGATGCTCGTCCCAAATTTCGTGAGCGATCTCAACATGCTCTTCGACATCATCGTGGTATGCAAGCCAGATCTCCGCATAAAACGTGCCTTCGGTCAAGTCGAGCTCAGCGCTGACGGCCTGTAGTACTGCACCTCGAACCGACTGATCTGCGACAATGGCACCTTTGATCACGGCAGCAGTCTCAATTTCGCTCATTGATGGCGCAATACATCTGCACAGATCGCTGAAGCAGTCCTTAATGGCACGAAAGTGCTGAGTGAAGCGTTCCATGGAGTGGATTAGTGTATCTAGCAATTTCTCCCGAGGTAGACGGACATCGCTGCAAGTTTCTGTGTGAAACGAGAGGAACTCTACTGCAAGAATGATTTGTTCATCGGCAGCTTCGCTATCGGCCCGGTCAATCCCTCCATGCTCAAGGACCAAGAACACCAGAGCCAGGATGTAGCTGAGTGTAACAGTATCAAATGGTCTTTGCTCACCGAGGAATCGCAGTCTGTACAGTACACGTGTGACCAAGTCTCCAAGAGGCTCAGCAAGCAAATTCTCTGGCAGAAGTGTAATGCCCGCAGCCCTGAGAGTAGCAACCCCGACGAAGGGTCTCATAGCAAGAAGCCGGCCAGAAGTTTTGTTCGCGCACTGCAGATAGCCAAGCGCAGCAGTGTCGCCCAAAATGAGCCCAGCGCCCGCCTCGATGACTTCGAATAGCAGCTTGACGGACGGTCCGAACCATGCCTCTGCTTCAGTCGGTGGCCCTGTCGCAAGTGCGCCTATCATTCCAATCCCTCGCCGTAGACGTGCATCGACGTCGGCAACACGTGTACGAATATCGGACTCCTTGGCAAGCTGTGCATTGACCTTTGACTGCTCCTCTGCCGTGAGCTTTCTCGCTTGCCCTTTCTTCTGAGATATCTGGGTTCGAAGTTCTTCTTCCCATTTGAGCGTCTCGTAGTCTTTAGTATTCTTGCTTACAGGCTGCGCTTGAGCTTGCTTTGAAAGGACATTAACAAAAGCTGTGCCTTCTGGTGTACGATAGATCGCTGCTTCGGTAGGACCAATTTCCGTTAGCTGAGATGGAGCCAAGTCGAGAGATATTTGCGCCACTAATAGCGGTGTAATGGCATTAGGAGCGACAAAGGCGAGCTCTGCTGCCGCATCATAAGCTGCACTTTGAAACGCGGCGACGTTCTTCCAGGTGGAATGTTCTGTGACGGTCAAAGTTCGCGATAGGCAGTCTTGTGAGAGCCTAGTAGCTAGGGCACCCGGATCGGTGCCTGTGCGAATGCATAGACCAATCCACGATGACCGCGGAAGCAGCTGAGGCCGGCACAGTACAACGAGACTCGCCAACTGTTGCTCGATCGTCCCCTCGGGTATTGGCTGTCCTTTAAGCTCGAATGAGTCTTGCGGAAGACATATAGAACGAACGATCTTGTGCAATTCGCCACGTCCGGTCTTGGCAGCGAGAGCTGCAGAATCTTTAGCCATTAGTTCGAGGTCTTCTAGCCACTGCCATAGTCCAAGTGTCACGAGCCTGCCGATGAATTCTGGCTTAGAGACGTATGTATTCCGAAGAGTACTTAGCGTGCTGCTGCGACCCTTGGGAGAATTGCCGGCGGCTACTATGCAGAAGATCAAGCCTTGTGTCCAGCTGACGCTCACAACGTCGACTTGTTGCGAAAGCGGTAGATGTTCGAGGGCCGATACCAGAGCACGTTGAAACCAGACGAAGTCGTCGTCCGTTGCTAGCTTGCTGTATACTCGAGGATTGAGCAGGAATGAAGGCTTCGGTTCCAAAGCCAGTACTCTGTCTTGCACATTCGCCTTTTTTAAGATGGATGCACTCTTGAGATCTTTCATTCTCGGGAATCTCGCAAGGCATAAGGCTGTAATCATGAATGCAATTCCGATCTGGCCAGAGGAGGTCGCTGGTATGGGATTAGCTGCGATCTCGTTGAATATATCGATCAGCTTTCCAAGACACGCATCTGCAAAAGCATCGGCATGTCCGCCTTCGAGGGCGTCATCGTCAATGTCCCAGAAGATGTTGGCCAACTGCAGCACCCACAGTCGACGCATGGGTAGTCTCTTTTCACCAAGACCCTTGGTGAATGCGTCCATGACTGGGCTCTCGATCTTTTCACCTTGCTGCAAAGCAAATCCTATGGCTTTACCGGCTGCTTCTAGCTCCGCACCCAGAGCAGCCTCGTTAGATTCCTTGGCTGCAACTGCAACGTGGTCTAAAAGTGTGTTCCGTCTGAGCCCCTGCGTTCCGGACAGCGCGGCGAGCATCTTGGCGTGCAAGACTCTCTGTTCGGCACCCGATACTTTGTTGCTGTTCAGAGGAGCTGCAATCTCGTCTCCAATCTTGCGGACCACGTCGGCCTCATGACAGCGGCTTGATGTGGCGATGAACGTGCGAAGAACACCTTCTCTAATATCCGCATTGGAAGATTTAGCGTTCGATAGTAGTGGCTTGAGTAGATTCGACAGAAGTAAATCAGACAAGTCCAGATCATCCGGCAGGGCAAGCACAATTGGTGTCACCAGGTCATTCAAGACGATCTCTGGTGCACGCAATAACGATTTCTCAATGGCCGGGATGTAGTCACTCTTCATGTCGTCGACAGTGATAAATGACGAGAAGAAGTCATGAAGAGACCTGGCAATATATGCCGGAAGCCGTACTCGTGATCCAAGCATTTCTCGCACGTAAAAAGCAGCATAGTCAGACTTCCTTCCGCGAATGATGCCATCCGTTCCGGGCAGTCTACTGCACACCCCGGCAAATATGCCTAGGGGTATTGCGTGGTGAGCAATTGGACCACTTGCCTTGGCTGTCAAGCTTGTGATGCACACGTCGAGGGCGGAACTGCCGAAATCAGCCTTCAGAAGCGTACGATACGCTCTTCGACTGACACGCAGGGCAGTCGTGATAGTTGAAGCCTTGGTGTCGCTCTGGAACAACAGATCGAGGGCTGTTGTCATGGCAAAGACAAGTCGCTGACCCCAAGCATGCCATAGTTCTTTGCGAGCAGCAGAATGCTGAATCAGCATCGAGCACCATCGTATCAATACGAAAGCATTCGCAGGGGCAATGCCACCCTTTCCCGCCTCCCTCTCGATGAATCCGACGAACGGCGGTAGAGTTTCACTTGCACTGGGCAGCGAAGCAATCGTTGATATACACTGCTCAACTGCTTGTCTGGATCTCGTATCAACGTAGAGGGCGTAGGTGTCCACAAAAATGGCCAGCATGCGAACAATCTCAGTAGCTTGGCATTCATCTGCGTGAAGCCTTTCATTCAGCCCTTGGAGTTCCAAAGCTCGTCGCTTGGTAGAATTGGACAGCAAGATTTTTCGGGTGGCGCCCAGGTCCAGCCCATGATCTCCATTCGCTTCAGTATCCATCATGATACTAACCCCACTCCTGTTTCCGTCGCTTCGTCTTGTTGATCGGTGGCGATACGATCTGTAGAATGTCTGCACAATTCACTTCTCGTTTCTCCACGAAATGCGGTGTCTCGGCTAGGTACGGGAGCATCCGCGTTAAGTATGCACAGTCAACGATAATTCTCAGATGCTTCTAATGTCGCGCATCACAGGTATTTGAAGGACTAATCAGATCAGGCACATGGCTCTGTGTTCGAGCACTCTGTCCGATATCTGATAATGGCGAAGAAGAAGACCAAACCAGCTTCGAATCCGAATCGAGGTTTCGCCACAACATCCGTGCCTAAGGCATCACAAGTCGATGCAGCGAAGGGAGCAGAGAGAAACCTTGAATCGAAGACCGTCACGCCTGCTGCTGTATCTGCGTCTACAGAGACTAAGAATGGCGAACATGGGTGCGTGAAATCACAAGGCTCACGAGAATTACACGAACTTAGTCCCGAGGAACTTGAGGCTTCGCTCGAAGCCTCTGAACTTCAGCAGTATGTGGAGCGTTTCGCCAGCAAGGTTCGCAAGGACGCCGTACGACAAAGCAGCCGATTGGAGACGGATAAGCGTGTGTTGCGTGGACAGGCAGACTTTCTCTTCGTCAAGGATTGGCTTCCGGACGAAATAATGCAACAGATCGTCGACTTGGCCTGCATCGAGGAGAAATCCGAACAGTCAATACCTGATAAGCGAAGTCTCTTCGGCAGCGACGAGTACACAGCGCGGTTCTGGTCTTTGCGATTATGTTTGCTCGACGCAGGTATTCCAGCAGACCACGTCAGTGAAGCACTCATTTGGCTGGTCACGAACGCGCCACCTGTAGACTCCGCCACTTCTGCAATCTGGGGATTACCAGAAGTGCTCGACTGGTTGGCTCTTCATTGCGGCAGAGATAGCCTTGACCAGTATGATCACAAGAAGCTGCACACCCTTCCCGCACAAGACACAAGCTCCGTGATAGAGGATTCAGGCGGGGATGAGCAATCTGGCGTCATGCAGGCTGAAAGCAAAGCAGCTCACGGCCGGCAGGTTCCTTCAGAAGCGGCAGCACAGCCCACCGGCCCCGAGATTGAGGTGAGTGATGTGGACAGCGACATGGAACCAGACGAGCTTCTTGCAGCCTACCTCCGAGTCAAAGCTAAGCTTTTCGAGCTCAGCCCGATCCTTGCAGATGGTCCACCAGCGAAGCGAAAAAGTACCGCACGAACGAATCAGCTACCCGCGCCCGTGAGCAGCACTCCGAGCGAACGGAAATTGCTGGAGAAGTTACGCCGCATAGCATCAGATGTTCTGTTTGACCAACGCGAAGCAGATGCTCATTGGCAGTCTATACGGATAGATCTTGCGCAAGCAGAAGCAGATCGAAAGAGGCTACACATATCGCAAGAGCCTACGTCTGCCTCTGCTCCCGGGATCACATTTACGACCGATGTCAATGGCGAAGCCGAAAGAATTGGCAAGGAACTTCTAGAGGAGGCTGATGACTCAGACGGGGATGGCATGCTCAACGGAATGTTTGATGCCCTACCAGGGATGGCTAATGCTGACAAGGGCGCTGAAGGTGCTTCCCACCAGACTGTCAGCATTCGTAATTTCGGCAAGATGAATGGCATGAACCCGAGGCGAGTATTGGAAGAGGCCTGCAAGTCCAGAGATTCGTCTGTCAAAGTTCACGTGAAGCAGATTTCACCAACTACGTATGCCAGTCGACATTCAATCACCATCACCTGGAGCAGAGACCAAGATCTCTTAGATGCCTCATACATGCCAAACGTCACGTTACAGCAGAAGGTACGTGTATGTTGTCTCAGTATGACCAATCTTGCAACGCCAGATACTTCACAAAGTGAGGCATATGTGGCTACTGTCGCTCTGTTTCTCATCTTCTCTGGTTCTCCAAAAGAAGAGAAAGCCCATCTGAAGCTTCCCGCCACGCTTCGTGATCTCTGGGATGAGCTGCTCCAAGCCAAGAACGACCATGCGAACGCCGCGGATCGAGAGGAGGTTAGAAGTATTCGTACGCTCGTGGAGAACGCGGTCACCACTGCAGGTACTCACGATGTCGACGACGATGATGAGGTAGTATTCCAAGCGAATAGTCGGCAGCGGAGTCGCATGCAGAGTGGTGTAGCCACGCCTGTCAATGAGCCGGCAAGAGACATTGCTCAGAACGGTTTGTACTCGCCAGACCTCGCACAGATATGGGCGAATAAAGTTGCGACCCCTAGTTATCAAAGGATGCTCGTGTCTCGAATCAATCTTCCGATATTTCATTACAAGGCTGCCGCTTTGGACACAATTGCAAGACATCCTGTCACGATTTTGGTCTCGGAGACTGGATCTGGAAAGTCAACTCAGCTACCTGCGTTTATTCTCGAGTCAGAGCTGTCCCAAGGTCGACATTGCAAGGTATACTGTACCGAGCCACGCCGGATCTCCGCCATCTCACTGGCGAATCGTGTGAGCGAGGAGATGGGTGAACGCAAAGGAGACGTTGGCACAAATCGATCACTAGTGGGCTATGCCATTCGACTTGAGTCGCACACCTCATCTTCAACAAGACTCGTTTACGCTACTACTGGAATAGTGCTCAGAATGCTTGAGAACCCCAACAGCCTCGGGGATATCAGCCATCTAGTGGTGGACGAGGTACATGAGCGAAGCATTGACACGGACTTTTTACTCATCATCTTACGCTCTCTCATGCAACGGAAGCCGGGCCTTCGAATCGTACTCATGAGTGCTACAGTCAATGCACAGCGTTTCTCCAACTACCTTGATGGAGCTCCGATCATCGATGTACCAGGGCGTACATTTCCAGTACAGGCGAAGTATCTCGAAGATGCCATCGAGCTCACTGGTCATATCCCAGAGGACGGCACTGCTACCAACGATGCCGAGGACTATGCAGACTCGGATGTGACAGATGCTAGTGCAGCTAAGCAGCTCACTGGGTATTCTCCCAAGACCTTGAGGACGCTCGCTTCGTACGATGAATACAGGATAGACCACAGCCTGATCATTAAGCTTTTGCAAAAGGTCGCCTACGATCCCGAATACCAGCTCTTCTCCAAGGCTGTCTTGATCTTTCTCCCCGGTATTGCAGAGATCAGACAGCTGAACGATATCCTGGGTGGCCATCCCAGCTTTCGACAAGGCTGGCTGGTTTACCCATTGCACTCGAGTTTTGCAAGCGAGGATCAGCAAGCCGCTTTCGAGATACCTCCTCATGGCTTGAGAAAGATCGTGCTCGCAACTAACATCGCCGAGACTGGTATCACGATTCCCGATGTAACTTGTGTAATCGACACTGGCAAGCATAAGGAGATGAGATTCGACGAAAAGAGGCAGATGTCTCGCCTCATTATGTCGTTCATTGCTCGGGCCAATGCGAAGCAACGAAGAGGCCGGGCTGGCCGTGTACAAGAGGGTCTTGCCTTCCACCTCTTCACAAAACATCGCCACGATGAGATCATGGCAGAGAATCAGACACCGGAGATGCTCCGACTCAGCCTGCAAGAGCTTGTCATGCGGGTCAAGATCTGCAGATTGGGCGGGATTGAGGATGCTCTGTCGCAAGCGCTGGACCCACCGTCGACTCGGAATATCAGACGGGCTATTGATGCTCTTGTCGAAGTGGGCGCGCTGACCACGCGCGAAGAGCTCACTTCGCTCGGAGAGCAGTTAGCGAAACTGCCGCTTGATGGGCCGTTGGGTAAGTTGATTCTGCTTGGCAGTGTATTTGGCTGCCTCGACTTTGCGTTGACAGCCGCGGCTGCCTTGACGTCAAAGAGCCCGTTTCTCAGCCCCATGCATGCAAAGAAGCAAGCAGATACCGTACGTCTAGCCTTCAAGCGTGGCGACTCGGACCTGGGGACGCTGTACAACGCTTACTGTGCATGGAGAAGGACATGTATGACTCAAGGCATGTCGGAATTCCACTTCTGTAACAAAAACTTCCTCAGCTCGCAGAACCTTGCGAATATTGAAGACCTGAAAGGCCAGCTCTTGACCTCTTTGGTCGATGCCGGCTTCGTGGCGCTCAGTCCGGCGGAGAAAGCAGCACTCTCGAAAGTGCGACCAGGTGCTCGCCAGCGGAACTTCGTCATGATCCCCGAAAGATACTGTGTTGCAGACAGCGACGATCGGGTCCTGTGTTCGGTCGTGGCATGGTCCTTCTACCCCAAGGTCATTAAGCAGGACGGTAAAGGCTGGCGAAACATCGCGAACAATCAGGCTCTGGCACTCCACCCTTCTTCTGTGAATAAGACGTCCTTGCCATCGGATATTACCATGTTGTCTTTCTACAGCATTCTGCAAGCTACATCAAAGTACACAAACGCCCAGGAAACGACCCCTGCGCCCGAAATTGCGCTGGTGCTACTGGCTGGCGATGCTGTCTTCCACATGTACGCTGGTGTGATCGTGTTAGATGGGAACAGGCTACGCTACAAAGTGCGTGATTGGAGGACAATGATTGTGTTGAAGATATTGAGGCAGAAATCGAAGGAAGTGTTGGCCCGTCTGTTCAAGCATCCGGGCAAAGATATCACGGGTAGAAGTCGGCCGTGGATGGATATCTTGAAGCGTATACTAGACACTCGCAAGCAAGGCTAGTTTCTGATACATAGAGTAGTGGTGTTGGAGGCAGGACTTGGTAGGGCAATGTTACTACTTAGACAGCCCGCCACAATCATGCTGAAGCTTTGAGGTGCACGGTCCTTGCGTAGCGTACAATCTGCTTTCTGCTTTCTCCCTTGCCTCACATCGCTTTTCCATCACAACTTCGACTTCAAAAAGCACGTTCAGACACCTCGTCATGGAAGACGCGGACGACATGGAAATCGACCCTGCCATCGCGGAAGCGATGGGTTTTACAGGGTTCGGCGGCAAAAAGCGCAAATTCAAGGACGATGCGTTTGTGGACCCGGCTACCAATAACAAAACTGCCAATGGAGCGAACAACATACCTCTCGGTAATCGTGAATCACGAACTGGCTTAGAAATTGCTGGAAGCAAGAGCGATGTTCCCAGACAGGGGACATCGCAGCAAATTACGCTTGAGCAAGCTACACTACAAGACTTACGACAAGGTGTCAAGAACGAGCGTGGTGACACGGTCTATTTTCAACCAAGCTTCATTGAGGATCCATGGAAAGACCTGAAAGCGCAGTGAGAGTTGGTCGCTTATCTGTTGTCTTTGGTTGCTGGCGTTGTCGTATTGTGGACGACTGAGCTGGTAGCCATGAAATCTGCACAAAGGAGGCCCTAGGTATCATTTCATTAACTGCCTGCATATATGTCGTGCGCTTCCCAACCTTGATCGCAAATGCCTGACATTGCGAGAACCAAAATTTCATCGCTCGCCTGTCATGTCACTGTCACTGTCACACGACATACGGCTGGCCAGAAGGACGATCGAGACGGCGCTCGGCTACTCGTTCAACGACGACACTCTACTGGAAGAGGCTCTACTTGCATTGCCATCAGGCGTAAACGGCCGTTGGATCCCTTAATACAACAAACGACTGACCATGATTGGCGATGCTGCTCTCAGGCTTCTCATCACGAACGACTGCTACTGTAAGGGCATGCTTAAAGGTCAGTCTAGAAGGCACACCCAGATCATGTCTCTGTCTTGCTGACTATGCAGCTAGGTCCATCCAATCTTCGTCGACAAGCTATGGAGAGCAATGCTCGCTTGTCCCGGCTCGGACGGTCTTATGGTTTGGAGCTCTTCATCAAAGCTTCGCGCAATCCAGACGGGGCCTCCGACTACATGGTGGCAACTGCGGTAGAGGCGATCTTCGGCGCTGTGTTTCGTGACAGCAGCGGAGACTATGCTGTCCTCAAACGGAAAAGGGATTTGAGTACTGTGTCATGCTGTACAGTATTGCAGGAAGGGTATCATTGATCTACCTGACTCTCAGGTCATGTCGCCGTAAAATCCATAATGCCTTGGCTCACGCCTTCTGGGCTGGGTGTAGCTGCACAAACATCAGGCTCGAACCCAAACTCCTGCATCAAGAAATCTCTCGTTGTAGGTCCGATAGTCGCAACATAAGACTTCATCGGCCCACTTATGATTTCTCTTCTCGCTCGACCGTATTTCCCGCTCGTCTCTTCAAGCCACCCAAGAGCATTGAGCATGGCTTCACAACCTTGTGGCGAGAAGACCACAACCCATTGCGTCTTCACACCTTTCCGCTTAGCTTCCAGTAATAGCTTCGAGAACTCCTCCTCAAACATCGACGCCTCACCAGTCTCGTAAACCACCAGCTCAGATACTGGCGTTCTTTCTGCTGCGTGTAAGTCTTCTGACTGAAGTGTCGAAGGGATTATGTCTCGTCTTTGCTCGCCAACCAGGAATAAAAGTGGAAGAGTCCTGCCGTCTAGCCTCGTGACGTCTGATGATAGCGTTCTTCGGTGCTCTAGGATGAATTGTGCGAGTGCTTCGCCATTGCCAGTCTCCTCGCCGATGACAGGACAGGGTAGACCAAGTGCTCGAACTCCTCTCGCTGTGGCTCGTCCAACCACGTATAGTGGCATGTCTTTATCGAACAACGCTTCCAGTTTCGATGGTTCCAGGCGACCAACAACAGAGGAGAAGGCATCAACGGCTCGTTGTGAAGTGAAGATCATGCCTCCATATCGTTTGGCCGGGTTGTGAGTGGCTTTCCTCAATTTGGCCTCGTTTGCCTCACTGCCACCAGCAAACGCGAATCGCTCCGCTCCTCGACGCAGGAACCGTAACGCATCGTCTCGGAACATGTGCTCCAGCACTGGAACGAATACCGATTTGTATTTGCCATTGGACTGTCCGGCGAAGTGCTCTTCGTATGTGTCGTCTGGTGAAGATTTAGTTTTAAGTAGATAGACCGGTATCTGGTCGAGGCTCAGATCTTGCAGTCCTGACGTGACGCCCTCCATAACACCGCCCAATATTTATCCCAGGGGTTCTTGATTCTTATACATGCATGTGCGGTGTCACTGTTCAAAGCACTTTACCAAGAACACTAGCTCCGGCTACGTCCGCCGCCACCCCCAGAGCCGCAAGTCTCAATCACTCTCGTCCATCAATAACCAGGCACGATGAAGCACGGATCACTCGCATTTGTCAGGCATCTGGCAACGATGTTGCGGCGATGCCACTCACGCAGCTCGAGTTTCCGATCCTCCAGCAATTCCTTTGCGTAGTGGAGTCAAGGACGGGGTTGCCGGCTCAGCCATTGCACGCAACGGAGGAGCAAAAGATGAGAGCGGAACAGCAGCAGGCGCAAGCTGGCGACGAGGATACCAAACCGGCACCACTACCGAAAGGCTGGGTGCTTGGACCGGATGGGAAACCGTATGCCATACCTCACTTGAAATCGTGTGATCCGGACTGACAAAGTGAAGATGTCGGTCATGTACCTCAGCAGCGACGTGGAAAGCCATGATGAAACAGAGCTCGTCTACGCCTAACAAGATAGTAGCCACGACTCCACCTGCTGTGGCTACATCCTCACTCCAGCCTCCACCAGATTGTCCGCCTGATGTCGAAGAACTCGGTAGATCATCGTGGACGTTGCTACACTCGATCACAGCAGCATATCCGGAACGGCCTTCCTTGACTCAGCAATTGGAGACAAAGCAGTTTCTTGGTCTTTTTGGCAAGATGTACCCTTGCTGGGTCTGTGCAGACGACTTCAGGGCATGGATGAAGGATGGCAATGAGCCCAAGGTCAGCAATAGAGAGGAGTTTGGAAGGTGGGCGTGCGAGGCCCACAATGCCGTTAATGTGAAGCTGGGAAAGCCTTCATTCGACTGCAACAAATGGGAGGAGCGATGGCGAACAGGTTGGAAAGACGGTCGGTGCGATTGACCATAAGTTCGAAGTATCTTGGATGCATAGTGATGGCGCAGGAAGGAACAACTCAGCTTACTGTATAGAATCGACCAACAAGATCGCATTTTCATGCACGACCCCAAAAGCATCTTGGCATGAGGTCTCTTTCAACGCTAGGATGACCCTTGAGATAGGCTCGAGTAGAAGCTCTCTGCCTTCAATCAACATCCGATCGCCACGTTGTACCAAAACTCCTTGCCGGTCTCAACACACTCCCACTTGACGTCCGTCTTGCCAGTATCGACTAGCCTGGCAACCTCGATCTCTGCAGCACGCTTCTCTGGCAAGTCAACAGCATACCACTGAAGCACAAGACTTTTGAGACCTGCTCGGTTCCCATCCCCGATAGCATTCAGCCACTTCAACACCGCTGCATCAGACAACGTCGTGGTGTCAGTACGACCTTCAGCACCAGGAGCAGTCAATAGTGTGCCGTAGACCTTCGCACACCAGTCCCGATACATCCTTCGCCACATAAACGTGTTCAAGCCGTAGAATATCGGCAGCGTCTCGACCCTGCTCTGTCTGCAGACTCGAGAGATCGCAGGTTGCTTGACGCATCTCTCTAGAGCGGAGGGAGTGACACCTGTCACCAAATGGACGTTTCTAGCCTTGGTGATTTGAATACCATGGCCATGCTGCCTCTTCTTATCCGGCTGGTCCACGACGCAGATTTTCCAGATGCGGTTGCGGAGCTCAGGAGGTAGTGTCAGTAGTGTCAGCGGTGGATTGTTGGGGCGATTGGAGCGTGCAGCTCTGTTCGCAAGTTAGCATGAAGCTCAGCTCGATTTGGCATTTGTGCCCACGCACTCTTCACGTAGTATGCTCAAAGCCGGCGTGGCAAGCGCATTGACAGTCTTTTGTATAGTCGACAGACGAGCCCAGGGTGCGACACTGCGCAGAGATTGGAGCAGGCCGTCCCGAATGTTGAGTTCAAGGATAATGTAACCACTACTCATGGTTGCCGATGGAATATTAGGTCGATGTAGATAGCGAACACCGCGGCATGAGCGAATGAATATGAGAAAGGCTGCTACAGGCTGATAAGCTTGTACATTTGAGACATCTTCAGCCTGGCCATGGTCACTAAAGTGCCGTACTATGTCAAGTGTTCTTCGTTCACGACTGCATGATGTGACTCGCTTTGGATTGCTGCTGCCTCCTGATCTCAGGGGGTGCGAGGACGTGACAAGCACATCCTGCCACGTGAGTATCTGCCTCGATATCCTTCGGACGGTAGACTGTCGCCTCGGTGTACATACCTCGTCACTCTAGAAGATTCTGATCTGCCACCAACGTCACTCGCCAGCCCCCCGTGCAGCACATCCGGCACATCCTCGGCCACAACAACCAAGCCATATATTGGACTACCAGTTCCATGCCCTCCAAGCGTCGAAAGGCGTGAAAAGTCTCGTCAAAAAGAAAAAAGAAAACACAACACGCTTACAAATAGAATCCTCTAGTCGAAGGTCGAGCCTGGATTGTGTTTCTTACCCATCTCCTTGTCATGTGGAGATGGGGTTCTTTTGCCCCTTTTTTACCTTGTGGCGAGGAGGTCTGGATGTTGGGTGTTTGACTCAGGATTCGAAAGCAGGCGGGTGACGTTCACTTACATGTGACGACCATAAGGTGATGTATATTCTTTTCTGTTTCTGGCTCTGTCTGCTCCGCACATTCATGCAGAAGTTGATCACCGATCAGGTTCGCCTTGCACGGGCGTGCATCACGACTCAGAACGCCTTGTTCACCCCTTGCCACTCCGGATTCTCCCGCCTACTCTTCACCAGCCCACCCGGCCAACTAGAACCAGGCGCCTTCGTCGCCAAAGCGGCCTCATCGTGCCCAAACTTCTCCAACGCCAAGTTCGCAACCGCATCTCCAAGCACCTTCTCGATCTCGCCCCTTGGCAACTTCCCCTCGAATCTCAGCACTTCATCCTCATTGCTGAGTGGCATGGCAGCGGGCCGCTTAAAGTCAATCGCCACACCGAGCCGTACAAGTCGAGCAAGAGATGAGATGCGCTCCGCGATTCCTGGGCTCGTGTGCAGAGCTATAGCGACCCAGACATCATGCGCTTCATCCTCCGCATACCCTTGGGAGCGCAGAGCCGTAGCAGCAGCATCGCCCCCTTCGACCTCGAAGCGTTGGGGTCCGTTGTGCGAGGCGCAGGTGCCCATATCGTGAAAGATACATGCTGCGAATAAAAGAGACAGTTTTCGTGGATCGGTGGCATAAGCGCAGCCCTCCCTCGAAGCGATGGCGTGGGCGAGGAGGTAGACACGGAGACTATGACGCAGGATCTCTGGGTGCAATTGAGTTGCTGCGTAAGTATAATTTGCTTTTGAGCCGGAGTCCGTAGGGATATAATCCGGATATATGGCAGGGTCGATTGGCGCCGATGATGTGTTTTCGGCCAAGCCGCTTGATCCTGAGGCGGGAGGGCACATTTTGACGGTATTTGTAGTCGACTAGAAGTCTGAATGTGTTCTAAGAGTGGATGAAGGTCGAGATCATATGCAGGTGAAGGACATTCACGCGCATTGGCTTTGTCAGCACTTATGTCACTAGTGCTGTCCATACTCGGTAAGTATAGGGCGTTGCAAAAAGCTAATCCTCGGTCGTAATGAATGGGAAGATGAGCTGTGACCATCGTAGGCGGGCTGAAGGCTGCAAGTCGGGGCACTTGATTGTGGAGGGCGATTGCGTGGGAGCTGTGACCAGCTCTGTGCAGATGGAATGAGCGAGCGTACATGGACAATGGGCACAAGGCTTGGATTGTGGCACTGTTCTGCCATATTGTAGACCTCATGTCTCATCCATCGTCATCTTGACATCCTCGACAGGCTCCACAACCTGGTTCACAGACGCTTCCAAGCCTGCCGAACCCTGTGGCGGAGGCTCGCCATTATCGTTCAAGATCTCGGCCATGTCCACATCTCCTCCGGCAGCAGCACCTCCTTGTCTTGCGGGCGAGGCAGCACAGCTACCTGGTCTCGTTGCACCCTCGACCTCCAGAAACCTATTGATCGGCCGAACAGATGTGTCATCACCAGTCTCAGTAACGGGCATAGGCGTCTGGCCGCCGTCCGCACGTAGAGGCGTTCTGCCGTCAGGCGCTGGTGTGCCCAGTCGACTACTCTCGCCTCTCGTGGCATCATCTCCTTCAGCATCACCGTCTTCATCCTCCATGTTCTCGTCCTCTTCACCATCCATCTTCTCTGGCTCATCTTTGACACCCTTAACCAGCCTCATCATAGCCTCACCCTCAGTCACCAGCCGGTCAAATTGCGTCCTTCGTCCCGCCCACAGTCCTTCAACCTCCCCGCCTTCATGCTCCAGCTCCTCAATCTCCTTCTCCAAAGCCTTGATCTCCGAGCTGCAGGCCTCACGGCTCATGATCTTCTTGTCGTCCAGAACCTTGGCGGCAAGCGCATCGTAGCCTTTCCTCCTCTGCCTCACCTTTTGCGCCTCTTCCAATTCCATTCTCAAATCAACGGTATTCTCCCTCACGGCCTGAGCCTCCTCGGTAATCTTCAGCTTCTCGGCTGCATACCGTTCTCTCTCGCGTCGATTGGATGAATGGATGAGCTGAATGCGCAGGATGCTGCTTTCCAACGCAGCAAAGTCGAACAGGACTTCCTCGCGGAACTTTTGGCGGACGAAGGGGTCTGCAGCCGGGTCTGCAGCTGGCGGCGCAACCCTCATGTCTTCACCTTCGGGAGGCGGCGACGGAAGCTGTCGCTGCTGAGGTAGCTTCCGTAGTAGAGAGTCCTTGCCAAGCAGTGCTCGCTGAACACGGAAGAAGGGTCGTTCTTCAACTGCTAGAAGGCGGGTCGCGTGGAGCGCATCTGATCGTGTTGTTAGTATAGTGATGCTGGAGGCTTGTCACTGTACTCTTACCTTCTTGTGACTGCTCCGGCAGAACACCATAGTGGTAGTTGTGCTCGGTAGCCATGGTCACTGGTAAATGCTATTCCACTTAGTCGTGTTTCTCGTGGAAGAGTGGTATTAAAAGGTTGCCCTACAAGACCTGCGCTAGCTAGTGTTGGTCCGAGCTCAAGACGCCTCACCCGAGCTGCCTACGTGAAGCTCAATAGAAGCTCCATCAACATATCCAACACATATCGGCGACGACTTCCACTCCACATCTACGGTTCGATCAGAGATATCAGAAGATTACATACCTCGACTGGCGACTCCGCAACGATGAACACCCTCGTGGCCCGTTACAGCCAACCCGCCGCGCACACCCATGCCTACAACGCCGACGAGGACTCACAACAACTAATTCAAGATGCCGCGCCACAACTCTCTCTCAACTTTGCGCTCCCACCAATAGCGAGTACAGCACAATGGCTCCGTGCCATGACCGATGACCACAGCAACCCGAACGTACCCATCAAGATTGCTCACGGAACCACAACATTAGCCTTCAGATTCAAGGGCGGCATCATAGTTGCCACGGACTCAAGAGCAACGGCAGGGAACTGGATTGCTAGTCAGACGGTGAAGAAGGTGATTGAGATCAACAGCGCATTATTGGGGACTATGGCTGGTGGTGCTGCGGTAAGCCTTACACAAACACTCTCCTTCAGTTTGAGCATCCGCTAATATGTGAGGCTTTCCCAGGACTGCCAATACTGGCTTGCCTACCTAGGAATGCAATGCCGCCTCCACGAACTCCGCCACAAACGCCGCATCTCTGTCGCCGCCGCCTCCAAAATCCTCGCCAACCTCGTCTACAGCTACAAAGGCATGGGCCTCTCCATGGGCACCATGTGCGCCGGCGTCACACCCACCGAGGGTCCCGCACTCTACTACATCGACTCCGACGGGACTCGTCTGGCAGGGAACTTGTTCTGTGTGGGTTCCGGTCAGACGTTCGCGTATGGTGTGTTGGATGCCGAATACAAGTATGATATGGAGGAGGATGAGGCGTTGGAGTTGGGCCGGAGGAGTATTCTTGCTGCGACGCATAGGGATGCTTACTCAGGTGGGTTCGTGAATTTGTATCATGTCAAGGAGGAGGGATGGGTGAAACATGGGTTTAATGATGTTAATCCTCAGTATGTTCCCTCTCGGAGTTGGAAATTTGATGAGGATTCGCTAATTTGTTGTATAGGTTCTGGCGCTACAAGCTGGAGAAGGGCGAGTTCTCGAATGTCAACGCGAAGCTTGACGAGACCAGCGGAAAGGTGTAAGATGTGGAGTAGTGGTGTAAGGATATGCATAGTAGACGTGCTAGAGCAGGAACGAGGGCGTGGGTGTTCGCGTGGCGTTAACTACGCTGCATACTGTAGTTTTACTACCCAATGTGATACTAGTCGCAGCATGACTGCTCAATCTTCCAAGTCCTGTCTAGCATTCTGTCCTTCGTAGCGACGTATGCAGTGGCTTGCATGTTCATCAATACTCATCGCCAGCGAAGGTCCTTGCATGTGACGAGTGCTGCCTCTCCCGCTTCATCACCAAACACCCCACCAAATGTTTGGCTGTCTTACTTTGACCTCGTCACGACACAAACAACCCGATCACTTGCAACGAACTGCTCTTGGTCACGGAGACTGATCAAACACGAGCACTACCTTGAAATCCCCTGCTTCCTCATAGATCCTCGCCGTCAAGATGCAGATCAAGTACGTCCTCCAGAGACACCATCCACTTTACCCGGGACGATTGTCCTCTCTGGAGTTGCACTCCCGACCCCACTCCTACGAACATGCCGTCAAGAACTTCACTAACCGTACCGTGGCTGGAACAGAGTCCGTACCCTCACCGGCAAAGAAATCGAACTCGACATCGAGCCCGATTACAAAGTATCACGAATCAAGGAGCGCGTGGAGGAGAAGGAGGGGATCCCGCCGGTGCAGCAGAGGTTGATTTATGGTGGGAAGCAAATGTGAGTCTACCCTATACCGCCCCCGCCTCATCTTGATTTGGTTTGTTGGAAGAGTGTCGATCGATGTGATGGGAAGATAGCAGCGTGGAGCTGGATGAGCGCGCAAGGCTGGCTGTGGTGGAAAATCAGTCAATCACATATTAGCAGAAGATGTGGCGAGCAGGCAACGACGAGTACCAGGGAGATACGAGGGTATATGGGGTTGACGGGCGAGATCATGTATGCTGACATCTTCCTTCGTGCAGGACTGACGACAAGACGGCCGAGGAGTACAAGCTCGAGGGCGGTGCAACCCTTCACTTGGTGCTGGCTCTGCGAGGCGGACTATGATTGTACTCGGTTCGAAAAAATGACTTGCTGAGGCAAGAATCTGCTCCAACCTCATGAATTCACTCCACGAGGACGAAGGCGCCCCGACGAGCGACGGACACCAAGCTCGAGAGTAGTAGTGGCGAAGAGGCGTCCAATGGTGCTTATGATACGACGAAGCACGACGGCGACGGGCAACATGGTGGTGGTGATACTGTGGTTGCACAGATATCCACGGTCAAGCGAGCATTTGAACAAGCGTTGCATTGCACATACCCAGCCTCACATGAAACCATAGCACCATCAATCACATTATGCATCACTTCCCACCGGCTCATCACTAACAGCCATATACTCTCAACTCAAGCAGTCCCAGCAACGCGCCTAATACTCCTCCTCGGCCCCTCACCAACCACCTGCACCCTGCCCTCCTGCTCCAACGCCCTAACCGCCTCCGAAAACTCTAGCCCCTCAACAGGCACAGAACTCTGCTCCGAAAGCGTTCTCACAACATCTCCATACCTCACACTCCCCCCACCATTCCTAAGCAGCTCATCCACGACCCCCAGAACCCCCTTCTTCAAATCCTCCTTCCTCTTCCGCTCCCCCACCGATGTGCCTTCGGTCAGAAGTCCCATATCGATCAACCCCGTCCTCGCATCCGTAGCCGCTTGCTTGAGCGCGCTCTGGATCAGACGGACGGCTTCCTCGACATCTGCCTCGGTGACTTCTTCACTCATGCGCATTTTGGCGTGCGCTTCGGCCAGACGAATCATTGATTCGAGTTGGCGCGTCGTAGCTGTTATCCGGCGTTCGGAGGCACGAATGTCTTCGCCCAATTTGCGCATGGCTACGTATGAGCGGACCAGGGCGTCGGCGGCGGGCTGGGTGATCTTGGGGTGGATGTGGGCGCGGGCGTAGGAGATGTAGGAGGTTAGAAACTCGACGGGCTGGGAGTCGTGTTAGTGGAGTGTGTATGTGTGTGAGCTTTGGGGGAGGGAGACCTACCAAGATCTCATCTCTGCTCGCGTTCTCCGGCGCATCCTCGAGGTACATGCCTACCAGATGCCTGGCAAGCTTGCGGTCAGTGCTTTCGTCTATGCGGTCGAGCACTAGGTACACCAAGTCGAATCTGCTCAGTAGTGTTGGTGGCAGATCGATATTCTGCGGCACGGGTAAATTGGGATTGTACTTCGAGCCGATCGGGTTGGCGGAAGCGAGGATACTGGTTCGAGCATTCAGCGTGGTGATGATTCCAGCTTTGGCGATTGAAACCGTTTGCTGCTCCATCACTTCGTGCAAGACTGATCGAGTCGAGTCCGACATCTTGTCAAACTCGTCGATGCAGCATACACCGCCGTCACTGAGCACGAGAGCACCAGACTCGAGTACCAGACTGCGAGTCTCTGGATCTCTTGTGACATACGCTGTGAGACCAACAGCAGACGAGCCCTTGCCAGAAGTGTATACACCCCGAGGAGCGATCTTGTGCACATATTCCAGCATCTTCGACTTGGATGTGGAAGGGTCACCGCAAAGAAGGACATTGATGTCACCACGATACTTTGGCGATCCACCCTTTTCGAAGCTCTTGTTCGTGCCACCGAACAGCTGGAGCAAGATGCCCTTCTTCACGTCGTCCATTTCGTAGATTGAAGGGGCCAGTGACCGCGAGAGAAGCTCATAAACGTCTGGACGAGCAGCAGTATCGCGAATCTTCTGCTCTTCCTCCTCGCTGACTTTGCGTGTCTCCTCAAGACTTCCAGCGACCTGGTCGGAAAGCTCCTCTTCGATAGTGGTGGGATCGATACCCATACGTCGCTTATCCACCTTCTGGATGTGCAGACAGTCGACGTATGTCTTGAAGACGTTCTTGACGGAACGTTGTCGAGGATTGATACGTACTTGGTTGCACTTGAAAATACCAGTGATCTCTACCCTGTCACCAGCTTTGCAAACATCGACAAGTTCATCATAGGCACACAAGCTGACCGAGTGTGGTGTCTGTCCGTCTGGTACAGAGTCTGGAGTCTCCTGCAGCTTCACCACTTGCTTGTCCGCAAAGCCAGATCTGTTGTGCACGATCTGCATGCTATTGGGCTGGTCGCAGATCTCACGTGGGCAGCGTGTAGGTTCTGCGATCTTGCCGCGGTCAATATCAACCTTGACTGTATGATGGCAGACCGAACAGCGGAAGAAAGCGTCTTTCATGTCTGGGATGACAGGTGTGGTTCGAATGACTAGACCTTTGATCGAGACGAGCTTATCCATGTCGTTCGGATTTAGATCCCGCAGATTGATCGTCTGAGCCAGGCCGAAAGGTCGTACGCGGAAGATCTTCTGCTCTACTTCTGCTACAAGATCCTCAACCTCCTCAGGTGGTTGTTGAGCTGCCTGGGCCTGAGCATCAGCTTCGCCTCCTGCCTCAGAGCTGGGCATAGGTGGCACGGAGCTGGAGTCACGGGCTCGTGTCTGGGTCTGGCGTGTATGTTGTGACTGCGTTGACCGTTGAGTACTCTGACGCTTCTCCGCAAGATCAATCAAAACATCCTTCACAGCCGCATCCATAACAGGGACGATCTCAGCAGGAAACGATTGAACCTGATGCCATAGTTTCCGCGTTGGTGGATATGCTTTGAGGTTCCTGCAGTCCAGATAGAAAGCCGAAGTACCGAGATCCAGCATCGTCTCAAGCATACGCACATTCTCCTTCTCCAATCCAGGATGATCTTCGCTCAGCGATTCACCTTCGGCCACTTCGCCATTAGCGATCATGCGATACTTCTTCTGGAAGTTGTGAAGAAAGTCCTTCATGCAGGAGAAGGAGTCGGCGATAGAGACATTGGTACCCCAGACGACTCTGCTAGACTGGCCACCGAGCATGTCTGCGTCAGAGGTGTTGGGGTTCAGATTCGAGAAGGTAGCTGCGTCTGAACCATCCTCGCGGACTGGCATGCCGTTTTCATCGACATAGACTCTTCTTCGCGCATTACCACCCTCCAACATATCCGAGTCAATATCATGTCGTCTATTCCTCGCAGGCGTTGCGCCCCCAGCGAGTGGTGACCGCACGAACAGTCCTGTCGAACTTGTACGATCTGGGCCATGGTCACCTGTTCGAGGTCCTGCGGGGTCTGAACTGGATGCGTAGTGGATCGGGGAGGAATCTGTACATTGTCAGCTTGCGTGCACTAACCAGTCTCTTTTCATCCCTTACCACCAATGCCGCCCGCAGCCCTTGGAGTACGTCCGCCATCACTACTTCCTCCCACCGCCGCCTGCTGTCTCAGCGGCGAATTCGCACCGACGCCATTACCACCACGCACATTCAGAGTCTGGCTCTGACTCTGCGAGTTGCCAGTCGGTGAGCGGAAGAACAAGGGTGAAGAAGTAGGGCCAGGTTGCGATTGTGAAGTATTTTGCGAGGATCGTGTCGCGCCTCGGGGAGTGTTTTGCTGCGAGCCATTCTGCGAAGATCCTTGTCCTGCCTCTGACAGTAGTTGACTGCCTGCAGCGTCTTCGTCGGCATTAGGGAGTATTGGGTCGCTTGAAGGAGGGGCTTGCTGAGAGCTGCGGTTGCGATTGTGTCGTGGAGTGCCATTGACCGAATTGCGATTCGAGAGGCGAGAGGCTGGCGACGACATGCCTGTAGTACGCTCTATATGAGGGGGATGTAGTTGTCAAAGGGTCGTTATCAATAATATGGCCGAGAACGTGGAATGGCAGCGACACGAGATGGACGCGTTCCGACCGCGTTTTAAGCTTCAGCACTAATGCAACCTCTTTCAAAGGGCCCCACTATGCCTCATCGAGCATGAACAAGAACATCTTCATGAACCAAGTAGAAATAACCCGCACGCAACCATGCCTCCGCCATCGCAACTTGCAATCGCAACATCATCGCTGAATAGGCTGGTGAAGGAAGAAGCGAGCTACCACAAGGAACTCGAGCAACAACAAGCCAGCATCGCCAAGCTCGAGCAAGGCGGCGGCGACGAGAATGCAGAATACACGTTGAGACAGGAAGTATGTAGGAATTGATACGTACTCTTTATGGTGATTGCGGTATACTATGCTAAGCTTTACAACCATTTCCGAAGATCCATTCATGCTTGATCTGCTGGTCCAAAATCACTCTGAACACCTTGCTAATCTCAATGCCCAGCGTCGAGCGGTCGAGGAGACCAAAGCTATCTTCCCACAACTCAAGCTAAAAATCGAAGATGCTCTGTCAAAGCTAGAGCAGCAGTTGGTAAGCTGTGTACACCAAGGCCGTAATGACATGTGCGCCTCTATCCTGCTAACAGCTAGGCAGGAGCAAGAGAGCCAAGGTGACGCTGAGAATGTCGCCAAGGCCAAAGAAGCCGTTGCTGCAGGTAAGAAGGCGCTTGGGTGAAGGGTCGTATCTAGTGCTCCGGAACATAAGTCGCTTGCGTCATCGCGACTCTGATGTACATCTGTACATATGTCGAGAGTGTCAAAATGTCAAACACTTCACATAATCTTTCGCCTCTTCAATGGCATCATGGGCGACGGAGCCAGCCTCTTCCGCGTGGCTTCGAGCACCGGACTGGGTTTCGGATCCGGCGAAGCAATTTCAATCGCCTTGGCCACCACATGTTCTCGAACAGGCGGGCTAGCTGACTTCGGTGTGGGTCGTGCCTCCACGACCTGAGCCGGTCTGGCCTTGCCCTGCGTCAGAGCCTTCAACCTTGCCTCCCTCTCTACCATCGCCTCTCCAGACTTCGCAGCAGGTGGAGGCGACACCGTCATTCCCACCATCGCCCTGCCCTGCTGTGGAGGGCGAGCATGCGTAAGCCCCTTCAACCTCGCCTCCCTCTCCGCCATCGCCTCTCCAGACTTCGCAGCAGGTGGAGGCGACACCGTCGTCCCCACCATCGCCCTGCCCTGCTGCTGCTGCTGCTGCGGGCGGGCCTGCGTAAGCCTCTTCAACTTCGCCTCCTGCTCCGCCTTCCTCAGTGCAATCTCTTGCCTACTGGGGCCTCCCCTTGACACCATAGCAGTGACAGGCGTCTTCTTACCAAAGAGCGGTGCCGGCGGTGCCATGAGAACCGGTTTCATCAAGTCTCTAACCATCCACCTCGGCGCACTACCAATTTGCTCTTTCGCGCTCGGCAAAGCAGATATCTTCGCCACGGCACCTCTCGATAAATGCCCCAAGTCCATCCTCCTATGCCTCGCTTCCGTCCTACCTTGCGCTCGTAGTGCGGCAAGGACCTGATTCCCACTCTTCGCGTTCCTGAGAGCAGGAGCCTTAGTCGTCCGCTTCCTGTCCTCAGGAACCACCTTCTCCAAAATCGAAACCTTCCTCTCCTCCCTCTCCTGTTTCAGGCCACCTAGCGCAAGCTCCAGAGCTTTTTCCTGCTGCTCCTGGGTCCTTTTCTCAGCCCTCATCAATTTCGCATGCACCTTCCACCATGAGCGCGGGTTGACGGGCTCGAAGATCTTCTCCTTCCATCCCGGGATGTCTCGAGCAATGAACGCGCGCCAGAGCTCCTCGGTTTGGTCTGCGATGGCTGGACTGTTTGTCTCGATCTCGCGGAGCTGTTGCGGATTCTTAATCTTCTTGAGAGCGGGTTTGATCAGGTCGTAGCGCATATCGGCTATGTCGTAGATGTTGGTAATGTTGCGCATTGTGGCGCGCAGAGCCACGGCTTGTAGTGATGGTGCAGGCATAGTGACTGTGCTGTGCCTTTGCGTTGCGAGTCTGCGTTTGCTTTCCTCGAGTACGTCTTGCGTCAAGCGGTTGTGTGTCTTGGACAGAGTTGTGGTTCAGCTCAGACAAAGGCGTGTGTTAGACAAAGAAGTGATTGATGTGTGTGTCGGGAAAAAGCAGCTGCATAGTGGGCGAGCAGGCGTTTTACGTGCTGCCAGTGACTGTGAGTGTGCGCTAGCAATTTCGTTGTTGTCCTCAAGCTTACTTCGGAGCTCTCATGTGGTTCAGTCTTCAGATGATGACCATAAGCCGCCCTAATGGTGCGCTTACCTCATGACCCGCGCCACGAGCCGAGTCGTGCCGAGCCCTGATCGACAGGGCGAAAGCTTGTTAGTCAGCCACTATGAATATGAAGGTATGCGGGTGTGGGTAGAGGGTGGTGATGGGAAGGATAACACGAAAGTCGAACACACCTGTAAAGCCGGATTCTGACATGGTAGGATACTATACATCTTATCCAGCTTCCCAAAAGCATATCTAGCCGCCTGTCTAGCAGCGACACAAAATCGTCTTCTTTCTCAGAACGCCTCGCTCCCAACAAATCCTGAGGATGCAATATTGTGACACCTTTTTACACATACCTGATACTCCCGTGATGCTCCTTGTAGCTCAAGAGTTGGTGTGCGCTGTACTTCGAGACCATTGCCACACCACCGCTCTCGTATATGCCATGTCGTCTCAAGCCTTGCTACCATGCAGATGCTATTCCTCCGGGTCCGGCTTGAGCGACACAAAATAATCCCTCGTCATCTCGAAACTTAACCAGGAGCTCGCCATACTCGGTGCGACTTTCAGCAAGTTCGGTGCTATGCCCTTGTAGAGTCCTCTTACTCCCTCATTGCCCACGATCACCCGTATCGCATCGAATATGCTCTTGTACCGGTATCCCATGCCGGTCATTGTATTGATTTGGAATCTTCTTCTTAGCACATCCAGTGGGTATGTGCATGTCTGCGCCACGGCTCCCGATATTGCTCCTGCTGCGAGCTTGCCGAACGAACTAGGATTCGCCTGTCCGTCGGGTGTGAAGTATTTTCGTACGGATTCGTAGATCATGAAATTCAATCCCACATAAGGCGCCACGCCAGCTACCGTCGGTATTATGCCCCGATATAATGCGAAGAAACCTCCTTCGTTCTTGTACATTGTCTTCATCGTCTCCCACATGCCTGGCAACTTCTTTCCTGCTTCTGCCTTTTTCAGGCCGGCGAAGGATGCGCTTTGGATGCTGAGGCGTGTTCGGACGATGTCGAGAGGGTATGTGAATGTTACGGAGGTGACACCTGCTGTGGCTCCACATAGTAATCTTCGTCCGGCGGAGAGAGGTTCACCAGGCGAGGCTTCGAAGAACTAAAAGCAGTGTCAGTCCTGGCTCGCAGGATCCTGCATCTGATCACCATGGTCTTGTGCAATGCAGACTCACCCTCTTGTAAAAGTTGTAACTCCCAAACTGCACCGCACTATACGGCACAATCCGTATACAATTAGTACCATTCCCCGCCATCATTCCTTTGAAACCTTCTTCCCGCCATATCTTCGCCAAAGCCTTGCTGATACTCGTCTTGTATTCCGATTGCGCTCCCGTCTGCACTTGCAAGAGAATCTTCAGTCGCTCAAGAGGGCTTACTACTGTCCGTGATACTGCGCCAGCTACACCGCCCGCTACGAAGGACGCAACGACAGCTTGTGAGACCCATTCTTTGAATCCGATGTAGGCCGCTGAATCCGGCGGAGGTGGGAGGCTCGCCATGACTGGTGGTTTGTGTGCGGTGCTTAGAGGTTGCGATATCGAAGTCGATGATGTGGCTTGTATGCTCATAGCAAGGTGTAATGTATCGCCCGTGGCCTCATTGGAGCCGCATGTGAAGTGAGGTTGATCGTCCTTGACCGGCAAGTCTCAAAAAGCCGGCGCGTGGTCGCGTGAAGGTGTTGGTGATGATCTCTGGTTATCATGAATCGTTGTACGCTGTAGAGTGGAGATGTTGTATTATCTGCGCATTTCTTGATCTTGACCACAGCCTATGATCTTTGCTTCCGTCTGATCAATGCAAGAGACGATGATTGATCGTCGCAAGTGCTGCAGGGAGATTTCCTTCGGCTTGTGAAAACCGCCGCTCAGACTGTCCGGGGATGCCGTTTGCGCTACGGAGATATTGACGATTGAGTCAGACCTATACTTGACAACCACAGCCACGTCTTTATCGGATCACAGATATGCAGGAGAATGACTATGACGATCCCCGAATGTGTCTGAACGAGGAGGCGAAGGGAAAGGTGGTCGCACGAGCATCGCCACGCTGATGATTTGTCTCAGGGCTGTTGGGACGTCTACAGCCAACCCCTTGAGCGCTTGCCTCTATTTGCTGCTACACAATACTGTAACGTAGCCTAGCATTGGCTGGCACCTCGAAAAGGCCAGTAAGAAGCACCACAGCGGTCTTCGCGGGCATGGCGAAAAGACATTATGATTTCAGAGATATTGAACGCCGTACGCAAAGAACCACCTGGTCACCACCACCCCAGCGCCTTTTCGAGCACTACTATCTCACCTAAGCTCTCCGGACACCAAACACATGCAGCATTGTAAGCCATCACTAATCTCCGCTAGAGTCAGTTGGACGCGGCGGAGCCTCCCTCCACGGATTCGTCTTGGAACCACTCCCCTTGGACGATCGCGCTGGCGACATGGACTGGCGCTGTCGGGCCTGTCAATGATAGTAAGTAAATCGTCCCAGAATGTAAACCCGACGTCGATAATGAGGAGCTACGACTTACATTCTGGCCGTGACCATGCCCATGCGGCTCCATATTCAGACCTTTGTTGAACTGCCCAGCCAGCTGCTGACCTCCTTCAATCGCATTTCCAATGGCTTGATTAGCTTGACGAGCGAGACTCCCAGCAGCTGCAGCGCCTTGCTCAAGGATGGTATTGTCTCCACCATGGCTTTTATTGGATGAGGTAGACGACTTCTTAGCTGATGCTACGCTGCCGCGCTTGCTGGGAGCAGAGGCGGAAGAAGATCGTTTAACAACGCGGTTGGCAGAGCCAGAGCGTGTCTTCTTGGGTGGCGATTGGGCTCTGCCTGAACCACATTTGCTGGACTTTGCGCTGCTGCGAGAGGAGCCACGCTTGCTCGGCACTTCGTCCACTACCTCTTTGTCCTCAGCTTCATCAAGGTCTTCCTCGGCAGCGGCGCGAGCGGTCTTCTTAGCGGCACCACTGCACTTATTTGCTGGCGAAGCTCTCTTACTGGCAGCCTTCTTCTTAGTCACTCCACCTTTCTTGGCGGTTGTCTTCTGCGCCTTCGCAATCTTAGTCGGAGCAGCCTTCTTCGATGCAGCTTTCGTGGCCGTCTTCGTAGCCTCCTTGCTGGCCGCCTTCTTATCAGAAGCAGTCTTCGTCACACGACCGGTAGCGACCTTCTTAGCTGAGCCAGTAGCAGTGCGCTTCCTCTTGGTGTCAGCTACTGCCGGCTCAGGCTGGGCCTGCGCGGCCTGCCTTGCTACGGCTGCAGTCTTCCTGGCGAGGTCTTGGATGCGCTTGCTGGGTGGTCTGGTCGCCGCTGTGGCAGCCTTCTTGAGGCTCCCTCGCTTCGGCGCCATGGTTAAGCAAAGATTGCGTGTCGCTGGTGATGTCAGACCAGCCCCAAACAGTCTTGCGATACTATGGTTATATACCTAGCACAAGCACCCTCTTTCAGTCGTGAACGAAGTTGAACAAGCAAAGAAGCGCGTGATTAGTTCCCGACAAACAGCAACACCGAGAAAACGAACAGAATATGTTCCATTGCCCGCACGACTTTCATCTAAACATCTGTTGACTGAAGAATGCGCCAAAAGCGCATGTCGAGAACACTTGACATTCCAGACCCAAATTTGATTCGCACATTGCCAACCAGCTACACTTTTTACACATCATCCCCGATCATTATCATTATTGCCATTGTCGTCGGTGGGCCGTTGCGTTGACTATGCGCCGTTCACTTTGGCCATCCTCTTGTTCATGAAAGCAAAGAAGCTGACGGGCGATGCAGAAATGCCCATGTTGTAGATGAAGCGGCTTGCCAGGTATGAGCCGAAGATCGCTCGGAGATAGCTTTCAGGTACCTGGAAAAAGTGTTAGTACTGAAGCCAGAATACCATGTCGAAACGACACCTACCCTCTGCTGGATCTTCTCCAAACCAATCTCGTGCAGCAAGAGAGGTGGTAGAGCATCACTCAGTACGCTTCTCCTCAGCGCAAGGTTATCCCATAATTCTGTGCCTTGCAATTCTTCGTCCATCTTGGTGATCGCAATACTAAGTTTGTCGCTGAGTATACTCTTTGCCACACCAGTCTCTTCAGCTTCACGCCATATAGCCTCGAACTCTAGTCGTGCATTCTCCTGAATCTTGGCCTGCACTTGCTTCACATAGTCTTGGTAAAACTTCGGCACAGTTCCATCGGCTTGCACGCACATATGTGACAGAAAGTTCTCGTCATCGAAGGACAGAGATGCTAGCACCTCGAGCGATGATGAAGTCACGCCACCTTTGTTAGCAGAAGCGTCCTTGAACACCACGCAACCTGCCTTCTCTAGTCGCAGCTTGGCCTCTTGCGTGATGAACAGATTGGCGCCCTCCACGATATATGGAATGATCGCCTTGGCCTTCGAGATCAAGCGACTTGCGCTGCTGAAGTCAATGGACTCGGGTCGGCCACCACAGGGGACGAACATGTCGAACGACTCTGCATCGCGAAGGTGGAAGGTATTGCGGAAGGTGATGCCGTTGTTGACGACTTCTCCTGAAGGTAGGGTCAAGTTGTTGTCTTCGACCAGCACTCGGTATCCATCCTTGGACAACTTCGTGATCTCAAAATTGACGATCATCTTCCTTTCCTTTGCTAAGCGCAACAGCTCAGTCCGGTCGAGGCCATTCGGATCGAAAAGTACGCCCGAGCCATCCACAATCGCACAGTACTTCTCGTTGCCTAGTAGGATCTCATTCGAGCCAAGATCGCCATCAGGGCCGCCAGTCTGCAGCTTGCGCACTTGACGCTCATCAAGATTGAGCTTGCGGTAGATGCCGAGCACATACTCACGGACTGATAGCGTAGTCATTCCGTATGCGTCGTGAGGGATACCGCCGAGCTTGGGTGACTTGCCTGTGAAAAACGATTTCCACCACGGTGCGCCACGGGCACGAGCATGTTCCGTAGCCCAGTTGACCAGATCAGCTGTGTTCTCATCTGGACCCAGGAAGAGTATTTCCTCCTTGCCGTGCAGATCCACAATCGGATCCTTGATACCAGGGCTAGTGGGTGGCAACAGCAGATCCATGATGGAGTCGATGTACTTCTCAAATGCCACTGTGACCTTGTCTTGATGTTGTACGTCAAGTAGGATCACACCTTTGCTGCCACCTTCGGGAATGTCCTTGTTCTTGCGCTGCTGTGTGTTTGCCAGATTGTAATTCTCGTCGAACAAGGATCGAGCGTTGATGGCGTAGGCTTCGCGACTCCTAGACTTCACAATGCGGATGCCACCGCGAGCAATATCCCTGAAGCGAAGATGAAAGCCCCTGAACTCCGAGCTGATGACCAGGAACATGCCATAAAGTGGCTGTGGGTACTCTTCAGCGGGTAAGAAGCTGGGATCGAGACGGAAGCTGAGAGCAACCTTCGTTGGGGTGTAGAAGTTGGTCTTGAGGACTGCGCTGTTGAAGATGCGGAAGGACATCATGACCATCTCGTGGTGCTCGTTGATCGCAGTCTTCGAGATCAAAGTCTTCAGCTCATCGTCGGTTAGCACGCGATCTACTTTCATGCGCAGATATGACAGAGTAGGCAAGAAGTCATCCTGCTCGCCACGAGTCTGCACATAATGTGTGTTCGCGAATGACAAGTATAGTGATCGAATGACCTCCGGATATTGGTTGATGATCTCAAGAATGTAGTCGGCGGTGAACGTCTCGGTACGCAACCTTTTCTTCATCTTCGACAAAAGCTCAGCATGCACGTTGTTGTTGAGGTCGAGCAGAGATGAAAGGGTGTTGTATTCGTTGCCCAGACGATTGAGGAAGTGCTGGGTGAAGACCCAGACACAATGTGCATAGATTGCTTCCTGCAATGACAGCTTCCCATCAGCGAAGTGGTGCTTCAGCCTGTTCTGCGGTATGCAATAGAGGAGGGAAACTTCCTTCATGATCTGGTGGATTGACGCCTCGATTGGTGGATGATTCTTGTCAGAATTGGGCGCGGGTTTCAGGTAGATCGACAAGATGCAAATCCCATTGCTGAACTGCTCCACATACTTTCTGGACGATGTCAAGCCGTAGTAGTGGTATAGATCGCTCAAAGAGGTGAACATGCCGAGCGCAGAGCCCTGCTTGAAACCCACAACCAGCCTCTTTTCCCTCGTGCCTTCCACATCGTACATGTCGATCACTGGGCCCGTTCGAGAGGCAGCGGCGTCTAGTACGCGCTGATATAAGGCTCTAGTGTTTGGTGTAGTCTTTTGCAAGAAACGTGCGTCCCCCAGTACCTCGACATCAGTCTCATTCTCAGCAGGTGTCGGGTTTTGGAAAGTAGTCTGGTAGACGAAGTAGCAACGAAGTGCCTGGTCACCACCACCAGGTAATTTGCTCGGTGATCTGAACGTCTCAACGCGGAAGCTCCTTGGCCCTTTGCTGCCGTCCAAATACTTCGCCTCTAAACGAGCCTCGAAGCCAGAACCTTCGGAGGACGACAGTCCAGGCCTGCTGGTGTCAATGTAGATGGCATGATCCGCCGCTTCCTTGTCCAGCCTGATCTCGAGCTTCTTGTCGTCTCTCGCATATGCTGCGATCTTGGCAGCGTATAATGAGTGGACATTGCTTACGATGGCATCCACTGTCTCGGTGCTGAAGTACATGTCATCGATGCCAAGCTCGTTGTAGAACCACGCTACCTCTTGCTCCACCAGCTCATCCGGAATAAAACCCTTGGCGTCCACTTGAGTAATCACGTCGTCCATCTGCTTGCTCTTGCCCTCGAATTTAGGTGCAACATAGCCAGAGCCAGTCTCCTGGAGGACATGAGTCTGCCCAGGTACGCCGAGATGGGTGGGCTGTGGTGACGGCTGTCTGTCTGGTGTCCGGACCACTCTTTCCAGGAGCTTATTCGGTAGTGCAAGGCCATTGGCTCCTTCGAGTGTACCGTTGATATGTTGCGACGCCATTGTGATTGTATTTCTAGTCAAAGATCTCTTCAGTGCATTTGATGGAGGGTCGATGTCTAGTATACGCTTATGCTGAAACAAAAAGAGGCTGGCACTGCCTCATTCGAGCTGGAACTGACCAACCTTTTCCTGCGCTGACGAGGAGCGTGATAAGCCCTTATCAGTTGTCCGTCCAGCACAGCCACTAGACAGGAAACAGGCGCATCGACACGAGGCTGAGTGGTATACAGGTCGCTTGCGCCCGACCACTACGCAAGCTTCTTCAAACTTTTAAGTAACCAGAGCGTAATATTCACGCGGATTTTCGCGGCATAGAGCTCTAGCAAAAACTGTTCCTGCAGGTACACGAATAGCGCCAGAAACAATAGCGCCGGTTAGGTCTCTCCGGGGAAAAGTGGGGACCCGCTAGGACGAGTCGAAGCAGTTTTGTGGCGTCCGGTATACGCCAATAGTCAGCACGTGTGAGAAGGCACTTGACAGTGGCACATGGCCTGCAGAGGCTGCAGGGCCAACACTGCCGCTCGCTGGACCAGGGATTGATGTGGCTTGATTTTGACTGAATCGAGGAGATGGCGGCATAGGTGGTAACGATCACCGATGCATGCCACACACACCGCTCCGAGAGACCAGCCATCCACGTGTCGTGAGACCACCACATGGACATCGGACCATTCCTGGGTCTACCAGCAGAGCTCCGTCTCCGTATCTATGGACAGGCTCTGCAGTGTGGGCGCACCCTACAGAAGCCATTGCGGGAGACGCCATGGCAGAAATCCAAGGGCTCGCTGGTAGACATTTCACTCTTATGTGTGTGCAAAACTCTTCACGCCGAGGCCAGAGATGTCTTTTACGAGATCAATAGCTTCAGCGTGTCCTACAATCATATCTGTTACTGCGAGAACAGATATCCTTATCGGGCTTTGCATGACCGGATTGGATCAGTAACAGTGACCAATTTCGTGCCACGAGAGGAAGAGGGACATACATGCGAGTTCTGCCTATCAGAAGGATACGGTCTACTGGCCCACCTACGCCGTCTACCAAAATTGACTCAGGCCAAGGTCTCGTTCGAGGACGTCTTTAGCTTTACCGACTATGCTCCAGGAATTCTGAGCAGACTGACAGAGAATGAGGACGTCCATCTGTCAAGCGAAGAGATTGGCCAAATAGACGTAGTCGGCTTGCCACTGTCTCTACGTATTGAGCTTCCAATACTACATCGAGCGTGGTCCTCGTTAGCCTTCTCACGTGGCAGAAGCGGTACAGGGCAGCGGTTGCCTGGCGAGCAGATCGTGCGACGTACGCTTGAGTACATGCAGTTCGAGACGAACACATACGATCGGACAGCACGATCACTATTACCCTTCTTCACCGCGAGTCAGGAAGGAGGAACAAGAAGTCTGCGGTTTCGAGGACTGCCTGACGGACCACAACGACGCGCTGAGTTCACAATCGCTCTGGCAGGCGTTCTGTACGACGTCTTTGCGGATGATGGTGGTTCCGAGAGCATAGATTGGACTGATGTGCCCGGCAGCGGAACGTGGACCTTTTTCGTCGATAACTATACTATCACGCAGAACGCGCACCAAGACACGGGTTGATTACTGTCCTATTCCATAGCACGATTTCTCTGTGCTTGAGCGTCGTAAATGCACTACTGCGGTAGTAGTGCTTAAGCCGAGCCTACCGAACTCGGCATGATGAAGTCGTGAAGTCTATCTCACAACATGCGGGGCATGCGAACAACGGAGACTATGGCAACACTCACGATCAAGATGGTCCAAGCAATCATATCTTAACGAACATGCAGGACGGACTACGTGGACTGGCCACTAAGCGCGTGGCGGGCTCGCTGGGAGCGGAGATCCACAATGTGGACCTCAAGTCTTTAGACGGCACCGCCGTCAAACAAATCAGACAGGCCTTTGCAGAACACAAAGTCATATTCTTTCGTGACCAGCATCTGTCGCCGCCAGAGTTCCTCTCCTTCGCCTCCAAATTCGGCGAACCAGTCGAATATCCGATGGTGAAAGGAATTGATGGTTACCCCAAGATCATCGAAGTCTTGAAACAAGAACACGAGACCACAAACTTTGGCGGTGTCTGGCACGCCGATACCACGTACCTTCCCGAACCGCCTATGGGTACGATCTTATTAGCACGACAGATCCCACCGTACGGAGGGGACACACTTTTTGCCAATCAAGCCGCAGCTTACGATGCTCTATCTGACGGCCTAAAGGCCACGCTGGCGCCACTCCGCGGCATCAGTAGTTCAGCCAAAGCCGATGCCTCCAAGACACGCGAAGACCGGATCAAAGACTCTGGCATGAAGTCCGCTGATCTCCTGGCTAGCCATCCCGTCGTTCGCACACATACGGTCACGAGCAAGAAGAGTCTGTACGTCAATGTAGCACACACTGTGCGTTTCGATGGCTGGACGGAAGACGAGAGTAGACCGCTACTCCAATATCTATTCCAGCACCAGGTCAAGCCGGAATTCACATGTCGCTTCTCGTGGGAGGAAGGCAGCATTTCTTTTTGGGACAATCGAACTGTGTTGCACAATCCTATTAATGATTATCATGGCTTTCGACGGAGTATGCACCGCATTACGTTGGCTGGAGAAGTGCCCGTATAGCATGAAATGCATGATGGAAGGGAAGTACATATGTAGTCCATTATTTATCGCTATGTATCTAATGCGAGTGCCCAAGCAAGTCAGTCAAAGTTTGATTACCGGACCGGAAGATGCTCCGTATCCTCGCTATCCAGCCCGAGCCGTAACTGTCTTCTCCGCCACCGTTGTAGTCATCCCAGCATCTGTCTCTGTCGTCGTGACCGTCACAGTGACCGCGTTGGGATTGATTGGTACGATCGTGATACCGGCCATTGCACTCTGACTGGCTGCCGGAGGCGGAGTCTGCGTCACAAACCCAGGAAGACCAGGAAATCCGCTTGATGGATGCTCGTGTGGGTGAGGTTGCTGCGCAGAATAGCTTGACGGCGAGTATGTGAAGGACGGTGGGGTTGCGGACGGCTCTGGTACTGACTGCGAGCTGGTGATCGGAGATAGGTATGCCCTCGTATGTGAGGAGCTGCTGCTCGTGGTGGTGTCAGACGATGGCTCAGGTGCTGCACTGCTGTTTTGACTCTGGGTCGTTGTTGTGGTGGTTGATGCTTGCTCTGTTGACGCTGGGATGTATGAGAAACTGTATGGCAGCGTTACGGAGCTTTCAGTAGAGGCTGCTGGAGCAGATGACGATGAGGTCGTGCTTGATGAAAGACTTGATCCCACACTTATCGTTGAAGAGATTTCGGGGGTGGGCAAGATTGTCATGGGCGCAGTGGCGGTCTCGCTGCTGATGGAATATGTCACCGTATAGCCGCCGTACGTCACAGTGGAGGAGCTCGTTGAAGATGACATCGTCGACGTGTTCCCGCGGCTGATGGACGATGTGCTTTCGAGGACACTAGCAGTTATGGTAGAGATATTGTATACCATTGATGTCGCGCTTGCTGCCATGGAGCTATGCACATAAGACGATACGCTTTGTGTGCTTTCCGAGGACGGCGAGGCATAGGTTGGAGGCAGGCTGCTCATGGCAAGGCTACTTGAGCTTCCTCCCGGCGGCACCGTGGTGAACATGGTGAGGGTCGTGGTGCTTGCCGTAGACGTGCTGGTGACGATAGATCGTGAAGCTGAAGAGCTTGCAGACGCCACTCCAGAGCTGTTGATTGGCAAAGGGTCGTAGCTGAAGAAGGTCGTCTCACTTCGTGTCGGCAGAGACACGGTAGAAACTAGGCTCTGTGCCGAAACAGTCGTAATGGGCACAAGATACGCCCCCGAGGTTGTTGTATTGGTCGTTGTCGTGTCTTTGTTGCTCGTCTCAGCCGCGGCCGACGAGACAAAGGCGGTCGGCAGTGCATCGCTGCTTGTTGCGGTATTTCCGGCAGCAGACATGGACACGGTCGTACTGATGTTTGAGTAGTATAATGGACCAGCCAGAGCAGTCGCCGCGAAAGTGAAGAGTAGTGTCAAGCCGGATGTGGCGAGCATGTTGGCGAATGTCTTCCGAAGGATCGAAGATGTAATATTAATGTGGCGAAGACCAGCTCCGGCGTCTATACTGTAGTACAATGAGGAAAAGAGCGACAGTAACAATGCTGATGTGAGTGCGAGGCCATGAGAGGAAAGAGAGGGAATACCAGCTACTTGGACCTATGCTACCGGGCTGTCGTCTCAAGACGTCTTGGTTGTCGCGAAGCAGCATGATTAGGATCGGCCGCTTGCACGCTGTGCGATCAGTGCGAGATCTATCTACACGCAGCGCGTCGTCTCGACAAGATGTTTGCGTCGCTGTAGGCGCCGATATGCCTCTCCCTCAGAGTGAGGTTTACAATGAGGCCGGGAGCGCTCTGATTCGCTGAAGGTGAAACATGGTCCAGAAGGAGCCAGCTTTGACGGATCACGACCACGTTGCATTGCTCGTTCTGTCTCCGCGGACTGCACACATCCTCAAGCGTTCTGTATGTCGAAAATAATCGTGATGGTGGAAAATATGCGACGTGGGAGATCGTTAAGGTTTCGATTATTGAGGGTCGCCGCTGAGCAAGGCAGACCCCCTGGTCGCTGTAGCAACCCCACAATTATTGATTCAGAACGTCACTCTGCCTTTGCGCTGGTGGTGGTAGACGAGCTTTGTAGATGAATGAATGCTTTCAGCGAATTGTCGACCATTTGCCATTGTTCAATAGGCTGGTGTGAGTGTCGATCGAACATCCTAGTCCTGCATATATATCATCACCAGAATGAGTGTGCGCGTTGTTGCCAGGATCCGGCCTCTACTAAAAGCAGAAATCGAGCGCGATGTCATTGTGGAAGCGGTAGCCGGCGAGGCAGAGGAGAAAAGGAGTATTGTCAGGATACCGAATCCGAAGAAGGAGAGCGAGGCCTATTCGTTCCAGTTCAGCAGTGTATATGACCAGGAAGCGACACAGGCGCAACTTTTCGACAATGAGGTCTCACCCACAGTCAAGCACTTGTTCAAGGGCTTCGATGTCACTCTCTTCGCATATGGAGTCACGGGAACTGGAAAGACATATACCATGCGTGGTGGGAAGTCTTTGGCAGAGCGAGGTGTGATTCCGCGCCTACTATCGAGCATTTATCGGCGAGCACGTAAAGTGGAGAAGGATACAGCAGGGGACACGCAGGTGGAGGTGATGATGAGCTACTACGAGATTTACAACGACCGGGTATTCGATCTCTTCGAGCCGCCGGAGAAGCGAACGGCCGCTGGACTGCCCATCCGGGATGTGGGCAACGGGAAAACGCAGGTCGTAGGCTTGACCGACAGGCCGTGCACGTCTCTGAAAGAGTTCGAGGAGCTGTACGATGAGGCCAACGTCAACAGGTCTACCTCGGCCACTAAGCTAAATGCGCATTCTTCGCGGTCGCATGCCATACTATGCGTCAAGGTTACTCAAATTACAGGCGACGAAACACGAATAAGCACTGCATCGGCAATTGACCTTGCTGGCTCCGAGGACAACAGACGGACAGACAACATGGGTTACCGTATGGTCGAGAGTGCGAGTATCAACAAGTCGCTCTTCGTTCTGGCACAATGCGTCGAAGCTATCAGCAAGAAGCAAGCTCGGATACCGTATCGCGAGAGCAAGATGACACGAATATTGTCACTGGGCCAAAACAATGGTTATACTGTCATGATTCTCAACCTGGCACCTGTGCGAAGCTACCACCTGGACACTTTGAGCAGCCTCAACTTTGCGAATCGGACGAAGAAGATTGAAGTCAACGAGATCGAGAATCAACCTATCTATCGTGAGGCGGCTAGCAAGAATAAACTAGATGGTGAGAAGCATGCGTCACAGGACATGCCTTCGTTACATAGACAACCGCTACGACCGAAGATACTGTCTCATAACAGCCATCTCAAGGACGTCACGACTAACGGGCCCAAGCCAACCAAGCAGTTTGCGGTGTACTCCGACAAGCCGAAGCAAGCTGCCAGGCCAGCCCCACAGGCAAACATCAGCCAAGCACGGTCTACTGCAATACCACACAAGTCACCTAAGCGGACAAGTAGCGAGGCAGTGCCAACGCTTGGCAGACCCAGCAAGATGCTGCGCATGAATGATGCCATGAGGTTGGCGAAGGCTGTCGAGCCAGGTCTGAGCAAAGGTACTATAGAGGCCATGATTGAGCGAAAAGTCATGGAAGCTCTGGAACAACGTGCCGATCAAACCACCGTCTGCAATGGCGACCCGATCTCAGGAGAAGTCCAGAGGCGACTGAATGCTCTGGAGAAGCGTGTGGAAGGCAAAGAAACCGAGCGAGCAGAGGGATTGCAGTATCTGCTCATGGCAAAGCAGCATCAGGTCCGTGGCGAGGAAGCCAGTGCGCTCAAGATGTATCAGCTTGCTTTACCGCACTTTCCAGGCAACGAGAAGCTCGTGCGAAAGATGTCAGCGCTGCAGGATCGCATCTCGGCGAAGAAAGCTGAGAAGCGTACTTCAGTGGCAGGTGGCGTAGCACTGCCAGTCGTAGCCTCACTCAACGACGATGAGCCTGCCAACCAACCAGCACCTCGACGGAGGCACAACGCGGACGAGGATGACAGCTATCACGAGGCTCACGACACCGCACCAACCTATGATGAAGACGACGAATTCATGTACCGCCCTCGGACCAAGATCCGTCAACGTCCACAGACTAATAAGCGTGCCACGACTGCTCCTCTCCTCGACACCAGCGCAAAACACTCCCCACCACCCGAAGACGACGATGGTCAAGTCTCAAACTCAGAAGACGAGCTGGCAACAGCTCTCGTTGCACAGACTCCACGGACAAAACACATTTTACACATCATCAACACGAAAGATGTCAGTCAGATCAAGCTGCTGAAGGGCGTCGGGGCCAAGAAAGCAGAAGCGATTGTGAATTGTCTCTGTGATCTAGATGATGATGCGGGTGTGACTAGTCTTTCCGAGCTCGGGAAGATGAGAGGTGTGGGTGTGAAAACGGTGGAGAATATGCGGCTAGGGCTGGATAGGATGGTTGTGTGATTACTGGTTTTCAGCATCAAGTGCGATCGCACAAAATATTCTTTGCTCATTAGCAAGGTGTTCTGGGATGGATCTTGCATAGCGTAGCGCTCTTTCGTATTTTACTGTTCTCGACTGTATATGCCAGCTTGCAAAGAGATGTGGAAGTCACTGCTGCCTTCACGTGAACGTGGTCTCGGCTTCGCGTTTGTCTGATACCTTCTATGAGCGCAGATCGATAAGATTCTTGCCAGTCTCGTTTGACACAATACTTCCATCACAAGGCAAGGTGTCATGGACGAGATGTCCACGTACTCGGGCCTGGCCTTCTGCCTCGACGGCGATCCGAGGATCTACAGCGCGAGCCGCAAGATCGCTCGCGTACCACTTTCCGACAGCATCATCGAGCCTTAGATCTCAGGGTGCTCCATTTCTGGCCATCAAGCGCTCGAGGACTTCCTTGGCTTTCTCCGGCTCCACAGTGCCCTCATCACCCGTGCGCACCATCTGGCCAACGAACCACATGATCTTGCCTTTCTGGCCCTTCTCACGAACAGCTTTCACCATGTCAGGACTTGCGTCCACGATTGATTGTGCGAGCTCTTCATAGCCCCTTTGGGTCAATGGTCGCAGACGTAGGTTGCCAGCGTCGACTAGCTGTTCGATCGTTGGCACTGGCTCGGAGCATGGCTCCTGTTCGAAAACTTCGGTGAGAAGTTGCTTGGCCACTCGCATAGTGATCTCTTTGCCCTGTAGCAAGACAATGATGTCGGACATCTTCTTGGGTGTGACACGAACATCGTCCCAACTACGTTCCTGCGTCGTCAAGAGACCACCAAGTTCATGTAGAATCCAGTTGCCAACCATTTTTCCAACCTTCCGCTTGTTCGCAGCCACATCTGAATCCGAAGCCTCATCATCACTCGATAGCACGTGTTCTACTGCAGTCTCGAAGAAGTCCACACGATCGCCTTCGTCAACGTCGATCATCGTCTTGGCGTCCTTCAAGCTGAGACCATATATCTCCTGCAACTCGACCTCCATTGCATCTGGTAGGGTGGGCAGTGTTTGAGTGAGATGCTGAACAAGGTCTCTGCCGATAACCAAAGGAGGCAGATCAGCATCAGGCATGTATCTGTAGTCTACCTCGCCCTCTTTGCCACGTAAGCGGGTCGTCTCCGTGGCACCCAGAGTCCAGCCGCGGGTCTCGCCTTCAATCACGTCACCGGCTTCCAGGACACTGATCTGACGGTCGCGCTCCGCCACAATAGCGTCTTCGACAGCCTTGAACGAGGATAGGTTCTTGATCTCTGTACGTTGGCCAAGACCACTCACACCACTATAACTCGCACCCGTCCCGTCCGTACCTCTCTGCCGCACGGAGACGTTCACATCTGCTCGCAATCCTCCCAATTCCATGCCAGTAACGCACGCATCCACAGACCTGAGAACGGCTTGTATTTTGCGCACAACAGCTGCAGCCGTTTGGGGACTGTGAATATGCGGCAATGTTATGATCTCGATGAGTGGCATGCCTGCCCGATTCAGATCGATATGATAAGCGGAGCTCCCGACATTCGTTGTCTTTGCTGTATCCTGCTCCATCTGGATCTGCTTGATGCCAATGACTAGACTGTCTGCACCATTCAGATCTCCAGCAGGCACGCCATCGGAAGCACGTAGAGTTAGAGAGCCGTCCTTAGCAAAAGCTTTGTAGTACTGCGTGATTTGATATCCATTCGGCTGATCCCAATGAAAGTAATGCTTTCGGTCCCAGCCGCTCTTGTGCTGAACATCACAGCCTAGCGCGATGGCTGCTCGTACAGCTGGAAGCAGAGTCGCGACCTGGAATTGAGGCTGTGTTCCTGGCATGGCAGCATCGAACAGTGCCACTCTACTATTCGGAGTGGTCGCATGTTGCTGATCGTAAGGCTCCGCGGATGCAGAGGAGAATAATTTACAGGCAGTGTTCAGCTCAGCATGTATCTCGATACCCACAGTGAGCTCCCATTTCTCTAGTCTCGGGTCTGTCCTTTGCCTTTTGTTGGATATATTGTCGCCATTGATCCTAGCCTCTGCCTTCTTCCGTTTCGCTTCATCCTTCAGGTGTTTGCGAAGCGGTATAGCTTCTTGCTGGAGTGATCGTCGTCCGGTGGTGATCTTGCGAGACTGGAGCCATTTCGAGACTATGCAAGCGCGAGGTACACGAGTGAGAGCACTGTGTGGATGCCCAAGTGCGCGTGCAAGATGCAATGGCGCATTGCATAGTGTCGATGGCTGCATGCTATAAATACAGCACCTGGAAGAGCTTCACCTCACTGCAGCAAGATGAGAGACGCGAAGTTCAGCCACAGTGGCGTGGGCACCCTGATCCGATCCGAACTTGCTTCCCTCAACTTCACTCTCTCTCTCTCTCTCTTTGCGCGTTTCGTGTCTTGTCCGCTGTGACTGCATTGAGCTTCAATATAGGCTGCCAAGGTCCGTGTTACAGCAGATTACTCACGCATGATCGAGTGTGGAATCTAAAGATGGCCCCGAAACCAGAAGGAACAGGAAAGAGACCTATGACTTATTTGTCTCTGGTAGAGGCATGCGATGAGTGCGTCACATTTCTGGCCACCTTCGAGCCATTCAGCATACTGAACGAGGTCAACCAGCTTTCCACACGACCCGTCTGCTGTTCACCAATATTACAGACTCTATCTACCTTATGACACCCAGCCTCATGGTTATATGCTACCGGAGGTCGTGGCAAAGATGCCTTGGACCTCAGACTTCATGGTGAAACACGACTGTGAGCGTTATGTGAGTGTGCTAGATCACTCGCATGGCAAGGATACAGCGGCCGCCGTCAACTCTGCATTCGGTAAGGTAGTGGACACTTGTATTGAAAACGATCTCTTCCATCTACTCTGTGCTCGACATAGCGAACCATTCGCCATCATCGGAGCCACTTATGATCAGCCAGTGTATGTTGAGCGGTTCGCCGCTGCACTTTTTGGCATCATACAACGAGGCGCGCACATGATAGCGTATACTCATCATGCAGATGTTGAGATGCGAATATGGGTAGGGCGCCGCTCACCGCATATATATACCTATCCCGGCATGCTCGACAGCACAGTTGCTGGTGGTATTAAGCTAGGCTCTCCACCAATACAAACCATCGTCGAGGAGTCGAACGAGGAAGCTTCGCTATCAGAGGACTTCGTACGCCAAAATGTGCGATCGAGAGGTGCGATAAGCCAGATCTCTCTTACAGGACGAGGCTTTCCTGGTGAGCAAGGACTTGTTGTCCCGGACTATATCTACCTCTACGACATCGAGCTGCCACCGGACATGATACCGAGGCCTCATGACGAGGAAGTAGGCCAGTTTCACTGCATGACTGTGCCAGAAGTACAAGCTGCGCTGCTTAACGACGAATTCAAGCCTGACTCGGCTTCCGTGATGATCGATTTCTTGATGCGGCATAGTATCATTACGCCTGAGAACGAGCCTGACTTCGTCGAGATCACTATGCGATTACACCGATCGCTACCATTCAGGATACGATCGCATCAGGGCATGATCCTTAGTACCACGTCTGATACACGGACGTAAAGCGGGCGTGCGGCATTTCAATATATCGTTCACCACGCTGGCAGCATTTTATAGCCGTTAGGACTGCTCGTTGGGTGTCGATATGGAAGGCAATTTCGGTTGAGTACATGACAGGATATGCATCTAGCATGATCCTGACCGCCAATTCACAATGCTAGCTTCCATTGTATCTCGACCCGTTGATCGACCGATCGAGTCCAGTTCTGGCACCTGGCCAACCATTTTCTTTGCATCGTTACGCGATACTGGTGCGACCGAACCTCAAAAGCATAATCCATCCGTGGTGCGTGGCGCGAGAGCTCAATTGCATCATGAGCAGTTGGCAACAATGGACGTTGTCGACTGGGACGAAGTGGACGTCTTAGCAATGTTCACTAGTGGCCTCTTGGGCGGGGCGAGCTCTTAATCTTACCTCTGGCCTGCATGTACATGATACATAGCCCAAGTATCGCGAGAAATGTAGCCAAGAGACCAAATGCCAGCGTCAGACGATTATCGACTTGCATGCTCTCAATGCTTGTGTTGTCGATCTGTTTGGAGGTCGATCCGCTGCAAGATGAATACTCGGTGCAAGACGGATGTCCAATGCAACAAAATATCCCTCTTCGAATTGGTGTCTGCGATTCTAGGGAATAAGGAAAAGCCTTGGCTTGAGAGCAGAAACAAAAGCGAACACCGTAGTGAGAAGAATCGAAACATAGATGTACATGTGAACGTGATTTCAGTATGCCAATGCGAACTGCAGATGGAAGGCGATTGGGTATGCAGCAACTTTGGATTTGTGCCTTTCCACAGCCACAACCCACACGTACACGCGAGCCGAAACCGAGTGTGTTCATTGCGATGGATTGATTCGTTTCCCCACAGGCTGCAGGATTTCCACGCCGTAATACCATGCATGCAGATCGACACGGGGCCCGGATATTCCACAGGCTGAAGAATATGGTCCTCTACCGGCACAAAGTACGATGGAGGTTGATAGTTGCGGCCTCGACGTGATAATGAGCGCATTATGCTAGGAGCCCGGGGACAGTCTGCGCAAAGCCTTGCCGTGTCCTCGGCACCGTGCAATGTTGACAGGCATCAAGCCATGTGTACAATCAAAAGGGCTGTCAAGTAATTATCGGGTGCGTGCTTGTGGGACCCTTCAGTGCTTGGTGGCTTCGGCTCGAGATACTGCGTGCACAATGGTTGTCGGTGGCTTACTCCTCAGGAGAGTGGTCGCGTGAACGAGGCTTGCCCACGATCGTACCCGTGATAACAGGCGAGTCTATGGTACAATGCTCAGCCGTCTCTGCCACGAGATATCGTCGTCCCGCTCAATGGATCCGCACTAGCACCCTGACCACCAGCCGTTGCTGCTGCATGCTTTCGCGCTTGAACGAGGGTCCGCTCCCTCTTCTCCTCCAACCTCATGGCGCGCTCCTTGTTGCGTCTTGCCCTGCCGTCGATCCTGCCCACTTCATGTACTCCACCAGGAAGCACACCTTCGGGCAGCTTCTGTCCCTTAATCCCCAACGCCACACCCTTACCGCTAACCTTCCTCTTGCCAGCGCTGGATTGCAGGTTCGCTGTCTGGCCAACGCCAACCTCTGCACCAAGCCCAGGATCAAGACCCATAGCCTTAAGCTTCCTAATGGCTTCTGCATCACCCTGCGCGGCCTCCCGTCTAAGTGACCGACGCTGCAATTTCTGCACCCGCTCTTTCTTGTAGTTCGCCAGCCTTTCCTCCGGTGTAGGTATAGGCGCCCGTTGCTCGCGAGGAATACCATAAGGAGTCATGAGCTCGCCAACAACATGGTGAACGGCTTTGCTGGCTCGTAGGCGATGGAGCGAGACTACATCGCCAATGACGAGTGAGGAGTTCGGGTCGTGTACGAGATGGTCTGTATGATCGGCGAAGTACTGCTCAGGCATTAGTCATCGCCGTATTGTCGTCTCAAAGATTGTCTCCTCACCTTTCGAATCCTTGGTTCCCATCTCTGCCCTGCCACGCGAACCTTTACTGTTTTCTCCATCTTGCCAGCGCTGACAACGATGCCCACAATCTTCTTGTGCGGCTGCGTTCGCGACCTTGCCCAGAGCTCCTCCTCGGGTAGGTAGTCCGCTGTAGTGTGCTGAAGATGCTGTTCCGGTACAGGGTGTGGTAAGGGAGCTTTCAGGAGACGGTCCGTCCTCGACAATGTCTGAACACGACCTGTGGCAGGATCCTTTCGACCCGAGGCAGAGAGTCGAGGATCGCCATGTTGTGCTTGTGATGTTGTCGCAGCTGAGCCAGATGGCAGTGTAGGCGTTGAGACGACGGCGTCAATGGCTGATGGTAGTTCGGCAGCTTGTGTAGCCAAGCATCGTCGACAGATCCACGACGATCGCTGTGATGAGGCCGATGAGGCCAATCTCAATGGCAGACTCAGACTACGACGGCTCATGTTGGCTTTGGAGGATGATAGTGTTGTCGTGTGATAGACAGCTCAAGATTTCCCCGTTCTAGAGCTTTATCACGTGTCGCGGAAGTGCTTGACTCGCGCCGCAAAGCGCACAGTCCGCCCGCTCGAATATAAGAGTCTCTCGCGTGTCGCTCCTCACTTGGATTCCCTCACATCTGTAAGCATAGTCTAAAGTACCCATATGGTTTGGGTACACATTTGCTGACTGTCATCGCAGAAGTGCACGGGCATTACGCATATCAGTGAGGATTCGTCCGAGATTGGTATGTACCTTATCGTCGTATCCTTCCATTCACGCACCTGCTAATGTTTACCAGCGTTTTTGCTAGTTGAAAACTATCAACTGACTGCTCCTGTTGGACTTCGGTTCGGCAGGGAATATTTGGAATCCCAGCAACATGCTTTTCATCAGACATCGTCGCCTCAGCAGCACGGTCCTGGAGAGGAGTTTGCCCGCAGTAGCATCTATGCTGTACACAACGATCTCAAGCATTCAAGCAGCGCGCAGGTGATGAAGCACTGCGATCACGATGAGTCTGCGACGTGAGCAGCCAACGTCACTACACATGCTGTGAGACTCATAACCTACGAGTCACCCAAGAACATAAGCACTCAATTTTTGCTACCATAAAACACTGCTCCACGATCGCTGCCTGGCCACTGCAAGCATGATGCAAACCAAACACGTTACGCTAAACGCATCCGAGTACCTCGCTGACACTGCACAGCAAGTTCTTGATAGACTATCAGCAACGTTAACAACAACGAGCGCCATGGCTCCCACTAATTCGGACCAGGCACTCGTGGCCAGCAACACGGACGCTTCACAAAAGCAGCCAATGTCGCATGTACGTAAGGTACAACGCCCTCACCTTTGTACCAACCGCCTTGGGTGCGATCTCGACCTCGACACCGTGTCTCCCAAGGCTCGCTACGCCGAATACTGCAACCTGTTCGAAGGCGAATCGCGAATTGAGGATCTTGAATTTCCGCCTCTGGCCGACCACTTTCCGCACCTCGCACAAGAGATCACGGCAGCCTACTTGGCGACACACGCCTTCCGCTTCAAGGTCTACATGAACTATGACGCCGCTGCTGTGTGGTTCTACGACGAGAGCGCCAGCCAGCGCTATGGAGACTGTGGCAAACTCGTCATTACGCCGAAGACTATGGCCAAGCTGCATCGCGCAAATGCGCACAAGAGTGAGTACAGTAAAGTCGTACTCGACATCAGCACGCACTTCCGCTTGCTCGCCAGAATCACCATCGAAGTCCGTGGAAGCAAGGTGAATGTAGGCCCAGTCGTGGACACGTACGTCAACTACATGTTCAAGGGAGATGAAAAGCACAAGGTGATGAACAAGCACGTCTACAACATGGCAAAAGGCTTCGAGGATCCACAAAGCGACGTGACACTAGGCAAGTACGGGCTCGACTTCAAGGATCTTGAACGCATGGTGGACTGCTTCGCGCCTTTGCCGACGGACGAGCAACGGCTGGCAAGGTTCGATCCGTGGTACAATGGGCACTGGTCGCACGAGAACAAGAACGACGAGGGATATCAGGCGCATCTGTTCAAAGAGAGGTGGCCGTAGATTCGCCGGAGCCCGATGACCCTGAGCAGGCTGTGAAGCTGGCAGTCTCACGGCAATCATCCTTGAGGGAAGGCACTGGATTGGTCTTCGTCATCAGCTAGGAGGTACAGGCTACGGTGACGCTATTTCTCACGGGAGCAGTCTAGACAGTGCTTATCTGCTTAGCGTGATAAGTGTGGACACATAGCAGGATATGAAGTACATAGAACATGATCGGTATTGTACCAGTCTACAGTATTGATCACAGGAAACTTTGGCATGCTGTAATGATGTCTGCAACTGCGTCCTACACGAGCGCACTACCCGCACGGACGCTTCGCACTTTCCTAAATCGTCAGAACACTGCTATTTGACTCTCAAGTTTCCAAGAGCGTCATGACTCACACCACAATCAATTCGCACAGGATGACCATCTGTAGCTGCCCTATGTGATGCCTCGCTATGCCGTCTAAGATCAAGCCTGCGGTCCTGGTGACGGAGGAGCAACCCCTGGAGGAGCAGAAATTGCCACAGAACTGGCCTGAGGGCATCACATATTTGACCGATCACACCTACTCCGATGCAGTGACCACAGAGCAGAAGACCGCTTTATCTCGCACACTGTCAGACGATGCTACTTGGATACAAGTCCGCGCCAGCGAGATAGAATCTCCAAGCAAGAACGTTGAGATCAAGGTCATAACCGACGAGAAGCACCCTGCATGTGGCCAGCGAGGGATCTTTGCCGCCCACAGTCTCATCCCAGACAGTTTCATTCTGCTATACCTTGGACATGTTCACACAAATGCACTGTCGGACACAGACTCGAAAAGTGATTACGACCTCAATCTCGATGGCGAACTCGGTCTCAGCGTGGATGGTGTGAACTCCGGCAATGAGTCGCGCCATGCGAACGACTATCGCGGCATATCTGAACGACCCAATGCAGAGTTCCGAGACTGCTACGTTCAAGTCCCGTCTGCGAGACGTGCAGGCGGGATGAAGTGGGAGCGGAGGGTTGCCATCTTTGTGCTCTCTGCTGGTAATGCTGGGAAGAGGAAGGCTGGGATCAAGGCTGGAGAGGAGATCCTGGTCAACTATGGTAAAAGTTATTGGGAGGCAAGGAAGAGGATTGCCTCTTTCCGGCACGATGAAGCGATGTTAAAGATTGCCAGTCTTGCTCTCGAAGGGTGAAGTGCCTGGTGTTGGTACTACTCCAGGGCTTAGGACTCTCTTCTCAAGATCCTGGTACCATATTTACCTGGCACCAGACATCTCAATCCGCGGCCTTCGACTGCCGTATGAGACGTGACGGTCGCCACGGTCTCAGGCGCCTGAGCGGGTTGACCAAAGATTAGCTTCGGACAGGTCTCTACATCGAGATCTGTAGGACAAAAGCTTGCGGCGGAGCCAAGCATTCATGCCTAGCAATGGCCTTTGTCTGGGATGCTCCATTGATACTGGACGACACAAACGCCGGGTCATAGACAGGCTGGCATGGAAATGAGAATGGCGGCGAAGTTCGTAGTGTACTGTAGCTGAACGCGCTCTGGCCACTTCCGGCGTGCCAGATCCTCACTGCTACGGGAGATCCAAGAGCGTTTGTCAATAGGGAGCCACGAAGTAAATAGATGCCAAAGTGTCTGCGGCTTGCACACCCTTCGTCAAGCTCATGCACTGTGACACCGGAGATGCCGAATTAATGCAGCTACCAAAGGACGCATTTCGTGCTTGTCATAGAAGCAATCCACGCCTTCCCACCATATGCGACAGCCCAAAGTCTGGACAGCAGTCATATAGGGAGAGACATGTGTTCCTCACGTGCGACACGGAAAGCTACATCAATAACAACTTTCGTGCTCGCCGGCCTGGCCTGACATGAAGAAACATGGTTCAACCAATGGCAAAGTGTAATGGTTCGGCAGGCAAGGAGAGCTTCCGGCATTCACCAGCGCCACATCCATTCTATGGCGCCAGAAACGTGGATTTGGCCCGCTTAGAGCCACTTTAGAAGACCGAATCGAGCTCGAGCGTCTCGAAACAGAAACACTTCATCCACCTACCGTCGGAAATGGTATTGGAACAGGGATGATACAGGCGTTTGTCCTGCTCTTTGCTACGCATGTGGCTGAAGCTCACCACGGTACCAAGATCTGAGCCGTGTGCGACTGCTCTTTGTGTTCCCACCCTTTCTAGCAAGAGCGCGATAAGGCTTTGATATAGGTAAAGGCACTTAATCAATCTTGCCACCACTACTGCAGTTGTTATCGTAGGTTCGAAGGCTTCTATGACATCCTGACCGTCCTGTTGCTTGCACATATCTCAACCGAATCAATCGCTAAACCGACTCGCTGCAACAATGTCGACATCTGAAAGCAGTTCCACAGCTTCGTCGCCAACAATCGACGCATGCTCGCCTACTCAAGCGACTCCTTCAGCATTTGCATTGAGAGGACCCACGATAAAGAAGACTTCTTCCCAATCACCTTCAATGTCTCCCATACCAGAAGATGCCTCGGTCCACGACGAATTGCGCCAATACTTCGACTTCCCATTCGATCAGACTGCACAGTACGACGTCAATCAGGACATCAAGACCACCCTCACAGATCTACTCAACTGCGAAGCCGTACGACGAGATCATAAGATGCGGCTGTGGGTACAAACAAGACTGCTGGACGCAGAGAGGGAGCTCAAGCGACAAAGGAGGAGGAGGGTCAGTATGCCTACCATTGTACTGAGCCCAAGCGAGGACCAAGAGAGGCGCACCAGTGTTTGACGATCGATGGCGCAGCACATGCTTTTATCGTAGCAATATTAGCGGGTTGGCGCTCTGGAATGATTTGGGAAATCTGCGCTTTGCTTCTCACATGTGGGTTACCATATGGTCGAGCGTACTCATGATTAACGTATAAGGAGATTGGGCTTGCCCCATAATGTAATCGTAACCGACATATCGACAGTATAAAAATTATAGCCATGATTGCCTTCAGATCTGTTCTCCAGCCGCTCTCCTGATGACCTCCGTCGTATAGTCAGGCATACTCAAGAATGGACTATGAGATGCACTGCACCTCTCGATATGATCAAAGTTCGACCCAGGCTGCGAACTCATAGCCTCTTGAGCATAGATGGGAATCGCATTGTCCTTTTCGCAAAGCAGGTACGTGCTCGGAATGTGGTGGCAAGCGGCGTACTTCGCTGGACTCACGAATACAGAAGTTGAGATCGGTTTGATGTGCTTTTTCGCTTCCTCGATCTGCTCGGGAGTGCAGTCGTTGTAGAAGATCTCCGCCACGTTCTCCGGAAATGCAATGCCCTTCCCACGGCTCTTCATGTCGAGCCAGAGGTCCGGACCACGACTTGCTAGGAAGAGTGTTTGGCCTTCGGAGGCTGCGAAGGCGGCAATGAAGACGCAGCGCACAACGCCACCTTTCTTGCCGGTCTTCTCCCTGTCCGCTTTGCTTAGACCTTCGCAAGCGTCGCCACCAGCAATTCCGCCTCTGCTATGCATGACCAATAAAACGTCTTTGCCTTCGTCTGCAGTCTTCTCAATTTGCTGCGCTATATGGTCGATGTCATGCTTCCAGCTGTCAGGGTGTGGCTGGTCACATGTCGATGGTAGATCCAGAGCTATCACTTCGTAGCCAGCTTTCTCAAGGCTACTTGTGATGGTCGTATAGTGTATCGTACCGAAATGCCATGCTCCAGGTACTAGGATGATAGTTGGGGTCGTCGAAGATGACATCCTACAGAAGTTTGGTATTGGAGAGACGGAAGAACGAGTTGAGGTACAGCTCAAAGGATGATCAAATTCCAATGGGTGAGGTGGGTGGTTGAAGTCGTGCGATTGGGAGACTGAGAGGTACTGCGGGGTCACATCCTTCGTCCGTTCGGAGCTGATTTGAACAAGCTCCCTTGGACCCCAAATCGCAATGGCTAGGCATTCAGCTCGTACATTACACCAAGCCTCGTGCTGCTAGATCGATCAATGTCGTAGAAGTGAACAGGTGTCATTAGGCAAGTGCAAAGCCGAGATGCATCTTTAGCGCCTTTTGCTTGACCAATAGCGCCCACTACCAGCCTTGTACTCTTCGCCAGCACGTCGTTCAATGCCATTAGAGTACAGAGCACATCTGCATGCCGCCGCAACCTCTTCAGTAGGATTGCATCCTACGAGATGACTTGCGAACAGCGTCGTTACCTTGGTCAACCCGTGGTGCTCAATCATCGTCCTCGTCGCTCGTGGCCTCATGGTTCCCTTTCATCATATACTTGTCAAGCTTGTTCTCGGGCACGTGTTTTGCATCGACGGTATTGTCTTCGTCTTGATCCGAGTCCTGTTCCTGTTTCGCAGTGCTCGGCTTGCCGGAGTTGCCAGAGTCAGGTCGTGGAACGTTCTCGCCTTTGGAGATGAGTACTGTCTCTATCTGCGGAAGCAAGGCTAGGAGACTATGGTATTGATCGAGAGAAAGAGAGATGCCCTGTAAAAAGTGTGAGCAGTGATTCATTGACTTGACGTACGGTCGTGACCCCATAGCTCGATTGCTTCCGAAGAGTGTACCTTCTTGCCAGGCAAATCCTTCCCATCTTTCTCGTAGTACTCTCGAATGTTGACCATCGTGGCTCCCTTGAAGGTTGATATTCCGAGACGTCTTCTGCTGGATATCTTCAAGGTACGCGTTAGTCCTTTTCAGTAGCATCGGTTCGAGGGACCCGCCTCCCAGTACACGTTGCCATCATCGTCGACTTGCTGCTCCATGCTGGCTGGTGTTTTCTTGTTCGTTGCTTTCGCCTTCTTGCCCTTTGGTGCGTCGTCTACGAAACCTCCATCGGACTCGTACTCCTCCTGTGTTCGTTTCGGCATGGTCTATGATATGAAATCTGAGATCGTGGTAGTGTCTGGAGAATGCTATAGCAGGAGTAGCAGGAGAGGAATGAATGTCTGTTCAGATAGTAGATCACAACACGGGTGTAGAGTGAAGTGATGTCGGACGTGGTTCAGATCATTGATCAACGCGTCTCGTTTCAGGCAAACGCGCCTGTGACGTCAGGCCAATTGAGATTGAAACAGTGTGTGGTCGCTGAGGTTCTGTCCGTCCCATCTACAAAGTAATTATGAGTAGAGCATGAGCAGTAAATCATCAATATAATGCGACGCAATGCGATGGTGGGGACAATAGGACCATGATATTGCTGACGGAGCAATGTCCGAACAAATTGCCTTCCATTGACGGCGGGGCTTGTTAGGTAGTTGCTCGCGAAGAGCAGTAGTGCACGACAATGCGTGACTTGACTGCCTTCCCTTTACCAGATGAGCAACATTTTTATATCGTTTGGTACGTCTATGTGAGCGAGCATGGCGCAAAAGGTAGCCCTGATCACGGCAGGAACAGCAGGACTTGGGGCCCAAATTGCTCGCGTGCTAGCACCCGATTTCCGTCTGGTCAGCAACCACAATTATGTCCGATGCATTGCTGGCTGCTAATCATCATCCCATTAGGCTATCAACTACGCGAACAACCAAGCTCGAGCTCAGGCATTAGTTGACGAGCTAGACAAAGTCCCGAGTACCACCAGCTCAGGACATTCGCCACGCTTCGAGCTCATCCGAGCAGATGTTGGAGATCGAAGTGCGGTCCAGCAGCTTATCAAGGACACTGTCAGTAAGTTCGGTCGACTCGATGTCATCGTATCGAATGCTGGCTGGACTCGCGTAACCAACTTCAATGATCTGGACGAAGCCATGGAGGACGCTGATTGGGACAAATGCGTGAGTCAAGCAACAGATTGACACTTCTTGGGAGCCACCGGCAGAACCTGACTGCCGATTCCAGTTCTTATACAATGTCAAGTCCCACTTATGGCTCATGCACGCAGCTAAACCGCATCTAGAGGAGACTGAGGGCGCCTTCATCACAACAGCAAGTGTCGCAGGGGTCAAGCCATCGGGCAGCTCATTGGCGTACTCTGTCTCGAAAGCCGCAACAATCCATTTAACGAAAGGCCTGGCGACAATATGCTCGCCCAAGATTCGAGTCAACAGTGTTAGTCCCGGCTTACTGCTAACTGATTGGGGACTCAGCTTTGGGCCCGAGAAGATTGAGAAAGCGACTGCAGCCACGAAGCTGAAACGACTGGCTACTGTCGAGGCAAGCCTTCAAAGTTTTCCTTTTTGGCAGGTGATGCTGACCATTACTACAGGATGTCGCGGATCAAGTGCGGGTACTGGCGACGACTAAGTCGATGACGGGCCAGAATCTATGTATTGACAGCGGTACCTCTCTATAAATGAGGCCACTATTATGTGCTACAACGTCCATTTCTTCGTCACTCATCTTCGAATCTTCTGACAGACAAGCCTTTCTTCTGCAGTTCCTCCTTGACTTGCTTCACGGTCCACTCGCCACGATGGAACATGCCTGCTCCTAACGCGGCATCCACATTCGTCTGCTCAAAGACTTCGGCAAAGTGATCTGCATTACCAGCGCCACTTGACGCGATTACCGGGATCTTGACGGCAGCCTTCACGGACCTGATGAGCTCAAGATCGAAGCCGGAGTTGGTGCCGTCCTTGTCGATGCAGTTTAGCAGGATCTCGCCAGCACCCATCGCTTCCACTGCTTGGACAAGCTGCACCACGTCTAAATCGCGTGTCTCTCGACCACCTTTGATTGTGCAAGCATACCAGCAGTGATTCTCTCCCTGCGGCCCGGTGTATGATGTCTGTACAGTGTGGTGGCTGGTGGCGTTTGGACCAGAAACATACACGCGCTTCGGGTCGACAGAGACAACCACTGCTTGCGCACCATAGGCTTCGCTGATCGTCTCGATAGCCGTCCTGCCGGATAGCTTCCGCCCGTCAGCATAATACTGCTCTGCCGCCGTCACTGCATCCGAGCCTATGGATACTTTGTCTGCACCAGACTTGAAGTATAAAGTCGCGACCTCTAGTGCAGGTGCCGTTCGGCCCGTCTGGGGATCAACGGTATCTCGTATGCCGCCACCGATGGTCAGTGGCACGAAAGTTGTTGCTGCTGTTTGTCGTAATACCTCGAGCATTGGCATGTCCTTAAGTGGCGTATCACGGAACGAGGTGATGTTGAGGAAGGTCACTTCATCAGCACCCTGCTCGTAGTACTCCTGTGCTTTCGATACGGGCTTGCCTAGGTTGCGAACAGCATTACCCTCCTTCTCCCGAACATCGTACTGATCGCCTTTAGTTACGACCAAGTCACCTTGGTCATTAGCCCGAACATCCAGGCAGGCGATGATTCGTCGTGTCAGACCTTCCTTTGAAGCTGATGGGTTGATGGTCTGCGGTAGAATTTCGCTTCTGTTGCCGTCAAGGAACGCTTTTAGCACTCGCAGACCTGCCGCACCACTCTTCTCGGGATGGAACTGAGTGGCTAGGACGTTGTCGCGCGCGATGGCACCAACGAACTCCTCGCTTCCATATTGTGCGGTCGCCACACGCCATCCATCCGCCTCTAGCTTGCCCGGCGTGTATGGTGCTGCGTAAGAGTGTACGTAATAGTACTTGCTGTCGGGACGAAGGCCGTAGATGCTCTGTCCCTCCGCCGCATCGCCGCTTGAGGTGATATGAGAGGTGTTAGCAGAATTCCAGCCAATATGTGGCACACTTTTCTCGTCGTTGCGGAAGCGTCGCAGACGATCGTTAACAACGCCAAGGCCGGGTACAGATGGGCTTTCGTCAGAGCCGGCGAAGAGAGCTTGTATCCCGACACAGATTCCCATGAACGGTTTCCCAGAGTTGATGTGTTGTCTGACTGGTTCTGCGTAGCCAGCATTTGCAAATTGTGTAAGACAATGGCCAAAGTGGCCAACGCCGGGGAGTATGAGCTTCTATGACATGTCGTGATACTGTCAGCCATCAGTTCCCTTGTTCTGAAGATTGCAACAGTCATCGACATACCTCAGCTTTCTGGACATCCTCGGGCGATTTCACCCATTCGACTTCCCAGCCCAGCTTCTCGATGGCATTGACAAGCGAGCGAACGTTTCCCGCCGCATAATCGAGTAAATGTACAGTCCGACCGCCTGGAGCAAGAACAAGCGCTACATTCTCCGCCGCGCGCTCGATACGTTCGAGCGTGTCTTGCATCCTGGTTGAGTGTGTTTTGTCCAGTCACAACGACGGCGACGAATAAATTGTCGTACTTCTGACTCAAACGGTCGTGCATCTGATCGACGCTAGCGGACGGCCACTCCCGCAACAAGTGCACGGTCTTTGAGATTTCACGACATCACCGTCGATTGCAATCAACATTGTAATACTGAACTAGCGCGAACAGTAACAAGATGGTGCGCAAACTCAAGCATCACGAGCAGCGCTTATTGCGTAAAGTCGACTTCGTCAACTACCCACAAGATGCGACACATCGCTCTGCCGCCATCATACGCCGCTATTCGCTCTCGAACCCGACAGATTACACTTCCTACAACCGTCTAGCAGGCAATCTTCGCCATTTGGCCCATCGCATTGCACTCCTACCGCCAGAATCAGCTTTCCGACGCAAGCAGGAAGACTTGCTACTAGAGAAGCTTCACGATATGGGCTTGCTTGGGATCGGTGGAGAGGGCAAGGGCAAATTGAGTGATGTGGAACGGAAAGTCACAGTCTCAGCTTTCTGCAGAAGACGGTTGGGTGTTGTAATGACCAGGCTGAGGATGGCGGAGACAGTCAGTACGGCGAACAAGTTCATTGAGCAGGGGCATGTAAGGGTGGGCACTGAAGTGGTGACGGACTCTGCGTTTCTGGTGAACCGGTATGCTCGATGCCAAAATATGTACTCATGAGAATAATTCATGCTAACAATGTTACAGGAACATGGAAGACTTTGTCACGTGGGTCGACTCCTCCAAGATCAAGCGCAACATCATGAAGTACCGCGACAAGCTGGATGATTTCGACTTGCTCTGATGGACCAGCCAATGCCTCATGAGCCTCATCACCAAAGCCTTCGGGAACGCAATAGCATGCTGTTCTACACCAAAACATGATTGGTGGTAGAATGCAGTACGGTGCAAGAAAGCGACCCCTGCATATAGGCTTGGCGGCCTCAGGAACCACGTGACGACTCCTTCATATACTGCTTCCCCACCTGTGCAACTTCCGCATCTTTCCTCCCCCTCCCGGCTCACGAACCGCGCAACTGCAGCCTAGTATTTTCATCACTATTGTTGGTTCCTGGCTTACGACTTTACCGTCGTTGATACCTGCTTGGTGCATGCATCAAAGCGAACCTATGTGGATGTGGGCTAGCCGAGACATGCATGCATGAGAGTGTTCTGCTTCTCGATGAATACTGAACATTCAGACACAGCTGGCCATCATCTCTCTACCTCATTGATATGATCAGTATTTGAGAGTGCTCCCATCGACACATGTGTGTGCAAAGCTCGCTTGATCAAGGCTAGCATCTTCCAATCCGATAGCATCTCGTACTCTGGACCGTGGACAATCATCGAGAGTCTCTCGGGTATCCTATTCATTGGAAGCCAGTATGTCCAAATAAGTGGCAGTCCGGAAGGATCCAACAGTCGCACTATCGACCACGAGGAGCAAGAAGAGATCATACAGTACCGACAACATCAAGGCCGTGCATACCACCGGCGAGTCAAGAAAGAGAACACGCCTGGATGTGCCGACCTATGCTCAACACCCTAATCACGAACATCTACAAGAACCAGCAAAGGACTTCAAGCAGCACGATCAAGATCCAGCTCACCCAGTAGGAATGCCGCATCCTCGAGCGCAGGCTGTAATTTCCAGAGGTTTTCAATATCCTGCACTCCCGCCATTAGACAATACCAGCAGTGGCAACCGCTTAGCTCTTAAAACCTCACAAACGTCCAATATCTCGCCTTTAGCAGCACAACCTCGACCCGTGCTACGATCTATACTACGCCAGGGTGACTTGAGTGATAGTCGTATGCAACAGACTGATCTCCGCCTCGAACCCGATCTGTCGTTGAGCTTACCTACTATCGAGGCCCCTGCGGTAGCGCCAAGTGCAAATCCGAGCGCTGCAGAAGCTGCAGTAGATCACCGCAACAATTACGAGGCTTTGATCGCCAGCCCAGAACCGTCACGTTGGTCTCCAGTACGGCCTCAGTACGTTGATCCCATGCTTCAGACATCAACACGGGTACGATCTGAAGGACAAAATCTGGTTGGAAGACCGTTCCACGATGGCTTGTTAGAGTCTGGTATAGGCGTTGTGTTGTCGGAGGTGGACATGATTGCACTGCCGTTCGGTAGCATGATCGAGCAAGCGAACAAATACTCTGAAGAAGTGAAGGGTAATTCGAATGATGCAGAAGATGGGCTATGAAAAGGTCGAAGGTGGGTGGCGGAGCCATTCATGTATTACTTCAATGACGGTAGCAGCAAGACGAGATGGCCAGCTGCTGAGTAGATTGACAACTATCACAGCTTCCGTATGGTGCGGATCGCCTCTGGTGTCGTGGACCATAGATCTTGCCTTCTCCCGCCCTCCTAATTTCGCCAACATCAGCACTTTACGTTCTCCTCCAAAGTCGTCCTCCTGGCGAACCTCCCTCACGTAGGCTGTACTCTATCATCAAAGCTACAAATAGAGAGCATGGCATCCTTGACCTCAGGCTGGTATCATTCACACTTCCTCGTTTCCCAGCGTGCCTGCTAGATTGCTTGCTTGGCATATTGCTTGCTCGGCTGCGGCAATCAGTCACTTTTCACGATCAGTCAGAAACAACAGGACTAGACTTACCTCTCCCTTGGCCTTTCTACACTGTTCTCACTCCCTTGGCTTCACTACGGTGTGCTTTCGCTCAATACTGGCTCCCTCATATTATGCGAACTTAGCCTGCTGATGGTATCGTGCTTTCGTTGAATGGGTGCCATGGCGGACTCGCGGGTACACATATCTCGATCATTCTTCATGTTCATCTTCTGATACGATACTGTAACGACCGCCTTCCGATCTCATGACTTGATGGCGATCTGACTAATATCAACCTCCAATTCCTACGCGACCTCACAATATCCGCATATACTCTCCGCTGGGAAGATCTATACCGACACTAATACCATGAGGCTCGACTACGCTCCTGTCCTCGCCTTTATCGCCATAGCCTCATGGAGAGCTGCCGTTAGCGCGGCTTTCGTCGACCAGAATGCGACCCGTCATGGTAAGTCGATGCGTTCAATCATGATCGAGTGTTGCTAATTCACTTTGTAGCTCTCTTGAAGCGTGATAGTCCGTTCGTTGCAGCGGAGAACAGTTGGACTGAGAACAAGATGTTCCGCCAACACTTCGAAATGAAGGGCCTGGGCTGCGGCTCCGTGACATTCGCATTCGACGGCTGGCCTGGCACGCCCAGTGACAAAAAGATGAACATCCAGTGCTGGGCTGGCGGCAAGTGGGACTGGCAGTTCGATGTGACGTATGACAATCAAGGCCATGATAGTCAGTTGGTTTAACACATGCTGATGTTGTGGATGATAGTGTCTGGAACAACGAGCAAGGCAAGTGTGCTGCTGCTTGCGCGATCGACGCCATGCTACTCGACACATCAGAGTTCTGCACCTCCAACCCGGACATCTGTTGCTACGCAGGTAAGCATTCGAGTCGGGCGACACTTACGGCACGATAGCACACGCCGACTTCCATCTTTGCAGGCAAATGCCTAAGTTAGGCACAGGCAGGGAGGCTTTGCCATCTCGTGACTAGTCATTGAGAATTGGCAACGGCGGCCACCACGCTGATATATTGGAGCAAGGAGATTCTGGGTTCGATCGAGTCTTGTTGTCATGACACCCATTGCTTTCTGCACTTCTGGGATACGGCCGGACCTTGCGAATTTTTCTGCAATTGACTCTTAGCTACTTACGCCGCAAGCTAACATGTTCGTCCGCAAGACAACATCTCCAATTCTTCGTGGCCCTTGATTGGGCTTACTTTCTCAACTCCTCGTGATGGTGATGGTGATGGTGAACGTGATGCACAAGGGTTTCTGCATCCGAATGAGTACACGCGGGCTGGGGCTTGATGGCGAATTGCCCTGCTCCGCCTATCATCTTCACGCAGGTGGCACGGCGGATGAATTGGGCTCGGTCTTGGGCCGGGGGGGGGTGGAAGAAGTTTGGGAGGAGGGATGGAGGGGGATATGAGAGGGAGTTTGGACTTTGATTCTAGGCTTGGAGACTGGGGGACTTGGGGCCTGAGGAATGGGAGGACTGGGGATCATGGAAGAGTAGGGTCTTGTGGGTTGTGGAGTGGGATTGCACCTGTACATACATGTTTTCATTCGCCACTACCGCTTCCTTCCTCCCGTTCACTCTCAATCACTACAGCTTGTCTCCCCACAAATCCATCGTAGCATGACTTTGTCTGATCCCCCTCCCCTCCTCACTCAATCATTTTCGTCCCAACATCCCACATCCACCATCGAGACAGCCCACTCATGCTCCACGCTCCACCTCTTTCTTTCTCCTCCTTTAGACATCCAACCTCGTCGGAAACGTCCCCTTCTCCCTCTGATCATCCCACCGCTCGCACCAGGCCGAAGGGCAGAGGGATTTGTAGGCGATGAAGAACTGGGGAGAGACATCATCAGCGTTCGTCGATCATCAGCACCAATCCAGAGCCAACACCGATCGCGATCCAGGCTCGGCTCAGCTCCAGCTCAGCTCGTATGCCACTTTTCCACTCGAAGCATGTGCTGGCTGAGGCGGTCGGGTGGAATTGATGTGGATGTGTTGTGGAAGGAGGGAACGAGACATACCTGCCGACACGGCTTAAACTCCTCGCCCTTGGCCAGGACGCACTTGTGGTAGTCGACGTAGTTTTGCCAGCAGTGCTTGGTTTGGTTTTGGTTGGGGAAGCGGGCGTCGAAGCCTGGGACATTACACAATATCACACGTTAGCACCGTCATGTCATATCGTTGCCCGACTATCCGCCTCCCCGCTCTTCTCTTCTTGTGTTTGATCTCTCTCGCGCATGGGTTTCGGCATGATAGCGGGATGGATGGAGGTGAATGGTGGGTGGTGTTAGACGTACCGGCTAGAATGAGCAAGGTGGATTAGCATATATGATCTCGTGGTATCGACGCGCATATATGAATGTAGATATATATATATGTATATGTATGTATGGAAGGCGAAGAAGGGACATACCAGTTACGAACTTAAAGGGCATGGTGACGCGCTCCTCATCGTCGGACATGATGGCGGTGATTTGGCCTTTGAGGCTTGGGTGTGAAGATGCGTGTGTGTGTAGGTGGTGTGTATGGCTGTGCTTCCCTTGTCGCTACTACGATAACACACTACTACTCCAATGGTGATGTCGCTGATGGAGGTTGGCGGAAGGGGAGCTTAGCTTTTCCCGCCTGGCTTGAATCCAGTCACATGATTGGCTGGCTGAAGCCGGTGTGCTTCGAAGCTCTCACTGTCACAACCACTGTCACAACCACCACCACCTCTCTACTTGGAAAGCACAATTCTCCCCTCCACCACAGCATTACAGCCAAGATGCAGTCCACCCGCTTCCTAGCAGCCAATATGCTGCGCCCCACACCCACCGCCACAACCACCCTGGGTCTGGTCCGCTCCCGCTTCACCACCCCGAGTCTGCGAGTCCAGCGCTCCTTCCAGACGGCGGGGAAGAGGATGTCGCCTATGCCTGTACACAAATCATCTCCAAACAAACCCCGTACATATGCTCGTTGCTAATAAATAATGTATAGAAAGAAGAGCACGCCGCCCACACCATCTCCCAGCGTCTCCGCTCCCTCAAGCGCATCCCCCCGGAATTGATCCCCATCGGTGTTGTTTTGGCGGTAGCCCTATTCGCGGCCGGCTATTCGATTCTCCGGAAGTTTTGGACGGATACGACGTTGAGGCTGCATCGGCAGGGGCCGAATCATAACAAGTAGGAGGACTGGGAATGGGGTTGGGGAACGGGAGAGATGTGATGGGAGAGATGTGATGGGAGGGTGATGATGGGGTGGGAAGTTGAGGAGGAGAGTGAGTTGGTGTTAGGCGGGGAGGTGGAGGGGAACAGAGACGGGAAGCTAAGCAATGCAAAGCAATCAAGACGGATCTTGTCAGAATGAGTCGAGCACATACGAGTGGAAGTGGGGAGTTTTCATGTAGCATAATTTGCCCCCACACAAACCCTCAGAATACACTATCGTGAATGTCTTCTACCATAACAGCCATCAGGGACAATCCGCTCGCTCTCCGTCTCCTCTGTCTACGCAAGTGGAAATGGACCCTTCTGCTCAGCCAAGCCCACCTACCACGGACTCAAGTCCTGGTATGGAATGAAAGGCAAGAGGGCCCATGGCCACATGTAGACAGATTCAGCGCTGTAGTAGGGCACCTAGTGCACCACATATCCACAGTCGCCAGCACACCACGGAGGCAAGAAGTCACAGCTCCCTCCCCCGCTTCGTCGCAAAACCAAAACCGGCCTCAAAACGCATCCCGCCATTCGATAGCCAGACAATGTGACAGGAAAGTCTGTCACCAATGACAACGACAACAGAATCTTTTCCGGCAAGGCATATCAGAAGCAGTCCCAGCTCGGGGAACCGAATGCCAGAGGATAGGGCGACTTCTGTCCACCCTCATATGAACATGAGCAATGCCCATGGCTGGGGCTCACGACCCAGCGGGGGTCGTGACGGAAAGTATTGAAGAAAAAATCGCTACGAACGCTACAAGAACGAAACACCATCACAACACCCCACTCCTCCCAAATCAACTACCACCCACCTAACCACCACCCCTCTTCCTCACAACCACCCCAGCAAACTCTTCAAGTCTTATACAACGTATCCAAGAAACCCCCCGCGAGTTCCCGCACAATACTCTTATCCGGCAACGCCCCCGCAACCCCATACAACGCCGCCACATCCCCCTTCTTTCCTCCTACAGACTTCCCTCTACACTCCCCCACCACCCCTTCCAAATCCCTCACAAGCTCCTCCACAGCACCCACAATCGGCATGGTAACCGCGACATGAATAGCCGGCGGATCCTGCAAGGCGTTGAGATGCCATCCGCGTCCGGACATCTTATCCGCGATATCGTAGATATCCACTTTATCCCCTTGCGCCGCGGCGGGGTGAGCCAGGAATGCGACGACGGAGACGAGGGGTTTGCCGATGATTTGCAGACTGGATTTCAGGCCCGGGTTCTGGCGTACAGCGTCCTCGATGCGCTGTCGGGCGCCTACGATCTTGAGACACGCATCCCCGTACCCATCATCCCCCATCCTCATCAAACTCGCCCAACACCCGGCAATCAGGGCCCCGGGTCTACTCCCCGCGAGCCCCGGGCTGGCGTAAACACCCCCGCTCCAATCGGGACAGATATAGTATTGCCACCTCCGCATCTCCTTGCTGCGGTAAAGAACGACACTATTCCCCTTGGGCGCAAAGCCATATTTATGCGTATCGACGCTGATGGATGTGACGCCCGGAACGCGGAAATCGAATTCCGGGACCGGGAAACCGGTGCGGGCGAGGAAAGGCATGAGGAGGGATCCGAGACAGCAGTCGACGTGTAAGGGTATATGATGTCGGCGGGAGGTCTTGGTGGCGAGACGGGACAGAGCGGGGATATCGTCGATAATGCCATGGGGGAAATTCGGGGCCGAGCCGACGAGGAGGATGGTATTGCTGTTTATTAAGCTCGCGACGGAGGGGATATGGACGCGGTAGGTGGGTGCGGGACAGGGGACGAGATGGACGCGGATGCCGAAGTATTCGCCTGCTTTGCGGAAGGCCGTGTGGGCTGTTTCTGGGATCACCATTTCGGGTTCCTTGATCCCTCGTGCGGCGTAGCCTTTTTGTCGAGCGGCGAGGCAGGCCATCAGGATACTTTCCGTGCCACCGCTCGTCGTCACCCCTGCTCCAGCTCCATTCACGGCTTCGGGGCCAGGGGAATGGAAAAGCGAACCCACCATCGCCACGACCTCTGCTTCCATTTTCCTGACCCCGGGAAAAACATCCGGGTGGATGGGATTACTGACCCCGAACATCCCGAACGCTCGTTCCTGTAACCCCGCCAATTCCGCCCCACCATGATATACCGCCCCGGACACCCTCCCGTCCTCCCACCGCGTATGTTCCATCCCCGCCACCCGTTCCAACTCCCCTTTCACTTCATCAACACTCCACCCCTTCTCAGGCAAAGACACAAAACTCTTCACCCCGGGCCCCGTAGGCACCAATTTCTTCTCCAGCTCCAACATCGTCTTGTCCAGATCCGCCTTTACTTTCGCCTGGACGAACGGTAATCGCAAGAACAACGCATAGCCTTTCCGTCGGACATATTTGATGAATTGTTGCGCTGTGCCTAGGAAGCCGTACCCGCGGAGTTGGAGGAATGTGGCGCGGGTGTAGCGGAGGAGGAAGAGGAGGAGGAGGGTGGTGCGGAGGAGGTCGAGGGTGAGGGTGAGGAGTTGAGACTTGGAGAGGTGGAGGATGTTGTTGCGGGAGGAGGAGCTGGTGAGGGCTGTGAGGCGGGAGGGGAGGGAAGACATGGTGAGGCGTTGTTGTGGTGGCATTTCGGGACTGAGGGTAGGTGACCAGCTCAAGACTATCGAGGCGATATCAGTAGCATGTTCGAAGGCGACAGTCGGTGGTTATATCGTCGTTCCTTCGCTCGTCGATAGATGGTATACGATACGATCCCGAGCTTCACATGTCGGGCCAAGTTCAAAACGCGGGCAGAAGCCAATCGGACGCGAGCTCGTGGCTTTTGGACCGCGAGTAATCACTCAACACACGTGACACGTTCAAGACCATGAAGTGTGGGACCAGACCAGACCAGACCAGACCAGAACACGACCGATGCGAGCAATAGAATTAGGATGGAGACTTCTTTTACAAGTGGCTTGGTTGGGGGAGAGAGAGAGAGAGGTCGACAAGTACTATGAACGATGACGACGCGGTAGCTACTCGACGTGCGACTTGCCACATCTGGTGGACCTGGACCGTCAAATTAGACCTCATGCTGGAATTCGCCTTGCCACCAATCCCTGCTACTGCCTGCCACATCAAGCCTGAATAGCTCGGATCAGATCCCAAGCATCACGACGACAATATATAGTCGTGTAAGCTCCGAACGAACCTAACCTCCGCGATCGTAATGTTCCACACGAATGTCTTTACCTGCGATCAATATATTAGCTTCCCATCAAACGCAGTGTATACAGATGAAGATTGTATGTGTCAATAAAAAGAAGCGAGATCAGACAGCAGTTGGACAATAGTGGATCTACACTGGCCTCTCTTGGTAGGGAGGCCTTTCGATCAGGTCTGTGTTTTATTGTTGTATCATCATAATAGCATGGGCAAAGGGGAGTTGTGGTATATCGTAAGCGGAAGCAAGCTTACCTCAAGGCTCAGTGGATGTCGTGCGTGTGTCGTAATTCTGTCCCTTGTCGTCGTTCAACTTGCGATGAGCTCGAACAGGACGATAGTCTAGATCAATCCGCCAGCAACCACGACGCTCTCGTTTCATCCCTTCTTCTGCCGCTTGAAGAAGCCATCCAGTTTCTTCTGCCCTTCGTCGTGGGCGATGCGACCGATACCACCGCGTTGCCGTTTGAAGCCGACGAGATGCTCTTTACTGTCTACAGCGAGTATAGCTGTGGACCAGCCAGCTAGGGAGAGGGCTTTGCTAGGCGCTGATAGTGCTGTCGACGATGTGGCGAAGATTTCAGAGTCTGACGAGCCTTCTGCTTCCTCGGCAGCGGCTGGCGGCGGCACAGGTGTAGACCGTGTAGGCGCTGACACATCTGCAGGAGCAATTGATGGTGGTATAGCCAGCGTCGGCAGCTCCGTATTCGGGACGTCTTTTTCGGAAGCAGGTTGCAGAGTCTGTTGAGCAGCAACTGCTACTCCCACCCCCTTGACCTCACCCCGCATGAGTTCGAGCTCAAGGTATCCCGTATTACTCCACCCACCCAAATGCTCCAGCACAACCGGGCCTCTCGCAGTCGTGACCTCAGGCGCAATCCTCAGACTCTTCCTCGGCAGACGAAGCAATAACCTCCTCCACAAACTCGCCAGCAGCATGCCGTGCGAGACAACTGCGATCGTCGTTTCGGGGTCTGCACCCTGTGATTGTGCGAGCATGAGGGGGAGAAGATGCTGATCCAGAAAAGCATCGGCACGTTGGCACATCGACTCCCTGCTCTCCACGTCCACGAAACCAGGATCATTTCTATGCTTATCATAGTGACCCTCCCGCCCACTCTTCTTCGCCCCCGAGCGAGCGAAGAAAGATTTTCCCTCGTAAAATCCGAAATCCTGCTCGATCAGATCCGGCACCTTGACAATCTCTACCCTCGCCTTCCCATCCCTATCCCCATCCCCATTACCACCGCTGCCACCATCAAGCTTAACCTGGGCATCCCGCACAGCCTCCGCAGTCTTAAACGCTCGCTGCAAAGGCGAGGCAAAGATATGCGTAAGCTTCACGTCGTTCTTGGCGAAGTAATCGCCTAGACGGCGTGCTTGTTCGATCCCATGGACGGTCAGGGCGGAGTCGCGGACGCCGGCGTAGAGGCTGACGATGTTGTCTACTGTTTCGCCGTGCCGGATTAGGTAGAATTTCATCGGGGGATCATGGTGTTGTTGGTGGACAACACTGGATGTTGTTGTTGAGGTCGATGTTTAGAAAGGCGTGCTCAAAATTCGTGATGAAGGATATCTGATGGTCCGAGCTTCGAGAGGATCCACAAACTCACTTTCTACACTTCGATGCTTCGATTGAATGAGAACTGTCCAAACCCTCGTGAATAGACTGGCAAGGCAGAGCGGAACAGAGCCTTACGCAAAGAACGTTTAGAAGCACAAGATATAACGCGTCAAGAAGAGTACTCCTTACAACGAATGCTAGCAAGGACATCATCTCTCCTGGAACACTATTGCTCTCCGTGTGCGGTAAACCATCATCATGCTAGTGTCCATGGACCAGCCTGGAGCCCTCCTGGACGATCAAGATCATTCGCGTGGCCAACGCTCCTGTAAAGGAGAACGAAAAAAGTTGACATCACATTACATTCACCCTTTTCAAGACCTCAGTTGAACCACAACACCATTCCCATTTTCGGCCTACATTCATCCTATAACGATATCATGTGTAGATGCAACTCGTGGCCATGACAGGCTCGAGTGAAGGATCGCGAGCAGGTGTGATCTTCCATTCGCTGTGATCCCCATTCTGAAGTGAAGCTGTGAACGGAGCTAGCCTACAACTTTCAAGCTTTCCTCTTGCCTTGCAACCCCCTGAAGCTTTCATCGACTTCGCTCTCCCCATGAGCACATTCAGGAATTGCAGAGATGGAGGCGATGGAGACAGCGAGCGACGAAACATCTTTCGTAAGCTTCTCGCCCTTGACCCGCGCGGAGCATTGGACGGGCACTGAACAGCCTTGGCCGTTTGACGATACCCTGCCCGAAGAAATTGACGAAGCAGAGACATTCCGCACTAATGCTACGGACGATATGGAGCACATTTCGCAGCCAATGACGGCGACTCGCAATTCTGCTGAGCACGCGAACGAAGGAGGAAGCAGCCAAGCTACTAGCGCTACGACCTGCGATCCTACTACTTCGCACGGCAACCACCAAGACTTGATTAATCACCAAGAGTCTGATACCAAGATGGAGTCCCACCCTTACGACTGTCTCGACAGACAGGACACGCCATCTCGAGAGATCACTGGGCCGTATTTCGTCGACAGCGGACGCTACAAGAGGCCAACCTACACGAGTGGACTCCCACCGACACACGATCAAGCCCAGGAGTCAACCGAGCAGCAATCTCGGTCCAGACAGGATGATAGCCAGGTCGAAGGCGAGGACGACCTATTCATGCAGTATGCACCCAAATATGAGCTACGACCTCAAGGCCGAATCGTCAACAGCAGTTTCACGAGCACTTGGATAGACCAAGATAATACCGGCAATTACGATTCGGAAGAGGAGGAGCGTCAACTGAGGGCCAAGCGCAATCAAGTGAGGCTAAGGCGGCGTGTGGACTCCGTAGCTGACCATTCGAGTGAAGGGAGCAATGGCGATGATGACATATCTGCTCCTCACGAGCCACGGAAATTGGTGACGAGATTACCATTCACCACTGCATCTGGTCGTCTGGCTCTGTACTCGATACTAAATAAGCCTCCTGCTCGTCATGAAGCGGAGATTGATCATTTCTCAATTGGCTACCGACTGCGCAGTCAAGCAGCATCTGCAGCCGAGCCAAAGCAGAGCAGAAACGCCGAGCATGGCCTGCCGGAAGATCTCACGGGTCATCCCATCGCTCGCGGATGCTGGGGCTGCCTCGACCCAGGCAAAGACGACTGTCCTCTACTGGAGTACGAGCATACATACCCATGTCACGCCTGCCTCGAATCTAGCTCGGAATGCGAACTCATCATACCGCCCACATCCAAACGAGTATGCGAAAGCTGCAAGCGCCGACGCAGAACTTGCTCGTACACCTACAACGACTTGCACAACGAGCCCTGCCTCGACTGCGCAGACGACGGCTTTCATTGCGTAGCCGGACCAGCCAAAGACACCATACGCAGCCGCATCCGGTACGATGCACCACCCATAGTCAAGAAAGCTGCTCCAGCAAAGGTCTATTGGACATGTCAGCAGTGTCAAGAAGCGGGACGCAATTGTTCGTTCACGAGTAATGGGCAGAGCGTTCCGGATTGTACGGCTTGCGAGATGGACGGTGTTATTTGTGTTCCCAAGCAATCGGATACGAAGCCTCAGCCTGGGAAGCAAGAGATGGCCAGAAAGGCAGAGGAGCGGAGGAAGAAGAGGGTAGCTGCGGTTGAACATGATAAGGAGCCGCCCAGCAAGTCCAAAAAGACGGGTGTAAGTGGAAAGGAGATTGCTAACAAGCAATTGGTGGGCCTCGATCAGTCAGACACCCACGATATCCTCCGACAAGAGGCGATGTCAGGCAGGAACCAGTCTCATATCGAGCAGCGGACTGCAGCGAATTTGGAGATCTCACCACGAGGCAGGACTCGAACGATTACAACCAGATTTAGCCACCCGATCCTCTTCAATAACACCGCAACTGCCGCCAACGGCATCTGCGACTTCTGCGATGGCTCCAGCTTTGCGCTCCTCGGCTTCGAACCAAAAGCAGTCGAAGTGATTGACTGGCAAGATGGTCGTGGTCTGACAGAGGTCAGTGGAGGCCACATGGGCGAAGGAATGCCAAGTACTCGAATGTGCATCGTATGTACCATGCACCGCTGCAACATCATCACATGTCAAGACCACTCTCTACGCAAGCTCCCAAATGCAGACAAGCTGCTGCAACGAGCTGGCGCCGCGCTCACTGATCTTTTCACTGGCATGATCCAGAAGAAGGACAAGTGGTGTTCGCTGTGTCCATCACTCGCATCGTACAAGTGCGAGACTGGCACAGTGGATTCTCATGGGTGGCCTTGCTTGGGCTGCGGACTTCTGCTCTGTGAGACATGCATGGTCTACCTAGGTGTGGCAGATGGTGATCTGCAAAAGATGCTAGCGGGCATGCGTAATGAGCCCAGTGATGAGAGACCTCTTGGGATGAGAGCTGACATTGAGCTGCTCAAGCCGGATGGGTCGCTCGTGCGGCATATGATGTGGTTGAGTGAGCAGGAGGAAGCATCATCTAAGGACAGAAAGAAGTCTCGGCTAGGTTCGAAGCTGATGTAATGCAATGCTATCGTGTAGCCTGAGTCTAATGACTACAGTCTGAAGTCCAATAGCAGTAGCATATCAAATTTACTATCTTCCGTAAAACCCAAGCTATGTCCCGCCTATACGGCAGACTCCTGTGCTAGAAGCGCCAATGCTACGCCCATGAATCCATACAATGCCATCGCCCAACCAAGCAACGCCAAAACGCACAGAACAATCCCGGAATTAAGCAGGACCCTTTGCACTGTCCACATAATCTTGCCCAGCGTGCTGATACTCGTTCGAGAGATAAGTCTCCAGGCGTTTTGACAGCCAGGAAGTCATTTTGTGAAGCTCCTCGCGTAGTCGGCTCACGGACTGCGCGTCCATATTCGTGTGGGCGATGAGGTCAGGCATAGATACTGTGTGCTTTATCAGTCTCGGGATCTGGAGGTTAGTGAAGTCATGATGTAGACATACCAAACAATCTCAGCAGATGCTCACATCCATACACATCCGCCAACGTCTTTCCCGCATGCTCGCCATGCCCTGCCTCGACAGCCTTGTGCATCTCGTAGAACTGCTGTCTCTCAAATCGATAGAGCAAAATCCTACCAAGTGATTTGTTGAAGTACTCCTTCACGCCTGCCACGATCTCCTCGAGGATATCGGCATCAGCGGAGTTCGGTCGCCGTTGGCTGAGCTCGAAGCGCTCGTACTCGTTCAAGAATTTGATCACTGGTGTTGGTGAAGGCACTGGTGCGAGCTTCTGTTCTTTGGTCACCTTCTCCCAGTCATCGACCAGGATTGACTTGAGAGCGTCGGGCATGAATAGGCGGACTGCGGGGCGGCGGACGAACTCTTCTTCCTGCAAGCGGATTGTGTCAGCGGCAAGCCTATATAAACAGGGTAGCGTCATGTTGTTTGGAAGATATCATCCGCTCAGATGGACGACCGCGGAAGCTGACGCCCCGACCACGGATAATTTCATGCTTTTCTCTGCCAGCAGACGGACGCCACCATCACAATGAATAAGAAATGACAAGCAAGCTTACCTTGTCAATGCCCTCAATCTCTCTACCTCGTTTCGTGCCTCGTGGAATTTGTGGTGCTGCGGAGCTGCGATCCTCACTCCCCCTCGCCGAAGAAGCGGTCAAGTCTGAGCCGAAGGGTCGCTTCTTGGTAGATACTGATGCCGGTTTGCCACTTGCTGCTCGTCGTTGGGCGTCCATGTCCTTTTTTAGATTAGACGCCAGCTCCTTGTTCTCCTCGTTGAACTTGCGGAGGCGTTCTTGAGGCACCCAGTCATCCCAGCTGTGGTGGCAAGTAGGGTCAGCAGTGGATCCGCTTACAAGAACCGCGAGATTCCCGCAAGCCTTAAGAGTGCTCCCCATATGTTCGAGAAATCTGACCGCTCGCAGAGGATGCATCCATAGATCTCCGCCCTGCCACAGGCGTGTAATGCCGCGCACATGCTTGTAGGATGAACAAGGGGGCTGGACACCCCGAATTGCGGAATGCCAGAAACCCGAAGTATATCTATAAAAGGACTTACGTATTCTTCCAGCCCTTGTAATGGACGCGATACATGAAGCCGTCCTTCTTGTCGTTCGGGTCCTTGACCTTGTAGTCCATGACCTTGGCCTCGTACAGTAATTCGCCGTGGAAACATAATGCCCGCTCCTCCTTCTGATAGACAGGTTGCGAAGTCGAGGAAGGCATGGCGGTCTTGATGACACAGTATCCAGAGTCCTTGGAAGGTATTTGATGAGGTCCGACTTGTTGCCTTGGTTTGATGTGGCGCGAATAATGGATCTTTACCTATGAGAGGCGCGTTTGCTCAAAGTGGAAACTACGCGTATGACTAAGCAAGCTGGTCACAATTGAGTGAACCTGTGGGCCACAGCGCCTGTTTCGCATACCAGTGGCCTTCCCAGATGTTCTGCTGAGCATATTGTGGTTGGCATCTACCGCGCCCACGTAGTATGCCTCATTTAACATCAAGAGCTGTGATCTATTCGAGCGAGGTGTGGAAGGAACGGCACTTCCGAAAAGGCTATCAACGTGATGAATACTGATGCTGCGCTATGCTACTGATTCAGTATAGCGTCTCTCCTTCCCGGTTCTTTGCTCCTCGATACTCCACAGCTAAGACTGCTCTGGCGTCCGCTCCATCAATATCCAGTCAATATCAATTGCCATAAGACATGACATACCACTTTCCATCCTTGATAGCGTCAAACCTGATATGCTCCGGCAGCACCTTACCTTTAGACGCACTCTTCCTCTTACCGCTTGCCATGATTTCGAGGTTCGAGCGCAACACATCAGCGGAGACCGTAAAGTTCCACTCACCACCGGCACGTGAAGGCGGAGAGGTTCGATCAGGACGCCTTCCCCTGCTTGACCGATCGGCATCGATGTCTTCAGACTGTCCAGAGGCCTTGACATGAGCGAATAGGATGAGCAGCCGCTCCATCTTTTCGAAAAGACGCTCTTGCTGCCGTATCGCAGTGTCCAGATGCTGTTGAAGCAGTGTCGTGCGTGCTGCTTCAGTCTCGAGGCGTTTGATGATTGAGGGACTGACTTGAGTGGATGCCATCCGCTTCTGGGAGACTGTCTGCCTCTGCGACGATGTGGATACAATGTCTTCATTGGCCTCCGGTGGAGAGCCACCGCTGGCCCGCATTGCTCCGACTTTGGCCGACAAAGCTCTAATGCGTTGCATCTTGGATGCTGACTTGTGCAAGCGGAGCTTGAGACTCGGTCTGGTGGTATCGCGCGCTGATACTTTGCCTTTCCCATCGTAGTGCTCAGGCTCAGCATCGGATCTGCCAGCCAATGAGCTGGGCGTACAGGTAGTCCTGGGCCGTAAGGGTAGTTCCAGCGTCGGAGTAATGGCTGAAGTCGAAGAACCAGATCCAGTTCCAATTCTCACGTCATCCGACATGAGTAGATCATATCGGCCGCCTGAGGTGATACTCAGTGGCAATGGCTGGGTGATGTCCAGTACCCGAAGCTGTTCCTTCATCGATAGCTCTCCACCAGAAGGCGGGAAGGCTGTCAACGTCTTGAGCAATGTCTGCCTCTTTTCGAAAAGCAAAAATTGTGCCTGATGATCCTGGTACTTCGGAGGTGACTTTGGAATGGTGATCCAAGGAGGGCTCTTCTGGAGATGATTGTTTAGTCCGCTCGTGGCAACAGGGCTGACGGGTGACACTCTTGTCGAGTCATGTCTACTCTGGCCCACCGTGCTACCGCTGTGATCACTCAACGAATCCCTCGTCACAAAGCCCCCATCAGCATCTTCGACCCAAGAAGTCTCATCACCACTCTTCAGCTCATTCTCGGCAGCGGTAGAAGTCAAACGCTGACTAGAAGCCTGGGGATGGGGGCCGCAGCCTTGATCGCTGAGCTGCATGACACAGAGCTTAAGATCGGTGGAACCACAAGTCGGGCAGTGGAAAGGAACTTCAGTCGTGTTCTTTTTCTTGCATAGCTGAAGTAGGAGGCAAGCGTTACATTGCCAGGCGTCATAGTGCTCGATTCTTGGTCTGGGAGGCGTGTTGAAGTGGAAGTCGCCGGACATGAGACTCGTGTGGGCGTCGGAGAGGTCGGAGTCTTCTGTGTTCGACATGATGGCTGATCGATGCTATAGTGATGAATAGATGGTAGACTCTGTATTCATGCTACAGTGCGATATCGTACGTAAGAAGGCGGATGTTTACAAGTGCTGGGAACACAAGAGGAAATTCGGATGCGCATACTTGCCATTGCTATCCTTGTTCTTTCCCATCTACAGCCGGTTCGTAAGCTTGTCAGGAAGGCGAAGCTGTTACCTTACAGTCTGTCACACTAGCCGAGCTGTCTTGCTGTGCACAAAGAAGGAGAAAGAAAAGTGCAGAAAGCTGCGACCAGCAATGAGATCCACTTACTTTGGCTTTACTCACCTCGACGCTCGTACTTCACCCTTGTAATTATGCGTGAGTCTGACTTGCAGCTTCTGGTAAGAGGTCTTGTAAACATATTGCCAAGCATACTCTGATATCAAGGTGGGTACTAACCTCATCACTCACTGCAACCGCACACCAGCCTGTTTCTGCTTCCTGCCCTCTCTCCCCTGCACATCCATAAACCCACCCTCACCACCAGCATGCAACACCCCCTTCGCAGCCCCACGCTTCTCATCCTCAATCTTCTTGAGCCGCTTCTCCGTCTTCTGCTTCCCACTGCCCTTGCCATGGAAAGCATGCGACATCTGCTTGAAAGCCTCCTTCGACTGCAACTCCCTTCCATGCTCGTCGTGGTATTTGAGCTGTACATTCGGCTTGTACTGTTTATTGAACATGTCTGCGAGTAGTTTGGCGATATAGGCTTCACGTGCTTCGTTCTGCTGTCGAGCGTAGGCGTCGCGATCACGATTCGACATGCGATCCCATCGACCACTTTGGCGGTCAGCTTCGCGGTCTTGCTTGGCCTTGACGTCGTATTCGTCGATCAAGGACTTCTTGTCTGCCAGGAACTGAGCCCGTTGGCGCTCGATGTGGCTGAGGCCGGCACTATCTGCGTCGGAGACTAGACCGCGCTTGCGAAGCATATTGAGAGCTGCGCCGGTGCCAGTGCCGGATAGCACGTCTTCATTTTCCAGACCAGTGGCAGTGCCATCGTTCGCGGCCGGTGTGCCAGATGTCTCCCGCTTGATCAGTTTACGACGGTCTTCTTTATCTGCCGCCTCTGCATACGATTGAGCCATCGCCGTGTCGCCGTCCTCGTCTGCTTCGTCACCCTCAGCGGCCGTCGCAGGCTGTGGCGTACCGTCGGTCTCGATCTTGACAGTAGGCACTTCGGGTCGCTTGAGATTGGCCACAAATTCCGATGTCTCATCCATGACTATACCTCCATCCTCATCTTGCTCTTCGTCCACAGGCATCTCATCACGCATCTGTCTGGCCAGCTCAGTGGCGTCCATCTTCTTCCGCTTCTTCAACGCTTGCCGCCGTGACTCTGCCAGCTTTGCTTGTAGGTCGTCATCGTCTTCGAAGTCATACGGCCGCTTCTTGCCGGCAGGTGGTGCACCACCTTCCAGACCATCCACGTCCATTGCATCTCCTTCAGGTCGCGCTGCTGCAGGCTCTGGGAAGATATCATCCTCATCAACAGCCTTCTGTCTCGTCTTCTTCTCTTTCTTCTTCTTTGGCTTCTTTACCTTGACCGTGCTCGGGTCGACATAATCAGAGATTGGTGCATCATCCTTGAACATATCTAGGCTAATTTTCACGCCTTTGCTTTTGACTTCGCCGTCTACATCGAGCTCCTTTCGTGCAGCTTCCACAGTATTGCCTTCACCGTCAAGCGTGAATCGTTTCTGCTTCTTGCCGCCAATCTCATCATCATATTTGGAGAGCAATCCTCGTTCCTCACCCTGCTCGGTCGGATCATAATCTGGTCGTTTCTTCTTCAGGCGCAAGTTCTCCTCCAACTTCTCCTTCGCCTTCAGGTCCGCGTTTTCGAGCTCGTCATCCTCGCTTTCGTCACCGATCGTGGTGTCTTTCAGTGTAAGCACCTGCTCGTCGGTGGCATCTTCGAACTCGGCAGCTTCATGCCCAACCTTGACACCAGCCAAATCCTTTGAGGTGTATTCCTGCTGCTGCAATGCCTCTCTCTCGCGCTCTGCAAGCTCTTCCTCCATCTTCCGCGCCTTTTCGATCTTCTTCTGACGCTTCTTCTGACCCAGTAGCCATGATCTTGTATCGAGCTGCTCGTCATCTGCTTCACCCAGGCCCTTGCCTTCGAGCTTGGCATATCTCGCTGCAGCATCTCTCGCCTTTTTTGCTGCAGCTTTACGCTTTTCGCGCTCCAGCTTCTCTATCCGCTCGTCTTCCAGCTTGCGCCAATTCGAATCTGCCGCCGCCTGGCGCTTGTCGAGCGTGCTGATGTTATCCTCCTCGCTCTCGGAATCATCTGGTTGCTTGAATTGAGGTCCAGAGTCCTTGCCCGGCACTGGCAAAGGCGCCATGCCGAGCGACACCCGGACCTTGTTCATCTGTTCGATCGAGGCGGCGTCCATGATGGCGGTGGCAGTAGTGGAGACCCTGGGTAGTCTTCGAAACTCTCACGTAGTCCTGTATAGGCAGTGGTAGCTCACCGACCTGTCAGGTCGTGGATTCTGGTCGTGACAGAGGACGCTCAGGCACTCATGACTCGCCTTTATGATCACTAGCGTACCGAAGTTCAGCCGCCACGACACAAAAAGTTCATCTCGCCTGGCCCCTCTATCACTTTTTCATACAAACACAGATCTGTGTCTAGCGGTCCCGGCGTATGCCTCTGGTATACAGATCGGTTGACTGCTGGACAGTTCGACGACTATGCAAATCTTCACACCAATTCCTTATGGAGTACGTGCGGTCGACAGGTCTCAGAAAGAGTAGGCTTGCATCATAATCTTGAGCTCTTCGTGAATTCGGTTGTGGTGTAGGACGAGACTGTACATTCCACTTCTTCTTTTGAGGCCGTCGGCCGTTGAGATTCAAGATAAACCGTACAGCCTACAAACGATTACAACTTTGGCACGGATGATGGGTGGCTCAAGATATCGGTCAGAATGCATCAAGGCGCAACGGGCTTTCCCACGGTGTCTACGGCCATGGCATACCAGTCCACGTGCTTCATAGATATGCGGATGGGCAACGCCCTCTCTGCCGCGGCGGCTTACAATCGCACAGGACCAAATAGTTGAACAGGCGTACGCCGAGATCGTCCTATACTGGCATGCACATGGACTTGTCTTCTCCTCTTGGGCCAGCGAGTTGCTACCATGTATATGGCGTGCTTTATGTACGCGTATTGGAAGCTGGACCGAGTCAATACGAAGGCGACTTTGCGACGTCTCGATCATAACAGGCAGGTCTCTTCATGAAACTTGTTGTGTAGGTGTCAATATTCCATTCACTTCCCCAAGTCATGTTTCCGCTAGATGCAGATCCGAAAGTCTTCTACACACCACCCATCGCTCTTTCCTTCCTCACCTCGATGCGCAACTCCAGGCACACGCGTCACGCACGCAAGCTTGACCTCATTGCTTCTTTACCTAGTAATTCTTCTCGCCAACCACGACATCACGTTGACATCGACATCGCATGTTGCACTCATTCCACACCATGACCAAGACGCTGAGCGCCGGACTGGCATGGTTGGTACACACCCATCTTACCGAAAACCTATACTAACTCCTTGGCAGGGCGGTTCCTGTGAACCCAGCGACACTCATCGACCATGCCCATGCTTACTTGAAAGTCGCATCCAGACTACACACTCTCCGTTTGTGCCATCGCTTCGGCAAAGGCGACGGCGTACACATTGCAAGGCTCCCCATTGAGATCGAGCAGATGATTGAGACGTGCATAACGCAAGCGCAAGTCAGGAAAGGCTCGATGTCCTTGTGGGATTGCGGCCTTGACTTTGAATGTTTCCAGTCAGAGTGCTCGCCCAAGCAGCACTGTAGTGAAGCAACGCCGTTACTGGAGTCTGCGGAAGACGGCCTCGAATACTGCACTGTCTGCGCCGAAGAGAGCATCTGGGCAGACACTTACGCGAGATGCGAGAAGCGTTGCAATGCTCAAACCGTCACGAAGTGCGACGAGTGCAAGAAGCAACTCACCGAAGACTGCACACGCGGCTGTCGAGCAGAATACGAAGAAGCCGCCAACATGGTGTGCGCAGACACAACCTTATTCTTCGAGGATCACCTCGATCACAAGTCTGCGTGGAGGGCTCGCATTACGCAGGGGCCCCAGGGTGGTTTCCGCCAATACGATGAGGTACTGCTGATATTGGCGTCAGGCTTGAAAACCAATTGACTGAATTGATAGATCATCAACAAAGCCTTCGGCCTGGAAGTCCATTTTATCGATACCACAAGGGATGTTCAACGTACGGACGCATGGCCAAAGCACGAGAACCATCGCTGGCATGAATACGATGACCTCCAGACGACGCTGTGTTACTTGACCCTTCCCAAAAAGCTCATTGGCACCGCCGTCTTTGAGCCGTGTCAGATGGCGTGGGAGATGAGCGAACCAACCGTCAGTGGTGGCCTCGTCCAGATGGTCGACACGACTTCTCTTGTCATCACCGAGAAACAGCGTCGACGATTCCAGCATACAATGCAGGTTCTCGAGCTGAAGCCGCACGTCCATGGAAGTCAGGAATACAACAAGCCTATTTCACCCAACACCGAAATGCTGAAGCTGTCCGAGAAAGATAAGGAAGGCACGGGTGAGTGACGACCATTCACGCCTTTCGAACATGTACTGACCGCCTGCAGGATCCGAGAAGAGCGGTTGGCCGCGGTTGCTGTTGCTCGCTCACAGCGACTAAGATATTCGCTTGGAAGCACGGTGTACAATGTCGACTATGTGCGCACGTGGCCACATCCCTTCAGAGTCGTGCTTGTGCTTAAATGGTTTTCTGACTGAGGGAGGCTTACCACTTCTACCGCAACTGAGATACGAGCGTGGCTTGATGGTAATTGTTGTCAAATATGTACTCATCTGATCTCACGGACTTCATGCTCAGACAGCGCTATGATTCTACGGACCAATCTACATATCCTCCTTCGCCTCAATCTCCTTCTTCGTGACCATCTCGGACAACGGCCCATTCATCACCATCAAAGTCATAACCTCATACAAAGTATCAGCAGCCGCCATAGTGGTAAGCTCAGCATTGGTGTCGTAAGCCGGAGCAACCTCAACAATATCCGCAGCAACCAAGTTGATGCCCTTCAAACCACGCACGATGGTACGGAGCTCACGAGTGCTCCAGCCACCTGTCTCTGGTGTACCAGTAGCAGGCGCAAAGGCAGGGTCGAGGGTATCGATGTCGATACTGAGATAGACAGGCTCGGTTGTGCCCACGCGATCTCGGATCTTCTTGATGATGCCTTCGGTGCCGATTGTGTCGATCTCGCGGGCTTCGACAATCTGGAAGCCAACATAGCCATCGTTTTCGTAGTCGGAGAGACCGCTGAGGGTTGTGCGGATGCCGGCGTGGATGTTGGTGTCCTGGCATCGAAGTCAGTACTTGCGAAGATATTGGTAGTGGCAGAGAGTGATCTTACATTCTTCAAGAGACCCTCGTGAGCAGCATGATAGAAGTAAGTGCCGTGGTTGATAGCGGCTTGCTTGGATGGAGAGCCCCCGAAAACCTTTGGCTTCCATGTGTCCAAGTGAGAGTCGAAGTGGATGACCGTGATCGGGCCATATGCACGATTCATGCTGCGAAGCAGAGGAAGAGTGATTGTGTGGTCGCCGCCCAGTGTGATGACACGAGGGAGGGTCTTGCCTTTCTTCGATGGGCCAGGGGCGCTGGCGTTGGTAGCTGGCTCACGCATGAGGATGCTATTGTGACCCTCTTCGATTTGATGGATGGCGTAGGCATTATCGTAGCTGTTCCGGGAGTCAGCGATCTGCTCTTGCATACCAGAGGAACGAAGACTCACCTGGTGACTGGAATGTCACCACAGTCGAGGACAGTAGCCCAGCTGTCGAACGGGTTTGCATCGAGAGGAACGTTGTAGCCTCCACTAAAGCGCACTTTGCGTGAGCCTTGCATCCAAGCAATTGTAAGCTTGCTGCTGACATACTAGAGATTGAGCCTGCGGCTACCTTGACGAATGCCATTAGGGCCGAATCTGGCACCTGGGCGGTAGGAAGTGCCAGTGTCGAAGGGAGCACCAATGAATGCAATGTCGTACTTCACGTCATCGCTTGCGAGGCATGGGTGGTAGGGAAGGCGGCCGAAGGTCGAGATGCCTGAGAAGACAGAGTCGGCCTGCTTGAGGTGAGCTTGCAAGCCTGGCTTTTCAAAACATCATTGAAGCTGACCTGAGTACCACCGTCGCCCGGCAGAGTGTTATACCACAACGACTTGTGCGGGCCAGCCAAAGGCTCCTGATTCTCACTATGAGAGCCATGGGCACTCACACCCGTCACCACCACAGCAGCAGTCGCCAAAAGCCTCAACATCTTTACGAAAACGACGTATAAGTCGCAAAAGGCCACCAAGGTACTCATCAAGGTGTCGCGAGAAAAGTGCAGGACCCGAGAATATTTATTGCATGAGCTCCTCCTCCGCCAGTAGCTCCGGCGCAGCAGTTGTTTCTTTGTTTACGTACAGATCTCATAGCTACCATGCGAGATCCATTGGAGCTCTGGTGAGCACTAGACCTGACATGGGAGCTCCTGTCGGAAGATGTCATCGAGGCTCGTTAGCATGCAGCGCGCCTGTCCTGTTCCTGGCGATAGGTGGGTTGTTCGCCGGCGAGCTCATGGCGGTACAGAAGTGGACGGCTTGACGATGGCAACATGTCCGGGCTTCCTTCCTTTTGGCAGAGATACGCGGTCCCAGCGATGTCGGACGCAATTGACGCTGGTTGTACGCCGTTAGTCACGTCGTTGACATTGGCATATCTGGAGATGGTGGCGCTGATAAGAGGTGGGGTCTCACAACTCGGCGGCCCCAAAAAACTTGTTGGTGAGAGCTTGCTAGGACAGGAAGGCCATTGATGATATCAAGATCATGGGAAAGTCATTATCACGGCGGTCAACCTTGCGACGGTGTTTTGGTCATCTCTTGTGGTCAGAAGTGGTTCATGCTGGAACGTTACCATTCGACAGAAGGCCGATGAATGTATGAGCGCAAAGGAGCTCAGCAGCCCGTCTTGCACCGACTGCGATATTCCATATCCGTGCAGCACGAGCCTTGCAAGAACGATGGTATCAATATTTGCGTGATGAAACAGAAGGATTGAAAGTGTACAATGTCTATAAAGATTTCTAGGTGTCACGCCCCGCCATCAGCGGCTCCGTGCTCAGCGCGTTCTGACGGATCCATTCGTGCAAATGCCTTGTCGACTTCTTTGTCCCAATTGCTGAAGGCCACGATGACCCATTCCGCAGCACCGACGATGTAGAGCGCAATGCACTGGCCCACCCAAAGTCCGCCCAGTCCCCAACCATGGAAGGCAAGGTAGATACCCAATGGCAACGCGCCGCAGTAGTACGACACGATGTTGACGGCAGCTCCGATGTGCTGTCTGCCTTGTCCACGTAGGGCACCGCCGCAGGATCCATTGAGGCCATCTGCGATTTGGAAGAGCGCGACATACGGTAAGACTTCTGCAGTCAAGCGGACGACCTTCTTGTCATTGTTGAACAAGTATGCGAAGCTGTTTCGTGTGCCCATCAGAATCGCCAGCACAAGTAGGCCGAGTATCATCGACAGCCATGCCGCCATATTCGCAGCTCTTGCAGCTCCCTTGCCGTTGCGAGCACCGAGCATATTACCTACTCGAGCAGAAGTCGCGACGCCGACGCCAAACGGGATTGTGTTCAGAACCTGGTCGGCTGTCATGATGACTGATTGTGCAGCCAGTGGAATGGTGCCGAGTTGTCCAGCGACAATAGCGACGACTATCAAGGATATTAGCGTTGTCTCGGCTAGATATAGGTGCATGCCACGCACTTTCGAACGCCCACCATTCCGTGCCGACGTGTATGATACCCAGCAAGGCAATGCGTGCAAAGGTGCCAATGTTGTGCAAGCACTTTCTGTCGAAGCCTCCCCAGCACTCTGAACCTGCCACAAATCTGCTGTACAATACCAGTAGGATGAACGACAGCCAGTAGCTAATGCCAGTCGCGATCGGAGCCCCGAGCATTCCAAGATCAAGCGTGTAGATGAACAGGAAGTTCAGACCAGCATTGATCGGCGAGGTGATCAGTAGCACATATGTACCTGGTCGCATGATGCCCTGTGCTTGCAGATACTTCTTCATGCATTCGAAGTAGATGTAACCAAGACCACCAGGTATCAGCGCACTCAAGAACTTTGACGAGTCGCGGGCGATGTAATCTTCCTGCTTCAATGCTTTGAAGACAGGCTCGCTGAAGATCCATAAGACGCAGACCGGAATGTATAGCAGGCCGAGCACAAAGAATGCCCGCTGCAGTATGATGCCAAGGTCGTGCTTGTTCTTGGAACCAGTGAACGATGCACTTGCCAGAGTATCAATAGCCGTTGTTCCGCCCATGCCAATCAGCCATGCTGTTGCCATTGCAAACATGTAGGAGAAAGCCGCCACAGATAATGCTTCGGGAGACAATCGTCCGACGATGAGGACAGAGATCGTCTGGAGCGAGTTTTGAAGCGTATAGGCTAGAATGACTGGTATCGATGCTTTGAACAATGTCCAGAATTCGAGTGCGAGTCGTTGAGAGCGTGGCTTGCCCTCAAGCTCGTAGATCTCGCCTTCGCCAGCATCGTCGTCCTCGTTGGGCTTTGGTAACAGCGAAGTGCGCTCATCGACTCCGTCTGGTGTCTGTTTCGCATCTTCGTTCTGTGTTTTGCGTCTCAGGAAACCCGATAGCCATGACGGTGCGCTTTGCCCCTCATTCTGTCCGCTCTCCATGACTCAAATGAGAAGGATAGAAAGGCTTGAGAGTAAGAAAGCGGAGGTATACCTACAGCTATATACTGCCCTGGCCTATTGGTGGACGTAATAATGGGTCTCAGGTGCAGAAGATCAGCTAGCAAAAGAACATGATAGCAGCAATGCTTGCAACGACAGCTCGCCTGGCTGCATGCTGGCATGCAAGAGCTCGATGAGGACGCGCACGTTAGTCACGAAAATGCCGTGCTGCCAGATGGTAAAGTGGCAGTCAAAGCAATGTGCCGACATAGACCTGCGATGTAGGAGCTGTTGGCCGGTAGTGCTGTGAGCTGAAAAGCTTCTTATCGAGCAGTACCTAAGAGCTTTAGTCAAGCAGGGGATGCAGTGTTCTGGAGTCAAGCTGTGCATGCCTTGCGAAGATCGTCTGCGGCGTCTACACGGCACGATGTAAGAGACTGTGGACCGCTATCGCTCTTATTTGTGGTTGGTGTTGGAATGATACGGTCGATGACATATCGTAACATGGATATATCAGAGATAGGCAAGATAGCGATTGAGAAGTGTAGTTAGGAGGTCGGAAGAGTCTCGGGTGGCTTTCGGCTAAACTTGCCCTACTAAGATTGCCCTGACAAGGGCGATAAGATGGCTACACAACAGACAATGATCCTCCGCCGACATAGGGCCATCAAGCTACAGTTGCACAGGCACTACACAAATTGATACCTTTCTCAACAGTACCCATCAACTCCACTGAGGCTCTCATCTAGTCCCCGATGGTGGCTGCCATGTGGAAACCTTCATGCAGGCCTGCTAAAGTGCTTTTGGAAGGCGTTCAGGGTTAATCAAAGCGAGGTCTTATCTGCACGACGGGCAACCAACCAGCGTCTGGTATCTCGGCCTCGAAACCGCACCTTTAGCTGAGAAGGTGAGATGCCCGATGAAGCCATAAGCCATGGCACACATGCAGGATGTCATTGCGCTGCACGAACCGTCGCTTTATTCACTACTGTAGTGCTTGTTTTTGAGACTCTAGCCTCGTGTTACGCTGTTGTATTTGCCCATGAAACTGCTGCGCTTTTGATGCGCTGAGTGGACTGTTGTCGTTGAGGTTTCGGTTCTTGCGCTTGTGTTATAAGATCACTTCTGGGTACCTGAGAGGACTTGCAATCGGATCCTCGAAGCCCTCGTTACTGTCGCCGAACAAATCCACCATGGGCCTTCTCGACGAGAAACACAGCTCGACCGAGGAGAAGTCTTCAGCACCAGACACAGAACGCGGCCAGATCCTAACTCCAGAAGTGCTTCGAGAAGCCGCGGATCGACGCACCAGCATAGTGACCAAGGATGGCAAGGCTGTGAACGCTGCCGGCTACCAGGATCAACTGCAACGACAATATGGTTTACTGTCAATTTGTGGCCTGGCGTTGACGATTGACAATGCCTGGGTGGCTTTTGGTGGATCTCTATCTATTGCATTCTTGAATGGTGGTCCGGCAGGAATATTGTATGAGTTCATCGTGGCTTGCGTCTACTATGGATTCATCGCAGCGTCAATCGCCGAGCTTGCATCAGCCATACCATCATCAGGCGGTGTCTGTAAGTATTCCTGGCATGCACGACGACATACGAGCAACTTGAGCTGACATATCCGCAGACCACTGGGCCTCTGTAACACCAGGGCCAAGATGGGGTCGCGTAGTAGGCTTCTTCTGCGGTTGGCTCAACTTCTTCGGCTGGATCTTCGACGTCGCTGCGATCGTCACCATCCCGGCCAATGTTTCAGTCCAGATGTACGCTGTTTTCCACCCCGACTTCACACCACAACCGTGGCATACCTTCGTCTCATTCGTCTTGATCACATGGCTTTGCACTGCTTTTGTGATCTTCGGAAACAGGCTACTGCCGAAGATACAGCATGTTGGTCTCTTTCTGGTCATCGTGGGAGGTCTGGTGACAATTATCGTTTGCGCGGCCATGCCTAAGCAACATGCGAGCAGCCAGGAAGTTTGGGGCAATTTCGATGAGAATAATCTGACAGGCTGGAGCTCGGGTGTTGCTTTCTTGACTGGTGTGTTGAATGGCGCCTTCACTATTGGTACTCCAGACGCCGTCACACACATGGCAGAAGAGTTGCCAAATCCCAAGGTCGATCTGCCAAAGGCTGTCTTCGCTCAAGTCGGTCTTGGCTTCCTTACGACTTTCCTCTTCGGCATCGCCATCTTTTACGGCATCAATGACCTTTCAGCCATCACTGGAAGCTCGGCAGCGTTCCCACTTGCAGCAGTGTACCAGCAAGCCACAGGTAGTCCTGGAGGCGCATTTGGTCTGCTACTCATCTTGTTCCTTTCGGTTTTGATCTGCAGTATCGGCACAATCCTCATGGTCGGACGACTTTGGTGGGCGCTGGCTCGCGATAACGCCACACCCTTCGCATCGTACTTTGCTCACGTCAACACGAAGTTGTCATGCCCAGTACAAGCAACGGTGCTCTGCGCTGTCTTGACGACCGCTTTCGGTGCTATCCAGCTGGGATCGAAAACTGCGTTTACGGATCTGGTTGGCAGCTTCATCATTCTTACCACCATTTCTTACTTCTTGGCTTTCTTCCCGCATATTCTGACCAAGCGACGCAATGTTCCTCCTGGACCATTCTGGATGGGCAAATGGGGATACGCTGTCAACGGCATCTCATGTCTGCTGATCGTGTTCTTCAACATTATGTTCTGCTTCCCTTTCGGGTACCCTGTGGACCCTATCAGCTTGATGAATTGTAAGCAACACAGCAATCTCCCATCGAAGTTTCATGCTAATAGCAAAGCAGGGAATTCCGTCATCCTGGTCGGATGTCTACTGCTCACAACGATATGGTGGTTCGTTCACGGCCTGAGGAAGTATCCTGGACCGAAGCTTGCTTCGTTGTACATAGAGGGAATAGATGAGTAAGGTAGGTTGTTCGATTAAGCTATATATGTTCCGGTAGTGCAACACATGGCTCCGGTATACAACCATGATGGCAATTCGTGGGCTGGCATTTCTTGACACATGAAATCATCAAAGTTGGACCATTAGGTAAAGTTTTGCTGGTACGCGAGACACGTGCTTGCGGCATTATTGTCGCCCTGTAACCAGTTGAGATGGAGAAGATAACCACACATGCGACTCTGCAAACGAAAAACCTCTTTCTATTGATTGTGGCGAGCACAAAGGGAGGTGCAGATGATCGGGGCGTGTTACGATTGACAGTCCTTTGATCGCACGGTGTCCGGCGTTCAAGTCCAAAACACTCCTGGAATAAACCTTCGTCGTGGTGAGCTTCTTCTTTGGTCATGTCACCCAGCTTCTCGTCATGCATTCCATGAAATGCGTGAAAGGACGACAACACGTTCAGATCGTCCTTACACGTCGCAAATGGTCGACGCTATCGATGCCCAGGCCACGAAGTCTTGCATAAGGCCGCATCCTTCGCGCGGCAAGATATCTCGAACTCCGCGAACTCCGTAGCTGATCCTCAGGGTAGGCGGCAGAATACTTGCTCCTGTCGCAGCGTTGAAACACAAAGGCGTACAAGGAGTCCTCGACGTGTCGCCGTCGTCATGGTGGTAGGTGTCTTGCATTTCGCATTCGTAGGCTGATCCTTCTGCCACAATAATAAATCCATAGCAATCTCTTCGTTCTACAATAACAGCAAGGACCGATTTGACCAGATCATGGCGCCCGAACGAACAGTGACAACGGATTACTTCGCCGACGATGACGGAGACAACTACTCGATCACCACGAAAGCAAGCACAATCACCATGGACGAGCCATCGAAGCACAACGACGCCAGCGAGCACTCTCCCCTCCTGGCCACATCACCCGCAAAACCAGGCTCATACATCGAGCTTCCACCCCGCAAGAGTCGCATATCATACCGCTCCCTCCTCCTCGTCTTGATCGCCATGGTAATCCTGAGCAGCGCCTCCGACCAAATCATCCAAAGCCCCCAAATGCGCATCTTCGAATCCATAATCTGCTACCGACACTACGAGCAAGCGGATCCAAGCAGGATCCTGCTGGGAAGAGCAACGGTAGGCCCGGGAGCTATCGGCGGAGTGGCAGAAGCGGACTGCAAGATCGATGAGGTGCAGGGAGAACTAGCTATGCTCAATGGGTATCAACAATTCTTCAATGGCTTTCCATCGCTTCTGCTTGCTATACCGCTAGGCTGGGCAGCGGATAGATATGGGAGGAAGCCTTTCCTCGCAGTAGGATTGGTGTCATTCGCAGCCCGAGCAAGCTGGGTCCAGCTTGTAACCTGGTTCTGGCAAGCATTCGACATCCGGCTGACTTGGCTTTCCACGCTACCCACTCTGGTTTCTGGTGGAGATGTCGTAATCTCTGGCCTCTTCTTCGTCTTGCTATCGGATATTGTGCCGGAAGCAGAAAGAGCATCTACATTCCTTCGAGTCGGTGCTTGCAGTATCTTGGCCAGTGTGGCTATGCCTCCCTTCGCGGCTATGCTAATGCAGACGAATCCGTGGATACCGTGTCTTATCGGTCTCGTACTTAACTTCATACCAATGTTCCTGCTTATTCTGGTGCCGGAGACCCTGAACTATCGCAAGCATCTCTCACCATACGACTCGTTTCCCCCCACACCCTCAGAAGAAACTCAGCCTGGACCACCAGACCTCGCCGACAACAACCCACCTATGTCAGCCAACTATGCTGCCCGAATCGCAAGCCAGGTCGTCTCGGCGACAGACTTTCTTACAGCAGATTGGCGAATCCCAGCACTCATCCTGCCCTTCTTCGGTCATATGCTCATGTTCAACGCCACACAACTCCTTCTCCAATATATGAGCAAACGCTACCACATCACCTTTTCAAAAGCCACACTTCTCAACACAATCTTCAACGGAGTCAAGATCTTAGGTCTCTTCCTCATCCTCCCTTACATCTCGAAAGTCATCATGCGTATCTTCAAGTTTTCCGATCAGAGAAAGGATCTCTACTTAGCACGAGGCACGCAGGTCTTACTAGCGGTCGGATATCTCTTCATCGGACTCTCACCAACTGTGCCGTCGGCAGTGCTGAGCATGACGCTCGCGGCATTAGGGATGGGCACTTATCTCTTCGTCCGAAGTTTCCTGACATCACTGGTTCCTTCACATCATATCGCTAGGATATACATGATCATCACGCTTCTTGAGACCTTAGGCGGTATGTCCGGAGGTGCGCTTATGGCTAATTTGTTCAAGGGTGGTCTGCAGCTTGGCGGTGGTTGGATTGGGCTGCCATTCCTGTTCGTGGGTCTGGTGATGTTGTGCTCCACGGCATTGTTGTGTACTGTAAGATTACGGCCTGGAGAAGACAGGAAGCAGGATGGGGATGAGCAGCAGATGTGACGCAGCATGTAGAACCACATAGACCAATCATACACAATATAGCTACATGCGACGCCGCCGCACATACTGAGTCGCCGATGATCAATTAAGAGTATACTCAGTACATTGGTTGGGCACCTCGAGTTCGCAATATGGCCAATGGTACGACGGCCCTGATAGGCACACAGTCAATGTATGTAGTCAGCGCGGCAGCATGATGTCGTGAATTTGGGACACACCTGGCCAAACAGTACTTGCACATGATGAGCTGTTCACAGATTCAGGATAGTATATAGGGCGGGTTATCTAGCTTACGCGCGAAGCAGCCACTCCTTTATTGATACTATCAGTGCTCAGACGTCGAGGCATCAAGAGCCGAGTCATCAGCAGTCCAGTCCTTCACTCCAACGACCAGTCACTCCACACAGCAGTAATCCCAGTCAACATCGGGCTGTCGACGATACTCTGCATACCAGTCTCCTAACCTGATGGTGGGGCAGCACCACGACCACGGCCGAAGCCACCACGCTCGCGCTGTTCGCCGCCCTCACCTCCACCTTCACGGCGGAAAGATGGCTGGAAGCCGGAGCCGCCCATGCCGCCCTCCTTGTCTCCAGCACGGGCATCGCCCATGTCACGGCGGCGGTATCTGTCATGATGTTAGTGACGACCAAGATGAGTGAGGTAAGCAGTGAATGCACATACCCATCACGACCACCCTCACGATCACCGCGGGGTCCACCACGTCCACCACCACGGCGCTCACCCTCACCACCCATCATACCACGAGGAGGAGCATGGCTACGCTGCTGCTTGACGTGGGTCTGAGGAACAATCTCAGCGGGCAAGTGAAGCCATTCGCGGAGGTAGTCGAGGCCCTCGGGCGTCAAGGTGTAGTAGTACCACTGCCAGCTGAACTGCGTCTTGAGGAAGCCACGGGAGGTGAGCGACTGGCAGGCTTTGATGACGTAAAGGTTCTTGGTGTCAATTTCGGGGTGCTTGGGGAGGTTGAAGTCCTTCTTTGCGACGAGGACACCCTCGCGGAAGAGCGTCTCGTGAATCTTCTTGCGGTCGGCTTTTGGGATCAGCCTGTGATAGCTCATTAGCAGATGTCGAGGTTAGTACAATGGAGGGTGACCTACATGTTTGCGGTGCTGTTCGTCTTGTTGTTCGGTTTGTTCGGTTTGTTGTGGGGTTTGTACGGAAGGCGTACTGCAGCATTGCACCGCTTTGAACAAATACATATATCGAGAAGTGCCCCGCGCTAGCGAAAGTGCTTGGCAAGCTGTCCTCGGAAAAACATCGCCGCGTGCGCCGACGCCAAGACCTCGAATTCTCCAACAATTCGATGCTCAGAATCGGCAAACATTGAAGGACAGAACGACGCCGACAACCACAAAACCCACGACGCTGCAACACCGCAAGCATGGGGTACAACCGCAACACCCCCGTCTCTCAAATCTACAGAACCTCTGCTAATACATTCCCAGTATCTCTCGTGACTCCCGTCACAAGCGCAGTGCCACTGGTGCTAAGCGCGCATACTATCGCAAGAAGAGGTATGCATAACCCGATCGCTTCTGTCCATCCTCAGCAATTCGTTTTGCTGACGTTGTGATCCAAACAGAGCGTTCGAGAAGGGTCGCCAGCCCGCCAATACCCGTATCGGCAACAAGCGCATCCATCTCGTGCGCACGCGAGGCGGCAACCGCAAGTTCCGTGCTCTGCGTCTCGACTCCGGCAACTTCTCATGGGGTAGCGAGGGCATCTCTCGCAAGGTCCGTGTGATCGCTGTGGCTTTCCATCCTTCGAACAACGAGCTCGTCCGCACGAACACCCTCACCAAGGCCGCTGTCGTGCAGGTCGACGCGGCCCCCTTCCGACAATGGTATGAGGCACATTACGGTCAGAATCTCGGCCGCAGACGCCAACAGAAGACTGAGACCGAGGAGGTGAAGAAGAGCAAGGGCGTGGAGCAGAAGCAAGCGGAGAGGATGAAGAGGGTCGGCAAAGTCGAGACTGCGCTTGAGAGGCAGTTTGAGGCAGGTCGTCTATACGCCGTCGTGGCCTCCCGACCTGGCCAGAGTGGCCGTGTTGATGGTTACGTACTGGAGGGTGATGAGCTCGCTTTCTACCAGCGTGCTATCAGGAAGTAGAGGATGGATCGAGGTTGAGGGCGGCGTTATGGCTGTGCTCGTGCATTGCATGGCCTGTCTGGGTTGCGACTGGCACCTAGATAAAAGAGGTCCGCCATCGTCAACAAGCCTGCCAATGTCTTTATAGCGGCGCATAAGATCAATGAAAACATCTAAAACCGCCATGATGATGCCATATATATACACAGCCCGTGGCCATGGTGTCGTCCTCGACCGGTAGGTAACCCCATCTTACATGCCTTAGCAGATTTCTCATCGCTAGTCACCCATTGAACGATGTGTGGAACCAATATTAAAGCGTGTCTGATGGCGGCTGAGCTCGTGCTGTGTTCCTTTTCGAGAGTCACGACATCAACTCTGCACTGTAGCAGCTATATATCTCTACTGCTCCTACGCTGTTGGCAATGTTCACGAAACTCGTGGTCGAGGCACGTATCCATGGAGATGGTGGAGGGTGGCGCTTGGACCCTGTGTTCCGTGTTCTCAAGTTCCCGCTCCGCTGCAAGCTGCATGTCATGGTGCAGCAACTCTTCGCGCCAGCTTTACTTCCCCCCAAACTCTGCTTCTTATATTCACGAGAGAGCTAGACATCACCTTTTCTTACGGTACGTGCAGCCCAAGAGTTCATTCACCAACCAGCCTACTGATACTTTCCGACAGCTCCTTAACATCTAACCCTTCTACACAACACGTGGTCCAGCCTGCCTCATACCGTCATAGCTCAGACCATCTGAAACCCGATCATCAGACAGAAAACCACGACGCAATGCGCACTTCCACCTTCGCCCTCGCGCTCCCAGCGCTCGCCAGCGCCCAGAACTTCCCTCAATTCCCTATCATCGACCAGGTCACCAATCAAGTCAAGAGCTTCCTTGGCCAGGCGACAGCTTCAGCCTCATCAGTAGCGGGACAAATACCCACCTCAGTCCCCATCCCCGACCCAGTCGGCTATGGTGCGGCCAAAGTCGCAGCAGTCAATGTCGAGCGCCTGACTCTCGAGAACAGGGAGGAACTCCTCAAGCCTGGCGCCGCGACCGCGAGCCCCGGAATCGAGACGTGGATGGTCTTCGTGACCGGCGCGAACCTGACATGCTTTGGCAGCTGTGAGCGCGCCGAGCGCGCCTGGAACGAGAGTACCGCTCTCCTCTCCGCCTCACCCACCGCCCCACGCCTGGCGATGCTGAACTGCGACCAAGAACCCGTCCTCTGCAATGCCTGGGCCATGAGCCCACCGACCGTAATCCATATCCAGCTCCCGCAGCCTTTGGCCGACCAGTCCACGCCTGCGACAACTGTGCGTTCCATCAGCTTGAACAGGACGACTGTGACTGCGCCTGAAATCGCGGCTCTTCATCTCCAGGACAAGTACCTTGAGAAGGAGGTCTACGAGGGATTCTGGCATCCATTTGATGGACCGCTGGCCAAGAGCGGGATGCAGATTCCCTTAGCGTATGCGATCTGGGGGTTCAGCAAGGTCCCTAGCTGGGCGTTTATGATTGGTCTTTCTTTCGTTAGCAGGACTTTCATGTAAGTGACCTCTACTAAGTTTACTGAACGTGGCGGTTACTGATTTTGTCTAGGCAGCGACGAATGACTCCGGCTCAGGGTGGTGCTCGTGCCGCCCCACCTCCTGGCGCTGCGGCCCCGGCGAACTAAACAATAGGACGCCGAAATGAAAAGGTTATAGGTCGTGGAGTAGAGCCGAGGAATAAGGAGTAGAGAGTTCCTCCCAGCATGATAGGAGGTTGTTACGCCGCGGGTTCAACGTGAAGACGTGCAGGAGTCGGACCAGTGGCGATGATAGTGGCAAGCTAAGGAGAAGGCAAGTCATTTTGGCAAAAATGCGTAATGTTTCGGAAGGATACCACTTGGGCGCAATGTACGATGTAAGCTTTTGCATAATCTTGCTTGTGTACAATGTCCTTTCTCGAGGTCTCCACCCGACCTGCATCGTTCACATGTGAGTGATCGAGACCTTGAACTTTTCGATGTGTTTGCAGCGCTGCCATTCACCTCGAGACGTTCACTTGGCCTCGAGACACACTTCATTTCGCTACAGCAGGTATATAATCAGGCTTGTCGTGCAACGATTACACGCCTCACCTCCAGACATTCACTTGACATCAAACGCGCTTTTTCTGATCATGACTAGGAGATAGTCAGGCTTCCCGTAAGCCGACAACACGCCGCACGCTTTCCGAAGGACAACAATATCAGCATGGCGGACGTTGCAATGCGAGAAGCCAACGACGATGGCGGACCCGATCGTGTAGGTGATTGTCACTGTGATATCGAAGCGAACAGGTGCTCACCCGATACGCAGACTCCACGCAACATGCTCGAACGTCTACCCCCGGAGATGCAGTTGAAGATCCTGCAGTACCTGGACTATCAAGCGGCGATACGACTCTCACAAGTCGATCGACACTTCCAGCTCATGGTGAAGCCCAGCACGTGGCCCGAACAAGATAAACACGACTTCATCACCATCGCGCAGAAATGGGCTAAGCACAATATCGCCACACTACTCCACAGTCAGCCCAAATATACAATCACCGTCATCACCAATGACTTCGCTTGCCGCAGCTGCTGCCGCGTGCTGCCCCGGTCCAGATTCTCGATCTCACAGACTTCTCGTCATCATCAGAAATCCGCGGCCAAGCGTGCTCTGCATGGACTGCGGTATAGCTCGTCGCATCTACCGGCCTGGTCTCCTGTTACGTCGTGTGGCAGAGGAGACATATACAATGGGAACAAGTTCCACAACACCGCGTGTCGTGTATGCCATGGAATTATGCTGCGGAAATTGCGCAGGCCCTCAATCCTACACCGAGATGGTGCCGCTGATCCGTTGCCCGGCTGGCCTTTGCAGCATGGCCTACACAAACGGCGAGCCGGAGTCTACCGTACGAGAGAAGCAAGGCTTCAAAGCTTGGGACACACCTGCGCAGTATAAATGTCATGCCTGTGATGGGCTTGTCAAGGTGCAGGTGCAAGGTAAACAGTGCTTCGACTGCGGCCATGACCTCTGCTATACCTGCTTCAAGCACTGTAACGAATACAACATGGAGAAATTCTGTTCCTGGTCCTGCGGGACAAGTTACAGAATGAATCCAAGGCGAAAGGGGAAGACGATGCTAGATATTTGCAAAGCAGGATACGAGAGGCGTGGCAAGCTGCAGAGGCGTGAGAACGTACCTCATGTCACCGAGCTGCCCTCTTTCCCATCGAAGGAACTTGAGGGCGCCATGAAGAGCCTCTTCTGCGGGTGAGGGAGTAGTAACTCGCTCTTGAAAAGAGTGGAGTGCAGGGCAGCATAGGCATGTACATGGGTGAGCATAAGCACGGATAGAAGTCTCCACGCACAGACTCAAGAGGTCTCCAAGCCGCAAGCTAGCCATTATTATGATGGCTCAAGAAGCACATGACCCTAATTTCGCCTCAGCCGAGATGGACTACATATTCTTCACCTGCCGGAGCGTCCTGCCCAAGAGGTATCTCTCCATCAGCCAGAGCAGCCGTAAGCCGGTGGAAACGGAGGTTTCGTACTCGTGGGAAGCAAAACTTCGGCACCCAATCTTCGTATATGAACTTGTGTTTCTTTCATCGTCAAGGCAACAGCCACGATGCAGTAAAAGAAGTCTTGATCGCATACATATCCACCACAACATCGTGACCGTCTCTCACGGCGGTGAGCCTCCCACTAGCTGGCAGTGCAGCACCCACGATATGCGTCATATCATAATTGCACCTACGTTAGTAGTCGAATTGGGTACATCAATCATAGTCTCCGACACCAATCCCTGCCATGAGCAACCTGCCAAGAACACAACGAACTCTCCATCACCACCCCGAGTAATCCGGCAACAAAGATCCCGCCACTATCACTGACCGTCACAGCACCAAGACTAAACTCCCTATCCACATCCGGTACCTCCTCTCGCACCGCAGCATAGGTACTCACATAGACCAGTCCACCTAATAGACCCTCCCAGAAGATAATCGCGAAGACGAACCAGACGCTTGGTATGAATGGGTACAGCGCATGAACCGTCAAAGCAGTGAGGTTGAAGACTTGTAGTATACTCGGGACATAAAGCGTACGAATCCTGACGAAGGGTAAGGAGGAGCGAGAGATAAAGACCCCAAGCTGGTAGATTGCGCCATAAGTTGAGTAGAAGGCTCGGAAGTGCCTAAAAGGTGTAGACTCCAGTGGGAAGAGTAATGTTGGTGCGACGCCTTGGTTGATGGTGTATTCTGCCACGTAGACCAGGAAAAGGGGAAGCATGTAGGGTACTACCAGGGTTTTGGCGCGCGAGAGCTTGATTCTGAGGTCGTGGAGGAGTTGCTGGCGGTATGAGTGGCTGTTGTGTTGGTAGGCGGGTGAAGTATGCTGGTCTTCGGGTTGGTCTAGTAGACCTGCTCGTTCCTCTGTGATGACTCCATGGTCGTCGTCTTCTCCAGGAACGGCCTCGTAGTTAGGGATCTTGCGTTGTGCGCCAGCTGTCAGTGGGTCCAGTGGTAATAGACTGAAGAAGCTCAAGACCATACCGACAGGTATGACAGCGCTGGACAGCAGTGTAGACTGGACACTGAACCCAAGCGTTGTAGTGGCAAGAGCATAAGCACCAGCTCCTAGCAAGCCTGCTCCGCCAGTGCCACTACCCCATGCCGCAAGACTAGTCGTGCCGTAGAAGTGCGTTAAGGCCAGGAAGTGCACCTCACCAGCTCCAGAGCTGATATTCGCCAGCACGATGCCGGCAACCTTTGCAGCAATGCCGCCGGTAGTCTGCGAAGGCGAGAGGGCTACCGTGAGCATGCCACATGTCGACAGCACGGCCAGAATGATTACTCGAGCTGAGTATGGGATCAGATGGATGATATACGGGACCACGATCTTGGTTGCTAGGCCCGGGATGATGGAGCTAAGCAGTACGGTGGCCTTTGGTATAGACGGGCCGACCAGGTCAAGGGCAGCGGACAAGATGATTACATAGAAGATGTTGTTGATCAGACCTACATCATGCTATATCTCAGCTCATATTCATTCACTCGTATTGATGGCGTCTATACCAAACAACCAAAAGGCAACGGCGACACGGAGATTGACTCCGACGAGTGCCGCCTTCACCTTGGCTCTGTACGCGTGCATGATGCCATGAACTTCAGTCCCATCGCTCCTTCCTTTAAGAATAGCAACTTCGTCTTCCTCCGCCGACTTGTGCAGTGTAGCACTGCTAATTGAAAACCCGGGCGGTGGTCGTGCAAGGCACACTTCTCTACCCGAGTTTCGTGACACGTGAGCCCGGACTTTTGTGGCTGGACCGTGACGCAAGAAGGCCCATGCATGGTCGCGGCAAGCGGCGACTAGTGTAATCGATCGACAAGGATATTCTCGCTAGGGCGGCGGAAATGTGAGCTGTCGATCCTTTCGCAAGTCATGAGCCGCTGTCGAGTTCTTTGTTCGTCCTTCTCTTTCGTGAGTGTCTTGCGCTTGAAGCTGTATTGTTTGTGGTGTGGGCCTTTGCGATTACGGACGACGGCTTGTGGAGACGATTGCCATCTTATGAGTGAGAAGATATTGTAATTACGACTATCCCGACGAATGTGAACGACTTGATTATGGTGTGAACAGCGTCAATCGCAACTATGCGACTACCTAACGACAAAGACACAAAAACACAACACACCTCATCCATACCCCTATCGAGTCGGTATATCTGGTAAACACAAGACAGTGATTGAAGGTCGCCATGGCACACCGCTATATGGATCGCCCGCCCGACGGACATCATGCGCCGCCAGGCTACCCGCCGCCTTTCAGTCAACCACCGACAGCACAACCACCAGTACAGATGCCCTTCTCGGACCCCTTCCATACGAATCGAGACCCTTTCTTTCCACCCTCGCAAGGCAGAAGAGACAGTTTAGGGAGAGGCTGGCACCCAGTACATCAAGGTAAGTCGCAGTGTTGAGATTTTGCTATTGCAGGAATCTGGACGAGTCCGCCTGGACCACGCAGACAGTCTGGATGCCTTCAGTCATAGCTGACATACCGATTGGATGCCGTCTATCTGGACACGTGTATATCTGCTTACCGCGCAGCCTTTCCAAGAGCTTGCACGCGAGCTGTGGATGCGACGAGACGGTGTGCTGGAAGTCGGTGTTCTTGCGTATGACTCACACGATTGATATGGCCGACTCGCCTACGTGACACGACGCCAGCACCGCTATCTTGCGCCCATATTTGCGATCCCAACCATCCTTTCCCCGTCCTGAGACACGAGTCGGCAGCCGCCAGATCAGCAGTCGCACAGATTCCAGGGACCAGCCCACCGAACAGCGGGATTAGGTTGCGCCCCGCAGAAGATTAATTGGCGCTAGTAACCGTTTTGGGACAGCTCCATGCGCTCATCGTTTCTGGCGCTTCATCGGCTGACGCGACGGCGTGTTTTAGGAAATGGAAGTGGAAGTAGCATCCCACCACCACAGCAACAGCAACAGCAACAGCAACAGCAGCTCCATCACCATCCCTCGCATCATGTATCGCCCATCATCCACCCCCAAGCTCAACATCCCCCACCGAATGGCCTAGCGCATATGCATCCCTTCGATCCAACTCGACGACGGTCGCTCGGCGGCGCGGGGAGTCCCCCGCAGTATGGAGGTGAGCTTCAATCATTTATTATATTGGCCGCAAACAGAGATTGACAGATATTATAGGACCACTCGAACCTCCACCGCCACCACCACCTGCCTTCCTTGCGCGCAATATGCCACCGCCCTCACCTCCACAGATGCCACCGCCACCAGGCTCATCACACCTCTCCAACGCCCCTCGTGGCCCACCTACCTCATCGCCTTTCGCCGGCGTACGCGATCTACCAGGCTTTGCGCCGCACCGCCCTGGCGCAGGCATGACTATTTCGTCTATATTGGGTGGAGGTGAAGAGCGCAAGAGCATGGGATCGCCACACATGACGGCTTCGGGAGTACTTGGCACACCAAAGACGATGCCACCTCCGTCGCCAGGGAGAGTCAGAGCGTCTAGTATGCGCGAGAGCTTGCCGAGACGGGAGCCGAGTCCACCACGAAGCAGCATCTTTGGTGAGCCCCGAGCACAATCAGCTTTTCACGAGCGCGGAGAACTCGAGCCACGCCGGGACGTCTTCCCATCGCCGCGCTTCCAAGGCGAGTCACCACACAGCTTCCGCGCCTTCAGATTAGAGGACAATGGGCCACCACCAATGAACGGAGGTGGTAGTCTTGGGAGGCCTAGCAGTCAGCCGATCGAGCACGTAGCACCACGAAGCGTGGAGGAAATACTGGCACGCAGGGACGCACCAGCAGAAGGTCGATTCGGTGCTTTCAGACACTTTGCTGAGCCTCCACGAAGCGAGCGCATGCCACGGCACGATGCACCTCCCTTCCAGAATGGCATCACGTCCCAACCGCGAGAACATCACGATGTCTTTGGCAGCCCACGAATGGATCGCGATACTCGACAGATCCCAGGCCAGTTCCCGCCGCCTATGTTCGGTACACCGATGCGAGAAGATCAAGCTGGTCTATTCCGACCAGTCTTTCAGCAGGCACCAGATGCAGCACGTGAGTCGATTGAGTCACGGCCACTGCACGACATGCGCCGTGATGATCCTCACTACTCGCCAAACATGGCAGATGTTCCTATCTACCTACGTGGCCGGAACGGATTCATTGATCGACCAATGACCTTCGAAGAACACCAGCGCATGGAAGCGATGCAGCGTGACGACTCTCGCAAAGGTAGTGACAGCTCGGGCCCTCGATCACTGCTGAGTGGTATCAGCCCCGAGCTCAATCGCAAAGGACGAAACTCGCCTCTACCTCAAGCTGTACAAGGGGCTCAGCCTCGCTTCGTTGGCCCTGGAGGCGACAACCCTGGCATCAAGATGGAGTTCGGGCGTATGTTCTCTGGCCTAGGGAGCGGCGTAGGCAGTGCGACTCCAGTTGCTGGACAGTCGGCTAACGGACACATGACACCTTCTGGCATGAGCCCATCCAGACGTTTTGAGGATGGGAATATTCCGCGATCCGTCTCCAATCTGGACGATTCAAAGTCGGGCACAAAGGCAAAAGGCAGCCGAAAGAATGGTCGGCGCGCAAGAGAAGAGGAGAGATTTGACGGAGACGGCAGGATGACACCGGATACACAACGAAGCAACAAGCGCAGCAAAACGAACGCTTCCGCACATCATCACCATCATCATCTACACGGACACCACCACCATCATCATCACCATGAGCCAGAACCGCAAGCTGGTTCTTTCAATATGCTACGCTTTCCACCCAACTCTATGCCAAACGCTGCGGCTGCGACTACGACTGTGACGAACGGCTCAGCGAATCATCATCACCATCATCACGCCACTCATCACCACCATCACCACGCACCAAAGCCCGCCGCGCCACCTCGCAAGCCTACGACCAGCGTCCAAAGCAAAGCAGTTCTCGACGAAATCGCCGGCAAGCCTCGGAAGCATCTCGGATCACAACTCTACACCACGGAACTCACACAATCTACTAACGCGGACATTGCTCTGGATTCCAAACTGAAGTTCAGCAGTAAGATGAAACCGATACCCCATTACGAAGACAAGGAGAACTGCACGTTCACCGTCCGTGTACCACGTTTCTACTTTGCTCGATCAAAACAGACAGGTCAGGGTGAGGAGCCTAGTCCGCTAGAGGAGATCTGCAAGCATCGACAGCTCTGGGGTACGGACATATATACCGATGACTCGGACGTTGTAGCCGCTGCCGCGCACTCTGGCTGGATCGCGGGAGACTTCGGGGATGCGAATGGTGACCTGCACGATCTTTTCGATGAGCCGGAGCCCACGGCACTCGACAACTCACAGCCCTCGTCGCTTTCCCTTGATGTCAAACCAGCCCGGCCGGTCAAGGCACCGAGTACGCACGATATGCACATCACCGTCCTCATCCTCCCGCCTCTGACCGCATATGCAAGTACGATGCAACATCATGTCCGCTCTCGCGCGTGGGACAAAAGTCACGATGGGATGTCATATATGATCCACCGGATTGATTTTGTCGACGAAGCTCCGGCTACGAGGTTCGCGGAGCGAGGTATCACGGCCAGAAAGCAGCGGATTACGATGGATGAGACGAGAAGAAGGGAGGCGGCGGCTGGACTGCTGATGTTTGCTACGGGTGCAGGCGGCGCGGCTGCTGTGAGCGTGGGCGCATAGGAAAGGTCTGCTATTTTGCTGAGGCCATGGAGTGTGATGTCAAAGTTGAAGTGGAAGTGAAAGAGGAGATTATTGATTAGCACAAGCATTCCCTATACAGAGCTTGAGATACCATGAATACATACGTAACCCCTCCACTGGACTTGCTTCCACAGATAACAAAACTGAAAGACTCTTCAAACACTCATCATGTAAATTGGTACATACTAAGCACTACCAAGTCCCATCATCTCTCCCCCCGCAGCTTATCATACCTCACCACAGCCCCCAACAACACATTCGCCCCATCAGCACAAGCCTCCGGACTCGAATACTCAGCCGGGTTATGACTAACGCCATCCCGACACGGCACGAAAATCATACTCGTCGGACAGCGTTTATTGGCATATACACTATCATGACCAGCGCCTGAGGTCATGAATTTACCCCAGGCTCCTATATCTTTATCTTTCACTCCACCTTCTTCGCCGCAGAGGTCGGCGCCGGCTTGCTGCACGCAGGTGATGCAGTCGTTGTGGAAGTGGGTTGCTGGGCTGACGAAATCGGTGCGCCAGTCTACGCTGCAGTGGCGGGAACTGGGCGTGCAGCCGGTCATGATATCGAGAATGTTGTCACCGGATGCGAGGGCGGAGAAGGCGGCTTTGCATTCTTCTTCTACTTTGTTCACCGTTTCGTCGACTGGGGAGCGAATGTCGAGGGAGAATTGTACCCAGCCTGGTACTGTATTCGTCGATCCAGGTCTCAGATTCAAGATCCCGGTGCTGGCTAGAGCGCCGTGTTTACTCGCTATCTTGTGGCTGGCGAGGATCATTTGAGAGGCGGTGAGTAGAGCATCGGCTCGGTGCTGGAAGGAGGTGGCGCCTGTGTGGCTGTCGCGGCCTTTGACAGTCACGGTGAACCATTTATAGCTTTGCACGCCCTCCACCACGCCTATCCGTCTCTGTTCGGCTTCAAGGATAGGGCCTTGCTCGATATGGAGTTCGAAGTGCGCGGCCATGGGTGTGGATTCCCAGCTACAGGGCGTGGAGCCTAGATATCCTATTCTCTCTAGCTCGGACTTCATGGTCGCGGTGTCGTTGGCCGGAATGACAGACTTCAGGTTATGTGCTTTCTCGACCGGGATATCGCCGCTCCAGACTCCGGAGGAAACCATGGACATTGGGAAGCGAGCTCCTTCTTCATTCGTCCAATTCACTACACCGACGGGGTATGCCGTCTCTACCCAATTATCGTTCAGTACTTTCAGCATTTCTACTGCGGCTGTCACGCCGAGGATGCCATCGTAGCGGCCGCCTGTGGGCTGGGTATCGAGATGGCTTCCAGCGTATGTGGGTGGCTTGTCATTGTTCAGGCCTGGGCGCACAGCGAATTGGTTGCCCATGGCGTCGACGTGGACTTTGCAGCCCAAGGCGGTAGTGGTCTCGTGAAACCAGTCGCGGGCCTGCTTGTCGGTGTCGGAGAGGGAGAGGCGGGACATGCCTGTTTCGGTTTCGGCTCTGTGAAGCACAGGGAAAGTCAGCCATCTGATCCTGTGCAGACCGTGTATTGTGTTCAAGGGTATGATATGGATATCGTGTTTCAGTTGGCTGTTCTTAGAAAAAATGATTTTATACATGGAAGATTCATTTTTTGTGGTGTGGTTAAATATTGGTCATCATACGATGCTCGTGCTTGGGTTCGTGGTGAGAGTGTTGGGCAGGACTTACTCTCCGTATCGCTCTCCCTTGCCCCATTCGCAGGTATCATGGATACCCTTCATCAATCTGTCCTGATTCACTCGCAAGCTAGCCAGGTCCTTTGCTGTCATCTCTGCCACGGCTATGCCCACTCGCGGCGACGAGGTGAAGGTCCGCCATGCTGGTAGCTGGACGGGATGATGAAGGGTCTGTCGAGTGGTACGCAGGGCGGCGTGGGCACCGAATGCTCGTGTGACGGTGGAAGACATTCGAGCGAATTTCGTCGAGGAAGCAGGTTGCTTGCAAGTCCGAGCTCCAAGGTCAAAAGAGCCCCACTCGTCGATCGGCTATTGCGGCTCTGCTATACACATCGTCATGCCAGGGACTATGAGAGTTTTCATGCTAAGCTACGCATATGTTCGTAGAGATGACTTTGCGATGTTTGCCTGGGTGGACTAGTCCTGGATACTTGGAGGCTGGATGAGAAAAGCAATCGTTGAGGTTGACGACAACAGCGACGCCACCATGGACAACCCGGCCATGACAGTGCCGGCAAACCAGAAACTACCGCCACCACAACAAGAACAAGGATCTAATCTAGGGAGAACATGGACGACTGTAACAGATCCAAGTGGCAATCCTCTCCAAGTCACACCATCGCCGAAACAACAGGACACTAAGCTCCCAATCACAACTTCCAAACTCGATCATGGCTGGCGAAGGATAGTCCGCAACTTCTCCCCATCCTGGTTCTCCGTGACCATGGGCACAGGCATAGTTTCCACTATTCTGATCACCATCCCCTGGAAGCCTCTCTGGCTCTACTACCTCAGCATCATCTTCTTTGCCCTGAATGTATGCCTCTTCGCTCTCGCTTTCACAGCGAGTCTACTACGCTACCTTATCTGGCCCGAGATCTGGACGGTAATGATCAACGACGCCACCAACTCGTTATTCCTGGGCACGATACCCATGGGCTTCGCAACAATAGTCGAAATGTGGATCTTCGTGTGCGTGCCCGCCTGGGGAGAGTGGGCTGCATATGTTGCCTGGGGACTATGGATGCTGGACTCCGTCGTCGCTGTCTCCGTCACGGTAACCCTAGGTATCCTTCTCATGTCCGCCAGCCACCAACGCTCCCTAGACACCATTACAGCCGCTCAGCTCTTGCCCATCGCCGCCACGATAGTAGCAGCAGGTACCGGCTCCGAAGTCGCCGAAATCCTGCCAAATCCTCAACACGCTCTCGGAACGATAATAGCGAGTTATATCATGTGGGGTATGGCGACTCCCATGGCCATCAGCGTCCTAGTAATCTACTATCAACGCCTAGCCCTACACAAAATGCCTCCACGGGAGATCATCGTTTCCGCCTTCCTTCCTCTCGGACCGCTAGGTTTTGGCGGGTATACCATACTATACCTTGGCAAACAAGCCGCAGAAATCTTCCCTCGAACAGGCAGCCTCGATCCCATGGCAGGCAGTATAGCCTACGTCCTCGGTTTCTTCATCGCCCTCATAATGTGGGGCTGGGGCCTTCTCTGGTTCGCGCTCGCCCTCGCCGCGATCTACAAATCCCGGCCTTTCTCTTTCAACATGGGATTTTGGGGATTTACGTTCCCACTTGGTGTCTACTCCGTCAGCACGATCCAGATTGGCATCGAGCTCCCATCTCGATTCTTCCGGGTCTTGGGTACGATTTTCGGGACGGCGGTCGTGGTGTTGTGGTGTATTATCGCCGTGGGCACAGCGAGGGGTGCTTGGAAAGGCCATCTATTTCATGCGCCTTGTCTGGCTAATCTCAAGAGGCAAGAGGAGGTGACGGAGCGGGCGAGTAGCAAGGAGGAGAGGGAGCTCGGTGCGGCCACCACACCTGGATCGACGAGCACAGGGTCGAATCTCACAAAAGTGTCCTCGATTCAGGGGCGCACGGCTCCTGATATTGAGGGCTCCTGATATGGTTGTTAGATGATAGTATCTGCAGTGCGCACCTTGCTATGTATTATCCACACTTTTCTTCGATATCACTGCTCGACCTGCCATAGCAACCCCCTTCCATCCCAGAACTCCGTCACTCAACATGACTAGTCACACTCCCCTTCCTCTCAACTTCCTGGACCCTATTCTCGAGATCATGCAGATCAAACTCCTTCATATTCATGGTCGGCACGAAGAGTGGCGCATTGGTAAACAGGTAGTTCATCTCTTCTAGCGGACGTTTGGCCGTTTCCGGCTGGATGGCCCAGAAGAAGATGGCGTTGGTGAAGTTACAGACGACCTTTGCAAGAAGTTAGTGGCTTGTGGTGTACAATCGAAGCGGGGGAAGGAGGTGTAATCTTACAAAAAGGATATAGAACTTCCACCCAATATTTTTCATCGCTATTGGCGTGACTTGTCCGATCATGGTGTTGAAGGCGAAGGACATCATAGTCGCTATACTGACACCCTTTGATCGGGTTCTGGTATCGAAGATCTCGGCCGGCACAATCCAGGATAGAGGGCCGTTGGTGCAGGAGAAGCTGAAGTTGTAGATCCATGTTATGACGATGAAACCCCACTCAGCTCCTAGATTCTTGCTGGCTCCTGGTGGGAATTCTGCTAGCAACGCAGTGGCGATTATGAAGGTGACGCAGTTCATTAGGTTGCCTGGGAGTATGTCAGCTCAGGTACCGCGGGTAAGCAAGGGCGTATCATGCGTACCGCCAATATTAGCCCATCTGCGGCCTGTGTAATCGATCAACATGATGCAGGAGAACTGAGCGATCAAGGCGATGATGGAATTAATGCCTTGGTACTTCAGCGTATCGGCAGTGGGGATGCCGATCTGGGCGAAGATGACGGGCGAGTAGTATTGGATGGCTGAGACGCCCTGCGCACTGTAAGCTCCTTTTCGCCTGCAAGGCCCGAACTGAATGTGCAGGACCACGTACAGTCATTTGGACACTCGCTTGCATGGCAACGGCGAGGAAGAGGCGTCGGAAAGAGCTTCGGTTGGTGAAGAGCTCGGCGTAGGATTTCGCTTCGTTTTCGTGCTCGAAGGTGATCATGTCTTGAATCGCACCGAATTCTGCTTGGACGAAGGTGTCGTTGATGTCACCGTGGGCGTGTAGCTTGGCAAGCGTCTGGAGGCCTTCCTCTGTACGGCCGTTGTCTGGAGTACATTAGTTGCGATTCTGATGGCTGAAGGACGGGTATGCTTGCCGATGAGCCATCTAGACGCAAGAGTCAGTATATCCCGATAGCTAAGATATCGCGCACAACTTACCTTGGAGATTCCGGGAACAAGATGATGAGGGCCGCTAAGAAGCCCGCCTGTTGTTGTTGTTGTCAGATTGATCGTGGTGGTGAAAGGGGAGGTTTCGTACCGGGATGATCTGGATGCCTAGCGGTACGCGCCATTGCTTGCTATCTGTGGCTGCGAAGCCGCTGCATAGATGCCGTCAGATCGCTCCAGTAGTGTACAGGAATTTAAGTTTGCACATACGTATATGTCCCATAAGCAGCCCACGATGCGACAAGTGCACCAATGCCCAACATAAACTGCTGCAAAGCAGTGACTCGACCACGGATACTGGGGTGTGCCAATTCTGCCTGATACAGCGGAATGATCATGACCAGGAATCCAACACCTAGACCAGCAATCGCTCTGCCAGCATATAGATACGACAAGGTCTGAGCACCAGTTTGGAGGCCACCACCAAGGATGAATATTAGAGCGCCAAGCATGATAGTGTACTTTCGTCCTAGCCAGTCGCCTACAGGTCCGGCGAATCCTGCTCCAAAGAAGGCGCCTCCAGTGAAGACGGAGACTACGGCACCTGTCTCGCTTGTTGTTGGGTTGAAGGTGGCGATGAAGTTGTCCGAGGCCACAGCCTCAGCGATTACACCGAGATCATAGCCGTAGAGGACTGATCCCAAGGAGGCGAAGAGGGAGACCAGGAACTCTGCGTTGGATCGTCAGTCGGGATAACCACGAACATTCTAAGAGCTTATACATACGATACCACTTTGGAGAGAGAGCCATGACGGTAGATAGGAGAAGTGCAGGAAACGCCTTACCTTGCGGCGGTGCTATAGCATCTTATAAGCCTGACTCGAAGCAAGACGGAGTATCTACCGCCATTGCTGCCGCAGTGCTGGGCATCGCAAACCTTGTATGCTGACCTGAGGTCTTGTGGCGCGCACGCGGGCATTGAGAATGCATGTTACATGTGGAGGCTAGGTGGGGAAGTGGACGCTCCCCGGTTGGAGAGCTTGTTGTTTTGGAGATATTGGAAGTGGTATCATCGTCCGTAAGATTTATAACCAACGATGCCTGGTCAAGTTTCGAGGCCATGATCGTTCGTGGCCATGGCTGTTGCTGCAAACTTACTGCCACTTTCATCGTGCGCAAAGGTATACAAGAGTCATCGAAGGCGATATGTATGCATGTCTCGAGCGCTGCAGTTGTGGCATTTTGAGCACCGGCCCAGCAGATCTGATGCCTCGGTGGAAAGCAAGTGGCAAAGAGAGATGCTGGTTCTATTCTTCCACCAATGAAGATCCGGTCTGATCTTCTACCAGAAGCTCCGAAGAGTATCAACCGTCCTGCAACTTCTTGCGGACTGTGGATGCTGTCCAGGACAAGATACACCGGAATAGTAGGGGCATGTGGTCCATGCTACCAGCTCCGTTTAAAGCTTTAGCAGTAGGTGTTATGCAGAGTCTGGAAGTGGAAGGCGGTAACGAACCTGCCGATGACTTTGAAGCGAATATGGTCTGCAGGCTAATCTCCACTGTTATGGACCCAATGCGTTGAACTATTGCACTACTGCTAGGCGACCTGGAACTCATTCTGCGTATCTGCGATACAGACAAGCAGCGCCTACTGTAAGCAAGCTGTATACTTATCTTCCATCCTATCGAGCGAGCTCAAAGGCACAGTCTACTACTAGACGAAGATAGCCACTCGATCAGACCGACTGCTTGCGCCAGGCCGGTTGACCATGACCACTTTCACCAAGCTGAAAGAGGGCGAGAGGCCATTGCTTTCCGTATATTCAGACCGTAGGCTGAGCAAGATCAACGACAACTACCTCGGCGGGTTTACCGAGCATGTATGCCTACAGCCCTTACTTCCATCGTCCATGAACTGTCTGACATAGAGCTCTCAGATGGGTCGCTGCATATATGGTACGAGAACACCTCTAGCGCTGGACCGGCCGACAATGTCCGTACTGATCCAAAGTTAGGCGGCCTATACGATCCTGAGAACCCCAATAAGGACCTTCTCGACGAGCACGGCTTTCGTAAGGATGTCATTGAGGCCATGAAAGAGCTCAAGGTACCTGTCGTTCGCTATCCTGGTGGCAACTTTGTTGCCACATACCACTGGCTCGACGGCGTTGGGCCTCGCCAGCAACGACCAAAACGGCCCGAATTGGCGTGGCTAGGCGTTGAAAGCAACGCCATTGGCACCGATGAGTTCATGCAGTGGTATGCCGCAGCATGGTGACGATTGACAAACGTTGTCGTTGGCTGACATGTTTTCATGGGATTACAGGTGTGAAATCGTTGGAACTGAGCCATATCTTGCGCTCAACTTTGGTACTGGTATGTGACATCGACAGGCCGAGATGCTTCATTTGAGCTAACGCTATCTAGGCACGCTTGACGAAGGTATGCATGCATGATATGCTGTATCAATCATCAGCGCTAATCGCTGGTGGTAGCTCTTGGATGGCTCGAGTACTGTAATGGCGCTCAAGACACCCACTATGCCAATCTGAGACGCAAGAACGGTCGAGACAAGCCATACAATGTCAAGTACTGGGCACTCGGCAATGAGTGCTGGGGTGCATGGCAAGTCGAGCAGGTAAGCGTTAGCAGATCTGCATCGATGTGAACCCACTGACTGAATTGCAGATGACCAAAGAGGACTACGCCAAGAAGGCATATCAATGGGCGAAAGCTCTGAAGCTCCTAGATCCGACAATTCAACTGATCTTGTGCGGCGAGAATGGTGTGGCCGACTGGGACCAGTATGTGCTCAAGCATTGCCTGAAGTTCGATCAACATGCACTGGGTGGCAGCACGACAGCAAGTCTTATTGACATGCACTCGATCCATATCTACACCGCCGATAACGAGCCACTGAAAAATGCTATCGCCCCTCGATCTGCCGAGAGAGCCATCGAAGTATGTGCGAGTTTGATTGATCTTGCACGAATACAGAACAATGTGCCGGCCAGTGTGCCTCGGACCACTATCTGCTTCGACGAATGGAATGTCTGGGATCCGATGCGCGCACCTGGCGAGCAGGGCGCGGAGGAGCGATACACGCTTTCCGACGCCCTCGCTGTGGCAATTTGGCTGAACGTCTTCATTCGACAATCGAAGTACATCGGCATGGCCAATATTGCACAAAGCGTTAATGTAATCTCACCATTGATGACAACAGAAAAGGGACTCATGAAGCAGACGACCTGGTGGCCACTTCTACTCTTCTCGAAGTACATGCGAGGCTGGACAATCGCCACTCACGTCAGTTCCGGAGCATATGAAGGCGTCACGGCACCGAGCTGGGCACAAGCTGCAGTCGATGCTCCTTGGCTAGATGTATCTGCTGTGGTCAGCGATGATGGCTGGGTTAGCATGGTGGTCGTGAACGTCAACCAGACAGAAAGCTTCGAGATCGATGTCGATGGTGCACGGCCAGGGAATGATGGCGGCAAGAAGTATGTGATCACGGGAAGTAAGTGGGATGTTGTGAATACGGAGCAGAATCAGGAGGTCAGCATAGACGAGAGCGACTGGGATGGCAGAGGCCAGGTGAAGTTCCTGCCTTTCAGCATGACAATGCTTCGGTGGAAACTCTGAGCAAGAAGCGCGCAAGCTTGCGAAGGCATCGGTTGCAGGGTCTGCACACTTATCATGGCCGCTCCCAGCACGTAGGACAAAGCCTTCGATAAGTCAGTGTTCGACCGACTACGTACTGCATGGCGTATTCGCCAGCTCTTGCGCTACATAGTCTGATTTCGCTGTGTACAGAAGCTTCGGCCAAAGTCTGTGATTGACTAGCGAACAGCCGGTGTCAAAGTGCAAAACATTGGTGGTTTCTCCCAAAGCAGAAAATGTCTCATATTGATCCATGTTGCGCTCTCTTCGCACAGGTGCAGGTCGAAATTCCAGAAGACCTTGGTGAGGATGATCCGCATCTCATGGTATGCCAAGCTAGTCATGGCGTCAGTAACAGACATCTTGTCAAATTCGAGAGAAGACCAACTTCCTGCCTAAGCACACTCTCGGCCCAATCGAGAATGGTTGCAGAGCATGCTTCTTATCACTTGCAAACTCTTTATATTCGGGTAGCCATCGTTCTGGGATGAACGAGAATGCATCGCGGAAGTTATTTGGATTGCGATACGTTGCAAGATTGGTCACGTAACATGTAATACCTTCTGGAACCTCATGGCCGTCCACAGTAGCGCCACCAGGCGGAACTACCCTTGGTAAGCCATTCGGTACAGGTGGAAACATTCGCAAGCCTTCTTCGAGGCAGGCGGATAAGTACTTCAGGCTCTGCAATTTCTCGATCGTGATCTCATCTTCGCTTGCAAAGGTCGAGCGGATTTCGTGAGTCAGCTTGACCATCTTGTCGGGGTTTGTGAGGAGGTAATAGGTCAAACCACTAACTAGCGTTGCTGTCGTTTCTGTTCCGGCGATCATGAAGATGTTGGAGTTAGCATACATCTCCTTGCGGCTCATACCACCATGCTCGCCCTGCTTCTCGAGTACCAGGCCCCAGATATCTGGTCGTGCATCTTGCTTCTCTAGCCGTCGGTCGACACGGGCATGGGAGAACTCGGAGTGCAATTTCTGCTTGTCTCGCAGGCTCTGGGGGACGAGTTTGAGAAGCAGTGTTTCCAGCGCAGGATAGCAGCATATAGCATGAAGATATGTGCCAAAGCGTACTCCGGCGAACATCGCGGACACCTAATTTACAGGACAAGTCAGTCGTCCAAGGCTATAGTTGCGTTTCGATAAATGAGCCTACCCATGGATGGTACGAGCTGTCCTGCAGAAGTCCAAGAGGTTCGCCGAAGGTCAAGTCGCCCATCACATCGAAGGTAGTGAAGTTGTACATATTGACCTACCAGGACATTAGTCTGAAACCCATGAATACTTCACAATGGGCTCACACTATCGTTACCTACCATGTTGATCTTCTCCTTTGGATGCTGAGAGAACTTCTCGTGTAATTTCGCCACTAGCTGGTTTACATATGTCAAAAACAACGGCTCCTGCATCTTCAAGGCCCGATCGGAGAAGGCATTAGCGAAGATACGGCGCTGTCGAGCATGCGAATCGTCATCTGCATTAATGATGTCGCCAACAGCGTCGCCGAACTTATAGAAAGCCGGATCTTTCACGAAGTACTGCTGACCGGATCGTTTGTGGCCATAGACGTCCTTCCATGCATCCGCACTGGCGAACGAGAGCTCATTTGGAGAGACACGTACTACATCGCCATATTTCAGATGCAGGTCTGTGATCCAGTAGTACACTCGGCCAGGAAGAGCTTTGGAGATGCGTGGCAGACAGCTGATGGCAGCGAGCTTTGGTCCTGGGAAGTGGCGTAACGGATGGAAGAAGTAGTTGTAGGCGTATATTGACGATTGGTAGAGGACTGCTATGCTCACTGCGAGAAGCAGGACGCCAGAAATGCTGTGAGGCAGAATGGTGGAGAACAAACCAACCGCCATTGTCGAGTATGCACCATACAAAGCTCACAATGTCAGTGTGGACAGTAAGGAGGAACCACGGTGCAGGTGCAGTGTTGTTGATACGAATCATGACCTCCGGATAGCTCGAGGCCGTAATCAACTTATACTTTGGTCTTATGCAAGACCCTTGCGGCAGTACGTTGCACAAAACCGACAGCATTGTCTGGCTCTTGATGAGCGTTCGACGAAGAGCACAACATCGTGTAGGGCTGCTTAAAATGTCATGCGTGTGTTCTTTAGTTGGAGGTTGCTCTGCTGACGTCGAGAGAAGTGAGTGGAGGAAAAGCGGACGAGATCAACTCTCATTGCTTGCCTGGAATAAGTCGGTTTCGTTCCCCCGTAATATTCGAAGATCGGGAGCTGACACGTGACTGCACTATCGATCCTCGAAACCGTTGGCCGCTATGTCACTTGCGCCTGCAATTGTTCATCAGCCTTTGTCTATCCATCATGCACTTTGCCGATCTTTGACGGCACCTTCCATGCGTAGGACACTCCTTCTCCGGGTAGTGGCACAGCATGGTGAGGTGCCACTGGCTGCAAACGTTCTCAACTGGTCTTTAGTCAGTGGAGTTCATTGGACCGTTGGCTGTACTTCATGGTGGGTATCGTGATTTAGTGTCTTGCTTCGCGAACCTCATGTCTAGGATTCATCCTCCCGGCGACCAATTCATGTTGCCACTGCTCCCTCTTATTCTAGATCGTCAGACCATCTTCCCACTGTTGTACATCATCTACAGGGCTAGAGAGATGGCGAGCACACAAAATCTCCGCCTCGCTGCCTGCACGCTTGCCTTCGCCACAGAAATTGCTGCACAATCCATCAACGGCCTGGGCGTCTCTGGAGGCGATGGACCACGAGGAGGCATTGGCGATGGTGCTCACCCCGTCCAAACAGCACAGTCTTTCATCACGGACGCCCTGATCCCAGTACCCAACTCCAACACGACTAGGCAGCTCGCACAAGGTCCAGCCCCAGTCCTGTCGACAAGTAATGCTACAGCAAACTGCAGCGAGCAGCGAATAGTCGTTGTCGATTCTTGTTCGGGTGCTCGACAGCAGATGCTTGGCTTCGGCCACTCATGGACTGACTCGACTGTTTCGACCTTCAACAGTCTCGAACCTGATATCCTGGACCAGCTAATGCAGGAGCTTTTCGGCCAGGGCGGTAACAACATGGGTTTTATGCGCCATACCATGGGCTCAAGCGATCTCAGTGGAGCACAACAGTACTCATTCGATGACAACGGACCGGCTTACAACGACGGAGAGCCTGATCTCGATCTCTCGCATTTCACTCTTGGTCCAGACGGAACGGCGATGGCTCAGATGCTTGCCCGCATGGGTCAGTACAAAGGCGATGTCTTCCTATACGGCGCTCCGTGGTCACTCCCTGGCTGGATGAAGAATAACGATCTATTCATTGCTGGCATTGAGAACAATTACGGCCAACAGTATCCACTCCTGAATAATTCTTTCAACATCAACCTGATTCCACAGGCTATCGACTATTACCTCAAGTACATCGACACCTATTTGTCAGAATTTGGCGTAAGCATCAATGGCCTGAGCATGCAGAATGAGCCGTTGAACTATCAAGGTATGTGCTCCTTCTGGAAGAGGATCAAGAATAGTGCAGCTGACCGTTACTAGGCGGCTATCCTACTATGTACCTAGAAGGTGCAGATGAGGCTGCCTTGCTCAATCAAGGCCTTGGCCAAGCTCTTCTGGATCGCGGTGTTCTTGCTATGGCGTATGACCACAATACCGATCAACCAGTGTATCCCTACCGAGTACTCCAAGGAGCACCAGACCTCATTCGCTCTGTTGCATGGTAAGCACATCGATGAATTGTTAGATCATCGACGTATATTGACTGTTGTGGCTAGGCACTGCTACCAAGGTCCGGCACCGAACTACACGGTCATTGAAGACATATATCGCGCCTTCCCGAACGCTATACAATTCATGACAGAGTGTACCAGCTACCTGCCAACTGTGAACACGGACAGCTTCCAGGTCGCACAGAGCTTCATGTTACCTGTCCAGCATGGTGCGTCTGGCGCCAGCATGTGGGTCTTGGCCACAGATCCGGATTTTGGCCCACACTCCCCGTACGGTGGCTGCAATGGCTGTCAAGGAAGCATCATCGTCAACTCCAGCAGCACATACACGAAAATGCACGACTACTATATGGTTGGACAATTCTCTCGTTTCGTGAGACGTGGCTCGGTCAATTACCGTGTTCTGCAAGGCATCGAGGGAAATGGGTTTACAAGCGACCAATTTTACATCCTCGCGATTCAGAACCCAGACAAGTCGTGGGCTGTGATCTTCATGAATAATGTTGGCTCAGATCAGGAGGTTGCGTTGTCGTTCACAGGGCAAAGTGGGCAGGTGTGGCATGGTACCATTCCGTCGGCAAGTGTCGTTACATGGCTCCTGCCATCTCAACAGATTCTTGGTCAGACGAACGGCACACACCCGAAGAGCAGCTTGCCACCATATCCTTATGGCAACACCACAGTGCCCGCCCTGACTGGTACATTCGGCACCGGTAACATGACCGCGACCCCACTGGGTGTGTGCAACATCACAGTACCAACAACGACCAGTTCGTCGAGCAGCACTTCGGTGACTGCGCTGCCTGTGCCCGATACAACGCACTCCTTCCCGTCTATATCGGTGACCGAGACTGCCTCGACAGCTTGATGGCATGATTTGTGAATTCGTTTGCTGCTGGCGTTCAGAGGTCTTATTGATGGTGCGGAAGCATTTCTTGGCTGGCCACGAAACCTAGTGAATGCATTTGAGACGCCAAGAGAATTTGTGTTCTCTTGATAGAGGATAAACCGAAGACGAATCGATCGAACACATTTCAGTACACTCCCGTGCTTGCCAAGTTGTTCCAGAGCTACAGCTACATGGTCCAGACACCCTAAGCTCAGCGCTTGACTGCGACATGGCGTCTCAAGCGCAGAATAATGCTAAGCTTGCCAGAGCCTCATGTGATGAGCTTCTTTGCTGGGTCTTGGCAGCGTCGTCTTCGCATGCGTGTATGGACTCGTGTGTTTGTAAAAGGGTACTTCAAAAGGGTGACGAGCCCCAGCCAAACAGAAACGAGCAACCGGTTCAGCCGGCTCCGCGAGAGTTTCGAGGCTCAACTTTCAGTTCACGCTTCAGGGTCTCCATTGCGTACACTTGCCAAAATCATCGTACTCACTTCAAGGCTTGCCACTTGCGTTGACCGTGGTGTGAATACTCTGTTGAACCGTGATTGGAGAGCAAGATGTGCTCGCCTTGCTTGTCCAGATGACAGGCTGTCTAAGCCACCACCTCCAACACAAGCATTGCAAAGCTACTGAAGATTTCGTCTGAATGACCACGTCGTGAACGCGTAGGCGGAGGCAAGACAGCTCAACTTCATGATGAAGATGGACGATATAAGTATTGGTCGTTGTTCGTAAGGAGTTGTTCTCATATCATAAGACAGCATCACAAATCTTATACACCAACCATCACCAGTTCACAATCGCTCCAGCACTGTCGCTTGCACAACACAATATCATCAACATGCACTCCATTTCATACATCTTCTTCGCCTCAGCACTCGCTGCGCCCGTCGTGAAGGCCCAACTTAGTGGCCTGCCATCATGTGCTTCAAGCGCCCTTAGCCCAGCCGAGTCTGCCTTGAGCTCGACCGGCTGCTCCACGACGGACATCAGCTGCCTGTGCCAGCACAGCAGTCAGATCCTTTCTGCTGTTGCTCCAACACTTGAGAAGGCTTGCTCCTCCTCCGACCTCGCCAGTATGTGATATTCCGTTCATCCTGTCACGACGACTACTGATCACTTGTAGGCATCTTGAGCCTTGCTGAGAAGGAGTGCTCCTCTGCTGGCGTCTCTATCAGCATCCCGGCATCATACACTTCCGGCATGAGTGCCACTGCTTCCGCCACTGGTGGTAGCATGAAGACTGCCTCCGCTGTCTCCGCTGCTGCGACTGGCAGCATGGCCCCTGCTATGCCAAGCGGTTCCATGACAGGCCTGTCGGGCAGTGGGGCCAAGCCAGCGCCACCCATGATGTCTGGCGGCCCCCACAACGGGACGATGGCTGGTCCGGCCGGTGCTTCAGGTTCAGGTTCGTCAGACCCACCACTTCCGCCATGCGGCCCAGTTCACGGCCATGAGCATGGCCATGCCAACGACACAGCTCCTGCAAACGGCTCTGCTAAGCCATCGCCGCCAGTAGCACCCAAGCATGGCAGCAATGGAACAGCGCCTGCGCCGCCAGCTCATCCCAGTGCATGCGCTAACAATGGCACAGTCTCAGGTGGACCTGGTGCTAAGCATTCTGGTATGGCTACTGCTACGCAATCTGGCAGCGCTGGCAGCCTTGCTTCCGGTTCAGGCACTGCATCCGCCGCAACATATACTGGTGCCGCCATGCCAGTTGCGGCAGCTAACGCTATGGGTGCCCTCGCAGCAGGCATGGGCCTTGCAGTCATGATCTTGTAGGGAGAGGGGACGTGTCGGTGGATGGATGATCATAACACGATTTTACGATTACGGGAGGAGGAGCTTGGTGGAAATCTGTTCGTCAGAAATGCCACAGAACTTGCAATGTATATAGAATGATGGAGTACTGTTCGTTCCACTTACGCTGAAGCTTCGCTGTGACCACCCTGCAAGTAGTGGATTCATTCACTCTCATCGCCATAATCACAGGGCGTCTTGAAGTATTCCCTGCCGTCTAGTTCTATCGACGATCACTTGTTTCTATCTTCGCGCCTGCGTCCGTTGCCTTGCCAGATCACACAATTTCAGTGCCATGACTATACTATCCCTTGGCGTCGCTCTGTCTTCATATCTAGGCGGTGATAGCACGCCCGTTCAAGCTCACAGTCGCCTGGAACATCGCACGACCTGAAGGAGCGTTGGCATGGAAGACCAGATGTGTGCCGTCCGGCTGAATGTCGCCACCTCCTGGATTGGTCAGACCGTCGACACCGTTGTAGAACAGAGGCTTAGTAGCCCGTGTATACGGGCCCATGATCGATGAAGCTGTCGCGTATGTCTGGTTATAGGTCGAAACGAAGCATCCGGAAGAGAAGAACAGAACCCATGTGCTTCCAATTTTGACCAGAGAAGGTGCCTCGACCACGCCCTGATCGTCGACCCCGTCGTTATCCATGATTTTTTTTGCGGCACCTATGAAGGACACGCCGTCGTTTCCAACTTGCTGGACCATTATCGGAGTGGTGACAATTGGAGCCACCATGTTGCTGCATGCTCCACCATGGCCCAGAGAATTTCCATCGATCTTCCAGGTGACATATCTTTTGCCACCCACATAGTAGCCGGAAGCGTCAATTGCACCTCCTTGTGATAGTGGACAGATGAATGCCGCTGACCCGATGGGCGTGTATGGTCCCGTAACAGTGCTCGACTTGGCTGCGCCGACACAGTGCTTCGAAGGATCAGCTTTGGCAGTGGCCGAGTAGTACATGACGAAGGTGCCATCCAGCATCTGGTTGACATCGGGAGCCCAAGTGGCCGGATTCGAGGCGTCTACCCATGCCGGCAGATTGGGCAGAGCATCGAATTGTGTACCATCGGACTTGTTTATGATATTCCAAGTAGTAAAGTCTGGCGAGCTCGCTACTTGGATGTGGATGCTGTAGTAACACGTCAGCCACTGAGAAGGACACGCGACTGTGAGTGCTTGTACCTGCTGCCGATCGTTCTGGTGGCAAACGCATACCAGGTAGAGCCCACCTTGATAATTGCGGGATCTGGGAAATTCGCACCAGATATCTCAGGGCCGGCCTCAGATCGCTTGATGGATTGTATAGATATCTCAGGCAGAGGCAAAGGATTGGTGAACGCAACGCTCGCAAATGCGCTCAACGCAAATAGAAAAGAAAGAAGCATTCTGTAACGACTGACTGGAAGACCGGACGCTGGAACTGACCTCTAGCGAACATACATTGGCAGACCGTGTCGTCGACCTTATAGCAGCCACCAACATAGGCAGTCTTGGGCCACATATCGATGTCTATCAAGTGGTATGTATGGCATATAGTGCCTATTTTGAGACCACCAGCCTGCACCGCGGCCCTAATGTCCGCAAGCAGCGTTCTCGCATCTGCTATCCAGAGGTGCCTCCCAGACGACGAGGACGGCGTCACGGTAGGCCGTCAGTACACCGTTGCGACAAATCTAGAGACTCGAAGAAGGTCGAAATGATGTAGGTAGCCATATGTACAGAGGATTGTGTGTGCTGGTCCCGAAGGCGTGATTCTGCACAATTCCCCCATGACTCAGACGTCCGCCTAAGAGTGTCCAGTCTATGCAGCACACTAGTCCTTGGATATAGTAATTCGTAGTGGGTCGTAATTGCGAAAGGGTTCGCAGATCTGGAGTCGGCAATCTGAAGGATAAGTGAGGTGGCGTCGAGTTCTGCCGGTCTTGGCTTGTCTCACGTTGCCCATCACCTGTCTCGAGTGGTTCGAAACGACCACAAATTCACTATCCGTTATTTCTGCACATCCTGCCTGCGGTCACCTTTCGTCGTACTTCTAACGCCCACAGTCACATCAACCAGACCATCTGTGAACATTGCTTGTAGACATGTCAGGCAATGGAATTTGGCGAGGGTCGCGTTATGCGCTACTCGAGCCTACGCATGGATTGTTCACGCAGCAGTCGATACTCAAGCGCAAACGACCGCTTCCAAACTCCAGAAACAGGCAGCCAAGCATGCGCGAAGCTAACGAAGTCTTCCAGTGTGCCCGAGCGCTGATATGGCGGATCTCATGCAATGTTCGCTGTAGGTGCTATGTGTCGTGCTCCCAGCTTTATATTATGGCCATCTTGCGGGCGTATATCACGGCGTTGTCCTTCCATGGCGCTGTCAGTGGCGTTGTGAGCCTACTGCATCAATTTGAAAGGCCAAAAAGGATGTCAGCTTCCAGACGCAGCGTGTGTATACGTGCCTGCCACAACAGTACGCATGCTTCATAGTCCAGGACGTCTCGGAACTCCTTGATACAAGATGACCAGTAATCTGTCCGTGAATCAATCTCTGTTCCGACGTTTTTTTCTGACCGTCATCGCGACTTGTGGCAGTCGCACCAGTAGCTCTTGCATACGTATCGAGAACACCTGCCAGCGCGTAGGCGCGCCAATTGAAGGCGCATCTAGCCGTGAAGACCAGATTGCAACGAGCTCGATTGCAGTCACTCATATAATCAGGATCGTCGGGCCTGCGCAACATAACGAACGCGTGTTTACCATTGTATTGTGAGAAGACGGAGCCAAAGTGCTTTACTATCTGTCCGGCTGATACTCCTCAAGTCTTCTCCTTACGAGCCAGAAGCTTGGAGTGCTTCGTCCAGGCGAGCACGAGAGCGATCCGGAAACCACTGGATCAGTCTGCCATCGCTTGGGCGCGCAAGTCAAGCTGCACATCGTGGTCGATTCCCTATGGATTTATTTTTCATCGTTATAAGTTCTGCTCGGCCTAAGTTTGTATGGTGCGGTCAAGCTGGGGTCGTCGCTCGACCAATATGGGCCGGCACGAAGACCACCAATGTTCCTAGTGCATGTTGCTTCAATGAACCAACAGAATCCCACCAGAACAATGATTCAGTGGACTGAGATTTTGTCAGCCAAAGGCCACCGACAGTGCCTTAGAGGTTGAGTCGCAAGGTCCTCGGTGCTCTTGCCCCTGATTTCTTCGTAGCTTTCTTAGCATTCCAATGAGGCCCCGTCGTTTGGTCGCGTCGTCCCTCGGCCATGTAAATGGAAAGAACCTCACAGGGAGAGCTTTGCAGGCGATTAAAGCGTCTGTGGAGACTGCGCTGTGTCGCACCCAGCCAAAGATAACCTCGTGCATCTGTGAGCTCTGAAGACGGTCCCTGAGATCAGCCGCTTCCGCATTCACGCTGCAGAGACGTCGAAACCTTTCTGTCGAGGTACATGGTACACAGAAGCAACTGTAAACCCATACTCCCAATCGTTATCAAGGAAAGTGTTATGCGACAGCACCAACGACCGATATGAAATGGGCGAATCTGCTCACAGACAGCATCTAGTCTAGTCCCGTCAGCATGTTAGTATGTTTTGAGAGCGAATGGCGCTGTGGCAACACCACGGATTATAACGACTTGCGCCTTCTGATGCCGAGCGGCTTGATATTGCAAGCGCGCTGTACACAGCCTAAGCCATAAATTTTGATCAGTCTCGGAAACTGTGGGATGGATTATTTGGTTCTCATCCCTGAGACATAAGGCGATTTGAGCTGTATCGTCTGGTATCCGCTTGCAAATTCGTGTGATATGCTGGAGGAAATGGAACATTGCAGCTCTTCTTGATGGACGGCACAGCCGCGATACGGCTCTTTTCTACTCTGAATGTGGAATATGAGAAGAAGAGCTGCAAGGTTGCAAGGCTTGAGACCTCACAGACATACGGCATCGACCCGAGCATAGAGCAATGAGAAAGCTACTTCAAAATCACCTGAACGAGCAGGATGGAATTATGAGCATGCGGAGTCAATAAAACTTATCACAGCTCATCATGAGATTCATCCCGAGGAGTATCTTCCCACTTCTCGTAGAACTTTCCTCCCGACATCTCAATGGCTCGACATCTTTCCTCCATTGTGAAAGCATTTCGGATTCGCGAAATACCTATCTCCCATCTCCCATCTGCCCGGACTTGCAACGCCCACACACCACCCTCGGGCACAACCCCAGGCCACGCATACCACCATCTCGCCGCTTCAAACCATGTATCAGAACTACGATCTAGATTTTCCAGCACCTGGTCAATATAAGCACGCTCACTGGCGAAAAATATTCCGCCCATCCATTCTAGGCGTTGGCAGAACTCGTCTTCCGTGACTGGATCCGAGACGCGCTCGGTAGCTGCTGGCTCAAATCGCGAGACGTTGAGAAAGTCCAGCTCGACGCCATAACAATCCTTGTGTAACCAGATCCCGCCCGTAGACGGCGAGCCGTGGACTAAGGTGCCAAGGGCACCGAATTGTGTGCGTACGGCGGGAGTAGGGAATAGAGGATGGATCTTGGATTCAAAATCGAGATTACAGCTGCTGTCGTCGTATGCGTCTCGGCGATACGCCATCTCGTCATGGCTTTGGTCCGGATATAGATGAGACCTGACCCAGGCTTTGGTTTTACCAAAAATACTGCCCTCTCGTGTGATCTCCAATATTAGGCACAGCCAGGCAATGTAATGTATAATGAGAACGAGTATGATGTTGCGGATGTAGTGTGTGGCCAGCTTCGTCGTCGCACTGTCTGTTAGCTCTGCCTGTCCAGCTTCTGGGTTCGTGGCGCTGAGGAGGTGGCGTGAAGAGGGAGTGATTGGGAGAAAGGATGAGGAGATAAGATGTTGGGCTACCTGCCCATGGCAGTATATACCATTCGTCATACATTAGGCTTCCGCATTGCCATAGTGCTCGAATGATGGCGCCTACCTCATCATAACCAAATCTGTTGTGGCATAGACGACTTTTAGAAGTGAGAGTATAGTGGAGCAGGCACGCGAAAGTACAGGCAACTAAAAATGCTGACATAATCAAGCGGGCTCGGAACATATATGTCGCCTGCCGCTTTAATGCTCTTACAATATGAGGGAGCATATTTTGCGCCACAACATTCCTACACGATAACCCCTGAGATCGATCATAGACATGGCGACTACAATCACCACCAGATCTGTGGAGCCATCCACGACCCCCGCGCCGTCGTCGGCCTCGTTGCCGTCGCCCACGATCAACATCCTTCTCACATCCTTCGCTGGCCTTGGTCTGCCTCGAACACTGTCCTTGCCTGTTAGCGGCAGCACACCTACTGGAGATATCGTCAAGACCATACTGGCCCGGTTACCGCGCATCGATCATCCGCTCATCATTACTACCACCGATAACAAGCAGCTTCTGAGTACCGAGGATGCGCCTATAGCGTCACTACTGGCCGATTCGAGTGAGACGTTCTTGCCGCTCCGCCTCAGCGCCCGACTATGTGGCGGCAAAGGCGGCTTTGGCAGTCAGCTCCGCGCAGCAGGCGGCCGCATGAGCAGTCGCAAGAATCGCAATCAGAACGTCGATCCAAACGGCTCAAATCGAAACCTCGATGGCCGCCGCTTGCGCACCGTGGACGAGGCAAAGAAGCTGGCGGACTACCTCGCCATCAAACCTGAAATGGAGAAGAAGGAGAAAGAGGAACGCAAAAAGCGGTGGGAGGCTGTTGTAGAAGCGGCGGAGAGGAGGGAAGAAGAGATCAAGTCCGGCAAACTTGGCGCGGGACAGGGGAGGCTGGATGCCGAGTATGTTGAGAGTAAGGAGGCGGCGGAGGAAAAGACCAGGGAGGCTGTTCTAAAAGCTATGAGAGAGGAGATGGAGGGCTTGGAGAGGACGGGTAGCGAGAGTTCGGTCGAGGAGGCTGGAGAAGAGAGTGGAGAGGATGAGAATGGTGGGTCTGCGTCTAGTCAGGAGGGTAAGGCACCTGGTAACGCATTCTTTGGCTGGGACGAAGATGAGGACGACGAAGACGACGATGATGACCAGGACGACGAGATGGTGGAAGAACATAACGAAGCAACGAAGACCGAAGCTACTGCCTACCAAGGTCAAGGCAAAAGCAAAGCACGAGCGAGATGATGCCACACAACGGCAACGTAATGCATCAACCCAACCAAGTGATCGCTCTCTGCAAACGTGCTCGTAGCTAGACTGTCCATCGAATTATGGCGCTAGCTCCTCGCGACCTTTCGATATGTAACGCAAGCGTATACTGCACTCAAGCGCCAAGTACACGGCCGGCTGGTCATCCCCGGCGATACGCCATCACAACATCGACGTGGCAGATGACTCCGGGGCGGCGCCGATGGTCCCCTCAGGCCCCAAATCGGCTCTGTGACCATGATCTCCTCCGCTATAGTAGCCCGTTCGACGACCTCTTCCACCAGCTCCGCAGGCAAATTTTGCGTCCGCCTGGCGGGTAGCCATTGACCAGCCATCCACCGTGCCTTCGCACGCACCTCCGCCATGGCGCGGTCCTGCAGTAGGGAGACGAATCCCAGATTTCGCTTGCGGGAACATGGCATACGCCTTACTGCAAATGGGCCACATCCGGAAGCATAAAACCGAGCGTCGCAATCTTGTTCCTTGCACCCGTACTTGACGAATGCGGCCCACAGCTGCCTGTATGCCTGCGCGTAATTCCAGTACGCAAGCTTGGGATCCTGTAGCCACCCGCCTTGACACTGCATTTGCTCTAGGCCTTCGTGTTGACTGGAGGACCATAGCTTGCGCTCCTGCAGAACTGCGAAACTTGTGTTGCGCAAAGCCCAGCCAACCGACTTTTTGGAGCCTGGTTGCTCGACAAAGTCTGCTACTCGATGCGGCCAGTCTTCAGAGACAATCAGCATCATGATCTGAAAGGCGTGTAGTCCTCCACCAGGCAGCAAACGGAATTTCGCGAGCATCCAGCTCAATTTATTACAGAAGGACGCGGAGATGTTGAAGTCATTCTCTTTGCAAAGGCTGGCGCCGAGCAGCGAGGTCATCTCCTCTGAGGATGGCTTGACTTTCGTGATAGCGGCCATTTGTATCTTGAGGAACGTGAGGGCATGACGCATGTACTCTGCCCAGCCAACGGCATCCTTTGGCGGAGACATTTGTAGAAGTTCATTGAGCTCGCTGGAATGGAGGACTACAGTCGTGTTAGCCCGGCTCGACGAAAATCTCTGATACCTGAAGTCCGCAGTCCGCGCCTCTGGTACCTACCGAATAGATTGCACTGCTGGTACCACTCCGTCCCACTACCAACAACCTTAGCGAACAGCTCGAGCTTGCGCACCTCCTGACCCTCAATGGCTGCTCGTAATCTTTCGTTGGCTTCACCAATTGCCTTGTACAAGTCGTGAGTCATCGAGGTGGTATGCACGGCTGTCACCCCTGTTTGAGGTTCTCCGGGAATTAGACTTTGGAGACGAGTAATGTGCGATACCATGGTACGCATCTGCGCTGGCATGTTATTGAGCTCGATCCATTCATGGTAGGCGACATCTTGGTGTGCTTTTGGTGTGCGAGCGATTTTGGTCGTTCGTCTCGGTATGGTATCTGTTCTCGCTATGGCGATGTATGGGGTTCGAGTAGATGGATACAAGAGTAGGGGCTTGAGAGTGATGTGTTGATCAGAGACGAATCCTGTAGGATAGTTGAGGGACTTGGTAGGCTCGTCAAACTTTTATATTTGGGAATCATGAATTCATGATGTGCGAGAAGTGGTTCTGTGCTACGTCGACAGGCGGCCGAGCTTGGCTGCCTGCTAATGCAATGCAAGGGATGTCCTGAATCGTCCTCATCACTTCGTATTGATCGCTACGTAACACAAAACTAATTGAGCCTTCACAACCTTTTCTCGCCACCAATATGCGGGTCCAAAGCTTCACCTGTTATCGTCGTGTGATGGCCGTGGATCAAACCCTCCTGTCGCACACCACTACCCACGCCCGACTGGTTAAGACTTCTCTCACCCTGCCCAAAGCCAGATACACCACCGAGTCCTGCTTCTTGGCCCGTCATCGACGACCCGTAACCTGCACCTTGGTTCTGCCCTAGACCACTTGCGCCACTGAGGCCAGCGTCACGTGCTGAGCCATACTCACCCCCCTGATGATGTCCGAGACCAGATGCACCACCCAGAGCTGCACCGCCAAGAGCTGCGTCCCTTCCGAGCCGTGAAGAGCCATACTCTGTGTTCTGACCACTGCTCGGACCACGAGTATCGTGAATTGGCTCAGTAACAGGAGCTTGTCCACGCATAGCCACCGGGTCGTCAGTACCAGCCGTCAGACCATGATCCTGTCCTTGGTGATGATGACCATGCGATCCAGCAGCCGCGCCTACAAGCCCAGTACCTCCAGCTGCACCAGCAAGGTCTGCCCTCTCAGATGCTCCCTTTCGATCGATATTGCGGATATCTTGGCGATCAGGCAAGGCACCAGCTTGTCGGGCGGCGGCGTAACCATCTCTGGTCTCGAGTCCACTTCCTCCTTGCGCATGATGGCCGCCATGATGACCGTGATGGTGACCTGAAGTTCCCTCGATTCCTCGCTCGCGCTCGTGCTCATGCTCATGCTCCCTCAGACCTGAGCCAACGACACCGGCACCTACACCAGCTCCAGCAAGAGCACTGACACCTTCATTCGTCAAGGGCTGATCATTGCCGTGAGTGCTGTGTGTGTGCGTGCTACCATGCGTGCCGTGAGATCCAGCTCCAATCTCATTCCCCATTGCCTCTCGCTTGCCGCCCGAAGCGAGACCCTGCTGGGTCGACATGTCGGATGGCCTTTGATTGGGATCATACTCGCCACTGCTAGAGCTGTGGTGATGAGCAGGCGTATGCTCTTCTGCTGGTTTGGCGAGGGGATGGGAGGCGCTGCTGCCTCCTTCTTTCTTCGTCTGCATGGAGGCAGGGAGGATGGCGTTGATGAGGGAAGACATGTTTGGTGATTTGGTGCGGAGTGAAGTGGGAATATGTAGCTTGGGGGAAGGAAGGTGTTGATAGCACAGTCGGTAGAGTAAAGATAGACGAGAGAATATGTATATGAAAAACAGCCTTACCCACCTAGAGCTCACTACCAAGTAAATCAAGCATCAAGCTAAGATGACGCACCTTGAAGCTCCGTCCCGTGCCTGCCCTTTCAGCATAATGACGGGCCGTCTGCCTCGTGGTGGGTTTCGAGGAGAGCATTGGACGTGATTTGGTACAAGTAAAGGCAAAGATTCCTGGCATGACCTTCGTGTGTGCGGGACTGTAGACCCTGGATGACGGGTTCGCGCAGCTTGAGCCAGATGCAACTGTGGGAAGTTGGTCTTGAGCTCCAGCAGGCTTACGAGTTGGATGCAACAACAGCCACGTGACACTGGTGACGAGCTTTTCCCCACAACTTCCTAAACCAGAAGTCGATCGTGGTCCAAGCTGATGCTTGAGCTTGCTGACTTGTGTTCCTGAACCATAACCATATCGTCGATCGAAGAGGACCATTGTCCATACCATCAAGCGATCGGTGTTGGAACGTCCAGCCCAACTGATTGATAAGCAACACCCTCTCCATCATGTCTGCACCCATGACATCCCGACTCCTCCGCCAGACTGCCCGAGCAGCATCGCAACAGCTCACACGACGTACCGCCTCAGTCTTACCAGCAACACACCGCCTCTTATCTCCATCAATCTCACATACCGCAGCTGTCAGATCACTGTCAACATCACAGCGATGGACCGCAGGTTTGATGCCAGACACCCACGAACCTAAAGCACCCGACAACGACGAGCAGAGCCCCCAGAATGAAGTACTACCTGCCGCGGTGAACGAGGACGAGTATCATGAGCATGCGGATCGGTATATGAACATCCTGCACGAGCGGGCAGAGGAATTGCAAGAGGAGAGGAATGATGTCGAGGTGGAATATGCCGTAAGCAAAACCCAATCACACCAAGCTAAACTCACGGCGAAGCACAACACTAACCATACACCTCTCGCATCCACAGGCAGGCGTCCTCTCCATCACTCTCCCACCAGCAGGGACCTACATAATCAACAAACAACCACCCAACAAACAAATCTGGCTCTCATCGCCCATCTCCGGCCCGAAGAGATTCGACTGGGTGATTTCGGGGGAGAGTATGCATGAGAAGGCTGATGGTGGGATTGGGGATTGGGTGTATGTTCGGGATGGCACGAGTTTGACTGAGTTGTTGAGGAAGGAGGTCGGGGTTAGTATTGATATTGATCCTGAGGCGGAGGCGGTTAAGAAGGTGTCTACTGATCCGGTGGAGTGAGGAGGATATAGTGTGAGCATATGAAGTCAAGTTCGAGAGTATATGAGGAAAGATTCGTAGACACTGGCTACGAGATGTGCGAGCTGGTGCGGCTCCGAGAATCGCCAATGTGCCGACAACTAACCTCTCATGGAGCAAGTTACTTTGATGTTACATTCACCCCCCCGATCTCCATGCTGGCACACAAGCCATCATCCACCCATCGTCCATCATCTCAACAGTCGCTAGCCGTCCAGCTCCTGCTACGTCTAGACATGAACTGTACATTCCGACCGCTGTTCTCCTCTGTCTTGGCGACAACCTGAAGCTCGGCCTGAACGATACTGATCCGTGCTCACTCTTCTTCTTCCCAGCATTCTTGCGCTGCTGCTCCTCAACGTTGACGTCGGGCGTGAAGCGTTGCCACGGCGTTGTCATTCGTTCGTCCGTTTCCAGGGAAACTCTCGAGTGTGCGTGTGGCGATGTCGTAGACCTCGACTCTGCTTTCCGGCTGAGGCGCACTTAATCGCAGGGTCTTGCACTTAATGCGCATGCGATGTATTGAATACAATCGTCGCACATGGTTCATGTAATCCTCTCCCATTCCCTGGTCCTCCTCAAGCCCCAGCAGCAACAACCTGCTGCGGCGCCTCCACCTTCATCTCCTTCTCCTCCAGCTCCGGCTTAGGCAGATTATCGACCTCATAGATCACCCGGATCTGCAGACTACAACTCGGACAGACTCCAATGTCCGTCTCGCCGTCCCGCAAGTCATGGAGAGAAATCTCGAAGCGGTCGCCACAAGGACATGGGTAGTGGTAAAGTTGTAGGGTGGAGTCGTAGGTCATGTCTTCGATTTCAATCTCGTCGTAGATGTTATCTGCCATCTTGCACAATCGTGGAAGTGAATATACAGCTTGTGGTCGAGCCGTCAGGAGTTTTCTGGTTCATGTGTCTTGCCGTGAACAACACTCGACCAATCATCGGTCTCGCCACTCTGCGCTCGGGTCCGAGAGATCTGGCGGCGGGGTTTAGCATGACTCAATATACCGAGTCGTGCCGTCGAGTACTGTGAGGAATGTCCAAGGAACAGCCATACCGCACCGTTTACGCTGCTGCGAGTGGCAAAGTGGCGATGGCCAGACACGGTTGTCAGAGTGCTAACAGAACAGGGCGTCACTACTCTTCACAAGTCAACCCTCCATCTTCCTTGAACAATGCTGTCGGGCAGTCTTAGACCTCTATCACTTTCCAAACAGAAACCATAACTCACCAGTCGAGAATGATCAAACGAGGGATCTTGGTTGTAGGTTGCTCCCGGCAGATCTCGGAGACAGCGTCGGACGCTAAACGCTTCCGGTAGTTCGACTGGCTGACACTCACACCAAAGGCGCTCGCATGTCACCTATTCGCCATCTCTACGACCAGCTGCACTGTTTGCAGTGAGAATACCCATGCTGGTACTCTCGCCGCCTCTTCTATCTCTTGCGCTACTTCGTGGTCGACCCAGTTTGTGACCACGACGACTGCATCGAGTCTAGCTTCTTGCACGCCAACAACATCCAGCGGAAACGACCAACTATTCAACCAGCTGCAGACATTCAACGCCTTCCTCGCCAATGCACTGTCTTTGCTGTGTCTGCTCGTAGCCATAATTTCGTGGATGTACCCACGGCGCCGACCATAATGGCTGGAGGAATGTGCTGAGTGGATCCTGATGGGTACATGTATGTCTTCAAATGATGAGGGAAACAGGATGATGCACAGACAGACGTGGTGTCCCCATCAGCGTAGGGCATGGAACAATACACTTGCTCCATGGCCTTGTATCATCGCTACGACCTCTTGGTCAGCAATCAGCATCCTTGGGAGACAAATGTAAACAGATCGAGAGGCTTTCTACTCTTGTAAGGGTTCCATAGTACATGGTGACCCAATAATCGGACGGTTCTATCGCTACATTTCTCATTAGTGAGCTTCATATACATCATTCATGTTCTTACACCCTCCTCTCAACAGTCTCGACACTCTCCACCCCACCCTTCTTCCCAACAGCCTCTACAACCCCTCCAACACCCGCCGTCAAGTCTTTGCCCTTCCTTCCAATAATATACCAAGGCAAGTCAAACACCGCATCAGTCGCCTCCAAACTCTTCCCGCTCAACTCAGGCAAGAAGAACCAGGCCCATGCCAGACCCAGCAGCGTGACGACGGAGAAGAACATCATGGTGCCGCCGGTCGTCAAGGTAAGAAACATTTCGGGCACGGCTTTGCTGTTGCCGTATTGGTTCACGAAGTGGAATGTCATGGCGAAGCTGCCGCCGATGGCGCGGAGGCGTAGAGGGTAGATTTCGGAGTTGATGAGGTATTGGATGCTGTGGATATGTTGTTAGCTTGATATACATGAATGTTGTGTGAGTTGCGCAGACAAACCTGTTCCATCCCCAAGCCCAACCGAAGCCCGACACGTAGATCATGACGATCGCACCAATAGCTGCTCGCTTAACGCTACCAGCAACAATTGCGCCTTCCTCTTCGATACTGGTGTCCATCAGAAGGAAGATGGCCATGTAGAGCATAGCGAGGAATTGCAAAGTGATACCGGTCATCAAACTCCTCTTGCGGCCCAGGTAGTCGATCAGGAAGAATGCGCACAGCATGGACGACACGAATTTGACGACACCGAAGATGGCGGTCGCGAAAAGCTTCTCGTTCGACCCAGTCGTGCCCATCATGGCGAAGTACTCGGGCGCGTAGATCGTGATGCTGTTCGCTCCAGACCATTGGCCTAGGACTTGTGATGCGACGGAGAGCATGAGTCTGTAGCGATTGGCGGGTAGCATGACTAGCTCTCTGATTGTGCCGAACCATTTCGTGCCCATCGTCGCCTCTCGTTCGCGGCTGAGCTGGTCGTTGATGTCCAAGAGTTCAGCTTGCACATACCAATGGTCGGTCGGCAAGTTGCGAAGCTTCGAGAGGTTGGTAGCAGCTTTTTCATGTTTGCCAACCTTGACCAGCCAGCGAGGACTCTCGATCGCGAAGAATGAGAGTGCGGCGATGATGACCGCGAAGTAGATGTGCAACAGATTCGGTACGACCCACTGCATCTGTGTTGTCCCGCTGATGTGTAGCGAGGAGCCCCAGCTACTGAAGTAGCCAAGCATGATGCCAAGGTAGACGGAGCCAGAGAACATGCACACGCAGAGACCTCTAACGAATCGAGGAGCCACTTCGGCCAGATAAGTCGGGGCAACAACAGTCGTCTGGCCAATACCAACACCAGCAATGAATCGTCCAGCATAGATCATACCCAGGCTCCCAGTTGAAGCAGCACTGAGGTAGATAGCGATACCAGCAACCCAGACCACGCACAGCTCGCGTGTTGCCCAGAGTCGACCGATCTTGTCCGTGAGGTAGAAGGCTACTAGGGCGCCGAGGATAGAACCCATTTGTACCATTGAGGTGATGTTGGAGAGGAGGTCGGCTTTGTCGGCTGCGCTGAGAGCTTTGTTGTCGAGACCCGTCAGGTGTCGGAAGCTGCTAAGGGTGGCGGTCGTGCCTGTCAAGCCCTCATCGAGACCGCGGGCGGCGCCCATGAGGCCGAAGACTGGCGAGTGTCAGTTTCTGGCATCGTGAAGAGTGTAGCAGGGACTGTCTTACCGAACACGCCGAACCATAGTCGCCAGTTCAGGATCTCTGGCGGTGCCTCTGGGTCCTTCTTGCGGAAGAACATCTTGGCCGGATGGTAAGATAAGGAGCAGAGAAGAGGCTTGAGATGCTTGCCAATGACCAAGCTGCAGACAAGGAGATACCAGATGAATAGCCTACCTGCAAACCGGTACGAGGATCTCTTGATCTCTTATACCACAGCCTTGGACATCACCAACATCCACGAACGGAAAGATACGGGCTGGAGTGCTCCATCAACACCAGAATCTGGACGTCCCCGCGTCTGGGGCGCATTGGCAAACAGTTTTGGCGTGCATCGGAAGACTGTGCCCTTGGAGGCTGCAGGAGGACTGTAGCACGTCCCGCGGGGTCTCCAGGTCGCGTTTGTGATATCTGCCAAGTGAGGCCAAGGAGTGTAGTCTCGTTTGGCGGCATTTGAGCTCGATGGCGGGACTTCGGGTCGATGGTGACGAGAAGGACATATCGTCTTGGCCCGTTTCGATGTGGACCATCTCCGCTTCGAGGCTCATGGATATGGAGTGGAAGCTTCGAAGGCCTAATGAGTCTCGTGGGGTTGGGTCCTGATATCGGATGGTGGCCAATTGCACAAGTCGAGAAGGTCAATGAAACTCGTATACCGGAGTGGCCATCTGGCGCCTCGTGCTCGTATCTAAGCCTGTAGCTTCGTCTGAGTTGGTATCAGCGCAAGTCAAGGAAGCATGCTGTGGATTCCAAAGGCCGACGTCCTCAATGCACGTAGCTGGTCGACACAAGCTCGTCCACGGGTCGGGGATTGACGGCTTGACACCCGCGCGAAAGTCTTCTGTGCCGCCTCCCAAGCACTTGGCCTGCAGATACGAGAAGCGCGTCTCGAGGTCAAGAATACTCATACTGCTGGCTCCGTTTATGTTCTCGTCGTGGTGGCAGAGTGCATGCTTCCCATCCACTGGTTCGATGGAAGAAATGGTAAAGGTTTGCATTCTTGAAGTCGAAGGCTTGCGGTACAGCAACGGCAAGAGACTAGAGAATGAATGCGAGAATTCGGGAGGTGAGGCAGGAACGCCTCAAAGATCCATGTCCTCTATATGAAATACAACACATCGCCGATATCGCTCACACCCACCATGAGTCGCTCGAAGGTCGACAAACCAAATCGCGTGAAGTGCCCTGACTCAAAAGCCCACGGCAACCATACACCCATAACCCACCGTAATAATAACCACATAAGCCATCAAACTCGCAGGCACGCCCCTAGTCAAGAAGTGCCTTACCTGCAAATACCGTTGTCCCGTCTGCGGGTCCTCCATCATAATAGCCGTCATGTTCGGAAACCCACTGGTAGGAAGTCCCATGGCCGCACTAGCCATAAGCACCGAAGCCATAACGAGCAGATTTGGGTGCGGGTCAGCCATACCCAGTCCCACCTCCTTGACAAGCGGGAGGATGATGAGTGCGGCGACGGTGTGGGAGATGAATGTTGCAACAACGGCGATCAGGGCGGCGAAGACGCAGGTCACGGCGTAGAGACTAAGTCCGTCCACTTTTTGGGTAATGCTTATGGCGATTGTGGTTAGGAGGCCGGAAGAATTCACCGCCTTGCCCAGAGCCAGACCGCCAGCGGCGAGGATGATAATAGTCCATAAGAAATTATTGAAATCTTCTTTCGTCAAGATTCCGGTTCCGAAGAAGAGGGCGATGGGAATGATGGCTATCACACCCATATCGCCGAACACACCCTCGAGTTGGTGAGAAAGGCACCAGAGGATGATGGTAGCTAGGGTAACGATGGAGATGAACCATTGGATCCCGGTGAATTTGTCTTTCATTGGTCTGATGGGCACGATTGTCGTGTTCCGTCCTGGTCGGAAAGTGACAAGAAGCAGGAGCCAGATGAGGAGGATGGAGATAATGCAGACAGGGAGGGCGATGAAGAACCAGATTAGCCAGCCGGGTTGGGGTTCCATGTTCTGTAGTGCGATCAGATTTTGCGGCGAGGCGATGGGCGAAGCTGCGCCACCCATGTTGCTGGCTAGAGCAATACCCAGAAGTAAAGCTTTGCTCATGTCCGAGTCAGACGGTAGGTTTCGGAGGATGGGTTGTACGATGCTGTAGCAAAGCACAGGAGCAGCGACATTACTGATCCACATACTGGAGAACGTCGCAATGCCCATACTCGCCAGTAAGACAGTCCGGGGCTTTGTGCCTGCTTTGCTGAGGACGAATGTAGCCATCATCTTGGCAATGTTGTATTTGCTCAAAGCCGCAGCGATCGTGAAGCCGCCGAGCAGGAGCATGATGACGGGCGTCCACATCGAGGCGAAGACGTAGGATGCAGCGGCTTTGCTTGACAGGCGTGCGTGAGGCTTCTCGTCTTGTCGAACAACTTGTAGCACCACGACCAGAAAGGGCACGAGTAGCGAAGTGACGAACAGTGGTATGGCCTGTGAGTCATTAGTATTTGTTTTCGGCCAAATAGGCTAACATGCTAAACTCACCTCTGTAGCCCACAACAAACTGACGAAAATGATCAGAGCAAGACAATTCTGCTGCTCCGGCTTCTCCATAAATCTCACACCCAACAGCACAGCGAAAATAGCACAGCAAGCCACAAGCACCCAAAAAGTACTGCTGAGCAAGAAAGTAGGACATGTGTACCTCCCAACAGGCGTCTGGACCTCCTTCGTAGCCCCACCTTCATCATCACCCTGCAGTCTCGCCTTCTTGGGATCCGTCTCCTGCCCAAGCATAGTATTCCGAATCCCAAGATTCGCTGCTTGAGCTTTACGTTCGATCCCGATCATTTCTCGCCAGACTGTGTTGCGCTCCCAGACTACGTGTTCGCGGAGATGAAGGCGGAGTTCGCGGCGTGCCGCTTCGACATCGCCGTGGGTGACTATGCTTGCGTAGCCGTCTTCCAGTTTTGCGACATGGTCTGCTAGCGCTTCTGAGGCATTTGACTGGAATGGCGCTGCAGTTTTCACGTTGTCGTTCACCCATTTCTTCTTTAGATCTCGATCGAGTACCTTGTCGTATTTTTTAAGGACTTTGGTGAAGCCTTTCTCGTTCAGCTGGACGAAGGAGCGGAGTTCGTTGACGTTGACGTATAGATTTACCAAGCGTTTCTTCAACGTTATGCCTTCGTCGTAAAGAGCTTGGAGTGCATCGTCACCAAAGTCGTTGAATGCTGTTGAGGGTCGGCGTCGGATCTCAGCTGACGAGTTCATGTCATTTGAGCTCATGTGCTCCGCTACGCTTGCTCGCCTGTCTCTACCCTTGCCGCTCGTGCCTGGTCGTCCATCTGATGTGGTGCTTTTCGTCAATGCAGTGCCCTCGTTCGCGTCGTCTTCTTCCTCACTTTCGTCCTCATCAGGTGCCCTAGTCTCAGCGGTACGACTATCTGCAGTCCTGCCTGTGTTCAGTGTGCTCGACCTCCTTCGCTTAGGCTGCGTGAAACTCTTGAAGATGCTCTGCTGCCTCGCTCTCGCCCATACACTTTGTCTTCGCACACCATACCCCTCACCCTCCTGCTCACCAGCTTCATGCTCCTGCTGGAACTCCTCCAGATCTCTCAACAGAGCATCGACCTCGCCAAAGATCTCTAGCTCCTTCAGCTGGTAGAAACTGCACACCTTTTCCAACTCATCATCCAGCTTCCGGGAGAAGGTCTTGTCCGGATCATCCCAGGCTCCAGACTGTGTTAGTAAGGGTGAAGACTCAGCATCATCCTGCTTGCTGCCACCACCTCCGTTCGCCTGATTAATCTGCTTCTCAAGCTGGTAGATGAGCTTTTTGAGATTGGAGTAGGAGATGTAGTGCGACGACCAATCCGGCACAGCATTGAACTGGATGCTGTGGGAGAACTTCATCTCGGCTTCGAGGAGATCGAGGAGCTTTCCTCGTCGTCGAAGGTCGCTGACGGGTGCTGCCCTGAGCTCCCTCGCTGTCGCTGTTCCGATATGTCCGTCGAGTGCCGCCGGTGGAAGAGGCTCAAGCTCGATGTCAATGATGTGGTCTGGTCGACTCTGTCGCCTACGATTGCCGCTGTGCCATGCTTTGGTCGGATGCGCCAGCGTGCCGCCTTACAGTGGACCTTGAAGAGTGCGTGGTCCTGCTATGGGGACAGCTATACATCTGCTAGCTCTGAACAGTCGGCCCGCTGCGCAGAATCGTGCGAGACCGTAGAAATACACACTGCTTTTTCGCTTGCCGCTGCTGCCACAACATCACGACGACGAAACATCAGAGGGAGGGTGCGCCGGTGACAGGTCCGATTGGCGAAATGCATAAATAGCGCTACTGTCCGTCAGCCTGACTAGTGCGCAAGCAAGGTTTCTGCACAACCACCTCCTCGGGTCCTGCTATTGGGATGAGCTATCTCATCTATTGCTACATAGCATGTACACCACGGCTGAGTAATCTACCGATGACTTGGGTAATTGACACCGAGACGGGTCAAGCACGTTGATGTCGGCGGTAGACTGCAGACGCATGAGTGGGGCCACGTTGTATGTGCGACTCATCTCTCACCTGGCACAGATGGCTACAGCACGCCTCCGATATCGCCTTTGCGAGCTCCAAGTAAGTCATTCGGGCTATATGAGGGTTATGCTCGGTTGGCTCAGCATATCACTTAAGACCAACAGCTATCCCGTGAGTCGATCAGAACTGTAAGTATTCAACTTAACCACCGCACTCTGCCCTCGTGGTCTAGAGTCACAGTGACTTACAGTTCGATCGATCATCACCTTTAGCTTGACGAAAGTACCGGTCCAGGTCTTATCATGGCAAACGATCAAGAACAAGAGACGACATACCACCACATCTCGCCCTCCGTCGCCCAAGCCTACGCCGAAGGAGTCCTAACAGCCAACGGGGTACCACCTGAGAACGCCACCATAGTAGCCAAATGCCTCGTAGCCGCCGACCTTCGCGGCATCGATACCCACGGCATCAACCGCATACCATCCTATATGGCTCAGATCCGCCAAGGAGTCCTAGATGCCAAAGCTCAACCCGAGCTGGCGCAAATTACGCCCGTGGTTGCTCAAGTAGACGCCCACAATGCATTCGGTTTTGTGGCGGCACATATGGGAATGAAGTCTGCTTGCGAGATGGCAAAGACGTATGGCATAGGTATGGTGAGTGTGAAGCATAGTAATCATTTCGGGATGTCAGCCTGGATCGTCCAACAGGCTATCGACGAGGGAATGATGAGTCTCGTCTTCACCAACAGCTCTCCCGCCTTACCAGTCTGGGGCGGCAAGGAGAAACTCATGGGTGTCAGTCCTATCGCGTGCGGCGCACCAGCTGGGAACGCGAAATCTTTCATCCTTGACATGGCGCCTAGTGTAGCCGCACGAGGCAAAATCTACAAAGCCAAGCGACGAGGGGAGAAGATTCCACTCGATTGGGCTCTCGATACCGAAGGCAACAGAACAGATGATCCTGCTGCGGCGCTAGAGGGTGTAATGTTACCCATGGGTGGACCAAAAGGTAGCGCTCTGAGCATAATGATGGACGTCTTCTCTGGCGTCCTCTCCGGCTCAGCTTTCGCCGGTCACGTCACTAATCCTTACGATCCTAGTAAGCCTGCAGATGTGGGGCATTTCCTCGTGGCGATCAAGCCGGATCTGTTCATGGGGTTGGAGGAATTCAAGGAGAGGATGGATTATCTGTATCAGCGGGTTGCGGGGTGCGAGAGGATGGCGGGGGTGGAGAAAGTATATTTTCCTGGCGAGATTGAGCAGATTACTGAGGAGAGAAGGCGAGGGGAGGGAATTCCGTTGGTGGATGCTGAAGTGCAAGCCTTGAACGAGGAGGCGAAGCGGGTTGGTGCTGAAGGACTTCGCATCACGATCTGATTTTTGATCAGACCGAGGTGATTGTCACCCTGCTCTCTTCAGGATCGGATGCAGACATACACACCGCATGCCATGGCGGAGTTAGAGCTCTGCCGAAAGTCACAAGTGAACAGAGAAAGCTCTAATTCGGCACGCTCGGCATAGTGCGTAAGGACGAAAGAGGATAAGTGCGATGTCAAGCCACGGACCGTTCACAGATTTCCGCCACATCCGTTCCTACCGACACCACGAGTCGGCCTTCTTCTAAACCTCATCAGTCATGACATTTACAAGCAAAAGCAAGACCAAGGTGAAGTGCTTATCGCGCAACCACGATCTCCACTTTCCGCTGATTCACGCCATATCGCCTCCTCGTCAAACGCCAAAGATAACAACTACAAAGGCCAGTTCTTCATCCAAAGGACTTCTCAAGGAGTTTGCAGATTCTAGCTTGGCATGACATAAATTTCTCTTGGGATCCACTGCGTAGCAAAATCCTTCGCCACTGTGCCGCTTTGTGTTGGGTCGCGTGCTACTGGTTCTTTTCCTGTAGGATGCGACGGACGTTGTCCTCGCCGTCGTTCGTCAACGTACGCCAAGACTGGGAAGTGCGGTCTCTTAAGATGGCCGCCTCCGCCGAGCGTGAGATCCTTCTCTGTACTTACACTTCGCCCCCCAACCCCCTTGACCGTACACCACAATCCCTCGAATGTCCCAGCACCTCACTTAAGCTGTCTTTAGCCCTGCACAAGAGGCAAGCAATACGATCGACCGGCAACAACTACATGGTAGATACAGACGAAAACGAGAAATCGCGGCACACCACAGCTGTCTCCAGCGTCCGTTAGCGTTCTTAAAGCGTCGACAACCATCCCACAGCAACTTCGATCAACCATCGACATTTTCGACATATTTCTGGATCGTCCACAGCGCCAAGTCACTGGACCGCCCAAAGCAGCATCTGAGGTAATCACTGTAGTCTTCTGTACCGTCCACCCTGGAAGGAACGACTTAACCGGACACCCCACTTGCATCAGTACACAGCACACCTGCGGTAGCCTTACACGTGCCCAAGGTAACAGCAACCATGTCCAGCATGTTCAAATCTATGAATCCGCTGGCGAACCATGCCGCTTCCGAATTCCCGGGCGTACTGATCCCCATGGCCGAAGCACGGCGACATTCCACCTCAAGCTCCGAGCACTCACGCAAATCTGTCGAGCATGAAATCGTCGACGACGCCAAGGCCGAAAGCAGCTCGGGACACAGCCTACCGAGCTCATCACCGGCTTTCACCATCGACAGTCTTCGCAAGGAGATTGAGGCTGATCTGGCGGCGGAAGGTCACGATTCGGCCTACGATCGCAAGTCCCAGGTCATCAACAAAGCTATCCAGGATATCGGAATGGGTCGATATCAATGGCAGCTTTTTGTGCTCTGCGGCTTTGGTTGGATGGCTGATAACCTCTGGCTGCAATCTGTTGCCATTACGCTGCCTTCGATTACGGCTGAGTTTGGTGTCGACTCGAATAATGTGAAGTATACGACTATGGCATTGTTGTGAGTACTCTTAGAATTGGTTGTTGTGTACCGTCGGCTTACGTGTGATGATAGTATTGGTCTTTGCATAGGCGCCTCGTTCTGGGGCATTGCCTCCGACATTATTGGTCGACGTCTTGCATTCAACTGCACACTGCTGATAGCTGGTATGTTTGGACTCGCCGCTGCAGGTGCACCAAACTGGACTGCCGTATGCGCACTATATGCATGCCTTGGTCTTGGCATCGGTGGTAACCTACCTGTCGACGGCGCTCTGCTATTGGAGTTCCTTCCTTTCTCGAACGGCAACCTGCTCACCTTATTGTCCGTCTTTTGGCCTGTTGGAACCCTCATTGCCTCTATGGTAGCATGGGGTCTTATACCACAATATGGATGCGCTTCCGACCTCGACTCGTGCGTTTTGACCAATGAAGTCCAGCCATGCTGCTCCAAAAGCAACAACTGGGGCTGGAGATACTTCATCCTGACTATGGGCTCGATCACGATGCTGATGTTCATCTGCCGCTTCTTCCTCTTCCATCTCTTCGAGTCGCCGAAATTCCTGCTTTCTCGTGGACGACAAGCTGAGGCTGTTGCGGTTGTGCACGGTATCGCGTACCACAACAAGAGTCAGATTTGGCTCACAGAAGACATACTCGATCAGATCGGTGGTCATTCGGATACTGCGTCAAAGGAGAAGCTCGGTGTCGCGGAGATCCTCAAGCGCAGCTTGTCAAAGTTCTCAACACAGCGTATTGCACCATTGTTCTCTGGCTGGCGTCTTGGTCTATCGACAGCACTCCTGTGGTTCATCTGGGCGACTATCGGGATGGGATATCCACTGTTCAACGCCTTCTTACCACAATACCTTGGTGGCGCCGAAACATCAACCAACACGACATACCGCAACTACGCCATCACATCTGTCGTCGGTGTTCCTGGCAGTATCACTGCATGCTATACTGTCAACATCAAGTACATCGGTCGCAAAGGCACAATGGCCATCAGCACGGTCATAACCGGCGTCTTCCTGTTCGTATTCACCCTTTCCTCCGATTCAAACTTCCAGCTCGCTTTCTCCAGTCTGGAAGCACTTTTCCAGAACGTTGCATACGGCGTGCTTTTCGCATATACTCCGGAGGTCTTTCCAGCACCAAACAGAGGAACTGGATCCGGGATTGCAAGCTTTCTGAACAGGTTGGCAGGACTTTGCGCTCCGATTGTTGCTGTCAATGCCGGGTCGGCGGATCCGAAGTCGCCTATCTATGCTAGTGGTGCGCTATTCTTTGCTGCGTTTTTGGCCATGTTGGCTTTACCTATTGAGACAAGAGGGAGGCAGACATTGTAGGCGGAGGAAGCTGTTGTAGAGCAGCTTCATACCCGATGTATCATCACAACAATGCTGTCTTTCGTTCAACCTGAAGGTTGCACACCACTCCCCGCCAGAGATTGCCATGACGGATCGCCTGTAAAGGAAAGACGAGATGACCTGGAACAGACCTAAACAGGCGACCATGCATGTCTGATACACTGCTATGATCAGGATCCGAAGGACTGCTTACAACTTAGCTCGTGCGATCTCCTCATGCTGAACATAGCGTTGCATCACTCCGGGACCAACTATTCCACCGGGACCAGCTAAAACCCGTCTTAACGCCGAGCATCAATGACAATATGGCCCGTTACTGTGATATCTACTATACTTAAATCGGTCGTCACTGCGATTGACTGGATGCTACGTGCGAAAGTAGAGATGTCGTTGGAAGAACATAAGTATCGTGGTGCTCGCCGTCATCCTCACATCCGCTTCAAAGCACGCCTTGCCACATGGACCCAAGACAATCGAGGCATTCCAACATGTCTACCACCGCACTTCCCGATTCGATGCAAGCCCTGATCCTGAACTCGACCTCAGAGCCTCCTATTGTTCAGACAGTTCCAGTCCCTCAAGTAACACCAGGCACCGCCATCGTCCGCGTCCTCGTCGCAAACATCATAAGCTACACCCGCCACATCTACAACGGCGACCGCAAATACCCCTTCCCCACCCCTCTGATCCCAGGCTCATCAGCCATTGGTCGCATCGTCTCCCTCCCCTCGGACGCCACAAGGCTGCAACTCAACGACCTAGTCTTCATCGACTGCATCGTCCGCTCCCGCGACGAACCAACAGATATCTTCCTAGCAGCAATAGTCGAAGGAGGAACCCCTGGTTCCGCAAAACTGATGCGAGACGTCTACCGCGACTGGACATACGCCGAATACTGCCGTGCACCGATCGAGAACCTCATCCCCTTGAACGAGAGGACCCTGCTCGGTAGTCCTAAAGAGGGAGGTCTAGGCTACACAACCCACGACCTAGCCTACCTCGCCGCCATCCTGGTCCCCTACGGCGGCCTCCGGGGCATCCGTCTCGAAGCCGGTGAGACGGTCGTCGTAGCACCAGCTACTGGGCCCTTCGGCGGCGCCGCAGTCCTCTGTGCACTAGCCATGGGCGCACGAGTCCTAGCTCTCGGCCGCAACACCGCTTCACTCGCGAAATTAAAGGAAAGGGCGCCGTACACCGAGCGACTATATACAGTGCCTCTCACCAACGACCCAGCCACGGACCTCGCTGCCCTGCAGCAGTACGGCGAGATAGACATCTTCTTCGACATCGGCCCGCCTGAAGCGGCCAAGAGCACGCATATCAAGACGTGCATCCTTTCGCTTCGACACGGGGGTCGTGTGAGTCTGATGGGTGGGTATCATGAGGATATTCCTGTCCCTCACCGCGTGATCATGCACCGGAATCTTACCTTGAAGGGGAAGTGGATGTGTGAAAGGGATGATATCTTCGCCATGTTGAAGCTGGTGGAGACTGGGATGCTGCCGCTCGGTAAGAAAGGAGGGGTGGAAGTGACGGGTACGTTCCCGTTGGGGGAGTGGAAGGAGGCGTGGGATTTGGCTGCCGAGAAGGCTGGGTTTGGGGAGTACTGTTTGTTATGTCCGTAGCTCACTCCAGTATGCCAGCGCTGTCTCGTTAGACGGCGGAGACTATAAGGTGAGAGTCATGATGCAGTCTAGAGTCGTAGCTGCTCACAATGTTTCTCATGATATATTGCCGTCCATACATGATAAATAAAAACCATCATCTGGATTGGTGGGTATCTCCGCAAGCATAACGAAAAACAGAACAAGTCATCAGATCTCGCTCGAAACCATACCTACCTTCAAACCAGGCCACAAACCTACGCCGTCAAGTTCGGAAGTGACTGTATCCATGTTCCTCCCGCGTTTGAGTTCAGATAAGGACTCCGTATATCGCTCTTGATACTGTGACCGGCACAGCACTCGTATAAAATGCTTCCTCGGCGACGAGAGCAACCCTCGTCCCGGGTCAATCAGGTGTCAAAAGTAGACAGCGCTCGTTCATGACCTCTCCCTTGCCTCGCCCGACTCTCCCGCCGCGTACGGCTCCTCTCCCGTCCCCTCTCAACCTCCCACGGCAGAGCCAACTCACCACATCCTCCTCCTCCTCCTCCACCAAGATCCACATTCTCACCTGCTCCAGCCTCACCAACAGCCCCAGGCACCGCTCCCCATCCACCACAGCACTCCTAATGCTGAGCCGAAGAACCATACATCCCCGACTGCTGACCCTGCTGCTGTTGCTGTTGCTGCTGCCCATACCCACCACCAACACCACCATTACTAAAAGACCCATACCCATCACTACCCCCACCAACCCCCGCATTCGACCCCCCTCCCCCACCAACATTCCCATTCCCATTCCCACCATACCAAGTCGACCTCCTCGCATCGAACCCCGAAGTCCGGGGATAACTGCCCACAGGCGGGAACGCATTGGCAGACGTATATCCCGCCTCGGCATTGAAACCCTGCGCGCTAGGTGGCGGACGAGGCGGGATCGGGTAGCCGCGTCCATTCGCACTATCGTCGTCATTGTTATTGTTGTTATTGGGTTTCATGGCCGGACGATCACGATCAACGGATCGACGACGGTAGTGTTTTCTTCCACCGTACGGATCCTCGCTGAAGTTGTTGTTGTTGTTGTCGTTGGCGAAGGGATCGCGGGTACTGAAAGCGCCGCCGGAGTGGAGGTTCGAGGCGTATTGAGATGCGGGGATTTGACTTAGATCGATTGGTTCACTGCGCGCATATGGGTCCTTGGGTGGAGGTGTGCGTCGGCCTTTGGGTGGTGGGGTGCGGCGGCCTTTCGGCATGCTGCCGTTGATGTTACTGTTCATGTTGTTGAACATTGATGGTGGTGGACCTTGGCCTTGGGATGGGCGATGGCTCCTTGAGGGTATTGGCACAGGCTCGCTGATGTTGTTGAAAGATTTTTGGGTTGGGACCCCAGTATTTGAGCGAGAAGAGCGCACATTCGGTGGCGCATCCTTGTAATTCGTCGCTGGTCTGCTATCCCGTGGACGTTCGTTCTCGTTGCCATAAGTCTTACCAGCTCCTTCCTTAGCGGTATATGGCTTCCTTTCACGTTCTATCGGCATCGAAGGCGGCATCTCCAAATCCTCGTCGTCAATGGCGTTGGCGTATGGTGTGGCTGAGTACGGCTGCCTCTCGCGCTCGGGAAAGCTTGTTTGTTGCCGTGGCGCAGATGCTTGCGGAGGCGGTGGCGGCATGTTGGCAGCACCACGTAATTGCACTAGCGGCTCATGATTCAAGCTTGCGACAATCCTCTGCTCGGCCTGAATGTTTGGCTGCAAAGGCAGTAGTCTCCTCGACAGCTCCTTTGGAAAGCGCTCCTTTCTGTCATCAGCATTTGAGATCGGCATACCCATGACAGCAGCTGCTAGCCTCTCGAATTCGTTGTCCGGGTGTGCCTGTATCAATATAGTCATGAACGTCTCAAATCCATGCGGTGTGAGAGCAGGTAGACTCGGCACCTCACGATGTCCGCTCTGGACGAGATGGTGTTGGCAGGCCAGATTCCGATACATGAGCGAAAGCGACTGATTCGTGATCTTGCCACCAAAGATCGTGTCCCATGGGTAGAGCTCATCGGCGACACGTACTTCGTTGAAGAAACGTAACATCTTGGCCGGACTGACGACCAGACTATTCTTAGGTTCGTAGTCCTCGACAAGATGTAGCGCCAAGCCGCGCAACAATTCACCAAGACGTTGTGTAGGGTTGCCGTCCTCGAACAGTGGCCGCCAGATCTTCTCGAGGGTAGTGATCTCCGCAACATCGGATGGAATCCTAGGTGGCCTGGCTCTGCTCCTTGACACGTTCGGGTGTTCCGAGTCTGAGTCTCTACTTCGTCTTCTATACGAGCGAGAGTCGTCAGTTTTGGTAGCATCTGACGTGCTGTCCTTCCTGAAAGATCGCTCTTCGTCCGAGGTGCCTTCTCCTCGTCGCCTCTGACCTGTAGTGTTGCTCCTTCTCACTCCATAGGCACTATCCGCCGGCGTCGCACTCGACGACTGCCTGCTTCGCACACTTCCACGGCTTCGCAGACTCTCCTTGCTATACCTGCTTCCTTTGTCTGATGGTTGTCGTTCTGGAGAGGGCGACCCTCCATATGCCCCGTCCTCTCGTTGCGCATACTTGTCTGGCGTTGGAGGCGTATACAACCGCCTTGGTGGTACCGACTCGGCAGCACTTTCACTACTGGTCTTCGGCGACGGCTGCGCGTATGGTTGCGATGGTGGTGGTGGTAGTGGTACGTTGGTAGACTGTGTAGCTTGTGGCGGTAAGGAAGGTGTTGGTGGAGCCTGACTAGTTGCAGTAGTCGCCTGCAGATTCCGTATCACCTGCTCAGTCACCTGCCGCACAAGCTCCGGGTCCAGTTGATTCTGTACGGGCGACTGATCGAAAGCGCTGTTAACAGCATCTCGAACGGGTTGTGGTTGATGTAAGATGGGCGCGACACGAGAAGAAGCTCGAGCACGACTTCTTCCTTCGGCACGCGGCGCAGTCTCCGGCGGTTGCACTGCTTGATACTGCGGTTGGATAGCCGGCGAAGACAGTGGAGGTAAGATTTCTGGCGCAGGTCGTAGGCTTTTCGGTCGCATAGTGGTCGGGTCCGGAGGAAGAGGGGGTGAAGGCGAGCGCTCCATGTTGATTGCTGTAGCTGTAGGCATGTACAGTCCTGAACAGTATACTTTTCTTGTCTCTAAAGCCGTTGTCATGAGCGAGCGGTGTGTTTAGCTCATCGTTGTGCTGCGCTGTAATTTGTTGTTTCTCGACAACGCTACTGCAGCTCCCACGCAGCTGCTGGCGCAATGGCGAACTCTCTTCTTTATTATAGATGCTGAGAGGCAGATGTTGTATGTCTGCGTGGTGCGGCCTCAGCCTTGGTGCATGGCCCGGTCGGCGCGCGTGAACAGCTGCAGGTGCGTCGTCGTCGTCGTCACTGGCTTGTCGTGCATCTGAGATGGTGCGGAGGAAAGTTGGCCGCCTGCATCGCACAGCATCCACGACCTGCTGCTGGGGATGAGACGAACGTGGCTGTGAATGTGACGTAGAGTAGGGGGACCGTGCAGTAGGAAGCGAGGGCGACTAGTGCTTCGATTGGTAAAGTGGCCGTTGCCTCCGTCCCGCGTAACGGTCTGTCACCGAAGAGGTGGATTTGTTCCGGCTTGTGGTGGATTTAATCACCAGGAGGACGAGTACAAGACGGCGAGTAAGACGGTACTGCTGATCCTTATAGATTCAGTCGTCGCAGAGCCTCCAATGCCTGTAGACCAGCCTTTCAAGACCGGTCAATCAGCATCATCACAGCAACCTCATCCCGCTATCAGGACGAGCTCCGACAGGCTGGCTATCTCACCACTCCGAAACCCAACAAGCGTAAAACCTCTCGCCATCCCGGTACAGTCCTCAGGGTCAGGGTCAGGTTTGCAAGCAACACAGTACAGTATCAGCATCGTCGCACAGTATTGGAATGTAAAAGTCCCTCCAGTCAGAATCTTTCAATGCCAAGCCAGCAAGCGATAAGTGACTTACGCCCGGGTGCATGATAGATGCCACACCATTGCGGCTCTGCGAGCTTTCACAAGCTTTCGCTACTGTGCTTTCGACCTCTCCTTGCCGCTGACCGAGGTGTCCGATGCCGAGTCTTTGTCTTGCTCACGTGGGCGCAGCTGCCGGTCAAGAGACAAAGGTAGCTTTGAAACCTTACCATAGTTCGCAGCAGTTTCCGTAGCCTAGTCGTTTGCTTGCGCCATAAGGCTGGAGCAGTAAGCCGTAGGTATGTCAAGGCACGAAATACTCTGGAGACGAGTGCGTTTCTCTGTACCTGTAGAGCAATCGGAATGACCGCCTCGTCTTCCGACACGACTTCGCACAGCCTGCCAAACGCATCCCTACCTTTCGCGTTTGACGACCTGTAGAAGATAAGCACGAAGGCATAAAACTTTGGTTCACACAAAGAAGGCTATTTTCACCTCGCGAGTTTCCAGAGGAGTTTGTCGATCATGAGGTCGTCGAAGGATATGATTGGTAGAGGGAATTAGCTTGAAACGTGAAGGGGTTTGAGACTCGGATGCCAAGACATGGATAGTGAGGAGACGGGAGTTGAACGGAGGGAATGCTATGGCATGGAGCAGCATGGTGATGGTGGTGATGGTTGCTCATACAGTAATACCACGCTGTCCCAATATCATCATCTTCGCTTGTGTCTATATTGATTAGTTTGAGCAGCTCGTTACATGTGAAAGCTAAAAGTGGTAGACGTGAGACCCTGGCCGCCGACGCTGCCAGACCAGTGTTTCATCCACGATCCACGATCCACGACTCCACGAGCACGCCGCATACCGATTTCCGCAGGGAATGCCAGACGCGGCTGATTACGATTGACACGACTCTACGACTGCGAAACACTTTACAACCCGCGTTTCGCTATCTGGACGTGGTGTGCGTGTCGCGGCAACCACCCAGGCAAAGTTGAAGTGAGACAGCAAGAGGATGAATGTGTGAGGTCAGTCAGCAAAGGGAAAGGGAGTTCTCTGTTTGCGATCAAGGTGAAAGGCGGTGGCAGTGAGGAGGCAGGACAGACAAAGCAGCAGCTGAAAGGACCCCACACACGACATCATGTCGACCCTCGCCGCGCGACCGGGACATCCTACACCCGCCTTCGGCAACAATATGGCTGGTAGCGGCTCTCATTATCGAGGTCCCGCCACCCTCGCCGTGAACGGCACAGGCGTGTTCACGAGTCCGACAGAATCGGAGTTCTCAGAGTCCTATCGGGATGGAGGACGAGAGTTGGTGCAGGAATGGGATGAGGTGCGGGTGGGTGAGTGGTTGAGGAGTATCAATTGTGGGCAGTATGCCGACCTCTTCAGGAGGAACAATATTAACGGCGAGAATTTGATGGAGATGGATAAGGATATGCTCAAGGAGATGGGTGTGAAGAGGCTGGGTGATCGAGTGAGGATTAATGAGAAGGCAAAGGCGTTCCGACATGCTGTGTATAAGAGGACGAGCAAGAGGGTGGTCAATCGAGTGAGTAGTGATTAGTGCAGTGGCTTGCTTGGCAATAGTACTGATGATGTGGCACAGCACTCTCTTGCGACTCTGGACGGCAATACGACGCTCACGCCACCGTCTTCGGGCTCGCCTCGGCCTCTGCACTCTGCGAGAACCAACACATCACGTGCTGACAAGCGCATGTCTCGACAATTCGCTGGCTCGGACCTCCCATACAGCACTGCACACCTCGGTACAAAGTCATCATCACGACCCAGCTCACCCCTGATCGATCAAGAGAACCGCTCGAACCGAGTGCCACGACCGAGTCCCATGGACGGCGCTCGTAGGGAGCAGACTACCAATTACTTCTCGCAGCCGACTAGCTCGCGGCAAGGTGGAAGTTCACGAGGCACGCCACTTGAGACGCCACAGACTGCTCGGTTTGCAGGACACCTCAAGTCGCCATCCATGGACAACCTCAATTCGACTGTTGTCGGAGCTCTGCCAAGCGACAAGCCTCTGATCAAGGTGATATACGATAACGGCAGCTCTTCGATCATAAACATCGACGGCTTCCGGACTGCGGAAGACATTATACGTGCCACTCTGCGCAAGAAGGGCTGGAATGAGAACCATTACCGGTCGTATGCGTTTTACGTCCTCGACGGGATAGATCCCAAGCCCATGTTTTGTCGAAAGCTTGGCGAGGCAGAGCTCGTGAAGCTGTGTAACGACAGGGTAAGGAGTGAGCGAGGTCGTCTGATCTTACGGAAGATCCACATGGGCGAGCCGGAAGGAGAACAACTCAGGACTGCTGCACGCATAGCTGCACAGCATCCACCCGAGCCGCCTGCGATCGAGGTCCATCCAACAACACAGAAATTACGCAATTTGTCGAAAACCGAGCAGCTTACGGGTGAGCCGTTGGCGGCTGTCAGCTATCCCATGTCACCAGCTAGCCAGGCGGAGAGGAGGGACTACTTCGATGAAAGCATATCGTCACTATCACGCAACATCAGCCAAGCATCTACGGCCTCCGCTCGGGCACGGAAGCTCAAGGACTTTTATGGTGCTCGTCCGCCGACTGAGCTCATCACGCAGGATCTGCAGTCGTACTTCCCTGACGTGGCGAAGGACGATATGGATCGCACAGTGCGCATGTCGATGCGAAGAAGTCAGAGGCTCAGTCGAGCGGTGAGCAGACTTAGCACTGTGAGCAATTTCAGTGTGGCGAGTAGTCTGAAAGATGCGCCACCACTGCCTAGCATTGCGGACCACTGGGCAAAGGAAGCGGGTGCGAAACGTCCTCCTGGTCTACGACCCTTCAGCGTTGTACATCTTGGCCGCAATGATAGGCCAGACTCATACCGCGAGTCGATCATCGGCACAGTCGAGGAGGAAGAAGAGTCACCTAACGAACCAAACAGGAAGAGCTATGTCTCCTTCAGTGGAGCAGATAGCGGCTCCGACACAAACACCAGCAACCTCGCCATCACCGACCCCGAAGGCAACACGGTCATGCAGTCATACTTCGACGACACGCACAGTAGTCCCGGCAATACCGTCGGCGTCTCAGAAACCGGCAGCGGCAGCCTCAACTCCCGCCTCTCTCAATTCATCGCGGAAGATGGCGAAGAACCCGACGAAGAACTAATGGAGCACCTACAAAAAGACAGCTGGGACGACCTGAAATACATGAAAGGTGAAATGATCGGCCAAGGCTCCTTCGGCACTGTCTTCCTGGCTCTGCACGCCGTGACCGCCGAACTCATGGCCGTCAAGCAAGTCGAGCTCCCATCGGCAAGTGGCGCCCACGCAATGGACGCCAAACGCAACCAAATGATCGACGCCCTCAAGCACGAAATCAGTCTTTTGCGTGAGATGCGCCACGAGAATATCGTGCAATACCTCGGCTCCAACAGCGACGACGAGCACCTGAACATTTTCCTCGAATATGTCGCCGGTGGGTCCGTGGCCTCGATGTTAGTGAACTACGGTTCCCTCCCCGAAGGCCTGATATCGAATTTCGTCCGCCAGATTCTGAACGGATTGAGTTATCTCCATGCAAGCGATATCATCCACCGGGACATCAAGGGCGCGAACATCCTAGTCGACAACAAAGGCACCGTGAAGATCTCTGATTTCGGGATTTCCAAGCGGGTGGAGGCTAGTACGCTCCTCAACCCCACCGCCCCGTTATCCTCCCGCCGCGCAGGGCCTCGAGTCAGCCTCCAAGGCTCCGTCTTCTGGATGGCCCCCGAAGTCGTGCAACAAACGGCCTACACCAAAAAAGCCGACATCTGGTCCCTGGGCTGCCTGATCGTGGAAATGTTCACGGGCTCCCATCCCCATCCGAATTGCACGCAGATGCAAGCTATTTTTAAGATTGGGGGAAAGGGAAACCCGGAGAATGCGCGGCCGGAGTTACCGGCGCATGCGTCGGAGGACGCCAAGGTTTTTTTGAGGAGCACGTTTGAGATTGATCATGAGAGGAGGCCGACGGCGGAGGAGTTGAGGGGGGAGTATCGATTTGTTGCTGTTAAGGGGTAGGATGTTGATTGGGTGGGTGGAAGGGGCAGAGGGGAGTTTGATGACTATGGGAACAAAGCGATGCAGATTTCCGTGGTGAGATGAAAATGTCATTTTGAGACCCATGTGAGCGGTCCCTCTACTCTCTGATCTCTGAGCTGGGCTGGGCTATGCTTGTCTATGCGTGCGAGCATATGGGCGGATGAGTTGACTTGTAATGGTAATAATCGAACAAAGCTCCGAGAGGAAGTCCCTTCACTGGTGGAGGATGGACTGGTACAGCCTCTTTCCAATCCAAGGGAGAAGCACCCTATCACGTATTCGGCCGACATCTCTTTCCACTCGGTCCAACGGTGTCTCGAGAGCCGAACGTACAGCTATTACGACGGATTGGCGAAGGACTGTGTAGCAACGTAACTCACCTACCCTTCTCATCCGTTGTCAGTGTCTCTTCACGCTGACTATTGCATGGCTTGGCATAAGGCTGAGTCAACGGGCTAGGACGAATACGGCATCCTGCGCGATCCGCCAATGGTCTTCGCTTCTCACCACCTTGACTCGTTTGTGCAATTGTCGCGATTGCATCCTGATGCAGACGAGCTCGTAGTGGTGAAGTAGTCCGCTGTGCCGATGATGGTCGGGGTATGTATAAATCTGTCCGTCAGCTGTGTATCTGCTGGTATAGACAGACCACTTTTCATTGCATGTTTCTCCCTTATTACTGACCATAGCGTTTCACTGGACACCACACAATCTTCCATACTAACACATCAACGTCCGACATCACATGGCTTTCGACAGCCTGAGCAGACCCGACTCCCGAAGACAAGACAAAATGACCAGCGCTCGGGAAAACATTCCCTCGCCATCTGGCTATCCACTCATAGGCAACATCCTGGACGTCCAGGACGAAGTCCCCATCAGAGGCGTAGAACGTATGATTGACCTCTACGGCCCCATCGTCAAACTCAACTTCATGGGCACCGAGAGTATCTTCATCGGCAGCGCAGAACTGGTAGAAGAACTCTGCGACGAGAAGCGATTCTGGAAGAAACCCCCCAGTGCTCTCAGTGACCTTGCGAACAAGAAGGCGGGACCTGATGGCGAGAGAGCGCATCGAGGAATGTTCAGTGCGCCTAGCGAGGAGGATCCGGACTGGCAGCAGGCTCATCGTACGCTTATGCCGGCTTTTGGACCGCTGGCGATCCAGGGAATGTTCGACGAGATGCATGATATTGCCAGCCAGCTAGTGTTGAAGTGGGCGAGGATGGGGCCGGACGACCGTATACCCGTTACATCGGACTTTACGAGGCTCACACTGGATACCATCGCGCTTTGTGCTATGGACTTCCGCTTCAACTCCTTCTATCAAGACGACATGCACCCGTTCATTCAGGCGATGAACAGTTCTCTATCCGCTGCTTCGGATCGGTCGAAGATCGGCTCTATGCTGAAGAAGTTGCTCCCGTGGGATCGAACAGACCAGAAGGTTGCGCAGGATCGGGAATTCATGAGGAAGGTCTCACGTGAAATGGTTCAGCATCGTCAGGATAATCCGACCGAGAAGAATGATCTTCTTAATGCTATGATACATGGCAAGGATCCGAAGACAGGCGAGAGGATGCCAGATGGTCTTATCGGAGCGAATATGGTTACATTTCTGATTGCTGGCCATGAGACGACCTCGGGATTGCTTTCCTTTGCTTTTCTGAATCTCCTACAGAATCCTGAGACGTATTTCAAAGCACAGGAGGAAGTGAAGCGGGTCATTGGACGTGGCAAAATGCGGCCTGAGCATCTGAAAGAACTGAAATATATCGACGCGGTGCTGCGGGAGACACTCCGTCTCACATCTACCATCCCTGCTTTTGTCCGGAGTATCAGGAGTGACAATCCGAATGATTTCGAGCACCTCTTGGGTGGCAAATATGCCATCAATCGCTCGGACCCAGTTATCTGCTTGATCGGGAAGTCGCAGCGAGACCCGAAGGTGTATGGCGATGATGCGAATGAGTTCAAGCCAGAGCGTATGATGGACGACAACTTTGTTCGACTGCCTAAGGGAGCTTGGAAACCTTTCGGGACTGGAGTTCGTGCTTGTATTGGGAGGGCTTTTGCTTGGCAAGAAGCTCAGATGGTTATGGGGTTGCTGTTGCAGAACTTCAATTTCCGGTACGTTGTCTTTCTCGTAGGTGTGAAGGGAATAGCTGACGCGATCGCAGTCTTGACGACCCGGCGTACAAAATGAAAGTCAAGCAAACTCTCACCATCAAGCCAGAGGGCTTTTACATGCGAGCAGCATTGCGCGAAGGTGTCACAGCTACGAGTCTACAAGCCACGCTGTCGTCTCCTGAAGAGAATGTCAAAGCTGCCGTAAATGCGAGCCAACAGCGCAACGACTCCGGGCTGGCCTCGGACCTCAACCCTATGACAATCTTATATGGCAGCAATACTGGTACCTGCATGTCTCTGGCGCAGAAGTTGAGTATCGATGCCAGAGCTAATGGCTACCGTGCTACCGTCATGGACATGGACGCTGCTGTTGATGTTCTTCCAAAAGACCAGCCAGTGGTGATCATCACGGCAAGCTACGAAGGTCAGCCTCCTGACAACGCCGATCACTTCATCACTTGGCTTGAGAGACTGCAAGATAAGGAGGTGCTGAATGGCGTGCACTTTACAGTATTTGGCTGCGGTCACAGCGACTGGACCAGCACTTATCAGCGCATACCTACACTTTGCGACGACCTTATGGCAGATCATGGTGGCGAGAGGATCGTGGACCGTGGATTGAGCAACGCAGCGGACGGCAATATGTTCTCCGACTTTGACACTTGGGCTGATGGGAGGCTTTGGCCTGCCATTGCACCCGACAGTGCAGAAGCCACGAAGACGAGTCCGGTGCTCGATGTCGAGATGTCGTCGCAAGATCGGACAACATATCTACGTCAAGACGTGCAAACAGCCAAGGTCCTCGATGCTAGATGTCTGACCGCAGCAGGCGAGCCAGAGAAACGACACCTGGAGGTCGAGCTACCCGAGAACATGCACTACGAGGCTGGCGACTATCTGGCGATTTTGCCGCTGAATCCTTTGGAGAACGTTCGAAGAGTGCAAAAGCATTTCAGTCTGCCCGTAGATGCTACACTGACGATCAAACCCGGCGCAGCCACTTTTCTCCCAACAGGCGTAAGCATATCCATTCACGACTTGCTGCGAGGTTTCGTTGAGCTCAGTCTCCCTGCCACGAAAAAGGATCTGCAGGCTTGTATCGCGGCCTGCCAAGATTCAACTCAGCGTGCTGCACTCGAGAAGCTTGCCGAACAGGATGCTGTCACCGAGAAGCATATCAGTCTGCTTGACTTACTGGACAGCTACTCAGCCACAGAGATGACCTTCAGCACTTTCCTCGCCATGCTGCCACCGCTTCGTACAAGGCACTACTCAATCTCTTCCTCTCCGCTCGCCAATCCCGAAAAGTGCACAATCACATACGCCATTATCAACGAAGCCGCCAAGTCTGGTCTTGGGCAGTATATTGGTGTCACGAGCTCCTACCTGGCGGGTTTGAAAGCCGGCGACGACGTCCTAGTATCTGTCCGCTCGACAAACAAGTTCTTCCATCTACCTGCTGATCCCGAAACTACTCCCATCATGATGCTAGGAGCTGGCACGGGACTCGCACCTTTCCGAGCCTTCATCCAAGAACGTGCAACTCAGGTCGCAGCTGGCAGATCACTAGCGCCAGCCATGATGTTCATGGGGTGCCGCTCGTCAGATACAGATCGTCTTTACGCCTCTGAGATCGACGCCTGGGCAGCGGCTGGCACAGTTGATGTTCGCTATGCTTTCAGCCGTGATCCTGAGCACGAGCTCGCAAGCGGGTGCAAGTACATCTCCGACCGCATGCTCAGAGACAAAGACGATGTGCGCAAGCTGTGGCGGGCTGGAGCCAAAGTCTTCACTTGTGGCTCGCCTGCTGTTTCCGAGAGTGTGGGCAGAGCGGCGATCCAGATCTTGAAGGGAGCCAGGGCTGATAAAGGCGAACGTATGACCGACGAGGAAGCGAAGAAGTGGTTTGCAGAGAGGCGAAACGAGAGATTTGTTGTCGATGTTTTTGCTTAGGAAGTGCATGATGATAATAGGCGCTCATGGCGCTTAGAGGGAGTGCCACGGCTTGTTATGGGCGGTAAATACTGCGGTCGAGTGGGCTGTGACTTATTATCTTAGGTGCGGATTAGGTCTCGTAAGAGCTCGACGGCTACCTCAACGTATACCTCCCACCCTCTCCAAGTCCAACATACCCTCCAGAATCGAGCTACCTCCAAGCGTCCCACGCTCACCATCACAAGGTGTATCCGCCCATATCTCATGGAATTTGATACTTGCATCACTCGTAGCCACCACGAGACAGCCTTCTTTTCGGTTTTTCCGAGCATCATGACCTACTTTCCCCTCATTGCCAGTCTTTGCGGCCTTCTCACGGCCAGCCGGATGGCCGGGGTAAGCGACAGCATAGAGTGCTCTTTCTTCAGTGAACCACGGAATACCCACTACAAGCTTGCAGCTTGGCCACGCGAAGACAGCTACCCTGAAAGGGTGCTCCGGTTGCGCGAAACCAAATGTCGCTGCAATCTCTTTCCTCTTCTCGGAGAACACGAGGCTGGTCACTTGAGCGTGGCAGTCGATTGTCGCAAGACTGGCACCAGACAGGGTATGCAGGAAGTGGATGCACCGATCATTGCTGCCGCCCCCAGCTGCGACAAGTGATGGCTGCCATGGAGCAAAGGCTATGGCTTTGACGGCGGCATTCAGCGAATAGACTTTGCTTGCATGCTCAGGCGCGATGGTGAGGATAGCACCTTGACCTTCCACAGTGCCTGTATCAGAGCGCACGTTGACCGTAGCATCACTATTTCCTCGATTACGCTGTCGTGTTGCGGAAGTGATGTAGCGCGGAGTTATTTTCTTGGTCTCGAACAGAAATAGCTGGTTGTCATTGCCGCCAGTGGCGAAGAAGCTTCCCTCTGGATTCCAGGCGATTCCATAGATCTGCTGGCTGTGACAAGTAAATCGTGCGAGGAGGGTCATACTACCATGCCAGTCGAAGAGATCTCTTTGGTCGTGATCAGGCCATTCGACAGAGTAGAAGTAGACATTGCCGACTTCATCCCCGACTAACAGCTCCTCCGCCTGCGTGGTTATGATCGGATCTCGAATCGACGGCCGAGAGACAGTAGTTGGGCGGAAGCAGACGTTGGACACAGGAGCTGGCTGCTCGCTATCGAAGCGCGGATCCCGATCGAGTGGGCTCCAGAGCGTGATGCGACCGTCTGCTCTGCCGATAGCCAAGATTGCGCTGCGGCCTGCTCGTGAGCTGAAAGACAGTGAAGTGACGTGTGAAGCGAAAGGTGCGGCAAGCGAATCTGGTATCGTAGGCTTCGTGGTATCCTTAGCTTCAGACCATAAAAAGACGTGCGGGCCAAGACCGACAGCCAGACAGTGGTTCGTCGGACAGTATGCAAGCAGGGAGCAGTAGAAGTCATCTCGTAAAGCAGGTGCATCAAGCACACGAAAGGGTATGATTGGTATGTCCTTTGTAGGCTTCGTTTGGCTTCTGGTAGGCGTGCTCGGTGTAGATGTGCTCCAATGACAGTTGTCCCAGACGCGACTGATGCTTGGTGGTTGATTCGATCTGCCACTGTCGACCCTAAGCGAGGAAGGCGAGCTGTGGACAAGCATGCGCGACTCCTGATTGACCTTCATAGCCAGCGCCAAGCGACGACCGTGCATACGCTCTTCTTCGCTAAACGATGGTTTTCGCAAAAAGTCGGCGATGTGATGTGGTGCACTTGTACCGCTGGTTACACGACCGCCTCGGCCATTCGTGGTACTCAGCACGCCCTCAGTGACCATGGTGCTACCAACAGTCCAGATAGCACCATCGCTCATAGCACGGCGACCAGCATCGGCCGTAGGTACCACACCAGTGCCTCTTCTCCCGATCTCCCGCGGCAGGGGTGCAGGTGCGCGTAATATCGCATACTGCGCCGCCATGCGAACGCTACGGCGAGGTGCGGGAGCGAAGGGGTCTGCTAGATTGGGATGCAAAGTATCTCGCCCACTAGAGCTCGCTCCTGCAGGTCTTGCCAGGTACAGTGTGTCTTTTGTAGGCGTAGACGCCCGACTTGGCACAAAACGATCAGGGGATCGCATGCTCTCAGCCATAACCTGTCGTTGACGAGGTGAGGAATGCCGCTCACAGTGTTTTAGCAACATACTTGGGCGTCTGCCGCGGTAACCTGGGCCACATCTTGTTCGCGAAGAGTGTGTTTCTGTACCCTTGGCAGGGCTAGCAGGTACAAGCGGCGTCTCCTCTCCGAAGATGTCCTCCGGCTGTGACTCACTTAGGCTGGAGCTACCACTGCCATGGACTTGTCCGAGCACAGACTCCAGCTTCAAAATTCGACTCGCCTTAAGTCGCGTCGGACTCACCTCTGGTGATGTCTGAGGAGTCTCAAAGGTGCCATCAACCGGACTGAAGTCCCCCTCAGTTGTCGTCGGGCTGCTGAGGCTTGCCGTTGACCCATTCGGGCTCGTTGATCGTATGAGGTGAGCCGCTTCTTCTGACATAGGAAGGAGAAGACGGGGCAGTCTCTTGTACCGTGGGCCGTCCAGCTCGTTTCTGCGCGAGTTTCTTGGGATTGTGCCGGCTGGCGTATTCAGCCTTGGTGTCGGCGACAGCTCGCGGATCGTTGTACATTCTGGAGCCGCCGTCACTACTTGCGATGTGGACATGTTGTGGGAGCTTTTGGCTGCTGCGTGAGGCTGCTTGCTCGTGCGGAAGGTTTGTGGAACTGTGCTGCGGTGTATTGGTTCGGCTGGTGTGTGGCGTGCCTCGAGGCATAAGCTGGTTTGAATAGATTGGTATCCAGACTGTTTCGCGCTTTTTTCTTGGTCCTGAAATGTGGTAGGGATCTCCAGTTCTGTGCACGTTTCGTACCCGCTCGTCCTGAATGTATCCGATGATCTCGCCTTGTCCGGAGTGTCGATGACTGTGGCACTTGGAGCAGTGTCCACCGCTGCGCTGTTTATACTCGTATGGCCTGTGGATGCTGCTACCTTGGGAGTGCGCAGATATGGAGGATCGACTCCGCTGTACAGGGTCTGGTCGTCCAGAACATGTGGAAATGGTAGACATGCTTCGTCGCACAGGGCATGTCCGCCCTGCGTGTTCGGCGGTATCGACCCCACTTCCGAGGGGCTCTGATCGCTGACCCTGGGGTGATTTGACGGAGCGCATTGAGCTGCTGGCGTTACGAACGAGCGTTCTGCCTCGCTCGGCGACAAGACCGGGCTGGCTATCGGTTGATGCGTCATGCTCGGTCTGCTCTTCGTCGGCGTCATCGACTGTGGCGGACGCATCTTGTTTCTTGGTCTTCCGCGAGTTCTACTTGTCGGAAGCCCAGGCCTTGGACCTTGCCCATGCTCCAGTGGGCATGATAGTGGACGCATAAGTATTGACCCTGGCGATCAAATTCTTCTCGGGGCTAAGACTCGGCATAACAGCTCATGAGCTCGGTAAGCAAGTCGGGCGAGGACAACTGGTTGAGATGGGGTTGGACTCCGCCCTGGTGAGGTCCGCCAGTGGGTTTCTGTGCGTTCTGGCGTCAAAACCAGGACGCACGGAGAGTATGTAATGCTGCTGGTTAGTATATACTGTTATGGCACACAGTCTGCCTCGAGTAGTAGGAAAGACGGAGAATGATGCTGTGAGAAGCATCACGCGACGAAGCGCGGCAGCAAATGTTGAATGTTGCTGCCTTCATCATTGAGACAGCTCTCCCTCCTACCTCCACACATCTCCAATGTGCCCCGACGCCCCGATATCACACGTCCGATGAGTGATGGCAAGTGTAAGTGTGGCGATGAGGACGAGATGGAAGGAGTGAGGTTGACAATGTGCAGCACGGCATCCCCCGCGTTTCCGGCGGGACACCAGACAAGAGCGAGCAGGCACGCGAGAAGGAACAGAAGCAGATCGAGCAATACAAAGCTCTTGAGAAGAGTGTGGTTGAGCGAGTGAGGAGTAAGGACTACAGTAACGACACCTTCCAAGCGACATCACAACTCCTGACCCAGAACCCCGAGTACTACACGATATGGAATTACAGACGGCTGCTCTTGCAAGATGTCTTCGCCAAGGAGCAGGACAGGAAGGAGCAGCCTGAGACTAAAGACATAGAGGCTGCGGAGAAAGAAGGTCTAACTCCGCCACAACGAGAGATTTCGCTTTTGATCAAGGAGGACCTGCAGTTTCTGGTACCGCTCCTCAAGCAATACCCGAAATGCTACTGGATATGGAACCATCGCTCCTGGCTACTTGGTACCGCTACAAGGCTCTTACCACCTCGGAACTCCTCCGAGCTGTGGCAAAGTGAGCTGGGACTTGTGAGCAAGATGCTCAGCCTTGACAGTCGTAACTTCCATGGTTGGGGCTACAGACGTGAAGTAGTGGCAGAAATAGAACGCCTGAGCGCGAGTTCCATGGTGGAGAAGGAGTTCGGGTACACGACTAAGATGATCCAGACGAACCTGAGTAATTTCAGTGCCTGGCACTACCGCTCACAGCTCATTCCACGACTTCTGTCTGAGCGACAAGCAGACAGTGAAGCTCGACGAGCATTCTCCGACGCAGAGTTCGAATTAATCACCAAAGCACTCTACACGGACCCGTACGATCAAAGCTTATGGTTCTACCACGGCTATCTCATGTCGACACTAAATCCAGCCAACGCGCAAGCACCACCGATACTTGATCCATGCACTAACGCTGAGCGGCTACATTACCTTGAGCAGGAAATTGAGAATGTCAAAGATATGCTCGATGGTGCTGAGGACTGCAAGTACATCTATCAATCCCTACTGGAGCTGTCAGAACGCTATCTGGAAGTCGAGGCTGGTAACAAAGTCGTGATCAGCCAAGAAATGATGGCATGGCTAATTGAGTTGCGCAAGATTGACCCGCTACGGGTGGGGAGGTGGAGAGATCTGGAGGTGAAGCTGAAGTTTTAGCCTGTATATCATTACTAACGGCTTCTACATCTACCTAAAGCTTCAAATACACAGTCTCGGGCCAGTGTACTTTCCATGTGAAGACTCACCTCAGTCCCAGTAGATGGGCTGCTGATCCGCCGGTAGCTCAATGACCTGTTCAATGCCAGTATACCTCCATCGACTGATGTAAGTCTCGAAAGCACTCTCACCGTACCTGCCATTGCTCGTAGCGTATGCGCCCACCACGACACCAGAATAGTACGGCACAAGATAATTACCTCGTGCCCACCCAAAGACTCCAAGAGTATTGTTCACCACTGCACCACCAAGACCAGCACTAAACGCGTAGTGGGTAGTATTGACGGCCTCAACCTGCAATCTCACTTGTTGCCCTCGTAATTCGTCAGGGAGTGCCCACGCTTCGTCCACATACTTGAATCGTGACGGCAAGCGGTAGGAAGTAGTACTGATACCTCTGAAGCGGATATGGGGCTGTACAGGTCCGTCAGTGCCGTTAGGTATGAGCATAGCAACAGAGATATCAAAGTGTTGCGCTTGATCTTGCAAGGCCGTAACGCCTACTTCTTCTCCCTCACGAGTCAGAAGACCATCGTACTCGACGTCCACGCTGAAGCGAAACAGCGAGTGTGCTTGGCGACGAGCGAGGAAAGTCTGGCCCGCGCCACGGGTCGAGTCGGCGTCGAAGGATGTCAAGTTCAGGACCGAGGAGCCGAGACGGAGAGTATTTGAATGGCCGGGAGGCGAAACAGCGTAGTTCTTTGTGACTGGCAGACGCCAGTGGAACAGGTGAGAGGGTAAGCTGCTGTTGGGTGGGAAGTCGATCACATCATTCGACTCGCTGAGCACACCCTCGCCTTCCATAGGCACAGTAGAGGGGTCTGGATGCTGGGGAAGCACGAAGTCTCCCGTCATTATGCCGGAGACGTTCTGATATCGCGGCCAATCCCCTGTAGCCCACTTGACTGGTGTTAGGACTGCTTCACGGCCCATGGGAAAGAGTGAGTTGTAGGGATCGAAGTTGTAGCTGTAACCTGCTCGGACTGCGAGCGCAATAGCCCAGTACTGACCAAGAGCATCTGTAAATATATCTGAGTGTCCCACTGCCTGAAAGTATGATGGACTGAGGTAGGTGCTCAACACTGGATTGGCTGGGTCGCCCTCATATGGTCCAAAGATGTTCTTCGAACGTGCGACATTCGAGCGATGCCGCTCTCGGGTACCACCCTCGGCCGTCAGGAGGTAGTACCATCCGTCTTTCTTGTAGATATGCGGGGCTTCGGGCGATGGTAGTCCAGTGCCATTCCAGATGTCAACGAGCGGGCCCAGCAGCTCACCTGTGTCGAGGTCGATGGGCGCTTGTAGGATCTCTATGCCATTGTATGATCCAGTCATGTACGTCGTTCCGTTGTCGTCCCAGAAAGGCGAAGGGTCTATTCCTGGGAAATCAAAACGTACGGGATCGGACCAGTGGGATGACTGATAGATATTTGTCGTTGTCAAGATGAAGTTGTCGAAGCGGGTGTAGTTGGTGCCATACAACGCTTGGTTGGCTAGTGTAGTCAGGATGTAGAATTTGCCATCGCGGTAGCGAAGTGTGGGTGCATAGATGCCACTAGTGGAGCCTCTTGGTAGTAGGCCGAGCGCTGGGAGCTGTTCTGCTCGATTCAAGCCATTCGAGATGAGCTTCCAGTTGATTAGATCTCGACTCGCATAGATTGGCAAACCAGGGAATGTGAGGAAGCTAGAGAAGGTGCAGAAGAATGTGTTGTTGAGCTCGGCTACAAAGGTGCAGGTCGGATCTGGATGGAAGCCGGTGATTATAGGATTATGGTATGTAGAGACATTCTGAGCGAGAACGGTTGAGGATATGAGTGCGGCTGCTGCTGCTAGTACCCGTGGAAGGTGCATCCTGGAGTATCAAGAAAGCTGAACATCGATCAGGAGAAGCATGCTGGGCCCTTGTGAGCCCAAAGCGATACCTATGTACCTACCTTTGTTCATGCTCTACGATTCATGTCGCCGCCGCCGAGCTCGCCGGCTGACGTCGTTCCTGGCATACCATTCCAGCGTCTCTACGATTCTGTATGGTATGAGGTGAGGGGTAATGGTCGCCAAGGCTGCGTAGCCGTGGATCGCTCGTCATGGTGATCAAGATTATCAGAAACGCACAGCTGGGCAAGATATTCAAGCATCTTGTGGCTGCGGGGGCGGTGATCCTGTTGGTGTTGCTCAGGCTAAAGTCGGTGTTGCTAGGCTATCATTGCCGTGCCTGAGGCTGCCCAACGCTACACACCGGCCTATGAATGTCTTCACACACGCACGATGCTAGAAGCAAGTCATTGGTACAGACTGGTATCCCGCGATCTGGGACCTGGCAAGCGGAGAGCAACAGGACAAAACATTCACCTCCAGAATTGTCGCTGCTAGCTTACAGCATTTTTGGACCAATTAGCTGTGCTTACGAAATTGTCATGACATTCCTCACATATCATCTCTTGTTATCGAATGCTTCACCACGATAAGCATCGGCTGCGAGTATATAGGCGCCGGATGATGCCCCCTCTCGCGTCACGACCACAACGTGCCGGCGCCATCTAGTTTCACTAACCGCGCACTTTATTGCGCCGGCAAGTGCAACTTGACGACTGCTCCGTACTCCTTTCTTAATGGTGTGCCAATAGCGTTCTTCTGTACTCACGGTTGCGTGGCAACAAGCAGGCTCACTATTAACGACTAAATCATCATGACGGGAACATTCAACAGCGTCGATATTCTGGCCCGGCTCCATCTCTGGAAGTACAGTCGCAGTGCTTGCCTGGCGGCCATACGAGGCGAAGCTGTACCGCACGATCTCGGCCACCCACTACACCGTATCTGCACAATCCGCGGCATACGCCACCATCATGGGTTCGGAGAAGAACTTCGAGGACTGTTGCCAATCTTCACCTGCGCTCTCAATGCTCGGAGCATCATGAGCAACGCGATACCAGGAAAGAAATTTGACAGAAGTGACTCCATACTGTATCTGGTATCCTGACACGGCCTCCGAGGAGACATATCGCGATCTGGTCCGCGCCCACCCACAATTGTCCTATCAAGTTGGGCGGGCATGTGCTGTCGCTGGATACAAGCAGTTGCATGATGAGCTGGATATCCTGCTGGATGTTCACATAGCCGAGGAAGCCAGAGAGTGCGGCAAACCTTGACATTTTTTGAGACCATCGTGGCACAGCCTGTGCGGTACAGTATCATGAACGACCATACGCTTCAGATTGACCTGGAGAATCGCATATCTGCATACCTCGATGGCGATGCTGCCACTCGATGGATGCTAGATATCAAACAACAGCTTGAGGATGCTACCATTTTTGAGGAAGATGGTGAGATCATACCAGAAGACGGTGGCTTTGCCTCCTCCATTGGTTGTGAAGAGACCTTGTTCAATGTCACCATGGACATGAACATCGATGAGTTCGAATCCGATGAGGCCTCTAAAAGGTCTCTAGCAAGTTCACCCGATCGAGTAGATCTGCGACTGCTCCATGAGCCCTTGCCTCTAGATCTGCAACGGTGCAGAAGGACTTATTGATTGTCATGGCCGCTTACACCGGTAATGTCGATCGTTATGCTCGTCTGAGGAGGCCTAGGTATGTTAGGAACGAATTCAAGTGCTGCATACGCGGTATCTACCATAGCACTTTCTTCGCAGTCTGGTGCTCGAAGCAGCAAGACATGATGGCATCTGCTGCGATTCGAGAGGGCTGTCAACGCACGGCTCATAATGAACAACGTACTGTCAACAGCGCCCTATCCCAAGTACAGTACGCCATACCTTATCTGGTGGCCAGCGCAAGCTGAGGAATCCACATACCATCACCTCGCGACAATGCAGCCGGACATGCTCTTACGAATTGTCAGAGCTTGTATCCATTGTGGCTACAAGAGCCTTTACGACGAACTTTTGCCAAAGGTGACCCCAGACAAGGCACTACGCGATGAAGCGCGATCGCAAAAGGATCCTCACTTTTCCAGCGCACTGCACAGCCGACTCACGCAATTGGGCGTCGAATCGCCAGAGCCGGACAGATTTTGGAAGAAGACTATCGACATCGGGCCACCACGTAATTCATCCGAGATCTTAAAGTACCTCAGCATCAGTGATGTTAGTACGAGCTTTGACGCACCCTACGATGGATACCAGTGTGATGCTAGTAGCATTGAGCTGATGGCTTGTCTGCCGGAGGCATGGATGCTTGCCGCGGATGCTAAGGATACCGTCCTACAGCTGGACTACGTGACAATACCTGGCGCAGCGATGGAGAAGTCTCAGTCATGTTAGCCCAATGTCATATGGCATTGTACCTCACGAGAGGTAAGTCACATGCTGAGAACAGTGTCGTTGTAAAAGTAGTGTGTGCGAATTGTGTTCATGTGAGTTCGCGAGTTCTTTGGGCCAGCCTGTGATTTGAGAGCTCTACGGACTTTCCAAGGTGAATCGAGAACGCTATCATTACCACTCAATTCGTCATTTTACTATGATGGACATGGTGGCTTGAGATGCATGAATCGTCGAGCTGTAGCCGACAGAACTTCACCCCTCCAAGCTTTCAACTCCTCCTGCTGCCATCTCCATGATCACACCAGCTACCCAGCAATACTTTCGCTATTTCATTACACTCTAGATGGAGAACCAAGATCATCATCGCTTGAACAGCTCAAGATGATTCGTAGCTTCACTGATCGAAACCTTCGTATGTTCGAGTAGCGCCATGGCATTTGACGGAAGCGGGCGAAGACATAACTTCCGCTTCAAGGACAACCTTTCCTCCTCATCTCTCTTTACAAAGCCAGGCATTGACACAATTGCGTGTTCAGGGACGCATGGACTGTATCAAGGAAGGCTATAAGTATAGCATCTGCAACTGGTTTCTGGCCGCCACCTGCTGCAGCACATCCGACTTCGTCTGACAACTAAAATCATCCTCGTCATCACCCTCTTCATCATACTACCATCTTTCTCACTACATAGTATCCCGTCCTTCCTCACCTGCTTCCCAAATAATGGCTCCCTTCATCTTCGAAGTCTTCTGGTCCCGCTTCAACCCACCCAAAGACACCACCCCCTCCTTCGCAGGCAAAACCCTCATCATAACCGGGGCAAACACAGGCGTAGGCTACGAAGCCGCTCTCAAATTCGCTCGTCTCGGCACACAGCGTCTCATCCTAGGTGTACGCAGCCTGAAGAAAGGTGACAATGCCAAGTCCCGCATCGAAGCCACGCTCGACCAAGAAGGCGAAAAGCGGCAAGGCACGATCGAGGTCTGGCAACTGGATATGCTCAGCTATTCCAGTCTCCAAGCCTTCGTCGCGAGAGTAGAGAAGGAAGTCCCGCGGCTGGACTATCTCGTGCTGAATGCCGGGATAGTAATGGCGACACATCAAATGTCAGACTACGGCTGGGAGAAGACATTGCAAGTCAATGCTCTCTCCACCACACTTCTAGGTCTCCTCTTGATGCCCAAACTTCGAGCCTCGAAGACTCCGGAGTTCACGCCCGTTCTAGAGATCATAGGCTCAGGAAGCGCATACTGGCCCTCCAAACTCCTCACTTCCAAAAGCTCCGGAGGAATCCTAGCAGCCTACAACGACCCCTCCAACTTCGACGCAGCGAATACCTATGCCGTCTCCAAGACTTTCGTCGAGTATATCAAGACCGCCCTCGTGTCACTCGCCACGAATGCCCAGACCGGGGAGCCAGATGTCGTTATCGTATCCGTCTGTCCTGGGCCCACGAAGTCAGAGGTAGCGAGAGATCATACGGTATGGTGGATCGTGTTCGCGATCAAGATGTTTCGTTATCTTCAGAGAAGTGGAGAGGAAGGGGCGAGGAGTTATGTTAGCGGGTTGTTTTTGAGTCAGGAGGGGCAGGGGGCGTTTTGGCAGCATGATAGGATCAGGGAGTAAGTACTGTCAACTTTCGAAGAGAATGCGAGTCCATGTGATATGCTAACACGGATCTCCAGGCCAATGCCGTTGTTGCAAGGTGAAGAAGGAGCAAAGCATCAAGAACAAGTCTGGGAGGAGATTGTGGAGGCGTTGAAGAAAGATGTACCGGAAGTGAAGGACCTGGTCTAAGTCTCACCATTTGATTTCGCGGGCCGCATATTTACATAACTAGTTTTCATCTCACAGCAGCTCATAGCATAATACATCAGCTTTCACACCTCACCATCATCAAAACAAATTTCACCTCAAGCTCCCCTAGCCTTCTGAATCATTCCAAAAGCCCCCTTGACTCGATCCAACTTTCCCGGCTTCGTCCCCATACTGCCCTCTGCCAACTTCCCATCCCTATCATACCAACACCCATCCTCCCTCACCCTCCCAAACAGCACCGTATTCTGATTCCTCTCGATCCCCTCCCTCCACGTCCGACAAACAATCGGACAATCGATCATCACATTCACCTCCTGACTATGGAAATACGACTGAGTATCTTGGTTCCCTGAACCCTGAACCGTAACGGCCTCGTCGGCGATGAGAAGCTTGATATGGCAGGAACGTTTCTTGAACGAATTATGGATCGGGTGGTCCTGATCCGCGGCGACGTAGAAGTAGATTTTCAGTCTCTCCTTCTCCTCGGAGGTATGCAGGTCCTCGTAGATAGACCGCGCAGCCATTTCGTTCGTGCCGCCTTGGCCGGGCAGAAGTTCACCTAGGTCGTTGTAGCCTAGGCAGACGTAGTATGTTACCTGGACGTCACGTTTCACCGCTTCGGCTAATGCTGGGAGCAGAGGTTTGGCATTGAGATCGGGCGTTTGGATGAAGATGCTGCGTTTGGCGTTGCGGATTAGGGAGAGGAAACATTCGTTTTGCGGCACGAATTCGGATTCGTTGTTTAGGTTTGGATAAGGTTTTCGTGATGCCATGGCTATGGGGACCGCGTTTGTTGGTGGGGTTGGGATGAAGGGGAAGTAGTGGAGATCCGGTTCTCGTTTGGGGGCTGTGGCGTGAAGGTCGAGTTTGGTCGGTTTGTTGAGATGGCGACAGATCGCGTCGGCATGAGATTCCCCTTGGCGTGGTCTGAGGACGGAGCGCATGCGGTCGATTTCGCCGGCGATGGTGTCGTCGTAATGTGGATTGCCTGGGTCGTGTTCGGGTAGCTCGATGTCGATTGGCTTTTCTGGTATGCGGAAGGCACCATTCGACTCGAACAGGTGCTGGAAGCTGGCTTCCTGATATGTTGGTGGTGGTTTAGACACTGCAGTCATATCGCGGCACGGGAGTGGAGGTTCAAGCTTGTTATGCCAGGAGACCATGAAAGTCTCCCAGACGCTATCGACGATAGGACCTTCGATGTGCGACATCATCTCGGTGTTATCGTTGTCCATGATGTTATTGCTCGAGATCGTCGCCATCTCACGGTCGACGACCATGAACTTGCTGTGGAAGGTCCCGAGTGGCGGCTTGTGGAAGTTGAGGACTTCGAAATCGAGATTAGGAATCTTGGACAGATGCGGTAGACCAACGACATCACCTGTCCACGCCTTCTCCTTGACCATCTGATGAGGCTCCAGGAATTGCTTCGCATCACCACGATCGTACATTAGCTTGAAGACAACACGCTGGCCGCGCTCGCCTGCACGTCTTGACAGTTCGATCATGGCGTCGGAGATCATGTCGCTAGCTTGCGAGTGCTTCCAGAAGTTTGTCGCCAGACACACTTCGCGCTTGGCGCGAGCGATGAGGTTCGACATGTGCCTGACTTGATCGTTGAGCGGCGCGATGATAGTGAGCGGCACAAATCCGGTCGAGCCGCACAGTTGCGGGGATACGCAGTTGGCGAGTGCATCGTGGTCGAGACATTGCAGAAGATCGTGGTATGCACGGAGAAAGAGCTCACTGGGTTGAGTGTTGCCGAAGTTGCCACATGCTCGAGCCCATTCGAGGTCTTCTACAGTCGCAGGTCGACGGTGTTCTGGTGCTTTGGTGGATGGCGACTTGAGGTGGTGTGACGCCCACAGCTTCTCCGCTATCTGGCCAGGCGATTGCGTGGGATCTTGAGCGTACAGTGAGCTGATGGTGTCTTTGGAGTGACACCATTTCGAAATCCTATCATGCGTATCTGTGCTGGTAGCAGTCACGCTATTGCCATTGCCAGCCTCGCCCATTCTTGCGAGGTGTGATGTGGAGACAGAAGGTTCAAGAAGTGCCTGCGAGTCAATGCCAAGCTGAAGCCAAGAGGAGCCAAGAAGCTTAGCTGGCGAAGTGAATGTTCTTATATAGTGAGGGTGGGAGCACGCGATCAACCTTAGTGCGGTTGCTTTAAGCAGGTTTGAGAGCTCCAAGACCAGGGGCATACTGTAGCAAGAATGGGCCGCGTGGGCTATAGTGAAGATGACGTACAGTCTTACCTGTCTTGCGCATTGAAACTTGCCTTCTCCTACAGGGCCCAGAAGCGGGCAAGAGCGAAACAGGTCTCGTGCGGCTGGGCGACTTGCCGTGGACATCTTGGCGCAGAATGATGAAGATTGGAACATGATGTTCTTCAGCATAATGTTACAAGGTCGAATGAATCCGAAAGTTGTGGCCATGATAATTGTTGGCAGAGTGCTCAGAAATCGGTCAGAGGCGACTGTTCCGTATCTAGCTAGCATACCCGCTACGGGACCGTCCGCTGCGTTCTGACAGAAGCGTGCTAGTTCGCCGCCAAGGCCACGCCATAATTCTGGAGAAGGATTTCGCACACGATGCAGCGGAAGCACTACAGGACGTACCAGGCCAACCTCCCGCCATCTATCCTTCAATCTTGACACAACACCGTCAAGATGAAGCTCAACATCTCCTTCCCCTCCAACGGCACGCAGAAACTGGTCGAGATCGAAGATGACCGCAAACTCCGCGTCTTCATGGAGCGCCGCATGGGCCACGAAGTCCCCGGCGACAGCGTCGGCGACGAGTTCAAGGGCTACATCTTCAAGATCACCGGCGGCAACGACAAGCAGGGCTTCCCCATGAAGCAGGGTGTCATGCATCCTACGCGTGTGCGCCTCTTGCTCGCCGACGGCCACAGCTGTTACCGCCCCCGTCGTACCGGTGAGAGGAAGAGGAAGAGTGTGCGTGGTTGCATCGTCGGGATGGACCTCTCAGTCCTGGCTCTCAGTGTTGTGAAGCAGGGCGAGGCGGACATCCCTGGCTTGACGGATACCGTCCTGCCCAAGCGTCTTGGTCCTAAGCGCGCGACCAAGATCCGTCGCTTTTTCGGTCTCAGCAAGGAAGACGATGTGAGTTTACGCTCTATCTCCTCTTCGCCAGTCCTTTGCATCCACTTTACTGTTGGATGCGAGGGCTGAGTCTGAGACGTATAGTCTTGCTAACGAAGTTCTGTCTGTTTGTTCTAGGTCCGCAAATTTGTCATTCGTCGTGAGGTTCAGTCGAAGAAGGAGGGCGCGAAGCCGTACACCAAGGCACCTCGCATTCAGCGTCTCGTCACTCCTCAGCGCCTCCAGCACAAGCGCCACCGGATGGCTCTCAAGCGTCGTGCTGCCGAGTCTGCCAAGGATGCTGCCGTGAGTTATAGTTCACATTATCTGTGCACGATGGATTACTGACTTCATCACAGAACGAGTACGCCCAGATCATGCACAAACGTGTCAGCGAGGAGAAGAGCAAGCGCGACGAGCTCCGCAAGAGGCGTGCGTCCAGCATGCGCAAGTAGAGGGAGGATGACAAGGAGGAGCATGGTTGTCATAGATGTTCGACTTATCAGCGAGCGATGTCTGGCATAGAGCCATGAGCCATGAGCATTCGAAAGGCGTTGGTAGTGTTGAAGCCTGTGGTATGTGTTGCTGCTAATGCTGCATATGCTGTATCAAGAAAACCATTCACCCGCATTTGAACCATGTCCTTCACAACTTGGCCATCGTCCTCATTGTCGTGAGCAGATGCACCAGTATTGAACACTATAAAATGTTCTCCTTGCTCACTTACTCCTTCGTTACCAGCCTTGATGTCGCTGCCACATGATCCCGAAGAAAAAGTCGACGCTAGCGGGGAACCATCGATTCACATCTGAAAGCAAGCACTTCAGAGCTTCTTCCTGTATGCTTTTCACCATGCAAACACATATTCTTCCTCACAGCTCACTGATAGCGGTAGCAACAGCGTCGCACCAACATGGCGACCAACTCGATCAAACTTCTCACGGGTAACAGTCATGGGACGCTGGCGAAGCTCGTCGCCGATAGACTGGGCATCGAGCTGGCGAAAGTCATGGTGCTGCAGTATAGCAACAACGAGAGTAGTATTTCTATCGGGGAGAGTGTGAGGGATGAGGATGGTATGTCATATGAAATTACGAGGTGAAGATGTGTATGTACGCATGCTAATGGTGTGTCTTTGTGGTGATATAGTCTTCATCATCCAATCCACGGAGCCGGGCAACATAAACGACCACATAATGGAACTCCTCATCCTCATCAACGCCTGCCGCACCGCCTCCGCCCGCCGCATCACCGCCGTCCTGCCCAATTTCCCCTACGCCCGCCAGGATAAAAAGGATAAGAGTAGAGCTCCCATTACCGCCAAACTCATGGCCAATATGTTGCAGACGGCGGGCTGTAATCATGTCATCACGATGGATTTGCACGCGAGTCAAATCCAGGGCTTCTTCAATGTGCCTGTTGATAATCTTTATGCTGAGCCGAGTACTCTGAGGTGGATCAGGGAGAATTTGATGGTGAAGGATTGTGTAATTGTCAGTCCGGACGCGGGAGGGGCGAAACGAGCAACTTCTATCGCGGATGGGTTGGATCTGGGGTTTGCGCTGATACATAAGGAACGCGCGCGGCCGAATGAAGTCAGTCGGATGGTGTTGGTGGGTGATGTCCGAGGCCGGATAGCTATCATCGTGGACGATATGGCGGATACTTGCGGGACACTGGTCAAAGCAGCAGACGTAGTGATGGAGCACGGTGCCAAGGAGGCCATTGCGATCGTGACGCATGGGATTCTGAGCGGGAATGCGTGTCAGAAGCTGAATGGGAGTCAGTTGAAGAAGCTGGTGGTGACGAATACCGTGCCGCATGATGAGAAGAAGAAGTTGTGTGATCGGTTGGAGACGATCGATATTAGTCCTACGGTGAGTAAACCCCAGTCTACTCCGATGGGATGAGGATGTGCTGATTTGTTTTGTTCGTTGTAGCTTGCGGAGGCCTGCAGAAGAACACATAATGGCGAGTCCGTGTCCTTCCTCTTCAAACATGCGCCTTTGGACTAGAAGTTCAAGGCTGCGAATGGGTGGGAGGGAGGCGTGGGCGTGAAGCGGGAATGAACGAAGACTGCTCAGAAGACGGGACTAGAACGGCGAAGTCTTCGCACGCTCCCATCAATACCACGGCGGCTGAAATCACTGCTTGATGGCGTTTGAATAGATGGATGCCTGCGGCCATCACTCCTGGGTGTATTCGTTATACCTACTTACATGCATCATTGATGCTGAGCGCTGGCGCTGGCTCGGCGTAGATAATCCTTCACGGCTACAGTTCAAAGCTCGTATCATCATCTCTCCCATTCGCCACCTTACCTTCCTCTGCTCCGCTACCTCATCTGAGCCCGGTCGACATAGTTGACGGTAAGCGATCGGACTGCATTGCCGACGTTTGAACGCTCCTGCTGGATGGTGAGTAGATCTCTTCATATCCACAGGTAGTTGTAAGTAACGATCGAATTCGATGCTCAACAAGCCGGTATAGTAGACTACATCAACGAAGACGCTATCTATCACACTGATTCGTACCGCACGCTCTTGCCGCACAATCCTCAGCCGCTTGATCACAAGCAATTGCTAGACAGTTCTTAGCCGTTTGACCATGACAAAATCTGAGGGTCGATATGACTTGTCACCTGACAATTTGGCATGTGTATCTGCTGCCACGAACGTTCGATCATGGATGAATGTCAGAATAGTGCGGGACATGTAGCAAGATTGCGGTCTTGATAGCCAGTGGAGCAGAGTTCCGGAGATGCAGATTGGTATCCCGTGTGATTAACAGCGATCCAATCCACTGTGGCGCAAACGACCTCGCCGCCGAACTTTTCACTGTGGCTTTGATTAATGAGCCAGGGTGAGACGATATTGGTACAAGTGTCTGCCTGTTCCAAGTACAGTCCTCACATTTATATGAAGCTGAGCTCGTGGAGAAGCTTCGCGAGCAAACGATGGCCACGTTGTATAAAGCAAAGCAACAAGCCGAGGGTTCGAGGTCTGAATTATGTTGTAACATAACAGCAAAACGAAAACGTTCGGAACGCTACGTGCTGTAGAATCAGTACAGGAGAAGCAGAGTGAAGAGTGAAGGACATGATGAAAGGCCAGAAGCACAAAAGAAGATGAACTTCTCACTTTACCAAAGCCGGCTATCACGGTCACTGCTAGGCAGTAGGCTCTGGAATTCCCCACCAGATTGTATTTTGTGCCGCCGGTCGAAAGGAGCACCTTGGCGATGAAGGAGGAGGAAACTCGGGGTTTCGCTGCTTTTCCCGGCTATCACGGTCACTGCTTTGCAGTAGGCTCTAGAATTCTTTCAACTAGATTGTATTTTGTACCGCCGAATCGATCGAAAGGAGAACCTTGGCGAGGAAGGAGAGAGGAAGACTCGAGGTTTCACTGCTTCTTTTGGTCGGCCGGCACCCGTGTACTGTAATATCGCCAGCCTAGGTGTTGGTCGTGTTCAGTTTCGCGGCCAGTCTCACCCGTGTACTGTAATATCGCCAGCCTGGGTGGTTCGTCGTGTCCAGCCTCCGTAGGGAGGGAATGAGCTCGCTCGGAATCGAACCGAGGGGACCTTCGGGGCCCGAAGGCGAAGAAGGCATGTTAAACCACTACATCACGAGCCCGTATTGGTGGTTGATGGATGAACACACTGTTTGAACGATCTATATTGATTATCGGCGGCACTTCGGACTTGGTCGCTGTGAGTGATTCTGGGCGGGCAGCTTGCGATATCCCAGATTGTGGTAATGTACGGCACCTATTGGCGAGCATTGATCATGATAGAGGTAGTCTTGAGAAGGCAAGGAAGTCGTCTGGTTAAGGTGGGGACGAATGGTGTTTCATTACGAGAGATCTGAATACGGTCAGTACTTAATCATGTTGCTACAAGCAGCAAAAGACTTACTGAGACATCTATTCGCACAAGCATTCATCGATCTCGTGGTCACCACTGCTCGAATTTAGCTAAAGCTGGTGGCCATACACCAACTGAATATCACATTAACGAGTCCGCTGTGCCACACTATGACCTAATTACACGCATGGTCATGGACGCCACTGTTTGACAATTCAAGATCCATGGCACGTATTGCTTCGAGAGTGTGGCTGCGTGAACTGAAAACTCATGCATCGGGCGAGGAGTATGCGCAGCGAAAAGCAGAGTGAAGTGAAGTGAATGGAAGAAAGCCGTCTGACTAATCCCGTTCTTGCCCGAAAGGGGAAGTTATCACATGCTTCGAACATTTATACGACACTGCCATTATAGCACTCCACCATTTCCAAATAGCGAGACATGAGCATACCGATAGCTGGTCGCATGGCCGGCATCGACATGTATGCAGCATTTCATGCATCACGAAAGAACAGAGCACAGGTCTTCTTCCAGCAATGTCGACAATTCGCCGCATCGAAACGATCACGTACAGCCACGCCCAGCCATGCCACTACCGATGCATATATTCCACCCGATAGTCTAGTCCACGATGTGAACGCTTCCGGGTCTACGCCTCGCAACGAACAGCGGAATGGGAGGCCTTATCTGGAGCACAAGACAGCAAACACTACCACACAGACACCCATCACGGTTGAGAGGACCTTAGATGTTAAGGATGGCGAAGCCGATGCTGCTGCAACCAATGCACAAGATTCTGATGGGAAGGACGACCATGTGGTCGCTGGCAAGCACACCACCAAACCAGACAACCGTGTGCGGACTTCGAGGGAGACCAAAGCGGGCGCTACATCGGACGACGTACCAAAGACAGCCCGGGAGCAATCACGTCTAGCTCGCAAGATGCGTAGAATCCAAGCAGGCACGCATAACAGAGACAGTCAACTACATCTACAGCAGGATCCTGGTCAGGTCGAAAGCGTGCTCGCGAAGCTGGACGAGCTCAAGACATCAGAGCCGAGCGTGTGGGCAGGATTCGAAAACAATGCTACTCCGGTGCAAGCCCGGAAGCCTCTCAGGCCTTTGAGCGAATTGCCTCTGGAACAAGAGACAGCAAAACCTACGAAGCTCGAGCCAAAGCCAAGGAGAGAACCCTGGCAGATTCAAAAACGAGTCACTGAGCAGAAGTTTGGCGAGACAGGCTGGCAACCACGAAAGCGCTTATCGCCCGATACACTAGAAGGGATACGTGCTCTTCACGCTTCGGACTCGGCCACTTACACGACAGAGATGTTGTCAGCCCACTTCAAAATCACACCGGAAGCTATACGTCGGATCTTGAAGTCAAAATGGCAGCCCAACGACGAAGAGTCCGAGGATCGCAGGGCGAGGTGGGAGAGGAGGGGAGCGAAGAAGTGGCAGAGTATGGCTGAGCAGGGGATGAGGGCGCCTGCTAAGTGGAGGGCTATGGGTGTGGGTGGGGAGGAGGGATTGAAGGAGGAGAGGCTGCCAAGACGGAGAAAAAGCAAGGGCGAAGACGGGTTGAGTTGGGATGATGTTGTTGGTGGATTGCCAGAGCATGTCGAGGAGAGGAGCAGGAATGACTCGTTGGCTGATAGGTTGTTGTGAGCTGGTCTCACATAACAGTGGAACATAATTTTGTAGGGCTACTGTGTCATGACACAGAAACAAAGCTCAACATTTAGCCACGATGAGTCTTTTTATACTCGACCTTCCGGAGACTTCGGTAATGGTAGCGCTCTGTTCGATAAAGGTATGCTTGTAATATCTGCATGTGTCCTGCTACCACCATACGACTATACTTCTAGAGCCTGTGCCGACCCCACTCCTGCACCATCGCTCACCAACCCAGCAACCCCATAAACCTTAAGCGGAACCTCAATATCGAAGCTCTCGGCCATCAATCTCTCCTTCGCGATCAAGACAGTCCCACGCTCATCAGTACCCAGCTCCTCCAACAACCCATAATCATGATCCTCTTCTCTCCCCTCCTCGTACCCATGTGCCGGTACCGACCGCGCAGTGATAAATTCGACCCTCAACCTCCAAACCAAATTCACACCCGTGGTCTCAAAGGTAGGAGTAGCTGAAGCCGGGATCGCCAGACTGAAGGACACAGTGCGCGCGAACAGGGTATTCTCTGCCACAGAAGCGTACGTCTTACGTGTGACGCGATTGATGGAAGCCGTGCTTCGTAGAGCAAGGGATGGATCTACGCGTTCAGCGCTTTCGAGCTCGATGAGGATGGAGTATGTGGGCGCTTGATGCAGCCCTGTACCTGGACCGGGAGCAGTAAAGTCAATTGTCCCTGTCACGGCTTCGCCGAGGCGGTAGGCAGGCCGGAGAAGGGTGAGGACTGCGACTGGTTGGCCTGAACGAGCAATGTTGAAGCGATTGGGACTTGCTGCGGCCGCTTCAGAAGGGTTCTGTGAATTGGTGGGGACGTGGTTGGAGCGGAGGATCGCGAGGTCGATTGCTTCTCTGATTGTGCCGGGGGAATGGTCTGCGAAAGTGTCGTTTGGCGAGGACATTGGGGAGTGTGAGGGTGGCGAGGTGGGTGAGAGAAGTGCGCCGTTGGTGTCGCGGGTTTCGGAGAGTAATCGTTCAGTGTAGCGTAAGAAGTCTTCTAGTCCTTGTTTGGGTGTCTTCTGTGTCTTCTGCGGCTCCTTTGCTAGAAATGTTGGCAGGCCAGATATAGAAGGTGTTCCGGGTGTGATGCTCTTGCTCCTCGCAGCATCCTGCAGAAGTACGTATGGCGACATGAGATCATGCCCGAGCGTCTCGCCACGAGCATTATACGACCCAAGCACGCGGAACGGTATCTCGACTTGCTTGATCGCTTGTCCACCCGGTCGTTGTATACCCAACGTAAGATAGTATTGCACCTTGATCGCACGCCCACGATGGCTTGGTGGCAATCCACGAGGTAGCGCGAAACTGTAGTTAATGCTCTTGCTCTCACCAGGCGCAAGCCGTAGGTCAACGAAAAGCAGATTCTGCGGCGTCGATAACAGTGGCACGCTGCGTGACCCGGCCGTTGCCTTCATCAACGCCATTGAACTCATATCATCGCCACCAAGCAGTCCGCCCAGCGATTCGCCAATATTGCCCCAGCTGAAAGCGCCAAACATACCTGAGCTGCGCTTTGAACGCTCGATGCCCACAACGCCACCGCCACTCTGCACACCTTTCCGTTTGACTTCCTCGAACGGTGCAGCGTTGACCAGACTACCGTCCAGTATGAACCTGCCCATCGTCTGTGCATAGCCCATCATAAGTGTTTCTGGTTCGGCAGGTTGGCGGTAGCTGGACTGGCGTGAGCGTGGTGTCTGTTGCACAGGGTTGACTCGAGGCAGCAGTCTATCATCCTGCTGAACTAGGATAGGTGCCTCGGACGTTAAAGTCTCATCGCTGTTGTTGCTCATGCTATAAAAGTCGCCACTGCTGCGTGGTGTACTACTCATGGTAGAGGACTCGGACATGACTCGCGTGACAGGGTTGAGGTTGCTCAGGGCACCAGACCATCCTTCAGGCGGCCTGGGAGAAATCGGTCGCTGTTGAGCAGAGTGCATGGTCGAAGGACTTCTAGGTCGAGGTTTGGGAGGCGATGAATCCTTTACTATTGCTGGCTGGGCCGGAAATTTGAATCCCGTATCTAACGCGTTCGGTTTAGAACTTCTGCGTTGTCCGTTGGGTCCACCTAGATTCGGCGTACTGTCCGCGGAGACAGTGCCCGGTCGTCGTCGAGGTGGCCGGAGAGGCAGTGCATCCTCTGCCATGGCTGGTGGCGTACTTGACTCATATAGAGGCGAAGGCTGTCGAGCTGCTGTGATACCCAGACCATGAGCAGTATGTGAAGTCGTCGCACCTCGAGTGGTCACTTGCAGACTCGCACTTCTGCCATGGCCTCTCGCTGGTCGCTTGCCTACCACTGGTGCTGTATGTGGAGCTCTACTGTCACTAGGAGCATCGCTGCCAAGAGACATGATCGATAGTGATCTTCCATGACCCTTCGCAGACCGCATCGCGCTTGGTGGTGTCTTCATGGGCAGTGGTGCCGAGTGCAGACCGCTCTTTGACTCGGCACTCACAACATTGAGCGAAAGTGTTGGCCGATGTCCTCGGACTCCAGGCGCACTTCTTGCTGCCATACCAGAAGATCCAGCTCGCGAAGGAGCTGGTCGTAGTTGTGCTACCGAAGCTCTCCGACTCCCAGCGGCTGAGGGCGCATTCGAAGCCGTCCTTCCGTGACTGTGTCCATTGGCTAGTGGTGTCTCGCTATCAACCCCTTCCTCTTGCTCGCACGTCCTGGCGATGTTCCTGAACGTGATGATGCATTCTATCACCTCTCCTGCATATACACTCGGCTCCCTCCACTGCACGAAGGCACGAATGTTCGAGAGTGCCGACGTGGGTGGCATGGTGCTCGTCGCAAGAGCTCCTCACTCAGCGCAAGCATTGTTGCTGCGCGTCTTCACCATCGATACATACACGGTCTGCACGACCAGACGTGAAGCCGGAGTCATTCACTGCGCGATGGCGTGGTATCTAATAGGGCTAGGTTCATATGTCAACATGGATGACATCGGCCTTGGCATGCTCCCGCTGTCATCCCCAATTTGGAAGTTCTGAAGTGGCCGCAAGAGTTGTCGAGCCGCTTAACCATCTGATCATCGATATAGATGCTGGTAGCCTACCTGCAAAACACGTCTCCAGCGATACTTGGAGCATGCTGTGGTGCAAGCAGCACGTGAAGATGCATGCCAAGCTTTTGCAAGGGCAGGCACCTGCAGCTGCTGCTTGTTTGTGTAACCATTCTCATGCAGCCTTGAGCTCGTGTTCATGGTAGGATAGAATGATTATATACATCCCTGACAAATAAGTACACCACAATGGCTGTGGCCACATCAAGCGGCGATGGCGAGCCCAACGAGCCACATCGGGATATTTTAAGATCATACCAGCAGGAGATGCTCGAATCCAGCCTCGAAAGAAACACGATCGTAGTCGTGCGTTGGAACTCACCCTGATGGCACTGAGGCAGCTCCAGTGGCTGACCAATCTGTCTAGATGCCGACCGGTAGTGGCAAGACTCTCGTAGCCATCGCACGCATTCGCGCCGAGCTCGAACGAACCAGCTCGGATAAGGCATGCCAAACATCGTGCTACCTGTAAAAGGAGAGCACTTGGAGGATTCATCATGTTGCTAACTTCCACACAGCTCATCTGGCTCCTGGCAAATAGCGTCGAACTCAGCAACCAGCACTTCCAAACACTTAGCCTCCATCTATCAGCCTATCGCATCATCTCCCTGACAGGCGCGGATGGCGTCGATAACTGGTCAGATCAGCGACGATGGGATGCAGTCTTACTCAACGTCAGAGTGGTAATCGGGACCCCAGCCGTACTCAAAGATGCTCTTACTCATAGCTTTGTGCACATGTCAAAATTGTGTCTGGTCGTGTTTGACGAAGCCCATCACTGTATCAAGAACGACCCGATGAACGCCATCATGAAGAACTTCTACCATCCGGCCAAATCTCGAGCTGAACATGTACCACATATTCTCGGTCTTACTGCTAGTCCGGCTATCAATCCGAAGGCTGGTAGTCTTCAGCAGCTCGAGGCGAATCTCGATGCTACCGTGATCACGCCAAGGAGGTCACTGGACGAGCTCATGAAGTTCGTCTACCCGCCACATATCGCTATGATACAATACGCCGCTTCCGATGAGCTAGGCTACCCTGGGGCTGATGGTGTGTGCTCGGCTCTCGAAAATGCTGCGCTACACTACGACTTCTCGAGAGATCCTTATGTGCTTCAGCTTCGCAGATACGATGACGATAAGGCGCGTCGAGACATGCAGAAAGTGCTGGAAAAACAGAAGACTCACTGTAGCGAAGAACTCCGCGTTTTGAATCGACGAGCAGCCACTATGTATGCACAGCTAGGTGTAACAGCGGCACGAGAGTTTATCCTGACCTGTATCGAGCGATTCGAAGCATCGACTGTACAGATCATGGTCATGCCGGATACGAGTATGCATGAGCAGCAGCACTTGTTGACGATACTCCAGAAAATTCGATCAAATGCCGCGACACTTTGCGCTGGTGCAGTCGCCTGTCTATCATCCAAGGCTGAACGACTCGTCAGTCTGTTGTATGAGCAAGCAGCTCAAGTCGCCGGAGCTGGCAGAGCCATCATCTTTGTAAGAGAGCGGGCAACGGTTGTGGGTCTGGCTGATATATTGTGTCGTTCATCGAAGCTCAAGTGCTTGTATCAAGTTGGCGCATTTGTCGGTACTTCCTCTTTCGATGGCCGTTCGAGCATAGCGGACCTCGCGGAGCTTAGGAAGCAGGCTGAAGATCTTCGACACTTCCGAGAAGGCAACAAGAATTTGATTATCGCCACTAGTGTGCTGGAAGAAGGCATCGATGTCCGTGAGTGCAACCTGGTCATCAACTTCGACGCACCAGATACACTTATCGGCTTTCTGCAACGGCGTGGTCGTGCGAGGAAGGAAGGCTCGAAATACTACGTCCTCGTGGAAGAAGGCAACGACAAGATTGATCCGTCGAAATGGCGATCACAGGAAGAGCAGATGAAGCAAGAATACTCGGACGAGCAGCGCGAGCGACAGCTTGCCGAATCATTGGACGAGAAAGCGATCAACACACGTGTCTATCGCATACCTTCGACTAGTGCACTACTTACGCTCCACGATGCCAAGGCTCATCTCCATCACTTCTGCAGCGTCAGCACATTTCAAGCGAGCAACTATATCGATACAAGACCTGACTACCATGCCACATCCACTGTGGACCCATCCGGCGAGAAGTCCTGGACTGCAAGGGTAACGTTGCCTTCATTTGTCGATCCGAGTCTTCGAAGTGCCAGCAGTCGTGGACCGTGGAGAAGTGAGACCGCGGCCATCAAGGACGCAGCTTTCGAGGCATATATTGCACTTCACAAGGCTGGACTGTTGAACGATAGACTCTTGCCTCTGGTTAAGGCGCCAGTCGCTGACGCTGGAGGGCATGTCGATCAGCCTAGCATTATAGAAGTGGCTGCGAGGCTTGACTCATGGGTGGTGCTCGCCAAGGCTGTCGAAGCACAGCGGACACAGTGGCATGCTGCAGAGGTCTCCATTACTTCGTGCGATGGCCAGTCGTTCGTGATCACCATGCTACTGCCGGTCCCGTTGACTGCCGTGCAATGCTTCATGCTATACTGGAACGAAGCAACAAGCTACACGGCCACCATTGCTGCTACCAAATTACTTAATGTCGAGCCAGAACAGCGGGCTGAGCTCCGACAGCATACGCACGCGATGCTGCAGATGTTGCATTCTTCGCGCATGGCGCAGGACAAGAACGACTTTCCTTTCCTGCTATACATGCCAACACATATTCAGGTTGTTTGTGTCCCTGCACTGAAGCGCTTCATATGTTGGAATGAGGACAACATTGATCCGGCGCTCGTATATGTCGCGGATCGCCCGGGCAAGCCATATATCCTTCAGCGACTTGCGACCGGATCCTTTGGTGAACTCGATCTCGTCGTCACTGCTTTCGCGAAGCGTAAGGACTTCCTGCACCCTGTGGCTGAGCGCCTGTGTATCAATACTGCATACACTAGCGAAGAAGTCTTTCCGGCAAAGGACTGCACCGTTCATACAACGCCGTTCGAATACTGTCTGTTTGCTGCCTTCATACCATCATTTCTACATCGCATCGACACACGGCTCTTGGCAGAAGACCTTCGATCAGGGTTGCTTCGAGACCTGCACATCGGGGACGTCGATCTAGTTTCCGAAGCCATCACCGCGCCTTCGGCTGGTGAAGCCAGAGACTACAATCGTCTTGAGTTTCTTGGTGATTCCATCCTCAAGTTCTGCGCCAGTCTACAAGTGACATCGCAGCATCTCACATGGCCTGAGAGATTTCTCACGCTGGAAAAGTTTCGGCTCGTAAGGAACTGCACGCTTTGCCAGGGTGCACTAAAGCTTGGCCTTGACCGTTATATCCTCACAAAATCTTTCACGGGAGCCAAGTGGCGACCGCCATACGTCAGCAGCCTGCTAGCTATTGATTTGCCTGAGAAGCGCTCGAAGTCGAGCAAGACTGTCGCAGACGTAGCTGAGGCTCTAATCGGTGCTGCATTTGTGGATGGTGGGATCGAGAAGGCGTATCAGAGCATACAGATCATCCTATCCGATGAGGTTTGGCATGATCTCGGTAATAGTATCGATACATTGACGCCAGCTTCCGTCGAACCTGGTCACGATCATGCACTGGCGCAATTGGAGGATATGATCGGGCATCGCTTCACAAACAAGACTCTGCTGCTGGAAGCTATCACCCACGCCTCGCTACCCTTTCAACGCACCGGCATGTCGTACGAACGTCTCGAGTTTCTGGGCGATGCAGTCCTAGACCTCATCATTGTGCCGAAGCTATACGCCCACGAGCGGAAGCTTAAGCACTATGAGATGCATAATCTGCACGAGGCGCTGGTCAATGGAGTGTTTCTAGGGTACTGCTGCATGCAGTACAGTGCGGTCCAGCAATACAATCAGATTGTCAAGACGCAAAGTGGCAAGTACGATGTGCAGGAATCTGCAAGGTTATTGCACCTGCATGACTTCGTCCGAGCAAGTGGTCATTTGCTTCACGCCAAGCAAGCCTCACTGGAAGTCTTTGATCGACTTCGAGTGCCCATCGCGGACGCCTTCGCAGAAGGCAAAGAATATCCCTGGCCGGATCTAGTGGCTATGGCACCTATGAAATTCTTCTCGGACTTGGTAGAGTCTACCTTGGGTGCCGTGTTTATCGACTGTCACGGCAACCTGCAAGCATGTGAGACTTTCTTGGAGAGACTCGGAGTACTTCCCATCATGCGCCAGATGCTCGAAGGTCGTATGGAGACTATCTCACCCAAGGAGAAAGTCGGTATCCTCGCTGGTAACGACAGTGTGGTATACAGCCACTCCATGCAAGATACTGATGGAAGAAGGTCTTTTGTTTGTGAAGTCATGGTCGGAGAAGTGATGGTTGCGAGAAGGGAGAATTGCGGGAGCAAGAGCGAGGCTGAGGTCAGAGCTGCGGCTGAAGCTGTCAAGATTTTGTCAAGCAGGAAAAGCTCAAGAAATAAGAGGGAGTTTGTGGAAGGCGGCGCGGGTGAGATGGAGGTTGAGGACGGCGCGGTAGATATCGTGCCGGCAATGCAGTACTGATAGAGGCGGCAGAAGCGATCCAGAGTATCTCACCAAACGGTAATACAGGTCCTGATAGGTCACACCGAAGTTCCAGCGCTGTAGCGGCAGATTGGCTTCCACGGACCTGCTACCCGCCAAAGCACGAGAGAGCTCATGAGTTGTAGAGGTTTGCGATATATTCAACCACGAGGAAATTCCGATAGCCTGTTCTAAGTGTTGCGAGGAAACGTTGTTGCAGTAGTCGTACCGCGTCGCTCCTTCCCTTACATAGGCGTAGTAAGCTAAACATGGCCAAAGTCTGTGTCCCCATGTGCAGAGACCCTCACCACCTGGTCTTGCAGCACCCGATGAACAGAACGTAGTCTACGGCGGAAACAAAACGGCTCGTCCACCTCGATCAATGATCATAGGCTGATTAAAGTCCCACCGTTGAGGGTCTGAGGTCTTCGTTCGCATGCTTCGCTAATACTGGGATATCGTTCTTCGTCACTCCGCGACGAGACCACTGTGGCGTTCGTCCGAGAACTTTTCAAGCTCCTGAGCTTCATTGTCATCCCTCGATGGGCAGTGGAAAGGGAGAGACACCTTAATCCGCTCTCGATCCCATAACTTCCTACCATAGTATGGAGTCGCTCGAGGTCCTGCCCTTCTCCGATCGGTCTCGTCCTGTAGCACCATTCACCAAAATTGTAGTAGTACTTTGGGGCCGGTGACCAAGTCTTGCATTGAGTCGCTGAAGGGGTTTTTTGCGCAAGCAGGAACGTGCCTACCTGTCAGATCTGCTCTCGCTATGATAACGAGCACACATCCTGTCAACGTCCGTCAGGGGCCCAGGGCTGCATAGGCGAGCATGGGATCATGTATGCATGATGGCGCCATAAGTGCCTCAGGCTAATTTTGACGCAAAGACACTGCGTGTCTTCGTCAGTGGCGCGGCACAAGACCATTTCACGATCTCCAGTGCTTATGGCTTGCCTAAGCGTACCAGGCATGGAAGTCGTATACCACATGCAGAACGAACACGGTTGTCGCCGGTTCAATCAAAAGACGGGCGAATCGGCCAATACAGAGCAACTTGCCGCTCTCAACTAAGAAGAGAGCATGAGCTACGTCCCGTCATACTCGTTGCACGTGTATACGCGAGGAAGAACGGTTCGAAGGCGGAAGTCGAATCCCCAACTACACCCGGTTGATCTTGCCTGCAGAACGCCACCCATCTAGCCGTTGGTTGATGCCGCACGCGAGAGCCCACGGGACTTGCGCAACACGCCCACGAGCACAGGCTGGGCGTACAGGGTATTGCGGATGCGTGGCAAAAGGCCGAAATATCATCAAGACGGGTTGACGAATGCCACCGAAGTGCCACGATCTGTGCAACGACTTTATCGCCGGGATTGTGTTTCATTGCCATTCCCAAGCCTCGTTGCGCAGTAAAACTGGGGATCACGTGTAGGCTGCCGTCTGCCTTTACATAGGTACTTCGCAATGTGTACCTCGTGATATGGGCAAAACAGTCGAACATATGTTGCCGTGAGCTTCCATATCACACGCACAGATGTCCGCGCGCGAAAAAATATCCGCTGCACCCACGGGCGAGCCACGGGAAACTGAAGGAGGACGGATCTGCTCGATTTGCCTGGCCCCAAATCTATATAGTACTCGGTACATCTTTCCTTCGGGGTCTGAGTCGATCTGGTATACCCTTTAAGGTTAGACAGCGACTTGTCTTGCCGTCTTGAAATAGCATTGGCTCGGAACGGCTGCTCCACTCAACAGCTATTGGATGTGAGCACGAGAGCTTATGCGGCTGCTCATTCAGACACCCTACCTCCGCAGCAACTCATCATCTTGCTCTATTTCCGTTAAGATCAGTCACTGCCTGCAGGCCTCATGATCTTCGCGGCAAAATCTGACTTCTACAGCGGATCACGGAGTATGGGACGCTAATGTAGTTGTAGTACAACTTGTCCATCCTTCTTCACCATTAACTGTTCTTCTTAGACTTTGGATCAGCGCCAATATTGGATACATTAGTACGTACCGTTTCGAGTCTCACCAAGCCATAAGGGTGCTGTCACCGGCCGGCCTACTACACTCAGCCTCGGTCCTTGCTGATCCACCACTTGCTCCAACTCAAAACCAAGAATACGATCGACCCACGCTGCGTGAAGGGACGACCGCGCGGCGTTCACGATACGAGACGTGCCCTGCATTTGGCGTCTCTTCTTCGACTCTGACCAAGATCCAACATCATCTGGCGGCGTACACCTGCACGAGGGCACGATAGTGCCCTATTAGTGTGCCGTGGCTCAAGACATTTCGGGAACAGTTGTGTACAGACAGCCTTACCGTCGAATCCAACACATTGTTCTAGGGACTCGGCAACGGGTCTCGAGAGTCATGCTGGCCTTTATGTCACCACCTCTGCCCACACGCACACCTTCCTCGCTACCGCCTACCACGATGTCAGTCGCTATCCTACCGTCGTCTCCCATTACTTATGGCCAAGCACCTGTGCCGACGCTGCTTGCGCCTGGTCCATCGCCTGCCAAACGACCAAAGCTCAGTCTCGACACCAAGGCTACACCACCAGCATTCGGGAAAGCATCTACGAGTCTGAGGCTCGAAACACTCTCTGCAACATCGCCGACTGCGCGTAACACTTTTCAGAATGGCTACAGCGTAGCAGCACAATTACGAAAGCCAGGCGCGCGCCGACCAGTCCTCAAACCTCTCACCACGAGCGTACCTCCAGACACAACCCGGAAGCCTACACCATTGCGAACAGAGTTGCATAGTACAGCTGAGCCCTTCGACCAGATCTCATCGCCGTCGTCCACGTCCGCGACATCGGTCTCAACGATCGACTCATTGCCCGCTGAAGTGCCGTACAAGATCTCGTATAACGTCCAATCAATATTGAGAAACGGACCTCTACCGCGAGAAAGCCGCAAGAGACGGTCGCTCGCACAGGCAAGACCGATGTTTCCTCCGGCGAAGAAGGTAGCTTTCCAGGCACCATTGACGGAGGATATCAGAAACACGAAGTACACCATGGCACATAGCGACATCGACTCGTCGTCTTCCACCATTTCTACGCTGGAACTGCCACCTCCCAAGTTCGTCTTGACACATGACAACCAAGAGGAGGGAGATGTGGACCCGGCGACCGAGGTGACGGAGCGGGAAACCTCTGCTACAACCTCACCACAAACCGGTGAGAAGCGCGAATCCTCGGACGAGGAAGACAGTGATACCTGTCCCGTCACCCCCGTGGCTGGACGGAGGAAACGGCATCGTCAGTGGGTGTGGACATTGGCTCCCGTCAAGCCTACCGTGGAGACAAACGAGGAAATAAAGAGCACCACCACAACCATGAACGGTGTAGACGATACACTGGCCTCGCAGCTACTAAAGGATGGCGAAGAGCACATAGACTCTACCAAATAGCCCAGGCACCGTCAACGCATTTGGGAAGGTAACATAGGTTGGTGGAGTATTGGTCTGCTCTTTGTGATACCCGGGTAGTAGTATTATCTAGCTTGAATAGATTTGACAATGTATGTCCTCTGTAGGCATCAGCCGCTCTATCGCACTTCGCACTTTGCTTGGAATGTGCCGTCTCTTCTTTCTGCTAGTCTCATTTCTCATGGACTCGCAGCTGCCCCACGCTTCAACGCTGTCTTGACGACATTACGAGCTCCATGAATAATCTTCCGCTGACATTAAACATCAACATCTTTGTTTGCAACTGTGCTGCATGATGGCACTAATGACATTGATCCAAAGTGTCAATTTTCAAGTACCGTTCGGCCGATGGCATTTGTTCGAAATTAGCGACCTCGAATAGTATGTGTTCACAAGCCCGCCAACCAGACTGTCAAGACAAACGCTGACCATGCACATAGTGTCCCTAGCCTTGTGAAACATCTTTGCCAGAATACCTTGACGGCGCAATGGACGAAGAAGCTACCAATCATACAGAGGCAAACACCGGCTGAACTCGCTGCAAACGCCATCCTCGACGCTCTCAACACCATCGAAGACATCGACTCTGCTCAATGGACCATTATTGACTTCTGCTCTGGCGGTGGTGGTAAGTGTCGCTCGGAATTACATGTCATTGCAACCACTGAAGTCTTATAGGACCGATTCCAGTCATCGAAAGACATATCAACCGCCACCGGAAGCTCGAGGGCAAACAGCCAATTCAATTTCGCCTCTCAGACATCGTCCCAAACCTCGATGCGTGGATGGCTCATGCTTCGCGCTCCGACAATCTCTCCTTCGTGCCTCAGCCCGTGGATGCGAGCTTCCCTCCTTTTAGTGTCATTAGTACTACAACACCCGGGGACAAGCAAGCAGCCGCAGACCAGGGCCTTGTCTCGAATGGTAGCAAAGTGTTCCGCCTCTTCTGCTTGTCGTTCCATCATTTCGATGATGAGCAGGCAAAACGGGTCATCAAGAGTACGCTGGAGACTAGCGACGCATTTGCTATCATTGAACTACAAGACCGATGTGTAGGCAGTCTGGCTTTAATGCTACTGGAGTACTGGTTACTGTTCATCATCTCTGCTCTGTGGTTCTGGCACAACCGACTACATCTGCTGCTCACATACTGCATCCCGGTACTGCCAGCTATACATTGCTTCGATGGATTCGTCAGTTGTCTTCGAACACGGACATTCGCAGAAACCATGCATCTTGTGGAGGATGTTCAAGGTGGCAAGGCTGCTGTTAGGGAAGACAGTCAGGGTCGTCTGCGACGAGGCCATTGGGTTTTCTCGCATAGTCGTTCATTGCATACATGGCCGGTAGGCTACATGGACTTCACTTTTGGGAAGAAGATTGAGGGCAAGTAGCTATAGGACAGTGTTTAATGAACACTTCAGCATTACTCCGTTGTCTCCTACCATCACTTTCGAAAAACACAAGCTATTCTAGTCGTTTCGAGTGTCTCTCATTGAAAACTGTATCCGCATGTGTCGAACGTCAAATGTGCAAGGTTTGACGCACGTGGACAAGGATGGCGATCCTCACAAACGTCATGCCGTCTGGTCTGCATACCCCCATGCTCGCGGTACGCAGAATGCGGTCATTCGTGCAACAAGGCAGGAAATGTTGCTCGCTTCTAGGCTCTCGCTTCCCGTCCCTATGATGCTGAGGACAAAAGCAGATGCATGGCAGAGCCTCACCAGATTCAGGGCGGCTGGCTGATGAGACGACGAAACGAGCTACAGCACGTGACAAAAACAAGGACGATAGTAACGTGAATGATACTGGGGATACAGGCGAACAGGGAAGCAAGTCGTTTGGTCTCAGCTGGTTGAAAGGCCTCTGGAGCAATCCTTTCGTTCAGTCCTTTGCGCAGTCTGCTGGCGAGGACATCATGGCTGCCGTTCAGCAGGGCAAGATGCCTGACAAGGAGCAGCTACTGAAAACGATTGAGCAAAAGGGACCGGACGGCCCGCAAAAGCAACAACTCATGCAAGCTGTGAAGAGCAACCAGAAGAAGATACCGAACCAAGAGCAGCTTATGGAGACATTGAACGACAAAGGTCTGGGAGACGCCGAGCGACAGCAACTCATGAAGACCGTCAACAATCGTGGACTTGATGCTGATCAGAAGGACCAGCTCATGGCTCAGCTGAAAGACAAGACCCAAGGCATCCCACAAGCAGACCAGCTGATGCAGGCACTAGCCGCACAGCAGCAGGCCAATGGCTTGCTACAGAAGGCTTTGAGCCTCAAAGACATGGCACTAAAGTGTCTCAATCCAGTGGAAAGGCAAAGGCTAGTGCAAGAGGCATATGACAAAGAGCTGCAAGCCAATGGACAAAGTAAATGGGCGAAAAGGTTGACTAGTGGGCCGTGGCAAGGAGGGATGGGTGGTGCAGGTATCGGCGGGGGTGTGGGCATGGGGATTGGGACAGTTGTAGGCACACTGGTCGGTAGCGTTGCAGCGCTACCTACTACGGCAATTGGTGGACTGGTTGGTGTGGGCGTTGGTGGCATCCATGGGCCGTTTGTCAAGCTCAATCAGGAAAAGGCCAAAGAGGTAGCGGAGAAGATGAAGAAGGAGGGAAAGAGTGAGGAGGAGATTACCGAAGCTGTCAAGGCAGAAGCAGGTGAGGGACTGGTAGACGGAGCCATGGCTGATGCGAACGGAGGCGAAAGAGGCCATCCTGAAGTTGGCTCTGCGCAAAGAAGCTCATCGAGACAATATAGCAGTGGCAAATCTGCTACAGCTCATGATCCTGATCAGCCTCGCAAGAAGCCACGAAAGCTCGAGGTGCGGTCTGGAAGCAAGACACCATCGAATCCAGCCAGCTCAAGCAAGGAGAACCGGCCATGAGCAGCTCGCACATTCATATTCATGCAAAATCAATGACGATAAATATCACCAACGGGCGACGACTATGAGTCATTGGCGTAGCTACTAACTGAATCAGGAAATATCGTACCGTTTGCCCGACACGATTCGCTACCTCGACCCAGCAAAGAGTTCCTTGCTTTGAAGCCTCCTGCTCGTCCCACTTCGGCCGCAAGGCTATGCGACCTCTGAGGTTCCAGGTTGCGTTGTTGATTGGCATGCTGGAGTATCAGAAACGTGGGTTGGCGAAGTATATTCATTGCGCGACTGGAATGTCGTGTTGATATTGCGTTGAGATCGGTCGAGGTGAGCAGACAGAGGAGCATGAACCAAGACGTTGTAATCAGTAAGGCATGAATCAGCGTCTTCACAGGCAGCTACAATCAAGAGTCACGGGGCATCATGGCGAGCCCTTTCCGCGGCATCTTACGAATGCCGCAACGAGCAGGATGGCTATTGCTTGGGCTCGGCAAGTGCGAGGGCGTAGAAGACCAGAGAGCGTGGCGGATTCGCACGAACTGTTCCACCGGTGTTATTTTGACAAACATTATTTCGAAAAGCGCGATTTCTCCTCCTCACAGATATCCTTCACGAACATGAATTTCGGACCAGCGACTCTAGGTGAACTTCGCCTGCAACAACAGAGAGGTCGAATATAGGGAGGTCGAACACAAACTTGATGCCGACCTCCGGCAAGAGCCCATGGCTGCCAGCTGTATGGTGTGGACTGCAGCTATTCTGAAGATCCACGAGATCGCACTTCCCGTGGACAAGGAAGCGAATACACTCCATGCCGTGATGCAGCATGCGATCCATGTCAGGGGTCTGCCGCCCAGGCCGCACGCCTTAGCCGTCAAGAATCTCCACGGCATAGTTGTTTCTCCTCCCAATGTCTCAATGCTCGACATGAATCACATTCCCGAGGACATCGACAGTCTTAAAGAGGGTTTCATCGCCGTGACAACAAATTGGAGGTACAAGGAGGTACTTGCATCCAATCTTAGACGACTTCTGGCATCCCTTACAACAGTCGATCACTACTTAAGACAAGCCGACCATGGGCTGTTCGTTCAGAGGGTCAGTGCGGCCGGCAATGATCAGCTACTGGGGAACATACACCCATCCAGTACTAGACATCTACCAGGCAATGGTCTCCCGCAAAACAGCGGTATTGCCCAGAGTGATGGAGCCAATGACCAAGCCCTTGGCGATGGTCACAGTCTAGATAATGGGCAAAACGTGGGAAGCAGTCAGGCACTAAGCAATGGCCACGTACACATCAACGGTCAAGCATATGATAGTGGCCATACAGTGGGAGTCGGTCATACAGCCAGCAGCAGCCAAGCGCTGAGTAGTGCCCATGCCCAAAGCAATGGTAATGGCAATGGTCCGTAGACGAATCTGGACACGGCTGCGACAGATGGTCGTGCTAGGAACTCATCTTCGATCGGAAAGTGTTCAAGGCCATATGGGTCGGAGTGGAGAGCGTTAGGAGCAAGAGATTTGATCACTGTGGTGGGCTACGATTAGTATCTTGTACGATAGGGGTTTGTGTCATCAAAGGTAGTTTCGTGGTCCATCTGTCTCTCTACAATCACTGTTTGCCTCTCTGCTTTGCATTCGTTCTGAGTGCCGGCAGCCCGGTATAGTGGCAAGACCTTAGCGAATACAGGAGCGGTACATTTGACAGTCAATCATGCCGTCTCAGTCACTGACTTGATGTCCAATATCACGTCGATGTCAAGTACTGTGCTCCAGATCTGCATCTCAGAAACGAGACGATTGACACATGTCAATGTCCAACCGAGCTTGTATTGCCCTGCAGGAGAGCTTCCCCGTCACTTCTACGCCACCTCTGGCATGCACGAATCGATGTACTTGATCGTACACACACGAGACAATGATATATGCTCTGCATAGTTGCACAAAGATACCTATTACCCCGCTATTCTCAAGCACCTGTCAAGGAACTGTCGTCAATCGTGACGCGTCCGTATACATACCCGCTGATATAGACTTGAATCACTTTTGCCACCTTAACATGCTATTAGGCATGACTCGCAGCGCTATCAAGAGATAAAGACGACCAAAGCAGCAATCATCAGAACTCAGGTCTGTGTACTGAATACACTGACGACAAGATGCCAATCACCAGGCGCCATATTGTGACAGCCGTCAGCGTCCTTGTAAGTCTCACGAATACACTTTTGCACAACGAGAGCTGACATGTTACAAACAGTACCTCACTGGACTCACTGTTGTGGCTGCGTACGCTTTACACAATTCCCACATCTACTCACTGTAACCACAGCCGACCAATTGTCTAGACTGTTCTCTGCTAACGAACACTGAGACCCATACCCGATGTCCTCATCAGCCTCGCCATGGCCTTGCCATTCCTTTCAGGTATCGCTCTCGAAACACTAATCTCCTATCGCAACCGCCTTGCAGCCAAAGGCCAATTGCCTACCTCGCGCGTCTTTCAGATAGTCATAACAGGTTTCCTCATCTTCGAAAGCGTCCTCGCCACTCTAGCAGGCTCCCACATTTCGCCTCCAGGGAGTCTCGACTGTGCTCTACGCGAGCGCTGGCAGCATCTGTTCCGGAACAAGGATGGTGAGTCGATCAGACGCATACAAGATGCCTTCCAGTGCTGTGGTCTAGCTAGTTCAAAAGATATGGCTTTCCCCTTCCCAGGACAGGGAAGAGGAGGAAATGCTTGTCAGGTGGCGTATGGTAGAGATCGAGCTTGCCTTGACCCGTGGAGAGCAGCGGAGCAAAAGGTGGCGATTATGCTGCTTGTCGTGCCACTGGCTGTATTCGTCTGGAAGGTATGTGCAACCTCGACTCTGTCGCAGCCACGAACATGCTTGGGAGCCATGGCTGACCAGTGATATTAGATTGTCATCTTAGTCACGCACTCCACCTCTTCTCCGTCTTGGCTACCCTCGTCCATTCGACTTCCCGGCGAAAATGGCGAAGCAAGCGGCAGTGGCACTCGCCGCCGACAAGCAATCGAGTACCGCGACAACGAAGCCGGCACCGGACAGCACGAAGGCGAAGACGATAGCGTTCGAGCAGAGATCAACCAGCTCAATCGTGACTCCAGCCTCGCCTCGCAGGTCGAAGGCGGGAGGACCAAAGGCAAGAATGGGTTATGGAACGAACACCATGAGCGGTGGCAGCAAGAGGATGCTTGAAGGATCTCGCGGTCTAGGAGTCCTTGCTGCCTATACGTTCTGTCATAACATCCCGTTGGAGTCGAGGTCAAGTGCTCAAGGGTGCACGGACCAGACTCAGTAATGGTGCTATTCGGCTAGTCATTTATGTTTGTACAAGGCGCTTGCGTAGGTTGACCTTTCCGTATGGACCTTGCCGTGCAGTGTGTCCGACCGTCGCTCGTGCAAATCGTGATTCCATATTTGCCGACACATCCTGCGATACCAAGATGCTAGGGCCTTATCCGTCCAAGGTGAGGAACGAATCAGTAAATCTCGACCTCAGGTCCCCTCTTCCATAGTAACGTTCTTCCACCACGGTGTCTTGCTTTCTCCACTTCCACTAGCATCATGCGAATTGACGACACCCTCCGCATCCCCGACCTGTCTCCTTTCGCTGACCTCCCTCTGCCTCATCCGGCCATCCAAACCTTTCGTCTTAATCTTCAGCTTCATCGCCCTCGCTGCCAAATTTAACGTAGCCCCCCTGTCCAACCCACTCAGATATCTACTATCCCCTCCGCCACTCGCTGAAGTACGCGTCAATCCCTGGGATGCCGGACGCGAGTCGGCAAGATAGCCACCACCGTCGCTGCTCCGAGCCACAGCAGAAGTGCTGCTGCTGTCATTATTACTAATGTTACTATGTTGTAATGCAGTACCGTGACCCGAAGCTACGGAGCGACTAATCCATTCATCCCTCATGACTGGTCGTTGTCATTGCAGCGGTTCGGAGGAGGAGGAGAGGCGGTTCAGGTGGAGGTAGACGTCTGTACCGTATCTGCAGACAAAGTTAGCGAAGATGCCAGCATATCTTTCCGAGAATTTTATATGGCCATGTACCCTTCCATGCTAATCAACTTCAAATCCCCGCCAAAATACCTCGCATAAAGCCGACTGATTGGCAGACCGTATCCAAACCCAGCCATTGGTGCCTTGAAATCACTCTTGTTGAAATCCGGATCTAGACTAGGGGTCTGATCGACGGTGGTATACATATATGTCCAGACCAAAGGAATACTCGAGCGTGGGATCCCGCCTCCCTCATCACTAATCTTGATCGTGATGTCTTCCCGTCCTTCACTGACGATGACGGTCGTGACAGGGAACTCGTCCTTATCTTCCCCATGAGTCTCCACAACGGCTCGGAGACTGTTCTTCAGGGTTTCGAAGAGCATATGCGATAAATGGCCAGGGACGTACATGAAGTTCAGATCTGGCGGACATACTAACCTCACTTTCGGTGCATCGAAGAGTCCATAATGGTCCTCACAGACGAATCGAGCATTTTCGATGGCTTCCTGAGCTAGATCTCGGACGTTGGTTTTGGTACATATTATGCCCACGTAATCGGGGTCAGAAGTTGTCCGTTGATCTGTTAGAGCAATGTGTTGACCTATCAGCATGCGGATGCCTATTCGTGACATGTAGAAGCGGTCGAGGAAGGCTTGGATGTGGTGATCAATTTGCATTCGTTGTCGTTTTCGCTTGTACTCTAGAATACCCTGGGCGACTGTCGTTACAACTGGGTCGTGCCGTCGTTTGATCTTTTGGAGTGTTTGTGCGAACCGGCTGTTGAAGTCGTTGAGTTCTGGAGGCCAGTCGCCGTCATCGTCGCCGGCGCTGTAGTACTTCCGTAGATTGTTTCGCTTCCGTGCTGCCTCGTCTTCTGACATTGTAGGATTCGATCTATACTGTCCGGGCTTGACACTCGGATTGTGTGTGGTCTCACTCAACATTCGCGATGCTTTACCATTGGTCTTCGCTGGCTTCATCAACCGCTCTTTGGTTTCCGCGGACAGATTTGGTCGAGCCATTGTTGTGATCTCCTCGAACGACTGGGCATACCAGTCCTGCACTCGCTGTATACTCTCCATCTCGTTCAAGCCATCAGGCAGGTCACCCAGCTCTTGCACCCGATGCGCCAATCGAATGGGCAGTTCTTCGGACACAAACTGTGACGCTCGAAAGAGTGTACCGACGGAGACATGTTGCCCGAACTGCACCATCTGTCGAAGACTCACGCCTGTCGCTGGGAAGTTGCTATAGTGCTTGATGGTGTCCATCAACTGCGCCGACTGTACATATTCGAGTCAGCTATGCTCGGTATCCTCCATCTATGCACAACAATCTCACCTTCTTCCACGACATCTTGCTGGTGTGCTGGCCTAAAGGCCGTGTCTACTATCCTCGTCCAATGCGAAATGTAGGACATATGAATTATGAGTGACAATGAAGCATGGTGAGTCAATGGTCTCGTGAGACCCAATGCCTGACCAGTGCTCCTCCGCCTTCGCTCTCCGCCAGGCCGAGTCTCCAGCTTTAGACTCACACGTTAATGCAGCGGGCAGGCGGGCACATGCCGGGGCCGAGGCAGTCACTTTGTCACATTGACTTTTTGGTAGCTCGGAGAGACTGCTGGTAAGCATTAACGGTTACTGCCGAGTTGCTTCGCTGTGATGGTGCACATATATCGGACAATGTCGGGTGGCCGACTCGTTGTGCTCGTGGGGCCATCCGTGCGGCGACGAGATCACATGGCTTGGCACGACGATGTGGTGAGGTTTCCCCACAGCGAGTCCTTACGTCCAGAAGGCACAATACGAGTTGAATACGGATCACATGCATGCAGAGAAGAAGCAGTAGTTCCAAGAAGCCATAAGACGTTGGCATTCAGACGTCTATCTATGGCCGCTTTTTCAGCGAACACGACCACATCCACCGACCACGAGACCATCTTGGCCATTAATGGAGAACGATGTCCAGCATCCGTAGACCGCTAACGATCTGCCACATCACTCTCCTTTACTTGGCTCGACGCTTATTCGGACTCCTTAGTCTTGAAAGCAGCTTCAACAATGTTATTCAAACGATCCGCAAGACTCGGCACATCGTTTAATATAACATCAACCGCATGCTTCAGCTTCTCCAGCGTGTACTCCTTCAGCACCTTGGCTCTAGCTAGCAACAATAGCCTCTTGCGTAAAGGGGCATCCTTCTGACCGAGCAGCACCGCATCATACATTTCCACACTCGGCGGCAGAAGGTCCTTTCCTGTTGCACTGTGCTTAGGGTGGATGTCAAAAGTCCGCGGAGTCTCGACGGATGTGTTCATCAGGCGCTCATATTGGACGTAAAGCTCGTTCACCTCCTTATGGATAGGCGTCAAGGTGTCGTAGCCGTGTGCGATTGCCTCGAGCCACTCCGCGAAGGCCTCGGGGACGGCTGGGATAGTATTAATTCGCACCTTGCGGGCGAGGGCCTCGTCGATTTCGGTAAGGTCGTACGATGTGTTGTCGTCAAAGAATTTGACGACGTGTTTGATGTGAACGGTGTTGAGTGGAGACCTCATTTCTCTTGTTAGTCTGTCTGCCGACAGCATATTCTCGGAGCACCATCTCAGGCACCAACATATATCACCTTAACACTCTTTGACCTCCATTCTCTTTGAGCCAGAGCAAGCATGTCCGGGACAAGATGCGCGTAACCATTGTGCTTAGTGATGCGATGATCATTTACTGATCCTGCAGGTCAACAGAGCAGCAAACGAGCGAACAATGCCACAGAATAGCAGTACCAGGGATAAGCTTGTGCGAGCACCGGACATGTGAAAGCACGGATGGACCATATCTACAAAGATTGATGAGACGACGACGATGAAGCAACATGCATCCAGCCAGGTCAGCCTGAGTTTGAGTAGTCGAGCATTATATGATCGAAGCTAAAAGCAAGGATGGCAAAGGATGGAAAAGGAGCATGCATTACACGACGACGACGTTTGAATCCACGTTATAATCTCCTCTCTTCCTCGGGCTTCTGCACGTCCGACTTCTGTCCCGACTATAAGAGCCTCGCATGAGTAAAGGCTCCCCAACCCTACAAAGTCCTAGATAGCTTCATGCACATCCCAGCGACAACTCTCCGAGTACAACGAGAGGTCGTCCCTCTCGCTGGCCCCTCTCACGACTTGAGCAAGAACAGGGAGCTTCGATTGCAACCTGTCTCCCTCTCGGCTACTACTCGTCCTGCATTATGCACTCCAACGGACCCTTCGTCTCGAGAAGTCGATCACGCAGAGACATCTTTATTGCCTTTGCCCGCACGAGATGAACTAAACGACCTTGCAGCTCATCCACAGTCTGTCTTACAAGTTCGGTAAGATCATACAATGGCACCACTAGCGGCATCATTTCTCGGTTCCCAGCGTGTGGGTACATCATGGTGTCCAGTAGCCGCGAGATCTGCGATGAACCAGCTGCAAGGTGACAATACTGCGTGAGCAGCTCGTTAACTTCCTCCTGAAGCGGAACGAGAATGTCGTATGCATGCTTGAGGACCTCGAGCCAGGTTGTAGTGGATTCCAGGATACCCGAGCGGTGGGCTATCCAGCCTTGAAGAGCATTGTTGATGTGTCGACTGTCCATACCGTTGTGAATCTGGACCCAAGTTTTGAGACTATCGATTTGTCGGCGCTCCAGGTCTTGATGTTCATCAATGTCCATAGCTGACAATGTGTGGCGAATGGATGAGGTACTTTGTGGCTGGGAGTAGCCTCATTTTTGCTGCGAAAAGTGTCTGCTCTGCACGCATGAAGAAGTATGTCTGGAAGGTCTGGCAAGCGACAGGTCTGGTCTTTAAGGTTGTTTTCGACAAGCATGTGTGAGATTGTAGCTGCCTTTCATACACCTCTTCTGATTGCTGCAGAGTTACAGTGACAATGTGGAAGGTTGCTCACTTGCAGTCTTATCTTTGTTAAAAGGCGAACACCGCCATGAAAGGGGAGATGGTATATAAGCGGACGTCGATACGCCCAATTGTAGGTGGGCACAGATCGAGCAAAGCCAAAAGGAGTACCAACGACCTCCTCCGACAGCAGTCTATCACCGATCTCTAAGGCTCCGTCGAGACCGAAGACTCGCTGTCCCTACCAGCCATCGAAGCCAGTCTGCGAAACCTAGTCAACATCGGGACCATCCCACTTACGCCAAGCGTCTGGCGCACGGCAGTCGAGTACGCATATGGGCGCCTTCAGCTCGTTCACGACGCAGTCAGCGCGCTCTTCATCCGGTACCACGAAGTCCAAAGATTCCGCAAAGTGAGAGAGCCGTACGACACACACTTGCCCAAAGATGGGAGTGGTACAATGGTGGAAGCTCCCAACGTTCCCATGTATGATCCTTTGCATTTCGCGAGTCCAGATTGGCGCCAGGCGCAATGGCAGGCAAGGCTTGCGTTGGTTGTGCAGGCAAGGGTAGTCAAGGAAGAGATCAAAGCCAAATTGGACGAACAATTTGAGATCTTCAAGGCCGCGAACATCCTCACCAAAACGCAACGCGCCCAGGGTTGATTGTGGTGCGTGGTGTTTGGGAATTCTTCACCTTCATTGGGAAACCGGAAATAATGGCGAGAAATCCTTGTCCGGGTAGCATTAGGTCTCTTGATGATGCCAGAGTCTTGATTGAACCTAGTATGCATACGCTAAGAACGCTATCATTTTCGACTCAAACCACGAGCCCATCCTGTCCCTGACCACTTCCTCCGTTTGATCGACTGTGCTGCCAGCGACCTCCATAAATTGCCTCAAAGCTTTGGCAAAAGTTTTCGATTTTAGCCGTCAAGGCCTTCTTCTCACCCTCCTCATCATCTAGCAGAGCCACCACCTCCTTTTGCATTTTGCCTCGTTGCACAAAGTACTGTCCATCGCGAGCATGCCAACTATTACAGAGTGACTCACGTAGTTGTCGTTGTGCAAACTCTCTCGTATCAGGCCACCAGATCCTGCCCGTCGATTCTGTACTTGGCTCAAAGCCATACCACTCATCCTCGGAACCACTCAGTCGCCTGTATATCTCAACAGCTGCCTTATGTATCTCCTCCATCGCCTGCGCAAAGTTGTCGTTTACCGGACTGCGCCGGCACAGATATTGGCAAAGAGTCTGGACGTGTCTGACGTTGTCGAATACCAGTGCTAGCACTCTTTGTACATGCGGCAAGCTGAGCAGCCCAGGGTGTGTAAGTGCTTGCTGTAATGGCACTCGAATATTGCGGAGCATGGTCGAGGTGATCTGTACCACAGCTTGGATACTGCTCTGATCCCGCAAGTCCAGATTGTACGTGAGGCTTGATGCTACGGTACCATAAACAGCCAGGATTGGCGACGACAGCAGCCATGAGCAAGCCGTGTCCAAAGCTGTGTCGAGATAGAGCGACAGAATCGCATCGAGAAGCACAAAACGCAAGCTGGGTACCACTTTGCTGCCACGTTCTACGCCAGTATCCATGGCGGTACATAGCTGCTCGACTAGATAAGTCTGATGGCCGTCGACTATGGCACGCTCAACCACGGTCTGTACGAACACAGTGAGCTCTTTCCTGGGCTTAGCATCACGCAGCTTAGGACCATAACTGCGCAGCCTGCCTACCACATACATAGGATCTGTGGCTGGCAGAGGGAACGCAGACGAATCGATAAAAAAGTCGTCGATCCGGCAGATGTCGGTTGTGTATTCCTGAAGATAAGAGACAACGTGCTGTACGAAATCGACATAAGCACCTTGTGCATGGGGATCAGCGAAGTCTATGTTGCTGCCACCTTGCAGTTCCATGAAGTTCGCTTTCATGGCTTGCATGAGCAGACGGAGGTAGTTACCGTACTGCTTTCGCACCTGCTGTACTTGGCCTGGGTGCTCGTACACAGTGTCGTCGAAGCATTGGCGCATGTTTGATAGTAGACAAGAGAGCAGTGCAAGCCGCCTTTGGCGCAGTTCTGAGAGACTTGTGTCAGATTGTCCGTTTCTTGCATGTCGCATGAAGGGCAAATTGTTGAGCACAGGATGGTCCGATGCATGGTTGAGTAGGGCATTCAAGAGTAGGTGCTGGTACTTGAGTATTGCCTCGCGCTCAACTAGAGACACTAAAAGCACGCCGAAAGCGATGTCATACACTTCAGTGGCGCCGACCGGGGAGCGCTCCACGACTCGAGCGTAGAAGTAAGGTGTAAATCTGCGCCGCTGCTCGGTACTTCTCAACTGCTGCCATGAGTCCGCATAATATTCTCCGACGAAATCAGTCCAGGTGGCCTGCAAGCTTTTGACTGCAACGCTTGCCAATCTGACCCACGTGTCGACAATCTTGCCCAGGATGAGCTCGTCGAGAGCTACGTCGGCACCGAATAATGTCGATAGCAGCTGTCGGACAGGGTCGTGCAGGATGTTGAAGATGGCAGAGTCGGGAGCAGAATTTGAGCATCGATGCTCATTCCCAATCATCTCATCGAGAGCACTCGAGTCGCCAAAGTCCTGACTTTCCTCACTTGCGTTCTGGCTCTCATTTGAGACCACCAAGCTATGCTGCGTATCTAGTGCGGCCTTCACGACCTCAAGGGCTTCGTCGAGAGCAGGTAGCAAGCGCTTCTCACTGGTGTCGAAAGGCATCAGGACGTTCCAGAAAGAAGTGCCTTGTATGAGGCAGATAACGGTCGAGGTCGTCTTCGCTGTCTGCAATGCTCGCTTCAGACCTGCGAGAGCATCGACAAGCGTGGCTACAATGCGGCGTTGATTCGTGGCAATGACGCTTTCGAGCGTGCTCTGGGTGACACCATTGTTGCCTTCGGCACACGCGGCAGCATAGTCGCTTTCTGCTTCCGTTCTTGCCAGCCTGAACTGCGCCATGGTAGCCTGAACGATGTCCTCGTACCATGTTGTGAAAGGCTGCATCGCCTCTTCTGGCTCGCCACAGGATAATTGAAACCTGATCAGGTTCGCCCATGCTCGCACGTTCAGACGGCAAGCCTCACGATGCGACTGAGCGTGGTCGACAAGGTTCTTTAAAAGGTCCACGCGTGGTCTGCAGCCGGACGGAGCAGCATTATAGAGCACGCAAAGTAAGTCTTGATGGTTTCGTAATGCTTCAATCTCTGCTCCCTGCACATCCGCGTCCTTTGGGTAGGTCCGTCCATGGCTGGGAATGAAGCGCCACACTATGCCACCGATCTTCTTGTCACTGTAATTTCCAGGCTTCTGCATGTGGCGTAGACCAGTGACAACTGTCTTTAGGAAGATATGGAACGGGCGATCGGTTGGTTGTACCTCCAGACTAGGATGGCTGTCGAGCTCCTGTAGGAAGTACGGCGATCCAGCATGCTGCTCTCTTAGCAGCGGACCTAGATTTCGTCGGGCAAAGAAATCGAACATGACGCTGAGAATGCTCTCACATCGCCACCAACCCCATCGATCGATTAAGAGGTAGCATCGACTGAGGGTAGCTCGTAGATAGTCATTGATGCCGACATTTGTGATCGCACTAGCAGACGGGTAAAGCTCCAGGAGGCGGGAAAGCAGTATTTTCGGCAACGTCCAATCATGTTCATTCGCACTGAACCGCCGCCCAGGAATAGCAACGCCGGTATTGTCCATCTCCAGAGCAGGAAGTATGGTAAACAGATCATACCACATGCAGTCTAGAGTGCTGACTGAGTCCAGTGTACTGGTCCTACTTTGCTGGGTTCTGAAGAGCGTGGACCATAGACTCGACTGGGCCGGCTGGTCGGAGGTCAGACAGTGTCGTAGTAAAGTGACAGTTGAGATGGGCGCTCCATCATCTCGTATGCCAGCTTCACGCTTCGAGCTGCTGCGATTGTCTTCATAGATTGACCTGAGCTCCTGGAAGCCAGCAGGAAAGACACTGCGAACTAGATCGTCGGCAGCCCTGGTCAAAAGCCTTCGACAAGCTTGTTGGGTATTAAGCGACACAAGGTCGTGATGAGCTAATTGATAGACCTGATGGGCAATGACGAATACATATTGGCTCACGCGCGTCTGCAGTTTGAGCAAGTCCGGACTGGTCTGCGGCCAGCAACTTACGCTCTCCAGCAGGAGCTCAACGAAATTGTAAAGGCTCTGGATGCATGATCGTCGATCAATGGCATCGAGGAAGGCCAAGCACTTCGATATATAGCGAATGACCGAGCGCAGCATATGGTCGATGTTGGCAGCGATGACATCCATCTGCCCAGTCACATTACCGATGGCTGTGCTTGGCTCCAGTGATTGCAGGGCTTCAGCAACGACCTTCGATATCTCGGATAAGCCGGCCGCGATTTCTTCCGTCCAAGCTTCCCACGCGAGCACCTTTTCAGCTACATGGACGTAAATGCGTCCTGTGATGACACTCAAGTCGCGTTGACCGAGCTTGAGGCTTGCAGCAAAGTCGCCACTACCAATGAAGGTGGAGGAATGGAAGAAGGTGCCTAGTGGTAGAGGATTGACATCGAAATCTGTTGAATAACGCGTGCCGAATGGTCCAAGACCTTTTAGCTGTAGTCCATCGTCTATGCCATCGCCAGTGATTGATACTGCCTCAGATGTACTAGTGTCTGGCAATGGTTCACTTGGCTGTCTGAAAAGGCGAGCTTCGATGTCAACATGCTGAGGCCAACGCTTTCGTGGCCGATGAGGTAACTGCTGAGCCGGTTGAGCAGACCGAATGATTGCTTGTCTATCTCCAGCAGGCAACGGTTGGATGGATTGGACAGGTTGAGTCGTTGCTGGTACATCATTCCTACGTGCGGCGTGATGCCTCTTAGGGATAGGCTGCAAAGTCATATCGTGGCGGAGATAATGTTCGACATTGTCCATAGGCTGCCATGTTCCTTGTCGGCCTCTTGCAATTGTCTCAGTCAGTGTGGCAATTCTTCGTTCGAAGGCAGCGGCGCGGTGTGCATGGTCATATGCAGACTCAAGACTTTCGAGTTGTCCTCCACGATAGTGGGCCTTGGTTGCCATAGGCCGACTAGTGCGCCTCGGATCATGGGCAGAGTCAGATGGTCCCGGCTCCTGCTGCTTCGTATGGTTGTCGGATTCCTGATGGTCAACTCTCCGCACAACAACTGTGTTTATATGTGTCTGGCGTTTGCGTAAAGACGGCTGTGTCCGGGGCACACCTTCATGCCGGTCGGTGCTACTTGTCCTTCCACGGAGTGACAAGGGCAATCGTTGTTGATAGTAGTTCGTGACATCTACCAATGGTAATCTCGACCTCTCTATTCTCGGACCCTCGATGTCCGCTTGAACGTCTGCGGTGAGACGGGGTTTATACGTGGCTGACGCTGGCGAAGTTCGAGGAGCGATGGTCCCTTCGCGCCATGCAGTCAAGGTCGTCTCCGCATCTGCGGTGTCTTCTGCGGTCGCAAGCCTGATGACTTTGCTTGAAGGTGAGTGGCGGGCACATCCCGTCTGCTGTTTTGCTCGGCGTTGGGCTAAACGAATGAATTGTGGTATGGGGTTGTCTGAATCGGATGGCGGGGATGGCATATCCAGTACGCTAAGACGTGGCGCACGGGAACGCCTGCTAGCTCCTGCTGTCGCTGCTCCACTTCGCGAGCCGCTGACGGTGAGCCTGCTCGAGGGTTTGTTCCGTCTAGACGTCGCTCTCTCCTCCTGGACATCAGTAGTGACCCCACCCGCTCTGAGAAAGGCATCGGCAATGCGAGGCTGTCGACGCTTTGGTTTGCGTTGTCTGGGAGCATTTCTCGTCGAACCTGCAAGCATCGGGTCAACCCAGTCACCCTCCATGCGAGTGTCATCGGCGTCTGCCTGCAACAGTGCTGACCATGGTCGCTCCGCATCAGTTCGAGGCGATCTCAGTCCTTCACCATTTGATGTCCCGAGACTTGAGAACTCGTCCTCGTCATCTGAAATGATCAGCGACTGCGGCTGCCTCGCCGTTGACGAGATCCGTGAGACTCGTTGTGCCACGCCTTTGAGACGGCCTCCATCTGCTGTAGGCGGCGTGCTTGCTCTCCTAGCTCGGGTAGGTGTCTGTGGTCGCTGTCGGTGTTGCGCTTTGAAATCTATCTTGAGCCAAGATGCCGGCAGCACGCCCTTGATGCGCTTTCGCTCGCGTATCAACCGCCGCTCATCTACTTCAGGTTCACGAACAAGAATTGCTTGCACATCTTGGTCCTCTTCTGACTCCGTGCTTGAGTCGATCATTAGAGGTCGTGTCCTTGCTCGGGATATGGTTGATGGTCGGGAGGTCCTGGACTGTGGCACTTCATCTAAGTCGTAGTCTCCGTCTGCAGCTTGCCTGTGTCTGTGCACATCTGATGATACCTGAGGCGTGGGTAGTGGTGCTGGCGTAGCACCGGGTGGCAGCCGGAAGACTGCTGGTTTATCGCGCTGCTTGGGCAGTGATTGAGAGCCACTCGAGGTTGGTGGAGGCGAAGGTGGAATGCTATAGATATCTAGCCCTTGAGCATCGGCATCGGCACAATCACGTACAATCGAAGGAGCTCGGATTGCATTGGGACCATTGTTGAGATGCGCCGTCTTTCTGCGTTTTCGACCGCTCGTCACTACGCCGGGCATATGCTTTCGCAGAATTTGATCGATGTCGGGGAAGTCGTCCTCCACATTCGGACTGGAGAAGCCATGGTGGTTAGCGGCTGAAGCGTCTTGATCTATTAAAGTTGGGCTAGATTGGACGGGCGAGCTGCTGAAGAGTGGTTGTTGCTGGCTGTCACTCTCATCGCTACTGTAGGACTGATCACGCGTTTCCGCAACGCGCTGATCAATTACTCGAATCGGCTTCAAGCCACGCTGTTTCCATTGCTGCTGATACAAAGTTTTGTCCCAGCCATAAGGGTGAAGTTGCTTTTCTGTCCTTGCTCGGAAGGTACGTCCTCGGCCAACGGCGATGGTAGGCTGCTCTTCAAGTAGCTCAGCAAGGTCAAGGAGCGGATCATCAGATGGTCGTGCGTCAGGGAGCTCGACTTGCACTGGCACAGAATCGTGGGCCGATTGTTTGAATGCAACGTGGCTGAACAGTCCAGGAGATGACCTTGGCGTGTCGCCAAGCTCACTTAGAGGCGAAGAGCGTAGGCTACCAGAAGTTTCATGGGCACATGTCGGTGTAGTAGGTGCTACATTGGATCGTCCCGCGATCAGCTGACTTGGGTCAGGAAGATCACCAGACAAAGGATGATCGCCGCTCTGGTCGTAATGTCGCTGCGCAGTCGCATTCAGTGAGACTGCAGGAATGGCAACGAAAAGAGCTTCGCGCCTTGGTGCTGATGCATCGGATGGTCTAGATCTCTTTCCGTATGCGGTGGCGTGTGCTGGGGCAAGCCAAGGCACATCTGCTTCTTCATTGCCTCCTCCTCCCACACCGTGGGCTCCAGCTGAGGTCTTGTCGTCCCCCAGAGAGCTGCCGCGGTGGCTCAGACGAGGCCTCTTTCGCGCTTGCTGTGGACTTTGACTCTCGCCGCCACCACCCAGTGAGAGATCTTCATCATCTGAGTCCTGGACCTCGCCACGATCCTGCCAACGCTTCATTTGCTTCTCGCAGCATTATATCGCATCTAAGATATCCGTCAAGATGTCGGCTATAGCTGATGCCTTGCGATGCTGTGCCGTCTGGAGAAGTGATGTTGAATACGCGCCGGAAGACGCGTTTGCATTAGCGGGGCACTTCTCGGCAAGCTTAGCCGAAGCCCTGAAGACGAGCATCTCGCCGCGTCACTAGAATCTAGAAGGCAGATGTCAACAAGCACGTGAAAGCTGGTATCTTCTTGTTCACGAGTACTTGAGAGACATATCCTGCATCACCACTGGTAACTCGAAGGAGAGCATAGCATATTCACCAACCATGGCACAAGACCCGCGAGCATTACTACAAAAGGTAGGCACGATCACCCCACCATGTACTAGCAGATGTCAGGATATTAATGCTATATACCACAGGCCGACAAAGCCGCAGCCGGCGCAGGAGGCGGCTTCTCCCTCTTCGGAGGACGCACAGAGAAGTACGAAAATGCTGTGGACCTCTATACTCAAGCCGCCAACGCCTTTCGACTACAACGAGACCTCCCAGCCGCCGGTCAGACCTTCGAGAAAGTCGCCGAACTACAACGAAGTAAGCTGAACGAACCGGATGATGCCGCGAACTCGATGGTGGAGGCGTTCAAGAGCTATAAGAAAGACGAGCCGGAGAGTGCAGCAAGGTGTCTAGATCAGGCGATTAATCATTACACTATGAAGGGCAACTTTCGACGGGCAGCGACACAGAAACAGCAATTAGCAGAGCTATTTGAGGTGGAAGTGGGCGACCAGAAGAGAGCGTGTGAAGCGTATGAGACAGCGGCAGGGTGGTTCGAGGCAGACAATGCAGAAGCGTATGTTCATACGATGTGGACGTCTGGAAGATACAGGATCGGGCTGACAGTATTTTGAACGCAGGCTCGCAAACAAACTCTACCTAAAAGTAGCCGACCTTTCTGCACTAGAAAAGGACTACTACAAATCCATCTCCCACTACGAACGCGTCGCCAAGTCCAGCATAAACAACAACCTGATGAAATGGAGCGTAAAAGAATATCTCCTCAAAGCTGGGATCTGCCACCTCTGTACCGCCGACATGGTAGCTTCGAATCGGGCGTTGGAGAGTTATCGGGATCTAGATCCGGCGTTTGCGCAGACGAGGGAGCATCAGCTTTTGGTGGATCTGACGGAGAGTGTGGATGAGGGTGATCAGGAGAAGTTTGCGGATAAGTTGTTTCAGTTTGATCAGATGAGCAAGTTGGATAAGTGGAAGACGACACTTTTGTTGAGGGTGAAGGAAGGGATCGAGGAGAAGGGAGAGGACTTTTCATGATTGCTGTGCGGTATGACGAGTGAGTAATTTCTTCAAGGTGTCCTGGACCTTCAGCTGAGGACGTCTATTCTGTGGAAGCCGTACTGTGGCGTAACGTAGCATGCGGCTTGTCGATCACGGTGTTCAGTAAGTATCTTATGTCCGGCCGGAGGAGGTCGTGGCGTTTTGAACAGGTAGTCCTTGTCGACCGTGACCATGCAAAAGTAATGCGCTGTGGTACACGTATCGGTCTTACGGTAGAGGACCAATGTCCGTAGTCCCAGATGCCAAGAAAGCCAAAAGTCGTCCCTCAATGATTATGTGCATGCAGCAGCCGGATGGACCTTGCGAAGTGCCTGTTGTCAAGCGCTTAGTAGAAGTGAAGGAGACTTTCAAACGTCAAATACAGTTTTATGTGCTATGATACCGATTTGCTGCCCAGTGGGTTGTGTCACCGGTATATCATTGTTAGGACGGACGCCGTCCGAATGATAAGGTTTACGCGGATAGAGTCTATGGAGCCAAGTCACTGACTTCAGAACTGAACGAGCAGGCGATCGAGTGGTACGGACATGTAGGATCATCCCGAAAAACATAAAGCGCGCGAAGACTATACATTAGCTCATCCTCCTTTTCACGGCTCTATAATAGCTACATCCCATCTCGTATCTCAGTTCATCATATACTACTCGTTGAGATGGTTGGGTCAGTCTCAGAACAAGTCACCCTCGTCGCTATCATTCATCCGGCTGAGGGTAAAGTGAAGAGAGTATGCTATGCCCTCCGAGGTCTTGCGAGCCTGGCGAACTGACATGAACGCCTCCTTCCAGCTCCGCGAATTTATGCACGAGAGCATTGAAAAAATGCGAGCCAACGAGCCCGGCTGTCTCCAATTTCAAGTTCTTGAAGAAGCTGAAGAAGGCGAGGATGGCAGCAAGGAGCTCCGTATGGTGCTTGTTGAGCTGTAGGTGATTTCAAAATCGCGCCTCTGTCCAATACTGACGATTATCCTCAGTTACGAGAGTAGAGAGGCACTGGATTTTCATCGCCGGCAGCGGAACTATGCCAAAGTATTCCAGACCATTCAGGAGGAAGGGCTGATGAAGGCTATGCCTGACATGATTGTGCTGAAGGGGACTGGCGGGTTTCGCGACATGCAATAGAATTGATCGAATCTCTTTTGCCACGTCAGGCCGAGTCGGCACACCGACCATTTGCATTACACGTCTCCCTGAGGAGTCGTGACGGAGCCAGGAAGCAGACTTCTCCATGGGCCCGCCATGATCATTCCCCTGCTGGTGTATCGAACTCGAGCCACAGCAACAGTTTCGGTCTTCCGAGGCCACCTGGGACTGACGGACATGGTCGCTTTCGCTTCGCATTTGCGAATGGCGTAGTCGTGACTCTTCTTCGGAAGCGACCTGATTTGAGCATTTCAGGGCAAAGTTAGTGATCAAAATCTTCTGCAGTCCTTGATTTCATCTCAACCCTTCTTGCTTTCCGCCTCTGCCTTTGACATGACAACAGCAGCATCCGTCTTCTGGATCGGTGCCGCAGTCAAAGCCTGCTGTGCCGGTACTTTGGTGTCTGCAGTCTTGCCCGATCCAAATATGGCCTCTCTTACGCCCCAAAGCGCACCTTTTCCAGATCCCTGGTTCTTCGTGCCCGCAACCTGTTCCTTCGCGTCCCTTAGATCACTTAATATAGCCTCACTGATAACATTGTCCTTCGTCTCGACATGTTTCTGCTGAAATCCCCCAGCTTTCTCTTCTTGTTCTCGTTGAAGTTCTGGCTGAAAGGCTGAATATGCTGTGAACACCCCGAAGACACCAGCCATCAGCACGCCAAGATTCACATACGTCCTTGATGCCATGCCGTGGAATGTGGTTTGAGAGACAAATTACATGGCGATGCAATGTTTATAGACGGGCGGAGGATCCGTGCTTGCCGCAACGCCTCGGTCCAAGCTCAGGAACAAGTGAATGAATGTCGACTGTATCGACATTAGACCGTGATGCATTTCAACTTCTCGCAGCCATGATAATTGCCAGCAGACGGGCTGGCATCGCCGCCGAGCGCTGGCTTCTGCTGAGCCCCCGGGCACTGACCGTAGCCCGCCAAGCTAGTGATACATCCCTTCCAAAGCGACCGAAAGTCACTCGAGATGCCAATCGTCATATCGATATATCGGACCTTCTTTCGAAGCCTACATGGTCTGTAGCATCTCTGTTGCCTTCCGAGGATGCCTCGTCCACTACTCCAGTGATAAGCTCCAAGCAACTGCATCACTTGCTTCGTCTGTCGGCACTTCCATCACCAACAGGTCCCGAGGAAGAACAACGCATGCTCTCAACCTTGTCCTCACAGCTGCACTTTGTAAAGGAGATCCAGAAAGTTGACACTTCTGGTGTTGAGCCTCTACAGAGTCTTCGAGACGAAACAGCCGAGGGCGAGAAGGAGGCAGAGCTCGGTCTTGATGCACTGAAAGATGCTTTGGCGAAGGAGGAAGTGCGAGGTAGTGGAAGGAGAGGAAGGCTTAGGAGGACGAAGAGTCCACCGAGGGCGGATGAGGAGAAGTGGGATGTGCGGAGTACGGCTGGCAAGAAGACTGGGAGATATTTCGTTGTTGAAGGAGGCCCAAAGGTACCTTGAACTGGGCTGGGCACATCACAGAATCGTGAAGGGCCTAGACTATCCTATGCTTCGGCTTATATTGGACTCTCTCAGCCATGCACCGAGGATCGGTACGTTTGACATTTACCAATCATATGCACTGTAGTACACGAAAAAGTGAGCTTGAATGATCTTTGTTGAGGTATGTCAAACTAGACTAATGTACAGTAGGTTCGCTCCGCTGCCAAAGAAGAGTGCATAGGTATTCCTACATTGTGCATTCCTAGGACTGCCAGCAGGCTCATACAGAAGCACCATCCAGCTGAAACTTTTCTGCCTCCCAAACGCAAGCAGTAACTCCAACATAGCTGAGGGTCAACAAGCTCTACTGAGACGAAATCGCCTGAGTTGAGAGTCCTCGCTCATGAACATCATCACCGTCATCAGCCAGTCTCATAATAATAGCAGAAACGCAGCAAAGAAAAGAAACCTGTAGCAAAAGGGCACATGCATCGCCATAATCTATAATATCATCATTCATCCGATTACCAGGAAAAGGTCTGTCATGGACACTTTTCCGATGGCTGAAATCTCTCAAGATAAAACCTCGAAAATCCTCTTTGTGTGCTGCGTACCGCCTGGAGAAGGCAACCGCAGCATTTGTTACTTTGTATCCTGAGCGGTGAGACTCTGGAATGACGAGTACCATGTTCAAGTGATCTCGGAGTGGCCGTTCACCCGTGGTTTCCCCACTGGTCTTGCATTCAGGTGTCGCACTTCCTACAGCACCACCACTAGAGTATCCTTACGTAGCGCCAGAAGATGTACGAGAATCGGGTTGAGGCTTGCTTGAGCGAGCGGATCCGTCGCCTCCAGGTGTTGAGCCGAAAGAGTCAGAACCCTGAGAGTCAGCGCCCGGAGACGCAGAGCCTGCACCATCTGCACCACCTGCACTACTTGCTGAACTGGAAGGAAGACTGCCTGCTGGATTCGTGCCGTAGCTCTTGCTGGATTTTGGAGGAGCTTGGGAATTGGGACCCATGCCGTTGTTCGAGCCAGCGCCGCCTGCATTACCTCCAAAGCTGCCGTCACTGCCTCCTCCTCCGACTCCCAGCTCATCGTCACCTGAGCTGCCTCCGCCATAGCTGTTGTCACCAGCACCACCCCCGGGAAGACTATTGTCGCCATAATACGAGCGTTGACTGGTAGTAGATTTGCTGTATGGACTGGGCGTACCTGTGCCCCCGGAATTGTAAGGATCGCTAGAGCCGCCCGGGGTGTACGGGTTGCCGCCCTCTCCATTGGTATCATACCCGCCTTCACCTGGATCGCTGCTGCCTTCGCCAGGGTCGGCATCGCCTCCGAGACCATCACCACCTTGAGCGTTCTTCCCATCCATTCCGCCGTCACTACCACCGCTGTAGCCACCGAGACCACTTGTGCCTCCCTGGCTCGAACCCCCCGAAAAGCCATCATCGGAGTCAGAGAACAGATCAGTCTGACCAGCTCCGCCATATATACCATCAGGGTTCAGCCCAAACCCTTGGCCATTCGAACCTTGACCGAAGCTCTGATCGCCACCCTGACCATAGCCCTGCTGACTACTACCCTGGCCCCCGCTAGAGCCTGCGCCAGACATAGGCGGTTTTGAGCTAGCTCCACCAGAGTACGCCTTATCAGTAGCCGGAGAGGTACCAGAGCTACCAGTCTGTGGGTCACTTGAGCCTAGGTCGGAAGATGCACTACTCTCATCATCGCCAGCAGCGCCAGACATTGGGTTTGACATGCTGCTCGAGCCGGAAGATGCTTTGTGCTTAGAGCCACTTGAGCCGCCAGCGAGGCTGTTGGGATCACTTCCAGCGCTTGCAGTGTCCTGGCTTGCGGAATTCACGGAGCCAGCAGCCGATGCACCGCCTGCGTTGGAGGCGGAGCTTGAGCTGTAGCTAGAACCACTACCACCACCAGGGGCTTGACGGGGAATGTTGCGCTTCTTTGAGTTGGGGTCGGTCGAGCCTGTCCCAACACTGCCATCGCTGCTAGACTTCTGGCTTGTCTTAGATCGACTGCTGCCGCCACCGCTGCCGCTGACAGTGACACTGGAAACAGGATGAGGCTCGCTCCCTGGACCACTAGATACGCCAGGTCCATTGGGCAGTCTTGAGCCACCCTCTTCACCATAATCCGGGAGCTGCGAGCTCTTCTGGCTCGCACCATTTAGGCCACCAAGTCCGGAGTTATCATTGCCTTGGGCATATTGACCAGCGCTGTTGGCTCCTAGCGAATCGCTTCCTGCTCCTCCTGCACTATATTTGTCATCGCCAGCGCCTCCGCCCAAGCCATTTGCAGCTGGGTCGTACTGATCCGAACCGAGCGATGAAGCTGGATTGTGCGTACCAGAAGAGGGCTTGCCATATGGATTGAGACTGCCGGTAGAATCTTGACCAGCCAAGCCTTGAGGACCGCTCTGACCGCCATACTTTTGGTCCATTCCTGTGGGATCATAGTCATTGTTAGGTCCGTAATCATCGTCAGATGCGCTTTTGTCAGTCGGATCGTCATATCCATTGCCTCCGAGACCACCATCTCCAGCATCACCGTATTTGGACGCTGGTTTAGATCCTGCTTCCTGACCATCGCCGCTGTAAGGATCCTCATCCTGAGTCGGATCATTGTACGCGTTCTTGTCGCCATTTGGACCAGTGCCAGTCGTACCGGCGTACGAATTCTTGCCACTCTGCTGACCGGTACCCGTTGCGCCACCAAGCGAGTCATTGGGGTCGCCCGTGCCCGAACCCTGGCTGTAGGGATCATCAATGGGGGCTGTCGTCGTGGAGGACAGAACACCAAAGCTGGGCTTCCTACTCTTTGTGCTCCCCTGATTGGGGTCGATTGGGGGTGGGCCTGCACTGCCTTCCATAGGATTACTGCTTATGGGATCTTCGGCGGCTGGAGGGTACTCGGGACTACTGTCAGGGTACGGGGGGTCTTGGTCGCCACCAGGAGTCGAATGCCTACTGATACCGCCATGGTTCGCAGGTAAACTGCTGTTTGTGCTAGAGCCTGCACCTGTCCCAGCATCTGTTCCAGAGGGACTACCACCTCCAACGGGCTGATAGAATGGGCCACGAGCGAAGACGTTCAAGCGAGCGAAGAACGATTTCTTGGCCGGTTCGATGGTATGGGTTACTGGAGTCACTGAAGTGTCCGAGGTCGAAATGGCAGTTGGAGCGGCCTGGACGGTGACCGTGACCAGAGTCGTGGGAGCTGGAGCTGTGGTGGGAAGGGACGACGTGGCGGATGCCAATGGGATCGTGATGGACGGCGTGAGAGTCGTGGTGGGGACTACCATTGGAGAAGAAGTTTGGGAGGAGACAGTGGCGGATGTCGAGGGGGTGCTGACGCTGGAATGAGAGGCCTTGTGCTGCTCAGCGTCGACATGCTGCTTATAGGCGTAGGTGCCCAGACCAATGATTGCTGCGGACACTATCGCCAGCGCCACCACGGTCATGCAAATGTAGCGGCATATACGAGACTTGCTCTGGTTCGAGCGCCACTTCGGCTCTATCATAGCGGACCCCATCCACGTCTTCTCCTTGTTGGGTTTCTGGGATGACGGATCGTTGACAGTGTTGTTATTCAGAGTGGTGAAGAAAGTTGAAATGTTGTTGGCGGAAGGAGAAGTGTTGCTACCACCAGTAGATGACCAGTTGCTATTATGGACTGGATTGCTGATCTTGGTCGGTGATGAAAGAGGAATGGTTTCGAACGGGTGGGAGCCAGGTATGTATACCTTCTCGCCCTTCCCATCATCAGCTCCCACAAGCCCTTCACCGAGAACCACAGGCCTGCCAGCACTACCCGACACGTCAACATCCTCCTGCCCCTGACGTGGAAGCTGCAAAGCCTCCGTGAAAGACAGCTGCGACTTCTGCGACTCTGATCGTGCTAGCCCATGTTCCCGCGCTGGCCCAAAGCGTTGGCGGAAGCCGTGCCTTCTTGCTTGTGGAGCTCGGGAGAGTGCAGGGTTCGAGATATATGCGTCTTGGAACCTGGGGTCGGAAAGCAGCTGGGGGTCATCTGAGCCTTCTTGTGGGATTGGGTAGGAGATGCGTTGATTCGCCGTGTTGGCCCTGCCATGTGCGCCTATGCTGCTTTTCGTGCTGGCAGAACGAGAGAGATAGCCTGTGTCTGCTGCTGCTGAGGTTGTGTGTGGTGCGTTGGCCAAAGGGGCAGGCTCGAAGCCTTCTGATCTCGACCTGAAGCTTGGTTGGCGAGAGGGCAGCTGCGCGACCAGCGAGGCGTCTGGGTCACGCTGCCGGAAATGGACAAGTCGATCTACATCGTCTATGCTTGCTCGTGGTGTGGAAGACCTGCTCGTATGGTCCTCCATCTTGATCTCTCCGGGCTCGACGTCCGGGACACCAGCTATTGTATATGGGTTGCTGTCTCCGTGGAACATCACACCCGCCTTGGTCTCGGCAGCCGTGGTGAAGCTAGCGACGCTGGCTTGTGCAGTAGGCATCTTAATCTCAGCGCCATACATCTTCGCCGCATCTACAGCTCTACCCTTGCTTGGAGGTGATATAGTCGCGCTATTGGCGGTCCAAACATGAGCATCCGAATCTCCGCTCTCGCGTTCCGGATTGCGTTCAGGCGAGTAGATGGACGAAGTCATACTATGTGCCGAGACTGAGCGAGAGAGTGGATGGGCTGTATGAGCATCAGCCGCCTTAGTAGCAGTAGAAGCAGATCGCCGAACGCCTTCAGGAATTTCGTCCATCCTTCCAAGCTCGATGGCAGAACGATTAAGGTTTCTCTGCCGCAGACGATCGCTGGTATCGGTATGTGGAGGGTGCCCAATAGCAACAGAAATCCTCTTGTCGTCCGTCGGTCTGGTATCTGAGGTTATTGCAGGAGTGGGGGAAGAGGTCGAAGGTCCGTCTGTCTTGTACCCGAGCGATCTCCAGAGGAAGGTTGACATTGATTAGTCTGATCCACTATGGGTATGCGAGGCTCATATCTATGTATCGAAATGAAATGCTAGCACATATCGTGACCGGCCTTAGCTTCGTATGCTCGGTATCCATTAGCACGATGGAGATGCATGGCTTTGTTAAATCAGATGAGCCACTGATATGGCTTTTCTTTCTCATGACAACCCTTCCAATCCATGCTGAAGCACTCTGGTGCTCCTATGAAACGCATGAGGGAGAGCAGAAGACATTTATGGCTCCTAGTCAGCTACGTGGCCATCAAGCAAGCCCTCGGCTTGTGCATGGGGGTTACAGAACTCCAGCATAGCAATCCCTGATCCCATGAGTACCTTTATCAGCAGTCGCTTGTTCGGCATACGATGAGATGAGGGAGGTGGTAGTTGCGTTGGGGATAGTGAAATGGAATTTGTTGTACGAGTCTATAATGACTGAACGAAAGCGGGGCAGTGAATCGAGATGATCCAGATGAATGAGGATGAAAGACTGTGAGACACGATGTGAGAGTTGATGCGTAGTAATACATCTCGTTAAAACGATAAACCTGCTGATCTTACCCCTTACCCCTTTCTTCATTCCCAACCATCCCTGCGTCCAGCATCATCTACTCAGTCAGAGCACGCCTCACCAGGCACGCCACAGAAATTGATCAGGCCACCCTTCTTCGTCGAAGTCGGCTTCGCGGCAGCGTTGAGCTGCGATGCTGGTGGTGTGGCAGTAGAAGTCACCGTTGTGAAGCCCGAGCTGTCAAGCCAAGTCTTCTCGCCCACCGAGATCGTGTGATGTGATGCCTTTGTGCTCGAGCTATTTATAACAGCAGGAGCCGTCGAAGTAAGGAGAGCCGAGCCAGCGGACGCCATGTTCGGGACTCCGACCATGATGGTGGCTGTCGATGCGTAGGAGAGCGTGCTCGTCGATGGCAGGAGGCGGAAGAAGGAAGTGTCTGACTCTGTCAAGTACGAGATTATCCTGGACTCAACGGTAGTGTGAACAGTCGATGCCACAGTCAAGATACCAGAACCCGGAGGCGTGGAAGTCGATGTAACAGTCGTGCTTGAGATCTCAGTCGCTCGGATGGGTGCAAAGCCAGCAGCTATGCTGCGCGTTGCTGTGACAGTAACAGTAGCAAAGGCCGTCGCAGTAGTTGTTGCTGTAGTCGAGCGAACAGAGAGCGGAGAGATCTGAGAAGGGGTCTCAGCAATCGAGCTCGGAAGTTGAGTTTGCGGAGGAGCAGGACTACGAACCGGTCTTTGGGCGCTAAGGTAAGTAGCAACCACTCCAGCCATAATAGCGAGCACCGCAAGAATACCAGTTACAGCACAGCCGATGATGATGTAGCGTCGCTTCCTGCTCTGCTTAGGTCGGTTATGCAAGTCGGGCTTCGTCTGATGTGCTTCTGCGTCGTTGAAGCGGCGGAGCTCAGCGTTGACTGCTGACTCGTACTGAGGTGGAAAGTCCTCTAGTGGGATATCTTGAAAGGCTTCCTTCTCGGAACGTGGTGCAATGGTATGAGACATGGTCATTGTCGCTGAGTCCAGACTCTGCCGATAGTGGTTCTTTGTTCTTGGTGTGGCTGTTGTCAGATTTGGTATGCGACGAGATGCTGCGACCAGCGTAGCAGTGTAGACAATATAGAGTAGAGAGACTGATGAAAGACATAATCGAAATGGACTGTGTGAAGAGTTTTGTAGAAATGCTTGCCAATAATGTTATTGAGATCAATTGTGGTCAACGACAATGGCATTGTAAGCATAGCACCAAGTCGGTGCGTCAATAAGTGGGATTTCTGATGGTCTTACGTATGAGAGTGGTTATTGAGAGGTCAATAAGCCGTGTGAGGTTCGACAGAGGCGGTGTGATTCCAAGGGTCCCCACGAGCGGCTCTGGTTGTGCATTTCGCTCATTCCAAAGCATACTGTTGGATATTAAAAGACACTGCGGTTGGTCCCTTGTCTTCTGGACGGACAGTACAATCGTGTTTGACAGGCACTCCGCTGGGTAGGCAATCGAGCCAACAGCAGTCAGCTCTCGACTTGCACCATAATATGGGCGTGTTCAAGGTCGGCTTCCATACTGTAAGGCTTGTATATATTCTGCGATTGCTTCCTGTATGTCGATGTTGCCTGCCACTCGAACTATTCGGCGTGGTCGATGGATCCACAGATTCGAATACAACTTCGGGCCTGTGGGATGCCGTTATTTGGCGTCATGAGGGAGTGAGGTTGAAATTGAACGAGGAGGAAGAGGAAATCGAGCGGCACGTGAAAGGCAGGGATCATGAACGGCGCGCGGGCCGAACCTCGGCGAGCGGCAGATGTGGACGCGACTCTCAGCGCGTGGGATAGATATGTTCCAGATGGGAATATGAGTGTGAAGAGTAACGCTTAGTCGTGCTGTGGAGGATTGAACAACGATGCGGGTGCATATACGATCACCTGCTGGTACGGAACATATACGATGAACATCTCCCAACTTTCAGTCGGCCAAAGAATCCAGCTCGCCGACAACCGCATTGCGACTATCCGATTTGCGGGAGCAACACATTTCCAAACTGGTGACTGGATTGGTGTAGAGCTTGACGAGCCCAGCGGAAAGAACGATGGCTCCGTCAAGGGGGAGCGGTACTTCGACTGCGAAGCGAATCATGGCATGTTCTTGCGACCATCCGGTGTGAAGCAAGTGATTGAGGACGTGAAGCCGAAGACTGCTGCGAGAGCTACGAATGGTGTTGCTGGGGGGAGTAGTAGGCCGAGCAGTGTGCACACTGGGGTCAACGGGCTAAGAAGGGAGGCTGTCGAAGGACCAGGGAGGAGGGCAAGTGGCATTGGTGGAAGTCCTACACCTGGTGCACGACTGGGCACTGGTCTGAGGAGTCCTACGAAGTCGCCCACGAAGCAGTTGGGAAGCAATGGAGCTACGTCGAGCACATCTACGTCACGGACCAATACTCCATCTGCTAAGGGCAGACCGAGCATTGCTGGTCCAGCGGCAGGGAGCCCTCGACAGAGTCTTGCTCCTCCGAGCACGACAGCCAGAAGGACATCGACTTTACCAGGAGCGGCTACAGCAGCTCCTGCACGATCTAGTAGGCCTTCACTTGCTCCATCAAGCACTTCAGGCAGAGTCCCACCAGGCAGAACAGCACCAACACGTGCTCCAGCTCCGCGGCCTCCGCAAGGACCACGTATGAGCTCGACGAATGAAGAAACAGCCGACAATGACAGTGAAAGGCCGAGCTTACGATCGCCGAGGACAGAGAGCTCTCTGCCAAGCCAGCAGGAAGATCAAGAAGAAGTGGAAGACGAACCTGCCAAGCCCAGCTTCGCACCGCCTCCTATACCTCCAGATCCACCACAACAGACTACCCGATCTCGTCGACCTTCGTCACCAACTGCAGCATCAATACACTCTCAGCGAACCATGCGAAGTACAGCCGCCTCGCATCGGCAGATTGAAGAGCTCGAAGCCAAAGTTCGATTACTAGAACGTAAGCGGATGGAAGACCGTGAGCTTAAGAAGCACATGGAGCAGGCGCAACAAGAACGAGATCAGTACAAAGGCATCATTGAGAAGCTGCAGAATAAGTATCGCCCTCAACAACAGGAATTAGGTGAGTTGAAGCAGGCATTATCGGAAGCCGAGAAGCGTTTCACAGATGTCGAGGCCATCCAGGCCGAGCATGACAGTATCATGGAGCTGGCTACACTGGATCGTGAGATGGCGGAGGAGAAGGCGGAAGGTATGCAAGCTGAGCTTGAGGCATTACGGGCGAAGAACGAGGAGATGGAGCTCGAGCTGGAGATCTTGAAGGATGAGAATTCGGATCTCGGCAAGGAGATGAGTCCTGAAGAGCGGACGAGTGCGGGCTGGGCGCAGATGGAGAAGAGTAATGAGAGACTGCGCGATGCACTTCTACGGCTGCGAGATATCACGGAAGACAAGGAAGAAGAACTTAAGGAGCGGATCAGCGACTTAGAGGAACAGGTACAGAGTGTGGATTCTTTGCAGAATACCTTCAATGACACGAAAGAGAGACTGCTACGCAGCGAAGCTGATACGAACGATCTCCGGCAGCAACTTGAAGTGGCGCTCGAGTCCGACGAGATGATAGAGGAGCTCACCGAACGCAATGGCAGATTAGACAACCAGGTTTCTGCCCTTCGAACCACAGTCGAAGAACTTGAAGACCTCCGCGACATCAACGACGAGCTGCAGGTGAACTACTCCGAGCAAGAGAAACAGCTCCAAGAAGAAATCGACTTCAAGGACTCCCTTCTCCTCGACCGCGAACGAACGTCCAAACAACAGCAGTCCGCGCTTGACGAGGCGGACTACACGGTGACCCGTTACCGCGACCTCGTGAGCCAGATGCAATCGCATCTCGCAGACATGCAGGCTAGTAAGCAGCTCTCGGAAGCTGAAGCAGCAGACCTCAACAGCAAGTCCCGCGCCATGATCGATCTAAACATGAAGTTGCAGTCGTCCGCTGCTAAGACGCAAGTCAAGACTATCGACCTCGAGCTCAGGAAACTGGAGGCGCAAGAGGCGAGCGAGCATCTGGCTATTGTGCAACTTTTCCTTCCGGACGCTTTTACGAGTGAGAGGGATAGTGTTCTTGCTCTGCTGCGGTTCAAGCGGCTGGCTTTCAAGGCTGCGTTGGTCAAGGGATTTGTGCAGGAGAGAGTAGCGTGTTTTGGTGCGAGAGGCGACGAAGAGGATGTTTTCGCCGCGCTGGATGTTTGCGACAAACTCACCTGGATCGCGTCCATGAGCGAGCGTTTCATCAATTCGATTTGTTCTTGCTCCGTGGAGGAGTTCGCAAGGTATGAGAGTGCTTTGTATGAACTCGAGCCTGTGGAACGGGCGCTGAACGGGTATATTGATGGGTTGAGAAGGGAGGAGGTGGATGAGAGTGTTATGGCGGAGGAGCTGCAGAGGTCGATTGCCGTTATGGAGCACCTTGCGGGCATCCATATCAAGGAGGATCTGGCGAGCCATGCTGATATGCTTGCTATGAGGACGAGTTGTTTACAGAGTTGGATGGAGAGTTGTGCTACCGCGCTTGGGGTTATCAGGACTATGGTGCAGGATCATATTCGCAGGCCTCGCGCTGAGAGAGAAGATGGAGACGAGGATGAAGGGACTGATGAAGATGAGGATGCTGCAACTTCGGATCTCATGTTCATCCTCAACCGCGCCGAGGCCCTCATCTCCAGCGCCCGGAACGCTAAAGTCATGGCGGGCAAGACTCATCGCGCACTGGGTGATCTGCAAGCTCGATCTCTCACGCTGGAAATTCCCCACACCTCCGCCTTCGACGAGGCCGAGAGTGTCGCTGTTCTCGTGGCAACCTATACCCGCCAAGCAGGCTCAGCCCTCCAACATCTCTTCGGGGAAGAAGGTCGTAACGACCCGTTCACCTCTGAAGAAGTCTCCAGCATCTTAGCCCGAGCAGCCACCACTGTCTTCGAGTTGAGGGAGGCGGAAGCAGGACCCTTCTCAACCCTCGCCTCTCGTCTCCGTGAGCTCCAAGATCAGCTCTCTGACCTCGCAGCCGTGCCCACGGATCTAGATAATACGATCGAATTCGAACGGGCCCCAGCACCCTGGGTCGCGCGATCGAACGACTTGCGGAGGAAGAAGGATAACACGATCGATACCGAGGCCGAGCTTGCGCGCAGTCGAGACCGTGCTCGGGAGTTCGAGGGCGCGGTGCAGGCGAAGGAAACGGAGCTCGAGGAGCAGAGCTTGAGGATTGAGATGCTGGAAGCTAGGATGAGGGAGGCTGGGAAGCGGTCTATCAAGATCGCCGAGCTGGAGAAACTGGTTGAGGAGGCGAGAGAGAAGGAGAGGATGGCGAGGAAGGAGGTTGAGAGGGTTAGAAGGGAGGGCGCGCTGCAGATGGAGAGTGTTAGGGGTGAGATGGAACGTTTGGTAGGCGACGACGGGGGCCGTGGTGGTAAGAGCAAGGATGTGGCAATTGACAGTGACGCTATGGGTGCTGGAGCGAGTATGGTGATGAGGAGGCAGGAAGTCAAGATCGAGGGCTTGGAGGGCGCGGTGAGGTATCTGCACGATGAAAATCATCGCTTGCGTCTTCCGGGTCCGGACTCCCCACTCTCTTTACGAGGGAAGCTGGACTGGCTACACGAACCTCTCACCAAACCACCCACAAAAGTGGAGAAGAAGAGACTTGCTCTCCGAAAGGAAGGCCGAGATGTCTTGAGCAGGATGCTTGCCCTGGCCTCAGAGCCACAAGTCGTGGATCTGAGTAAGCTGAAGGAGAATAAGCTTGCTTGGAGGCCTAAGAAGGAGGTCCCGAGGTGGCGGGTTGCTGTTAGGAAGGAGGAGTGGGCTGCCTTGAAGGGGTGGGGAGGGGATGTTGCAAAGAAGGATATGGGGAATGTGCATAGAGTGCCGCGAAGAGAGGTAGTGGCTTAGTATGCCGAATACAGATGTCTCTCATGCATTCCTATGATCCTCCTTTGCCTTGGCTGGGCGGTGGTCTACTGGAGGGTGACGCGGTAGCTCTCGATGGCTTAGCGCAGTTGAGACAAGAACGTATCTGCTTCATGGTCATCCCCACCGCCCGACACGCTACAGGACACACTGACGGCCCTTAGACTAGCTATCGAGACATCAACATCGTGGGAGACTTCCACGCTGGAGTAGTGATATCCCCGTCATCCTCAGCATGCCTTAGTCATACTGACGGTCTTCATGGTAGCTACTACGACATAGATATTGCAAGGGATCTGGACACCATGGCAGACGCCATTCCCAGTAGCCTCAAAACTGTTGATACGCTGACTGGCGTTATGGTGGCTATAAGCATATACGAGAGAAACCGTTACAGTAGATAGTGAATTCTCCGCGGCGTCCAAGCTATCTTGATATACTGGCAGCCCTTAAGATAGCCATCAAGGTATAGATACTGCGGAGATCTCGAAACTATAGATCTCGTCATCCCCATTGTCCCTACAGTTTTTTAAACGTTAACGGGCGTTGAGGTGGCTGTACGGTCATAGATCGCGCAGGAGATCTGAAAACTGCGGACGGCAATATCCCATCATCATGAACAATTTTTGATATGCTGACGGGTTCCCGAGTAGCTTTTGCTGTTCGAAGGCGTGAGAGATCTTCATCTCTTCTGGAGCAAGTTTTCATAATCAAGTACATCAAAAACACTACCTGCGCCCGCCAGACTAGCTACAACAAAGCGCAGCAGCCCGGGAAAAAACACCATCTCAAGCTGACCCACTCCAACTACAACCTCACCTACTCAATCTTACGCCTCTTCCCCCTTCCCTCCTCCACCAGATCATCCTCCGCCACCCTCTTCTTCGCGGTCAAATTAGCATGCAGACTCCCATTGTCGTCTGCATACCTAGCCACCTCCAACGCACCCTCCATCCATCGCTTAGCCTTCTCCCCCTCACCGTGCCCAGTGAAATCCACAGCCTGATTGAACACAGTTGACGCAAGCCAGAAAAGCTCATCGGACGGATAGGTGGCCGTCTTGCCTTCGTACCCCTTCGCCGCGATGGAAGCAGCTTGCTGGATGATGTTCAGAGCGAAGTCCTCGTCGTTGTCTTCGAGATGGATGCTGAAGCTTTGGCGGAGCCAGAGAGCCATCTTGTTGATGTCTTTGTCGCGTTTCCATGTCTCGTTGATGCTCCTGGAAAGCAGATCACGAATGCGGCATTTGGAGGTATCGTCGATGTCCGTGGCAATACCCGCATGCTTGTGGATGGCGAACATCAGATCGGCGAGGCTCTCCCAGCGTCCAGCACCCGTGTAATTGAGGAGGTTCGTTACGGCAGCATCGAGAGCCGACCAGAGCTGGAGATGCAGTGTGCACTCGAGATCAAGTCGCATGATCTCGAAAGCGCCCCCAGCCATGCTCTCCCTTTCCTTCTCGCGGTCTCTCGTGGGCATTGTGGCGCCGGTCGTACCTTGCCAATCTCCATAGTGTGCGTTGAAGTGGTCGATTTGAGAGCGTGCTTGCATGTACCATTGCCGGCGCTGATCAGAGCCTTCTTCACTTGCCCTAGCGATTTCCACGAAGCCGAGTGCTGATGTGAAGTGGCAGATCAGTCTGCGGCGACGGACTCCAGGCTGATGATCGGCCGACAAGCAGTCGAGGAAGCGGACACACGTAGCCAGCAGGCGGACGAGCATCTTGGGGATGATGGCCTCGCTGTGCGTCATCGCGAGATTGAAAGCTGATTTGCTCCACCACTGTAGCTCGTCTAGCCATTTCTCGTCGTTGCTGATGCGGAGAGCGGCCGTGTTCTTGGCAGCTCGTTCGAACATGACGACCAACTCTACGCCTGTTCTGCTTTTGTCCTTGTCCTTATCTTGAGAGTCGAGCTCACTCATCAGGAGACGCACAGTGCAGCGTAGCAGCGATGGCAGGTGTAAGCCTGGCGGCCGCTGATCGATGAGTGTCTTCAGCGCTTTGATAGCCATATACGGCGTACCGTGCTGTTGTGCTGTCAGTACACAAGCGTACAATGGCTGCGAATCCTCTTTGGCATGTTTTGCGATGATGAGTAGGGACTGCTCGGCCAGGGTTTGGTCGCCTTCTATCAGCGCGAGGTGAAAGACGAGAGACCGGCTCTGAACCTCGTTCTGGTTGTCCTCGGGCATATCGTAGAAGGCTGCACGTGCACCGACATAGTCTTTGCGATAGAAGCGAGTCAAGAAGATTTTCCTGTAGTCGTACAGAGTCAGTCAAGATCTCGTCGGGAGTGAGATATCCTTACCGCCCGATTTTCCCTGCCTTAGAAGGACCAGACTCGCCGAACAGCGGATGCTGCAACAACCTCAACCCTGCCTCCACAGACGTGTCTCCTTCCAGAGCCGCTGAGCGTTTGAATAGGTCCATTGCCGACTTCCAGAGCTTAGTCTGAGCTCCGTGGGCAGCAATTGGCGAAATGCCAGGGCCAAACCCTTCGTATACCTCGTCAAGGACGGTCTTTATACGTGTAGCAATGGCCATCTCGGGTTCTCTGGCACATTTAGTTGCGGCAGAGAGGAATGTGGCGACGCCCTTATCTAGTCTGTCTTGGGTTATGCCTCCGACGGGATTTGCACGGCAGTCTGGCAAGAGTCGAGAAATGATCAGAATGTGAGTCATGGCCAATGCTGAGACCATATGAAAGTCTTGGAGCTTCTTCAGAATTTTCATAATCCTGTGCACATGTCAGTATGAAGTGTGCTAGTACCGCCATCGACTCTTGCTTACATCGTGAATGTCTGATCCGTGAGCTGAGTGTTTTTGATCATGCGAAACACTACGCTTTCGATCTTCGTGTTATCCGGATGCCGTGCTGCAGTCAAAACCTTGTATCTCAAGACATCCGGCTCGAGTCGATAGCAGGTGCCGTTTGTATCGGTGAGGTGGTCAACAAGTCGATGGGCTTGGACGAAGGAGTCCGGCGAGGCATTAGCCAAACATGCTTCGACGGCCGTTCCTGCGATTGCCAATTCAAGGTCCAAGCCATGCTGACTTTGATCCTTGGTAGCGAGACGCTTGAGCGTCCCCAATGCACATTGACACCACATTGTGGTTTCCTTCCATTCCCCTTGAGCCTGGCGAGCCTTGGCAACGCTGTAGAGTACTTCAGCTGCTTTGTCCGTCAGATCAGCGGATTTCTGAAGCTCTTTCATATCAATCTGCGTGTAAAAGTGGAATGTCAAGTCGGTGTGATCTGTCTTGAGGGCGTGCAGCACACGAAGTATGTAATACTCAACGACGAAGTGTCTGAGAGTACGCAGGTGGATGGTCAGGCTGAGGGACATGCCGCCGGCAAACTGAACAATGGGAGCATTGCCCTCCACAATAGCGGTATAGTCTGAGCACCGCTGGAGGATCTTCATGGCAAGGTCGGGCTCGTCGTTGTCGAGGCATGTACGGCATGCCTTTAAGGCGATCTTGAAAATGCGAACGAATGTCTCTTGGTCTTGGTAGTCGCCCAGAGAGACTTGATGAGCGGCGTCAATGAGGGAGAAGCCGAGTATGCGCAACAATGTGGCGAGGCGAGGGTGGTCCTGGCCTTGGCCACGATGAACAGAGCTGTCTGCCTGCGACTGCTTGAGATTGATGGCAGAGTTCAGGATGTCGGAGCCAAGGCGATCGAGTGCTCTGGGCCGACTCTGCACGGGTACTGCTGTCGCGATGGGTATATAACGCTGGACGACGTCCTCGAGCTCGACTTGGACATCTTCTGGTACGGGCATGCGCGCTTGTAGCAAGTCGTACGTGCGCTTTGCGCAGTCTAGAGCATATTGTCAGTCGGAGTCGAAATGGTTGCGAGCGCGAGGACATACCTTTGACATGCTGCAGGCGCTCGTCCTCCTTCGGCTTCATGCCTTGTAGTGTCGCTTTCTATCTTTACGCAGAGATCAGTATGAGTGTCTAGGCAACAACGTGTAACGAGCGAGACGACGATGCGAATGGCGTGGCAGTAGCAGCGTTAGTAGCAGGCGGTCAAGGTCGAAGTCGTCCGTAAGTCCGGATCCAGAGCGATGGTATGCGATGTGTTCCAGCCAAGGTGTGTAGATGTTGTGGTGTGGCAACAATCGAACGTGAAGTGAAGTCCAAGCTCAACGAAGCTCTCGCGCCAAAAGCGGAAGGCACCTGCGGTCGCGCCTGCCTTGTACGTCCAGTGATGCACTGATCTGCTACACCTCATTTCCGGAGCCCACTCATATTCTGGTTTTGAGCTACGTTGTGAATCGTTTGTGCCGCTTTTGGGGTATGAGCCTCTGGCATGATCGACGAGCAAGAGTGGCAGAAAGCGCCAGAAATCTATGGTCGTCATCTGCTCGCATCATCGAGGGACGATCGTCAATGTAGTGTCTCGCAAGAGATAACACCGACTGTGAACCACCAAAATATACATGACCAATCCAATCACAACCCCCTCTTCTCCCTCCTCCTAACCTTACAAATCACCCCCGTCTGCCTCACAAACCAATAATCCCACAACTCCCACTCCCTCCCCTTCCCATCCACACCCACAAACTCAAATTCAAACCTCCTCAACACAAGCGGAACCAACTTCCCCATCTCAAGCAGCGAAATGTTCTTCCCCAAACAAGTCCTGGCTCCCGCGCCAAAAGCAAGGAAGTTCCTCTCCATCAGACGTAATTGCTTCTCATCCGCTTCTAGCCAGCGTTCAGGGCGGAAAGTCTCGACGTCCGAGCCGTAGACTTCGGCGTCGCGGGCAGCGACCCAGGGGTTCATGCCGATTATTGTTCTGCTCGGGAGGAAGAGGTCCGTAGTTATTTGGGCGCCGCCGGCGGGGACGAGGCGTTCGAGGAGAAGTCCGACTGCTGGGTGCATGCCTGGCACGATCAATGTCAGCAGAGAAGCATACCATCAGTAGTGATGGCAAGAACGCACGCAAAGCCTCCTTGATACAGGCCTGGAAATACTTCAGATTCTGGCTTTCTGTGAAAGTCACTGGATCGGAAAGCTCGCCTTTCGCATCAGCTTCATCGATCTCTGCGATAAGTCTCTTGTACGCCGCTGGGGTCCGGCAGAGGTAGTAGAAGATAGCTCGAAGAGAGATCGCAGTCGTGTCAGCTCCGGCGAAGCTACTTTCGTTAGCGATCTTCTACACCAAAAATTCCAAGTGCACTGTTTCGGCAAAAGATAGTACGCACATATTACTGACAGCATGCGTAAGCAACTGATCATCACTCATGACCACCTCACCATCTTTAAACCTCTTGAATCGATCCAACATATCCCTCAGCTCAACAGTATTAAACTCCTTATTCTGATACCTCCTCAAATTTTGCGCCGCAAACTCCACGATGAACCTCGACGAGTTCAGGGCCTTGACAGCAGGGATGAAGGAAGTGAGCCAGGGGACGAAGCTGTTTCCAAAGAGATAATCGTGCAACCAGGGCATCTGACCAACGATACTGTTATAGAACAATCGACCTTCGATGGCGGAGATGATACCCTGAACATCTGTCTCCTGTTCCATGAAACCGACGCGATTGGAGAAAGTGATACTCGTTATCACATCGAAAGCGTACCACTAAACCGACCCGCGTCAACGAAAAATCCATCACATAAACATCCCTGCCACACCATGGCGTTGATTGAAAGACTCACATGCACCCAAGCGCCCAAATCAACCGCCCCGCCACCCTCCGCAAACCCCTCCATCTTCCGCATGAAAATCGCCGAACAATCATCACACATCGGCTCCAACTCCCTCAACGTCGCCATCGAATACGCCCCCGCAATCGGCCGCTTGGAAACCCGATGCACATCCTCACTCCTCTCGGAAAAAATCGTCGAGGCGGGACCACCGGGCGTCTTGATATCGAAGAGACGATACCAGTCGCTTTTCCAGAATTTCGTGCTGATGCCGTAGATGAGGGGGATGAGGGAGGCGTCGGAGAAGGAGATGTGGTGGGGGCCGATGCGGACGAGGGGGCCGTAGGTGCGGTGAAGGTGCAGGTGGTGGGACATTGCGGCGCCGGAGGCTACGGTGCGGAGGCGGTCGAGGGGGAGGATGCTGGAGAGGAAGGGACCTGGGATGGTGCGGAGGTGGGGAAGGTAGCGGATACGCAGGAGGTAGAGGGTGGTCAGGAGGGTTAGTAGGGTGGTGGTGAGGGCAACGGTTTGCCATGGTATTGAGGGCTCCATGATCGCGATGTTCTCAGGCTAAGATTTCTTGTTCGTGCTTTCGTCGCTGGGCAAGAGGAGTTACGGCGCCAGAGGGATTGAATGATCTTGCTTCAGGTTACGAGGGGTTTTGATGGAATTGAGAGCATGGGAGAGTAAAGTGTGCAGAGGGGGTTGTGGCGGGAGGTGACAGAATGCAGAAGAGGTGATGGCACACGGGGATGCTCCGGAAGATATACCGATGTCCCCGAAGGCGTATGTGATACTCCATAGCATTGAAACCTTCTTTAGAGCTGAGGGTTAGCTGACACCATGCGAAGTATGTAGTTCAGGCGGGCTTGGCGGGGTCGTTATGGTTTTTGCTCCCAAATCGGCAAAGCCGGGTCCAACCTCGGTCGAGTAGGTACCTTGTTTGCTGCATTGAGGCAAAGGTGGATTCGGTATGCACTGCGACAGCGAGTGATGATATCCACAGCATTTGACGCTGAAGTCGGCAGTTGTGGTGGCGTGGGTTTTGCGCGAGGACGATACCTATAGGTACGTACCCACTCGATACATAAGCTTTCAAAGAACGGCATGCTTGAAATCTTACCCAAGTCTTCAGTGTTCCGGATTACCATATCATCTTGTCATGGTCCTGCGTACAAGCGACCAAAGACTGTTCTTGTCCTGCTCAGCACCTGACACATGCATGCGCTCTCCGCGCCTCACAGCCAGCACATACACCTCTTTTACCGCACAGACTGCCCATACCCTCCCCTCTCCCCTTGCTCCCCATTCCTATCCACCATAACATAATCACCCGTATTACTATACTGCCTCGGCGTCTGCGGCATAGCTCCAGGCATACCCGACATCAACGTCTGCGTATCCTCTCGTGTGTTCTGCGGTCTACTACCTCCTGTGGGTGGTCGATCGGCTGGGTAGGCGGGTTCTTGTGCAAGTGAGCTCGCGCCTGTTGTTGTTGTTGTTGGTGTAGAGGTGGGTTGTGGGCCTTGAGGCTGCTCCACCGCAGCCCTCGGTGCGCCGACGTTGGCTTGTCGAGCTGGCGAGTTTCCTCGTGAGACTTGGGAGAGTCGGTGTTCGGTTGCGCGGAGCTTGGCTTCGAGTTCTTGCAGTTGTTGGTGGGAGGACGTGACGGTCTGCTTTCTGCGTCCTTAATGTCAGAGCATCGCAATTGTGCTAGTCGTCTGTGGTTCAAACATACTTGGCCTCAACAGTCTGCTCTAGTTGGCCTAGGTCGCTTTCAAGGCCAAACATGGAGTCCAGGTCGGCGGAAAAGCTTTGGACGATGGAGCTGCGAGCTCGTGAGCTTCAGGTCTCCCCAGCATCATGTACGAGAGGAGCGTACGGTGGAGGTTGAGCAGCAGCAGTGCTGCGATCGCTCTGCTGACCGTCCATATTGTTCAATTAGTACAATGGCTTTGCGTCGTTGGTATGGACCCGATGTGTCGACACGTCGTCTCAATGACTCCTGTAGATGTACACTCGACTCGTCGCATATGCAATACAGTACGATGCAAACGAGAAAACTATGGAGCGATGCTGATCTTCCGCAGAACCCCTTGACTCGTCCGTTCGCTTGGAAGATGTAAGAGCTTGTTTAGAGTTGCCAGACAGTGACAGATGCGAAGCAAGGGCGGTCGCCACCTATTGTAGGTGGGGTAGATTGGACATTATGAGATGAATGGTGGGGATACAATCTCCAATAAACGTCTCATCGCAGGCTCGTTCTTATGGCCTACAACGGAATAATGTATCGCTATATTGGTGGCAGGTACCTGAGAGCTCGAGAGTGGAACTTTGATCGCTGCCGGCCCTTGCGGCAGAGGAGCTCCAACCAAGCTGCAGGTCAAAAGGAGGAAGGCGCGGGAAAGAACCTTTTGGCCTGAGGATCTACGAAAGTTGGAAGGTGGAAAGTGGAAGGCCTGCTTTCTCGTACGGGCGCAATTTTTGCGAACGCGAACGGGACCACACACGACCACGCCAAACACGCAAATCACCATCAAACACAGCCAAAATAATACGCGAAACAACTAGGATGTATCACCAGCAATAAATAGGTTATCGTATGTGTATATCCTGAAACACGACAATGCTCGGCCAGCGTGGCTCCATCACCATCCTACCTCGCTCGGAAGCGCACGCTTCACCACCCTCCGCTGGATCACTTCATGTCCAGCTTGTCTTCCACTACAGCCTACACGCCTTTGGAGTCGCTGCTATTGTTCCAGGCCCTGCGACACGAAGCGAGCAATAACAACAACAATGACCAAGGCACGTCATTCAGCTTCAATCGCATCTCCGAGCAATTGCACGCCGTTGCTGCGATCCGGAACGATGCCTCGTACGATAGTGGCCGATTGAGTCCCGATGCGCTGCGGGAGTTGTATTTGTGGTTGTTGAAGGAGGAGGTGAAGCGGGACTTGCAGACCAAGGCTGCAGAGGTGGAGAGTCATGCCACGACGACGAATGGTGATGGTGACGCTTCGCCTGGCTCCAGGAAACGAAAGGCTCCTAGTCCGACGTTGCCTACTGTGCAGGAAGCCACCCAGCATGCGCATCTGATTCCGCAACTCGTGACTCGCCTGTATGCGACGTACCGTGAGAAGACGATCAAGGAGATTCGTGACCATGAGCGCAAGTATGATGCTTTGTCGCGCGATCTTGCGGATATTGATGCTGGGAAATGGGATGAACGATCGAAGCGAGGGACGTCAGCTACTCAGAGCCCGAGGCCTTCAACCAGCGCGCATGTGCAGACTGCTTCGCCTAGACCGGATGGACCTCAATCCACCAAGAGCAACCATGTTGGCTCACCACTGTCTCAGACACAACCTGAGGGAGAAGTGCAGCCACCTAAACGATACTCCCAGGCCAAGATTGACGCAGTCATGAACCATGATCCGGAGCCACCGCAGGCATCAAACAACCATCGCAGGACATCATCAAATACGACTCTGCCACCGCTGTCCGAAATGGCGCCACAGTCACCTCACTATGGCATCCCACCGAAGATGCCTACATCCCACTCTACTAATATGCCGTTGCATCTGCAGCAGCAACCACAATACGGCCACCCACCACAGCCCGTCCAGCATGCACCGTATCAGCCATCGCATGCACATTCCATGGCTAGTCCGCAGCTACAAAACCCCATGTCTCGGCCTTCATCCTCACCCAGACCGATCTTGCCACCACCTCCCGGCATGAAACTACCTCCGCCTTCGCCAGTGCAGATGAATGCATCCCCTATCATGCGAGGATCGTCTCTACAGCAGCAGCACTACCCACCGCAGCATCGCGCATCGATGGGACCCTCGCCGACTAATAGTCAGCCTCCTCACGGTTATCCGCCGCCTTTGCCACCTCCATCCGGATACTACCAGCCTCAGCCACAATACATCGACCGTAGGACGTCATATCCAGCCCAGCAACCACATCAACAACAGCCGCCACGTTATGCGCCGCAGCCTACTCATCAAGGTGGCTATCAGTTGCAACCATGGCCTGTGGACAACTCGCAACAGCCGAGGCAACCGCCACCCGCGAGACAGCCATACTATCCCTCGCAGCCGCAGCCGACACGACCGCAGCAGACCACTACACCTAGAGCGCCTGCATACCCTCCTACGTACCCTGCCACAGCCCCACGACCAGCAGCACACTCGCAGCCTAAGCTCATCACCGACATCGTTGCTGTTCTTGCGACGCCTCCACGAGCCGAGAGGAAGCCGTTGTGGAAGAGTGCACATCGTCCGCCACCCATCAGCATATCTCAGGAACCTGCTCGACCAATTGCCGAGCCGCTCAGTCCGGTTCTGCAGCGAAGATCGCCCACTCGTCCACAGCGGGGCGTACGCGGGAAAGCGGCTGATGCTGCTGAGCCAAAGACCGAGCCTACCAGCGCCCCGCAGTCTATTAAAGGCAGGACGCGCCGCGCTCGGGAACGCAGCCCACACAGTGCCACCTCTTCCACTGCTGATGATACGATCCGCGCTCGTACGCGAGGCCAGTCTGTCAGCACGGCGGCTAGTCTCAACGCTGCAGCAGACGAGGGACCTACCACCCGCAGCAGCGTCAAGCACGAACCATCCACACCCGCCGAAACGGTCGAAGTACCGGATTCGAGAGAAGTCACAGCCACACCCGCCACAGGCAGAATGACCCGCAAACGCCGCGGAACCCTGCAATCCCAACCCCAACCCGCCTCCAAACGCAACAAACGCCAGCAGCACTCACCTTCCGGTGGCGGCCAACGCGAGGTCGAAGCAAAAGACCCCGGCACGCCACCTCCACGCCCGACAACGGTGACAGCTACCCGCAACCTCAACAAGATCACAGGAACCCTTCTAGCTCGGATCTCAGACCACAAGTACGGGAACTTATTCACCAACCCCGTCGCGAGCAAATTAGCCGAAAGCTATAACGAACTCATTCACCAGCCCCAGAACCTGAAACAGATCCGACAGGCCCTCGCGGCGGGGAGTAAAGCCGTCTCCACCGCCATTGAAGCCTTGGACACTGCACCCGATCCCTCGACCACGAGCGTCGAACTCCCGCGTTCCGCCGACCTGGTGCCGCCGAGGGGGATCGTGAATGCGACGCAGTTGGAACGGGAGGTGCTGCGGATGTTTGTGAATTGTGTCTCGTTCAATCCCGGCGAGGATGGGTTGGTGGCGGATGCGAGAAGGACGTGGGGGGATGTGGAGGGGTTTTTTGGGGAGTGGAAGGTTTCTCATGGGGTGGGGTTGAGGGAGGAGCGAGGGGTGGAGGAGCAGGAGGATGGAGATGTGGTGGAGGAGAAGCAGGGGAAGGCGGGGAAGAGGAGGAAGATGTAGGATCTGATTGGAGGATTGTATGGGCAGGGAAGGGATGGATGGGAGGGGGAGTCGTGGGGAGGGGATGGGTCTGGTGCTCCTCGTTGAGGGGCTGCGTGTGTTACTAGTAGAAAGGAGAAGATGTGTAGTGAATTACTATTACTGCAGACCACTATTCCTCTGCCATACACATACCATGTGATGTGTGTGCTCCTCCAAAATCCTAGTGTTGTGCACAAGTAGGGACTTATCATGTAGCGTCAGGCCGTCCAGGTTATTCTGACATCAATATACGCAAGATTGCCACCACGGTGACGGCGGCGTTCCTCCCATCCCATCGCTTCGTTCTCCGCACCTTCTGTCTCCTCTATCTATACACGCACATGCCTGCGTACTCCTCTTCTTCATACTGTACCGCTAATCCTTTATATTAGACTTCACGGCAATCTATCCGCCCGATCTACTAGCTCGTGATGCCGTGAAGATTCGATCGGCCGCTGCGAGATGACGACACGACATGTGCTCTATCACTCACGGGTGGACGAGTATGTGCCGAGGGAGTAGCATGCGCCTTCGTCACTTTCACATTAGATCTTTGAGATGATAGTTGTATGGTTTGATACTGGTAGGTCTTCAGATTGGATTTGGGTTTCTTTTCAGCCCTTTGTTTTCTTTCTTTCTTAAAGTAACCTGTTATATCTATACACATGGCGTGGCCGAATCCTTTCTACAGGCGGACGGAGAACACGAGGACGTGAGTGACCACTCGCAGACCCATGCCGACATGCCACACTCCCTGCAAGCCCAGGAACAGATTGTTAACGATGGTCATATAGATGTTGGGGTTACACCTTCGAGCTTTCCCCCGAGCATCTCACGCCGGAGGAATGCGAACCGCTGAAACATTCTTATGATGTCCTGGGTGAACGAGTTCTGGATCGATTGAATGAGTTGAGTCCGCCGCCGAAGAAGGATTTGCCGAGGGGGAATAGTAGGTTTGTGGATGCTAAGATTGTCGTGGGGCAGGAGGTGCATGTTGATGGGACGAGTAAGGCGGGTGACGGTGGCGGTGGGAATCGCGGCGGTGGAGAGGAAGGGGAGGAGGGGGAGAAGAAGCCAGAGGCTAAGAAAGAGCTCCCAAGAGATCTGTATGTGATATTGCAGGATCATCTGGATAAAGATGAGTTACTACAGCGCTTCTGGAAAGAGGTCACGACTGTACCGGACTGGGTCGACTGGGAGCAGATTCGCCGAGGTCAGGATGTCTTCTACCGCTACGGTGCGGCGAACCTCACCGGTCTGGCGTATCAGAGTTTGTTGGGTGGCATGGGCGCAGCGCGAGTAGTAGAGACTCTAGCACGAACGGGAGGCTTCTCGACGAAAGTCGCCCGAGGAAGGTTGTTTGAGACGACACAGCATATACTGCAGTGTACGAAGAGCGTGGAAAGTCTACAACCAGGAGGGGATGGCTTTGCCTCTACGATAAGAGTTCGACTACTACATGCCGCTGTGCGGAAGAGGATCTATAAATTAGCGGAGAGCAGGCCGAGCTATTACGATACCCAAGCCTGGGGAATCCCGATTAACGATCTCGACAGCATGGGCACCATCTCCACCTTTTCCGCCACACTGATCTGGCTCTCCCTCCCCCGTCAAGGCATCTGGCTCCGTCAACAGGAGATAGAGGATTATATAGCGCTGTGGCGCTACATCGCACACGTCATCGGCTGTCCGACCGAGAGCTTCGCCACTCCGGCCCAGGCGAAGAGGATGATGGAGGCGCTGTTGCTATACGAGATCCATCCGACGGAGACGAGTAAGATCTTGGCGAACAACATCATCAAATCCCTCCAACACCAGCCTCCCGGCTACGCCTCCCCAGATTTCCTCACCGCTTCCGCTCGCTGGCTCAATGGCAACGACCTCTGCGATGAACTCGGCCTGATGCGCCCGTCGGTCTACTACTGGGCGCTCATGGCCGGGCAATGCCTCTTCTTCTGCTTGTTCGCCTATACATACCGACTCGTGCCCAGCTGGGACCGCAAGCATATTGACATGTTGAAGCGGGCGTTCTGGCAAATCATCGTCAATACGAAGTATGGATTGAAAGGGGAGGAGGCGCGGTTCGAGTTCAAGTATGTTCCCGAATTCGAGACGATTACGGAGATGGGGGAGGGGAGTGTGCAGGGGAAGGATGACGCGGGGATTGAGAGGAGGAATTTCAGGACGTTTGTTGGGGCGGTGGTTGTGTTGGGGGTGGGCTCGTTCGTGGGGTTCAAGATCGCGGGCGGTGTTGTTAAGGGCGTGTTGGGGTTGTTTGGGTGATTGTGGAGTGGATGTGTATGACTTGGACGTTGTGTGGCGAATTGTTTGTTTGCTTGCTTGCATAGCCATGCGTTTGGGATAGATGTGGATAGCGGGCTGATACAGTGGCTTATAGCTACCGGGGTGATTATGATCCCATCTGTACAGCTTTGAACATATACCATCAGCTTCAATTGCCCTCTGTTCTTATGATAGAGTCAAGATGAATGGACATGCATGGTCCCGAGCGGGCGGCCATATGATCAGATACGATTAGGGCAAGAGATAGGACAGTCGATACAAGGGTAATGTGACCGCCCAGCAATGCAACCATCCCTCGTCTGATCATGTCACCTTGGACATGGCGTGGGGTGTTTATACAGTAGTCCGTCGACAAGGCATTGTTTCGTGGGATGGCTCGAAAAGGACAGCCAGGATGGAGGCCCCGGAAGTCAAACAGCCGGCCGGACTCTGCGCGACTTCTTGCCGAGCGTGCATGTGCATGGCACTAGAACCAAGACGAGACGAGCTGGTAGAACTCGAAATGGTGGCCGTATCGATAGTGGGAACAGCTGGATCTCGCATTGGCTTTTACTATCTACCGTCTTGCTAGCATTGATCTTCGTTTTCCCTCGTTCTATTGCGAGTAGCTATTGCCGTGGCGATCTTTGCTCGTGCGAGAGAAAGCGTGCGCCGTGATTTGCCGGTTCCTGCAGCTGCGCCGGGTTGATAGATTTACTGGCCAAGGCTGCTGATCAAATCCTGCTTGGTCTTGGTCGTAGCTTGCTGGTTGTGGTGGGAGCCAAGTGAACTGCGAAGTGAAAAGGGAAGTCATTGACCGAGGAGGGTTTGAGTGATACTGGATATGGCGCAGAGCAGGCCGATGGTGCTAGTGGCAGGGGAACCACAAGGACAACGTTACACGACATCCTAGGACGCAAGAACAGCTATAAGTAAACACTACAAGGAGACCGGGTTGCTGGGTGACTCTGCCGAACACAAATTCTGCAGTCAGCCAGCAAGGTACAACAATCACACCGCAGCTGCAATGCCTTCATCGAGCTCAGGCGGAGGAGGAGGACGGGATTCCCGCCGCAGCTCGAAGTCTGGTGCTTCGGGCAACGATGCGTACCGTACTTCCGAGCGCAAGGAGAAGGCGAAGAGTAGTGCGAGTTATACGGCAGCTGCATATGGTGCGTCGAGGAGGGGCAGCGTGCAGCCCACCATGGGTACTGTGCCTGAGCGGCCGAGGATGAAGTCGAGGAACAATTCGGCGCCTTTGATTGCTACGCGGGAGCAGCAGCAAGGGAGCGGGCAAGGTCAGCAGCGAGGGCAGGAGGCTGACGGTGAGGAGGACGAGGAGGATGCTGCTCAAATGCGGGCGGGAGCGATGGTGGATGGACAGGACGAGGACGAAGTTGCTGGTGTTGTTGGTGCTGCGAGACAGTACCAGCCCTTTCAAAGTCCTGAGGTATGACACCCCACCCCTTTGTCTCTTTGCTGAATTTGTTGAGAAGTCTTAAACTAAGTATGTGTTATTTCCTCCTAGGTCTCGGAACCTCTCCCAGAAATCAACATCGCTGTCATCGGAGCCGAGGAAGTGGGCAAATCGACTTTCATCCAGAGAGCATTAGGTTTACCGCATCTTCCTCCTTCGCAGGCGGCTGTGAAGAAGTTTCCTGTGGACGGCAGTGTCTACCTGGTGCGGTTACTCGAATTACCTATCAACGACGTGGATGTTGACGATGAGACGGTGACTTGGCCGGACGCGATTGAGGATTTGCCGATGCCGAAAGTTGATGGTGCGATTACGCTTTACGATATCTCAGATAAGGAGACTCTCAAGGACGTACCTGGTGTACTGAGTGAGTCCTGACCACGTATTTGCCCGATTCTGCATTCGCTTGCGGCGCGACTTCGAGTCAGAACAGGAGATGGACTGACCACTAATTTCGCGTAGATGCCATAAGGCGAGCTTCACTACCATCCGTACTGATATCAGCAAAGTGCGATACTCCGCCAAGTGAGCGAGAAGTGGATCCCATGTCGATCGAACGCAATGCACTGCGCTCGTTCGGTGGGATCAGTGTTCTGCAGACATCTGAGAACAGTCTCGAGAGTCACAAGAGTGCCATGGCTACGATCCTCAAATCGATCATTCTTGGCATGCCAGGTAAGCACGCTCGCCTCAGATTCGGTGATAGCTGCTGATCCCTTGGACCAGGCGACACAAACCGAACGAGCCTCGCAACGAGGCGACGAGCACAATCCAACGCCAGTAGACCAGTATCACCTAGGCCGCCGGCCGGCACGGGACATGCTCGGGCAAGCTCAGAATTCTCTCTATTAATGCAGAAAGATCCCAGTCATGCTCGACACGACTCTAGTCTGGCAGGCTATGGGTCCTCAACCCAACTCAAGGTGCCAAAGGAAGCCTCTCATGAAGACATGCATCGATCCTTCTACCACGAAGAGTCGGCCAGTGAGGACGGCTCGACGGAATCTGCGTACTCTCAAGAAGCGGCAGAGTCTGTGCAGAGAAGTCAGACATTCGCAGGAGCTGCAGCAACTACACCCACTACCGCCAGTCCTCCAGAAAGTGGCGCTGGTTTCGAGGAGCTGGTGGATAGGTTGCTTGCGCCGCCAATGCAGCCCATGACGTCGAAACAGGATACGAAGTTTGTAGCTGTCTTTCTGGCACTATACCGGAAGTTCGCAGCGCCTGGCCGGTTACTGGAGGCGATAGCAGAGCGCTTCGATGCTCTCGAGCAGAATGGAAGCGCTATGATGACCGTGACTCGCATGCAGCTCCAATACCTAGAAGTGATGGACAAATGGGTTGGCCAATACCCAGGCGACTTTGCACATCCTCGGACGAAGCGACGGATGCAGACATTCATCACCAAAATCTCTCAGACGCGGATTCATGGTGCTGCGGCAAAGGAGATGGTGAATCATCTTGAATCTGCCACAGAAGACGATGACACGAACTGGACTTTCCCGGATAAGGATCGCGAAGTTGGTGATAGGTCGTCGAAGGGTTCGAGGTCGAGTACCCTGATCGACGATCCTTCGGCGCTGTTTGATGAGCATTGGAGTGGGACTACACTTGGAGAGATTAGTATTACCTCTGCCAGCGACGGGACTGTACGTTCGAGCTCTGGGTCTTCGATCAGCTCGTCGCAGATCATGGCCAATGCTGAGGCGGCGCAGAAGGCTGCCGCCCTGTTACGACCTACTGGCAAGCGACCAATTACGAAAGATGAATGGAGGATGCTAATGAATGAGCCTGATGCCTTGATTGCGCGAGAGCTGACGCGAATGGACTGGATCATGTTTTCGTCCATCCGACCACGGGATCTGGTCCGCAACGTTGCCTCGACCAGCGAGAGAGCAAAGTACAAAAACCTTCTCAACGTCGCCCGTATGAGCGAACATTTCAATCGCGTCGCAGTCTGGGTCTCGAACTATGTGCTTTTTCGCGATAAGCCGAAGCATAGAGCCCTGATGCTGGAAAAATTCATGAGAATTGCACGGAAATTGAGAGAGCTGAACAATTACAATTCCCTCGGCGCCATCATCGCAGGGATGAAATCTTCCTCCGTTGGTCGTCTGGGGTTGACACGGGACCTCATACCCACGGACGCAGGAAAGGATTGGTTGAAATTGGAGATTTTGATGGGTTCGTCGCGGTCGTATGCGGCGTATCGGATGGCATGGGAGAATACTAACGGGGAGCGGATTCCATATCTGCCCCTCCATCTCCGAGATTTGGCGAGTGCCGAGATGGGCAATGCTACTTTAATTGGACCGGAGCGGGATGGCAGAGTGAATTGGAGGAAGTTCGAGGTTATGGGTGATGTGGTTGTTGGGATTCAGAGGGCGCAGGGGACGCCGTACAAAGGTCTGGGAGGCGGGAAGGGGGAGGTAGGGGTTAGGGAGTTGGTGCTTGATGTGAGGCTTGAGGAGGAGGATGTAAGTTCCCCTCAATGCTGGGCAAATAGCTCGTTTCTTGGCATTCGTGACATGCTGACACATTTGTTCTTTGCTAGGCTTTATACGAGCGTAGTCTGCGAGTCGAACCTGCGCAGGGCGCAGGTGGGGCTTCTGAGAAGCTGAGGCAGCTTTTCAAGCGATGAGCAGCCCTGCGCAATCGGCAGGGGCGGGTATGATGCGGCCTTGCATAGCTGGCTGGCGTATGTGTATGGTCATGAGACATGAAGCTCACGACGTTCCTGGCAAGCGTGGTGTTGGAGATCTGTTATGGAAATCCTGGTAAGCCCGATCTTGTGTATATGGTGATATGCTTAAAAGTGCGGCAGGATTATGCCTTGTATAGATTCATGATTTGGCCTCGCGGCGATCACTGGAAACCCAGATGAGATGCATGACTTACTATTCCTTCTCAGCTGAGCTTTCGTCTTGCGGTTCTTTGCTACCTTTCTTCTTCTTGCTCGTTGTCCTGACGATGGGTGCGAAGGGTAGACGAGATGTCGCCGGGCCTAGTGGTGAGTTTGTGGTGGACGCCACTGTGGGCTTCTCAAGGTCGATTGGCGTTCTCTCATTTCCATTTCCAGGAGTCCGGGCAGTGGCAGCAATCAGTGCCTGGCGTAACTGAGCACGCACGTCATTGCGCTCTTTTGACACTGGCGCGAGGATGCCTTCGGGCCTACACAGCACAGGTAATGTCAACCAAAGACTCTCCTGCCTCGAGATCACAGCTCTTACGCTACTGTATCAGGTACCAAGTGTTTGGCTGCCAATGGAAGAGGCTGGAGATCAGCGCCGGCGAACAAGGGGATACTCACAACTCATCTCTTGCTGGTCCCATCAACTCCACCTCCTTATCCGTCCCGTGCTGTCGATTGAGATGTACGCTGTGTACGTGCTCCCACAACGACCACCAGTTCGCCCACGGCACTCCGATCAATGCACCAGACGACGTCTTGCAGTATCCGCATATGTTTTCGCAGAAGTGGATGGCGAGAGGTCCGGAGGTAGGCCAGGTGTGGCTATGGTGAGGTTGTTCACACGGCATGGTCGTCAGCTTGTGGACTCGATGGTCGTGTAAGGAGACAAAACGCAGAGGAAACGAATTTCTATGTCCACCCGATTGGGCAGGCACGTGCTAAAATTGCGAACAGAAAAGCGGGTCTTCCAGGCTTACTGCCAATCAGAATCTCCCGCCAAATCGAATGCGAAAGATATATGAGCACGGGAGGATACACCAGCTTCTATCTGCCGATCGAAATCGAGGAACCACTGGGGCGCATAAGCTGTACTATCCTGCTGGATTTGCTACAGAGCTGTATATGCGCCATCCACAGGCAAAGCAACGCCAGAGATCCAACCCACATCATCGCTTGCAAGAAAGACTGCAGCTTTAGCTACGTCCTCAACATCACCCATACCGCCAAACGGATGCGCCTTGTTGATCTCTGCAAGCTGTTCCGGATCGTTCTGGATGTTCTGTGTCATCGTGGTGCGCAGAAACCCTGGGCATAAAGCGTTACAATGGATCCGATGTGGTCCATAGTCCACCGCAATCTGCTTGGTGAGCTGTACCACTGCCCCTTTACTGGCGCAGTATGCTGGTGTGTTGGTATAAGCTACCAGGCCTTGTACGGAGGCTGTGTTGATGATCCAGCCTCTATCTTTGACTCCTGGCAGCATGTCTTGCTTCAGCATTTGTGCGATAGCATATTTGCAACCCAGGAAGACACCTTTGGCATTGATAGCCATCGTCTTATCCCAGTCCTCTTCACTCGTCTCGTGTACGCCTAGAGGTCTGGCATGCGTGGACTCAACTGAGATGCCGGCATTGTTGGCCATGATATCTAGTCTGCCATACATCTGAGCGCACTTCGCAACGGCATCTTTGATCGATTGAGCTTGTGTCACGTCGGCTTTGACGAAGAATGTTGAGTCTTGACCGTAACGGCGCTTGATCTCTTCAGTAGTCGGCTCGCCACCGATACGGTTGTTGAAGTCGTCGGCTTTCCCTGTCTGCTCGTTGACTCTGTTTCGTGGCGATTCGTACAAGTCTAGACAGCAGACAGTGGCTCCTTCAGCGGCGAAAGCTAGACATATAGCTCGTCCGAGGCCCGACGAGGCCCCTGTGACTAGTGCAATCCGGTCTCGTAGTCTTCCTGACATTACGAGGAAACCCGGCTATGAAGTGTTGTTCACGCCACTATAGTCAGGTTTCGGTAGGTGTAGTTGCTGTCGGTCCGACACAATGACGATCCCGTGAAGCATGATTTCGGCGCCGATCGAGGATGTGTCTTAAACATTCAAGACGAGTACGATGACAAGGAGTCCAATGTGGATAAGTCTTAACACCGTCAGCAATTAGACTTACAAGTACTGTGGTAAAGCATCACGGAGTGTGAAGCCAGCAGGCTCAATGACTCTAAGGCCAACAACACTATCTACCTGTGTATGTTGAACAAGTACCATCGATATGGACCGACCACCGCCATTCACAAAGATCAACCACATCAAACTTGCGGCGAAAGATATAAGAATGACCCAGATGTTCTACAATGAGATCATGGGCTGCGCATATATCCCGGAATACGATCACAAAACAGCCCAAGGAGAACTCTTTACCTCAATGGTTAAGCTGCAGCACGAAGGCAAAGACTTCATCGTTGAAATTCGCCACAACGAAGCTCAGGCCAAGGCGCAAGAAGGCTGGGATCCAATTACATGGGGCGTGCCTGCACGTAAGGACCTCGATATCTGAAAGGTATGGTTCGAGCAGAACGAAGTAGATTGTAGTAAGGTGTTCACGGCGATCAAGGGATGGGTGTTGTGCGCGCTGGACCCGGATGGAAAGATTATTCGCATTTACTGTGATGAGGAGCATGGATGGACGACCAAATTTGATCACGATGATTTCTGGTTGGCGTAGATATGGAGTGCATGCTAGAAGCTTTTGTTAGCAAACATCGTGGATTCGAGCCCACCATCGCTTACCAGTTTGAGTGACGACATGTCACTCATCGCCACTGAGATCCTCCACTCGCACTCTGCAGCTCAGGAGCATTCTCCGCAAGCCTAAGAGTCTCTTCTAGCACCAAGAAGTCTGTCTCCAGCATTTCAGTCCAGTTCTGCAAGTCACCGACCTCATTGAGGCTTTTCGTGGCCTTCTCGGCTTCTTTTCGCCACCTAGCAGAGTCTTTGGCCAGCGCAGCAGCGTTCTTCTTGAGTTCTGCCTCCTGCTTGGCAATGGCTTCTGCGTTCGAGTGAAGATCTGCTGCTCGTTGCTGGTATTGTGCGCCGTAGTGTGAGCCCGCGGATTCCAGGGACGCTAACACGGCAGCTCTCGCCTCCGCTTGCGCTCGGGAATTATCGCTGTCTGCTGCTGTTGAGGATGTTGCTGTGGATGCCATGCTCGATGCACTTGAGTCGTGATCAAATACTGGTTGTCCGGCGGTCGAGAACGCAAAAGATTGCTATCTTACATCCGCCGGACGAAGAATGAAGGGGCGAGGAAGCTCGGTACTGCATTAGTCCAACCAAGTGGATCCGAAGCTCCCATGTGACCTCGACGGCTGCAGTAGCTGAGCTCAAGGTAGCCAGGCTAGAGCGACGGTCCGTTGCCGAAGGTGATCCTACATCTCCTAGCTCTGGATGGGCCGTTCAAGGATATCATACAATCTACAAAGGTGATGACTCTCCCAGCTGTGGGTCATCGTGTTGTGTATGGCACCAGTGACGTGGCGTTCCGGTACCTGCAGCAGTCGTCCATTTCGGGGAGATATCGTTTTAAGTAGCGAGCATTCAGCTCTACCTGCTCAGTGTCGCTCTCGATGGTAGTATCCCACTCACGAGTAAATGCCTTATCTTCCTAGCGTTGTTTGCGACGACTGAGAAGTAGGAGGAGGCGCGCCGTGCTACGACATATCAGCAGTCCTTAGAGTGCCTGGTGGCCCATAGTTCCATCGATCCTGTAAGGAATAGCCACTGTATCTTAGCCTTGAATAGGTTTGTAGCAGTTCTTATTTACGTCCGTGGCAGAAGTATGCAGCAGCAGCAAGTCATGTCGTCGCTTATGCGGATGACGCTAGGACCACCACGGCTTAGCATTCACCGAAAACCCACCTTTCCTCGAAGATTTTCCGGCACCTCAAATTAACCACTATAGATAATGTTGAGAGTTCAGTTATCCATCACCAGGCGCCATGCATCTGTGAACATCCTCATTGGTCTAGTGGTCATGATTGTAGGTTCAGCCTGTTCCAACTCGACGGAGTTATCGCTAACGCACCTCAGTCCGCTTGTCATGTGATGAACTTCACTGAAAACCTCCCTCTAAGACACCTTAGAGCATTCGCGGGAGACCTGGGTTCGATTCCCAGATGGGGAGTACCTCTCAATTCTTTTGCTCCGCTCATGGGACGTCGACGACTCTGCTTTTGGTTCTGATTGTTTGTCTGCACGACAACCACCTTGGCCGACGATCCGGTTAGAATTTCGGGTCCAGGGCTTGCATACGCAGCAACAGGGCGATCCGGCAGCTAGAAGGTACCCCCCTTGTCGATTGGCTCGTCTGTTGAGGGTGTCGTTGACCATGCTTTTAATCCTGATCGTATGTCTGGACGACAGCCACTTGTTCCGACGATCGTTCGGACTTTTGGGTCCAATATCCGCATACACGGCAGCAAAGCGATCCATGATGGAGCTATGGCGGTTTGTTGCTTCCGAGCGGATAGAAAGAACTTATCGACGACGAGACGGTGACTTGTCATCTTGTGGAACATCATGAGAGGCGAGACTAAAGTAGGGTATGATTGTGCCAGCGTTAACACGGCAAGGTATATCTGATATTGTATATTCGGAACCTCCCAATCCCAATGATGTATACACTCCACCAACGCCACGCTAAGCCAAACCGTGGTATATTGCATCAAGACATAAAGCAGCATTTGCATCTACAAGGTCGAACCATCATTCATCCAGGACACATCGCATTAGATACCGTTCCCACCAACCTCGCAACCCCAGTACGGTCTCCCTTCCATCGTCACGCTTATCCATCCCGGCAGGATCACCGACGACAGCAGACGACACCCAGTATACGGCCAGTACCCACGCCATAAACATCGTGCCTAGGCTGAGGAAGGGCGAAGTCATGTGGACCATTAGCAGTGTCCAGGGATGATATGATCGGTCGTCGTTTGCATGTGGCGGCAGTGGAGTGTAGATACACTTCAGTTGTAAACTCAGTGCCGGTCCGAGCAGACCAGACAGTTGTTGGCCGAACGTCGGTCGTTTGGCGCATAATCGGACGGGTTGCGTGAGTGAGGTGATGACGACTGATATTAAAGTCCAGATAGCATTCAAAGCAGATAAAACAACACACGGTCCAGACAGGAACAGCAAGACTTTCACCGCCTTCTGCTCCTGCACTCGCCGCGCAGCATCATGCTCATCCTCCTCTGGTTCCGAATACGTGATGCTTCCATTGTGTCCTCTCAGCTCGATCGATCTCTGCGAGTGGTGTTGTGGTTGCTGTGGTGAATCCCTCCGCACCTTGTACATGACCTTCTCTGGGTCTCGGGGATATGAATGCCGTGAGGACTCCTTCTTCTCAAGATCGATCGAGGACATAGGACTCATCAAGGAGCTGCTCCCACCACTGGAGACCGAGCTCGATTTGTGAGGCCCAGACTGATGCTGATGTTGTGATGGTATGTCATAACCCGAGTCGTGGGGGTTGGTGCATGTCATGAAGTGCGGCGATTGCTGCTGCTGTTGTTCGTATGCAGAATGGTGAGTCTGAGCACATGGCGGACGCGGTCGTAGTATTATCGCGGATGGTTGCCTCGCTGGGAAGGGATCAGATTGAGATTGCTGGAGGTGCCCAGTTGTAGTATTGCTTGGTGCCAAGGCCGTCTGAGCCATGATGACAGCAGCAGTTCCCTTTGACTGGAGCTCTCGCGTAGCGTCGCGTCAGGTGGGTAGAGACATGGGGCGGATGCGAGAGTGAGCAGCTACTAGATGGCATATCTGAGCGAGCAGCAGGCGGCGGTGGGAGGGGAGGCCAGCAATCATTTGTACCACCGACATGCCATTACCACCATCCTCGCCGCGCACTTGGCGCCGATGCACTTGGTGGAGGCCTTTGTCTTTCTCCTTCATCGCTCACCACCTTTGCCAAGCAGCTTACGACTTGGCATGAGTTGCCAAGGGCGCTCGTCATTGGTTATGGGCTGCATCTGTTTGCCTGCCGCCGCGAGGAGTCGAGCATGCCGTGCGACGAGGGCTGCCGCGCCGAGACATCTGTGACACTCAAGATGCTCGGGAGCCTCTGGTGCAAATAGCGTTCCGTTTGGCGTTTCTCGGCCACGACACATATACACTTTTCCGTCCATGACAGCCAACGCCGCGAAGTCGGAACCATCGGCACTCGCTACGGCTTCTTCCGCCAGAATCGTATTTGGATGACCACTCCTTGACTCTTCCTCGGCCTCGAACTTGGCGAATGGTAATACACGTCGACAACCTCGTCACCGCAAGCTGTGCATCGAGGTACGACCGACTTGGCGAGAATGTTTCATGATTCTCATCTGTATCGCCAATATTTATCCCTCCAGATGCCCAGCCTCTGTTGGTACCTCGACTCCCCATATGGTGTACGGTGCCAAAACCATATCATCGTGCTGCTTGCAAAACTCGTAACTCAATACTCCATTACTTCTCCGCTAGGATGGATTGGTCGGTCTAACTTCAGTATACCTGGTTTGATCCATAATGATAGAGCCACCACAACGACCACAACAATGGTTAGGAAGACGAAGGCCAAGACCCCGCACCGACAATGCCTTTGAACGTCTCCAACCTCTGCTGGCCCTTCGATGCCGTCGACTGGCTGCATTGTGCGGTCTAGATCGACTCTGAAGCTGACACATAGGCCGCTCGCAACACCCATCGAGGCACGATCTGTGAGACCAAATCCCGGATTACGGCTTTCCCAGCGATTAGAAGATAGATCTAGCTATCAGAGCTGTGAGTACCTCTTCCGAGGCCGTCAGTTCCTGAGATGCGGCCATGTGCAAAAGGCTTAGTGTAATCACAATACAGAAGTGATCCGCTTGAGATGCGACCTGAACAAAGGACAGAGCTCACAGCCGACATGTCATACAGTTGGTCTGCCATGGTGTTATATTGTGAGGATGATGCTTTTGACCTACCAACCCCTTTGTGGGCCAGAGTATGATTTGGAGCTGCTAAAGTGACCGTCAGTATACTGCATCACCACCATGATTGCGGAACAGCAGTGTACACCTACCGTTGCTTGTTTTTGACTCGAGGACGACTTTGAACTGCTATACACTCACGTCAGTACAATATCGCGCAAGCCAGTCATACACAGGGATAGCTGGCATGGACTTGCCGTCCTCTAAGATGCATCATACGTGGGCATCAGGGTACGTAGCCAAGGCATCCGCGCATACATACGACTGTCATGTGAAGTGAACATCCACCCGCACAGCAGGCACACCCGTTCGAATTCCAGCATAAAGTGAGCTTGAGCCCAAGTAGCCCACAAGCAGCACCACCACCAATGAACAAGAACAGCACCACCACCAGGATAGATAGATCCAAAGCTTCAGATACTATAGATAAACATATATTTCTAACCCACGCTATGCCTATCAGAAAACAACCCACTACGAGAGAACGATTGTGTGCATGCTACGCTCAAGTAGAAAAAATCCAATCTCCCCAATCATTCAAAGCACCAAGAAACGCCCAAAATCAAAAGACCGCCCAGCAGCTCTACTCCCCCATCCCCGCCTGCCCATCTCGCCCTCCGCTTGGACGAAGAAGGTAGCAGAATATGGGGTTATAAGTATGATATACAATAAAACAAGCGCAAAGCCATGCGCTCTTGGAAATCTATGCACAATGTAATGCCACCGTCCGTGCCCTCGATCGCTACTCGTGATGCCTCCGGTATTTCAGATTATCCAATGGCCCGGTTGGCTTGCCGCCGTGCGTGCTTCAGAATTGCGCCAGTCAGAAAACACCAGATCGCCATAGCATGCGCGCCGCCGAGAAGCAGAAATATACTCCCGACCTCGCCCGCGGAACGCAGTATGTCGGACGGAATTTTGGGTGTACATTTTTAACGATTCAGCCTTTTTCAATGCCGCTGGCTTCTTTGTCATCTCCTGCCGTATTTCGTTGGACCGTGTCATGCGTAGTGGTTTCATGCGTAGCGTCTGACGATCAGCTCCACGGCATCCAAGACCTCTTCATCTTCTTCTTCGCCGCCGCCGCCTCGTCTTCCTTGCGCTTCTTAATCCGTTCTTTGCGAGCTTTCGAGGACGAAGAGCCGGTGGCTGCCGTGCAGCCGTCGACGAGAGAGTTCTTCGGGAACGAATTACCGAGGGCAGACCTAATTGTTCTCGTCAGCACAGCGCTTGTCCACATCTCATTCTCATGCTTCAGCTTACCATTGCGTCAAATTGGCATTATCATACGCCTCTCGGTGGTTGGCAATATAACCCGTAGTCTCGTAACCCTTCGGATCACAAGTCAACTCCCCGTCTCCATCCTGATAGATTCGAACATAGTCGAAACGCATAGTAGCCGGCATCAGGGCACCCAATCCCGTCAAATTCAACTGCGCGAAGCCGGAACTCATGCCGAAATTCATAACCATCGCCAAGGGCTCCTCGGGGATAACACGCTGCCCGACATTGCCGTTGGGTCCTACAGCGTTGGCGTCGACCTTCCAGGTCCTGACGTCGCCCACGTTCCAGAGGATGTAACCCTGATCACCGGGTTCGTACTCGAAGCCGTAGGTTTGGTAGGCCTTGCCGTCGTACCAGTCGTTATTCAGGTTCGTGACGGTGGAGAGGGCTTGTTGGTAGACGCCACCTTGGTAGGCGTTCATAGAACTGGTTTGGTGGTTGTAGACCTCGATCCAGTCGGTGTTGGGTCGCCACAGAAGGTCGAAGGGTGCAACTTGGTAGGACTGCGAGGCTGTGCCCACAGCGGCGCCAATGGGCGGGTCGAGGTATGTGACCGACGCTTCGAGGGCATCGATTTCAGGGGAGCTGCGAGATGTGCCTGGTGTGGGGTGGTCTTCGCCCGTGCATGTGCAAGCAGGGAGACGCATGCCAGGCAGTGAGTTGAGGCCATCCGGATCGGACTGGTTCTTCGTGATACCGGCATCACACTGATCGTGATACGAGTATGGCCACATGCCATCTGTAGTGGCGGCATACCCAGGCCTGCCGAGATTACCCATAGCCCAGAAACCAGGCCAGAAACCGATAGTGTTGCCAGCACCGGGTAGGGAAAGACTCGCCTCCATGTACCCACCTTTGAAGCACAGCTGATTCCAACTCTGGAGCATGCCAGAGCGGTAGTTCAGATTATGACTTTGGAAAGCATCAAAGCGCAGATTCAAGGTTCCATCTTGAGTCGTGGCTGCATCCGGGTCATACCACTCTAAATCCATGGTGACACCGTACCAGAGATCCACCGCCGTCCAGTAGGAGTCGTCGCCTGGGTAGAATGTTCGGCCGTCCTCGTTGAACTCGTCGCTGAACACGAGAGTCTGCGTGTTACCATTCACGTCTTTTCGTGACATGGCGCTCTTTGGTGTATCCGGGTCTATCAGTCCCGTTCGGAGATTCTTGAGTAGTGGTACATCGTTTCTCAGACAGTTTGGATCTAACGAGCAAGCATTCGATCCTGCCGGCTCGATCGCTTTTTGCACGAATGTTCTGTGGTTGTCAGTCTTGCATCCATCTCTATGCGAGGTTGTTGCACTCACAATATAGGATAGCCAATAAACAGAATCAGTACGCCAAGTGTTATCAGCGCCAGACCGCCTACGTTGACTATGCCTCTTTTGCTGAACAAATCTGCACAGTTCATCTTGTCCCGCTCATTCGGGTCAGGATTGTGTAGGTAGTCGTCCTTTTCCACATCTTCAGGAAACAGTAGTAGTCCCGCGGATGGCAGGATATTGTACTTCTCGCTCACAGTCTGGGTGTTCACGCCGTCCTCATCACTACCCGCTCTTGATGGCGCTCTTGAGTCGTCAAATGGCGAAACGAAAGGCCCACCATATCTGCTATCACGGCTGCCTGCACTCTCACTCGACCACGATGTTCTCCGCGAATTGAAGCCGCTGGCTGATGGCGACCGCGCATCACCAGGCGATTCGGGATCGTCTCGGAACCTCCTCGTCTTACTCCTTCGTGGTGGCAATAATAGCTCTGCGCTTTCGGCGGGTGTGTTATTCTGATATAGCGATTGTGCACTGTGAGCATTTCGGAGATTTGGCGCGGTGCCGGGCCGGGAGGTGGCGGTCAATGATCGTGATGAAGGCTGCCGTGCCGTCTGTGGTCGTGATTGTGCCGACTGTTGTGTCTGGTCAATGTTGAGGAGGTCGCCGCTGTCGGAGTTTAGTCGTATGTGCGGCGGGTTGTGTCGAGGGGGTGAATTGTCGTCCATTGTGGACGGAAAAGGTAAGATGCCGGTGGCAAGGGGCGGCGAGAGGAGAGAGAGAGGGTTTATGGGCGGCGGTGAGGCCGGTCAGTCGTCAATGCAGGCAGTGGCAAAGCGAATGTTGGTGTTGTTGATGGAAAGTGGTGTTCCCGTCAGCGCGCGGCGAAGCCACGCTCTTCCACGTAACGTTGACTGCAGTAGTCGTGTCGGGCGGTGCCAAGATGGAATCCAGAAGCCAGTCTGATCAAGCGACCGTGTGCCTGCTGCCGGGTAGTCGTATGTGTGGGTGTATCTGAAGGAGCGACACAGAGAGGTGCGCAGCGGCAATAATAGCAAAGTCGTCACAACAGCAAAGGCCGTCTCTAAGGAAGCAAGACACACAGCAGCAGCAGCAAGCCTTCTCCTAACCCAAAGACTCACTCAGTCGGGTTTAGCGCGAGGCGGCGTTTCTGAAGGTGAGATCCACCAAAAGTCGATGTCAATCTCATCTGCTTGCGTGGCCCGGCAAATGCACGTGCTTGCCTGGGATGATGTTTCGACCTGCTGAGTATATGATATTGAGAAGACAACAGTGGTCAACTTCAATTCTTCCACCATGAAGATACACAGCCTGCTATCGTCATACAAACAACATGACCTTTGCCCACAAGCTTGCGTACCACAACGCCACCACTACTAATACTGGGCCAGGGACCGACCGATCAGCCTCAACTCAATGATACCGTCCAAGCGCCTTCAATATCAAGCCCGGCCCAACGAACGCAATACCGACGCTGAGTCCTGCTTTCGAAGCAGTCACGGGACTGCAGTGAGCCGGACCACTCTATTCTACATAACAATAACCTGTTCGCACCATCTTCGTCCCCACAAACCTGTTCCATCTGCACAACTTGCTTGTTCAAAATAGACGTTGTCCCGTGTGTTGTTTGTATGTGGGCTCTTCACGCTCATAACTGGCTGAACCCTCCCCACTTCTGTCAGGTACCGTCTCTGCCGCGTGCAGGTCTGCTCGTAGCAACCGGCTGCTTGCTGCATGCTTGGTAGGACAAGATCAAGGTAGGGATACAATATCTGGCTGTCACGTGCGAACATACTCCATAGCGTCGTGCTTGCTTCGACAAGCGGTACAGCCGGCAAAGGCGTCGCCACCGGCAGAACGGCGAAGACGGTTCGGCTACGATGTGTAAGGAAAGTTTCTAAAACAAAGGCCATTCAAGCACTTCTCGTATCGACGTCAGACAGTATGGAGGAAATCCGTGCGATTGCAGATCTTGGCCCGACAGTAGCAGCAGAATTGGATGGAGACGCTGAGGTGGCAGAGAAGAAGCCAAAGAGAAGATTTATTGGTAGGAAGGCGGCAGAAGCGAAAGCGGCAGCAAGAGCAGAACAAAATGGTGATGCGGGCATCGAAGACAGTGGAGCGATACAAGGTGCAGTGCAGCATGAGGTTCAGAATATGTAAAGTGAGGTTAGCTAACACAACGCAGCCGCACCTCGAAGACGTCCACCACGTGCCCTGAACAATGTCCCGGATGAGATCTTGAACGATGTAGCCATAAATGAAGCCATCGCGCTTCTACCGAAGAACTACAACTTCGAGATCCACAAGACAATCCACCGCATACGAACAGCAGGCGCGACCAAGATAGCACTCCAAATGCCCGAAGGCCTCCTCCTGTTCGCCACAACCATCTCCGACATCCTCACTCAATTCTGCCCCGGCGCCAGCACCCTGATCATGGGCGACGTGACATACGGCGCCTGCTGTATAGACGACTACACAGCCCGAGCACTCGGCTGCGATCTGCTAGTCCACTACGCCCACAGCTGCCTCATCCCCGTCAACGTGACCTCCATCAAAACCCTCTACGTCTTCGTCGACATCCAAATCGACGTCGAACACCTCCTCGCCACGATCTCGCGGAATTTCAAACCTGGCAGCACAATAGCAATGGTCGGGACCATCCAATTCAACGCCACGCTCCACGGCACCGCGCCCCAACTCCGTGAAGCAGGCTACAACGTCATAATCCCACAAATCACCCCCCTATCCAAAGGCGAGATCCTGGGTTGCACATCCCCTCACTTGACTAAAGAGCAGGAGATAGATTGTATCCTCTATCTTGGCGATGGCCGCTTCCATCTCGAAAGCGCGATGATTCATAATCCCTCCTTGCCGGCTTATAGATATGATCCGTATTCCCGCCGCTTGACGAGAGAGACATACGACCACGACACCCTACTTTCAGACCGCAGTAAAGCGCTCTCCCAGGCCAAGACGGCGAAGAAATGGGGTCTCATTCTCGGCTCGCTAGGTCGGCAAGGAAACCCGCATACCATGACCCTGATCGAAAACCACCTGAAAGATCTCGGTATCCCCTGGATCAACCTCCTACTTTCCGAGATCTTCCCAGGCAAGTTGGCGATGATGAGTGATGTGGAATGCTGGGTGCAAGTCGCTTGTCCGAGATTGAGTATTGATTGGGGGTATGCTTTTCCCAGGCCGTTGTTGACGCCGTATGAGGCGCTGGTGGCGTTGGGTGGGAGGCAAGGGTGGGAGAAGGGGGGTGGGGGGGATGGCAAGTATCCTATGGATTATTATGGGAAGGAGGGCCTTGGGAGGGTCAAGGTTGAGGAGACGGAGGTTACGAGGGTGAAGGTTGAAGGAGCGACGGTTATGAGGGCTGTTGCTGGTGTGGCGTAGTGGTATGTTCACGCAGTGTCTTTGTGCCAATGGTGCAGGTGTATTTGCCCAGACACCGCTTGCACTGTGAGCTGTCTCGGAGCGCTCATTTTTGGTGCGTCCTTCATGCGCAGAGGTACTACTATAAATTTCGGATCATCGTGTCGAAGCTCAGCCACGGCTGAGGCTGTACATGCTACACGCCCTGATTCCCATTTGCCAGCTGATTGTGCAAGGCCGCCTGCCAGTTGGACCATTAATATTGGAATGGCTGTCACTGTGCCAATGTGTTCAACACATACGATGGTCGTTTTCTATCAGAGAGCTTCGTAACAGCCATGGCGTATGAAGACAAATCGGGAGCTCAGCCTGTCTTCAATGCCTCAAAGGAAATCAGGCTACTCACCATTTCGGCGGTCACCAATGAAGACAGCCTTGCAACACTGAGATGTACCCTGCACTATGTCGACCGTGAGACGCGGCCAACATATACCGCTATCTCGTACACATGGGGTGAAGGGCCAGCCAACACAAATGAAGTCATCTGTAATGGCTGCCCATTACTCGTCGGGAACAACTGCTATACGCTACTATGTGAACTGCGTCGGCTGAAGCTGACGGGGCACGAGAACTTGATCTGGATGGATGCCCTCTGTATCAACCAGGCGGATGTGGGAGAGCGGAATGCACAAGTGGCACGAATGGGTGATACTTTCCGGTCGGCTGCAAAGACAATCGTGTTCCTTCGTCAGGATATCATCGAGGATTCGAGTCCGTTTCCAACAGACTATGTCAACATGAGCTACCGTCCTCTAAGCCCTGACCCTGACCTCAAGAAGTCTGACATGCACAATCCATGGTACCGCCCCACAGGCGGTCACTCAACGAGCACAGACATCTACCAACGTGTATGGTTTGGGCGTGGCGACAGAAGCAAGGACGTGCAACTTCGCATGTCGACTCTGACCACGAACCCATGGTTTACGCGGACTTGGATCGTACAGGAGCTTATGTTGTCGAGAGAGCCTTCGCTCTTGATGGAAGGCGATGCGTGCTTGGTTCCGTGGAAAATCCTAGATCAGATGTATGCGATATGGTCTCCGGTGTCCTGCGAGACGCCACAAGTCGTTACGATGCATGCGGGCTGGACAGCTACTGGCATAGACGCCTTCGTTGATGGCGTGCGAGTAGCCAATTCGGAGGATCCTGGGCAGGAGAAGGCGACCTATCTGCGACGACTATTTGCGACGTTAGTCAGGACTCGCAAGTTCCGTTGCACCGATCCTCGGGACAAGCTATATGGCATCTTGGCCCTCTTCAGCATGACCCACTTGGAGACATTACAGCCAGACTACAACAAATCTGCTCTGACAGTCTACTCAGACCTGATTTGGTCGATGCTTGAGTCCGGGATCACGGATATTCTGGCCCTGGCTGGGCTTCATGCGAACGAAGTATGGCCTTCGTGGGTCGTGGACTGGTCGATCGATCCCAGATTTTGCCGTGATAAGCTTATCGAGCGCCCATCACAGTACAAAGCCGGCTTCGTGGGCGGTCGGGGCCGACTACACGTCAGCAGGTCAGATGATGGTCGGACACTGGTCGTCAGAGGACTCATGGTTGGGCACGTCCAGAGTGACTATCTGGCTGTGCTGGCTTCTGATCAGATCAGTAGCCTTGGGACACGACAGTACCCTGCTTGTGTAGAAGATTTGGTGCGCATATTGCTGGGATGCAGCATGCCATTCGTACTTCGTAAAGACGGAGACCGGTTACGTCTAGTAGATGAATGCAGGATTTCGGGGTATATGAAAGGCGAAGCTTTGGCCCATCTGGACGCATCTTCCTGCTATGGAGTAACGCCGCCACCAGGTCTGCAAGACTTCGAGATCCATTGAACGCTTGATTCTCTACGCTATAATGTCTCTGCCGTCAACATGCTCATATGCTAATGAAGAAGCTCTTCTCGCCCTCCTGTGGTTTCACGAGCGCTCGCTTCACGATGGGATCCGCACAGCTCACTCTGATCCTCTCCACGGTAGCTGGCGACCTCAGACTCAGCACGTCCTCCACTCCCCACTCCTTGCGAGCAGCTTTCAGTGCATCTCGGATGGCGAAGAAGACGCAGCTGCCCATAAATAGTGGCGGCTCACCAACACCACGCGAACGCTGAATGGTGCGGAGGTTCTCCCAGTTGACGTCCTTCAACAGGCTGACATTCATTTCTTGCGGAATGTCGCGGAAGCCGGGAATCTGCACGCACTGTCAGTACTGTCAACGTGCGAATTCTGTTGTCATGAGCCTACCTTATATGCACCAGGCCCTTTGGTGAAGATCTGCCCACTAGCACGATGCCACAATGACTCCTCCAGCGTGAACAAGCCCAGGCCTTGCACAAAAGCACCTTCAATCTGGCCATAATCGATGGCTGGATTGATGGACCTGCCAACATCCATCTTGATATCTGCTCTCTTGCATGTCCAATCACCGGTCAAAGTATCGATCTCCACTTCGGCAGCAGCAACGCCTTGCGTGAAGTAGAAGAACATCTGGCCAGTGTTTGGACCCCAGACATAGCCGATATCTGGAGTCTTGTAGAAGCCGTTGGCGCTCAAATTGACACGATCGAAGTATGCTGCATGCGCGAGCTGTTTCATAGTGGCATCCGGACCAAGCTTTTCTCGGAACGGTGCCAGACGTTCGTTGAGCTGAGCGCAGGCGTTCCAAATGGCGTAGCCGTTCAGGTCTGAAGAAGCAGACGCTGCTGTCGAAGAAGTGTTCGCCACCGTGTTGGTCGCTGTTTCAGAGATGAAGACGTTCTCCAATGGCACTTGAAGCGCTTCAGCCGCAATCATGGTCATCTTCGTGTGCAGACCCTGGCCCATTTCTGTCCCACCATGTGCTACTAGCACAGATCCGTCGTGGTAAATATGCACCAGAGCGCCAGCCTGATTGAGGAACAGAGCAGTGAAGCTGATGCCAAATTTGGTCGGGATGATGCTTATACCACGCTTCTTCCACTTGCTCTTCTTGTTGAACTCCTCGACCTCTTGCTTCCGTCTGTCGTACTCGCTATCCTGTAGTACCTGCTTCCACATGAGCGGCACATACCAGTCCTTCAGTTCTTGCTTGAAGTGAGTAATTTCGTTCGGCTTGTACATGTTGATCTCCCTCAGCTTCTCGACAGGCATCTTGAGATGATCCGCGACTTCCTCCATGTATGTCTCGGCGATGAACATACCCTGCGGACCACCAAATCCTCGGAAAGCAGTATTCGATACAGTATTAGTCTTGCAGATACGGCCACGCACATAGACATTGGGGATGTTGTAGACGCCGTCGCTGTGAGAAAGTGCTCGATCAACCACCGCAGCACTCAAGTCTTGACTCCAGCCTCCATTGTTGAACACATCTGCATCGAGAGCCTGGAGCTTGCCATCCTTATTGACCGCGACCTTCCACCTTGCCAAGAAAGGATGGCGCTGACCAGATGTTATGATGTCCTCGTCACGGTTCAGCATACATCGAACTGGGCGCTTCGTCTTGTTCGCAGCCACAGCACAGATACCAGTCAATTGGATCGACCGAGTTTCCTTGCCACCGAAGCCGCCGCCAAGCCGTTTCACCTTTGACACGATCTTGTTCGCAGCAACGCCAGTGACCTGCGCGACATATGCTTGAGTCTCGCTGGGATTTTGCGTCGAGCTCCAGACTTCCATCTCCCCATCCTCAGGCTTCGGTATGCATACCGTAGCGTTCGTCTCAAGGTAGAAGTGTTCTTGACCACCCATCCGCGCGATACCAGTAAAGACATGGTCGGCCTCCTTGAATGCTTTCTCGGTATCTCCGTTGTTAATGAAACGATAATGGTCAAAGTAGCTGTCTTGTGCAATAGCTTCTTCGATCGTGAAGATCGCAGGTAGCTCCTCGTACTGCACTCTCACGGCTCGCGCACCGGCTTCTGCGACTGCGGCAGAGGTGGCTAGGATGACACCGATAGGCTGGCCAGCGGTAAAGACCTCATCGACGGCGAAGAATGTCTCGTCGCAGTTTGGTGCACCCCACCAGTTGGCCTTTTCGTTAGGAAGATCGTGATGGTCAACATAATCTACCACGCCGGGAATGTCCATTGCTGGAGCAGAATCGACGGAAATGAGCTTGGCATGCGCCTTTGTGCTCAGGACTAGACAACCGTAGAGCTCGTTCTTCTGCACGGGTATGTCGTCGGTGTATTGAGCCTCACCGGTGCATTGCTTTAGCGCTGCCACATGAGGTTGCTCCTTGCCGATGATCTTCTTCTCGTAAGCGACACCAGCAAGATGGTCTTTGTGGCCCTTGCTGATCTCACGTTCGATCTCGCCCAGCACATCTTGATCAATCTCGACATCATCCCCAGCATTCAAGGTTGACAACACCTCATGGTAGAAGCGATAGAAGAAGCCGAGAGCCAAGCTCTTCCGGTATGTGGCCATACCGCCGGGCACGCCAAAGCGTAGATCAAAGTCCTGCTCCAGAGCGTTCATCACACCCTCGAGTGTTTTCGGATCTGTGAATTTCTTGCCTTCGAGGTATGCGACCGCCTCCTTCGCAGCGATCGTGATTGGTGCCAGTCCACCATAGACCAAGCTGCAGTTCTCGACCAAGTTGTTCTCATCTAGACGAACTCGCAGAGCCGAGTTGACGATCGCGATATCGTCGTCTTTCCTCTTGGACTGCTTGTAAGCTCGCATGATCTCCCGCTTCTCTTGAAATACAGGAATGCGAATGCTGGAGATGATTGCATCAGGTGGCAGTGCAGTAAGGCGGTATGCTTTGAAGAACTCCGACATGGGTATCTCAATTGTTCCTTCTAGTGACCTCGCTACCAGTATCGCATTCGTCGCCACGAAGACAGGATTGAGATCTGAAATAGGGCTTGCAGTTGCTAGGTTTCCGGCGGGCGTGCCTACATTGCGAATTTGTCGGCCAGCAAAGTATCTGATCTGCTTGTGTATCGCCTCGAAAGGCTGGCCGCGCTCCTTGCCATAGTGTTCGACAGCCTTGAGTGTCAAATCCTCGAGGTCGGTAAGAGTGATGTTGCCACCGATCTCTAGGTGATCGTCTGCGAACTTGTAGCCTCTCAACTCTGCGATGTCTCCGACAAAGACAGATACGGTATACTGCATGGCCTTAAACTTGACTTCGATTTGTGTCTCTGTGCTACCGCCTATGATCTTAGCAGAAGGATATGCGGACTTGATCTCGAGCAGCTGCTGGACCGTGACAGGACGGTACCATCGTTTTCGTTTGGTGCCGAAAGCCAGTGGCATGAATTCGTGCTTCTTCAATGCAGGAGGGAAGATGAGTTGTGTATCAGGATTGTATTCAATGAAGCCTGGTGGTGTAAATCGCTTGATAGGTTGATCGTCGCCGTTTGCAACATTCTTTTGATCAGACTTGCCGCAACCATTCGAACCATTGGTTTGGCCATTTTCCATACAGCATCCGCTCCCGCCATTGGCTTTAGCCATTCCACATCCTTTCGATGCGCCGAATGTCTGAGCTGCGTCGAGGATCGGCCGATATCCAGTACATCTGCATAAGTTTCCATCGAAGGCCTCCTCGATCTCAAGCTCTGACGGACTCTCGGTGTTGCGCAGTAGTGCGTACAAGCTCATGACTATGCCTGGTGTGCCTGCAGACGAACATCAGCTCTTGTCCCACTTGACAGAATGAAGTCCGTACGTACAGAATCCGCATTGTGACCCATTGCCCTTTGCTATCCGCTCTTGTGCCGGATGTGGATTCTTCACGTTGCCAATACCCTCCACTGTGATAACATGCTTACCATCCACACTAACAAGCGGCGCCAAACACGCATTGACAGAAGCGTGATATATCTTCTCCGAGGTCGGGTTGTACTGTGAGACCACGACCGTACATGCTCCGCATCCTCCTTCTGCACATCCTAACTTCGTACCGGTCAAGCCAATGCCTCGGAGGTATTCCAGAAGGGTGACCTCAGGGTCCGCGGTGTCGAGAGTGACCTTTGTGCCATTGAGGTAGAATCGTAGGGTATCGTCGTAATGCTCGGTCACAGATGAAAGGGATCGCTGTGTCTCAGCAGCGACTGCGGGATGCGGGTCTATCAAGCCTGGCGCCATGTTGTTGCTCAATATCCTAACATGAATGTGATGTTGTCTACTCCATGGAAGGATGGCCGCGAGTCTTATCGATGTCTTGAAGGTGTCATGTGTCACAATACAGACGGCCGTCCATATAGTCACTGATGAGATACATAAATATGAAGATCAATAGCTACCTCTGTATGAGCTTATCTGCCTATCGCATATCGCCGTGCGTGCTGGAGAGTGGCATTATGATGTTGACCGAAAAAAGCATCGTGCGGGGCTGTCGCCGCCATTGGTGGTGCGATCAGACGATACGACAATGGAAGCCTTCGTAATATGGCAGACTGCACTACCGCCCTTCGACGAGATATCGAGGACTCTGCTGAAGCTGCTTGGGTGTCGTGAATCGAAGATCCATCCTGCCGGCCAGCTCCGATGGACCTTACAGCCGCATTGCGAAGGAGCATAAGAAACATGTTCTGCTCTCAGCATCAGAACTGTGTTAAACAACATGGCAATCCTCACGGTTTCGATAACACGACCTCTTGCACAACAAAAGTGTGATGTGCAGACGAGAGGCCCGCTCCTCTTGACCACCGGCCCCGAAAAGTGCTTGTAAGTGCTGCAGCTAGGGGTGGTTGAGCTGCATACTATCTACTCGAATGAGGCATGAGTCAATGGAGGTGAGAAGAAGTCTCGTGACTCCTACAAGCTACAACTTTTGTGATAGATAAAGCGTGCGTCGTCGCCCTCCTTGACTTCCATCAGTGACCCCTCATGGACGCCGTCGAACAAGGCACGGCCGCAGAGGCTAAAGGTCGAACCGTCGTCGAGTTATCAGAGCGCATTTGTGTTCGAGAATGGCGACATACTGACGCCGCTTCTGGCTCTCACCATGGCGGCAACATCAAGGTCTGGAACAATCTCCGGTAGGACCTGAGCACGCGTTACTCCTTTGCGAAGTTGCGACATTGACCTCATCTTCTGTAGTAATCGAATGCCGCACCCATATACAGAAGCGAACGCCGCAGGATGGATAAACTTCTGCCATGACACTGTCAATCATCGCGGATCAGGTACTTGGAGTCCAGAAACCGGCTCCCAAGGTCCCAAGATACCGACAGGCTACGCAATCGCCATCAATGGAGAAGCAGTCGGTAGCATTGGCCTCAATTTCGCAGATGAGAAAGACGTCTATCTCCACCAAGCCGAGCTGGGCTACTGGCTAGGAGAAGAGCACTGGGGTCAGGGCGTGATGTCCAAAGCTGTGCCTGCCTTCGTGCACTGGGCATTCAAGACCTTCGGAATCCTGTTCAGAATTAATGGCTCGACGAGTGAGAACAATGTGGCCAGTGCTAAACTCTTGAAGAAAGCTGGATTCGAGTATGAAGGCAGACGGCCGAATTTCATCACGAAGAATGGTGTTACTACTGCGGAGCTGATATGGGGTGTGCTGAGGCCAGAGAACGACTAGTAGAGTGAAATGGGTGCTAATATTGGTGACCCCATGGCTGAGCATAGTGGGCGAAGCATAGCTGTAACGGTCAATATGCTTCACTTACATAAGATCAGGAAGACTTTGCACTACTACCTTCAAGCTCTTCTATTGGCTGCACCTACACAACAAGCACAGTAACGTGGTAAAAGGCAGTCATCATTCTCAGTGACGCCCCGTTTCGAAGTTATGCTGAGCTGGACGAAGGTGAATATAATGGCTCGTTCACTTTGAGAAGAGGGCCCACGACGAAAGGCAAAGCTTGCGGCACTGGTGATAGTTATGGTTGTGGATGATACATGACAACGTTGCCTATCATGTACCGATGATGCCACCCCCATAGCAGCAGATCCTTCTGACGCCAGGAACATCCATCTGTACCCGTCACGGAAAGCAGCAAGCAAGGGAACTCACCCCGCGCCATGCCGAGTCCGTGAAGCCCAGTACTCACCGATCATCTCTTCGTCGCCAGTCAGAACATCGTTTTGTAACAGGGCGTGCCTGCCGCGACATGCTCGTGGTATTCGCAATCGTCTTCTTCGATTGGCGCCTTGCCACTTTTCAAGCCGCCACACTGCACCTTCGCTGATCGCAGGGCAAGATCTTTGTAGAATTGAATCGGAGAGCCGACCTTGATCGTGTCGAGGTTCCGTGCGATGATGTCGACCGACAGACGTCTGAAGACATTTGCGCCTGCAATGCGAGTGTAAGCAAGATCAATATGGAGTGGTTTCACAACAGTCAAGTGACTGGGCAGGAGATCATTTACTTACAAGCACGTGATCCGTATCAACAGGCCGTACTGCGACGGTGTGGTCACCGCTGAGCGATTGGTCCCCATCGTCTTGCGCGCATACTGGCTGCTTCACTCTCAGGAGCCGCGTGCCAACTCGGACATATTGTATTGACAATCGGGAAGACATGGTGTAGTGCCTCGAGCCGTGGAGCAAACGGTAAACTTTATCCATACCGTCTCATGCGAGCGGCACACACCCTCTCCTCGTCTTCTCTCGACCCAGACCGCACAGCCACCCTCTTCGCCAGTATTCCCATCCCGATCGCTTCACCTAAACCTCCCTAGTACGAGTCTTCGACCGATAGCACTCCCCGTCACCGTGATCATGATACCAACAACCACCGTCATAGATCGGCCCATTGCCTTCGATTACAGTACCCCCCAGCTCTTTATACCTTGCCGCCACATTCCTGAACAACTCCCAGTATCGCTGCCCTGCTCTATCCTCCAATAAGATGTCGTTTGGCCACTTGTAGACTGCTACATCAACTAACAAGCGGCGTAGCCCATTGGGTCCAGCTGTAGAGGTGTATACACGGCCGTGTACCCCAGCGGGTACCCGGCACGCTTTATTGAGGGGATCAACGAGGGCGTCCAGAGCAGCGTCCTTAAACTCGGTAGCTAGCAATTTGTCGCCAAGAATCCAGCAGGAAGCCAGAAAGTCAACTTCATTGCAGAAGGCGTCACGGCCTGGCTGGTTGTCACTTGCAATGTAGCTAGTGGTCACGGCAGAAATGACAGGGAAAATGTAGCCATGATATGCGAAACGAGCGAAGGCTTCGAAGGCAGCTGGATCGTCGTCCGGCAATGGTATGCTCTGGCCATCGTTGCCACCGCGCCACTGTCCCTTGCAGGCAGCCAGAAAGTAGCCGGAGTTCCGCAGCAGAGCATCCTCGGAGACGTAGAATGTTCGCTGTGCTTCACCTTCTCCAACAATGACCGCTATGGGTAGCGAAGTCATGCTTGGAGCCGTGGCCATGAAGCGGCGGATGTCGTATGGAGCCAGATGGACCAGGTGCTCGTCAAGTGGTTGAGCTTTGTTGTGTGGTGCCGATGAGAGTGTTCGCCCTCGAGTATGCCTTGCTTGTATCCTGTCTGTGGTCGAGATGTGTGACAATTTTTGCAAGCTGTATGCCAAGATTCCTACCGTTCAGAGGGAAAAGGAGTGGCGGTGCGGTGACGTAAGATGATGTGGTGCACGTGACGTTCCTTTGTGCCTGCCGCATATAGCACGAAAGCAACTGTGCGCGTCCCCTGGCTACACATAGAGGCCGACGAGAACACTGTAGCTCAAACACCCACCGCCTTGAACTCAGCTTCACCCTTATCCGCCCTTCCAGAGCCAAATCTCATCTGACACAACTCAACAAATTCCCGCATACCCTCCGCCTTCTCATCCCTCTCCCCACCCGTCTTCATCTTCTTGATAGCAAGCAAAGCCTCCTTATCCCCTTTGTCTTGCGTCCATGCTCCCCTCTGCCGTTCCTCACTGGCTTCTTCCACATCATGCCTTCCACCTCGGCCACCCCGCGAACCCCGTCCACCTCGGCCACCCCTACGGTCGTTGCCTCGTCCGCGTGTCGAACGGCCTCTGCTCGGGTCGAGAGCACCGAGTAATGGTCCTCGGCTCCAGCTGAATTTGTCTTCAGGGCTGGGCTCGAGGGTGAGGCCATATGCGACCTGCAGCTGGGCCTGGAGCATGGGGTATCTCTGCATCAGACGCTTGAATTCGGCATCGTCCTCGAAGCCTGTGAGGTCGACTTTTGGCACTCGGTGCTTCGTGCCCGGTCGATCGCGTTGTCTGGCTGCGGCTTGCTGAATCACAGTGGCTTTCTCATCCGTGTGGTTGAGCTTGTGAGTCCTGTAGCAGATAAGAGAGCAACTGGAAAAGAGTATGAGAAGATGTAGAACCGCTAGAATAGAAAAGAGAGCAATACATACTATCTCAGCTCGCATATTGGACACTTGTACTTGGACTCCTGCTCATGGCAGACGCCACACTGAGATATTGACATGTTGGTGGACGGATTGAAACCGTCTGATAACGTTTTTCTTCACATTCTGTATGCGTATGTAATAAAACATTAGAGAGGCATGTGAAAGTTGGTGCTATATGATGATGCCAAGGCCAAAGCTTCGGCGACTCGATCATCACCTCCGGCTCACGCATGTCATCGACCATTCATTCACACATCCACACCACACAATGGCGCCTCCGCGATACCGCAGCCTGCTCGAGCTCGTTCAAAGACAATGGACCTGTCCTTCATGCGCCCGCTCGCCACCTAGAACCCTCCTCCACCAACCTGGCAGACGCCTCATCCAAACCACAACCAAATCCTCCCAATCAGCAGCAGCCGCCCAGCAAGAGATCCTCCGCCGACCCTTCAAGGCCAAGAACGCAAACACCCTCTACTACACCGCATCAATAATTCTAGGAACAGTAGCGATATCCTACGGCTCCGTCCCACTCTACAAGACAATATGTCAGCAGACAGGCTGGGGTGGCCAACCCATAAAGTCTGCCGCCCATGGAGGAGATCTGGATAATAGTCCCGAAGCCATAGCCGAGAAACTCACACCCATTACCACTTCGCGAAGACTTCGCATCACATTTGCGGGAAGTACATCGGATATCCTACCCTGGAAGTTCACGCCCCAGCAGCGTGAAGTCCGCGTCTTACCAGGCGAGACAGCGCTAGCATTCTACACAGCTACGAACCAGAGTCCGGACGAGGATATCATAGGCGTTGCGACATACAGCGTAACGCCTGCGCAAGTTGCGCCGTATTTCAGCAAGATCCAGTGTTTTTGTTTCGAGGAGCAGCGGCTGAATAAAGGCGAGACCGTGGATATGCCGGTGTTCTTTTACATTGATCCAGAGTTCTTGCGGGATCCTACTATGAAGGGGATTGATACGATTACTTTGAATTACACATTCTTCAGTGAGTCTAATATGTGGAGATGCGGTCAACGGTATGCTGACGACAGATGTAGAAGCCAAGTATGATAAGGATGGGCATTTGTCACCTGTGCCTGCACCGTACTGAAGGCACGGAGACATGAAACGAGAACATGAAATCATAAAAGACAGTACAGATGCTAAGGACCGGGACGGCCGAAGCAGAATACGGCTTTCCATGCCAAGATAGAGGCTACATCTTGCGCGGCCCAGCAGTGCTGTGAGCATATACACTCAGCTCACACAGAAGACCGCCAAGCATCACACCCTCGCCAGGTTTGCGCATGACCACTAGACCTTACGAGCAGGCCAGGGATGACAGAAAGTGCCACAGGCTCTCACGCATCATTCCCACTAGCGGGAATACCCTCTGTCCCTCGTCCAAGATCCTCACCTAACCTTTTCCCACCAACAGTCAAGGGCTTACAATCCTGCAAACAAAAGATCATCCTCGCCCACTCCGTCTTGGACGGGTTCCGCCACGCATGCATCGTCGCCCTCTGGACCATCACATCGCCTCTACCCATCACCTGCTCCACCCCATCATCCAGGATCGAAACGATCGTGCCCTCGAGCACGATGCCGTAGTCCACTGATTGCGTCCGGTGCATCATACAGGTGTACTGAGGCGCGAAATCGACGTAGCGGAGGACTGTACCACCGCCTGAGACTAGGCCGAGTTTGCCGCCTGCCGCTTCCATTTTGGAGTCGTGAGATTGGACGTCTTGGTTTTGGTTGAGGTCGGGTGGGAAGGAGGTTGTGTATGCGACGCTCATGGCCATTTTGTCTTCATCGTATCGTTGCCAGTCTACGGGGCGGGAGGAGTGGACGATGGCTTTCCCTGTCTTCTCATTATGGCCGGTGAGGTATGCGGTGGGACCGGGGAGGTGGGTGGAGAGTTGGTTCGGGGTTGGCTTGCGGGTGTCTGAGGAGGAGGAGCACATTGTGTTGGTGGTAGCCGATGCTGCTTGTGGGTGTTTTGGGATATGACAGAGAAGTGTAGCGTACTTAGTGTGATGTGTACACTATGTATAGTCGAAATCGTCGGATCGTGAAGCTAGACTAGTAACAGCACCTCGAAATCCATTGTCTCTCACCTCATCGGACTCCGGACGGACAAGGAGGGGTAGCTGCACGAATAATGTCTCTAGTAGAGTATCGATGTGGGTAGGTTCACGCAGGTACATCGCCGCTACCGGCCCATCCGCCCCCACTTCAAGCCAGGTCAGCATCAGGTCACCGTCTTACAACCACCGAGACGCCGTCCTAACAACATATCAGCAGCTGTGGGTGGGAAAGTGTTTAAAGTGTATCGAAGGATCTGCTGGAAGCCACCATCTTCCATAACACAGCAGCGGAGAAAGAGCTCGAACAAAGGTCAAGATGTGCAAGAAGACTACTTGCTCTACATGCCGTGAGCCAACAGGAGACCTTGATGAACTGCACGTATACAGCATGCTGACGTATCACGACAGAGAAGGCGACATGGTGGGGATGTGAGTCTCATCCGCTCTGATGCACTTGGCCCCCTCGGAAAGAGGGACCACATCGAATCCGTAAGACGATGTCAAGATCATCGTTCATCAGCTGATCTCTGTTCTGTTTAGGCGGCAACCATGTGCCGCAAGTCCTCGACGATGTGGCGGAGAATGAACGTTGCAGCTGCACGCCCAAGGTCGAGAAGGAAGGGAAGCAGTATCCTCCCAAGGGACCTCAACCTGATATGTGAGACTGCAGAGCCGGATTGTCTTTGGTAAGTAATGTTGATACACGTTATGCTCAGTAGATATAGCCATACTGATTACTCATGACTAGACATATTGACAATGAGCCATGTTCTGAACTTCATAGCTATGAATTCTGATCTAGTGTACAAGAACTTTCCTTCTCCATCGTCACTCAATCCGCATAGCCCACCACAATCTCAGTACAGCACATAATCGGCCCATCTCTAAGAACGCCCCTCTTAAACTTCCTATCCGCCTCTGCATACTCCGGATCATCAAGCAACTTCCCAAAATGCCAAATAGAAGGATACCACACCAAAGCAGTATCCTCCCACCCCACCTTCTCTCCCTCTGCACTCCCATACCCCATAACACTCCTCTCCGCCTCAGCAATAGTCATCTCCCCCTCCGTCGCGCGACTAGACCAGTCCGTAACGTTTTGAAGTGGAAGACCAGCGCCGCCGTAGCGTGCGCCGAGGGAGGTTTGGAACGCGGTGATGTAGTCGTAGAACCGGGGACGCTGGCCTGGGAGACAGGAGTCGAGGTTGAGCATTTGGATGGGGCCGGTATGTTTGGTGCCGAATGTGCGGATGAAGTCTTTCAGTACGACGGGTGGGTCTTTCTTGCGGTCGGAGCCGAAGGCGTGGGATTTTAGTGCTAGCGAGTCCACGAGGTCGGGAGGTGGGATGGAGGCGTCGAGACCGCTGTGGTCGATTGAGCTCCAGCCTGTTGGGAGGGTAGGGCCGGTGGGGTTGGCACGTTCAGCTGCGCCTGAGAGGTAGTGTTCGAGCATGCCGGGAGGCACGTGGGCGCTTATGGACCATTTGTGCTTGATATGCTCTGCCAGCCCGGCCGGGAGAGCCAGAGCATCATCTGAGTTGACTATATGGTCGAGGATGGCGTACTCCCATTTGATCATTCTGGAATCGTCACCAAGCAAGGCCTTGACAGAGAGGTCCTCTGGTTGGACGGTCCAGTGGTGAGCCTTGCCAACGTAGATTGGTCTTTGGTCTTTCGACAGATTCTTAAGAGCAGCGAGAAAGCTCTTCTCGTCGTTCAGGATGACAAGGTGAATAGTGACTGGAGCCATGGCTGGAGTAATTTACGTGTATGAGTTCGATTGTTGTCTTTGTTGGAGTCCTGCGAATTGGTGTGGATGGTACATCTCATTTTCAAGCCTGACAAGGCTTTACTTATACCACCTCCATCATGCTCGTCTCCAGGACATCGTCAACAATGTGACTCACCCGTCTTGGTCGGCGATAGCAGTGTCTGTGTCGTGCAGCATGAAACACATCCTGCTCGTCAGATGCCATAGGATCATGGCTGTATGTAGACACCGTGGTCGTCGATAGCATCTCGACGTCAAGCGCCATAAAAGAATGCTTTGGTGTAATTGGTCGACTCGTCTACTCCGGCCGTACGACTTGTAATGCTGAGGCTGAACGATCCTGAAGGATTCGGTCACGTGGCTCCCTCGCGTCGAGGCGCTGTAGAATAATCGTAAGCTCATCCTCCGATCCTTATGTCTTCTACTTGATCTTCACAATGTGCAATGGACTGATATTGGTTGGTATGACCTAGCCTGCTGAGTAATAATATGGACAGTCAATCTTCTGCCTACTCACGCCTCCGCCTCCTGTTCTTCGGCACTTCCCACTCATCCTCCTCGCGGATATGCATGTCCTTGACAATTCCCGCTAGTTAGAAAGCCGGACCTTTAGGGCGTATGTGGTACAGGTCCATCGCCAAACAAGCCGCCAGTAAGACCATGCATACGCCTGCTCATGAGATCCTCCGTGCTAGCCAGTCTAACCAAACTTCTTCGTGTAGCAATCGGGCTAGTCGTTCCACTATACGAAGGCTTCCTGACATGGCCACGACCACTGCGTGGTCTTCTTGATTGACCCCCACGGCCCTCGCCCGATGCTGGAGTCATGCTCAGAGTCTTGATCTCTAGCGGTCTATCGTCTGCTTCGGAGCCTCCGGTAGTCCGTCGATGATGATGTCGGCTGCTAGAAGAGGTGAAGTAGTCGCTAGACCTTCGCTCCTCAGCGGGCGTCTCTGCTTCGCGAGCCTCTGCGTCTCGGAAGGCCTCTCGCATCCAGCGACTGCATTGATCAATGTATTTGCGGCCTTCCGGAAAGATTGATACGAATTGCAAGAAGCCATGACTTATTCCCGGAATGAGCATAACTTCGACGTGTTTGCTGTCATCAAAGCGCTGAGACGATGAGACTAGACCGAGCTCCTGCCGTTCTCGGAAGCGCTGGAGGTGTGCTTGCCGCAGGCGGCCCGCGAAAATGATTGTGTCGTCGACCAGAGGATCACGCTCCCCTGTCACCATGTAGGTCTTTGGGAAGCGAGCCAGAACATGCTCTGGAGTGAGTATTGGCGAGAGGAGATGGTCAGTGGCAAAGTCCGGCTTGTTATGTGGTCCGATGTACAGGATGATCATCGATCTCAACATCTCTGGAGATAAGATGCGGTCGTTGAAGTACGATATCATGCTGGAAATGGCGAGTCTTGTTTGTAGTGGCTGAGGTTTCGTGGCCGATTCTAGCTTTTTGTGTGAAGCAGAACCGTTTGCTGGTGCAGGCACCGGCTTCTCCATTGCCACCGGTGACTCAGCGATGTTTTGTCCTTGTAACCACTTTCCAGTACTCGATAGGTTGCGGCGGGACGCCTTGGAGGTTTTTAGAGGCTCGACTTCGTCTTCGTCATCCGAGCCGTGCGGCGTATCTGGGGTGAGACGCCGATAGTCCTCACTTTTGCGACTTAGCACTGCCTTGTTTGTCTTTCTCCTTTCCGGCTGCTTCATCAACGCCATCTGCTCCTCAGTCATCCAATTCCTGATATTCATGTCTAGGGCAGGGTAGACCAACACTAATGCCTCAGGCATAGGCAGTGGCTGTTCAAATGTTCTGTCTTCGGGATTGTAACCAGCGTACGGCGACTCCGAGAGTAGCATACAAGTCAATCCTACTGCGAGATTTCCCCCAGCACTGTCACCGCTGATCACAATCTTGGGAACAGTAGTTCCCGTGAAGCCGATGACAGTACCGCGAGAGCTCATGATGGTATGATATGCATCGTAACATTCATTCAAAGCATACGGATATGGATATTCTGGCGCCTTTTGGTAATCCAGAGCGAGTACAGGTAAGCCAAGCTTGGCAGCCCAAGCCATGAGCTTATCGTCATGACATCTAGGGTCCATAGCAACAAAGCCACCACCCGGAACGTCAAACACGACCTTGTCATGCTGTTTCAGATCTTTTCTAGGGCTATCAAAGTATAGCCAGGCATTGATCGGCTCTGTGTAGCTGCTTCCGGCTGGTCTCGGTATCCTCAGCTGCCGAGGCGGGTACTTCATCATCTTGGGTCTCATGAGACTCGTGACTGCTTTCAAGTATGGTGTGTTCGGCTTGTCCCAGCTCGTTCGGAGGTGTTGCAGAGTCAAGCCTCCGCGCACTCTTCTGACCATCTCATCTGCCTGTTCTGCGCAAGCCAGATAGTATACTGTGAATACCATGCTTGCCAAATCCTTCAGCCACTTTGGACGCACGTGCATAGCTGTCCAGAAGCCTGCGTCTAACGCCGTGGTCACCCATGTCGCTCTGAAATAAGTCCTCGTGTACAGATTTGCCAATGGCTCGGGCGACTCCAAGCCTACTACTCGTGCAAAGTTTCTGGAAACGTAGAGCGTCAAACAGAAGACGACTAGTGTTCGCCATGCTGACAGACGCTTGGTGAAATATTCGGATATGTGACGGACTGGTCGGGGACCATGCTTGTTACCTCTGGCGAGGTACAGACTCCATAGTAGAACGACTGTGAAGACCTGGTACTTCCGAAAGCGTGTAGACGGGCGGCCAAGGACGTGATCTAGAGGTTTTAGCATGGACGAAGGAAACCGCATCACACGTGTTCGCCGTACCTATCATGGCCTGGCTGGGCGTGTGTTAGCATCGGATGAGGAGTGTGAGACGTTGGGCGTTATTCGAAGCTGAGTTGAATGGTAATAAGAGTTGCTCGAATTGTATACTTAGCCATGAACCAGCACTGCACAAGAAGAGAAGCGGTACAATCCTACGCTCACAGGCATGCTGCCATCGTGACCATTGCGAATGCAACGACTGGGCCGACGCTATACGTGTCGGCCGCCATGCTGATCTCTCGCGGCTGAGTTTGAAACATGTGAAAGTGGCTGGAAGGATGATGAATGCCACACGTGACCAAAAGTCTAGGTAAGCAATTTCACTTGGCGACATTCACTTGCTTTATTTTCTCTGCTCATGAAGAGCAACAATGCGATCGTCGATACTGCAATATAGACAGACCATCGATAACAAGCCACGATTGACCTGCGTCTAGCCCCAAACAACCATGAAGTTCTGAGCCTTGAATACACGGCACGCACGAGCGCGCGAGGTCCTGTGGCAATTCGAATGCTTGAGGATTCTCCCGGTCAGATGCCTTGGACCTGCTCTTCTATACTGGCTGTGTATATGCTGTAGGGATTGCCCAGAGTAGCAGTGCAGAAGTTCGCCGCTCCCAGTCCACTGAAAGCCCGAATTCATCGCTGTGCCGTCTGTCGACCCACCCGTGCTCTACATCGTCGACGATCTCACGGCTCTCGAGACTCCGGATTAGTGAACACCGTCTATCGCCGACAGCATGTATACTCTTTGAAAGCCCGGTCTGACATTGAGTCGTCACCTCTGTGAATGCTCCAAATCGATTCCAGCATACACTGCTGTAATGACCTGCCCTTCGCGTTCTAAGCTCCTTATAGCACTTCAAGGCGCTTGGACACCACTTGTACGGCGGTGCGACGTTCTGTTTCCACAACCAAAAGTCGGTACTCTGGTGTCCCGATACATTAGAATGGAAAACTCATTCCTTCGGTATCATACACCTTGCGCTCTTGATATCCCATCAATACCACGAGCTCTGCAGGCTGATGTACATGTGTACAGCTCATCGACATAGTCCTAGGGGTTCACTTGTCCAATTGGCACGAGCATGGCGACTAAAGCTTCCAATACCACTGCGACAGCGCTTAGTTGCAAGAAACGACAAGGGCATGATACGAGTGGGCAGGCGGCGGGAGCGAACGCGAGTTCGAATGGCTCTGTCGAGTCGGGCATACTGCGGTCATGTGGGCTCTCCCGCTGAGATGGGGATAAGCTGGCACCCCAACTCGAGAGCTGTTATTTCCTAAGCCACCAGCGAGAAACATGGCCAGGATGAATATCTGCCGCGATTCTAGATACATACTCGCTATCGCGGACCACAACAAAAGCTCTGCCGGGTGCATCGCAGAGTGCCGCACCATCGTGTACGTACCGATACAGCAGCGTTGTAGCGCAACTCCTGCGGTCATCAGTCTCACCAGCATGGACAACGAAGCGATAATGTCCGAGGCATCTTTCCAAGCCAAGCCCTTGGTCCCGTACGGAGGCGTACTTGAGCCTGCTCTGGGCGTCAGGCTTCTGCAGACTAAGACATATACTCTGAAACTATGGACTCAGGATAGTCCTGGCACTAGGCTACTCACGCTCGTTGCCTAACCTTCATGCTTATAATTACAGTTCGAGATCCACCAGCATGTCACCAGAAGTGTAGATGTGCGGAGTTACGGTAATGGCTCAGCACCATCGCCTATGTCGACCCGCCCACGAACAGGCTTGCGGACTCGGTATCGCTCGAGATGCCTGTCGACGTACTGCGACACCACCTGCATTATGCCACGAGTCAGCAGCAACATGCTGTTTGGCGATGTTGAACTGCAGTCATCGTGCAGACCTGCCAGGATTCGAGACCTGAATCGGTACACTATCCAACTCTACTGGTCATCGCGTGCAGCTGCTCGCGTGGCATGCACGTTGGAACAGAAAGTCTAGACCCAAATCCATTGTCTCCAGCGAATCACCCACCGATAACAGCGCCGCCGAAACCTCGGGACAAGCATTGAGTCTGGGGAAAAGCCTGTGCTTTCGTGGAGAAATAAAGCATCCCGCAACAGTGGCCGTCTCACCACGGCTGATCTAGCTTATCCCATCGAGGCACTACCCCAAAGCGTACCATTCCGAGAGGTGGCGTGCGGAGTGTTCGACGTGGCTAGAAGTTTAGCAAGGTTCATGGTGTACGGATGTGCTTGGTATCCTTGGTGGTCCAGCTTGGCCTCGCCCACATCCGAAGCAGAGGCCGCAGCCATCCGCAAGCCATGAAATGCAGATAGAGCTGGTATACAAGGAGGGCTCGACGCCCGCGTCAAGGAAGTCTCGCTGTTTCCAGATCACTTTCATCTCCTTGAGATCTTCTCCTGCCTTCCTACTCACGTCCAGGGAGCTTTCACCCACAATGGCCACCAACATGGACCAAGAGAAGGGTGGTGTCGCCTACCTCGAGCGAACCGTCTCCGACCAATCCGTTTCCTCTTCCATCGAGAACGATGCTCGTATCGACGCCCTCACACCAGAAGAACAGAAGAAAGTGATCCGACGAATCGACTACCGTCTGGTCCTCACTCTCGGCTTCATGTATATGGTCTCGCTCATGGACCGCACCAACCTTGGCATCGCTGCCGTGGCTGGTATGTCTGTCGACCTCAAGCTCACCGTCGGTGCTCGCTACTCGATCATCACCTGTATCTTCTTCATCTCATACGTCCTGCTCCAACCACCCGCCACTGTCATCCTCCGCAAGGTCGGCCCAAGGATTTTTCTGCCCACGATCACTATCCTCTGGGGTGCAACCATGATCTGCTTCGGCTTCGTGAAGGTGTGGACACAGATGCTACCTCTTCGAATTGTTCTTGGAATCTTCGAAGCGGGTTTCTTCCCTGGTTGTGCCTAGTAAGTGCAACAAGCTGAACGCACGCCTACCACATGTCCTTGCTAACCTTTGTTGTAGCCTCCTCTCTTGCTGGTACCCACGCTACGATCTCCAGAAGCGCAATGCCGTGTTTTACCTCATCGGCAGCATGAGTTCCGCCTTCTCCGGTATCCTCGCCTACGGCTTCTCCCAGCTTGCAGGCCACGGCCACCTCGGTAAAGACTACGGTCAACACTACGGTCCCACTGCAAAGGCCCCTCACGCTCCGTCAGGCATCAAGCCAGGTATCGCCGGATGGCGATGGATCTTCATACTTCAGGGTCTCCTCACCGTGGTAGTCGGCCTCATCGGTGCCGTTACCATCTGCGATTTCCCCGAGCAGGCTGCCAAGAAGAGCAAGTCCTTCGCACTCTCGTTCTTGAGCCAGAAGGAGGCGGACTTCATCGTTGCCAGGATCGAGAAGGATCGTCATGATGCCATCCCCGAGCCATTCAGACTCGGCAACTATCTCAAGCAGGCCTGCGACTCCAAGATCTGGGGCTTTGCTTGGTTGTTCGGCTTGACCACTACTTCGTAAGTTGACTTTCTACTCGCAGCTCTCGTACGAGCCATGACTAACACTATCACAGCACCTACGCCATCGCCTACTTCCTCCCTATCATTCTCCAGGTCGGCATGGGCTTCAGTGTCCGCGACGCACAATGCCTCATCGCTCCACCCTACGTCTGCGCCGCAATCTGGATGTACGGCTGTGCTTGGTACGGTGACAAGAACCATATCCGCGGACCTCTCATCATGTAAGTGTACACGTCTCCAAGACATCCATGAACACGCTTCTAACACCCTCTCCAGTGTCAACGCTTTCATGGGTATCATCGGCCTTGCCCTCCTCGGCTTCACCGAGAACGTCGGCGTCCGCTACTTCGGCGTCTTCCTCGCCACCACCTCCGCCAACGCCAACGTGCCCTGCATCCTCACCTTCCAAGCCAACAACATCCGCGGACAGTGGAAGCGCGCCCTCGCCTCTGCCACCCTGGTCGGCGCAGGTGGCATCGGCGGTATCGTCGGCAGCACGGTGTTCCGCGAGCAGGACAAGCCGGGCTATAAGCCAGGCATGTACACGACCATCTTGGCTAACAGCTTGATCGTCGTCATTACTTGCTTGTTGATGCTCAAGTTCCACCGCGCGAACAAGCGCGCTGCTTCTGGTGGTAAGGTTATCGAGGGTTTGGCTGGCTTTAGATATACACTCTAAGTAGTATCATTGGACTAGTCATCGTATATAATGTTGTTACGTTGAACGACATATCCTCTTCGCCTCGGTCTGATCTCACCATAGTCATTGTCGCCGCGAGCGACTGCGACGTGTCGCTGCTGCAATTCTGTACCACTCCATGCTACATTCCACAGTTTCGAACGAGCGCCTTCTACTTTACATACGGACGAGGCTTCTCTTCTATACCTGCTTTAAATAAACCGCCAATCGACTTTCCAGAACCCATCAACACGTGCTTGGCCTCATGTTGAACCCACGTTCGAAAGCACAAAGCTCCCACCTACCAATAGCCACCACAGAAATACCAAAACCAAAAAATGCCCTCCCTCACCACCCTAACAACCTCCCTCCTAAACACCCTAAACATCACCTCCATATGCTCTTCCCCCAACTACCACCACCAACACAACTCCCCCCTCTTCCGCATCCCCCCCGAACTCCGCGAACAAATCTACGCCCTCCTCCCATCCCCACCTCTCCCTCACCACCACAACCCCCAGGCACCTGGATCTGCGCCTCTGGTTTGAAGCCAGCGGTTTCATAACGGCGTGTAAACGGCTTCGAGACGAGTTTAGGCCGGTGGCGGTGGTGAGGAGAGGTGCGCTGGCGCATGTGGGGTTTGTGGCGGGGACGACGAGGATTTTTCCTTTTCGGAAGGGGGAGTGGGGGTGGTGGGTTTGGTGGTGCGCAAGGTGGGAAGGGGGGCAGGGGTGGGCAAGGCGGGGAGGGGGGGAGTGGGAAAAGAAGGAGGTGGGAGGGGAGAACGTGTGAGGGGTGTGGGGGCGAAATGTATGGGGTGAAAATTGCGATGGGGAAGGCGGTGGGAGGGAAAGGGAAGCATGGTGCGGGTGTGGTGGGGATTCTGAGGTGTGCTCGTTGCTTGCCTCCTCCTCCTCCTCCTCCATCTGCTTCGCAACGAGCACCGGGCCAAAGTGAGATAGTGGAAGGATGTAAAGGAAACTGTGCAGACAGTAAGACCTGGGTGGTACTCGGTCTGTGGGAAATCCGGCGTATTCACACATGATCGTGGAAAATAATTCCCAGTCTTGATCTGTCGATGAGAGCAGAGTCGGCGCTCCGGAAGTGACGGATTCACAGAGACGGACTGGGAACGGCCGCGCGGTGTTCGGTCACACAGGGATTGGAAATAGTATTGGTTGGCGAGTAGCGTACTGTCCACGAATCCTCGATCCCGGATTGTGTCAAGCTGTACACGATATATGCGGATCCATCGATTGGCACCGTTCATTACTTACGTGACCATGACCTGCGATCAGATCTGTCGCTGAAGTGAGTCTTTCGAGAAGGATTCCCGCTAGCTTTCATCCCGCCCTCCTCTTCTTCTTCCCACCAGAGCCAGCCGGACTCCCATTAGCAGCCCCATTCGCAACCCCAGCCTCCCGACTCCTCGGGCTACCGCCCCCTACCAGCCGTCCAGCCGGAGCAGCATCGAAATCAGAAGGTCGTCCAGAAGCTTCAGATCCAGCTCCATCCCCCGCAACCCCAGCACTCATCCTCTCCTTCCCCTTTCGTGACGCAACCAGCGCCGCCTGTTTGGCAGGATGAGGCGAGTGATCGACCCGCCAATGGACGAAAGAAGCCTCGTCTTCGTCCGTGAAGCCGGCAATGATGTTTTGGAAGTGCAGGCGGGTTTGGGTGAGGGACTGAGAAACCATCATGGATTAGTAGGGGAGAAGGCAAGAAGCAAGATAGGTACCTAGACAAGTTAGGTGGTGATTGATTGGGGAACTCACTTCGCATCGAGCAAACGACCACCAGGAAAGCATCTCGTAACTCTGCAGGATCTCCGCCGCCTCGTTGCGTCGGGCGAGGGAATGGTAGGATTCGGGACTGCGGCTTTTGTTCTTTGCCCTAGTAGTATTCGCCGCCGTCGCCATCGTTGGAGCAGAAGCCGCAGTCGTAGGGCCCCTGCCACCCATCCTCGAGCTGGAACCAGAAATCAGGTTCGAGGACCCCCCTGCTAGAGGCATAGTCCGTGACATGATGATTGGATTGTTCGTGGCGCGAGGCAAGGATAGCAGGGAAGATGAAGCTTGTCCGGGGCAGTTATAGGGAGTGTGATAAGGAGCAGGATTTACTCTTACTGATGACGATGATGAAGTGGAGATGGTGGAATTTTCATAGGCATGACGGTTTCGCTTGGCTGGTCGTTCCGGGGACGTGGCCATGGGGGGTTTTGTCATGTCATATGAGTATCGTCTATCATTTGAGTATTATCTGTCATCTGTCATCTGGCATCCGGGAGCCGAGCGTGTCTTTCGCTGGGGGTGCCAAGGTCGGTACGGGTTACGATGGTGTCCTGTCCTGTCGGGTCGGGTGTGGTTGGATCGGGTCAGGTCAGGTCAGGTCAGGTCAGGTCAGTTTATCGTGCGCATTGCACTGCAGGACATGGCTGTGGCTCGCACGGGGGACGGTCGTGTTTGGTAGGTAGCGTACAACGGTCCCAGTAGACAGACAGACAGACAGTGGTTCGGGCGCCGCTATCGTGGTTGGATTATTCGCCCGCGCCTGCTTAGATTCGGTTGCAAGCGTACATATATCGGGCCGTCAGGTTCGGTTGCGAGCGTACATATGTCGGGACCTCGCTTGCCTGCTTCAAGATTAAGCCAGAGCCGTGGTTTGCCCGGATGGACGACTTGCGGTGTTCCAGCCTCGTCACAGTGGAGGGCAGTGCGTGATGGCGTTTGGTCTCGCTTCAGTGCATGAGCTAAGGTGGATTGATTGATCTAAGGTGCCGGCCTCGTGGTAGCGATATTCGTTGCCGGGTTGCCGAGGAGGTTGGCAGTTGGCAGGTGGCAGTTGACAGGCGGAGTCTGCGATAGCCTGTCTTCATGCACAGGCTAGGGTTCGGTACCAGGTATTGTCGATGTACTGTATGGCACAAGATAGCTAGCTCCTATTGGGGGCAAGAGGATGCTCGTTCGGGTGGCACGGTTGGACGTTTTGGATATGGGTGCGCTGTCAGATGCTTCGCGGAGGTCGGGAGACTACTGCCATCTGCAGCCTTCGATCTCTGGTCTGCTTGTTTTGTCGCAAAGGATGATGTTCATGTTCATGGTGTGCCGTCTTTCGTGCAGTACCGAGAGCTGTGCGGGCGTTGCGGAGATTCTTGAGTGACGAACTGGAAGCGCTGGCTCACAACGGTTCTGCAGGCGTCACAGCGGGATGTGAGGCAGGGATCACATGTACGGGGGATTAATGTACGCGTCTGTGGTAGAATGTCGTCTGTATGGTACTATTACTCTACGTCCACTGTACAGGATATCATCATCGCGGCAAGAGCGGCGTGACCAGATGATTGAACGACAACGACGACGCATCGACTCCACCAACCACCATACCACCCTGGACTGGAACACGTGAAAGCTGCCGGCCAGCTCTCCACTACTACTACCCTCCCCCCCCCCGAACAATGGCCCACCACTGGAACCCCTGCACCTACCTCCCCCGCCGCCTCCAGATCGTCGCCTCCCTCACCACTTTCCTCCTCATCTGCCTCCTATTCTTCGGCACCTCCCCCGCCGACGACCCCACCACCTACGTGAACCATGTCCCCTTCGGGCCCGAACTCCGCGCTGGTGCCCACCAAGTCGTCGACAAACTCCCCTCCATCCCCAAAGTCCCGTACATGGCACCCCCGCAATGGCTGAACCCCTTTGGCGACCAAGCCCACACACCACCCCCGGAACAGACCAATAGTTCCAGCGGGGAGGCGAGATGGTATGCGGATTTTAAATGGAGGAATCCCTTTTCCAGCTCGACAACTCTGGATGAGGAACGGGCTGTGCTGCCGCCTTTGGCTGAAAGGCCGCGGGTGTACACTTATTTTGACTCGGTGGGGAGGAGGAAAGACGAGAAGAGTAAGGAGGCGGAGCAGGAGTTATTGCAGGTTTGGAGACGGGCGTGGTGGGCTCAAGGGTTCAAGCCCGTGGTGCTGGGGAAGGCGGAGGCGATGAATAACCCGCTGTACAGAGCTGTACAAGGACTGGAATTGGAGGAGGAAATGGAGACAGAGATGATGCGGTGGCTGGCTTGGGGGAATATGGGGACGGGGATCTTGGCGAACTGGCTGGCAGTGCCTATGGCTGCATACGACGATACTATGCTCAGCTTCCTACGGCGAGGCGAATATCCCCTCCTCACTCGCTACGAAGGGCTTGGCACAGGACTATTCGTCGGCAACAAAATCTCCATTGAAAAGACGCTAAAAGAAGCCATCTCCAACCCCCAAATCAACACCACAAGATCCCTCATCGAAACCGCCTCCCTCGACACCTTCCTGATCGAAGACAAACACGCCGCAATAGCCTTCTACAGCACCTCGACCCTGAAAGAAAAATACCCTCTCCTGAAAACCAAACTCGAGCAAACCACCACAATCCCGGACGCCTTAACCCTCCTCCCCCGCCTCATAAACGCCCACCTCCACTCGACCTGGCAAAACACCTTCTCCTCCGGAATCTCAGTACTAAAACCCGCCCCCGAACACACCACCACCCTCCTCCTCCCAGCCGTTGAGCTCGCGCGAAACCTAAGCCAATGCGCCGACTCCCCCATCCCGGCCTCCTGCCCCCCTAACCGCCCGAAATGCAAACCCTGCGTCTCCTCCTCCCACCTACCAATAACGGTCCAGACCGTCTTCAGAAATACAACCACCCTCTTCACCATCGGCACAGTACCCCACCCTTATACCCTGCTCTCCCTGCTCCACTCCCGCGACGATTTAAACGTGAAATTCATCCGGCGAGAAACAGACCGCGACCTCTGGACCCTCGCGGCGACAAAAGAACTCATCGGCAACGGCCAAAGTTCCTTCTTCCGGCTCCCCGCGCTGAAAGACGCCGTGGCGTCTGAATTTGGCCGGGCGCGGAGTCTCTGGTTCACGGCGGAGAGACCACCGAGGAGCGAGAGTGAGAAGGATTTGGAGGAACTGGATTGGTGGTTTGGATTTGAGATTCCCCGGCATCCGCTCGATGATGGGAAGAGCGTTACGCCTGTCCCGGGACCCGAACGCCGACCCCCACCACCGAAAGATGAATTCGGGGATAGTCCCCCGCCCTCCGACGCCGATTTGGTGAAGGAAAAAGCATTGTTTGAGAAGAGTTTGATGTTTATGCAGCGCGCTGGACGTGGCGGAGTGGGAGGGGCTAAGGGAGGCAAGAAAAATACTGGAGGGGAGAAGGACTTGGTGCGGACGCGAGATATGGTCGAGGCGTGGAATCTGGCCGACACGGAGATTTGGAAGTTTGTGCGGGCGTGGAATGCGAGGGGTCGGGTGGAGAGGAGGGGGTGGGAGGAGGAGGAGGAGGGGTTTGGGGGCAGTAGGGGGAGGTGGGGGAGGTGGGTTGATAAGTTGGTTTAGTCGAGTCGGCAGTAGATTCGAGGAGCCGAAGGTTCTGAATGGGGCCGCTTTATGGCCGATGGTTTTGAGTATGTAGAGCGAAGGGAAAGGGAGTTTGAAGCGTTGGTGTTCAGGGCGTTTTTGGCTTTTCTTTTCCTTGGGGAGAGCTTGGGCCTGTAATACGCAGGGTTGCCAGTCAGATAAAGTTGTATGGAGCGTGGGGAGGATAGGAAGAGTATAGGAGGCGTAGGCACGGGCTGGAGGGGTCCGGTCGTTTGTACTTGTACGTCGTAGATATATGTATTGGTACCTACATAAGTTGTACTATGGCTGTGTCCTCGGACGACTTGCGCAGTGTCCAGGTCCAGAAATTGTGGGAAGATCTCCCGCTGCCTGATGGGATCGCGACTAGCTTTCTTACCGTGGAAACGCTGGGTGGGGCTTCATCGTGTGACGGCCATACATGTGATGCTGAAACTATGTTCATGATTGATATGATCTCAGTACTACCCGCAGAAGTCCTCTCACGGACCTGACCAAGCCGCACGGCTCCACACCCCACTATAACACCCTCCATCACCAAACCCCCGGAATCATCGAAAACCTCTTCCTCTCATACGTCCCTCCCAGTTCCTTCCTATACCGGCTCTCCTTCTTCCTCGCCCACACAGCCATCTGCGCCGTGGCCACTGCAACAAAAATCCCCGTACTCCAGGACCGACTAATGACCAGAATCCCCGCCCACGCAAGCGTCTCGAAAAGGTAATTAGGACAAGTCACCCAATCGAAGCCTAAACCCTTAGGAACCCCACGTTCCGCACCACCTGGCGAGCGAAGGGAGCGGAGAACGAGGTGTGTGTTTAGATTTCCTAGTTCGCCGAGGACGTAGAGGGCCAGACCGATGTAGGTGAGGAGGGGGTTTGTGTTTGTGGCGGCTGTGGCGGAGATGGGGGAGTAGACGACCGCGGCTATGAGGACGCCGGCGAGGATCCAATAGTGGAAGCTATTTTTGAAGATGTTTTGGACGGGCATGGTGGCGTTGCTGAAGCGGTGGACGAAGAGGGTTTCCAGCTCGCGTTTGAGGAAGTGGAGGGTTATGGTCCAGCAGGTCAGGAGTTGGAGGGTTGAAGGTGGTGGGTATGCTGTGAGGAGATTTGGATTGCGGTAGATGTAGGGTCTGAGGAGGAGGAGGACGGGGTGGATCAGGAGGGGGCCGAGGTATTCGATTATGAAGACTGTGCGCCAGGCGATTTGGGGGCCTGGGGTTCGTCTTAGCTGTTGTCGCGGACAGGACGGGGGGGGAGGGGAGTAACATGGTATAGAGCTTACCAAGATCTTTCACCTGTATCACACTCCCGTTCTCCAACCCTACACTACTAACACTCGTCTTCTTATCATTGGCAATCGGCTTGCCATCGTTCTTGTTCGTGATCCGTAGCCGATGGACGGAAAAGTTGGCATCTCTCGCTATGCGGTCGTAGAGGTCGCTGGCGCTGCCTTGGAGGTAAATGCTCGTCTCCTTCGGGAGCTTGGGGATGCGTTTGCCTGAATTTTTTGGGGGGTTGACCGGTCAGATGTTGCTGGGGTGTAGGTTGGTTATTGTGGTGGTGGTGTGCAAGGAGCTTACCTCTGGGCTCTACAGTGAGTGCTATTGGTTTGGAGGCCATGATGCGGCGGTGGTATGTCCGGTGGAGTGGCAGTGGGCGGCCTCAAGGACGGGTCGAGGGTATGTCGTTCACAACCAATGATGGGGCCAAGTCGTCGTCGTCTCAGATTTGCATGTGAAGAGCTGGCCTTGGGGGCTGAGATTGTGGTACAGCCAATGCTAGTTTCTGTCGTTTGGTCCTCGAGATCCGAGATGTGAGATGACGTGCTGCAGCGTGGCTGAAGCGTTCATGTGCCGTCTGTTATTATGCGGCCTCGAGGTCGATATCGATATCGATATGTTAGTTATTTGACAGCTCGGACACATTCTTATTTCAAATTATCGCCTCGGCATCCCAATTCGTCATCCGAAGCTACTGCAGGGGTGGGGTCATCAACACGATGAACGAACGACTACTGTATCGACAGGCACCGTCGAACTATTGGGGGCGGAGTGGTCTGCATAATAATAATAATAATGGGAACGTATACTCACCACAGAAGGACTCATGCTGCTGTCTTCTCTGTCTACGCGAGCTCACTTCTTATTAACGAGGCTGCCTCACGTCCACATCATCCTTCTCCCAAGCGGTCTGGCCATACACACCTGCATCTGCATCCCACTAGCGAATCTCTACTCAGCAACGCCACCATCATCCCACGCCTCCCCATCGCACCCAACCAATGCCCTTCCAGTGCCGTCCCCTGCGTGCCCTCAAGCTGTGCATAACATACCATGCATAAATGCTGCATCACCACGCCATGAAACCGCAGTCTAATCATTTGTCTTACAGCTCGCAAAGGCAAAAGGCAAGGCACGGCACGCACGGGCGACCTAAAAGCTGTGTTGCTCGGCCGGGACACTAGAGTGCTGTCAGCCGCAGCTGTTAGAACTAGCCCATGGCGTTCGCGAACTATCCTGCATCAGGTCTTGTTCCTCGCCTTCATGCGTGTGCCGACTGTGCCTCGTTCGCCTACGATTGGTTCGACATGGTTTCTTGTCGCCAGTAGGTCAGTCAGGCTGCGCAAAGAGAGAGAGCGCGAGAGAGTGTGTATATCTATGCTTGGCTTCTCGTCCGTCCGTCCTTTGACTTGATTATTCTTTGATTGCTGCTACGAGCATTGCTGTTGTATTGTTTACTGCTATCTGGACATACTTGTTAGCTTTGGGTATATGCTTGGATTTAGCAGTGGAAGGATAGAGACACAATGTGAGTTTGTTTATCCTCCTGCTACGAGATGAACCTGCACAAGAGCGTGCCTTCCTTTCCTGGACTGTGCCTTCTGCCAACGCCCGTCCGAGTCGGACCGTGCGGACGGCAATTGCATCTCTCCACGTGGCGAGAGGAACGCATACCATACAAGACCTCCAGATAGATCATCAATATGGGCTACAGAAGATCCGGACCAGACATCAACCACCAGGATCAAGGAAAAGCCGTCCATCATGGAAAACATCACTATCCAATCTTTCGCTTCCTGTGCAAACTCCAAAGCACAGCTCGTCCGAATCTACATTCCATCCGTACGATCCTATGACCACATGTGGCGACCCCGACGACAATGGCAGCGTAGGCGAGTCCCGAAGGACAAAGAAGAGTCGTGAAAGCCACGCAAGACCACAAGGACCATCCGGTCGGGATGACTACAGCATCAGTACCACAAGCATCTACCAGCGTATAACGATACGTTTGAGCCGCATAAGGATACATTTCTGGCATTATGCGTATACAGTGGTAGTGTTGATCTTGTTCATACTACTGGCTAACACTCCTAGCATAGACTAAGTATGGATACCTTACTGCCTCACAGGCACAGCGCCAATGGCACAACCGACGGAGAAACTCATGCATCAGCCACCCCGGACCCAAAACCAGCGAGCGACTTCGACAAGATCAAGAAGAAGTTCTTAGGCTCCATCACACAGCTTCAGGGCTTGCTCAAAGCGATCCACGATCCTCTGCCAGATACCGGGGACGGCTCACCACTACCTCAGGCCACTAAAGATAGCGCTGCAGATATCCTGGCCGACGTACTCGGCGATGTCGCCACCTTGGGACCAGAACGACTAGTCCAACTGGCCGAAGTCGCGCATACCACCAGCACTGGCGGCGAGCTCGACGACCGGAAATATCTCATGGAGGCTCTCGTGCAAGCTGCAGCTAAGCTTCCTGCCGACCCGGTGCAGAAGAAGTTGACAGACGGCTTTTTGACACAGTTGTGGAACGATCTGCAACATCCTCCCCAAACTCTGTTGTCGGACGACTATCAGTACCGCCAACCAGACGGCAGCAAGAACAACTACCAGAATCCTCAGATTGGTGCTGCGGGTATGCCATATGCGAGGACCGTTGCGCCGAGGACGAAGATGCCGGGCTGTATGCCCGACCCTGGGATCCTATTCGACAGCTTGATGGCTCGGAAGAACCCAGAGGGTACCACACACCCGAACAAGATCTCCAGTATGCTGTTCTACCTCGCCTCGATCATCATCCACGATATCTTCAAGACGGATCACAGCAACTTTAATCTGTCTGCTACCTCCTCTTACCTTGATCTGGCGCCGCTCTATGGCAGCACGTGGGAGGAGCAAAAGCGCATGCGGACTTTCGAGGATGGCAAGATCAAGCCTGATTGCTTTTCTGAACCGCGACTTCTTACTTTCCCGCCTGGAGTTGGTGCGTTGCTGATCATGTTCAATCGATACCATAACTATGTCGTCGAACAACTGGCCGCTATCAACGAGGGTGGACGATTCTCTGAGAATCCTCGACAAGTCAATGTGGATCGGTATGGTGAGAAGATCAACAAGCGAGACGATGATCTGTTCCAGACCGGTCGTCTTATTGTCTGTGGTCTCTATGTCAATATCATCCTCATCGACTACGTCCGCACGATCTTGAACCTCAACCGCACGGACGATAATTGGCAGCTCGACCCACGGATCAACATCCGCAATGGTCCGCCACAAGGCACTGGCAACCAAGTCAGCGCCGAGTTCAACCTAGTCTACCGCTGGCACTCTGCGGTGTCTAAGCGGGACGACGACTGGAGCCAGCAGCTGTTCAAGGAGATTTCGCCAGACATGACGGCCGCCGAAGCCGCAGAGCCGGAGAACTTGCAAAAGTTTCTAATGGTGCTGGCTGCGAAGGAGAAGGAGTTCACGGCGCAGGATCCACCTGATCGTCAGTTCCCGGCTTTGGCGCATGAGAAGCTTGAGCGAATTAAGGACGGCCCATATGAGGGTAATTTTCAGGATAACGACATCGCCAACATTCTGATTGCGGGTATTGATGATTGTGCGAATGCGTATGGTCCTCAGCAAGTGCCTACAGTCATGAAAGCCATTGAGATCCTGGGTATTCAGCAAGCTCGAACCTGGAAAGTGGCAACCCTGAACGAGATGCGCGAGCACTTCGGTCTCAAGCGCCACCAAAAGTTCTCAGACATTACCAAAGACGAAGATGTCGCTGCCAAGCTCAAACACCTCTACGATACCCCCGACAACGTAGAACTCTATCCCGGCCTAGTAGTAGAAGATGCCAAACGCCCCAAACTCCCCGGCTCCGGTCTCTGCCCAGGCTTCACAGTCTCCCGTGGCGTGCTCTCCGACGCCGTCGCCCTAGTCCGCGGCGACAGGTTCTACACGACAAATTATACCCCCGCCTCCCTCACCAACTGGGGCTTCGCCGAAGCCTCCTCGGACCTAACAATAGACAACGGCTGCGTCTTCTACAAGCTCTTCCTCCGCGGCTTACCGAACAACTTCGACCCCCAAAGCATCTACGCCCACTACCCCCTCACCGTCCCCCACGGCGAACACGGCATGGCCGACGTGCTCGAACACCTTGGAAAGGCAGACAAGTACACCGACCTCGTTACCTCCCCGAAACCCATACCCCAACCCACCATCATCTGGTCCCACGACGCCTGCGTGAAGATAATGCAAGACAGCGCCAACTTCAAAGTCACCTGGGGCAAGGCCATCGAATTCCTCATGGGCCCCGCGGCAAAGAACTTCATGCTTTCCGGCGACGGCCCCGCGAACGAAAAGAGCAGGTTGTTCATGGAGGACGCCATGTACCTCGGGGGCTCCTCCCGCGCCATCCCAAAAGGCCAGGAGAAATGGCTACAAGCAACCAAGACTTTCTACGAGAAAATCACGACGCAGCTACTTCAGCAGAAATCCTACGAACTGGGGACGGGGAAGAGATATGTGGATCTCATCCGCGACGTAGGCAACATGACCCACGTGCACTTCGCCGCCGAACTCTTCGGCATCCCACTCAAGACCGCTGCCTTCCCGCACGGCATCCTGACTGAACAGCAAATGTACCTCGTCTTCGGCGCCGTCTTCATCTGCATCTTCTTCGACCTCGACCCGACCAAATCCTTCAAACTCCGGCAACAAGCCCGCGACGCCGCGCAACAGGTCGGGGAGATAGTCAAAGCCATCGTGATATACGTGAAAGAAGGCAAAGACCTCGCCGTCTGGCTCGGGGAGAAAATCGACCCCATTGCTCCTGAGTTAAGGGAGTATGGTTTACATATGATTCAGAAGCTGGTGGAGAAGAATGACGATGTTGATGACTTGGTCTGGGGGAATATCATGGGGACCGTAGGCGGTATGGTGGTGAATCAAGGCCAAGTCTTCTCCCAAGTAATGGACTGGTTCCTGTCCGGTGACGGGAGGGAACACTGGCCTGCTGTCCAGAAGCTGGCGCGCGAAGACACGGATGAGTCGTTCGACACCCTGATGCACTATTTCATGGAAGCCTCGCGCTTGAACGGCGAATCCGGGGTATTCCGGTACGTAGACCTGAGCGCCAGCGGAAAAGAATCGATCGAAGTCACCGACACTCCAACCCTACCGGACGGCACAACAAACCCCCTCGGAACCCAAACCCACACCCTCAAATCCGGCCAAGTGGTCATGCTAAACCTGCGCTCCGCCTCGCACGACCCGAACGGGTTCCAAGACCCGGAGAAATTCGACCCCTCCCGCGATCTAAACTCATACATCCACCTCGGCCACGGCCCACATCAATGTATCGGCCTCCCCATGACGCGGGTGGGTCTGACCACTATGCTCAAAGTCGTCGCGAAGCTCGAGGGTCTGCAGCCGGCTCCCGTGGCGGTGGGGGGGAAGACGGTGAGGAGTAGTGTGAAGAAAGTGGTCAAGGAGTTTGTGCCGGGGGATTCGGCGACGTTGCCCGAGAATTGGCATTTCCATTTGTTTTTGATGGAGGATTGGGATATGTATTTTCCTTTTCCCACGAGTAAGTCGATCTTCCTTATTCCCCGATGTCTGGTGAGGATGAGACGGTTTTGCTGACTTTCCGTGTAGCGCTCAAGTGCGAGTGGACGCCGTAATGGGCAGCTGATGCGATGGGAGCTGCTAAGAAGGACGACACAGACCGTTTGTTGGCGCAGTTGTGTTGGGCTTTAGCGAGTTTTGGTGTCTGTTGTACCGGCTCTCCGTATATGCACCGTCATCTTCGCCGCTGTCAGTGCTTTCGACTCTCGCCACTCATGCTTGCTCCTGGGAGCGACTCAGCAGCAATCGTGCTTCCGTCCAACATCCTCGCCATAGATGCCCTTATCTGCAGTCCCTCAGCCATCACATACCCGCAAACCTCACTAAAGCCCTCAATCCTCTACCCACTTCTCCAACGCCTGACTAACAACCTCATAAGCCCACGTCAAAGAACCCGTCATATCCCCCCTCGCCCCATCCGGAATAACGTCCAATTGCATACCCGCCACCACTGCTTCATCAACCTCTCCCTCCACATCCCCCCCCTCAAACAAAAATCCATGCTCCCGCGCAAAATTCGGCCAAACAACCTCCTCCACATACCCCGGCGGATCCTCCCAAAACCCCTCTAGCGTAACATACCCGCTTCTATCCCCGCGTCTCCGCCTCGCCGTCTCAAAGTCAGTCCGCAGGAAGATCTTGACGTCGAAGAGACCCCTGATGGCTTTCATAGATTCCGAGTAAAGCAAGAAACCGTCAATAATAACAACGGGAGGGACGTCCTGAAACATCCATCCACTAGCCCTCCAATGCAAGTCCTCCACCACCTTCCCATCAACATCGACTTTACCAACGGAGTTCTTATCCTCCTTACTCACGAGATCAGGTGGCAGCATCCCGTTAGCTTTGATGTACTCCAATGCCTTCTGTAAAGCAGGTAAGTCTAAAGCATCAAGGCAATCCCAGTCCGCGATCTCGGCTCCAGAGCTGGTCTTGGTCATGGGGATCTGGGCGTCGGGTTTGTAAAAGTCGTCTTCGTGCAGGATGGAGGTGTTGGGGAAGATGTCGCGGAGGAGGCGGGAGAGGGTGGTTTTGCCGCTGCTGGAGGGGCCGGAGATGCTTATTAGGAGGGCCTTGGGGCGGGAAGCAGACATTTTTCGGTGCCCGGTCACGAGGACGATGGGTAAGGTTGAGTGAGTGGTCCAGGGTAGATGATGAAGGACCGAAGTGAAATTGGAGGCCGACAAGTCTTGCTTCTAGAGATACTGCTCCGGACCTGTTACTTCATGCCCACGAATCATATCCGGGGTGTTGTTATGTATATATGCTTTGACCATGTGACAGCGCGATGTCGGTGGCGTGAAATGCACAATTGCGGGAGCTGCCGGTGCAAAGTGAATGTGAAACGCGACTTTTGAAACAGGCACGACAGTCCACTCATCACATGATCAAATAATTACCACGCCTTTGATTGAACAAGCTTAAAGCTATCACCGACACCATCACTTCAACCCTCACTGCCAAGTACACCATCCTCCACCTCACCAGCTAAAGCGACCACCCTCTCTCATACAAGGGCACTCGCCCAATCCTCCGCCCTCTTCCTCCGCCCTCTTCCACACCACCCCACCATGGCGGGCTACGATGACTACACAAACGGCTACCACGACGCCTCCTCCTCGGGCCCCCGAATCAACATCCGCGACCACAACGAGAAAACCATCGACTTCGTCCTCTCCAACACCACTCTCTCCCTCGCCAACAGCCTCCGCCGAACCATGCTGGCCGAGATCCCCACCCTCGCCATCGACCTCGTGGAAATCGAAACCAACACCTCCGTCCTCGCCGACGAGTTCCTCGCCCACCGCATGGGCCTCCTCCCCCTCAGCACCCGCGGCGTGGAAGAAACCCTCTACACCCGGGACTGCGACTGCGACGAGTTCTGCGACAACTGCTCCGCCATCCTGCGCCTGCACGTCGCGAACCGCACCTTAGACCAGAACCTCAAAGTCTTCGCCCGAGACCTCGTGGTGGAAAGGATCGACGGCTCCGCAGTCCACGACCCCCGGCCCCGAAACGATGCCGGTCTAGTCCTCGACCAGAACGAATTACCCCCCCGCGCCTTCCCCATCATCATGGACCCGGCGGGCGAAGGACCCCTAATCTGCAAACTCCGCAAAGGGCAAGAAATACGATTAAGGTGTATAGTGAAAAAAGGCATAGCGAAAGAACACGCCAAATGGGCCCCCACGGCTGCCATAGGCTTCGAATACGACCCGCATAATAAACTCCGACACACGACTTTATGGTACGAGGGTGATGATGCCAAAGCCGAGTGGCCCGAGAGCAAGAATAGGGATTGGGAGGAGCCGGAGCAGGAGGGACAGAGGTTCGATTATAATGCCGAACCAGACCAATTCTTTATTAATCTCGAGGGGACGGGGGTCATGCATCCGGATCAGGTTTTTCATGCGGGAATTTCGACGCTGCAGTTGAAGTTGGGGCAGGTGATACAGCAATTGCAGGGTTTGACGGTCGAGGGGAAGGAGATCGGGGGTGGGGCAGCGGGAGGGGATGGAGCGTTTACGCCGCCGGCGGAGCCGATGGCGGTGGATATGGGGGGTGGTACGGCGTATGGGAGTGGGACTGCTTATGGTGGTGGGGGTAGGACGCCGGGGTATGGCCAGACGACTGCTTATGGTGGGACTACGCCTGCGTATGGTGGTGGTGGTGGTGCTGGGGGCCAAGGGACGGCGTATGGAGGGCAGACTCCTGCGTATGGGGCTGGGAGCGGAAGTGCTTATGGGGCTGGGATGGGGGGTGCGACGCCGTATGGGCAGAGGCCTGGGTATTGAGCGCTCGGTCTGTTCGTGAAGGAGAGGGGTGGAAAATTTAAGACGATCGATCCGCAGGGTTTGACCCATGCGTAGGATTTTGTGGGTTCAGCGAGGCGTTTGAGAGATGAGCATCGTTAGTAGTTATCCACGATCTAGATGGGAAGCCCTTCGCCGTGTGCTGAAGGTCCATCTTCACAATAGAGTCAATTCTCGCACCATTTCTTCCTTCACCACATACTCCCGAATCATGCTTTCGCTCTTATTAGTCCCAGAGAGAGCCTCGAGAGCGGATCGGCGTGAAGACTAAGGTAAGCATTGCTTTCGCCGGGTCTCCAGGCTATAGTTATGTCAAGTATCACGATAAGCACAACCAAGACGAAGTGTTACTCTCTCTGCTACCAACGCGGGCCGCCGTTCGGTTGTCGACGAACATTTCATCCGTGACTGATTGATTTTGATAACACTGGCTGTGGTCCATTCCGCACTTGCCTTTCGCTCTGATGCGGTTTGATCTACTTTCTACAGTGGAATTGGACACTCACCGGGCTCCTTGATGGGACATGTGATAGATCGATTGATGGCTTATTTAATGGTCATCTGGATGAAGCTTGATGGGTCCCGTCAGTGGTGACCCGTATGTACCTGCAGAGCCGCATCGACTTTCAGATCCGTCTCGTCTCAGCCTCGCTGCTGCGGGGTCACCAGTGGATGTATCGTTGGCGCCAGCCTTATGGCGGACCTCCTGGGTGGCTGAGTCTGGGAAGGCTGCCTTGGACTTACATAAGACTCGGTTCAGTGACGACTACATGGCTACCGGAAGCGACGCCGATGAGATCAGCTAGGCTGCTGGAAGGGTTTTGGCGTTGATATTGAGCGGTTGACGTGTGGCTGCTTCTCGAGCCTGATGAATTCGATGACACTCGCTCACTCTATGGGTATACGAAAGAAACGCCATCCCACTTACCGTCACAAGCAGATCTGAAGCATTTCCGGTCGCATGGTGGCGTCACTGCCTGAGCATATCTGAAGCTGCATTCGGAAGACGACTTGATGGTAGGACTATAGATTGTCTGACCAGGAGACTTCCTCACAAGGCAGCCATGCCGGAACCCCTCAGCATTGTCACCGGCGTCACCGGCCTGCTTAAAGTAACCTGGACAGTGGGTGTGGAACTCAAAGCCTTCCGCGATGGAGTCAAAGTCGTCAACACCAAACTCGATGGCTTGATCCAAGACGTCGAGGGCCTCGAAACCGTCCTCAAATCCATGCGAGAAACCTTCGCGAACATCACGGCAGTCTACGGGACGGGTCACATCGGTTCGCACTGGCAAAACATCGCTCAGGCACTCATACGAGGCATCGCGCTCGTTGAACAACTGCGAGATGAATTTAAGAAAATTGACAAGCGGACCGCTTTCCTCGATGCACCTCGAAAACAGTTCCGGGTCAACATGGCGACAGACACGATCGCGGCGCTGAGGGTGTCAATACAATCTTATCGTGACTCGCTACAGTTGTCGTTGCAAACGATGATTGTATGGAACCAGGCTTCGCAGCTCGAAGCCACCGGCCAAGTCCTTCCACGACTCAATGAGCTGGAGGATGAGATCCATCGCATTGCGCCGGAGATCATTGCCATCATTCAGGCGGCGCAGGGGACGGCGATGTCTGAGCAAGATAAGCGGCGTGAGGAGGCGATGAGCAGCGCACTCGAATGTGTACGGTCTGCTGCGTCTATTGTCTCTTCTGCTTCGACTGTTAGTACATTGGAGAATGATGATGATGATGCTACTGCTGGAGTAGAGCAGGATGTTAGGTCCGACTTTGGTGGGTACTATGCTCAAGCGGAGATGATGAATCGGTGGGAGGTAGCTTCGGATAGACATGCATTCGACGATCGGGCAACTTGGAGACGACCGGAGTCGATTGCTGATGTCCTCACACTTCATGGAGACAGTGCAGGGGAGTCTGATTCGGATGATGACCTTGATGGTGAGATGGCTATGCTCAGTTTCCGGGCTGCGCAAGAGTTACTCGCTGCTGGCGACCGCGATGCTGGGGAACGAAAGTTACAAGAGTGTTTGTCACGGCTTGCTCTTTCTCCTCGCTCTCCTCGTCACGGAGCTGCTGCCCGGAATGTAGATGGACAGGCTCTGGAGCTTCAGATCCTGACGATGCTGTACGATGTATACTTCGAGAGCAGCCGATGGCAGGATGCTCAGACAACCCTCATGAGGAAGATGCACCTACAGGAACGATTACCACCCCAAAGCCAACTGATGTCTCTCTCTGTGGATACACTGAAGTTGGCGGAACTCCTGCATAAGCAGACAAAGTACTCTGAAGCGGTTTTACAGGCTCGAAGAGCATTGAAGGGGTTCAGAAAGCAAAAGGACGTTGCCCACTCGGTGTTGTGTTTGGATCTGCTCGTTGTGGTTTGCGAGTCTGAGGGTAAGAACGATGATGCGGGAGCCTACATGGATCTGAGGGCGCATATACTTACGAGTAGTGTGCAAGATGCCACGCTACAGTCTCCAGAAGAGAAAATCAAGGCGGGTGGGGTCGAGAATACCGCAGCAGCTACCACAGAAGTGACAGAAGCCTCGTCGGTGGATGCGAGCGTAGGTGCTGAAGATTCAGGAATGAATGACCCAAAGAACAGTGGTCTATCCGTCCAGCAATCCTCGATGCTTACGATTCACTCCCTTAATCTTGCTCGTGATCCACCTACACTCGACTACCCCACTGGCTTGGACGTCCCTGTCGAAACTCAGACAACGGCTCATCAGGCAGCATTAGAAGACAACGGCATCATAAACGATAGGGCAGAAACAGACCAGATGCAGCCCGGATCTGACAGAGCAGGAAGCCTACAACCAAGGCAGCTGTGGGTACGTGAGCCAGGATTTATGTCCCGTCGTCGGCACGGCTGGGTGCCACCGCTGGCTTCGAAGGAGAGACCACAAGGCCCGAAGCAGTACAGATCGCAAAGCAGCGAGGATCTGAGTACTATAAGGAATGAGGACAAGAGCTATCGGGAGGACAGCGACGCTCTACATGCTAGTGACGATGGAGCTGGGTCCGCAAAGCACGAAACAGGTGGAACCCTTCCTATCAAATCAGGCGACTCATCCAAAGCCATCTCCTCAAGCACCGGTTCATCTTGTCCAGGAAAGATACGCAAAGACAATCAGCAGAGCGTTGTAAAGGATGGCGACAGAGATGAGCAGAGCATTGGAGAGTATAGCGACAGTCATGAACAGTTCGGTCAATTATGTCTAAAGCTGGAAAGTGTGTGCGACCTCGTGAGCAAATCGCTGCCTTCTTGCCGGACCGAGTCCGCGGCCCAGAAGCAGAACGCAGCTAAAGCTGGCCTCTCGCGGGTCGCTCAGGCCTGGGATGATGTATTGGAGAAGTGCGATATTGTCATCGCCGCAAATACTCGATTGTATGATCGATTGAGCGTGATCAAGTCGATGATTCCAGCCGTTCGCAACCAAATGGACTTCTGGCAGCTTTGCCACGTCTTGGTAGCGTCTTGGACTGATTTGGCAAGTGAGATTATGGACATATCTCCACAGCGCTATGAGATCACAACCATACGGAACTTTATGCGTCCGGTGCAGAAAGCGATGAAGGAGGTCAGTGAGGTCATCTCGACGTCCCCCGTCTACTTAGAGGCGATGCGACAAGCGGAAGGTACTACTCCAAATGTATCAGGTCCTGCTGCAAATGTGCCCGATCTCGTGCCAAGGTCAGCTGTGTCTAAAAGTGCGAGCGTAGACCTCACTCCACATTATAAGCGCAAAGTCGTTGTGGTAGGGGACAGTGCGGTTGGGAAGACTGCGCTCCTGATGTGAGTCTGACGTTCTGGAACGATTCGCCCACATTTCCATACTGACTGTTGCACAGGCGACTAATCAACGACACCTATACCGATGCAAGTGGAGTCACCAACTGCTTTTGGGCTTAACTTGCTAATGATACCGCAGGAGATAGATCCGACGATCGACGACGTGTATCAAATCAACATCAAGACCGACGGCCAGATCGTAGAGCTGACATTGATCGAGACTAGCGGTTTCGAGGAGTATGATGCGCTTCGGGAGAGTTCATACCCTGGCGCTAGTCTTGTATTGATCTGTTTCTCTGTCACTTGGGCAAAGTCATACCAAAATGTGATGGGCAAGGTATGAGCTACGCAGTTGGCAGCAGGCGACTCACAGCTAATGAACAGTCAGTGGGCGAGTGAAGTTTCAAGAAACTGTCCTGGTGTCCCCATCATACTGGTCGGGCTCCAGGCAGATCGGAGAGATCGCGGCAACGAGTGGAGTAACAGTGAGGTGTCGATCACGCCCGAGGAAGTCAGTTTCCTCTTGGAGTTGCGACTTCTCCATGAGCTAACGTTCCGTAGGCGATCAGTATACAGAAGCAAATCTGGGCATGCGAGTATATGGAATGCTCGGCAAAATCGAATCAGAACGTACGTATGGTTTTCGCCACCGCTGCATGGTATACAATGTCTACACCGGCTGTGCCGCCATGGCTTCAGCTGCCTCCTGTTCGCGGTACAGACTCCGAGAGCAAAGTCGTTCATCGCACTCCATTGACGACTCCGAGCAAGGCCGTTGGGCCGCCTGAGATACGACGCAAACTGGTGGCAGTCGGGGATGGTGCAATTGGCAAGACTGCTCTGCTATTGTGAGCCTTTGCCTCAGCACAACTGCCGCATTGCAAGAAGGCGCGTGCTGACTGGTCGGTAGGACCTTCTCGAGGGGGTATTTCGACTTTGTGAGTGCTCGCCATCGCTGTCATTGCGCCACTTCCGCTAATGCGTATGCAGCTAAACTATAGTGAGGGAACCGTATTCGATAACTACGTCGCCGACGTCAAAGTAGATGGAAGACATGTCGAGCTAGCCCTGTGGGATACGGCTGGTGTAGAAGACTATGACCGCCTCCGACCGCTATCATACCCGGACTCTCATGTTGTCTTGATCTGCTTCTCAATTGGCAGCCCAGCCTCCTACGAGAACATTATGGAGAAGGTTCGTCGAATGAGTTGTAAGCTTTACAAGTAGGAATGCGACTAAACTTTTTCAGTGGGCCAAGGAGATCCTTCAATTCTGCCCTGGTTTACCGATAGTTCTTGTCGGACTGCAGAAGGATGTCCGATATGACCCGCAGGTTCTCGCCGAACTCGCCAAGACTGGTGAATACCCAGTGACACCGCAGCAGGTGTGTAGGGGGCCTGCCGTGCGCTAACCACTACAACGCTGATCGAATCGCAGGGCGAAGACTTGCGGAAAGCCATTGGCGCAGCCGAGTATCTGGAGTGCTCTTCGAAAACAAAGGACGGCGTGCGCGAGGTGTTCGAGTACGCCACTCGCTCTGCACTGCGATATCTCCCAAAACAGAAGAAACAAGGCTTCCGAGCGCTGTTCAAACGTTAAGCTAAGACGGCCGTCGGCCAAATCTCTTCATGGACACCCTCAATAACAAAATATCAACGACTGGTCCATGCACCTCGATAAGACGACGCTGCCGAAGTCTTCAGGTCTACCATGAGGGGCGATGCAGCGGGCGTCGCATTGAGCTGGGGGTGTTCGATCCCTCTCAAATTTAGACTGGAGGAAGCGTTCATGACCACAACAGAGGCACTTTCGGCCAAGCTGCCGACTCTTCCGCTGCGAGAGGTAAGGCGTTAGCACGCATGCCAATTCGACGGGACTGCGCTTGTCGTTCGACACAACAAAAACATTACTGAAATGCACCAGAATACGCAGTCTACTTGAGCGTCATTAAGGCAGTACGTGGCCTCTGCGAGTTCGCCTCGTCTAGACGCAAGCGCATGGCCAAGCTCCTGCGATATGTGCCCTGTTTTCATTTCGTTGCCTAGCTCTAGCTAAGACCTGTAATCTCAGGCCAGCCATCGATTGACATAGGGAGACTTTGCTGCATGGTCTCACACATGGGGCGACGCTCGTAACACACCCAGCATTACGGTAAACAGTGTCAGGACTCAAGTCACCACGAATAGGCATCACGAACGCTGCATAAGACTGGCGAGTTCTCTGACGATTTTCGATTCTGGGGCGGTGCACTTTGCATCAATCAGCAGGATGACGCTGAACGGAGCGAGTCAGTATCTGTTATGCGCTATTTCTATACATAGGCCTGGTCAGTGATCGGCTCCCTTGGGCCTGCGAAAGGCGACAGCGAAGCGGTATCAACCCTCGTTCAAGATCTTGCTAGTCATGCTGATCATGTCAAGCCATGCGATGCGGTGAGAGAAGATACAGTGGCCGGCAAATTTCGATTCACGGTTGGAAACTGGCTGGCATGGCATGATTGACGGCGGACAATTTAGACTACAAGAAACTTGATTGGAGTAACTAGACCTATGCTTGCTGCCGGACGAATGTCAATCAAGGGCTAGTGACTGTGAACCTGACGGTATACCCTTACGCTACGGCCGGATCTGCTGGCGGATGAACGTCACATTTCAGTTCTGCATGTCTTGAGCAAATGCGGATAAGCCAGGTGCTACGATTTCCACGAAATTTGCTCTTAGAAAGTCCAAGCCACTGCGAGATCAAAGTGCGGGAAGGATCGAGTTGATCCCGAGGGCAATATATATATCGACAAGTCATAATCGTTCAAGCTACCTAGTCATCAGGCCGTACTAAGCAAAGCGCGTACAACAGAGATCAGCCTCGCAACACAGTTGGCCCTGCCAGCCATTCCGACGTGTACATCCCTCTCCACCAGTCGCACCTACGTATGGTCCGATACCACTGACACAATCTTGTAAAGACCCGCGCCTGGTTCTAGCTTGAGACCAGCGAGTTTTATCTGCCGCGGTGGTCCGTTCGTGACACACAATCCGTCCGTTGGATCGGAGTCGTAGGAATCGTCGTACTCTCCGCTGAAGTCGAGATCGGAGTCGTCACTGCTGGCTGTGGTGTGGCCGTCGGAGGCGTCGCTACTGGATGTAGTGTGGTCATCAGAAGAGTCCTTACCATCGAATTCCTTGCTGTCTGAGAACTCCTCCTCTGCGTCGTCGAGTTGTCGGCGTCTTCTATAAGTGCAATGCGAGTGATGTACGTGTTTGGTGCCGAAGGTACGTGCCACCGGCTCTGAACCGTCATCGGTGAATGAAGCCATCAAGAACTCGGTCGTGGTATCGAAGCTGGTCAGTTCGTACGGCAGTGGTACTTCGGCAGGTACGTCGATGCAAACTCGCTTCACTGGGTACTCGAGCTCGTTGGTGGCATGGAACAGCTCTGAGTGTCGTAGTGATAAGCCTAGTGTGTGCTGTAGGTGCCTCTCCTGCACGAGCTTGCAGAATTCTCGGACGAAAGTTTGATGTTGCGACATGTCCGGCCCGGGTTGGCTCATATACTCGTATGCCGCAAGATCACCGTCAGTGTTGACGAAATAGTGGTGGCCGTAGAGTGGTTGAGACTGTCGCGCGGGAACAGCCTGCATGATGTTGCATGGCCCAATTTTGGGAACTATTACATCCCTGGCAGCGAACACTTCCCCTTCCTTGAGTTGAAAGTGTATGTGGATGAGCTTGATGCGCACTCGATCGCCGAGCTTGTACTTTTGCAGCAGGGCTGATAGGTCGCGAATGTCGTCGGCATTCTTCACCGGCACTTTCTTCATATTATCGATGTGGGGAAGAGTGTTATATACCGCAGCGGGTAGGATGTCGTCTTTAAGAACCGCCATATTGGAAATAGTCTGCAATGGCTTCGGTGACTCGTGACGCAGATGGTGGCGGGATACAGGGCAGTTGTGCAACCGACGAGCTTCGTCAGGAAAACCCGGATCTATATACTCATTTGCTCACACCACTCGCACGATCCAGGATGGGAGACTAGCTGGCAGGAGCGACCCTTGCTGGGACAATGGAGTACCTATCCGTATCCTCACCAGTAACAAAAGCTCCAGGTCGTTCCGAGATGCGTATGCCCTTCACCGGTCCCGAAGCACCCGAACATTATTGGTCCATGAACAGCTGCTCAAGGTATGAACCTCTGTTCGTCACACACCATCCCAGCCTCAGAGGTGCATCTGGTAGGCAAGCTTGACGCCTTCTGGGCGTAGAAAGGCTGTTGTTTCACCAGTAACGAAGCTCCAGGTTGTCCCGTGATACACATGTCCTTCACCGGTCTCGAAGCCTCGAAAAGTCATTGGTTCAAGTCTGCGTAGCCTTGACCTTCAGCAAGTCCAGAGCGACGTGAATATTCATCCCGGCACAGATCATCCCGCCCTTGGTAATCACGCGAGACTCACTTTGCAGGCAAGCTTAAGGGTTTCACGTACCGGGCGTAAGAAGGCTGCCTTGAGCGCATGCGGCTACGGCAAGGCAGGCGGATGTGCTGTGCGTGTCGCTGCGATGAGGTCTCATTGGCACCGGTTGCGTGGCTGTACAAGTGGTGTGTCCAGATCGCAGCTGTCTGAGATAGTGCGGGCCACAGACATAGCACCGCTTTAGCAGATCCGACTCTCTACCTTGTCTTGTGTCAGCCATATGTGTATACATATACAGTGCAGCTCCGCCCGTACGCACGATCAGTAGCCCGAATCGAGACTAAGCGGGGTTTTAGGGGTTGGATCTAGCTATATAATACAGGTCTGCTAGGGTGCAACTTTACTATAATCTTAGCTAGCTTGATGCGGAATCCAAATCTTGTGTTAGCTTCACGCACATGTAACCGCTTATGCCACCTTCGCGCGGCAGTATCTATGTGCTAGGTTGCGAGGAGCAGGCCACCACGACGTAGCTTGGGCAGGGGAAGAGCTGTTGGAGGGGCAAGTGCGTTTGAAGATAAGGTATACTTTGCTACACTGTCAACTAGTTCTCGTACCATCATCTCAACTTGCGCCACCTTGACTCGACTCTTCCAGATTCTCAAGTAGGCACAATGGGCGGCGGTGATGACCCTCCTCCGTACGAACCGTACGACGAGGGCTTGACTGCAAAAGGCGCTATTACCGAGGATGAAAACCTCGCAGACCAGATAAGAGCGCTGCGTATGAGCGACGTTAGCAAGGTGCTGGCTTCCCCGGTGCTTGACTTCTTGTTGCTTACTATCTTCCAGTCATCAAATTCGAGTCGGCTGAGCTCTAGCCAGACACGAGCGGCAGACCATACCGACATACGAGAACGATGCATTGATACTGGCTCCAGGTCTCTCAAAGCTCAACTTAGCCTGTATGACCTGCTGTCCATCCACTCATCGTCCGGATCGATTAATGTGGGAATACGCACATATCCAGCCGACAAGGAACATCCGGTACCTGCGAAGCTTGTGATCTCAAGCCACGCTGGATCAGTGAAAGTCAGCCTACCAGCGTCAAGCGCGCCAGTGCGGGACTATTCTATCTCGATCGAGTCGCATTCCGGATCTATCAGCGGCGATCTCGTCCACGGCCGTACGACATCGGTGCACTCGCGCTCTGGCCATGTCAATCTTCAGTTCGTTCTAAGCGGCGCAAGCAAGGACAGCTCGACATTGAGCACCACGACTGAATCAGGAAGATCCGACGTCACAGTGCTCGCTCCCACTCCGGACACTGTTACAGATGCCCCATCCTCAATCAAGCAGCTTTCAAGCACACACACCACGAAAGATGGAAGTCTATCAGTACAGTATCCTATGGAGTGGGAAGGGACCATTGAGGGCCATACGGAAAGTGGCAATATACGGCTCCATGGTAGAGACATCGAGCTTATCCAGAAGCGGCCGCACTATGTGCTTGCGAAGAAAGGCACAGGTAATAGCACCCTCACCTTCCGGACTGCCAGCGGTAGCGCTAGTGTATGCTTCGAATGATGATTTTCCGGGCGCTCCTTGCCGCTTAAGTTTGCGATAGATTCACGCCCAATTTGTCCTGTACTTCTGTGCGAAGCGGCCGACATCAAGGGTTGGCGCGGTGGAGGATGGGATAGTCGTGGAACGACGAAAAGCTATACTACCTATCACGGCCAGTTCAAGTATCTTCTTTCATGGCATGTCGCCGAGCCCATGATCTGATGGCCCCGTAGAAGGATCCAGCACTTCATAACGCAATAGTCTCTGACGCATATTGCGAATATCGACTGTCGTACAACCATTGCCAGCATCACAGCTGGACCCGGTGGTAGGTGGCATGAGTCACTATGAGGGCGGCGATGTTTCCCGGGTGATAGCAGATTTGAGCACGTCCGGTGTCATCGAGGTTGGAGACCGAGCAGCACGCAGCAGACAGTGGTATAGCATGACGCCTATGCATTCGAGCTCGTGCGTCCATAAGCGTTTTACATGTTCAGCCACTGCCTTCAATAATCGACACTTACCGTTTCATGCAATTAGTACCGCAGGCTCACTACATATTTCGGTCGTCGAATGCCAAGGATTGAGGATTCAAGACCATCGGCTCTCCAACCCCCGACACCGATGACCATTGTACTTCCTCGCTGCAGCGACGCGCGGTCTCTCACCCGTTGTTCCAACGCAGACCAGCGCTGGGCACCGTCATCCATATGTCGTTCCAAGCAGAAGTACAGTGCCCATTTGGTACGGCGCTGGCATGTCAGCGTGAGAGGCTTTGCTGCTATTCCGGTCTCCAAGGCTGGGCTGCTGGGCGGTGCTTCGGGAGGCAGCATTTTAGGATTCAGATTTACCGGCCTCTGCACGTCTCATATACTCCGTGCAGAGTCGTTTCGATCTGGCGAGGTTTACTGAGTAAGGAGTTATCTTTCTACACTCCTTACCCCTTCTGTGTTCGCCATCGCTGTGTTTTCTTACCATAACTCTGCGACTGTGACTGCATCGTCACGCCCGATCTGCGAAGTTCCGTCTAGACTCGCTTCTGTCGACAGTCGACGAGGAAAGCAATTCCAACATGTTCAACTCACATATCACAGGACTTGTGCTAGCTTGTGGTATGTCCCCGTCTCTAGTGGCTTCTTCTGGCTTTGTCTAACAACCGTTTCAGCGTCTCTGGCAACTGCACAGTACGGTCCTGGCGGCCAATACGGGCCCAACTCGGGCAGTGGTGGTAGTGGGAACCCTTATGCCAACGGTGGCAATGGTGGCAATGGCCAAGGTGATTTCGGCGGCCTATCTCAATATACGACAATGGTCACCGCCCACGCTGTGCTCGCCTGCTTAGCTTTCGCCTTCCTTTTCCCAATCGGCGGTATCATCGTCCGTCTTGCAAACTTCAAAGGTCTCTGGTGGATCCATGGCCTCTTCCAAACATTTGCATATCTACTGTACATCATCGCGTTCGGCCTAGGAGTGCATCTGGCTACGAGCGCGCCGGCGTCGATCAACTTCTTTTCCAACTCGCATCCGATCATTGGAATTGTAGTGTTCGTGCTACTTGTCTTCCAGCCGATACTAGGATATCTGCACCACAGCATGTTAAAAAAGCACAGCCGCCGCGTCGTCTGGTCTTACGGGCACATCTGGCTTGGACGAATTGTCATCACGCTCGGAATTATCAATGGCGGTCTAGGTCTGCAGCTTGCGAGGCGCTCTGGCATTTGGGCACCGAGTAATGGTGCGATCATTGCTTATGGTGTCATCGCCGGGGGGATGTGGCTGCTGTACATGGCTGCTGCAGTGTACGGCGAAATCAAGCGTAATAGGGCGGATCAGAACATGGGGGCTTACAAGGCCACTCCTCCAGCGTATGAGGAGCATAAGCTTGATCGGATGCAGTATGCTTAGATGGCTACGAAACAAGGTTTATAGACTAGAAATCGAGTAATACGGCCTGATCATGTGCATTGTTATGCATATTGGTGTATCTTTTTAAACGGGATTCTGCCATTGATATCTCACGAGCGTATAATGAAGGATGAGGAGCTACCACGAAGTATTCGCGTGACCAAAGCGAATCAGATATAGACACCACTACCATTGAAAGGATAAGGTATGTTCCAAGGATATCATCAGTCGTAGTACTTCATATGTCATACATCGTCCTCCCAAGCCTCCACACGTAATTTCATGGCACTCCCGAACGGCCTGAACTCTACTGTCCTCCAATTTCCCGCAGCATCTCCCTCGTACCGCTCAGAGACTTCGAGTCACCGTACAATGCTGCCACTAGACTGCCATCCACTTCGGGGAACTCACTCTGCAGGGTCGCCACATCTCGATCCTCCTGGCTCTCAGCACCCTTTTGCATCTCGAAGTGTTCGAGAGCTTCTCGCTGCTCACCCCTTTCTTCTGCTGGGATGAATGAAGTTTCCTCGAAAGTGTTTGCTCGTCGAGGTGGTTGACCAGGCGAATTGCTCCATGCTGCTCCCAACGATAGTGCCTGAGAAGAGGGGTTGTGCTGGTCATTCCAGCCTGACATTGAAGCCGGGACCTGAGCAGAGTTGTTCTGGTGACCTGCAGGTGGACCTGGGGGAGCAGAGTAGCCTTGATCGTTATTCGACTGTGTATACTGCACGGGGTTGGCGGATTGTTCTGTTTGCCAAGGATTCTCCGTTTGGTTGTGCACGAATGGGTTATTGCTTTGGCGATATTGCTCGTTACTCGACGGCGTGTTGTACCAGTCTTCTCCGGACATGATGAGACTTGGTGCTATGGGATTTGACTGGTTGTCATGAAATCGTATATGTTGCTGTTGTTGCCTGCTGTAGGCCACGCAACTGCTATCCGTTTACTGTACAATTATCCGCACGTGACAAATGTGCGTCATTCTTGGGGCACGTGCACCTCACATTTGGGTTTCTTGATGCAGCTTCATTCGCAACATCAAATGGATATATTGGAACCATCCTCACGCGAATCATGAGACTACATTCATTGCATGCGCGGATATGCATTTAGATGTGATCGTACAACGTTCACGATGGATGTAGTACTCAGACTGGACTGACTCGATCACTCGACGAAAAGACGAAGACTGCTGTGCTGGATTGGGCTTGCATCGAATATTCTGGTTGATGGGCCTTGGACTGGTTCAAGAGAAGTTTGAACATAAGTCTTGTACTGGCTCGGAATGAACAATGCCGTGGTGCCTCATCTTTGTCAGTAGGAAAGCAACCACTCCATCGCCTGTGGTTCCTCTCGGTGACAACTCGGAGTGACAACAGTCTTGAAAACTTCACACAGATTTACTCTGATGTGGAGACTGGCCCTCTCGTATGACATCTGTGTACCCATAACGCTCTTTCAACATTCTCACGAGTCGCTACAGCACCATGCCTACTTCCGGCATTTCCTGCGACGGTCTCAATGCGCTCTGTATGGCGGTAGCGGTGATCTCGCCGCTGCTAGTGGGCACTTCGAAAGGAGGCAAGCTCATGTCTCGGTAGATGTCACGAAAATTGTGCATACACACAATTCACGACTTGGTAGTGCGCGAGCTCTTCTTTCCTATGGTCATAATTTATTCCTTGCTACTTTCGTCTCTTTCATCATAGCATCTGTAAAGCTTCAGCATGGCTGACAGGACACGGGACTTTGCCAGCACGGAGGACAACCCATCCAGTCGAGCAGTGTCCGAGAAGCAGGATGACAGCGACCTCAGCGCTCCATCTTCCCCACCACCTGGAAGGGTGGAGGACAATGTCCGTGCTGATGGAAAGCGCGAATTGACAGAAGATATGTGTTATGACAAGCTCGCAAGTGTTCTATGATTACGATTCTGTTTTTAGCTCAGCATGCTGACCACTTCAATGCGGATTGCAGGCCTACAACTGGCCAACCTCTTAGAAATGGATGTACTTGTGCTCGGTCGGCCTGATCCAGATTGCCATGAACTACAACACTTCCGTCTATCCAAACGTGGTTCCTCAGCTCGTCGAGCATTTCCCGGGCCTGAGCATGCAAGGAGCTCGAACAGGTCAGATGATATACCTCATTTTCTACTGCTTTGGATGTGAGCTGTGGGCGCCCTGGAGTGAGGAGTTTGGTCGCTGGCCCATTCTTCAGCTCTCTGAGACATTGATCAACATCTTCACCTTACCCGCTGCACTGGCGCCGAACTTTGGCAGCATACTAGCGGGTCGAGCCCTGGCAGGATTATCAACTGCTGGAGGTAGTGTCACCCTTGGCCTGATTGCAGACCTGTATCAGCCGGAAGATCAACAATTTCCGTTGGCTTTCATCGTCTTGGCTTCGTGTATCGGCACCAGCATCGGTGGAGTTATCGGAGGTCCGATCGAGAGGTGTATGTTTTCAACCTGAGACTTATCTCTGAATCGACGCTGACATTAAATGTAGTCCTCGGTTGGCGATGGAACTTCTGGATCCAGCTCATCTTCAACGGCGCTGCTCAAGCCATCCACTTCTTCATGCCAGAGAGCCGCGCCACCATCATTATGGACAAGGAGGCTAAGCGTAGACGCAAGACTGGTGAAGATCCCAACATCTATGGGCCGAATGAGCTGAAGAAGCCACGGATCTCAATGAAGGATATCTTCAAGATCTGGAGTCGACCCTGGATCATGTTGTTGACCGAGCCGATCGTGACATGCTTGTCGTTACTGTCCGGCTTCTCGGATGCCCTCATCTTCGCCTTCCTCGAGAGCTTCACGCCAGTATATGCGCAATGGAATTTTGGTATTCTTGCCACCGCATGGGCGTTCATCCCGATCAATGCAGCATACTTCATCGCCTACTTCTCCTACTATCCCTGGTTCTGGCGCGATCAGCATGTACGAAGGCAGAAGGGTCGAGATTACTATCTGCCTGAACGTCGACTCAAGTGGCTACTCTGGTCGGCTCCGCTCGAGCCTATTGGTAAGTGGTATTCTCGACTTGTGCGGATAAAAGCTAATGTCCACTCAAGACTCTTCGGCTTCGCTTGGACGACCAAAGCCTCATTCCACTGGATTGTGCCCATGATTTTCTCCGCAATGGTCGGCATAGCCAACTACACGATCTACTTCTCCTCCGTCGACTACATGGTGGCGGCATATGGCGTATATTCCGCCTCGGCTACTGGTGGTAATGCCTGGGCGAGAGACTTCTTCGCAGGTATCAGTGCCATGTACGCCGCTCCACTATATCACAACCTTGGCAACTCCCCGAATCCGGCTGTAAATTATGCGACCACGCTGCTTGCCTCTCTGAGCTGTCTGATTGTGGCTCCTATCTACGTTTTTTACTGGTTCGGACCACAGATCCGAGATCGCAGCAAGTTTGCAAAGACTTTGGCAGTGGACAGAGAGGAGACTGGAGGCAAGCGGGTCAACGAGGCAGATAATCTACCTGCATGAGACCGGAACGCGATATATGGCATCTGCAAACAATAATAGGGCTGTTAGAGTGGCCTGGGTTGCTGGACAAGGCAACATTGGAATCGCAGTATTGCAGGCGCTCTTGTAGCCCGATCGCCCAAAAATAGACAGCCTGAGCTGTAACAAATCAAGAATCTTAAAACTACCAGGATCAACCATAAGCCTTGCTCATTCTTCGCCTTCCTTACACACCCGCCCTCTAGCGCTTCTGGAAGCTTGGCAAGCACTATCACACTCACTCTCAGAAACTGCTCGAGCTCGGACTAAGCTGATGACCTCACGAGAACGACGAAATTATGACAGACGCCGTGACCTTGATGGGCAATGCTAACAAGCGCTAGAACGCAACCTGCTCCATCACATCTCGCCTGAAGCTCGCACAAGAATCTTCACCTGATTGTCCTTGTCCTTGACCAGCGCCTTGAAGCCCTCCTCCACGACTTCATCAAGGCCGATCCTCTTCGTGATCATCTTCTTACACTGATCCAATCGACCGTCGGAGATGGCGTTGATCACTTCCTGGAAGTCGCCTGCCACGTAAGTCGCCACACCAAGGTAGCTCTTCTCCCGAAACACGAGATCGTTTGGGTAGAAGCTCGCGCGCTTCTGCGAGGAGCGTCAGTGTGAGCACTTTCGAACCCATACGCAGTTCTTCGAGTTTCAAGCACTCACCTCCCAGATGGCAATATTGACATGTGTGCCTCTTGCTCGCAAAGCCAAGATTGCCTGGTCGAGACCTGGCTGTACACCCGCCGCATCGAATGTCACGTTCACTCCCTGTCCGTCCGCGAGCTCTCGACATCTTGCAACGATGTCGTCCTTGGTTGGATCAAGCACCACGTGCGCGCCAAAGTCTTTCGCGTATTGCTTGCGCATCGACGAGATCTCACTGACGATGATCTGTTTACAGCCGCGAGCACGAAGAGCTTGTATAACAGACAGCCCTATTGGGCCGCCACCAAGGATGAGCACGGAGTCTGATGGCTTGAATGGTGAGGCGTTGACTGCGTGCCAGCCGACCGCGAGAGGTTCTACGAGTGCTGCGAAAGCTGATCAGCTGGATCCTTGGTTATTGATAGTAATCCATACCTGCGACATCGAGGCCCACGTTATCTGGGAGATTGTGGACAGCATACTCAGGCACTACCAGATGCTCGGATAGTCCGCCTCCCCACCCTACTTGGAGTCAGCATTGGAGGCTTCCAGAGTCACACGGAAGGACGCACCGCTCAAGCCGACGAATCCATTCGAGTAGCAGCAGTTGATCAGGCCTGCTTGACATGCACCGCAGTCGCCATCATAGATGATCGGCTGAACACAGACTCTGCCACCAACCTTGAATTTATCTGAGATTCCCTCACCAATCTCCTCGATGACACCAGAGAATTCATGCCCGAAGGTCAGCGGCACTTGCTCGCCAGTGATCGGGTGCGGACTGGTCGGACAAATAGAAGGACCACCTGGCACAACAGATCAGCTTCGTAGGCCCATCCCATTCCAACACATTCTTACCCATGTATTCGTGAAGGTCACTACCACAGATTCCACACCACGCCGGTTTGATCTTGATCTGGCCCTTCCCGCAGACCGGCTCCGGTATGTCCTCGAAACGCAGGTCTTCCTTGCCATGGAAGCGGACGGCCTTCATCATACTATCCTTAGTAGCAACAGGTCTGTTCTGAGCACCATGATCGCCATCCTGCGTCGTAGCACGTGGCTGGTCGCTGACGGGATGTTGTGACATTGCTGGAGCTGTGGACATTTCGACTCTGTATCGTCAAGTGACAGGAAGAGAGTAAGAGACTGAAGTTCGGTCACGTATCTTATGTCTTCGAGCTTGCTCGCCATGATCGGCCAAGTAGTGGCGTTCTTGCTGAAGCTCTCGGCTTGCTGTTTACGACCAGGAGACAACCCCTCATCGCCATGTCTGGTGTACATGCGACTAGACGCGTTGTGCTCGCGGTGGACGCTGATGAGCGAGAGCGGGGTCACAATTTACCTCGTCTCGTGGCGATCCCCTCCCCAGGCTTCTTCGATTTGATGCTGTTCTAATACGGCCAAAAGTGCAGGCGTTATTGTCGAATAACATGAGCAGATGGTATGGCAGAGGGCGTCTCTCCGTACACTTGACGATGAAGGTAGCACTCCCGGATGGACTCCTGGCGGCAGAAAGGCACGCGAGAGCCACACGACTCCAATGTTTCTCACGTGGTGGGGTTGTTTGTTTGTTTGACCCCGCCATAAGTCAACGTCATAGGATCCAAGACGATTCAAGAATTAACACCCTCGACACCCGGGCCTCCCTGTCTATATGCGAGAGCGAACAGTGGCGCCAAATCGTCTGAAGGGCACTCGGCCAATTTTTCCATCCTTCCGTAGAAGGGAAGGTGCAGCGATGCTTGTCGAGAAGTTGTTCCTGTTGGGCGTTGCATCAGTGACCGAAGCTGTGGCGAATGGTCCACGACAGCGATTTCGGTGATCAATCCACCGGCCGATCATGATGAGGTCACCTGGATGCAGCTGCACGGAAGACAGACGTTGAACAATTTTTCCGTTATGTTGTCCAAAACATTTTACTTCACCCACATTACTTCTTACAACCACAAATTCTCTAGCACTATCACCAATTACTACCAACAAGATGCCTTACCCAGAGACTGCCGAGGGCTTCATGATCGAGAGCCAGTAAGTCTTTGCTTTGAGGTGCTCAATGAGATCTGGACTAACATCTCTCGCTGTACAGAAAGGACTGGCAAAACTTCAAGAAGCAGGAGTTCAAGCTCAAGCCATTCGAGGACCGCGATATTGACATTGCCATTGAGGTCTGCGGTGTCTGCGCCTCCGATGTCCACACAATCAACGGTGGCTGGGGCGAGGCACCAATGCCTCTCTGCGTTGGTCACGAGGTGGTAGGCAAGGCCATCAAGGTCGGCAAGGACGTCAAGACTATCAAGGTCGGCGACCGCGTCGGTGTTGGTGCACAGATCCAGGCCGATTTGACCTGCAACAACTGCAAAGCCGATCAGGAGAATTACTGCCCGAGCGCGGTCGACACTTACGGTGCGCCATACAAAGATGGCACCCTATCGCAGGGTGGCTATGCTTCGCACATCCGCTCGCACGAGTACTTCACCTTCAAGGTTCCGGATAACATTGACAGTGCCATTGCTGCACCCATGATGTAAGTGTGCTTCAGTTCTCCTCGCGGGCGAGACTTGCTAACAACCATATCAGGTGCGCTGGTCTCACAGTCTACTCGCCTCTTGTCCGCCTTGGTGCTGGTCCAGGCAAGAAGGTCGCCATCGTCGGTCTCGGCGGCCTCGGTCACTACGCTGTCCTCTGGGCTGTCGCTCTCGGCGCCGAGGTCACCGTTCTCTCCCACACACCCGCCAAGAAGGACGACGCCCTGAAGATGGGTGCCAAGCACTTCGTCGTGACAAACGAGGAGAAGTGGTTCGAGCCGCTCAACTTCCAATTCGACTTCATTCTCAATACCGCCGACGCCATGCACAAGTTCAACATGAAGAACTACCTGTCCACTCTCAAAGTCATGGGCCGCTTCCACACCGTCGGCTTCGGTGATGAGCCAATCCCCACCCTCATGGCCCAGGACTTCGCTCCCAATGGCTGCTACTTGGGCGCCTCGCACATCGGCAACAGGCCTGAGATGCTTGCTATGCTTGATCTGGCTTCGAAGCAGAACATCAAGTCGTGGATTGAGGAGATCCCGATCAGCGAGAAGGGTTGCGCGGAGGCCGTTAGAAGGGTGTCGGAGAACGACGTCAGATACCGATTCGTCCTTACCAAGTTCGATGACGTTTTTGGCAAGCGTGATTAGAGGTTGAGTTACTAGATACCCGATGAAGACAGTATATAACTAGCGTGGCGTTGCGGGCGGCGTGGGTCGACGTCTTGCTTCGTGCGTTCTAAAAAAAGATATGCGGTGAACATGATCACTCGACAAACACTGTCCAACCAATTGACTCACATTCTTGCTAGTCGTAATGTCGGTTGAGGTCGTGCAGCGACTAGTCACCTACCGCTGTATAGTACTATTACAGCCACGCTCGAAGAACGCAGTACAATATTGGTGCGATAGTGTTCATGGATGTGCATCAGGTCATGCTTCATATCCTTATCTGATCAAACATCGCGATGTGCCCAGCACACCCTCCCGTAATACCCCATCATCCATCCTTCCGACTCCCCACCTCACTACTCCCCACCAACTTCAACGTCCTCACCACCGCCTTAACCCCCTCCCTCACCCCACTCCCTCCACTCCCACTCCCCTTCCCCTTCCGCCTCCCAATCGTCGGCTCAACCACGCCAGGTTTGGGAGGCCATTCCCCGTCCGCTTTCCAGCCTTCTACCAACGCTGATACGAGCGTGAGGAGGTTTATTGGGACCGAGGGGGTTCGGCCTTGCACGATGATTTTGGTGTAAATTTCTGTGTACATTGAAGGTGTTATTCGACGTCGGATTGGGTGGTGCGGGAGGATTGAGGCGCAGGTTGGGATTAATGGTTCGTTGGGTGGTGTGTGTTGGGATTGGTGTGGAGGTGTGGTGCCGGGAAGTGTATGCGGGACGTGTTGCGTGGTTGGATCCGGGGTCGTTGCGGCACTACTCGTTGCGACTGGGGAGGTTATGGAGGATGTTGATGTTCGTGGTGTGCTTTCTGCTGATATTGCGAAGCCACCGGTTGTGAGGGAGACTCTTCTCGCATCGTTTTGTGCTCTTCGCTCGCCACTCCTCGAACTTGGTTCCTCTGCAGCTGCACTTCTCGCTCCAGACCAAGCATCTCTCTGCGCCGTCCAGTGACTCAGTCCCTCATTCCAGCTCAGTTCCTCCTGCGCAGCCATGATTCTCTTCCTCTTCCGCGCCACTTTCCTTTCTCGTATTTGCGACCCAACACTATCTGGTCCTTCGAATCTGAACTCAGTGCTTTGCTTGCCCTTTAAACCACTTCGGCCTTTTGTGACCGCAGCAGTAGAAGCAGCCGCTTCGGCATCAGACCCAGACTCAGTGCTATTAACTCTTTCCTGCCATCCCGTCACATCCGGTACCTCCGAGTCTACAGGAGGACCACTGCTCAGGTCCACAGGCGTGAACCTGAAACTCGCATCCTTCTGCTCGCCATCTGCCACGCCTTCACTACTTGTATCGTTTAATCGCGTCTTCCTCGCGTATCGCTGATATGCTGGTAACGGAGGATAATGCCAATCGTTCCGGACCCGGTCGCGCAGTAACCGCTTCGCTTCTCGCAGTTCTTGCTGCTGCTCCGCCGTTCTTGAGTGCCCGAGGAGTGCCATGTTGGGAATATTATACCCAGTGGATGGGTAATGAATTGGTCGCGTGATGTGGTAGCTTCTAGTATGGTTTAGGTGAATGCATAACAGGACGTGAGCCGGCCGGGGTGGTTTCGAATCAGTTAATACTCAGTATGTATGCTATGACCACGCTCTATCAGGATCAAGGTTAGGAACACCGGCAACGGTCAGTGAATGCTTCCCTCATCGCAAGAGTACGTCACCCTGTTCCGCATAGCGGCACGCCGAGGCGCAAGACCGTTCCTTCCAGATCGGATCTACAAATCCTGCGCAGATCTGAAGGCACGATGGTCTAGAACGAATGGTTGTGAAGAATGGCCACGGTCACAGCGATGGAGATGCCTTCTGCACTGTATATACTGTACAGTATCATACACGAGGCCGTCGCCAGCCATAAACCACAATATCTATTTACACAGTACATCGCTTTCCAAATCCGCTCTTCATCATATATCGTTAAACCCCAGTATCTTATTTACAGACGCTGCGTTCTTACATGGCTGCCACCCGCGCATAATCCACCTACTCATGGTAGTAATCCAAAAAATCATCATCAATATACATGTGTACTCCTTCCATTGACTGTTTCCCAAGCGTATGATCGGACAGCGGGCTCACATCATGCAAGTCTCCGCCAGTGGGCTTTTCGTCCTGTGGTGTGGCGGCCTCGGTGTCGTCAGTCGCCGAGCTTGAGCCTGCGCGGCTGTGTGCTTCGCTTCGTGTGGAAGTATTGGAGTCGGCTTGCCTGCATCTGGCCGTGTCTGCATTGTCATGTGTTGATGCGTCACCGCGAGCATTGATGGTCTCCTTCAATGTTGTCGGTGGCGTTGGAGATCTCGAGTTCGGCGGACTCGGCAGAGGTGAAGTTGGAGCCGGTGATCGTGGCGGTAGCGGCAGTCGCAAATTGTTCGTAGATGTTTTGATCGTAAGAGGCTTGAGAGCTAGGGCTGTGGTGGCTGCTGTCGTGGAGGTCGGCAGCATTTGTCGATCCACCGTAGAGGGGTCCGTTGGCCGTCGTGATCGTGGCGCGTTTGTTGTTGTCACGTTCAGTACCTTCACGACCTGTGCAGCCCCTGCACGAGACTCCTTGCTTGGATGTGCATCCGTTGAGAGGACTTCGGCACCGCTGTCGCTCGTTCGAAGCATCGGCGACCGAGGACCGCTGCGAGGGTGATCATGCTTAGACGCCTTGACACCTCGCGCATACTGCTCCCCAATTCTTGGACGGGTGGACAGCTTCTCCTTGCCAAAGTCAGAGCTGTCTTTGCTGTCGTGCTTGGAGTCTGGCCCTGAATCCTCTTGCCGCAATCTACTAGCCGATCTCCTTTTCTGCACTTGCTCGCCGCGCAAGTCTGGTGTTAATTGTTCCGAAAGCAGTGATTTCGGCGAGTCCAGTTGTCTGATCCTGGATCTTCTACGTCTCTCGTCATGCCGTGCCAGTATCGCCGTCATGGCTTCTTCCTTTCTGCAATCTAGCGACTTCAACTTAGCGAAGCAAATATCCATAGAGCTGTTGACAGCAGCTAATGACAAATGCTGGTCAAGCAGTGTATTGGCGTACTCAGGACCACTCCTTTGATCTCGTAGGCTGGCAACAATGCTTGTAGATAGCTTCTGCCTATCCGAGCGTAATGTGCTATACCGCGCATGCAAAGCTTCGGTCTGTAGAGCCAGCTTTCGTAGCGTCTCGCGAGGGTCTTCAGGTGATTCAGCCGTCACTTCTGGCGTGGCCGATCTGTATGGCAGCTCCGGTGTAGGCCTATCTGTTCGCAGCCTAGAGATTGAGCCTGGGGCTGGAGATATACCGCGATCTTCAGTCAGAGTGTGCTTCCGGTTGTCAACGTGAATCCTCAGCTGCGCAGGCAAAGCCTTTGGTGACGATGGTTTGCGAGGTGGTTCGCGCGAAGGTGGAGGTGGTGACGACTGTGTCTCCGCTTGCATACGCACCTTCGCTTGATTCGGTCCTTGAGTCGAGCCTGGCACCTTCGTTGCGTCGCGCTGCGCCGGTTCAGTTATCGCCTGAGTACTCGCCACTGGTACGGCCTTGCGCGAGATGAAAGTATCTTTCCTCGGAGTCGGAGGAGGGACCTCCTGCTTTGCGACATGCAAGTGCGCCTTTTGGGGACTGTCCACCCTTCGTTCCGATCGTGCAATGATCCCAGGGTCGGCGATGGGCGATGTCAATTTTTGCACACTTCTCAAGCTCGTTGTCGATAGTGAGGAAGTCTCTGGTTCGGCGATATGTGATCTCTGCTTCCTTACGCTGTCCAAGCTAGCGCTTGACTGCGACGCAGTCTCTATATTTGCGATCCTCTTCGGCTGTTCTGGGTGAGGTCGTGGAGTCTTCTCACCATCAGCTGCTGGCTCTTCCCGAGGCGATCGGATGTTGAATTTGCTAAGCAGCGACGACAGCCCTGGCGAGGTCGACTCAGCGGTCCCCAGCTCCGGTAATTGTGGTACGCTCGTGGGTGCAGGTGGCACAGCTTTCACGATCGCTCGTCCCCGGTCGCTGTCGGCTGAGACCGTAGTGGTAGGGTTTCGTGTTTCAGTAGTCGCAGTAGAACGCACAGAGCCTTCTCGCGGCACTAAGGAGTCCTTTGACTGGTTGGAGTGCTGTACGAACGTCGGTTTCACAAAAGAGTATACGACTGGCTGCGCGACCGCGATCGGTGATGCCGGCCGACTGGATCCTCTACTTGAGAAGCGCGATTGCACCGACGAAGCTCGAGAATGAACAGACGGGCCTTTGGAGTGTGACGAAGAAGTGTTGGCGTGATGTCGAGGCGATTTCGGTGGCGGTGGTGGTGGCCTGTCCGGCCTTTCCTCCCTCCGAACATTGATCCTCAGATTTGGTTTCTGCCTATTTCCCTGTCTCGACGCTGGTCTGTCTGGTGCGCGCATCGGCGAGACCTCGCGCGCACTCAGTGGCGATGGCGAGAAAGGCGGCGTGCTCACAGGAACGGCAGGAGACGGCCATGTCAGCCCAAGACCATGCAAAGTCTTGCTCGACGCCGTCGCTTGTCGACTAGCCCATGCAGGCAGTTTCTCTTGTGTAGCTGATAACGGCGATACCTCATACTCGCTCGGCGCACTGCTAGACCTGCCATGTCCACTATCGTCAGAATTCAATGTCGTGACGCCTGATCGGAACGTGAATCGGCTTGGCACGGTGGGCGAGTCGAGCAAAGCCAGCTCATGCAGCGTAGACATGGGATGTATTTCGTTTACGCTACTCTTTCGGCCTTTGCGTACTGCTCGTGGTGGATATAGCCCATACTTTGGCTTGCTCGCCGGAAGAGATGCTGGCCTGGTCGTTTCGTCTAAAGATATTGATCGTCTTCGAGGCGACTCGACGGTGTTGTGATGGTCATTTGCTTGTCTTGCTCTGAGTGTGAGATTCGCGGCTGCTGTTGGAGGCCTAGGTTGCGGGACGGCAGGGAAAAGAGATAGAGTGCCAGAAAGCTTCGGTCTGATCGTTGTAGCCGGAGCCGTTGTAGGGTCAGTCAGCCCCCTGTCATTACCACTCCCCTGCGGGACGCCCGCTTCCTCCTCCATGTTGTTGCTTTTCAGCTCATCTTATGGGCGATAATTGCAGTCAACAGTCGCATCACACCATGTTATAGAAGGAAGAACGGTACATGATGGCATGAGACCAACGGCCTCCATCGTCTCCTATACGAATGTACGACTTGCATGCTACAGACTTGGCTCTTTCGAAACGCCATTCGCGTAGGAATGAAACGCAGCTAGTTGGCCTCCGGCACCACAACTTGCAGACCCGAGGCCCTCCGTTTGTGCATGACTGGAATGTGCTCCTACTGCTTGAGTACTATCGATCTGCTCCCACCCAATACTCGCAAAGCTATAATCCGCAAGGTAGGCATTGTTTCTATCAAGGGTGTGTACTAATTCATTTTGACTTTGGACGTTTAGACTCGTGCTTTGGCCTCTTCGCAAAGCCAAAGACTCTTTTAGCACAACCCAAGAACGGCGGCGCTCGAGCACGTTTCCGTGGCATAGCGGGTTAGGCCTTCTGTCGGACCATATGCCACGGCCACCGGTACATAACGTTGCAGATGCGAAACAATCTTCGTTGGAGTACCACAGTAGTACATGAAGAATAGAGATCTAAGTGACTATTGCAGCTACCCGAGCCGTGTGCATGCATATATCCTGCATAAGCTCGACCGATTGGAGTATAGCTTCAGGAACGTGAAACAGCTTTGGATTTACGCCACAATATCGATATAGGATCTTAGATAAAGGATCGGTAGTGGTTGGTCTTCGCGTAGGATTGCTATATAGCATGGGCCAAACTCCCACTAGCAAGAAAGGACACTCTATACGGCTCGAGCGGCATACATACCCATATTGCTATAAAGCAATGTCGGGACAAGGGCCGGGTGTATCTTTTGTATTTGTCAGTCTGATGGCTCGTTGACAGTCTTCTCGCACAGTCAAAGCGAGCGCAATGAAGAACCAACAGATCATGGTGAATATCTGCGTAAAACTTTGATGACATTCAGCAGTCTCAGCATAGCAGGCCCCAAGTCCGACAAGGCTGTGAAGAGCCTCACAGTGTTAGCCAACGGTTCGGGTCGATAATACCAGGGGCCTCTGCAACCACCTAGAGGTGCCCCTTGATGCAGATCAGCCAGAATATATCAATCGATCAGAGTCCCATGGAGCATAGAACAAAAGCTTGGATTGAAACAGCAGGCTTCGACCACGCGACACCCGCCCATCCAGATTTTAAAGCTCGAACAGACGAACTTGACCGCTCCATTGAACTCTTCTAATACTATGCCGCCGCAGTATCTAAACTTCCCTTGCCAGTCGTCGTCGGTGTGCCTCGTCCCTGTGCCTTCAGCTTCTCCTCGAACTTGGCAAATTCCTGCATAGCAATCTCCTCCTCCTGGTCCATGACTTGCTGCACACCTTTCACTTCCTCGATATAATGCATCAACATGCTCTCGATGCCATTCTTCAAGGTGACCGTGCTGCTATCACACGTCCTACACGCACCCACAAGCTTGAGCATCACTTGGCCCTCACGGAAGCCTCGGAACTCGATGTCCCCTCCGTCTTCCTGTATAGCAGGTCGAATACGTGTCTCCAGAAGCTCCTGTATCATTCCTACGACTTCCTCATCTTCTGGCGCATAGTTCAAATCCGCTTCCGCCGTTGCACTTCCTTGGCCAGCTTCCTCGCCCGCCTTGCTCTCGATTATGTTTACTATTGGTTGGCCGCTGGTTACAGCTTCGCTGATTATGCTGAAAACTTCCGGCTTGACATGCGCCCATGGTGTCGAGCTGTCTTTGGTCACTGTGATGTAGTCCTTGCCGTAGAAGACACTCGTCACACCATCCACATTCATAAGCTGTGCAGCCAGTGGTGAAGGATGTGGTGGTGCAACTGTAGATCGCGGTGACAAGTATTCGAGGTATGATGATGGGAAGTTCTCGGGCAGCACTTCATGATTCGGTCGGAACTTTAGAGCGTCTGCATTTGGTGTATCCTCGGTCTGGATGAAGATGGTTCGTGTTGCTGGAGGAGCCTGTCGATATGCAGGCTGCGTCAAAGGAGCAAGACTAGGTCTGTGTCGCCTTGCGGATGATGAAAGTGTGGTAGATCGTGCATTGTCTGTGAAAGCTCGCGAGCTGTGGAATGTGGCAAGACGCTGACATCTTGTGGTCGTCGAGGCTGGGGTCGTAGAAGGGCGAGACAGAACCTTGCCGAGGGTACGCGCAACAGATTTGCTGGCCATATCGTTGGGGGAGTATGATGCTGTCTTTGCAAAAGGTCGCTGGCGTGGTACAGGAAGGACGGTAAGATTCGAGAGTGATATTCATCTCGAAGTTGACATGGCGTCAGAACGGAACGTGTTCCGTGCTCGCCTCAATTGAGCAGTCACGATGGACATTGCTAGACTGTTTCGTTGAGATACTCATGTATAGTAGAGGAACCAAGTCACGTACAACTGCTTTTAACGGACTTGTGGTAGGACTGTCAGGTTTTCTCTCATGTCGAGAAATCTCTTGTTGAGATACATAACTCTCCTAACAAGGCTTGATGTTGGACGACCATCTGGGCTTGATAACAATATACTTATTGACTTCTCTAAGTTCAGCCGGCTTAACACAGCAGTGCCCACTATGGTGCATAGTGTCGATACAAACGAGATCTCTTCAGCAATTTGATCATCATATCTCAGGGAGAAATACGAGAAAGTGCCAAAGGCTCCCCCTCACCAACGACTTTCTCATCATCATGAATCCATAAAAGAAGCCGGACCCAAACGTGTCGACCTCCACCTACTACCAACTCTCGTGCCTGGACCAGCGGTAACGCCCACCACTGCGATCTCCACTGGGCTGATCTTTACCGTCGGAAGGGGTGTGCTCCTAGTACTATCAGGCACAAGCTGCACGAAGTTAGAGGGCGCAATGCCTACCTGAGATCGTTTACATGCAAGCTAACGTGAGCTACTCGCATCTGCCACCTCTAGAACCTCCCCCTTCTCGAACGAGAGCTCGTTTGGATCCTCTGGACGAACGGTACAGTTCTCTGTGGCAGTGGCCGTGAAAAGATAGCGCGCGCGCTCCAGGTCGGTTAAAGCGCTATCGGTTGTGGCACTGTGTGATGGGACTGGACGTGATCTAGCACCTTCGGACTCCCTCTTGCGGTACGCCCGAACGACCACACCGATATCCTGGGTACTACCACGATATTACCCGAGGGCGGACGATAACGTGCACCACTGCTATCAAGCCTCATCAGGGCATCTATGGATGCGGCTAGTGTAATTTCTCCTCTCAGCAATTTGCAAAGGTGACATTCGCTTACGGTTGATTCCAGCTCTCGTCAGACTGCAAGTCCCAGGGCTGGAGACGGCCGCCGCGGTCTTGCTGGTCGGTGACCGATCCGACTTCTGGCTCGCAGATCTGCATAAAGATATTCGTGCTGGAGCAAAGCCCGGTCGTAGTGACTTCGTTTGCATCTGCGTGGCGTCCTTGGTGCCCTTGACTGCCAGCAACGACCGATCGAGCTCCCTCGACCAGTCGTTGATCGGAGTATGCATGAGAGGCGGCAGTGTATCGGCAATTGCTGTCACGACCACAGTGAGTGGCCTGACACACCTAGAAAGGACATTCGTACCGGCATAAGACGCGGATTGGCGCGCAGGTGTACTCGTCTGTGACTTCTTTGGCTGGGAAGCAATGCTGTCACCACCATCGTTTGACATGGATAATGTGCTCAGCCTCCCATTGTTATCAGTCTCCCGCCTCTCCTGCTCTCCGCCCAGTGTAGGAGGCGTACACTCAGCGGCAAAGCGCATCAGCTCTGCCGTGCCCATCTCAGGGGTTGGCCAGAGGTCTGCCATTGTAGTCGGCCTACTGCTTGGAAAGCTGGCCCAGTCGATCTTCGAGCTGGACAGCCGTCCGCTGGGATTATACCACGGCATGCCGAGCGGAGGCTTGTTCCGCAAACTAGAACGCGTTGAGGTGGCTGTGGGCGGCGACGGGTCAGTATTTGGGACTACCTGTTTGGTACGGGCGCTGGTGTGTATCATCACTTTTTGTGGATTTATGCCAGAGACAGGAGACCAGAGATGGGAAGGTGAACGGGCAGTATTTATGGAATGACCAGCTAAGTTACCGAGTGGCCGGGAAGCGTCACTTGCAGCAACGACGACCAAGAAACTAAAGCATTGTCGCCAACGACAATGACTGCGTGAATGCCTTTCACCTTGCAGTACAACCATATTGTCGACCTCATGGCTCCCTGAGGTGTGCCATAGGCGGACACTTGAGACCTGGAACAATTTCATGGCTTCGAGTAAATTGGGTCAGGTCCTCGAGCTCCGCGCTTGCAGAACTACGACGCCGAGCATACGAGTCTACCATCTTGCTTGCATCTGCTCCTGCTACGTCAAGCTGGTTACACAGCGAAGGCATGCGAGACTTCGAGGTCAGAGCTACCTGTGGTTCGCGCACTAGACTTTCCACGGCATCTGCTATCCTAGCATTTGTGTCCAGGTCCATAGCCAGACCGGCGATGATCGCATGTGGATCGCGACGGTGGCCATCAGGTTCTACGCATTAGTCCAGCTCATCTTCGATCTTGTCTTCCCGTGTCAGGCTTTTGCGGGAAATCGGGCTAGGAAGGGGCTTTTGCTGCGCGATGTAATTCTCGACAGAAGGACCGGCTTCTGTAAACCACGAGTACGGGAATGATGGTGCTGTAGGTGGCATAATTCTTGATCGATGAAAAGTAATACTGCCACGGAGACCCATAAGTGGGTTGGCCTGTTAACCTGTGTAGGCTAACGTTAGACGTTACAGCAAAGAGCGAGACAATGGCCTTGTCCACCCGTCATCTTTATTTTGCACCTTTGTGACTTGCAACAACGCACTGCTCAGGTGAACAAAGAGATACCGATTGTCAGCGATGGATACTAGTGAAGCCGGAAGGTTCAGATTGTGAAGCAGTGAAGTCAGAGAACGAGTAGAGCGACAAAGTAGGAAGGCACGCAACGTTAATGTAAAGAGGGCAGGTGTGCCTCATGTTTCAACACTATGCAAGATATCCCTCCCGGCCAATCAAAAACGCCTCGCCAATGCTATACATGGTATCATGCACAACTCATGTCCTCATTGTACAGTCCTCTACCGCTTGAACGCAGCAAGTAAACGCTTCGATCATTTCTTGTTTAATCTTCAAATCACCAGCACAAAAATTGGTGGTTCGTAGTCGTACTGCACAACTCTATCGCTTTCGGTTCAACGTCTTCAGCGATGCTGATTTAACCTCCGGTTCGCTATCATCTTCTGACGCCTCGCTTTCGTCTTCGGACTCGGCTGCACTACTCGCTTCTTCGTCGGAATCCGCCTCCTGGTTTTCGTCATCGGAAGTTTCCTCGGCCTCCTCGTCGAACAGCGCCTCGTCTTCTTCCGCACCATCTTCTTCTTCATCATCGTCATTCTCCTCTCCTTCTTGTGTCACCCCATTCGGCATACCTTCGTCCTCGCTTTCATCACCATCTGACGGAAGTTCTGACTTTGACCTGCCCTTGCCTTTGGGTCTCGCAGCGGGTGGCGGCATTATTTGCCTCGGTTCTTCGTCCGCCGCTTCGTCATCCTCCAGTGAATCGTCATCTCGTCCCTCAGTATACACGACAGCCTCCTCATCTTCGTCATCCTCTGCATTTGCCAAGCGTGAGCTGGCTTGTATCTTCTTTCGGTAGTCCAGCTGTGCACTCAGGATGTCAAGCTTGCCTTTCAGGTGTAAAAGTGGCTGAAGACCACCCGCGCGCTCTCGGACAACCTGCGCAAGTGACCTGAGGGTATGCATGATCGCAGGCTGAGAAGCGAGGTAGCCCCCATGTGTGACCAGGGTCCACTGTATCCAGACCATGAGCTTGCCTGTTCGACCAGGTGACTTGTGTATCCTCTCAGCAAGCTTTTGCAGTAGTAAAGCGGCCAAGTGAGACTGCAATCGTTCGATGGTCGACCGTATACTGGCCAGATCGGTGGTGATGAATGCACTCTCGAGCAGATCTTTATCGTTTGTTCTGAGACCTTGTGTGAGTACTATTCCCAGAGAGAGATTGGAGGTTGTTGCCAAGGCACGATTTGATGAAGCGGACATAGCTGCTGATTGTTCGGCTGTACCATTCGTGAGGGACCCATGGACATCGACGGGTCCAGGATGGCGAGCTTGGAGCAGGTCGGCAAAGGAAGGTGCGCCAGCTTCTTCGTCAACAGCATCCTCCATCTCTGCATCCTGTGGATCTGCGTTCCGGTCGTCTGCGGCACCAAGTTCTGCATTTACATCCTCATCATCTGCTCCATTCGTGTCCGCATGGCTGTTCGTGCCTTTACGAGGAAGATCTGGTTCCCTCTCCCCATCGGACGATTCATATGCACTGCTTTCCTCCTCCGCACTTGAGATGTCGATGATCTCATGAGCTTTACCGTTTGTTCTCACAACGCCATCCTCATCTCTCGCATCTGCAGCCACCACTGCATCTGCTTCGTCCACTCTGTTCGATTTCCCTCTATGCACACCGTTCGTGAGCTTGGCATCAAGCTTTCGTCCTGAGCGTGCATTTTCGTTGACCAGAAATTCCAGCCCGTTCTTCTTAGGCACGTGAGAGCTCTCTCCAAGCTTTACTCTCTTCGAAGACGGTAATGTTGAGGTTTCTGGTTGTCGCCCACGAGGACGCTTGGAAACACTCATATCGACCACATACTATCCTGCTGATATTGTGTGAGACTGCTGTGAACACATGCTGCTCGTTATGCCGTGGATGTCTTTTGGAAAATACTACAATGCGCTAGTCCGCTTGCGTAGTAGCAAGTCCCACTTTGTCAAAGCCAAATTTGCAGACCACACGAGCTCTCCTTACTATTCCTCTCTTCTGCACCGTATAATTCAACCTACGCTGGTCGCTAGGATGACCCTGTGTGGTCACATGCGCTGGAGAACCCTAGTCCAGCTCAAATGATTTTGGCTGAGTCTCGTCAGGCTGGTGAAGCTGAACTCAGTGCGCCAGCGAAAGGAAATTTTGTGCAGCGGTCTTCAGGAGGCCAACCAATCAGCTGCAGCACTGACAAGCCTCTTTTGCTTAGTTCGATGATGATTCTGATTAAGAGGCTCTTACGCCCGCCCGCGTCCGCCTGTGTCTTTTGTATAACAACTCTTGCACGACCCCGCGCTTCTCTACTTACAACCTCGAATCGCACCTTCTCCATTTGCATTACTACACTCGATTCACGTGTTCAATAAGCACGGACCATCAAGTTATCCACCCTTTCGAAACAACTGGCATTCTAGGCAACACGATACAGTCGCTTTGACTAGCACAACTGTCGCGTGACCAAGACAAGGCTACCACGAATCTATTCACATATCAATAAGCGGTCACTGGATCCAGAAGTCGCGACCGAAGACTTTGGGAAAATCACGACGTGCAGGTGACGCCTGGCCTCCACTAAAACTGCGTCCGTGCATCGGTTCAAACACGGCCCGCTCCAGCTCGACTTCTGTTCATAAGCTAATCTGCAACTACGTCGCTTCGACTTCTCCAATCCCGAGCCCGCTGAGAGACGCTGCAAGTTCGTGATTAACCATTAAAGATCGAAGCTCCACGGATCACGTGCTACACATCGATATTGCGCACGCGTTCCATCATCCTTTCAGTCGCAGCCACTGTTTCGCGCATCACAACAACCGGTTGAGGCTTAACTGCGCGACTGGAGTGAGGCTGGGGCTTTGTTGTGGTGCGTGACCACGAATAATCCTGGTCACTGGCTTTGACCGCGGATATGGCGACAGACATCACTGCTTCCCCACCTACCGATGCGCCTGAGCATGTCGAGCAGGACTCGGTGCAGCAGTCCATCACTAATGGGTACGTACCCCTTTCCATGTATAAATGTTCCTGTTGTCATGCTGGCTCATTTCTTATTACTCATCCACCTCACATGACCTCTATCATGTCAACAATACTTTTGTCCTATCCAACCATCCCTTCTCTGTTCACTGACATCCTCCTTCACAGTGAGACCAGCACGTCACTACCTCAACCGAGCCAGGACGCAGCCAACCAGGACTCTTTCATGGAGAACAATGCTCTTGACACCTCAGACGTTACAACCAAGGATGTGTTTCCCGATGCAAATCCAGGTGGCCCAACTCCAGTTGAGGATGTCGCAAGTGGCATCCAACCCATCTCCGACTTCATTCCAAAGGATGCGCCTAACAATTCGCATCCAACGCCGCCACCTGATCAGCCTCTGGCCACCTCAGAAGCTGACGTGGACACCACGATGACTAATGGAGAAGACGGCGCAAGCGCTGCCGCAGCCCCAACCCTCGTCGACGCCCCTGCGCCACCAGCAGAGCAGGCACCCATCCCAGCAGAGCAAAGCCTGGTTCGACCACGCGAGGATGACTTAGAGGATGACAATCGTGCGGCGAAGCGTAGTAAGGTCGACGACGAGTCTCATCAAGTTGTGGAACCCATCACGCCTGCTGTTACGGTTCCACAAGAGAGTGAGCAGACTGTAGACAGCGAGCCCGCTGCTCCACAGACCGAAGATACTGCAGCCCTTGCCTCGGAGGAGAGTGCGATTGTTGACAGCGACATCTTGCCTGCGCCAACAACTGCAGCCCCACAGGAGGCAACTGCGCCATCGACTGCTGCGGACCCTGAGCACATTGACTCTTCCACACCAACACTTCCTACCTCTACACCTGCAGCTCAGGCGCAGCCATCGATAGAAGCGCCGGCTCCAGTAGCACCAGCAGCCAGCGCCTCGAGGTTTACAGCACCGATGACCGAGATGCAGAAGAAGGTGCTGTATGAGAAGACGAAGAATCTCAAGAAGACCAAGCATTCCATGCACTTCTTGAGACCAGTCGACCCCGTTGCGCTGAACATTCCAACATATCCAACTATCGTCACGCAGCCAATGGACCTTGGTACCCTCGACCAAAAGCTCAAGAATAGCGAGTATGCTTCCGTCCAGGCCTACGTAGATGACTTCAATCTCATCGTGAAGAACTCCGAGGTGTTCAACGGGTCGGCGCATCTTGTGACTCAGTCCGGCTACTCCATGAAAGCCTACTTCGATAAGATGATGGAGAACGTTCCTGGACCAAACCAAGTGGCGCCGCCGAAACCTGCAAAGCGGAACTCACCCGCCGCACGAGCACCACGTCGTGAGCCACGCCAGGTTCCTGCACCCGTTGCGCCACCAGCTATGACAGCTCCAGCAGAGACCTACGCTGTCCCCGACGGCATCCCACAAATCCGCCGCGAATCAAATGGGAGGCCTGCTCGGGCTATCAAGCCGCCAGCCGCCCGCGAGATCAGCTATGCGAAGCCGAAGAGGAAGGAGTACCAGCTTGAGTTGCGCTTCTGCGAGCACGTACTGAATGAGGTGCGTGGGCCGAGGTACGCAGCTGTCAATAGTGTCTTCCAGATGCCAGTCGATCCCGTGGCGCTCAACATCCCGCACTACCGCAACATCGTTAAGCACCCCATGGATCTGTCGACAATCGCGCAAAAGCTCAAGCAGGGCCAATATGCCAAAGCCAGTGAGTTCCGCAAGGACTTTGAGCTGATCGTCGAGAATTGCTTGCTTTTCAATCCTCAAGGCAATCCAGTACGTGATATGGGCATACAGCTCCGTCGTATTTTTGATCAAGTGTGGCAGACCAAGGAGAAGTGGGAGAGGAACAATAAGCCCGACTCTGGACGTGGAACTAGTGCTTCTGCAGACGAGGATAGCGGTGCCGAAGAAGACGAGGATGAGGATGATGAGCCGGAGGACTCCAAGGAGCAGACTATCCAGGCATTGCAGAAGCAGCTCGCCGATATGCAGAATATGATCGCAGGTATGGCTGGTGGTGCGAAGCCGAGCAAACCAAAGAAGGTAAAGAGTAAGGACAGCAAGCGCAAGGTTGGATCGCTGTCTTCATTGCCTCCCAAAGCCAAGCTCCCGGCGCCGAAGCCGAAGAAGGTCAGTAAGCCGAAGCAGGTATCTTACGAGGAGAAACAGGAGATTTCCGAGGCTGTGTCCAACATGGATGAAGGCCAGGTTTCTGGGCTTACGCGCATCATAACCGAGAACTGTGCAAAGTATGCCGACATGGAGGATATGGAGCTCGAGATTGATGACTTGCCGAACAACGTTCAGGCAATGCTGCTGAAGTATGTCCGCAAGCTCTTTGGTAGGCCGAAAGGCACAGAGCCCATGTCACCTCCAGATGATGGCGAGATGGACGATGATATCGACTTCGATCCCGGCGAGCGTGCTCGGGGCGCAGCCGCCAAGCGCAAGAAGCATAAGCCTATGGGCAAGAGGGAGCAGCAGGACCGTATTAACCAGTTGAGCTCCAAGCTCGAGGCGTTCAAGCAGACCGGCACTAGTGGTTCCGAGTCGCCAACGGGCACGTCGAGCTTCCAGGCCAAGGCTGAGTCTTCCGGTGATGATGAGAGCGAAGAGTCCGAGGAGGAGTAGATGTTGCGGAGTGTCCGAGGTGGAGCATGGCGCGATGCGAGTGTTCCGCAGTAACCGCAGATTGTCGAATTAATCAAGGGCCATCATTCAGGAGAGACCCAAAGTGTACTTTTAGCGTTTTACGATGGAGGCCGGACCGGTCGCAATTGGCTCGTTTGTATGATTAGGAGAAATCAGCAGGAAGGGAAGGTGGTTGTTGGTGTGGTTGGTGGTCGATACCCTACCTAAAGAATGATCAGTATGGTGGGAAGAAGTAGGTCTAGCATTACTGAAGTGTATGATATGGCGCGTACGTAGCAGGAACATTCCCTTCTTTCGCTGTGGTGCTCTCATGTTGGCGAGGTGGCAGTGGTATCAAACGGCGTAGTCCTGGCCAGTAGCTCTTATTGCACTCACGGGTCGCTGTCTCTGCCGCTTCCACGGTTTAGCGCTTGTCCATCGTTGTTGGCACGAGCAAGTGTCCTCGTAGTCGCCTGACGACACACCGGAGAGATTTGCGAGGTATCATAGTGTGCTGCATGATGCGGCACAGCGGACAGCGCATCGTAGGTGGCGACTTGGTTGTTCGACTCGTCAATTTCGCCAGTACCCTCATCCATGCCTCATGGCATCCCTCGCGCGATTGTGGAGCTCATGAAGGTGGACACAAGTTGCATTGAGCGATGAAGACTTTGCTGTTATCTTGGTCAGAAGGTGGGTGAGGTTGAGGCACATGAAGTCTGGTGCGCCTCGGCAGGCATCACTTCAGCTAGCGTGCCACTTGGGTGACGCACACATACATGCGGCACGTGGAACGAACATGCTGGACCTCCACTGTGGTATATTCACTAAAGACTGATAAGATAGGACCAGACGAGGCAGTGTCTGAACACCAGACATTGACGCTCACGAGCGGTATCTTCTACATATTTTATATCATCCTACAGCGCCGCTCTGATCGCAAATCACAGCCACGACAGCCAACCTCTACTCGACGAAGAAGGTGTGCATAAGCAAACCCTCCTTGCCGCCCTCCAGCTGGAGCTCGACACCCTGGGCCACGAAGTAACAAGCTCCCTCATGCAATCCTACAGTCTTACCCCTCGCCTTCATCGTCCCACCGCCCTTGGTCGCCAGCAAGATCGCTGGACCGTTGATCGCACCCAGCTCTTCCTTATCGCCACCCTTGAGGTTCGTTTCCAGGGCATCAAACTCGCTCAACGGAGGAGCGAAAAGCACAGTCTTGCCATTCTTACTCTTCTCGTACGTCTCCCTCTTGAGCTTGCACTCCTCAGCATTATGTGGAGCAAAAGTCAGACAAGAGGTGAACAGATCCACATTATCCCTGTCTGCTCTCGGACAGAAGCCGGTGTTTAGCACATTGTCTGATCGAGCCATGCATTCGATAATGTCGCCGCTGAGGTAGGCGTGGATGCCATCGGCGGGAATATATATGCTCTCGCCGGCTTGCAAGACGAGGTAGTTCATGGTGATTAGAGCTACAAGAAGACCGGGGTCAGATTCCGAGTATTGTTCCGCCAGACGAGGAGCCAGCTTTGGAATGTAGGTGTCGCCTGCAAATTGGTCCTCGGAAAGAGAAGTCAGAGCACTGTATGTCTCCTTCACTCTATGGTCGTCCGCGTGCAGCATGTTGCCAACAATGCCTTTCAACACCTGATCGTCGAACTCCCGGCCATCGGAATTGGAAGGAAGGTATGTCTTCAAGGCGTCAATCTGCATGAGCTTCTCGATTTGTGCCAGTTCCTTGAAACCGCAGAAAGCCTCGAACTCGCCCAAAGCCAAGGCGATCTCAGGCTTGTGGTTGGGATCTGTGAAATGATCAGGGTTCTCCTTGTGTAACTTCGCGGCCAGGTCCTTGTTGGGATGTAATTGTAATGGCAGCGCCTTCGCTATCGACAACACTTTGGGCAAGAACTGTAGGTTGGTATGCCCGAACTTCTCTTGCACCGCCTTGCCCATCAGCTGGTCTGGGTGCTTGTCTATCAGATCCTGCAGCATCTCGCCGCTTTCTGCAACGTAGGAAGGTAGTACTGGGTATGTGCCCATCCACATCTCGGCATAGGAGGTCTTCTCGTCGATCTTGAAATCGCCCAGTTTCTCCTGGTTGTCGTAGCCTACTTGTTTCGCGCATAGTCGGGCAGAGATGCTCTCGGAACCAGGTTTGCCCCAGGAATATTGGTTACATGAGCATTTGAGCTTGTAGAAAGGTTCGAGTTGAGACGCCATGTTGTGGAGTGTTGGCGAGCAGTCTTCTTAATAGATTGTTATTGGTTTTACGGCTGTCTGTTTACCTGTAACGAAAGGGCGATGTGTTTGATAGAGAAGCCATTGCTCCTGCAGATTCCGAGACGAGCATACCCATTCGTAATACACAACAGCACCTTTCCTCTACCTCTGACGGTGACGGCGCGTGAACGTCATCTCGTGAAGCACTCTCGCCCACCACACTTTCGCATCACTCTGCGCTCATGCCCTTCGCTATCGGGCGGCGACTCGGCGATCTGTCGATTGCGAGCATTGGGAAAGGCCCTCAACACTCGGCGAGCACAAGTAAAGTCATAGTTGTTGTCTGGTCGCTTATGAAAGTAATGTTAGAAGCAGCAGAGCAAGCAAAGGTAGGCCGGTGGGCGCACGGACGGTCACCCTTTCCGACCACCACAACTCGTTCTCATGTATCCTGCCAACGAACATACGCAAGGAATGATATCGTGAAGCTACGCCGATCCTCACTCGAACACCATTCTCCTGTCACGACTGCTCTCGCGAACATGGATGCGACTCATGATGGCGGGGTCAGAAGAGGGGAGCGATGAGATGCAGCTCCTCCCTTCTCCTCTACTCGGCCTGCCAGCTATAGTGGAGTAGCAGTCGTCGTAGATCAAGGTAGGGCAGATATACAAGATGGACAGCCACTGGATCAAGCAAGGGGCCAACGTCGCACACCAACGCATCTTAGAAATCACTTCCCACTTCAGCACCGCCAGAATGTCTAATACCAAGACCGTGAAGGTTGCTCATCTCGACACCGAGGCAGCATACCAGATGCCCAAGCCATACGACAGTTCCAAGCCGACTCTAGTCTTGGTCAACAGTTTCACCACATCTTCTGAGCTGTACAGGAGCCAATATGCCAACAAAGAGCTGACGGACGCCATGAATCTCATCTCCATCGAACTGCTTGGTCATGGCCAGACAAGGACAAAGTCAGAGAACTTCACCTATTGGGACACCGCGATAATGAACCTCCAAGTGCTCGATGCTCTCAAGATCACAGGCAAGATTTTCGTCCTGGGCACAAGCCAAGGAGGTTGGATCACCACGCGCATGGCAGTGCTCGCCCCAGACAAGATCGCCGGCATAATCCCACTCGGCACAAGCATGGACTACGAATCCGCCCGTACGCGAGATCTGGGCTGCTGGAACGGCCCAGAAGACCTGGCCCCAAACATCAAACTCTGGTCCTCGACCACCGCCACGCCAGACTTCGAGCCAAAGGAGGACTACTGCAATTTCCTCATCGACATAGGCTTCGGCAAGGACTGCCCGAAAGAAGCTCGAGACTTCTGGGTCAAGGAGATCCAAGCTAACTATCAAGGCGATGAAGGGCGACGAAGGATCCGTATGGCGGCTGTCAATCTTGCTGAGCGCGATGGGCTGCACCATCGACTCTTCGATGTCAAGTGTCCTGTGCTGTGGTTACACGGCACGGCGGACCCGGTCTACACTGTGGCAAATGCAAAGCATGAGCTTGAGATGTTTGTGAATGCTCCGGCCAAGGACTTGAAGGTTGTTGAAGGTGGACAGCACTTCCTTAGTTTTAGTCACCCGGAAGTGGTAGATGAGGCTTTGATTGAGTTTGTGGGTAAGTATGGAAAGTGATGTTATTGTGGTTTCATGCCTTGAGTCCATCATTTTGCAGCATGTGTATTTTTGTAAACAAGAGTTGTACACCTCACCTTAATGTGTTGGTTGCTGACAAGGTTTGGAAAGATACTCATACTCTGATTGGATTGTAGCATGCGTGAGCTACTGAAGTATGATACCGATACTGTATAGAGTAGTAGATCTCGAGCAGAGCTACTCGACAGCCGAGCACAATAGTGTACATCCGCTAGTGGAGCTCGTTCGAGTAAGGTAACCTTTAATTCCTACCCGAGCTACCTCACGCGTGTAGGTCTAAGGAAAGGTACAGGCAATCTCAACTTCTGTGAAGGATCGCGAGACAGCGCCAAGAGTGTGTGATCGCCTGAGCACACATCTCGTGAGATAGCAGCACATAACCAAAAAGATAGCGACAATGGCAGCAAGGAACAAACAGACCCTATGCGCAGGTCTGAACAATGTTTCCCAACTGCAGAGCTCGCCGAGGAAACAGCTACGGAAGTACGTACCATTCGAGATCCAACCTCGACCACAAGAAAACGGCCAAATCCTGTTCGCAGGCTGGAGCAATACAATCCTATCAACCACCAACCAAATCATAAGCCAAGGCTTCCAGAACCTCAACCAAAACATCTCGGGCCTCTCCACAGCAGACGAAGACATCACGGCCCTGCACTCGGCAATAGGCAACCACAATGGTCTCCTCGCCTGTCTCACAAACACTGGCGCTCTCCTAACAGCCGACCCAGACCCCGGGTACAATCAAACCTCTCACCTGAAGAACTTGACCACGGAATCCTCCCCTCGCCTCTCCCACCTAGCTCTGGCAACAAACGATCGCGTAGCCGTGACCTTCAAACAAGCACCTAACGGCAACCTCTGCCACATCCTCGAATTCAACACCTTCGACAACTTCGTGGCGTGGTATAACGATCCCTCCGCCGAGCAAAGTCGACCTGGGAAACACCATATGCTTCCCGGACGGCCGAAGCAATTATTAGCTGGTGCAGCGACCTTCCTATTGCTGATGGAAAGTGGGGAGGTGTACAGCTGGGGCGATAGCAGGTACCGCTCTCTTGGTCGCGCCGTCGCTGGTGGTGCAGAAGTGGCGACCGTGCCGGCTGATACACCTGCACCGATCTATGCGCTCGGTGGGTTGGATGTTGAGAAGATCGCTTGTAGTGGATGGTTGAGCGGAGCGTTGTGTAGGGACGGTGGTGGATACCTGTGGGGATCTGCTCGTCCTTCAGGTGGCGAACATGAGATCGCGTGCTTGAGGGAAGTGTCTTCGGCGGCTGAGCTGGCGTTGATCGACTTTTATGATGATGAAGGTGAGCCCATGGATGTGGTCGATGTAGCGGTAGGGACCGCACATGTTGTGGTCGTTCTCAAGGAAGCTAGTGGCAAGCATCGAGTCTTCGTTGCAGGCAACAATGAGGATGGCCAGCTTGGCATAGACTCTGGTACCAAGTTTGTCGAAGACTGGACAGAAGTATCAGAGCTCAGCGGCCAAGATATCGACCAAGTCGTCTGCGGTCCGCGAAGCACATATATCACCACTAGTAGACCATCATAACCTTCCTCAGTTCATAACCCTCAGAAAGCCGAATGTCAAGTTGATCAAAAAACCACTCAAAACAGCAACCTGTCTCCGCCTAGTCCAAACCCCCTCTTCCCTCATCAGCCAACACATAGCTCCCACAGGCCAAAAGAACCCAATCAGATTTCCCCACAACATATCATCCAGACCGCCCGCATCTTCGCCCTCAAAGCCACCAGCTTCGCCAGGTGCGGCAGCGGCATTGGATCCATTATCTAGCCATTCTTCCTCGAGAGCTAGCAGCGCGGGGCCAGAGGGCATGGTATCCGGGGTGTGGGTATGTGCCTGTATGGCTAGGAATTGTGTCCGAAGGGTAGCGATCTCCGGTGCCGTGAAGCCGGCTGTGAGCAGGCGGTCGAAACCCCTGGGCGCAGGAGTGGTGGTTGATGCATCCTTTTCCTCTGTGCTTGTCGTGGTCGTATTAGCAGTAGGAGATTGGGACCGTAATGCCTCGTCCGCTTCTTGCGCTTGTCTCGCCTCGATCGCAAGGTCGGTCACTGGAAGGAAATCACCAATAGCGCAATGTACATAGACCCGTACTGCTACTGCTTTCTTCTCCTGTGCTTGATCGCGTTGAGGTTGCTTGCCCTTCGCTTTCTCGCTCTTGCTCCTCTCCTCCTCATCGCTACGAGCTATCGGTGGTGGGGCAGAGCCATGAAGACTCTGCGAGAGTGCCGAAGCATCTACCAGTACCTTTCCGGCATGGATGAGTCGCAGCCGGCTTTCAGAAGCTGGTGCTGAGAGCTGGGAGCGGATGCGTAGCTTTAGCGATACGACGCTTGTTGTGGACGGGTGCGGGACATTGAGGATGACATCTGGAGTTGATGTCGAGAAGCGGACGACGATGTCTAGGGGAACCCTGTCGGTAGGCATGGAGTCGCAGGTAGTGAGGTTGGCTGTCGCGTGATGACGAGTGGAGGACGCGACCAGATCACCGAGATGTTGCCGAGGATAGAGATAGAGTGGTAGGCACGCCGATGATGTTCTTACAAATCTATGCTACTCATACAATCTCAAACTCAGGCTTGGGTGACAGCGTACACCACAAGCTCAGCCTTAAGCCTGAGTACAGTTGACACCCTCCCGTGGCTGTCTGTTCACCCAGCTTCTCCTGTTGCCACTGCTGTGTGCCTTGCTGACCTATTTCATCGAAAGTGGTGCGTCTCGACAGCATCCAAACATTAGATGGACTAGAGCATGCTGGACGGTCATAGATCGCGACAGCTTGACGGCAAGCTGACAATTCATGCATCTATGCACTTTCCATCCTTCCTCACGAAATGAACTCCCCAGCCCTCTCTCTCAACTGCCCAGCACTCCTTCCCGCATCCCAGAACAGCCCCACAGCCTCCTGCACATCCATCCCCGTCACAATCCCACCCTCACTACCCCTCGCCCTCGCCAAGATCCCCGCCGGCGCTAGCAATTGCAACGCATATCTCAAACTAACACTCTCGCCCTGGCTCGTCAACTCATCGACCGCATCCGGCGCCAGCGAAGCAGAGACTTTGAGAGCCTGCGGATTATCCGCCAGACTAGGCGCAGTAGCAGTGGCGAACTCAAGCTTAGCGCGTGTGTTGATGATCGTGCGGATTTCGGTGCCGGTGTACGGGTGTGTTGGGATGATAAGAAGGCGGGGAAGGAGGTCGGGAGGGATGCCGTGTGCGGATATGAGGCCAGGGTCATTGGGGGTTAGTGGGGAGGTTGTGCCGCGGATGCTGGTTTGGCCGCGGTTGGAGGCGAGGATGACGATGGGTGCGAGGGGTGATTCGAGCGCGCGGTTGAGGTAGGTGAAGCATTCAATGTCGAGCATGTGGACCTGGGGCATGTTAGCATCTGGTTTGGTTGATGTGTATGGAGGGTGCATACTTCGTCGATGAATAGCACACCCGGCACGAGCTCAGCAATACCTTGGTCAATGTACTTGTTGACCACCTTGTTGATCTCGCCCCTCAACTTCTCCGTGATCTCCGTCTTGCGTGGCTTCATCAACTGTCCCATCATGCTCATTACATCCTGTCCTCCCTGCGGTCTCGCGTTCGCAACATCCAAATCGTGTAGCGTGACATCCTGCACAATGTCCTTCTTCTTGTGCACCTCGCCCTTGGGCACTGGCACGTACTCTTCCGCCTCAAGATCGAACTCTGTGCTGAAAGCATCTGATCGTCCCACTCGCTTTACAGAACCAGTGTTTGCTTCGATGTATATCACGTCACCCACCCGTACTCGTTCTTTCTGGATAGCTTCGTATATGCTGGGATCTAGCCGTAACTTCTTAGTACCTCGTGAGCTCCGTAGTGTGATGAGTAGATGTGAGATTGTCCGCCCGTATGCGCCGAGCGGGTTCTCGCTCTCCTCCGGCGTGAGCTCTGCAACCTCACCCTCGTACACTTCTTTCCTCTCCTGCACACGCAGTCCAATCGCTCGCCGGAAGTTCTCCATCAGCGCCTCCGTCTTCTTGACCTCTGCACTGTATACCTCACTTCCCGTCATAGGGCAGAACGGAACCTTCGTCCCCAGCTCATGGCTCACAGCTAATGCCAATGCCGTCTTTCCCGTACCTGGTCCACCCGCTAACAGTACAGCTTTCCCAGCCATCTTTTTCGTCCGAATGAGGTCGACCACGACACCGCATGCTTCTCGCGCCGCTGTCTGGCCAACAAAGCCATTCGTGCTGTGAACGTCTGCGTAGCCGTCTGGTCGCAAGCCAAGACCTTTGATATGGGAATGTGCGGCTGTCCGGTTCTCGCGCGAGTTTGTGTTTCGCACTTCGGAGATCTTTACTTGGTTGCTATCGCTAGGTTGTGAAGGTGGTGCGATTGTGCCGTTGGTCGCCATTGTGCAAGGGGGAGAGGCTCGAGGCCTTAGTCAACGCAGTGACTTCTGTGTAGCGAGAGTGTTGGAAATGCTCGAAGAGACCGTCAGGGTGTTGTTGTAGGAGTGTGGCCGTCGTGGTTGTAACGAACGAGTATCGCCAAAGCACCGCAGCTCGTGTCGCGAAACAGCTCCAGACGCGCAAAAGTTGTCGTGCCTAAGGCCGTAAGAATTGGTTCCACTGCTAGGCCCAACTAGTTCTGGCAAGCTCATTACCTATAGGCTTTGTCTGATTAGTCAATCGGCGTTACAGTGCATACCTCTGCTTTCTAACAAAGCCGAACGCATCTGATAGCAGCAGTATTGTCATCGCCAGCATCTCACATCCGCCTTCTTGTCTACAACGGGCACATCGACACTGTCAGACGACAAACGGGAGATCAATAAGCCTTCACAATGGCCACCCTACGAACCTCGACGCCTTCCATAGCGACCATCTTCAGATTCGCCTCACAGCCAGCCAGCAGCCGACGATGTGCACACTGCCTCAAAGTACAACGATGCCCCTTCTCCTCCTACCGACCAGCATTGCAGTCGTCTAAGCGACCACTCATGACCGAATCCGCCTACCGACCACAAAATCTCGAACCAGAAATGCCTCCACCTCGAAATGCCGGGACACCCGAAACGAGCATCAACAGCAGTAGTCAGCAGACATGGCCACCAGCAGCGCCTTGGCAAAGACAGGGTACAGGAAGTGAGCGGGAAGCGGAAGCACAGAAGAGCAAGCCTACGGTAGCCGCACAGGCCCAGTCGACATCCACACAGACTGTGGCCGCCCCCTCGCCTTCACCCGCCCAACCAAAAAGGAAGAGCAAACTCCGTCCCAGAAAAGCAGCAATGAGCGTATCACCAAAAGCCGTCGAACAATTACGCCAACTGCTCGATCAACCCGAAAGCAAGTTGGTACGGGTAGGAGTTAAGAACCGCGGCTGCTCAGGCCTAGCATACCACCTCGAATATGTAGACAAACCAGGTGCTTTCGATGAAACAGTGGAACAAGATGGTGTCAAAGTGTTGATCGACAGCAAGGCATTGTTCTCCATTATCGGAAGCGAGATGGACTGGCAAGAGGATAAACTGAGTGCGAGATTTGTGTTCAGAAATCCTAACATCACTGAGCAGTGTGGTTGTGGCGAGTCATTCAGTATATCATGAGTTGAGTATGATCTCAATTGTATAGAGCATGGGATAGGTGTTTTACCATAGCGAGATATATAACCTGCACGCCTCACGTGGCGAATCAGAGCACGTCCACCCTTCATACTATATCTAGGTCTTCCTTGTTCTTGCTGCCACTCAGTGATCTCGAATACGGACTAGAACTTGCCCGGCTCGAAATCCACCACCCTTGCATTCTGAATGATATCCTTCAGGCTCAAGGTGAACTCCAGATGCGCCGGGTCCTTCTCTAGGTAGTACTTGCGATCTCCTTGATTTTGGAACTCGCTCACAAAGCCGTGCGAGAAGCCACCCTGAAAGACAGTTAGTATGGAACTGGTACGATACTTAATGTTGTTGCAGTAACTACTTGTAGTCCTTCAGGACTGGTATCCCGCCCTCCACCGTACGATTTGACGTAACGTTGTTGTGTTGTTGGGTGTAGGCATTTCTCTGAAAGGGCTAGCATGCGTTTACAAGCCTATGCGGCGTTAGTTCTAGCTGTTCAACCTCAAATCAAATCGGGTTTGGTGTTGTCAGGGAGTTTACTACACTGACATCTTCTACTTGTACATGAGAAGCCGTAGGCTTGAACTCGAAAAGGACAATATGGACGATTGGCATGTTGACTTTAGTCTCAGGTCCTGCAGGTATGTGGTCGTCGTTGTTTTCTTCGCCACTTATTCTACCGTCATCGATGATCCAGCCTCCAGAAAGTTGATGGTCGTTGGTCGCGATCGAGTAATGCCGTAGAGTTTGGCTGGCCGAAGTCGAGATCGAGACAAGCGTTTGCGGTTGCCAACATCTAGATTGAAAACCATATGTAGTGTTAACAATGACGCTATATTCAGCTTTCCGATACCGCCGCACGACGCCCAAGCGTGGCGGGTTTGTCTCCAGCCGGAAGGTACGCGGGGAGATGCTGACTAGTGGATATGGTAATAATGCTTTCGAGGATAACAAATGCTGCGTCATAAGGCGGCCTATCGCCATCTCCAAAAGCTACACAGTCGATGTGATATCTATCCCAAGGAAGTTTGGAGAACGAGCTCAAAGCTGGAGCGAAGCGAGCTCGCGGGATAGATTGCTTCGAGGTGGCACAGGCTGGGCGCTTGGAAGTACTCCATAGCAGTAAACGATGCATGCACCTGAATGTTGCAGAAAGTACTGTTATTATCATAGTCTTGAGTATGTACATGCTATATAGCTATGAAGTCCTTCCGACATTACTTTTCTCCTCACGCAATCCGGTGAACTCGACGTCCAGCGTATATATCTTACAGTATTAATATGGGCTGGCCAGCCAGATATACGTCCTTCCATATCATCCCCTCAATCCACCAATCAATGCTTAACGCCAGCGCTAGATTCGCGGGAACAACTAGGCACACACACCATGATGTGTGTGCCGGTGGAGGGCAAAAGACACCACCACTCTGGCACCTCAAGCGCCAGAGTCAATTTGATCGACCGGGCCATGGTTGTTCGTATACCAATCCCAATCGGCACAAGTATCCTCGATATAGCCATCAGGTATGGCAAGGATCTCATCGTACTTGTACGCAAGGCTCAAACCCTGGCCACCGCTCAAATGCCATGCAACGTGGCAGTGGAAAGGCCACACACCAGGATTTTCGAGTTCGACTTGTATGGCTGCGAAGCCGTAAGGAGGAATCAAAAGACTGTCACGGCGCATGGGGTTTGCGGCGTTGACGACAGAGCCATCCCATGTAGCACCGTTCTGGAACTGCGGACCTGCTGCTTGACGTTTCGACAGCTGACTGTCAAAGTTGTTGGAGCCGGCTGTGCTGTTGTCACCAACGTTCAGGATGTAGAAGTTGTGCCCATGAAGATGGAATGGATGAACGAGAGGCATGTTGTTCGTGATGTTCAGAGTGATAGACTGGTTGTGGCCAAATTCGTATACCTGCCATTGTGGCTCGAAAGTCATGTTGCCGGCTGCGTACTGCGGGAGAAGCGGGACGTTATAGTCGATCTTCCAGGCTTGGCCATTGATACGGAACTCAAATTCACCTGTGCTGTTGAGCTCGAGGGACAAGGTGAGATCCTGAATGAATGAATTGTTGCTTGGGGCGACGTGGTAAGCGGGAACGGTCATGTTGAGAGGGTCGTTGATGCAATCGTTGTTGATCACAGCGGTTGACGTGGTCGTGGGCGCCAAGTGAACATTCGCTTCGTTGTAGTATACCGCGGCAACGGTGTATGGGTTGTCTGAGCCGCCGCATGGCTCGCCACCAGGAGCAGCAGTGCGCATCCAGACGGCAGCTGTAGGGTCGTCGCAAGCTTGGACAAGAACATCTGTGCGTTGACCGACACCTAGAGTGACAACGTCCGTGGTGTATGGCTCAGTGGGGACAAGATCGGTGGAGATGACGGTCATGTTGTGGTTGTCAATGGTGAAGCGCTGAACACCGTTGGCACCGTGGTTGACAAGACGCAACCTGTGTACCTTGCCAGCCTGGAATCGGAAAGCAGCCAGAGGCGCATCCTCGACGCATTGCCAGGTAAGGTTGGACTTTAGGTTCGTTGCCAAATCCTTCTTGGTGCTATCGTAAGAAGAGCTGGAGCATCCGAACTGGCCTCGTCCATTGATCAGCACGTTGTCAGATGTTGGTGGAATCAGCGAGAAGTTTGATCCGACCACGTCTTCGACGATCGAGAAGTACGGAATGTGGTACCAGTCCGAAAGCATGACAGGGCCGACGTCGATATCGTATGGAAGCGAGCTTGGCCCGTGAACAATCATGGGTCCAGCCACACCAGCCGTGAACTGAGCAGAGTAATGTGCGTGGTACCACGAACTGCCGTGCAGCTCCGCCTGGAATCTGTACGTGAGGGAGTGCCCTGGTGCGATTGGGCATTGCCCTGCGCCTGGAACGCCATCCTCCCAGGGGGTTGATCTCTGCAATTGACCGTGCCAGTGGAGACTAGTGCCTTCAAACGGACTGGAGATGTTGTTGTGTACTGTGACCTCGATCCAATCGCCCCAGTTGGCTTCAATCGCTGGGCCTGGAAACTGATTGTTTATCAAGATGACATCTCTCAATACACCATCTGGCGAAAGTTGTCCGCGCGAGAGCGTGAAGTTGTATGGCCGAGTGACGTTGGTGACTGGGATGTCCTTCTTGACAGTCGCATCGCTGTTCTTCACAGTTCTGTTCTCACCCCACGGGACGGTTGGCGAGTCTCCTAGCCATTGTGGGAAATATGGCTGGCACAGAGTGCCCCAGATCGAATTGCCAACTTGCTGCTCGTTGGTAATGGGAGCACCTGGGAGCAAGGTGCAAGTGGGCGCAGCTGCAGCTGCAGCTGACTCGGTGTCGGATGAGCTTGGCAAGATGCTTGACATCGTGACAGTGGTATAAGCGGATTCGGCTGCAGTCGCAATGGTGGGCTCGCCAGCGGTCGAGAGAACCCAGGTACTCGACGTTACAGTCGCCAACGTAAAGGTCGTCGTTGCCGACACTGACCCGCTGAGTGCCAGGGAAGACGACATTCCTGGGCTCGAGCTCGAGCTGCTGGCTGTTGCTGAGGAGCTGGAAGTGGTGCTCGAGCTGCTGGTACTCGCTGAGGAGCTAGACGTGGCGCTCGAGCTGGATGATAATGCTGCTGGCGTCGAGAGTGTCGAAGGAGAAGTCGTGAAAGGAGAAAGAATGTATGCAGGTAGTGCAGAATCTGTGCATACTGTGACCGTAAGGTTGACTGTCTCGTAAACGGTGCTGAGTGCGCTCGAGTCTAACACTGTTCTTGTTGACGTGGCGTTGCTATACTGTCGCTTCATCAACGGAAGTCTAGGCTGTCGTACTTCATGTCGGTCCTGTGGTGCCGCGAGACAACCCGCGGCCAACGCTGCGACCGGTAATATTCTGCTGTGCATCTTGACAATGCAGGGTGGTGATTAGATACAATCTGTAGGCATACAAAGGGGACAGAACGTGCGGAAGGGGATCCAAAGGCGCAGAAGCATTTAAGAGAAGAAGTCGCCGCAGACCTGCCATTGTGTAGCAAAAGCATAGATCCCACGCCAACGATACCGTCATTCAGGCTGGTCTATCCGGCCACTATGGAGGCGGCCAGCATGCAGATAGCCGCTCCACTTGGTTCGAAATGATGGCGTTGTCGCCATGGCCACTGTAGCAGACCGGGGACTTCCACAACCAGTCAAATCGATGCGTGCGGCACAAGTCCACTCTCGCCATGCAACTTCCCGCTCATTGTTCTCCCGCGGTATCAATATGATAATGTGGCGGTCTTGTTCCTGCAGGAACAGGGAGCAGTCGTGATGCTGCAGGGGCCGTGCATAGCAACGAACGGGCGGGACCGCTCGAAGTCTATCCTCCCGCCTCACGTCGACTGGCTCGGTATAGATGGCTTGGCGAGACAATCACGACCTCAGATCCCACGCCATAAGGACAAAAGAACTTCGGACGCAGGAAATGTCTTGATCTGCTGCAAAGCTCTCCGACTGTAATGCTTCCCGTTCTGCTGGAGCTCAAGCATTATCGTGAGATCATCGCTGCGGCGCAACCAACTCAAGCGCCCCAGTCTTCGCAATTCCAGGCGGGTCCCCAGCAAAGCACAGGCGCCTGTAACCCTGCACATCTGTCGTTGAGAGACATCTGTCTATCGCTGTCACACGTGGGCAGGCTGGCTGGGTGAAGAACAGCAGGCTTGGTAATGAATTCTTGGTTGCTTGAGTTTGATGGCTTTGTGACTTGACCGGAAAGAGTGTGGTCTCCATTGCAATCCTTCTGAGAATCGTGATGAAATTTGGTATCGCGGCTATCGACATACGGTACTCGCGCCTCGATCTGTCTCAGATAGGTAGTATTCATTTGCGCCTTTACAATGCAATGCCGGCTAAGTGCTGCACGCCGTATAAGCACATCAAGAGATGTTATTCGTCTGCAAAGCTGTATCTTTGCGATCTGGCGCTTGCAAATCCTGCAGCACGCCTTCGATAAGCTCAGCAGGCATCAAGACTCGGCCAAAGTTCCGAAGACCGCAGAAATATGCTTATCGCTGCACAGATGTCAAATGTCGCTACAACGTCATGAACCGGGAATACTGGTGAACGTTCGCTGTCGTTCATCGGACGATTGTGGAGATGCCTTCTATTTCATACAGTTTCCGCGGCAGAGCCTGCACGTTGGAGTCCCTGCTCAGCGATGATGACAGCGACATTTCTTCGGACTTGGAGAATAGCATCTTATCGTGATGAGCTTTCTTGTTCTCGTCATTGACCGGGGCCTACTGGAAGCTATATTTCTGCCGTCCATAATGCAAAGTCTCTCAAAGAAAGGATCCAGCAGATTTGTGGCTACCAGCAGATGGAGGAAACATAGACGATTCTTGCGTTCGGTGATCGGAGTCAGAGTCCCTCCTCACCACATCCCTCGGCGAAACATCGCTGAGCACTGCACGTGGCAGGTGAGGAGGTATATGCCCATCCTCCTTTCCCTTCTTGGAGTAGAATAACGCTGGATGCGTATACTCGGTGACTTGCTCTCCCTGCGTCAAGTCTGTCGAGCTCTCTCCCAGGATCTCATCGAGTGTCATACTGCCACCGGTCCTTACCCTAACAATTCGACCGCCCATCTCAACATCGTCGTGTCTTATCTCGGTAGCCTCGACATTCCATGGAAAGCTCGGCTGTCGCCTTGCACTGCTTCTTCTCCCTGTAGCAGGCTTCTCGCTTCGGTTGCTGAGAACATCTTCATGCACAACGCTGTCGTGCCTCGACTTCCCATCCACGGACGTCATGCCTGTGACTCGTCGCCAGAACGTCCAGACGAAAGGTAGGTTCGCCACTAGCAATGCCGTGGAGCTCTCGCGAACGTACCAGTATGTCCAGAGACTGCCAAATGGTTGGCTGAAAGAATAGACTTTATTCAAGATCGCGGCTAATATGACGAACAGTCCCAGTGAAAAGATGCCTACGATTGGGACTTTCTTCTTCATCGGCAGCTTCAATCGAAGGAACATGGGCAAACCAATCGCAATCATGATCAGATCTGAAGTTAGATTGAGAACCGCGTTCGTGATGAGATGGTTGGTCGCGGCGCTGCACTGGATGTTGTCCGTAGGCACGGCCCAGTAATCATAGAACGGTCGGCACCAGACACCGAAGTAGAAGATCTCCATGAACACGAAACCAAAGGCCACATACCCGCACAAGACTTTTATGGCGATATTCTCTCTTCTCATCGTGGTCAGGCGAAGATACAGGATCAGCAAGCAGGCTTTGGCCAGCCATATCGTGCAGCATTGGCATTGCTCGACGACAAGGATAAGCTTTGAACCGTACTCGCGCTCAGCTATGTCGCTTCTAGCTAGATCATTGATGTCGTACCCTGGCGGGAGGAGGTTGGAGTTGGCGTAGCGCACGATGTTTATCGTTGCGACTAGTGTGGTGTAGAAGCTCAGGACGAGGAGCATGAGGTAGTCATCTGTCTGGAAGCGCTTCGCGGAGCCGAGATTCATGCCTCTCGAAATGCTGCGGACGGATAATGTCAGTGCCATTGCGGTGCATTCGCTTTGCGACTTCGTTGATCGACATACAATCTCGAGACAGCCACGGCCACCACGAAGCCATACCATATCCATGATTCCACCACGAGCGCGACCATCGCCACGCTCTGGGACAAGCCTGCTCTTTATGGATACTCTTGTGGTGTAGTCCTATCCTGTATTGATTTGTACATCTCAAACCGCATATTCGTCTCGGCCGTATTCCAAGCGCAACCGCTTCGGTTTGAGTCGCAAGGTCACCTCTGGGGCATGACAGAGAGGAAGCGAGGACCGGATATCCAAAGTTGATATTAGACGTATGTCAGAGTGATTGAGGGGAGGGAAGTGGAGGAGGGATTACTACGCGAGAAAGACGTGGGATGTACGACAGGCGGTGGAATCCTTCGAGTACAGACCTAGGCAAATCAACTACGTACGACGGTACAAGTTGCGCCTGAGCTTTCCTATCGGTCCCGCTGTCACGAAAGGATCTAGAGTGGAGGGTGGCGCTCGCCAACATCCGGTTTCGGCGTTGGGCAGGTTGCCTGCAGGATTCATTGATGCCACTCTGATTCAGCATGACATCCGCTACCAGTCCAACCATAGAAGCGACTTATGCCTATATTAGATATCCTGATTATGCCGGACCGTCATCATCCCAAAGACCTGGTAAGATATCATCTCTCGAGTCCACCCGTCAATCGCCGCTGCAACCGAGGCCGGAATGCTCCTACAAGGTTTGCCCCCACATCGTTCCACCTTCCCAGCCGAGCAAAGAGGCGCCAAGGAATATGCCATTACCATTGCCACGCCTTTCTGTACCAACGGCGCAGTACCACTAACGCTCCCGCGGGATGTGACAGGCTGTCTGGAAAGAGGCAGGCGTCCAAAGAAGTACAAGTAGCGTTCCGACTGCACCACGTGTGTGCCAGACATTGATTTGAGACACGGAAGGATTGCGGGAAGAAGATGTTGTCGAGGCTGCGACGCTGAGTAGACGAAGCGCGGCAGCAATGTGTTCATAAAGGTTGGTATGACCGATAGTAACTTCTGTGTGCCATCTAATAATAACGTACAATCGGACTGCACCCACGGCGATGCAGTGCACCGCACAGTACCATGCAGACCGTCCAACAGCCCCATGTCAAAGAAAGGGGAGAATATACACACAGCCACCACTAGCCGCGAAGTCAGGGCAGCAACCATCCCATATCTCACCCAATACATCCATGCAATACGATACCTATCCATACACGTCTCCACTCATATCTGGCCCACCTCATCCTACTACCCACCGCAATCTACGAATTCTTGACAACCCCAACCTTCGCCGCTCTCAACACCCGTCCATTAAGCATAAACCCCTTACTCTGCGTATAAAACACCGTCCCATCCTCCTTCCCCTGCTGCGGCGCCTGGAAAGTCGCCTCCATCGTATTCGGATTGAACTTCTCCGCCGTCTCGCCAGGATCAAACCTCTCCATCCCGTTCTTCTTCAGCGTCCCCATCAATATCTCCTCAGTCATCTTGAGCCCCGAGTGCAGGTTCTTGAGATCCCCGTTCTCAGCCAACTTCGCAGCATCGACGCCACCGAGCGCGCGGTCGAGATTGTCTACGCTATCTAGCAAGTCTTTGGCGAAGCGTTGGAGAGCGAAATCCTTGGCTGCTTGGACCTCGCGTTTGGTTTGGTCCTGGAGGTTGCGGTACTCGGCTATTTGGCGTTTTAGACGGTCGGTGACTTCAATGACTTCCTTGTTTTTCTTTTCGAGTTGTGCTTGAAGTCCATCACCAGCTGCTGCAGTAGCTTTGTCGCCTGTGCCTTGCGCATCTGCTTGTTCTGCCGCAACATCGTCCTTTTTCGCCTCAGCGGGTTCAGAGTACCATCTTCGGCCTTGTAATGTTGATGATGCTGATGGCGCGACTGTGCGTGATGTGAGGAATGGTCGAATCTGCGGTGATAGTCGGAAAGATAATGATGGTCGCGTGGCGTTCTGGACTGATCGAAGGAGGGATCGCTGGATCATGGTTGCGGTATGCGTTGCTGAGATTTTATGATATGCTCAAATTACTATGTGGTATTGGTAAGCGGTAACGGCTCGAGGTGTTTGGTGTCTTTGAGATCAATGCGATAGCCGTGGTGTGTTGGAATATGGTAGTCGATGGATAGCTACATAATTTCCTAGATGATGCACGGACACGACTGAGCACTTCCTCCGTCTTCGCCGCATTCGCCGCCACTGTCGCGTGCTCACCTTCGATCCAACAACAACACGTAGATACGACTGTATGCGAAGTCATGATGCTCGGTCAAGCCCGAACAAATGTATAACGTGATCTTGGTACATGTAGCTATGGATACACATGCAACTGACCTCTCGACAGCAACAGCAGAAAGCTTCGAGCCGTTCAGCTAAGCCATAGTCATGGAGCCTCAGTGCTCGCACAGCGGACCACATCTACTTCTTGGCCTTGGCTTTTCCCTTGGCTTTGCCCTTCGCAGGCTTCTCGTCCTCTGCTTCCTCCTCATCCTCATCGCCCTTCGTCTTCCTCTTCTTGCTCGCTCCTGCCTTCGCGCCACCCGAAGTAGCAGCCTTACGCTTCTTCGGCTGCTTAACATACTTGTCCTTCGATAAGTCGACATCCTCTTCGTCGTCTGCCACAGCTTCTGCAGCATCCATGGCTTCCTCCTCTGACTCCTCAAGTGCTTCTTCCAGGTCCGGACGCTCTTTCGCAGGCGCACGCTTGGGTGCCATGATCTGACTTGCTTTGATAAAGGGCAGAGGGTGAGATTGCTGGTTGTATCTATTCGGTTGTCAGCATGGTTTGTATTTCGTACAACAAGGCCATTGACGTACAGTCTGGTGAAGGTGGCTTTGGCCTGCGTCTCGATCTTGTTCTCCGCCTTCTCCCAATCTGCATTGCCGACACCCAACTCAAAAACAGCCTCCCAATCGTCCTTGGTAAGGTAATAGCTGTCCATAAGCTCAATGACTTCCGGCACAGCCTCCTTACCATCAGTTTTGAGCTTTTTGATCAGTCGCTCGTACAGGACGGGCAGATATGTCTGACGAATCTCATGTCGATCAGCAGTAACACGCAGGCGCATATGTCCTTGAATCTCCTTGACCATGCGCATGAGTTTGCCTTGGCTTGAATTCTTGCCCAGCCACGTAGTGAATCTCGTCTGGCCATGACCAGCGGTACTGCCATACACATAGCTGGCAGGACGTACGAAAGAGAACATGGCGTGTGTAGGCATCAGACCCCATTGCTGCTGGCTTCCGTGGATCATGCGGTCGACGAGATCACCATCAGAGATCGAGCTAGCGGCTTTCGAGACAAGGTCCAGAGTCGCCAACTTCTTCATCTTCGGATTTTCATTGTATTGGTTCGTCCGCTGTGGATTCGTGCCAAGGTAATTCTCCTGTAGCATCAGAGGCGCGAATTCGTGATCGTTGAAGTAGAGCTCCTGTTTGTCATTGAGAGTACTCTTCGAGGCGGCGTTGAAGAGCCCACCACCCAAGATCTTGTACACCATGTCCCAGGGCTTCAGGACGATGTGCTTCTCCCAAGCCTTCGACATGTCCTTGCCTTCCTCGAAAGACATGGCCTCAGCATCAAGCTTGGCAGTAGAGATCATGTTGACAACCTGCCTAATATCTGCGCCGCTGCCCTCGATCAGCGCATTGATGACATTCGGCGGGATCTTCAGATTTTCCCTGAAAGCAATCGTACTAATCCTGCTTCTGATCATATCTGTCGTGGGTCGTCTGAAGCCTAAATCATAGGTGACGAAGTCGAAAGGCTTCATCTTCGGCAGCTTACGATCGTTGCAGATCAGGATCATAGGTATCTGACTCTTTTTGCAGACTGCAGCCAACGCGCCAACACCACCACGATCACCAGCCGACATACCGTCCACCTCGTCCATGATCAGAACAAGCTTCTTCTTGGACGCATCGGCATCAGAGCCGCCAGATCCAAAGTAGCCCATCAACGAAGTTGTCGAAAGTACGCCTTTTAATCCAGTCTCGACAAGCTTTTTGCTGCGAGTATCTGAAGCATTCGACTCGACGATATCATAGCCTTCCAGCTTTGCCACGAGATGCGCAGCAGTCGTCTTGCCAATACCTGGTGGTCCATGAATCATGACAGCTCGATAGATACCCGATCCATCCGCACCAGGCAGCTTGAAGCCTTTTGACTGACTTTTGGGAAACGCTCGAAGCCACCGCGTCAGCTTCTCGACCTGGCCTTTGTTGCCGCAGATCTGACTGAGCTGCTGTGGCGCATATCGGACAGTCCATAGTCGAGTGTCTGGCCCGACAGTCGACTCCTTGCCCTTGCTCTGCGGTGCAGCAGCCTTGCCATTCGTTGACGCGGCGGCCTTCGCCTTTTTAACGGCTTGTGCAGCTTTCTCCTCTCGATCCATCTCTTCGGCTGCTTTGCGCATTTCTGCTTCGTCCTTAGCCCGCTTCTCCGCCATCTTCCCAGCTGCAGCCGAATCACCACCGTTCGCAGGTAGTCGCTTGATCAGCTCGAAAAGTCCGTCTTCATTGATAGTCTTGAGCCCATGCTGCTTGATCGTCTCCAGCTTCTTCGGGCCTGCGTCTTCGCCAAGGATCACATAGCTCGTCTTTTTCGACGGCGCAGTGGTCACTTTGCCACCATACTGCTTGACAAGGGCTTGTCCCTGATCTCTACCCAGCTGAGTAAGCTGACCCGTGAACACGAAAGTCAAGCCAGCAAGACAGTTCTCCTCGCCTTGTGGTATGTCGTTCATGTTCATGGCACCAGCTGGAACAGCAGAATTCGCGTGTTGACCTCCATATTGGAATTTGGGCTTAGCACCATCGCCATCAGTTTTCGCCGGCGGCTCAGGAGCTTGCACAGTCGGTATACTGTCAAAGATGGCCTTCATCTTTGCACTCTCCTGTGGTTCGTCCTTTTTCGCGGCCTTCTTTGCTGGTGTAGCTCGTTTCTTGGCTGGCTTGACTTCCTCCGTGTCCAGATCGTCGTCCTCATCCTCCAGCGCCGCTGACTTGCGCTTCTTACTCGCTTTGGCAGGTGTCTTCTTGGCCGGCTCGTCCATAACCACTTCTTCATCCGCATCAGGTACCAAGAAATCGTCGTTAGGGTTACTATCTTTCATGTCCACATCTGCGTCTGGCTCAAAATCATCCTGGTCGTGATTTTTGAGCTTTTTCTGCTTGCCTGCTCTCTCCGCCCGTTTTGGCACAAGTGGCTTATCGTCCTCATCGTCTGTACCTTCCTGATAGTCATCGCCCGCGCGCCTTCCAACCTCAGCTTCTTGCTTGAAATTGTCCGCACCACCGTCCTCGTCCATCAAGTCATCATCCGGAAAGTCCTCAGCATCTAGCTCGGCATAACTCGTGTCCTTCTTCCTCGCAGAGCTTCGCCCGCCATTGGTCTCCGCCTTCTTGCCATTCGCTTGCTTCTTCGGCGTCTCTTCTGCTGCAGGCTTACCTCGTGCCTTCGGTCGTCCAGTATCGCTTCGTTTGGGCTTACTGCCCTGGGCAAAGTAGTTGTCGGCCGTCGTCTCCTCTGCTGCATTTTCCGGCTCCGGCTGCTTCTTCCTTGGTGTGGCTTTCTTGGGTTTGACGTCTTGTAACTCTTCATCCTCGTCGTCGCTAACAACCTTGCGCGCTCTTCCTCGACCTTTGGGTTTCGGTTCCGCCGCCTTTGGCTTCTCCGCTGCTGGTGAACCTCCCTTTCCGCCAAAGAAAGAGCGAATGTCTGACGGCATGGTCGTTAGAACCGGTCGTACAGCTTTTGTATTACCCGTCCATCACTATGTGTACACAAAGATAGAGGAACAATGGGTGAATTGGCATGCGGCCTTGACCAGTGCTTCGTCGCCTGGAGCTTTGAAATGTGACGCGTGCCTTCGCGTGGAAGTCGCGATCGTCATTTACGGGGTCAGCCGCAGCATGGATTCGATAAGCTCAATCAATATTTGATTAGTGGGCCATTGCACCTCGACTCTCGCGCGGGAGCTCTTCTCATACCTTGTCGACCGAGCGAGGCCAGCTCTGGTACGCGCACGTCTGGTCAAAATCCCATCGCAATGGCCGCGCAACAGCTCAGACCGCTCTCTACGTCCCTCCTCTCCTCCTTCACCACAAGAGCATGCTGTGAGTTCCAGCATCTTCATCCATCCCTGTGCTTGACTGACTTTGCTCAGGCCTCCAGAGTGCTCTGCAAGCTCTCATCTCGACAACACCATCTCAATTCCAGACACGTGCCTTCTCCAGCACCCCTAAGACCCTGAACTGGCTCTCACCAAAGGCTGGTGAAAGCAGTAAATCACGAAAAGGACGACCTCGAGTACCAACCGGCGGCAGCACACGCGGCACAACTCTCGTCTGGGGCGACTATGGCATACGGCTAAAGGACCACGACAGACGGATAAGTGCCTCCCAACTCAAAATCGCCGATGCGACGATCCGGCAACGACTACGAGGGATGAAATACCGCCTGTACGCCCGCGTGTCTGCAAACATAGGCGTATACACCAGTGGAAACGATCAGCGTATGGGTAAAGGCAAAGGGAGTTTCGATTACTGGTGTGCTCGTGTACCAGTGTCAAGAGTGATCTTTGAGCTGAAAGGGGATGTGCATGAGGCAGTGGTCAAGGATGCGATGAGGATTGCTGGGAACAAGCTGCCTGGGACGTATGAATTCGTGAGGAAGAACGATCCACCCATGATGGGCATCACGAAGTTAACCGAAGGATACACGGAAGAGATGCTCAGGAGGCCGAGAATGGATATAAGCAAAGCTGCGATGCCGAACCTGGAGGGGAGCGCGAACAGGATGGATGCTACTGTATGATCTAGCGTGTATCGTGTAACGTTACCTGGGAAGCTGCTCAAGATCATCTCAAGTCTACCGGATGTCCGGTGACAAGAATTGCTCTTCGAAACGTCAGACGGCTGATGTGCAGGAGTGGGAGCACTCTGCCGATATTCACGCTTACCATGGCTAATAAATAAAGGACAGTTCGGAGCAGCGTCAATAAACTGAGGTCAAATGCGCGGTGAAGCTGAACAGGCAGGTCCGCACTCTGCGTTCAACGTCACTCCATCATATCGCGACTACGTTGGAGAGATACCATTCACCTCATCGCGATAGTTTCCCGCGCTACTCACAAACAGGAGACACGATACCTGCACTTCGATGCCTAGCGTGCACATATACAACACGTCCAATGTCATCATAGCGCAGTACCATTCCAAGATCGACCATGCCAGCCTGCGAGCACGGTCACAAGCATCCGCCATGGCCCAAGTTCGGGCCGCTGGTCATCTGCCCAGGTGAGCGCAAGTGTAGATATTGCGAATGGCAGACTTCCGATCGTGAAGGCGCTCCTGCAGACGCGAAGATGGACAATGGGGCTGCCCAAGTCCTTAGGAAGCACGTGTACCATGAGCATACTGATGGTGGAAAGGAAGATAGATCTGGGGTGGAGGTCATGCTATATCGGTACGTATCGTGTAATGATCTAGCTTGTCGCCATGTACTGACAAGTTTTCGGTTTTGCAGGCCAGGACAGAAGAAAACGAAAGGAGAGTCGATGGGACGGTTTGCAGGTGGCGAGACAGATGACGAGGACGAGATCAATGGTCTCAGCGAGGATGATTCGAGCCTCGAAGACCACGCAATGGAATCCAAGTGTGCCACCGAGAACGACGTCAATCCAAAGCCATCACTGATGATCAGACTCAAAGTCGCAGCGAAGGCTCAACTGAGCAATATCGACACACAGAAGGCACAGGAGCTACTTAGATCGTGAGCGATGACCACGAACGGGGGCCGGAAGGGGGAGTAGGATGAAAAGCTTTTTTGAGGAATGTCACTTTAGCCCAGCTACCACTGGCTTGTTTTACTGGCTGCCAGTTGTCTGGTCGCAATAGAGACTTAAGCGATTGGTGTACATTCTGTTCATTTGCGAAGATGGCCCCTTTCAACCAAGGTGCTAGGGTGATTGATGCCGGACATATAAATGGCAATAGTTGCTGTGGCAGGTAGTCGAGGCATCTTCAAGTGAGGTGAGTGTACAGTCTCAGGATGTCTCGTTCAACGCCTTAGCGGTCGAAGTCAATGTGTGTTTCGTGCTCACCGTCAAGGCAGTGCAGTCTGCTGCAAATATCTTGAACGGCTTTTATCTTGCCAATCCAAGTGACTGACACCATCCCCTCGAGAACAGGTTGTCAGGTATCGGCTTGGTGACATTGGCATTTCAGTGGATGGCCTGACAATGTCTCGCTTACGACAAGAAGGTGTCATTATGCAGGTCTCCTTATCCGGGAGCAAAAGAACAATGTTGGCAGGGTACGCATCGTTCCCATGTCGCCACCCGCGAATGGTCGTGGTAATAACAATCTGGTGCAACAGAGATCCCAGGAGACGGGAGAGCCGTTAGACGCTCGTCTATCACGACGCCGTCTTCATACCAGATCTACATCGCGTCCCAGTGCGCATAAACGACCGTTTTGCGCATCACCGTGGCCGTTGTCGATCTTCTGAGCATCGAAATGGTGACGATAAGAGCGGTCTTCACTCGATCAACCACAACGATTGTTGCCACTGCCGTGGCCATGGCCGCGACCGAAAGAGCAGAGTGCTCGGCAATGCTGCAAGATGCGCTCAGCGTGCAGCTCCGATTCTCGTCTCCAGCCACAGAATTCAACATTACCCACTTCCGTCAGCGACTGAGGTGGCACCAAATGCGCAGCAATCACGATCCAGGATCATGAGTGGTCGCAGGAGCTGCAGGCGGTCGGACAACAAGAAATGCGCTGCGGGCTGACGATTGTGATGGACAAGTCGTTGCTGGTCGCGGACAACTGCCACGACAACACCGATTCTGAAATCTGGTACAAGCCTGTATCTGCGCAGCCTCGATCGAGAGATTGTGGTCTCGCGGCAAATCAAGGCACGTTACGAAAGGCAGAAATGATGTGTCTCTCTGAGCCTCAAAGCCACCCCACCGGACGAAATGAAGTGTGCAGCGTAAGCAATCCTAAACGTAAGCTCGGCTAAAGTGACATTCATCTCGACTCGAGAACATGACCCTAAGATTTATGAGGGTGTGAAGCCTCTGAACTCAGTGCGAAGAGATTTATTGCCCAGAAAGGTCAACGACGAGAGCAACGAATGACAGTCAAATGCACTCCCGAGTGCGGCGACTGGACGAATAGCAAATTTCTGGTGTGTGAGAGCAGCCATCGTATAGAATGTCGGGAGTCGACACTAGGCCCCTTGAGACGTTGACGGACCTGCAGGTACGGATCACCAACCGCTTGGCCAGCGAATCAAGGCTCGGTGCCTTCCCGGTGCCTGAGTCCGAGGCGTTGGTGAAGTCTTGGATCAGCTGCCTCTTTGGGCTTGGTAGGCCGAGACAGAAACTTCCCTGCTGAAGCTGCCGCGGCCAACGGTCCATCGACTAGGATACGACATAGGGCTGCACTCTGATTGCCCAGCCGTCGGGCTGCTAAGGCTCTCAGGGGAATAGTGCTGAATAGCGCTGCTTGACCACGTTTTATGGGGCCAACGGGAGGACTCTGCGCTGAGGACGCGACAGCTTTGCAATAAGATCCCCCGTCGATCGCGCACGTTGTCCTGGTTTCCTTTTCTCACCACGCTCTCTATCTCTCTCTTGCGCTCTGGAAAGCTGCTTACCACTGCTGTGCGGTATCACTCTTTTACTGAACCAGCTCTCACTCATTCTGCTAAGCAACTCAAAAGTCTTCACTCTCTAGACTTCCAGCTCAACACGCGCATCTGAACATTATATCACGACCGATAGACAATTTACGATCAATCGAAAATGTACGCAATCCTTGCTTCTGCGGCCCTTCTGGCCACCACTGCTGTCGCACAGTCCGTCGGCTCGGCCACTGTCGTAAGCAAGTGCAACTACGATGTGTTCCTCGCCAATGTCCCCGCCCAAGGTGGTGGGTTCAACGAGGTTGACCGCACATTGAAGTCCGGAGACTCCTACACTCAACAGTGGACCGAGTTGTCCAACGGCAACGGCTGGTCCATTAAGCTCTCTAAGGACAAGACGAACTGGAACAGCGACATTATGCAGTACGAGTACACCTTCCACAACGACGGCATCATCTGGTATGACCTGAGCGATGTCAACGGCAACCCATGGTCCGGTGACTGGGAAATTACTGCCAATGCCACGTCCAGCCCCTGCACCCCTAAGCAGCAGGCCTACCGCTACGCGACCGACGATGCTTATGGCATGCAGTCGTGCTCTCAAGACGCCGACATTACTGTCACTCTCTGCTCCGGCGAGTCCCAAAATGACGGCGCCGCCGCCTCCGCTTCATCTTCCGTCGCTGCCGCCAGCTCTACCTTTTCCAGCGTCGCTCAGACGACCAACTCGCAGGCCGCATCCACTGCTTTGACCACGCTCGCCACGCTTGTCTCGACCTCGAGCGCTGTCACCACCAATGACGCTGGCGCAACCGTCACTCAGGTTGCCACTGCCGTCGTCACTGAGGTCGCGACTGTCACCCACTGGCGCCACCACTCCAAGCGTCACGCACGTGCCCATGCTACCGCTGCTTAATTGCTCGGTATCGACGGCCTCGTCAACGCTTCACGACTTTGCCTTTCTTGTTGATACGACAAGCGTCCGCTTTGGTTGGCGCTTGTCCACAATCCTTTGATCTTCTTCTTGTCTATAGACGCTTCACATTGCAGGGTGGCTTGGGGTCTTGGCTGGACGGGTGAAAAGTTATCAGGATCGCGCGCAAACTGTGTTTGCTGCCGCCTGCACGACTTGGTCATGATCAATGAAACAGCATGTATGTGTGGGTTACCTGATGGACGGCAATCATGCTGGATGGAGTTTTGGGTTGTGTTTAGGCTTGAGCTACGGTGCATCGTCTTCGAGATTATATACATCAGTCGGTAGTCTGTCGCTTGTATATGGTACTCACCGATTGCAAAATGTCTTTCTTGATTATAATCTCGCTCGCTTGCAAGATCGTCTGGACCCCGAGTAGTAGCAAAGTGGTAAATAGCCTGAATCTAAAGACCTCACTACATTGAACGTTACGGTGAACGCTCGTTCTCTGTCATGCTCATCCTCTCTTACCGTTGTAGTCTTCTGTTTAACATCACGATGCGTCTTATGGTCCTAACACAGGATAGCTTCAGCATACGCTGAACAAGCTTTAAGTGCAGCGATGCTACCTGTGAAAGCAGCCTCTAGCGCTTTACCACTCCGGCCCTCAACCTTGAGACTACAGCGTTTTGCTGTCTACGCGTCAATTGGCCACGTCCCAAGAAGGACTATGAATATGTCAAACAGTACTTCGGCGCTCCGCTGACTTCAAAGGACTTCCTGTTCAACTGTGGACCCGTGTCTACAGACCGCACGACCACAATTGCGAAATGTCGCCCGATGGCGCGTAGCCCACCAACCAGGATGGGTTTTCGTCTTGTCTGGCGCGTATGCTTCATATCTGACGACCTACTGTGCCACAAGGCTTTGGCATAGTATAGGTCGACGGTCGTGACTATGCGACATTTTCCTTCGATGCTGTTCTTTTCCTCAGCTCGGTTTGGTCCCTTCGAGGAAGGTGATTGGAGCCATGGCTTATGAACGACATATTCATTGGGTGGTACCTGCCACAATGTTGCTGGCCTTGACATGTGGAGCACTACTGGCGACCGGACATCACCTGTTCTACTTGAGCCTTGCTGGCGAGGTCGCTCCAACAGGGTCCTATAATCTCGCAGGGGCGACTGTCTCGAAACAACAATTCAACACGGCAGCTGGGACCGCTTTTGCGTTTCTAGTCAAGGCCATGTTGGCACTAGCTGTCACTGTGGCCTACACGCAGACGTTCTGGCGAGCTCTACAGGTGTCACACAAGGGCCTCAAGCTCCCTAGCATCGATACCATGCACGGAGTGCTAGCGAATGCTGCGGATCTTTTCAAGGTTCACGTATGGTGGAAACGGCCTTTGCTGCTTTTGCTAGCTATCATCGCATGGTATATGTCATGGTGCGTCCTTTGAACTCCCGGACATTGTTGACGAATCTCAACAGGTGTATTCCGGTAGCGTCTATTGTCACGCCTTCAACACTCTCGGTAGAGAGTGCTCTTGTTCAGCCAGCTCCTTTGATACCGGCACATGTGCCAAAATTCGATTTCGTCAACCTCAATTTCCTTGCCGGCATGAGAGGGAGTGGACCGAGCAACGAGAATTATACACAGTACTGCTATGAAGGACCTGGCCAGCTCGTGCAAAGGATCGCGAGCGCAGTGGCTGCACAGGGACAGATACTGCCTATATCGCCGCCAGCATCGAACACTAGCTGGACTCTAGACTACTCTGGGCCCGCTTTGCAGTGCAGCAATGTGATTGGCCAACAGAGGACTGCCATCTGGGACAACATCTTCGAATACCTCAACAATGCCACAAGATGTAGGAACTCGCCGGGTTATCTGTCTTGGGTGGAGATCTCCCAGACGGCACCATATCCGTTCGCCTACAGCAACGGCAGTATGAGACTGGCTGACTCTTCTCTATCGAGCGGTATCCCAACTGCCCTATGGGTGGCCACCATACCTGAGATGTTCACCAGCATTCTTATGGGAGACGAGCTCTACCCTGGTGCCTGTATGATGCAAGTCCAATTCGGCAGGGCTAAGAATGTCAGCGATACAATGGGCTACAAGAAAACTGCTGAAGCTACGTATTTTGGTAATGCCACACTGTTGCGGTGTACAGCCCTCAACGCATCCCAGACAGCGAGCTTCGACTACACCAATGGCTTCCAGCATGTTGACAGCAAGCTCACAAATGCCACAGAAGTTGAGCCCGTTGTGCCTGTCAGCTGTGTCACAGGACCTGCCGACCTCTACCAAGGGCCAAACAGTCATTATACACAAGCTATGGCAGATTGGTCCCTGGCTAATCTGAACAACGGTTCGTGCAGCACCCTGAACATGATCGGCCAGCAATGTGTCTTCCAGCCTGACCTGGCAAAGCTGCTATCATACCAGGCCATAACCGACGCTTTCAATCGGAAGATCATTGGATCGATAGGACTGGGAGATGGCACCACAACTGTACCTACTCTGACAACCACGTCTGCGATAACCGAGAGCATATTGATGGATACTGCGGAGCTTGACTTTGTTGCGCGCTGGCGCTTCGGCAGCACACTTGACCCTAACTCGGTAGGCTTAGATCTGCAATCCATGGTCCAGGCTGGGAGGGGCACGTTGATGTCAGGCTTGGTGAGTACGAACACGACTGGGACACGCGGCAACCTTCAGAAGACGCTGGAAGAGCTTTTCCAGAATATCACACTGAGTCTCCTGAGCGAGCAGTATCTACAGTAGGCAATCATCAGCTGGCAGAGAATTACGTGCAGCTATTGACGTCGTTACACAGAGCAAATGCCTCCTCACCATACGCCTCGCCGGCCTTGATCAATGTTGCACTTCAGACATACCGAAACACATACGTCTACTCGAGAACGACACTGTGGATCGCATACGGCTTAGCTTTGCTGTTCGCCGCGCTCGCTGTCACGATCGGGCTCGCGTCGATACTGCTCATGGGCAGTGCTTTTGAGAACACCTTCTCTACGATAGTTCGTGTGGGTCGTATCAGCATGGTGACGGAAGATATCGACGAATGTGACGGCAGGGGTACTGCACCATTGCCTGGACACCTTCGGAAGGCTAGGATGGTTATGGATGAGAATGGTCCGACGTTGATACAAGAGGTCGTAAAGTGTAAATGATACTATATCGTGTACTAAGCCAATAATGAAAGTGCTCCACAACTACTAATGGGGCAGTCACGCTCGTTCCCGTATACTGATAGGCATGGTGTATGAGTGCAGACCGCCACAGATGTCAGATCTGCTAAAGCCTCATAACGGTGAAGCGATTGGCAGCGTCATTGAAGGACAGTCCTGCCAGGGAAGCGCACGTTTGGCTCCTTCAAAACGACTTGACAATCGCGGAGGGATCGGCGTTGATAACAAGTGTCCTTCCGGAGTTTGCCGGTCCGATCAGCACCCTTCTGCCCTATCTCACCTCTGGCAAACATAGTCAGGGATTTGTTGAGAGGCTAAAACCCGTCGATCCCAAGCTCGCCGGCGCAGTGCGATGCGTGAGCTAGCCAGCTTAGCTGTGCGTAGGTGAGAGGTAATCCCAGGACCTGGACGGTTGATCATATAGTAGTCCTAGCAGGACGACTCCATGTCCAGAAGCTGAATTAATACATGAAGTTTCCGGCATCGATCCGGGCAACGCATTCAGACCATAGCGCCACCTGGTCAGACGAGATCATGCAAAGCATGCGGTCGAGCAGCACGAGCAGTCCCATTCACTCATGATACTCAGCTGATATTGAGCTATCATCGACGTCTGATGTTCCCGCAGCTGCTCACAAGAGCTTCAGGTGACTCGTGACCTTATCGACTTCACTCTTTGGTCCCGGGCCAACACCCAGAACGGTCGCAGAACCACTGGCAATCTGCGTGCGGCCGGCGTCGTGTATGACCTGTGCGCACAACCCCAGACTAATGGCTTGCGCCTGCAACATGAGCATATCTTCCTCGCTCTCGACCTTGACCGCCACCTTCGCTTGACCCGTCCTCTCCCACTGGCGGAGCACAGGGTGAGCAGGATTCGTGCGGATCATGGTCTTATAACAAGCGAGCGTGGCATGCCCGCATTGAGCAGCGATCTTACCTGAGAGCAGTATCAGTACACTGCATGGAAGCTATGAGTCACAGGGTGGTATGGTGCATGAAGTTCATGCTGCAGGAAGCAGGACTCAGATACTGGATCGAGGTACCACACTACCCTCGTCGCCACTTACCCTTTGTCATTCCCAGGTCATTGCGAACCACGAGGACAAGTTTGCACTCTTCGGTACTGCCGGCAAAGCTCTTCAGCTCGCCAAGATCCTGCACGTCGTCTTCTTCGTCTCCGCTTTTATCGGCTGCATCACTGATATCGGAAGCCTCGTCTGCCTTCTCATCCGGCGACGTGCGACGTGGGGTGGAGCCACCGAAGAGTCCGATAGAGCGGGCTTGGCCTAGGTAGTAGCCGGCAAGACCAGATACGATCGCAGTAGCAAGTGCAATGTTGGCCGTCGAAGGCGGTCCTCGATCCTGGACGTTGGCCATTATGCGACGGGAGTCTCTTGAGCAGGCTGGTGCGCTGCAACAGGTCTGTATCGACGCTGCTGATTAGGCTTATCGGCTTCGATTGCTGTGCTGGTCACTAATACTGCGTGGCTCGTCCGAGGACCCAGGAAAGGTATAGCCCGGGCTTATGAAAATTCTGCTGCGTCAGCTGTTTCGCCACCCAGCTTCGTGCCTCGCAAGCGAATGTCCACACCTCTACCATAGAACCAGGCAACTTCCGCACTCGTGTCTGTACGTAGATGAATGAGGGTTGAGTCCAAAAGTTGTGCGGTTTGAAGATGTTTGAGGCTGCCCCGGCAATGATTTAAGCTCCTGTTGTCGCATGGGTTTGGTGCCGGGGTTTGCATCACTAGCGCCATTTTCCCCAAAATTCTGGACCGCAAGCACACGACTGACGGCGACGAGCACGCAATGCGGTGTATCATCATGCCTCCAAACGCCTTCCTCCCTTATATGGTGCCATGGTCCGGCTTGCTAATATCTCCTGTCCCCATCGTCACGTTTGCTAGATCTCGTAATCTGTTCAGCGTTTCAGTCCCTATAGGGTCCGCGGCAGAGCAACTACTAATACCTCCCGTCTCCTCTTGAGCAAGACCACGCGTATCTTGACTCTCACTTGAACAAAGACATACTACAACACACAACACTCCGTCATGGACAACCTAGCAGACCGGCTGCGAAAGCAGCTACCAGATACGCCTCCAGTGTCACCTCCCGTCGGCTTTGCTGGTCAGAATGGTTTCAGCACACCACTGTTCCAGTCTAAGCCGAACATATTATACATCATGGCCGATCAGCTGGCCGCACCACAGCTGAATATGTACAACAAAGACTCACAAATCAAGACGCCAAACCTTGACAAGCTCGCGGAACGATCTGTGGTGTTTGACTCAGCATACTGCAATGCACCACTATGTGCACCCAGTCGCATGGCCATGATCAGTGGCCAGCTCCCGTCCAAAATAGGTGCTTACGACAATGCCTCGCCGATATCCGAAGACACACCAACATACGCTCATTACCTACGCAAGCAAGGATACGAATGTGTACTGGGAGGGAAGATGCATTTCATCGGCGATCAACTTCATGGCTACGAGTATAGGCTCACGCCGGATATCTATCCAGGTGATATGGGATGGTCAGTGAACTGGGACGAGCCGGACACCAGGCTGGAATGGTACCACAACAGTGCATCGATCCTGCAGGCGGGACCATGTGTTAGAAGCAACCAGCTCGACTATGATGAGGAGGTCATGTACAAGGCTAAGCAGTTCATGTACGATCATGTACGGAAGCCGGTAGGTAGCAGGCCTTTCTGCCTCACAGTATCGCTCACTCACCCACACGACCCGTATACAATTGAGAAGAAGTACTGGGATATGTACGAGGATGTCGAGATTGATATGCCAAAGGTCAACATTCCCAAGGATCAGCAAGATCCTCACAGCAAGCGTCTGCAGCATGTCTGCGACCTTGAGGACTACGACTTCACTGACGCTCAGGTGAAGAGGGCCAAGCGTGCGTACTATGGTGCCGTCAGCTATGTCGACGACTGCATTGGCAAGCTGCTTGACACACTGGAGCAGTGTGGCTTGGATGATAACACCATTATTGTCTTCTCTGGCGATCATGGCGATATGCTTGGAGAGCGTGGCCTCTGGTACAAGATGTCTTACTTTGAGTCTTCTGTCCGCGTGCCACTGCTCTTCAGCTATCCCAAGCTGTGGCATCCACACCACGTTCCGCAAAACGTCAGCACGTTAGATATGCTGCCAACTCTTGCCGAAATAGTCGGTGCCAAGCTCATCCCAGGTCTGCCGATGGATGGCAAGTCGATGGTGCCTCATCTGCGAGGAAAGGACACCCACGACACCGTCTTCGCCGAGTATATGGGCGAAGGCACCGTCGCACCCATGATGATGATCCGTCGCGGCAACTGGAAGTATATCACCTGCCCAGCGGACCCAGACCTGCTCTTCAACCTCGCGGACGACCCATCAGAGCTGAAAAACCTCGCCGCGAGCGACGAACCTTTCACTAAAAAGGTCTACAACTCCTTCGTGGACGAAGCCACGACCAAGTGGGACATGGAGAAGATCACCGAGGACGTCCTGAAACGCCAACGTCAGCGCATGTTCTGCTACTCTGCGCTGAAACAAGGCTTGTGGACGCCATGGGATTACAAGGTGCCCGATGACAGCCAGAACAAGTATATCCGTAGCCACATGGAGCTGGATGACTTGGAGCGGCGTGCTCGGTTCCCCATTGTCGATACTTATGGGCAGGTATTGAGAACCCAACCTACAGCGCAGAGCAAGGACAAGTTGTCGGCGAACATTGCTGCGGCGTTTATCCCTCACCAGGCTGGTGCTTGTGGGCAGTAAACAACGTTCATTAGAATGGCAGATTGGCGGCGTTGACTCTTCATCCTCGACTTGCAAGCGAGCTTACAGTGCGCTGACTGAGACACGATTCTACATGATCGTGTCACTGCGATTGCATTTACTTCTTTCTGCTGCGTTCATAGCGCTGCTCTTTGTTCACGCTGCGACGGCGCAAGGGATGGCGTTTGTGCTACTTGCGAGCCTCGGTTGGCGGGTTGGGGCTACCTTTTGTTGCATGACTGGTGATCTTCTGGTTTTGGGCGCATCTCGAAGCACGACATGTCGCGAGATCTGGCAATTGAGTTGTTGACCGACTTTTAGTCTGGACGTTGCATTGGCACCGATCTAGCTTTGGAGCATTGGCTATCATATCTTCCAAAAAGTGTTTGGTGGCTATTTAGGTCGCGATTTGCTCGTCGAAGGATCAAATGTAGATGTAGCGGCAGCATTGTAGATCAAAGCTTCAGTGCTCGTAATCTTGCTTTCATGATACAAGATGCTCCAGGTGGTCAAGCCTCGTCTTCGCTCCGTACATACTCTGTGCTACCTTCGTGTCGGTGAGCCGGATCTGCTAAAGTGAGCTGTATACAGCAGTGACATGCATGCTGGACGGCACAGCTAACCGCAAGGGAAAGAATGAAAAAGGTAGACGAAGCTACTGTGCGGCTTGCGAGGCCCTGCAGCAGCCAGCGACTACTATCTCGATGGCAACACGGCTCGAGTAGGAAGGACGACGGACGGAGTGGGTGAGATGTCGTCAACGAAGACGAATGAGAAATCAAATCGGGAACATGTGATGGGCTTTGAGTTTCGCCTAGCGTCGTTGCTTGCGTTGCTTCTCCAACCTCACATTTCAACGACGGTCGTAAGCTTTCTGACTGCAGAGGGAACGAGCTGCTAAGCGGCCAGCCTCGCATCGTGAAGATCGAAGCCAAAACACTCGCTATAGTCGATGGGTAAATGCAGTCGTGCCACTATACAGGGTGGAGAAGTAGAAAGTACCTCGTTAAGGCAAGGTAGCGGAGCAAGCCTGGACTTTCGGCAAGTCTGTACGTTGAGAAGTGTCTCGTTACAACCAGGGTTTGGAACGAACATCATCAATAGTGTTCGATAATTTGTACAAGAAGTGTCTGTGGTTATTCTTGAGCACGACTATAAACGGAGTTATTCACTTCATACATCTGTGAAGTCTACAATGGTTTGTGCAGTAGCTTGCCTTTGATGCGCGAGCTAAAGAGGCGAGAGTGCTCCCGTCGAGGCCGTCGTGGAAGCTATGTCCATGATCTACACGAACAGAGCAACCTCCACATGTACGAGCGTTGAGCGCACTTCGATGTGGAGACAGGCATACTTAGCCGCCCTCGAGCGGAAGTATTTATTCAGTGGCAAGCTGCAAGAAAAGCTCTTACGTGGTAGTGAAGCTGTAAGAGAGATTGACTTTGCGCTACCTAGCCATTCTACTTATAGAACTCGATCTTGGCAGTGAACGGGGTGGTTGCGACTCTCACCAGTCGCCACCCAGCACACCTTCGCGGCTCTGCTGTACGACCCAGCCGTCGTGGACCGCGGTTCACTGACTGCGAAGGTTTGCAGCGGTCGTATGCCGAACGTCACCTTGCGTGGACCATGCACACATTGTTCGTGCGGCGATCCGTCTGCACTCCCCACCTTGCCTCGTAATGCTGTGGGCAAATGTCAATAGATGGATGTAATACGGTCTCTGATGGCCCCCGCAACAGTGAACGGGCGCCAATCGATTGTGAGCTGCGGAGTAGTCGGTCGTTGCCGGAAAAGATCTGATGCACCAACGAGAGAGGCGTTCGCCAGTCTGCAGCCTGCAGAGTGGTCCGCATTAGCGCTACAGATGACCTGACAACTACCTGCTTAGAAGAGCCGCGATTTGCGTAGGAGCAAACATCGACTACTCGAACCGCTGATTCGTGCATGAGGGGTTTCAGGCGGGCAATGTCGAGATCGGCGCATGAGCAGAGTCGAGGTGTCGGCCCGTAATAACGTGAACAATCCACAGCAACGGGGTGAATCAACGCCCACGACCTGTGTGTTGGGAAGTCAAAGCCGCGTAGGGACCCGTAAAAGCGGATCACATCGAGTCCGACACGGCAGCGATGTAGCAAAAACGCCATGGTTACCATTGGCTACTGAGGCCGCGAGGAGCTTTTTGGGGTGGCCGGCAACAAGCTGGTCTCAAAGTGACTGGCTGGTCCCTGGTCCCTGCTTCCCGCTAGCGGTTTCCGGGGTGGCTAGCAGCCTTCATTCACCACTGAGCGACCCGCGGCGTTGGTGGTACTTAAGGTAGAAGACATTCCAGCATTCCTCGCCTCCCTCACACAACAATCAGAACTCTCCATCCGCATCCATCAAAAAGTCCTCTCCGCATCCTTCCGCGAGCAGCTTCATCAGTCACAGACTTACTCTCGCTCCAAGCATCTGTTAACAACAACTAACCGTCGCTTCATCGACCTGCACTTCGTTGCACATAATAATCCAGCTTCATTAATACCAACAACACCTTCGCTCCAGCCAACATGCGTTACACCATCGCCTCCGTTGCCTTTGCGGCTCTCGCTGCCGCCGCTCCCCAGGCCCCAGCCTCTACCTTAGCTCCGTCTGCCCCAGCTCCCGCCGGCTGCTCACCCAACTACAGCGGTCAGTTTACGATCTCGGCCGTCAATGTCACTAAGAGCGGATCATCCAAGGCCAAGGTATGTCTACACAACATCAGTCACTACAAACGATCGTCTCAGTCACTAATCTAAACAACAGAGGCAAAGCTCCGATGACACCACCCTCATGATCACCTTGAACAACGGTATCCTTAAGGACGCCAAGGGTCGCCAGGGAGAGGTTGTCGCCAACCACCAATTCCAGTTCGACAGCCCACTCCAGGCTGGCGCCCTCTACACTGCTGGCTTCTCCGCCTGCAGCAACGGCTCTCTTGCTCTCGGTGGCTCTGCCATCTTCTACCAGTGCCTGAGCGGTGGCTTCTACAACCTCTACGATCAGTCCACAGGAGCTCAGTGCTCGCCCATCTACCTCGTCATGTCCGGCGCTGGTTCTACCTCAGGTGTCGCTTCGCAGCAGTCCGACGGCCAGGTCACTGCCACTCCCGTCTCCTCCAGGCCCGTCACTCAGCTCACTGATGGACAACCCGGTGCCGGCACCAGCGCAACTGCCAAGCCCATCAGCCAGATCTCCGACGGACAAATCCAAGCCTCCACCAAGGCCACTATCTCCTCCGTCACTGCCCGCCCGATCAGCCAGATCTCCGACGGACAGATCCAGGCTAGCACTTCAGCTCCCAAGCCAACTGTCGCCCCGGTCTCGCAGATTTCTGACGGACAGATCCAGGCGCCCAAGCCAACCTCCACTGGCCGTGTGGTCTCCCAGATGAGCGATGGCCAGATCATTGCTTCCAAGACCAACGGCACTGTCGCCTCCCCAACCGCATCCGTGGTCGCTTACACCGGCGCTGCCGTCCCCAACGCCGTCAGCGGTGGCCTCCTCGGCATGGGCGCTCTTTTCGCCTTTGCCCTCCTCTAAGCATGTTCGTGACATGACTTGACGATCATTAATATATCACTGGGTGGGACCAGTGATGGGCTTGCATTACACGACTTCGATGTGCATATGACGTTTTGGGACAAGGAAGGGTGGGGCTGAAGTTCAGCTCACAGAACAGGTCTATGAAATGGAAGGGAGTTTTAATGTTTCATGGTAGGATCCAAGGGTTGGGATGACTCAACGATAGGTAACGTCGGTCATAGGATGGAAGTGGTAATTACTGGTTATGGTATGGCCTTGCATAGCCAAAGGCCAATGCATTCTCTGTTGCATAGTAGTATTAGCGTTCTAGTTTCCAGCTCAGAATTGCACAAAATCATCCACAACAAACAAATCGCTTTCATTGTCAGTTGTCACTGTCGGCCAAGAGTCTGGGCCCTGCATGACCTACTTATACTTCGCTGCACTCCTCAGCTCCTCTCGTCTGCGTGTGTTTCACATCTGAATGTTCTTGACTTTGAAGTGTCTCGGATACATGCTTGTTGAAAACATCATCTGGCCGTTAGCCGTTGACACACTGATATTACATTTGTTCGGGATGGTAATTTGGCAATCTATCACTGTCATTGACTCCAAGCTAGTATTGTGACATCTATTGGCAAGGTCATCATTGTATATCCATAATGCAAGTGACAGTCTCAACAAACGTATAGGCACCTATACCCTCGATATCAAAACTCATCGGCGGAACTCATAGCACTGCCTTTCAGTTGAATAGTTCGCCCGATGGGTTTCAAGATATCAGTAGATAGCATTAAAGTCCAGTTCCGATACCGCAAACCCGAGCCGTGAACTCAAGCGCTTCTGTGGCTTCGTGCTGAACGACAGATGCAGGAACAGAGCAGTATTGTGCTGATGCGAAATCTTGAGATCCTCCTCCTGGGCAGTAGCCGTAGCGTTCACTGAACATGAACTAAAGTCTTGCTCGATGGTAGTTTGATCCGTTCCAACGTGATTTGTGTAAAGACTAGCACATGCGGTGGAAGAAGCACAATAGTAAGCTTGGTTTGAAATGGTATGCCTTCTATACTATAAAATTACCCTGTCTGCACCAGCCTCAACCTCAACAGCACACCTAGATGCCTAGTACAAGTCACCAAGCGTCTGACTGGAGGTATCAGGGGCAGCATCATCCACATGCTTCCTCTTGCTTGGTGCCGCGCCTCTTGCTTGGTGCCGCCGCCTCATCCCCATGCTTCCTCTTATTGATGCTCGATGTCTCCAGCAGACGGGTCACAGGGACGCCATCGAGCCTTGAACCACCACTACCATCCAGCCTCACGATGTGACTACACTCTTGGAAGAAATCCATCACCCTCCACAACGCCTGGCCTCGGATTCGAGCCTCCTTAGTGTCTGGCGACTTATCATGGCGCATGCGATTCAGCTTGCGATGCGGACCAACCAGAAACATAAGCTGTTTGACACGGCTCATGGCCACACTCACTCGCGTTGGCTCAGAGACGTACGGTACCGTGTTTTGCTCCACCCCGACCAAGTGCCAGATGACCACATCGGCCTCATCACTACGAAAGCTGTCGACTGTGCAGATACGGACGGCATGCAGATCAAAAGAAGCGGAAGTGTCAACGAGGCGGCCATGGCCGGCCTCATCCTCACGTCGGCGCTGTCTGTTCATTACGTCTGCGTCCCTGGCGTAATTGCTGATCACCACAATCTTCGTCGGGTGGACCATGGCTTTCTTTACTAAGAAGCGAACGATGTTGAGGCAGGTATCGATATCTTCTGGGTTGTGGCGGGCTGTCCGAGAAGGCGAATCGAGAGGCACCGTATAGGACTTCTGCTGACCCTTGACACTACCAGATCCACGAAACGGGAGACTCATAATAGAGCTGCTCGCACCGCTGTATTCCTTGGAAAGCTCGCCGTCCACTTCGACCCAAACAAATGGCTTGTCAGGCAAGTCCAGTGTGGCAAGCTTGCCGTTCAGGAAAGAGCGGTCATCTTTGCACTTCTCGACGCTGGCTATTATGTCATCATCACGATGGTCGCCGAGAGAGAGGAGGCGTGGGTACTTGAGTTTCGGCAACATAGTGTTGACGATTGCGGGCGGGTTGCGGTAGTTGACCATGAGGTAGCAACACTGCTTGGAGTGGAGGAAGAAAGCCTCGAACGGTGACCTGTTCAGTGCTACGCCGAATTCTGATGAATTGGACCGTGATTTGGGTCGAGAGCCATGTTGCAACGGGTCGCCGAATATGAACATATGTCGCATGGTGGGGTTGGACTGCACCGCGAGGTTGAACTGAGGTACAGTCATTTGCGAGACATCGTCAACCATAATGACATCAGCCTTGACGCGGCCGCGATGTAGCAAAAGCGATAACGTATCGAGCGTGGCCAAGATAACGTGGCATTTGGCAAGGTTTCCGCCTCTGCTTGCTCCGCAAATGCCATGATCTGAGCCTTTGTTGATGGATTCGACGACTTGAGCATGCGACCATACTCATGGATGCAGGTGTCCCCTTGTTCGTCCGCGCATTGCATTGCTTCTCGGTGAGTAAGATATGCCACCGTATGCTGGGGCGGATGCACTCCTGCGTGTGCCGACTTGACGGGCAATTGCTTGTCGACGGCGAAGCGCATGTAAATCTCAGCACCAGTAGTGTTGGCGCGCGAACAGCGGATGTCGAGCCCGGAGTCAGTCAAAAGCCCCTGGATCAGCTCGCTGACTTGGAGCCGTTTCTCGAATATCCGGTCGATTGCCCCATTTGATTGAGCGGTGATAATGATACGCTGATCGTACAGAACACAGGAAAATGCAACCAGTACCAGGGTCCTCGTTTTGCCTGATCCAGGTGTACCGATCAGCTGACAGAAGGCTTCGCAACAATATTGAATTCATCTGTCGAAGAACTCTTGTTGGGGCGTGTCTGCCATATCTCGAAGTTTGTTGACGAGCTGCATGGTCTTGACACGTTGTTCGGCCGTCAGAGTCTGTCCATCCCAACGGTGCAACCTCCGCGTGAACTCGGCTGCAAGATTGATCGTCCAAACTCTCTTTCAGAGAGTTTCCGACAAGGAGACGAGAGAGATCCACGCCGACAGGACGAACGGGCCGGTCTCCGACCCTTAGTATAGTATGCATCCGAGGTTGCAAAGTCGAGTGACCTGGACTGAGGCTGAAATGAGCCTTGATCTGCGCTGCGGCGCTAGCGTCCAAGTTCGTGGCTTCACACAGAATGTAGTCGAGGTTGTTCTTGTCCGACCAGCTCGCAACACAGCACTCCATGATGAAGTCGAATTCCGTGGAATCCATGGGCTCCACGATCTTTCCAGTGACCTCGCAAGTGCGATTCTCTGCTCGGGAAAATGATGGAGCTGGATGTCGTAAGATCGAGTGCGCAGGTGAACTCATTTCCTAGTGCTGGAGCTACCTTTTCGTCTACCCCCGGGCTGAACTTGATGCCGATGCTGTAAACGGTTTCACCTAGTCCGTTTGAGTGACATGCTTCGATGGGCGCAAGATGACTCAAACTGGAGACATAATCGCAATATGCGGACATGTGTTGCCATTCGCGCAAAAGTGCGATCATGTACTTGCTGGTGACGTGTTCGCACGTTGGGGATACAGGCGGGCTGACGTATGCAAAGGTGTCGAGGTCTGTGATCTTTTGAGTCTTGCTGTCGTACAAATAGTTGGGTAGCTCGGGTACAGTCTTTTGGGACATGAACGCATCATACATGGCCTGGGCCAGACCGCCAGAAAAATCTCCGATGCTTCGCGCATATTGATCTTGGTAGCTCCAGAATGCGTCGAAGCCTTCCCTCAATGGACGCTTGCAATGCCTCGAAATGGTTTCGTACCAGTCAAGCGCGCCTTCACGATTCTGCATAGATGTTATGAGGCGTAATGTCCTGCAGTTCTGTAATGCGTTGATGTGCAATGTCGCAGTGGGCGAATCATCGGATTCGCTACGAAAACGGCAGACTGGGTATTGCTCAGCCCGGAAGACGACTTCGAGCTCAACAAGGATCATATTTGTGTACTCCCGATCAGGGATATCAGTGAGACACAGCTTGGGCCAACCAGCAAGCATCTTTTCTTGTTCACCCTTTGTCTTGGCTAGGTTGACATTGAAGACCCCGCACTGAGAACGCGAGATCATATGACAACTCACAGCTTGGTCCGTCGCACCTCTCAACACTGCAGGAGAGTCAAACGCAAGGTCGATCGGCTCGGTTGTAGACGGTCGCTTCGCCTTTCCATGCACAATGAATAGGCCGGGTTGCTGACTGTTGTGACTTAGATGGACTCCGAACAGATGCTTCCGTGTGCCTTCTGCTTCCTGCTTGCTGCCGCGAAGTGGGAAGTCCGCATCGGTGATCTTATCCCCATCGAGTTGTAGCACACAGTGCTCGTTCTGGAAGATTTTGTTGACGTTTTCGGGTGAGCCTTTTCTGCTTGACTTTAGAAAGAAGTCATCCCATTGGCTTGCGATATGTGATGCAGACGGCTCGGCCTTGGCGCCGGGTAGTTGTTGGCTCGCTTGATGCTGGAGTGAAGCCATAGCGCAGAAGGTTTGCTTTGGAAACGCGTTAGCATCGAGTGCGATGAGCAGTTGTACCGACATTACCTTGCTGGGTGTGAGCGCTAGGACACGCTATATGTAGGGTCGGCGGACTAGGTGTTTGAAGACCTGTACAGTAACAGCTTGGTTCACACAGGTTTGCAAACGACATTGAAGGTGTTGCGGTCGGAACGCGAACTTGAAGGGGATCGAGAACAAGGGTCCGTGCACGCAGCAGCGGCTTGCGGCGCGAGCATGAGCTTCGGGAGCGGACAGTGACTGCTTCGTCTTCCTAGCGAGATATTGCGCTAGCAGAGCATTCACTGATCGTCTATTTGGGCAAGGGAGATACCAGGACATCTCGTGCAGTAGAACGTTGCTCATACGACGCAGCCCAACACAATGCGGCCTTCCATCTCAATGGCGTATGGCTTCCCACACCAGTCAGCAACTGCGAGTAGCTTGTCCGTACTTCTCGCCGAGCGCGTGGAGCGTGATCTGAAGACTGAGATCAGGACTTAGGTGTTTGCCATGTCTGGATGTCTGCCTCTCTCCCGGCCGCCGTGTTCGCCCATGATATTGTATCTTATCAGACTATGACGGTCCCTTGCTTCCATGCTCATAGACCTGGCAGCACACAGACACGATGTTTCGGGCCCGAGGATTGCTACTGAAGGTGATGCTCGAGCGGGGACTACAGATCTCCCTGCTAGCATCTGTTTAGTCGACCGTTCCTCGCGAAGCAACGAGTGCGTCCGATCCGGCAAAGAGTGGTAGGGCGCAAAGTCTGTCGAGCAATCTAAAGGATGCCAATTTCCCGGAGTACGGATGAGCCATTGCGTATTGTCTGCCTCTATATAGGCAGTATGTCGACTGCTCAAAGACGTGCTTGCTACCATCCGGGGCTGTTCTTGCGGCGGCCGTACTCTGAATCTACATGAAGTCCGGCAGTCTTGTGTAAATGCTCGCATTCGAAGAGATTGCGGATGCTAGTGCCGTCAAATAGTTCGTCGCATGGGGAGGCCAGGTTGTGGAGCTGGGGAATGATATGGTGAAGTCTGATGTTCGCGTCGGGATGACTAATGGCAGGAAGCGTACAACCCTAACGTAGAAGGTCTAAGTTGTACGCATCTACACCGACCAGTTTGGATGGAGCATGCTGTCCTGAGGCCTTTTGCTTTGCAAACATTCATCGCCTCCTGCTCTCTAACCGTCACAATGCTGCAACGAGTCTTGACTGGTTATATACTACTGCGACGCTACAAATTAGTACAGCACCCTGGCTGAGCACAACATCAAAGCCATTGGGTGTAAATGCTGCAGAAAAGTGGACATGATCAGATTGCGAGCTTAGGCACGGCTACACAGATTTGGGCTTCATTCACACACACTGCACGAAACCTGCCAAAGAGCGACAGCAAATGTCATCCAGATCTGTCACTGACCTCATAGCTTGGAGCGCATGTGAGCAAAGTCCCGGAGGCAGCTAAGCATCACAGGACTCGATCTTCTCCTCGAGGAGCGAGGCCATATAGCTGCTGGGAGATACGGTAGCGCACCATGTCCAGCTTCCTCGGAGAGAGGCCCGCATTGTGGTGATCGGTCGAGTGGAAGGTCTTACGGCTTCCGCCAGATGAAGCTGTGGTAGAGGCTGGATCATCAAGAATGCGCAAGACAACTGACTGGATTGAGACTCGGCGCTCCCGTGTCGAGACTCCTTGATCCTACTGGAGCTCTCCGTAGACTAAGTGAAGCCTTCATGGATGCAGAGATGAGTTTGCCGCTCAAGGTTGATCATGCTCGTACCGCTAGTCGCAGTCGGCGTGTAGTAGAGTACAGGTACTATGAAGGCCTCCATGCTGCCGAGATTGTCAACTGGTCAAGAGATCTCTCTGTGGGTGGACAAGCACTAGCAGATGCTTGAGATGGCATCGTAGTCTCCAGACCGGCATTTCTCATTCTCGACATAGAAGCGGATGCCTTGCTTGCTTGTCGATCAGCCATTTCTTCTAGATGCTGGTCGAACGAGTACGCGTGCTCAACTTGGCAATCGATTGGTGCGTGAATTCCTGTCGGTACACGCTCAACACGAAGAACGACTACCCTCAGCGGATGTGGCTGACGCTCATAAGGTTGATTAGGACTCTACTATCGACTGTTGGTGCCCTTTTCATCTTTGTGCAATGAAAATTGATCTCCACCCACTTCCGACTCAGCGTCCCGCTCAGCACTTTGTTGGGCCAGCTTCTCAAGTCGCTTCTTCTCCTTCTTCGCGTTGGTCTCCTTTCTCCATTGCTGACCTCTCGCCATGAGCAGGAAGAGCACTCCTATCAGCACTACGTAGACAAGCCCAATCAACGTGAAAGCCCAGCCGGGACCAATAGCATTGCATAGTGGGATGATACATGCGGCCGCTCCTGCAGTCATGAGACACCTCACTGTAGCACCATTAGCGTCTGTGCTTCCATGCCAGGATAATGAGATCTCACCAAAGTTTACAGCTGCGGTGGCGGTCGCAGGTGTCGACTTGTGTAGGTCTACGAGCAAAGTATTCGAGATATTGAAGGACGTAGATACGCCGAAGCCGATGAAGAACAGGGCTATCTCAGGAGCGGCAAGGTTGGTCCTATACTTCAATGTCCAACCAAATGCCAGAATTGCCAAGGTACCGATAACGTGCCCAGGCACCACGACTTCTAGCCGTACACGTTCGATCGGAAAGTCGGACAGATCCTGTTGTTTGCCTTTAGTAATGACAACACCTAGTCGTTTGGCATGCCGTCGAAAGTTCCAGTCTACAGCATGACCCATTGTGAGAGCACTCGTCAAGCTGCCTACACCCATCGTGATGTAGCAGAGGCCAATGTCAAGGGTGTTGAGGTTGTAGATATCCTTGTACAATACAGGTATGGCCGGCGTAGCAAAACCTACCACTGTGTCAACTCAACGTTTGAATCGTTTGATATGTTCAGAGCTTACCTATCATGCCCGTGAAAAAGGCACCGTTATACAATAGCACAATCAAGCTCTCCTTCTCGCCCAGAATCGCAAGCGTACGCAATGGATTCGGGAACGTGAACTTGCCTCTTCGCTTGGCAGCCAGAGCCACCGACGCAGTTTCGACTTCATCATCCTCATACATCTGCTTTGCATGCCGTCGTTGCTGGAGGTACCCCAAGATCGATAGGTTCACCCCTCTCGCGGGTATACTACCATTGCCGACCACATTACGGCATGTCTCTGGGAACAGAAATGTGAAGGTGACTAGCAAGAACCCTCCGAAGATGGCCAGGAACCAGAAAGTCGAGCGCCAGCCTAGATACTGGTCTAGCACACCCCCTATAGTCGGTCCAAAGGCCGGTCCGATGAGCAAGCCCGCAGTGGCATATCCCATGTATCGACCTCGCTCGGCAGAAGTGGCGATGTCCGCTACAACAGCTGTACAAAGCGCAATGGCTGCACTACACCCAAAAGCCTGCACCATCCGTAGCACCAGCAATGCCGCATAATTCGTCTGCAGCGCCAGCCCGACATTGGCGATCACGAAGATGACGAAGCAGACAATGAAGGATAGCCGCCGGCCACTATTGTCAGACATGCCAGCTATCAACGACGGCGCAATGCCTTGGGCGATCATGTAGGTCGTCAAGCTCAGATTGATGAGAGTCGGGGTGACATTCAAATCTTCGGCTAGGACGTCCAGTGCCGGATAGAAAGTGGTTGCGCCGAAAGGTGATATCAGTGATGATATGGATACCGCGAAGACTATGAACATCTTCGTCTTCGGGCTGAAAATGCTGTATGGTGCCGAGGAGGGTACCCGAGAAAGTTGTGGTTTGAGTGTTTCATCTTGGATGTGTGCTGCTGGCTCGAAGCTATCTACGATCCGTGCTTCGTTTGTCGGAGTGGTCGCAATGGTCTCCTCGACTGCTTCATTTTCCTTGCCCATAGCGGCCCGGAGTGGCAAAGTCTGCCTGTGACGGTTCGCGGTGAAGCGTGCGTAATAGGTGCTTCGTGCGATCGGACATAGAATGTGCTCGTCCAAGAGACTATCATCTCAATGACATCGGCAGTACTGTGCAAGATAACCTTACCTGCGCGCCGCCTTCGGCCTGCTATTCTAGTTCACCTTCTATGATTGTCCGGACTGTGGAGACTTGCCTGCATGAAGCTTGCCGTGATAGCCGAGGGATGGTACTATCATTTGCTCGTGCATGACCACCTCCAGCACGAATGTCAGTTCTTGGACGTTCACCAAGTAGGGTTTTCTGGATGGAAAGCGAATCACGGTGTGCAATACTACGGCTGAAGTGGTAAGAAGACGAAGCTTGAAAATCAGAAATGACACAATTTGAGCACGGGTGAATGTGTATGCGGATGTCAACATTGACATATACGCATAACATTCGAGTGTCGTCGTGCAGTCGCCACCATCGGAGGAGCTCGCAATATGCTTAGGTCCCGCTATCTGATGCAGCTTCTTTGCAGGGAGCCAGTCTACACGGTGCTACTCTGCGGAGGGCTAGGTCTTCTTCGCCCATCTGCAAGCAAGTAGAGCAGGAACAAAGCGTCTCACACATGCTCTCGATCATCCATCGTCTGCCACACGACCACAGCTGAAGATCTAGCTCATTGCGGACCTACCCTCCCATTCCAAAGATTGGCCAGCCCTGGTGTATCGTCCGTCTCGACACACAGCCATCGCACCATGGTCCTTAAATCGAGATATCGTGTTGCACGTCGATAGGGACCGTTCGGTGCTCGAGGAGCCGTTGGCCACGCCAATCATCAATGACGAGAGGGGCGTCTACCTTGCAGCATCCCACGGCGCCATGCAACTCGACAATTATGAAAGGCGATAGCTGAGCCCTGTGTCGAGAGGGCTTGGATGGCTGAGACATAATGAGGACTGAACAGCGCGTCATACGACGGAACCCATGCAATTTGGCGGTTAGAGCGGGAAAAGCGGTTGTGAGCTCATGATGGCTGTCAAAGGCACAGCTGAGCCCTAATTGGAGGCTTGCGGCTGATATGTCGTGTTGCCATCGCCAGAAGACTGCAGCAGTGTTTGCTAATGTTATGTGGTGATGGTCGTCAGGCCAGATAACTTTTTGCAGGGGTTTCTGGGCTCCCATATTGAATTCCAGAGAAGAAGTTGCGCAGGCGTTGTGAGATATTCAGTGCGAAACCTAAAATGGACTGCTGCGGAGCAGAGCACCGGCCAAGAGGCAGCAGTGAGGTATGCAAGGTAGGGTGAAGGTGGCCATTTGGAATCCCATTCGGTCTTTGGTGCTGTTGGATACGGTATTGCCCGTGGTCCTGGGAGATGCTCGATCGAGAATGCCTTTGACATGTAACCCACGCCTTGCTCGAAGATTGTGGACACCATAACCAGATCAGAAGCAATGCATTCTCTTCATCGCATTTCCTGCTGTCCGTCCGTCCCCTCAATATGTCCCGGCTCCTCGAACACAGCCACCATAGCGTCCTCAAGTATCGCCATACCCTTATTAATCTCCTCATTGCTGATTATCAGCGGCGGCACAAATCGCAAAGTATTCGTACCACAAGTAATGATCAACAGCCCTCTCTCCCTTGCGGCAGTGACAACAGGCGTAGGATCAGCAGAGAGCTGTAGCCCCAGAATCAGTCCTCGGCCACGGACTTCCTGAACTATCTTTGGAAAGCGCTGGTGTAGTCGGGACATGTGCTCACGGAATCGAGCTTCTTTTTGCAGAACACCGGCTTGTAGCTCTGGCGCAGCGAGTCGACCGAGGATATGATGGGCGACTCGACAGCCTAGAGGGTTGCCGCCAAAAGTGGTGCCGTGATCGCCTGTCACGATCTTGCTGCTGACTTCGTCCGTCACGATCGTAGCGCCGATGGGAAATCCATTGCCGAGTGCTTTGGCTGTGGTCAAGATATCTGGGTGCGCTTCCGCAGGCAGATCACAATGTGCCCACAGCTTGCCAGTCCTTGATAGACCGCACTGAATCTCGTCATGGACCAGGACTGCGCCAACCTCTGTGCATCGCTTGCGCAAAGCCAGCAGGAACTCGGGTGTGGCAACATTGACACCACCCTCGCCTTGGATGGGCTCGATGATGACACCGCAAGTATGCTCAGTGACCAGCTCGTTGATCGAATCCATGTCATTGTAGGTAGCGTATTTGCACCCTGGAAGCATGGGCGAGAAGGGCTTCTGGTACTTTGGATTGGGCGTCACGGAGAGACTCCCCATCGTCCGGCCGTGAAATGATCCATGAAAGCTGACAATTTCGAATTTGCTGCCGTCTGACTGTACGCTCCGTCCGTGTTTGCGCGCGAACTTGATAGCCGCCTCGTTGGCTTCCGAGCCAGAATTGCAGATGAACGCTTTGCCTGCATTGAAGCCACCATGTTCTCTCGTCTTCTCCACCAACAACTGACTCAGCGCACCAGTCCAAGGATTGTAGTATAAATTGCTGCTGTGTACAAGTGTTTGTGCTTGCTGATATAATACCTTTGCGACTTCGGGATCGCTGTGGCCAAGCGAGTTCACTGCGATACCAGCTGTGAAGTCTAGGTACTGCCTATTCTCCACGTCCCATATGTAGCACCCCTCTCCTTGCTGGAACATCGGCGGTGGTCGGACGTAGGTGGGAACCATGAAGGGAGATTGTGCATCGACGAGACGTGCTGTTTGGGAGTCATATTGAGGATCGGGGTTGGAGAGACGAGCTTCTTTCTATCGCGAGGTCGTTAGTCGCTTTGATGTTTCGCCCAGGAGGTGGATACTTACATCGATGGCCTCTTTCAATCCTGCCGGTAGACTCGAGGCGGCTGTCGCTGCTGAAGCATATTGTCGTCTGATTGTTCGTGTGACGACACTCGATTGATTCCGCAAAACGGCGTTCAGGCGCGCGCTGCATGTACGGAGAGACATGGTGGAGAATATGTACAGGATGGGAAGGAGAAAGACCAAAAGAATATCCACTTAGCTTTTCAGCATTCGGGGTGGTATATCACCAGTCACCAATGTCGCAAAAGATTCACATACGAGTGAGAAAAAGTCCATTGGCCTGCATGCAGGGTTGTCGTGCAGCTGCAGATCCCGAAGTCGCAGAGCTGTAACCTCCGACATCTCTGCAACACCAAGACCAAACATCAACACGGACGTCAAAGCATGATTTCCGTATATGAGCCTGCAGTGAAGCAAGATCAATACCGTGCCACAGTAGCGACTGAAGGGTATCCAACTCGAGTCGCTTCTACTACTCATCCTCACTTCCACCTTATCTCCACCTCGGCGGGTACAGTTCCTCCGACCTCATGTGTGAGACTGCGTCGATGGCAGAGGATGCTCAAAAGCCTCACTCAATTACTGTTCTACCGAGGCTGCAATCTCACATCATGTAGACGAGCAAGCCAAATGAAGGGGGAGGCATGGTAAGCATAAATATGTCGCTGTCTTCCCATATCCCCTTCTCCCCATAGTCCATTGTCCATCATCCATTTCCAAGACTGCCTCCGCATCTTCCCAAATACCCACTCGCCATGTCCTCCACAGAAACAGTCCTAGTCACAGGCGGCAGCGGCTTCATCGGCTCGCACTGCATAGTCCAGCTTCTGGAGAAAGGCTACCGGGTAAAGACAACCATTAGATCTCTGAAACGCAGCGATGAGGTGCGCCAGATGCTCAAGGTCGGAGGTTCTAGCCAGGCTCAAATCGACACCGTATAGTTCCATGCCGCAGAGCTGACCAAGGACGACGGCTGGGCTCAAGCCTGTGCAGAATGCGCGTATGTCCTTCACGTTGCGAGCCCTTTCCCGAGCGCGGCACCGAAGAACGAGGATGACTTGATTATCCCGGCCAGAGATGGCGCACTGAGGGTGTTGAAGGCTGCTAGGGCTGCTGGGAGCGTCGGGAGGGTCGTGTTGACCAGCTCTGGGAGTGCGGTAAGTGGTGATCACGCCTCAACCAGTGCACTATTAACCAGGAGGACCCATGGTTGTCAACCATCAGTCCTCTCTTCAAGGTAATGGTCTCAACTGACACACCTACTCCTACCAAGGTCAGCTATGGCCATCCAAACCGCAAACCAAAGCCTTTCACAGAGGACGACTGGACCAACATGAACAATTCCGCTCACCCAGTCTCAGTATACGCAAAAAGCAAGATCATCGCTGAGCGCGCCGCCTGGGACTGAATTACCAAGGAGGGCAACGGCATGGAGCTTTCGGTCGTCAGCCCCGTATCAGTCTATGGCCCGATCCTTAGTGCGAACTTCGCTACGAGCATAATAGTCATTAGTCGGTTGATGAATGGCGGCATGTACGTCGTACATCTTCTGCCGTTCTCTCGGGTCATACTAATGCGAGAATGATCATGTCAGGCCAGGTCTACCACGTCTAAGCTGGAACATTGTCGACGTGCGCGACGTCGCCGACCTTCATCTCCGCGCCATGACTTCCCCGCACGCAGCTGGACAGCGTTATATAGCCAATTCTGGAGGCCCAGTGACCATGCTCGACATTTCAACCGTGTTGAGGAAGCGACTCGGAGACAGAGCTCACAATGTGCCCTCTCGCGTGCTACCAGATATTCTGTTCAGGGTGGTGAGCTGGTTCGACCCTAGTGTCGCTCTTATCGTTCCTGAGCTCGGCAAGTCGAAGGTGACGACAAGCGAGAAAGCGATCAAAGGGCTCGGGTGGGAGGCAAGGAGCTCTGAAGAGGCTATAGTGGCTCCAGCGGAGAGTCTGGAGAGATTCGGGCTGGTGAAGAAGTAAGGGTAGCCATCAATTCGCATGCTCAATACTCGAGTGCATCCATTCTGTAGGCTCTACCTTCAATTTCTCACTTAATCGACTCTAGACGAAGTACCACATCTCCTAGCACTTCTCCCACAAAAACTTCCTCATCTTGTACGCCAAGCATACCCGGCCACCAGGTCATAGTGATTGAAAGTGGGCCATTCATTGCAGACCCTACATTTACGTGGAGTGTTGCACCTGTAGCCAGGGCTGACTGTGAGAAGACAACGTCCTGAACTTGCCAGGAGGACATGGCGGAATCGTCTTGCTTCGGTGCCGCAGACCGCTCGGTCATAGTAGGATCGAAGACGCCAATGTTGCTGAGCTCGAAAGACTTGTCTGATGGCTTGGTAGCTTCTTTGATGATCCACTCACGGAAATTGCTGATGTATTTGAGTAGCGACATGAGCTGATCTTTACGAGTGGCAGATTTGCTGGCCAGTTTTTCCGTGATGCGACGAGCAATCGCCCAGTCGTCCTCGTTCATGGCCTCAGTTGATGCCTCGTTGATCACTATCTTCTCCTCGATACCAGAAGGGTAATTTGCCATCACATCTCCATGCCCTGGCATGCATCGACGAAGATCAATAGGGAGCATGGCGTTGAATTTCATGTATTCCTGGCCACGAGCTTGCAGTGCTTTCCGAAGGCTCTGAGCGATCAGAACGGCTAGCAGACCGGTAAGACGAACTCTAAACTTCCGACACACGACCAGCACGCGCTGTATATCGCTCTGCGGGACCTGCTTGAAGAGCAGACTCGTGGGAAGAAGCTCTCCCGCTGCTGGCAGAGGTGGACGAGCGGCAGCCCCGATCCATACTTCCTTGTCTTCGAAATCCATGCCGAGCCTTCTCACCAACCATCTCGGGAAGAATTCGTTGACAAATGGTGGGATCAAGAAAGACGATGAGATCGGGAAGTCTGCAGCGCGATTCAGAGCAGGGGCCAATGGTCGCGCGTATGTAGGCGTCTTGAATGTGGCGTCATCGTCGAAAGATGTGCGATCACGTCTTTGTAGTGTATCAAGAAGTGTACGGTGGAAGATCAGTCCAGATGTCCCGTCTGCAAGTACGTGGGAATAAGAAAAGGCCGCCATGAAAGTCAGATGGCCTGCAGATCCTGAAGGCAGCGATTGGGCATATAAGCGCCATGCTGGGTAGCTGGTGAAGTCGAGCTTATCATTCTGTGCTTTGTGAAGTAGGGCCTGGACAGCAGTCTCGTAGTCGGAAGCAGCACGAAGATCGTCCAGTACTAATAGATGGTTCCTCATATCAATCTCTGAGACTGAGGCGAGTCTGGGTCGCTCGCTCTCCGCATTCACGACAATGGTGGTCAGCATTGCATGCTCCGAGATACATTGCCTCAGTGTATGTGTAAGCAAGCTTCGTAGTGATGTCGTCGAAGGCAAAGGCGAGGCATATGTCACGGACAAGATCACAGTGCCGTAGAGACCTAGAGCCTCACGAGCGATACAATGGCGTTCATTAAAGCCTGTCTGCAATCAGCTATCACATTCCGGTCCCGATTGCTGTCCATTCGTACCAGGCTCTCGAATAATACTCGTCATCACCAAGATCTTATCATCAACTGTAAACTCCTTTCGGTGCTGACAATGCTATCCTCGCTTCTGGCTTGGATACTGAAAGCAGTGCTATTCGGTCTCTGCGTGGTAGGACAGCGGTCGATTTGGACACAATTCAAAAAGCATTGTACACTTTATCAGACAGCATTTGTCTTTTTCCGAGGGCTGAAGATTGAAGATGAAAGGGGCCGAGATGTCCAGGTTACGCGGATGACTCGTACTGATCCTCTGCTCGTATCCTAGCGTGAATCGCCAGGCAAGCCATTGTTCAATATGCCTGACTGAACCGAGATACAGCCTTCCCAGCGGAAAGGTAGTGCTGTGCCTCTATCATGTTGTCAAGCAAAGGATCTAATGATTCAAGTGTGTTTGAGAGGACGCAGCAAGCAGCAAAGCACTCCCTTGTCTCGACTCATCTGCGCTTTGCCTAGAAGGGGGCGAATTGAGCAGTCGCTCTGATTGGCTGTTCGTACATCGAGTACAACTCTTCGCCACTTTGTCCTCCTGACAATGCTCCTACACATCACCATTTCACTTGTGCATGGTGTACGTTCGCGCGAGCAAAGGCTGTCTTGCATGCCGGCAAATTCACAAGCGCTGTGATTTGGGCCGTCCAGCTTGTCGGCGCTGCAACAGTCGAAAGTCAGCATGTCAATACTGCGATCATGGAGGCTATGTGTTCAAAGACATCTATTCTGCAGTGGAAGCAGCCAAGAAACCTGGACGCATACAACATGATTTAAAGGCAACATCTTTCACAGCTCTGCCGGTCTCCGACGGATCTCTTGATGCTGTCCATATCGGTGATGTATGCGTGGCTTTCTTCTTCGGCACATTCGTACGACTCAATACAGATCCACTGACCGATCGTGGACTCTTTACAGATATCAAAGCGTTTTATAAGACAGCTGCTTCACAGTCGCCATTAGGTCTGGCCACCAAGGTGCTTTCAGGCGTGTCTGCAGCTTCATGCTTCAACTATGGTATCGAGACTCCATGGCAATGTCAAATGTATGCTCGAGCCTGTCGAGCTTTATGCATCGCTGTCAGTGACTTGCAGCAGCGGCGTCGACCAGAGACGTTGCTTGCGATCCTGCTGCTCGACTATGCCGAGACTATTCGCAATGTGCATCCCAGTCGAATCACGACTTCGGTCCACTATCAAGGGGCGATAGCACTGCTAGAGCAGTACGAATGCGAATCATCGAAGACTGGCAAAGCTCACCCATTGGCTTCTGCTGCCATACATCGAGCATTCTTCAACGCCTTGCACAAACTTCCAAGTCCGGAGACGCCTGTGAGAGATGGAACGGCTATCACGCCTACCGGAGCACTGAACCCGGTACTGCTCATGGATGATGTTATCGGGCGGACCCTGGCCTTTTGCCGCTCGACCCAGTCGAATGAGGAGTATGTAGATCGCACAAATGACATTATCCAACTAGGACAAATTCTCGGGTCATGGTACCTTACGATACCTGCGAGCTGGACCGTCGTTTCTAAACAGGTACCGACAACGACTCGCTCGGACGTGCCATATGATCACTATCCATCCCTCGACATAGCCTCTCTTTTTTGTCAAGGCTACTGCGCTCGCATACTTATCAATGAGCTCGAAAGACGTGCGAGCGTTCCGGCCGTGGCCGAGCGAGCAAGTACAGCTACTCTGGTGAACCGGATCTTCGCGTCCGTACCATTTCTGCTCGGTGTGGCCAAGCGCTCGAGAGACACAGGACCACGATTCTGCTCGACCATGCAGACGTGGACAGCACCTGCGCCGCTCAAGTGGTGTGAAGAAGAGTTCGTGGGCGAATTCCTTGGGTTGTGGCACATCATTAACATACTCCGCTTCCTGGACCATATCTTGAGTAACAGTATACCAGGCATCCCACGAGTGGAAGCATGTCCGAGAACAGCTCGTGCGGTCAAGGATCAACTGCAAGCCGTGAAGTCTCGTTTTAGACTGGTCGATCCTTTGAGTCTCCCGAATTTCGTCAGGCCTTAAGGTGCATTCTGAGGCCTCGCTACACTATAGGGTACCTTGTCTGTAATGAGTCACCGTATTAAATTGTGGTGTGCTGCTTGCAGAGGGTGGTATTTCGGTGTCCTGGACCTATAGATATTTTGACTTTGAGTGGCTCTGCAGCCCGGAGACCACGCCGACTTCGCTCGGCGAGAAGCCCGAGTTGTGTTTGGCCCCGTATGATATATACTCTCGTGCTAACACCAAAGGGTCGCATAACTTGTTATAATCAAGATCGCTGAGAATACTCTGCTTCAAATCGAACAATGGAGGACATCGAGCTCGAGAGCGTCGAGGTTTATCACTCGCCGCCAGATCAACCAAACACGAAACCTGTAATTCGCATCTTGCTAGGGTGTGGCCTACTACAACTTCCCATATGGGGGTTCGCAATGACTTTCGGCATCTTTCAAGACACCTATGCCAAACAGCATAGATTCAACAGCTCGACCGGCATCATTGGTACGACCACGAATGGTGTGATGTACCTCTCCATGCCAATCCTGTCGACACTACTGGAGAAGGAAGCCTGGGTGCCATGGCAGCGGACCATTGCCATATTGGGAACCTTGCTATCGGCGATAAGCTTCCTTGGCTCATCATGGGGCACTACTGTCGGAGAGCTCGTTCTATTGCAGGGCGTTCTGGCTGCACTTGGTAATGCAATGACTTACACCCCAACGACCTTATGGATCGACACATGGTTCCGGGGAGGCAATCGAGCGACGGCCTATTCCGTCGCATTCTCGATGAAGAATATCGTCGGTACTGCGACTCCTTTCCTGATGTCTGGTATGCTGCAGAGACTAGGATCTGCCTGGGCCCTACGTATCTGGGCAGCTTTTGTACTCGTCATAGGCCTGGCAGGCATTGCTTTAGTACCTCTGCCTCCAACGACACGACTCCGACGACAACGAAACATTCCCTGGTCTTTCTTGACACATCGGACATTCTATATCTACAGCATCGCCAACATCGTCTTCAGCTGTGGTTATGGTCTGCCACAAACATATTTGTCAATCTACGCCTCGCAATATTTACACTTACCAGCAGCAGAAAGCGCGGCCATGATAGCATTATTCAACGCACCAGGTATCCTTTCTTGTACTGGATTCGGACTGCTTCATGACAAGCTGAATGTCTCCTCGACCGTCACCACGTTGGTCTCGGCCATAGGATCCGCTTTAAGCGTCTTTCTGCTGTGGGGTCTAAAATCGAACACGATAGCCGGCCTGCTGATATCCTTCGCCATCGGCTTCGGCTTTTTCGCATCGGCGTACTCCTCGACCTGGGGTGGCTGGATTAACGAGATCGAGAAAGAAGCTGCTGAGAACAATGAGGCTGTTAACTCCGGCATGGTTTATGGCTTCATGAATGGTGCTCGAGGCATTGGCTATGTTGCGGGAGGTCTCTCTGGCGTAGGTCTTCTCCAGCTCGGCGCCATACAAGCCAGCCAGCAGTGGGCGTTCGGGACGAAGTACGGCGCTTTGATATTATTCACCGGCATTAGCTCGGCGTTTGGCGGTTGGAGTGTGTTGTGGCGAGGCTTGTCGTGTAGACGATGATCGAGACACGATGACGGAGTTACAACATAGAAGCCAGGCTGTGCATGGCAAGGCACACAATCTACACCGGTGCGGCACAACCGAAGGATGTAGCCACAGAGCTTTTGAAGGCCGCTGCAATGGACAGACCCGATCCATATATTCCAAGACCAGCCGTGGCCAAAGCAGCGATGCAAAGAACCAGATTGACCAGCTTGAACGCTTGCAGTATTGGTCGTCTAGTACGTGGACTCCCAAGAAAGCCCCGTCTCCACCTGCTTAGACTTTGCCAAGTATCGACCCGCCCGGTAGCACCGTCAGGGCTGTATGGCGCGTCATCCGCAGCTGCATCAAGCTGCATTAAGTAGAGGAAAGTAAAGCCAGTTGGGAAGCTGTAGGTGAATTGCATGTTGGTAGCGGCTCCGACCATGCCACTCAAGGTCTGCACCTGTGGTATAGCGCTGCGAAGATCGTCAGTACGGCCCCATGAATCTCTCATCCTGCATGGACCAGTCTATCTGACTTACCTGCCGATGACAAAGCCAACCCACCAGAAGGCGAGCACAAGTAACGACCAACACAGTCGTCCACGGGACGACAGCAGAGCTGGTCCCTTCAAGAAGCGCTCAATGACGTTGACGTAAAGGATCTTGAGGCCAATATTCCCGTAAAGGCCTCCCGCGATGATGGTGGAAACCAGATTGAGTGCATTGCCGACCGTCTGCCATGAGTACTTTGAGACGCCCTGGAAGGCGACAGGCAAAGTATATTGACCCTGGAAGCTGTACACGTACAGGCCGTAGAAGACGTAGATGCTGAAAATGACTGCCTGAGCCATGGAGAAAGCTTTCAGAAAGTCCATGGGTCTGCGCATCTCCGCAATGATCTGAGGGAAGATCGTGGCGCCACCATAAGCATAGACGATGTTCATAACACCGTTGATGCGCTCGTAGAAAGGGTAGGTAGCGAACTTCTGCGTAATGACGGGACCGGCTTCGATACCATAAGATGCCTTCGCAGCAGTGTAGTTCGGTGGTGAATGTGCTATGAAGCCAACAGAGAGGAAGATCACGAGTAGATTAATCCAAATAGCCGAGCTTGCAAGCCAGCTGTATCGTTTGAGCGTGCGGATCTGATTGAGAAGGCAGCCGACGACAATCCAGACAATAATGGCGACGACGAAGCAAATGCGTCCTTTTGATAGCTGGTACAGCGACTGAGCTGCGCTGAGGCTGGTGGTCGCCACGTTGACGATCATGTGTATGAAGACGAGCCAGGTGACGAGTACGCGCATGTACTTTCCAGCAGTCCGTTCCGTGATGTCGCTGTAGCTCTTGACTGGGAAGCGATCGCTATCAAGCTTGACATACAGCCACCAGAGCAGGCCGCCGCAGTAGAATGCGAGGCTTCCCATGAAGACGTATAGTAAAGTGCCGGGTACATATCCATTCTGTCTGAAGGCATATGGGGCGTTGAATGGTCCAAGAATGTCCGTCGTGCAGAGATAGAACGCTCCAGCCCATGATGCCTGCCGGATGGCTCTCCAAGCGTTGACCTTGTCCACCTCGATGTCCGTCAGACCAGCGATTTGCAGTTCATCGGATCCTGACGAGGGGACGTTGTCGCCTGTCGGTAGGATACCACGAGCAATGTCGAATAATCTGTCTGCTATCCGTGGTGGCATGCTTTCGTCATGTTAGCAATTTTTGATCAGAAGGCAGGATTGTGGTCGCCACACTGTTTGTCGTCGACCACTTTCTCATGCGCTCGTTGCTGCTCGGCGTAAAAGACATAATCCTCAATCAGAGGTTTGCGATGTCTTATGCCACTAATACCATGCTGTACCGACGAGTAGCCAGACTCGACCTTGCCAGTCTGCTCATCCAGGGATATGGCCTTTGGCGCAGTCTGCACACGTTAGTACAAATATACAATGAACCCGTGACGAACCTACCGTGCCGGTGGTAATTGCGGCCATAGCAATAGCTTGGACAGTAATGGATTTGCAAAGCCATGGCAGCGAATAGACCTTGGCAACACTTATATGTTTGCTTGTCGTGAAAGGATTGAGACGGTGACGCTGCCTATCACGCAATGTTCACCGTGGTGCCGAATGAGGAAGGTGTCAGCCAGCATCGGCATTATTATTCGCTGCCGAGTCGCGTCTCACCACGTTTATCTTGACTCAAGCAACCACAGTCTAGCATTAGATGCCGATGCGTCAGATTGATGGAAGAGGCTTACCATCAGGACATTCGACGACCGGCCAAGCGTCTGACGGAGCCCATAGCAGCACAAGGTAGAAGTAGAAAACACGATAGTGAAGTCACATCTCATCCTGCACGACTGAGGCCATCACGAGGACGGAAGTCAACGAATGGGGTGCACCATGGAGCAAGAGGAGACACATGTCAAGATGGATAGGGAAGACAGTACTCTGTCAACACCGTAGGGAGCGCCGCGTCTTGAGCGATCCACGGCACGTCGTCCTGGTCGTGGATCGTCATGTTCTTCAAGCATCGACACCTAGGGTGCTGCGCTGAGCCGGTGCTTGATTCTCATCGAGGTATGGAGACTGGACGACTGCCAGGCTTCTTCGTCCGATGAGCACACATATCGTTCTCCATTCGCACATTCAGAATCTGGACATTTACCCGAGCATAGGACAGACTTCGCTCGCGGATCCTCCGAAACGAGGGCAGACAGATAGTCATGACTACCCACGAGCTCTCCATACCTGCTTGTTGATCCTCTACTTCATCGAACCTCTGGAATGTGGCGTGCTGCAAAAGCGCAGCTACTATATATCCTTTGTGCAGCCAGTAGAGAACACGAGCCCTTGTCCTCTAACCCAGCCATGGGACGCTATGCTGCTCTTGTGAACATGATCTATTGACATGCGTAGCTACTAACCCTTTGCCACATGCACTATGCCGCCGTGCCGTTGCCGCGCTGACCTGCGAGAATGCGCGTTGCCGTGGTACGCAAGACAATGCCTTTCAAACGCAGAAAGCCATGCGAATGCTTCATAAAGGACTAAGGCACCCTCCAAATGTAGTCCATTGCGACCGCGCCCCAGCCATAGATCTTCCTCACAACAGCCTCAAAACGTCTCACAATGTTCATCGCAGCTCTCGCCTTCGTATTTGCCATAGGCGCCATAGGACAGACTACGACAACACCGAAGACCACGGCTTTGAGTGCGGAGTCGACAGCATCGGGCAAGCGTAATGTTACTGCAGCGCTCATCATTGGCACTGCCTCGAAAGGCCTGGTGGGCACTGTTGCTGCGGTCGGATCTTGTTCGACAACATATATGATCTATTGTACCGACACAGCGACACCAAAGCCCACCGTCGACCAGGTCCGACTCTTGTCCCATCCAGCACTGTCATCGCATCGACGCTAACGAGCGAGCCGGGATTGAAACTTCCGTAATAGCTGCCGAGACCCACAGCGCTGGCCAGGCCCAGTGCATCTTCGAGAGAGTTCGTCGACTGGTCGAATGTAAGGAAGGCTTCCAGATCAACTGCGGAGTTGTTTCGGAGCTGGAACACGGTCCCACCTAGATTCTGCGTGGCCTGCCACAACGTGCTCCACCAGCCATCCCTATACGAGCCTTCGCTGAGCAGTGGCCAAGAAGCCGAAGCGCCTGCTGAAAGTGCCTCTACAGTCAGAATAGCGTTCCTGTCAATATGACTGCCGGTTTCTGTATCGACCAAGTCGCAACCATCCCCACTGCCGCTAACTCCGAAAGACGCCCCACTGGCCTCTGCGTAGGACGCTCCCACAGTGTTGGGTGCGGTCAGGCGTGCATAGGTCAGATTACGAAAGCCTATAATCGGAGTGATATCGACTGTACACGTCACAGCATAATGATCAGGATGATTGGTATCATTAAGCCACGCCCCATCGAGCATAGCAGTCGCGAGCTGTACCGCGTGACTGTTCACCGATCCAATCAGTATTGTAGCTGTTCCGAGATCGTGCCCAGCGGTGCATGCTCCTGCCGCCGATGCTCCCTGAGTCGTCGGGTCGACCGAGTGGATCTCGGTGGAGATATTGCAATTTCCTGAGCTGACTATCACTCGATGAGCTTGGACGCTCACATTACCCGCCGCCTGGCACCGTACAGGGTTTCCAACCAAAGTTGGGAAGCATGCGCTGACAGATGCGAATTGAGTCCAGGCCGCCGACCAACCGGACAAGCCAGCACCAAATGCATAAGAGAAGTCTCCCACGCTATTGGGAGCTCCCAAGGCACTTTTGCGGACAGGTGTGTTGTCGACTACGTATCCCTAGCCGTCAGGAGGAAGGTTATACAGCTGTTGAAATTGCCGGATGATGCTGCTAGCTGGACAGACTGGATCGAACGTCGAGTTGAGTCCGATGTATGAGCCATTTGACAATTTCCACGTAAAGTCGGTAGAGTTCGGTCGACTACTAGATGTGCTCCAACAATGGACATCGTCGAGGACCAAATAAGTAGGTGTATCCAGATATCTGGGCGTCGTGGAAGGAGTTACTCCGGATACTATTGCCGTCGTGATTAGGCCGACTAGCAGAAAAGATCCAGCAATGTCCCAAGACTGCATGGTGTCGCGAAGGGAGCCAAGACTGAGAATTGTCCGGAGCCGTTGGTGGAAGCTGGAGCCTGTCAGGAGCTGTGCTCTTGCTTTCGATGAGGCGTCGAAGAAATAGAGCCTACGGACTTGGGATGTCGTAAAGGTCGCCACAGCGCTGGCGAGAATGGTCGTACCTGTCACGTACAAAGCGTGCGTAGTGGTCGTCGGAGGCCCCTGCCGTACTAATCGTACATCTACCAGTGCCACGACTGCACGAAAGCCCACTAGCACAGTTTGCAGAATAATGGCTGCGTAGACTGACCTCCGAGAAATCGACTTCACGCCCGGTAGTGGATGGTGACCTGCATCATTATCGATTGACTCATCATACACGGGGATCATTGTATGCAAGGCACCCTTGTTTGACACGAGTTGTTCCATTTCGGCCATCTCAAGCTGAAGACAGCGCGTTCGGAGAATCTGAGTGGAATAAGAGAGCGACGACGAAGGAATTAAGCGGTGGTAGAAGCTGACGATCCTATTATGGTACTACTGCCCCCAACCCACTGCCGACATACTTTATGGCTGATTCGTTTGTGGCTTGGTGGTGCCATCAGGCCACCGGATGTTCAGGCGCAGCAGCAATCAGCTGCCTTCCAAAGGGTTGAAGGAAATCGCATCGGGCTCTCAGACAAGTCCCAAGAGATGGGCAAGGCTGGTGGACGTGACAGGCATCCCATCGTGCAAAACGGGTGCGAGTAGAGATGGCCATGTTCATAGGTATGTGGTTGGCATCATTTATGGTGTGAACGATCTGGACTCCTCGGATCGGGCTACTAGAAGCTTAAATCACTCCCGATAGACCAAGGCTAGTGACCAGTCACATGACATTTGCTATATTTATTCTCCGCTCTGCCTGCAAGTCTTTTAAACCTCCTAGGAGTACTGCTATTTGCGAGCCTACATGCACATACAGCGACCAAGGAATCGTTAATGATGAATAACGTTCGAGGGTCAAGTACAGTAGTTACCTTCAAAGTCCCACCATTATTGCATCTCACTACTGACATCAATGATCACTTTGCCGACTGCCCTCCCCGTCTTCACTCGCTTGTATGCGTTGACAGCATCGCTCATTCCAAAAACTTCGTCAGTGACAGGCTTGACTTTGCCATCTGCAATCAGTGCCGCGATCTTGTCGAGGTTTTGCCGATTGATGTTCGAGACGAATATCACGAGCTTGCGTTTTCCTCCTCCAAGTATCCTGGGTGTAAGATTGGCACTAAGTGCAAACTTCATGAAACACAACGTAGGACCACTGGCCACCTCGACGAATTTGGCTGCGGGTGTCGTATACGTGTGAGCTTTGTAGTACAGAGCCGGATCGCTAAAGACATTATCGACGACGTGATCGAAAGGCCGGCCGTTCTTTGTGGCTTCTTGGAGCTGTTCCAGTAGAGGACGCGAGCGGTAATCGAATACCTCGTCCGCGCCCAGCGAGCGGCACAACTCAGCATTGCGAGACGAGCATGAGACAGTGACATGAGCTCCCATTGCCTTGGCGATTTGGATGCCGAATGTACCTACGCCACCACTGCCACCGTTCAGAAATACACGCGAGCCCGCTTTGATGTGGCCGTCGAGCGATCCATAAGCCGTGATCGCGGCCACTGGCACACCAGCAGCAAGTATCGGCGAGAGACCTGATGGTACAGGTCCGATGATCTCGTCGGGGACAGCAATGTACTCAGCCAATGCACCCCCAGCCATAGGATTTATATTCGATGCGCCGTACACGATCTGGCCGGCTTTCAGACTCGAACCGTCTGCTGCGGTGATGATGCGGCCCGAGATGTCGAAACCAGGGGTCGCAGGTAGCTTGACAGCGAGTTTGCCGATCACAGGTGCTTCTGCCGGTTTGTAGTCGACCGGGTTGAGTCCGACTGCGATGACTTGGACGAGATGCTGATCAGGTTTGCGTGTAGGCAATGGCTCCGATTCGTGTAGCTTGAGATTGTTTTCCAGTCCTCCTTGAGCGGAAGCGTACCTCCATACCCGCATAGTGGAGGGTGTTGATCGTTTAGCCATTATTGGTAGCCTAGTGGAGGAGGAATATGGTATAGCAAAATAAGAGTGAAGTGAGAGCAAGAACAGGGTGACGAGGATGAAGTGTACGTGAAGACCTTACCTGGATTCGAGCGGGAGTATATGTATACAGCGCACTAACTGTAAAATGACGGAGACTTCACAGCCATAATCGCGGTGTAATCGATCTATGTGCGATTGGCAGCATGTCTGTTGTTGCGGACGATTGTCTTGCCGCATCCCAGAAAGTCGCCGTACGAGCGTGGGGCTAGTTTTCTGCACAAGCCAGAAGTGGACCCGTGCTTTAATACTGCAACCAGAGAACTTCCCAAGAGGTCTAAGGAAAGCTTGTGGGCCAAGAATTTAAACCGATACGCTCTGATACATACTAACGGTCTTGTCGTAGCAGATCACACGTACAGGTCAGATAGCAGCCTGATGTAAAAGTGGAGTGCATAGCAAAGCCCGACAATGGTGACATGGACATATGGTATTCGGGCTACGCAGTGGATGACTGTCATACATTGGGTATAGATTCGTCCGTGTTCGTGTCGTGCGGTGAGAAACATACGTGACAGATCGTACCTTCGAGTCTTGGTGGCACTAGTACCCAAGCTCGTAACACCAACTTATTCCACTCCACCCGTTGTCGGTAGTGCCATCTTTCTATGACAGAGTCCGCCTTGACGCAACTCCCGCAAGTGATGCCCGTGCGGAGCCTCGCGCCTCAGATCGAGCATACGCTCCCATATCTGCCACCCCAACGGTTCTCATGCGGAAGGTCTGCGTGACTAAAATGGTCATACAGTCTTTCGCTACCGGGTTGATATGCTGTATAGAGGTGTTAGCTGGAAATTCCACGAATTGTCAGGGACAGCTTGGATTCACCTGAGGCACCAGTACCACACTGCTACCACCGTCGACCTTGCGACGGGCTGTCGTGCTTGCATGATTTCTGGTTGAGTCGTGACGGGAAAGTAATGCTGTGATAAGCCCTCCTTCAATCGCACCAAGTCCTGGTCTGATCTGAGCCAAACCGACTATCGACAGTCCACGATATTGATCGCTAGCCAGTCAGTTGAGCAGCTATCATACCAGTGGTAGTTTCTCGAGTCGGTGTACGCGCAAGCACTTTGTATTTGCTTCCCATGGATATTGACGTCTTTACTCTCTCATTTCTCAACCACACACACCTTCTCCAACTCCTTCCTCAATACCTCCGCACCACCCTCCTTGGCGCTCCTCGGCACAGACAGATTTGGCTCGCCAGCAGAACCCCCAATATGCTGCATAACTTTGGTATAAGCATCATCGTATGTCGTAGCCTCGCCGCTCCTGAACAGCTTGTCAACATAATCGCGCAGGTTCTGTGTCCAGCCATCCTCATCGAGGCGTTGCTGGAGCGTCTCTTGTATGCGCTTTACGCCGCCGCTTTGCAACAGCGCTGTGGTGATTTGGGACTGGACATCCGGGCTGTAGCCGGAGGTTGTGCCGTTGACTTGGACCTTGCCTGCCATCGCGAGTGCAACGCTGATAGTGCAGTGCTTCCAGCGATCCGAGCCTGGGTGCTGATCAAAAGTTGTGGAAGTCGAAGGTTTGGCTGTGACATGTGAAGCACGAAAGCGGAAGTACGCACAGACACGGGAGTAACCACGTTACTAGTATCCATTAGGCAGGCACTGGTTCTGGGCAGTCATATTTCTGCTTCCCGGACACGATGATGATGCCAGGCCGCTCCTGGGGTTCAAGCTACACAGACAACTTCGAGTACGGACCCAAGCTGATTCAAGCAACGAGTATAAGAGTCTTTGGTCTCTACCAACCTCCGGTCCCCTCACCGTTCGTTGGACGACGGAGAAGAAGTCCACTATTGGAGACAACCCCAGAGATCCTTGGTCCGATACGTTCGGGAAATTGAGACAGAATGATCGACCTGAACAACAAACAATGGCATCGCGATTCCTCCCACAGCAAATTCCTCATCTCCACGCAAAAAGCCCTCCTAGACCACTCGTTCATCAATACCGCCTTCGCCACCAAAGAAATGTTCTGGGCCAAACCCCTGAATTCCGAAGACCTATCCCTCATGCTGGATAACTCGGTCACAGCTGCAATCTACGAAATCACCCCCTCGATTCATCCCGCAACAAGCATAGACGAACCCTCCACACCACGCGAGGGTTCACCTGCACTGGAAGCTCAACAAATGTACAAGCAGATAGGAATGGCACGGTTGATGACCGACCACGTCACCTTCGCTTACCTCTCAGACGTCTATATTGCGCCTGAGCATCGGGGACTTGGGCTAGCGAAATGGCTGATAGGCTGTATCAAGGAGCTAGTTGGCATGCATCCCGCTCTGAGAAGACTCATGCTGTTCACTGGGGAGGAGAAGTTGCAGGCCTTTTATGAGAGAGAGCTAGGGGTGTATGTTATGGCGGAACGGGAGAGTACGATTGTTATGAGCTCGAATCATTTTTCATGATGAGGAGAGATATGTGTAGTTACTTATAATCGCCGCCGCCTTATTCGGCTGGTGGGAAGTCTAGCACTCTTGTTCCGTTTCGCCACTTCGCTCGTAGATCTTCTAGCTGGTGCTGAGTCACGCGGCGTATGAGGACCATGATGTCTTTGCCTGCTTTCCACGATGCATGCTCGAGTACCTCTGCAAGATCCTCCTCCCAGGCGCCGCTGAGGCCGAGTGGACCACCGTAGACACTATTTGGCTTCGACCATTTGAACATATAGCACGAAGTGGCCGGAGCTGGATGGTCGAAGAAGCTCGCGGACTCAGCGGATATGTCGATCTTGTGAAGGTGGGCTTTGGGTACACGGCTGTCGCTTGATTCGGAACTGCTTGTGGCAGTAGACACTTTCGGGTCCATATCTTGCTGAAAGTGAGGATGTATATAGTGCTGAAGAGTCCTCGTGATGCTGTGTTCGTCGAAGGCGCCGGACGGAAGAGAGATGAAACCTCTGTCTTCGTAGCCTTTTACCAACTTCAGATGTTGGCCAGGAACGGATCGGCTGGAAACAAAGTGAGTCAGGCTGACCTCCGAGGTTGCTGGAGAAGTGGACGGGATGTAAAGCGCACTGGCAGCTTTGTCGAGTGCATCAGGCGACGAGCCGTTAGACTGCTCAGGTGAGAAGATGTAGGCCTCGTGTCTGTGTTCGAAATTATTTTGGAAGTTAGGTCCCATTGAAAGTTGTTCAGCCACGGGCGTAGCGTATTTGAAGTAGCCAGCGTGATGGTCCGAGTATGGAGGCGGCTGTCCAGCCATGGCGATACGATTTTGTCGACACGATTTTGGCTGCTAGAGCTGTATATGAGATTGGACTGTCGAAAACGACGGCGCTATACCTCTGGAATGGGTGTGGGAAGGCAAGCGTCCCAATTATCCTGGGCAATGTGCATGAAGCCAGATGACTCATCCTTCGACTCCCAGAAAACGGTCGGGCAGTGCAGGTTGCAAAAAAGGTGTCTGAAAACCGACCTATGTTGTCACATACTCATACATATGGACTTCCTTAGAAATCTGTCACTCTTCCATTATAACTCCAATCACCAGCAGGCCCCCACCTGACAGGCTCATTCTTCGGCCCTCCAACCTCACCAGTCTTCGGATTCGTGTCGCCCTCAAACTCCGGCGCAGCGCCTCTTCTCACATTCGGATGTAGCTCCTCTCCGTCTCCTTTCGCCACGAGTCGCGCCCGTTCACGAAGTTGCTCTAGCATTTTGTCTGTGTCTGACTTTGACGACCGTGCATTGAGTAGGCTGTCTTCCGCCTCTGATTGTGCTTGCTTCACTGTCACATCTGGAGCGGTTCGAGGGGTGCTGAAGGCGCCGGTCGATTCAGCTTGGAGCTTGTCGAAGATCTCCTGCTCTTCCTTTGGTAGTCGTGGAGGTGAAGGTCCTGTTGACCACGCTGATCTGGCAGCTGGGATAGCGGTGAAGGTGCGGCGGGAAAAGCCGGTGCGCATCGTGCGCATCATCGTCCTAGTTGTTTGCATTGTGAGAGGATCGTAGAGGATACAGACGATTGGAATGGGGACTGCTGGTCATTGGGGTAGATGGAGGACATATATCTGTGGCGTTAGAGGCGAAGAGGCGAGATCGGCGCCACTGATGAGCTCGGACCACGTCACGGCATACTCAACTTCATTTCAGCGTGCTGTATCTATGGCCGTGGACTCTGTTGGGTTGTCATCGTTGTCGTGAGATGTCAAGGCGTAAGACCATGTGCCTGATATGAGTAGCAAGAGACGGATAGGAGCATGATGTGAAGTAGAGGATCGGGTCAGTGATATGGCATGTCGGCACGACGCAACGCAGGTAGGACAATCAGCACCTGGTCATGAATGATCGAACACAGTCTCTGTCCTTTGTTTGCTATATGCTCAGAGCAGTAGGTGAAGTCGACATGGTTGCTCCTTCCTTCACTTCGCTTGGTCATGATACTCAGTGGAAGGTGCAATCACCTCTTAGATTGATATAAGGTCATGTTCGCCCTCACCGACTGTCACTTCTTGGTAGCGATAGATCTTTGAATACATCTGAAAATGCTCACCTTCAACACCACGCTGCTCAACCACTTGCTCGATCTGGCAAGCACGACCAACCCTCCACCTAACCTTTGTGACTCCAACCTCGCGCTCTTCGTCATCGCTGGGCTGCTCACCATTACGACAGGGAGCATTCTCTGCACTACTCCGCCCACTCCAGAACACAAACGCAATCGCGGTCTCCTCCAGTACATCTGGGCTGTAAGCGCCATCACGCTCGCTTTGGGGCAGCAAGCTCTTCACCCTCTCGAGCTGAGAGTGTTTGTGCTCCCGCCACCAGTTCTACTTCTGAGCGCTGCCATTGAGATGCTGGCCTTTCTGCGGACCTTTCTGGCCCATCTACACACGATACCCGCCACGATCCTCGCCAAGCGAACGATCTTCTGGAAGCTGCTCCACATCAGCAGAGGCACCTACGAAGCAGCAGTACGCAATCTGCATGCAGTGCATGGTGGCATTGTTCAAGTCGGGCCTCGCGAATACAATATCGGCAATTCGACATATTTTGATCGATGCGCGCAATTGGAGCAGGTAGGCTATAGCGATTTGCCAATCCTGATCTCCACTGACATGGCTTCAGATCAGACCGTCGCCCGCCGATTCTGACTCGATTGTGTCGGAGAAAATTTCAGTGCTCGTAGCTCAAGCCCTGAGCATGGCGAACATCTTTTCGTACGAACGTGCGATCGAACGATGTAATGCGAAGCTCATCCACACCCTCAACCACTACGCGGCAAATGGTGACAGCGTCAAAATTTCCGATCTCCTGACAAGCTATGTCTTTGATGTCATGTTTGTGACAACGACAGGTCAACCCGCTGGTTTCCTAGACCAGCCGACCAATACTGCTAAGCTCATGGCAGCCATGAGAACGTGGAAGTTCTATTCAGTACTATATGGCGCATACTTCCGCTTCCACCCCTTCATCGACAAGGTTGCGAAGATAGCGATTAACCCTAACGAGGCGTTGTCACTTGTGCTCGAACGACTCCCAGATCTCAGGGACGCTACCGGTGGAGTGGTAGCCTATGTGAGGGACTACATCGACGCTGAGGATGAAGACGAAATCCGTCAGCTGCTCATTGCGACTGCGGCACTCATCACCAGCGCTTCTGACCCTCTCATCACACATCTCCTGACAACGCTCTACCACGTATATCGGACACGTGAAGTACTGCAGGCAGTGCGCAACGAGATCGTCGCCGCTCGCATCTATCAGCCTCCGCGGCTCAAGTATATACTCAAGAAGAGGGACGACTTGCTATTGCTTCATGCAGTGCTGAAGGAGACCCTTCGACTACACCCAATCTATACAGCTGATTTCATTGCACCCGAGGGCGGTGTCATGATCGGCGACAAGCTCGTACAAGCAGATGTAAGTCCTATTGTTCTCTGCCATTGATCATTGAGGCTGTGCCAGAGAGCTACTGTTTCAGAAGCTGCGAGCTTGCGACCGAGCTTTCTTGTGAAGCTTTCCACGTCACTTCACGCTCTTCCTCCCTTTCTCCTCCTCACACGACCAGAGCAGCATGATGGAAAAACAATTCAACACAATGCAACAGGCACTAATACCATCGAACTCGCAGTGCACGATCTGTCTGCAGCCTTCAGTCGCACATCAAGATGCCAATATCTTCGGTTCAGATCCGCACATGTTCAGTCCTGACCGGTGGATGCAAGACCCTGGTGTGGTCGGGCCAATGAAGAGTCATCTTCTCGCTGTGAGTCCGCAACCACCTCCATTTTTCACGCTTCTACCACCCTTGCTATTGTTACCATTGTCGCTATTGTTCAAGGCAGAGCTCGAGCCATCTTCGAGGATAGATAAAGTCTTTCCTTTGCCCTCGAACTTCTCCGAAACAACTCTCCTTCTTACATCAATCTTCACACTCCAATTCCAACACCACAACCACAACCACAACCAAGTCCTCTCTCACACAGGTCACTGACCCACAATTAGTTCGGTGCCGGCACCCATAGTCATCAACACGAAGATCTACATTACGCCCTCATCGTGAAGCTCCTCGTCCAGATACTACCAAATATCGATCTCGACATGGCTGCCACTATGCTTCCCTGCAACGCAATGCCTACCATCGGCGACATCCGTCAACACCTCGTCATCAAAGTCAACCTTCCAAAGACCTCCATCATCAGGCCTCCTACCACTCCTCTCCGTGCGACTGCTCCAGCGTTCGCACCGGACACCACTACAGGCCCAGAATTGCCACCTAGCTTGACATTCAGCAATGCTGCGAAATACATTTCCAGCCTCACTCTTGGTAGAATCTTCACGCCCTTCCAAGTCGCTGAGCTCGCTGCATCTATCGAACCAGGCAATCAATCACCTACCCTGAGTGCCGCATCTACAGCAGAATCAGAATCAGGTGTCTCGGCCGAAGACAGAGCCGAGTTGGCACGTCTGCTTGGCGACAACGCGACTAGGCGACTGCTCGAGAAATTCGATTCGGGCCAACCACTCACAGCTCGACCAGCCGTTCGAACTTGGATCATGCGGCATAAGCCTAGTCGTTCGCAAGCCCATGAGCTCATCGAGCGTGTGTGGGTTGGCCGACTTGACCACAAGACCGACCCAAAGACCAACCGCATGTGGATCAAGCTGAAGCGAGATACTGCGCCCATCGATAGCCCGCTTCAAGCCTCTCGCAACACGAAAGTCATCAGCAAGGCTGTGTCATCTACATCCCGCTCACAAACTGTCACCCACTCAGTCTGGGGCGCTTTCGCCAGTGACGAGAGCGCCAAGCGCGCAGTCGCTAAGGCCGAAGGCGATGCCATTGCCGCCGATCCTGAGCGTGCCGCAGCCCAGCGCAAGGAGTCCGCAGATGTCCTCGCCGAGAAGAAGGAGGCCAACAAAGAAGCTCCGAGCACCAAGTTCACTACCGTCTTCAAGCAGACGTCTTTCAAGGAGACTACTGATGGCAAGCTTGGTGGCCCTCGCAAGCTCATCGACAAAGTCGTCGAGAGTGACGGCAACGATGAGACTTCATCCGCTACGGACAGCACCGAGGCTTCCATCACCGACGACGCTGGCGGCATCGCCCTCCCAGCCAAGGCCAAGCCGGCCTTCATCCCTCCTCATTTGCGCAAGCGTGCTGTCGCTGCTGAGACCACGATTACTGAGACCGCCGCCGCTCCAGCTTTCAAGCCCTATCACTCCGTCACACCTCCTACCACTCAAGACCCCACACGAAACGCACCAGCCAAGGCGTCTAGTGCTCTCTTGTACGTCCCTCCGCAGGTTCGCGGTCGCTCGGTCACCAAGCATGACAGCCCTGCTGCTTCTCCGGCACACTCGCCGTCCGAGACTGCGCACTCTCCACCTCCAATGGTCTTTAAGCAGCGTGGCTCGCCCTCGCCAACTACCTCACCGTCCAAGCGTCCTGCTCGCTCAGTCACGCCGCCTTATCTCCGTAAGCGCTCTGTCAGCCCACCCCAAGTCGCTCAGGTGATCGAGTGGGTCGCTGCTAGGCTGCCAATGCCCTTTGCCTAGGCAATGTGCGACATGGTTGGGCACGAGGACACGTACGAGAGATGTAGGATGCGAATGATATGACAGATTGATGACAGCATTTGAGCGGTTTGGATGGCGTTAAGAGTGTCTGGGCGATACCCGCAGCTGCTCACAAGGTTGAGCTAAACTGCAACATATTTTTGGCGATTGTTTTCTCGGATAGTCTGCTGCGATGCGACATCGCCATGGGCGCTGCTGCAGGCACTGGCGCCGGCTTTGTGGGTGGGAGATATGGTGTGGTATGACATGGGGCTTCATATCAGACTGCCGGTTATGGTGTGTGCGTATTGTGGCGTTGTTGCTTGTTGTAATTAGCTTACCTGATGAGATCGAGAATGCTGTGCGAAAAATAGATCCCTCCAAGTTCTTCATTCCCAAGTATTGCAATGCCATCTCACTGCCCATGTAAAGTCATACCCCTCCCTCAAACATCCCCCCCAACCCTCCTCTCCACCCACCACCCCTTATCCGGTCGCCTCAACTCCCGCATCTCCGCCGAAGTCAACCTCTGATCCACCTCCTGCACATCCACCAATTCCTTCACCGCGAAGATCTGACCCGCCGTGTCGGGCGTAACGGGGTGGTAGACGGTGCGGAGTCGTTTGTGGAGACCTAATGCTGCGAGGACGCCGGCTGTGCGTTTCGGAAGGCCGATGGCGGAGCGGAGGAGTGTGATGCGGAAGTAGCGTTGGGCGGTGGTGGACATAGTTGCTGTGGTGATTGTGTAGCTTGTGTTGAGAGAGTGTATTAGTATATTGTGGAAATGTTTACGATTGGTACAGTAAATATGGTCAAGTTCAAAGCCACCGTCCACTCCCGCACCTCCGCTTCACCACACCAACGACAACATCCAATGCGCCCACCACGCCCCGTCCACCAGCGGCACTGATACCTCAACTTACCTCACCACAATCATGTCATCCACCCTCCCCCTCTCCCTTCCACCCTCTCACGCCGCCCTCTCCACCCTCCTCAAATCTCCCGACGACCTCCAGAACCTCCTCTCCCTCAAAACCGACCTCCTCCGCAAGAAATCCGCCGTTGACACTCATCTCAAAACCTCCCTCTCCGCCCAACTCCTCACCACCACCTCCGGCATGACCCTCCTCCAAACCAGCACCAAGACCGTCCAAGCCATCAAGGAAGAAATGCAGAAGATCGACCGTCTATGCGCGGAACAACAGGGTATGATCCGTGATTTTCCCGAGATCAACCGCATGAGTGTGCTGCAGAGGAATTTCGGGGCGGTGGAGGGGATGAGGGGACATGTGGTGGGGTTTCGGGAGAGGTTGGAGGAGGTTGAGGCGGGGTTGAGGGAGGATGAGGGGGATTTGGAGGTTCAGGAGCATCTTTTGGTGGTGCATGAGGGGTTGAGTGCGTTGAGAGAGGTTAGGGAGGAGGCTATGGAGCAGGTTCGTGGTAGCGATGGGGCGGAGGGGGAAAGTGGGATGGAGTTGATTGAGAATCTGGTTGTGGATCCCGAGACGGGGGCGACGTTGGGGGAGTACTTTAGGCGGTTGGAGGAGGTGGTCGGATGGTTCGACGAGCATGTTTTCTCTGCTTGTGGGAATTTGATTGCGCTGGTGCAGGCGGGGTGTAATGGTTTGGTTGTCCGGCTTGGGTTGGTGATTGAGGAGGAAGAGGGCCGGGATAGGCGGGTCAAGGCTTTACGGGAGGCGCAGAAGGAGTTTGGGGGTGTGGCGAAACGGTTCGCGAGTATGCGGGTGCAGCAGAGGGAGGTGAGGGGGTATAAGGACAGACTACTGCAGGCTGTCAGGGCGAGCGCGGAGGTGCAGTTTGAGGGTACGAAAGCTGCTTTCGACGAGGATCCGGATCGATTGGAGAAGAGCTGTCGTTGGTTCTTCAACGATCTGAATACCGTCAAACTCGGCCTCGTTGATCTGCTACCGAAGAAATGGAAGATCTTCCGCACGTATACACGGATCTACCACCAACTCATGCACGATTTCCTCCTCCAGCGCCTCGACGATCCGCAGTTGACGCCGGCGCACATGCTGGCTATACTGAACTGGGCCCCGAAATATCACGAGAAAGTTCGCCGTTTGGGCGTGGACACGGATTCCCTGGTTCCATCAATTATAGACGACCGCGAACCGGAACTCGTCCGTGAGTACCGCTCTCTTATCATGAAAGCGGTGGAGGAATGGATGGATAGAATGGCTCGCGCCGACTCTCGCTCCTTTTCTGCTCGAGACGAAACTTCTCTCGATCAAGACGCCGAGGGGTGTCTCCACACTAAGAGTCTTGGCGATATGTGGACGATGCTGCGCGAACAGCTAGCGGTTGCGCAGGCGAGTGGGAGAGCGGACGTGGTAGAAGGGGTCGTGGACGCCATGATCCGTGCCTTGAAACTCCGGCAGAAAATGTGGGAGGGACTTGTAGACGGGGAGTTCAAGAAGATCAGCGAACAAGCCTCCATACCCGGTGCTGCGCCGAGCGAAATCGAAGGGTTGTCAGCATATCAAGACTGGCTAGTCGCAATCGCCAACGATCAAATCACCAACATCGACGACGACCCCACGGCCGAAATCCCCACGACTTCCTTCCTCACCCACTTCAAAGCCGACTTTGAACCCCTCGTCTCTCCCTCCTACCCCGTAACCATCGCACCAGAACTGGAAAGTCTGACGAATGCGTATATCGACCTCGCATCGCATTGTATGCACCTCTTCGCCTCCCTCCTCTTCACAACCGACTTCCGCACAGTCGTCCGCACGGGCTTCTTCACACCGGCATGGTATTCCGCGGCTGGGACGCAAGGCGCAATGAAACAGATCACCACGACCTTCAACGATTACTTACAGGGTGAGAACCCAGTTTCCCTCGTCCTGCACCCTTCACTCCGAGAGATCTTACTGGAGGAACTAAGCAACGCCTTACTCCTCTCCTACCTCAGCGCCCCCCTCCTCCGCCCGCCCCCACCCGGCGGCATCAAATTCCGGCGTCAAGACCCTTTCACCGATCTCATCCGCCAAGACATTTTGACGGTCTTCGCCTTCTTCCAAAATTACCCTGATACTTTCCCCTTGGTCAAGGATAAATGGCGCGCTGTCAACGCTTTTGAATCCCTGATCTCGACTCCTAAAGTGGCGGAGGGAGGTGGTTCAGGAGTTGTGGAGGCTTTTGTCGGGGTGAAGCAAGGTTGGTGGGACGTTCAGCTTGGATGGGTCGAGGCGGTTTTGAGGTGTCGGGATGATTTTGAGAGGGGAATGGTTTCGGGGGTTAAGGGAGCGGCTGGCGGGGTGGAGGTGGAGAGGGGGTTGGAGACTGTGCTTGGGCGGGTGAGGTGAGGGGGGGGAGATGGGTTTTGGTGGGGATTTGTGGATTTCCAGTGAGCTTCGTATAGGTTAGGTCGGGTTTTAGCGAGCGAGGTGTTCATGGCGTTGCTTGTCAAGTGCTTGGGATATAGCCTCGGACGAACGAGGTTCGAAAGTCGTGAGGTTACACACACACTTATCTCAAGCCTATCCTATCATTACCACGACTTTTGCTCGTCCTTGCCAGGCACTCTGCTCGTGACCTCCATACCGCGCCTGCACTCCATTTTTTTCGTCAGTCGGAAAAGTAACGTGTGACGTTGTAAATCATGATATAATGAAATAAGGTTCTTCGATGCCACAAGCATACACATGCATTATGCCGATAGTAAAGTACAAGATACAGAGTCAAAGAACCAGACACGCAATGCAAGAGGAACATACTGTCAAACATCCTGGGGTATCAGCCGACCGTCCCAATCCAACCAGTACAACAAACAATCCAACGCATAAGCGCCTCGCTCCTTCTCGAAATCCAGCAGAATATATAAACACAACCCCAGTAGACCCACCCGACTGGGCCTCAAAGGATAATCCACTCACCCAACATACTCCCCCGTAGCAGTAACCTCAGGTGCCGCCGAATTCCGCATGAAACTCAGCCTTTCCTTCAACTGCGCAGTGCTCATAGCAGAATAACCCGTCGAAGCCTGCGAGAGCGTGGGCCGGTAAGTCTCCACGCCACTACTATGAGTAACAGGGACCGTAGGCCTGACTGCCGTAGCGGTGTCCTTGGCTTCAGCCTCGAGAGCTCGATCCCGGAGTTTGTCCTCGCTGCTGCGGAAGAAGCTCAGACGACGCGGAAGGGATTGGTCACGGAGACGACTGCGGGAACGTGTTCGGGTATGGGAGGTCCCGTTCGTGTCGCCGTTCGTTTGCTGTTGACCGCGAGAGGAGGAGTTCCGGCGGAGCCAGGGGATTGATCGTCTTCTGCCTTGTCGTGGCTGCTCTTCTGCGTTCTGCTGCTCGGTAGCTGCTCGGTCGACTTGGGAAGCTCCGCTGACGGCCTGAACATCTACTTCTCTCCTCGCGTGACGTTCGCTGATGATGCTGGCGCGTGGGCTTGGCTCGGCCATCAGACCAGCGCTCTGTGGGAATAAGATCGCGAGCTCATGTCCAAACGTCGCTTCGAATCTCGGCACGAGCTCGGCTTTCGTGGCGAGGAAAGCAGATCGGTTGTACAGCCCCAGGCAGCGTCGGATAGCAAGCGCGTGGTCGAGCAGAGCGACCTTTAGCGCATTCTGCATCGGGCTCAGCATTGTCTCCTCAGCCTCGTTTTCGAGCGCTTCAGGGTCCATTTCTCCGGAGGCGGTCTCTGCCAATGCTTCCGAAGCAGGTAATAGATTTCTATACCGCGCGACGCTGCCTTCACTCGTCGGATCCACAGACAGCAGGATCGTGTCAGAGAGCTGGCTCATAGCTCCTTCGTCCTCTCCACTACTGATTCTTCGCTCAAGTGAAAGCAGCTCCTGCGTCTTACGCGTCGTGCGTTCGATAGCCGCTTCGATGGGGTCAAGGACAAGGGTCTCCGTCTGGACAATCTCGCTTCTTCGTAGGATAGTCGGGAAAGGCTCGAGGGTAGTGTAGACAGTCTTCTCGACCTGCTGCTCGGTGACAGGAACATCGACGGCCAATTGTCTTGTCGTCTGAGCAAACTTCTGTGGGTTGGAGAGGAGAGCGTGCTCGCGCGCAGCCGGAGATACCTTCGTGCGTTGGTAGACGGTATGATTGAGATCCTTGTTCGGGCTGACGGCGAAGACTTGGAGGTACTGTCCCTCAGACTCCGCGTCAGTGATCGAGCGCACAATCTGCGCTGAAGGATGGAGCTGACGAAGACGGTCTTCGAAGCTGGCGAGTCGCTCAGTCGAGTGGCCTTCGAAAATGAACTGTTTGTCCCGCAGAGTGACAGGAAATCCGAGACCTTTGTACACCACACGAAAGTAGCGAGCATTTGGCCGATCGCCCTTCGCAATGCGTTCATGTATACTCGCCATAGCCCTCTGACTCCTCGCGAGCTTGGAGAAGTCAAAGACATTGCTTTCGTACTGCACCGCGAGTTCCTTGTACGCCTGCAAAGCACGCTGCCACGACTGGCCTCGCTCAAAAGCAAGACACATATCGAAGAACAAGGCCTCTTTGCGCTCGAAAGCCGTCTGAGCAGGCCACTTTGGCTCAGTCATCTCTTGTAGCGGAGCCAGAGGATCCCATTCATACCTTTCCGCGTGCAGTTTCAGCGCCAGCCCAGCTTCGGTGTGATTGCCTGCCTTGGCTTGGAGATCGGCAAGCTGGTGCACATAACGGATATATGCTTCGTCACTCTGCACATCCTTCAAGAATTCCATCAGCCGCAAAGTGTCCATAATGCGGCTCGAGTCGTTCATCGCGTTGCCTTGGTGGACACTTGCTAGCATGCCCAACAGATTCTCGATCCGCTCGAACATCTCCATCACAGCATGATACAAGCCTTCCTCCTCGGTCTCATGCAGAGGCTTGAACAGCTCCAGCATCTCAGAGATGAAGGTCTTTTGCAGATACGACTCAGCCAAAGGCCGCTGCCGTCCCAGCTTGTCAAGGCAGTCGATCATCGCTGTCTGGACAACCGCCAAATCCTGGTCGATCTCCCACGTACTGATGATCATCGTCCTCAAGACCTCAATCGCCACGCTCCTCAGACTCGCGTGTACACTCAGACACAACTCCACAATAGGCGCGATAAGCTCAGGCACAAACTGCACTTGATACCCACCCAAGCTCTCAATCCCATGAAGTTTCCGACTATCCTCATCAGTCTCCCACCCAATAGCCGTCCAAGTCCTCCGCAACAAATTCGCCCCAAGCTCCCGCACATCCCCAGCAATCTTCCAAATAGCCCTCCGCTTCTGTTCGGGAAATGTCTCCATGGCCAGAGCCGGAGACCTCACAGCCACGAACAAAGTATCGAAGAAAGCGCGCCAGATCTCGGTGTCGAACTCCATAGCTTCTTCCACGTCCGGCGCGAAGTTATCCGGTAGAGTGTCCATTAGGACCTCGGAGATCCTCTCGAGAGCAGTCATGCCGAAGCGATGATGACTGATATGCAGACTCAGCCAGCTTTGCGGAAAAGGCTCGCTGCCGAGGACACTCTGTCCGACCTTCAGAGCTTGCATCAGCACACCAGGAATATCGATCTGGCTAGCGTCGAAGTACAGTCTCCTCTGCGTCGTCAGCGCGGCAGCCAACAAAGCAGATAGTTCCAACATAGCCTCATCGACGACAATATCGCCCTTGGTCTGCCTGCTGGGGAAAGGGAACGAAGTCGGGAAGAGCATGGTGAACGTCCTCTTCGGCAAGCGCTCCACCTTCTGCAGCGCGAGGTACGATTCCACCATCTTGGGCACATACTGACAGCTCTCCTCCCCGAGCTCCTCCATCTGCGACGCCACGACCGAGCAGCATAATCGCACCTGATCCCGCCATTGATCCGTGACCACGGCTTCCCGACCATCACTCCCGTTGCCCCAGTACGGCGCCAACCAGCGGAAAGTATTCGCGATCAGACCCGTCCTGACCTCCGTCGGCTTGAAGACCTCAATATGACTCAGATTGATGATCAATATCAACCTGTACAGTACCATCTTGCCTTGGGCATGCGCGCACGCATCGAGTAAATTCGTGGCGATCTCCAGGATCTCGGCGGGCTTCATAAGCGCGTCGAGGCAGGGGAGCCAGGTGTGGAAATGTTGGACTACCAGGGTTTGGGTGCCGAGGAGTATGGGCATGGGGTTGCGCATTAGAGCCATGAGCTGGACGAAGAGGTTCTGGAGGTCGTGCACGAAATCTGGGTGTCGAGGTTGTAGATGGTCGCCGTTCGTATGTGTGGTGGAGGGTGGTTCTTGTGCGGTGGCGATGATAAGACGAAGCATCTGATCTCCTACTTTAAGCGTCGCGCGTAACTTCCGCGACGACTCTGGATCGAGAGGATTGGTCAGGAGTCGTTGATAGGCGCGTGTCAGACAGCGGCTGGCGTAGGTCCAACCATGGCGAGTGTGGGCGTAGTCTTCGATGACGTTGTGGAGGTTGAAGCGACGGTCGCGGGCAATACCCAGTACCGTGACAAAGTTCTGAAAGATCAGATCTTCGTAGGCTTCGCTTTGCGCGTACTCGTTTAGAATCTCGAAGAGCGCAGCGAAGACTTCGCTGAGCAACTTGACAATCTCGATGTCTGGTACAAAGGCGAAACGCTCCAATAGCTCAATCAGCTTGGCACCGTATAGATTGCGCCATTCCAGTAGGCCTAGAAGTGTCGGATCTTGCGAGTATTCTGTGCTGCACAGATATGTTCGCAAGGAGACCACGGCGGCGTTCTGCACCGTCGCGTCATTCTTGTTGTGCCAAGGTGGCAGAGCAAGATATGCGCCTTTGCCGCCGATGATGCTGCTAGAGTACTCATCGTAGACGTAGAGCGCAACAGAGTGATCACCATCTCTCACAAAGGCGTCGTACTCCCACAACGGGACCCAAGAAAGCGCAAAGGGAAAGTTCGGCGAGTCGGCGATACTCATCACGATATGACTTCCAGGCACATCTTCAGTCGGGATCGCAAGTCGAATCGTCTGGTTCCAACCTTCGCCTCTCTCGACACCGGTCGTTCGCCATGCCGTATGGCCCTGATGATTGGCTGCAGTAAAGATGCAGTCCTCGATGCGCTCGCCATCTGCTCTCCGCACTTCGAGTGTAAGCTGTAGATTCGCGAGGTTCGAAGAGCAGCGTTGGCTGAGCGGTACATTGCCGAACTTCGAATGCGCCAGATGTGCTTGGCGTGGAATGACAGGCTCGGTGAGTGTAAGGTAAATATCGCTGCGCTTGTGAGTCGGTACACCAGAAAAGCCAATCTTCTCAGTCATGTAGACATTGTGGAGTAGTGTTGGTGTGTTGCGCATGAGCGTATCCAGATCCGATGATGCGAAAGCGGTGGCGAAGACATCAAACCGTTTCACCTGCTTCACAGGTGCGAAGCTCCCAGTAGGACTGCGGACCAGTTCCCGGACAACTTCAATCCAATCCTCACTTTCGTCGCTCTTGTCTTCTGTGGGTGCAGCAGGTTGCCACATCGCTACTCGCGTCTCCACTTCAGATTGGTTGCGAGCAAGCTTTCCGATATCAATGGCACCCACGCCAATCGTCCGCTTCACCATATGCGATTGGCTCGATCCTGAATTCTCGGACGAAGGACCATTCGAGCCTGCCGTCTCCGAGTAGCTCGACATCGCAGTGTCCGGACGTACTTCAGAAGTGCTTCTACTATGACCGTCCTTCTTCCTCTGGCTGCCGAAAACACTACGACCACGTCTCATGCTACCGCGCTTCTGTCCATCCTTCGAGCTCGCTATGGACATCGAAGAATGGTGGCCCTGAGTAGCCTGTCCAGTCAAGTTCTGCCGTGCTGGCTCGTCCTTCAGAAGCTTGAAAACGATATACAGGGAGCTCGCATCACTGCCAAGGCCGATATCTGTCGCGCTGAGGTTGACGAACAAGCTCTTCGATTGATCCTCAGGGCTCTGCCCGCCTTCGGGCATAGGCACGGAGACTGCGAAGTTCTCGCTCAACGGCCTGGGCTTTTCTCCAAAGTCCTTGCTGCAAATATATACCTGGAGAGTCGCTGGTTGTTCGTACTCACACACAATGTTCCGGACATCCACCAAGACGTGGAACAGCATGTGTTTGTCTGCTGTAGGCTTCGGCGGTCGATCCAGTATGCTCATGTTAGCCTGCAGCTTCGTCATTTCGATCACGGAGTCGTCCGCGGTCAGAATCCGGCCCTTCTCAGTCGCACTTCGCACAATGACCTCGTCGCTGAGCATCTTATTACCTGCCACCAGATCCCAAACAGTGTCTTCTCGTAGCGCATTCAACTCCTTCATGGTCATGACATCGTGCATCAGCTGCTTCCTGCTAATATCCAAGCGTCTGATGAGCTCCTGCACTCTTTCCAGCTGACTGTAGCCTCTCGCCAATACGAGCTCATGCAGCCGCGCATCGTGCCATTCGCGCAAGCAGGAAGCAATCTCATCAACCAATGGTTCCTCGGCAGACTGGCCCGTCTCATCACCGACGCGCAGTGTGGGCACTGGCGCAGGAGGCCTCGGTGCATTGGGATCGCGTGGGAGAGGCTCGTCGGGTATCAGTCTCGTGGGTGTCTTCCTCGTGACATCGTGCGCGCTCCTCTTCCTGCTCAAAGCTCTGCTCAGCCGCCGTGCATATTGTGTCTGGCTCTTCCGCTTGATCTCGCGCCCTTCCTCTGTCTCTTCCGCTGCTTCTATCGAAGCGCTAGTCATGTGACCGTTCAGCTTCTCATCATCCATCACCTCTCGCACCTCGACACAATTCCTGGGGAATGTGCCAGTGAAGACTCGTGCATCGAGTTGCTCGCCGCTTGCGCTGGTGAGACCGGCCAGCAAGGAGGGAAAGCCCACGAGATAGCCACGGTACCAGTCGCCATATTTGCCTCCTTGTTCGATGATGTATAGGCAGTCTCCAACTTGTAGCGGAAGGTCGTCAGATTGTGTGGCCTTGAAAGGGTGGACGCAGATCGCAAAGGCTACCGAGGGTAATGGTTTCCATGGCATGATGGCGGTGTCGATATCAAGCCAGGAGGTATTGTATGCTCGACCGTGTCGCCAGTAATGAGTATCGTGATGGCTTCGGTGATTTCAATTATTGCCGGATGTACAGCTGAATAAAGTACAAGCTACAGGATACACCAAAGGCGCTCGCTATCCAGAATCTCAGTGAATGCAGAATATCATATCCGCGAAGTCAATATACAGAACGTTACACTGCAAGAAACGCCACGAAATACACAACACGCTATGAGTACAAGCAAGCAGCACAAACGATGTGGTGGGAGAGGGTGTCGCGCAGGGGAAGTTGCTACCGAAGTGTGTGCTACGGCATTACTCGAATGAGCACAGCGCACAGATCTCACCTAGTTCTTGCGCAGCCAATCATGGTAGAAAGGTACCTTTTACACGCTTCGGCGCCCTCTCACTTCCGAGGTATCCTGCATGAAGGATAGTCCGCCATCACCTACGGTAGTGCTGCGGTATGTCTCACTGCCATGCACTTGAATCTGTTCTGGAAAGACCGACATATGACCATCTGCTCCACTGACGACGCTGGTATGAGACATCCCCAGCTGAACTTTTTGGTTGTCACGTTACCGAGCTTCTTGTCATTAGACTTTCGGACTTCGTGAACAGGGCGTTCACGCACTTGCAGAAAAGAAACATTTTCGCCTGTTTGTGGTTAGACTGGGAGTATTGAGGAATAAGATGCCTGAGCCTCATTTCGCATAGACAGGCAAGACGTGGCGTTAGGTAGGCAAGTGACCATTGCTTCGGAGCTATGTACTTTTTAACTTGTCCATAGAACTCTTCATGGCGACTGTAAAGAATGTTTCTCGTGGACCTGACACAGGCCCCATTTGCTGCTCTGCTGGCCGCAATCCGAATGTCATGTTGTCGATGTGCCAAGTGGAGTATGTCTCCTCGTCGTGCCAGTAGGCTGAGCAAGTACAGAGGACAAGGAGCCTGTGAACTGAGAGGTCGACATCAAATATTGTACCTGCCTTGTTGAGTTGTGCTTGCGCCAGCCTTGGTACTCAAGTATGAGGAATCAAGGCTTTCTCTTCGCAGTGCAGAACAAGGCGCAGTGGGTTTATTGCTATCAAGCCAAGCCTCTCTCTCGCAAATCGTTCCACAGCATTAGAGACACCTCAAATGTCCAAGCCTCGGCATTGACAGCAATCGCATCCATGCCCAGCGTGAGTACGGTGGTACACGTAAATCAAATTGATTGCTGGTGGCAGTGCAAGACAGAAAACATCTAGAAGTGTCTCTGCTCATCTGCACCCCACGCCTCGGTCTCAGCCGAGCCAGTGCAGCGAGTGGCTGAGCTCGCTACAGTCGTCAGCGAGGCACACGTGCATATGTTAAAGGGCGAGTACATAAACTGCAAACAATCTCCCTCTGCTCTTCTGTGCAATCAGGCAACCAGCACGACATTCCCTCTTCGATACCTACCCACACCAAAGCTATCCTCCATACATGGCTGTCGCAACAATGTCCATAACCCCACCCACCACATCACCCAGTCCCACCTCAAGCAAACGCCACTCACACAATATGTCACTTGACCTTTCCGACCTACCAGCACTATCTCAACCCTCGCCTCCAAGCAATACATTGCTCATCACCAACCTCCAAGACCCCTCCATCTTCGTCTCGGCCACCCTCCAAAGCATCCAAACCAGCATCAACGACCATGCAACCCTCTACTCCTTCAGTCCACTCAAAAGCATGCGCCGCATAATCTGCACCTTCTACAGCATAGAAGACGCCGTTGCGATCCGACAGGTTTTAGACGGGGAGACCGTTCTAGATTGTAGAGTACGAGTGTACTTCGGCCAGAACGTCAAGATCGATCAGGCAGAGGAGGAGCGATATCTCCAAGCCCCGAAGAGCTCGAAACTCTTCTTTATCTCCCCTCCCCCAAGTCCACCAATGGGATGGGAAATGCGGGACGAGGAGCCCCCAAACAAGGACGTTCACGCGGAGGATTTGGCCGAGGCATTGAGTAAACTGCATGCGAGGCCGGCAGCAGACGACGCTCTGAAAGATGAGGTCGTGGCACAGAAATCATCGTCAAAGACACCGCCGAGGATATCTACACGGCAGCGGTCGGGGACGGGGACGCTGTTGTATGATCCGCAGGATCATGGACATAGTCCTGATTTGCCGGCGATTGCGGTGGAGGATACTACGGTAGAGCAGGAGAGCCCGGGTGATGTGAGTCCGATGGAGGGGGTGGAGAAGAAGGCTTTTGTGCATACTTCCCGGCCTCCGGTTGAGCTCATGGAGGCGTAGTGAGGGGTGGTTGGGTTTGGTGTGTTTTGGTGCATAGTGAGCGATTTGGGCTTCTTAGTGAATAGCGCGGTATTGGAGAGAAATATGGACAAAAGGAGCATACTGATGCTGGCATGTGTCGCTGAGAACATTAATCACTGAACCACACTGGAGTGGAGCAAGAAAAGGGGATAGTATTCAATCCGACCATTCTTGACCACTCTCAAACCCATCATCGTCACTTGGTAAACCATTCCACACAGACTATTAAAGCGCTGCCGACTAACGCAGAAAGCTACACTCACAATGAGCATCCGGGAGGCGAGCATGACTGAGGGAACAGCTTGCCGATCAAACGAGAGCAAGGACAACGCCTTCCCTAACCACGACAGCGATTACGACTGGATCGATGAACATAAGCCTTGGTCTCCAGAAAAGAAGGAAGAGAGAGGACGTGAGGTCGCTTGGGAATCTGCCCCTACTCTCCCTCGAACACCGTCTCAAACGGAGCACGCACGCGGCAGGCACGAGCACATCTACGGGAGCGAGCGACGGCTAGAGGGGCATCACGAACGACGACATGTGAAGCGGTCTTCATACGAACGACTGGCGGTATCTCACGAGCACGAAAGAGTCCATCAAGCTTTCGAAAGTCCCGCATCACCAGCAGCTTCCATAGCGACTTTGACGAGCACACGCGGCAGCGAGCAGGAGCGTGATGTTGTTGCTGGATATGATAGTAGTCCGTCCGATTACTCGGATATCTGGAATGACTATCATTCTTCCTCCGAGGCCGAAGACGATGGTGGTGCTGATCAAGATCAAGAGAAGAAGTGTGAGTATGAGGAGAGGCAGAAGACCTACGATCATCTTTGCGCGCGACCGCCGCTGCCTCCGCCGCCGCCGCTAACATCGGTAGGGGGGCGGTATGGCGATTGCTCTTCTTGGAATGCACGTGCTTTCAATTTGCCGAGTGAGTTTGAGGATGATAGTCTGTTGGGTGGGAGAGATATGATTACTGCATTTGAGCCGAAGGATTATGATGGGAGGTAGCTGGTCGAGCACGTCTGTACAGAGGTGGAGACTGCGGTATGCCGTAAGTGTGCCGTGGCAGGGTGGCGATAGTGTCAGCAGCAACATAAGAGCACGGTAAAACCTACTGCGGCTCACATCTTTCGTGCCTGTCTATGTTCTGCATACCTCGCTGAGCGTATCTGTCTGCTCATCAGTCCATACAGGTGCACATGTCATTCGTCCTTGACCCGTCGGCTATCTCGGAAGTGACGTGAGCACGATGGTGAATATTCCCGAGAAGCTTGATTGCAGGAGAGCCACGATGCGCGGAGGCTTGAAGCCTATAGAGAGGAGTTTCTAACGATCCGACTGCATCCGCGTCGAGCGTTGAGGACCACAATCATGGTGGACTTGGGATTGACCGGCGGCGCGACAACAATGAAGTATGAACGCATGACCACGTTACCGGCAGTGCATGCAGCTGAAGTGCTCGAGCGAACCAGCCAATCTTTCGGGCAAATCACGTACCGTAGTCACGCGTATGCAATGCTCGTACTGCTGGGGGAAAAGAAAGAAATAATAGCGTGTGGACCTGCATCAGCCGGGGCTAAAAGCAAAAGGAAAATCGGTTCCGGCTGCAAGTCATAGTGGAGCCTGGAGGCAAACTCACGATGCGACCACGAAATCACACTCGCCATGTCTCTCACAAAATTGGGCTCTGTGTGCCTACTACAGTGTTCGTGGAATGTCGTCCCAAGCGAGCAGTATTGACAATATTGAACACCCGTCGCGTGACTCCTGCCTCCAACCGGGATTCTGATACGAACAATGGAGGAAAATGTGGAGGATCTGCCGTGGTGGGACCTTTCGGTGTTCAAAGCTCGGGGCGTGTGATGTCTTTCGCTACGACGTTTTGGTGTTAGGATGACGCCAACCGATAGAAATGCAATGGGATAAGTACGGCGAGGGCGGCTCTCGTGGTGGATCCGGCGCGCTGTCGTATTGTTCTGTGTGAAGCGGTGTGTGGTCGCCGGAGAATTGTTGTTGTGTGAGAGTGTGCAACGAGACGACGATATCGACGAAAGCGACGACGACGATCCGACGATCTTGTGTACTTGATTGCGGAGGATTTGTAGTCCAATAATGGCTACAGCTGCTACGATCACGGCGCAGGTTCGTACCACCAGTGCTCTGTACCTAAAGAATGTTGAAGCGTGTCTGACGATAGCACAGCCTGTGCCTTTCGGTGTCAAGCAAAGTATACAACGACCGGTCTTCGATCCCATAGTCCTTTCAGCCAAGCTCGCAGCCCTGCAGACAAATGATGTCTTCTGCAACGAACAGCAGCGGACGCGAAATTCCGGCACTGCCGCAAAACGACGAAGCTATGTTCCACGCAACGCAGCGCAACAGTTTCACAATACTGCGACGCCTATGAGGACTGGCAACAACGAACAAGCGATCAAGCGAGCCAAATCGACGGCAGAAAGGCAGAAGCCAATGTACATGGCTGATGGGAAACCCTGTGTCAATCCCAAACGACTACAGGCTGCGTTACATATTGGAATGACAGACCATGAAGCTGCTGCCGCAATACCAGAAGTGCCTAGAGGCCATATCTCCAACGCCGATAGACGACGAGAGCAAAGACGACAAGCTTCACCACCTTCCGGAGCTGCAGCAGATACCGGGGTTCATCGCAGCACCAGCAATGCGGCAGCATACAAACCCGGTGATGCAGCTGCTCGACGCAATATCGCCAGTAAGCGAAGCTCACTGCCAGCAACTCAGCCTCAGGGGAAGTTGATAGCAGTCAAACACGGATTCCACACAACTTGCGAGCGAGAGTCGATGCTACAAAGCGAGACGGTGCCGCAGTTCAACGCCGCCTCAGCATCATGGCAAGCCACTTCAGACCATCCAGCACATCCACAGCGTCCCTCGATCAAAGCCTCTGATCGACCGAACTGGACCCAAGCCTCGCAATGTGGAGAGGACATGCATCATCTCCTCGGCAATTGGAAACGACACCACAAGAGACCTGAAGCTGTAGATGAGAGTGCGGAAGAGAGCCAGCAGGAGCCGTTGCAGAGGCATAAGTCGCTGGGTGCTGCGCCTGAGAATTTGATCAGTGATGCTGTGGAGAAGATCAGGCGGGAGGAGAAGGCCAGTAGGCGGAGGAGTGTCATGGGTTTCTTCAAGCGGCTCTAATTGACATTCGACCTGCATAGGCGAGCCATAAATTTGGCTAATGGTTCTCTTGTTTTGATACCCGTGCCAGAGCCTGGTATAAAATTACACGTAATTATTATACTCAGCAAGATTTGGTCGGCTTCTCCAGAGGTACATGGGTACGATGTGATCAGGGGCCGTCTCACTGCTGTATCCAGTAGTGAAGTGTTGTCCGACCCTGTCGTCCTCCTCGTCCGTGCGTCCTGCCTGGGACGGTGCTTCGTGACTCATGCAGTAGTATCTTCTGCAACGGAAATGCAGCACCTACGCTTGCCGGCAGCACTTAGGATTCTCTTGCCGAGAGCTTGTCCCGTATCATGGCGTGAGGACATTTCAGGATATTGCATCTGTTGAAGAGCGAGTGAGAGTAGCACAAATATGTTCTTGGCGAGAATATTTCTGCAATCATCTCGCCCCAACCAGGCTCTTCCCTAGGAACTCAAGCGCATTATGGACGCCCACTGTCATACTCTTGAACGTTCGCATCCCAGGAATCTGTCGACGCAGTCCTTCCAGTCGTGTCGCTTCTAGATCTCCGAAGACAATCGCCAGTACCTGCTCTTCGCTCAAGGGAGAAGTCGAATCACCATAGTCACCGTGCTTTACAAGCACGGCTGCTTCATATGCAGCACCGCCAGTGATCAGGACTTCCGTGGTTAATAGGAGTGTCGTTCGCATTGATCCTTCACATTTGTTGGCGTTGGTACCGATATTTGCCAAGAAGGTGGACCACGGGGTAGCGTGGTGATGTTGCTTATCTGTTTTCGTGAGGCCACCGGCATTGGGGTCATGGCCATGGCGAACCAGTAATCGTACAACGTCCGGGTTGATGGTTTTGTGAGAGTCAGCTAAGGTCGAGAAGTCTTCGAGAGCGAGGCGAAGCAGAGAGGGTTGAAAAGATCGTGGTGCCAGATCGGCTTGTTCCAGCAGCTTTGACTGATCGAGGTAGAGGTATAGACCTTCGTGCACAGCCAGCGCTAGGAACAGCTTGCTTCCATCCAGCGACTTGCCAATGCCAGTGATCTTGATCTTGAAAGGGACAATGTGTTCCACCACTGGTGTTATTGTTGCCTTGCTTAAAAAGGCTCGAAGCTGCGCCAACTCGTGCTCGGGCGTCTTCTTGTGCTGTGTCTCAATTTCACGAGCATAGCGCATGAGCCGGCGCACGGCCTGAGCCTGGCTTCGTGACATTGTGTAATCAGTATGAGAGCCAAGGCGGCGAACTTCCACCAAACTCATACAGCAAAGCACTGGCAGAACCTCGAAGTCTTCACCTGCCCTGGTCTCGAGGAGATCGTGCATATCTCTAGTCAGAAGAAAATCTCTCACCGTGCGATGCAGGAAGTCCACTACAGGATGGCTGCTGGCGGTAGCGGGACTCACTTCAAGCAGATCCTGGCACCTACCATTGATTCGTTTGGTGAGTCGTGATACCAGACGTTCCAGCTCTTGCTCGTCGACTTTGCTGTCCTCCAGCAGACGTGCTGCTACAGGATCATCTGCTTCCAGAACAGTGTAAGACACCACAGATAAGGGCCACTGAGACCAGATGCACACCTGGAACATTCTCGCGGTCTGATGGCTGTAGAACTCGTCGATATTATCGAACATATGCTGAAAGTATTCTTCAAGTCCCGGAGGCAGCTGCTGTAGTCGCCGTTGCAAATCGTGAACGCCATCTGCATTTCCGAGACTTTTGAGGAGCTGTGTGACGACCAACATGACCCAGAGAAACACCCCATTAGCTTTGGTTGTCACATCATGTACCAGATCCGTACACCGTGAGTCTTCTTGCCGGAGCTCGATGAATCGATGATCGCTTTCCAATTTCTCCTTGACGTAGGATGCGATGTCCTCTCGGGTAAAGTCCTGCACCACTAGCATCTGGGAAGGATCGCTGGAAAATGCTGTCTGGAAGATATTCCAAGGTCTGCTCGAGGCGCAAATCTCGATATCCTTCGAGACGGTCATGCGGCGCAGGCACGATATGATCTCGGAGTGGTCGCCTTGATATTCGTCCAGACCGTCGATGAAAAAGCAGAAGCGGACTGGTAGACCACCAGGAAACAGCTGTTGTGACTGAAATCTATCCACGAGGGTGGAAAGTTGCTCAAGATTCCAGGCTAATGGTTCAATGCCATTCGCTTCCTCCAGGCGCTCTTTGCATACGACTGGGATCAACTGAGGACATTGGCGTAGTACTTCGAAACACAAGGAGCGTAGTAAACCAGTCTGAGACTTCTGCAGCATACTACCAGCATTCCAGAAAAAGTGCGTGGCCACGAAGACTTTCGTACCCTGCGCCCATTGCGCCAACGACTCTCGTGTCCGGTAATGTGATGAAACGAACTTCATCAGTGTCGACTTGCCTGATCCTGCCTTCCCAGAAACCCAGAAGATACCGTTGCCAGACCGAAGCCATGGCTGGAAGTCATTTCGAACGCCCTTGGCCTGTAAAATGACTTCGGGTTCTGCAAAGATCCACTCGAACGTCTGGGCGTGTCTCTGGGCGACCGCCGAGCGCCTGGCCTCCATGTACTCGTATCTTAGACTGGTCAAGAGCTGTTGCGATGCCGCTACGGATCTCATCTCGGTGAGGAGGTTTCTCAGTGTGTCTGCCAGTCGCTTACTATCGACTCTGGCTGCACTTTGCTTGATAGACCTCAAGCTTGCGTCCTGAGACGGTAGCGTTCGATATAGACCGCCCTTGAGATATCCGAGCTTCTCTGTAAGCCTGACCTCCATTAAGCTGTCTCGCCGGCTCATTTCGTCCAGACTCTTGGCCAGCCGGGAGTTCTGACTATCTGATATGTGTTGTTAGTACTTGGCGAACGTGGCCATACTCCATGGTACGAAATAGACAGCATTGCTGCCATACGATAAGTGCAATAGGCAAGTCATCAATACTGCCCACCAGCGTCAAAATGTACGAAGCAGAACCTACATATAGCTCCGACCATATGCTCCATCAATCTTTCCTTCAACTTCTCACATGCCTGCTTATGGTTGACGAAATCCTTCTTCTTCTTCGAAATACCATAGGCCAACTTCAGGCTTTCCATCATAGTAGGCTGCCCATTGATCTTGATATCCGCGAATGTGCTCTCGATTCGCTTGGCCAGGGCCTCACATTCCACCGCAAGGGCAATGCCCATAGCCTCGTCTTCCGACACGTCTGCATGTTGAGCAGGATCTCGTCCAGTGGTCCTTGATCTTTCCAGCCGCTGAGCATGGTCCCTCAGCCTGCTGACCAGTTCCTCGATGTCACGGAGCTCGGGAAGAGCATTATCAGGCGATTTCGAGATCTTGTACGCTCGCTCCAGAAGACTAGATCCGAATTCGAGAAACTGCGCGACTGCGCAGGCTATAGCAAGTGAGGTCAAAGGGTCCAACATGTCGTGAAGGAGCAAAGTATATATTTCGTCTCACCTGCATTCTTACACGACCCTCTCGATATTCGAGGAGTAGCTATCGGGACAGAACTTCTCGCGGCATAGCGTTACTGCAAGGCTACGCCGTGGCGTGAGGCTAGAAGCTGTGACACTGCGCGGGGGCCGAGAGTCGTCAGGGCCCAACGAACTCCATTGTCATGCGCGATATTAATACAGATGGAGGTGACGGAGCATTCCAGGCCAGGTGAGAAACCTTGCCCTAAGAGAGAAGCTGTGCGATTATAGGTCGCCAATAGATGAGATCGCCGGGAAGCGACGATCCGCCCAGCAAACTTGGGGATCCATCTCAGGTATCATCTGAAGAGTTCAAGAGTTTCATAGCATATGTGCGTGAGATAGGTGTCTGTACAGCAGAATCATCAATAGCAACCGCTTCGGAAGGACCGGTGTGCTCGAGGGCGTGACGATCAGACTCCCGAACTCCGTCGCCACCACCTCATACGCCCAACCAAGCAATACAACGACAACCTAATAACTCCACGGCCTAAGAACATACTGTTCATTCTCCTCCGGCTTCCCCTGCACCGGCACCCCCAAATCCCTCTCCTGAAACATCGGCAGCAAGTAAAACGCCAACTCCTGTTCCCTCACCTCAGGTCTCATCTGATTGACACCCCATCCATTGCCCAACCACGCCATAGCATTCGACTCTGCACCATTGGACTCGGGAATGTACTCATACTCGTAGTCTTCCCAGCGAGGCGAGCGAAGCGCTTCGATGCAGTGGAGTGTACTACCTGGCCAGAGCCCGGTGACGCGGTCCGAGGGGCGGCCTTGGCCGTCTTTGCGATACCTGCATCATTCGTTAGCATATCGCCTTTGCGACGACTTCGTGGGCGAGAGTGAGACGTACCAGCTTTGACAGTCATCCATGTACACAGTCATCTTAAAGTACTCGTCGCAGTAATTTGTAAAGTCTCGGACCCTCTGCGGTTTGATGACCATACTCTTGATATTATCCTTTTGTATCTTCCTGATGGCCTTGACCAAGTAATCTCCTGTACTCTCGATCATCATCGTCAAGCTGCCCTCTCCAATCGCTCCATTTGGTCCAAGCATAAAGAAATGATTCGGAAACTGATCAGTGGCGAGGGAGAGGTAGTTCGTAGCGCGCGTATGCCAGTGCTTCTTCAGCTCATATCCATTTAAGCCAGCAGTCCGGAAAGGCGGGGCGGCAGAAGCGTAGAAACCCGTCGCGCAGACCAGAGCGTCGACTTGATGTAGCTTGCCATCTTGCGTCTCGATGCCCTTTGGTGTTATTCTTGAAATCTTGTCCCGGATGAAAGACACATTATCTTCAACTAACGCCTCTAAGAAACCCGGACCAGGCGTCAATCGTCTACACCCAGGCGAGAAGTTGGGCTTGAGATAGTCGTAGTACTCCGGCTTTCGCGCTAATCTATTCTTCATACCCTCCTCGAAAGCCTTTTGCGCACCCTTCTGCATCTCCGTGCCTTTCAAAGTGATGGAGTGGATATTGTTACTATCCGCCTCAACCATCATGCGGAAATCATGCCATGCCCTCGGATCGTTCTTGATGTTTTTGAGGAACTCTGGCGTGAATTCATGCTTATCTCCCATCCCCATCCTATCGGCGACTGCTTGGCCTAAGGGTGGCGAGATCCAGGTTCGCGATCTAATAAAGCAATTCAATTGGCATCCGGGAATGGATTGAAGCTTGGGGATAATCTGTATTGCGCTGCTACCGGCGCCGATGACACCGACACGTTTATTGGTGAAGTCGTAGGATTTGTTCCATTTTGACGAGTGCATCGTCTCGCCTTCGAAACTCCTCAGACCCTCAATATCGGGCCATTGCGGATTATTAAGCAGACCTCTCGCGCTTATGAGGATATCTGCTGTGTCTGAGAGGATCTCGCCGTTGGGTTGTTGGACCTTGACGTGCCATTTTCCTTCTTCTTGACTCCACTCGCAATCTTTGACTTCGTGGTTCATCTTCATGAATCGATCGGCGCCGTACTTCTTCGCCGTGCCTTCGATATAATCTCGGATCTCCCATGACGGAGCATAGAGTGCTGACCAGTCAGGTTTGGGGTTGAAGGAGAATTGATAGGAGTGGGATGGAATGTCGCAGGCTGCACCGGGGTATTGATTCTCGTACCTGCGGATGTGTCATTGGTGATTATTTCTTGTAAACGCGCAATGGCTGGGAAAGGAAGATGAACATACCATGTCCCACCGATGCCGTCGTTCTTCTCGTAGATCACCAGCTCACAGTTCCGTATCCGTTCTGGTATTCTGATACCGCAGTAGACGCCAGAGTATCCTGCTCCGATCACAATGACCCGTATAGGCCTCTGATTCTCAATCGGGGTGTCGTGTAGTTGCCACGTAGCTGCCGTGGTCTTGTGCTCGCCGTACGTTTGCACGCCGTTGGTATGTACACCATTGACCTGCGGATCTGCAGATAGGTCTGCCTTTGCTGGTGGAGCATGTTCGACATGCTGTGAGCCATTCTTCAAGTCGAACACTTCTTGCATGACGGCAATGGGTAGCTTGGCGTCGACAGGAAGGACGTGGTCACGAGGAATGCTTTCTGGCAGGTTTGGGAAGGCCGACATGATGGTGAGGGAGTTTTAGACGTAACACAACGGAGTAGACGGAGGAGAGGGATGCGGTGGTGGTAGGAGAGATAATCAGATACTTACCAGACGTATTGTGTTGGCGCATAGTATGATAGGCCTCCTTCCTGCGCCCACTTTCGGCAGATGTAACAGTGATCTGGTCCATCTCAAGCGGAAGCGCATGGGGTCGATCGAAGTGGGGTCTCCACTTCTGTTCCTTCCTGTGTGGAGAAGGCGGCTCAATTGATGGTGGAGTGGAGTATAAGGACGAGTGGCGAAGGCTGTAGAGAAACTGCCATGAGACTTCGCAGGACCCATGGGGTCATGTCTACGAGCTCAAGGTAGATTGTGCAGGCGTTCGGGACATGTTTTCATGGCTGGCAACGAGATACATATCGTCTTGACTTTTGACCTCGACCGGGAATCCGCATCCTCGTTGCCGAAGTCCCCATAAAATCTAACGCATGGCAATCTGCACGCGAGTGGGTCTCTTGCGCTTCCGGGTCCACTATCCGTTCCTGCCTAGAACAGCAGGCTGAGCAACAGATATGGAGACGGAGACGAAGACGATTAAGTAACAAATGAGCCACTGGTATACGATAGGCGCAGTAGAATGGTAATGGTTGCTAGGAGAACATGCGGTTCAGACCGCCCACTGTTTAGCTTGCATGACTCGTGAATCACGCCTGAACTTCCTTAACAGGCTCCTCGATCTCCATAGGTGCACCGACAGCAGCCTCGGGCGCCTCCGCAGGAGTCATCGGCGCAGCAGAAAGCGCGACAGGCGCACCAGCCGTCCTATTCGCGGCCGCAGAATTCAGTCTCTGGTCTAAAGCCTTGAGCGCCAATGCCCGCCGCCTCTCAGCTTCTGCTCGCCTGCCGCTCCCACCTCTACCGTCCATGATAGATGGCAGACCCTCTGATCTGGACGCAGCGCCTTCGTTGCCTGCCTCGATGGCTTCCTCTGAGAATGGTGTACAGACCTTCACTGCCACGAGTGTGTCATAAATCCCGTCACAAACCGGTGCGAGGTAAGGCTGCATGATATCCGGCCAGAACGCAACAAAGGCGAAAGTATCGCTCGCATCGCCTTTCATCGTGCTGCCCTCGCCTCCCGTCGCGGATGCTGTCGTGATCTCCGTGATCCTGAAGAAGCGGAGGTAGATCCATCCTGTCAGGAAACCGAATAGGCTTAGCCAGAGGGCTGTATCTGTCCCCAATAGAGGTCCCGAGATGATGTTGGCTAGTGTGAACAAGGCCGGGAAGTGCTTGATGCGGACTCTCAGTGTCGCCTTGAACAGGGCGACCGTGTGCTCAGGCACGAGTTGCTTGAGCGCTACCAAGAAGCCAGCTTCTAGCGCTATCAACCCTTGGATCGGTGTCGGACTGAGACCTATCGTTAGTCCTTGATCGGTTGGCAGGATAGTCAGCAGTGTACATACAACTGCGGCTTCCCGACTGCTGCATGCCAAATCCCATAGACCAAAAACGCGCCAAAATTGGGTATCATAGTAACAAAAAGCACAAACTTCCCGAACTCCTTACTACCCCATGCTCGCTCCAGATACCGGCCTCCGAACCATAGGACACTGAGGCTTATGGCCAAACTGACTATGTTATTCTCGACTAGTGCTGCTGTGAGGAATACCCAGGGTTGGTGGATGATGTAGATGGGTACTAAGACAAGGAAGGGTACCGCCCATTCAGGTGCGGAGAAGTAGTTTGAAGGGGTCGTTGCGACATGAGAGGCTGGGGCATCTGCGAGGGAGGCTCGCCATTTGGACAGGCGGATGCTGGCGTTTAGAGCGGAGAGGGCAAGGACGAGGAGGAGGAGGGCGCGGGTTATGGGTGGGAGATTGATCCTTGGTGGCATCTTTGGGCCGGTAGTGAGGTTTGAGACATTACATTTGGGGTTGGGTATTGTGACGGTAGAAGTGGTCTGGATTTATGCAAGGTCGCGACGATTGTATCGCGCTTTGACTTTTTGTGTGCCGCAGAGGCGGAGATGATCGACCAAGCCGCATGATGCGACATCTATGCTAGTCCTGGTTCTACAATTGACACTTCATCATGCCCTGTGACCTTGACCGTTACAACGATATATATTCTCCGATCGACCTGAGACACAGAATCATTGACGACAACAACACTGCGCCAATGCCATCGCCTCCACGCCCGAGCTAACATCACCGCCAAGCAACATCGAAACACATCATGTCCACGCTCCACTCCGACCACATCAATTACCTGATCTGGCGCTACCTGCAAGAACATGGCCATGAGACGGCAGCAACAGCGTTCCAACGTGATTGGCAACGTCCCTATGACTACCGCGATCCCGAGAATCTGCCCTTCGCCAATGTCGTCAAGCGCGATGCCTTGATATCAGTCGTCCAGGATGGACTATACTTTGATCAACTGAGCTCGGGGACGAGGAAAGGGTTCAGGAAGTATAGATGGACGGGCGTCAACCCGAGGGTGGCGGTGGATGAACAGCAGCGAGCGCTGTCGGTGGGTGGGGAGGAGGATGCGGAAGGTGAAGAAGTAGAGGACGTGAGGAGTGTTAGCGCCATCGGTTCCAGACCCGGTAGTAGTGGGAAGAGGAAGGGTCCACCGCCTGTTATGCGTGCGCCAGACGAGTTCCCAACGCCTGCTGCTAAGAGGCAAAGACGAGACGAGAGTGCGCACGTCAATGGAGATGGCGATGCGATGGACGTGGACGAGAAGTCGCCTCGAGCGGAGGACGGTGGAGATGAAGATGCCGAAGTGGCTTCACTCGAAGGAGGGTCTGAAGGTGGCGTGCCGGATGCCCAGGAAAGATATGATTCTATGGACGTCATGACGCAGACGGAAGTGAAAGTTGGGCCGAAGACGAGTACGATGTACTGGAAGATTGACAAACCTGGTGCTACAATTTACCACAGCATGTGGAACCCTGATACCGATGCTAAAAATGCTAGGTCCTTACTTACTGTTGGCGAGGGCCTCTGCAGATTTTACGAAGTCCCCGAAGGACTTGATGGAACCAGGATGTCGCATGTGGACGATCCGTATATGCCTGCTAGTGGCACCGTAACGGCTAGTGCATGGCATCCTCACGGTCACAGCGCGACTTGTGCTATGGAAGCCGCTTTGCAACTCTCCGACAGTGTGAGGAAACCACATCATCTTGTTCTGAATCATGGACGAGAGCGCGGAAGCACGGTATGGGATGCCAATCCCTGCATGCTTGAGCCGCCAGGTGTGATGATATGTATGCGGTACAGTCCCAGCGGAACGTACATCCTCGGCCTGCGCACGAATATGGCTAGAGGAATGGTCCAGATCTGGAAAGCACCGTCTGCGCAAGGTGAAGATGGCGAGGAGGTGCCGTACGAGCCCATCGCATATCGTCTCTTTGATACACAAGCCCTGGACGCCTGCTGGACCAACGACGAAACCTTCCTCATCTGTGGCGACAATCTAGCCGCAGCGTACCAGCTCCATCCCGGTCAAGAGCGTACCTTCCACCCGCCTGATCCGAACGGGCGAGGCCTGGTAGAGCGCTCGGGAAGCCTAATAGGCTTCGTAGACACATGGGATAAACTCCGCTACGATGTCGGTCTGGGAGCTGCCGTCATCATATCCACAGTGACTAAAACCCTGGTCACGATCCCACTCGACTCGGATCTGGAGGTGAATATGAAGGCGTTTACGAGTATAGATGGTCAGCATGAACTGCCGGGTCAAATCACAGCCGCAGCTTTCCAGCCTCGAGGACCGAGCTCAGCAGCACCACCTGACCCAGAGGTCGACGAGGAAACGAAGGGAACCCTGATCGCTTGTACATTCGCCGAAGGCTTCTGCGTGATCTACAGCATCACGCGACCGGAAAAAGGACGCACGGGTTCCTCCAAGGCCTTCTTCCTTCGATTTCCCGCTGCGGCCCTCGCGCTAGCCTGGTCGGCGAGTGGCAGGTATCTGGCTGTAGGTGGGACCGAGGCCGTGCAGATCTACGATGTGGAGAGCTTCGGTCCTGGCCAGGAGGTCAGGATGCCTTTGGTCAATTGGCCTTCGGATCCGGGCATGTTTAGGGAGAAGCGGAGGAATGGTGCGGTCAATGGGAATCATGGTGAGGCGGGTGAAGAGGAGGAGATGATGCCGCCTAGTTTGAGTTGGAGTAGTGATGGGGAGAGTTTGGGGTTTGCTCTTGAGCGGCAGGTGAGTTCGACTTGGAGTTTTTCCATTTTCTGCGGTGTAACGATACTAACGCTGTGTCTCTCAGATTGCTGTGATACGCTTCAACCCGCCCTTGCATGGCGATAATGTTGGACAACGGCATGCTATGACTAACGGCGCGGGCTAGGATACCTTATATAGGTTTAACACTTCTTGGTGTGTATGCATACGGTATATTCATATTTTGCTAAGTTTCGAATAATTCTTCGTGTTCAAACGTTGCCGTCAAGACACATGGCAGGCTGTGAAGTCTCTCCATGCTGCCGCCGCTGTCATACCAAGGCAACCACAAAGCTTGACGAAAGCCATCGCCTATTGATCTTATGCAATATACCAATATCGCATGCCTACCGGCAGATCAGTAGCAGCGTCAGGGATATCACCTAGCAGGCCAATGGTGGGAACGCCAAGATTGCGGTGTCCATGACTCATAAATTTGGCGAAGCACAATCCTTCGTGCGCAGCAGGTCTACATAATATCCTCATCATCTACCAGCAACATCTCGAATCAGTGCAGTCGTCCGAACATAAAGCAGCTGGTAACAGAAGCGCCATGGCATTCACAACGGCATCCATGCCGGCAGAAAGGGCTAGCTTGGCCAGTCTGCCGGCAGAGCTGCGGGATATGATATGGTCTCTGACCCTGCTCTCACCCGAGCCATCGGACGCATACATAGGAACCCGCACAGCTATCTACGAACGGAAGAACGGCCGGTACTGCTCACAACGAATACGTGTCCTTGAAAGGAAACGGTGAGTGGCTTTGCCTGATGCATGACGATGTAGCTCATATACCACTTCAACTACCCAGGAACACCGCCCATGACCGCCGTAAGTCGAGGATTACGTAGGGAGACCTTAGCATATTGGCTTCACAACAACGTTTTCGTGTTCCAGCTCTGCTCCAGCCGTGGCGAGGCTTCGTGGGCACGACAGCACGAAGTTGAGCAATGGTGGCAGAGTCTGGCACTCCGAGACTCGATCTCTCACCACGCCCGCATGGGCTGGACTGTTTGCTTGGAAGTCCACACGATCGCGATCTCGGAGAGTGCTCGTCCTCCAAGCTATACTGCGTGGTGGACATACAAGCGCAGCCCGGATCTCGGCAGTCTGGTCAAATGCAGGCTCGATGCCGGCTGCACAGCCATGCATGGTTACTATGTGTATAAGCAGAGTAGCTGCAGTAGTGGTTTGCATGGCTCAGGCACATAGGGAAACGACTGGGAGTGGTGTTCGCGGTGTGAGACATGTGTGGAGGCCTTCACTGCGGCATTCCTGGGCTACGATACCACGACTGGTCTATCATCAATCTCTACTATCCCTTGACTCGCCTAAGCTGGCTCGCCACTGCTCTCCCCAGACCATCAAGGCTGCATTTGGCAGACCGGTTGCGATGTTGATAGCGGCAAAGACACCCCATGCACTTTGGAACCCGATCTCCTCGCCGAGCTGCACTCCGTAAAAGCCAATACAGAAGCTGAAAACCTGGCGACCAAAGTTAAGCACAGCCCCAACCTCAGCGGTCCGAGGCCGATGACAATCTGCAGTATATGCATAAACAACAGTAGTGATAATCTGAAGCCCGAAGCTTGCAACGGCAATTCCCATGGCTGGTCCTATCGGGTGTGTATGGCGGGTGATGCAAACACCCTCGATGATGATGCCAAGTGGCAAGAGCACGAAGCCAGGTAGGATGGCGATGAAACGATCCTCTGGTCTCCAGAGGCCACCGCGGGTCTTTGCTCTACGTTCTGCTATGAGGTCGGAAAGGTAGCCGGCGAAGAACTCTCCTAAAACGCTTCCAACAGTCAAAGGAACGCCAAGAAGTACTCCGGTCTGCCATGCTTTGTATTTGTAGAGCTTGGCGAAGAGATTTGAGGATGTGAGGATGAACAGAATACTGCCGTATCCGAAGGATGTTGAATAGTTCAACATCGGTAGAGTAACGCTTGGATAGAATAACATTCGCAAGGGTCTGGAGAAGTCGGCTACTCTGAGGTGTAAGTCCGGAAGTGCCTTTCCCAAGTGCATTAGGCCGATCGGTGGCTGGTCTTGCTTGTCGTGAGCGCTCCTGCGAACGTACAAAGTCTCTGGGACGGTGAGCAAGAATGAGAACAGAAGGGCTGCTGCGAGGATTGCCGGCAGATAGAAGCAGAACCTCCACGTCAATCGCTTCTCAATGTAGCCGCCAATGATAGGTGCCACGTGTCCGCGGGTGATGAAGGAGACAGTATAGACGCCCATGTATCGTCCCCCCTCACGTTCCGCGAACAGGTCTGTTACGGTAGCATTGCCCAGACCCAGCGAGACACTGCCAAACAATCCGGTCAGGGCGCGCAAGACCAGCAGGGTGTGATAAGTTTTGCACCAGCCCGATAGTGTACTGAAAAGGACCAAAGTGGCCAAGCTCATGATGTAGATGGGTCGGCGGCCATACACGTTGGACATGGGATTCCATATCAACGGGGAGATGGCGACAAGCGCAATGTAGATACTGGTGACATAGGCAGTTTCCGTGATCTGGGTATGCAGATATTTGCCCAGAGGCACAAACGTAGGTACCTGCGACAATCCTTTAGCAGAGCTCCCGACATGAAAGTGCGAGATTGAGCTTACAATGAGGGAGGCAGAAAACAACGCGAGGAAAGGGATCATGGAGACATGCCAAAGCACCAGTTGCTTTCGCCAGTTCGGCCAGTGGAAAGGATCATTGGGATCTTTTGGCAATCGATGACCCAAATCATGGTCTTGCTGTGCTGTCCAGCCATCGTCAAGTCCGGATGGCGAGGTCGTCACATCAGTATCTGCTGCCTTCTCCGACATTGTCGCCGTTCTAAGTCAATGAACGACAGTGACAGAGTCACAACTATTAGCACTCGAGCACAGCGTTTGGGGGATGGACGAAAGTGTGAGCTCCTCTGACTGTGCTGCAAGGATGACTGCCAGACTTGCGACTTGGCTGCCAGTACAATGCAATGTAACGATCAAACCTTGCAGATAATGCAGTAGTTTGGTTCTGCCAAATAGGCCATGGGGGTCATATTGCTGCGCTATGTAGACTGCAGTAGCCAATGTACTGCAACAAGCATTGGCTCTGTAGCTTAATATATTGGCACCGCTCAAGGAACAGAGCGTCGATCTGCGCGCTGTGCCGCATCGCTTGGAAGTCTGGCGCATATTCCCCGTGGCAGGGGTCCTGGTCTATCGTTCTGGAGCAATATGGACCACAAGTGCTCGACCGAACACATAGGCACGTCGCACGCATGCTCTCTGCCCGTGCCTAGCGGGTTACCGATGCGCAGATCTCATACCATTTATGGTTGCTAATGATATGGAAACACATTGGATCTGGAGTCAACATATCCAAAACCAAATTCCATTGGTCACATCCAGTTGCAAAGACGATCGCTGAGCCTGACCGCAGTGTTTCTAGATCAATCGTGCTGCGTCGTTCAACGGCAGAAGAGTATGGAACAGACTGTAGAATGCTCGCTGAGATCGTTCAAGATGCTAGTCGTGTACCATGGAAGTCATCAGTCGGTCAGAAGAGTCGTACTTGCGCAGATCTCAGAGAACCGGATGATCCATTTGTGCGCATACCTTGTATGTGCAAAGGAGAGTCCCGATATCTCAATCAAGCATCCTCCATATCCTCATCCTCAGCATAGCTCACCCTCTTCGCCTTCGCAACCCTCCCATTACTTTGTCTCGCGCCCTTAGGCCTCGCCCTCTGGATAGCAGGCGTAACAGGCGCCTCATCCTCCTCACTAACCCCGAAACTCTCGGCCTCAGCTTCACTAGCACTTGGCGTGGGCTCCACCTCCTCCTCCTCCTCCTCCTGCTTGACCTCCTGCTTGACCTTCGGTGCTCTCTTCCTCGGCGCAGCCTTACTCTTTCCATCACCCGCAGCCGCCTTCACAGCAGCCGCAGCCTCCTTGGCCAACTTCTTCGCCTCCTGCTCCTCCTTTTTGGCGGCATCCTTGGCCCGATTAGCTTGTTCCTTCTTCTTCATAGCAGCTCTAGCCTTCTTCGTAGCGGGTGTAGCATCGACATCGCTCTCGTCCTCTTCCTCCTTAGCCATCTCGCCGTTCTCAGCAGCCTTCTCCGCTTCCCTGGCTCGATAAGCTTCCTCGGCTTCTTTCTTGATTTGAGCTTTACTCTTGCCACCACTAGTGTCGGCAGGTTCTTTCTTCTTCACCTCGCGTTTCTTGGGACGGAGCCATTCTTCCATGCCTGGTGGCCAGTACACACGGCCTTCTGGGCCGCCCATACCGATGTCTTCCTCTGGAACCAGTTCCGGGTTAGTATCGTCGTTCTTCATTTTCTTCTTGTTCAGGGCCTGGAGTGCGTATTTGTTATCGTCGTGGCGGGTATATGCCAGAACGTCATTGATGCGATCAAAACCTGGAAGCTTAAATGTGCGCATGAGTTCAAAGACTGCTTGCTCCTTGTCTTTCGCCTCGATCATTAGGTCCATATCTGGCGCACATGGTGGCAATGATGCAACTCGTGGATTGTGCTTTCGTCGTTGTGAAGGCGTGATAGCTGGTGGTGTGGGCTCGGAATAATGCATCTTCTGCGTTATGCCCTTTCGTGTCCAGGTGGCGGTAATTCGCGGATATAGATCGATGATACCCTTCGTTCCTTCACGGATTTGCTCCTTGTCGAATACAATGTTGTGGTGGTGGTAGTCGAGAACCATCGGTATGTTCAACTCTTCGCACACGGGCAGGATATCATGTACCGACCAGCCCATATCGTCATTCTCAAGAACCAAGCGATTTTTGACAGACTGTGGTAGCTTGATATACTCCTCCTTGAATCGTTGAATAACTCCTTCCTTACCATCGAAAATACCTCCCATATGCAAGATCACAACCGCATCTTTGTTCTGCTGCTCCGGAAGCTTCAGCAGGCTGAGCATCTCATCATGATACGCCAGATCACGGATCGCGTTCTCGATAACAGGCCTTCTCGGACTTCCCAGCTGTGTGAACTGTCCAGGATGCGTCGTGACACGATGACCAAGCTCTGCGACGACCTTGCCAACTTCAGCCAGCGCTTCGGACGCAAAAGGTGTGAGCTTGTAGCCGTATTCCGGGTGTGAGGCGAACGGGAACATTTCGCTCGAAAGTCGTAAGAATTTGATGTTGTATCTGTCGTTCCATCGCAGCATTTTTGGCAGATCGCGCACATTAGCCAGACACAATGCTTCAACGTATCGATGGCCAAGTTCGGTATCAGCTGGCTTGCTGCGGTCTGGCTTATTCTTGGTCGGGTGCTCCGGCTGCGAAGGATCTTGAAGCGGATGGCGGTGCTCGAGTATAGACTGTATTCGACAAGTTCGGGAACAGAAGATGGGCGGTGTAGAATTGCGGAGATATGTGTTCAGGCATGCATATCCCAGTCGTCCTTTCCACGGCAGAGGCAAGTAATCGCTATTAACGGGTGGCGGTCGCGACAAAGCCTCCTTGACCTCTTCCTCATCAGCTGGCTCCTCGTCGCCTTCAGCCTCCGGATCACGCTCAGCAATATCTTGCTCAGCACCTTTCTTGCTTTTCTTGGCTGGCATTGGTTTCGTTGGGGCCTCTGCTACTGAGCCGTTCTCCTCCTCTCCCTCCACCGCCTTCTGCTTGACCTTCTTCGCTCTTCCCTTCTTCACCGGCTGTGCCTTGCCTTCTGCAGCATCCACGACCGCACTCATCACCTCCTCAGCCTCATGCACACCTTGCGCCGCAGCCTGAGCAGCCTTCCTTGGCCTACCACCCTTCCTCTTTGGAGGTGGCATGACAACATCCGGAGCGTCACTGAGAGGACTCTCCTCCTTCACATCGTTCGTCTTGACCTTGTTGGGGATGACAGCTTCGTTGATGTCGCTATCAGGTGATGCTCGTGTAGCATCCGGTGCGTCAAGGACATCGTTGTTGAGATCAGGATTCACGATGGCCTGAGCAGGCGCTTGCGCTGCAAAAGCCTTGCGAGATGAGGCACGTCGCTTCAATGGTGGCACATCGCCGTTCGTTGTAGGGGCAGATACATCAACAGAGGAGAGCTTGCGCTTCGTTGCCACCATAGTCATGAGATCGCGTCTTGCCGTCCAAGGTATGATCGGTTGGCAGGATCGTAATCGCAATGGCAGCAAACGTGTCTGAACAGTATGCCTGCTTACGCGCAAAGCAAGCAGAGAAAGCATATATGTGGATTAAGCAAAGAGGAGCAGGGCTGGGACCAATATCTCATCGCCGTCTGCTATTTTCCTGCTCTGTGTATGTCATGCCAGTCGGAGCATTTTGCCCGCACGCGACATCGAACTAGGGTCGCGCGCAAGATCGATCTAAAGATCCACGATGAGATCATCAAAGATCCTCCAATATTGAATAAGCCTGAGCTAAATGTGGGCTTAAGTGGTTGCATAAGTTGCCACTCACGTGCTCGCGCGACTTCCGCGTTTGACAGGCAGACGCGCCGAGGTGATTGGTCGACTTCACCTTTGGACTAGAACTACACCTTCAAATGTTTGCCCTTGTCACGTGAAGGTCATTTACGCAATGAATACTCATCGGCCTTTCCAATGAAAGTCTAGTGCAATTCATACACAAAAACATCATGTCCGGAAGACGTGGTGGCAACACCATCCGCGGCCCCCGAAGTGCTCTCACAGACTTCCTTGCCGCCAACAACATCTCAGCACAGCAAATCCGTGACGACTACCAACGAAGACGACAGGAAGGGGAGGAAGATGCAGGCGAAGGCGCCTCAGCTCAAGCTCCACAGCAAGACGATGATGAGGCATTAGCGGTGGCGGCTCAAGCTGAGGAGGACGAGAAGCAAACCAAGAAGCGCAAGCGCAATGAGAAAGATGCCATAGACAAGATCAAGAAGGCTAAAGCTTCCAAGGGCGGTAAAGGCAAGAAAAAGGCGAAGAGAGGCGATCCGGACCTGGACGATGACGACGGCGAGGAGTACGAGGACGAATTCAACAAAAAGGCACGACCTGCACCTGGACAATTCGAGCACTGCGAGGTATGCAGCAAGCGATTCACCGTCACGCCGTACAGCAAGGAGGGGTCGGACGGCGGTCTGCTATGTACGCCATGCGGTAAGGAGTTCACGAAAGATTTGAAGAAAGAGCAGAAGGCGGCACAGAAACAGCCTGTGAGTCGCAAGAGACGCAAGATGGAGAGTGAGAAGCTGGACGGCGTCGCTGCCGGCGGTGCAAAGTCGCTAGTTCAGCTATGCATCAATCGTATCGCACAACACCACGATGACGTGGAAGAGCTCGGTGATCTCCCTGAGAATTTGCTCGACCGTCTTAGCGCCATCTTCTCCAAGAAGCGTGTGATGAAGTCAAAGACTCTACCTCTCTTCTTACGACCTGATCTGGATGCGGTCATCGTGCATGATGCTGCATACTTGGAGGAAGAAGACTACCAACAAATATTTGCAGTCTGTCCGAATATGCGGAAGCTTGCTCTAAGCAATACCTGCCAGTTCAAGGATGCTTCCGTGGACTACATGCTTGAGCGCTGCCACAACCTGCAACATATACAGCTCTATGCTGCCAATCTGGTGACAGAAGAGATGTGGCATAGACTGTTCCAGGAAGCTGGCAGTAAGCTACACACAATCAAGCTGAAGTGGCTTGATGCCGCTTTCGAGGATGATGTCGTTGCGGAAATGGCTGAATGCTGTCCCGACCTCGAACGTCTGAAGCTCAAGCTCTGTCGTCGCCTTGGCGAGCCCGCGGTCGAACACATCGCCACCATGAAGAACCTCAAACACCTCTCCCTCCAAATCGGCAACAGCGTTTCAAACGACACTCTCATCGACCTTGTTACCAAACGCGGCAGCAAGCTCAGCACACTCTCACTCGACAAGTTTATCGACGCCGACAACGAAGTCCTCCAAGCCATCCACGACAACTGCAAACGCCTAAGCAAACTCCGCTTCTCAGAAAACGACACAGTAAGCGACGCAGGTTTCGCCGCTCTCTTCACAAACTGGTCGAACCCGCCTCTCACCTTCGTCGATGTCAATTCGACCCGCGATGTAGACAATAACAATCCTACTGGTCCGGAAGAAGTCATCGGCGTTGGATCCTCGGGCTTCAAAGCGCTGATGGCACACTCCGGCCCCGCGCTCAAACACCTCGATGTGGCATCCTGCCGCTTCATCGAGCTCTCGGCTTTCATTGATGTCTTCAATGGTGCGCAGACGTATCCGGCGCTGGAATACATCAATATCAGTTTCTGCAACAAAGTCGATACGAGTGTGACTGCGGGTATTTTCAAAAGTTGTCCGTCACTTAAGCAGCTCGTGGCGTTCGGGTGCTTTGATGTGCAGGATGTTGTTGTGCCGCGCAGCATTGCGCTTATTGGTGTACCGAGGGCACAGGATGCGATTGAGCAGTTTGGTGTTGGTATTGGTGTTGAGGAGGCGATCGGGAGGATGGTCGAGGTTGGTGCTTGAGGGACTGATGCGCGGGATATGACATGATATGATATGTGCGAGAGCTATACGATACTGATGATGTGGCGATTGTACTACTGATTTGTTAAATCTACCACTTTCGAGCGAGACGGAGTGAGGCATACAAGCCCCGGAGCATGTAATGTATTGATACTTCGTCTCTTTAATATCAATAGAAGGCCAACATCACTGCCCACTAGATTTGACTATGCGCATGCACGTGAGCTCGCCAGCTAACAAAGGTTTAAATCGGTGTCTATACACATCTAAGCCTCTACCAACCCACCGCCCCTCCTCCTCCTAACCATCCCGATACTCATCCTCGGCCTCCCCTTCCTAGCATGAACAGCAACTTTCTTCTCATTCAGCATCGCGGCACCCATAGGCCTTCTCATACCCACGAAAGCGCCATCAGGACTATAGACCTCTACCCTCGGGTACATCCCCGCCTCAAGCCCACCAAGAAAAGTCGAGTCGCCCTGTTCTGGCTCCGCGTCCAGTGGCCCTAGAGCATCCGAAGGCCCAGGAGGTGCTTCGCCAGCACGTTTCCGCACCTGGCACACCAGTTCAACCCAACCTACGGACTCGATAAGGATATCGGCGCTGTAGATTGTAAAGGGAAGATCGCCCGCCTTCTGCTTGCCCGCCGTACGGTCCGTGAGTGGCCCGGCGCGACGTTTCGTCACGTCCCACTCTAGCTCGTACCTGCCTGCCTGCTTCATGGTAGCCTTTGCCTCCTGTGTGGCGATGGTAGATACGTTGCCTTCGTAGACCTGACCTTCGCGGCCGAAGCTTTGCTCCGAGTGGACTCCTGTCTGGATGGCTATGGCTTTGTGCGTGCCTGTGACGTGTGGGGTGAAAGCCGCTGGGACGAAGGGGTAGGCGAGCATGACTATGTTATCCGGTAGGTCAGGCGTAATTCTTATTAGGCCGCCGAGAAGAAGACTTTGACCTGGTCGTATGACGAGTTGGTCTGGAGTGATGCGGTGTTTCATCACCATTTCTTTGTGATGTGAGGGTTCGATGTGGGTGATCAGTGCACAGCGGTCGATACCAGGTAGGTCAATGAGCTCGCCCTTGCCTGTACCGAATGGGAGGCGGATGGGCGACGCGGTTGTGCCTGGTAGGGAGGAGACCAGTGGCATATGTGGGTACGGTGTTTCCTTTTGCGGTGGCGGGAGGAGGGAGTCGTTGTCGTTGAGGTCGAACTCCTCTTCATCGTCTTGCGGCTCTTCCCGTGGTGGTTTGTAGGTTGAGGAGGCGGTTTCGGGAGACGGCTGATCGACCCTGTTATCTGCTCGTACTCCCTCCGCCAGCTCACCAGGCGAATCTGCAGTGAGAGCATCGTTGATCGCATCAATATTCTCTTGCGCTTCGACCGAGCTCGACTCCTTCAATTCATCCTCTGTCTCTCTTTGACTTCCCGTACTGGCGCTTGCAGCATAAGCACCCCTAGCTTTTGGGAATACAACCTCAACAAGCGCACTCTTTCCCACATTCGCCTTTCCCACCATCCACCCAGCACCGCCCCTCTCATAGATCTCTTCTTTCACCTGCTTAGTCCACCACCCTCTCTTCGCGGAAACACATCTGACGTTGCCAAGCCTTATGTTCCTTCCCGAACGACCTAACGCATCCCGCAGTACACCCTGTAAGTATGGCATGAGCGTGTCCACCTGCTCCTTCTTCGGTGCCAGCAAGTCAGATCTAGTGATGATGAAGGAGACTTCTGCTACTCTGCCGTGGGAATAGCGGGTTAACTTTGATCTTCGGTTTTTGGTTCGTAAACGAGGCAGATCCAGAGCATATTGTAGGTTGGGAATCAGACTCATGGGAAAGTCGGCGGCGTCCAGGATGTGGTAGATATGGTTGTGCTTGTGTGGACTCTCTTCGATGATTGACTGAATACTGTGCAGGGAAGGATGGAGAATCGACGTCCCACGGGAGTGGTAGAGTAGGTCATGGCAACGATCGCATATCTGTGGCTTCGATCCATCTGAGGGTGTCTGAGGCACTGCGTCCAGTCCTGTGCCGATGGATGTATCGAGTTCCATGGCGGCACGGTAGACCGCGTTCTCTTCTAAGGCTGATTTCTGCTTCTGCACCGACTTCTTCGTTCTGTTCACATCGTAGTACCCAGCACTGTCTGAGTCGACGGTCTGGCTAAAAGCTCCACATCCTGGACAGACGATGGGGAGAGCACTGGCTAGAGATACTAGGCCTACAGTCTCCTTCGCGTCCAGTATGCCGGCTCCATCATGCGAGGTTGCTGTCACCACCCCGCTGGTCTGCCATAGTCTAGTCTGGCTCGAGAAGAGCCTCCTGCTGGGATCAACCCATCTTTCTAGCTGATGTCGTGGTCGGCCGAATGGCCTGCTGTTGTTCAGGGCGTGTCTACAGCATGTCCTCGAGCACTGCGTAGCCTCTCTGAGCACCCGTGAGATGGACGACGATGTCTTCAGCATCGACAGTAGTTCTTGTAAGGGGATGTATCGGACCACGTGCTTGGCATGTGAAAGTGTCAAGTTTGGAACAAGTGGAGGCTCGGCGGCCCTTGACCCTGCATTGGCGTCCCGGCGATCTATTCGCGGATGTCAAAAGAGGGTTACTTTCTGACACCATCTTATACATGTGCAAGAGCCGATATAGACGATTGTGATCGTCGCGAAAAGATAGCAAGGAACAGGAGATGATGCCTCGTTAGATTGAGTCGACCTACTACACCATCCTCGGACTCGAGCCCGTCAGACCTCAACAAAGGCATCTCACCAGCACCGCGACCAAAGATGCCCGGCATGCAGTTTCCTTACCCACGCAAAACCTCCTCACCAACCTCACCATACGCGCCCTCCCGCTCCGCCTATCCACGGCGACGACGAAGTCTACGCGCTCTTCTTCCATACATTCTCGGTGGGGTAGCACTAATATGGCTCCTCATCTACCTCTTCTCCGACTCAAGCAGTAGCACATCCGGCGCACGACCACCACCAGGAACGCCAGAGGTGGTCATAGTAACGACCCTCGACCCACATCTAAGTGCAAGCTACAGGAACAACATTATTGAAAACCGAAAAGACTACGCCGCGAGACACGGCTACACGACTTTCTTCCCTAACACCACCGATTACGATCTCATGCCCAATACGCCTCTCTCGTGGTCCACGATCCCAGCAATACGACATGCCATGACTCTGCATCCCCACACGCCATGGCTGTGGTATCTGACGAGTACAGCCTTGATCATGAATCCAACCCAAGGCCTCTACCAAAAAGTCCTCGACCCGCGGAAAATAGAAGAGCTAATGATCACCGACCAACCTGTCGTCCCACCCGACAGCGTCATCCGAACCTTCTCCCACGTGCGGGGCGAGCGCGTAGATTTCATCCTCTCGCAAGATCACGAAGGGTTAGCTGGAGGATCTATCATGGTGCGAAGCGGAGAGTGGGCGAAATACTTCTTGGACGCGTGGTTCGATCCGTTGTATAGAAGTTATAATTTCCAGAAAGCGGAGGGGCATGCGCTGGAGCATATTGTGCAGTGGCATGGTACTATACTGGCGAAGTTGGCGTTGGTTAAGCAGAGGGTCGTCAATAGTTACACAAGGGAGGTTGGAGGCGGGAAGGGTGATGGTGAGCACATCCCCATGTGTTTTCTCCCCCGCAATGTATTATCATGACTGACAATGTCCACTTGCAGGCATCTACCAAGAAGGCGACTTCATCGCCAACTTCCACGGTTGTCAACGCGATACGGCTCGGAATTGCGAAGAGGAGATGGGTCCACTGATGTCGAGGTGGCGGGAGCTGAGGGATCAGGAGAGGCGGAGGTAGTGATTTCGCGCGTTGACTTCTCGACTTGTACGATTTGCACGATGGTAGGAGTTGGGTGACAAGGAGTTTTCTTTGTTAGGGGGACTGCATGGCAATGTAGGATAGATGGTCTAATACAACAGGATCATGGTCGGATGGGGTGCTAGCACGGTGTTCGGAGTTGAGGTGCTTGCTTAGCTGGAGAATATCACTTTATGGTGGCGTCGGTCTAGTGGCGGCGGCAGCTGCGGATTCTCATAAACTAAATTTCCAACACTTCAGTCATCAAGTGGCGCTGTGTTCCCGATCCAACACCACAACAGCATCAGCCACCACAACCCGAATGATCTTCTTCAGCTCACTCTTATGATCCGCTTCTCGAAAGATCTTCACCTGCTCCGCCACTCCATCCCTCGTCTCAATACTGAGGGTATCATACCCCTGCCTAATAATCTTATCAATCTCCCTCGGACTCAGATGCTCCTTTTTGGCACGATGACTATCAATGAGCTCTTTGTAGTGCTGTGAGACGCCGATAAGCGTATTGATCGCAGACTGTTTCTTGTCGTCTGCTTTGGCAAGATTGTATGTATCGCGGAGCTTCGTCAACGCTTCGCCGGACTCTACGAGCTTGTAGAAGAGGTCGTCGTATGCTGAGGCGTCCGGGAGGAATGCTTCACCGCTTGTCAACGCCAACGCGAGGACTTCGACTACTGCTCCTACGAGATCCTGGGAGCCCAGGGACGAGCGAATATCGTCGGCGTATTGGTTGAGAAAGCGGACCAATGATAGTAGGGTCCTCCAGAGCTCGGACCAGTGATATGATAGCTTTGTTCGAATTTTGCTAAGGTAGCTGATCAACCGATTGAGCACAGTCAGGCTCTGGATGTAGAAAGCTACGTCCAGTCGCTTTCGAAGATTGTGGTTGATGCCATCGGTCAACAGATCTAAAATAGCTGCTGCGTATGGTCGGTCAGGCTTTGGTAGTGGCAGGAAAGGTGGTCGCTGTCTACATAGTCGTACAGGAGCTGTGGTGTCGCAAAGTAGCTTGGCGATTGTTGGATCCTCGATCAATATCAGCAGCGTCAGAAGCGTAAGGTAGGCGTACGACGATGCTCGTAGAGACCTGTAAGCATGCTGGTAGAGGTACGAGCTGAATGAGATGAACGTGGTGAATGGCGTTGTTTCCGTCTTGTCCTGTGCAGGCTGAGATACGAAGCGATTGCAAAACAGCTTGTTGGATTGGACGAAGTCGTACATCGTGAGCAGCGTTGCTGTCTCCGAGCCAGGCTGTTCCGTGAAGAGTTCCCGTTGTTGCTCCTCTGTCAAAGTGGGTGGTGCTGGCTTTGCACCAGCCAGTGAGCCAAGCCCAACGTACGACAACGTACCCGCTACTGACCATGTTGCAGGAGTATCGTCCTGTATTGCAATATATCGTGCTCGGAGGAAGTCGCAGGTCGAGCTGATAGATTCCACGATTCTAGTCACGGCTGCGTCGTTTACGAAGTCGGCGAAGCGGATTCGGTATTGATTGTGCGATTCAAATTTTCCATAGTTGGCCAGAAGTCCAGTGAGGAGTAGCGCCTCAGTGTTTTGACCTTCAGACTCCTCATGCTGCACGAGTCTCATCAGACCTGGAAAGAAGTCCCTGTTGACAAAGTACGAGACGAGCGCAGTTTGATAGCCACCAGATACGATGGCCATGGCGGCTCGGACTGCCTTCGTGCGTAACATGGTCGTCTTGCTTTCGCTTCTGATGATGTTGTCGAGGCTGGCAACGAGCTCCGTGAAGACAGCATCGACACTGTCCAGTCCGGCTACGATCTCGATCACTTCCGCGCTAGTATTGTATCGTTTGGCCAAGATCACGGAGAAGAAAACTGCGAGGGTCTTTATGAGTCAATAAGATCTATCATGAGTTGAGCGTAATACTGATGGCGACTTACATCTAGAGCATGCTCGTCTGCTGGTGCGTGGCCAATCTTCAATGCTGCTATTGACTGAACGAGGAGCTGTTGAGATTGGTGCTGCATCTGTAGTAAGAAGTCCACATCTGTATCCTCTAAGACTTGTCGAAGCCGTGGTAGATCTGGTCGAAGCAGAAAGAGCGTGGCCCAGAATCCTTCTGGTTTCTCTTCGTCGTCAACTTCCTACTTCCAGTGTAAGTACAGCAAACCGGGCTACGGGAACCATACACACTCTGAACAGCCTACGATAGAGTCCAACGACTTTCGGCTCAAAGACCTCCGGCCTGTTCTGCTGGGTGAGAGGCGAGTCCATGGTGCTGGGCAGAGGACTTCCTGTTCCTTCAGTCGCTGGTAAAGGCTTGATGGACGCCACGAACGAGAGGCGATTGTCTCGCCACTCCGGCCGCAATGATAGCCGCTTAGTCTGCTGGCCTGCTGGCGGTTCCATGATCGGTAGGAAAGTGTCCGCTATTGATGAAGTTGTACATATCGGAACTACTTATGCCGATTGCGGTAGGCCATATGACTTTTGAGACGCTTACATGTGACCTATCCTATCAACACACATACGTCATCTGCATAACATTCGTGCCGTCTTTGTTGCAGAAGCAATATAAGTCTTCTGAGCTGGACTCAAGAACCTTGCGATTCCTGGTACAAGGTAGAGCTGGACAACCATGGCGAGCCTCTTTCAGAAAGCAGCTGGTGCCTTCGGCAGCCGCCCTGCCGAGCAGGTGAAGCAAAGCGATGAGGAGGGTGAATCACTTGTGACGATACTGAAGACGGAAGAGGACAGGAGTGCTTTGACTATCCTCGTCGCCGACTGCACAGAGGTCATGCGTAACAACATCGTCCACATATTTGACGCAAACCAGACTGGCAAGACCGAAGACGTCGTGGCTACCAAGTTGACCGGCGACGATGCTCTGAGCAACCCTGATGTCGATCCTGGAACAGTAGATGTTGTAGAGCAAGACAAGCAGAAGAAAGCTGTCGCTCAGCGACAGGAAAAGATGAAGAAGGACTTGGCTCAGCGTGAGAAGGAGCTCAGTGGGCCAAAAATGCAGGAGTTGAAGGCGGCGGCCCTGCATTTCTTCGATGCTTGGCGAACGAGCGTGATCACAAGAGTTGGCGAGATTGTAAACTCAAAGGAGACTGCGAAAGCGCAAGAACAGCATGCTGAACCTAAAGCACAATCTCCCGAGCGATCAGCGAGCAGGATACGCTATCCCGACCCTCCACAGTACGATCCTGGTGTCGACGCGATGATGAAAAAGTTGTACCCGCCTGTCAGCAATCCTCTCACAAAATTGCCACAAGCTCAGAAAGCGTTGATCGTTCATTCCATTCTGCTACTGTTGTTAAGCTTGGAACATTACCAATCCTACTCACGGACACTACTGCTCTACATGACGACCAGCCTTGGCCTCGACGTCTCAGTACTGTCGCAGGACGAGGGCAAGATTGCTCGAGGCTTATTGACTGCGGCAGACAATATGAAGGCTGATGAAGAGACGAAGAAGAAAGCTGAAGCCAACCAGGACGGCAGAAAGTGGAAGGTTGGTCTGGCTACTGTCGCGGGAGCAGCACTGATCGGCGTTACTGGTGGGCTTGCTGCGCCCTTGCTCGCAGCCGGTGTGGGCTCCATGATGGGAGGACTCGGTCTTGGCGCGACTGCTGCAGCGGGATACCTTGGATCTGTGGCTGGTAGTACTGTGATTGTTGGCGGCCTATTTGGCGCGTATGGTGGCAAGATGACTGGGAAGATGATGGATCAGTATGCACGTGAGGTCGAGGACTTTGGCTTTGTGCCAGTTCGCGATCGCCACCGGCCTCGGAAGATCGAGAAGGAGTACAGGCGGCTGCGTGTCGCCATCGGCATAAGTGGTTGGCTGACGAATAAAGATGAAGTGGTTGAGCCGTGGAAGGTGATTGGGACAGAAATGGAGACTTTCGCTCTTCGGTTCGAGCTTGAAGCACTGATGAATCTTGGCAACTCCATGAGCACAATGGTTACTTCTGCAGCGTGGGGTTATGCGAAGTCGGAGATCATCAAGAGGACAGTCTTCGCGTCGCTTATGGCCGGACTATGGCCACTGGCTCTTTTGAAGGTGTCTCGCGTGATCGACAACCCGTGGAGCGTGGCTAGCTACCGCGCGCAAAAGGCCGGTGAAGTGCTTGCAGATGCGATCATCAACAAGGCTCAAGGCGAACGACCTGTGACATTGATCGGCTACAGCCTAGGCGCGAAGGTCATATATGTCTGTCTTCAAATACTTGCAGAGCGCAAAGCATTTGGCCTGGTCGAATCGGCCATCCTTATAGGGACTCCCTCGCCATCCACAGCTGCAGACTGGAGACATGTACGATCTGTGGTTTCTGGACGAGTAGTCAATGTCTATAGCACGAAGGACTACATCCTGGCATTCTTGTACCGGAGCAGTAGCATTCAGTATGGTGTGGCCGGACTACAAGCCATTGAGAACGTAAAGGGCGTTGAGAACGTGGATGTCTCTGATCTTGTGACTGGCCACAACAGCTATCGATTCTTGACGGGTACGATCTTGCAACGTATCGGCTTCGAAGATGTGGACGCTGGTGTCCTTGAGAAGGAGCAGCAAGAGCTCAAAGCTGAGGAGGCTAAGGAGGAGCAGGAACGTCAAGCTTCCGAAAAAGCTGAACAGGCAAAAGCACCACCAACAGAAGCTATGCAAAACACAAAATTGAATGAGGCGCCTACAGCAGTCAAAGATGCTCTCCCGGGCTCCACCTCATCCGAGACACATGAAGTCAGTGAACAACACATCAAAGACCTCGAGACAGAAATCCAGCGCAAAAACGAGCAGTCCTACATCGGCTGGGCACAAGAAGGCATGATGAGTGCAGGCACAGGCGCAGCAGTAGCGTACGAAAAAGCAAAGATGCAGTGGAATCTGCGCCGCCAAGGTGCCGGCGGCCGAGGTGCTGCAAGTGCGGCAGGTCAGGCCGATGCAGCAACAAAGGACGTCAACGATGCTGCAAAGGACACCGCTGGTGTGGAGACGTCTGGTGCAGGTAATGTGGCGTACGAAGGCATGAAAGCTAGGAGTCTTGCGCGAAAGGAAGTCGGTTCTTCTACGGAGACGCCGTCTGGAGCAAGTGGAGCTGCGAAGTTGCCCTGAGTGTGACAGCTGTCATTTGCAGCACGAGAGAGCTGTGATGGTGGGATGTTGCACGGGTGTGCTGTATTCCATGCGTAAGTGCGACGTCGGGCGTCTGTCTGACAGGTACGGATGATATAGCTTTGGGCTCGAGAAGAAGACAAAGGAAGCTTATTCTACTGCTGGATCGTGGAGAGCAGTTTATCACCTCTATAAGATGGATCTCAGATATGATGTGAAGGCCACTTGTGCGCCCAACAGCCTTCGCGTCACCATGTCGAGATCAAAACCATGCGACCTCGAGCAAGCCGACGTTTTCTTTCCCCCAAGCTATCAGACCTGCGGGCCGCCTCCTCCAGCATACTTCTCGCCGGCACGCAGTCATCCACCTAGATACTCGATGAGTGCCACGACCTACATGCCTACAAACAGTCTCTGTAGCTCGTCGATAGCATACACCAGCCAGTCCACGTCCAGCAGAACCTCGAGCCGATCCCGATATCGAGTATGGTTAGAATTCTGTGGTTTGATCTTGGTGTTGGTGATCGTGACGGGTGCGACTGTTGGCGGTGCTCTTGGAAGTGCGCGCAAGGGCGATTGAAACCAGAGCATGTCTGATCAAACAGACCACGCCATTCAGGGTTGAAGCCTCTGACATTCGAGACTCCGTCACTGTTTCCTCAGTTGCGAAGACTTCAACCTAAAGGGAGCGTCCGACGCTAAGCATGGCATAATTCACAATGCAAGAGTACAGTATCGCGGACTCCATGCTAGCGATTCTACGACGATCCTACTGCATGACGAAGAGCGAGAAGAAGTGTTCAGCTTTTATTGAGCAGCCAAGATCAAAGCGGCCACATCGCAATCTATGGGTTCTGGCCACGCCAGCTCAGCATTGGCACGAATATCGCGACACTATTTCGTGGGACCTGGTGGTGTACGCGTGACTGATGAAGGGTGAACGGTGAACGGGCTGATTAATCGTGGGAAACGTAGCTCAAACGGCACGGCCATCAGCGAGCGCTTTGAGCATGTAGCTCGAAATCACGACATAGCCATGAGAAAGGTTCGGGGATTGCACTCAGCTCGTTAATATGTACATGGCAACTGGTGTCTGCACCGTATACAAGCATCGGGTGTTGCATGTTGTATCCGAGTATGGCAACTCACAAAAGGCGTCCCTGAGCTATGTCAATCCAAAGGCGATGCTGAAGTGCTTCCAACAGATAACGATCCGATCCGATGGTGGTTCAGGGCCAAGCCCAAATCTGCGAACGGGCAGCTGAAAAGGAGCGATCAATTTCTCGTTGTTGAAGCAATGGTGACTTCATGAGCCACCTGATCAACAAGGATCATAGTGACCTCGTCTCGATCGTCTCGACACTGGCTTTGTTGTGTGCCACGGTTGGCGTCTTCGATGTTGTCTCAGTAGAATTGTTATCGTACACACTGGACATATAATTCTGTTGCTTTGCGGTCCTTGACCATCATATCTAGCCAAAGACCTCCATCAAGAAATCATATCGTAGATGCAATCCCATGTCGCGAGCCTTGGCAGTAAGCATGTGGGCTTTGTCTGATAACACTTCACCAACAACAGGAGCACCGCAATACTACACTGCATTAGCTGATTGGCGCCAGAATGACCGCAGTCGAGGACTTACGAATATTCCCACCTTACTGTCTGTGACTCCTGCCGCCACAAGCTCCTCGAAATGCTTCTCCAGAATAGCGTCAAAGTCCGGACGACCGAAGTGCGAAGGCTGCCTTAAGCCAGTCAAAGTCGAGTATGGCGCAGCCTCCGTACGATAGCTATCTAGCAAGTATCGGAACACATGCGTCGATATATTCTTCCTTTTAGCCGTGATGTGAGTATTGATGTTGAGCTCGAGATTGCCATCCTTCGCGAGAGGCACGGCACCATCTGTAGCACGATTAAGCAGATCAGAGAACCATAGTAGGTTGTTCCGATCACGTACAGTCCAATGAAAGTCGACACACCGCTGTGGATTCGGATGTCGAGAGTGGTTTCGGCTTGTCGCCTCGCTGCTGGTCGTCTGAAGAGGTCGGCTCTGGAGTACCGGATCTCGATGGTCTTCTAAATGGGGAACGTGAGCGCCTACCCTCAGCCCACGGATCCTTGCGCTCGGTAGACTGCTCCTCAAGATCCGTAAGAATGGCCGCAAATGGAGTGATGCCTATCCCTCCTCCGACAATTATGGAGTAGTCGTAATCATAGAAGCGTTGCGCTGGTGCGCCAAATGGGCCGTCGATACCTATTTTGATATCTTGGCTCTCTGGAAATGTGTCTTGTAGCTTATTCGTCCAGTCTCCATCAAATTTGATGTGCACCTGCAGCATGTTACCACGGCAGGAGGAGATAGTGAATGGGTGCCACTGGAAATGTGAGATCTTCGGGACCTGTAGCAGAATATATTGTCCGGCAGAGTACTTCCAATCTTTGCCCTGCGGATGCTTGCAAGTGATTCGAATTGTGTCGTTGTCCAGAACCTCCGCTCTTGCAGGTACCGCCATAAGGCCTCGAACCAATCTATACACTCGCTCGAAGATCACCAATAATGCTGGAAATGCCAACCAGTAGCCGAGCATGGGTGCTTGGAGCAATGCAGCAGTGCCATGGGCACAAAGCAAACCGATCATTGGAAACATAAGCAAGTGACCAAGCTGGAAAATCTCGTGACTACGTTTGCGTATGAATGGCATGGAGAGCAAGCTGATGGTCCAGAACAAGCCGAGCGCCGTGAGACCCGACCAACCCGGTAATGTACGCACATAGGTGATGTAAGGACGAGGTACCGCGTCTGGACCAAGCACCGATGCCACATTTTCTTGTCGTCCTCTTGAGGAGCCAAAGACGAAGGTGCCATTTAAGTGTCCTATGGCATGTAAACTGGCGAAGAATAGACCTACTATGCTCATCCTGATGTGGAAGATTTGTGACAGATCCCAATTGATGAATCGATTGATGTAATAGTTTCTCCGAAGGAATGTCGAGAAGTGCCTGCTCATGCTGAGAAGCATGAAGAAGAAGGTCGGGTAGAGCACCCCGGCGCTCGCCTTGGCTAATACCACACCCCAACCAGAAGCTGCACGAGCCAAAGGATCTCTGAGGTATTTAATCATTTGCCACAGACCAAAGGCAAGCTGTAGTGCCATCACGAAAACTGTGAAACAGAGAACGCGTCCATGAACAGCCCAATATGCTCGCACTCGTCTTCGAAAAGGGAGTTTACGCTCCATGGAGGCGTCCTCCGCGTCGCAGTCGGTAGCATCTGATTGCTTCCGGCTTGGGACCTCCCACTTCTTGACGCGTCGGATGAAGTCAGGCCGGCTTAGCTGAGTGCTGCAATCAGGCATTAAATTGAAAAGAAAGGCATGAAGACTATCGCCGTTGTGGTCTTCATTCTTCTCCACGTCTCGTCGGCTGGGATGGTGAAGATTGTGCTTAGCAGGTTCCGGGGCCAGCTCGTTGTGTATCTCATGGAGTCTGGCCTCTAGTTCTGCAAAGCTAACGGAACCGTTTTTGTCTTTGTCCAGATCGTCGAAGAAAGCATTGATCTCGTCCTCGCTCATGGGAGCAAGGTCATCGTTAGCTCTGTCGATGGGGGTGTCCATCTCAAAGCCTCGGGCTGAAGAATCTGCTGTACTTAGTCGGTGGGGATGAGAAGATATGGAAGCGATGGAAAGTGAGGTCGTCAAACCTATAATATACAAAACCTAGCAGAGATATGCTTCCTGGGCGCCATCACCATACCCAAGCGCCTAGCTTTGGCAGCAGCTGCGGTGGTCGTCCCATCGCGTACTGAAGTATACTTTTACCTCCGCCAACCTTATCAGATATCCTTCGTGGCATGACGTTCTCATAGAACACAGTTTCGAATTCTGCAATTCTCTTGTTGCTGTTGACGCGCGGAGCATTGGCACTCGCACGTAAATGCTTGGCGGTGGACTTACTAGCGGCTCGCCATCACAATGATTCCTCCACGAACACATTTCCCCTCGTCTTATGATGATGATCACAGGCGCGATAAGATGGCTTCCTCTGGGAGGGGAGGTTATGGGACTACGACCTTTTGCGTCTGATCAAAATCGAGGATGGACAATGGACGGGTAAAAGTCGCTTCATCATACAGACCTGTTGATGTACACGCGCTCGCGACTTACGGCGACCTCGAGACCGTAAAACGGACTTTGACCGGATGAATCTGTATCATACTCTGCGCGCTTGACCATGTTCGATTTTCGGATCATTTCTAGCGGCGCCGCCCAGATCTACCAGACCGGCACCGGTAGCCAGAGACCTCGGAGTGTACGATGCGCAACTGACATTCGAGGACCGGAGACCTAATGCTATGGTACAAGACTTGCCCTCCGCATCTCGCGAGCTGACAGAATCTGGCTGTAGCTGAAAGCACAAACGTTCAAGTTAGTGATCGGCAATCCCAGCTGATCTGAGCAGCATCCATCTGGTATCACATGGCGCGATTCCAACTGTGCAACGTGTACTCCTGAGAACGTTCCAACAGTATTGAAGCTTTCGCGAGTCCCTTCTGTGCCTGGCCTTGCTATCATGGATGCGGTTGTCGCGGTCGACATCTACCCCTACAAGCCAGCAGACAGACGCATCTCAACGAGCGCTAAGTCTTCTTGCATGGCAATGTTTCACTGGCATCAGCCGCGAAAGCATGGGCTTGATACCTGCCTCCACTGCAACATCAACTTCCTTATCGATGCTTGCGCGCTGCGGTACTTTCATGGTGCTTCGGCAAGTGTAGGATGGATGGACACTTATAGCGATGCCTATGCCTATAGGGTGAGCATCCGAGGAGATGTGTAGCTCGCCAGAAGCAAAAGGAATATCAAGCTACATTGATATGCTAGCGCTGACGAATTCGTGACGAGACTAGCTCTCACACCGTCGAGATCTAAGACACTCAACTTCACGAGCACTCGCCACAGCTGTTTACACCACGATCTAGTGAGGATGAACTACGCCATCTTCATAGTCCGTCCTGCACTGCGCCTCATTGAAGTGCTCGGCGTGGTGGAGCGCCCTTGGCTTGGCTTGAGTCTCAAGTTCTGCCATGGAGCCGTACAGCCAGCATCTCTGTCTAGCCATGGGTGACAGCAACCCATAAACTGACACAGCCGATATGACCACGGCACTGGCACAATCGTCGAGTTGGGCGACCTGTTAGATGTTGACTGGTCCCCTCCACGCCACACCTTCGCCGAGTCCCCATACTTGGCAGCATGCGGGGTCGTGATATATGTACATATGCATCGACAAAAGAGCGGAGTGCATCTGGCTAAAGATCAATCTACCGTGTTACACCATGGCTTGATCGTGAACTCCGGCTTTCATGTTGTCCCCGATGACTACTGCAGATGCGAGCGACCGCCTCGATACTTGTCCAGGATTGCCAAGCATGGACACGCATGACCGCCAAGAGCACCAGGATCTTGGTACACGATCATGAAAGCAGGTGACAGCCTAGATAAGGATCTGTCGCCATCCCACCTTGCTTACATCCTTTCTTTCCCAGTTGAACCTCGATCTTGTCCAGTTCAAGCGTACCCCAAACATCACGCTCGACTTTCAACGCCCGTCAATCGATGGAAGAGCCTTCTAGTCATGCCGACAATACCGGAACCCACTCTGGTAACGCCCCTCATGCCACAACTGGCGTTGCTGCGTCCGAAGAAGTCGGCGATGGCGACCCGCCCGCTATACCGAGCGCGAGCTCGTCCAATTATCTGACTGAAAAGTCCGTGGGCGAGTCTCGCTATGGCAACAAAACCACTACAATAGCTTCACACAACGACAGTGAAAGAGCTCACGCGAATCGTGTCGCACACACGCTTAGTATTCCTGCTCTTGCAACGCAGCTGAAGACTGATGTCTCGTACGCGCTCAGACCTCCTGGCTATACGTTTCTTTCGCTAATGGTATCTCTACAGCACCGGTCTCTCCACCGCAGAAGCAGAACGTCTTCTCCAAGAGCATGGACCTAATCGACTCGAAGCCTCCGGAGGCACTACCTGGTGGCGTATTCTCATCCGACAGGTCGCGAACAGCCTGACCGTGGTACTGGCGCTGGCGATGATCGTCAGCTGGGTGACACTCGACTTTATCGAAGGAGGTGTCATTGCCGCCGTCATCATCCTGAACATCGTTGTCGGCTTCTCCCAAGATTACCGCGCTGAGCAGACCATACAGTCCCTCTTAGCATTAGCAGCACCTGACTGTAATGTCATCAGATCCCGCCAGTTCATGACAACCAAGGCCGAAAATCTAGTGCCCGGAGAAATAGTACAGCTGACTGTTGGAGACATCGTACCAGCAGACCTGAGGCTGATGACTGCTGTCAATTTCGCCACCGATGAGGCTATGTTGACTGGAGAGTCCAAACCTTGCACCAAAGACGCTGAAATGATCTTCGAGGACAACGACTTGCCTATTGGCGACCGCACCAACATCGCTTACTCTTCTACTGTCGTCACACGCGGGAGAGCTTCTGGTATCGTCTTCGCAACGGCAATGGACACCGAAATTGGCAAGATCGCACAACTCTTGCGCGAGAGTGGACGAACACAGGACAAGACGCAGAACTGGCCGATACGTACAGCCAAGTCTGCATGGCATGGTCTCAAGTCCGGCCTGGGCCTGATTGGCACACCTCTCCAAGTCAAGCTCTCTTACTTCGCTTTGATCTTGTTCGCACTCGCCATTCTCCTCGCGATCATTGTGTTCTCCGCCAATAGCTGGGAGATCGACAATGAGACCCTTATCTATGCCATCTGTGTCGGTGTGGCTGTCATACCGGAATCTCTGATCGCCGTATTGACCATCACCATTGCTACTGGGTCCAAGGCAATGGCTCGCGGTAATGTAGTGGTACGCAAGATGGGCTCGCTGGAAGCAATCGGAGCTGTTACAAACATATGTTCGGACAAGACCGGTACACTCACACAAGGCAAGATGCTGGCCCGAAAAGCGCTTCTTCCAAGTCAAAGTCTGCTCACGGTAGATGGAGAGGGTAGCCCATTCAATCCAGAGACCGGAACTGTGAAGCTTAACGACCATATTGTCGATCGCAATATCATGGTATGCCCAGGTGAACTTCAAAGCTTCTTTCACACAGTTGCCTTATGCAATCTGTCTACTATCTCTGCGCCAACAGACTCAGGATTATGGTCAGCCACCGGTGAGCCCACAGAAATCGCCCTGCAAATACTAGCCATGCGCGTCGGACAAAGTAAGAAAGATATCCTTGCAGATCATCCTATGACCCTGCTGGCGGAGCATGGCTTCGATTCGGCAATCAAGCGCATGTCAGTCGTCTATCAAGACGACCGGACTGGCTCAATCTGCTCATACACCAAGGGCGCTACTGAAGTTCTTCTACCTTTACTCAGTCTGGGCGCCGAGCAGCAGAAAGATATACTTGCGAGAGCAGATTCCATGGCAGCAGATGGATTGCGTGTGCTCTGCTTAGCCCATCAACACCTTGATCCCGGCATGACAGAGAAAGTATCTGACCGCGACTTCATCGAGCAGAATATTACTTTCGGTGGTCTGGTAGGCCTTTACGATCCTCCTCGTCTCGAGTCAGCTGGCGCAATAAGGCAGTGCCAGGCCGCTGGTATAACTGTACATATGCTCACCGGTGACCATCTGAAGACCGCTACGACTATTGCAAAGGAGATTGGTATCCTCGGCCCTCAAGTCCCATCCTCTGCCTCAAGCACCGCCGTCATGACTGCCTTGGAATTTGATAAGCTATCAGATCGAGAACTTGACCAAATGGAGACATTGCCATTTGTACTTGCTCGATGCAGTCCATCAAGTAAACTGCGCATGTTGCATGCTTTGCACAGGAGAGGGCGCTACTGCGTGATGACTGGCGACGGCGTCAACGATGCTCCATCACTAAAAGGCGCCGATGTGGGTGTGGCGATGGGACTGAACGGAAGCGACGTTAGTAAAGAAGCTGCCGATATGGTCCTAACCGACGACAACTTCGCTTCCATCGTCTCAGCCATCCGCGAAGGACGCCGCTTGTTCGACAATATCCAGAAGGTAAACCCAACCTCACTCACACAACCAAGAAAGTCTCTCCTCCCAACTAACATGATCCCAGTTCCTCCTCCACCTCCTCATCTCAAACATATCCCAAGTAATCCTCCTCCTCGTCGGCCTCGCCTTCCAAGACCGCTACGGCATCTCCGTCTTCCCCCTCTCCCCCATCGAAATCCTCTGGGCCAACCTAATCACCTCATCCTTCCTAGCCATTGGCCTCGGACTCGAAGGCGCCTCCGCAGATATAATGACCCGACCCCCTCACTCCCTCAAAGCCGGTGTTTTCACCAAAGAGTTAATCGTGGACAAGTTCATCTACGGCAGTATCATGGGCTGTCTCTGCCTTGTATCCTACGTTATCGTCGTCTTCAGAATTGGAGACGGGGATCTGGGAATCGATTGTAATGAGAACTTCAACGAAACGTGCGATCTGGCGTATCGGGCTCGAGGGACGGCTTACAGTGTCCTCACTGTCCTCCTCTCAGTCATGGCGCTGGAAGCTAAACACCTCACTCACAGCCTCTTCAACCTCAACCCCGGCTCAGGAAACAGTCTTGTCCAGAATCTGCGCCTCATCACGCAGAACCGTTTCCTCTTCATCGCCGTCTGCGTGGGTATGGTGACGCCCTTTCCGATCATCTATATCCCCGTTGTCAACCACGTGGTCTTTCGACACGACCACCTGGATGGTGCGGACTGGGGACTCGTGTTCGGGAGTCTGGTACTCTTCGTCGCAATGGTGGAGGCTTGGAAGGCTAGTAAGAGACGCAGACTGCGGTCTCGTGATCGGGTGGCGGAAGATCGGGTCAAGGAGAGTAGTGAGGGCTCTAGCTTTGTCTGATCTTTCGGGCTGGCAAAGCACAGGTTGCGAGGATGGGGGATGAGACAGGAAGCGGACGAGATAGGAGAGGAGAGGAGGGTTGAGCTCAGGGCGGCGAGATGCGAGTGAAGCGTGACAACAAGGTGCGGACGCAAGTAGAAGTGGAGCGGGTGGGTGGTTGCGAAGGAGTGTGAATATTACAGACACAGTCGTTACCTATTCTATATATATATACATAAACATACCAAAAGCGTCATGGGCCAAAGGCGAGAGATTCCAGCTGTCAGAAGCCTATTGTAGTGGCTGTCATCATGACCAGCATCTGCTTCTTCATCTTCTCCACCAGCAAGTCTCGTACACGTAGCGGTGCCCACTAGCCACATGCAAGACCATGTACGCTTCTCTCGCCACCCAGCCAGTCCTTCGCGGCTGGCCCAAGCAGATCATGCTGCGCGAGCGTAGCAAGGCGCTCGCGCTTCGCGATACGCGGTGCAGATGCAAGCTTAAAGGGCACGCTGTCTCGTGACCCGCATATCCCGCAGCTTGAAGGTCGAGCTCCGTAAAGCCTCTGTAGTGAAAGGTGCGATCCTCAGAGTCGTACTTGGTATAACGGGATTGGGAGTCCATCATCTTCGCTGTTCCACCACTCTGACTAAGAAGCCACGCGGACTGCATAGTCGGTAGGTGGTTCGTAATAGTCTCGAGCGAGCCCGTGCAGAGCTCTTGCCATTCCCGACCCGACTACTCGCCGACCGCGCAAAGGCAGGTCCGCCGTGCATTCCTGGATTCACTTCAGCCACCACCCCTCCTCCCGAACCTCGCCAGCGCCGGTCCCAGCTCCCCCACACCCCTCCCCTCCTTAACCTCCTTAGCCCTCTTCGCCTGCTCCTCCCTCATCTCCAAAACCCTCATTTTATGCTCATCCACCACATTCCTATTCCCCTTCTTCCTCAAATACTTCCTCAAACTCGAATTCTTCCCTCTACCCCGATTCTTGAGCTTCTCAATCCTCTCCCTCTCCGCCTCAACCCCACTCTTGCGATCCAGATCCTTCTCTGCCTGGCGCTGTGCATGTGATGTCCGGTCGAGTTGGCCGACGAACTCCGGGTTCAGCGCGATCATTTCCGGTTGGAGTTTGTTGAGGAGTTGGTTCACTTCTGCTTCTTGGCGTTGTTTAGGGTTCTCGTATGGGTTCTGTTCTAGGGCGTCGAAATTCGGTTCTCCAGCTCCGGGAACGATGACGGAAGAGAAGCCGCGGTTGTGGCCTATACCCAGGATATCCTCGAAAGGACACCAGCGGACCCGTTCGATTGTTTGGCCTTCGCCTCCCCAGGCCATGTACGGTGACTGGACTTTGACTTGCTCGGAGATGTCGGAGCGGTGTTTGGAGAAGAGATCTTTCCAGATGGTGGTCTGGGTGCCCCAGCCTACGGCCGTGAGGTTACGGTCGCTGATCGCTACGCTGGAGCCGGGTTGGCGGAGGAAGTACTCGTGCACGGGTTTGTAGTTTCGGATGTCCCAGACAGACATTTTTTTGTCTTGGCCTGTGGAGATCATGTATCGCCCTTCCCGGTCCATTGCCAAGGAGCGGACGGGTCCGTGATGGCAGAGCATTTTCACTAGGGGTGTCGTGCTGTTGGGTGACCAGAGGGAGACAGTGCCGTTCTGGTGGCCGACGTGCATGATGGCGTTGTGGGGGTTTTGGCCAAAGGCTGTAGGGGTGCCTTGTTTGGTGCCCACTTCCATGACTAGTCTGCCTGTACTCGTGTCTTGCCATTTAAGCCAGCCAGCGTTGCCGATGGTGGCAAGGAGGAAATGGTAGGGTAGGAACTCCATATGCGAGACCTCGACGTGGTTGTCCAGATTGTGGATCTCCACGCCATGATGATCGTAGATGTATACGTTGCGCTTCTGGGCTACGGCGAAGTATTGGTTGTTGTGGAGCCATTTGGCATCTCGCACCGTCTCGCCGAGCTGTAGTTCGCAGGCTAGTTTACCAGTCCTCCAGTCCATGGTGGCGACATGTCCTTTCCGGCCGGCCAGAAGTAGATCCCGTCCATTCCTCGTATAGTCGAATGTATAGGGTCCCATGGAGTCCAACTTGAGCTCGAATCCCTTCTTGGCCGTCTCCACTCCCACACCGCTTCTTAGATCATCCTGCTGGACTTTATACGTCTTCTCCAGCTCCCCCTCAGGCTCAAGGAATCCCGATTCATTTTCCAGTAGAATCTCAGCATCCTTCGCCTTGAGTGCCGCCTCCTTATTTCGCTCCTCTAGTGCTTTGAGACTCCCGCGGATCTTCTTGTCCTTGATCGACTTGGTATCGATACCTCGACCACGCCCATACTGCCTCGAAGCCTCCGCTTGCCGCTTCGCTAACGCCGCCGCTTCCTCTTTATTCAGCTGTGCGGTCGGCGGACCTCGTTTCTTCTGCACTTTGACCTCGCCATTCGCCTTGACGAGGTCGTGAGTCTCCAGTCCGGCCATCTTAGCAATTTACAATAAGTCGTCACCGCCCCATGCCTGTTGCGACAGAATACTTCCTCTTCACACGAACTTTCTTTCTACTTGACATGTGAAATCTTGGCCTAGTGCACTAGCGTGGCAGCTCGGCGGCAGTTTCTCCGAATGTGATCCGTGCTGAAGCTTGAAACATTTCCGTCTTTCGTCCATCTTTCGTCCGTCTTTCGCCGTTGACTCTTGGGGCCCCATATTATTATTCTTCATCGTAAACAACCCGATCCACTTCCATCACTTGCACACGACCGATCAGTCACCTCCTGTCCATCCCGTCTCCATACTACCCTCCCATTGACACCATGCTCACCAAAACCCTCCTCCAACGCGCGGCCGCAGTGCCATCTCGCTCGGCCACCGTCTCACATCAAACCCTCCGTTCTGCTTCCGCCTGGTCGCAAGTCCCCCAAGGCCCACCCGACGCCATCCTCGGCATCACCGAAGCCTTCAAAAAGGACAGCCACCCAAAGAAGATCAATCTCGGCGTCGGCGCCTACCGTGACGACAAGGGCAAACCCTACGTCCTTCCCTCCGTCCACCAGGCCGAACAAGCCGTTGTGCAGAAGAATCTGGACAAAGAATACGCCGGCATTACAGGTGTACCCGAATTCGTCAAAGGCGCCGCTCTCCTGGCTTACGGTCCCAACAGCGCTCCCTTGAAAGAAGGCCGTATCGCCATCACCCAGTCCATCTCCGGCACTGGCGCACTCCGAATAGGCGGTGCCTTCCTCCAACGCCACTATCCCCACGCCAAAACCATCTACATCCCCACCCCATCATGGGCGAACCACAAAGCCGTTTTCCTCGACAGCGGGCTCGAAGTCAAGCAATACAGATACTACAACAAAGACACCATCGGCCTGGACTTCGACGGCATGATCGCAGACATCAAGGCCATGCCTAAGAACAGCATTCTCCTCCTCCACGCCTGCGCGCACAATCCCACCGGCATCGACCCGACAGAAGAGCAATGGAAAGGCATAAGCGACGCCGTGAAAGAAGGCAACCACTACCCCTTCTTCGACATGGCCTACCAAGGTTTCGCCTCCGGCGACACTGACCGCGACGCCTTCTCCCTCCGCCACTTCATCGAGCAGGGACATCAACCGTGTCTCGCACAAAGTTTCGCCAAAAACATGGGCCTCTACGGTGAGCGGGTCGGCGCCTTCTCCATCGTCGCCGAGTCCGCGGAGGAAAAGGCCCGCGTAGACTCCCAGATCAAAATCCTCGTCCGACCACTCTACTCCAACCCCCCCGTCCACGGCGCACGCATCGCCTCCCAGATCCTCAACGACAGTAGCTTAAACCAGCAATGGCTGGGTGAGGTGAAAGGGATGGCCGACCGCATCATCAAGATGAGGGCGCTGTTGAAGGAGAATCTGGAGAAGTTGGGGAGTCAGCGGAAATGGGATCACATCACCGACCAGATCGGCATGTTTGCCTACACTGGTCTCACGGCGGAGCAGATGACGAAGCTGGCGGAGGAGCATTCGGTTTATGCCACGAAGGATGGACGGATTAGTGTGGCGGGCATTACGTCGGAGAATGTTGGGAGGTTGGCGGAGAGTATTTTTAAGATTACTGGTTGAGATGGGTTGTGGTTGGTAGAGCAGGCTAGCTACTATGATGTTGCTTTGAGTAAGAGCCGCTCGGAAGCGCGTGGGTCTGTTCGCGTTGAGGAGGCCAACGGGCACGCATGACGGGTGTGGATTTTGGCTTGACTCGGGGCGGGAGGATGAACTGATGGTGGGTGGGTGTACGATAGAAGCAGCATGAGCATGGAGGGTCTTTCTGTAGAAATGCATCGAATAGTCGCATGATGGGTGGATAGATGGGCTTCCAGCAATTCCTAGACCAGTGCTGAGGTGGTAGTACCGTAGCAACTGGAACCCTTGCATATCAACCGCCGGCACCACGTTTCCGTCGTTCTCCTACCACATGTGCAGAGTCATGCAACAGCACCATGTGGCCGGTCAGCTCCGTATCGGTCCCCAAGCACATCTAGCTTACCAGACTCCTACGAACGCGAACCGACCGGAAGCTTTCGCGATCCACGTGTCTTGCCGCTGCAGATTTTCCGCAAGGGCAAGGCACGCTATTGATCGTGCAGCTCTAGCGTCCCCGTCCCCCGGCCAAGTGGTCCGAACCCCATTCACCGCAGAACTACCTAACTAAAAGAGGAAGTTGCAAGTGCTGATCTCTGACGTAGTATATCAGAATGCAGGATATCGTCCGTGATGGGGCTCCACTTCCTCAGCTCAGCCGGGGCGTTGTGCAAAGTGTGGAGTCGATGGTGGAGGATTGAAAAGACTGAGGTCTAGATGAATATATTCTCTGCTTGGGGCACGATGCAGGGCCCGTTTGTGGGGAGCATGACGTCGGGGGTTTCTGCTTGCTGGAATTTCGAGACGGGATCGAAGAAGACGTTGAGGAAATGGAATACTGTATATGTTGATGGACTTGGGTGAAAGTGATGGGATGTTGGTAGGGAATTTGCTTGCCGAGAGTAGTACTCCAGTACCAGTAACAGTACTGCCACGCATATGTAGCCGACGGTACGTTGTATGAATGGGAAAATCGTGGCTCCCACGCGCGATGACGCCAGAGGTCAATGTTCTGTGCGACATCAATCAGTCGCAGCTAATAGTACCGAGTCGGCCATCGGCATTGTGAAGCGCGGACGAGGCCCAGTGAATGCGAGTTCGGCTTGCCGTCAACACAGCTGCTTCTAATCAATTGTCGATAATACAGCTTCTGATTATACAAGCCGCTTGTCACCATCGTGCGCTGGATCGAGTGCTGTAGCCCCCCAAAAAATCCCTAGTCCGTATCCACTCACACTTTCGTCTACCCCTCCGAACCTGGCCCCACCGAGCCATAGTGCCCTTCCACCGGTGAACAGACATCTCACCCCCGGTCGCCGCCCATTCCTCGGCTCCGGCAGCGCTTCCTAAAGTTCTTCCAGAAAACAGCTTAGCCTACATCCGAGGAAGCTTTTCAGGGAGAAATCCAACCATTGTTCTTACCCAAACCCTACAGCGGGAGATCGACACCAACCCACGCGACCTCCACTCACTCTTTCAATTTTAGAGCTCGCTAGCGCTGGGCCCCTCACCTCTCACCACGACGACCTCGACGACATCCAACGTCTGACATCACCGCCCCGCCCCACCCTCAGGAACATTTTCCCAAATTTGCCCGCGAGTACAGCAGCAGAGCTCACGACCTAATCCGACCTTGCCTGACCTTGGCACGACTTCTTATCCGAAAGGCACTACCTACCGTACCCCACGATATCCAACCACGACTCTCACTACTGTCTGAGCTCGCTGCTGCTATCGTGGAAGACCCTGCAACACGACTATACCTGAGTCTAATCTGAATACTACTACTACTACTAATACTACTACTTATACCCACTCGACACTACCCGAAGGACTACTAGCTGCAGAGCCGGCAAGCTACTTACATCTCTTGCCGTGCTTGAACCGAGAAGGGGACATAGCCAACCATGGCATCATCAACCTCCCAGGATGTCCGAGTACGCACTCCCATCTCTTCTTCCTCTTCTTCTTCCTCTTCTTCTTCCACCCTAGCCTAGCCCAGCAGCTTGAGTGCGCGAGTATAGCAGGCGATATACCCTGACCACCAGCAAAAGCGGAATCGAGAGCAGCCTGTACATCAGCATGTTGCACCCCCATCACCACCACCGCACGCCCTGCGCTCAACCCCAGTGCCACCACCACGCACTCTGCTTCCTCCGCAAAATTCACACACAGCACCGGTACTGACGCCTCCTTTCTCTTACAGTCCGAGGACGGCTCGACTTCTTTGGCGGATCTGGGTGACAGTATTGATGCGGCGACGTTTGAGCAGGTATGCACGGCCCAACAGAGAGCAGGCAGGGGGACCTGGGTCACGAGGATGTGGTGTACGGGTGGGATTGCTAATAGTTGCATCTGGTGACGATTAGATCCTCGAAATGGACGACGATGAAGACGAGCGGGAATTCAGCAAGAGTATAGTCTACGACTTCTTCACGCAGGCCGAGAATACCTTCACCAGTATGGACGAGAACCTGTAAATACCAAACCCCTCCACTCACATTCCCCCAACCGTGCTAACCCACCTCTCCTTCCGGTTGGTTAGAAAAAAAAAGGACCTCGACGCCCTCTCCGCCCAAGGCCACTTCCTCAAGGGCTCCTCCGCCACCCTCGGCATCACGAAACTCAAGGACTCGTGCGAGAAGATCCAGCATTTTGGCGCGCGCAAGGATGAGACGGGGACGGTGGAGGAGGCGGATGATGGGAAGAGTTTGGCGAGCTGTGCGAGTACGATTGAGCAGGCCAAGAGGGAGTTTAAGGAGGCGGAGGGGGCGTTGAAGCGGTTTTATCGGGATGAGGCGTGATGGGGTGGGGGGACATATACTCGAGGCTGGGGAGTGGTTAGGGGGGGGAGGAGATGTGGGTGGAATTTGAGGATGCTTGAGGTGGGTGGGAGAGCGCGGGTTTCTTGTGAGGCCTATGGCGCGCGTGTGGGGCTCGGACGGTATGGTTGAGTGGACGATGGGGTACTCATGAGGTTTACCACCTTTGTCCGCTCCCACGTTCGAGTCGTGTGTACGGAGTTGCCGCTGGAGGAGGACGACAGTGGTAACATGGACCTGAGATGTCCTTATGTCTATTGAGAGGAGTGGTGGTGGTTCGATGTGTTGTTAGAGCGGCATTTTTATTAGCGGTTCTTGGTACACAACACTTTATCCACTTCTTAGATGCTATTCTCCTCCAGAGGGGGTCTCATATATACTGACCCAGAGTCGAGGTTGATTGCTTACTATGCTCTCTGCAATGCTAAGCGGGAAGTAATTGGACCACTCAGAGGACTGACTGGCTGGCTTGGAGTCCTTCTGCTGGGGATGGGGACGCAGAGAGATGTCATGAGCTCCATCGTCAGTGATCTCTATTGGCCACTTCTCTTCCCTCCGCCGGCACATCAATCCTGTAGTGCCTGAAGGTCAACTTCCTACCTCTCAGCTATCTCTCTCACACCGGGGATACGAACAGTGGATGGACTACGGGTGTCGACTGCTCGCATTAATCGCAGTAAAGGGTATTGCTTCCAGCGACACACTTGTCCTGGCAGTACCATCGGAGACGGGATACACTGATATCTCACAGAGCTAGGCAGACTACAAGTGTGCACAATGCACACTGGTATATGAAGGTTGGAGAAGGCGATGTTCGTCAAGCCATTTCGGTTCGGTTCGATTCATTTATTCATAGCCAAAGAAACTTCAAGCTATCAACGAGGACGCTCGCTATCCAGCTGAACTCCCGCATACAACCAGCATCCCCACTAAGCCCAACTCTCTCCTAAACCTCTGGAGCCAGCTACCATCAACCAGCACTCCATCAAAAACCTCTTCATCTCTCCAGGAGTCACAACAAAAACACCTCCCACCTCCTGCAATCGCCTCCCCCACACTTCTCCTGTCCCTCCTGAGCCTCAAGATCAAAGATCCGGACTTCAGCAGCATCAGACATGCCCTACTCATCAGCACCAGCCACAGTCGTCGGTGAAGGAGGGAGATGGAGAGGAGGATTGAAGGTCCGGTGTCTTTCCCTCCCGAATCTCCTGGTTCGAGGAACTATACCCACCTTCGTCTAACCTCGCGGCCCCCTTAGCCGCCTCCTCGCGAGCCTTCCCCTCCTCCTCCTCTTCCGCAGCCTCAGCGGCTTTCCTCGCCTTCTTCCTAGCCTTAGACTCTTTCTTCCTCAATTCTTCTTTCTTCTTCTTGGCAGCGGCCAACGCAGCCGAATCAGCCGTAGAAGAGGAGTCGTTGATGAAGACCGGATCCACGAGTTGAAAAGTAGGCGTGAAGCAGGATCGAAACTTCTTAGTCCCGATATGGCGGGTCACGGTCCCGGCATAGTAAGTGCCGCAGATGGGGTAGGCTCTCTTGTCTTTGATGTAGTGGGGTTTGGTGGAGTGGAGGAAGGAGAGGAAGTCCGGTTCGTCCAGGATGATGATGGCGAGGCGGAGTTGTTTCTCCTTGGTTTGGCCGGCACCTGCGAGGAGGACGTGAGAGGCTGGGATGGCGATCGTGGTTGACCAGGCGGTGATGGCTTGTTTGAGAGAGGTGATGCACTGTTCTGTCGGGGACTGGCATTGCGGTTAGTGATGTTGAACGTCATAGGCGTAGAGATAGAGCACTGAGACTTACCTCTTCCGCCTCCCCATAGACAAAAAACCCCCGTTTCATCTCCATAAACCACGCCATCTCCCCCACCTCTCTCAACATCTCCCCTTCAGGCCCAAACAACTGGATCTCATCCCCCCTCTTCCGTCCATAGACTTTCCGGGTGATGACACTATACCCATCCCCCTCCGTGACGATCCGCTGCATCGCCAAGGCCAGATCCCAGCCATGCTCATCGGTACGGCGGTCCTTGACGATGGCGGTGTTCAGGACCTGCTGTTCGTCATCACCGAAGTTGTCGGCCAGGACGGAGTGGTGGTCTTCGAGGCACGATTCGATGAGATAGTAGTCGTCCTTGTATTTCTTCTGTTCCGCCACGGTGGTGGTCGCGTCAGCCATGATTTCTCTTGTGAAAGTGGTGACGCGTTGTGGGTTGTGAATGCGAATGCGTGGCAAAAAGCGAAATTGGTATCAGTGACGGCGAGCGTGGCAGGCAGTGAACGTGAGTGCGAAGCCCTTTGTTGCGTAGGCAGCACTACTGTCTCCCACAAAAATGCAGATGCAAAGACCTTCTCCCAACCTTCAAGCTTCTTCGCCCCCTCACTCGTGAAGTGAGGTCAAAAACCAGCCAGCAAGCAAGTAAGCAAGCAAACCGAAGTCAAACCAAGAAAGAAAGAAAGAAAGAAATAAAGGGGGGAAAAGACTAACCTGACAAACCACCTTCAATATCTCCTCGCCCTTCTCTTCCTTCTTCTTCCTCGTCGTACCCTCTTCCAATAACCTCATCTCCTGCTCCCCCCCAACCGCCATCGCCAGCTTCTGCCTTTCCCTAGCCTGAAATCGCAAAACACTAATGAGGTCTAACTTACGTTGTTCCAGGAACCTGACGATGATTGCGAAAAGCTTCCACAGGGCGGCGAGAAGGGACTTCGTCTTGGTCTTCGGGGACGGCGGTGGCGGTGGTGTGTCGGCGTCCATCGTGGTCAGGTTTTCGTGAGGGGAGTGCTACGTAGTGATGCGATGTGATATCAAGTAAGAAGAAGTGTAGGGATGGCAAAGACAGGGGTAGCTATAGCGTGAGCTTTACATTTACCTTGTCTGAAAAGCAAAGGTCACAAGTGAGCTTCCAAGTAATGTCAAACGTAACGAGTAAATCATGATGAACGTTTTCTTTGGCGGCACTACCTAACACATTCCCCCCAGCCCCCACCATCATCGTGAAGACGAGTGGGAAAGCCATGTGAAACGCCAAACCCATGAATCCATGAGAACGCTGAGACAAGAAGGAGGACACCAGACACGCCTAAGCAGCGACAGTAAGATCCTTCTTGAGCGTACCTTGAGCCTGCCTCTTCTCGGCCGGGGTCTGGTATACACCATGACCGAATTTGGACGAGGTGTCGATCCACTTGAGATCGATCTTCTCGAGCGCGCGACGGGCAGTGTGGGTGAACATGGATTTGCGGAGGGTCATGACACGCTTCTTCGTGCCGGGTACGGAGCCCTTGAGGAGCACGAAGTCGTTCTTTACCTCGCCGTAGCGGACGAAGCCACCCATTCTGCGTCAATGTTAGTTCGTTGTAGCTTCACATGGAGGTAAAGCTGACTTACGGGGTGATCTTCTTCTTGCTGACGTCAAAGTCTGTGCTGGCATTGCCCTCGTCGGTGCCCTTGCCAATACGGTAGACCTTGTGGTTGACGGAAGTACGGTGGTGGTAACCCATCTGACCAGCACGAGCCACAGTCCACTGCACGTGGGAAGGATGCCATGCACCGATACAAGCGACCTTGCGGAGACCCTTGTGCGTCTTGCGAGGCAGCTTCTTCGTGCCCCATCTGCTGGTGACACCCTGGTAACCGTGACCGCGGGTGACGGCGATGCAGTCGATCATCTCGTCTTGCTCGAAGATGCTGTCGATCTCGACGGGCTTCTCGAAGAGACCGTGGCCGAACTCGATCTTGTCGGCGATGGAGCCACCGTTGACCTGAATCTCCATCAAGTGTGCCTTCTTCTGCTTGAGCGGGGTCATGCCGATCTGGGAGTGGGTGAGGACACGGATGACGGTGCAGTACTTCTTCATGCGCTCGAGCTCCTGTGTGATATTCTTCGAGCCCTCTTCAGCGTGCTTCTTGGCGTACTTGGTGAAGGCCTTCTTCTTGCTGCGGTACCAGTTCTTGTAGAATCGCCTCTTGAGCTCGTCGGAGAGATGCTCAGCCCACACAGTGGTCAACGAGCGCAGGCCACGAGGGGTCTCGATGTAGCCGACCAAACCAACAACCATCATCTGTTATGTACGGATCAGCGCATGCCATATATGGTATTGGCGCCAAGTCTCGTACCGGAGGAGTTTCGATGACCGTGGCGGCCTCGACGATCTCCTTCTTGTGCAGCTTCGCACCGGGGCGGTCCAAGTCGCGCACGATGGTGGTCATGCCCGCCTTGTAGCCCATGGCGGCGGTGAGGTGCACCTTGGCCTTGGGATCATCCTTAGGGAAGGACTTCACCTTGCCCCCTTCACATGGTCAGTATTTGCAGTCTTTACAGTCGGTATATGGTCCACGCACTATGTCTGGCAGCCCTCTTCCTAGGCAAGAAGGCCAGAGAGCCGTGGCGAGGCGCTTCGAACTTCCTGTGCGACATTGTTGTGGTGGTTGGCGGTGTGCTTGTCGACGCTCTACAAATTCGAGGTCGACATGCATCAATTCTGAAAGTTCTAGTGTGCAAGTCTTGGCGCGAAAATGTGTGCCTGAGGTTGTAGGTTTTGCCTCGGCACGAGTGAAGCACTTCACTCTTCAAGCATTCACACTTCGATACGGATGCATGGTTTTGTATAGGAAGAGTTTCCAAAACATGCAGTGGAAGTCAACTGAGATCAAGGGCTTTTGTCAAGTATACTGGAGTTGCTGGCGGCGCACGAGATGTCCATATGCTGGGCCACCAGACCATTGATACCGCATTGGTACACTTAAATAGCCCATAGCGACCAAGCCACGGTATAGGCCATCCTCAGCTGTACACTGAGTTTGCAGATTGACTCTTTCACCAAAGTTGGCTATATACATAGTTCATAGCATATTTGAAGTCGTGATAACGTGTTCAGGGCACAGCGGGGGATCGTGCCGCCATTGAGACAAGACGAGACAGCGGAATTGCTTGCCGCACCAGCCAGTGCTGGACGATGAAGCAAAGTGTCCATCTAGCTCTAGCTCGACACATCGAAATTCATCCCCAAAGTCTCTCTCCTTCTATACCATACGTGTGATCAGTACACGAGACTCGACACGTGCAAGTTTTCTTCCCCTTTCCTTTCGAACAGCGTTCATAGCAACCACGTCTTGACGGCGACGTAAAACCACAACCCAGCACCAGGAGCACATCAAAGCTCACCCGACCACCGCCATCATGTCTGGATGTGTGTATCCCCCTACTACTTCCTCGCCGCCATACCAGCAATGTGGTCGAAGCCTCGCGCGTGATGGGCATGCTCGAGGCTCCACTTTGCTGTTCTGATTGTGATCACGCGCTAACATACTCCTTTCGTAGTACGCTTCTTGGACCTTGTATGCGAATATTCAAACACCTGCCATTGGCAAAAGACGCACAAATACTCACACATGACAGGTGAAACCCTTCACGCCTCTCATCCCTGAAGTAGCGGTCCCCGAGACGAAGGTGCCCTTCCAGCAAAGGATAATATGGACAAGTGTGACGTTGGTCATTTTCTTGGTGATGAGCCAGATGCCATTATACGGCATTGTGTCATCTGGTACGAGCAGGAATGAGCTGGCTACAAGAGCAAGATCTGACAGTTTCCAGATAATGCGGATCCGCTATACTGGCTGCGTATGATGATGGCGAGTAACAGAGGTACCCTCATGGAACTCGGCATCACACCCATCATCTCCTCCGGCATGGTCTTCCAGCTCTTGGCCGGCACCCATCTCATCGACGTCAACCTCGACCTCAAGTCTGATCGCGAACTCTACCAGACCGCACAAAAGCTCCTCGCCATCGTCATCTCCTTCGGCCAAGCCTGTACCTTTGTCCTGACTGGTCTCTACGGCCCACCAGCTGATCTCGGTGCCGGTATCTGCGTTCTGCTCATCGTGCAGCTGCTTACTGCCGCTATTGTGGTCGTCCTCCTCGATGAGCTGCTCCAGAAGGGCTACGGTCTTGGCAGCGGTATCTCGCTCTTCATTGCGACCAACATCTGCGAGTCCATCGTCTGGCGTGCTTTCTCTCCCACCACTGTCAACACTGGCCGTGGTCCGGAATTTGAGGGCGCCATCATTGCGCTCGTCCACTTGCTCATCACTTGGCCAAACAAGCAGCTGGCTCTGCGTGAGGCTTTCTACAGGCAGAACCTCCCCAATGTCATGAACCTGATCTCCACCATCATTGTCTTCTCTGCCGTCATCTACTTGCAGGGTACGTACAGAAGCCGATCGCATCCCCAACATCCTACTAATATGTTTTCACAGGCTTCCGCGTCGAAATCCCAGTCAAGTCCTCCCGCCAGCGTGGTATGCGCGGCTCGTACCCCGTCCGCCTCTTCTACACCAGCAACATGCCCATCATGCTTCAATCCGCCCTCTCCTCCAACGTCTTCCTCCTCAGCCAAGCCCTCTACAACAAGCTCCCCGAGAACCTCCTCGTCCGCATGATCGGTGTCTGGGAAGCGCGCGAAGGCACCAGCCAAGTCATGCCCGCGTCCGGTCTGGTCTACTACATGTCGCCTCCCCTCAACATCACCGACGCCATCATGGATCCGCTTCACACCGCCATCTTCGCTGCTTATATGCTTACTGCTTGTGCGGCTTTCAGCAAGACTTGGATTGAGGTTTCTGGGTCTAGCCCAAGGGATGTGGCTAAGCAACTCAAGGATCAGGGTCTGGTCATGGCTGGTCATCGTGATGAGTCCATGTACCGTGAACTCAAGCGTGTCATTCCTACCGCTGCTGCTTTCGGTGGCGCGTGCATTGGTGCTCTGTCGATTACTTCGGATCTCATGGGCGCTTTGGGCAGTGGTACTGGTATTCTCATGGCCGTCACGATCATCTACAGGTATAGAAATTGTTCCATCCGTGAGCTCAGAACATTGCTGATAATCCCTGCAGTTACTTTGAGATTGCGGCCAAGGAGGGCGACATTTCTGGTCTCAAGGGCATGGTTATGGGCTAAGCTCATGACGAAGAATCTGAGCATGATTGAAGATCTGTCAAGAGACTGTATCAGAGAAAAGTCCTTCCGATGTGTAACAATAGATACTTGAGGCGGAGCAGGTGGCTGTTAGGCAGGTTTTGGATGTGTGCATATAGCTATTGAAGGACTTGCCGCCTCATCCTTCATCCTCGTCTTTACTTTCTCATGTTGCAGAATGCTCATACCAGTCGTTGCCAGTGCGAACATAGCTGCGACAGCCGTGGTTCTTCGTCAAGCACATCATCCAATGAAAGCACAGCACATGGGGTTGATGGCGTCTTGGGAGCTTTCCCCGCAGCGTCTCACAGCTGCACCACACCATCACGTCTACTGTGCCGTGTTGCGGCAGCATGTACTATGTACTACTACTCACCTCGTGCACATGAGGCACCATAGCTTCTTTCATCAGGTATTGTACTTCATCCTCGTCGTAACCGTCATCAACGCACAGTGGATCCCTTATCACGACCGTATCAACTATCTCAAGAACTGATCCAGCAGCAATCCCACAGCGGCCATGCCTTTGACTAATCCGCAAGGTCAGTACTTCCACAACAAATCCACGTTGCCATCGCCCTAACTAGAACGCAGGCTCGCACCTGGGCCTCATCCTCCCCCTCTGCACCTCCTCCGCTACCCTCGGCCTCGCACTCTTCCAATACCCCCTCTTCCTCTCCTTCCTCCAACAACCCACCGACCTCTCCAACCCCAAGAGCAACATCTCGGGCAAACCCCTCTCGACCTTCTGGTCCACCTTCATGTATACGGGCACTTCCGTCGCCCTAGCCATCACGACCACCAGCGCCATCGCCGGCCTCTTATCCGCCCAATGGCTGCGCACGCACGCCACGCTCGAGACGACAGATGTGAGTAAATGGTATACTTATGGCGCTGTGCTCGCGGCGGGACATCTCCTTTTCGTGCCGGCTGTGGGGGGGCCGATTGGGAGGATTGTGGAGAATGGGAAGGGGGAGGTGGGGAGTGAGAGTGAGGTGGAGAGGAGTAATGCGGAGGAGCAGAAGATGTGGTTGGTTTGGCATACAGTAAGGACGCTTACGGTGGATTTGGGGGCGCTTCTTTGTTTTGCTGAGGGGGCTGCGCTGAGTCTTTGGGTTATTTGAGTTGGTTGGTGTATGAAAGGTGTTTATTCTTGTATGCGGCTTTCCAAGCATCTCGGAGTATTACTGGCTACCGGATTAGTAACGATGAAGATAGTGGGCCGCTGACCACAGAGGCCCTCTCTTGTGTCTGATTAAGCTTCTCTCACAACGTTTCCAAGACTCAGAGGCTATTTCGTGCCATCGATCCTTCGGCTGTAGGCGCAAGCTGCGATGCGACTAGCACTTCCTTGATTTGTCGAGGCTTGGACGGCACACATATTGTGGCGTGCATTACGTTGCTAACTTGGGAAGCACTAACGTTATGCGCCATGATTGCGCTTCAAATCTATGAAGCCCTATATGACCAGGGCGCCGTAGCACGATTTTCAGCCGCACATCGCACTTGTGTGCACCTGTACGGCTTAGGGCTTTGCATAGCCCGTCAGGTCCTGCATGAAACCTCATGCCTGTCCTCCTTTCTATGCTGTTAGTAGTGACTGCTTTCTCCAGCAACTATGAGAGACCACGAGGGACTCCAGGTCGCAGAGGAAAACGTAAGTGGGAGATATGCCGCCGATATATCTTCGAAGCCGGGGCAGCATACCAACTTGGAACGAACATGGTCGGCCGACCAACCAGAGGTAGTGTCTGAGTACAGGTACGCGCCCGTTCCTGTCTCCAGCGAGGAGCAACTCGACTATCAGTGGACCAATGGCCGTGCGGGTGGTCTTAGGAAGCGGGAAGACAACGATCCGGTATCTTCGCCATCACCTCGGAAAAGTCGGCGGCGACTCATCTGCACCATAGCCATCATCGTCTTGGTGCTGGTGGTTGGCGCCGTTGCTGGTGGCGTACTAGGAGCAAAACTGCCGGGAAAGTCGCATGGAAGGTAAGACGCACGTCTTCGCACAGCCCGGGCGAGAGTGTTGACCTTGATCGCCTTTCTACTCCCGTCGTGCACATCCCTATGAAACCTGGATGGCTGCAAATCACTTGCACCTGCTGATACACTGGTTCTCGTATAGCAGCACCACCAGTGTGTCGCCCGGGGCCTCCGCCTCACCTCCAAACTCAACAAGTCCGACTGAGCTTCTGGTCCGGGAGGACACTGGCATAGCTGCATTCACATCTGATGGGATGCCTGGTGACATGCTGCTTTTCTATCAAGATTCAGAAAGCCAGATCCAGGAGAGGGTGATGCAGAATGGTACACTGACCTCACAACCAAACACTAGTAATCCTGTTGGAAGCGGCGTCGCGCCATCTTCACCTCTCGCGGCAATGGAATACAGTCTGTTAAGTGAATCATGGGTATGTGACTGGAAGGACCGCGCTAGCACTTCGCCTGCTGACTTTCCTGCCTTTGCTTATGCAGTACCTACTCTTCTACATCAGCACCAGCAGTCAACTAATGATGATCAACCGCACGAGCACGACGAGTTGGTCACAGCCAATTCTCGTGCTCGACACCGACACGATAGTAGCCAAAGATATTGCACTCGAGACAATGTATGTTTCCAACTATGACCAAACCTCTGCTGTACGACTGTATTATGGTTCTGGAAATGGACAGATCGGCGAAATAGGTATCGGCGGTTCACCTTATGGTGCGTCATGGACGGGGCGGGCGGGCCCGTTGCCACCTTTGAACGCAAGTGATGCATACAGTGGCATCGTGGGCACCAGCTACAACGATGCGATGTACTTGTACGTTCGCAACAATCAGTCGGGCGCTTCGGAACAATGGCAATCTGTGGCAGGTGTCTCCGCTTGGCATCTTGGTGAGTCCGAGATTGAGCTGCTCGCTGTGCACTTAAACCCTTCCTCTTCACAGCCGCAAGCTCCAGCCATGCGGATCTGCCTGTCGCTGCAGGATCTGACATAGCTGCTTGCAGAGATATTGCCGGGAGCGGCACAGATTACATCTGCTATCAGGCGGATAATGGTAGTCTTGTCCGGGCGTTGCCGTATTCGTCCGCGCTGTCTGACTTTAAAGTACTTGATGCTCAACCGGCGGCAGGAACGAAGTTGAGGACCGTATAAATAACAACGGCACTAGTTTGGGGGGGTTCGTCACCCGGTGCCATGCTCTTCTATCCAGCGGCGAACGCAACAGAGCAGCTGTCATTTCTGGAGGTGGACCGCAATGGGCAACAGACCTCGAGTAGATTACTGTCAGCTGCTGTGTGAGATATTCAGGATTCCACGAGGCTTTATTTTCCTCCAGCCGGGTATGCCAGCAGTGCCGCAGACTAAATCGTGGCGTGGTTGTTGCCGCAGCTTTCGGGTGCAAGCCTGTCAATCTACCTTGTAGGTGAGCCTTCATCCACACAGATATGCCGAAGGGGCTCCAAGGCGGAAGTCGAAGGACAAGACCATTCAGGTACAGAATCGTGTCGCGTTCACACGTCCATTCAGGATCACGCCGGTATTTCCTTGACTTTTGAATAGTAGTCGTGCGGTCCTATGGTGGCGATGCTTCGACAGAGCCTTTCTGCTTGGCCTGATATTTGCTAACCAAGAGAGATTGCACATCAACTCGGAGATCAGAGCAATGTGCTCTGGCGTCCGTGCCTTCGTAGTCTGCTATCGTCATCCAGTAAACCAAGATGCACATATCAACACGAGCTGAGCCCTTTCTGCGCCGTTTCTGCTACGTGACATTATACTCGCTTTATTGCAATGGAGTGCCCTGGAGTAAGATCCTTCCATGCCTAACATGAAATTCTAGAGCAGATTTGTGACCCTGGTCTCGTCGTCGAAAAGTGAGCGATGAGTTGGCATACTACTACTGAGCTCCGAGTACTCAAAATTACTGAACGTGGTGTCAGGGGTACGCCCGGTGGGTTAGTGTGATCTTCGCCGCGGGAGTCCGCCACACCGCGCGCTAGCAAGACAGAAACCTTGGAAGTTGGTCCCACTGCAGACGGTGCCGTAAAAAGAATCTTAGTCCTTAACCAGCGAAGTGGTTCAGACGGGTCACACTGCACAGAATGCGGCTGCCTATGGCTGAGAAACCAGTTCCGCAGGTTTGTGGACGGCACGTATATTGGGATCCCCCCCCCCGACTGGCACGTGAACCAATCGAGACCGCAGTACGGCGACCAATCAGTACTTCCCTTGAGCAGTCGTTAGTCCACATATCTCATCTGGAACAAAGGGAGTGAGCTTGCCATTGAAAGAGGCCGACGGGATGCGGTACCTCGTCGGCATGCATATTCGTGCGATTCACTACGGATTAGCACTACCATGGAGGAACTTCCCCTGCACATCACTCTCTTCGTCAAAGCATCTCCATGCGTTCTTACTCTCCGCCGGACAGCAGGCAAGGTTCATGATGCTCAAGATTATTGTCAATGCTCGAAAGCTGCTGCCGTGGGCTGTCGGAGCTTTCATCATTGTATTCCTCATAGGAGCTGGCTTCACTTCTGCAAGCACCCCGTTTCCGCCCCTTGGCAAGGCTCGGTCGCATGCGCTCGCTGAAGATGGCAAGCTGGGCAACATCCAGAACGCTACTTTAGGGGTACATCAATCAAGCTGAGAAGTCCTCGTGTTGTGCGTGTCACTGACTTATTACGAGGCTGCAGTTTGAGAAGATCTTCGTCATCAGTCTGCCTTCGCGCAGCGATCATCGAGACGCGGTAGTGTTGGCTTCACATCTCACATGTCTGGCCGTCGACATTGTGGACGGTATCACGCATGTCGACGACAAGGCGCAGCCGCCAGGTGCCGAGAAATTCACTACCACAGGCGCGCTTGGTGCCTGGAGAGCTCACATGAATACACTTCAAACGTTGGTCTTTCGTTAGCTTTGACATGTGGCTACTGATTGATGGCAGGATAGTAAAGCACAACACTACGAGTGCCCTTATCATGGAAGACGACACCGATTGGGACATCCGGATCAAGTCTCAGATGCAAAATTTTGCTCGAGCTTCAAGACTTCTGCTGCAGCCAATATCCGGGACCGCTGCAACGTATCTCGATCCGACTATCTTGCATCCCGAAGAAGCCCTCATACAGGGTGCCCAGACCTTCGACATTGCGCACAGCGCTGTGCCACAGGCGACAAGCTCCCCCTATGGCGATGTGCACAGGTGGGATCTGCTTTGGCTTGGCCACTGCGGCGCCAGCCTTCCACGAGCCGAGAATCACCTCCCACTCGGTCGTGTAAGCATCTCTGCTGACGAGACAGTGCCAGAGAAGCAACATATTGACCCACAGCTTGGTGATCAACAGCTGATACAACAGTACTCAGACCACACTCGGGTCGTAAGCCGAGCATACATGAACACGTGTTCGTTAGCGTATGCAGTTTCGCTGCAAGGTGCTCGGCGGATCCTGTACGAACTCGCGATCCGCAAAATCGACAAGGCTATGGACCTGTCATTGCAAGACATGTGTGACGGTGTTAACGATCGCCCGGGCCTTACTTGTCTATCTGTGCTACCACAACTGTTTCAGCAGCATCGGCCTATTGCGCGAGAGTCAAGCTTCAGCGACATTGACAAGCGTCAGGATGGTGCTGATATGGCCGAGGAGAAGTACAATAACATTGCATTCAGTCGGAACATCAGGTGGAGCACACGAGGCAATTTACGACAGCTTGTATATGGTGATACCAACTACACCGACTTGTTCCCGGATGGCATGCCTAAGCCTGACCTCGTTGGCTGAGCTGGCTGGACATCAACGGCACTCCAACGTTTCGGGATTACTGAAGGATCTCCCAATCTCGTTGCGCAGCACTTGGTCTTCGAACCGAAGGGTACTGCCAGCTGGTACTGAATGTCGATCATACCCAAGCCGGGTCCGCCATCTGAGTTGGTGGCGATACGCACGCGGTGCCGAGTAGAATGGAACGCAGTTTTCTGGTCAACTAAAGGCAGCGAGGACGTGGCCGTCGATTTCTTCCATACGAAGCTTTGCCAGAAAGATGATGATTGCTCTATGTCTATGGTCTGTGTATACTTTGAATTCTATCATGTATGCATATCATGATCACTGGTCGAGTCATAACGCTCACCCAAACTTCTGATCGTCATGCCAGATGCAAAATCATTTCGCGGCAAATGTACTCCTGCTTCTTAACCATGCGCCATATTTCCAAAGACAAAACATGCCGACCACTCCTAGGCACGAAAGGCCTGCCAGCACGCTCACACCGCCACCGATCCCCAGATTCAAGAACATTGGCCTAGCGAAAAGAACGCAAGCCGCAGCGAAAAGTGCTCGGAGGAAGTCGTTCGCAGCGAAAAGGCTTGCGGCATACTTCGGGTACGACAATGGTAAGTAGATGAACACGCATTGGAAGATCAGAAAGTTGCCGTAAACCAGAATGCAGCATCCAATTAACGAGACAATCCAGTGCACGTCTGCTCGTGCGGTCCACCCGAACAAAAAGTAGCCGATAGGTAGCATGACCACACCGAAGAGTGCTGGCACGAGGCGATGTTCTGGAGGTCGCATGCCGTTCTTCTTGATGTCCGGGATGAGATATAAGATCTGGTAGGTGAGGAATGTCGTGACGCCAAGTACGCAAGCGACGCCGATGGTGACAAAGCAGAGACCAGTGACGCCTAGGTTGAAGTGATAGATGTCTCCATATACCAGAGGGAATACTTCGAAGACTGCAGCGAAGATTAGTATGGTTTGGCAAGAGGAGCACGGACAAGGAGACTCACAGCTGTAGTATATGCCATACGTGAGTGCAGTCTAAGAATGGTCAGCAATGCTCTGGCTCGAGGCAGTCGACTCCACATACGTAGACATTGGTGAAGGTGACAGCTGGATCCTTGACAAAGATCTCCATTGGCTTGATCAAAGCATCCTTCACGACCTCTGAGAGAGTCCAGGACTTCTGATCGATCTCGCTTTGCGACATGATATCGGCACGCCGTGTAAGCTTTCGCAATCGCTGAGCTCGTCGCCAAAGTATCGTGTCTGGCGATGTCTCAGGATAGAATAACAGGAAGACCACGAGTATAGGTGCTGATAGCCACAAGATCTCCCAAAGGCCCCAACGCCATCCCTTGGCTTGGACAGCAAATCCAGCAACGATTGGACCGATCGCTGGACCCCAAAAACTTGCTACAGTCCAGCCGGAAAGATAAATGGGAAGCTCGAGGAAGGAGTACTACCATTTGGGTCAGCTGCAAGCACCACTTCTGGGCAACGGTCCATCTCACGTACCATGTCACCTATCGAAGCGCCGCCATTGGCCAGACAAGGGCTTGAGAACTGCGAGAGTCGTCAGCCACATTCATATGTGTCGATCATGAGTTGTGAACATACAAAGCCGGTCAGGAAACGAAGAACGAGCAAGCCAGCATAGTTGCCAACTAAAGCTGTCGGTATCGACAAGATGACAAACAGGAAGAAAGTAGGGGCATAAACCCAGTTCCTGCCCACCGCCGCGATTTCACTCAACGGGGCGAACAGCAACGGCCCTATGCCGTAGCCGACCACGTATATGGCCAGGCCAAGCGCAGCAGGTGTAGCACCGACGTGAAACTCTTCCATCACCCCTCCTTCCGCACTTGCATACATGCTAGACGCCCCATACGCAGCGAACGAGTATAGACATAACTGCAGGAGAGCGAAACTCTTTTTGGCATAGGTCCAGTTTTGGGGATTGGCTGGATCGGTAGTCGAGTACCAGCTGACCAGGATAATGCCATCGGTGGTCTTCGTTGGCGCTAGCACTGAAGACGGTCGATCGGCTCGTGATGTATGACTGAGGGCCCGCTCGAGGTCGCCTCGCGAAGGTGTATACGGTCGGGATGCTGTTCGGCTCACTCTTGGCTCTATCGTGGTCTCGTCGCGCAGATCGTCTTGAGATGGCGCAGAGATTGTAGAAGCTCGCGACGGTGTGACACCCTCTTCCTTCGCTACCTTCCCATCGTCTTCAACATCTTCTGCTGTTGTCTGTGTTACGTCTGGCGCGTTCGGATGATGTTTCTCATCGTCCCCTGATAGCAGGGGCTCCTATCGATTGTCAACACCATGCATGTTACCTCGTCTCGGCCGTGGAGACATACTAGCGGCGCCCATGTGAAGCTGTCCTTCTCTTCTGGATACTGCAACCATTTGCCGTTCGTTATTAACCGGACGACTTGACCAACGGCCGATTCTCGGAAGAGCTCCATATCGTCTGATTGCTGGTCGTAGGTCGTGAACCGAGCGTGCGACAGTGCACTTTTTATACGCAGCTCATCCGGACGATAGAATGACAAGATCACACAAACTACTGATTAGTGACGAGTCTGAATAATCCACAAAGATCAGGGGCCGCAGTGCCCAACGACCTGCCGGCTGCTGCTCGCCTTTCGGACTGCCGTTGTCAAGTCCGACATTTGATTCATCAGCGTCATCGTTCTTTGGGTGACGCTAGAGCCGTGAGAGTAACACGGTGGACTCATCGTGTCAGTATTCTTTCTCCTGCGGGCACAGGCGCACTGGTATGGACGGAGACATCATGACGGAGCTATGCCGATGCCCTTATCCACGGAGCAGTCTTATGTAAGACGACGCGAACTCCTCTCGGGCCTCGTCCTATCTCTCACCCCGCATCGTGGAACCTTGATACGGACGAATGAAGCAGGTGATCTTGCAGGATCCGAACCATGCAAACCGGTAGGTTGGTTTAAGCCATGCGTCTGTCGCGTGGCATATCGATTTCCATCTCACACTCGGTCTCCATCATTATCCATCAATAACTTGGTCTGAAGCGTCTCGGCCGTCGTAATTACCATCAGCACCGGAGACTCACACGATGGAGAAGCTTAACGATGACAGGAAGACGGACGATTACCGTGAAGGCGAACTGAAGCACGTTGAAGATGCCCAGATTGCTACTGACAAAGAGCATAATCTCACGCTCGTCGAAGCCCTGCGAGCTTATCCAAAAGCTATAATATGGTCCATTTTGCTCTCTAGCGCCGTGATAATGGAAGGGTACGATACGATTCTGGTAGGAAGATAGCTTCAGCGAGCATCCACCGATCGAAGCTAACTCGTGTACGTGGTAGATTGGATCGTTTCTTGCCTCTCCCAGCTTCGTTAACACTTTTGGCAATACTGGCTCTGCTGCTGATGGGACGCTGACCATTACCGCCTCCTGGCAGAGTGCAGGTGAGGATCGTCGGAACCCGTATCTCTTTGTCTATCTTGCTGACACGTGTGATTAGTTGCGAACGGCGCTTATATTGGTGAGCGCTAGTAATAGCTCTGGATGACAAGCCATCAATATCTGTGCATGCTGACGATGACTGAACACAGGTGAGATCCTTGGTCTCGCCGTTACCGGCATACTCGTAGACCACTATGGCAACAAAGCTGTGATGACTGGCGCAACTATCTTGATGATCGGCTTCATCTTCTTCTCATTCTTCGGAGAGAGTCTGGCTCTGCAATTGGTTGGACAGATTCTCTGCGGCATCCCATGGGTAGCTTGCCAAACGTCGTCTGAGGACGACACTCCCAAACCATGATGTTTGCTGATCAAGATGTAGGGTGTCTATCAGACGGTGACTTGCGTATATGCATCAGAAGTACTCCCCATCAACTTGAGAGGGTACTTGACGTCCTATGTGAACTTGTAAGGATTCCCTAACACATCTAGATCTCATACTGACCCTGCCTAGATGCTGGGTCATAGGACAATTCATTGCATCTGGCGTGCTGGTCGGCGTGGAGAACCGTACCGATGTCTGGGGTTGGAAGTACGATATCAGTCTTCCTTCTACGATCCTTCTTATGCTGATCATACAATGCAGAATACCTTATGCCATCCAGTGGGTCTGGCCACTACCTATTATCGCTGTGTGTTTGCTATGCCCTGAGAGTCCCACTTGGTGTAAGTCTTCGACGCCGCCTGTGCTGCCGAAGTGATCAAGCTGATGTCGTTTCACCTCAGTGGTTAAGCACAACAAACTCGAACAAGCAGAGCGAGCTTGTGCGAGGCTGCAGTCCGCTTCATCCAAGGCTGCCATACCCACCCCACGTGAGACTGTTGCACTACTCCAGAAGACTGACGCTATCGAGCGAGAAATCTCCGGCAGTTCCAGCTATATCGAGTGTTTTCGAGGATCCAACTTGAGAAGGACCGAAATAGCGACTGCTACTTGGACGATTCAGCAAATGTGCGGTCCGGTGCTCCAGACCTTCGCCACCTATCTCTTCATTCAAGCTGGGCTCAACTCGAGTACTGCATTTGACATGACGTTGGGGTTGTACGCGATTGCATTCGTTGGAACGGTCCTTTCTTGGCCAATGATCGCTCGCTTCGGCCGCCGCACGATCTTCCTGGCAGGTCTGGTAGGCATCTTCGTCTGCCTTTTGATTGTTGGTCTCGTTGGGATTGCTCCAGCCAGTAACAGCTCAGCTTCCTGGGCCGCCGGAGCTTTTCTGCTGGTGTTCACGTTCATATACGATTCGACGGTCGGCCCACTCACTTGTGAGTATTCCATGTAGGAGCCTTTTCATGGACGGAGACTGATTGCTGCAGATGTCATCGTCCCCGAAGTCTCATCATCTCGGCTTCGCCATAAGACAACTGTTATTGCACGCAACGCTTACAACATAACCTGTATCTGGACTGGTGTCCTGACACCATACATGCTGTAAGTATTTCACACTGGCGGATGCCTCGTCTGCAAGGATGTTTTACTGACCCTTACAGAAACCCAACAGCCTGGAATTGGCAAGCCAAAGCAGCGCTCTTCTGGGCTGGTATCACGGCCTTGTGCATCGTATGGGTGTGGTTCCGGCTTCCTGAGACCAAGGACATGACCTACGCTGAGCTTGACTTGATGTTCGAAAAGGGTGTACCTGCCAGGAATTTCAAGAGAGCTGAAGCTCAGGGCATGGCTGCGGATATGTTCAGGGAGACTCGGCGTGGCTCGTTGTAGGAAAAAGCAAGGTAGAGTATAACAAGGTGTATCTATTGCCCAGATACGCGCCAGCATCGGTGCCGTCTACCTCGCTCTTCTTCAGATCTCGACACTGGCATTCCGTGGACTTGCTAACATGCGGTCACCCTGTACCAGAGCGAGGAAGTACAAGCATGATGGAACACGCAAAGGTCTAGTGAGATCTCGAGAGATAGTGTGATAGCGATTCCGCACCCGGACGTTCCCAGCGCACTGTCTCGTAATCGAACCAGTCCAGGGGGCATTCAAGTCGGGATTCAATGCCGACGGCAAAAGGGAAGACGTCCCGAATGTCTGAGCCAGGATTTCGGAGAAGCTGAGAAGTTTGTATGTTATGTGATATGAACATGAAACAAGGAATGGAAATTGGTGAAAAGGTACTGCTAGTCACCGTTGAGCTAGCAGCCGAGCGACTGATTCGACCTTGCTTCGCCTTCTCGCGGCATCTACATCAGCCTCTATGCATATCCGTTGTCCAGTGCCTCCACCAGCTGCTCCGTGACCTTAAGCAGCAGCTATCACTGTAGCAGCCACCGCCCTCACATCACCCAGGACCTAGTAGTCAGGGCAGTTGAAGCCTGGACGAAAGTCAGCGTATATCTTGGAGGTCAGTGGCAAATGCCCACGTACCGTTGATGTAAATCGGGTTGGACACGTCGTTGTTCGGGAACAGCCCAGACAGAACGGAGTTGATGACGGAACCGTGGTTGTGAGACCTCAGACAGAAGATGAGCTTGGAAGCCTCCATAATCTCCTTTTGAAGTGTCAGTATGATCCAATCGATTAACGACCAGGGTATGAACTTACCTCTGAGTCGACGACACACTTGAAGCCATCACACCACTTATCGCCAAGGGCACCGGACAAGGCGGCTTCGATGCCATCGCACATTGGGACGACAGTAGGGTCATACAGAAGGCCGAGGTGAGTTGTATACATCAAAGTCTGACCTTCTGTCTGCTGGGCGCAGCACGAGGAGCCACCAGGATCAGCGGGTTGGCAGTGGCGCTTACGAGCGACGAGGGTGGTGTCAGTGGTGTTGGCGGTACCAGTGATGGTCAGGGGGGCGGCCATAGCGGTAAGGGGAGCAAGGAAGAGAACGTGGAGGAACTTCATCTTGTTGGTCTGTTGCGTTGGAGGATGTATGTCTTGTGGGATGTATCTTGTTGGTGTGGATGTGCATTATCGGAGGTGATGATGTTGGTTCGCAGTTGGAGGTCGAAATATAAATATGTACAACAGATCGAGAATGTTCACGTGTGCTTCGCCAAGACACGTTCCTTCCATTCCTGGCTGCAGCTTCGCTCACTGCAGCGAAGCTTCATGACCTGCCCGCAAGGGCACCTGATCACCTCACATGATCGAAAGAATGGCTAGTGAAGGCTTTAAAGAGGGAAATCCTCATAGATTGACCAGTTTCACCACCATGAGAACATTCAATGGTATGTCCCGGAGTAGTGTCCTTCACTTGACGTTAGGGAGGAGCCCAAGCACACGCCAGTGACGGCCCTGCAAGGTCAATGCCGCGTGTCGTACTGTGCAACCATTCAAGCCTCGTGTGGAGGGTTTGAAGAGTAACGTGGTCGAGCGTGTTACGAATGCCCTTGGAAGACATGCGGAAGGTCTGCGGCTGTGTTAATACCCCCGAAAGACTTCTGCACGGTCGGAACGAGTTTACATTGAGCAGGCGATCGGAGACCAAGTTGCATGCCCGTCCCGTAGAGTATTACAGCCTTTCCATGTCTGGCATTACGGGATCGGCAATGACAGATGATTGATCGACACCGGTCAGTCTCGAGCAGTCTTCTCACATGAGCCACTCGTTGTTGGCTGCTCAGACCACGCCTGGCCTGGCCGTGCATCGCTGTATGCTACAGTACTTGTTGGGAAGAGTCTGCATAACGTTTCACGGTGTTTCCTACGCACACGATCGCGATGCTGCTCTTAGCGATACGTTTGGATCCTACAATCAGTATGCGAACTTTTCGCGTTGTCATTGTCAATCGTTAGCGCTGACTCAGCGTCCGCGATTGCGATTCGGCAATCATGATTCGCGCAGCCGCAAGCTTTTGGAATGCAGACTCTCTTGTATGTTAAGGCTTGGTATGTCTTAGATGTATTGTCCCGCAAAGCGAGACAAGATGTAAAGATCCCAGGCATCGTCACACACCTGCTCTTCACTTCTCACGCCAAAAGTCTCGAGCTGCGTACCTTTGGCAAGGATCATTGCGTATCTTAGGATGCGGCTCCCTGCAAATGTGGCGTTTGCTTCACACTAGCCGCGTATCATGGGCGATCCTTAACAGATACGATATGGGATAGGTAAGCTGGCGGACGCTGGCACTTTCATTGAGCACTCATTGAATTCACGATGGCATGATCTACCTGCTTTTCAGTGCCCAATTTGACTGCGTTGCTAACCAGGAACCGACCCCATGCGCTACAGCGCACGTCTCTCAGTGCTGGTCACTGCGATGATGGCAGCGGCGCTTGTTGTACTGCACCTCAACAGCTTTCCATCGATACATCAATGGCGAATACTATCGCGACCAGCTGGCCTTCAACTCAAAGCTCCATATGAGGTCGACGCCGATGCGCCACCATGCCAGAGGCTTGCTGGAGCTGAGGACGTGGTAGTGGTAATGCGTACCGGCGCGACAGAAATCAAAGCCAAATTACCTATCCACTTCAACACGACCTTCAAATGCTATCCAGATACCTTAATCTTCTCGGACTATGCGGAAGTGTTTCAAGGGCACGAGATCCACGACGTGTTGTCTATTGTGGCCGATGATGTTATGGAGGCAAACGAAGACTTTCAGCACTATCTGCGGCTCAAGCGGCTTAGTCGAGAAGGTCTGGCGCAGAGTGAGCTTCACGGCGAAAGCCTTGAGAGTGGGCCGGTCGGTAAGAACGACAACCCTGGATGGCGGCTGGACAAGTGGAAGTTCTTGCCCATGATGGTGCGTACGCTTGAGCTCCGGCCAGATCAGAAGTGGTTCATATTTATCGAGCCCGATACATATCTTGTCTGGAGCAATATTGTTCAATGGCTGCAGACTAAGGACTGGCGAGAAGACCAGTATCTCGGAAGTGAAGTACAGATTGGCGACGATATATTTGCCCACGGCGGATCCGCGTTCGTCATGTCTAAATCTGCCATCGAGAAAGCGGTGGAGGCATACCAAGCAGATCCCGAGGAGTGGCACGTACGCACTTCTCAGCACTGGGCTGGTGACTGTATCCTTGGAACGGCATTGACGACCGTTGGTGTTGATCTCACCTGGTCGTGGCCCTTGTTCCAAGGAGGCAACCCGGCCGATATGGACTGGCAGGAAAATAAAGCCGAGAGACGCTTGTGGTGCTCACAAGCATTGTCCTACCATCATTTCGAAGCGCACGAAGTGGAGGCTATGTGGAGGTTTGAGCAGCAGCACATCAGTGACTTGATTGGAGGCTCTGCGACCCATCGCAGAAAGACTGTCCTCCACCATAACGACATGTTCATGCAATATGTCGTGCCCAATATCACACGGGAAAAATCGGACTGGACTAACATGTCGCCCGACTTGGTCACGAACAGCGCTAGTATGAGTTTGGACGAATGCAGGCTTATTTGTGAGGATAAGCCAGGTTGCGTCCAGTATTCTCAAAGCACTTTTGGATGTTCCACTGGGCAACAAGTCAAAATGGGTCGACCTTTCACGGGAATCGGCTCTGGCTGGATTCCTGCTAGAGTAGATCGCTGGCGCAGAAGCTTCCACAGCTGTCGCGGTATCACAGGTTGGACCACAGACTGGAGTTGATGTATGCTTTCATTAAGTCGGGATCTAGAGACTGGCTGTGCTGGCTATGCATTCATACAACTGTGAACAAGCAGCAAGACTATATGAAGGTCGACCTGACCAAATTTCGAGCAACCCGAAAGTAAAACGTGGCGCATGCCGGATCCGCAATGTCTCTAACCCAACTTGCTCTTGACAAAGGCAAGTGCGTTGGAGCCATACTCGTTGCCGTAGCCATTGTGGGTGGCGGCGTTGTTGCCGTTGCAGCAGTACCTTTAACAATCATTAGCATCTTACACGAATCTGAGAGGGAGCTCTTGCAGAAGGGGCAACACACGGGTCACTGGCGTCGCAGTAGCTGCGGATGATGGAGCTATAAGCGGCACAAGCGTTGGACGGCCGAGCAGAGAACTGGAATTACTATGATCAGCATCATGCAGCAAGTATTAATCCGGGAGTATACTTGCACCACCAGCCGTGCAGCTACCAACATGGAAGCTGCTCTCCGAAGGAGAGTTACGTGGGTTTCCGGCCCAGATGACCGCCTTGATGTTGGCACGAGCCGCGGCACTGATGGTGGCCGCAGTGCTCTTGACACCCTGGTTCAGATCACCACCACCGCAAAGGGCGTTATCCTCGATCTCGGAGCCCTTCAAATCGTTCAGTAGAACCCCAGTAGCACGAGAGTCATTATATCTTACCTGCGAGTAGCCGACGAGAACCAGCTTCGTGCTTGGGCACTGCTGGTAGTAGGCGTTGACCTGGGCACCGACGTTGGCGGTACCCTGCTGGACAGACGACCCGTAACTGTTGCCACCAACAGCCGGGTAGGTGATGGCCTGGGAGGTGGTGCCTGGGTAGGCAGAGACAATGGCGTTCACGAAGGCAGCAGATGAGCCGTAGCCAACCGGGGCCGTGGTCTCACGGGCGCCGAAGACGTGACTGGTGCGCAATGGTCAGCAAATTCATGTCCACAGAGCATATTGGGTCTGGCTCACATTTTTGGGCATGATGCGCGCTCCTCCAAAGGCGCTGCCGCGACGGCGGCGACAAGAGCAGAGATGGCGACGACCTTGGAGAACATTGTTGCGTGCTGTAATGAATGGAATGCAAGTTGGGATTTTGTCTGACATATCGACAGGACTAGAGAAAGCAGGACTACTATATACTCCTCAACTGCCTCACACAACGCTCACACGCCTCTCATCACCCTGAAACTTCGGACGAGAGGCGAGCATGACATGAAGTGGGTCCACTGTTGAAGTACCGTAGCACGACATACGGAAGAGGAGCACTGTGCGTGTTCTACATTGCTCTCACGGATATGAAATCTACACCATACTGCATTTGTATCAAGGATAGGCTACATAGCGGGCGATGTTTCATCACCTTTTAGCCGGCGGCTGAGAATTCGCCCCTGATCTCCACACCCACTATACTCCATACGCATCGATACCGAAGGCCTTGGCCTAGACCTACTTTCTCGAATGAAACACGCAATTTTCCCGAGTTCTTGACAGTGTTGAGTACGCGTTGGCAAGCTTGCAACGACATCGACACCTGACAAAGTCGACATACGAGCAGCTGGTAGGAACAGAGTCCTATCTTATAATGTCAACAGGGCATACCGCCGGAAGAAAGTATCGTGACGGGTGGTGAGCACGAGAGCACTCGGTATGATCAGCAGACAGCCTGTTGAGTGCAACCGTGAATCGCGTTCAATATGATAGGCAATAATAATGTCACCTATAGGCTCATGACCGGCTCCGCAAAATGCAACGGCACAATCTCCGGCTCTATGTCTGTTCTCAAGCATGCACACCATTCTTACTTACGCTATGTTGGACAGAGATCGAGTGTGCAAATGCTTGTAAATGAGCATCGAGGTATTGTTTGTGGCAAGCTACTGTGACAGCCAAAACTCGCACCACTCGGCAATGCCTTTCAGGCTCTGCTCTTTGACATATCGCTCGTAAGGATTATTGGGATCTCTGCAAGACATCAGGTTAGCTGGGGCAAGGGTACTATCGCAGGCATCGTACCCTCTCAAGGCGAAACCATGCTCGACGCCTTGGAACAATTGCACTTGGAATGGCTTCTTTCCGGCCTGCAAGATGTCGACCGCTCGGTTTCGGTACTCGTTGGGGAAGGTATGGTCGATTTCGGCACAGGACAAAAATAGTGGCTCTACAAAATGGCCGTCAGAACTGTGCAGGTTGCGGAAATCCAAGCAGAACGCACTGGAAATATTTTCAAAGTGGCTTTCCTTGAGAAACGCCGGATGCGCGAAGGCTCCAACCGTGCATACCCCATCTCTGGCGAGGCTGTCGCAGACATAAGGAGCTCCATAGCCTGTGTTTGCATATCAGCATAGCACATCAACAGGGCTGGATTGACTGACAATAGCCGACGCAAGCAAACTTCTTGTTGCCACCACCATACTTTGCCTTTACCTCAGCATTCCATTTCGGCGTGGCTGGGTTGGAGAACTCCATATGCTTGTCCAACCAAGCTTGGAAGTCGAAGTCAGGATCCTAATAGTTCGTCAGACAGTAAATCGACCAGTGGTGGCTTTTGTATATCCGATACTCACGCCACGGAACTTCCGGTGTTTCTGCACGCCGTCCTAACATCCGTGTCAACAACAAGTCGTGATCGACCTGTGGACCGCATCATACTCCTTTGAAGTAGTCAATCCCAAGCACAGTGAATCCAGCGTCTGCAAACCCGTCCATGATCAAATAACCATTGACGAACATCCCGTACACATCAGGGTAGTACAGCATGATATGACCATTGTCCTTGCCTTTCGCAGGTTCCACGATGTAAGTGTCGAGATCAGCAATCGTGATGGTCTTGCCTCTTGGCTCGCCTTCGTGAATCGTTCCAGCTAAGCAACACTCGCCGCTTCGCTTGGCGATCTCCTTGTCGTTGGAAGCGCTGCCAGTTTGGGCGGTGTTTTCGGCGTCCATGATTGTATCACAAGAGCACAGATCTGTCGTTCGTGCAGTGGCTTTGTCTTCTTGCACTCCATCAAGATACATGTAGGTTCGCCGCGGGGCAGAGCTCCCGATGTCGCTGATTGTACGTTGAAGTGTCGTTGTTCGCTTCGACTGTTGCACTAATTTGTTCTGATTTGGGAAGTCACAATAGATCGACGGCAAATGAACCTCAGAGTCGCAGTTGCGATCGACTCACGCTGCTGTACTAGACATCTATATCTAGAAGAACTTGCCCACATCTCGTCGGCGAGCTAATAAGATATATAGACCAATGAGCTGGAATCCTCCAGCGATCATGACCAGTCCACCGAACAGCTGGAGAGCAGTATAGTTGTTTCCGCCACCGCCAGTCGTAAGTAGCGCTCCCGCTATAGGTGCGCCAATCAGTGAAGCAATCGAACCTATTGCCTGCGCCATGCCCAATCGAGCACCCAGTACTCTGACGTCAGGACAGACGAGTGGAAACACACTTGGTGGCAATGGTATCAGTGGCCCGCTGAAGCACCCGTATAGACACGCAATAGCGATGAAAGCGCCTTCAGTTCTTACACCAATCCAAGCAAGACAGACGGCACCGCTCGCCATGGCGGACACGATCCATGGGATCATGGCGCCTATCCTTGACGCTGCGTAGCCAGCAACCAGACGACCCAGAATCGAGCTAGCTTGAGCAGCGATGATCATGTTCAAAGCTGTACTTTGGCTCAAGCCGAGTCTAGACTGCCCATAAGCCGAAATGAAAATGAAGGGGACCATATAGCCTGTGAAGATGAAGAAGTTGGAGAAGCTGTAGCTCCAGAACGGTAGATCTCGTAATGCCGCTGAGTCGAACATCTTCCGGCGACTTCCTGTTGCGATGTCTCCAAGGTTGGTTACACCCCAAAGTAGGAGAGGGAACGATATCAGATATGAGCCAAGCATGAAGAAGCCCATAGCACGAATCGTCCAGGCGAAACCAATTCTGGTGATGAGCTGCTGGAACATCAGAGTGTATATGATCCCGCCAACAGGTGCCCCGCAAGTAGTGAGAGCCATAGCCATAGATCGATGCTTCTTGAAACTTCTGCCGACCAGAGCCAAGCCGGGCAAGTACAGTAGACCTGATTGTTTCAGCTACAATTGCATGACTCTATAATATATTTTGGACTCACCATTCGTCAAGCCACATAATAAACCTTGTGTTAACAATATCTGGTAGTACTTCGTGCAAAGGCTGAGCAAGAATATGGCGAGTGTCTCACCCAGACCTCCCACAATCAACATAGACCGGAAATAGCCAAGATCGAAGAGGGGACCTGACAAAATGCCGACAAAGATTAGCAGTCCTGTCGCTATCGTCCCGATCCACGAAATATCGGACGGCGTCTGGTCTGACAGGTAGTCCAGCTGGTAGAAAGACTGGAAGCTGCCAAAGGCAAAGACGAAGCCCCAGAGATTACTGAAGACCAGAAAGGAGCCCAGGACTTGCAGCCAAGCTCGCATACCACCATCTTGGAGCGGTACAGCAGCCACTGGCGTTGCGATGGTGGCAGGAACCAGGTCAGAGTCAGTAGGACTGGTTGTCTTGTCGTAGGAAGACTCATATGCTTCCTTCTTGCCGTTCTCGACATCTGCCATGGTGAGCGTTCAGCTGACAGTCCCTTGTAGCTCAAAAGACGCTGATTCTCACAGGAATATCGCTATAAGCAGAGGTCTTGGTCTAGCATGGTCAATATTTAGGCCACGAGATGTTGGTACAGCGTGAGCATGACAAAATGAAGACATTTGTAGATCCTCGGCAAAATGAACAACGCTGCCCGCCTTGATGTGCGTTTGCCGTCTCAGCCGGAGCTACTGTAGTCATTCGTCCCTGCCTGGCATCTCAAAGTCGTGCTGCCAACCAAGGCAGCTATTGCTCGAGATCGCGGCCGAAGATGCAGCAATTCTTATGTAGTGTCGTCCTGGACTGGGATCTCGCGAACCGGTCGAGCAGAAACAATGAGCCAGAGATGCCGCGCCACGATCAGGAAGAAGTCCGTGCGAAGGTCAGATGCTTTTCCTGACCTTCTGTTCGCTTCTGATAGTTCTGCCTCTATGCCTCGACAACAGAGCACACATTGGTGTTGGGATTATCATGTTCTCCAGCGCTTCTTCAGCATGATTCACGGAACAGCAACATAACAAGAGCAACAGTTGTCTCGGCAGAACCTCACCCGAGCACGAACATGAGAGATTCTCCGTCTCGGCTGTGATCCTCTCCGCATCAGGTCGAGCAAGAGGATCACGCCGATAATGCGAAGATCTGCGGAGGCTCGACGGGCATCATGTTGCATCAATAAGATAAACTACAGACTATAGGTAGGACGTTATTCTTCCTGTTCTACATCTCTTCCCATACGCTTCGTCGGAATCAAGCGAACCACTACATGCTCCGTCTCAACGCCATCAGGATCCAACATGACTCGAGTACTGAGTGCGTTATTCACCGGTTGTCTTGCAGCCACCGTCGCTGGTCAAAGGATATCACACTCGACACAGAATGGTCGTCCGACTTGTACAGTCTATGCCGGCAAAAACAACAATACCGACGACACTCCAACATTGGTCAAAGCCTTCGATACTTGTGGCCATGGCGGCAACATTGTATTTCCAGCAGATCAAACTTATCACATCAACACAAAGCTCAACCCAGTCGTTAACGATGTGACGGTCGACTGGAAAGGTGAATGGCTCTTCTCAGAAGATCTGGACTATTGGCGCAAGAACTCCTACCACATCGAGTTCCAGAATCACGCCGCAGGATTCATCCTTACCGGTGATCATATCCGCATCAATGGCTATGGTACTGGTGGTATCAACGGCAACGGGCAGCTTTGGTACTACGATGAGCGCGGCAACAGCACTGTCGGCGCCACAAGACCCGGACGTCCCATGCCATTTGTTTTCTGGAATGTCTCGGACGTTGCGGTGAGCAACTTTTATATCGACCAACCTCAGCTTTGGTCTATCAACATGATGAATGCCACGGACATGGTTTTCGACAACATCAGGGTCAATGCTACAAGCCCTCAGGCACCAGAAGGCTACAATTACGTGCAAAACACTGATGGCTTCGTAAGTCATGCGTGATAGAGGCTTGTCCCTGTGAACGTGCTGATCGTGATCTAGAACACTATGGACACCCGTAACGTCCTTCTGACAAACTTTATCTACCAAGGAGGCGATGATTGCATCGCCATCAAACCCCGAAGCTACGACATCACAATTCGCAACGTAACCTGCATAAGTGGCAACGGCATCGCGATAGGCTCCCTTGGTCAATACTTAGACGATGCCTCGGTAGCGAACGTCTGGATAGACCAAGCCAAGATCGTGAAAGGGGGAGCGCAAGATAACATCGGAAATGCGGCTTACATCAAGACCTGGGTTGGCGAGCTCGTGTCTGGGGGCGATAGAGACTACGAATCTGACTATCAGCCTCGAGGCGCAGGTTGGGGCAGCGTGACGAACATGCTGTTCAGTAATTTCCAGGTCTTTGGTGCTAAGGCGGGAGGTGTCATCAGCCAGAACAGTGGAGACAACGGTACTGCCGCTGGTACGTCGAACATGCTCGTTAGCAATATCGCCTTCGTAAATTTTACTGGATACCTTGACAACAGGCCCACGACTGCGAGTGTGAGCTGCTCGATGAGGCAGCCGTGCTACAATATTGATTATAGGAATTATACCTTGCATACGGCTTTGAACTCGACGAGTACAGGCAAGGCGAGCTGCAAATGGACGGAGGTTGGAGGTGTGCATGGGCAGAATTGTAGTGCTGCATGATGCATCAACGAGTGTGTACCCTGAGCGACAGCTTTGCTATCATGAATACGACCAAATGCTACGTCCTTCCTATCTGCTTGTTAATGAAAGCGTTCCGCTCAATAGTGCCTTCACACCTGCTCTTTTCGAAACAGATACATCGTGCCAAGGCACTCACTTAGGACATAATCGTCGCGAATGCTGCAGTAAAGATTTTCCCAGCACTGTGGGTTTGGAGAAGACGCCTTGTAGATGATGGCACCTTGAAAACCACTAGTGCCGGCCTACTGGCCGCTGAAAATACAGAAGAGAACAGGGAACACAGCCATGCAGGCAGTAGATATGGGCAGCAGGCACTTCCATATTCTGTTGCAAACTCGAGCTACACCGTACAGATGAGGAGCAGATCTCGGTTTCTGGCGCATGTATATGGTCCAGCCTGTGAGGTCGAGAATCGAAGTGAATGACCAGTACTCCATGATTCCTGGTGTATTCCACCAGAACTACTAAGAAGCTCTTGATATCTGTGACGTCGCCAGCGCTTGTGGCTTGGAAGAGATTTTTGCTGGCCTGAGTCTTCTCAATGGTATCTGAGCTCGACTGGCCATGTGACCTGGGCACCTTGGCAGCAGTGACGCCGAAGGTGGGCCAGCCTCGTCGAGGCTCTTGAGTCGAAGGTTTTGCCTCCTCCGTGACCTCTAGACTCTCGTGTCCAATGATGCTCCGTCTCGATCGTGGTAATAGCTTCTGTTCCTGTCAAGACACCGTGATCATACACGCTAGTGTCCTGACCGAGCTCGGGCCTCAGTGCTTTGGCCGAGCGTATGTGCCTCAAAGGCGTCTTGCCATAGATCATCATGTTGGATCGATAAACTGCGTGCAAGGTTTCGTGCGGCTGCGCCGTGGCAAAGTTGGCCTCCGCTGGCCACAAGCGCCCAGACAGCGTGAAGCACTAATTGAAGATGTCTAGACTCTCGCCGTGGACCCATGACAATATGAGGTCACAATCGTCAGCCAGATATGTCACCTCGTGTTCGGCTAAGGCGAGATAAAGATCGTATGCTTCTGCTTCTTCATGTGTGAAGGGAAGTACGTAGTCATAATTGTCTTGTGGCACAGACAGGCATCGTAACACAAGCGGCTCGCTGGGGCCTCTTCCATTGTACCTATCTTGATAAGGCGAGGGCGTGATGTTGTCGCAACCGTTCAGGTCAAAGGCGAAACTGATGATGCCGAGTCCGCCAACGATCTCACGACCTGCATGAACCGCTGGCTTGAGATAGCCGTGAAGCTTGTCCATTGCCCGTGCCCGATGTCTGGGGTCATCAGATCGTGGAGACTCGTGTGCGTCGGGCATTGGCGAGGCTGATTTGTACATGAACGTTACTGAATCCAGACTGGCTGCTTCCAGGATCTCTACACCACAGTCCTCATCCGTTGCATGGAATGTCAGATGATCTTGGTATGGATGAGCAGGCGATCCGGCCAGAGTGGTCGTTGTAGTCGGATTTGTAGCCCTCGTGCTCAATTGAGCTAATTCTGACTCCATAATAGCTGTTGCCATATCCTCTGTCACTCTCGCCAAGGTAAATCCGGTCATCGTTGATTTTGGCGTGTACGAGGCGACCACCACTATTGCCGGTTTCTCCTATCCGAATGTCTGGCCGAGCCGGCCAGAGGGATCAGGCACGTGTGAAGTGCCGCAATACCAGTCGAAGTCACATGCGTGTGGATCTACTGTGGACGCATTATTGACCATAGGAAGAGGCCAAGTTGCTGGGCACTGGCTGCCTGTAAAGTTCTGTTAGATCGTGCAGGAGACATTGAGCTGTGAGCATTATCGAGGGAGACTGGATGGTGGTGCCAATAGAGAGCACGCTGGCAAAGTGGAAGTCGCGAAGCTTCTCGGACAGGTCGATGCAGTCTGTGGCAGGTTAACCGGCGAGCAAGTAGTCGTGGTAGCCGGTAGTAAGCTGATGGATCCGCCGAGTCCCCGCAGCATCCTGAGCCAACCGGCCATCGTGAAGGATGTCCTATTGGTTCTGATATAGCAAGTGCTGGTATGCGAGCTCGTCAAAATCCCAGGGGTCAAGGCGTGCAGATTTGATCTGTCAACGTGATGCTGGAGCGCTTGGGAATAAATTCGTGAAAGACAGCGGTGTACGCTGCTGGTGAGCGAGGCTGCGAGACAATAGCGATATCGATTATGCCTGGAATGTCTGGTTTGATAACGACAAACGGATGATTGAATCGAAAGAAGTGCAGGGCAAGAAATAAACATTGCCGGCTTTGAACTTCGTTGCCGCTGCAGCGTGCCTCTGAGCACCTTCCAGCGCATGTCGTCTGAGTAGGACGCAGCCATCGTTCGCAGCTTCTCAAAAGCGGTCGAGATACGTCGCTGCTGCTCTGCGGACCTTACAAAATGCTGGGATTCGTTGGACCTACATATGAAGTATGGCAGTGCGTTGGAAAGAGACAAGGGGTCGCAGAAATGTGGACTTGCATGTTTTCTAGCTTACTCAAGCTGACTCTGGCAAGAGCCACAAGCAACCGCCATGCCACGCCACCAAGCCAACACTCCAAAGATAAAAACAACAACCATAGCGTCACTAAAGATCGTCTGTGCAATCCTCACGTATCTCCCAGCAGTCCTCACATACTGCGCGTATGGCTCAGGTACAAAGCCACTGTTCGCCACAGTTGCAAGCATCCCATTGCCGTGCAGCTGCCCTTTTTCCAAGAAGAATCGACTGCTCTGCAACAACAGCTCAGCAGAAGTGAAGATGATGAATAGTCGTGGCCCAAGACCATAGGTCGACTCGTCGCTGTAGACAGACTGTGCGCGACCAAGCTTCGTGCCGTTGAATGTACTTGTGAGGGTGATGTATATAGCGAGCGTGAAAGCAAAGACCGCGTGAACGACCCTCCATAGGTACGCGGAGCCGGTCTCCGGTGCTTTCGCTTGCTGCTGTCCGCCACCTCCCATGAGCGCTGAGAGCGCTGCAGGTATTTGTGGAGGCTGGTTTGGGTCGTTGGGGTTCTGCGCGTTGCCGCCCATCATGCCCGTCAATTGCTGCATCATGCGCACCATGGGATCCTCTTCAGCCCCGCCTTGCCCCCCCTGCCCACCCTGCTGCTGCTGCATCTGGAACGTAGCCGCCCTCAAGGGGTTGTCTTGTTGATCTGCACGGCCTTGTTGTCGTTGCGAGCTCTGCATGCCCGGTATTGAGTCGATGTCTGCTTCGTCTGGGTCTTCCACAGTCGCTGCCTTGGGTCCAGAGGCTGCTGGTCCACCGAGTGCCTCTGCTGGAGGTGCCACACCGCCATTCAGTGCTTTGATTCTGGCGAGTCTGTCCTCTCCTTCCTCAGCCACTCTTTTCTGTCGCTTCTCACGCCGCAAGCGCGCCTGCTTTTGGTTGGGCGTCTCGCCTTCGGGTTCTGCCACTTCTGCCATGATGACTGCTCAATCTTGCTGACGCTTGGATAATATGTGTTCAGTGAGCAAGTTGAAAGTCGTAGAAGTGGGAGGTGAATCTTGGTGGGATGCGCATGACGTAAAAATCGTGCCCGCCTTAGGCGGAAATTAATGCAACGAGTATGAATAAGTTGAGGCTTTCCACATCACAACCAAACCATGCCTCTGTGGTCTCGTATGCTGGGCTTGTCAGAATCGTAGGAGATTGGGCGGAACAACGATCAGGAAGCCGCCGCGGTTCGCTATGCTCTGGCTGCGAGGGACTCTCGCCACTATCACCAGCTTTTCCATTGAAGGGTCGACGAGGCCATCTACATTTTGTCTATGATCATATTCATCATTCCGTGAGATCATGCCTCGCCACGGCGGCAGTAGAGCTGGGACAGCAGGACCAAATAAACCACCATTGACACATTTCCTGTGCTTGCCACTTGTGACAAGCGCTTCCCGACCTCAGCTCGAAAGATCTATGAAGGAGTTCAAGGATGCTGTGACTAGTACTTCCCATTCTCCTGCTGGAGATGACCTGCCAAAGATCCATCCAAAAGCCATCAGACCAGTCGGTGCATTACATTGCACTCTTGGTGTCATGAGTCTCAATAGACAGGAACTGGAACAAGCGATGAAGCTACTGAAAGAGTTTGATGGCAATGCCTTGCTTCGAAGCACTGTGGGAGTAGCTTCTCCATCGGTCAGCGAAAGCCCAGTCACGCCACTCACGATCGACTTACAAGGCCTGGTCTCTATGCACGATCCGCAGAAGACATCGATCCTATATAGCGCTCCACATGACCCCACGGAGCGACTATATCCCTTCTGCTTGGCTGTTCAGAAGCTTTTCAAGGATGCGGGTTTTCTGGTCGACGATAATCGAGAGCTGACACTTCATGCCACGATCATGAATACCATCTACGCCAAAGGCCGAGCCAAGCGTCCTCCGAAGAACACTCAACGACAGCAGACGCCCGAGCCTGACCAGAGTGCAAGGGCATCCGCAGAGGCGCCAGAAGGTCCAGCGATCAACGATCGTGCTGCAGGCCATGGACCAGAAGCGGATGCACCCCTCAAGATCGACGCTACTCATTTACTTGAGCAGTACGAGGACTTCGTGTGGGCCAAGGACGTCAAGCTAGATAGAATTGCGATATGTGAGATGGGAGCTAAGAAGATCACGGATGCTGAGTTTCGGGTGGTGGATGAGGAGTACAAGGAAATGGCGAGGGTGGCTATCGGCTGAGAGGGCTGTCATAAGCGACTGGAACCAAGTCGGAACTCAGCATATCGGTTCACTAGCTTTCGGGTAGAGGCACATGGCGACGATCACCAGGTGGCATTGCCCAGAGGAGGTGTATTGCAATGCTGGATCTTGTGGTCGATGAGCGTGCTGGAGCACGTGTGATGGGGTTGTGTTGTCGATGGTAGTGAGGAGGTAGCAATGCCGTGAGCATTGAAGTACGGCGATGTCTAGAAGATAAGACTGCGAAGGCGCCACAGGTGTGGAAGACATTTCTGTAAGTATGCTGTGCTCTGAGCGAAGCGTGGAGTAATATCATCATGCGACGGGGTAGGCCAGGGTGCTAGTGAAGGATATCACGACGGCGGCGACATCACTGCCTCACGACACTGACATAAGCGGATACTTAAGGTACAGAGACACCTTCTTCTCCAAGCACGACCATGAATGGCTGTGATCAATGAAAAAGTATAATAAAGGTTCAAAAAATTGCCATGAAGGACTTTGATGCAGCACACGACCAGCTCGTCACCTGGAGGCCGTGTCGTGACAGCCGGCGTGAAGTCGTCAATCGGTGAGCGCGTCAACCCCCATAAGCTTGTCGTTTCCTCGGAATGGCTCACTTCAACTTGCAATGCGAAGAGTAGCTGCCACTAGCTAGGCACGACTGGATCTGTGGGTAAGACAGACTATTCAACAGGCCGCTGTCGGCGCTCCTAATCGATGGCTAATAAGAGGCTCTCCTGCCACTCTTACCCTCACTCCCACGCGGCTGCTTTCACAGCGGCTGCTAGACTCGTCGTACCCGGATGGTCTCTCTAGCCGGCGCCTATACCAACACCCTCGAGGCTCTTCCGAAGAAGCCCAGTCGACCGAGGATTTGAAAGTACCTAGCGATCCTTAATCGAATGTGTAGCACGCGGAATAGGGGTTGGGCAGGGAGAGGAAGTGGCACGGGCATTTTAACGTGTGCCAGAGAGTGTCGCTGACTCGTCGTATCGCTGTGAGTCGTGTACACCTTGTTGTCGAGTACCTAGAAGCTCCGGTGAGTCAGGAGCTCGTCGAGGCTCCACGAGAGGATTGTGTGTGTGCATGAACGACGTGATCCTCGGACATATCCTCACTAGATCAACTCACACAGCCGAGCGGTAGAGCACGAGGTCAAAGCCGAATGCTCTCGCATCAGGTGTGAGTGTGCGTGTTGGAGAAAGGAAGAAGGATCAAGGGCGAGGGAAGAAAAGATCTTGTACCTCATGCGACCTGGTCAGAGCTTTCTTGTGCAGCTGCGGCCTTGCGGGCATCACCTCGTCGGAGGCGGTAGTCGGAGACCCAGGGGGCTATGCTGAGCAGTCTGGGAAGGCGCGGAGCGGTAGTCACATGGAAAGGGAAAGTGCGTGAAGTGACCTTGAAGCTCAGGGCTCTGCTCAAGGTACAGCTGGATGCCAAACGCTAAGAAGCAAGATGAAGCAATGCAGCATTCCAAGGGACTCACGTAGTCTATGCGAGCTACGATGAGCATCCTTTGACTTCGTTGCTTATCAGATATGCTGTTGGATCCTCAGCGCAGCAAACCAGCCGCTGGACATACATCTGAGCACAATTACGCACGCAAGAACATGTCAGAGGGGCTCACATCAATCGCCAAGCAACAAGAGCATCTCTCGTCTTCGCCGCCGTTAAGCTAAGAGCACTGCGAGACTGCCCTTCACTACGGCTTGAATTCTCCAACGTCAACCATATGCAATCTGCGTCCGCACGGACCAAGTCACCCTTCATGAAGCTGCAGTAGTACGCACATATGCTGAACCACGATCCTGTATCAAGTTGAGAATGGTGACCATCACACATCAATATGGCGATGTCTCAGCTTGTAGTGAGGTCGATGGCGCCTGAGACAGCGTGGACTTATAATGCCCTTAGTATGGCAAAATTGGCTGGAGATTGCATGAGAATTACCATTGTACAGCAGCAGATGCACTTGTGATCTATCCACATTGCTCATGCTATGAATATACACATGCCACCGTCACCTTCACGGCGGCGTACCACCCACACTACTCTCAGCCTGCCGTACTCTTACGGCACTCTCATCCACGACGCCCTCCGCACCCGCAGGCGCAAAGCCATAACTCTTCTTCTTCTGCCTCCCACGCCTATCGCCATACTGCTCGTCGAATTTTCTAATAGCAGTCAGGGATCCCATATCCTCACTAATACTCGCACTAATCTCCTGCACAGCCTTTTCAAAGTGCTTCCCAGTCAGCGTCCTCTTCTCAGGCAGCTTAGCTTGCGGGTCAGCGATTCGAAGATCATTCTCTTCTCTTACACAGGCGAGAGCGGCGGCGACACAGAGATTCTTGAGGTCGGAGCCCGAGTAAAAGGGTGTGCGCTCTGCCAGCTTCTCGAGATTGACGCTCTCGGTATCGAGGATTTCATCCTTGAGGTGGATGCCCAGAATTGACTCGCGATCTTTAGCCACGGGTAGATCGACCAACAAACGTCGTGGCAGACGGCGGAGCACAGCATCATCGAGATCGAAGGGTCGATTCGTGGCAACCATGACGAAGACACCGCGGTCATCCATGCCATCCCACTCCCGCAAGAACTGATTGATAATCTCCCTGTGAGTATTCCTGTTTCCTGCGCTACTCCTGCTGCCAAAGATAGCATCTGCTTCGTCGATGAAGACGACACATGGCGAGAGCTTCTTAGCTAGGGAGAAGACAGCCCGAACCATCTTCTCGCCTTCACCGACGTATTTCTCGTAGATTTGAGCACCGGTGATCTCAAGGACAGTGGCTTTGCTTTCTCTCGCCACTGCCTTCGCGAGAAGAGTCTTGCCTGTGCCTGGTGGACCATAGAGCAGTAGACCTGGTAAGCGGTCATTGGCGAGGACACCGTAGCTGAAGGCTTCAGGACGCATGAGGGAGAGTGATGTCAGTGTCTTGAGAGCTTCGATCGTTTCTGTCGGCGCATGGACATCCGCGAAGCCTGTCTTGATTTTCTTTGCGTCGGCTACGCCCGTCAGGAGTTTGCCTTCATGCTGATTACATGAGCTGCGAACCTGGTCGGCTTTACTGGGACCTGATTCTTTGCTGTCGCTCTCGCCGCTTTTGCCTTTGCTACCGGGTTGCATCGACTTCGGCAGCTTGGACATGCGATCACTTGATGTCCATGTCTGCACGACTTGATCTACATTGCTAGTAAGGTGTATGGCCAGAGCCAGGTGTGCCGGCTGGATCGTGTCCGCTTTGGCGTGCGTCTCAGCAAGTCCAATAGCAGTGAGGACGAGTCGCTGGACCTGATCGAGTGTCAAGACCTTCTCGCCAAGCACGTATGTTCCACGCAAGCTCATTTGTGCTTGCGCACTTTTGCTCAGCAGATCCACCTCCTGACCAGGTCGTAGTCGCCTCAGCATGCTCTGCAAATGTCGTAGATTCATCTCCAGTATCCTGCGATACGCACCATCATCTGTCATGGTCTTCGTAGATATTGGCAGCATACTAGCTCCGAGCTTCTCGAGCTCCTCAGCTGTCGCAGAGAACAAAGGTGGGACAGTGATGGTCCGGAAGGATTGCTCATTCTGCTGCGAGGGCCGTGGCATGAAAAAGCTCGTCTGTGCCGATTCGGCAGTCGTGCCAATAATCATCACACTTTCTCCGCGTCTTCGTCGTTTCTCCACGACCTGGACCAATGCCTTTATGATATCTGGACCGGATCCTGACCGCGACGAGTTCTGCAGCTCTTTGAGGTCACGAACGTGTATGATCGTCTTGCGATTGGCAGTCTCGTCGGGGAACGGGATTAAGGGTGATGCTGTCTGCTCACTCTGCATCTTGATACTTGAGCTTCCAGCCTGCTCATTGATGCCAAGCCAGCTTGCCATGGCGCGCGCTAAACCCAGCTGGACGGCTTTACTCTTTTCGTCTGGACTATGAGTAGCTTGCACCGCTGAGCCATCGCCTCGTTTCTGCTTGCCAGCATCAATCAGCCCATCCAGCAAAGCCCTTAGACGAGCATCGTCAAATCCGGCAGACTCTTTCGGACCCTCGCCAAACACGAAGCCAGGAGGCATACCATCGGATGATCCTCCGTTCACGAGTTGCGACTTGCCAATATGTACGTGAGCAATGCCCACGCCGGACAACATCTTTCCAAGCTGTCCACGTCGCTCGCTTAGCGCTTTACGTAAATCAGATATATTTCTGAAACTGGGTGGAGTACTGCCACGATCCTCCTCAGCGTCCTCGTCTTCATCAAGCTCTTCTTCATCCTCATCCATATCGAACTCGTCTTCGTCTTCTTCGGTACTTTTAAAAGGCATGAACGGCTTTTCCCTCACACTGCTCCCAACGTATCCGTTAAAAACGTCGTAGCCTAACGTGGCGAGAGAGCCAGGAGAGTCCTGTCCAGAACCCACGTATTCACCAGCCAGCTCCTCAAAGTCGTTAGCATCAAGTCTGACCACATCCACTCCAATTGTCTGCGCCAGATCACGCACGAACATGTCCATCTGGTCGTGCGAGTCGCCATCTGGACAGTGTAATGCAAGATCAACTCGTGACGAGGCGTATGAGGCTGCATGCTGAGCTTGTTGACCCATCGACAAAGCCGCTCGCGCTGCGGTCTCCGCCTCTAGCATGACCCACGAGAAAGGTGGACAGGACTCTATGGTACTAGCCTTGAGGATGTTGTACCCAATGCGAGGTGGCGTGTCCGCACCTTCGGTTGACTGCCCGCCGAACTTCTGGTTGAAGAAGCCGTCTGACACGCCAATGTTCGGTGTCTTTTTGATTGGGCGCTTCTTCTCTTTACCACCAGTCTTCAACTCAGTAGAGCCTACAGTCGGCGCTTCAGACTTCGAACCCTTCCCACGTTCGATGCCCTCACGTCGCAGGATCTCCTCTTGTGTCTCTCGTGGCAAAGAAATAAGCAGCTCGCCCAAAGCCTCTTGATCGATCTCATGTGGCTTTTTAGCTCGTAGAACCTGCATCTGATGTATCAGAACCTCTTCTCGTAGCTTGTCTGGCAGACCGCTGACTTCATCTTTCTTTGTTTCCAAACAGGAAATGTCGATGAGCTTGCCACGAATCGTTGTGAACGACCGTCCCTCAACGGGCTTGTAGTACGGCATCGTGAATAGTGTATGCCCTGACCCAGCATCAACACATCGCAACACCTCCTTTCCTTCCCGGCCTTTGCTTTGTGCTACTTCGTCTTTCTCCAGGAAGACATTGTGCTTGAGAAACCAGCTGGGTATAGGCGGAGGTTTGGGCACATCAACAACACCGTTCTTCCTGTCCCTCAACTTCCTCATTGACAAGCGCCCGGTTCTCCGTCCATCACCATTGCTCTTGGCCGCCTCCTCGGTTGGTGCTGGTGCTGTCGTCGCCGCATCGTCCTGGTCATGTGCCGGTGTGGAAGCCTTGCGCTGCTGCTCGATCCAAGCATCATGATCCGTTCCAGTATTGGGTGGTCGTGCATCGTTGCCCTCTCGCCTCCGGGCACTGTTATTGAAACATCTGGCATGTGACACAGGCGTCAACGGTGATGGTGTCGTCTGTCGAGGGACAGAAGGCTGCCGGACTCGACTGCAGCTACTAGCTCGACGATGAGAAGCCAAGCGAGCGCTTTGACGGGCGAGCGAACGCATTCGAAAGATGTTATATGACTCGGTAGTGTCTGCTTGCGCCAGCTCACAAATGTTCTGAAGCCCTGCATTGAGCTTCCGCGTCAGGCTCGGAAGTGAGGTCTAAACGCCGAAAATGACACGGTCACGTGCGGCCGAGCGAAGAGAGATGAGTATGATACACAATGCTACAGATATATGCCACATCTATGTAGAGCAAAGAGTTTCGAACCACTTCCTCTGGCCATTTGCGACTTCCTACTCGAAGTCACCTCACCTGATCTCCACACCAAACTTCTCGATCAACTCCCTACAAACCCTCTCATGCATCCCGTTAACCTCCTCAGTCGTCATCGTCCTCTCCAGACTTCTATACTCAATCCTATAACAAAGACTCCTCCGCTTCTTCTTCGGATGCACAAAGTCATCAATCAACCTCACATCCTCCACCCCATCACCAGCAATATTCCTCACGATTTCCATAAGATCATTCTCGTGAAACACCGGCTCTGTGGTCCTTGAAGCCTCGTTTCGCTGCCCACCCGCAGAGCTAGGAGCCGAAGACGTCGATGCAGGAGTCTCAGCGACAATAGGTTCGTCGGCGGTGGCAGGAAGCCAGAACGCCACATCTCGCGGAGCAGCAGGGTGTTTGCTGAAAGGCTGGAATCGCCTAATCGCCTCCTTCTCATTGAACTGCCGCAGGAACCTAGAGTCCTTACTCCAGAAAAGCCGAATATCAGGAATCCCGAACAACAACATAGCAATCCTCTCCAACCCAATCCCGAACGCCCAGCCTATCCGATCAGCCTGATTCGCTCGGATGAGTAGTGGCTGATCTATGACTCCGCATCCCAAGACTTCGAGCCAGTCGCCTCGCCACCAGACTTCCATCTCCCACGAGGGGGACGTATGCGGGAAGAAAGCTTCCACCCAACGGACTTTCAGAGGTTCTTTTTCGCTTTCTGAGTCCTGCCCGGCGGCTGCCAAAGCTTTGTCTGCTGCGGAGAAAATTGTGACGACCATGTCTTCCAGACTTCGTTTCAGGTGTGCAGCTACGATTTCTGCTTCGGCCGGAAAGTGATACTGCTCCTGCAAAGGATTGCGTTCGGGATGAAAAGGTGGATTAGGGTCCTCAACCACTAGATCGTGCTTTGGTAGCTTGTCGAAACTTTCCTTGATTGCAGCTGTGCAAGCTTCGCGAGAAGCGTACTTGCTTCGATCCCAAGTCAAAGCACCTTCCATCTGATGAAAGATAGGGTAGTGACTTCGATCTACCGCATCACGACGGTAGACATCTGCTGACAGGGTCCACCCATCGCTCGCATTCTCTCGGAAGACATCGACTTCGTGCGCCGAGGTGTGAGTCCGTAGTAATGTGCCCTTGCTGATGTAGTAAGTATCTGTTCTGCTGCGGCCTGGGTGATCGGGGGCGAAGCCTAGGGAGTCGAAATTTTGGTTCACTGTTACTACCCCTGGGAGGGTGTTATGGTTCTTGAATTTGTGAAAACGGGACTCGATCAGTTCTCTGGTAATGGACAGTGGATGGTTGGGCTCGACGTGCAAGGCTCGGCCGTACTGTGAGAGGATTGATTGAGGTACGTTGGTCCATGCATCGGTCGGGTAGTTTTTGCCAGCGATAGTCAATTTCGATGACGAGGCATCTGATCGAGTGGTCAGTGAAATATATCACCCTCTAAATCGCCAACGAGGATGTCAAACTTGGCACAAGAATGCAGTATATCGGCATGAATGGTATTGTACCTTCCTCGCAGACACTTCACTACAGCTTGTGTACGACCACTTCGGAATCAACATACCTTGTGAGTAATTGTAGCGTGCTGTCCTGATCACAATGGCCGAACGTACCAGCGATCGTAAAGCTGAGGGTAGAGTCCAGAACGAAGCTCCGGCGGAGCAGACGGGCTTCACCATCATGCGTGCCTTCCTGATCTGTCCTTAATTCCGTTTCGGCTGGCTAAGACTCCTCTACACTATTCCCAATAGCTAGCCATTGGCCATGCGATGCCGATACAAGACGAGGGTCATATCTTGCTCTCTTCCTCGTGGCCATGAACAGGGATGCTCTTCCGTACCGTCACCGTGCACCCCCGAAGCACGCCGAAGCTCCGTCTCAGGAACGCGGCGCCAGAATTATATCCGGCACTTCTGACCTTACTGTGCTCTTCACGAACACTCACACCTCTCAACTTTACGACCTATTACTTCGGGCGCTGGTAGTGTTAGTGGTATAGTATTGCTCGTCGAAGCAATGCTGCAGAAAAGCACTGGGACATGACGACGACTGCCAAGGAAACGAAGAAGAGCAACGATGTCCAACATGGCCCTATTCACTACCCATTGTGGTTTGGTGGGAGTGCGAGTTGCTTCGCAGCCTGTCTGACGCACCCGTTGGATTTATGTGAGTGCCCTGGCCTGTACGCGGAGAGCTTGCGTGGAAGCTGACGCTGTGTAGTAAAAGTATCTTGACCTGCAAACGCGAATGCGATCGGATAGCCACTTACACAGAACGATAGGTTCGACTACAGACCCAGCCACATGGTGAACAGAGGACTCTATGGCAGATGGTACAGCATGTAGCGAAGGCAGACGGCGTACCTGGCTTCTACCGCGGTGTTAGTACCACGACGCAAAGTAAGCCTTGACACAAACATTGACAAATGGCACAGCTCTCCGCCTCGATTCTCCGCCAAATCACCTACAGTACAACCCGCTTCGGCGTCTACGAGGAGCTGAAAGAAGTCTTCTCCAGCGGCGTCCAATCGCCCTCCTTCCCAGCCCTGATAGCCATGGCCTCGACCTCCGGCTTCCTGGGCGGTATTGCCGGCAATCCAGCCGATATTCTGAACGTACGGATGCAGAACGATGCTTCACTCCCCGCAGCAGAAAGAAGGAATTACAAGCACGCTATAGACGGTCTCATACGCATGGTGAAGGAAGAAGGCTTCGGCAGCTTGTTCAGGGGAGTATGGCCAAACAGCACCCGAGCAGTCCTGATGACGGCCTCACAACTAGCCAGCTACGATATCTTCAAGAAGGAACTCTTGCAGAGAACGAACATGGGCGATAACCTCACCACTCACTTCTCTGCATCGTTCATGGCAGGCTTCGTCGCAACGACCGTCTGCAGCCCGGTGGATGTGATCAAAACTCGAGTCATGAGCGCAAAGACGCACGAGAGCTTGTTTGAGCTCCTGGCGAGGATCACGAGGAACGAGGGCTTCGGGTGGATGTTCAAGGGCTGGGTGCCGAGTTTTGTGCGTCTAGGACCACATACTATCTTCACTTTTATGTTCCTCGAGCAGCACAAGAAGATATGGAGGCAGTATCACGGATATGATGATTGAGACTTTTTCCTGTAGATTCTCAATGGATACAAAGAGATGCATGCGCCGGTGCAATAGATATATAGATGCACGGGTGGCTCGATCTGGGCTGAGCGAGGCGTTTTGAGGTGGGATGTGCTTCCTCTGAGCTCTTGTACATACTGCACATATTCTGTACATCAGACCCGGTATATTACCATTAGCAGTCATCTTGTCCTTCTATCTACCTTTACAGTCTCATGAACTCTTTCTTTGGAATTGTTCCGTCTCCTTCCGTGTCTGCGCCCAATCACGCTCTGACGCAGCCCACGTTGCCAGACTAGAATTGAAGCCATAGACAAGTTTGCAGACGAACAAGCCTCGACCGTCCGCAGGAACATCATGCACACGAGGCTTGCTCGGAGCCGCTATCGACGTCACGATACGAGGTAGGTAAATACTCTTTCTTTGTTGAAGATCTATTGTCTAGCAGTGCAACTCTGGTACTGCCATCCATATCACGATGCGCTTCTCACTCGCCACCATCGGCTTCCTTGCAGTAGGCGTAGTCAATGCAGCACAGAATCTATCCACGGCAGGTGTAGAAGCTCTTGTACAACGAAGATTACCGAACAATGTCAACGACTTCGTCTTCACCTTGAACAGTCCACCCTCAGGCTACGCCGCCACCGGCAACACGACGGACAAAGCAAACGACGAGTACTCTGTCTCCAACGGCCACAACGGCACCATCAATATCGCAGGTAACTCTCCCATCGCCCTAGCAAGTGGTCTTCGCTGGTACATGACCAACTACATCCGCGTCGACATCTACTGGTTCATCGGCTCACGCCTCCATCTCGCTCCTCAGATCCTGCCGAAGGTCAATGCAACATATCAAGGCTCTTCTATCGTACCATGGCGATACCACTTCAATACCGTGACTTTCAGCTATACCGCTGCTTTCTGGTCCTGGGAAGACTGGGAACTGGAGTTGGATTGGTTGGCGCTGAGGGGCGTGAATTTGCCTTTGGCTTGGGTAGGGTATGAGAAGGTTTTGATCGAGGTTTTGCTTGAGGCAGGCTTTACGCAGAGTGATGTGGCGACTTGTTTGTCTGGACCTGCTTTCCAGTCTTGGAACCGGTAAGAGAAAGGGCTGCACCGGTCAGTGGTGATCGCGCCGTAGTACTGACATGCTCCATCATAGCTTCGGCAACATCCAAGGCTCATGGGGTGGTGATCTTCCAATGCAGTGGGTCGACTCTCAATACGCCTTACAGAAACAGATCGTAAGTCGTATGGTCGAGCTGGGCATGACGCCAGTCCTGCCAGCTTTCACAGGGTTCGTGCCCTACCAGGTCGGCAAGCATTATCCCAATGCATCATTCGTCAACGGTAGCCAGTGGAACGCTTTCCCAGCTCAGTATACCAACGTCACGTTCTTGGAACCATTCGATCCATTGTTCACGACACTGCAGAAGAGTTTCATCAGCAAACAGGCAGCGGCCTACGGCAATGTGTCAAGCATTTACACTCTCGACCAATACAACGAGAACAACCCATACTCGGGCGACCTGACTTATCTCCAAAACGTAACAAGCAATACGATCGCGAGCTTGAAAATCGCAGATCCAAATGCAGTATGGATGCTCCAGGGATGGCTGTTTTATAGCTCCGCTACATTCTGGACCAATGACCGTATCAAGGCATACCTGGGTGGTGTGAAGAATAGCGATATGATTGTCCTCGATCTCTTTTCCGAATCCCAGCCGCAGTGGCAGCGCACGAACTCTTATTATGGCAAGCCGTGGATCTGGTGCGAGTTGCACGATTATGGTGGGAACATGGGCTTGTATGGGCAGGTGGAGAATGTGACCGTCAACCCGATCCAAGCTCTCGCGAACACCAGCTCGACTATGATTGGTATGGGGTTGACTATGGAATAAGTGGCTGCGTATATCTCATGGGTGATAGACTGCTAACGACCATTGCAGAGGCCAGGAGGGTAATGAGATTATGTACGACATCCTTCTCGATCAAGCATGGTCAAAGCACCCACTCAATTCCGACACATACTTCCACGATTGGGTCACTTCTCGGTACCACGGCGCTGCTTCTCTTCCGGTCGGTCTGTATAAAGCATGGGAGACGATGCGCTCGACGGTCTATAACAACACCCAGATCGACATTGCCAATGCTGTGACCAAGAGCATTTTTGAGCTTGCGCCTAATACGACAGGTTTGCTGAACCGTACAGGCCATCACCCAACAACTATCCAGTACAATACTACTGTGCTTATTGCAGCATGGAAAGACTTTTACGGTGCAGCTTTGCAGGAGCCGAGTCTGTGGGACAACACGGCCTACACGTTCGACTTGACAGACATCACTCGCCAGGTATTAGCTAACGCCTTCTATCCTGTGTACATCAGCTTCGTCGCAGCAGCGAACAACACGAACAATGCAACCTACTCAAGGACCACCGCAATCAATGTGGGGGCACAGATGATCTCGCTACTGTCAGACATCGATAGTGTCCTCGCAGCTAGCGGTCACCCATCGTTCACCTTGGCCAACTGGATCGCCTCAGCTCGCGCCTGGGCATCGTCGACGTCTAATCTACCAGATACAACGACCACCAGTTCGACCATCTCGCAAACAGCAGCCTTCTACGAGTATAATGCCCGCAACCAAATCACACTCTGGGGTCCCACGGGCCAAATTAGCGACTACGCATCAAAGCAATGGGCAGGACTAATAAGTTCGTATTATGTCCCGAGATGGGAGATGTTTGTCGACTATACATTGAACAGTTCTACGGCGGCCAACGGAGCGAATGCGGCGCTCGCTAAGAGCTTGTTGGCTTTCGAAGAAAACTGGCAGACGCAAGTCTGGGGTGAGAGTGAAGAGGAGAGCTACGTGGTTCCAGAGGCGGCAAGATTGACTAGTGAGATCGCAAGAGTTGTAGGTTGTTGGCCCAATGTTTTTGGACGGTAAAGTGTGGTGTAGAAATTGATATAGAAGGAATACACGATCTCTCCTGAGCTGGCTTACCTGTACCCAGTCGAATCGTTGTGCGTTGCGCATGGACCGAGAGAAGGGCGTATGTATGTTACGAAAGCACCTGAATAATTGTAGGACGTACATCGCTCGATTTTGCTTGGAATGTTTTGCATTGAGACCATTTTCGCGACTATAGCCAATAGCTAAACACACCATGGTATCCAACACACCAGTACGTATTTGCAATCAATCGTTCAGCGTCTCGACGCTCACTTCTTCTTCGAGTCATGCACTGTCTGGATGATCGTGTCAACCACGCTAGGATCCGACAAAGTCGAAGTATCACCAAGCTGATCCTCCTCGCCTGCCAAGATTTTTCGCAAGATGCGTCGCATGATCTTGCCAGATCGTGTCTTGGGCAGGTCAGGAACAGTGTAGATGGCCTTGGGTGCTGCGAAAGGACCAATGCTCTTTCGAACTTGCAGGATCAGGTCTTTCCGGAGTGCGTCGTTGATCTCATTGCCATCCTTAATGCTAACGAAAGCATTGACTGCTTGCCCAGTAAGCTCGTCGTTGATGCCAACCACAGCCGCTTCGCCGACAGCATGATGCTCGATGAGCGCAGCCTCGATCTCGGCTGTCGACAGCCTGTGGCCGGACACGTTGACAACATCATCCACACGTCCGCGGATCCAGTAATAGCCCTCGTGATCTCTTGCCGCGCCATCGCCAGTGAAGTAGTAGCCCTTGTACACGTTGAGGTAGGTGTCCATATATCTCTTGTGCGCACCCCAAACTGTGCGGGCCATCGATGGCCAAGCTTGCTTGAAAGCAAGCACACCTTCAACATCGTTACCGTGGATTTCTTCGCCAGACACTGGGTCAATGATCGCAGGCTCGATGCCGAAGAATGGGAGGGAAGCTGAACCAGGCTTGGTAGGTGTGACACCACCGAGAGGTGTAATCACGTGTGAGCCGGTCTCGGTTTGCCAGTATGTCTGGTACATGTTAGTTCGTCCTCGGTACTCATGGTTGTAAGACTACTCACATCGATAACATGTGCCTCCTCCTTGCCAACAATGTCAAAGTACCACTTCCATACCTCAGCTGCAATTGGCTCACCGACCGAGCCCAGCACTCGCAAGTTCTTCATCTGTGCCTTGACATGGTGGTCACCCGCACGCTTCAGCAGTCTGAGCGCAGTCGGGGCAACGTAGAACTGTGTGACGTCGTGCTTCTCGCAAACATCCCAGTATCTGCTGAAGTTGGGGTATGCTGGGGTACCCTCAAATACGACAGTGGCAACACCGAGCAAGAGAGGTGCGTATACAACGTATGTGTGACCGGTAATCCAGCCCACGTCGCCACCACAGAAGAATCGATCGGTGTCGTGGATGTCGAAAACGTATTTGCCAGTAGCCGCGGCTCCGAGCAAGTAGCCAGCAGTGGTGTGCATAACACCCTTTGGCTTGCCGGTAGATCCAGAAGTATACAGCAAGAAGAGCGGGTCCTCTGAACTCATGCTCTCGGGGGCATAGTATGCTGGCCACTTCTCAGTCTCCTCAGACCACCACAAATCCCTGCCCTTGGTCCATGGTACCTCAGCACCAGTCCGCTTGTAAACCAAGCAATGCGAGACGTCGGGACATTGCCTGAGAGCATCGTCCACAATCTTCTTTGTGCCAATGACCTTGCCACCACGCTTACCCTCGTCGGTGGTGATCACGACTTTGGACTTAGCATCAATGATGCGGTCGCGGAGCGAATCAGCGGAGAAGCCGGCAAACACCACGGAGTGGACAGCTCCAATACGTGTGCAAGCAAGGAATGCTACAAGTGCCTCTGGAATCATAGGCATGTAAAGAGCGACAGTGTCACCCTTCTTGACACCCATCTCCTTGAGCACCCAGGACAGCTTAGAGACTTCTCGGAGGAGCTCTCCGTATGTGATAGTGCGGCCCTCGCCAACCTCATCAGCCTCGTAGATGATGGCCGGCTTGTTCGGGTCCTTGGCGGCGTGCCTATCAACACAGTTGTATGAAGCATTGAGCTTGCCCTCCAGGAACCAAGCATTGTCGCCGCCAGCCAGAGATCCAGTGTGGACAGTCTGGAAGTCGCGCTCCCAGGTGAGGAGGTCACGAGCCATCTTGCCCCAGAACTTGTTTGGATCGCTAATAGACTCCTTGTACATCTCCTTGTAGTGATCGAGCGAGTCCAAATGTGGCTTTTTCGGGTGCTTCCTGGGGTGGTGTCAGTAGCTCGTTCGCTCACGTCCTGACGACGTCTTTCACTCACTTGTGGAAGGCCTTGGGCACATGGAAGGTATCAACCTCGTGCGCTTCAGGCACCGCGCCTTTCGGCGGCTGGGTCTCTCCCTCAGACATTGTGGGCACTGTCTGCTCGCGTGATCAAGTAGTTCAGTTCAGTGCTTCTTCCAGACCAGTCAAGGAAACGAGGACACTGTGAGAGAGATCTGGAGATGAAAGAGTAAGAAAGATTCAGATCGGGGAAAGTCACGGTCAACAATATCGCGGCACCGGAGCTACGCAAGCTATTATTGATTTCGCCAGAGGTCGAGCGGCTGGACGCAGGGCAGGTCCGAGGTGATGTGAGGCGCCGGGTAAAACACCCCGCGAGTCTGGATCCTTGTTGCTATTTGCTCGCAAACTCCTCGACTTGGACAGCGGTGCTGCAATCGGATTAATTGCTCAACCAGCCAAATACCTTCGCTTACCTATACGGTGTTCGCTACTGCTCCGCGTGCTCTCGATGGCTTGAGAGCAATGGTCGGATATGCTCTCGCGCGTCACTGAGAGGCTAGCGGGGCAGCAGTAGTGGGGAGAGTGGTTTTCTTGGCGCCGGCTTGCCTTGAGCTCCATCCGACCGACCGAAGCGAATCTGGCGTGGTCCGGTGGACCTCTGTAAGGCTGCTGGTTCTTCCACGGGTAGGTGTATTGCCCAGACTTGGCGAACAGGACTAGCCAGTACGACGAGATTTGTCGCACAGTTGTCGCACTGTGGCGAACTTCGTGGCTCCCTCATCGTGTCTTGAAAGGGATGTCCATACATTACTGCTGCCATAACGCGATCATACTTTAGCTGATCGACCGAAAAAGCGCACTCAACACTCTGCCGTGGATGCGCTCAGCCAGCGTCGTATGAGTGGGTATGGACGGAGAGAACAAGTACAACGCACACAGGTGATATTTGTGCGTCTCGACGATGACGTGAGCACGTAGCCATTGAGTTTACGGGCACGGACCAGCCCGCAGCCCAGTTCGTGACACACTATGAAAAGACACGCGACTCAGTTCCCATGCGGAGGATCTTGGGGTTGGTTTAGCATCGTATCGTGAGGATCGCCGGCTCATATGCGCAGAAAGCACTAAGATCGCATGTGTTGTCAGCACGCTTCCTGGTCATCCCACATTCCTCCGTCGCGACCTGCAACCAAGCCGCGACTGCCATGTCTGGCTGACGACAATGATGAGGGATTGGCATCTACCTCGGGACCCACGGCATAGTCGACGACGCACTGATCTGCGCGATCCAACATGAACCATCCAACGCTGAGGTTGACACCATCCAATTCGCCCTTCTTCAGAAATGCAGCGCCACGTTCGCCCACCAAGGCTCCGCGGGAGGAAGAACCTGGATTGAGTCTAAGCAGAGCTATCGGCTCGACGACAGCATCTTGTAATGGCTTCGACTGCAACTCTTCTGAGCGCACCTTTGTATATGCTGCTGGAGCCGTCGCGGTAGTCTGCCAGCTAAGCGAAGACTTGAAGATCTCTCAAAGATTCTTCAAAGCCAAGCCCACATACGCTGCACCTGCTCGCGAGTCTAGTCTATCGTCCTTGAACAGCCCTACACCAATTGAGGCGCGTACCAGGACTCTTGGGCACGCGAGGGAGAATAGTACTACTGGATCTCCACTTGCCTCAAGCAGAGACTGGTCCGACTCTCCAAATGGCCGAAGTGCTACAGCCAAAGACCGGGTAAAGACCATCACTTCTGTCGCCCTTAGCCCGAATGGAAAGTGGCTCGCCGTCGGAGAGACAGGCTACAAGCCTCGGATCCTGCTCTTCTCGTTGGTCGAGAGTGCTGCAGACTTACCCGTCACCATAATCTCGGAACACACCTTCGGAGTGCATGCCTTGTCGTTCAGTCCCGACTCTCGATATCTGGCATCGTTGGGTAATGTCAACGATGGTTTTCTGTATATCTGGTCGGTTGACGACCGTGGATCGCCCATCCTGCATGCAAGCAACAAGTGCACAGTCCTGGTCAATGCAATGGCATGGCTTGGTCGCTCGCTCGTCACTGTTGGCTTGCGCTTTGTCAAAGTTTGGCGACCGGACGAGACTCCAGGCTCCGAGGTCAAACGAAGCGAGTCAATGCTATATCCAGGAACTCCTCGTCAACGGGCGGACAATCGCAGTGGCGACTTTGGCAACAGTATCCTAAGCCCGAGAAATCGTGTGCTTAGTGGTAAGAACGTCTTGCTTAGCGATATGCTTGACTGCAATTTTGTCTCCCTTGCTGTTTTGAACAGTGCACAAGCGGCAGTATGCGCGGTCAGTGGCGAGATATGCTTACTCGATGACGTGGACGACACACAGAGCCTGAGAGAGATTGCGACAGCCCCTTTTGCTGTTACTGCCGCGACTCTGAACCGCACTGGCGGACTACGTGTGATGGGTGCCGGCGGCAGTGCTGTAGAAGTTGATACGACCTGGTTCCACGACCCGATCGAAGTGCAGACGCTCAAACAAGCAGCCTGTGCTTCCCCAACGCTCGCAACGGAGAAACCCACAACTTACATCGTGTCCGCTGCACGGATCAAAGCAAACTTGGTCACACTTGACTCATCTGGCACTATTGAGGTTCGTTCTGATGAAGACACTACAATTCGGAAGGCTGGTCATGGCGAGGCGCTTGCTGGTGTGGTACCTGTCAAAGGGCCCGAGAATTCGACAGCTAGCTTCCTTACGTTCTCTGCAGAAGGCAGCCTCCAGATTTGGAATACTGAGGGAAATCTAATCAACCACTTTAACGCGCCACTGCCAGAAGCGCGCGACCTGGATGGTGTAGTAGACAGCATTTCGGCTGTGGAATCTCTCGCTCGAGGCTCCATGGTGGTATGTGGTAGCAGGACAGGGGTTCTGAGCGTCGTGAACATCCAGGCGGGTAGTGTATCTGCGCACCTCCGTGCTCACTCTTCTGAAATCGCAGACATCTGCTGTTTCAAGCGTGACGATGTTGATCTACTTGCTACCGCTGGCCGTGATCGAGTTGCGCAGCTCTTCCTCTGGAGGGATGACAAGCTTGAACTCTTGCAAACCATGGACGAGCATGCAGCAGCTGTTACAGGGCTGCTAGTTGTACGTGATGGCAACAGGCTCTTGTCAAGCTCATCCGACCGATCTGTCGTGGTCCGAGAGGCGTGGCAGAGGGACGAAGCTGATCCACTATCAATTCTCTATGTCATCGTCCGTACTATCACCTTCAAAGCCGCGCCAACCGCGATGTGTCTCGGCGGCGACGATGACTCACTACTCGTGGCAACGACAGATCGCACTATTTCTCGCTACAGCATCAGCAATGGACAAGCAATGCAGGTTTTCAAATGCTCCGATGCAGAAAACGGAGAAGCAGCGATAATGTCGAAACTCATCTTCGCACCTTCGTTGAGCGGGACGAATGTCATCATTGGAATCTCTAGCAGCGACAAGTCTGTGCGTATGTACTCAGAGCGTGGCATTCTACTGGGTCGAGACTGGGGTCATACTGAAGGTGTCACCGGACTCGCCATGGTTCAGGCCAGTAGTACTCGAGGTGAGGCGGATGACGCTTGGCGATTGGTCACTGTTGCAGCCGACTCGACGATCTTCGTATGGGATCCCACTGCCACGATAGCTCCAAGATCTCGCGATAATGACAGAGTGGCCGAGTTGACATCCTTCACGAAACTCGCCACGACAGCTCAGCCTCTACGTAAGGTCATTTCCTACTCGGAACTCGCTCGCTTTCGTCGTGAAAGCTCACTAGAGGATGCGGATCCGAGCTCCCCAATTCCTTTACAGACTCCGACAAATGCGTCGCCTACACGGCTTCGCAAGAAGCCTTCCAGGATGTCCAATGCACAGGCACCGAAGCTCGAGCCGGCGTTCAGATCTAGTGTAGCTGACTTCTCATCCCGGTCCTCGAGAAGACAGAGCTTGAGGCAGAGGTCACCCTCTCCTCCAAGTCCCAGGAACATAACCAAAAGGCAAGACATCCGTCGACCCTCGCTAGGCATGTCTCCCAGGTCCAAAAGCAGCGAGAATGTTCGAAATACAGTCGCACCGTCAACGATCAACACAGGCTTTGGCAGCCTTACAGCATCTACCGAATCTGCTTCTCGGACACTACGGGCATATCGAAAGAAGCTAGCAGGTACGCAGCCTGGTGAAGGCATTGCGCCTGAAGCCTTGCAGGAGCTGGAGAAGGAGCTCAAGCTTACGGCAAAAGTGCTCGGCGAACGATCACAGGGTAAAACGATCAACGAGGCCACGATGGCACGATTGCTTGACCAGACCAGCGAGAAGATTGTCGGCATGCTCGATGATCGCATCAAAGAGCGAGTCGAAAGTGAGCTGCGGAAGAGTGCAGAAGGTTCGCCTACAGGAGTGCGGGATCCGCGAGGTTCGCTTGACAGTGCATGCCATGACACGGATGCTCTAGCAGGTGCGGTGGAAGGCATGAATTTGAAGGGCTGAAGCACCAACGCACACATTGGCAAACACCATCTCCGGGGGCTATTCGTGAGTTTGCCGATGGAATCTTGTCATCGGCCGCTGATCTCTCGCCGAGTAGGCAGAAAAGTCGCGGTCAATGAAAGCACGACGAGCAGCGTTCAGGTGGACGACTGAACGCAGAGTTCGGCGCGGTATGTGACCCTTCTGGCGGTGCAACTAAGCAACAGCTCACAGGTGATTGAGCTGGTGATTAAATTCACAGAGGGCACCATCCACTTGCTGTACCAAGCGCTATTTGATATGCATCGATGATAGACGACGAGACGTGTAAGAGATGATGTGTACGATAGTATTCGTACGACGCGGATGTCGTGACTACGCTCGAAAACTCACAACCAACCCGAGCTCAACCGTGAAATACATGTTCGGGAGCAGACTCACACCCACAACGCCCGGCAAGGAAGCATTCGCCCACGGATCCTGTTTACCACCTGATCACACGCTCGGTCTCGCCCTCGCGAGGAGCGAAGTATGTGTTGATCAGACCCATGTAGTACTCCTTCAGGTCCTCAATCTTCGGCATTTCGTCGCTCTTGCTGTACAGATCGTAAGGATTGAAGGCTTTGACGGCCTTGAGCATCTTCTCATCCTTCTCGTTCATCATCCACCTGTAGCCACCAGCAGAGTGCCATGGGTAGAACGAGTGGTATCGGATCATGGCCAGTGCCTCGTCGGGTAACGTGCTCTGCTCCTTGCAGATGTGGTAGAGGTACTCATCGTGTCCCCAGCTGAGCATGACGTTGTCCAGGCCGCATCCGGGTGTATAGATGCCGTGCTGTGCGCTGTAGATGGGGTCTTTGCTGTCGGGATTATTCTCGAACGTGCCTGGGTAGATGATGCTCTCATCGAAGCGGCAGCCGACTGGGAAAGTATCACCGACGACATCCCACTGTCCTTGTGAGTCGTAGAAGAAGAGAAGTTTCCCAAGGTCGTGGACCAGACCTGTGACTTGGAACCACTCAGGCTTGCCGTCACGACGGATGGCCTCAGCGGACTGTAGCAGATGCTCGATCTGGCTGAGCGAGGTATCTGGGTCAGACTCATCGATAAGAGTGTTGAGTTTCTCCATGGCTTGCCAAATGGTCATTTCAGCGCGAGTGTTTGCCTTGAAGTCATTCCGGGCCTTCAGGTTATAGGCGACGGTCTGCTTTTCGTGCTGTTCGCGATAGAAGTTCTTGACACGATCGCAGGCATCTTCGTACTGTCGAAATTGAGCCTTGTCTTTCTCAGCATCGAACTTCGACCGTTCGTAGATGTCGACTTCTTCCTGAGTGGCTGTGCCATTCTTGACTCTCATCTCCGCCCTGAGGACGTTGACCTCGTCAACGGCATCAGATGTTGCTTCAAGAGCTAGACCATCCCGGTGGTCATTGAAGTTTTCGTTGACATTGGGCGTCTCGAGGGCGATTGGTGCCATGATATGATACTCGGAATCGTTGTAAGAAGTTGCAAAGAGATGGGTATGGATGCTGTAGATTGAGTAGAGAGGTAAAATTGTGAAGTGATAGTGAAGAGAGGAACCTATCGACACATACTTCACCTTTTCTCGAGTCCCCAGCATACTCCAAGGGTACTCCACGTTTGCCTCTGCGCCAGAACTCAGCAACTCCGACAGCATTTGCCTGCCCGGCCTGGCCTTGCTTGTGGCAAGCAAAGCTTCTGCGCCTGCTCACCACACACGCGCTCATCCTGGCGAGGTTACATGCAGGTAATGTCCTTGTGGATGTCGTCGAACGGCGTAATTGGAGGACCGCCCGGAGCGAAGTGCCTCTGTCTCGCTCCTAGCGCAAGTCTATCGGACATGATCGGGCCTTTTCAGCTTGCGAGCGGAATAATCTGAAATCAGCTAAACCATGAACGGCATACCGACAGAGCTATGGTGGAGCTCATGACGACGTGAAGTAAGAGCTAGACCACAGAATCTGCACGTCGGCGACCTGCGCGGGCCTACCTTTCTCCTAGTCACTCCGAGGACGTTGCTGGCTCGCCGACAGTAGCCGTCTGTCAGCAAGAGAGTTCGTAACTCTTCCGCCCCTACCTGACTGCTTCCTTCCGAACGAAAACGATGATCCGACAAGCACTGAAAACATCCACGATTGCCTCAGAGCCACTCGGTGTGTAAGTCTGCATGCTTCAATCGGGAGGCGACATGCTGTGTTTCCAAATCCCGATCCAACAAAAACCAGTCTTTACAGTAATGTGTCAACTGCATAGGTCGAGTGGTTTCTGACTGTTCCACTACAAGGCCTTGGGCTATCTTCCCATCCATCCGCCATCAATAGTCAGTACTTCACCGCTAACATACTGACTTGCTCGACTAGCCAAGTACACGACACCACCCTTAAAGTCGTCCGGACTACCCCATCTTGCAGCAGGTATGCGATCCAATATACCTGCTGCCCGCTTCTCGTCATTGATCAGTGCCGTGTTCATATCGGTAGCAATGTAGCCAGGTGCGATGGCGTTGACATTGATGCCGTCCTTCGCCCACTGGTTGCTCAAAGCCTTGGTCAACTGGCCTACGCCACCTTTACTGGCTGCGTATGCAGGGACATTGATGCCACCTTGGAATGTAAGGAGACTTGCAATGTTGATGATGCTTCCTCGCCGACCATTCTTGTCGAGCTGTCTTTGTAGCATATGTGCGCCTACGTCTCGACACAAGATGAAGACAGCATTGAGGTTGACCTGTAAGACTTCGTTCCAGTCATCGTCTGGGAATTCGTGCGCAGGGTGGCGTTTTTGGATTCCACCACAGTTGAGTAAGATATGGATCTGATGGCCGTCTGCTAAGACCTTGGGTGTGAGAGCTTTCATTGACGCGTGGTCGGAGAGGTCTGCCGTATATATTTCTGCTTTCCGACCAAGCTTCTCGATGACTTGCTTTGTCTCTGTATTGGAAGTGTTTCTCTATCAATCTGATCAGCTTCGATGTCGAAACGTGATTACTGTCGAAGCGTACCTGCACAAGCAAGACATCCGCTCCTGCCTCAGCCAGAGCTAATGCCATTGCTTGCCCAATTCCTCTCGTACCACCAGTCACTAAAGCCGTCTGGCCTTCAAGCGAAAAGAGTTGCTGCACCGAAGTCATGCTGGGTATTCGGGTTTCGAGCTATCAGGTGCCCGGGTCGACAAGTTCTCTTGCTGCTCGCATGCGTCTTCATGGAGGAAGAGTTGTAATTGGAGAACAGCAGAGTAAATTTCATTCGCCGACAAACGCCGACAGACGTCCTCCACCATCTTCCAACATATATTTGACCATGCGGATATGTTTTTGTCTCCTCGATACCCTTTAGGTGCAACTTGGTAACTACCCTGAGCTTCGTATACAGCTTCCTCTATTCCACCGATCTGCAAACCACCGATCTGATCATCATGTCCGTCCAGGTCAAAGCGTCGGTATTGCACAGTGCCAAAGACTTACGCATAGTGAGGCCGAATACCATTGCATAGCTTGTGTACGACCACTGACGACCTCAAGGAACCTCGCGACCTCTCATCACCTGAAGCCGACGAGATCCAGATCCGAATAGCTTCTACGGGCCTTTGCGGCAGCGATCTACACTACTACCAGCATTTTCGTAACGGCGACATCCTAGTCCGAGAGCCTCTGGCCCTTGGTCATGAATCTGCTGGCGTAGTGACAGCAGTCGGCCCCTCCGTATCGAATTTCAAAGCCGGTGACAAAGTTGCTCTCGAAGTTGGTCTACCATGCGGGAAATGCTCAAGATGTGAAGAAGGACGATATAACATCTGCAAAGAGATGAGGTTCAGGAGTAGTGGCAAAAGCTTCCCACATTTTCAAGGGACGCTGCAAGAGCGAATTAACCATCCGGCAGCTTGGTGTCATAAGCTGCCAGAAGATGTGAGTCTAGATGTCGGAGCACTGCTGGAGCCATTGGGTGTGGCTCTTCATGCCTTTCGCCGGAGTCAGATGCACGACGATGCTACGGTCTTGGTGTTTGGTGCGGGTGCAGTAGGTCTCCTATGTGCAGCGGTAGCAAAGCTCAAGGGGGCAAAGAAGGTCATAATAGCAGACATTGATGCTGGTAGACTCGAGTTTGCCGTACAAAACGGTTTTGCACACAGCTCGTATACGGTGCCGATGCGGAGAGGAAAAGACACTGATGAGAGTCTGGCGATCGCAAAGGAGACGGCAGAAGCCATCGGCAAAGTTGACAGCGCGGGCGAGGTCGACACGGTCTTCGAGTGCACAGGTGTACCATCATGCGTGCAAGCCAGCATATATGCAACACGTCCTGGAGGCCGGTTAATGCTCGTGGGTATGGGACACCCAGTCCAGACGATACCACTCGGAGCAGCTGCGTTACGGGAAGTCGACATAGTCGGGGTCTTCAGATACGCGAACACGTATCCGGAAAGTATCGAGATCGTGCAGCAGGCAGCTTGTTCGTCAGACGGACCAGACTTCTCAAAGCTGGTAACGCATCGGTTCAGCGGTTTGGCTGATGCATCAAAAGCCTTTGAGATGGCTGGGAAGACGAAAGATGCAGATGGGAAGCTTGTCATTAAAGTCGTAATAGATAGTAGTGATGGAGCTGGCTCGAAGCTGTGAGAGCATAATATGTACATAAGTATCCGAGGCTCTATCAGCGGTTCACATACATCTTGTACACAGCCTCTGTCATCAGCTCGCCACGATTTGCCCATTCTGACAAGTTGTTCCAGGGGCCACGGAGCCCATCTGAGCCCATCCTCCTTGGTCACAGATATCAAAAGTCGTCCCGCCATTGGTACACTGCAGGGCGATGTCGCTGCTGCAGTCACCATCCGGTCGTGATCTAACATATCGATCATCTCTGTAGTATCCGGTCGGCGTCGTGGCTTGCTGAGCATATTGGGATTGCTGACCAGAGTACGGCGAGAGGTACGGCAAGCACTCCATACCCGCTGCGACATCTCGAGAGGATTCGTAGACATAGCTGCTTGGCGGCTGACCAGGGACTGTACCATCATTGTAGTTGCAAGTCAACCACATGGTGCTTGACGTGCATAAGAAAGTGGCTGGCACACATGGCAAGTATGTTTGCGGATCACCAGTAGCATATTGAGGTCGAGCGCCGGACTGACCAGAGCTCTGCTGGCTCTGCTGGCTTTGCATTGCGGAAACCGTTGATGAAGAGCTGCTCGACGGCGTCACTGAAGCTGGCGTTGACGCATATATTGGGCTCACGATCGACGTGACGACTACACTAGTAGTGCTATATGCTGGCATCGAGGTCGAGCGTGGAGACGATGATATGGACGATGATGGTGTGAATGTGACGGTAATAGTCGGCTGTGCAATTGCCATTGTAGACATTGTCGATAGCGTCGGCGAAGCAATGCATTGCCACTCGCACGCTCCGAGATACTGGCAGCCATAGGCTGGGGCACACGGGCATTGATCTGCGGTGGCAGTACATGCTGATGCTGGGGCCGTCACGGAAGCTGTATAGACAGATGGTGTGACGAGCACCGTGACTGTAGAGTCACAGTCGTCTTCGATGGTGATAGTCGTCGTAGATTGAGTCATGTTGGACATCTGTATGCTGCTGGTCGAGCTGATGAAGGCCGTCGTTGCAGTGTATCCACTTTGTAGACTTGATATAGTTGTGTAGAACGTACGGTTCTGGCCCGCAGCCACGTGAGTTCGGCCATAAGGTAGTGGGCTATCGCAGACACCCGGCGTGATCGGACTAGAGCCATTCATACCACCTGCATATTCAACAGCAGGTCCAGGGTGTGGATATACTACATTTTCCGCCTCAGTGGTTGTGCAATTGTTCACACCGTCAAGGTTGGCTTTCCATAGATATGGCAGAGTGTTGAAGCTGCTATATCTTCTACGATGCCTTCGGCTTGTGGAAGGCCTTGCATTAATTTGCACTGGCGCGCTGCATTCCATCAGATAATCATTACTCCTGCTTCGAAAATATCACTGACCAGTTCATGTAATACTCGCGGTTGCCTTCGTAATTCTGCCAAGTCCATGCAAGTAGAGCTTGTCCGGCTGGTACGTAGGACGGAATCGTGAAGTTGTATGTCGAGTTGAATGGACAGCCGCCGATCATGCTCTTGATTACTCGGAACGTCGCTGCATTATCGTAGGATAATGATAGCTGGCAAGATCCGCCGTCGTGCATCGCACTGCCAGCTAAAGACATGTTGTAGGTCGATCCGGGGTTATAGCTCGTCAGGAAAGCCGCGTCTCCGTCGTTTTGATATCCTTTGCAGGGGAAGTCCGATCCATCAGCCATGAGTGGGACCGTCATACTGTAATCGATGTCTGACGAGTTGTTCGAAGGATCGAACTTCGATCGGAAGGGATACGGCCAGCTCACCTCGATGTGACATAGTGCCGGAGAAAGGAGAAGAAAAATGCTGTACAGCCAGCAAGGCTTGATCGTGCTTTGAGTCATGATCCTCGTTATCCCGTGGAGAGCAGATGTGAATGGGTTGGTGAGGAAGCAAAGCGTGTATACTGTACCTAGTAATCTCCATTGCTATCTATGGTCTGGATGAGATAGATGGCTAGTCAATTTGCATTGCAAGAGGCACCGGAAGGCATGTATGAAGTGTGGCGGATGTGAAGTGGCTGCAGCACATTCCTCGCACTTGGCATCACATTCCTCTTCTCGCAGCCAACTTGGCAGGGCTTCCTGTGTGTCATCTAGCACTGTCGACTGCCTCGTTGACGTGTGATAGCGATGTGTGATAGCTCTGGCTTATGGTTCCAATGCAGCAAGCGGCTGACCAGGTGGACGGTGTGCATGCTACGACCACAGAAGGCGGTGGCTGATAGACGCGAACTCCCAGGAAAGTGGCGTAACTCATTAGACTGGGAGGGCATAATGCTTCGTCGGACCAGGCGATGAAGTGTGAGATGTGGAAAGAGACGAGAGGGACAATGAATTGGGTGAGATCATCGTTGGCAGCTCGTGTGGGGAAATTTAGGCTTCGGCTACAGACGCGTCTTCCACAGACACGCGTTTCTTCCAGGAAATCACTCCTTCCATCGCCAAGATGACTGGACCACAAGAGGACGACGCGGAGAAGGAGGGCAAGCTGAAAGCAGCCTTGTGGTACAGTGTAGGCCAGACTGTGGATGCTGTTGCAATATCCCAAGACCTCAACGCCACACCTCATTTTATTGGAGGTCTAAGTGAAATGTGCTGGGCTCAGATTGAGACGATTGCGCAGGATTTAGAAGCCTTCGCGAAGCATGCTGGACGCACGACGATCAACGCCGAAGATGTACTTCTGCTTGCCCGACGGAACGAGGGCCTGGCTTCGATCTTGCAAGCTGAAGCCAAGGCTGCGAAGGAGAAGGACGCCCGATGAGAGTTTTACGCGCTTGGGCTCGAGCGCTGGTGCAAACTGCCATGGAAGTCCATCTAGCATATGCCATTAAAGTGGTGCCTTGAAGCATCTATTGCTTGTCAGGGAATCCGAGGTTCACCTGGACATGGTAAGCAAATGCTGGAAGTCCTTGTTTAAGACCGTACTTACACCGAAGGCAGGGTACACGAAGCGCATCAAACCCTTCTTCTCATGAACTTTGTCGAGGGTCGCGAGGTCAGAAGAGTCCAGCTTGACAGTCTTGAGGTTCTCCTCGATGCGTGTCGATGTCACAGACTTTGGCAACACTGCATGGCCTCTCGACACTGCAACCTATCAGCACAGTTCAGCGACCACGAGTTGTCGAACACTCGCCTTGGTAGCTGATCAAGACAGTGCCCTCGCCCACACTATGCTTCTTCGCTACTTCCTGTACACCTTCCTCCTTGAACAGTGGACTTCCAGTACTGCCAAGTGGGCTGTACGCCTCAACCAAGATGCCCTTCTCCCGGCAGAAATTCGAGATCTCCTGCTGTGGTAGATATGGGTGGTTCTCGATCTGGTTTGCAGCTGGTGTGATTTCGCAATTTGGCAGCAGCTCCTCGAGGAACTTTACGCTGTAGTTGCTCACACCAATAGCCTTGGCCTTGCCAGTCTTCAGCAGCTTCTCCATCTCCTTCCATGTCTTTGGATGCGACCACTCAGTATCGAGATCTCTTGATCCATCCTCGTGCTTTGGAAATAGCGGATGATTGCCTTTCGAGCTCATAGGTACCGGCCAGTGCATGAGATACAAGTCCACATACTCCAGGCCCAATCTCTTCAGGCCCTCGTCCAAGCAGTCTTCCGGATTGCGGTGGTATGTACACCATAACTTGCTGGTCACGAAGATGTCCTCTCTTTTGCAGACGCCGGCATCGAGCGCTGCTATGATTCCTTCACCAACCTCACTCTCGTTGCCATACACGAAAGCACAGTCGATGTGACGATATCCAGACTTCAAGGCGTGCTCTACTGCTTTTGCGACCTGGCCTGGGTCACTCTGCCATGTTCCTAACCCGATAGCAGGAATCTTCGCGCCGGTGTTGAGTGTAAAGGTTGGGACGGACATTCTAGTGTTGCTGTTCCGATGGTCACTACAGGTTCTCTGCTATCATCTGGATCTAGAACTGGATGACTCTACTCTAACGACTATTGATATTTTGCCTGGCAGCTCGGTGTATCTCGCCCCGCCAACGTGGTTGTACCATCGGCGACTGGTAGAGGGGCAGGCGGAAAAGCGGAAAAGCGAAGGGTAAGCTATCGGCAAATGCTTTCATCGGCCACTTTTTGCAACTTCACATTTGCGGTCGATGATCTACCTCAACCATTCGGCTAGCGGACGATAACAGTGGATTGACCGCGGCGGACCGTTCTACCCAAATGAGGCGAATCCGCTGCGTATATTTACGACCTCTATAACATATTCTAGAAGCGTACGAATCACGGTGTGGATACTTGTCACGACGAAGCTGTACTTTCACTTCTTTGCTAGACATTGCATAGTCGACTCCCGGACAACAGACACAAAGCCGACGGACTCAAAGGATGGTTCGAAAGCTCAAAGTTGCGGTTTCTGGTCTTGGCCGCATGGGAGCCAGACATGCTAGGCATTTTCTAGAGCGTACACCGCGCGCAGAATTAGTTGCAGCATGCGATCCAGATCCCAAGGCCAGAGCATGGGCGAAGCAGTGTCTCGAGCCCTATGGAACCGTAATCTACGAAGACTTCGACGAAATGCTTAGACATCCAGGCTTAGAAGCGGTGGTCGTGTCCGGGATCACGTCTGAGCATGCACCACAGACGAGCAGAGCGATTGAGAAGGATCTGCACGTTCTGTGTGAGAAGCCCTTGAGTACAGATATTGCCACCTGTCAGCGTGTCGTGGACGCCGCGAAGCAGAAACCGCACCTCAAAGTCTTGTGTGGTTTCTCGCGCCGCTTCGATGCAAGCTACCGCGATGCCTGGAACCAGATCGACGCTGGTGACATCGGGAGAGCGACAGTCATCAGAAGTCAGACTTGTGACAAGTACCGCGACGATGACTACTTTGTACAATACGCGAAGCACTCCGGTGGCATCTTCGTGGATGCTAACGTCCACGATATCGATCTTACGTTATGGTACTTTGGTCAGGATAGCATCGTCAAGTCCGTCTCAGCCTTCGGAGTCGTGGCCCGCTACCCAGGTCTCAAGCAGTACGGCGATGTCGACAACGGCATAGCAGTGGTTGAATTTTGGGGCGGCCGTATCGCCTACTACTTCAGCTCTCGAATGATGATGGCTGGGCAGACCGACACAACCGAGGTCATCGGTACACACGGCAAGCTCATGATCAATGCCTCTCCCGCCAATAACTTGGTTGAGATGCACGAGCCTAATGGCATAAGGCGTGAGATTGCGCAGACGTATTACGATCGTTTCGAACAGGCTTTCGTGACCGAGAGTAACGAATTTACCGCCGCGGTGCTTGACAATACTAAGTTGCCATTTAAGCTTACTGGGGCCGTGCAGGCTGTCAAGATTGGTGCCGCCATGACAAAGAGTCTACGAACAGGAAAGAAGATCGACTTCGACGAGCTTGGCAACGAGATCGAGGAAGTGCAGAAGGCCAGACTATGAAAATCTTCTAGATCTATATCTGATCATGCGTGTGGTCTTCGAAGGTGTCTCTATATGCTCCGCGGAACATTCGTCGACGACGGTCAACGCATCGCCATTCCCACAGCAGCCAAATAGAGTCATTGTAAACTGGCACTCGGCATACCCTTCGCTCAGTCCTGCTTCACCAGTCTCACGGGCGGGACGTAATGATGCCTTCCACCAGCCCAGTAGTACACGAGCGCCAACAAGCAGGTTGCACCGAACATCAGTACCGCCCAATTCATGTCTGCTGCCCATGTCGGATCTCCAGCAATCGGTGCTTCCGGAAAGAAACTGAAGACAAAGCTGACAAGCAAGAAAGCTAGTGTCACGTCGTTTATCGGCCCGCCCCATCTTCCTAAACTCCAGCGACAATTGAGCAATGGCTCACGTCTCCAACGTTTGATCCGGATGCATAACACACTCGTGAAGTACGAGAAGATCTGCGCGCCATTTGATACCGATACGATTGCGTTAGAGGCAACAACCGAGCCAAAATTGATAGCTGCCAAGATGATGCTGACAACTGCCGTTACGTATATTGCATTGACAGGAAGCTCCCGCCTGGTGTTAACGCGCATGATCCAGGTACTGAACGGAAAGCCTCTGTCTCGAGCGAAGGCCCAGCATTGTCGCGAGGCAGTTGCGATGTTCGTGATTGTGCCGAAGAACTGGAGGATGCAAAGAACGGTGCCAAGTACGCATGCTGCGCTCAAGGAGCCGGTGATATTGTAGATGACTTGCAGCACCGATTGGGATGTGGGCGTGTCCAAGACACTACTGACTTTCGCGATGCAGAAGCTGCGGGAGGGTTTCGCGTCAATTTGTAACGTAGAGAATGATCATCGGGCCAGTACTCACCAGAACGTTATCACGGTCATGAGCCCAAGGATTCAGTTGAAGAACATCGCGCCCACCATTGCTCTCGGCAGAGTGAGCGAGGCATCTGCCCTTTGTCAGTCGAAGTCACATATCAACGGCAGACTCATCGCTATCGTTTCACTTCGCCTGTATCACATTTCACGCATCAAGAGCAACGCCCACGCCGCCGCCAACGACTCCTCCGACATCGTCCTCCTCGCCACCACCCTCCCGCAGATATTCATGCAAGTCGAGGTGCACTACAACATCATCGCCGCCACGATCCCATGTCTTCGCATCTTCCTTAAATCATTCCACTCCGGATATCCCGGCGGCAGAGCTCTCGACGACTCAAAAGCGTATGTTCTGCGGTCGGCAACCGGGCTTGCGACGAAGGGCAGCGGTGCAGAAAACGATGGAAGACTTTGTGTGAACGTGACCACGAGTGTGGAGCTGCAGAGGTTCAATGTAAGGGACATGCAAAGAAGTAAAAGGGGGCCGAGTAGTGATGCTGCTAGTGATGCTTCCGAGATGCCTTTGTACGACACTGTGGCGACTACGACTATCTGTAGCCCTGAACGTAGCCGATAATCATGTCGGCTCTCGATCTTATGACGGTTGGTCATTTCTTGTGATGCTCGCCGGCCGCTCGCCACGCAGTCTAACGGCTGTAGCGTTCGCTTCCTGCAGAAACATTTTCTTCTTACGCTTTGGAAACAGTGTGAGCTTCCCAATGACGCCACGATTAACCATTCTGTCCACGAGTCGAAGAAGCTCGACTCGTTCCCACGTGTCCTCGTGGTAGGTTGGATTGTTGCTTCGCAACTGTCGGAGAACTTTAGCAGTACCGAAGATACCGGGCTTCAGGTTATGCGAGGGAGGGCCATCAGGTATGCTGATGAGCTGTGGTACTGGCTGTTGTGGATATGGAGGTTTTGCGGTGACGTGCAGTGGAGGCACTGGCAGGAGTATAGTTGTTGAGCCATGCGGGTGGTTGATGCTTGCAGCGCCAGTACAGCTTGAGCAGCATGAAGAGGTGTCCTTTGTGCGAAATGATTGTGCTGGATCGTAATAATCCGCTGCTGCACCTTCCTGCTGCACCGGATCATGGGCGCGTGTGTTCATGCTAGATGAACCATGAGACCTGTGAGCAGTGGAATGTGCATTAGATGTGGCGGCCTCTGGAACATGCGGTCGAGGGGGTCGCTGCTCATATAAGCTGCATTCTGATCTTCCGACTTCTCGTACATTTAGCTCATGTTGGTAGCTCTCTTCGTCGTCGTGATATCGCTGGCGTAGACCGTCTTTGCCAGGCTCGTGGGGTTCACCGTCCTGGTCTTCAGATTTAGGGGCATGTGGCGTAGGGTGACAACCAGCGGCCACTTGATGGGCGTGTGAAGCCGCAGTACTCACTTTTGATCGACTCGTGGTTCGTGAACGAACAGATGGGTCTATATGGCTCGACGCTGCGTACCTCTCCGTAGCTACCTCACAGGCGTGGTGAGAGCCAAGCTGACTGCGAACATTATGTGTCTGTGGGAGTCCTGGCGATGAAAGGTGGCACCCTGGCTGATCAAAGGTCTCGCTTAGATGTGTCATGGTGGTGAGTCGGGATTCGCTGCTCGACAATGGCACTTGGTAGGAATGTACAGGATGAATTCGCGCAAGTTATCGTGCATAATGGCGAGTAGTGCTCAAGGTACGTTAATGCTACTCTTATCTTGTTTTGTGATGTGGCCCCCAGTGGCAGCGCAGTGTTCAATGTGGTAGACAAAGGATCTTGAATCAGAGAGAAGCCGCTGTTCACTACGGCATACCATACCATATCGTGTTCGCTCCGGGGCGTTGCTCGTGTCTCTTTCATGACTATCTCTGGTTGGTGTTACTGTGGTCGACGTCTGATGGGGCCAAATTGCAATAGACATTCTGTAGCATGCAGCCCTGATGGAAATATAGTTCCTTGGTAGCAGGCGGTCCTTGGTGGCCATCATTATGGCTAAACATCTCGTAAACAATGTAGTCCTTGTTGTTCACCCGAGCTGAAATGGAAAGACTAGTCGGCGTCTTCGAAGACACTCATATACCGCGTGAGTTTCTGCAAGAGTACTATTGCCAATGTCTTGGTGGAGCTGTCAACATCGTATATTATATGACCTGTTGAGGAGATGGAATATGGTGAGCTTCGGAAGCTCATCGATTGGTGCGATACGAGACGACACGTGCGAGCCATACTACTGTAGACTATAGTCGGTGAGCTCAACATCACTTCCAGATATTGTCCGTCTCTTCTCTTGCATGCACTAGTCGATATATCCATCTCCGGCTTGGTTCCTTTTACTGTTTCTTTTGTGGATCGCAGACAAGATGAATGGCACCGCGGTGGAGTCCTCAACAGGTGGCGAATACAGGCCACCAACACATAGGCATCGATCAAGCACAACAGGGTCGAAGAACTATGCGTATGCTCGAGTAAGTCATCTTCTCCTATACCACCGGCTCAGGATCCCCCTCAAGGAGAAGGATGTCCGGATGGCCTGACCGTACGGTACCTGAGGATCGTACCTGCTGCTGCACCACATCGTCCCGGTTCTCGCCGAGTCCTCGGTCCGCGCACCTTCTTGTGCAACGTCACTGTTTGGGAATGGAAGCACGAGACACTCCACCACAACGCTTTCCTCACGCCCCGCACTAGGTACATTGTCGAGCAGCTGCTGTACAGTAACAATATTGGCTGCTGCAGATCCGTCGGACTTTTCAAGCACTCCTCTAGGCCTGTCCACTTCATTTGGATCGTGGTTAGCGGCGGCATAGCATATGCAGTTCGGCTACCATCAGCTGTAATATTTTGGCTTGGATGAGCTTCCCTTTGGGTTTCGATCTCCCTACACTTGGTGTGCACCTGCTTCTACTCTCAGGATCGAGACGTGCCAAGACTACGCCAGTACTTCTGCATGAGCTTGCTAGGAAAGCAGCGACCAGTTCAGCTTTCGCCAGAGCAATATCCCCCCCCCATCTTATACACTCTACCACAACACCACGGCGACTATTCTGGGTGATCACCAACCTTCGCTTCGCACAACATCATATCCGACTTAAACTCATACCATGCCTTCAGCACTCCCGCCATCCGACACGACCAACGGAGCCGACCACACCGACGGACAGGACAATGGACAAACGGCCAATGGCCAGTACATGCCACAGCTCAACCGAGCACCAGCAGGGGACTTCATGCGGCCAGCAGCACGATCACGGGTTGGCTCGAATTCAAAGACTAATGGTGTTGGCGTGCAGGTTGAGGAGACACGGATATGTGTGGTCATGGTGGGGCTGCCCGCGAGAGGCAAGAGTCTCATAGCACAGAAAGGTAAGTCGGCAGCATTTGAGTAGCCATATGGCAGAGCGAGAGATTGTGGAGGCGAAAATGAAGAAGTAACGCTGACACTCTCTCTACAAAGTCGTCCGCTACCTCGACTGGCTTAGTATAACAGCGAAATGCTTCAATGTCGGCTCCTATCGCCGCACTGGCACACCACACCCCTCAGCTTCCTTTTTTGACTTCTCTAACAAAGAGGGTGAGCGTTTACGACGAGCTGCTGCCGAAGCTGCTGTGGTCGACATGTGCAAATGGTTCCGCAAGCCAGACAACCTGATCGCGATCCTCGATGCAACGAACAGCACAAAATCCCGTCGAAGATGGATCAAAGAGCGCTGCGATGCGGAAGGGATCGAAACACTGTTCGTGGAGAGCAAGTGCGACGACGAAGAATTGATCATGGCCAATATCAAGGAGGTGAAGACTACTTCTCCAGATTACGTCGGACAAGATCCAGAAGAGGCAGCGAAAGACTTCAGAGAGCGCATAAAGATGTACGAGCGGGTCTACGAGACGCTGGACGAGGATGAGACGGACTTAACATATTGCAAGATCATTGATGTGGGCAGTCAGGTCATCATCAATCGGATACAGGACTATCTGCAGAGTCGAGTGGTGTACTATCTGATGAACCTCCACATCAAGCCTAGGAGTATCTGGATAAGTCGGGTGAGGGATGCTCATCACCCGAGATCGATGGACGAAGCTAACAATATTGGTGTAGCATGGTGAATCGATGTACAACCTCTCCGGCCAAATAGGCGGCGACGCCGACCTCTCGGCGCGAGGCCAGCAATACGCCAAACTTCTCCCAAGCCTTGTCTCGAAATCCGCCGGCGACCGTCCCCTGACCGTCTGGACCTCGACCCTAAAACGTACAGGCCAAACAGCCCGCTACCTACCCTACGAGAAACTGTCCTGGAAAGCCCTAGACGAGCTCGACTCGGGTGTATGCGATTCAATGACCTACGCGGAAATCGAAGAAGCCTACCCGCAAGACTTCAAAGCCCGCGACGAAGACAAATACAACTACCGCTACCTCGGCGGCGAAAGCTACCGCGACGTCGTTATCCGCCTCGAACCCATCATCATGGAGCTCGAGCGCAGCGAGAACATCCTCATCGTCACCCACCAAGCTGTCCTGCGATGTATATACGCTTACTTCATGGGTGTGAGTCAGGAGCAGAGTCCTTGGATGGAAGTACCGTTGCATTGTCTGATCAAGTTGACGCCGAGGGCGTATAAGACCGAGGAGGAAAGGTTTCATGCTGATGTGCCGGCTGTGAGTACGTGGCGGGAGAAGGGAAGTAAAGCTGAGCATTCGGTGCCTACGCCGGGGCAGGTGTCTAGTCCTGTTCTGCAAGGGGTGGAAAAGGAGAGTGCGCAAGTGACGATCTCGTAGGCTGAGATGCAGCTTCGACGGGCCGTGAGCTGTTGCGGCCCTCCGTGACGAGTGGGAGATTTTGGGGGTTGTGGATCTTAGGAAGTTGATCTTGGCGGAGCATAGCATTGGCGCTGGCGCTAGAACCGAAAAGCATAAGATGCGCTGGATGGGCATCTCACAGCCAGAGATTGCGGCTGTTTGCTTGAGAGGGCTTCGGTGAGTCTCGCACCTCATGCTTGCTTCGAGATCCGATTGTACGTATGAGTGCGTACCGAATATTTGTTCCCAATGACTTCTGTTTGTAGTGACTCCTCTCCCATACTGCCTCGTGGCAGATCAGGTGGATCAGAAGACATCAGGAGACGACCGTATATCAGTACCAGTGACCGTGGAGGAAGTTCGAAGGTGGTAGTGACCATAAGCTCAATATCTCTTCTTTACTATGGTATAACACGACCTCAAAGCTGCCGCAAGGTTCTGGCTACGATTTGCTTCCTTTCTTTCCGTTACACATTAACGTTCTCAAGCATTAATGCTTCGCCTTCATCGTTGATGATGCCTTTCTCAAACTCACAACGCCAAACGCATACCATTGACATCAAGAAGGCAACATCTGACCTCCTCTTCTCCACCAAGGAAGTGATCTCCGCTGCTATTTTCCCTCGTAGTCTTTGTCGGCAAGGTCTTCGAGGTTATCTTTACCATCGTCGTCGCTACAGCTATCATCGCCGCGACTCTTTTCTGCTTGGGCTCGGCATTGCTCAGGTACTGTATAGCATGACTCGATACGATGGAGATCATAATGATGACAACGGATCTAAGACCTCGACATCTTCCCTACTTCGGATCATCGCACTGGCTGCCCGCTCTCTAAGGACCAACAGTGTCCGCGAAGATGGAGCTGATGCCCTCAAGACCCTTCGTGAGGCACGCAGTCTTACCAGACCGTGGCTACGAGACGTCAAGGCAAAACAAGCAGAGGGCAGACGGGGACTGCGAGCTTCTTTGCTGAATAAGACGTACGATAAAGTGCGTGACTTCTACGACGAGGCTGGAGAAGAGATCGAGAGGTTGAAGCGGAAAGACCGGAAGAAGCACAGGAAGCATCGACACAAGCATCGACACGGGAGTCGAGACCATTCTGACTCTACTGATGATGATCACAAGAAGAGACTAAGCTCCAGTCGAGATCCGACGGAATTTCATGGACGGAGGGAGCCATACCAAGCACCACCGCCGCCTGCGTTCCGAGCCATACCGCTTGACCAGCCTGCTATCGATAGATCATCTACACAAATCAATCAGCCGCAGCCAATGCTCGAGCAGATGAATGAGGACGAAGGAACGAGGCCAACGGGAATGACTGAGCGACAACGAAGAGAAGCGTCTAACAGGACAGGGAGCTTGAGCTCACCTAGAAGTCCTGGTCCAGAACTAAGCAGGCCTTCTCGACACAACAAAGAGCAGAAGAGGGATACGAGCTCGAGCTCGAAACCGTCGACATTGTCGTCCTGGAGGACAAGTTCTTGTGGCCCGTCGCATAGGACTTTGAAGCCTACAAGTCCTACGCAGACTCTACATCGGACCACGCTACCAGTACGAGAGCCAGTTGGTGATCCGCCTAGAATACTACCTTCTGTCAAGGTATCTGCGACTTCGCGCCCGCTACCAGTACCGCAACAAAGCCCACAGGCATACCACCAGCCCACGCAGTTTCCTGCTGGAGCCCAATGGCCGCAGTATGGCTTTGCAGGCCCAGGGCCGTCGGCGTCCAATGTGCCGCACAATCAAGCTAATGGCCCACCGCAACCTCAAGCTTGGCAGCAAGTTCAGGGTCAAGGTGCAGACATGGCTGGTACAGCAGGCACAGCGGCATCCACGAATCGCCAGCGATATGGCGAACAGTCTGATGCAGGAGGTCCGCCGCATAGTCGTGGTCTGGCGCCGGCTGAAGGAAATCCTCCTCCGGGAGCTCGTTCAGCTTCTGGTAGCTCTGCGGGACATGCACGAGGCTATCGTCCAGGACCAAGCCAACCATTGCATTTCCCGCAGCCTGTTCATGGAGGAGCCGTCAAGCCCGCCTCTACAATGCAAAACAACATAGACGCACCAGCAGCGAGCGAGCCTGCTGCGACTACTCCCCGATCTGCCACCCTGGATCCCTTACTATGCCCAGGTGCCGAGACAAATCCAGCTTATGCCTGGAGGCCAAGTCAATCAGGCCTCGCTCCCAATGACGATGGCCGCTCCTCGAGAACAACAAGGCCTCCTTCATTGGCGTCATGGGCGGACAGTTTGAGCACATTGACGCTCGACGATGCGTCGCACTATTTCAGCCGGCAGCATCGACGTGCAAAGGGCACTGACGAGCAGTTTCCAGAACCACAAATCACTCGTGCTCGGCCGGACGGTGGATACACTGATTCTCAGGCTTCTGACAATGCCGAGAAGCCCCGATTTCAAGGCTGGATGGCACATGATGAGCAAGCTGGGAGTCAGAAATCACCCGGGCTCTCGAGAGAAGATCACGCTGATGCATCGGAAGCCGGCTCCTCGTGGGAGTCAAGTAGCTCGTCTGGATCGCACTCGTCGACGAGTACGAGCAGCTCGGAGGGGGATCCATCTTCTAGTAGTCGAACTGCGGTACGTCCTTGGTCCGCTCAGCAGGCCCCGCCACAAGCAGATCAGGGTGAAGCAGCGCAGGGAAGTCGTCCCGCACCAACTTTCAGAAGCTTCTACTCACCTTCGGCAAATCCTTGTAGTCGGGTAGGTGTGCCACGAGGTAGTGGAAGACCGGAAAATGCTCCGCCACAGGCACATCAACAGCCTTACGTGCCTTTGATGAGAGCTTCAATTTACGCACAAAGTCAGCGAGCTGGCCAAAGTGCCACAAGCTACGGCACTCGTGGTTCACAGGCAGGAGTATCGCCTGCCCATCAGCAGCGCAGTGCAGCAGGGATAAGTCCTACGTTAGCTCGACAGCCCGCCGGTCACCCAGTACCACCTGGAAGCGTTGTGCCTCCAGGCCATGCCACAGGTCCAGCAGTTGCAGCGTCGGCCAACACCGCAGTGCCCTCGTTCCATGCCAGTGCTGCCCAGCCAGTAGCTGACCAAGTCAACCCATCGTCCTCACAACGTCTGTCAGCACAAAATGCTAGCAGTAAGGTTAGCACGGTTGACATGGGATTCGTCCGACCAGTGCTGAAGAAAAAGTGCCACCACGAGGGCAGTCAGGTGCCCACTGTCTGCGACTCGGTGGCTAGTAACCAGGACTCAAGTATTGAGCAGAGTCTCGGCGACGAGGATGATGAAGATGAAGACGATGCTGTACACGACGAGCATCGCGAGTAAACGCGAAACAACAAGAGCTTCCACTGTTGACAGTGCGCTTGCTGCCAAAGGCTGGGTCATGATCTAGCAGCGATGATAGCGTAACAAATGATCGGAACAAGCATGAACGATGTGAACGAGAGCAGAGCTATACATCTACTCACAGTAGCTAGCTGACATGACCTACATCACTCACTACAGAACTTGTCAGCACGTGACCGGTGGCGGAACTAGCAGCCAACAAGTGAAGTGATGTGATGTGGTGTGCGTTGGAGTATTTGATGGCGGCTTTCATGTGCTGCATCAATCAGCAGTACTCGATAATCTCGCATCAAATCATGTCATTGTCCTGTAGAAGCGTAATATCTTCTATGTACACCGAGCGCCAACCGAACGCAAATCCATCATCTTGCGTGAGCATGATTTATGCGCTAATCACAGTTACTGACTGTTTTGGACGAAGTGTCAAGGACCATCCAAAATAAACGCTAGAGATTGTAGTGGTCGGGGTGGGTATTTGTGCCGGGGTGGGAAAGAGGAAATGAGTAGACTTACTACAACGACAAGGTCAGATCGCCACGGATGCTGGCCTTCAACTCAATCTCGATGTCCAGATTTGCTTCAAGGGTGAGTTTGAGGCCGTCTGCGTCTGCCAGGCCACCGGGTCCCTATCACACTTTTGTCAGCATGGGAACCATCACCACTCCCGACCCCAAGGGCCAAGGTATCAGAGGAACATACACTCTTGGCCGGTTCTTCCGGCGTCAAGAAGTAAGGCTGCTGCCCATTCACCCCTCTGACTGGAATCTCGCCCCTCTTGGCCCTGGCCATCGTAACAGGCCCATCCATACTCGTACTATCCGGTCCAATACGTTCGAATGGCTGCATCATCCCCATTTCCCCATTCGCATCGGCCTCCTCTAGGGCCTCTAGTTTATTCGTGTGCATGTACTTGCCATCCCGCTGCGCAGTCTCGATCCGCTTTCGTCGTGCTTTCCGCGACTGGGAACGAGAGTGATTGGATTGGCCGCCTTCGTCGCGGGTTTTCTTGGCGATGAAATTGTCTTGCTTTTCCTGTTGTTCGATTGTTCGTTGATTTGTTGGGTTTTGGAGGTCTTGGGAGTCGGTGGGGATGTCGGGTTGTTCGATGTATTTCCTTTGGGTTACCATAGTTGCGGTTGCGCCTCAGGCGAGGTTCCAGTACCGTGGATGGTAGTCGTCGTAGATAGTCCAGATGTTTGATAAGGAGGATTACTAAAGCATACCAGGTGATGAGTTGAGGTAAGATGGTTCTGTAGTGAGCTACCAGAATATCTCACCAGAGGAACAGCACGCTCATCAGAGTTCAGCTACCACCACAGACAGGAAAGGCCTCCGGGTCATGGCTCCGCGATGCACGAAACCTGCTTCTCACCGAAGGCATCTCTTCCCGATCCAGACGACACTCTTGGACAATCCCTGTCCTACCCACACCTTGCGCCACATCTATGTCATCATGCAAGCACTTTAGCTCTCCGGAAGAAACGTGGGGCGGAGAATTACTCGCTCTGAGCGTTGGCTAAGGTTCGCCTAAGGAGGATTCTGAAGCACGCGAGTGAACCCAATGCAGGCTGGCAGAAGTTGGCAGAGTGACATGAGATCAGGCTGTATACTGGTACAGGTGGAGACTTGGGTGGTCAAGTAGGGTGGTTGGGGATCCGGTGAATCGAGGTTTGGGACGCTCGTGCTGGACATGAAGATGAACGTGTTGAGAAATGCCAGTTGCGAGAAGTCGTAGTGCATGAGAGGTATGTGAGAAGACGAAATTTCCTCTCGAAATTATGCGATTATGAGGTACAGAAGATCATTGTGAAGATGCTGTATTTTAAGTATGATGGAAATCGCATTGATTGATAGCACAACATTGCCACATGTATATCGTTTCCATCACATTCCGTCTAGTTAAGCAGACCAAGAGTAAGATCACCGTGGATCTTCGCCTTCAATTGAATCTCAATATCCAAGTTCAGCTCCAGTCTCAGACGCAGCTGCTCCCCACCACCTTCCTCCTCCTCGCCACCCTTCTCTCCCTGTCCTCCAGTCAGACCACCCAAAGCCTTACCAGCCGTATCACCAACCTGGTTCACTGCATCACCAGCAGTGTTCTGCACCATGTCGCCAGCCTGACCAACCATCTCTCCACCAGGAACGTTCTCAGTGATGTCGTCTAGCGGTCCGCCCTTACCACCTTGCTGTTTCTTCTGGCGTTGACGTTGGCGACGTCCACCGGAAGCAGACACATCACTGCGAGCTACGGACTCGCTGTCGGAGTCCTGCTGCTTCGTGCCCTTGCCACCCCGACCACGGGATTGGCGTCGTCGAGATTGCTGTCGCGACTGCGACTGTTCCTTCTGTTCCTCCATCTGCGGCTCAGCTTCCGCGTCTGCGTCTGCACCAGCTTCTGCTGCGGCACTGGCCTCTGCTTCACCTTCCGCTTCGTCGTTGGTAGCGTCGGGAGTAGGTTGCTGTTTAGCCTCAGGCTTCTTACCGCCCAGTTTCTTAGGAGTCTTCTTCTCCTTGGTTTGTTTTGCCGACGCTTCGCCCTTTGCACTCGCACCAGCGTTGATGCCGCCTTCTGCGTTGCCGGAGACTTGTTGTTCGCTTTCTTGTTTCTCGGACATGTTCTTTAGGAAGCAGTACTTGTAAGGAGAAGACTCGTGAGTCGGAAGATAGATCGAAGTCAGTAGGGTCCAAAGCGGATACTTCGCTTATCAATGATGTAAAAGTGCTAGCCAAGCAAGAAACGGGGAATTCTTTGACAGTGGACGACGCACAGGCACATGAGACGGACGTAATGCCGTGTTGGATCCTTGCTTGATGCAATCGATATCAAACCGGTTTCGTGCTGCTAGTGGGGAGCACAGCCACAGCTGACAAGGATATGCCTTCTTTCCATCGCGCGGAGCTCATTGCGTCTCGGATCTCTAGCCGGGGGGGGCCGGTGACGACGGAGAACGTCGGATATTGGGAATGGCTGGGAAGAGACGCAAGCCAATTCATTCTTCTTGAGCTGGGAGATCGTGATTTTGCAGCCAGTCAGATCGTGAGAGTATCCTTCGCTTGTGCTCGCTTTGTCGGCCCCTCTTCCGACGTTTTCACGCGTGCTGAGCATCGAGATGTGCCTCAGACATTCACCGCAAGTCGTCGATTTCTTGTCTGCTTATTATGTCGCCGACAAGGTGACTTTCCACCTGCATCCACGGTCGATGCATCGCAAAGAGTATCCCATAGACAATCCCATGTAGTCAAAGTAAATCTGCAGCAAACATGTAAGCAGCAGATCGTCGAATTGATAAGCCACAGAAGCAAGCGCCACATTATTTTCTTCATGATTCATGGTCGAACATTCACCTTGTGACAAGAGCATTTCCAACAACAACGACTGAGCATAAGGTCCATATACATCAAGGCACAATAGGAAGGCACGAGCCAAAGCATCGTCATCGCCCAATATGGCGGACGAGACAGCGAAAGAGAACGCCACCAAGGCCAGGATAATAAACCACATGAATGCCGACCATCACGACTCCGTATGTCATGGAGCTCAACCGCAGCACGCACGTACTCTACTGACATCTCCCAGCTCGTCCGCTACGCACAACACTACCTCCACGTTTCTCCCTGGACAGCCCACAACACCACAATGTCCGGCGTGGACCTCCAAGGCCTGACTCTGATCACCTCCGGCAAAACCCACCGAGTCCCTTTCTCCCCTCCGCTCACCTCACTCGGTGAAGTACGCGAGCGAGTAGTAATCATGGACCGCGAAGCCGTCACCGCCCTCAAACGCTCCGATATCACTGTGAAAGAATACCTCCCACCCACTGGCCTCTGGTCTTTTCCCGCTGCCGCAATCTGCTTTGCCTTCCTAGCTTTTGCGTCGCGGAAATGGTATACTCCCGGTTCTTACACGCACGCCTATCTTCTTAGGATCGTGGGAGATGACTTCACGAGGTTCCTGTTCCTGGCGCAGCCTTATATCCTGGCGTTCATGCTTTTCATGCATACGAGTGAGATGCTGTATTTTATGCAGTATAAATTGATCAAGCACAACGTTAGCCCGAGGACGCAGTTGTTCTGGGATTGGACGGCGAGTGCATTCATTGAGGGCGGATTCGCGTTCTGGAGATTTAATGATCATGTTCGGGGATTGGAGGAGGAGAAGGCTAAGAAGAAGCATTGAGCTTGAGGATGTAGATGAGGAAGCCTTGGGGTGGTCGTATCCACTAGGGCATACGAAAGCTGTTGGATTGTGCATACGTACGCGGTTATCTGTACAGCTAGATATTACACGGAGACTTGACCTCCAATATTTACAGACAGTGCAATATGTCCTGCAGCAGAATACTTCGCCGCCTCTCCTCAGTCGACACTTTGCTCGAGCTCGGTCCAGCATCGCCGTCGTTGAGAAGGGTCTCAATGGACATCCTCTGCCGTCCTAAATCGCATGTTGTCGCCAATGCCACAGGCCCCACTGTGGGACTGATGAGTGGCGAGAAGTCCGGAGCAGTGGCCGCGAAGCTCGCGTTATGCGTACAAAACTTCGTATCGAGCCTCAGCCCATGTCCATTACCATTCGTTGCCATGACCAAGGACAGCCTTCGATTTCGCAGATCAGCCAAAGGCTCCTCATCACTACTCTCGACATAGCGACCTTCCGGATCTTGACCCGTGCAGTCCACGAAAGCCAATACTCTCCTCTTCTTCGCGCTGCTAGGACCAGCGTCATCAGCGTCATCGTCTATAAGTCTCGCCTCCTCATCAGCCTGTGTGATATCCTGAAAAGTGATCCTCCTCCGCACTATTTCTTTCTCCGTCTCTTTCCACACTTTCTTCAGCTTTGTGTAGTCTTGTATCACGCGCTGCTTCTTTTTCCCCTTCTCAGCCATATTGTTCTTGACTTGCTGGGAATCATCTTGCTTTGCATCAGCTCGTACAGATACGAATGTATTGGCCACAGTCTCTTTCCAGCTGTCTCTACCCCAGAGCTGGTGTGGTACTTCAAGCGAAGCCATCTGCCCATATCCTTCCTTCTCATGCGGCTGAATATCTAACAGCTCTGCACTCTGAATGATCGCTCGCATCCCACCATCGTCTTCCAGCACCTTCGCGTCCAAGTGCTCGCTTCTCGTCATGCTTCTCGAGCGTTCAAGCATCTTCTCCTCAATCGTACCCTTGAGAACCAATGTCTCCACAACAACTTTTCTCGTCTGTCCAATGCGATGTGCACGCTTTATCGCCTGTGCCTCAATCCCCGGCCGACAGACTGGGTTCACAAAGTATATCCTACTTGCGGAGCTCAAGTTGAGGCCGAAGGCGGCTTGCTTGACATCCATGAGTAGGACTCGATCTTGCTGCTCCTGGTCGAAGCGAACGACATATTCAGACTTCAGAGAAGCGGCCAAAGACTTGGCGTAGATCTCGTGCTTGATATGCAAGAGTTCGAGGGCTTGGGCGATGTAGTAGGCTATGTTGTCTCCCTCGTAGAATACCAAGATCTTCTCGTTTTCGTGATACTTTGAAATCTGGGAAATGAGATAGCTTAGCTTGGCGGAGGTTGTCCCAACGATGCTGCTTTGAAGATATGGAGAGTCTGAGGCAAACTGTATTTCCTCGAGTTCGGAGCGACGACGTTTGCGCTTCGGGGTCTCCGCTTTGCTGCTAGATGAGGCTCCAGCTAATGAGTCGTCGATTGTAGCGACGTCGAAATTGGCGGGTAATGACATCGTACGCTTCGGTTTCTTCCCATACTGCGGCTTGGTGACCTTGAAAGCTCGTTGAGACTTCTTCGGCGAAATTTTACTACCAGATATGCGCCTCTTGAGCACTGGCTCACCATCAAGACTCGATGTAGGTATACCAGCCTTTGTAAGCAATGGCTTAACAGCTTTACTCATCGTCTCATCTTCCATCTTGATTGAGCCATGCTTTGCAGGTGCACAAACTTTGATTCCAACACCACCGAGACCTTCGCCAGGATCTTGTAGCCCAGCTCGTTCATTGACATGCTTTTGTGCCCCAAGCAATTGCGAGATACCTGTCAGCAATGGCGAAATGGGCTTGTCGAACTTCCAGTGATCGGCACTATTCAAAGGCCAGCCGTTGACGAATAAGCCCAGCTCATGTGATCGACTCATGGACTTCCAGCCCTTCGAGGAAAGAACAAGTCTAGCACTCTCCAGCATGGTGGTCAGCAGTTGACGATCTGCATCCTTACAACTTGTCCCTTCCTTCGCTAGATAGCGTTCGCTGTTTTCCAAACTTGCTCGAACGTCCGCTTCGCTAAAGCCAGACCAGAAAAATGCGCTCTGTCGTAGATTTGAGATGAGCTGATATCGAGGCTTAGCACTCTTTTTGTGGAAGAGATAGTCTTCATCTGTGCGCTCGGACGTGATAGCATTGGCCGTCAGGACCAAGGTGAAAAGATTCACCGTAAGCTTATCGTAGAACGATGGCTCCAGACGAATGATCTCGTGGCGGAGCGGTGGAAGCTCTATATCTCTCTCCACATCTTCGGGCTGAGTCTTGACGACCATAGCCTCGAGTGTTCGTCTTAAACAAGTCGAGAACCCACAGTACGTTCTTCTGCGAGCATCTTCGTGACGATAGATATAATCATCCCACTCTGCTTCCTTGCGCTCGCCAATACTCAGCGCATACCATGGTCTAATCTTGAGAAAGCTGGAGGCGAGTGCGCCAAGACTCTTGATCGCACCTGCAGTGTCTTCCTTGTGGTTGAAAGTGCTTCTCTGCTCAAGCAGGGCTTCGCGACAATCTTTGTCTCCTGACCACATCTCGGTTGAAGATATGTCTACTTCGACACCGAGTAGATCTTTAGCAGGTGTACCACTGACTACCCAGCGATGATCAGCTATCACGAGCTTGTTAGCCACAGTGACCGCAGTATTGTTGTTATTGGAGAAGAAATGTCCTTCGTCGATAACTAAGCGTTTGAAGTGCAAGTGCTTGAGCGGCGAGTCGTATAAGTCGTCGTTCCGAATGCAGTGGCAGTCTCGAGTGCGCGTCGCACCGATGTATGGGCAACGACATACAAGCTGTGTAGCGAGGATGCGCCGACCCTGCTCGTCGGAGCCGTCCCTGATTTCTAGCTCGAATCTGTTGCGACTGAAGAGTACCACATCGTAGGTTCGGAGCTCTTCAGGTAGTGGCAAAGCACGCTTGAGATCCTCCATCACCAATACCTTCAAAGCGTTCTCACCTATGTGCTTCTGCAATTCAGACTGCCATTGCTTGCACAGATTACGCGGTACGACGATGATTGTGGTGGCAGCTAGCGTGATCTTCTTTGGCGGAGGTAAGATAGTCTTCCTGTTCCATCGCTGCGGCTCTTGCGGTATCTCATACATTGGTGGTGAGCGCTCGAGCTTGGCAATGCAACTACTCATCTCGTTGCCATCGGCATGCTTGATTCGTGCGAACTCAACTTTCCATGGGATAGACTTCCTGTTAATGTTCGATACTGCCATATCTGACAACGAGCCGACTTTTCGCCGGACAGGAGTGTTGGCGTACGCAGGCGGAATCCTTGGCAAATGATCTTTCGTCGCCAGTGTCAGAGCCAGGAGTATGACCGTCTTGCCAAGACCCATCGTCTCTGCAAGTATGCCGCCTTTGCATGTCTCGAAGTATCGTGGTTGCCGCAGAAATAGTGGCTCTTTGGCACCATAGTAATAGGTGGAGCCATCAGGAGCGACGCGCTGCTCCAGGCGAGGATCAAGATCGAGTCGTGGTGCGGCTTCACGTTGCAGCATCAGCCCTGCTGATCGTCGTTGGTACGGATACAACACAGTCTTGAGGCCAGGCAAGATTGAGGCAGGATCCAGAAGGTCTTCGAGCGCCTCTTTGGCGTAATGCTCAGTGACGGCATCGCTCGACGGGTCTGGCGATGACAGCTTGTTGAACATGTAAAACAGTGAACCTTCGTCTCTCGTGGCCCACGGGTCGAACTTGTGCTGACCACTGCGGCCACCTTTGCCATGCCAGGTCTCAGGACTGACATCAACTTCGGGCAGTATACTTTGGAGTGCTGCCCATAGTTTGCTGTCGCGCCGATCCACGAAGCGATGTCCAGCATCGTACGGGAGCACGTACAAGCGCAATATCAGTACATCCACATCGTCATCAGAGCATCTTAGTTGGACCCGGAGCCAATGAGCCTCCATCAACCTGACATATTCGGGCGCCAGAAATGCACCAAGAGCAGGGAAAGAGAGATCGTCAAGCTCTTGCCACTCCTCCGTGGCGTCCCCTCGATCGCACGAGCCAGATGCGTATATGACTATACAACCAAGGGCCAAGTAGTTGCGCAGGTCGCCTACAAACGCGATGGTATCGGTTGAACGTTGTGTATTGCCGCGCGACCTCGACCACGTTGCATGTGTGCCATGCGATCCAGGGGAGGTACCAGGAGTACTCGCTTGAAGGTCAAGGCTGGAGTGATGCGAGGATGATCGCTGCGTACTGACAGACGGTGTTGGAGAATTGATGTCCATCTTGTTACTCGAACAAGCTGCTTGGGAATCACATCCTCGGAATACGAGTCGTCGATAACTGTCGTCTAGCCTGGTGGCGAGCAGCTGTCCTGATGAGCATAGCCGAGTCCACGGTTTCTGGCAGATGGCTTATGATCTGCTAACGACGCACACGATATTGTTATACCAAACAAAGTCGTCGTAATGCACATGTCCGAGTTCAGGTCATATCACAGGCCTCACACGAACGTACAGTCCACAGGTCGCATGTAGTAGTTTCGGGAGGCAGCAGCTCATACCGAACTTTCATGCATGCATGCCTGAGGCACTGAACATCTACGACAAGCACGTGCTCCGCGCATACATTGCCGGAGCCATATTCTATCAGATGCTTCAAGTAGCTGTCTCTGACCTGGGATTGGTGATAGGCGAAAATGCTTCGCGGTGTGAATGGCATTCTCGTACACATGAAATGGTAATCTGATCAAAGCAGATGCAACAGGGATTTGCATGACTAGCGCAGGCTTCATGTAACAATCCCCGAGCCGGGCACTCGGTATGACGCCCGATCGGCCTAAGAGCGCGGAGGTGTAAGGGAAGCTCCAACGCGTATGCAAAAGTAACCCACGCATTGGTGAATGAGAATTGCTCACGGCGCTATTGCTTGACCGTACACCGCCAGACAGACACACAGACACACCTACCTTGGACTTGGCTCGCTGTCTCTGCTTCTTCTTGCCTGCGTTGGCCCACCTCGAATGCACGGCCGTTGGTTGTGAACCAGGACTCAGCGGCACGTTTTGGTGATCGTCCTTGATACGAACAGCCGGCCCGCATCCTTCGCACATCTGTGCATACATAGATCTTGACTGCCTTAGTATCATAGCATCCGGAGTTCTCTCCTCAACCTACAGAGATGGTCATGAACCATTGTCCTGGCTCTACGCCATCCGCCAATAGTTGCGGACAATCGTCCTAGGTCGGCGCTGCATATACTCAGCTGCCGGACAGCTACAATGGCCTTTCCCAACCCGACCATCCACCCGCCAAAGTTGTCTTCGTCCGCTTCGTACCATCGACGATTACAGTCGCGCTCGCCTTCACGGTCTCCAGTACGACAAGCACGTGACTATGATCCTTTACTTCGCGACCTCTCACCAACTGCGACGCTACGAGCTTTTAGCACAGATGCGCCGAGCCGACACGATAGCACCCATGGCGCTCTAACGAACAGCTTCGATGCTGCCTCGACACCAGAACGAGCATTTGGAGCGAAGGCGGCAAAAGCATGCCTGGATCTCAGATCGTGGGTGCGGGAGCTAGAGAGTTGGGAATGGCCAGGCACGTTTGAGATGCCGGATTATATGGAGGAGGGTGACGAGGCCGCGTACTCAGGCAGCATAGCCAGTGGCTTGGTGTACGCCTACGAGCTTAGAGCGGACGAGATCGCACGAGAGCGAGACGGGCTGGATCTGGAGGATATGAAACGGTTCGTGTTATCGGCACATGGACGCTCTGGAGGGGACAATCCGTGGTTCGCACGCAATAGCGTGAACGTGTCAGCTGTACAGCCCGACGTCCGCCATCTGGATGACTTCACGGCATTGATCACAGCGACGATATTACAAGCACTTCCATATCTGTCAAGCTTGAATCGCTTGCTGGACGTCTGGACTATTCGCTTGCTGATATGTCGACAAGCTTCTGCCTTTCTAGCAGACCTGGCACAAGCGCAACGAGACCTGGATCAAGGCTGGGCGGCAATAGCAGTGTCGTCTGCCCTTGATTCCGATTTGAGCAGCGGGGATCTGACCCACGAGAAGATGCAAGACATGCAAGGTGTGATCGAAAGGCAGGTCAATAGTCTGGGCCGTCGACTCGATAACTTTCTCGACCAGCTCGAAGGCCGTAAGGAAACTGTACCAGAGCCGTGGATCGAGGACTTCGAGACCTTGGAGTCCGCGTATAGCGAATGGGTGGTGCATGCGGAGAGGAAGGTACTGGAGGATGAGTGGCGGACGGCTAGAGTAGCGGAAAGTCGCGGTGTCGAGCACGCGAAAGCTGAAGAGATGCTCACGGCTCAGCCATACGCCGACGACAGTCGAAAGGTGTCTGAAACGTTCACTAAGGAAGACGACACCCGTGATCATGATTCTCTGATCGCCCCGACGTCGCGGCCAGTGAGTGATATCTACGACCAGCCACCCGAGCAAATACGAGCTGGTACTGTGCGATCCTTCATCGTGCCCAACCTACCAAGTGATGGACGCAACATGCCGCGGGAAGACTCGCAAACACTACCTGAGCAGGATTCAGGACAAGTCCAGCACAGTCGGGATGCGGATGACATCGACGCATCTTCCTTGGTGCGACCAAGTCTGGTGCACAGCCCAAGCAAACGATCACGACATATGCCAATAGTGATCAATTACGATGACCCTAGCGAGATCCATCCAGTGGCTGAGAATACTGAGAAGGACGCAGATGAGAGGTTTGTGATACCAGACATGGCGGCACAGATACAGAACGATGAGAATTTTGGTTCGACCTCGAATGTGGCAAAGAAGCGCGCAGCTTTCGCTAATGGCGATCTCGAGCGCGCCACGAGCCTGCAGCGCCAGGTCAAGTCTCCTGTGCGCCCGTTCGAGCACGCTAGTAATGCGTTCACGAGGCTGTTCAAGAAAGATAAGACACCTGAGCCCAGTCGGTCGAGCTCGCAGATTTCAAACAATTCGGCGAAGGAGAAGGATAGCAAACGTCCTAGAGGCGATAGCAATAATGGAGTCGTGTGGGGTGGTCAAAGTCCTCCGGCTACCAGTCCGCCCGCAAATGAATCCACGCTCAACCCACATGATGCCATGAAGCGCAGCAGAAGTCTGTCGTATCGTTCGCAAGCATCACAAGCACGGAGCGAAAATTACAGCGGCGTCACAGTCGACTCCGTACCAATCAGCATCCCACATCGCCAGCGCATGCCGTCGCGAGAAGCCTCGTATCTTGACATGCCTGGAGGTATGCCACGGTCTCGATCAAATGACTCGCGACATCGCACTCTCTCGGACGCATCTCGCGGGCCCTATCAGAGTCAGGAGAGACGTCTAGAGCGGATCAAGCCCGAGACCTATCAGCCTACACGCAGTATGGCCAGCACCACACGACGACCATCGAGCTCGAAAGCCCTGCAAGAGGTACAGTACCCAGCTGACTGGCCCTTGGCATTCCCGACGCATACGGGCACGAATAGTCCTGTCAAAGAAGACTTGGACTCACAGTCACCACAAAACCATGAGCCTCAGACAATTCCAGCAGAGGCTGAAGAAGCTATAGAAGCAGATGACTCAAGTCCAGAGATCCTTAGCCCAAGAATCGCCATGGAGACCAATGCTTTCGATCGCTTCCTCGTAGACAGTTTCCCGAACTCTCCGGATCTGGAGTTACAGACATCTAGGTCTATGGAGCAGACAATGAGCCAGCAGCAAAGACCGAGGCATGCGAGGAAGAGGAGTGAGGTGCCTACTGTCAGTGAGGGAATGCTCGAAGATCGACATGGCGAGTTTGATATGTTCGACCTTGCTCTGCCGATACCGGGCGAGGATACAAAAGGCGAACGTACGATGGACGACGGGTTCATCTTTGGTACGGATGCTGATGACTCTGCTGTGGAGGTGCCAAGGCAACGGCCGGCGAGTCGAGGACGGGTGGTGCTTATTGACGATACAGCGGAACAGCACGCAGGATCGGGATACTTTCCTGACCCGAACCACGCGCAAGACGATGTGAATGGCATCGCACAGATGCATCACGCCCGGTCACGTTCAGTCTCGCCCGTCTCACCACCACTTAGACTCCATATACCAGACTTACACAGCCAAGTCGCAGCAGAGAGCGGATATGGCCACACCCGTAATCAGTCCGCAGACACAGACGCAAGCTCGCCCGGAGCAGAAATCATGGACGCCAAGCCTGTCCTTGTCAATCGTGCTAGCATGGCCTCTATCGCTTCGCTTCCACGCAGCGCACTCCGCAGTATCGATATGTCCAGGAACAGGAGTAGCCAACTGTTCGGATCAGGTGGTAGTGCCAGTATAGGCGCCGGTCCCCGCTCTGCGCCTCTCACGCCTCGAGAACCAGTCTCGGCTATCGAGCCCGGTGCGGATAGCATGCCCACGAGTCCGATGGAGTACAGAAGTAACCTTGTCTTTCCATCACCACCTATGGGTATCGTTAGTCTACCTGGAAGCCGAGGCAACAGTCGACCAAGCAGTAGGCCCAGGAGTCCGGTAAGCCCTATCGGGAGTCGAGATCATTCGCCTGAGAAGGTGACGCATTTTGTTCCATCATCTTTCTCGTCTGTGAGGCATAGTATTGCTGGCGCTGAGAGGCATCAGACGGACAGCAACGGTGATGGCGAAGTTGGAGACGACTCGCCACGTGGTACTGCTTCGTCAACCAACTCACCCTTCGCACCACTCAACGCAGCAATGGCGAAACGAGGACAAAAGTCCTCGCGCTTCGTGAACGGCGCTGCCACTCCGACGAAACCTGCGAGCCGGGATGGTCCGCTCAAGCCTGGCGAGGATACTTTCGACAGACATGTTAGTGATGTTCTGGATCGATTGCCATCACACGCCATCAAGTTCAAAGCACGACCCGGTGCCAAAACACCCGACTCGGGCAAGAAAGCAGATGCACGCAGGCCGAAAGCTCCCGGTCGTATTTCCTCTATCAACTCGACGGCAGCAGATATGACCCTAGCGCCTGCTGAGGCTTCTCTCAAGAAATCTGCCGAAGACGTCAAGGTTTACCACCTTACTCAAGCTGGAAGAGATGAGCCTATCAAGCTGTTCGTTCGCCTTGTTGGCGAGAACGAGAGAGTCATGGTGCGCGTAGGTGGAGGCTGGGCTGATCTGGCCGACTATCTGAGGCAGTATGCTGAGCATCATGGTTCGCGCACAGTCTCTGGGGCGGGCGGTGAGCGAGGTCTAGAGTTGCAAACGGTCGATACAGTTGGTGGTGCGTCGGCACGAAAGGTTAGTAGCTCTTCTGCTGTCAACGCTACTGCTAGTAGAGGGACGCCTGCCACACCAACGATCGGCACGGCACAAGCAAGATTCACTATGGATGATAGCACGGGTTCGGAGAATGGCGAGCAGGATAGTCCTACCGCCGCGGGAGATTCCTTCCCTGACACTCCGTCTTTCTACACACCCAAGTCGACCGTATCTACCGCCAAGACCAACTCCAGACCTTCCACGGCAAATAGCCTTAATCGACCCGGAAGTCGCCCCGGTAGTAAGCAGCAAACCACACCACAATCCCAATCATCTCACTGGCCGCTCAGCAATTCCGCCTTGTCTGGCCCCGGCAGTGCAGGCAAAGACTTACCGGAGCAGAAAGCCAGATGGGTCGAGGGAATGCTTGAGCGAGCTAAGGTTTCCAGTGCTACGAACTCTACTGATAAGAGTCGAGATGAGAAGGGTAAAGGAAGTAAATTTTGGGGTGAGCTGGGCAAAGCTGGAGGGACGAGGAGGGTTGTCTTTCGACAAGGATCTACCAACGGCAAGGACGGCGGAAACGGAAGGACGTGAGTGTGGGAGGTCGAGGTTATGTACACGCCTTGTATAGGCGCACTTGGCTTGCTGTGCATGAACATAGGATGAATTGGGTTTCGCAGCATCGCATGGCATAACGTTGGTGTACAGATCGCATACGGCCGTGCAGGCATATACCTTTTGCGCATGGCGTCGATCGATTCTACATGTGCTTTGAGGGGCAGCAGTGCGAGAAACAATCGATCCTGCGTTAACGGCGACGTATAGAATAGCGTAGCGCTGAGCAATAACATGGTCGTGCGATTTCCTTCTATCCATACACGCTTACTGCCCTCTATCAGACTCCCTTAGACAGACCATACATGAACGCACCGAGACCTCAAGATTCATTCGCTTTAGCACCTCAAGCATTCCGCCCCTTGTCGGCGCCGAACGTCCTCACCCACTCCCCGACCTCAAATCCCAACCTCCTGAGCACACTAGCCTCTAATTCCTGCTTCCCGTCTTCTTCCCCACCCACGACCGTGCGCCTCACACTCATCAACCCACTCTCCTCCACAATCTCCACCGTCGCTTTGCCTTGCTCGCCTACCACGGCATCACGGACGAAGATCGTGAGATCTGGGCCCACGATACCACGCCATTGCGTCGCTGTCCACTGCCAGTGATCACTAGGCGAGTACGGGTCGTGAGGGCCAATCGGGATGCGGAGGGCGAAGGTGTTGCTTGTTGCTAGGCTGTAGTTTGGTATGAGGACTATTGGTTTTTTCTTGGGTAGTACGACGGTTGTGGTGTTGGTGGAAGTAGGATGTCTGGCATTTGTAGGCGTCTTGTCAACGTCCATCGACTCTTCTGGGCCCGGCTTGGAGGTAGTGATAGCCGGAACGGCCGTTCGAGGCGGCGTCTGGTTGTCGTCGTAGTTCTCGTCAAGATCACGATCGGACATTGGACGTTCGCTGATGGGCGTAGCGTCATCCATAGCGTGGTCCAAGGCTACAGATGACGGGTCGTAGAACAGCGAGTGGATGATCTCATCGCTCTTTGCTAGCCACTCTGTCGCGAGAAGATGATATTGAACCATTGGCTTCTTGCTGTCGTTGGCGGCCATGTCTGGACCATCGATCAGAGTCACGCCGAGGTCATCGCCTTTCTTCAGTTCATTGTACAGCCATTGACCGAGCTCCTCAACGGCGTCAACACTATCGCCTTCGATGACGATCAAAGGTCCGCGAGGTGTCGAGCGGTGCGGAGCTGGCGGCGCGACTTGGCTGAGCACTTTGACCTTATATCTGAACGACATGGCCATAATGTGCTCCTCGGCTGATCTGCCTGCAAGAGCTGCAGTGCTTGAAGGGCCACTTATACTGTTGTTCTGTAGTGGTGGCAGTATGAGTGAGCGATCTGGTCCGACATGGCCTTGCGACATGCGATGCTGCTGATAGCCCATACCTGGTCGGGGTGGAGGTGGCATAGGACCCGGTGGGCTGACGACACCTCTGATGCCGGGCAAACTCTCACGACGGACTTGAGTGATGGCTGGCGGTAAGGGATGTTGTGGTGTCGGCTGGCTAAATGGGAATGGTGTGCCTGGACCAACTTGTGGACCTCCAGCAGGAACGTACCGTGGTGGCATGTTGCGTGCACCAGAAGCAAGATGATCACTGTACTTGCGACGCTTGACGTCTGGGCTCAATGGACCCACCTCATCGCGCTCGTCAATGTGGCCGTTGTAGTGCGGCGACATGTTACTGCTGCTGTGCATCGTACGTGCCATTCGACGACCAGCTGGTGATTGAATGCTGAGCTCTCGGAACACTGGTGGCAAAGTGCGAGAGATTGGTGTGAGAGCTGTTCCTGGCGTGGTCGGTACCGATGCTGGACTCGCGCTGTTGGAAGCAGGAAACAGAGCAGACGAAGGAGCCACAAGACTCCGACCACCACACTTATGACACTTTGGCTTCTCGCCGTTAGCCTCAGACGTGACACTACCGCGTCGACCGTTACGCTTCGGTTGATAGCGATACTGAGGATATTGCTGCTGGTGCCGCAACTTCTCTTCTTCCGCAAGCGCCTTCCACTTGTTCTTGATATCCGTAGGCTGGTTCTGCCACTGCTCGCCAATAATCTTGGATATTTCAGGATTGGCAAGACCCGGATTCTGCGACACGACCTGTGCTTGGTGGTGTTGTCGATATAGTATGAAAGCTTACTTGGTCAGTACGTTACACCGTCAGCTAACAGGCACGGGGACTTACCGTTTCGTGGTCTGGGGATCTTGGGGTCAGGCTGGCAGATGCAAACGTGAGCCGTGGAGTCGCCACTGCTACCTCTCGAATGTAGCGGCGTGGTCGTGGAACTGTCCAGCTCTTTGTCTTCGATCTCCACAATGCCAGCGGTGCGTTTCCTTGTTGACTTGAAAGGTGGACTCTCCTCAGGCGTCAATGGCGTTTTCGAGCCTCTCGACGGACTGGGTGAGCGGCGCTGAGAGCGAGTGGATGTGTTGGAGGAGGGACGTATGGTAGGCGTAGCAGAGTTGTTATGCTCTGTGACAGTGTCCTGGCTCTGAGACTGGTTCAAGACATCTGGCTCATTACTGCTCCCGTCTGGCATGGTTCGCTGCCACAGCTGTCTTGTGAATACGATGCGGCGGGTATCATCCGTAGACGGCGTTTGAAAGGCAGGGTGCTTCTCCCACGGCATAGGCAATGATGGCAAGGAGCTTTGGACGGCAGACATTGGGAGGACAATCGTGGCAGGGTCTTGGATCCCACTGGCATGCTACCCTCTGACAATGAAGAATCGCAACGCCCAATAGCTACTCGTGACGAGTACTGCTTTGCCATTATCGCGAAGGGAGAGGCCATAGGAATTCTTTGTCTTTATTATCCTCCAGGCGACCATGGGTATGCCATTTCTTTGTCCAATGACGAGCACGGCCACCATAGTAGGGCCAGCTTCTGATTGTTGCGCATTTGACGCATTGCTGGGTCACGACCAAGCAGTACTCCGAGAAGCTTTCTTTGTTCTTTGTTGGTGGGTTGCGTGCGCCGGATGCGGCTAACAGGGCTGCCGCAGAAACGTCGGGTGTCTTCGAGACATTCCTAGCTGAAGGGACGCAAGGGACACACTCAAGAAATGTGCTCTGCCACAACGTGAGCAAACGCATCGCATGGACTCACGCACCTCTTGCGCACGATCTCTGAGTTGTAGGGATGCTTGGTATTGGAAAAGTTGGCTTGGAGACACGAGTGGTCGGCTAGTTGCGCGACCACTGCAGCCACGCAAACGTTTGTGTTACGTGGTCGAACATACTGTGATCTTCCGTGCATAGTCCACGGCATGGTTTGCGACCACCAACAAAAGGCGGTCTGGGTAAGTGTGCCTCATTTGATCATGGTGCACGCGCTGTCTACTGGCATTAGCTGATTCGTGACAACACTTTCCGTTTCACACGTGCCATGATGTAGCAAATGCAGTATCTGTATGGTTAGATCGCATGCTCATGGTCGCACAGTCGTTGGGACATTTCGAGAAGTCACGGAAAGACCGGGTGGATGGTAGCCATGCGCCGTTCGTGAATGATCAGAACCAGATTAGTGTCACATCGAACCACGTTCCGTTCACTGCTCGGGACCACGGTCTTCCTCGGGATACCTGATGGTGGGCAGGACCTGCTGTGCGCACTGTTTGTAACGACGTCTGAGATCGACTAGTCGCAATAGCGGCTGTCCAAAACATGCCTGTGAAAGGAGCAAACCTGCGAAGGCAATATGACTTAGAAGCTGAATTTGTGTCTTCCGATGATTGCAGACATCAACCCGGGCTCGGATGGATGCATGAACGACAGCGGATACAGGTTGGCTCTTGTGCATCCATCAGACAGCATGCGAGCAACCGAAGAACTGTGTTCACGTTGCCACGCGGGATCGCTGCAATCATCCACTCGGCAGGCCTAGCCGTGATGAAGCAGGCGAAGCTGGTCCGGGTGACCTTTGTCTCTACAGAGACTCCGTATAAGGGCCTTGATTTGCATGTAGACATCCCCAGCTGATGCTGCAGGCTGATGCGGTACAGCGAGAAGGCATGTATGCTAAGATCCTCTGTTTAAGCAAATTGCAGAGGCTTTTGCCGGGTGGTGGCTCGCAGGCACGTCTTCTAAGGAGCGATCCAGTATGCTGTCCTGGTTACTCTTTTGGTTCGATGTCGCCAATTACCATATTCTGATATCGCCATGACAGGGTACGCTTTGTATTCGTGGTGGTGCGATGTAACACTTTTCAATGCTGAAGAAGGAGAAACACGATATCAATCGACCTCGGCCCCCGATGTCGCAGAAGCTCGTCTCGACTTCACCTTCACTTGAGCTGGACCACGACTACACCTTGTCCGTCAAGGACATCTTACGTCTTACACATCAAAAAGAGTGTGCCCCAAACCAATAACGTTCACCCAGGCTCCAGATGACTCTTTCAAACACAACTCGTCTCGGCCAGAGGGCATACCGTCACCTGTCACGCCGAACCTTTTCGACCACGAGGAAGTCCTTCGCAGACCATGTCAGAATTATTGAAGTCGGCCCGAGGGATGGACTGCAGAACGAGAAGACCAGTATACCAGTAGATACCAAATTGGAGCTAGTGAGGAGGCTTGCAGGTACGGGCGTTGAAACAATCGAAGCTGGGTCGTTCTCACATCCGAAGTGGGTGCCGCAGGTATGCTATCCAGAGTCTAGTACTCTTGTGTTAGATGTATGTAGACTGAGATGTGTCCATTAGATGGCAGCTTCAGACGAAGTCCTGTCCCAAGTCCTGCGAAGCCCGCCTTCGTCACCTCATCCTATAACATATCAATGGCTTCTCCCCAATACCAGAGGGTTGGACAACTTCTTCAAGGTTATGGATGGCTTCGTAAAGCCATCGCAAGATACATACCCAACTCCTCCACCCTCGCCACCACACGACTCAGGCCCTGCTCTGCACACTTCCAATTCGGACGCAATGCAGCAGGACAGTCAAAGCATGTCTAATGAGCGCAACGGCCACAAACACGAAGTCTCCATCTTCCTTGCCGCGACGGAAGCTTTCAGCAAGAAGAACACGAATTGCAGCATTCAAGAATCTCTCGATCGCTTTGCTCCACTCATGTCCTCCAGCCGAGCGCAAGGGATCCCAGTGCGAGCGTACATTTCCGTAGCTCTTGGTTGTCCATTCGAAGGACCAGAGACGGACCCCCATGTTGTCGCAGACTTAGCTGTGAAGTTATTGGAAATGGGTGCGGATGAGATAAGTGTAGCAGACACCACAGGCATGGGTACTGCGCCGCGAACGGGCAAGCTTCTTCGCACATTGAGTGAAGCTGGCGTACGGAATGAAGACTTGGCGTTGCACTTCCATGATACATTCGGTCAGGCTCTGCTCAACACGATGGTGTCCCTTGACCATGGCATCAGAACCTTCGACAGTGCTGTGGGCGGGCTGGGTGGGTGTCCATACTCTCCCGGTGCGACAGGTAATGTGGCGACTGAGGATCTGGTATACATGCTTCACAGCTTGGGCGCGAAGACCGGCATAGATCTGGATGAGATGTGTCGGATAGGAGAGTGGATCACGACCGAGATTGGTAAAGGTAACGCAAGTAGTGCTGGCCGAGCGACCTTGGCGAGGTTAAGGAGAGAAGAACACGAAGGTTCGGCAAATGTATGAAGAGCGAAAGGAAAGTGAACAGTCAATCAACATCCATGACCTCACTTCCCTTGGTTCGAACAAGACCAAAAAGGTGCTGAAGAACGCCAGAATCGAACTGACACACATAGCATTGTCACGCACGCACGGCAACGACCTCGAAGGCGAATAGGACTCGAACCCATATATCCTGACGGGAACACCAATGACATGAAGTCAGAGATGCTGTCTTGCACGATCACCCGAAGCAGGATGTTATCCGATTACATTATCTCCTTCGCGATCCTCGGGGAGTGAGGGTAACTTGTTGTTGATATAGCTTTGATCGGAATGCCGAAGATTATTCGGTGGGAAGGAGTGACGCCTTTAGCTTGTGATGCTGTAAGCGGAAGGAGCACGTGGGTGTCAAAGTGAGGAGGTGCGAGTGAGCTTACCGGGCGTTCCTTCCTCGTGTATGTCTTGGCGGCTGCCTAGTAATATTCGAAGTCATTGGCTCGTATTTGATCTTCCCGAGCAAACAACAACATTCATTCTCACAAACTCTCCCAACCATCAACCACCAGCCTACCAACAGACCAACAATCAACATGGTCGGCAACAGCTACATGAGCTACAATGGTAGCGTCGGGAGCGCCGCCCTAGAGTGAGCCCTAGCATCATGCCTTGAGACAGAACAAGTACTGACAGGATACCAGGCGCGTCAAGCTCCCAGCCAAGTACCCTCCATATCCACAAACCTAGCCTTTGGCCTCGCACTAATGCTGCCCAACAGAACCCGCTGCAATGGCAACAAATGCAACGGCAAGATGAAGTGCATCTCCTTCTTCTCCGAGAAGCAGAAGCTCGAGCTGAAGAAATGGATCGCCGACCCAAACAAAGCCAAATCCTTCGACCCCCAGACCTCTCGTGTCATCGTCTGCGTGATTTGCACGCCGGGCCCAAAATTCGAGTTCTACTGCCAGGGCTGTGATACGGTCAAGGATCGCAACAAGTTCTCCAAGGCGCAAGTGAGGAACCCTGACAATGCGGTAAGTCAATGCACTCGAACGCTGCGTAGAGGCCATCAAGTCTCTTGCCAGGACGAATGGTAGCTGATCGCAATCATGTCTAGTACTGCTGGGAATGCATGGAGAAGCGGGCCAATATGGAGCCCGGCGGCAACGACTCCGATTACTCCAACAACAGCGGCAGCAGCGGTGGCGGGAGCTATGGCGAGGACTCCGACGATGCGACTACGACTTGTGGCAGCACAATGGCGGGCCTGAGTCTCACTGGTAGTGGTGGCGGTACCAGCAGCTTGGGCTACCAGACCTCGAACACAGGTGGCGTGCCGCTCCAACCGGGCTCTTCGAGCGGCTTCAGGAGCTATGCGGCCACTGGTCAGCATGGTGGTGACGGTAGGACTCCATCCATCTCCTGCACTTCTTCTGGTGGCGGTGCTGCTGTCCCTTCCGGTGTGAACGGGCCTCGTCGCGTCGTCACTCCGCCTCACTTGCGCGTCAAGCAGACCAGCTCCTTTACCAGTGGCTCCCGCAGCACAAACAATAGTACCTACGACGGCTCCACCACGAGCAACAGCAATTTTGCAAAGATTCCAGCTGTAAGCCTACTTTCTCCTTGCACCCCATGGGCATACTATCAATATGAGACAATTGGATCACTGACAAATTCACGCAGGCTTCCCACAAGATTACCTACGGCATCGTCCAGAAGCAGAAGGATGAAGAGGCCAATGCTCGTGCTGCCGCTGCCAAGAGTAAGGGTAGCAAGCAGTCGGCTCAGGAGGAGGACGACGACGATGTTCGTGCTGCGAGCGATTCGGATAGTGATTAGCTTGCTTCACTGTCAGTTCAGTCACGATCACAAGACAGCAGAAAGAGAGCGCATGGGAGCTAAGACTGCGAAGACGGTCATTGCGATCTACTCTTATGGCGAAGACCAGAGTAAGAAAAGTGATACGAGATAGGTCGAAGAAGCTGAGAAATTCACGACCAATGATATTCCCTTTCACGTTTTCAAGGACTTCCTCATCGCTCGTTGGTCATTATTTTTGTGCAGCTGGCTAGTGAGCGATAACACATCTCCAGGCTCGTTTGTAGCGCTCCTGATCCAACACATGCCCTGGTGCCATGCAAGGCTATCCAATGCCGGCTGCACCTGCTCCTCACGGTCCCGGTCCCAGCCCTCGCACCAAGTCCCACGCACACAATCGCTCCCAAGCCCCCTCCCATCTCCCCATCACCATCGAAAATCCTACTTCCTATTTCCTCCCCTCACCCCCCTCATCCTCCGCCCCTGCCATCCCAGCAAAAGAATTCAACCCCTCCCACAACTCCCTCCATGCCGTCTTAGCCGCTGGTGTTGGCAAAGGCAGGGGTAAAGGAGGCAGATTCGGTAATCTTGTCAGAACGGCTTTCCGGGGCGGTATGAGAGGGGATTGTGTTAGGGGGGTTGGAGAGGAGGTGGTGACGGCGCATTCGGAGGCTGTGTCGTCGTCGTCGTCACTTGAGTTTGAGAGGTGGGGGCGGTTGAAGGGGGGTCGGGGTATGTCGTGTTGGGTGGGTGTTGATGTGGAGTTGTTGTGTGAGGTTTGGGTGCTTTGGTCCGTGTAGGCTGGGTGGGGTGATGTGGCGGAGTATTGCTTTTGTGATGCTCGGAGCTCGTCGGGCTGGTTTTCAGCCGTCTTTTGCTGCGTGGCGGCATCCTTTGCTACTTGCGACTTGCTATCATCCTTTACTGTGTGTGCTGAGAGGTCGTCCGCTGCTCCATCGGAACCGAAGGGCTGGTTGGACCTGTTCATGCGTCGAATGGTGATACTAGCGACCCTCCGACCACGACTGGCACACCTTGTCACCGTTTCAAGATACCAGGAGTCTTCATCATCCTCATCGCTACTATCTCCTGCATTAAGCCTGTCTCGTTGCGAAGTACGCTTGTCCTCTTCGGTAACAACCCCATACCTGCCACGGCGTTTCCTGAGTCGAGCATCAACATCATGCCAATCGCTCCGCCATTTGTCCATTTCTTCCAGTGTCCGCGAGCGTCTGCTGCTCTGATCTTCCTCACTTTCCCCGTCCAGCTCCACCTCCAACGACTTGAGCTGTAACTTCATGAAAAGCAGCTCACTATGATCAAGCCCCAATTCTGACCTCAGCGACTCATTCTCGGATCTTAGTTCCTCAACCTCGTGCTCGTAATCCTCGATCTGCACAGCCCGATCGTCGTTGAGCTGCACAAGCTCCGCATGCCTCTTTCTCAATTCCTCCTGCGCCTTCGTGACATTGTCCAGCACACGCTGCGCCTCAACAAGCTGATAATCGCGCTCCGCCGCCTTCTCCTCCGGCGTGACATCATCCTCTGCCTCTTCCAACGTCCCATTAAAGCCACCAAAGTATCCTTCAGCCGTCGATGCCCTCGCCGGAGTTGTAGCAGCCGGCTCATCGTCATCGTCCATGAAGAGGCCTGAATCATCCAGTTCCGGCGCAACTCTAGTCTGCGAGTGCAAGGCATCCATATCATTCTCAATCTCACTCAGCTTCCTGCCAACGATATTCAGCGCGTCGCCTCCATCTTCTCCCGCGCGCATGAGTTGAGCTTGTAGCTTGTTGAGTCGCACGAGCATCTGCTGGGTTTGCGAAGATGGCATATCGTACACTGCCCCTCCGGAAATATGCTCGATCGACCGCGCATCGTCAGTGAAGTAGTCTGAGAATGGCGAGTCGCGTAGACCCATCGCGTCGCTGAATCTTGCGATTTGCTTGGCCGGCGTGAGTGGACCGCTCATGGTGGCTGTACTCGGCATTGTGGCGGTGGAAGCGAATCGGAGGAGTGGACTTCGACTGTGTTCGCTGGCAGTAGGTGGTGTTAGGCTTCCGTGGGTGGGAAGAAGGGCGGAACTCTGCGTCCGTCGATACGCTCTCCGTTCGGTGCTCAATCTCGGCGCGATCGGTATGGTGATCGAAGACTGGAAGCGCGGACGTCTGGACTGAGGGCGCTCAGAGATGTGGTATCTTGTACTTGGCCCAGGAACTCTCCACGGAAGTCTTGTGCTCGGCGCAGGGGAGGGAGTGGTGATGGCGGAGGTAGAGGTGGAGTCGCAAAGGTGTGAAGGTGATGTGGGAGGAAATGGGAAAGACAACGTGGGGTAGTCGGTCGCGGCCATTTTGAACCTACCCCAGCCCTCGTGACCTTACACAATGGCAGGAACGACCGATATAGAGTTTTGCCAATGACCTGCGACCTGCATAACTTTTGAGTCTGGCGCGTGCGGTACGTGGAGTGGTGGCTGGTGCTGCGCATCGAAATAGGGCTTCGGGTCAATAGATCCGAGAATTCGTGAATTCGGACGTGTTAGTCAGGACGACTCAATAATACCGACAGGCCTATGAGTGAAGACGTATACGCATACGGGACACAAGAAGTCAGCGCAAATGCATGCCCAATGAGCTGGTTTGTATTCCTGACTTCGCCTAGACCTGTTGATTAACCAGACGAGGCGGACGAGCCATGCCTGCCAATGTGTGTCAACTGTCCAAGTATATGCTTCATATGATATCGACTGACAATAATGTCCTAGCTCACAGTGCAGCCATCGTTCGAGGATGTTACAAGCATCGTGGAAGCTGGACGGAAGCTCAGCAATGCTCCAAACCTCATACCAGTCACGGCATCCATCTCGTCGGAATTCTTGACTCCGTCTAGTATCTATCTGAAGATTGCCGCCCAGTATGTCCTGCACTACTACAACAATCGATTATGCTTGCTGATGTGTAGTTCAGCTCCACCTCCAACCTCTCCTTCCTCTTTGAATCCGCCGCCACGACCGAGACAATCGGCCGCTACAGCTTCGTCGGCGCCGACCCACGCGAGACCCTCACATCCGGTCCCAGCCATGGCTTCGAAGGCGATCCTCTGCCTCGTCTCGACGAGCAACTATCCAAGTATCGAGTAGCAGAAATTCCATCCCTACGTCTCCCACCCATGACTGGAGGAGCCATAGGCTATGTCGGCTACGATTGCGTCATGTACTTCGAGCCCAAGACCAAGAGACCGATGAAAGATGTTCTAGAGGTACCGGAGAGCCTGTTTATGCTATATGATACGATTGTCGCGGTGGATCATTTCTTCCAGAAGGTCATGGTTATAACATACCTCCACGTTCCTGGGAAGGACGAGGATGCAGGGAAGGACGCGCTGGCCCAAGCATACGAAGCCTGCCGAAAAACAATCGCCAACATCTTGAAGATTCTAAAGCAAACCGACGTCCCCCTCCCACCCCAAGGCTCCGTAAATCTCGATCAACAATACACCTCCAACATCGGCCGCCCAGGCTACGAAGCCCACGTCACGAAACTAAAACAACACATCGTCGCCGGCGACATCATCCAAGCCGTTCCCAGCCAACGCATCGCACGCCCCACGGACCTCCATCCGTTCAACATCTACCGCCATCTCAGAACAGTAAACCCCAGCCCTTACCTCTTCTACCTCGACTGCGCCGGCTTCCAAATCGTCGGCGCCAGCCCCGAACTCCTCGTCAAAGCCGAGCCCACTCCCGGCGGCAAAACGAGGATAATCAACCATCCTATCGCTGGGACTGTGAAGAGGGGTGCGACGCCCGCCCAAGACGCGGAGCTAGCGGCTACCCTTCGCGCTTCGTTGAAGGATCGAGCGGAACACGTCATGCTGGTTGACTTGGCCCGGAACGATGTCAATCGGGTGTGTGATCCGTTGACCACGAAAGTGGAGAAGTTGATGGTGGTGCAGCGGTTTTCGCATGTGCAGCACTTGGTTTCGGAAGTCAGTGGGATGTTGAGGGAGGGGAAGACGAGGTTCGATGCTTTCCGGTCGATTTTTCCTGCTGGGACGGTGTCGGGGGCGCCGAAGGTGAGGGCGATGGAATTGATTGCTGAGTTGGAGGAGGAGAAACGGGGGGTTTATGCTGGGGCGGTGGGATATTTCGGTTTTAATACAGTCAATGTGCATGAGACAACCAGCTCATCTGATCATACAGAGATGGTGAGAGGGGTGGAGACGGAGGGCGCGATGGATACGTGTATTGCTCTGCGCACGATGCTTGTTAAGCAAGGGGTGGCGTATTTGCAAGCGGGGGGCGGGATCGTATTTGATAGTGATGAGGGGGAGGAGTATGAGGAGACGATGAATAAGGCGGCGGCGAATATGCGGTGTATTGAGCAGGCGGAACAGTTGCATTGGGAGGAGCAGCGGGAGGAGGGGAGGTTGGATGATGGTGGGGTGGTCGATGGGGAGGGGAAGGAGAAGGGGACGGGTCAGGTGGCGGTGGAAGGGAAGGGAGTGGTGGGGAAGGGGAAGGTGAGGGTAGGAGACTGAGATCTGTGTCGATTGTACATGGAGCTTAGACTAGATCAGATCAGTACATTGACTCGCTTCCTTTCCCTTCGTTCGGCATGTATGGCGAAGGTTCGCATTCCGATGATGCTTTTCCGGTCAAGGGAATTTCCGGATGCCGATTGTCGACGGAGCCAATTGAACGGGGGGGGACCTACCGAGATGTCGTCTACGATACACCACCAGATATCGTTGTTTTCCCCCCGTAGCTATCTCGATCCAGCCCGCACGTGGCGGCACAGCCGAGTCGATTCGATTTGGGTGACGTCCTGAGCTCGGGCCGCTGCTTCTCGCTTGGAGCTTGGATGATGAAGCTGTCTCTCAATCATTATTAACCTTCACTTCATGCCATTGTGCAGCGTTTCTGGGCCGGCACAACTGTACATGTTGAGAGAGAAATACCCCGTTCGCTACTGATAGAGCTCGAGTATACACACAAGGCACTTGATAACCACGCCTCCGTCGCCGTAGCCTCAGAAAAGGCAGCCATCTTCGATCCACCCACGTCTTCACCCACCAGCATCACCGCGGTCCACAATGGCAAAGGACGATGGCACCTCCGTTGACCCTCGGCAAATGAGGGTTACGCCTCGGATACGCTATAACACTATCGGGGGTGTGAATGGTAGGCTTCGCTTCTACACCGTTAAGCTCACACCAACGACATGAATGCTAACGACTTGTTTAGGTCCATTGGTCATCCTAGAGAATGTCTGTCTCCTCAGAAGATGGCAAGGTCTGTACTACACTCTAGGACACCAGCTGACAATAACCTACAGGTTAAATTTCCCCGCTTCAATGAAATCGTCTCCCTCACCCTCCCCGACGGCACCGAGCGAAGCGGCCAAGTCCTCGAAGCCCGAGGCAACCGCGCCGTGGTGCAGGTCTTCGAGGGAACGAGCGGCATCGATGTCAAGAAGACGAAAGTCGAATTCACCGGCCACAGCCTGAAATTGGGCGTGAGCGAGGACATGTTGGGCAGAATCTTCGACGGCAGTGGAAGGGCTATTGATAAAGGTCCCAAAGTGTTGGCTGAGGACTACCTGGACATCAATGGATCGCCCATCAATCCATACGCGAGGTTGTACCCCGAGGAGATGATTTCGACTGGTATCAGTGCGATTGATACGATGAACTCCATCGCCCGAGGACAGAAGATTCCCATCTTCTCCGCTGCCGGTCTTCCTCATAATGAAATCGCCGCGCAGATCTGCAGACAGTCGGGTCTGGTGAAGCAGCAGGAACAGCAGCAGAGGGAGGTGAATAAAGGTGTGCATGATGATCACGATGACAATTTCAGCATTGTTTTCGGTGCTATGGGTGTGAACTTGGAGACCAGCCGCTTCTTCACGAGGGATTTCGAGGAGAATGGGAGTATGGAGAGGGTTACTCTTTTCTTGAACCTGGCCAACGATCCTACGTCAGTTTCTGCCCATTATCACTGATTACTTGTCACAGCCAGGCTAACATCGCTACAGCATCGAACGTATTATCACGCCCCGTCTTGCTCTCACAACCGCCGAGTACTACGCCTACCAGCTGGAGAAGCACGTCCTCGTCATCTTGACGGATATGACATCCTACTGCGACGCCCTTCGTGAGGTCTCGGCTGCCAGAGAAGAAGTACCTGGTCGTCGTGGATACCCAGGTTACATGTACACGGATTTGTCCACCATCTACGAGCGCGCCGGTCGTGTGGAAGGCCGCAACGGCAGTATCACGCAGATCCCCATCTTGACCATGCCCAACGATGGTACCTACACCCCCCCCCTTTTCTCCAATCACACACAAAATACATCCTCCACATACTAATCGCATTTTTACCCCAGACATCACCCACCCCATCCCCGACCTAACGGGCTACATCACCGAAGGCCAAATCTTCGTCGACCGCCAGCTCCACAACAAGGGCATCTACCCCCCCATCAACGTCCTCCCCTCCCTGTCCCGGCTGATGAAATCCGCCATCGGCGAAGGCCACACCCGCAAAGACCACTCGGATGTCTCCAACCAACTCTACGCCAAATACGCCATCGGGCGCGACGCCGCGAGCATGAAAGCCGTGGTGGGCGAGGAGGCGCTGAGCAACGAGGATAAATTATCTTTGGAATTTTTGGAGAAGTTCGAGAAGGGGTATATTGCCCAGGGGGCGTATGATAAGCGGTCTATTTTCGATGGCCTGGATCAGGCGTGGGAGTTGTTGAGGATTTATCCTAAGGAGTTGTTGAATCGGATTCCGAAGAAGGTTTTGGATGAGTGGTATGGAAGGCAGGAGAGGAAGAAGGAGGGTGCTGACAAGGATACGAGGGACGGCGAGGAGGAGGGTCAGGGTAAGGGGAAGCAGAATGGGCAGCAGCAGAATGGGGAGGAGGAGAGTTTGATATAGGGTGGGGATATGCTGTTACGATTCAGGTGGGTGAGTTGGAGCATGTTTGTTTTGTAGATATGCGAGATTTCCTCTGGTAGCGTGTATGAGCATTTTCTGCGAATAGACTCCATTTCTATTGTGAGCCTCAAATCATACCGTGTTGCGGACGGCATGAGACTTGAGTGCCCAATTTCTGCTCACCAGTGTCTTGAACGTGCTCGCGAGAAGCCATTGGATTGAGACGGACGGTTGCATTTGAATGGTATTACTTGTTGGTCTATGTTGCGATAATGGTGACTTGAAGTCTCAAAGCTGTGAAGTAGACAAAAAGCAATAGGGAGCAATTGAGATACTCATGTCTAAGGTCAGTGTCGAATGTAGCCAAAGAGACAAAAGATGTAAGTCGAGAGGTTTGTCGTGGCCGGGCAAAAGCCGAGCGTAGAAGGGAAAACCTATGCAGAGAGTTGCTCGTTAGCCAAAATCATCCTCTTCCTCGAATTCTCCAAAATGTGTTTTGCTTTCTGCGCCTTGGAAAGCTGGCTAAGAGCATATGTCGTAAATGTGTATGTGTGTGTGCAAATAGTCAGACATCCAAGGAAGATCGTATTTCGCTCATCGGCTCCTCTGTTTAGGTTCTAAGGCGAGGGCTCACGTGGAAACTGCGAATGTGGAAAAGGTTTCATCATTACAAACACACACACACACACCACGACATTGCTTGGTGTTGGGGGAGGTGTAACCAGCTTGCTATGAGGAGGGGAACTTACGGTGTGAGAAAAGTGGAGGTGAGTTATTGTTGTGGTGGTTGATTGTTCTGATGGTGGCGGTGGGTCGAGCGGTCGCTGCTTCGTTATCGTGTTTGAGGGAGAATGAACCTACATCTTCGACTCGTGTCAGCTAGCTCTAGATATTCGAGCGACGGGTTTGCTGTGAGTATAGTGTGTGTGTTGGCAAAGTCAGGCAAAGGTTACTGGCTAGTATTACATCCGCCCTGCGAGAGGCGAACGAGACAGGCTGGTCTTCAGTCATGGTCGAATCAGACTGGGAAAGAAGTATATGTGGAGATCATCTCGCGAACGGCGGTGGGTGTGGTGATAAGAGTGATAAGGGGAATTGACATACCTGTCTTGTGCCTACAGAAGGCAGATGTTGCTGTGTCTGATCTCATAAGAGCATAGTGATTCTTGGATGAAGTTCAGAAAAATAATGCGAAGCTCGACTTATCCCCTTCGTACGGTCCGCCGATTGCCGCTCCCGAAGCCGCTGGTAACGGTCCACTCACAGGCCAGCTTCGTAGTGGGTCTCTCACCCCGAACCCGCCGCCGCCAGCAACACATTGCCCTCTGCCTCACCACCGCTCACATCCTCGCCGTCGCCGCTGTTCTTCAAACAGTCGCGTCGTATTGACCGGGTGCGATACTGACCTGGGCGTTGACAGTTCTATCTACCTAGTTCCTTCTACTTCCCAGCGTTGGCTGCTGCGATCTACCGGCTTTCGCTATTCGCCCGCTTACAACACCCGCCCGATCTCGTATTGGATGCATGCGCGCGATATATCACTTACTTACACGCAATCGACTGGCGCGTTGGTGAAGAGGCGGACTGCTGCTGGATATCGAGTCTGGAAGCAGCCTCTCCCCCTCGTCAGGATCAACGCGACACACTACTCTTCCACATCTCAACCGAGGCACGTGGCTGGCACCAACCAACCAACATCTCGATCGAGACATATGCGCCTACCAGATCGATATCTATGAATCGCGGTGCCGGCCTTGCTACACCAGCGCGACGGAAACACCGCCGGCGCGTGGCGGCAGGCGCGGAGAACGACGACAGTACCGACGTGAGGCTGGTGACGTCTTGGAGGTGACACGAACGAGCTCTCGACTGCGCAACAACACCCTCCCAGCATGATGGCCGCCTTTCAACCGCAAACGATGCATCAGCCGGGTATGAATCCTCACGGGCATCCCGGCCTCCCGCCGCAGCACATGGGTCATCAGATGATGCAGCCGGGCGTTTCTGGTCCGGGACAATCGCAGATGAGCCAGGCAGGAGCGATGATGGGAATGCCCGGGGTGAGCGGACAAATGACTGGGTTGCCGCAAGGGCAGCATCCGGGTATGCCACAAGGACAAAGCATGGGCGGTCAGGGTATGCCGGCAGGAATGCCGAATCAACAGGCCATGAGCCACATGAGCGTTCAGCAGCAGCAACAAATACTGGCTCAGCAACAGCAGCATATGCAGCAACAAATGCAGAACCCTCAGATGGCGCAACAGCGGCAACAGATGCAGCAGATGCAACAAATGCAGCAGATGATGGCGATGCGTCAAGCTCAGCTAGGACAACAGCAAGCCAATGGTGGGATGAATATGGCCGCAGGCATGCCAAACATGACGCAGCAGCAGCTTGCTATTCTGCAGCAACAACAGCAGCAGCAGCAACAGCAACAGCAGCAGCAACAGAATAATGGAGGCCATCCTGGAGGTATGGTGAATCTCACACCTCACTTGCAACAACAAATGATGCAGCAGCGGTTTGCTCAGCACCAAGCGCAACAACAGCAGGCCCAGCAAGCTCAGCAACACCAACAGGCCCAGCTGCAGCAGCAACAGCAACAACAGCAGCAGCAGCAGCAGCAACACCAAGCACAACAGCAGCAGCTTCAGATGCAGCACGGAAACTCCCAACAAAGTAATCCAGGTCAATCTGGCCCTCCTACTTCACAAGGACAACCCGGCCAACCTCCTCAGATGCGACCACAATCCCGAACACAGAACGACCAACAAACGCCCGTGCCTCAACAAGCACAACCACAACCTCCGCAAGAAGGCCCGCCACAACATGGAACGCCACAACAAAACCAGCAGGGCAATCAACCATCTACGCAGCAGCAAGCTATGAGCCAGCGGCAGCAACAGCAAATGATGCAGCAGCAACAGCGGATGAACCAGCAACGTGCGCAACAGATGCAGGCTCGTCAATTACAAATGGCGCAGCAGAATGCATCGCAGGCTCAAGCGCAAGTTCAGGGCCAACAGCAACAATCGCCCCAGCAGCCTCAGCCTGGTGCACTGATACTGAAGCTGAATCAACTATGCGACCATCTAAGCAACTTCGATGCAACAACGGGGAAGAATCTCGAGCTCTGGAGCGACTTCACCGACAAATTCTTCGCCCCGGAGGGTCGGTTATTGCACAGCTTCAACGACGACCCGAGTCCTGGCAGCAAGTCTAAAGTGTATGAGGTACTACGACAAACCATCCACCGATACTTCTGGACGTACTTCGATCAAGGCGCGTTGTCATTACGATTACATACCGAACATGCACGAGAAATGCCCATGATGAATGGACGCCAGAACGTATCGTGCTCGAGCGCCACGCTGACCGTCACGTTCCCCGGCGCAAGACTAGAAATGACGGGCAGTCTAAATGCATGGTTCTCCCATTCCACGCAGAACTTTGACGTCCTGGAGATCCAGCAAACGAGTACCGAGGAGACGATCTCCCGAGCCGAAATCGAAAGGGTCCTAACGAACTGGTCGCCTCAAATGGACACCAAGTCGCCCAAAATGGCCAAGAACAAGATCCCGAAGGCGCAGCAGAAACTGCAGCAGCAGATGGACCGGCTCAGTATCAATGATTTCCGTTTGGTACCGCGCGGGACAATGGGTGTGACGTCTCGGGTGCAGCAATTTCTTGAGGTCAGTGGCCTCCTTTTGCACCCCCTTCCATTAGCCTAGTTGACACGTGACTAACAGCAACAATATAGCTCGGCGAAGCGATGACGATCATGGCCCCGTTGATGCAATTTTCGCAGGAGAAGAAGTTGAGGCCCGAGGAGGCGGTGGAGTTGTGGACGGCGGAGAATGAGGTGTTGCAGCAGCAGCAGCAGCAGATACAGCTTCAGCAGGGGCAGCAGCAGAGTTTGACGCCGCAGATTCAATTCCCGGTGGCTAATGGGGTCCCGGTCGGGGGGAGGACGCCGAGTATGGGGAATATGGCTATGCCCAACAACGGCCAAGGACAGGCACAATTCGCCAGCCCAGCCCTCTCACACATGGGCTTGCCCATGCAAAACGGTGTCATGGGCGGCGGCTCCCCACACATCTCCCACCAAGGCCACCCAGGCGGCGCACCAGGCCTCCAACCCCCACAACCGCCCCAAAACATGGCCCTCAACATGCTCACCCAGCAAGTCGGCCCTTCGCATACTCCCTCCCCGCGACAGGGCAATATGGCCGCCCCGCAGATGCTGCCGCAGCATAGTGCGCATGGGACGAATTCGAGCCAGGCGAGCGCGAATACGAGTCCGCAGGTTAGTAATAAGAGAAGGCGGAGTATGGTTAAGGCTGAGGAGGAAGGTGGGGGTGAGGGGCAGGGGCAGGGTGGTGGGGGAGGCGCACAGGGGAGGGTGAAACCTAGTCCGCGGGGTGGGAAGAAGGGGAAGCCGGGGGGTGGATGAGTGATAACTTCATCTCGTTTGGATGTTTGCGGCGCTTGGGTCGGGGGCGGATCGCTTCTGCTTTACTGGCACTTCACATCGCCCGGCTTGCCTTTCCTCCTTGCAGAGACTAGCACCCCCCGCGGCCGAGATCCGAGGGCTGTCAGCTGTTTCTTCGTATTTCCAGCGATGGCGTTTTTCTCGTGGGATGCTTGGCTTGGGCTTTGCTGGGGATTTCAGGAAACAAAGGACGGAACGTGTGCGGTCGGCCGCTTGCTTGAACATTTGTCCGTTGGCAAAGGGCGAGGGGCGAGCGAGATTCTGTGGATGGATTGCAAAGGGAAGACCGTGGGATGCGGAATCAAGTGGATATGAGTATAGTCGACATGTGTGTATGTGTACGATATCTGTGCGCGCTTTTTCTTCGCTGTGCGGCTTCACCTTTCCAAGGAGTGGTTAGACTGTCATTTATGCGTTTGTGCTTCTCGCCTGCTTGCATATACTCAGTCCTATACTTGGCACGTCTGCCTGCGAACCAAGACTCTTGGTACGTGGCTGGGAAAAAGTATATTGTGTCGACATCCGCCTCTCGGCAGTGTGACGGGGATGAAGATCTTCGCCCACTAGACCGCTTTGCCGCTTAGCGTCAGGAAAAGTAATCCTTCGCTTTTGCTGACTTGAAAAAGGTATGCACATACAAGGTAGCAACCCACGGGAAACAAAGGACGGTCTTGGATAAACTTATGTCTACATCATTTACTCATCTGGTTCGATTACCGTACGAACTATGGACGAATCTACCAATATGGACCAAAGCAACCATTTGCCTCACGATCCCGACTACCATCTTCCTCTCAGGCTGGTTCATGAACACCTACCGCAAATGGAGCGCTATGGGTCAGGGAGGTCTACCACGGAACGTTTTCGGCTTCGCGCTCGACCGTTTTCTTTGGTTCTTCGTCGCCTCAGGGGATCTCAGGAGTCAGGAGATATATGATCGTCCTGAGGCTTTGGGGAGGGGGTGGGCGGCAGCGAGTGGGGATGAGAAGACGAGGGCACGGACGTCGTTCTTGGGGGATGGTGGGTTGGAGAAAAGGAAGGGGGCGGGGGGACGGACGCTGCCGTATGCTTTCCCGCAGAGGGAGAGGTTTGCTAGGGAGTGGCAGGTCCCTAAGGTTAAGGAGGTGAGAGAAGTGTGGGTGCGTGATGTTTTGGATGTTCTTGCTGATTTCCTGCTGGTAGGCGTACGTATCTGCTTTTCAACGACTCTGTGCCGAAAGCAAGGATACTCAAGTCCGGACACCTTCGCGCAAGCGCCATGGTGATGCCTTGTTCTTGCGCAATACAGCCGCCACACCTGCCGTGGCGAGTGCATCCAAAGGCGAGATTGCGCATATCCATACCAGTGACCTTTCGGCGCATGTTGTGCTCTCTTTGGCGGATGCGAAGGAAGTTGTGGCAAAGGGCTGGGGGCAGAGGCATTCGTTGTCAGGGACGAGCATTCTGCCGCTAGGCTGGACGATGTTGTATGTTCCGAGGACCGTGGAGGAGGTTGATGTGATGATTGGGATTATGAGGGCTGCTGTTGGGTTTATGCGTAGTAATGTAGGGCGTGAGAAGGCGAGATAGTAATACCTGAGGCTCTTATTGCATTATTCTCCACCAGGTCTCGTCGTGGCTGTGATACTCCCACGTACATCTCGTCAACGTGGCCGTAGGGAAACTTCTACCAAAAAGCGTCAATAGATTATTCGAGCAAGCGCTTGTCATGCCACGAGTCAAGTCCAGGTTGAGGCAAGTCCAAAGTATACCACGGCCTTATTATTAATGCCGGCTTCTGCTCCGTGGGGCGACGGCCACGCGAATGACGTCTGTGCGAGTCTCGTGGATGCGATCTTCAAGCCTGATCGCTGTCTACACATGTGTTCTGCTATGATCGTTTGTGGCGGACAGTTTCTTGGTCATTGTTGCGAGCATCTGTTCTCATTGGCAAGCACGAGGAGAAGTACGGTACGATGATCTCGACTTTGTGTCGAGACGAACCAGGAAACTGGGATCCGTTGAGAGGTGGGGGGGTTGCCAATCAGCCAATGACGACGGGTTTGGGAAAGTTCACCAGCATTTGTAGATCTGTAGTGCAGGTGGGTGGCTGCATGTGCAGCAGATACCGCTTTGGATTTTCAGGCACATGGAAAGAGCCTCACAGCAGCTGCATGGTTTGGGAGAGTCTTGTGCTTGCCTGGCATTTGCTTGTTGACCATCCATAACCATCCTTCTGACAACCACATATCCTTCCTTGTCATCCTCCAACCCGAGCATTGTCATCATCTTGTACAACAACGTGTTTGCATCGTTATCGTTGCTCTGCTCTGTTCACTCTTTTGAAAAGCAACATCCTACCCATACCCACCGACTGAACACTTCTCCGATCCATCCGGCAGTTCAGAAGACTCGGGACAACCTGATCAAATCCTCTATACACACGGCGGCCGGCGTCACCAAGTACAAACGGCAAGATGGTGCTTGAGGGCAAGCATGAGGTGACGAGTGCCGAAGAGAAGCGTTTGAAGGAGGATCGTGAGCGGACGAAGTACTGGAAGAAATGGGGATCATACACGGCTGAGCGACAATGGGCTACCGTGCGAGAGGACTACTCGTGAGTGTCATCCACAGTAGGTATGGACGATGTATATTGACATATCTCCAGAGCTGACGGCAATGCCTGGGCCGACTTCAACTACGACATGTCCCGCAGTCGAGCCTATCGATGGGGTGAAGATGGCATTGCTGGCGTCACTGACACTCATGGACGTATGCACATCACCTTCGCCTTCTGGAACGAGAAAGAGTGAGTGCCAATGTCTGACAGAATGCTTGACTACGCTGACAACATTTAGTGACCACCTCAAAGAGCGTCTCTTCGGCCTGTCCAACCCACAAGGCAACCACGGCGAGTCGATCAAGGAAGCTCACTTCCACCTCGACAACACCCCATCCCACTCGTACATGAAGTACCTCTACAAGCTTCCACAAAAGGCCTTTCCGTACGAAGATCTGATCCAAGAGAACGCTCGACGATCACGGAATGAGCATGAGTACAACCTCATCGATACGGGCATCTTCAATGAGAGCCGGTATTGGGACTGCTTCGTTGAGACTGCCAAGGACACCGAGAACCCTGACGAGTTGCTCTTCCGAGTGACATGCTACAACCGTGGACCTGAGCCAGCCAAGCTACACGTATTGCCGCACGTCACCTTCCGCAACACTTGGGCTTGGGGCCGCGACGATTACAAGCCCACTGCACACCAGATTGGCCAGTTGCAGTCTGAGCTTGACCACAAGGACATTGGCAAGCGATACATGCAATGCTCGCCGTCACCCAACGGCTGCGGTGGCCAGGACGATATTGAACCGGAGATGCTGTTCACTGACAACGACAGCAACTATGTCAAGCTTTGGGGTTCCAAGCAGAACAAGACCAAGTATGTCAAGGATGCCTTCCATGAGCGCATCGTCCATGGCGACAAGAAGGCCGTCAACCCGCAGAAGACCGGAACGAAGACTGCAGCGTGGTATGCCTTCAATCAGAACAAGGGTGTAGCACCGGGCGACTGTGCTGTTGTACGTTTCCGCATCTCGACCAAACGCAACGACGAGTACCTGGACGAGGAGGAGTTCGACGAAACCATGGATCAGCGTCTTGCTGAGGCCGACGACTTCTACTACAAAATCAATCCTCTCCCGATGGCCGACGACCTTCGCAACATTCAACGCCAAGCCCTTTCTGGCATGCTCTGGTGTAAACAATACTACCACTTCGTCTGGGACCAATGGGCCAACGGCGACCCTGCCATGCCCGCTCCACCTGCCAGTCGTAAGGCCGTCCGCAACTCTCAATGGAAACACATGCATCTGGATGATATTCTCTCCATGCCTGATTCCTGGGAGTATCCGTTCTTTGCAGCATGGGATAGTGCCTTCCACTGCATACCCCTGGCCATGATCGACCCCGAATTCGCAAAGAAGCAGCTCGACCTCTTCACCCGCGAATGGTACATGCATCCCAATGGCCAGCTACCCGCCTATGAATGGAACTTTGGCGACGTCAACCCTCCTGTCCATGCGTGGGCGACTTTCCGCACGTTCAAGATCGAGCGCAAGATGTATGGTCGTGAGGATCTGGACTTCCTTGAGCGTGTGTTTCAGAAGTTGTTGATGAACTTCACGTGGTGGACGAATCGCAAGGATGAGGACGGCAAGAATGTGTTCGAGGGTGGCTTCTTGGGTCTCGACAACATTGGTCTGTTCAATCGCTCGGATCCCCTACCGACTGGTGGCAAGCTTGAGCAAGCCGATGCCACAGGCTGGATGGCATTCTATGCTCTGGGCATGCTGAATATTGCTCTTGAGCTGGCCAAACATCGCCGGATATACGAAGATATTGCATCGAAGTTCTTCGAACACTTCATCATGATCTCGGACGCCATGCAATTCCGTAAGGGCAGTGAGGAGAAGTCCCTATGGAACGATGAGGACGGCTTTTACTACGACGCAATCACCTGGGGCGGCGGCTGGACCCATCAGATGCCCATTCGATCTCTTGTCGGCTTAATACCACTCTTCGCCACCCTCACGCTTGAGCCGCAGGTCATTAACAGATTCCCGTCCTTCAAGAAGCGAGTGGAATGGTTCACGAAGAACAGGCATGATGTAGCTGAGCGGAACCTCGCCAGCATGCAGCGGAGGGGTAAGGACGAGAGGTTGCTCCTGTCGCTTGTCAATGAGGATCGTCTGCGCTCTATCCTCAAGTACATGCTGGATCCGAATGAGTTCCTTGCGGACCATGGCATTCGGTCTCTATCGAAACATCACAAGGACCATCCCGTGTCCATGGACGTCAACGGCCAGAATTACTCCGTCAGCTACATCCCTGGCGACTCCGACAGCGGTCTCTTCGGCGGCAACAGCAATTGGCGAGGACCGATCTGGATTGCAGTCAACTTCCTGCTCATCGAGTCTCTGCTGCGCTTCTACATGTTCTACGGCAATACCTTCAAGGTCGAGTGTCCGACTGGCTCTGGCGACTACATGCACCTGGGCCATGTGGCTGAGGAGCTTCAGCATCGTCTGCAGCATTTAATGGCTTTCGACAACCAGGGCCGTCGCGCGATCAACAACGGTAACGATATGTTGGATCATGATCCCAACTGGAACCAGCATATGTGGTTCTACGAATTCTTTGATGGTGATACTGGCCGCGGTCTTGGCGCAAGCCATCAGTGTGGGTGGACTGGGTTGATGGCCAAGATGATCCACGATACTGGGTATGTTCTCCCGTCTCCACAACTTCCATCATCATGCTAATGTTCAAACAGTGTCAACTGCCGCTTACCACAAACACCTCGCACGCCCACAGCCGCAGCCTCCCACTACTTCGACGACACCTTTAGCCGCCAGCGTCGCGCCTCGTTGCACACTAACGGTCGTCCTTCAGGGCCCGCACGCTCCATGACACGCACGCGCTCCATAGGCGCTAGAAGCGACTGGAGCGAGAAGACCGGTGGCGCCGACATCGATGCCGACGGCGACGATGAAGGCACCTTTTCCAATGGCAAGCCAACTCCTAGCAGGACCTGGTCGATCTACAAGGACGACGATCGCAGTGTCGGTAGGCCTAGACCAGAGGATAACCCGGATGATCCTATCAACAAGTATGTCCAGGATCAACTGGATCGGATCAGGACGAATGAGAGTCATGAGTTTGCTGAAGAGCTTGCGGCGCAGAATGATGGGACTAACGAGCTGTGAGTTTGCTGGCATGGACGTGTGTGCTTCTCGACATACCTGGGCATGAAAACCTGAGCTTGGTTTCTGGAACCTAGGAGATGTACGGACATTGAGCGACAGAGATACAAGCATGTGTGTTTGGAATATGCACGGTGTGGCATTAGCGGGTGTTCTCTCTTGATGGTTGGAAGGCGGGAAGAATTTGGGGATTGCTAGATCGTACACCTAGAGCATAGACCGAAGAACCTAGATATCGGCCTGTGTATACACTGCCACCTTTTCTCATTGCTACTACCTTCGCGTGTACATCTTGTGCAACAGATCGCGAATACGTCATTGCCAAACAGGAGCATTGTGTTCTAGGTACATATATGCTCCAACGAGATGATGAGGTCCGGAAGATTGCTTTCTGGAGCTTCTACCAGAAATAACATTACCACAGGCGACTAAATCCGCGGTATCGGAGTGATATCTGCGGTGTAGTGCGATGGAGGACACAGATCAAAGCAAAATCAGGAGTTTTAAATTTGTATCATAAGTACTATAGCAAGCGAGCGGGATATTGACTGTATATTGATGGCAGCATTGAAGAATACCCGCCTCTCAACCCTCGAAGGGCGTCTCGAATGGACGCTCAGCCTGTGGCGTCAGGCGAGCGAGATGCCTCCGCTGACCATCCTGCCAGTCAAGGATGGCAGAATGAGCAGTGACCCTGTTGTCCCACACCACGACCGTCTTCGGTTCCCACTTGATGCGACATTGCAAATCTGCGCACAGAGCGATATGGTCGTACAAGAACTTCAGCAGGTAGTCACTCTCTTCCTTCTTGAAGCCTACAATGCGGCGGGTGAACTGTGGGTTTACGAAGAGAGCTTTCTCGCCTGTGACTGGGTGTGTGCGGACCTACAAAAAGGTCAGCTGATGGCAAGAAAGCATCGCACAGAGGGTTGGATGGGCATACCACTGGATGGACGTTGCTGACTGGAGTACGACGGACAATCGAGCCACGTGCCTTGGAAGCTGCGGCCTGCTCGTGCCCGGAATGGACTGCCTTCAGACCATGGAGACGCTTCTGAAACTCGGGCGACAACCTCTGATATGCCACTGCCAGGTTAGCGAAGAGCGTATCGCCGCCTGCTGTTGGATTGTCGAGAACGTAGAGGAACGTGGTGCTGGGTGGCTGCATCTCGAAAGTGACATCGGAGTGCCATGCTGTGGACGAGTCAGCGGTGCATTCGTGACGGTCAATTCATGAAAGGGACCTACTGATGGAATTCGTTCGCTCCTGGAAGAAGTCGGCGGATGTTGTGTCGTTGGCACTTCGATGAACCAAGTGGACTCTGGGGAAGCCCTTGGGCGCACCAGAAGCTTGATGGATGTGACTCGGGCCATAATACTGAGCGAAGTCCAATGCCGCTTGGATTGGCAAATCGGCAAAGTCTTGGTCTCTGAATGCGACGACCTTGCGCTGGGCGACGAACAGTGCCAGCTCGTCCTTGCCAGCTTTGTTGAGCTTGCTGAGCTGAACGCCCGTTACTTCGGCACCAATGTTGGCGGTCATGTCCTTGATGTTCGCCATTGCCAGCAAGTTCGGGAAGGATGGGTCGGCATCGTTGCCTGGTTGTACGGCCTCGAATGGCTCCAAGGGAGGATATGTGACATCGTCCCAGTATGGTAGGTAGTGAGGGTACTTGGCTGGTGGATGTTTTGCAGAGCCTTTGAGCTCAGCCTCATAGTCGGTTGTCTTTGCACTCTGAGCAAAAGCCTCCTTGTTGGTAGAATCGATCTGGTCACGAGCATGTACAGCCTCCGCCTTGGTGTCGACCGGATGGTCGACGACAGTTTCGATAAGTCCTGGGGCCATTGTGTCTTTCTTCGGAAATTATTAGAGTATGCTGTGATGAGGAATGGATAGAGAGAAGAATGTCAGAGAGCATATATATGCACCACTAAATGAGGACATGAAGCATGTCGATGTCGTTACTGCTGGTGGCAATTCACGCTCTGCATCATTATTCCGGCATCGGTCGTGTAATGCGACGAAAAGGTATCTCTCGAGCGGGGCACGTCTCTGTCTTTGGCGACCGAAGACCTACCACTGTACACCGACCTACCTCTTTGAGCATCAAAACCTCGCTGTCGTGATCGAGCTAGCTGCAAAATCATCATATGGAGTCTGACACGCAATACGACTAGGGACAAAGACCATTGTGGTTCCACGGCACTGCAATGCCGAGACTCTGATAAGATGTGCAGCGTTACATAAGACGTGCGAGATAGCAGTAAGTCGAGTGAGAAAGATCATAGGCTGGAGAGGATGTAGAGGTGATTGTGTGCTATGGCGTGCTCCAGATCTTGCCTACTTCTGAGGACAGCGTACCCTTGAGCCAGCCTTGGCATTGCCGTCGCTGCTGCCGAATTGCAACCCCTTCTCACTGCACCCACATTTGCAGTATGTTGAAGCTCGCTAAGACTCGAAGAGGCCTTTTCGGGCAGCTCGTTGATGGCGTGCTGTCCCTATCCCAAGGCTCTGCGGATCCTGCGTCAATGTAGCGTGCGTCAGTAACCCTGCAGCACAGTTATCCAGCAGATGGCATAACGTCACTGCCATTGTATCCGCTTAGTGTTGGCGATGCCACTCAGAACTGGCCATGGAGCTGGGTCCGATCGTCGTAGATAGTCGACATGCGAGACGCACGTGAAAAATGTCGATCGAAGCAAATTATCCGTCCTTTCGCAGACATCCTCGCCATTGGACACCCTCTATTTTCTCAAAAGCATCTCGACGAGGCTCCCGAGTCCGAGAATTTGCTCGCAACCGAAATGAGTGACAAAACCTCCAGCAGCGGCATCGAGCTGCCGCAAAATGGAAGTAAAATCTTCCATGGCAAAGCGGCTGCACAGCCAAAGTTGTTTGGTCTCGGGACAAGAGAAGGTCGGACAACTTTCAAGACCGAATCGCTGGAGGAATACTACAAGCCGATAAATTCTTACGAAGGCGCTCATCGCTATGATCCCCAATTCGAGTGGACACCTGCCGAGGAAAAACGTCTTGTTCGCAAGGTAAGTAGCATGATCGTGGCAGAGTGCCTGCGCTGATGGTGTGAAGATTGATTTTCGGATATGTTCGTGGATCTGCTTCATGTTCTTCGCACTCCAGCTGGATCGAGGCAACATCAGTCAAGCACTGTCTGACGACATGCTTGGCGACCTCAAGATCACAACCAATGACTACAACACCGGCCAGACGATCTTCTACCTAACATTCTTGTTCGCCGAGTTGCCCAGCCAGCTAATTTCTAAAAAGATCGGACCTGACGTACGCACCAGACGATCTATGGTCCTGTGCCAGAGCTGACGTGACCCAATAGAACTGGATCCCAATTCAGATGGTGTCTTGGTCTTTGGTCGCCAGTTTCCAGGTGTGTCGAGCTTGCTTCCGTTGCATAAGCGCCTATTGTGGCTGCTGACATCAACGCGAGGCTTTCATGTCAGGCCGAAGCTCATTTTGGGCCTGCCGAGCTCTTCTTGGCATGATCGAGGTGCGACTGACAATCTCATATTATAGTAACCGTGTCGATACTGACGGAAGCTTGATAGGGCGGCTTCATACCTGACAACATTTGTAAGTACTGGTGCAAAGGCTGGAAACCGGACCACTAACTATTCGTATCAGTATACCTGTCTTACTGGTACAAAGGTGGCGAGCTACCTCGACGCCTATCGTTCTTTTGGACGTCGTACCAGGCAACAAGTATAGTATCAGCCTTCGTGAGTTGTGACTCTCACCAGTCGTTGTTGGTAGCATGTGAAAGCTAACGCAAGATTGTGCAGATGGCGTTTGGCATCCTACACATGCGAGGAATCAACGGCCTTGCCGGGTGGAGATGGTAATAACCTTTAACGAGCTGCTTTCCAGGGTGGAGGAAGGAGTCTGACATCTTTCGTAGGCTGTTTGCACTCGAAGGCACATTGACCGGCCTGATCGGCATCGTATCGTGGTTCTACATCCCACCTTCGCCAACACAGACTGCGTCGTGGTTCCGAGGCAGGGATGGCTGGTTCAATGAGCGTGAAGAGAAGATAATGGTGAATCGTGTGCTTCGCGATGATCCGAGCAAGGGCGATATGCACAACAGACAGGCGCTGGACTTCCAAGGTTTCTGGCTCTGCTTGAAAGACTGGCACATGTAGGTATAGCCGAGGACGTAGGGAGATACACTTGCTGACTTTCTTGCTACAGGTGGCCCATCTACTTGCTTGGCTTCACCTGGCTTCTTCCAAGCATCCCGATGAACCAGTATATCACGCTAGTGCTGCGTGGAGCGGGATATGGTACTGTAAGTGGCGGTATTGCTGAGAAGCTTGGTGGACGTCCACAGTTGCTGATGTTTCCCAGTTCGAAACAAATTTGCTCACAATACCGGCTTATGTGCTCTTCATTGTGAATCTGCTGGTCATCTGTTGGATCTCAGAGAAGATCAATGAACGCTTCCTTCTCAGCGCGGTATCTCAACTTTGGGTGCTGCCTTTGTTGGTAGCGTTGGAGTGCCTGCCAGCAGACAGAAGTCCTTGGGCCACGTGGATCCTCTCGATCCTTGTATACGCGCAGCCATACGCCCACGCTATCCTGGTCGCCATCACCAGTCGCAATGCTGGCACTGTCCGAACCAGGACAGTAGCCTCCGCGCTTTACAATATGTCGGTCCAGACATCGAACATCATTGGCGTCAATGTAAGCCTTTCGAAAGCCGCATTGGCCCAGATCGCTGCTGACAGCTTCCAGATATATCGGCAGGAGGATAAGCCGCTGTACAGAACAGGGAACAAGGTGCTCCTCGCACTTGTGGCGTACAATATCGTGCTCTTCGTTTTCGCCAAGATCTTCTATGTGACGATCAACCAGTAAGTACGATCTACCTGGCGTAAGAGTACATTGCTGACGGGCTCCAGACGCCGTGAGAAGATTTGGGGTGCAATGACCAGGGACGAGAGGGCATACTATCTCTCGACCACAACCGACAAAGGAAACAAAAGACTAGACTTCCGGTTCGCGCATTGAGGATCGCGTACCATAGAGATAGAAGTGCTGATCCTGAGATTCTATTGCTTCGGGCGGCGCGTTATGGCCCGTGTATAGCACAGCTTCGTCAGAGGCCAAGGACGCGGCAGGTTTCGTATACAAGAAAGCAAGCCTCCATGCGGCATGATGATCGGGTCACTTTCATGGGTGAAATGCCGAGTCTCGGTCTCCCCGTGGCCTCAACTTCGTAGCCAGATAGTAGACTTGAAGTAGAGGATTGGCATTCATCCATCTGCTTCTGGATCCTCCTCGCCGTACATCTCCTCTTCTTTCTCCTCTTGTGCCTTGCCTGTTCCTCCGCCCTGTGGTAGCTTGTCCGCTTCCATGCGCTCTGTCAGAAAGGCATTGATATCAGCCTGGATCTGCATAGTGCCAGAGCGCAGAGCTGAGAGATATGTTGTCTTCTGAATCACGCTTTGCGCCTTCACATCGCCCGGTAGCTGTGGCAGCTTAGCTGAGAAATGGCGACTATACTCGGGCGATGTATATACGGCAGTCATCTTCGCTTCTGCCATGTCGAAACTCTTCTATCCTGTCAGTTGTGGTGGTTCGAAGTTGTCGCTGAAGAGCGCTGGGAGGGTGTCATGCCAAGGCTGAGCTGAGTCAGCCGAGTGAGACCATCCACGTTGCTATCACTTCTTCTTTCACTGCTATCTTTAGCAACATCGGTTCGCCAGAAACAGCGACGCGGCAGAAGCTCAGTGAGGACATGATGGACACGAGGCTCACACCTCGCTTCTGCTCAGCAAAGGAACGATCGTATCAAGCCAGTATTCAACACTCCTTTCAGGGATACTCGAATTTCATGGCAAACTCTGTTTATATGCACGCTGTCAAGCACGTCTACTCGAACTAAGATCTGGCGACTTCTTTGACATGCACAAGCAGCTCAGGCTTGGCCCACAATGCCATCACTTTGCAGTGATTGACCCAGTTGGTACTTCTGGAATCGAGCGTCAGATCGTAAGACCAAATCATCTTGGCCATGATCAGCCTCATCTCAGCATATGCAAGATTCTACACAGTACGTCAGCTGAATGTTGTGGTTCTGGTATGGAGTCTCCCCAAGCATACCTTTCCGAGACAGTTGCGAGGTCCGTAGCTGAATGGCTGGACCCAGCCCAACTTATCAGAGGCATACCTCTCATCATCAATCCAGCGCTCGGGCACGAAAGCATCGGGGTCTGTGAAATGTTTCGGATCGTGGTAGGCTGTGTAGTGAGAGACGGCGACGGATGTCCCTTCTGGTATGAAGTGCCCGCTGACCATTTCGCCACCTTCACCTACTCTGCGCTCGAAGCCGGTCGGGACTGGTGGGAAGTACCGCAGCCCTTCAGACAGTACCGCAAGCAGATATGGAGCCTTATTCACTTCCTCGAGTGTGATGTCACTGTACTCCTTCCAGCGCCCACGAACCTCCTCTGTCAACTTTTCCATGATGGCCGGATTCTTCAGCAGGAAGTAGGTCGTGGAAGCCAACATGGAGGCGGTAGTCTCGGATCCCGCTACGAGGAAGACGCTATTGTCACTCTCGACCTCTTTCATTGAGATCTTCGAGCCATCCTTGTCACCTCGATTCGCCGCAAGGATATGCGTCATGAAGTCCGGCCTTTGTGTCTCGCGTTCGGCTCGCTTTTGCGTTTGACTTGTGACCCATTTGTTGAAGTCGACACGGGCAGCAACTTTTGTCTGGTCGATGATAAGACTGCCGAACTTCTTGACCCAAGGGAAGTAGTACATGCTGTAGCAATGGTGTCAGCTACGCTATTACAATGTGGTCTGAGATACTGTCAATACTGACATGTAGTAGAGACGGAAGCCCGCCAGCGCATTATTGATATTCTGTACGTGCTTGTCGGTCGCCAGGTTCTGCAAGCAGCCGAAAGGCTCACCAAATGTCAGGTCGGCAATAACATCGAAAGTCGTCCTATCAATGTGAGTGCTGCTCTCGCTGATGATTGCCTATTACTCACCAATTGTACCACAGGACCATATCCTGCGTCTTGCCAGAGCCCGCAGAAGTCTCCCCAAGACGGTCGATTAACTGGTCGACATATTTCTGCAGTAGTACTTCCTGACCGGCTAGTGCCTTCTCGCTAAAGGCATGACTTAAGATTCGCCGATGGCGCGCATGAGCTTCATCGTCGGCGATCAGAAGTGAAGGCACACCATTAGCAGCAGGGGCATACCAAGCTGCATCTTTCTGCTTCTGGCTTGCCCTACCTTTCGATTTCCCCGTGCGAAACCCATATATATCTTGATGAGCGGTGTCGATGGAAGTGAAGGATACCTCGTTGGGCGACACACGGACGACATCGCCGTACTTGGCGTGGAGTGCGTTGACATTGTCTACGGTCGTGCCAGCGAGAAGGTGGCGGATATATGGGATGCGAGAAATTGCATTGATCCTAGGTCCCGGAATCTTGCTGAGCGGATGGACGTAGAGCTGATAGATGACTTTGCCAAGCACAAACAAGACGGGCTTTTATGGGTTAGCAGCGTTGCGTGCCAGATCCAATGCATCTAGCTCACAAGAAGGACTACAAGGCCTACGAGAGCGACAGGCCTGCTCTCGGAATACCAGAGTAGACTTGACATCGTGTATTGTCCGAGGTCACCTGTGCAAAGATCTGGAAGAAGTCGGTGACAGAGACTGAGTCTTTACTACTTGAAACAGGACGTCTTGATATATGGGTGCGAGTGATCCGCTTAAAGTCATTCATCTACCTTGTCTTCACCTTCAGCTATCTGTCGTAAGCAAAGTCTATTCACCACTTCCCTGAATCAGCCACGTTAGGTGCCGACCTCCCGCCGTGGAGCTAGAAGATATGCTTGTATAAAGCTACTAGTGCGCTTCTTCAACGTCAGCCCGGCTCTAAGGTTACACAAGCGCACTAGCGCCATGTCGACCAACTCTGTGGGGCGCCTAACATGAGACCTAGTTCATGCTAGAAAGATCAGACTGTGGTTTCTCGAACACTACGACGGATCGGATGATTGTTGATAGTACACTCCTGCTTTTGTCCCTCAGCCGTGGTCGTCAAGTTCTCGGAAGCTTCGTAGTAGGTAGCTAGCTTTCCTCGTGCTGACTGCCGTGATCCCAGAGTACGAGTCGTGATATTTATGAAACAGCAGGTGATGATGCGACGTGCCATCTTACGCGAGGACTCACACATCGCTGTTTATGCCGTAAAAGCATCGCTTGACGATCTCGCGCCAGACCATGCAATGATTTCGACATATGCGCTTGTCAAGGCCCCCAACCCTTAGGCGTCCCGCACAGCACCAACAGGTTCAGGCCGATGCGCGAAGAGCAATTTCCAGTAGACGATCTCAGCCACCTCAAGCTCCTCTACACCGTCTGACTCCGTCTCACGCTTTCGCATAACAGCGATAGGCTTGGGCAGTTTCTTCACTTCGCCAGTCATGCGTTGATGCTTGCCCACGTATAAGTAGACGCGTTTCTGCCATGCCGTATCTTCCGAGGTAGCAGTAGCATCGCAGAGTGGGAATTCCAGTTTACCTAGGGCTAAGCTGCCGTCGCTTTCGTGTTGCATTGAGGTGAGAGTGGAGTTGACTGTGCCCTGGATTTCTACTATGGCTAGACCGGAAGGCGTTTGAAGAAGTTGTGGAAGTGGATTGGCTGTGTCGGATATTCTGTCCTTGTCTGGCGGATGCAGGATTATGGATGGCATTCCGGAGGATCGTGACTCGTGACAACGCGTGGAGGATTGGGATGTATCATGTAGTGCTTCCGAGCGAAGTAGGGCTGCAGATTAAGCTTCTCACAGTGCGGATGGTGGCGTTGCTTGGAAAAACTAGCATGGCGAACGTGCATGGTCGAGGCAGGCACGATATATGGTGCACTGACTCGAGTGACAAACCTGAATCACGTCAAATCCACGCAGAATGAGACATGAATATGGTCATGATGAGCATTGCCAAGTATCTACAAGCTGGCCTAACGAGTAAATGTACAAGTTCTCAACAAACCATGAACATCGCACTAGCAGTGCCCGCCAGCAGGTCATGCTCTCCTGCAAGCCATTATCATACAACAAGCACACGCAGACCTAACAGGAGCCTTCCACGGAGAACAAGCTAATGTCCTAGCTCGAAGATTCCAGCCAGAGGTCCACAAAGCAGCAGCTACGTGCATGAGCACAAGCCGCCCGCCGTTAGATCACAAAAAAGCACCGCAGATATCATCATTCAAAAAGCATCGAAACATCGCCCCAGTGGTATATCCGCCTTTGCAAAGGCAACTCCACAAGCTCCATTTCCATCAAAACTCCTCCGCCCATATCCCATATAACACAAGAGGAAGAAGCCTTTCTTCCTAGGTCGTCATATCGTGGGTATTCGAACAGCCTGTAATATCTGCTCGTCCATCATCAAAGTTGTCATGTGTTCATCGCATGTTTGTCTCAGCTGGTCTCCAAGCTGATGTGCTCAGTCGATCTGGCAGGTGTGATGACTGAGTCTTCACATCTGAGGCGGTGGGTAGGCTGAATAGCCACCATACATCTCCTGCCCAATGGACCGGCCTGCACTAGCACTGGCACCGGCATTGGCTCCAGCATCAGCATCGTCGTCGCAGCCACCATTGCCGTAGCCACCGTAGCCACCTGATTGCTGCGTATTCTGGTCCTTCTGCTGCAGGATCTTCTTCATGCGCTTATTACCCTTGACAGTAGCCTGGATAAACGCAGCAATCTCCTTTATCTGCTCGGATTTCGACAGTCCGGACTTGCCGTTCTTGAGGCTAGGTACTAGCTTCTCGAGCTCCTGGTAGCCTTGCTTAATGACCACACGACGCTTCTGCTCAGATTGAATGTGATTCTGGCGCTTTTGCTCTTCGGTCAGGTTCGCGCGTGAGCGGCCACTTGGGCGACGCTGCTTGATGACGGAGCTTTCGACACCAGCGGGTGAGTGAGAATCGATGGCTGAGTTGGGAGAACTGGCGTCGGCTGCACGAGGGTTGACGAGAGATTTGCGGCGCTCAGGCGCTGCCTTGCCGATTGCCATGCTGATGTCGGAGTCATCATCATCATCCCCATCGTCGTCTTCGCTCGCAAAGTACAAGGCGGCTTTTGGCACTTTCGGACCGCGTGTTGGAATTGTGCCGCGTGTGCGTTGGCCTTCAGGAACATACTCGTCCTCGCCTTCACGCTCTATCTGCGACTGGCGACGTTTGCGCGACTGAGCATCGTTACGCAAGGAGCCGTTGACGTTTGCTGAGTGGGCAGCAGTGGTGCCGTTTGTCATGGCGGCCCACTGTGCAGTACCTGGGCGAGGAGGTGCAGCCATGGTGGAGTTTGCGTCACGATTGCCCTTGGCGAATGGGTTGTGAAAGCCAGTCATGTTGTTCATGTGGGCCGTGCGTTGCTCATGCAGACTCATGTGCTGGCTTGGCGATCGCGCGTGACCATTTGCAGCTGCACGATCGGCGAGAGGGACTTGCATCAAGTTCCGCATCTTCTCCTGCTGCACAGCCTCGTATTCTGCAGCCTGGTAATGTCGACCTTGACCAAATTGCTGATCGCTGCCAAAGCGCACCATTGGAGGCATACGTGGCTGAGGACGAACTGCTGGCGAGGCAGACTGTGTGTTCTGTTGACCGAACATTAGGCCAGAGGCCGAGTACTCCTCGTGTGCAGATTGGGCGCAGGCATGTGTCATGCCATTGAAACCGTTCATATTGTGCTGCATATGCTGTGCCTGAACTGGCGATGGTGTGTGCATATTCGAAGTGTATGGCTCCAGCTGCATCACCGCTTGGGAGGCAAGGTTCTGGAGCCCCACATCCCCTTCTGAGTCTTGTTGGTGAGTGCCCGTGAATGCGTGAGCGTTGCCTAATTGACCCCAAGCGCCGCCGTGGCCTTGTGGGTGAGTATTTTGCGCGCCAGTAGTCGGTGTGGAGTTTGCCAAATTCGCCAATAATTGCGCACCAGTACCCACATCCCCTGGGACGCCCGAGTGGAAGATCTCGGGCAGGTCGTCGAAGGAGAAGGGTGGCGGACCACTGTAGGCGAAATGGCTCGTGTCGAGATGAGTTTGCACGTTGCTCGTTGGCAGACCAGCAAGTGTCACAGCTGGGTCAATCGTTCCATTGGAGCTATCGAAGGTATAGTTGTTGCTGCCGTAATTCTCTCCGTAGGGCAGGCCGCCGAAGTGCTCCAGACCGGCATGATTATTACCCATCTGCATAAGAGACTGCGATTCATCTGGGTCCTGAAGATGATCGAAGAAATTGGCCATGTGGGTCTCGTCGTTGCCGTTCAAGATATTACCTTGGCTGGCTGACGGACCCAGTGGTAGGCCATTCTCAGCCGCACCGACTCGATCTGCGGTACGGAGTGAGCTCACGTTAAGTTATACGGTTGATATCGTTGGTGGGAGGTTACACTTACAGCCAAAGGGATCGGTGGAGGATTCATCGCGAGGACTGCTGTCCTTGTCGCGGCCACGGTCGGTTTGATACCCACCTTCATTGGTATTGGCACTACCAAAGTCCTCAAAACCTTTCTGCCCACCATAATGCTGCGTCATAACTTCTCCCATCGCAGCCTCCCCAACAAGACTCCTCCAATCGTCCTCCGTGCCGTTAATTGTGTGCGTGTTCCTGGGAGCTTACCTTGATGTATGTGAATACACTCCACTGACTTGCTCAAGGCAAACAGTGAGTGCACAGTGTGTTCGTCGAGTCGCGGTCGATATGGAGTCGAAATATCATCGTCTCATGAAAGAGTCTCTTGGGGCGGTGTTCAAGGTGGCAGGTGACACTGTTCGAGATCGTGAAGGCGTGTGAAAGCGTGTGTTCGTGTGGTGGGAGTGGTCGAAGTGGCGGAACTTCGGAGGTGGATATTCTTGGTGGGGCTGTGGGTGTGAAGTGAGATTGAAGCTTGACTGCGAGTATGCGAGTATGAGTACCTATGCATGAATTGTTGAGAAGTCGAGTCGCTGCGGCGGGATAGTTCTCACCTTAGGTTGGTATACACGATGTTGCTCCCGGATAATGATGTTTTCGAGCTCGTCTCAGCTGGGTCTACACTTACTTGTCGCTACGCATGGTCTCGTCCGGATACTGTCCAGCGTTCGAGGTCGTGCGTCAATGTCAGGCCTACAGTGTTTGGTATTCGAGTGCTCCGCTAGGAACGATCGAGTATCACATGCTTTGCACATGATCCGCCAAGACGTCCGTGCAGCAACGACGCTAGTACGAAAAGGCCGAGGTCGAGAACAGGACAGGACGAGAGAATGGTTATCTTTAGAGATCTTGCCATCATCTCTTCGAGCAGTCGAGACGGTCTTGACCTGTTCTTCATGATGTCCAGACCCTCCAACGAGCACCGATCATGACTACCTCCATGAGCCACCTCCCGGCTCAGCTCCACGCCGCCCTGTCGAGACGCTCTGCGAAACAGCTGCTCAATGACCTTACAACGCTCTACGTAAAGCATCGCACCACCATCTCAAGGACAGTCTACCTCGCCTTATTCCTCGCCTTGATCAGTCGCGTCCGCAATGCGATCAAAGAGCAACAGGCTGCCGCTGCACGTGCTGCTGAATCTCGACGAAAAGGGCCATTGACTGGCAACACTGGCGCAGAGGGCAGCACAAGGAAGAAGGTCGAGCTGAATAGAGAGTTCTTCCGCAATCTAATCAAGCTACTGCGGATATGTATACCAGGTTGGAAGAGCAAGGAGCTGCGGCTACTCGTCAGCCATTCAGTGTTCCTGGTCCTGCGCACACTTATCAGCTTATACGTTGCCGAGCTGGACGGCAGACTCGTCAGCAGCTTGGTGAAAGGCAAAGGGAAGGCCTTCTTGAAAGGTCTGGTCTGGTGGATGATCGTTGCTGTGCCGGCCACGTTCACGAACTCCATGCTCTCCTACCACCAGACGACGCTATGCCTGGCCTACAGGACTCGCCTGACGCAATACATACACAATAAGTACCTCCATAATATGACCTTCTACACACTCTCTGCCCTGGACGACCGGATAAAGAATGCAGATCAGCTTATCACAGTAGACGTGAGCAAGTTCTCCAACAGTCTGGCAGAGCTCTACTCCAATCTTGCCAAACCAATACTGGATCTGGTCATCTACAACTGGAGCCTCAGTAGAAGTGTAGGTGGTGAAGGGCTATTCGCTATGTCTCTCATGGTACAGCTGAGTGCGAGCGTAATGCGTGCTCTCACACCTCCTTTTGGCAAGTACGTTGCAGATGAGGCGAGGCTGGAAGGCGAGTTCAGATTCCAGCATTCACGCTTGATCGACTATAGCGAAGAGATTGCTTTATACTCCGGACACGAAGCTGAAAAGGACACACTGGACAAGGGCTATTTCACGTTGATCAAGCATGTCAACCGTATCCTCAGACGGCGCTTCTACCATGGCATCATGGAAGATTTTGTGATCAAGTATTTCTGGGGTGCGTTGGGTTTGATGCTTTGTTCCGTTCCTGTCTTCTTCAAGGTGCCGTCGACTGGCGTGGCGCTTGGAGGCAAGAGCGACCATACCGAAAGCTTCATCACAAATCGTCGACTGCTACTGTCGAGCAGCGATGCTTTTGGCAGATTGATGTTCTCTTACAAAGAGATTTCTCAGCTGGCAGGCTACACCAGCCGCGTCAGTACACTTCTAGACGTCATTGCGGACATCCAGCGAGGACACTTTGAAAAGGCGCTTGTGTCGTCAGCTTCTACAGAGGCGAATGCAGCCGTGCTATCTGGTCGTGGCAAGCTGGAAGAGAGCGAGGATATCGAATTCTACAACGTGCCTATTGTCTCACCCAATGGCGATGTGCTGGTAAGAGCACTCTCCTTCCACATCAACCGTGGCGATCACCTGCTGATCGTAGGACCAAATGGCTGCGGCAAGAGCAGTCTCTTCCGCATTCTCGGTGGTCTGTGGCCTGTGTACGGAGGCAAAGTACGCAAGCCACCAAGCGAGGACATCTTCTACATCCCTCAGCGACCGTATTTGAGCAAAGGCACCTTGCGACAGCAGATCCTGTATCCAGATTCACTTCTCGATATGCGCGCCAAAGGTACCACGGACCAAGATCTCGCAGCCATACTAACAGTGCTTGGTCTCGAGAGTCTCCTGAACACGAATAACAGCCGGTCGTATGTCACCGAGTCGGCCAGTCCGACCGAAACCCGCTCCCCTCGCTCCCTAGCAGGTCTAGATACAACGGCCGAATGGTCCGACCTCTTAAGCACGGGGAACCAACAACGCATAGCCGCCGCCCGCCTCTTCTACCACCGCCCGAAATACGCCATCTTAGACGAATGCACGTCATCGGTCACGTCCGAGACGGAGAAGATCATGTATGACGAGGCGAAGAGGTTAGGGATCACATTGATGACGGTGAGCCATCGGAGGAGTCTGTGGAGGTATCATGGATGGATTCTGCAATTCGATGGGCAGGGTGGGCATGTGTTTACGAAGTTGGATGCGGAGAAGAGGTTGAGGTTGGAGGATGAGAGGGAAGAGCTGGAGTTGCAGTTGAGGGGTGTGGGGGAGATTGAGAAGAGGATTGCTGAGTTGGAGGTTGGCGGTTGAAGACGGTCCGATCATCGCGATCTAACCTTGAGGGACAACAGCGTAGCTGTGGGGTGGCACCGCTGTTGCTCGACAGTAGTCGGAGCTGCTTCCGAGGGAGCGACGGTCCATTGAGGAGTAGCCACGGCATGACCTATCGCGACCATCACTCTAGGGCCGCAATGCTCTCATTTGCTGGCCAAAGTCGTACAGCCTCCTCTTGTTGGGCACGAACGACGTCCGACTGACCAAGTCATGCGACGCGCTTATGCTGTCACTCGGCCGGGCTGTGCGACATTTCTTCCGGCGAACAGAAATTGGCGGGAGGAGGCAAAGGACGAAACTGTCTGCATTGCGCATATCATACACGCATCTCGATATGAGAAGCGTGAACACAGCGATGTGGTAACCCAACTGCACGCATAAATGCGTTAGCGGGGTGGCGGTAAGCTTGAAGAAGCGAGGCAGTGCAGTGGCTGTGATGCACCAGGCATGGGCTTCGAGTCAGATGTGGCGACCACGGTCCGCAAGAAGGCGACGACTATGTACTCTTAGTGTACATAGACCTTGCATATGCATGTGAACCCGGGATGATTTAGTGGTGTCGCATCGCCCTGCCTGAGGCGCTGTAGGCGACCTCATCTCTCCTCCTCGATCTGATGGTCTTCCCTTCATGTTCGGTATTCACAGGCGGTTTTATCGTGAACTCATTACATCCTTACTTTCTACATATGAGATATAAGGGAAAGAAGTAGGGTATTTGCACAGCCAATCTCGCCGTTCATCGTTTCGTGGACGTCTCCTATCATTATTAGCAATATCGACATCATTGCCGCTCCATATGTTCTACAGGTCTCAATACCCGTCTCGGTCCTGTCGACCACGAGGATCTCTAGCCACAGCAGCTCGCCGCGCCTACTTCAACGTCAGCATAGGCAATCGCTCTTGTTCGATACATACAGTGGCTTACTGCTCTAAGCCGTTCACGCTCAGGAGTGCGCTCCGCTCCAGCGGCCTGCATGAGAGCTGGCGCGGACTCCAGGGCTACTCCTCGTCTGAGGTGTTGTTGTTCACCGTTACTGACAAGTCCCAGTCGCCAGAGATGAAGGATGTGCTCATGTCTCGACACGACTGGACGGACCGCCGTCTCACGTTGGGTCCTGTGGCTCATGATATGTCTGGCTCGTGCGTTCCAAGCTAGGTCGCCGGACCTCTCTGTGGTGGACCATTCGCAGCTTGCGAAGGGACAGTCGGCCCACTTTGGCAGATTTCCGCGGAAGTGAGACTTGCAGTGCATTTCGAACGCACCGTAATCTGTAGTTGTTTTCCGACATCCTAGAACACCGTACGGACACTGCAGGACAGTCTCTTCTACCTCGTCACCGCTATCTTCATCTGGCAGGTGATACCGGTGGGTTGGGCTCGACTCAGAATCATCCTCGGAGATAGTAGACGGCGCAGTCGAACTTGTCGACAGTGGAGGGGCGTCTGACGACGATGCCACGCTGCCCCAAGTCGATGTACGACTGCTACCGACGGTGGCCGTCACGGATGCCGTTTCCGAACCTCCTCTTTCGAAGACACGCGGCACGGAATCCGCCCTGGCAGGAAACGAGGAGCCCGAGGCACTAACAGCCTGGATACGGCCATCTTCAACATTCCCCATGTAACGGTGGATTGGATACTGGTATGGCTGAGTCTGCAGATTTGCGAAGCTGTAGGGCGGCTGTGTTACGTAGCGTGCGTCGGCAGATTCAACATAGCCAGGATTGGAGTGGCCATCCGAGCCACTGGTTGACCGAGGAGGCATCTTCTGGTTTGCTTGTACTGCAGTAACACAACGAGAATAAGTGCACTAGAGGTGATGGGAGAACACGACTTGCTAACACAAAGCTACTTGCCGTTGAGGTATGCGCATTTTATCAACAATATCATTCATTACGGCGCCGACGTCGTGTGATGGACACAGGACAGACCTGGACAAGGATCCGTTGAGCCTCCGCCCACACCTCAGGCTTGACGCGAGAGAAGTAGGGTCCAGGTGGAGGTTCACTGTCCCTGCCGGATCACGATCGATGGGACAGTTGATCGTGGACTTCGCGTTTTCCTGTATCACAATCCGGAGATCGACGCGGTCCTGCCAATCCTCGGTGGCGCCGCCGCCATGCAAGGCTTGGGTGATTTCGATCCTTGTCATCCAAGCCTTCACACGCACCAGAAAGCAAGCGTATGGCCATGACAGACTGCTCTGCCGAATCTATGCAAAATGACATTTCCGCTGCAAGACCCGGATCTGCCTTCGGTAGCGTGCGAGAGCGATAGTCGAGCGTCCAGATTCGTCGTTCGCATCAACGTTAGCTGGCCCAGAGCAAAGCTCCCATTTGCGGAGAGCTTCACCGGGACAGAGCATTAGCAGCTGCATCATGCAGCTGACCGACGCCAGCACTTTATCTCTGCCATTGGGGTCTTGGCATTAAGGAAGGACCGTAGCCGAGTGCCGCGCATGTCGATGAGATGGGTTTGATTCGCGAGAAATCAATGAAACCGTGAAGATGAAGTGGTGAGAATGGCGAGGAAGTGGTCGTCTTTGAAATGGTCCTTGCACGTTGCTCGGATGCTCCCGTGGTGAACAAACTTGTCATGAACACCAAGAACCAAACAACCATGTCTAGCAGTGACGCGCAGCTTCTCGCCTCAACAATAGAGCATGGCTCATGGCTCATCGGGAGATTGCTTCGCGACTGGCTGACGCTCTCCACGCTGACGAAGATATTGCAAGAGTGAAAGTCACCAAAAATCGCGTTCGCATACATAGTTCTCGAAGCCAACAATCCTGGACAACAGTATGCGGTTGCTTTTCCTATCCAACTTCCTTGCAGGCACCTTGAGCTTCGCCAGCCTGACTCTCGTGGACCTAGGTAACTCCGAGACCTCACACCACCTATAGTACTCGGCATCCAGCTGAGGGCCACTTTTGTGTCCGTTACAGACAGTATCCTTGGCAAATGCCCGCGCGGCCTATCTGGCTTGTTGGGATCTCGCACAATGGCCACCAATGAGGCTCTGCACGCGATGTGGGACGCTGTTGTTTTGCCACACGAACGATCCTGGGGGATCTACAGTGGAGTGGATCCGATTGCTGGAGAATTCGACCTCCGTGAAACAGACACCTCCCTCCGGCCAGAAGAGATATCAAAGCGGTACAAGGCTGGAATTCCATCCACATGAAGTAGGTAAGAAATATGTCGTATATATGAAGGTAAGGTTTGACGCGGTTTTATCTGTTCCCATATCTCTTCTGCACTTTTTCTAGTCACAAATTTTAGATCAAACAGTAGTCAACGAATAGATATGCGTTCAAGAACCCTGGCAAACCTCTGGTGTCTGTCTGCATGTCACGGACTGGCCACCGCAAAGACGACGTCCTCTAGCTTGAGACCGGCTACGACCTCATCCACAGGACCATCCCCATGTACCGTGACGGCGTATTCTGCTGTTGCTGCGGCTACAGCTTCTTGCACGGCCATCACGCTCAAGAACATTGCAGTCCCTGGTAATGCCACTCTTGATCTGTCGAAGCTCAAGGCTGGCACAAAAGTGACCTTTGCCGGAACAACCACTTTCGGATTTGCAGAGGCAGACTACGACATGATCAAAGTCGGTGGCACAAACATCACCATAACCGCCGAAGCCGGTGCCATCATCGACGGCAACGGGCAGGCCTGGTGGGACGGTCAAGGATCCAACGGCGGCATTGCAAAGCCTGATCACTTCTTTGTGATCTCGAAGGCTCTCGGCAATAGCGTGATCAAGAATCTCTACATCCAGAACTACCCTACCCACTGCTTCTCCATATCGGGTAGCGAAGGACTGATAATAGAAAACATCGTTCTCAACAACACCGCCGGGAACGCGCCCAATAGTCGATCGGGCGGTCTTGCCGCTGCTCACAATACCGATGGTTTTGATGTCAGTACTTGCAACAATACTATTATTCGGAACAGCAAAGTGCTCAACCAGGATGATTGTGTGGCTGTGACATCTGGTAACAATATCACCGTCGATGGTCTGTACTGCGATGGTGGCCACGGTCTGAGCATCGGCTCCGTTGGCGGCAAGAGCAATAACAATGTCACGAATGTTCTGTTTGAGAACTCATACATCTTGAACAGTCAGAATGGTGCTCGCATCAAGAGCAACTCGAACACGACTGGTTTCATCGCCAAGTAAGTGTCGCAGCACAAGTCCACCCAGTCTGAGGATCCACTGACTCGTCCTTAGCATCACCTACCAGAACATCAAGGTCTCAAATATCTCCATCTACGGCATCGATATCCAGCAAGACTACCTTAACGGCGGCCCCACTGGCTCGCCCACGAACGGTGTGATCATCACCAATGTCACGATGTGTAACATCCAGGGCATGGCGGAGAGCATTGCTAAGGACTATTACATCTTATGTGGCGATGGGAGTTGCTCCAACTTCAGATTTGATGATGTGCACATCACTGGCGGGAGCAATAGTAGCTGTAATGTGATGCCTACGGGCGGATTTGTGTGCTCTCCGTAGAGATAGTCGTCACATATGTGAAAGAGAGATTATGCACTATTCTTTGCGCACTGAGTCCCTCGTAGGAAGCAGCTCTTGCCAAGTTCCCTCTCTTTTCACTGTTATGCAGGGCACTTTTGTCTCTGCGCCAAGAGTTACATACATGGTCCTGAAAAGCGCGTCCCGCAGCCAATAGAGATATTGATCTTATCTTATCGCTCATGATCTAGGAAGTCTTAAGAAGTTCGCGAACATTTTGAAGATTTGTGCATGCACATATTGTACTCGCTGGTTCATAGTACATGCCGCCCAACATGTCGCTTCAAGAGCGCCTCGAGAAGATACGAAATCAGCCGAAACTGCAGAGCGCGCAACAGACTGCTGTCGTGTTGAGCGCGATCGAGGACACACTACGAACACAAAAAAGCGAACCCACGGCTACCGCATACTTCGCTGCGCTTCTGAGCTTGCTTGGCCAGTACATATCGACGGAGAAGGGCATAGTCAACAAGGAAGTTGCGTATGCGGTCGTGTATCTTCTGGATCTGGTAACGAGCCATGTCTCTGCACCGCTACTACGATCGAAGTTTCCGCAAATCCTGGCCTCACTTGCGCCAGCCTTGACACACCCAGACGCCGAAGCACCGCTGTTACGAGCAAGCATAGGGTGTCTAGAGTCGCTGCTAGTAGCCCAGGATGGCCAAGCATGGGCTCTTCCACAGTCCGCGAGCAGTCCAAGAGGTGCGGTGGGAGCGCTGCTGGCATTGGCGATGGATCAAAGACCGAAAGTTCGGAGAAGAGCACAAGATGCGCTGGACAAAGTGCTAAGACACCCTCCGCCGATTCCGAGCCTCGATCACCCAGCGGCGGACATGTGCGCCGAGTCTTCGTTACGAAGCTTGCAGGCTGCTGCAGATGAGGCGAACAGTAAGAAGAAGCAGAAGCATAGAGGGCAGAAGGATGAGCAAGGTCATGAGCCAGGCCTCATGCATGCTTTGCAGCTGGTGAAGGGAATAGCATCTGCCGAGAATGGTTGGCCGAGCAAGAAATTAGACGCACTCTGTGCACTTTTGTTGAGCATATCGAGAGGCAGCAATGAGTTTCTGACAATGGCTGCGTTCGAAGTTTTCGAGATTATCTTCGCGGGTCTTGCTGGCCAGGTATCTTCGGCGAAGCTTCCAAGACTACTCGACGCTATCAAGGAACTTCAGCCGTCACAAAACGACAGCCAACTCTTGCCACCATGGATTGCAGTACTAAGCCGAGGCCACGAGGTTGCAGGGCAAATCGAACCTCAGGAGACATTCGAAAACCTGCCGGACTTGTTTGACATGGTGGCTCTGTTCCTTGCATCCTCTTCGCACAACATCCGGATCTCGGCATCCGAGTGTCTAATCTCGCTGCTTAGCACTTGTGTGCCCGACTCTGTGATCCTCGAACCTAGCATCATGGACGATAAGGCTTTGGAAAGAATAGCAGGCACCATGCAAGAACTACTTAGCGTAAAATACCAGACAGCTTGGACGGAAGTGTTCAACGTTGCCACTGCAGCTTTCAATGCTTTGAAGTGGCGGGCACATCCGTTACTGCGAGGCGTTCTGCAGACTGTCGGTGACCTGCGCAGCAATGACTCTTTCGCTGGCAAAAAGGAGGCAGACGCAGTCCTTTCTGCAGCTATCCATGCCATGGGACCCGGCGACTTCCTTGCTACGCTGCCGCTGAATCTAGGCAAACCTGTGGCTGGTCGGCCTGGACGAGCATGGCTTCTACCTCTCATGCGCGACTCAGTCAGCAATACGAGACTTGCACACTTCCGGTCCGAGCTTGTGCCACTGAGCGAGACCATGTTCCAACGCGTGCTCAACCATGGCAGTCGCGAGAAGACGATGGAGATCAAAATCTTCGAAACCGTGGTGTCGCAGATCTGGGCATGTCTGCCTGGCTATTGCGAGCTGCCCCTAGATCTGCAGGAGAGCTTCGATCAGACCTTTGCAGAAATGCTCAGCAATCTCCTGTACCAGCAACCCCAACTGAGGACAGAAATATGTAAGGCTTTGCAAAATCTTGTCGACACGAATAAAGCAATTGCGGAGCTGGAAGGAGAGACAGAAGACCTGATACGACAAGGCCGAGTCACGAAGATCGAAGCCGCGAAGAATTTGCAACACCTAGCTGGACTTGCTAGTAATCTGCTTGCGGTTCTGTTCAATGTGTACAGCCAGACACTCCCGCATAACCGCGGGAATCTACTACAGTGCATCAACGCATTCCTGAGTATCACACCCGATGCAGAGCTCATGGAAACATTCCAGCGTGTTGCTACTATGCTCGAAGCTGAGGTGGCAAAGCCTGTCGAGGTCAAAGAAGTGGGTGTCAGGAAGCAACAACTGTCGAGTGAAGAAGCCAAGAACAAGATGCCTCTGGTATCACATACACTAATGGATCTTGTTATCACAATGTCAATCTATCTACCACGAGACAGCTTCGCAGGCTTGTTCGTTATGGCAAGCAAGATCGTCCAGCGTCAGGATGATCCACAATTGCAGAAGAAGGCATACAAGCTGGTACCGCGTCTAGCAGAGTCTGACATTGGTCAGATGGCACTGAAGGAGAGGAGTACTGAGTTGCAGCAACTTCTGCTCGCCGCGGCAGATAAGGCTTCAGCACCAGCCAAGCGAGATCGTCTTGCAAGTCTCTCGAAGCTAGTGCCCTTCTTGCCGAAAAGTGACCTCAGCTTCATTCCCAGTGTGCTGAGTGAAGTCGTGATCGGGGTAAAGGAAGTCAATGAGAAGGCTCGAACAGCTGCATTCGATCTACTGGTGCTAATGGGTCAGACCATGAGTGAAGGGGGCATCGTAGTCAACTCCAAGGTACCACACATGCCACCAGATGCCCATAGTGTCGAAGCCAATCTCGAGGAATACTTCACTATGGTGTCCGCAGGTCTGGCCGGAAGCACACCGCACATGATCAGTGCCAGCATTACTGCGCTCACTCGACTGCTCTACGAGTTCAGGAGTCAGCTCAAGCAAGAGACTGTTGTAGATCTTGTGCAGACGATGGACCTGTTCTTGACGAGCAACAACCGTGAGATCGTGCGCTCTGTTCTTGGTTTTGTAAAGGTCTGTGTCATCAGTCTTCCGACTGAGCTTATGCTGCCACGGCTGGAAACTTTAGTCCCGAATCTGGTCGTGTGGAGCCACGAACACAAGGCGCAATTTAAGGCTAAGGTAAAGCATATCTTTGAAAGAATGATCCGGCGTTTCGGCGTCGAGATTATTGAGAAGTATACGCCTGAAGCCGACAAAAAGCTCATTGCCAACATCCGCAAGACGAGAGATCGACGCAAGCGGAAGAATGCTACGGACGCTGAAGAGGGTGCGGGAGCGCCTGAGCAAAGGAAGGGTCGGTTCGAGAGCGAGTACGATGAGGCGGTCTATGGGTCAGACGAGGAACAGAATGCGGAAGATAGCGATATCAGTGATGATGAAGTCTTGGGCCGCGCAGTGGAGAAAGGCAAATCCGCGAAGCAAAAGGGTGGGAAGCAGTACATTGTTGAAGATGAGGACGAGCCGCTCGACCTGCTCGATAGGCGAGCTTTGGCTCATGTGTCGTCTACGAAGCCTGCGAAGAATCGTGGCGCAGCTGAACCAGCGAAGCGGAAAGCAGATGTTGACTTGGACGGCAAGCTTGTCTTCAACGAAGATAGTGACGACAACAACGATGTCATGGACTTTGATGATCGGGGTATGTTCGGTGGCCAGGAGCCTGGAGATGGAACTCTTGAAGGTGGGATTAATGCCTACGTCTCTGCACTGAAAGGCAAAGATGCCCCACGACGAGGCGAGAACGGTAAGCTGAAGTTCAGCAATAAGCGGTCTTCTGGCGCCGACGATGAAGACGAGATGGAGATTGATGAGCGGGAGATTGCGAGTGCACGAAAACAAGGCCACAGTCAGGCGAGAGGTGGCGCCAAGCAGAAGCCTGTGAGACGTGGATTGGGGATGGAGAAGGCGAGGCCAGTGGGTGGTGGTGGAGCTGGGATCAGGAAGCAGCAGAAGAGGCCGTTCAAGCATGGTCTGCAAGCGAAAAGAGGAAAGGGGACGAGAAGGCACGATTCAAATCGCAGCTAGATGATAGAGGGAAGACGAAACGTTGTCCAGCTCATGACTGCTCAGCGGCCATCTTCTTTAATTCCTCCACGATGATACCCTCCTTGCCAACCGGCAGGAATAAGTGATCATGATAGTACCCGCTAACAGGATTCGACCCCGTCCTGATGCTAGTCAATCTCGTTGCTATCGCGGCCATGAATCCCACGGCCTCGAGACTCGAATGTACGTTCAAAGTGATCTTCCGGCATGGGAAGACATAGTCCATATCTGCTTCGTCTGCGAGGGCTTTGGTGATGATCATGGTGTAGCCTTCTGCTTCGCGGAAGAGCATCTCGGCGTTCCATAAGTTGTCTTTGAGGAATTCTTGACTGGCGGAGTTAGAAGGAGAGATGGTAATCCAGACACAGGTGTCGTTGTGCAGTGATGGACTCATGGTTTTGATGAGATTGCTGAGGTCGACGCCTCCGGGTGATGGTGTAGCCATTGTGCTGGAGTATGGTCTCTATCTGGTATAAGGGAGGCTTCGATGTGCACTTGATAGCCTACCAGATCTTACGAGAGATGCTACCTTTTCATAAGCTACGTCTATACATTTGATGGACATGTATCGTTCATCCACGCCCTATGGCTCCATGTGTTGCGATTTTGCGGAGTTGAATTGAGCTGGGCAGGGCAGAATCGACTCCACTTCGTTCCAAACACCAACTTCGACTTCCTTCTGGCGCTCAGCCACCAACTTCATCATGCTAGAATTCAGCCTTCGTGCGCCGACAGTTAAAGACACTGATATCAGTGTTCTCGTCTGCTCAGAGGAATGCAATTCAAAGGCCAGCCTAGAATACGCCGTCATCTTAGCCTCCTCAGGAAGCCATTGGTCACCCCACTACCATTACCCCTCCTCTATGATAGTGCGCCTCGTCGACGCGACTGACCGAGGCTGTTTTAACCAGTAACTTGCCTCGTAGGTTGATGGGGTGGTCTACACGCCAGCTCGATAAGTATATATCTTTCTTTCGCCGTTCCAGCTTTGCTACTGCTGTTACCAGCCCTTAACCAGACAACAAACCAAACACCCACCACTTAGAAATACTTCTGCAAAGATGGGATCCGTCGGAGAGCTCCCTAAGACCTACAAGGCCGCGATCTACGACCAGCCTGGCAAGATCTCGACCAAGGTCGTAGACCTCGATATGCCCGAGCCAGGCGCCGGCGAGGTCCTTGTCAAGCTTTCGCATTCTGGTGTTTGCCATTCTGACCTTGGTATTATGACCAACACCTGGAAAGCACTGCCACACCCTACCCAACCCGGTCAAGTCGGCGGTCACGAAGGCATTGGCAAGGTCGTCAAGCTTGGTCCTGGTGCCGAGAACTCTTCTGTCAAGGTTGGCGATCGCGTGGGCATCAAGTGGATCTCTGCCATCTGTGGTTCTTGCCCGGCTTGCCTGTCTGGTCATGATGGTGTGTGCTTCAACCAGAAGGTGTCTGGATACTACACTCCCGGCACATTTCAGCAATATACTGTCGGACCTGCAAACTATGTGACGCCAATCCCAGACTCGCTTCCTTCAGACGCCGCTGCTCCTATGCTCTGTGCTGGTGTCACAGTCTACTCTGCTCTCCGCAAGTCTGGTGCAAAGTCTGGCGAATGGGTCGTGCTACTCGGTGCTGGTGGCGGACTAGGGCATCTTGCTACGCAGATTGCGTCTCGTGGTATGGGCATGCGTGTCATTGGTATCGATCATGGTAGTAAGGAGGATATTGCGAAAGAGTCGGGTGCTGAGATCTTTATCGATCACACAAAGGGCAATGCTGATGAGGAGGTGAAGAAGGCAACGGGTGGACTAGGTGCTCAGGCTGTACTTGTCTTGACTGCCGCGAATGCAGCTTATGCGAGGTAAGTCATGATCGGCGCACCTTGATGGCTCAAACCTATACTGATTATACCACAGCGGTATGGGTATGCTCAAATTTGGTGGCACTCTTGTATGTGTTGGTTTGCCAGAAGGTGACCTTCAGCCTATTGCTACCGCCTTCCCGCAAGTCATGGTTGCGAAGGCTCAGAGGATTGTGGGTGTTGCAGTCGGTGATCGTCGGGAAGCTATCGAGACATTGGCAATGGCTGAGCGTGGTGTCGTGAAAACGCACTTCAAGACGATCAAGATGGATGGTTTGACGGAGACATTCGAGCAGATGCATCGTGGTGAGCTCAAGGGACGAGTTGTGCTTGATCTTGAGTAGGCAGTAAAAGCGCTGTACAGACACTCTGATTGAGACATGTGCTTCTTAGACACTGTGCATGCCAGAGCATCTTGTCGGGACTGCGGGGAACGACGAAAGATAAAGCAAGTGGTTTGATCACTGTGACTGAGTAAACATTAGGGTGGGTATGTATATTATGTAGTACCATTCTCATCATTAATCCAGCCGACTCCGCGCTATCATTACAACACGTCTATACTCCTTTGCTGCGCTGTAATTGTACAAAAAGCTAAATTCGTTTCAATCGTTGACAGCAAGCCAGAGTGCTCCCGTCTAGTAGTTGGTGGCAGTGCCATTTGTGTACGTTGGCTGAGTGAGGCCGTACGGGCTTGCACCTGTGCCGGTGGGCTGGGTGTAGTAGCCACCATGCGAGCCATGAGGAGCATGGTGCCCCTCGACCTTGTCATAAGTGGTGTTGCCTGGGGCGGCGACGGTCGAGCCAGTGTAGCCGGTGTCGTGGCTTGGACGAATGTCGTTGTTGTGGTGAGCAGCGAGGCCAGTGGTGCCAACAGCAGTGCCAGTGGCGCCCAGCTCGGCGTCGTGGTCGAGGTTATTCTTCTTGTTCTTGCGACCAAATAACCCACCACGCTTCTTGCCAGAGCCCTTGGTGTAGTTGTTGTCTGGGCCTGGACCATAACGCTTCTCCTTCTTATGATTCTTTATCAAGAGGAGTTGCATGGCAGCGGTGATGATGAAGAGGAAGGCGCCGATAATGGCGACAGCGAAGCAGACTGTATTAAGTCTGCAGGCAGTCTTGAGGTGCACAGAGTAGGTGACATTCTCGTTGTTGCCCGAGCCAAAGTTGCCGAACCCACCAGTTCCGCTGTTTGCCTGGCCGTTGCCGAGAGGTGTGCGAACGTAGCCACTGCAGGAGCCAGCGCCTTGACGAGTCATGACCGCGATAGCGATCATGGCACCGCAGAAGAGGATATCGAGGATGATGGCGAGAGTAGCAAAGAACGAGACGCCGCCGAGGCAGCAGGTCAGAAGGGTTGCAGCAATGAGGTAAAGGACAGCTGCGCCGGAAAGCCCTTCAACTGCTTTTTCCCAGTTGTAGATCTGCTGGACATTAGTTCCTCGATCCTGATGGCATTCCCGAGATTGTACTTACGGGGAGTTTCCTGTCGGCCAAAACGGACAGGAAGTAGGAGTATATCGCCAAGATCAACCCTGCGCAAAGGAACTCGAGCGTGTACAGAGCACTCTGTACGATGCGCAGAGCGCCACCCTTGAATATGCCCATGTTGAAGGTGATGTGTCCAGAGGATGGGGATTGGCAAAAAGTGGGGCGCGAGGTGTGGGCGAAAGTTGGTGGTTGCACTGATCGATGAGAGGAAACGAGATCAATATATTTGAACGCGTTGACTTCAACACCGATGGGAGTGTCCTTGGTCTCGGTTTGGCGGTACGTCAGAGGTCATCAAACTCTTTTCAGAAGCCGGGCAAATTCAACGGTACCGGCACTTCTAATCTCTCGCCGAGCGAATCATGGGCCTCGATATGCGGTACGTCTTGGCCCCAACGCCGCCTGACGTCAGTGGAAATTGAAAAGCCACAAGGACGCATGCAACTTACTGCGCAGAGCAGACGTGAATTCGTGGCTGTGCTGGCAGTACTTTTGTATCTGTCCAAGATTGTGGTCGAGCTGGCCATCCCATCGACGTCCATCCGGGCCAGACTTCGTTATTGCGCCACATGCGACGTCGTGTTTTGCGGAAAAGTGGTTTTAAGGTTGGTAAGATATGTTACGCGCCTGCTGATAGACTTCATTGCGTACCGGCGCGTGATCTCTCTGGCTGTCGCTGTCGGTCCTGTATCAAGGAACCGCATGCCTTTTGACCAGGCCAGTATGGTCACGGAAGGTCGCTTAGATGGCCATGACTAGCATCGAAAGTGATGTAACCGCAGGTATGTGCGGCAGAGCCACACCTAGAACGAGGGCATGGATCGTTATGATTGCTGGAGCTCCGTTGAATGTTAAAGTAAGTTTGTATGGTCGAGGTGGTCAAATTTTGACGCACGTAGCCTTACGAGCTATAGATCACGTGTTCTAACCACGACGTCCGCTTTTCAACACTGCCATTGCACCAGAGGTTCCTGCGCTGCAGTCCTCCACTTCAGGTTATTGGGCCACAGCAGTAGTAATATCCACCACGACTGCAAGCATCACCCTCTGCATATCTGCACATTTCGCCCTTAGAATCACTCGCAACGAGGCGCTCTGACCAGCTTTATCTTTCGTGGGAGCGTGATCGGACTGCTAGGTCAGAACCTCGCTGCCGACGGCCAAGCAGACAAATGCAGCGATACTGCATGGTCTCGCCATATTCATTCTGGACTGTGCGGCTGAAAGTAGAACTGGCGGAGTAGAAAGGAAGTTAGGTCGAGAATCTTGACGCCAGTGAGTGATCACCACTCAGCATCTCTTGAGAGGACCTGGAGTTGCTTGCAGGTCATGTTATACGGCCTGGCCTACGGCGCACTGGAAGATCAGCTCCGATGTAGACGAAGCCTGATCTAGTGGACTGCGATCTCAAACTCGGACGAGAAGATTCTCAATTGCGGTAGTTCTTAAAGTGTTGGCGAAGTCGCTGCTAGATGCTCGAGAACTCATGGCATGAGTAGATGCTGCGTCCTGCGGTCCAGAGCAGCGAGATGGCAAGGACACCTGTGTGCGATTAATGATCTTCTACCTGGCGGATGCGGTATATGTAAACCTGTGAGGGTCGCCGGTTCACCGCTAGGGTGCCTCTAGCGAGCTGTGAACTGTCAAACAACGGCACGATAATGGAAGCAAAGTGAATTAGTTGCCTCTGACCCTTTTCTGAGTATCAATTTCGAGGTCAGAAGGCGAATACCCAACCAGAAGTGCCTGGCAGATGGAGAGTGCTTGCAATAAGCATGGGCCCATTACCTGGCTCAAATCATGCCGTCGCTGTGACGGAGAGCAAGCTGGTGTGGCACTCGATCACTGTCTCGTGTGAGGTACGTCTCATAGGAAGAAGTGAATGATTGCTGTTTAGCGCAGGTGAATCGTGAAGTTCCGGCGATGCGCACGGACTCACATCTCAAAACCTACTGCAGATTCGCAACTCCAAGCTTCTCGTGCTTGCAATCTTCTACATCTCCCACGCAAACAAACACACATCAAATAGACCATCTACCACGTATACCTCACCTTCTTATCAGCACATCACGACCTCGTGAGACGCACGACCGACGAGTCACCCACGCGCAAACATGGCGCAACCGGACATCTCCTCCATCCTCGCAGCATTAGGTACGTTACCTTCAGTCGAGTGGTAAAGAACAGAGCATTGACATTCACCAGCGGCCCAAAATCAAGCCGGCACGCCCCAAGCAGCCCCTGCGCAGCATCCACCACCAGGCTACCCTTCAGTCGGCATGCCACCTCAACCACAAAGCGTGCCCCCACAAGGAGCTCCGTACCTACCTCAACCATCGAGCACCGGCAGTCTCGACCTTAGCGCAATCAAGCCTGTCAACAGCGGCTCGGTCAGTATAGCAGACGCGATCGCCAAGGCGAAGAGTATCGCGGCAAACAAAGGCATCGACCCGTTCGATCCTCGGTCAGGTGGGTCTTGGCCACAGTCGTCAGCGTACGATCCTGGTGCAGGTAATGGAGGACTGACTTATGCAGCTCCGCCACGCGAAGATCCGCGTATGGCTGGCCGCTATCGTGACAGGTCGCGCTCGCCACCACGACGTGAGGAGTACGGCTCAAACCCATACCGTGACGACCGCCGCGATGACAACCGCCGAGGTAGCTTCAGGAGGTCGCCCTCGCCGGACCATGGCTTCCGCGGATCACGCGAGCCCAATAATAACCGTGGAGGCGGCGATGGCGAGACTGAGACTATTCGTGTCAAGTCTGCGCTTGTCGGTTTGATCATTGGCCGCAATGGCGAGAATTTGCGCAAAGTCGAGTCTGAGACTGGTGCGCGTGTGCAATTCATCTCGCCAAAGGACACTCACCAGCAAGAGCGCCAGTGCACCATCTCAGGCAGCGTTCGGTCTCGAGAAGCTGCCAAGGATGCCATCTTCAGCATTGTCGAGGAGAATGGTGGCCAGAATGTGCCTCAGGAGAAAGGTGCCTACCACGCTGGGATGGCTGGCCGCGCCAAAGTTAATCTTCCCGAATTACGCGAGGGCGAGAAGAGCAGCCAGATCATGGTACCAGACAAGACCGTTGGCTTGATCATTGGCCGCGGTGGCGAGACCATCAAGCATCTGCAAGAGCGCAGTGGATGCCACGTCAACATCGTCGGCGAGAACAAAAGCGTCAATGGCTTACGTCCGATCAACCTCATCGGCAACGACCAGGCTACTGACCTGGCCAAACAACTGATCCTGGAAATCGTCGAAAGTGATGCTCAGGGCACGTCTACTAACAAGACCTCCGCCAACCGTGACCGTGGCTACAATAACGTTGATCGTGGCAATGGCCAAGCCGGTAGTGGTGGCGGCCGTGATTACATCGAGAAGACCATCCACGTCCCTTCTGAAGCAGTCGGTATGATCATCGGCAAAGGTGGTGAGACAATCAAGGACATGCAGCGCACCACCGGCTGCAAAATCAACGTGAACCAGCCCAGTCGCCCAGACGTGACCCGCAAGATCGACCTGGCCGGGTCCTCTCGCAGTATGGCGGAGGCTGAACAAGTGATCTGGGAGAAGGTTGAGACTGTACGTCAACGTGACAGTGCCGCTGGCCGTACGCATCGTGACAGTCAACCGCCGCAGTCCTCGTCGGGTTATGATGGGTACTCACAGCAGCAGCAACAGCCGCCTGCGATGAATCCGTACGCGCAGTATATGCCGCAGGCGCAGGCCCCGTCTGCTCCGCCGCAGATGCCTGCTTTCCAAATGCCGGGCATGCCTCAACAGTCTGGTGATGGTCAAGCTGCTGATCCCTACGCTGCTTATGGTGGTCAGGCTGCTGTGTATGCATGGTATCAGCAGCAAATGGCCAATATGCAGCAGGGTGGTCAAGGTGGTCCTCCTGGTGGCCAGTGAACTTCGTCGCTCATCCGTCCGTCTGTCTACCCGCTGGCCTTGCTTTCGACGTGACGAACATATCTCTATCGACGTGAGGAACGCTTCTGTCGTGACCATGGGTGTGACGTCGTCGTCTACTTGGCTTCGTTGGCACTCTTACTGGACCGCTATGATGACTGTTGCTACGTTGCCGCATTCCGCGCTCCGAAGGTCTTTGATGCTCCATCTCGCGCATGCGTCTTGCGTCGGTGCATGATCATGCCTTTACGTCGCATGTCATCAGATGTCATGTATGGACGTCTGTCATACCGAAGCGGCGTGGCTCTGCTCTTATGCTGTACTTGACTCTTGGGTAGGCGAGTCAGCCACTCATGATGCTACGAGCGTGACGTACGGAACAGAGTCTCTGCAGACCAGGATCGGGTTATGGACCTGCATCTATGTGCTTTGCAAGATCTCTACGTCGTGTGAGTGACTGAGGTGGAAGGTCAAAGTGCTTCGAAACCTACGACACAACGTGCTCACTTTTGCGAATGGTTTGCATTACGACATGCGATTGGGAGCATGCTGCGATGACATTCGATGCTGAATCATACTGCTGCGGCAGTAGAGGCTTCGTTGCGCGAGGCCAACGGAGCACCCTACTGAAATTGCCTTCTGTTATAGTACGTACCTTATCTACGTTTCAGTATGACCTCACATAGTCCATTGGGGAAGCTCAAAATTGACCTCTCCCACGTCTCATCGCCGTTGACTCAATGCCCATCCTGATTACAATTCAGCCAATCTAGTTGGAGGGGATGTTTGCATTGAAGTATATCGATTCATTTACAAGGAGCAGTGAGTCTCGACGGAACAGGAAAGGAGCTGAGGTGATGACTGGGCTGGATTGTGAATTGAATGGTGGAGAGATGAAGGGAAAGACAGGCCAGAGCAAGTCTTGTGCGTGAAACATCCCAGAGAATAGCTCAAAGCAACACCTTGCTATGGTTCTAAACTAGTAGCCATAGTCCGCGCGATAAGATATTACGAATGAGGCCGAATTGAGCATATGCGTGCCCGATAATTGAGAGTGAAGAGATGTAATACAAAGGTCGACGACCGACTAAATGTCGCTAATGCAATGCAAAGACACCATGCCTTTCCAAAAGTTCGTCGTCTTCAGGCCAGACTTCCAAGCATAGTGTGACAGCTCGTTTCTTCCACGGTACGCTACAGTGGCTTAGGTGAGGGTTCAGTTTATCGAGAGTATGGTACAGGTCGAGGTATAAAGAGTACAGAGGATTCGATGGTGGCAGGTGGCGCGGGATGTAGACCTCAGATCTACTTGGTCTCCTCACGAAGGTAGGTGATCAGGTCGTTCCTGTCCTTGCCCTTCTTCAAGCCACCGAAGGCCATCTTCGTGCCCGGGATGTACTTCTTGGGGTTCTCGAGGTACTCGAACTAGACCATCTCGTCAGCATACCGGCCTCCCACGATATTTATGCTCATGAGTTCGACTCACCAGGGTGTCCTCTTTCCACACAATCGCCTTTGCCTTGTTCGCATCTGTGTATGAGAAGCCCTCAACGGAGCCAGTGTGGCGGCCGAAGAGACCGTGGAGGTTGGGGCCGATCTTGTTGCCCTCGCCCTCCTTCAGGTTATGGCATTGCTGGCAGCGGGTCTTGAAGAGGTTGGCGCCTTTCTTGGTGTCACCTTAAGATGGTTGTTAGTTTGAGTCCTCGCTCCACGATCGTAGGCGCATGGCTGATGATGTCTGGCGGAGTGGCGCGGCGAAGGTATGAGGCGGGGTCCGAACCTCATGCATGCCAACCGACGAGGTAGTTGGGTTGCTGATGGTCCGGAAGATGTCTTCCAATCCGCGCCACGCCAATCCAGCTATCATCCAACGACGGCCATTTCGAAGAAGGAAACATACCGTCTGCGAAGCTGTCCTTGCCCATTGTGTCTACTGTATTGGTGTAGAGATCGAGAAGACGAGAGGTTTATGATCGAGAGGTGTCGGAGTCGATGTGGTAAGTAAAGTGGATGGAGTTTGTATGATTTGCTTGTGATGATGCCGGAGACAATGCAGTAGAGAAAAGTTGCATGGGCAAAGCTCCTTTTGGGGCCGGGTAATGTCGTAATGCAGACGCCGTGATTGGGTACAAGGTCGACGAGAAAAAGCCGGAAGCAGCTCGGAGGTGCTGGACAACGCCACATTTTCGCCGCATCTCGATCTCGGTATGGCTTGGCAGTGGCTTCTGCGGCATTGCTTTGGGATAGCGATGTTCTAAATCTATCAAGACATCAGCCAGATGACTGCCATAGTCCATCTTATTCACGTACTCGGGCGAAACATTCGGTTCGGGGAATATTGGCCAGTTCGGCGGGAATATGACGTATTGCGCATGTGGCTTACAGGACCCAATCTTGCGATCGGCCAAATACAGTAGTAGGAATTCAGCGGCTTGCACTCATTCACTCTCAATGCTGGTGAGATATTCCAGTCTTACACAGAGACCGAGAGACAAAATCGACGACTCAATTGCCTTGGCATGGGTTGACGACTAGAGTTGTCTGGCCCGGAGGTTTAAAAGTAGCTGCTTCGACCGCATATACCTTCTCAAAGAGGCAGGTAGGTAGGTGGGCCTTGTGTGCGGACGACAAGCGAGTCGACCACTTCGACGAAACTATCACGACCGTAGACACTCTGTCACCTGTTCTGATAGAAGTCGTTCAAAGGACTCACCTAGTACAATAGAGCCAACAGAAATAAATAGCTGACGCATGCCTTCTGGTCATCGACCGTACTCGACCATTTCACATCGCAACCAATATGTCACAGCCAAAGACCTGGTTCGTAGTAGGAGCATCTCGAGGCATTGGCTTCGAGTTCGTGAAGCAAGCTCTTGAGCGAGGAGATCGAGCATTCGCCACTGTCCGCAACCCCGAAGCGAAACACGAAGCTAGCTACTGGACCAAGAACACCAATGTCAAGCCAGAGCAATGTATGACGCTGGCGTGTGATGTGCTGAGCGAGAAGAGCATCGATGTATGTCTTGGCCTCACAACTCTGGCTAAATGAATGTGTCCGGTTGATCGATGACTCCACAGGATTGCATCAGAGCATTGTCGGATACTGGTTGCTCTCGTATAGATCATGCTATCATCAACGCTGGTGTCTTGAAGTATCCGAACGTAAGACAATCTCATCACCCAAATCTGCTCCTGACAATATACTGACTTGCAGCAGCGAGCAACAGAGATGTGAGTTCATAAATTCCACCGCTTCTCGTGAGTATGTGTTACCGCCATGCTACCTTACTGACCATCCTCAGCTCGTACGACGACTTCGCCTTCCACCTCCATAGCAACACCATCGGTCCAGTAATCTGTGCTCAACGTCTTCTGCAGACTAAAGTCTCAATCGGCTCAATTACCTTCATCTCCAGCGACTCTGCTTCAGGCACGCAGTTCAACAGCTACGAAGACGGGTTTGGCGCGTATGGCGCCTCGAAAGCAGCATTGAATCAGATGGCTCGACATATGGCCGAGGAGCTAAAGCGGAAAAGCAAGCCTACTACGATACTGATGTTGCATCCTGGTGAGGTAAACACCGATATGGCCACGAATATCGAATTGCCTTGGGAGATTGAGGCGGAACAATTGAGCCCGGAGGATAGTGTCAGAGCTTGTGTGAACACGATTGAGAGTAAAGGCCCGCAGGATACAGGCTCATTTTGGACGTGGGATAATCGGGTATGTGTCACCTTGCCTCAATGGAACAAAGTGAGATCGGTCGCTAATTTACAGCAGACTCATCCCTGGTGATACGACGAACTTATCTAGCTGTATCGAACGTGGTGGCCTAACTACAGTCTATTTCTGCCCAACCTCGCCGTTGAGTACGTCACTTGCGCTGTTCGGTCGACGAATCATACATCGCACGATCTCGCTCCCCTCCATAATCTCGAACTTGGCGATCGGCTTGAACCCGCAATGGATGTACACTGGATCACCAGCAGGGCTCGCCTCGAGATAGATGGGCAACTTGTCTTGCTCACTCTTGTCGAAGCCCCACTGCAACATCTTCCTCGCCAGACCTTTTCCCTGATGAGCTGGATCCACCGCAAAACCGACCAGATCTGATTCGTGACGTTAGCCGACTGACTCACTTGCGTACGAGTGGGTAGAATTAACATACACCAATATTCCCCACTCTCGCCCCAAATCTCGTCTCTCTTCGCGTCGATCTTCCCGAAGAATTCCTTGTGCAGCTCAGCGTTCATACGTGGTGAGCTCTCGCCATCATCTGAGATGCTGCCGCCAGTAGCTGCAGCAGGTGGCGTCTCAACGACGCCGTGCGACATCGTCTCCGGTATCTTCTGCTGATCCGTGATAGCGGCGTCGTCTTTCTGCTTCTGCGCTTGCGTCTGCTTCTTGCGATTGGCTGCGCCGGGCTTCATCCAGGCTGCATAGCCGGCTATGGTTCTGAGATTGTCTGAAGGGACGATTTTGAATGTCATCGTTTCCGGGTCTGCAAAGCGCTTTCTGTGGTGTGCGATGCGCCATTGCCAGAACTCATCGTCGGGGACTAGATGCTCACGATCTTTGGGGAACAGTGCATCGTGAACTTTCTCTCCTTTGAAGGCAGCGACGTTGACGCGCAGGAGGGCTTCGGCGTCGTCTGCGGAGGCCGGAAGCAGGTTGTACTGCATGTTTTATATTGTGTCACGCTGCGTATTAGCAGTGATGGTGCGGATGACAAGAAACTTTGGAGGTCGTATATTCTCGCCTCCTACCTGGCTTCAGCTATGATATATGTGTTTGTAGAGCTCTAAGGCAACATTATTACAAGATTGATAGCTGAACTCCGAACGCCGGTCAGGTCTCTAGATTGCCAGTATACCTTCTTCCATCCTCGAGCGAAGAGCTGACGCCGAGATCGCCAAGGCATTAATTCATCGCCTTGCAGCTAGTTCTACAACGGACAGGCTAACAAACGAGGGACATGCCGATTGCTTGTGACGTATCGTACGACGTATCTTGAACGCCGACAAGCGAGTCATGCAGCAGCGAGCTGTCCTGTATTACCGCCCAAGACTTCTCGTGGTATTGAAGGTGAGAGTGTCTTGTTGGCGTTAAGAAAGCCCATCACCATGTGGCAAGCAGATTCGGAGAGGTACAGTGGCGACACGCATGGCAGTGGAGTCGTATTCGGCTTCTGCGGCAGTCTCGTAGTGATCTTCCGTTGAGAACAATGCCTCTTGTCTGCAATATGCAAGGTGGTAGTGCCCAATGCTACACGAAGATGTAGACTCTGCTTTTGTGTGCATACATAAAATGGAGCGTCGAACAATTCGTACCACACTGTCTGAATGACCGCCTTGCTCGTGCGTCGAATCACTAGTACTACACCTGGCACATGCTGTACATGCAGGTTGGAGGATCTGCACGCGGGATCGCTAAGATGAGTCGCATGCTCTCGGTGGAATTAAGGTATGGCCAACTGCCCATTGGTGTACCTTACAGCTCCTCTCTTGCGTAATAAGGCCACGAGCTGCGAGCTATGCGAACTTGCGGTGAGCCCTTCGACATGTTGGGCATTCTCGACTGCAGATGGTGAACGAGATTCCCAATAGCGGAGGGACTCATCGCTGCGCCACGCGTTGTTACCGATGGCCTGCATGAAACCCCACCACTTCTGTAACTCCGCCTGGTCGTCAGACCACATCCACATCCACCTGCAGCCAGCCGCCCGCTCTTCCTTCTCGGCAGCGAGGGAGGGGAGAGCCGTCGAGGATGCGGAGCTTTCGTGGTTAGCCTGACACATTCACCTGTCTAACTACTCCTCCCCGTACCATTGTTGCCTTCTACAAACATTCCCACTCTCTTTCGCCTGCCAGTTCTGCCTCAAGTTGCCTCCCTTCAGGCAGCGACCTATGTATCAATAATCCACCGCCATGGCGGGCTATCACGATCCCTACGATTCACGATCACGACCTGCTGGTCGTAACGATCCTTACTCGAGACAACATCTGCCTTCCAATGTGGGGCATGCTAGCTCCGGCTATGAAAGAGTCGGTGAGGTGAACGATCGATATCAGCCACAGCCACAACGGCCGCAGAGACATGGTTATGATCCTCGAAATTATCCTCCGCCTCCTCCGCCCCTTGGTGCTGGGCGATACGGTCCTCCGTCGAGGTCACCGACGACGCGGCAACGTCATTCATGGCCGCCACGTGTGACTTGCGAGGACGAGGTGGTGTCGCTGTCGAAGGAAGCAGGGTCAGCGAGCTTACTGAAAGCCATCGGCAGAGATGAGGCACCATCACGTGGTACCATTGATCAGGAGCCTATTGTTCAACCTGTGCCGGAATTGATGAGCAAGGATGAGAGGCGTTATATCCTGGTCTCGGATTCGGAGAAGGAGGGCAGATCAACGGGTATGCCTACACCACCTACCAGCGAAGACGAACGCGTACGAAGACCAGTCACGAGGCCCGCACGGCTGAAGACTGCAATGCACGACGGGACGCCTGAGCTTCAGAAACGTACAGCTTCGCCATATGCCTACACCAAGCCAACGAAATTGGATCACAACATGTCTTCCAACGAACAATTCCTCTCGCCGACGACTTTGACTCCACCTTCGATTGACAATAGCTATCGTAGGAAGGACCGCTTCGCATCATCAAAGCCGTCATCGCCACGAAGAGAATCACCAAGAGTCAGTCCTTCTGCAAGGAAAGGCAGAGACTACTTCGATACTGGCCGTGACTCTGGTTCAGCTATAACTGATGATGACGACCCACGATCTACCAGATCCGGCGCGTCGAAATCGTCAAAGGATAGCTACACAGCGTCGATGCCGGACAGGACACATGACAGGACGTCTGTGCATGACTTTGCGCCACCATCAACTAATGCGCCGCCAATAAGGAGACTGAACCTAGATGCACGACGCAATACTGACAACACCGGTGGCTTCCCTACTTTACCGTCTTTCCGAGTCGATGGTTCGCAGAGGCCAGCTCCAATCGTGGCAGCCAGTGCTCTTGGTGCTGTTGCTGGAGCCGCTATGTACGCTTCCCCCACTACGGCTTATCCTCAAGATGCGCCTCTTCCACGATCTAGAGAGTCGAGCTATGTTTCTTCTCGTGGTGTCTCACCTGGAGCACCCAGTACTGGTCCATCTCCGAGCTCTTCGGCCAGACCTACCACACAATCATCCAACCCGAGCCGGCCTACAAGCGCGCACTCGTCCGCTGCCGTTTCAGCATCACCCTCGAGGCCAGCTTCGCCATCGCCCAAGACTCCTGCCGAGACAGCTCGACTACCACGAACGGACAATGACTGGAGCACACTTCTGGCAGCCAATGCAGCCAGGAAAGCCAAGCCGCCGTCTCGTCTAGCTACACAGATGAGGCAGGAATCAGTGCCTGATGTTCCACAACTGCCTTACAGTGCCGGACCAGGTCCTCGACACGCTGCCAGCTTGCCATATCCAGACGATCCAGTCCCTGGCACACCGACCATGTACATGCCATCTGAACGAGACCATCAGTATTTTGCACCACATAAGCCGAGTTTGAATATACCTTTAGCATCGAATGCCAAAGATGCGTCCCGCACATCATCGCCAGCACCAAGTAATGCCTCGCGAACTTCTACCGCATCCAGGAACGCCCGACCAGTACTCGCAAGAGGACACTCCATTGCGAACCCTGCTGCGACAGAAGAACGACCAACCGCATCCCGCGCAGCGCGCCACGACTCTTTCGGCAGCAGTTCGCAAACGAAGAAAGATATTGCAGCTCTGCTCAAGAAAAAGCTGCCCGATTGTCCCAGGTCAGAGCCAGTCGCAGGCTACGATGACTGGTATACCGTCATAGGCGCTCCGAACCTAGCCTTCTGCCCTGATTGCGTGGATTCCGTCTTCGAACGCACAATCTACCGACCCTCGATTCGCCGCCTGCCGCAGCTCGATTTCAAGCTCAAGATCGGTTGTGCTTTTGGTTCTTCCGCGTGGCTTCGCCTTGCCTGGCTCCTAACCCTGCACCAACAAAAGACCGACCTACAGCTACTCAAAGACCTGGCCGATATCGAGGAATCTGGCGAGACTTGCCCAGGGAGCCAAGAAGCCGTCCGATCATGGTACGGTCTTCGAGATTCTGAGGGTTACTTCGTCCGCGACTTCCAAGTCTGCTACAGCGATGTGCGCAAAGTCGAACGCCTCCTCCCGACCCTCAACGGCCTCTTCGTGCGTCTCCCCCATCGCGACTCCTATGGTAAATACGCCTGCGCTATTCGGACGGATAGTAATCGCTTCTCCGCCTACCTCGATGGCCTGATCCTCGCCCACGAGAACGCCCACAAGACCCGGCAGGGTCCGGACCCGATGCCATTTGTCGAGCTTGTCGAGCATAAACTCCGGTTGCGCGAGTGCACGAGGGATAACATGCTGATTGGCGGGCTGTGGCATTTCATCCCGAACATCCCCAGCCTGACTGTCTGCGAAGACTGCTATGAAAGTATCGTCGAGCCCGAGGTGAAGAAGAATTCCGATCTGGCTATGCGGTTCAATCGCTCCGTCCAACCGGTTTATGGCGAGGGGATGGGATCGTCATGTTATCTCTACTCCCGACGGATGCGGAAGGTTTTCCAACGCGCGGTGGAGGATGGCGATGGGAAGTACCTCGCTCGGAAGGCGAAAGAGAGGAGAGAGGCGGAGTTGAGGTTGCAGGAGCGGTATAAGGAGTTGAGACGGAGGGCGAAGAGGTTGTCGTATGAGGGGACCGGGGATGAGGAGGATGAGAGGAGGTTGAATCGGGAGTTGGAGAGGATTACGGATGAGTGGCAGTCGAAGTGGGAATGAGTGGTGGTTTGGCGAGGCTTGGGTTTTGGGGGGGGGGAGGGCGAACTTTGGGGGTCTTACATGGACAGCTCAGATGATACCCGTGGCTTCTTACAGGACGAGATTACGATTCGAGGGGTCAAGGGGCGTTTGAATAGATCTTGCTTGAAGGCGGTTCTGTTTGTATCAAAAAAAGGTACATCACCATAGGCTTGGCAGGACCGAGAATCATCTCTGTGTATGTTTGTGTGTCGAGATGCACAAGCTTTGCATCAATGTTTCATCCTTCAAAATCTCCAGCTCCGGCCTCTGCTTCCGTTTGTTTGCCTGCCGGATGGTTGCTGTTGAGCTATCGCCACTGGCCGATGTTGCAGGGCCGCCGCCTACTCCCTTTCTCCCCGTTCTATTTCGTTGCCGCAAGCTCTGTTCCTATTCTCTTTGCTGATGATTGGGGAAGAAGGAGTTTTGTCGACTCTGGAGTACGGCGGCCGTCAAGCTATGTAGGGGTCTGTAGATTGTCTGAGAGACGCCATGGTCTTCGCGACGCGAGTGTTGAGGTACGAAAGGGGCATGTGGGATGGTAATTTAGAGGCTCAAGCAGACGTGGTCCACCAAGTCAAGCACAACCGATGATAGAGGTTGTCCGCCCGCGTCCCATGTGTCCTCAAGGCCATCAGGAATGGCAAAGACCAGTGCAAACCTCATCAAGCGAGAAATCGGCAGCGATTATTAGCCACGACCACACTGCACCTCCCCCTCCCCCTCTCTCGCCCTTCATCACGCGAACGAGAAAAAATTTCTTCACTGACCTGCAGCTACTAGCAGCCGGGCGTCTCAATGCACCACGCGAGGCTAGCCACGCAAGAGGCACGCGACCACCTACCCCTTTCTGATATCCCGCTCCGCCGACCCTGAATCCGCGGCACGCCCCTCGCTTCTACGGCACTAGCTGCACAGAGGGCTAAGTACGCCTCGCTAATCCCACGACATGTGGAGGCGCGCGCACGCGACACTATTGATGGGCTTTCCTACTCGCTCGTCCCTGGAAGGCTAAGTGAGGGTGAGGGTGAGGGGGCCGAGAGGTAAGAACGTGAGACGGTGAGGCCGGGAGTTGCATTCACCAGCAACCTTTTCGCTTCTCATGGAAAGACTGACCAACGAGTGGAGATCTTCCTTGAGTAGTGCTTTTGACCAATTTAGCCATCGTACCACACCACACTTGTCATCGTGGCCTTTCAGTCAACCTGGTTCATTCCAATCTTTGATCTTTCTGAAGGCTTGCGGTCGCTGGAGAAATGTTGGAGAGAAGAGATCGTCAGAAGAAAAGGATCGAGCGATCGAGCTCGCATCCTTGCCCACTAGTCGTGTAAAGTACCCAAGTAGTACGGAGATTCAACCCCGACTGAAATCCACCACAATCCCCCTCGCGACCTCCGACCCCACCACAGCGGCAAACTCAGCAATCGTCTTCATCATCCCGCTCATCCTCTTCAGCTGCTGCGGCAGCGGTCTATCATCCCCGTCTCCATCTCCGTCTCCATCATCATCGTCTTCTTCACCCCACGACACCAAATCCCGCATCTCATGCACATCTCCACCCTTTCCCCCGAGGAAGAGCTTCATCGCATCCAGATCCACTCTACCAAGGACTTCCTCTAACGTCAGGATCCCCGGCATTCCGAGCTCGAGGAGCGATAGGCCGGAAGCACAGGCCGCCGTGGGCGTGGGATGTAACACGAGTTCGTCTGTATCATCTTCCAGCTCGTCGTGGTCGTCCCGAGTGGTCGCATCCGCGGCTTGCTCGCCCGAAGAAGGAACAGGAGTAGAAAGAGCAGTGGCAGTTCCATTGGCGTTAACTGCACGTTCCTCACTCTCTCCCTCCTCCTCCGCACTCACACCCGCCCCATTCCTCTCCTTCCTCGCTCGCTCCCTCGACATACTCGCCCACCCCCTCCCCTCCATACACCCCCTCATCTCCTGATCCAAGACGTCCCACCCCCCACTCGCATAATCCAGAACATACTGCGGACGATAATCGCCCTTATACCTCATCTTCTTGCAGCTGTGAATATAGTACCCCATGTAGTAGTACCTATAGCCCCCTTCCCCCGCCAACGCCGCCTCCCTCAAAGCCGACAGCTTCCCAAACGACCATTTCGCAAAGTCCGAGTGGTAGAGGAAGTAGACCCCGCTCACGGCGTGGGGAAGGCGGTCTAGCACGGCGAGGGCTATGAGGCGGCCGTCAAGACGGTAGCATTGGTGATAGCTGCCCAGGTCTTTGCCGTCGGCGGGATCTGGATGCCGATGTAGGGGTGAGGAGCAAAGGAAGCGTTTGAATCCCGGTCGGGAGATCTCGGAGCCCTGCTCGTGGTGGACGTGTTTCTGGTAGTTGGCGAAGAGGGCGTATTTTTCTTCCGTGAAGGTGTCGGGTTCGAGGGTGACGGCGAAGTTGTGTTCCGGGATGATGTCGGGCTTGAGGGTGGAGAGTTCGGAGGCGTGGACGGTGGTGGGGAGGTTGAAGTAGGATTCCTGGGCTTTCTTTTCGCTGCGTAGGGGTTAGAAGGGAGAAGTATATTCGGGTTCGCGCGAGTGGTCGTGGCATACGCTTTGGTCTTGGGATGTTTCCTCTCCAGCTCCTGGATGTACTTGTCGCCTAGCACGAATCTGTTCCATCGATTGAGAGCTTGTCTCTGGTCGCGACTCGGCTTGAAGTCGGCGGACGGTAGTCTGTTGATATGGTTCAGTACTTTTATGGAGACTTTGCTGCACAGCTGTTGCTCATACCGAATGGTGTAATGGGGACAGCATGATCGTGAGACGTCGGGCATATACAGTAACGTGCCCGACCGTCTCCAGCCCCGGTCCATTAGCGATTGATAGTGTGTCGGACATAGTGACTTTGACTTGGCGTAGTAAGAGGCGCCTGGCGGTAATGCATGTTAGGTTATCTTCATCCTCATTCACTGCGGTCGGGATTGGCAGATGGAATACGAGAGAGGATTGATGATGTGATGTGTGAACACGCACGGGAATCAGGAGTTCGCTGACTGGAATCTTCACCCTTGCAATATCCGCAATCGCCACTCTGGTAACCTGTAGGGAGAACAGTATACTTAGCCTATGTTTCCCATCATACTTACAACAAGCAAGCAAGCAAGCAAGCGACCTATAGCACTGCAATGCCGACACTACTACACTCCAGCAGTAGCAGGGACTCGTTGGTGGTGAGACGTTGGTATGGTGGTACAAGCGCACATGCTCGAGACTGAGGATGCTATTGGTTTTCCCCGACAGACATACATACCGTAAGGGGTGAGTAGCGATAGCGCTCCGCATGCAGTGTTGCTGTCGTCGTGCTGCATGATGAGCACAGAGGTTGGTGGAGCTAGTGGAGGCTTGGAGCTGTTCGGTAGAATGTAGCAGGTCGTCACTATGGTTGGCAGAGGCAGGAGAATGGTAGCAGTGGGATCGAAGAAGGTACAGCGCTTGCCGCGGCTCCGGCACTGTCGATCAAGCAGATCAAAAGTGTACAGGCTGTCAGCAAATTTAATGGGCCTGAAGTCCGATGTGTCACCGTCCGGGTTGTTTGCAATATGCACCTCCCCCCACGCTCACCAACGTCATTGCATGTACGTGTGCCTGAGGGTGGACGACAATCCTGACCGAAATGCCTTCAACTCTCGGTGTGAAGTCTAGAGCAATCCAACAGCAATAGCATACTCCTTGACCAGAAAGAAAGAAAGGAAGGAATAAGAATACACTTCACCAACCAAAGCGGTACCTCGCCAAACCATCCAAATAATGATTACCATTCAGTCACGCCCCTTCCAGACCACTCACCAACAAGGGGTCCACAAAAGCTCCCCAAAAAAGCGGGACAAGCCACCCAGCACCCAAGCGGAAAACCTTCGCCCTGGGCTTTGCACGTGCTCACTCTTCCACGCTAGGGTTTTTCTTTCCTTAACCCACCCATGCCTTGGGCCTCCTTCGCCGACTAGCCCTTTTACAATTCTTCCTAATTCACCATGCCAATACAACATATCCTTTCGCGTCCCCCCACGACGACGGGCCTGAAAGGCTCTTCTTCTTACCCTGATTATTTGTTTCGTTGCCCTAGGATATCTTGATTCACATATCACGAGCTGGATTCTTATTGGTGTTGTTGTCGTGTGACCACTTCTCCGACGACGATACGGGACGAGACAAGACGATAATCGCCCTGCTTGCTTGTGGGTGGACCGAGTCACTTTTGCACACTCATCCAGTCGATCATCGAGTACACACTGTCATTTTTGCCACAAGATGGCAGAAAAGAAAGCCGAACCCGGCACGACCATGACCGCACGCGTAGGCCGAGACAAACAGAGGTATCTACTACTTCCCACCCAGGCCGTCGAAAAAACCATCCCCATCTAACGATCCCCCCCCCACCGCAGATACGGCCCCAAAGGCGAACGCCTAGTAGCCGGCACCGTCCCCCTCTCCCCCGACCGCACCCTCGTCCTCCTGATCCAAAGCAGCTCACGCAAAACCTGGGTCCTCCCCAAGGGCGGCTGGGAAACCGACGAGCCGACGTGCGCCGAAGCGGCCCAACGCGAGTCCTGGGAAGAAGCCGGCATCATCACCTCCATCGTCGCCGACTTGGGGGAGATCGAGGAGAAGCGGACGGAAGCCCAGATCAAGAAGTACGGGCCTGCTGCGCCCAGGGCGTTGTATAGATTTTTCGAGGTGCAGGTGCTCGAGGAGAAGGCAAGTTGGCCCGAGGGGTTCAAGAGGGAGAGGTGTTGGATGGGGTGGGAGAGGGCTAGGAGTTGTTTGGAGGGGCGGCCGGAGTTGTTGGAGGCGTTGGAGAGGAGTAGTATGAAAAGGAAGTGAAGAGGCTAGCTAGAAGAGCAAGATCCTGGAGGGCAAGGAGCGGGACAGGAAGATGGGAGATTGGGGTCACTGCTTTTTCCCGTTTCCTATATCCCGCACGGATGAAAGAAGAGGCTTGGTTTTGCCATCGGGCGGCCGCACGTTGGGAATTTCGCATGTTTGGGCCGGGGCTGTGGGCGAGGCAGAAAGCGCGTTTTCTCCCAGAAGTAATACAATAAACGCAAGAGGCTTGACGCTGAGCGAAGGAACCACCAAGGAAGGGGTTTCCAATTGCATGCACATCTCGCAACCATGGGAGCCAACAAATAGTCATTGGATGGGAATCGGCAGGCAAAAGTGACTTTGTTCGCTTGCAATTTTCCTTTCATTGACCTGTCGATACTCGTACAGTCCGCCTATGCCGACATCCCGGTCATCTTCGCTGGCAGCGTGATCGTTGACTGCAGAAACAAAAGAGCTAACGCCGAACCCATCATTAAAGCCCCATCTCATGTACTTCACGCCCTTTTGCGCCATGAGTAAGCAACCCCTTGCGCCGCCCGGAAAGTAAAGAAAGCGAGGCTGAAGTCCACTCCACCCTGCCCTCTCCACACTCACTCACTCCTAAGCATACTCTCCACCAACTCCCCCAACGGCCCAAACCACTCCCCCCTCCCCGCCTTCCCACCTTTAACCCCACCCCCTTCATCCCCCGCCAACCCAAACTCCTCGACAAAAAGCACATAATGCTTAAACCCGGTATTCAAATGCGCCTCCAACCCCAACCCGCGGACAACCCCATAATGATGACAATAAATATGCGCATACACGCGATACAAGCGTTTAAAAATCACCCGGATCTGCTTCTCAAACCCTTCGGGGAACGGGACGCCGGGTTGGGTGGGGAAGATGGAGGGGTTGCTGAGGTGGTTGCTGGTCCAGGTTAGGAGGAGGGAGATGTATTGGGGTGCGGGAAGGCGGGTGGGTTTTGAGTAGGTGGGGGGGTCGTGCCAGAGGTATTCGAATTCGTCGGTTGCTTTCATTTCCGGGCAGGAGTGAGGGGAGCAGAATTCGGTGATGGCGCCGTAGAGGAGGTTGAGTTGGTTGTAGAAGTCGACCACTAAATTCCATCGCACCGCACGCGATTAGCTGGAGGTCCCAATTTCCCTGCAGTCGCTTCGACGGGGGGGGGGAATTTTTCATGTAGGAACGTGGATGGGATATGGGGGGTTGTTTGACATACCATTCACAGCCAACCACTCCCCCCGATCCTCCCCCTCAGGCAACTGCACCACCTTCTTCAAACTATCGCTCCCCAACGTCGCCTCGGCGAACTGCTTCAACTGCCAACTATTCGTCCCCTTGGCTCTTCGCTGCGGTTGGAAAGCCGAGGTCTGCTGGTTCCGGTTCCGGGCATTACTGTTGTGATTTCGTGTCAGTGGATCTGCTTTCTTTTGCTGGTCGAGGGGGAAGCCAAAGCCAGGTTTGTTGAGGGCAGCAGCGGTGGGGCGGTGGGTTTCATGGTGTTTCTGTTTTTGTTCTTGGCGGAGGGGGATGGGGAGGGGGAGGCCTGATGGGTGGGATTGGGTGGGGATTTTGTGATGGTAGTGTTGTTGGTTCCAGTCTCCTCCTCCTCCTTCTGCACCAAATATTGTTTGGATATGTCGTTGTAGTGGGCTTCGATACACTTCCTGCGGACTCGTCGGGGCGGGGAAGTGCAGGCAGGATTCCGATTCGGCTAGGACGTTGGTGTGTAGAGGCGGGAGGGGTTTGGGATTGGCGGTGTAGGGTTGAGGTGGGGAGTGGTATTGTACGAACATTGTTTGGATGAAGGATGTCATTGCGACTTCTCTCTCTCTCTCTGTGTGTCTCTGTCTGTGTGTCTCGCGCACACACGCG